CTCAATACCCATACTTCTCTAATGTGGCCTGAAACACGGACGGATCATTACCATATGTCATTGGGGTTCATAGATGCTTCGGTTTCACTCCCTTCACCCCTTTCTCTTGCACTCACATTCACACCCACCTTCATTGAAAGGCCATTTGAGCCTGAAACTTTTCTTGCCTTTTACACATTCCCCCCTCCTACTGGGGAATGGACATTCCAGGACACAGAACCAGGCACTCATTCACCATTACATTTCCCTTTTTTTTCAAGGTTCTGCAGGACTTTGTCTTTGTCTATACACTTTTCTTGTTTTCATTTGTTGTTAATCCCAATCATCGGCGTTCATGGGTCTGTTAGATGTTGCATATGTGCATGGTGGGTTTTCTCTGTCTGGGCTGCGACTACGAACATTTTGTTCTCCCATGGCACAGTTCCCGACGTGTCATGGGGGAACTCTTGCATGAAGGTGGATTCCCCGGGCATATCATATCGATGGCCTGCTTTTATTCTTCGGCGAGGCCATCGTCAGTCATATTTTGTGAAGAGGACACCGTTCCTATTCCTCCGCAGTTTAGATATTGGTAATGTCACGGGTTACTGTTAATATTTGAAGGATGTTGAGGACTGTAGTTGGGCCGCGAGCAAGAGCTTGACAGAGCATGTGGCTTAGTTGGGGTTTGCTGAACATAGATCCTAGTCAACAAATTCACTTAGGACTGAACGTTTAGCCCTTATAGTGTACGGAGTACGGACATGGTCTATTGATCTTGGCGTGGAATACGACGCTTACGAGCCATTTGCGAAATTCTCCATAATTGTGGCTCTATGACGCCACATCTGTCTATGAGTACATTCCTTTTTCAATTTCACACTGTTAGCATCATCGACATGGCAGTGATATCAAGAGAATCACAAAGGTTTCCTATAGGGCTATTAACAGTGCACTGTACAAGTACCAGTACTTTTTTGTAGTCCGGGCGAACGAACCGGCCAGGGATGTGCATCTGAGCCACCTTTGAATTTCCATCCATAAGGCTGGGATCTGGCCCAACTCACCGAGACTGTCCCCACGTGTCTAGTCGTTATTGTACAGGTAGTGGACTGATTTGAGATGATCGAGATGATCGAGGTGTGGCTGTGAATTTATGAATCATATCACGTTATCATGATCGATCATGAATATCATCGTACTCCGTCCTGTACATTCTCAAATATAGAAGTATGGATTTCAAGAGGGTCTCGGAATTAAAGATTAGTGGCCGTTGACAAAGTGATGAACATTATCGGACCCAAGCGCCCCGTAGAATGATGCACACGGCTTTTGACTGTTATTTGCCACAACTTCACCACAGCCCATTGGATGTTGTACCACCAAGATAGATCCGCTCGTTCCGCTCCCCCCACAGTGCACTGATTTTGTACAGGCATGCTATGTGGCTAACCCCAGGAGCTTGCGTAATTGAAGCTAGCTGTGATGTGGCGTGAAAGAACCAAAATGCCTGACTCCGAAGTGGCAAGGTCATATGTTATCCTGAGTGGCTACACGTCTCATCCAAATGCAAGCCACAAGGGTTTTTTTCTCTTGTCGATCTTTCGAAGTATACATTGTCTACCCTTAGTTATCTTGGTGCCTTATGGGATGAATTAGCCGCTTACGAAATAGTTATCCCACTCGTTGGTTACCTTAGGTATCCCTGGACTAGTGACTGTGCAGTGCACGCCCCTTGGGTCTTTCCACCGCCCCCCCCCTCCCTAAGCTCCGTGATCCACAAGTGCGCTGCTAACTGGCTGTCAAAACTGCACTTGCTCTGCCACAGCATTGATGTCCATTGGTAGAGTTGCTCGTCAAGGCTTCCCTGACACAATCATTGGACCCCGTTACAGTACAGTACACTGTACAGGGAAGAGTGTGTGCGCACTCGATCCTCCAATTATCGACTGTGCAATGAACCAGGATGATATTCCCGATTGGCCTTCAATGAAAGATGCATAGATATATCTGATACAGTTTGCAATCCCACACGCCCTGATTCAAATGTTTATTTTGAAATTGAGCAAAGTCGGCTTCGCAAATAATCCAGGCTAGTTTACCCCTGTCGACGCCGACAACGTTGTGCGAGTCAGCCACAGCGTCATGGCTGTCAAGCGAGAGCGGCAATACGTACACAGGAGCCGGGGGGTTACACAATCGGGAAGTCTGTGTTAGTGTCCAATTTGTCCAATTCGCGAGGTGGAGAGGAAAGACAAAGAAGTACTAAGAAAGCCACCTTTATGACAGTTGTGGTTTGCAGTTGTGGTATGTCGTAGGTGGAGTACTCTATTGGCGAACAATTTGTTTGCACTTGGGAGGTCGGGGTATGTAACGCTCTCGGAGGAGCTTGCCTGTACTGTAATAGTACGGTGTAATCTTCTCCAGAATGCTTCGGATGTACAGTATTGTGCTATTTATGTTCGCACTCGGTAGAGGATGATACCACGCCTCGCTTGCCGAACATGTCATTTTGGTTCTCGGGGAAGACCTCCAGCAAATGAACAGGCTCATATAAAAATGATGTGTGTATGGGGCAGTCTAAATACACTGTGGAGGTTGCGATCTACATTTTATATAGCACTGAACTCCATACGAGGTATGGATCGTAACGTGAAACATTGCAAATATGGATGTGTGTTCCTGCGGTAATGTGATGTTTTTGACTGGCCCCGCCCGAGCCTCCTGTGTCCAATTACGAAATCTGATTGGCGGGAACTCATTCCAGCAATGAATAGCACCTCGGCAGTACAGTAAGAGTCTGTATCGCTGTATTGTATGGATAGCTCTTACATACCGCCCATAAAATATACTGTGAGCTCATACAGATACTGTAGGGCGATGTGCATGAATGGCTTCTGACGTTATGCAATCGACGTCAATGAAGAAAAGTTTCATACTGCATTTTTGAGCTTACAAAATGACATACGAAGCGACTGAGCCACACTGTCCTGAAACTTAATGTTATTGATGGGACGGTTGAGCCACGTTTGATTCCAGCACGTTGGGCAGTGAGCTCATCTCTGGCCATCATGCCAGCCAATGGACATCGACGGAAAATGAATTCACTTACTACAGTATCCATTAAACGTAAGTGCAAGTGCTATCAGTTTCGATGTAGATCCAACCGATTGTCTCCATATCAAAGTCGCCACAGATCACACAACGGTTCTGAATCCATCAATCCCGATGAGAATGATCACAAGGTTTGCAAAGTCGAAGCTCGGTACTAATATTTTGTCTTTCGGCCACGGCGTTAACAAATGTAGTAATTCGTGGTCGGGAACATTTGATTATATATAACATTGTCACCCATGGTTGTCCATAACCACTCGATCAGTATGCAAGCACGTCGTCAGCGGAAATCGAGCTCGATCGATATCCTCTATCTATGGTACTGCAGTTGGTGGATAAGGCCCCGGTGTGGGTTGATACCGATATCGTCTAGACATCGTGTGACAAGAAACCGCTGGTCCAGCTCTTCTGATTTGGTATCTACTGTAGCAACAGAGTTCCCCAGGCATCATCCCTCTCCTTTTACGCCACCAAACGCCTTCTCCCCTGAATGCATGTCTCATTTCTGACTCCATCGGTATTGGGCTGCAAGGTCGTTTACTCGGCTAAAAGCGGTTGAAACGATTGTACATCTGCTCAGGACCGTGACATTCCAACCCCCATTGACTGACACAGCTCGGGTCCAAATATAGAGACCCCATAAGATTAAGATGTGGCGTCTGGGGAGGAAAAGGTCTATGGCCGTACTGTAGGCACGGCCTCTAGAGACGGGAAGCCTCCGGCTGGTCCATTCACCAATGTAGAAAGACAAATGGGGATATACACACGTAGATAAGTACACTATGTAGAAGTTCACGTCAACGTTTTATGAGATTAAATACATGTGAAACAATACACTGACAATACATTGTAAATTACTCTCGTTCTCGCTCTTTCACCTGTGATCCGCTGCGACTTTCCGTGGGTCGAGTATTTTCCTTTCGCTTTGGCTCCATTTTTCTCCGCCCCTGACACCAATCATTTCATGCATATAAAATGGAAATCATTTAGAATGCTGAGAATAATTGAAAAAAAAAAAAGAAAAGAAAGAAAATTAAAAAAAGGAATCCACAAAATCCGCGAAACGGGCAGTTTCCCTACGAATCTCGCTCTCTACAGTACTGTACAGTATATTCTTTGGTATTTGTCCATGTGGCCCCTGGTCCTTATCGGGTCACTTCTTAAGGTGGCGACTTCGCTTCTTTCTACAATCTTCCGACATCCACCCCCTTGAAAAGTGTGGCTCAGTGACAGTTCTGTTGGATCTCTGGAGATCTTACATTATTGGAGGCTCCATGGACCGTACCGCTACTCCTTCTGTTTTCCCTTTTTATTTTCACTCTTAAACACGATCGTCATACACCTCCCCTCCTTTAACCCCTCGTCTTCTCCAATTATATACTCCCTCCCCCTCCGATCTCTTATAAGAAGGAATCATCAGTCACCACAATTTTCAATTCCTTTTGGGACGACTTGATCAAAATCCACTCTCCACCTCTTTCAACGACGACTAGACCCGCGACCTTCCGTCTCTAGCCTCCGCGCTTAACATCCACCCCATTCGATAAACTCGTCCCACGCCTTTTTTCCCCTCTTATATTCTTTGCGCAAACCAAGTTGCTCAACTTGGAGACTCGATATCGGGTTCAGTTCACAAACGCTCCCACAAATTCGATTGAGGCCGAATTTCCGATCATACGGGATACCGCAAACACCCTACGGGAAGCCATCAACATTAGTTTCAGCGTCTTGGTGCATGATTCGGAACGACTGAGAGCCTACTATACCTAGTTATCGGCTGTGAATCATACATTACGCCTGGATTAGATGTCACATACTTCTGCGGTCTTCTCCTCTCCTGCCCGAAGCCTCTCCAGTTGCGCGTGTTGCATTGCCTAGCGAAGACAAACCTTACCAAATCGCCCCCAATGTTCAGTAACCGGTGGGTTCTAACCGTTTGTTTCTTATATTTCCGTTTATGATTCTAACATTTTTCTGTGCTCCAGTAACAACACCCAGAAGCCTGATGGCGACTTCATCAGTCGCTTTCAACAAGCCTTCTCCGACATTGTCCCTCGCAGGGACAGCGAGGACTCGAAGACCCGACCAAATCTTGACGAAAATTGCGATACTATGATGGCTTCAAGGCAAGCAACCTCGGAAATCACCTGCAATTCGAACTATATCTGACTATTATTTCGCAAACAGGAACACAGAAAATGATATGAAATTGCCCACCCACGACCGCACTCCTCGGAATATGCAAGAGCTAGGCTTGACCCCGTCATGGATGGAGCCTGGTTCTTTTTCCATGATGCCGTTCGGCGGTCACTCTGGTCTCTACACACCAAACTCTGGTGGACTGGGTGCTATCTACCACAACCAGGCTGGTGATTTGCATACACCAACAGGAATGCACATGATGACTCCGCTCTCCCTCGCCAATCCCATGCATGGCTCCCACCATCATCCAAACAATGGCTTTGAACCCTTCAACCCACACTTCCTCGCTAGCATGCCAGATATCAACCCATACGCACAGCACGCACAGCACGCACAGCAAGCGTCATATGCCCCAAGCGCATTTATGCACCGCAATTCAAATTACAATGCCATGGACGAAGCAGTTGATGATTCCTCTGTCAATGACATGAACATGGATTCGGCGTCTAATATAACGGCTTCTACAGACTTCTCAGCCCCAGCAATTTCAAACGACGATATATCTTACGCGAAGGGCGAACAGTATGTCAAACGCCCCGAGCACCTTTTGTTTTCCATTACTAACCACTTTGCCAAATATAGATTTCGATTTAATGTCTCTCTCCGAGCACCAACCGCAATGGTTAAGAACCTGAGAGAAATTCCAGTCACCTATCTTAATAAAGGACAAGCATACAATCTATCCATCGCGGACTCGAGCTCACCCACCGGCAACTCTCGCCCCACTCGATACAGAACCTATGTCCGCATTTCTTTTGAGGAGCAAGAGCAAAGGGCAAGACCCTCAGCATGTTGGCAGTTATGGAAGGAAGGTCGAGGTTCCAGCGAAGCTCACCAACGTGGTGGAAAGTTGTTGGCCGTCGAATATGTGGATCCTCTTCAGGGCGGCGGCGATTCTCATAAGCACCGTCAGGTACAAGTTGAGAAATTATCAGTCGATGGATTCTGCGTCACATGGACCGCCAATCCAATGACTGGCTCCGCGGATTGCAACATTCCCGTGAGGTTCAACTTCCTCTCTACCGATTTCAGTCACTCCAAGGGCGTCAAAGGCATCCCTGTAAGACTATGCGCGAAGACTGAGCTTGTTTCCCCGGGTGAAGCATCTGGTGCGTCACGCGACATGGAGCTATCTTACTGTAAGGTGAAACTTTTCCGGGACCATGGCGCTGAACGGAAAATGTCCAATGATATTGCGCACGTCAAGAAGACCATCGACAAACTCAAGCAGCAGATTTCTCAGGCCGAAATGGGTGGTGGTTTTGCTAAACGGAAGCGCGGCAACAACACAACTGTAGCTTCAAAAGGAACCGACCGTTCTATGAAAATGTCGAAGCACAAACGCACTTGGTCCCAGAGCTCCGACAACTCAGAGAAACCGTGCTTGGAAGATGACCTCCAATCAAAACTGAGCGTCATGCAAGAGATGTTCTCATCAACTCGTTCAGTGAGCGTGCTGGGATTGCGCGGCGACCAACAGGATGACCCTGATCTATACCCCATTCGATTGCCAGGTGATGCGGAATCCGTCAAATTCGAGACTATCGGCCGGACTGGCACTGGTGATTTCTCGTCCGCGGAAGTATTAATGCCTTCACCGGAAAGCAGCAACCCTTCTGAAAATTCACCACACCCCTTCTCGCGTTCGACGACGATTCAAAAGAACCCATCTACCGATCAAATCCCCAGGGGCTTCCTCGAGGCTGTGGGTATCGACTCAACCTACCGACCTCCGTCGGAGCGCTCGCCCAAACCAATTGCCTGCTTCTATGTTCGTTTCTCGGGAAACCAGGAGAACCAGCAGGACTTTTATCGCGCTATCTATCTGACTGAACGTACGGTTCGTGACTTTATGCAGCAGATCTCTAGCAAGCAACAGATTGATCCGATGCGTATCGTTAGCATAAAGCACATTACCGAAAATGGAATGCAAATCATGCTGGATGACGATGTGGTTCGTGAGCTTCCCGAGGGGCAAGATATGCTTGTCGACATTTCGACAACCTCGGGCTCCTTCGATGCGCCTGACTCGCCAATTGAGATCAAATTAACCTTTTAAATGTTTATCGACTTTCTCATCATCGATTACCGCATCTTCAACCTCTTCCTCTTGCATTCTACTTTCCTCTTTCAATTATTTATATTTTCTTTTGTCACTGGGTTGGCTTTTGTTTTCTCAGGGGAGTTGAATACGGAGATAAAACACGAGTCTCCGAGCAATGATACCCCGTCAGTTGATGCTTTGATCTTTATATCTTTTATGGTTCCCTTTATTTGCAAATCCGGCGTTACCTAACTCCCTACGACGATATATGAGTCAAAGGGCCACGGGTCTGTTAATATACACATTTGTGTTTGTTCTGGTGGTGATTTCGATCTGGTTGAGCACCAAGCATACGTCGCTGATACCCCGTTCCCAGTTGAACTTTAGCCTCTTCTGTTTGCTTTTCGTCATAGGTGTTTTTTTGGTTTGAACGTTTGCTGCTGTCCCTGTGCGGGTTCACATTTACAAGATATCTCTTTGGAGATGTACAAGGGCTTCTTTTTATACAGATAGTCACCAGAGGATAGGGTAACAATCAACTTGAAGCATAGGTTTAGAACACGATGGCCTTGCTTATCTTATTATATTCCTTCGTATTGGCTATGGGCTAAACGTTAATGTACTGTAGCAACTGGTTGGGAGAAGAATTTTCTGTAGGCTCGACATTCAAAGTCGACGCGTCAACCCCGACTGATTGACGATCGAGATTTCCAGATCGGGCCGGCTGCACGAGCAGGCAGATAGGAAGATGTCTAGGATCCATAGAACGATATTACCGTGGCGATGTAAATCATGGCTTGCGCAACGCACATGTCTCACGAGAAATAAGAGAGCGAGCCCACACCAGAAGCTGGTCCCAGCAACCAGGTAAAAAAGTGGCAGGCTGCTCGGCCACCGACCGCGGATGGCCGATGAAGATCCCATGGACCGCTGTTTCGGGTTCATCTGTGTCTTGTCATTGGTTGGGCTGTCAGACCGGCCGTCAGTCAAACGGGGCCAGGAGCCTTTTTCCCTACCTGTAATCTTCTGCGACGATGCCACAATTCCTCAGGCCTTCCATCCGATAGATTTTACAAAATCGACGGTACAGCACTCCGTACAGTTACAAAACTTTGAAATCCAGAGCAGCCACTAGATCCATTCCCATCTTGTACTGTACCTTCTCTTTTGGATCTTCCCCCAGTCTCCGATCTTGGGGTTCCAGTCCCTCGGGTCCTTTTTTAGAGATTGCATCCATGGGCCTCACATCCGAGAATAGATTTTTTTCTTTTGTCCCCCGTTCCTGAACCTGTCAACCCTATTAGCTTCTGGGTGTGGACTTTTAAGCGGAGCTAGTGGAAGATGAGATGCTCTTGGCCACTTTCACATAACTCGGACATGAAGTGGTTAGTGTCCAGCCCCTCTCCTCATCACCGAGTCTTATGAATCAGAGTCACACCCTAGGAACCCAGAACGGTCTCCTGTCGATCGCTCTCTACTGTAATGAAACCCTTATCTCTAGCGCCTCCACCAAGTGGATCTTATACCACACAGCAAAACTTCTTCACGGCCACCTCCATGTTTCCCCAAATTGTCAGAGCTTTCTTAACCGTGCTCAACAACTGTACCCCCAAACTGTTCGGCAATTCAAAAACCCCATCCGCGCCAACCGTAAGCCACAATGATGTCAGTTGAAACGAAGTTCCTTGGAAGCGGGGACCTTCGTAAACCCACTCTAAACCACGCGGGTCGTCCCGTTAGTATGGCCTCTCGATTAGGTTTAGCTTTATTACTTACCGCTACGGTATTTTTCTTGGGAAATACCGTCAGTGCAAAAAAAAAGAAATTAGGGTATTCGGTATTTTTTCCCGTATCCTGCAGAACCATATGCAGGTATTGTGATCGGTGTTCAATATTGATGGGTCTCATTGGATTGCAAGTAGTTTTCCGTACAAAAGTTCAAGGTGACTGGACTAGATCCATAAATTTTACTTTCCAAGGATGGGTTCAACGGGTGTAGGGCTGGACTGGGGGCTGCAAATCACTAGTCCTGCCGAAAGTGTATAAAGGAGGACTAGATTGGAATCAGTGCAAGTTATGTCAGTCAAGTCATTTTGATCCCATCCGTCCCTGCTTGAAGTTGTGTGACGAAGCCCTTGACAGCCTCCAGGGCTGTCCGGCTCTCGGCATAGACCGCAGGGCTGATGTGGGATTTGAAATAGAATCAGAGTCAATCCTGGCCATAAATAGATATCGAGGCTCCAGTGACAATACACTTCTACACTTGATCTGCTGTCTTGACTAAGTTTAGATTGCGTCTGGTGCCTCGACGCTAATCGTGACGTTGAAAGTTTATATCCCGGTCATCACCTGCTACCATGTCTTATGTTCAAACTCAATTCCCATCCTCCGGGCAACCTAGACTTGTGGAAGTGTCGCCGAATGTATGGCTTATATTGGTTGGTACGCACCAGCAGGGAGAAAGCGTTGTTGACGGGGAGATGGCATATGCCAACCTTGTCTGTGACACCCCAGCCTCTCTGTGGAAATGACTTGTCTCTCATGGAGTTTTGTGAATCTGACATTGATCTGGAGTCTGGTAGAGACTCCAGACCTCAGTCTTTGACAGTGCAGTTTGATCATTGCATGATGCGTCTGCTGAAGCACAAGCTTCGCCTCCACCGAGCGCAAGATAGATGTTCGGTTTATTTCTTCTACTGAAGACTGTCTCACTGTGGTCGTACATCAAGATTTGCCGGTGTATCCCATTTTAAGTTCTCTGAGAGTGACACCAGAAGTCATTTGGTTCAGAAATTAGAATATGAACAAGGTGTATCTCGGGGTCAAGTACTTCATGTAAGTCTCAGAGGGAAAGAGTAACTTCCCGTGTAGGAATTTCATGTTCAGTTGTAAGATGAGGGCACATGTGACCGAAATGGGAAAGAGGCAGCATCGTTCCTTCCTCTCTCGTCGACCTTTCGTCCTTTGTTTACTATTTCTTCTCCTTTCTCCCTCTTCTTCTTCTTCCTCTTCTCTCTCCCCTTCCCCCCACGCTCGCTTCTTCCCTTCCTGGTCCTTTCCTGGTTTCCATCTTGAATCCATCAAAGCATCACTCACGCTCGTTAACCACCTTCGGAGGTCAATATGACTTCCATCCCAAGCATCAAGATGCTCCTCTTGATGGTCATTCCCATGGTCTCCATGGTTATGGCTGTTGCTCCAACTGAGGGTAAGTCCTTTTTCCATCCCCTCTCGTGACAACAAACATCGTGTGGCTAACCTGTCATCCAACAGACTGCAGCACCATCGTCAAGGTGCTCCTCCAGAACTCCAAGACTGGTGAATCTCGTGTCCTTGGTAACGGTAAGTCATGATCACCTCCCGTCTCTACTCTTGACCCATCTTGAGCCTTAAGGCTAATGATTGTCACGCATACAGCCAATGCTCTTCCCGCTCCTGTTTCCAACCTGTTCGGCCGCGCTGTTCGCCCTGACGATGGCTGGTGTAAGTTCATACCCACATCCTTCAGATAGAGACCTGTTGGCGGTTCCTCAACCTCTTGGCACAATAAGCTAACTCTTGAAAACAGTCACAATCACCACAACTGAGACGTCTTGCTCTTCTCGCGTTCCCCTGGCCACAGCTTCCACCACTAAGGATCCTGTCGTCGTGCCTATTGTCAGCACTCCTCCAGTGATTTCGCACACTAGCACAATCACTACCTCTTACACTGTCCCCACCACTTCCATGGCTGTCTCTACTTCCGCGTCTGCTCTCACGGCAGTCATTACAACTAAGGTGTCGACTGTGTCCTCGGAGTCTACTGCTTCCCGGGTTACTGCCACTACCACGAAGGTTACCACTCAGTCTGGTGCTCCTATGTCTAGCAGCTTGGCGCCTGTCACTGCCACAGGATCTAGCGGCTCTGCCAAGTCTGTGACTTCGTCCCCTTCTAGCTCCGCCGAGACAGCTTCTACTTCTGGTTCCAGCACCAACGTCGCCTCTACGGTGACTAGCAAGGTCACTGGCGTTCCTCCTGCTGCTCCTCCAGCTTTGGTGACCACTGAGACCATTTACACTATCACTGTGCCTTGCAGTCATACTGAAAAGTGCAGAAGTACCAAGGTTTACTCCACCAGTACTTTGGTTCTATCTAACCCCACTGGCACTCATGTCACTGCTCCAGCTTCTGGCAAGCTCACTGGCATACCTGTTTCCGGTTCCACTGTGACTGGAAAGACCACCGATTTTGTCACTGAGCCATGCCCTACCGACACTGAGCGGGCTTCTTCCACCGCCATTGTCGTCCCCGTTCCTGAGTTCACGAATGTTGCTCCTGTTCCTACCCCTGTGACTACGGAGGTCATTTTTACCATCACAGTCCCTTGCAGTCACACAGAGAAATGCCGCAGCACTGAAGTCTACTCCACTAGCACCTTGGTTTTCTCAAACCCTACTGGCGCTCAAGCCACTGCCCCCTCTGCTCCCACTGCTCCTGGTGTGGCTACAGTTCCAGCCTTTGTGACTTCCAAATTGCCCTCTGTTCCGGCCACTGTTCCTCAGCCCGAGATGTCCGCACCTGGTACTACCAAGGTGACCATTCCCGTCCCCGAGACCCCGCCCCAGATCAAGGTCTCTGAGTCGGTTTCGGAGACTACCGTGATAAACAAGTCCGGCTCTGCTCAAACCACATTGGCCACTGTTCCTCACCCCGGCTCTGCTCATACCACATTGGTAACCGTTCCTCAGCCCGCTGTTTCCAAGGGCTCTCAGGTTCCTCCCAATGCCTTTCGTACCGGAGAGACTCAGATCGCAGTCCCCACTGCCCCTCATCCTGCCTCAAGCAAGACACTGGCTCCTTCGGCCCCTGTCTTCAATGGTGCTAGTGTTGATGGGCTCGTGAATGGCCGTCTTCTCGGCGTAAGCATCTTCGTCGTGCTCGCTAATGCTGCTCACTTTGTGATTCTGTGAGAAACCGGTAAATTTGTTTCATTTTATGGAGGGAAGCAAGCCTAGCCATCTTTGATGCAGCAATGGCGGCACCCAACATGTTTCATACGCTTATGGTTACTATTGAAGATTTAAGCAACCCGGTCTTGTGGGTTAGCATGCCTTTGCTTTATTTTTCCGGGGATACAATGATGGATCCAGGTTAATATTGCGATATCTAATAATGTTTGTGACTTCATGACATAGTTTCAGCTTAGCTGTCTAATAACAGAAGTCTTCATTTCATTGCGCGTGCATAAGTAGTATTAGTTATCTCGTAGAGGCAGCACGGATCTACGGTCTGAACACGAGAGCTGTATCTTGAAGTCCTTCCGGCGTTCGAATAAGGCTCAAACACCTCCCAAGCAGAAAGCAGCCAGCGGAATAGCCCTGGGGAGAATCCTGTCGTGAACTCACGTCTCAAATGAGGTTTAAGTCCGAAAGACTATGTATCTGGCAATATATCGCTGAGTTGATACATCCATCCCGCCGTTCCATCAAACCGCGATTCACACCACAACTTTTACTACTTTTACACATTTTTACAACAACACAGCACAAACCAAAACGATCATCTGTTGCCAAAGCAAAATACTAAACCAACATAGCTAGCTAGTACACAGGCTACCGAGTTAATAGCTCCCATATTTTGAACAAATTCCTGTTCGGAAGCCTAGCCCGTCTACGCAATAAACAAAGAAACCATCTTGCAATACTGAGACGATTAGCCTCGTATACTCGTGCCCAGATCCATGGGAGAGACTTATGTCGAATTCTGCAGTGATATGCTTGACGTCCACGTCCGAGAGAATTTGGATCAAATTGGTCTTTCCATCTTCCTCCGGTTCACCGATCCACCTTGCCATGGTATTGTCATTGAAGACTGGGCGTAATGCCCGAATTCCACGATCATCGGCGATTCCTTTGAATCCTCGTAGTCTTCAATTGCTGAGGTCAATTGTGACTTGACCCCCTGGTGACCGGTACTCAAGAGTGATGTTCGACGCCGCATCTCCACTGATCAGATCAAATCCAATGATGTGAGTTGTGATGCCTGCCGCGGTTCCTTCCTGCAGGATGAAACCAATCAAGCCTATATGGCTCGGCAATGAATCGATTTTCAACATGGGAATTACCTCGCCCTCTTCGCATGTGCAGGGAGGGGCATCGTCTCTGGGTAGGATATCTATCCTTGCCCTCTTGCAGCAAAGTTCAGCCGCCGCTATTATCCAGGCCTCCATTGGCAGTAGACTGAAGGGATCAGCCCCAGGGAGTATGCTTTTGCCTGCGCCGAGATTCAAACGTTGGATTTTCGAAATTTGCTTCGTGGCATCTCCGATCGTTAAATGAGTGCCGAGGTAGGAATCTGCCCAGGTGCAGACTTACTGGCTTGATATATCGACGCCCAAGGGCGGTCGGGGTCGAATAAGGATCATAGAGGAGCAAGCTAAGTTACAGAAGTAAAAAGGGAAGCACCTTGGTAGATGACTAGCACATAGAACAACTAGCAGGACTGTTCTACCTGACGACTGTTGAACGTTCTACTCATAAGCCTCTCCCTTTTAGAAAAGAAAAGAAAAGAGAACCAGGAAACTAGGGGGAATATGTATATCCGATATTGCCGATAACCACCACCACTTAGTTGGACCAACAAGGCTCTTGACAAACCAAGAAGTAGAACAACGAGCTAATCGGGCCAATTGAACAATCTTATATTATTTGAGATTGTGTAAGTCTACTGACAGAGGCTGTTAAGTATGGCTTCCGCTTTATGTTATACTTTGCATGCTCATACCCAGGTGACGAATTAAACGGCATGTCGGATTCAATAACACCTCGCCGAGACTTCAACTGTGTGTTAAGTTCTAACACGGATAGCACTATACTATTCCAATGACTGAATTGATAATGAGCTTTTGGCGTGATATTATATCCGATCCTATTGAGTGGATCAGGTCTATTTCCGACAATTCTATCAGTATTGGGCTACTTGAAGTCCCATTCTGTCCATCCTGTCGAATCAAGTGCACAACAGTGGCATGCAATTGCTCTTGATTAGAAATCCATTCGGTCTTCAACTTTTGACGCCGAATGCTTGATAGTGTCTATATGAAACTGACACGACGTGCATACGCACTTGCCTATAAAACCCTAGAACACGGGCACTTCCTCATTCTTTCATACACAACTCTCCAGAGAGCCCCAATTTCAGCACAATCTATATCGAATATCTCTCACTCTCCATCATGTCTAGCTTGCCTGTCCTAGTTTTCGGGGGAACTTCTATCGCCACCGATGGAAGCTTCACAAATGTCGCTGAGGTCTCGGCCTTACTGGAAGCCCTTGAAAGAGAAGGAATCAAGCAAATTGACACTGCTCAGATTTACGGTGCTAGTGAAGAGCTCCTCGGCGAATCTGGGGTTTCGTCGCGGTTCATAGTCGATACCAAGCACGCAGGGGGCTGGTCCCCAGGATGCTCGTCTCGAAAGGATGTTTACGAAAACGGACTCGAAAGCTTGAGAAAGCTTGGAGTTGACAAAGTACGTGTAAAATCATTTGATGACTCGGGTTCAAAGAAGTTAACCATCTCTCCTTAGGTTAAAGTGTTCTATTTGCATGCTCCTGATCCCAAGGTCCGTCTTGAGAAGACTCTCGCCGGTATCAATGATCTGTACCGCGAGGGAAAGTTTGAAACCTTTGGCCTTTCCAACTTCAGCGCAGAGGAGATCACTGAAGTCCTTCACGTTGCGAAAGAGAACGACTTCATCCTCCCAAAGGTCTACCAAGGCAATTACAACACCGTTTCTCGTTATATTGAGACGGACATTTTCCCAGTTCTTCGTCAACATGGAATGTCATTCTTTGCCTACAGCCCCATTGCTGGCGGTTTCCTCACCAAAACCAGAGATCAACTGGTTGAAGGCAAGGGAGGGCAAGGTCGATGGAACCCGCAGTCACAGATGGGCTCATTCTACCACATGCTGTACAGTAAGCCGACTTTCTTCCAGGCCTTGGACAGTTGGAATGCCATATCTGAGGCTTCGGGAATTCCAAAGGCCGAACTTGCATACCGTTGGATTGCTTTCCATTCTGCTCTTGACGGTCGACTGGAAGATGGACTGGTGATTGGAGCGAGCAGTACCGACCAGCTGAACAGGACCGTTGCTGCTCTCAAGAATGGCGCACTTCCTGATTCGGTGGTCAAACAGATTTCCGATATCTGGGAAATTGTGAAGAACGATTCGGTTGCTAACAACTTTGATGTGTTGAGATCATAGATCGGATGTTGGATCAATGAGGATATACACTGCTCGGGTATAACGAAAGCTTCCCTTCGCCGAACCGACACACCCTAATGCGATAAATTACAACTGTTCATCGCGACAGACATAGCTTCTTATACGGTCTTCCTGTATAACTTATGTGTTCTTCATTCATTCTCAGTCTGCCATATATTGATAATTGATAGAAGATATACTATTGAAGCTCAACAGAATAGATTACACCGTAATCTTGGCGATTAAATTGACCTAGATTCACATATCAGACTTCTTCTGCTCTACCTTTTGAGGTAGGCTGAAGTCTCATGTTTACCAGGCTCTAGTACAAGGGCAACTTGTACGCATCAAAGTTGTAGTCAAAGGTGTCAATCGAAGCCTGATCGTACTCGCAGGTCAAGGTCTTACCGTCCCTCCAGTAAGGACGAAGAGGCCAGGCACAAAGCTGCTCGTTGTCTCCCAAATTCTCACCCTGGAGAATGGTAGCGTTCAGTGTGTGAGGCACAATACCCTTTTCAACCCAACGAGACATGACTTCGAAGTTGGTCTGCGGGAAGGGTCCGTTAGGCTGAGCGGTATTTGTAGCACAATGGGCAGCTCCAGGAACCAAAAAGAGGCGATACCATTCCTGGAGAGCGCTGGTGCTTGAGTTGTACGACTTGTTCGGATACATCGTTTGACGAACAGAGTTGTAATAGTGAATGGATGATCCCGTGGGAATTGACGCATCCTGCTCGCCATGGTAGTGGATGATCTTGCCACCGTTATCATAAAACTCAGTCAGATCAGGCAGAGTGGTTTGCAGCGAGTCCATGTATCTGGTCATGCCCTGCTTCATCCAGCCTACAAGCGTATCATAGGTGACGCCCTCCAAGGTGGACAAGTTGTCTTCATCGTTTAACTCCAAAAAGCGAGCAATCCATTCACCACCAGCACCAGCAATATCCTGTTCCAGTTAGCACAATTCTACGAGAGGCCTCTGAGATAATCTCAAATCGAGAACATACCAATCCCCATTCGCCGGTGGTGGAGTTGTAGCTGGTCGCAGCATCATCAAACGAGGCACCCATCTGATAAGAGATGTAGGCACGGCGTCCTTGGGAGTCATACAAGCCATCAACAATTGTCTGAGCAACCGCAACAGCCTCGGCCGTCACCGTACCATTCTGAGCTGGCTCGGTCGAAAGCTGGCGTTTGCCAAAGCCAAGACCAAGGCTACTGCTGGTGGAGGCAGCACAATAATACGACTTTCCGATGATCGAAGTCATATTGAAATGCAGCTGGCAAAGATCAGAGCGAGAGACAACACCGTCGGAACGCCCGTCCAGAGGATCACAGGCGGAGATTGTCTCGTTGACAATCTTTTCCAGCTCGCATGGAGGGGGGTAGTAGTCGAGAGTCTTCTCCACAATGTTTGAGTAAATGTGGTTAGCTTGCTGCTGTCCATAGCGAATGGCCGGTGCTCCAATGATTAAACCGTCGTACTCTTTGCCCGCGCGCTGGCCCTGAGACCAGCCCTCACGACCACCCTCGGAGCAACCCTGGTAGTACGAGTACACCTTGCTGTTGCTGGCAACGTCGTAGAAATTCTTGGTCAGCTGCTTGCCGATGACGGTCATCTCCTTGATGGCTTCGTAGCCAAACATATACACAGAAGGCCAGTTGATAGTGCCGTTGTTGAGCAGGAAAACGTCGTCAAAGTCGGTGTCCATGCTGCCAAATCCTCCATCTGTAAATCCAGAGACAGCGCCATACATCACACCGCCAGGAGCCGACATAGATCCAGACTGAATGGCGTACGCACCACCTCCAGTAGCGAGGAAACGGTTCTTGAAACTCTCAGGCGAGGGCATATAGTAACCGACAATCACGGATTGATCAGATCCCGTGTGGGTGTATGAAAAGGTCACATTGCAGAAGTTGATGGTTGCATCCGGGAAGAAAGTCTCTCCAGAGTGAGAGGAGTTGTAAACGGGATTGGCAGTGACCGACGAATGATCAAAGGTAACGCCGAGGATGTAATTGTCTTCGGGCAAGGAATCGCGAACATGGGAGACAGTGCATGCGCTGCGCAAAGAAGCAGCATAGGCTACGCCTGACCATGCAAGAAGGGACAGAGCTTTCTGCATCTTGCGTCAAGCTGTTTCGAACCGTCGAGTCTGATTTGAATGTTCCTGAGCCAATGGTGGCTTCTTTTCGCAACTTTGTATAGGCTCCTCGTAAACATTTAGCAGGACACGCGTTTCATCCTGGACACTATAGCAGTATCAAGCTTAATTGTCGCCCCTGCTAATAAAACTCAGTGACGCGTCTGATAATAGAAAAGATTGCATGCCGTGGTGGATTCAAACAGGTACTCACCAATGAACTGGTTCCCCGACAAAGGATCAGCACTTGAAAAGATACCCGCTCCGGTTCTCATCTAGATTGAATAGTTTGGTACTATTGTATTATTGAGCTTTCGCATTTTGAGAAGTGTAAAGCTCCGGAGACCGGCTCTTCCTCTGAGATGGGTTGACACAAATTATAGACGTTCGTATCACGAGAACAGTTCCATGTGAGATGTTGTAGTTTCTTTCTACCATCACGCTTTGTGCTCTTGTCAAAAAACCCTTGACCATGGGCATTCAGAAGCCACGTCAGCGGTCTCCCATCAATTATGGATACCGTTTCCAAATTCAAGGAGTGTGTTGTGACGAATGTTCTCGGATCGGACTTAATCCAGGAGGCTCTCGGTCAAATCCGACGCTAGTCCCGCGGCAGCACCGACCTCCGAGGTATACGTATTCCCGATATCGGGATCTACATCTCTAAGGGATCACTAGAGTTTCCATTTAACTTCAATATATAGAATAGTCTGATTATACCTCTCTTTCAAATGGTTTGCGGTGGAGTTTGCCATGGATATAAAGCAGGTCTAATGATTAGGGGATGTAAAAATAAAAAAAAAAGGTATTTATAATAGGGCTGAAAATCCGGTACCGGATGGGGATAGTCAAATGCTTGGCATTAACACTAATCTTCATGGAATAACCAGGGTCTCATAAGATCAACTTAATGCTAATATCCCCAACACTGGCTCCAGGCGACCTTAGAAAAGGCCAGGGTATCTCAGGGAAACAACGGAAATGCAGAGAATGTGGGGGTATGTGCACATGAGGTATACACAGGCTAGTCGAGTGATCGAGGAGCTCCATACAACAAAAATTAGACTTCACCCTCAACACCAAGAGATTCAATTTCTCTTGTCAAAGCACAAATCCGGCAGCCATCACCAATCTTGTCTCGTAAGATCCTTGCCGTGGTCACTTTGGGGCCCACAGTACGAGAAGCGGTCGTCGTTGAAGTAGGCTCGTCGATCGGAGACATGGCTCGGGGGGTTCGATCTCCGGATCGATCAGGGCTGCTAGTGCCGGATTGTTGTTGTGATGTATCTGCGTGCAAGTGGGAAAGATGGAATACATGGCCGCAGGCAAAACCGACGAGAATTTCGCGTTCTAGTTAGTTGGTCAGCATTCGTCCTGATGATGAGTGAGCTCGATGTGACCAGGGAATCATACCGTTTGCTCGGAAGGCGGCGTTGCAACCGCCACATCTTCCTTGTCCAGTGCCTGTAAACTTCATGGCACCACTTTTCTGGGATAGTTGGTCTTGACTCTGGGCCTTGGCTGTCGGTGTCAAGATAGAGTCGTCTTCTTTATCTTCGTTGATGTCAAACTTAATGCCACGACGCTGGCCCTTTCGTAACGAGTCCATTCCAAGAGCAACCTCGCTTTGCATAACCCTGGCCGCGCCCTGGCTAATACTAGCTTGTAGATCATGTTCACGAATCAAGCGAGTCAGGCCTTCTCTTAGCCCCTCGATCTCCAATCCACTCGGGATTCGACGCACAAGCTTGATCGGGTCGATGGCTGTACCGGCTTCAACAAGAAGACCGTGAATGAATTTTGGCTTGTCCATCGAGTAGTCAAGAAGATCTTCCCAAAGATCAGGATCTTCCTGTGACTTTGCAAATGAAATGGCTTGTGAAACGTCTTTCAGATCCGACAATATTAAATTCAAGGCCCGCTTTGTCTGACCCATCTTAGACAGGAGATAAATCAACTCAGGCGTGAGTTTGCGGTTCTCACATATAGAGGTGGCTTTGTCAAAGGAGTAAGAGATGCTCGTTTGGAGGAACTCCATGAGTAGAGGTCGGTCATAATCTGCGAATACCTCGACGGTCGTGTCGGCGAAATTGTCGATTAATGCTTTGCCTTCGTCGGCAGCCAGCTTACTGGCCGCATCTCGGGCATGAGCCCCACGCCCTCTTCGGGGTTTCAAGGCATCATGGGGCAGAGACTCGCCTCGCCAGAGCGCACGAAGGTAGAAATAAAGGAAAAGGTATCGGTCTGCCGCAATCAATTGGGATACGACGGTTTCTGGAAGAACAATACCCGTGTATGCTTCACTGACAAGGAGACGTGTTGGCTCGGATGTCAGTTCTTCCAACTCCGCCTTGGTGGCTGACTTCATTTGCTCCTTGGAAACGCGAATCATGATAAAAGCTGGAATGTCATCTGTGACCGCATCAAGCAAGCGATGTTCCCTCACCAACGACATTGCTGCATCCCCATCTTGCAATCGAATATAGCACCGCAAAGCTTCGCGGTAATGTCCCCCAACCAAAAACAATTTGGCGAGACAATCAGTAAGAATTCGCCAGTCCTCGGAACCAACGCCCTCTGGTTTCGATTCCAGTTGTTCTTCAATGACTTTTGCAATGTTATTTGCATCAAATAGATCAGATGGCCAAATTCCAATCAATTCTTTAAATTTGGTCAGATCTCGAGATACGTAATGACCGAGAATCACTTCGTATATGGCAGAAGACAACGACGGATTCAAGTCAACTGGAATATGCGGGTTGATATCGTCCAGTTTGCCTCTTTTGATGAAGATCCACGCCCAGTGGTCCCACCGCGGAGCATTCCGAAGGACTTTACCACATATCTTGGCAGCTTCAACCCACTTCTCTTCGCTGACAAGCTGTTGTATCCAAAGCTCTCCAAGTCGGGCCTTTTCTTGTTCTGCTGCAGAGACTTTGGGTAGGCGAGCTGTTGTAATTGATGATCGGTCATCTGCAAAAAAGTCACCCAGACTAGTCTGTGACCTGCCGGCAGCTTCTGAAACAATTTCACTCAAGTCGGGTATGGATCCTGCGGCTTCAGGATGTTCATCGACAAGGTTCCAGGCTTCTTCGTATTGACCATGAGAGTCTAACCAAGACAACCTATCTGCAAGATCCCGCTTGACCGCAACAACGCAGTCAAATGGACTGTGGACAAAGATCTTGGCACCAGGAGCACCTGAAACATCCTGTACCTCCTTCGGAAGAGCTTCCTCGACCGAGTGTTTTGACATGAAAGACGGAGGAGCTCTAGCAGAGCCCTTATCTCCGCTGCTTGTGGTACTGCGGATGCTAGCCCCTGAGCTAAAAAGACGCGCAGAGTACATAGTAGCATCCAACAGTCCATAGCCAAGTGTCCCCAAGGCACCACGCTGAACCACTTGGCCCTCTGGAGTCTTCCATGGCGGTAAGACGCTAAGATGATAGTCTGATGCGGAAAGACCTTCAAACCGATTGATTGAAAGCGTATCGGCACTGATTTCTTCTTTTGTCTCAATATCAATAACACGAAGTTCAGGTTCTAGGCCTCGCTTTCGATTGCGTGTTCCAGTACCCCTTCCGCTATTCGCATTTTCGCTTTCTGTCTCCAAGTATGCAAGAATTACAAGAAGACGAGGCGTATACAACGAAACTCCAGATACAACACAATCGGTTCGCAGTCTGCATGCAAAAGTCAGACAAAGATTGATGGGTCACTATGAGCAGAACTTACATTGTGACAACCTCAGCAGAGCCCAGTTTCTCGCCCTTGGAGGTTTTGCTTGCTCGATCAGGGTACACGTCAATAACCCAAACAGTCCCTCCCCACCCGACGACAAGCTTTTCAACTTTATCGACAGATACAGTCGATTGCACATTTGAGCTTGCCGGGCTGTCGTTAACATCAAGGTTGTCATGACCGTCTAAAGCAGACTGGTCAATCCATTCTGCGCGCGCTTTCCAGACACTGGCCATTTCTTCCCATCCTGGGCGGTTCGGGCGATCAATATGACTGATCCTCTTCCAGGCGAATTCGCTTTCCGAAGAGTCCAGATGCAGATTGGACCGCATAATCTTGATACCCTCCTCGTTTACCCAGGTCACATATTTCCCAGATAAGGACCACCTGACAGTGCTAATAGCACCCTCTCCGCTGTGAATGATAGTATCCTTTCCATTATTGGAAGCTAGACCCATAGATCCTAGCCAGCTTGACGCTGTCGCGGCCGCACCTCCCATTGTTGTCGAGTTAGAGCTTGCTCCGATACGACCACCGGTTGTCAATATCAATTCACCTGCCCGACCACCAGAGAGAAATGTCCTATCAGTTTTGTACTCCGGGGACAACGCAATCGACTGGACCGGGCGACCGAAATTACGCAATAGCACATCTTTGGGGTCAACTAAGGACGATATGCAAACATTTCCATCGATTGAAGAGGTTCCGATGTAAATGGAGTTCGAAGGTATGTTAGGCACTGAGGTATTATTCGTCCTGGTTTTACCGTGGATATTGCCGGTGCCCGTGGACGATCGGGTAGGGGGGCGAAGATCATCATGCGCTTGCTTGAAGGGGTCCTGCTTGAGGTTCGGAAGAGGCGGTGGGAATGGTGAAATAGAGATTGAGGTGACACTCGCCGAGTGCGCGTGGTATACACGCAGAGACTTCAATAGAGGCAAAGACATTACATGCTTGACAAGGTCAGCTCGTGGAGCGGAGTGCGCATATATGGCTGACTTACGACGTTTCCATTGTGCGTTCCAACAATCTAGAGAGCTTGTTAAACATTCAATTTCTGCAATTCTAGTTGATTTTTCTTACCATCTTGTCGCCTGCTACAAGGAAAGAGCTTGTCGCATCCCCATTGCGATAAACCGAACCCAAGTGCTTCGTGAGATATGCGTATTTGAGACGGGGCTCTTCTTCGTCTTCATCGTCTGAAATATCTTCCTCGTTCTCTTCATCCTCTTCCTCGCTATCACTGCCATTTGAGCTGTGGTCATCGTCGGGTTGGCGGCGGTCTTGGGTGTCTTGAGTTGAGTCCGAAGGTGATCGGCTTCGTGCAGTTGATGTTGAGTGCTCGGAAGTGCCCTGTACGGCACTATCATTCGCCGATGTCGCGCCAGGCGCGTCCATGACGAGTCCCTCTCTGCACCTGCAGCTCCCACGCTGTTAGAAGTAGAATGCGACGGGCTGAAGTTGGGCTCTGTGATTCCGGAGTTGAGCTGGGGTAAGTCAAGGCGGGAGCTGCCATGACTAAGCGGGGCTCCTCGGCCCTGCAAAACGATGTCATTGACGAACTGTTCCCAGCTCAGCGATTGTTCCCAGCACCATGTTTGCCAGACCCTCTGTCAGTTTGGCTGGTAGGCCACTGTCAAGCTTCTCTGCGCAATTTAATAAAATTTTGACGCTTTCCCGGAAAGAATTATTCTCGACCAATGCTTACTTGAAACATGAGCACAATAACACTACTGAGCCAGACTTAAAAATTCAGCGACGGAGGGTCAACAGACTGCCAGCAGCTCCTACTTCGTTGCGACGGGTAGCAGTCGAGGCCCAAAGGTCAAAGGATGGATTCTTGTCCAAAACACTCCTCAAAGAGCAGGGTCTACATCGACAGGTAGGAGCAATTGACGACTATTTGACCCCTTGAAATACCCTATTGAATTTCATTTGGCTGATCCTTTTATGTCCGCATAACCAGACCGTGACTGCTTACGCTGTGGCCGAACAATTCAATATTCGCAAAGTCAGAGACATCCTGCAAGAAAAAGGATACGAACCAGATCCTTTAGAGACGGGGCTCTTTCCACAAGTTGTTCATGTTCAAATACCTATCGACTCAATACGACGCGTTGCCAATCCATCCGGTACCGATTTGTCATCCGACGAAGTGGGCGATCTCTTTGTATTTCCCTCAGGTACAGTCGTGGCATGGTCGCTTCCTGAAGGGTTCACATCTTTTCTGGCAACGCGAACTCTCTTACCCGCGGCTGAGGGCGCTCATGATTTGGAGACCGAGGATCTTAACTTCGTGGAGGACCCAAATCGTGAAAACAGTCTGATCAAGGGTGACACGATTGTACTGGGGACGAATGCTCGTCACGGCCAGGGCCAATCTATTGATACCGTGCTAACCAAGGTTGCGTTCTCATCTGGCCTTGCTCGCAGTACAAAGCTGGCTGTCCTTGAAAGTCTTTTATCGAACTATATCGAGTCGACGCGTCCAATTCCAACTCTTCTATCGAAAGGATCTCGGCTGCCATTTACACGAGATTTTGTCCTCCGCAAGACCGGACAGCTGCTGAGTGTTCGCGCACAGCTCAATCTCTACTCTGAACTCACAGATTCTCTGCCAGATATTTTCTGGGACAGTGAACACGAACTTGGCTTGGAGGGCTACTATGAGCAAGCTGGTCGAGCTTTAGATGTTGGAATCCGTATCAAGCTTCTGAACGAAAAAATGGACTATGCGCAAGAAATTGCTAGTGTCCTTCGCGAGCGGTTAAGTGAGACCCATGGTCTTCGACTTGAATGGATTATCATTCTGCTCATCGCTGTCGAGGTCGGATTCGAAGTGATGCGATTATGGAAAGAGAGAATCCGTGAGCAAGAAGAGGATGCGCGCAAGGATTAAACTTTGGTGTGAGATACTACATTGTAAATGTACTGATTATGATACCCCTTCTCTCATGAATACATATTCACTGAACTATGTCACGTCAATGGTTGCCCAAGAGTAAACAAAGCCCACCTGACCCGAGTCACCTGCCCCCGCGCTTAGTCAATTGTGACTCCGCACGAGGCGACTGCACCGCCGACAACCTTGTAGCCTTAGATAGTTCCATCCCTGGTGCAATTCGATCTTATCTGGCTCATTCGCTCATCTTTATCATCTTTTGATTCAGTATATCTGATTTAACAAGGTACATTCTTTGAATTTGGACCCGAAGACCAATCAATCGATGATGCGGGGATCGTCGCAGCAGTTCTTGGGGATCCCAGGGCCCCAGAAGATCCTCAAGACCTTCGGCTCCTTGTGGCTCTCACAGACAGCAGAAGATAAACCATCTGTGGGAACATCTTCATCTTGTCCTGTATCCGAAATCAGTTGTCAAGCTAAGTATCATGGCCAAGACACCTGCTGTTTCAACTACCCCGGTGGCTCAATGCTGCAGACCCAGTTCTGGGATGTGGACCCTGCTCTTGGCCCTGAAGACTCCTGGACTATTCATGGACTCTGGTAAGCCTTTGCTGCATTACCGAGCCATACACGAAAGTACACTAACCCCTGTTAGGCCGGACCACTGCGGCGGCGGCTTCGACCAATTCTGTGACTCCCATCGCAAATACAGCAATATTTCACTAATCATTGTCGACTCGGGTCGTGGAGATCTACTTGAATACATGAGCGAATACTGGAAGGACTTCCGCGGTGATGATCAGAACCTTTGGCAACATGAGTGGAACAAACATGGCACTTGCGTCAGCACGCTGGAAACACACTGTTATGATGATTATCAGCCTCAACAAGAGGTTGTGGACTACTTCGACCGGACAGTGGAGGTCTTCAAGGACCTCCCTACTCATGAAGTAAATTCCACTCTTTGCAATACAGCGCAGGTCAAGGTGCTGACCCTATCTAGTTCCTGGCCAACAACGGCATCGTGCCATCTTCGACACAGACCTACGCTCTCGCTGATATCGAAGGAGCACTAGAGCGTGCCCACGGAAGCCCAGTTGCTGTTCGCTGCCAACGCGGCGCCCTCAACGAGATTTGGTATTACTTCAACATCGCAGGAAGCCTACAAACAGGAAAATTCATCTCTGCGCCCCCAGGTAGGTAGTTCAGCAAGTCTTGTTTCTATTAGATTGTTGACCTGTGTCACAGACGGTCAAAAATCCAACTGCCCTTCGAAGGGTATCAGATACCCACTGAAACATTCTCGGCCCGAACCCACTCGGACAACAACCACGGGTCACTCCGAACCCACAGCACCTAGCGACCCATTCTCCGGCAAGGGAAATCTAATTGTCTCCAACCGCAACCAAAAGCACGGTTGCATCATCAGCTACGGAACCTGGTTTTCGTCAGGTACATGTGCTACCTTCCGAACTGAAAAGATATCAGGTTAGTGACTATACGCCCAGCATGTGATCCATTACATCTTGACCAAATGCTCACAAGATTATCATTTTCTTGCAGATGAATCGTTCTCTCTGAAATCAAGTAAGGGGGCCTGTGCCTTTGAGGAAGACGGCCTTACTTGCGGACCGGAGGTCAAGACCCCGAGTGAATTTACCGTGCGTATATCTGCCCCTGCTCAATAGACCGGATTCTCACATTATGCAGAATAAGGACGGAAAACTCGGCTACAAGGATAAGACTACCTTCTATGCTGACCAGCCGCCCAGAGGGCGTACACAGAGCAATGTGTATGCTTCGCAGGAAGAACGGTCCATTGAAATTGAAATCAGCTGGTCTCCCAAGAGCTACTGATGGTTCTTCTCGTATTTTGATACAGTCGGCGTTTGTGCTGTCTTTGACCGGATAGAGTGGAGTTTGTCCTAGGTATCAGCAATATCGTCTACAGGCAAGGGTAATTAGAAATATGATATTTATATGTAAGGCATTCAAGGAAGAACATTCGATGACTCCATTCTATAAGCTTTACGAGAAGAGCAGCATGCGTAGCGCGTACGGGGTTACGAAAAGTAAGTTCAACTTTCGCCATAGGTGATTGCCATGCGTAAAATATCTGAAGGACTAAAATACACGCTATCTGCAAGTGTGTTTCGCAATGAAAGAAGAACATCGTTCAGGTAAGTCGTACCTTGTTGATAGGTAGATACAGAAATGATCCATTGAAAGTAAAGACGTTTGAAGTACATATCGCATCATAAAATAGAGAACACATAAGAATAGAAAGGAAAAAACACCGGGAATAGGCTCTATCAAATAGAATCACGCCGCCATAAAAACCAAGCACCTAGAAAGAGATGTGATGAGGCCAAAAGACGCGAGTATTGACGAGGAAATGGGATGGTCATGAAGTGAAACAAAAGAGAAGTGACAAAAAAGGGGAAAACAAAGGGGCAATAAGGGCATTGGGGAACAGAACGCAAGAGCCTGAATACCCCAAGTCCCGCAAAGTTGTTTCAAATCCCAAATGTGCAAAGAATCAGAACGCCCGGATTTTGGAGTCGTGTGTCATTAAAGTGTACAAGGTCATCTGGTATCGTTGCAAAAAAAGTCTCGCCATGAAGAAAGGGATCAGCTGCGTCGTTTATGTAGCCGCGTGGCCTGGATAGTTTGTTGATACATCTCGCTCAAGGGTCAACCAAGAACTCATTGGATAGGCAGTCGATGGGGTCTGCCAGCTCATCATCCAGCGTGGGTAGACCAGAGAAGTGCTTCTCGGGGTAGAAAGACGATGCGACAAAGTCGCTGCTGTCCATGAACTGATACGATTGGAAACTGGGCATACCGGAGTTGGTAAGGTGTCCAAACTCCTTCTGCAGTTCATCAGATGGGTCTTGTGTCATGAAAATATCGATGTCTGAGCCAATGGAAGATTCAATCAAGGTGGGTGCTGTGTGAGGAGATGACATTTCTCGAGGAGAAAGGGCAGAACCACTGTAGATGGACTCTTGCGAGTACGACTCAGAAGTCAGGTTTGATCCGTAGTGAGCCATAGCCTGCTCATATCTAGCATGGGCGAGCTGAGGGGGAGATAGTGGTAGCATGTCATCTTCGAGTTTGACGTCAAGAGAGTTGTACGTTCCGCATGGCGAGGAGATATCGTTGTATCGGTTCCCAGGAGAGGCAGGGGGCGTGAATGACGAGACGGCACTGGAAGGGGCGTAGTTTGGCGAGTTGAACACAGGAGCCTCTTGAAGAGTACGGTGCGTCTGAATTGAGAGCGACGCGGCCTTTTCAGCAACGCGTTGACGAGTGCGACTAGATTTGATCTGGCGAGCATCGACATCTGGGCGGCTGCTCTTTGTCTTTGGGGGACGGCCACGCTTAGTTGTCTTGGGAACCACTCCGGTAAATCCTCCAACGCACATGTCACGCTGACGGTGGCGTGTAAGAGCATCCTGTCTGGCGAAGCTTGCGCCACAAGCACACGCAAAAGGCTTGTTGCCACTGTGTGTCTTGAGGTGACGCTTGAGATCATGACCGCGCACAAAATGTTTCTCACAGATATCGCACTTGAACTGACGGTCTCCAAGGTGAGTTTGGACATGAGACTTGATGTTCTCCTTGCGACCAAAGCGGCATAGGCAGTCCGTGAAAAGACAAACCCACTTGCCATCTTTGGGATCGGGCCCTGAAATGTACTTGGCAATCTCATCAGTAGACACGCCAGTCTGTTGGACGGACGCCTTGACTCTTGCATCGAGATCTCCGTCATGGGTAGTTGATTGAGCAGCAGATGGCGCAGGAGACACAGATTCCTTCTTTGTCTTGGCGATTGATGACGGCGCTGAGATCATGGACTTTTGAGGGGTCACTCCATAAGAGCGAGGCGATGGCATATCCGCAACTTCAGTGAACGAGGATCCGGTGGGGGAATTGGCAGGCGAGGGAATTTGGTGCTTCATTTGCATGGGGTTGACGCGGGGGACTCCTTGAAAGGACTGGGTTTTCTGCATTCCACAGGAAGCAGGCACATGGGGGAATGAAAAACTTTGGGACTTGGTAGGTGTTGGGTCATTGCTATACATGGAATAATCAATGGATCTCTTCAAAGGGGTAGAATCTGGGGTCAAGGGGGAAGTGTCTGATAAAGATATTAGCATACGTTAGTTTCAAGCATGAGATGACACCTACAATCAGTAGAAATATGAGACAGAATCTTTGCGGAAGGAGCCTTTGGTTGAACAGAGACTGGATGCATGGATCCTGCATAGGCTGTCACTTGCTCGTTCTGGGCAATTGGCATGTTCCGCTGGGGGAACAATTCCCAATCCGCATTGTCAATAAAATTTTGGGTTTGCTGGTTTGAGAATTGTTCTTGTTGCATGCGGTGGAGAGCGAGCTTCAATGGCGTGTTTTCAGAGCATTCGCTGGCTGACCGGGAGAGAGGAGGAGCACCAATTGAGGATGGCGAAGGGCTGCCGGTACTGGCGTGGATCGCTTGCAATTGTTCTTGGTTGAAGGCCTGGCAGTCAGAGCCAAATGAGGTCTGATATTGATATGATTGCTGCACAGGCATACCCGAGGGCATATATGACTGCTCGGGCTGTTGGGCATAAGATTGATACTGATGGATATTCCTTTGTTGACATGGGTAACCTGATTTTTCGTTAAAATAGTCTCGTAGCTGCGAAACCGTCTTCGGCATGTGATGTTGGTCCATGGCGACTTGTGGACTAAATGAGCTGAAGTCCACCGTTTGGCCTCGACGATGTGAGCGGCGAGGTTGCATGTTGGACATAATTCCCTGCGCGGCGACCTCGAATGGTGCTGCTGGTGTGGATATTTGGCGGCGATGACGGCCGTTTCCCAGCGCATTCGGTGCGGCGGACATCATGGCTTAGTAGCCCGTTGACGGTTGGTCCTGGTAAGGTGTCAGTCGGTGAGCCTGAAACAATTCAACGCGCAAGAAACGGAAAGCGAAGTGGAAGTTGCTAGAGCCTCAAGGAACTATAGCAAGATGGGAAAGTGATGTAGAGGTGACTACTCAAGGTAAAGGTAACACAGATTCAGATGTTCTGAACTGAACTTGAGTAAGAAACCTTGAGAACGCGAAGATGTGAAGGTTTAGTCTGGAGCACTGGAGATCTATCTATGTGACCCGCGGTTCCCATCAACAATTGGATGTTGGCATGGCAACGCAGAGGACCCGGCGTCTGGGAAACCAGGCTCTGACGCCTGTGGGCCCACCCCTGCCCACTTGGCCGATTTATGCTCTTTCTTTGCCTGAGATCGAGGCCTTGCTTGCGATTATTCTTCATGTTCTTCTGCAAGGGCTGGTTAGAGCTGCGAGGAGCCTTGGATATCGTCTGTCCCTACGTAAAGTTACTGCCAATTCGCCCTTCCTCGGCTCGTCTCCGGGGAGATTGGGGTAAACAAGTAGATAAACAGTAGATCTGATGGCCCGAAGGCTCCATAGATGGGGCTGTGGCTCCCATGTCGTCACATTTTTAAAGTGATATTGGACGTATCCAACACGGGATATGCAACCTGAGGCATAAGTTGCTGACCACTCATAGGTCACGTGTGAGGCTCTACACTCCGGCGGCACATTGTTATTCCGGAATATGTCATGTGATTGAATGGTCAGCATTCTTTCCACACTAGTCTTCTTTGAGGAGTGGGCCCGTTCACGTGATCACACAACGATTTTAATCGGCTCCAGCCCACAACGATTTTCTTCAATCTTGCAAGGTTGAGGAAGACACACTTGTCGAGGTGAGTACGATTTTTCCCGTAGGCAGATGAAGATGTGATGAGCCTGCGCATAGCTCGTTCTGGATTTTCATCTGTCAAACGATATATTCTTTGCTGTGAGCATCCCACTGACATTTGTCACAGGCCTTCATCAAGATGCAGATCTTCGTCAAGACCCTCACGGGTAAGACCATCACCCTCGAGGTTGAGTCCTCGGACACCATTGACAATGTCAAGTCCAAGATCCAGGGTAAGCCAATCTGAACCCCCGAGCGCGCGCATGCGCCGCTTCCAACTTTGCGACAGAAACTAACATTCGACCCCGCATCAGACAAGGAGGGTATCCCCCCTGACCAGCAGCGTCTGATCTTCGCCGGCAAGCAGCTCGAGGATGGCCGCACTCTTTCGGACTACAACATCCAGAAGGAGTCGACCCTTCACCTCGTCCTCCGCCTGCGTGGTGGTGGTAAGAAGCGCAAGAAGAAGGTCTACACCACCCCCAAGAAGATCAAGCACAAGCACAAGAAGACCAAGCTCGCCATCCTCAAGTACTACAAGGTTGACGGTGACGGCAAGATCGAGCGTCTCCGCCGCGAGTGCCCCGCCCCCGAGGTATGTTCAACTCTGTGTCGCAAGACATTTTCCAGTATTTTGATCATTAGATGCTAACATGTTTTACAGTGTGGTGCCGGTGTCTTCATGGCCGCTATGCACAACCGCCAGTACTGCGGAAAGTGCCACCTCACCTACGTCTTCGACGAGGCCAAATAAATGGTCTAAGTTGAGCAGTGGTGTTCTACCATCTAGTTTGGGCATAGTTAGCTAAGCTGGGGCGAAGTGATGGAATATCATTGTTGATGTTTTTGATGGCTGTGTGCTACGATCAAGACAAAAATAAACAACCTTTGGTTCATCCAATTTTTTACCTCGTAAAAATAACTTGAATTCGTATGCTATCAACAGTAACTATGTACCCAATTATCATCATAGAGGGAACAGCAAGGCTATGTAAGGAATGAACTACTGATCAGGGAGACCAGCTTGGATGTTGCTGTACCTGCTCTCAGGATATTTAAGAGCATTTGCCGACTGGTCCAAGGCTCCTGGTCCACCCACAGCGTCGACGAAGACACCGATCAGACTTCCATCAGATGCATTTGCTGTCGGGCCACCCTTGTCGCCGCTGCTCTCCCACCACATACCACCACCCAGGCCGCGCTGCTGGATGTAGTTGGCCTTCACCTGTGCCATGTGAATGGTATCGTATGAGACCATGGTCTGCGAAGCGCCATCGTAGCACCACGACGCTCCTGACTCTGCATCAAACTGCTCCTGGGCCCCTGGCCTGGGCAGTGCCTTGTAATCCCAGACACCGTTCTCCCAGCTGCCTTCGCCAACTCCCGAAAATGGAGCGCCAGGTCCAGCAGTGTTGGTGAATGCACGTCCATACAATGGCATTCCCATCACGATCTTCGAAGGGGGCACACCACCAACGTTGATGTAGTAGTTGATAGCAGCATCGGCTGAGAATGGAGTGGCTGCTGGGTTGGAGTTCGACTTGACGATGTTCGCTTGGTGGCCAGCATTCTGGTCCCAGCTTCCGGCGAAATCATAGGCCATTAGATTATAGAAGTCCAAGAACGGAGTCATCTCCTGCAGTCTGAGCTTTTCATAGTTGTTGGGTCCTAACGTTATAGTCCTGTTTAGTAATCCGAAGCACGTCTAGGGTCAAGGAAATTTCTCTGTCAACATACCTGCAGGACAGGCGATAGTCAAATAGAAATGACGATCAGGACCAGCTGCATTATCAAGAACCTAATCCTGGTCAGCTAGTTCAATCCATATTTGAGGAAATGAGCATACCTCGCGACACTTCTGGAGTAGAAGAACAAGGTTCATAGCCTGGGTGTCATCTAAATCTGGCTTGAGTCTCTATTTCTCTTTCTGGCCGCATTTTAGATCACTTACCAGCAGGATACTCCCAATCTATATCAATGCCATCAAATCCAAGATCCAGAACAAGGCGCGTCGCTGTTTCTGCAAATGTAGTCCGCCCAGCGTCCGAGTTTGCAGGCTGTGCGAAATTGGCTGAGTAGGTCCAACCCCCGATAGACAGCAAGTTCTTCAGCTTGCGGTTCCGCTTCTTGAGCAGATAAAGCTGCTTGGCGCATCCATAAACATTGGTACCAACGTCATTCCAGGAGTCCCCGTCATAGTGCTTCTCGATATCGGACCAAGAGTCGGTCAAGTACCTGCAAAATGAGTTAACGAACGCTCTGCAGTCTGCAAGGGTCTCCTACACTTCGCCAGACTCAGGCCGGACATTGGCGAACGCATAGAGAATATGCGTGAGCTTCTCTGCCGGCAAATCCTGTGGATTATAGTTGCGGCCGTAAATTGCCTGTATCACATTAGTCAACACGGGCTGTTTCCCTGGGGTCCAAGCACTGTGGTGATAGGACGCGGATCGTGCCCTATTCGATTCGACCGAATAGGGCCATCAACATGTAAGCACATACCCAGTTGACAAAGTAGGCGACGGATTTCATTTGAGACATTGTTGATGCTGGAGGGGTACGGGTGTAGAAAGAGTATTGATATTGCAGGACGGCAACCACAAGTACCAAAGCAGTAAAAGCAATTGACTTCAGCTGACAAGCCACGGTTTCGATCAAAGTCAGAAGAAATGGGTGTTGATCGACTGAATCCCACGAGATAAATGCAGTTTAAATGGAGGGGTACCTTATGTCGCAGCCTAACTGTTAGCGGAGCTTTGTACCTGGGCATTTTATAAATAACGTCCCGACGTCATTGGCCAGGGTCTGGTGTGGCGGTGTAAACACTCACCTCAGGCACCTATTGTGGCTGTGTGGTATGAGTTTAGGGTCAATGAAGAGCAGCTGTTGCTATGAAAAACAGGCAGCTATAACAGTGAAATGCTGTGTTTATATATTGTGGAATTGAGAATTAAGAATATGTGCTGCGTGACCGGTTCACCTGCACACAGTTACCGTACGACCCCAAATCTAAGTCATGCTACTAGTATATATCTTTGAAGGTAATTCGCACTTAGTTTCAAATCTCTCAATTCAGAAAGTGTGTTTGAGAATAGCAGATTGGGGTGTCTCATGTGCCTGTGATGTTCAGGAATGCAACCTCTGGCCAAGAATGAGACATACATTGGTCCACGTGAGAACAGGGTTGCTTTAATATTTACAATTCTAACTCCTGGTCATGAGAACCTCGCCTACTACTACTCACTTCATTTATGATAATGATCCTAGAAAAAGGTTTAGACCTTCGAATGAAACCATTTTGCTGACTATGAAGCCTTTAGGTTATGCCTTGGTAGAAATTGAAGAGTATCCCAAGTATCCCTATTCTCTAGGATGATCATTAGCATCAAAAGTTACTATCAAGGTCATTCAGTACTTACTGTACATGGATGTCATGCGATCAGGCGATAGAAGCCCTCTGTTTACCAAGACGTCATGTCTATAATTGATTATTGTATCTCTCATATAGCACCAATCAACTGTCACTCACCCTGTAACAAGTGACCATCACTTTAAGGCAACCGATGGATAGGTAGCCATGGGCAATGATACACAACAGACCCCACGCCAGTCTCCGCATTACCTATGTTTACTTCTGTAATGCATTTTGATTGTTCTCTGAGACTTTATGTATGTTGACACCCTTGTCAGCACAGTAACATAAATTGAATATACTAGAAATTATTCTTAGATTGAAAGAAAAAAGGGAACATATACGCAGAAGCAATATGAATAATACAAGATAATAGGCAGTAAAGAGGCAGTGAAATTACATCGTTCACACGTGTGTAAGTTCTCAACAGACCAATTGAAGCAGTGGAATGATCTACTTCATAATCTACGCCATCCACGTGGTTTCCTAGATATTTCCGAATCATTTGATGCGACCTATTTAATACCTCGAAGTATTCATGGGCAAGGGCCACAGGAATCTAGAAGCCAGCCCCCACGTGCAGATTCTCGCGCAGAAATGAGCCGGATCTGGCGGTGAGACCGATGTGATGGAAATATCCCTTAGACCCTGCATAATAAACAGGTACTATCAAAGTGGCTGTGAAGACAGAAAGGAGAAGTGCATACATTTCTGCATCACATAGGGAGTATAAGACCAACGCGCCGTCATGAAAAGTCAGGAGAAAAAAGAGGTCTAGAAGCACGAGCGGGCTTCTCCGACAGAAATACCAGGTTCACTAGACAAATAACCTGTGAGTACAGATTACATCACATCGCAGTGGATGTGATATTGTAGTCTCAGCCTTGAAATATAGTGGTGTCTCCCACAGTGGAATCCACTATGTAGCTCCGGAAGGACCGAAATGATGGACCTGAAGAAACAGGATAGAGTGCCGCACTAAATATTTTCTGGACTTCCATACCAAAACACTGGGATTCAAAAGAATCAATCGACATCATACTAGCTCTCAAGAATGTGAAACCACACCAGTGCCTAAGCAGCATACATATGATCCAACAGTGGAGTAATCTGCGCCTTGGGCCGAAACAGGAAATGGTAGATTGTGGGTAGCCACGCGAAATCCGATGCAACACATGGCAACAACTGTGACTCTGGATTTTGGAAGCAAAGAGAGAATGAAAGAATAGAAGAATAACAGAATGCCCCACTAATGTTTCATCGCTCGTCGATAAACATAAACCACGTTGAGAACCCATTGGACGGACATAACGGCTCAACCCGGATAGGGTTTCCGCATAGATCCCCTGATGAGTAAGGTCATTAAATAGAGAAAACCAAGAGATCAACACAGTGAACTCCGGATTTACTCGACACCTGAAAAACCAGCATCAGCTGAACGCTAACCGACACATGGCTGTGCAGCAAACCGATTGGCAACACACGCAGCGAACTAACGCCTTAGCCCCGGATCCACCAAGATGCCGTCTCTCTAAAATCTCTATCGAAAATCTGACCCATATGCCGATCGGTAAAACGGCTTTTTTTCCATTTTTATCTGGACCCCAAACTGTACAGTATATGGTACTTCAGCCATAGGGTGGGAATACCGCCGGATATCCGAGCGACCTCACTAGTACACTTTTAAGTGCCGCGCTCCCATGCACTGTCTAAACTTATTATGCAGCTAATGTATACCGGTGTGGTTCCTGATCCTCTTTTTTTCTGCCTTCAGCTCGTATCTCTGCCTGGGCGCCCCAGGTGTCTGGTTCTCCCGTCTGCGCCATTCACCAATGACATCGATCCCGCAGGACTGAGACGTAGGGGGGTTTTTCTGAATAATTTAGTGAGTGGGATCCTGTACTTTTTTCCACTTCTGGCACCGCATACGAGCTAGCTCCGAGGAGATGACAAGTATATTCTTGATGAAACACGTCCTTTTAACGCAAGGCCGTGTAGACGTAGACCGTAGACACCCAATGGGGGAAGGCTGGTGTGGTGGCATTAGGGTTATGCACGATACCCCGTACACCTGATGAGATCACAGTTATGACACCGAGTACAGATGAAAACAACAAAGATCAATCAAATTCTTGTATTCTAAGGTACATCGTAGTCCAAGTGTAAGATTCAAAATGTTCAATGCGAAGCTCAACAACGTCCCAGAACACCTCAAGAAAACAGCAAAAGAATAGCAAAATCAGCCCAAAATAGTGACAACAAGAGGGGATATCGTAGCTACAACAAAAACCACGCAATAAATCCAGACTTGTTCTTTTCCCTTCGTTTCTCTCGAGGGCGGCAAATACCTGCGACCAGCGCTGTACCCGCCGCCCCCGCATGCCATCCCGTGTATGCCCCTCTAATGAAAGAAGCCATACAGGGCCCAAAACCGGACTCGCAAGGGTTGCGAAATTAGTAGAATGCAAGGCTCCTCAAAAAAGACTCTCAACCTCGTACAACATGCATTCGTTCGGTTTCATGTATCGTCATTACCGACCCGCAATCCAGCGACGGATCACTTCGAGAGACGGGTCGTCGTCAAGCCAATGGCCTGCCCGCATATCCGCAGCGCGGAGGTCCGAAACAACATGGTGATCAGTGATTCCATTGAGATCCTGATGGAGCGCGGTAGTGGCGCCCTTCAGGGCGGCAGCTTTCTCGGCAGGGGTTCGTTGGGCACGTTGGATGTTGGTGCGGGCTATAGCCCATCGTCGGGCTGCGGCGGCGCGGAGATAAATCTTGTGTGCTTGGAAACGGCGTGCGCTGCTATCGACAATGACCCTGCCAAGAGCAAGGAGCGTTAGCTTTGGACGATAGGACCCGCTGATGATGCGTGGATCTGGATACCTTTGAAGCTCGGCTTTCTCGGTTTCGGCATTGCCTTGCCCTGTAACCGGACAGGGCTGGTAGTTGGCAGATGTCAAGGCTTGCGCGGAGGCTAGGGACTCTCGGAGTACCACGTAGCCTTCTTCGTTATATTCTCCAGAGCACACCTCCATGCGCTGTTGCGAGATGTGCAACAGGAGGGTGCGGTAGTCGTTGATGATTTCAGCGACTCGCATAGCACGAGCTTGGTTCACTGTCAGGTGATGATCAGCATTATGACCGGCAATCAAGAGATCCAATTGAGTACTCGGGGATAGCTTACATCCGTCCGCCATGGCTCTTGGGGTATAACGTTATTAAGTACAGAAAGGAGATAATAGGTCAATTGAACGAGCGGAAGGAAGTGGATAAGTAAGAAGTATAACGTGGGATCAAAGATGACCAATTAAAGATAAAAGACGAGAAAGGAAAAAATGAACGATTAGAGGAACTGATCGTCCGTGAACTCGTGAATGTTAGGCCACCAACGGTCAAAGAGCGGGAGAGAAGGAAGATATAAATCCTTCAAAGTGAAAAAAGCCTTCTCCTTACCCCATACACAATGACAGCAAACGTATTGACGGGTCGAATAAGGGCAAAAAAAGAAATAATCACAAAATAATACTGATAACCCAAAGAAGGTTCTCAGCCGGTGACAGCGGAGCCGAACGTTAGTAGGATCATCTTGCAAGGGACTAGCTGTACCAATAGACGGTGAAGATGGCATGATCCGCAAGCTCGCATGGTCGACCACAGCTGGGATGTAAAGCGCGGGTGGGCCGTGGAATAGCTCCCGAGAAACCGTCAACGGCACCACGACCACCTCGTTTCCCTAAGAGGAAACCAGGAGTGGGGAGAGGCCTGAGAGAGCCAGAGGTGCATGGTCAGGTATGGCGTATGGCCTGAAAATATGGCTTGTTTCGCCTCCGTAAAGAACCAGGCCCGAGCTGCCCTCTCCCAGTGGGGAGCGTTAGTTCCGCATTGAGCAAGATTAGGTTCCGGTGCAACTCGATTTGGGGTTCTCGTGAGGAGAGACAGGTGAGTTCAGGAATCTGATTGGAGAGTGGACGAACTACTCAAGCGGGGACTCATATTTTTTATGCATATGAGAAAGGAGACAGTTCAGCCCTGGACCTGCATAGGCGAGATCTGTCTCAAGTGGAGCAAAACAATTAGGGTTCAGCTGCCTTTGCCACACTTCATTTTGAGCGGCTTCCTACCGCCTGCCTATTCAGGAAGTAGTAATTGATTCCTCAGTGGAATCTAAGCGCCTAGATGCGACTACTCTCTTTTTTCATATGAGTGAGTGTTCTGGTATATTCCCAAGTCCCTTTTTCTCTTTGACGTATTCCACCCCAAAGCAGGGACAACCCTACGTGTCTATATTTAGGCCCGCATTCAGCCCAGCCACCTGCTGAGCCACGTGTGGCGCACGGCCGGGAGCTGGACTGCTACACGTAAACAAAGCTAAGATCAACCGATCGTCATCAGTCCTGTGGCTCTATTGATACGCCACAGCCAATGTTATAATTCCGCTGATCTGGTTTGTTCGGACTTGGACAGGGATTGCATTCTTCTTGCAGGGTGATATTCACATTCCAATCGCCTCGCTGACCTCAAATCGACGGAGGTGCTCGGCATCTCGCGACATGAACGCAGGCTGCTGAACCTGCCCTGATCCCAGCAGATGTGGCTGGTGATGGCGGCTATCTAGGTTTACACTCCTTGGATTTCAGTCTCACTTGGGGCTATGTGTGACTCGATGTAGACCAAGTTGGAGAGCATTTGGATAATCCCAAACAGGAAAATCGCAGTTCGTCTATCAAGTCTATATTTGAGCGACTAACGACTCTAGCTAGTGCCTGGACTGCATCATTTCAGCATAATTTCTTATCTTTTGATAGACTCGTTCATATCGATACTTCAAGTCTATCTTTCAGAGTCACCAGTTGTTGCTTACATTGATTACGAACCTGAAAACATTCGAATGGATGACGACAGATACTAGGAATATCTTTCTGATTTCGGTGTGACCTGATTGACCCTTGAGACCTACAGTGCTGTACATGTAGGCTTGCAATGCAATCAACTTCCAATCAGAGATAAGCAATATAATTTGAACAAGAACCTCATGCTTTTGGTCTAATAGGCTGAGGGACTCTGCAGAAACTAGTCCAGTACCATCAAAAGAGTGACAAAAGCCATAGTACCATTGAATATATTTTTGTATGATACATCTCACTTAATATTCTACACAGTCGAATCTGCCAACAATTAGCATTGCTGCATACTGAAAACGGTTTAACACCCCGGAGATTTCGAAGTCTGAAGAGACACAGCGTCAGGCTCAATATATGGAGGAGGCAAGGAGGTAAAGGGGCTATTGGCGCTAATTGATGGTTGTGATGCTTCCTCCCACTATAATGTTATCTATCAATTCGACCGATGTGGCAGTGCTAGCGGTTTATCAGCTGTTTGCCAGGTCCAAAGAACTCGTTTGGAGGCACATTTTTATGAAATAATTAGCCGGGAAGTGTATCAGGCAGCCCTCTATAGCTGGACCGATTGCCACAGGATGAGAATGCAAAATATTATTAACCCCGTCATATATGCTTCTGGGCTGATAGATTCAAGTTGCATCTGCTGTGGCAAATCCTGTCTGCTTGGCCCGATGTTGATATTACCAAGTCCCAGCCCGAACAAATGCAAGGCTCCGTCAGGACTGAGGACCTGTATGAACAGATATGCATGAATTCAAGATGCAGGATCGAATCAGATTTCGCAAGTGTACAGTGAGGGAAGTCCGAAACATGACCGAAACCGTAGCATTGCAGGAAATGAGTTATCATTCAGATCGTCTGTTTCTCTAATAGTAAAGAAAAAAGAAAAAACACGGGGTTCCTTCCATTCCTGGTCTCTTATCTCAATAGCTTGGAAATCAAGTCGCTTAGTCCTTCTCGGCTATGGCCTGCAGGCGTTCATCGATCTCTTCCTCGGTCAGGGCGCGGAACCCTGTAGTAGTGCCTTCCTGGCCATCTCCGCGCGGCCCACCAACAACACCAATCTCAATCTCGTGCTTCTTGAAATCGACGCTGAGCACGTTGCTCAGGGCAGTAATACCCAGCTCCACGACTTCCTCCCAGGAGCCTGCGGCGGCATCCTTGTTCTTCAGCTTCTTCTCCAGGTAGTTAAGCGCCTCCTGCTGCTTAGGTCCGGATGCTGTCGCCTTGTATCCAACGTAGTATCCAGCTGGGTCGCACTTGTAGAGCTGAGGGCCGGCTTCGTCATCAACAGAGATCAAGGTTGTAGCCACGCCGAGTGGTCGCATGTAAGCCTTTCAAAAAGAACCACGTTAGTCAATTTGCCCCCAACTAAACGAACGTTGCACAACAGCCAAGACTTACCCTTTGTGTGTAGACCTGGTTGATATTTGCCAGTCGCTTTGCCAGAACATCGCAGGGCATCTCGTATCCGAACTTGTACCGGAACTCAGCAGCCTCACCACGGGCCCGGTCGACAGATGCCCGAGCATCTGCTATGGATCCAGTCATCACACAGCCTACGGAAGGTGAGATCCGGAAAACATGTGAAACGGAGGACGGGTCGATCAATTTGTCCTGATGCGAGACGTGTTAGCGTGAGTGCGCCTCGATCTCGAATCAAGGATCCAGCTTACAGCGACTTTCTTCTGAGAGAGAACCACAGCACAGTCCTTCCCCCTCACACCGATGGAGGTGATGTTGGCCGAGGTGATGGCCTTGAATGCATATTCTGAGACACAGGTGTTTGGTCAGCGGCCATGATGACAGCGCGGGGATTGAAACTGGGGTGTAGGCGAGCGAAGATGATCGAGGGGTCAGGATTACATACCGACTTGGTACAATCGACCCTGGTCAGAGAAGATAGTGATATGTCTGTCGTAGGCGCTTCCTGCGGAGAGAACCAAGGTCAGTCGGGGATGAAGTCATGAGGCCAGGCTGTGTCATCGGCCAGAGGTCGTACCGGACATGATGGCGGTGCTTCAAGTCTTTTGCAAGGAGATAAAGAGAAACACTGGAAATAATTATGAGGGAAGGACCAGGAGATGAGATGATGGAGGTTGATTAGTGACGCGTGCCAGAGCTGCCTGAGCTCAAGCTTGAGGTCGGCCTCACCGCCTTTACTGCCATTGACCAGGGCTGCACCTAAGGTATGAAATAACAATTTGGACAGTTAACAACATTTTGCTTTGCTCAGTTGCATGCGATATGAACAAAACAGGAAGCATATGGAATTTTTGCTCGACTACGTTATCAAGAACACATACGTACTTTGGTGGATTACTAGTGGTCAACATGAACAAATGACTTTTGAGTATGTGAACATCAACGTAATTACACCGTCCCATATGCCGTTGTAGAGATATGCACAAAGAGTTAGAATAGTGGCCTCTCGAAACAAGTTGCCTAACAGAACTAATCACTGTCGCTTTCACTGCTTGAGATCTCGATCTGAGCAGTTCTAAGCTTCCGCTTTTGAGTCTTCTTGGGAACCTTGGGTACAGGTGCAGGCTTAGGGTTTTCATCACGGGCTTGCAAGTTCTTCTTCTTCTTGTCGGCCTTGCTTTCCTTCTTTGAAGGGGTCACCACGGTAACTTGCTTAGCAGGAGCAGGCGCAGGAGCCTTCGCATCAGAATCATCGCTGTCACTGTCGCTGTCGCTGCTGCTACCATCGGAAGAGGTGCTTTCATCACTGCTGCTGATATCGACAACGACGGTTCTGTTCTTCCGCTTCTTGGGCTCTGTAGACTTGGGTTTGGGCTTGGGCTTAGCATCTTCGGCGCTGAAGAGCTTTCCGGCGACAGCGAAAAAGACCAGCTCCGCTCGCTGTCTCTTCGGCAGGCGCTTCTGGGCATCTGCGCTCAGATCCTCTGGAATGTTGATACTATCCAGTTCCTCATCTGCTTCTGGCAAATGTTCACGGAATGCATTGATAGCTTCGATGTAGTCGGTGTTTGTGATTTCCTCCTGATTTTCCGTTGATTCATCATCCTTGGGCTTGTCAAGTTTCATATCGGCCTTGATCACATCTCTCGCGGCATCAGTCATACGTTGCTTTGCGGCATCACCACGGAGTCCCTGCATGTATGCCAACAGCGAAGTGTTGTACTGAGAGGGAACATGCTCGAGTGTGTAAAGATACTTGAAGAGATTGGTTTCGCGGTTCTTTTGGAACTTCCAGGTTGCGCGTGCGCGGTGGTAGTGGCTCAGGTAGGAGAGAATGGGAGTCTCGTGAACTTGGGCCTGAGCCGAAGGGGTGCCGGTTTTCTTTGACTTCTTTTTCTCTCGCTTGCGCTTCTTCATTTCTTCGAGTGTGTTGTCATTCTCCTTGTCCTCGGTGTCTGCTTCGGCTCCGTCGGTGGTGGCAGCATCGTCCATTTCGACATCGTCGGAATCACTTTCGTCGCCATCGTTCTCCTTTGTCCCAGGTCCGAATGACACGCGCTTCTTCTTGCTCTTCTTTGATTCAGAGTCCTTTTCCTTCTTCTCGTCGTCGTCTTCGGCGTGGCGGCGCTTCTTCTTTTTCTTCAGCTCAGCATCGGCTTCGGGTCCAGCCTCCTCAGAGGAAGACTTCTTGCGCTTTTTCTTGTCTTTCTTGTCGGACTTGGCGTCTTTGTCATTGTTTTCGACCTCAGCAGACTCTTCGTCTATGACGGTCTCGTCTGTGGATTTCTTCGCATTCTTGAGCTTCACCTCGAGCTTTTTTGAGGCCGGGGATTGAACCGACTCGATGTCGGCCAGCTTCGCCATTGTTGCTGTATGTGGCGACAGTGGGTCTGAAAATATACAGTGTGTGATTTGAGAGAGGACGACACTGTCAAAATGTCTGAATTGGGAGTTTCAAGCCCAGCAACTGCGACTCCGACGGTAGTGAGGCTGGGCGGAGACAACTTTTTTTCTGCCAATTGCGCGGACCAATCAACTTTGTCGTATGTTGTATATCTTCGGGGATTTGCAACAGTTGTATCTCACGCATTAAAGCTTCTCGCTTACCCCTCTAAACCCAGGAAGCTTATGTGATATCACAGTATGCCTATTCTAAAACTATAATACCGATCCGAAATCCCTTAAATCACCACTTACGGAGTACTATGACTAGAAACAGAGCCATGGATGGAAACAATTTTCTGATAAAGCCACCATATATTGCTTGTTGCTGTTGAATTACTTTGTCAAACTTAGCAGTAAGTAGACTAGAATAAACTAAGTCTGTCATACTGAGCTTAGGCAAAGAAATTATCAGAAAATCATTTTCGTTGACCACTCGAGCATTAGCCGCTCTACCTTTGGCAATATGTTAATTGTTCAAACAATGCACAACTTCGAGAGGCTGTCTAACCATCTGTTAGAAAATTTCAGGTGTTGAGTTCAATTTCAAGGCACGAGTGCTATGAAACCGGCGGCACAGGAGCCCATTTGCAAGCAATGATAGCGGTAGATAGTGTTTAATAAAATGATAATACTGGGAAATTCATGAGCGAGATGTTCTGTATATGTTAATAGGGCTAATAATAACCGTGATCATCTTTTTCATCTTTCATTTTACTGATAATTAATGAGTAACTTTATATACGTTGTTCATCCTACCGGACACGGCGCTTGTCAAGCAATCAGTGGCTTGTCAGTTCCGATTTGGATTTTTATACCAGCCTGCCGACGATGATAATGATGTTGTGACGCAGCTAAAGGGCCGGGGCAAGGCTACGTTGAGTAAACACAACTTGGCAATAACTTATCAGGCGGCAAGCGTTGGACGATTGAAGGGTTGGTGGAGTTAAAATGGCGGAGTATGATTCCCACTGATCCAACTGGACCCAGAGCGACTCCCCATACTTATTCTACTGTGGAGTAACAAGTCATGACGACCGCGGAACATTCTGTTTGGTAAATTACGTAGGCGGCTGATCCGACAGATACAGCAGAGCTAAAGAATAAAAAATTATGAATGAGTATCCATGGGGCTCTCACTTTTAGGTCACAACACTTTAGTGTTAGCTGGAAATGAGAAGTATTGAAGTACTCAGCTTTGGTACAGCGAGGCGTAAAAGCGTGAGATAGCTGATCCTGAGAAAGTGATTCGAAAGAAATGAGATGGCTTAGGAGAGATTATAGAGGTTAAAGACATAAGATCTCATTTAGCTGGCTGTATATCGCCAATACCGAGTTGCACTGGTAAGCGACACCTAGAACGATATAGCCTGGAAACGTCCAGATAGGACAGAAAATATGCCTGGAAAGGTCTCAATATCTTTTCATTGTGGTTAAGAATGCATTTTAGAAGTAGGAATGATAGTTGGTGGGGAGACCACTTGTTACTTGTTACATGCAACACTGCTTTATATGATGTGATATCTAAAATTGTATCAAGAATAACACTGCAAAGAGTCGTGGTGGTAAATTGAATACATAGGGTTTAGCATGCCCCAATTAAGATAATTCTCTGACGTCTAAGTCAGTATAGAGTGAGTCTGTAACAGGTCATAACGGGAAGTCTTTGAAGATGATCTTTTCTTTCCTCGATGATTTGCTCATTGATAATTTCATTTGACTAGGCCAAGTCGAACACATAGAACACTTTCTTTCGTTGGTCCATGTCCTCTTTTATAACCGAAATTCGGTGGCACAATCTGTTTGTCGTGACTCCTGTTGAGTAGGCAAAGTCGGTATAAAAGATTGGAATCAAATATGGAAAACAGAATGTTTTCAAATATATGACGAGATTCATATACGATCTAACATTCAAGTTATCAAATAGACTGGAGTCAGCGCGAAGCTTTTCGATAGATGACCATGGAATGTGTCAAGTGTATGACAATTCTAATTACGCAAAATGAGCTGTCACGTACTGATTTTACTCATGATTAAACAATGTGTTGGTCAATAGAAAAGTAAACCTCCTTAGAAATATTAATATAGATGGTTACATACATTCATATCCTCTTACAGCAATTTATTTGTAAGTCTTATTAGACATGTGTAACAGTCATAATACTCCAGATTAAACATTTTCTTTGTCAAAAGAATAAAATAACATTAAGAAAACCCTTTACAAATACGAACAAGATTGTAATGTTCGATAAATTTTGTCATCGAATCTATATGCAAATCTATATGCAAATCTATCTATCTTCTGTGCAAGCATGTACAAATGCAACTCTATCAGCAACTATCTACAAGAAGCCATGCAAATACCATTGAATAATGGCCAAGTTCCCCAGCATCGGAGGCCACCTCCGGACAACCAAACGTAACACTCTCACGGCGAACTCCGCTTTTCAGTCCAAAGTGGGTCCACGAAGTAGACAACGCCGTGGCCGATGGAAGCCGCCAGTGGTCCAATCTACGGCCAAAGTTAGTCAAAGAAACCCCAGAAATGATGAATGGTAATAGTCATGGGAATTGGAAATCCCCAGGATAGGAATGCGGCAAACTCACCCAGTGGATCCAATGATAGCTGGGGAAACTAGACGCGACATAAGCTCCGAGACACCGGGCCGGGTTGAGACCTGCAGAGAAGTGGATTAACATATGCGTCTTCATGTCGGGGTGTCCAAAAGAGAGGGGAAGGGGGCAGATGGAGTCTCTTACTAGCACCAATATAACCCTCACGAGTAAACGCCGTGCCCCAACTAACAATCCCAAGCACAATCCCCACCAACCACGGGGCAGTAGCATGGCCAAAGACTTTAGCCTGTCTAGGATCAAGAGCCACACCAAAGGCAAGAAAGATCAATATGAAACAAGCAAAGAACTCAATAACCAGCCCGTCTTTGGGATCAACCATACTGGTATCGATATAGCATCCCCCGACGGTGAAATCCCGAGTTCCATAGGCACTATGCAGGGCAAGGCCCGCCAACGCTCCACCCAATGTCTGGCCCGCCACGTAGAGCACCATACGGGGGAAGGAAATGATCCGGGCGAAGAAAGTGGCTAGCGTGATCGTCGGGCTGATGTGGCCTCCACTAGACGGGGAGAAAGTATAGATAAGCAGCGGAGTGAGGAGCAGATTGGTTATTCCGCCGAAGAGAGGCGAGAAGAATGTCACGGTGTCGTAGACGCCTGCCTCGGTTTTAGGAGCGGTTGTGGCTGCTGCTGCGTGTGTCGTTACCCAGCTGGTCATGAAGACGTTCATCATGCTTGCTATACATTGTGAAACACAGCATTAACGTTAACACGGTCCTGTATACTGATTTGGAAAGTGGACCAATAGGGGGGTAGTCCGATTTTGCACAATGTGACCTGGCGTGCCTGGATCAGGCTTCCCAGGTTGATGGGGATTGGCTTACCAACACATTCAAGCATGGCAAACTTCCATAGATCTAGACTTAGGAACCCCCTTGGATCGAAGATCTCGGCCCATGTCATGCATGGTGCCGCGTCTGGCACATCCTTCAGGACTCCCACATTCTTCGGATCGTCCCGGTCGAGGATAAAGTCCTGGTTTCCACCAATTCGACCCGCAAATGGGTGACTGGCGGGTTCCAGTTTCGGATGATCCTCGTGCTCGAGATGGGGGAGATAAGACACGACCATAGCGTTTTTGGGTTTGTAGTTGGGCTGAGACATCGCCGGTCAGATTATGCACGTAACAGGCGAATTGCTGATTGGCTGGGGGCTGAGTCAGCATCATGGTTTCGGCGAACGTTGGCCGAAGGTTCTCCAGCGGCCAATCAGAAGGCGAGTTGTTATTAATATTATGTACTCTCTCGTCCCTGTGCAGTTGTTTATTGATCTATGCGCAGATCATCTTGCCCGATCTGTCATTTATTGATTAATTGACACGTTCTGCGAGAGATGGCCAGGACCGAGGACGGCAGACAAACAGACAAACAAGCCAAGAGACCCAGCAGTGATAAGAGAACGGAGTCCGCCGCAGATGACCAACGACAATTAGCCCTGGGCCAGATACCCCTTTCCCAGCTTGCCCCTGACACCATTTGTCAAGTCCATTACTACACAGTTCACGGAGTCCGGGAATGAAAGAAGAATCAAAGAAATAAGCTTTGAAAAATAAAGATGGAAGGTATCGCCGACGATTGTCCGAGGTCCACAGATGCCCAGAGGCACAGGGGGATGACCCAAAAAAGAGAACATCTTACAGTAATATACGTAATATACACAAAACAACAGAGAGACCATCATAAAACTCGTCAATCGCATTAATGACTCTCTCACAAGAGCCCCACAAACACATGTACAGTCCGAAATGAACCTATGCGGCATGTCCATTGCCAGCAATTCCAGGATCCTTCACCCCAGTATCCCTCCTCTCCCGACGCATTTCCTTCGGTAGACCCTCATTCCCAGAACTAGTAGCGGCAGCCGACGTCGCGGCTCGCCGTTTCGCCTTTTCCCGCTCTCGCTCTTTCTCCTTTTCCTTGTCGCGGGCGCTTGGAGCGGCCCGTCGCCGCTTGGGATCATAGACATCGTTGAAGTTCATGACGACACCTAGGAATCGCATGTCCACGTCTGGCTGGTAGGCCAGATCCCCTAGAAGCATATTCAGTCGGGACCGGAAGTCGGCGGAGAGTTCGCGGAGGCGGACGCGCAGTGAGGCGAGCATGTTGTCGTCGGCGGTGAGGTCGTGGCCTGAGAGGGAGAGGGGCGTGCTTACGCCGTCGACTCCTGCGCTGTCCGGTCGGATGTCCGGGGTGGAGGCCATGGAAGTGCCGGGACGACTGTTGGATTGGCGGGAGAGGAGGTCGCGGTCTGCAACGCCCCAGTGGCCTTGAGCGGTGCGAGTCTCGATCTTGGCGTTGATTTCCTGGCGGCGGGTGAATTCCGCGACAGAGAAGGAGTACAAGCCGTCTACGGCATCTTTGTAGGCAAGCATGAACTTGAGGATTTGGTGGAGTTGGCTGAGGAAGCTTTCTTCGGGTTGTTTGGCGGAGGTGGAGGTTGAGTTGCCATATCGGGAGGAGGATGCGGAGCCTAGGAGGCCCTTGTGCGTGATGGAGTTGAGGTATTTGGTGTGTGCTTCGATGAGGTCGTCCAAGGTGCAGCCGGGTTTGCGGATGGCGGTAAGGAGCTGGTCCCAGCTGGACTCGATGACCTCGAAGAGGATATAGTATTGGAGCTGGTTGACAAAGTGGATCATTTCTGCAATCACACATCGTGCTCGCTTCCAGTCTGCGCCGACTTTGTCGTCCACGTTACCGAGGACACCGCGTGCGCCGGTCATCGTGCGTCGCCAGGTGCTGCTTAAGGCGAATTCGACTCGCTTGATGCGCCAGAGGAAGTTGAAGACTTTCAAGTATTGAGTAGATGCCCAGGGAGTGATGACCACGTCCACGGGGGCATCGATCTTGTATTCCAGGGTGAAGCAGTCCCATCCAATTTCACCGTGGCTCAGCTCAAGCATACGAGCGTCGAGGCGACGTAGCACCTCTGGGGTATCATATTGTGCATTAGAGGCACGAATGGCATGCTCCAGCTGTGCCGTCAGAGTGTGTCGGTATTGTGAATTTGCTGGACGATCCAGGTTCGAGGCAAGCGACTCCATGAGCAAAGCAATGAAGTCACCCTGGCCTAGTAGCAAGTAACGCTTTAGTGCCTGCAGATGATCAAAGAGGTTAAACTTTCCATTCATCAGAGAGATGAGTCGAGCCATTGTGGTCTTATAGGCCTCGTCGATCGATGTCTCTAGGGTGGCCGTGTCACCATATCGTAGCTCTTTGGAGGCTTCTGTAGAATATGCCTCCACCCACGCAGAATCGCCACAGCCATATCGAATGAAGTTCAACGACTTTCCAATGAGGAAAATCTTCTTTGCGAATTCTTGGGTGATGATAGAAGGCACCATGTCATCATCAAGTTTATATTTGTCTTCCCAGACGCTTGTTGCAATTCGGCGTGGGTCACTGTTCGGTCTGAACCCTGGCTCTGCAACGAAGAATTCTTTATATGGATCTGATAATTCACCATCATAGATCCATAGTCGTAGCATATCGTAAAATGGGCGAGTAACATGCGCGAGAAGCTTCTCGGCGAAGGCACAAACGAAGGGATCTCCGTGAGAGGTCGAAAAGCCGTGTATTAAGGAGATGAGTTGGCCGCCCTTTTTACCTGTGAAAGTTAGTTGATGGATTGCCATTTGTTCTGCAAGCAAGACTTACTTTGAGCCTCTTCCACAATCAGACTCATTAGTCGAAGAGCCATCGTCGCATCTCTCGTCCATACCATACATCTTTTGAGGGTAACACCCCCCTTTCGTACTCCTTGGGGTTCGGTTCCATCTCCAATGGCGGCCAGAGCCTGTCGAATCTCCGCTTCTAACGTGGCCACTAGGCTGAGATATGCGCGCAGCTCAATGGCAATGGCAGCTCGCAAGCTCTGATTCACCAATCCGCCTTCCTCATTCTCCACAAACACAGACAGCCCTTTATATAGCAAACAAGGTTCTGCCAATGAGTACAGGAGTGACACAATCGGCGCAGGTAGATTTGAAGGTAGTTTCAAGCTCGACGGCGAATTGAATTGAAGGTTGGATGAAGACAACCCTTGCAGGTTGAATGGCAGGTCACGTAGAAGTTTATGTTCGGTAGGAGTAGGAGGAGGTGATTTACTTCGACCAGCAGTTGATGGCCGAGGAGGTGACGGAGGGCGAATATGCTCATTGCTTGAAAGGTTGTTCGCTCCAGCATCGACATGGCCAGTCGGTCTCTCCATATGGTCCACTTGATTATTGTCAACGTCGTGACGGTCAACACCATGTCGTAGCGAGCTCTGCCGTTCCATCCTGGGGGCTACAGGAACGCGCTGTTGAGATGCTGACGAGCTAATAGCCGGACCCTCATCCTCCGAGTCTACCATTGTGCCCCGTCTCGGACGTGTGCCGCCCTTTGTCAACAAATTTTGTAGATGCGCCTCATCCATCAGCGGACTGCGGCTCCTCTCTCCGCCTTCGACCGCATCCTCCGAGGCAGATAATTTGTAGAGCAAAAAGAGGATACCCCATTTCTGGGAAAGCACAGGCTGTGTCAGAAGGCGTGAATATAGATTCGAAAACCGCACCGCCTTGTCAGGACTCGCATTTTCCCGGCGCAGCTTGCGCTTGATCAGATCCGGCGCGTTGTTGATGCTCTCTGCCCCGGCAATGCTTCCTCGGCGCCCACCAAGCCCCGCTGGTGACCCGGGATCTGGAGCATTGGTGCTCGGGTGTGTATCCAGAATGCGCCAGGCGCGCTCCATGAGGACATGGTGTCGGCGGTTCTCTGCTGACGCGATCGCTTCTTCTTCGTCGGAGTACTCTGTGTCTTGGATGGCGGAGATGGGGAGCGCGGGGGTTAGACCGTCGACTAGCTGTGAGAGGGCGTCGTCCAGACGGCGTCCGCGGGCAGGGTTTCGGGGTGTGGCTGACATGATCTGCCCGGTGCCCTCGTGGGCGAATTATTCGGTTTGTTTGTTCGTCGTCGCTATGGTACGTCGGTGGTCCGGCGGAGAATTGTTGGGCAACAAAAGACCGCGGTCAGGCTACGGGTCTGGGGAGTTGATCGCGGATGAGCGAGACACGAGAGTCTCGAGTTGAAGCACGCGTCTGTCTAAAACCAGGTTCCTGATATGCATCGCCAGGGCAGTAGCATCGGACTTGTGAAAGCTCACAGGACGCATGTTTGTGTTTGTGGTGTTTGGCAGATCTCGCTGCCCGATTCTTCAGGCAGTAAGGCCTTATCGCCCCAACGCTATCGCTATCAAGGTTTTCGCCCTACAGCCTCAAAAGTCTCAGATATCAAAGGAGGGAAATGCGGTGAAAACGCAAGGGACTCCCAGACTCCATATGTCACATGTATCTTTACGAGAGCACCATGTGCCTCCTCTTGCCATGTTACTTTTTATAAGTCAACGGCAGATCGTGGGTTTGCTGAACATGACTCGGCCAATCATGGATCATATGCAGAAAATACTTGATTTCTCTGGCCCATATCATTAAGATCGTCCTTGATGCCGATGCCAAGACTAAAAAAGGCTTCGGGGCCTTGGTTTAGGGGCCAATTGACTGCCTAGTGCTTAAGACCCGCTATGGTGACGTTCGCGACTCAAGAACGGTACATATCCGGTCCCCAAATCCGTCACGTAGACCCTTTCCCTTTATTTTTTTTCTTTTGCTGTTGCTTTCTCCCTCTGTCACTGCTTTCATGCCTCTGTTCATTTGACGAAACAGTCAGATGGGCAATCTACCACCATAATGGGCACAGCAACTAGGTCCGCGACCGGGCGGCCTTTCTTCAGAGTGCTAGGCAACACAAAAATGAAACTGCTTGCAATCTTCCTGATTGTTTCCTCTATTCTCTTGCTCACATTTTACTCTGGGAAGATGTCTGAAATAACCGGAGCTGGGCTGAAAGACAGCAACATACCAGACGAGAAAGACTATTGGACATGGGGAACGAGAACGCAATTCCGAAACACACCCCTCAAGAAGAACAATAAAAACCAGCAAAGCGAAACCACATGCGATACTTTCCCTTCGAATGTCTTATCCCGCGTACAAATTGTCCTGAAAACCAGTGCCACCGAGAATGCAAGCCGAGTGAACACACACCTGACCTCCGTCACCCGCTGCATCTCGAATCTCCTTGTGGTTTCAGACCTCGAGACCGAAGTCCTAGGCCATAAAGTGTACGACATTTTGGCCGACATCCCCCGCTCCGCCCGCCAGAATATCCCCGAGTTTAGTGGATATGATGCGCTACAAAACGGAACCCGAGATATCGATGGCGCAGCGGGATGGAGGTTAGATCGATTCAAGTTCTTGCCCATGATTGAACGTGCGAAGAAGGTGAATCCCACGGCTGAGTGGTATGTCTTCCTGGAGACAGATACGTACTTTGTCTGGGATAACCTGTTCCGCATGTTGGAACAGTTTGATCCATCGGTGCCTCTTTATATGGGCTCTCCTGCACCGGGTCGGGGTCTTGAAGAGGGAGGAGTAGTCTGGTTCGCTTATGGTGGCTCCGGATTTGTTCTTTCCAGAGCGGCAATTGATAAACTGGTGGCTCAGGACGTTGGTCGGTATGGGCAATTTGTTGGCCCGTCGATCAGTGATCAATACTTGCAGATGGTTACCGACGACTGCTGTGGTGACTCTGTTTTGGGAAGCGCATTGTATGACAAAGGCATCAAGTTGTCAGGATTGTGGCCCATGTTCAATGCGCATCCGTTGGACTCGATACCTTTCGGCAATGAACATCACTGGTGTCAGCCTGTGATTAGCATGCACAAATCACTCCTGGGAGATATGGACGGGCTGGCCAAATGGGAGAATGGACGCAATCGAACGGTATGTTGTCTTTTGTCCTGCATGTCTAATTTGGCAATGGAACTGATTATGATCGATATAGGACCCTTTGCTTTACGCCGACTTGATCAACTATCACCAGGTGGGAGACCTATCAGAAAAGAAAGGGTGGGACAATGGTGATTGGGGCGGAGTCATTGAAGTTCCTGATGATCTGCCACAGCATCAGTCACTAGAAGCATGCCGGCAAGCCTGTCACGAGAAAGACTGGTGTATGGCATTCACTTATGACAATAAGGGAGCCTGTGTGTTCCAAAGAAGCATGCGGTTTGGCTCTAGTAAGCCCGACTTCATCGACCAGTTCACAGCTGGATGGGACAACGAGAAGATCAAAAAATGGCGGGCATTGAACCAGTGCGAAAGCCCCCAATGGATGAAGCCAAGTTTGACGCGCATTTTCTGAGGCGCCTGGCAATGTACAAGTTAGAGCATAACGTTATTAGACTTAATGTAATGAATGTCACGGATATTTGATATGAAAATAGAAGCAAGCGCGTCGACTCAAGCCTCCTGGTATTCTGGCGTCTGTTATTTGTCTAGCTGGCTAGAAATTACTGTTGGTTTCTTTTGCAATTCAAGCATCAATCAAGCAGACAAGTAGTGCATGTCCTATGTTGCAACTTAGGGCCCACAAACACAACTCCATGGCCAATGACGGCTGAAACACACCAAGGCAAGAGACATAAACCCGAACAAAAGATGCAAGCAGCATACCATTTGCAGAGCAAACAGCATTGAAAGAAAGGCCAAAGAATATACACCACATCGGCTATTCCAATCTAAGGCGCATTAACCCAGTTGAAAGCCGAATTTACCTTCGCACGCAGCACAACATATTCTGTCTCAGGATACGCCCCATCAGACAGCACAGAAGGTTCAGCCCCCTTCCCAACACGGTAGATCTGGCAGTGCCAGATACACTCATGAACAGTCAGTCTCAGGGCAATAATACAAGCACAGTTCTGCTGGACCAGTGTTTCCCGGGCCAACCCCACGGCATACTCATAGTGGTCATAGTGGTGCTCCGGGGTGTTAGTGTACAGCGTGACCACGCCAATTGCAATCTTGGGGGTTTTGTGAGTAACACTGATTGAGAAGCTCATTGTACTGGGGCCCAGCATGGGAGCAGTTCGTGGGAAGTTGTCCCAGTGCAGTTGGGTTCCTCCCCCGAGCGCATCACGAATTAAGCTCTCTAGGTAGTTCCTGATGGCTTGTGGGTTACCTCCCGGGATGGGAACTAGCTGGATTGGATCGGCGTGGGCCATTGTTGAACTAGGAGTAGAGGGTTGTTAGCCTTGTTTCTTTGGATTGAGCTTCATACCTGGAGGGTCACCGTGATGTCTGGGGATAATGGAGGTGGTAGTTGGCTTGTGTTGGGCTGCTCACGGGATATCTGGGGTTTGTTTTTGACTTATATAGACATGACCCCTGTGCATATTTGCTGAATTATTGTCGGTTTGCTCTATGGCTCATGCTCTGGCAACCAAGCTGAAGGATATGGGATAAATGAAGGAGTTGCTCATGAGTGCTATGTTCAAACTCAGACATTGTACAACTATAAATACCGGGCAGTTTCTGTGGTGATTAAGCTAAATTTATGCCGATAGGTTGCATACTTGGGAGCCAAGATTAGGGTGATTCTTGGGTATATTTTGTAACCTCCTGCTCACCCAGTCGAGATTGAAATCGACCCTATCCGCAATATTTTGTTAGCAATAAATAGTGAAGCCAGCCCTTCATTTACGCATCCAACGGCATTATTATCAAAGCATAGGGCTGGGTTACTGTTTCGATAACCCCAATCTCAATCTTTGGCATAACCTGTGAGGAAGGAAGGAAACTGTTTCTAGCCAGCACCTGCGCTGTTTGTTCGACCATATCTGCTCACATAATGAGCAATGAACGCAATGGCCTAGACTAACTTGGGTCTGATGTCTTTGACCAGGATAAATGAAGTCAAGTCAAGAACGTGGACGATGGTGTCCACGGAGAATCCACAACTTTGGAGGTACAATGGGAGCGATAAATATGCTGTCCTAGCCATGCACCAAGTATGCTCAGTTTGATATGCCGTACGTTCTCTCGTGATATCACTCCCGATTGGGCTGACATAGATTACAGAAGCCCTTACCCCGAGAATGAAGCAACGTTCCCGAGAGAAGCAGACAGGTGTGGCTGTGAAGAAATCTATTGGAGATGATTGTTGTAGTCTTGATCAGAAAGAATTAGGAAAACCGGCAAATCCAATATATGCACCTCGTCAGGGCTTCTTGCAGAGAGCTTCATATAGTACCCTTCGCATGCCAATACAACCGGCGCACGAGTCATCATTCTTACTCAAAATGCCAGACAGTAATACATTTCTTAAAGCAATAAATACCAAAAGAGGCTGAGGTCTCAATGACTTGAGTGCCAGAGCGACTACCGAATTTATTGACCAACCATCTGGGTTCAAGGAACTAGTCAAACACATCAAAAAAACCACAAAAGCCATCCAGACGCCGACCCAGGAATCATGTATTGCAGTACAAGCACCAGAGGGAGAGAAAAGAAAAGAAGGGGGAAAATGCACCCGTGTGCCCTCAAGTATTAGACAAGCGAAAGGTAGAAGGAACATTCCTCTGGAGCATCAAGAGGAAGATTAGAAGGAAAGAAAAGCAACATGGGAAGTAAAAAATACAACTGGGGAAACAGTGAAGAAAAATCATCAAGTGAAGAGCAAAACAGAGCAACGCAACCTTGGCCAAAAGAAAAAAAAAAACAGCCATACGCCGGATTTGACACGCCTTCAAAAAGAAAGCAAATTCCAGACCACCGAGTCAAGCCCGTTCCGTTTTTTGAGTCGTGCGAATCATTAACACCTGCCCATGCCAAACATTCGGCGGGAAGAGCCGAAATGGGAAAAGAAACTTCCAGAAAGAATAGAGCAAGCCGCCGGTTCTAAGCATCAAACGTATATTTCCTGCACGGCGAATCAAATTCCATATATCTCAATATGAAATGGAGCAAGGTTTTGCACCTCACTTAGGCCCGGCGCATGCCCTGGGTAGGGATGGCACCAGGTTGCATGCCCATATTGGGGGGCATGTTATAGCCGCCGTGGTGGTCATATCCGGTGGACATACCATTCATCATGAGAGGTCCAAGGCCCTGGGCCTGGGAGACAGGGCAGTCCTTGTGTGCTAGCAACAGGGTCTTCAGATTGACAATCTCCTCGCGCAGCTGTGTTACAGTGGAAGTAAGAGCGTCGTTCTCTGTCGTGAATAGCTCCACCTTGGCTTGCAGGTTAGCGAGCCATTGCTTCTTCCTTTGACGACACTTCAATGCAGCAACACTGTAGTACGAACGTTAGTAATAATCATGGATATATAAGACTGATGATCTTACCGATTGCGCTCAAGGAAGTTGCGTCTCTTCTCCTCATCGGTCATCTTCTTCGGGTCCATGGAGTACTTCTTCATGTCGTCGTCATCATCATCGTCCTCATCTTCCATGTCTGATGGCATTTCCATGGCTTTGACCTTCTTGTTGGGTCCCTTTTGGTTATCATCAGCCTTGCGGCGGTTGTTGGGGGCTGGTGCCTTGGCGTTCCGCTTGCCCTTGCCCTTGGAGGGCTTAATGTCCTGGTCAGACCCATCTCCGCTGTCACCATTCGTGTTCTGAGAGACGCGTCGAGCAGCGGCCCGAGTCTCGTTTTGCATAGCATGGTTCATGGGCATGTTGTTCTGCTGTCCGCCCTTGGCCAGCATGAAAAGTCCGTTGGCAGCATCGGCCGCGTCATGCTGGGTGAAGTCGGCAGGGCGGGAGGGTTTTACTTCCATAGCGGCCTGGTCCTGCTCGTTGGGGTTGGAGGTAGGTGCATTCGCGTTGTTCTTCTTAGCGGCCAGCGCGGTGCGATGGAAATCAATGGTGGAGGGAGTTGCGCCACCGTTCTGAAGTTGTTGCAGGAGAGCTTGTGAGTTGGGACTAGGGGCTGGGAACATCGAACCACCACCTCCCGGTGTCAGTCCAGTCCGGAGCGAAGATTCGTTGGGTGTAGGGAAACCGCGACCGATGCTGTCGAAGTAGTCATTAGATCCAGTGGGCCCTGGAAGCATGGCCGGACTGAGAGGTCCAGAACGCAGGGAGTTGGGCCAGTTATACCCGCCAGCAGAGCTTGTTCCAGGCAAAGCCGGGGAGGTGAGTGAAGCCACCGGGGGCAGAAGGGATTTGCCCGGGGTTTCGGCAGATGGATTTCCACTGAAGGATTGCTCAAATGGATTGGGCTCCAGCGAGAATGGGTTGTGCATAGAATTAAAGTAGTCCGGGGTATCAGACGCAGTAGGCGCACCAGGGCGCGGAGGAGGCGCCAAAGAGTTCTTGTCTTGAGTAGGCTTATTGTCCTTGGAAGACACGGCCTGCGAGTCTGAAGGGAGGATTGAGTTAGCAATGACGCGTGACAGCTTGATGCGATCGCAAATAGGTACCACGGTGATTTTGCGATCGTGTTGGGGGTTTCATGATGAGTATGTGGTGGGGAGGAAATCAATGACGCCAGTGAGTGAAGTCATCGCGACGGCAAAGGGCTGAGGGGATTTAAGGCTCGGGGGGCGTGGCGTATTACCAAACCAAAAGGGGGGATTTTCTTGAAGCATAATGCACACACGCGAACGAGCGAACATAAGACCAAAGTACAAGGATGAAGCAATGACACGAACCTTCTTTTTCAGTCTTCTTATCCATCGGAGAAGACATGTTGGAGCGAAGAGTGGTCACCGAAGCGACTGCAGCAGACATCGCAAGAGTATCACTCTCAGAAAATGATATAATGATCTCGAGGCAAACAGTGGCTTGCCTAGGGGGATGGAAAGAAAGGAAGAGAGTGACGTAGGGGAAAGAGGGATATGATGAAATTTAGGGAATTGGGGAAATTTAGGGAAAAAGACGAAAACCCAGAGTTACAGTCCAGGTACCGTAACAAAAAAAACAATGTAACGCGCCGATTAATAATGCTTAGGGCTTCAGGTTTAGTTCTACCCTTCAGGGCTGACTACTGTATACTGTCCTGTAGAGTGTCTCCTCTTTAAATCTGGGCTCTCTCCATAAACCTGTTCCCTCCGTCTCGACATGCGATGTTCCTACATCGCTTACAATGACCATTTCGAGGTGGACCCTCGATCACTCCAGTACAGTATACATTTGCCAGTCTTGAGCACGATCAGATCTGGGACTATAATTGGTGAAGATAGTCTTACAAAACACAACCCTACCCATGATTGGCTCTCAACTATGCTCATGGTTGTTTGCAAACCCTGATACGGGAGGGTGTGATATGTCGGAAGAAACCAGATATTCATTATGTCACGGTGACGACAGGAATTTCTCCCGCTGTGGACCCCCAGTTGTCCGTGTAAGCCAATCAAAGACTGTATTACTCTCGCCAAGGCGTGGGATTCAAGACACAAATGTCGAGGAATGCGGTGAAAAAGGAAACGATGACGCAATCCACTCTCACGTGTTTTCTTGCCACTGGTATTCTAGACGTTTTCTGTGAAATCCCCATCCTGAGCAGATGGTCGAGTAAATCTGGCAAACTCATTCCGTGGAAAGAAAGGAGTATAACCCATGTTCGAAGGTTCGTATTATTATCTTGAGAATCAATGGCAAATGGGTACGCGTCGGACAGGTCGAGATCGCGTGTCTCGGCAATTCCTGTTCCAACGCATTAATATGATTGCTGGGATATTTCATCATCCATATCACATGATCCAGGGCGTGATCCAGGTCTCGCAAAAGTACTTTCATCCATTGTGTACAGTATGCACTAACTTATGTCCAGAATCGAACACCTAATACGAGTAGAAATCATCAAAGGGAAGTATCCGAATACCAAGACATAGATTAAGTGGAGCAAACGATCTGAGCTTGAACGTGCAGGAATTCCAAGATTTGAAGATCTAGATGATCAATCGCTAGACCAAGAAACTAACTTTGCCTTTGTATTGAAGACGTCTAGGATAAGGCTTTTTCAACGCCACTTGTGGAGAGCCGTTGCCCCACAACATCTATATACTCCTGATACTACTGTTTCCCTACAGTATGCTTGACTTACTTCTCATTAAGATTGGTCTTTCGCAGAGCCGTTGAGTTTCGGAAAGGATAACATGCCCCGCGCGCTCGTGTTTACATACCTATGCCAGTTAATGACCCCTTACAGCCTTACAGTTCCATCGTCAACCCCTTTCAGACGCTTAGTGACTTGGTTGTTTCACATGTCAAAACAATGCTATTAGTTATATCTTGACTCGTAATTTTTAAGTCAAACTCTGCATGTCGTCAACCCTAGACAGTTGCTTTATAATACGTTGATTTTGATTTCAGAAATCAGATGGTCAGTATTGTCTAGATGCGTCAGGGTTATTCTGATCACCCCCCCTCCGGTGTCCAGTTCGAAAGCAGGATTTCAATTAACGCCAAACAAGACATTTCAAGGGGTTGAGAGGTTGTAAGTCCATATCAACAGCTTGTCAATCAACCCGAAGCTCTTAGAGGCCTTGAACAGTGAAAAGTGGACTGAAAGAGGAAGCTCACGCCGTCGATGTATATAACTGACCATAAGTACAATCAACCTCCCAAGTCAAGTTCGATACCTCAAGTATCTTCTCTCGCTATTTGCTTGAAAGCCATGAACTATACAAGCACATTGGATCAGAAATTCAGCCAAGTCGTCAGTCTATCCCGCTCTGAGTGCCCTTCCATTTCAGCTGCCAGAACTACATCGCAGGAAGCAGCGAGTTGTCTAATACATACATATGGATCGCACAGGCGGAAAATGTGATTGTATTCAAGTTGATGTTCGCCATCTCAGATTCATGGGTAGTCGTCTTTGAAGAATTCGCAGTCATGCTCTATGTACAGCTCCAAAAACAACCTCACGATCCCCGATAAGTAGAGTAATTCCAAGGACCAAGAAGAACGGGGACATGGTAATGCTTCCAGCCCTCCTCGCCTTCCTTTCCACGACCCTTCACTGTAAACTTGACCTCAACCTCGGGCCAGAAACTCTCCACGCCCTGAGCCTCATACCAAGGCCCGACATCAAAGCGTACAGACCAGTTGGTCTTGCTGTCAGCCGCAGGCAAAGAAGCAAGGATCGCAGGGACCGATTGTGACTGTGATGCTGTTCCGACCGGAGTCCAGGTAGCCACACGGCCGTCGGCGTTTGTGGTTGCGCGGAAGGTGGCGGGGTTGGCCGTTGTGGAGGGGCTCAGAAGGGTCAGGGTGACTGGCAGGTTTGCTGCTGGTGTGCCTGACAAGGTGTTGAGACAATGGCAGGTGATTGGATCCCGGGCTGCCATTTTTGGGTTGGAGTTGGTGGGTTTGGATTGCGGATGTGGGGATGTGGATGAGGAGGGGGAGATTTGTTGCTGAAAGAGAGCGAGGCGGTTGTTTACGCGACCGGTATTGGAGGGGGACTGGGTGTCCATTCAGAGAGGATGAGGTTTGGGAGGAGAGAATGAAAAGGCAGAAGGGGGGAACAGAGTATATTTCTATCTGGTTGTGCTTCGGAGGATACCGATAGGGTGCGGAGAGTGCCATGCAGTCTACTGGCTTCGCCCGATCGACTTTGGCTCTTTTCTTTGCTTCTTGTTCGTTTGGTTGGTATTGTGGGATTATAATATCCCTCTCATGACCACGAATATTGTGTGTTTTGTGCAGACTTGAATTGGCATTAGCAGCAGTATTCGCAGTATTCGCGGTATTAGCATCATTAGAATCAAATGGCGTCGGGTGGATTGAGGTTCCAGTAAACACCGCGCAAGAATGAACAGCCCCAAAAGACCTCACATCATGTCCAAGTCATCAACAGATGTGAAAGGGGAAAAGTGTCCAGGCCAGACTGTCTTCCGGAAAGTTCGACGGTTTGCGGGGCAAATAATCCAACTTCACTTGCCTTTCCCAACTTCAACTTCTCCCCTCCAACAATGTCTTCCGCTGTGGTTCAGGGCGACGATCTCGACATGGAGCCTACGCTCCAGTCGGTTCTTAACCAAAATACTCTCCGCTGGATCTTCGTCGGAGGTAAGGGAGGTGTGGGTAAGACCACCACCTCGTGCTCGCTGGCCATCCAGTTGGCCAAGGTGCGCAAGTCGGTCTTGCTGATCTCAACCGACCCCGCACACAACTTGAGCGATGCGTTTGGCCAAAAGTTTGGAAAGGAAGCGCGTCTGATCGATGGTTTCTCGAACCTCAGTGCGATGGAGATCGACCCCAATGGCAGCATTCAGGACTTGCTGGCTACTGGAGACGGCCAAGGAGAAGACCCCATGGCCGGATTGGGCATGGGCAACATGATGCAGGATCTGGCATTCAGCGTAAATGGCCTCGCACCCATTCACATTACGTGTAACCTGTCAAGCTAACTTTGGTGGCGCTAGATCCCCGGTGTTGACGAGGCCATGTCCTTTGCCGAAGTCCTCAAGCAGGTCAAGTCGCTCTCATACGAGTGCATCGTGTTCGACACCGCTCCGACCGGCCACACCCTCCGCTTCCTCCAATTCCCCACCGTGCTCGAGAAGGCGCTAGCGAAGCTTTCGCAGCTGTCATCTCAGTTTGGCCCGATGCTGAACTCGATTCTGGGCGCTCGGGGCGGTCTGCCCGGAGGCCAGAATATGGATGAGCTTCTTCAGAAGATGGAATCATTGCGGGAGACCATTAGCGAAGTCAACACGCAATTCAAGAACCCGGACATGACCACCTTTGTCTGTGTCTGCATTGCGGAGTTCTTGTCGCTCTACGAAACCGAACGTATGATCCAGGAATTGACCAGCTACAACATTGATACCCACTCGATCGTTGTCAACCAGCTGCTGTTCCCCAAGGAGGGAAGTAACTGCGACCAATGCACGGCCCGGAGAAAGATGCAAAAGAAGTACCTAGAGCAGATTGAAGAGCTCTATGAGGATTTCAATGTCGTCCGCATGCCGATGCTTGTTGAGGAAGTACGCGGAAAGGAGAAATTGGAGAAGTACGGACCCCAAACGGATCCCCAGGAATGTTTCAAGCTAACGATTATCCTGCAGGTTCAGTGACATGCTCGTTAACCCATACGTGCCTCCACAGTAGAGGATGCGAGATATACTCCACTTATGTAGGACGAATTATGAAAAGATTAGAGAATAATACATGCATGATGGACATGATATGATATATATTATACGACTGTAGATGATGTATGATGGAAGGGAGCGAGAATATAATTGAGAGACTGGAACACTCCATCTTCACCTTGTCAACTTCCCTTCATTCTATATCCCACGGTACAACGCACACATCTCGAACGCAATTAATATAGAGTTCTTCCCACTAAAAATCCACTTCTTGGCAATTGGAGAGGAAAAAGGATTCCTGTCCCAAAAGCGAGAGATGCAGATGCCCTCACTGCAGCATTGTGGCCCCGCGGTCGAAGACGACAATCCGTGGTGCCACGACATCACCGCAGAGCCAAATTGGCGCCGCATAGGTTTGAGAATCTGCGGTGAGAGAGAGAGAGACTTCCAGAAACAAATCCACACTCACATCCCCCCAGGGTCTGTGAATCACCTGTAATTTGTCCCTGGAGTTGATTCGAGACCAATGCTTCGCCATGCAAGCCTCACTTCTGACCGTGACCTGGTCCTCGGTAGTAGAAGAAGAAGGCGGGAAGGTGGGATGAAACGCCCGGGATACCTGTTCCAAGCTCAATAGCGACATTCAGAAAAAGCGTTGGGCTTCGTTGCCTGATGAAAGTGAGGCGAGTTCGATTGTCAGCCGAAACCCCCGACTTGAACCTTTCTCCCCCTGTGGACATTCCGGACCATTGTCCTTCCGCGGTTTAATCGTTCTGCATCTTGCCGAGATTGTTGTTCGCGGGTTCGTCGAGAAGTTCCATGCTGCCATGTGGAGCGTGCACTAGGAGGGAAAGGGAATACGCGGTCTCCGTCTCTGCGTCTCTGTGGGTTGACCTCCTGTGAGATCATATCCGAAGGATCAGACAGGCCATTAGCGCACCTGGGACTGAGGCCTGTCTCATTTGTCGCTCATCTGCTCGAGTACCATCCACCCTATTTATACTCCAGGCTTTATCCTTTGCGGAATGTCAAAAGTCCCACTGCGAGTATCCAGGCACGGTCCGTTTGTGTCGGTGTCGACTGGCATCTGACCAACACTTCCTTCGCCTTGTCTCGTCGCCTCACATCTTCTGACAATGTCCCCCGACCAACAGTACTGGCTTCCGGGGTATGGCCTGTCCCGACATATTGTCTTAGGGCATATTCATTACTTCTTGGGCCCGACTGCGTCAGTCAGACCCTATAGCTATCAGGTATGTCAGGCTGATACTCGTACTCCACTCTGAGTAACTTGTTCTAATCATATATCATTGGCGATAAAGGGACGTGAAGGATATCTCATCAACGGCGTGCCTCTCACGCGGGTTTGTTCTCCTTTCATGACTTTTCCCATTCGACATACCTCAATTGCAAAATTGCAAGCCCACAAGAAGATCGAATCCTGATGGTCTTTCATAGGAACAAATTGATGACCTCGCAACTATGTCCCGGGAATACGAAAGACAAGAGGCAGCTCGTATGACCCATAACAATGGCACTGCAACCTCCAGTCCAGGAAGCGATAATTCATCCTATCACACCTCCCATGAGACCTTTATCAATGAGATTATCCCGATCAACACGTCTGCTCCACGCAGACGGGACCAAGATTCGCGAGGTCGTTGATCCTTTCCCTGAATGCGAGTGCGCTACCTTCCATGGAGAGAATATCTCACTTCCAGCCCTGGTTCAATCCTAGGATTTCCTCTCAAGGACAGCCCTTTGCCGGATATTATCCATCAAGTCCATTCTGCTCTTTGTTTTCACCTTGGATCCTCATGTCCATGAGGCAGAAACTTGGCCATTTCCTGGACGTTGAACCTCGGTATTCGCCGGACTCCATGGATCAAATCCAGGTGGTTCGGTCCAGTGGGTGGAAGTGAGCTCGGCCCGTGGATGCGAGCAGTTATTGTGAACGCTTGCCATGTGTCTTTGGGATAACAGGATCTTCACCTTTGTTCCATTATTGTGCACTCGGTCTTTTTCGGTTCTCTTCTCATACAATTTTGCACAATGGCAGAAGAATATACAATGTCTTATGACAGGATTAATACTTGTATCTGTGGCGCCTTAAGGAACCATTAGATATAAGCCTCGACATTGGGTATACCTGTCTAATTTTTTTTTTTTTTTTTTTGATTTTGCCCTTTGTCTGGCACTGCTGTTTCTACCCTTTCTCCATTTGTTTCCAAAGCGTCTCGGGTTGATCGGGTAGCTTGTACACGTATGAAGACATAGATATAAAAGGGCTATACCCTATAACTATATAACGTCAACATTTCTTCCGTTTCGTCTTAGTCAATGCATTCATCATTCCATGTGAGCCTCACAAGACTAGGTTTTATGAGGCCAGTAGTTAACGTCAAATGCGAGTTTCTTGCCCATCTAAATTCGGATATACGTATTTCATAAAAGTAGGTCAGGTGCCAGAAGTGCCACTGGTCAAAAATCTATGGACCCCAATGTGGGATGCTTAGACCCCCAAATTGCCAGATGTTCCATTTTAATGCCCTTGTTGGCCAGAAATTCCTCTGCAGTAAGTCCTCGGTCATCTCTCAAGGTAGTATCAACCCTTCCAAACCTTAATAGCCACATAAAGACTTGGATATAGTCTCTCAAATGCTCAGTAGATCTCGAGTATTCCTGATTTACCTCATCAAGCCTATGCCTCTTAAGTTCCTCCCAAATCATGGATGCAGCAATATGAAGTGCGGTTCCGTCCTTGCATCGCGCGTTGGCGTCAGTTCCACTGAAATCGAGTAATTGTACGACGATAGGGAGGCATGCCATTTTTGTTGTGACATGCAAGGCCGTGTATCCGGTCAAATCTTTCGCATTGACATCAATTCTTTCGGAGGCCAGAAGTACTTTCAGTGTCATAGACTCCCAGCGACAGTGTGCTACATGCACCACTGCGGTATGGATTGCAGCCCTTCCGCGGCCATCTTTCTGGTTGATGTCGACTTTGGAGGACCCAATGAGAACTCTCATAACATCGAAATTCTTCAAAGCAGTTGCAAGGTGAATAGGGGCTCGTCCGTCGTCGTCTAGGATGCTGGTATCAATTGACTCTGACTCCAGAAGTAGCTCTATCAGGTCAACCTTTGTAAAACCTACGGCCATATGCAAAACAGTGTTGTTATTGATGATATCCCGAATATTGACGTCAAACTTTTTGGACATCAGCATTATCCTGATAAGGTCTTCAGATGGGTCAAGTATCGCCGCGTGTAGTGGTGCATGTCCAAGCCAGTTTTCGGAGGACACGTCAAGGCTTTCCATGTTAAGAAGATACTCGAAAGTTTTGAGATTCCGGGTCAGCGCGGCTAGCTGAATGGCAGTTTGTCCCGTAGGGTCCTTGAAATTGATATCGCAGTCGCCAAGGTTGATCACTGCCTCAACAAGTAGATCGTGTCCGCTCACAACGGCAAGATGGAGTACAGGGGGCTCGAAAGGGTATCTGTTTGTCCAGAATCCTAGAGTAAGGTTGGAATCCACGGATCCATATAGTAGGGTGTGACTTGGAAAAGACCTAAGACTTTCTGAGACCGGAGACAGCTGCTTCGCTTCTAGAAGACTGACTAGAAGTTGGCTCAATCTTTGATCCAACCCTCTGAATTTGAGAAGATGAGAGCACCAATAAAGCTTTGCATAGCTGCGAAGATGAAACTGATTCGAGGTTTGGTGTCTTGGCCTGACCTGCGCGAGCGATTTTCTAAAGTCCAGCTCGTTTTTATTTGTAGATCTCAGAAGTTTAAGTGCAAGGCTCCGAATGTTTCCTGAAGATGGCAAAGCAGCCTGTGCTATCTTCGCGGGGATTGAGCCAGCTTTAACTTTGGGGATAACTGTCGTTGACAGCTGGGTTCCGAACACGTTGTAGCTCAAGTAAGTGATGATAATACCGGCCATGCGTGCGTGTGCATGCTCAAGGTTGACATATTCGGGCTCGTCTAGTACAAACTGTCTAAAGCTGGGATGCACAAGTCGAGCTGTGCGTTCCTCCTCATCCAGGATTACTAGGCACCCGCAGCATGAGAGTGTAGCATTTATGTCATTTGGGAGTCTCGATGGATCCCAAACGATATTGCCGGGAACCACGCTTAATGCTTCTCGGATTTGTTCAGTAGTTAATGGGGTATGGGCGGCGGTGATAAGCTCTAGTATAGCTCGTTGGTTCAGAGCTCCGGGCCTCTCAGATCTCTGCAAAATGCGAGAGAATGTCTCGCGAAGATTTTGAGAGAGATTCTCCAAGGCTTGACGAATGGCATAGTCTGAGTCCATCATACACATCGTCTCAATTTGCAACACAACCCAAAGAAACATACCCTGGGATCGCTGCGAAAGTGTATCTCGTATCTCCAAAATCAAATGCGGGTCTCCAATGATCAGCCTTCCAGAACTGATGCAGCTTTCCAGCTCTGCTTGAATGAAAGCTCCAATCTCGGAGGAATTGTCAGGGATTTGTGTGATCGTGGCATGTATTAACCCGTCTGTGTCCACTTCCAAGTGACTGTTGGGCTCCAGTCGAAGGGAAATACAAAGGTGTATGGAGAATGTGTTTTGAAGTCTTCTGAGTTCTTCCATCAATATTCGTCTCTCAGAACTTTCACATTCATCAATTCCATCAATGACAACGTAGGCTTTGAAATCAGACACCAAGACACGCTGCAGTAATGCAAACATAGTATCAAAGTCGCCAAGTCTATTCTTATTGAGCAAGTCTGCCATGGCAGAGTCGAAATTGAGGCGTCGAGATTGAATGCGTGCTAGGAGCTGCCGAGCTATAGAACCAATGATGGTTCTGGCCTGAAGACTTTCGGAAATATCGTAGCGGCAAAAAAAGTAGATCACCGGTACTTTGCTGTCTTGGACATGGATATGGAGATCATCGACTAGGTTGGCCAGTAAGACTGATTTGCCGAACCCAAGGCTGGCCGTATAAACGAGAGTTCCAGAACTTGATTGATTCTTCCAGTTTCTATATTCAGCACTCTCATGGAACAGACATGTTGTCCCAGCTTTTCGGTTCTGCTTCCATGCCATTGTATGATCGTAGGTGGAACAGAAATCAAGCATCCTTAGATGTGATTTGAGCTGGCGTTTATAAGAATCGGATTTCGAGACCGCGCTCGAAAATTCACGGAATTTTGAGTTCTTTGCAGCTTCATCAGCTATTTCCTCGGCCATTAGAAGTTGCACCTCGTCTCTCATCCTTGTTGCCCACAACTCAAGGTTGGTTTGTGAAGTTTTCAAGTCACCGTCGACAACTGATGCTTTTATCTGCCCAAGGCTCGACTTTTGTGTAAATTTCAGGAGTTTGTGGCATAGATTGACAATCACAATGAAGTATTCATACATGCATGATTGCAGATGCATCGAACGAGGATATAGTAATGCCATTCTCTCGTAGCGGGGAGCTACTCGGCCGACTTCCATGAAAAGAGTCGACAATCTTTCCAGATATGAAGAGTAATTGGAGATGAGCTAGCCTTATATCAGCTATCCTGGAACTAAAAGAAGAAACGAGTGATGAACGCGGTTTAATGATATCTATCATGGAAGCACTTACTAACAGAGACGTCCGAACCAACGTCCACACTCCACAAGCAATGAGATTCTGGGAGCCGCCTATAATTATATCTCCCAGAGCAGCAAACTGCTGAACCGATTGCAAGACATTCACCATGCGGGGTCCTGAGCAACGTCTTTTGCCTGTTGCCGCTGTTGCTGCTTGGTCTAGTTCCGCAGTGAGTCGCATGACATCTGTGATATCAGGAGGCGTATCTCGAAGTCGAGATCTCTCCTCGCGAAGTCTCATCTTTTGGTCGGTAGACAGGTCGGCTTCGTAGAGCGACACTGCTTGTGCCAGGCGAATCTCAGGCTTGAGTCGGGAAGCCAGTGCCAACTGGGACATTTTGTTGAACAACCCGAAGAGGAGCGGTGCATATACTCCGTCTTATATACAGAAGGCACAGCCCTGGCTGTCAGACTAAAAGTAAGGCAGCATCGAGAAAGTGGCTGAGTTGATGTATAGGAAGGCCGGTCCAGGTGATCCACATGGGGGGGCTGATGTGCATCTTAGCGTCAGCGCCTAACGTGTATAGAGTGAGAGCCGAAGGCCTATCATTTGGATTCCAACATCCTAAATATTCTTATGTGCCTTGCGCAGTACGAAATAATAAAAAAAAAGAGGTGGTTATCAGAGACATCATCTTTCATCTCTATAGCCCATTCGTAACAACATAGAATCAGACCCCCAAAACCATGGAGTCTACATCATATCTTGATCTCTTCTCATCTTCTTTCCCCCCTGAATAGACAATAGACAAGGGGACCGCCACATTTCTCTCGTGGCTGCTTTTTTTTGAGATTCCCCGCCTCCCTCCAAACCTCCAGGGTCAGAAATGGCCAATACATAAAGAGGTCAAGCAAAACATCTGACGACAAAGAAGTGAAAATATAGGGAGAGAGCTTTGGAGGAACTGTAAGATGACTAAAGAGGTAAAGAAAATAAGGTGGACCACCGAAGAACGCCAGCCGGATGCCACTCTGCACGGAGTCCCATCCCTCAAACAACCGTGTTGTGACCTACACGGGGAGATCACTAAAAAATGGGTAGGCAGAAACAGGTTTCAAAATCACATAACGGAGAAAAGTTCAGTTTTCGGCATCAGGTCATGCGGGAATTTATTTTGCAACAGCAGAGCTATATGAGTGTTAGCAGTGATCAATGGCGAGGGTCCGGAAGAATGCATACCTCAAGACTTGTGTGCGGAAGAAGGCACCCTTGGTCTTCTCAATGACTTGCTGGTAGACAGACTGGGGAGGGTGGTTCATGATCACGGTGCCCTCCTTGTAGTCGATCTTGGCATCAACCCGGGTGTCGCGGATCAGGTTGACAATCCACTTCTCACCCTCGTCCTGGTTCAGACCGAGGCGAGCGGACAGATCGCTAGAAACCGGTTAGTTGATGTGTCGCGGAGGGAAAGCTCTGTAAGAAGTGAACTTACTTGATATCAATACGCTGGTGGATCTTGCAGTAGCTCTCGGAGATGAGGTGACGGGCAGCCTCAACGAAAGCATCGGCGGCGGAAACAAGGAAGAAATCGCTGCGGAGAACCTCCTCGGCCTCGCCGAGCTTCTTCTGTGCCTCCTCGAAGTCGAAATCGACGTACAGGGCCTTGACGAAATCGGTGATGGGGTCGGTGTACTCGTAGTCCTCCTGGCGCACAACACGGATCAGATCCTTCAATTGCTTCTGGTAGACACCGGAGTGCTTGTGGGGACGGCTGCGGTTGGTGATGACGGCGGCAGCAAGGTAACGGAGAACCCAAGGGCAGCTGGTCTGGATGGTGTTGATGTAGGCGGGGGAGAAGAAGAGGTCGGTGAGGACGTCGCGGGCGGGGTCGTGGTTGAAGAAGGGGAACAGCGACCAGTGGATGAGCCAAGAGCGGTTGGTAAGCTGGGCGAGAGGGTTGTTGAACAGGCGAGTCTCGATGGAGTCCTTGACCTTCTGAACCTCCTCCATGGCACCCTCCCAGTTGGTGGTCAGGATTTCGGAGGCCAACTTACCCCACGTGGCGGAGGCAACCTTGTCGTTGTCGGTAGACAGAACGCGGAACTGGTAAAGCAGCTCAGCGGCATTTCCATAGCTACCGCAGCTGTACTGGAACCGTCCGTAATCGTGGAGGCTGTTCACCATCTCGTTTGTGACACCGTGCTGCTCCTCGAGGAACCGCAAGTTAGCGGCCTTGTCGCTCCGCAAGTTACCAACAACCTCCTCATCCTGCAGCAATTCGGAAATCTTCTCGCTCTGATCCTGGTAGTGCTGTAGCTTGGCCAAAACCTCCTCGCGCTTCTTCACAAACTCGTCGGGAATGGTGTCGGAGTTGTTGATTTCTTGCCACAAGTTGGCAACGTAGTCGGTCATGTTGGTGTGCTTGAGGAGCTCATATTTGGCCCGGGTGATCTCCTTGTCCTCCTCATCGCTGCCGGCGCTGAATTCAAGCAGGGGGAAAACGAGGTGACGGTCGAGGTACGGGATCAGTCGGGGGAGCAAATCGTGCTGAGAGGCGATCTCCTCGGCGGTCCTGGGCTGGTGAGCAGCAGCGCCGCTGAGCAGAGTTTCAGCGGAGGGGGGACGTTGGCTGCCATGATGTATCTGTAAAGATGGCAGAAAGGGGGAAAGGTCTAGAGAGGGGATAACAAAGGCCAACCGCGATCAATGGAGAATTTGCAGATTGTGCGGGCGTTGGTGGCCCTAAACCCTTTTGGGAAGTGGGTGCTAGGGGAAGCGGTGGCAGAAAATCTGAGCAGAAGCACCGAGCATCAGATGTTGTTGGTCCTCCCAGCCTCTGTCCACCTTCATCATTCCCTCTGGTCATTACATTCCGGCCCTTTAGACGTGCAATGGCGTCTCTTCTATCCTCGGGCTCGGCCACTTCAGCCATGCGAAAGCAGGCCACTACCATCCCTCTTCGCGTCAGCTCTGCACAATCCGTGGCTTCCGTTCAGACATGTAGTTCATTTTCCACATTATGTCGTTCGACAAGGTTGTCGGTTTCACGTAAGTGACATTTGCACAGGTCTCTCTTGATACACTGGGTCTGCAAGATTATGTCAAGAGGCACGCTCTTCTGCAATATCTTGCAACCAGCCAACAAGAAAGAAAACTGGGAACAAGTTGGTTCTGCCGGAAAATTCACGATCCTAACCCTTCATTTCCAGATTCTTGCCCTCAGCTCTCACTATCCTCGGCGTTCAAGGCCTCTCTCCCTACCTACCAAAGCCGCACTTTCCTCACTCAACTCCGTCGTCAAGCGCAAGCCCTGAAAGAACAAACTACCACCTCTTCGGCACACGCGACCCCGGTCAAATCTCCCCAGAACCCTATCTCGACTTTGAAACTCGATAATCTTCCTTATTTCGTTCGCCGCTCCGCCTCCAACAAGCTCCCCGTCTACACCGACACCAAGGCCGGTGGTACCAAGAAGCTCACCAAGATCCAGAAGACAGAGGGTGATCTGGATCAACTCCGCAACGACCTGGCATGCGCGCTGGGTGTTGTGGATGGCCACAAGCCTAACCCTGATGTTGCCATTAACCGTCTTACCGGCCACATTGTTGTCAAGGTATGTTATATTCTATATCGATTCGATTCGAGTGAAAACTAACACTGTCACAGGGCTGGCGCAAACCCGAGATTCTGAAGTTCCTTGAGGAACGCAAATTCTAAGAGCTTTCTTCCCTAATACGTGACCTTGGAAGAGACCCTCTTAGGATCTCGGGTCTAGGATGAACCAAAAGCATTACACATACCCCCCTTCAATAGGGGTATGGCAGAGCATTGTTATCGGAGAGAGCAAGAATCAAAGCACGTCGAAAACGAAGGATGAGAATGAAGAAGAAGCAAACGGTCCAGGTGATCCCTGATATTCTTGGGTAATATCTATTTCCTTGATTTCTCTTTCCTCTTCCTTTGGTGTATTCTTTAATTTCGTTGTCAGTTGTCTCTTTCTTTTCTTTTTCCTTTGGTGTTTGTGTTTGTGTGTTATCTGCCTGGTCGTGTCTTCTGGCGTGCACCTGCTTTTTGTTTCTCTTTCTCTTTTCTCACTGTAACACTCCTACTCTGTACATTTTCGACGACTCGATGGGTGCTAGTTCCTCTTGCTTTATATGAATGATCATCCATCTCATATTATTAGTATTCTGTTCTCAACGAAAGCTGCAATGGTTCTTTTTAAGTAGACCTCGATCTAGATCTTTCACGTCTAATATCACGTTCCACAAAGTAAGTTGCAAACATCGGTCCTAACTTGACCCATACGGAATGAACTCCTGAAAATATTGAACTCTAAATCATGCTTCATTTCAAACAGCGCATGAAGTATTACATAGCTACTAAGTTTACGTAGTATAGAAAGCCTCGATTTGGCATCATGCAGTATCTCTCGATTTCCGAGGGTATTTTGAGCATTGTACACTGAAACAGAGCAGAACGCTATCTCACAAGAGAAGAAAGATAATAGAGAGAGAAATAATAACCCCCGTGTCCACCAGCGCCCAAATGAGAAAACAGGGAGACAAACCATTGACATGGATACAAATGACATGAGAGAAATCAAGATTGTCGTATATGCTACGTGAGACAAGTGCCCAGGATGACTGAAGAAACAGCCCGTCAGGGAAGAATCATACCAACGTCAACATCCTCACTCCGCTAACCGAGCATACGTGAGAAGCTGGCGAACAACACCGCCATCGATGTTGGGGAGTAATAATGCGCCAAGTAGACTTTCCTTCCTGGGGAGAATTCCTGATGGGACCCGGAGAGGAGCGGTGTTGTCCACCTGCTTTGACTTCTCGGCGAGCCGGCGGAGGACGCCTAGGCCACGGTTGACGATTGAGCTGAAGGCATATGCGTCAGCTTCGGCTTGGCCCCTTTGCCGCATATTAATTTGCGGGATACGCTCAGTGCACAGAGCACATGACAGGCGCAGGAGGTGCACGGCAAACCCGTCGACCGAATCAAGCCATGCTTGGGCGAGAGAACCATCGGCGAAAGTGGTGAGGACATCGGCTGACAGAAGACCTTGCATCAGGAAAACCTTGCGTGCATCCACGACTGACATGGGCTTCTTGTCGGGAACGCAGGAAATAGCAAGGCCAAATGCACGGGTTAGGAGCTCTGGCTGGGCAGGTGTGCTTCCATCTCCAGAGAAAATAGCTTTGAAATATGTCCGGTTCGGGTCGTCTCGGGCAAGCATTTTAGCGAGCCCATCAACGGCAGCTGGAGTGTAGCGATCAATCGAAGAATTGAACGCGGTAAACATTACTTTGCCAGAAGCGGATGTAGACTCGGAACCAGGTGCAAAGGAAAGCAGGAAAGTCAACAAACTATGGGCTTCTTCTTTGCCTGGGATTTGAACAACATGAGCCAGGTTGCTCAACAGAATCACAGCATCCTTCATGAAGTCCAAGGTGTTAAGAGATGACCGCAGGAACATCGTACGAGTTCCCATGTAGCGGAAGACATCGCCAAACAATTGAGCAACAGGGGGAACACCGAGCGGTAAGAAGTTTGTCTCGCTAAAAGAGAAGTTGCGCAGGATGGTGGTGATACAGATAAGCCGATCGACGGCCCGATCCAGCTCATACTCAATGCTCCCAAATGCAGGAACATCCTTGAGTGTTGTGTTTTCAGCTTGACAATCCCGGGTGACCTGGTCGTATGAACGTAGAGACATGGTGTCGGATTCCTCAGGGGTATGTTGCGCTAGCAAGTCGGCCTGTTCCTCGGCACAGTCAATCAGACTCTCTACCAAATCTTCACAATTCTCCAGCGAAATTTGCACAGACGGTTCACCGGATAATGTTGTGAGAGTGTCCAGGGCAACTCGAATTTCAGCATATATGCCAGATTTCAGGCTCATGGTCAGTGCGTGAATATCGACTATCCCTAATTCTCCGAAGGCTGGCACGTCCGGTTTGAGTCTTGAAATGTCGTCGCCAATCTGGTACAGATCATCAACAGCAATAGGACCGTGCATACGACCTCCTTTCAAAACCAAAGGCTTGAAGGTTTCCTCAATGGGGCGTTTGATAACCCTCTCAGGCTTCGCTTCTGGTGGCCCTGGAGTTGGTGTGGCACCCTTACCAGATTGCGAAGGAGAGGGAGCAGGGAACTGCCCGGTAGCAACTTCTGATGGTGGGCCAGGCGGCTGCGATCCTCGAGAAATGCTTGGCCGGTGTCCAGCTTGACCTGGCCTGCTTTGACCCCGTGGGGTCGGTGTAGCAAAACCATTGGCTGGGTTCATTTGTCCGTTGTTATGCGTTGGAGTGTTGTTTTGGGGGGATTGTGTCATGTGTTGTTGTTGGTCAAAGCCGGAGGTAGGTTTGACAGAGGGCGACTGGAATTGCATCCCTGATGCCTCGTTCGGTTGCCGTGGCATACCGCCCTGGGGTTGCATCTGGCCTGCGAGTTTTTGCTGCGAATTGAGGAAAGCCTGTTCATAAGGACCCAGGTTTCTAGAATGGTGGCTTTGAATTTCCTGGGCCGCCATGGGAAACTGCATCTGCGGGAATTGCAGCTGCTGTGCGACAACTGGCCACATGTTCATTGCTGTGACCTTCTTCGATCCTCCTAATTTCATCACAGAGGCATAAAGCTGAACAAGGTTGATCGGGCGCCCACTGACCGTAGGATTTTGGTCTATCGGTAAGTTTTGGGACATCATGAATTTCTGAAGAGATCGCATGAAGCCTTCTGGGTTATTGGGCTTCGGCATGTTCTGAGCCATGTTTGGTGGCATCTGTCTCATCCCACCCATTTGTTGGGGATTGGCCATTGGATTCATTCCAGAAACCGGCCGCCCACCCGCCATTGCTGCATTGGGGTTCATCTGCCGGGGCTGATTCTGCGCCTGCATGGCTTGCAGTCGCTGTTGCTGACTTGCAAGAGCTTGATGATATCCCGCAGGCACTTGGGCCATGCCACCAAATTGTTGCGCCTGCATTGAGGGCTGAGCAGCTGCGGCAGACATTCCAGGTCCTTGTGGCATAGCGCCGAATTGCTGTCCTTGCATGAAGTTGCCGTTCTGGGGAGTGTGTACGCGATTTCCATTATCAGATTGGGAGGGAGACATTTGGTTGTTGACATGGGGTCCAGCGGGAGAGAAAGGGCTAGGAGAAGCCGTCCCCAAGCGCATGCTTTGCTGGTCAAAGTCTTGCATGATAGGCGACTGCGTCACATTGGGAGATGCACCTTGCTGCAGATGCTGATATGGAGTGGGATGTTGTTGGAATTGCCCGTTGCCATTTGGTGGGCCCTGATATCCCGGATATGGCACTTGAGGGGTCTGGGATCGCGACCCCGTCACGCCTCCCGGTGCTGGCCTCGGCGACATGGGCATGCCATCCTCGGGTCGTGTTCGTTTTGATGGAATCACTTGGTTTGGGTTGTGAAAGCCCGGAGAGGCATTTCGCGACATGCCATTGAACATGCGCTGGAATTGAGAAGGATCCTGGGTCGGGGATCCATGGAGAAACGCGGTGGATGGATCTATTGTGTTGGGATGAAAGCCGCCATTATCCTGGCCAGGAATATTCGTGGTGTCGGCAAGCCAGGCATTCATGTCGAGCGGTTTTACCAACCCATCTACCTGGAGGCAGTTAGTATGAGAATCAACCATGCGCCATCGCAAAGATGGGTAGCACAAGAAAATTAGGCTGTGTCATCAAAACATATCAAGACCGAGCCATCAATGATTTTTTTAGGATCAGATAGACGCGTCGGTGAGGTGTTGGGGGTAGTCGCGCAAGCGGTCGCGACACGGGACAAAGGGACAGTGTGGGGGAGGATAAACCACCAATTTGGGATATAAGATATACATAAAATGAACAAGGGAGGGGTGGGAACAAGGTACATACCGATAAGGCTGGATTCACTAAAATTCCGCTTTGCGAACGGATGACTGAGGCCGAGTCCCGGTGATGGGATGAAGGCAGAGGTTGGAGTGAGATGGGGAGTCACGTGGTATGGTTGGGAGCCTGATGTGGGAGCCTGAGTAGAGAGCCTGAGGCCACCGGGATAGGAAAGGGGGAGGAGATTGGGAACCGGTATGGGGGGATACCTAAACTGGGGTAGTGTTAGTGGAGGGGAGCGTCACTGGGCTATTAAGGGCCAAGAATAATGGACGCTCCAAATCCAGAAACAAATGGACTACAGAGGCGCAGAGAGGGTGGACTGTGGACTGCGGGAGGGGTGCGTGGCCACAAATAATAATGTACAGCAAAAAAGTAATGCAAGTAAAGTAGGGTAACAAAGGGGAAGCCCGAAAAAGCAAACGGAGTATAAAAACAGTAAGAATGGCGTACTTACCAGAGAAATCACAGTCCGTTCAGTTAGGGATGAAAGGGGAAGTGGAGAGAATGAGGGAAAATTACTGACAGGTCAGAGCTTTTCAATGGTTACCGCCATTCCGGCCACTGTACTCCGTACAACTGGTAAACTGGTCAGTGAATTCCTGGTTAGTTGGTCTTTTTGAAGGTATTTTTCATGATGTTTTTAATTGGCCTTTTTCAATGCCTGTTTTTTGGGGAGGGGTCTTTTGAGAGGGCCTGTTTCGGTTTGGGTTTCGTGTTAGTTTGCCTCTATGCTGGCAGCCTGAGTTGGGGCAGTTGGAACCCCCAGGGGAATGATCACGGTCAAAGCCAGTCTAGTGAGGGGAGTGTGAAGAGAGAAAACTTCTGCGCCAGAGCAGAAATTATGATAAAAAAATCACGTAGGTTGGGTCTCGTAAATCGGAACGATGATCCATTCCAACGGTCTCCGCCCAGGCTAGATCCTGTATACTCCAGTGAAGGTGGATAGGTTCCCAGGGGCAAAACATCCCACTCGTTTAGAAGTATGAGAAAAGAAGAAGAAAAAAAAAAGGATCAAGCCATAGTGGCCAGTGGTTCTTCTTATATAAAGCTCGGGCTAGCGTCTGATAATCATGTCGATGCGCGCGCCCAATCCTCCGAAGACAACTTAAACAGCAGAAAGCAAAGGTGCCGCGCAAGGATCCGACTCGATCCGCATGGGAACATGATGGTTCTGTGCCTGTCCCACCGTGTGTTGGGCCACTCCACCACTAAAGGTGATTGGATCAGCACGTCTTCATTTCCTTGCAGGCCTGAGTCTCTGAACGGATTGTCTCAAAGTCGTTACAGGTCAATCTCTTGTCCTTGGTATCGAATCAGACCCGATCGTATCCCCAAATTTACATCTGTTGAAACAAATAAGTGAACCTGGGCAAAAGAGCTGTAGATATCATCATTGGCCATAGGCCGTCAAGTCCGCCGCAGCCGCTAGCGCCTGACCATTGGTAGCCTCAGACTAATACGGGCAGGTGGGCAGGGGACCATGACAAGGAGCTTCATGCTCTGTGTTCTGTGTTCTTTGTTTTGCGTTCTAACCCTCTAATATGGCATTAAGTTATAGTTCAGGTAAGTTAATGATTCGGTTTGGCAGGGTTGCCATCTAAGGCTAATTGCCACATTGGGTAATGAGAATCGCAGACCCTGCCAAAATTCATGTATAGATATATAACACGAAGATTGGACACTTGATTCATTGCAGTCTCAGCCTATTAAGAAATACTTCATAAAATCCAAGGTTGACACTCGATAGACCAGGCATTGTTCACCGTTCATCACGTGATCCAACACAAGCTCCCCAGTTGTATCGTCGAAAGCTCCAGAGGGCTGACCTCCGAACCCTTCACACAGCGCGTCATTCACCAACCATCTTCCAAACACCTACATTCTACTTCCAGCTTACAGATATCATCTACTTTTCCGATTCCACTTGCTCTCACCAGAATTCGCCATGGGAGACGTGGCCGTGGAGAGTCCGGCGAACAACGTCACGCCGCTTGCTAAGCCAGGCGCGCTCGACGCCCTCGCCAACTTGGATTCCCTCGATGGCACAGGTGCTGATGGGAATGATGAATATGCTACCCTGAAGCGCCTACAGAGGCATCTAGAGTATGTCCAACGTTGATGGACAAAGTGATTGAGTACTGACGAACACAGGTACATCCAACTGCAGGAGGAATACATCAAGGATGAGCAGAGGTATGCATCGTGACTTCGATACTAAGGATTTTACAGTAGCTGACCATCATGGAACAACATAGGAGCTTGAAGAGAGAGCTGGTTCGAGCACAAGAGGAGATCAAGCGGATACAGAGTGTGCCGCTGGTCATCGGACAGTTTATGGAGGCTATCGATCAGAAGTACGCATGCCATTTCTGAGATACTGGGAATCGTTTCACTAATGAATCATATCAGCACTGGTATTGTGCAAAGCTCGACCGGTTCTAATTACGTCGTCCGCATCCTGTCCACGCTCGACCGCGAGAAGCTGAAGCCCTCATCTTCAGTCGCCCTTCACCGTCACTCCAATGCCCTCGTCGATATTCTTCCTCCCGAAGCTGACTCCTCCATTGCCATGCTGGGTGAGAATGAGAAGCCCGATGTGACTTACGCAGATGTTGGTGGTCTGGATATGCAGAAGCAGGAAATCCGCGAGGCTGTCGAGCTGCCCTTGACACATTTCGACCTTTACAAGCAGATCGGTGAGTGGGCATCAATTTTTCTTTCAATGACACCGCTAATTTCCATAGGTATCGATCCTCCCCGCGGTGTCTTGCTGTATGGTCCTCCTGGAACCGGAAAGACCATGCTGGTCAAGGCCGTGGCCAACAGCACAACTGCCAGCTTCATCCGTGTCAACGGATCAGAGTTCGTACAGAAGTACCTTGGTGAGGGTCCTCGTATGGTGCGTGATGTTTTCCGTATGGCACGGGAGAACTCGCCAGCCATCATCTTCATCGATGAGATCGACGCGATCGCCACCAAGCGTTTCGATGCCCAGACCGGTGCCGATCGTGAAGTCCAGCGTATTCTGCTCGAGTTACTGAACCAGATGGATGGTTTCGAACAATCAAGCAACGTCAAGGTCATCATGGCCACCAACCGAGCAGACACTCTGGACCCTGCTCTGTTGCGTCCTGGTCGTCTGGACCGAAAGATCGAGTTCCCCAATCTGCGGGACCGACGTGAGCGTCGCTTGATTTTCACTACCATTGCATCCAAGATGTCACTTTCTCCCGAGGTTGATCTTGACGCCTTGATCGTGCGCAACGACCCTCTGTCCGGTGCCGTGATTGCTGCTATCATGCAGGAAGCTGGTCTGCGGGCTGTCCGCAAGAACCGCTATAACATTATTCAGTCCGACCTTGAGGATGCTTATGCCGTCCAAGTCAAGAACGGACAGGACGATGACCGGTATGTGCTTCCCCGAATATCTTGGTTCGCCTGCCTTACTAATTGGTTTCTTGCAGCCCTGACTTCTACCGGTAAACGCTTGGGTCTCTTGGAGGTGTGGTGGATTTTAGTGACGAAAGCTTGGTCTTCCTCACCAGTTGTATTATCAATAATATGCAGGCGCCATGTGTCACATCGTTCGGATGATCTTGATTCAGTAATGTTCCTTTGATTCCATCAAGTAGTAGATTGCCTTATCTTGACATTGACATGGCATCGGTCATATCAATTGTCGTTATGGTATGGCTAAAGGCAGTGGCCAGCAATCTAGATGTTGTTTAGCTTCATCTCATTGATTGTTGAAGGGCCTTATTGCGTTGCGCATTTTTTTTATGCCAATTGTATATTTCCGCAAGTGACCCTACAGAGAAATATATATATGTTGTAGATTCGGACAAGTTGAGGTACGTTCGAGACATCTTTTCAAATTAGTCACTGCTTTGAACTTCATGCAAAATATACGAGGCTATGCTACTACTGTGAAAAGGTCCCGAGGTTCTTGAAAGCACATCGAAGACTACAGTACTTACAGTACTAACATATGGTAGCCCCCTGTCCGTTGCCAGAGCTACGGTGAGGTGGCTAGCCTAGGTACATCAAACACAGGCATAAGAACTTGCAGAGAGGCAGCTGCTCTGTCCAATGATCATGGCAAGGCACGCGATCCCTTGATGCAAGGCAAAAGGACTCTCTGCCCTCGCACAGAGACATATGTCCAAAGCTTACTCGTACAATGAATCGCTTGACGTGAGACAGCATCGGCACGATTCCTTGATTTCGTAGAACCACAGCAACCATCGCGTAGCTTTTCGCCACACCAGTCATCCTGCAGCTGCCAGGTACAACGGGAGGGGGGAGTTTCCGACTAGTCCGACCACTCCGTCAATGGCGCTAATGCCCCGGCACCAGCCCCCAGATATTCCATTGCCAACCTGGAGGGCAAGATACAGTACTCCGTACAGTAGAACAGAAAACAAGCGAGCTCGATGGCCATCGAAAAGCCTCAAAACAGGAAATGGGAACACCAACAGGCCTGGAATTCGGGAACCAGAACCGCGTGATATGGGAACGTCCCAAAAGGGTTTAGGGGCCAAGTGCGACCCTCCTGCTTCCGTCATCGGTCTCCTCATCCCCAGGCGCCCCATCTGCTCTTATCTCTCTCCTCTCCATCTCTCTTGTTTACCACTTTGCCTATTGATTCTAAATTATGAAGTCGTCACTCACTCTCCTGACAGCTTCGCTGTTGGGCAGCGCTGCTGCTGAGGTTCACAAGCTCAAGCTTGGCAAGGTTCCTCTGGAAGAGACCCTGGTAGGATCATCGATGCCTAAACCAGATCAAAGCTAACCGTGAAGCAGAACCCTCAGAACATCGGTGCTCATATGGCCAGCCTGGGTCAGAAGTACATGGGAGCCTCCCAGCACCACCAAGACCAGTACAGCGAGACCTCGATGAAGCCTACCGCTGGCCATGATGTGCTTGTTGACAACTTCCTGAACGCTCAGTGTATGTTCTACATCCAAACGCTCTAAACACTGAGAGTTGATCATGCTGACCCTTTCCAGACTTCTCCGAGATCCAAATCGGTACTCCTCCGCAGACTTTCAAGGTTGTCCTGGATACTGGTAGCTCCAATCTCTGGGTTCCTTCCCAGCAGTGTAACTCTATCGCTTGCTACCTGCACACAAAGTATGACTCGTCTGCTTCCAGCACTTACGAGGCAAATGGCACTGAGTTCGAGATTCGTTACGGATCCGGTAGCCTGAGCGGCTTCGTGTCTCAGGACACCCTCCAGATTGGTGACCTCAAGGTCAAGGGTCAGGACTTTGCTGAGGCCACTAACGAGCCTGGCCTGGCCTTTGCCTTCGGTCGCTTCGATGGTATTCTCGGTCTTGGATACGACACCATCTCCGTTAACAAGATGGTTCCTCCCTTCTACAACATGCTGAACCAGAAGCTCCTGGATGAGCCCGTTTTCGCCTTCTACCTGGGCGATGCTAACAAGGAGGGTGACAACTCCGAGGCCACTTTCGGTGGTGTTGATGAGAGCCACTACACTGGCGAGATGATCAAGATTCCTCTCCGCCGTAAGGCCTACTGGGAGGTTGAGCTGAACGCCATTGCTCTCGGTGACAACGTTGCTGAGCTTGAGGACACTGGTGTCATTCTGGACACTGGTACTTCCCTCATTGCTTTGCCCTCCACCATGGCTGAGCTTCTGTAAGTATATTCATGACTCATCTTTGTGGATTTTGCTAACCCCTTTCAAAGTAACAAGGAGATCGGTGCTACCAAGGGCTTCACTGGCCAGTACACCGTTGAGTGCGAGAAGCGTGACTCTCTTCCCGACCTTACCTTCACCCTTGCCGGTCACAAGTTCACCATTGGCCCCTACGACTACGTCCTTGAGGTCCAGGGCTCTTGTATCAGTAGTTTCATGGGCATGGACTTCCCCGAGCCCGTGGGTCCCCTCGCTATCCTGGGTGATTCTTTCCTGCGTCGCTGGTACAGTGTCTACGACCTTGGCAACAGCGCCGTTGGTCTCGCCAAGGCCAAATAAGTGCTCCAAGGCTTGATAGCCTCATGAGTTGTGAATATCAAAGACCCGTGTGATTAAATGCTTGCTTCATTTGCTTCAAATATACATGCGGCTGAGTTGTGTTGATTGCATAGCCTTGTAGAGGACTTGATCATTTGCAATTGCTACAATCATGTTGCCATATTGACCAAATTGCTCTTTTGTCCTTGCTGTCACAGCCTATGAGACTTTTGTTCATTGGTACTGCAAATTGATATTTTTATGGGTTAGGATTTTCCTTGTGCATCTAAGTCATTATCATAATCTGTTTTCCTGCTTTCATCGTAAATCTACGTATATCTGGTTGACCCCATCAAGCTTGCAACTCTCTTCCAAGGTTCTCATCTCCCATATGGTGTAGCCGGGATTCACATCATAATTGGCCAAAGCTAATGTCGATTCAAGTTGCAACTGTAATACATGCTGTGGTCATCATTTTTGATGTTGTGTTTTTCGAACCCTCGATGTAATAATATTACACAGCCCTACTTATACCCCCAAAGCCAAACATAGCAATGTCAGTCAGCTCAACATCTGGATGGCGACAAGACATATAGTCGACCATGGAGGTCACCACTGCGACTCAACATCACCGCAGATGTGACACCAAATAAGAGCGACACTCCAAATAGTTTCTGATTGAATTTTTCCTTCCATGACAATCAAACAGTGACAGTCGATCTCCAACCAAAGCGGGAGAGCCCCAGGACCTGTTTTGAGGTACCGTTATGACATAAGCGGAAGCTCGAAAGGCTCCAGGTCTGTCCCCGCACAACTTCAATGAGCTTCTCTTTCTTTGATTGCATCTCCAACATTCCCTCCCTCTTTGACCTCAAGTAATTTCTTGCGCCTGGTGCGGAACCTGTCTTTGACCTCCGCGCCAGGTTGTGCTAGGCGCACGTGTTTCTTTGATCTTCGATCAACCCGCGCCTTGTGGCGATTCTCATCGCACCACCCGAACCACGTCCTCGTTTCTCCATACCTTCCAGGACAATCTGCATCTCAGGCGACCGAGGTGAATATCGGTAGAGCATTATCTGCATCAGTTACGTTCTTCACGCGTCGCGTGTTAGTGATGGCTTCGTAGCCGGCATCGCACGCGATCACCCCATACGACCCACACGTCCGCTTTTGACGCGCCGTCCACAACACAAGGATACAGCAGGTATTCTCTGTGAATCCTTCGGGAGGAGGATTGAAATTCCAGCCAATTTGTCGCCCAGGGTGAGCGGAGAGCCCATCATGCTGCTTCGTTTACCGACGGGTCTGCACTACCCAATCACGGTGACGTCGCTGCTTAAGCAGCCTGGCGATCCGATTGAGCGGGATGAAGCTCTGTTCTGGTATACGTATGAGACAATGGTTACTGAAGGCGATGAATTTGGGAACAAGACCGATGTCATACGAAAGTTCCCAGCGAGATATGAGTCGACTGCCGATGGAGAGATCGTTCAATGGAAAATCAGAAAAGGAGACATTATTGATGACGCGTGAGTATTGGTCAATTGTTGCCATTGGTAGTTCTGATCTGATCCTTTGCCAGTGTTGATATCGTTGAGATCGATGAGCCTTGTGCGCATGAGGTCCAGTACGGCGGACTATGCGCGGAATGTGGCAAGGATATGACACAGTAGGTCACCATAGCATATAGAGGTTGAACGTTACTAATCGCTCTCGTGGGCAGGTCCTCATATAATACCGAGATCATGGATTCCACGCGCGCTCCGATTCAGATGACACATGATAACACCACGCTTACTGTCAGTGAGCGGGAAGCAACCCGAGTGGAAGAGGATGCAAAGCGCCGGCTACTTGCATCAAGACGTCTGTCTCTGGTGGTAGATCTTGATCAAACAATTATTCATGCCACTGTTGACCCGACCGTTGGAGAATGGAAGGAAGACAAAGAAAATCCTAACCATGAAGCACTGCGCGATGTGCGACAGTTCCAATTGATCGATGACGGTCCCGGCATGCGTGGGTGCTGGTACTATATCAAGCTTCGCCCAGGACTGGAGGAATTTCTGCAAAATGTGGCTGAGATTTATGAGTTGCATATCTACACTATGGGTACTCGAGCCTACGCTCAACATATTGCTGATATTGTTGATCCCACCCGCAAGCTTTTTGGAGACCGAATTCTTAGTCGGGACGAGAGTGGAAGTTTGACGGCCAAGAACCTGCAGCGGTTGTTCCCCGTGGACACCAAGATGGTGGTCATTATCGACGACCGCGGTGATGTGTGGCGCTGGAGCCCCAATCTCATCAAGGTCTCTCCTTACGACTTCTTCGTCGGAATTGGCGACATCAACTCGAGCTTCTTACCAAAGAAGCAAGAAATTGCTGCCAAACAACAAGTGATCAAACCCAAGGAGCCAGAGAAGAAGAATGAACATCATGTCAATGGCAAGTCCGAAGCAGGGACTGAAGTCTCAGCATTGGAGCAATTAGTAACAATGGGAGGTGACCCAAGGCTACTCCAGGAGCAGACCAACGCGCAAGAAGAGACCATACTGCACCAGGTGGAAGACAGACCTTTGCTGCAGAAACAAAAAGAACTGGACGCAGAGGATGAGGTAGCGGAGAGCAACGAATCAACTGCCAGCATTGAAGAATCTCATGATCCTATGAAACACCGCCATCACCTACTGGAAGACCACGACCAAGAACTTTTCCAACTTCAAAACCGACTCGAACAAGTACATACCCAGTTCTTTGATGAATATGACAAGAAGCGAACTCTCGCGCTCGGAGGTCGGGTGGCAGCCTTACGGGGCGAGAAGACTCATTCGAGGGATAAAGATGTGGATCTGAAATTGGTCCCAGATGTCAAAGACATCATGCCCCAGATAAAACGACGCATTCTCGGAGGAGTGGTCTTGGTATTCTCAGGTGTTCTCCCGTTAGGAACGGATTTCCAAAATGCCGATATCTCCCTCTGGGCCAAGAGCTTCGGTGTAGTTATTTCACCCAAGGTCAACGCCCGGACAACTCACCTTGTGGCCGGACGAAACCGAACCGCCAAGGTCAGGGAAGCCACTCGGTACCCTGACATCAAGATCGTCACCACACAATGGCTTGTCGACTCTCTAGTCCAATGGAGACATGTGGACGAGGAACCATATCTACTCCCTGTCCATCCAGATGACCGCGGCGAACCTCTCTCCCCAGGTTCCCGCGAACAAGAAATGGCCTGGCTCTCCTCTACAGACGAAGATACCAATGCCTCTCAATGGACAGAGGGCGACGACGCCGAAGGCTACTCGAATGAATCCGGGCTAGACTCAACATCCCCCATCGGATACGATGCCGAAGAACAAGCCGCCGTGCACGATGAATTAAAAGACTTCCTCGGTAGCGACGACGACAGTGAGAGCGATAATGAATCACTACCAGACGAGACAGCAGCGACGGGCACGAAGCGAAAGCGCGGCGATGGAACCGAGAGCGGGACAGACGAAGAAGAATCCGGCGATGACGATGGAGACGAAAAGAAAAAGGGCTCGCGATTGTCGCAGCGCATCAAACGCTCCTACGAGCGGAACACCGGCCTTCGGGAAGTCACCTCAGCCCCCACTGGAGGCGAAGACACATCACTCCCATCTGGTCCACCAGAAGACGAATCTGATTCTGAAACTGTGGGAGGCCGTGACCAAAATTCCGGCCTTGAAAACCCCGATGACGATGACGATGAGCTAGAACGTGAAATGCTCGCCGCGCTAGAGGGTGGAGAATATGACCCTCAAGAGGAAGAGGAGGCCGCAGCTGAGAATGGATAGACTCCGTTACCTGGCCTGTCCATCTTGCTTTTGTGTCGCTATTTCATCCTACTTTTTGCATGGTCTCTTTCTGCCGTATTCGTATAAACGGTGTGTGCAGTTGCAATGCGCTCCTGACATAGCGATGGCGTTTATTATGGTCATTTGGTTATTCGCATCTGGCTCCTGGCTTTGTGTTGTGGTCAATGTGGGTTCTTTTCATTCATTCATGTGTGTACTTTGTGGAAATTAGTTTGTTTGCTATTTGTGTGGTTGTTTATACGTATGATTGATACAGTTTAAGGCTATCACTATCTCACTTGAACTTGATTTTCTACTTGTAGCAAGCTGAAGGCTTATGTAGCTGATATAGATGGAGTGCAATCATCTCCGATCAAAGTATAGTCAAGTCATTAACCAAGAATTATGTGCCCGAAGAAGTCAATGCGGTATAACTCAACGCCAAAGATGCAAAACATGGTATCAAAAAAGGCATAAAAAACATCAATCAATCATAAACATCACGATTCACCTGCCACGACATAATAATCATCCATAGATAGAAGATGGTATTGACAAGCTCCAGCGCAAAAGCAGTCTTCCAGCAATTGCCTAAAAACATGGTCAGTCCAAAAAGATCACACGAAAGTGAAGTGTAGTAAGTAGGGCCTCAACAACTCACAAATAGTACTCTGAGTCAACCAGGCCAGAGTATTAATATTATTCCCCCAGGACTTGTTATTCTCCACATAAATCTGGCAATTGGCATTCACATCGCCAACAATCCCATAAAGCTGCAGCGCCGTCTCAATCAACCCGGCCAACCATAACACACACAGAATGAAACTGCCGATGATGATAATGCCGGGTAAGAGGAAACTGCGCTCAGCCAGGACAAGCACTATGAGAATGAATGCCACGCCCAGGGCGCTTGTTGTGACCATGTAAGGGAAGAGCCTGGAAGGGGTGTATGTCAGCCTATTATCATGACGGGAGAAATAGTATGAGCACTCACCAAGGCGTCCCGAGATGCATTTGCGATTGGACGGTCATGAACCACGAGAAGATACCCAGACATGTTGCGGAGCAGGTCATGACGATCATGATCCAGATGTTGAGTTGTAATTCTGGCCAGTGGTACTTGCGGCGCGCCGCATGGCGGATGCGAATGGGCATGGTGTCTGAACCAGAGGTGGATTATTGGTGTCTGGTTGTGTGGACAAAGCAGCGCGTGTGCTTAAGCTCGGATTGAGGATGCTGGTAATTTCAGACTCGAGTGTTGACCTGGACGTTGCTGTGCGCTTTATACCGCCGTCTTGGCTGTTTGTATACCCTCCCCGACTGCCCGACGCAGGTCTAGATGCCCTATGTTGAGTCGCGGGACCCAGACGGTGCAGGCGACGCGCGAATAGAGGTTGAATGGGTGGATTGGTACAGCGAGGTTTTGTTTGACCGTATCGAAGGTGACGTTAGCTGTTATGGAGCGGACAGCGCATTGGGCGTCTCTTCACTCTTCGGTGTGGGGATGAGATGGAGTCGGCTGAGTTGTGTGGAATGTACGGAGTACAGATTTGTACAATTAGGCTTGAATTCGAGAATGTGCAGAGATGAATAGGAAATAGCCAAGAGAATGTTCGATTGAAAGATTTAGGGGAAGAAAAGTCTCGAGAGGGGGATTTGCTGATCGGGAAATTGGGGTGGCAGGGGATCTGGCCGCGGCATCATTGTCTTACTTTTTACTCCGTACGTACTGTACTCTTGAGACGATTCTTGCGAATTGGCGTTGAATTATTCTAGGATATCTCCTTCTCTTTTGTTTATAGCCTGGTTCCCTTTATAATCATTTACAGCAAAGTATCGCCCAATGCGCTCCGCACCAGTGAGCACCCGGCGCGGATGGTCTCTGAGGCGCCCTTGGTCTCCAGGCTAGGGTTGACCTCCACCAAATCCATGGCGATACAGTTGCCCGTCTCATGGACAGCCTCGCAGATGAAGTCTCCCTCGCGCAGGGTCAAGCCACCGCGGACGGGGGTACCCGTGCTCGGAGCCCACTGGGGGTCCAGGGCATCGACATCGAAAGACAAGTGAATGGGAGTGTCATTGCCGATGTGAGCAAGAGCCATGTCGACAACACGACCGATTCCATGACTAGAAGCAAGGTTAGACGATGATCACCACGACCAAGAGACGATGACGGAAGCACTTACCGGTCGATATCGTGCATGCTGAATGCCTTGATGTTATTGTCGCGGAGGATCTTCTTCTCTCCACGGTCGACATCGCGCAGACCAATGTATACCAGCTTGCGCGTGCTGACAATATGCTCATCCTGCAACCAACCAAAGATATCGCGCTTCTCCTCCCGGGCCAGCCGGGTCAAGAACGCCATGGGCATACCGTGGATGTTACCGCTGTCGCTCGTCTCTGGGACGTTAATGTCGGCGTGGGCATCCACCCAGATCACGGCCATTTCACGACCGAGACGTTCCCGGATAGCCTTGGCTGTGCCGGAGACGGAGCCGATGGCGATGGAGTGGTCACCACCGAGGGTCAGCACCATCTTGCCCTCCTTGGCGTAGTTGTAGACCTGATCGCTGAGCTTCTCGGTCACGGCGCTGACGGCGCGCGGCTTCTTCATGCCTCGGTAGTCTGGGTCATCGGCCGGGATATCCTTCTCGTAGTAGTGGACTGTGTTGTCGTGGTGAACTTCGTAGTCGAGGTCTTCGCTTAGTTGGGTGAGGAGGCCGGACTCGATGAGGGCCATCGGGGCTGCTTCAACGCCTTTCTTGCACTGCTAGAGTTAGTTGCGCTCCTGCTGGGTGTGGGGAGGGTCTTACTTGACCACCGTTGAAACCAACGGCCACCACGCCCAGTTGATTGGGGTGGGAGAGGAAACGCGAGGCAATAGTAGAGGGAAGAGTCATTATGCCGGTCAGAATATATAGTCGACAGAAGACAAAGAGCCGAAGAGAGAGAGAGAGGGACTCCGGAGGGATGAAGCTGATTGAGAGATCGCGATAAGATAAAGGTGGGCTTGATAAGGATCAGCACGATCTTCAAGTTCAGATTCAAGTTCACAATTCAAAGCAATTCACACAATTCCAATAGAGAAGAATGGGTCAAAAGAACCGGAAAGCAAGCTCTTCTTAAATGTTTCTGATCCCCCGACTTCAACCGGGCTCCCCCCTTTCATCTCCTCGTTGCATCCCAAAGTCGCTAAAAACTGCTTTTAGGGATCAGAGCGACTCCGCCGGATCTCCATTGTTTCCGCTAAGTACAGGTCGAGGAGAGCTGCCCCTTTTAGGCCATTTCGGTGTCCCGCGAGCGATGTGAGTGGAGGAAGAATGGGTTTATGGGTAATGGCTGGGGTTATTTTTCTTTAGGTTGGTGTTTGGGGGCTATTTTACTGACAATATGACTAGTACACACTATAAGGGAACCTTGGAAGGGGAAAGGGTATCATTTGCTACCACGTCCAATATTACAAGATCTATACACTACCCCAGAATCAGCTTCCGAAGAACTTCCTCTGCCCTGGGCGCTTCCACCCGACCCTTTTCGCCATGGCGCATCATCTGCCCCACGAACCAGCCGAGCTTGCCCAGCTGATTCTTGGTACGGATCTGCTCAGCCATTTGCGGGTTCATGGCAATGGCCGATTCAGCCAGTGCCACATACTCTTCCTGCGACAACGGGTGGAAAAGGAGGTTCTCCTCGTCCAAGATCTGTGGGATAGGTCGGCGGTCGCCTTCGAAGATAGTGGACAAAACTACTTTGGCGGTCGGACCGGTGATGCGCTTGCGCTGGAGCTGATCGAGGAGGTGGGCCAGAGATTGGGCAGGGACAATATCTGCATCCCATGCGCGATCTGCTTTGGACAACAATCCTCCGAGTTCGTGTAGGACCCAGTTGCTTGCCATGCGTGGGAGGCCAGCCCGCGTTTGGGGGTCTTGATCCACTTGCAGAGTGCGAAGAGCATCTACCACATCATGGTAGTACTCGAAGCGGAGGCCGTTGTCTAGCTCGATCAGTGGCCTGGCGTCCTCGACGGGCAGATTATATTCGGGTCCGACGAGGACTGAGATGACGGAGTCGGGAGGGGTGGGAAGACTCTCAGTCAGACTCGTGAGCAGATCCTCTCCGATGAACAATGGAGGGATATCTGGGTCGGGCATGTAGCGATAGTCGACTGAGCCCTCTTTCCCTCGAAGCCTGCGAGTGCTAGTGCTGCCAATGGTCCACCCACGCGTCTCGCCCATGATGACACCGCCATTCTCGAGAACCGCGATCTGGCGGTTCTTCTCGGCGATGATGGCATCTTCTACTGCCTTGAAGCTGCTCAAGTTCTTGATCTCAGTACGTTGACCCAGCCCGCTGATTCCATCGTATTGATGTTGTCCGGGTAAATCGCCCCGACGGCGAACAGAGACGTTGATATCTGCACGGAGACCACCCAGTTCCATTCCTGTTGTCACAGCACCGCACGATTGAACAATGGCCTGGAGTTTCCGAACACATGCTGCTGCTGTCGCAGGTGTATGGATCTGCGGCATGGTAATAATTTCAATCAGAGGATGTGAGACACGGTTGAAATCGAGGAGTTGTGTCGAGGGCGGGTATTCTTGGGACTTGGCTGTGTCCTGTTCCAGTTGTACTTGCTTGATGTCGATGCGGACCCGTTCGCCATCTTCTGGTGCGATACCATCGTAATCGAAGAGGTCAACGTATCCATTTCGGGCGAATGGTTCTGCGAGGAATGAGTATGGCCCAAATGCTGAGAGTGAGGGAGCTCACCATAGTATTGTGTAATCTGATACCCCGCCGGCTGATCCTGGTAGAAGTAATGTTTCCGGTCGAATCGGCTGATAGGCTGGATCTCGCAATTTAGAGCAATCGCGGCACGTAGGGCAGGGAGAAGGGTCGCAATTTGGAATTCCTATCTCGTATAAGTTGTGGTCCTTTCTGGGGTCGTACATCAACACCAACCGGCTGGCTGCCCGGGAAGGCCAGATCAAATAAGGCGACATTGGAATTGGGGACTTCGCTTGTTGAGGTTGCGCCTCCTATTCAAAACATGAGATGACTGCAGGCCAATTGGGGTAGAGACGCACTGACGGGAGAATAATTTGGCCTCAGTATCCAATTGGGCATGGATCTCCACGCCAACTGTTAGTTCCCATTCCTGCCTGGATGCTTCTTCGCTTTCCTTGCGTTGCTTCTTGTGTGACCGTAGCGCTTTGGCATCCTGCTTGAGTTGTTTGCGCAGGGGGACGTGTTCTGCTTGGAGATAGCGCCTCGGAGCGACTGATACCGGAGCAATACGGGATGGGAAGGTTGGGCGACTAAATCGCGCGCAAATCGAGCGGACAGAACCGCTACCGAGCCATGACCGAAGCATGAGGAGATTGGGCTGATGTTGGGTCCAGAAGAGGTGCCCAGGTGAAGTGGAAGCTCCGGGCTTGGCGATCTGCAGGTCATACACGAATTTCACCACGAAGGTGAAAACCGGGGGAAGTGACGCCGAAAATGACTGCTTTTTGAGACCAAAGTTGATTGCATCTTCGAGAGATTTTTACATCTAGCTGACTATTGGCTGGAGTCAATATATAGATACAGAGAAATTGAAGTCGATTGATTGGACTGCATTTTACATGGTCAACACCGACTGAGGGTTGACACCTGAGGCACTCATACCCATTCTATCTCCTTCATTCATGGCTGTGCTCGTCATCTCTCCACAATCAAAAGTGAAATTGACTTAATAATTCAAAGTATGATTATAAAAAGCGAGCAGGAGGATAGCAGATTGAGTATTAACCACAAATGTGACTGCAAACATGGCAAACGCTTATTCAGCTGGTCCGTCATCAACGGAATTAGAGCCGCTGTTTGCACTGATTAGGGCTGGATTTAGAATCGGCGGTTTTTATGTCTGGAGAACTTTGCTTGCTGAAGAAATCTATAAGTTGGAAGCTTTCGCTCCTGAAAAAGCATAGTCACTTTGAGGACAAATCCAACCATGTCGAATATGGCGTTCAAGTTACCAACTCCCTCTGCCCGACTCGACAATGCTCTTCGATACCTGTGGAAACACCAGCCGTCGAGACCCTCATCAAGGCATTGCGGGCATCACCAGGATCTTGGATGGATTTCGGAGTCAGATACCTGGGCCCAGCTCGAGTCTCTGCACCAGATGCTATGTCCGCGACCCGCAATTCCCAAGCTACCATCAGACATCCTGGAAGATGTTGAAGCCGTGATCGCATACCGAAACAGCCATAATCTATTGACATCCACGAAGACAATCAATCCCAGCGTGACACTTCAAAAGCTAGCAACTTCCAGCTCCCTCAGAATCTCATGCTGGAAGGGCGACATCACAACCTTGACCGATATCACGGCCATTGTCAATGCAGCCAATGGTCAACTAGAAGGATGTTTTCGTCCTGAACACCGCTGCATCGATAATGTCATTCATTCAGCCGCTGGACCCCGTCTTCGAGACGCATGTCATTCTTTGATTGAAGCCCAGGGTCACATAGAGCTAGTAGGCTCTGCCAAAGTTACACCAGGATTCCTGCTTCCAGCCCCATGGGTACTGCATACTGTTGGTCCCCAGCTGCACTCGAGACAAAAGCCGCAGCCCCACCATGAAGCTCAATTGGCATCCTGCTATAAATCCTGCCTGGATGCGGCAGAATCGTTGCCTGCGCTTGAAGATGGTCGCAAGGTTGTTGCTTTCTGCTGCATATCAACGGGGCTATTTGCTTTCCCTTCCGACCTCGCAGCAGCAATCGCCGTGGATACAGTTGTATCTTGGTACGATGAACATCCCGATACAACCATTACTGATGTTATCTTTGATACATTCCTTGACAAAGATTGGTCGTTATATCAAGAAAAAGTGACCCAATTACAAAAACCAATTCCCAGAAACCTCACATCCAACCCTCAATCCTCATCCCAATTATCACTCCAAACACCGGGCCAAATCTCCAGCCCTGCTCTCACAAAAGCACGCAATTGGATCAACGAAGCTTCCACCTTGATCATTTCAGCGGGTGCAGGCCTCTCCGCTTCCTCAGGCCTAGACTACACTTCTACTGCCCTGTTTGACAAGCACTTCCATGCGTTCACGGCCAAAGGGTTGCGCAGATTATATGATGTCTTCGGATACATGGACTGGGACAGCCCAGGCCAGAAATGGGGCTACTACTTCCTCCACTTGAGCATGGTGCGCTCCTGGCCCGCATCCCCAGTTTACGATACTCTCCGCGAGCTGGTCGACCGGTTCCCGTCCAAGTACTTCATCCGTACCACCAATGCGGATGGCTTCTTTGTGAAGAATGGCTTTGACCCGGAACTCATATCGACTCCACAGGGACAGTATCGTTTTCTGCAGTGCTATGGTAAATGTCGTCCTGATGCTGTGTTTCCTTCGGATCCTTTGGTTGATGCGGCGATGCCATTCATTGACCCTGTTACTCAGGTCTTGACGGACTCGACGAAGATCCCGCATTGTCAGTTTTGTGGGGGTGAGGTTACTCTATGTGTCCGTGGCGGGCATTATTTCAATGCCGAGCCGTACAGGGCGCAAAACATGAAGTGGAACCAGTTTTTGAAAGGTCTTGATGAAGAATCAGTGGGACAAATTGATGGGGCTCCTAAGACTGTTATACTTGAGTTGGGCGTTGGATTGAATACGCCTGGTGTACTGCGGTGGCCCAACGAGGATTTGGTGACTGATTCGGAAGATCAAGCATTCAGACTCATTCGTGTTGGAATGGGGGCTTCTGGGTGTGTGCCTTGGGAGCTGGAGGAGCAAGACTTGGCTGTTGGAGTATCGGCAGATGTCAAGACGGCCTTAGATTTGTTGATACGCTAACCTGAAGTACTAGACAAAGTGAAAATATAGAATGAGGTGTAAACTCGCGTTATTGCTTATTGAAACTATATTTCTTAAGAGAAAGAAGTCTCGAAAGACTCTTAGATAAAAGTCTCGCAAAGATATAGGGCATAGCAGAGTCTACGTATTTCCCCGACGCAGGATCATACGGAAACGAACCACCTACCACAATTATAGTTGACAGTCAGTACCATTTTGTTGGACAGAATAACTACTCAAGTTGTGTTTTCAATACAATTGTGATGACTTATTGAACCTGTGTCAACCTGGGCTCGGTCTAGGGGCCTCTTGGATGTCCTAGGACTAGGGCTATAATAGAAGGCCATATCAGCCCTGGGGATTTATAACATTTGTCTTCAAGCTAGAAAAAGAGATGGGAATATATACGTAGTGATATTTCCCAGTCCATTTGGTCTTTTGGCTATTTGAACAACGATCGAAGCGTAAAATCCCGATCGGAGCAGACTTCGCTCATAGAAGATATGTCTGTTTAGCGGCCGGGAGCGACTAAGGCCAAGGGTATGGCGTACTAGCTAAACTAGCTCCCAGAGGTAATTCACGACAGATCTAGTTAAATTAGAGGAGTCATACTAAACTCAATTCCATATTAAATGTGTTAGTTGGTCTCATGCTCAGAGTACGTGTTGTCATCGTCTACATGCGTGTTCTACTCTGAACTTCAACATTCAACACCCACTTCACCTGCACCAATACATTCTTGACACAAAGACTGCAGAACAGGCATGCAGAATATGCAGAATATGCAGAACATGCACCATAGTGGCGTTGTACGGATCACAAAAATCGGTCACATTCCCCCACTTCCTGACCGCTAGATGAACGCAAGGAGATCGACCAACGCATAGTTTCTAACTTTGTTCAGACAGACATGCGTTGATTCGCATGTTATTTGCTGGCCCAGTGCCCATCCTTGTCCAGAAGGTTGCCGAGGTCACTAGCCGGTCAATAGTCATCTTTCACCATATTCCGAAGCAGAAACAGAAGAGAACAAACCCCCCCTCCAGATAAGCCCCTCCCCCTCGATCGACAGGGATACAGGGACCTCCTTGCGACACTACTATTTGACGCCGATCTGAAGCCCTCAGCGCTTCCAATCTGCTTCAGATTAATCCGACCTGCCCGATCTGCCCGGGGTGGGACGAATAACAGGGCTCCGTTTCCCCAGGGTCAACACATTGGGCCCGTTTCAGCCCGCTGACGCGCCGAACACTGGGGGGCTGACGTTCTATAATAATCTTGCCTGACAGCCCCAGGGGCCATATACTCCTTATCATGGGGAATGTTTGAAGGAATTCGCGGGGAAGATTTGGAGACATTACATAGCCTCTCTTTCATCATCGCCCCTAGATTCCTGGCCCCGATCTGAGACCTGAAATTCCCTCCCCTGGGCAATGCCTCGGGTGCTACTCATTCCGTTGCGATTGCAATGATTGCGTTCAAATTCGTGATCTATGATTACTTGTCTTGGACTTTCTCATGATTCTCATGTCCTACGTGTGGGCAACCTTGACATCTATATCGAAGTATGAACCCGGTATAGTTCCGAGCTGCCCCGACCATCATGCCACTCCAAATTCAGAGAACAAAGAAGGATGGAAGGAAGAGGACACTGTCGACAGTGTCTAACATCACAAATGTACAGGGCTCTGTCGCTAGTGTGAAAACTTCCGAGAATGCCTCGCCTTCGCAACGAGTTGGATCAAATCAAACCAAGCCTGCCGACTCCTCAACCCAGCCCCGGAAACCACCAACTGCAGCGAAGAAAGTACCTGATGTGTTTCAGTTCCTGGATGAGAACGATGACGACTCATCGTCCGAAGCAACCTCGGATTCGTCAGATTCATCAGAGTCGGATTCATCCGAGGATGAAGAACCGACGCCCCCACGATCTGTGCAAAACCCCACCAATATCCAGGCCCCTAAGCCTCGAGGAAAGCCTGTTCCACATGGCGTCTTGGTCTCAGGAGGGAATACACCTCCAAAGGCTGCTTTGCCCTCGCCACCAGCATCAAAGAGCCCCAAGGAACAGCGCCGGCCCTCAGCATCCCACGTTCCCTCTACCGGCACTCAATTACAGATAACCCGGAAGCAAACCAATCGAAAGCCAAGCCCAATCTCAACCAATCACCCAACGCCTGGAAAAGGGCAGCTGGAACTGTCTCGTCCAGAGGGCTACTATGGAAGAGAAGAGGCTGCTCTCCACAGACCACCACTACCCCCATCTCCCCCAAGAAGCCCAGAAGATGGTCTGCACCGCACAACACCAACAAAGAGACGGGACTCCACAGCATCCCATGCTCCCTCAGGCTACGGGCTCATCGCCTCACACATAACCAAGTCCACACCAGAAGACAAGTCCGGATTCCCTCCTATATACCGACGCTTCGAAAGCATCAACCACCGCGTTCTCCTCCACCTCCAGGACGAGATCTCCCAAATGGAGGAAGACCTCCAAACTCTAGACGAGTACGAGGAAATGCACCGAATCGGCACAGCAGAACAAGAAGGCACAAAGCCCCAACCCGCCTCTAGACGCCGCGACTCCCAAGCCCAGGTCTATTCTTCCCTCCACTACCGCCGCATGGATCTCATGGGTGCTCTTATCCAAAAGACCGAGCAATATAGTAAGTTCTACCCCCAAACAGCACCAAACCCCCTCAAGCCAACCTAACAACCCCCCCAGACAACGCCTTAAGCTCCTACAGCAAAGTCCTCCAAACCCTTCCCAAAGCCACCGAAAAAGACATCGACGGCTATCGCACTTGGATGAAAGAAAATCACCCCATAGCTTCATTTGAGACCCGATTCTTGGATCACGATGCTGATCTCGTCTCCCTAACCCCGCGACTCGCTGCAGGAGCTGCCTCGGCCCCCGTTTACATGGCTATCATCATTGCTTCGGGAGCACTGCTCCTGCCACTATTGGCGTTTAGCATGATTGCCGAGTTCTCGGGTCGTCTTGTGGTTGTTACTGTTGTTGGCGGTGCGGCTGCTGCTATTGCTGCGAACTACTCGGCAGGGATTGATACTCTGGTTGATTCTCGGGATGGCTGGCGGTGTGCTACTATGTATGTGATCTTTCTTCCTTCTCTTTATCTTTGATATGAGCTTTGGGGAGTTTCATTATGCTGATGCTGACTCTTGCAGATACTTTGGATTTATGACCATTGCTGCCATGTTCATTCCCTGATTCCTGGCATCATCTTCATCCTGGGGCTGGGTTCTCATGATTAACGATTTTCTTATGTCCTCATTTGGTGCTGTTCTGATAGTCTTTTAGTAATCTGGGGTAAGAGTGATTGGGACAAGGCATAGTCTGTGTAATCGAATGCGCAGGGTTAGATTTGGTAAATTGTGACGAGGAGATGGACTTTAGTATAGCTGTGTCCCGGCGGTGTTGGCATGGACTATGTATGGACTGCAAGATAGCATAGCATGTTCGGAATGTTATGCTACGCACTGTATTATTTATGAGAAATGAACCAATGCACTCTTTGACAGTGTTCAATTGACTGTGACTCTAAACACTTGATGTTTTATGCAGTTCAATATGACCCCTAACCATGATGTCTCGACTGACTCATCTTTTCACAGGAACAGCAACATAGTGCCCAATTGAATGATTGCAGACCCTGTATTGCCAATGTAAATGGGTAGATTCGAATTTCTAACCGAGCAACTTAAAAAAAGATATAACAAATGGCGTTGTGAATCCATCTAAGAAAATAAAACCATCCACGCCAGTCGCTGAATTAGGCCATAATACAACCCCGAATACCCCGAATAAACAAAAAATCATCATACACAGCCATGAATCAAGAGTTTCATTAACAACACAATCGGTAAGAAGGATAAGTTAGAGGGTGAAGTGGAATAAGGAAGAAAACCTGATTGCAGAATGCAATGTTGAATCAGAGTGACTAAACTTTTGCTTTCGGAGCTCCCCGAACCATGCTGAAACAGGAGCAAAGACAAATTAAACGAGAGACAATTTCGTGCTTAGGCAGGTGTGCCATTCTGCCTGCTTCCCGGTGTTGCGCTGCCCTCTTGTGACTCCAAGCCCAGTGGCTGTGGGGTTGACGGGCTGTGTCTGGTCTGCTGGGCAGCCAGTTGGGCCTTGTTACGGTCCATCAATGCAGCTTGTTCCGCGGCACTGCGGGCATGTGTGGCAGCAGCAGCGGCCGCGGCCGAGTTTGCAGCAAAGCCGCCTTGTGAGGGGGTTTGATTTGGGTACTGGACTCGTTGGGGTTGGGCAGAGCCTGCGGGGGTATAAGGTGTACGGCCCTGCGGCGTAGCGTTAAAGCCTGGCTGGCTGGGTCGTGTTGTGTAAGGTTGTAGTGTGCCTTGGGATGGTTGTCCTTGCTGTGCGGAATAATAGCCGTTAGGAGCGGGGCGCTGGTATTGGCCTTGACTCGGTTGTGAGTATTGAGAGGGGTGGCCGGGGCGCTGTTGGCTGGGTGTACTGGGTGGACGACCCACACCATAAGCCTGGGTGTATGTAGATGGTGCTGAAGGTTGGCGCACCTGTTGAGGGGCGCCCTGGAAACCTGGTTGAGATTGTGAGAGGCGGGCGTTAGAGGCAAAAGCACGCTGGCTGTAGCTTGGTTGAGACCCCTGGTAATTAGGGGGCCGCTGGGAAGAGGGCGTCGAATTCCGGTTTGCCGCGGATGTTGCTGCCATCAGTGCTGCTGCCCTTTCCTGAGACAAAGTAAAGTCGTCCTTCTCCATAGTACCATTATAGTCGGGAGTATCAATCAAAATCTTTTGGCTGATGTTCAATTCGGATAGTTTGTGACCATCCAACTTAGCAACAGCATAAGGAGGCAGGGTGCTGATGATGGCCACAAGACTTGATTTGAGGGTCTCATAGACGCTATACTCAGCATCAGATGGCGTGTTCTCGTCGGTAGAATCAGGCGCAGGAGTTCCATTTGTCTCGGATTCCTGGTGGTTGGGAAAAGAAGCAGGTTGATCAAGGTTTCGAATCCGCTGGTAAGAGCTGAGGGTATCAAGCAATCCAGAAATATCGCCAAGCATTTCCTTGATCTCTCTGGATTCGGGATCATCTGCAGTCTTCACATCGAGTTGTGTGATATCTTGAGCAAAGTCGTCAGGGTTAAAGGACTTGACCATCTCCTCTAAAGAACTCTCATCAAGGTCTCCGATATTGCCAGGTTGAGCTGTTGTGCCATCTTGTTTTGATTCTCCACCAAAAGGAATACACAGCAGAGTGCTTAGGCGGTTTGCGCCTCGCTGGCCCCACCAAACCATGTTCTTTGAATCTTGCTGCACGATTGAGTTGGAACTGTCAAAAGAAGGCGCAAACGAGGAAAAGACACCCTGGAGAGCAGACGAATCGATGCCGCTCCAAAGAGCAGGGTCGCCCGATTTGTGAACAATATCCGAGTCTGTGTGTTGTTTCTCAACACGGTCCCAGTAGGCTGGTGACGATGTAATTCCACCGTACTGAACCCATTGGGTAGACGGCAGGGGTGCAAGGCAATAGTTGCTTCGTTCACCCAGGAACGACTTGCTATCAAAAGTGGCATCGAAGCGATCAATCCAGGAGACTGAGCTACTCCGGTGGGATCTCTTGCGCGGTGGCTCCAACTGTGGTAGTGTCGGACGTGGAGCGAACACTTCACCGAATGTCCGCTTCGGTAGGGATGCAGCGGCCAGGTTGAAAGGAGCAACCTTCGTGGTTGTGATGCCGTTGGGCAAAGCGGTGTCGCGCAACTCCTCCTGTACTTCGACGAATTTCTCAGGCCCAGACTCGGACTGTAATGGCACCTTCATGGACTTCTGAAGACTTGAAAAAAGCTGCCGTGGGTGCGCTGGATTTCCAAAGAGTGTCAATGCATGTTTATCCTCACGAGTGCAGAAATTGATCGCGTGGAGATCTGTGGAGCTATCATCATCATCCTCCATCGCCTCGGTCTTGATTTCAGCCTGGTTGACGAAAGTCTGGCCAACTAAACTATTCATGTGTTTCTTGAATGCTGCAATCTGATTGACCACTTCAGTTAAGGGTGCACCGTCGTCTCTTGTACCATTGGTCTGGCCTTGGTTACGTTCAATGACGGCAGCTGATGCTCTTTCAATATCATGAAGGAACTCCTGTAGAGTGCTGTATCGATCCGAGTTGACGCGCGTCTGAATATTGGAGGTATCTTGGTCACCGGAGACCTTCGCGCGCTTCGTTCGAGGCTTGGCTGTAGATGCTGGGAAGGGACAGGAAAGGAGTTTGAGCTCGGAGTCATGCCTAGTGATTGTCAGGGATATGAGCACAGAATAAATAATTCTGATGGCAACCTACTTGAGTAGAAGCCTGGTCAAGTTGCTGAGGGTTTCGTGGAGATTTGCTCGATCGCGCGGCGCAGAGGAACTGGGATCATCCTGGGTAGAACGCTTCCTCTTTCCGGGGGTTGCAATGGTAGTGATATCGCGGGAGTCGCCATTTGTAGCGGAAATGGCGGCCGCTTCTCCAGCTTCGTCGGCGCTCATGATTGCAGAGTCGCGCCTGAGTTGAGTTGATTTGACGCGGTCCCCTCCAATGCAGATGGACGGGGTCCACAGATTAAAGAGCTAAAAGTGAAGATTGAGAAAATGCGATCTGAGAAGAAAGTGCTGCAGGTGCGTAGGTGTGAATGTGAAGCTGCTTCACGAAAACACCCGTGCGAGGAGGCTCGATGGATCAAACCCGAATTCGTAAGGAGGATCGAATCGCAAAGAGGGGAGACAATCACACGATGAATCCCTTAGAAAACGGAAATAAACTGATTTATTGGAAAAATCAGAATCCAGTGGGACAGAGCAATGGGAAATGTAGCGACACAGGTAAGGGTCAGGTCTGTTTTGCCGAAGGCGAGACAATACAGTTCTTGACGCTCAGAATGCGCGCCATCCCGAAAAGCGCAACCCGTGACGATCAATCACGTGATGCCTCATTTTCTGCCGAGTTCGAGACGCGATTGTTTTCTCTCTCGTTATCTCGACTTTTGAGACAATTACCCATGACTACGTTCATGGATGTCATCGGTTCTCAGAAATGCCCGAAACCTTTCGGGAACACCGGGGTTGAGAGCATACGTGCTCAATAGACATCGGTTGTGCCCGGTAATGCGACTTGATCCTATACTGCGACGCCTGTACTAATAGCTTCAACGTTAGACAAACCTACACCGTGACATACAACATGATACACCGAGCAATTTCCGATATTTTCAATCAACACCCTTTCCCAATGAGCCCGATACACCTACATCCGACACCAAGCCCTCATGTCTCTATGAAAATCCACCCAGCGCATCCGCAAAACCCCAAGGCTTGACAGACAACCATATACCCGAAGGCGAAAATAAGCCTAGCAAATCTGCTAGCATTAGAGTGAAACCGAAGCCCACCGAATATCTTTCCAAAGCCCTGCGCAACACCGGTCATGCTCTTGGAAACGATCGATTAACCGCATCCGATTGGCTTCAGTCAGCACATGGCAAAGACAATGTGAGGACGGTTGGTCGACCGAAAAAGCCATCTCTACCGGTGCTCCTTGGGGAGTATATTCGTGAAGTAGACCCGTTGTTCTCCACACCGGATAACTCTGCAGAGGGCAAATTGGATACTGCTCTCAACCAAGTATTCAGAAAAAGCAGTCTTGATTATTTGACATCACGTGGCTATAATGTCACGGATGTCACTGCATGGGCGTGGATCATGAAGAGCCGGAATCCCCATGAGGCTATGGTGCGGTTATTCATGTTGGAGTGCGACAGTGCCAACTTAGCTGTGAATGGCCCGAGAACTCCGGCTTTCATTCCACTCCATATTTTGCGACAACATCATATTGATGCTCATACGTTCCGTCTACTTCTCATTTATTCATTACACCTCATGAGCGGACAACCACTCCCAGTGAGGTTCAATCCTGGCAGCGTCCCCGAAAATGGGTCCGAATTGTCACCCGAGGACTTTAAACCCAAGATAGACTCGGGAACCGGCATGATCTTGGTAGTTCGCCTAATTCGTCATGCTCGACGTGTGTGGCCCCAAGCCCTTCTCACTATTGCACGCGCATTTTCCCGATTTCTTGCTGTTCCGAAGACAGCAAGGTCCATTTTAACCTCACAAAATCATGATCGCGTGAGAACTACTCATTTTAACCATTGTCTCTGGTTACTTTCCCTGCCAACTAAGCATGCTCCTTACCGCTCGACCTCAATCCAACAGCAGGCACAATTTGAGCTTCTTAGGGCCATGGCTTCCCATACGCCTGTGCTCCCGGTCTCACGGCAGGGATATCGTGCAGTTGTTGCAGTCCAGCTAGCTCACAAAAAGACGGCAGAAGAGCGACAATCTGCTGAACTGAAAGCTCCGTCCTGGCCTCCATGGAAAGAAGAAAAACTTGGCATTGATTCTCAGCGCGGCAACGATGGAATGTACAGTCGTGCGATGCAAGTACTCGCACAAATGAAGGATGCGGGATATTCTCATCGCCTCTGGGAAGACATTTCTTCTATCCTAGCGGGCTGGGATACGGATGGCAGCCCAACAGTGCAAACGAGAGCTATGATGCGGCGTCCGAAGGCTTTCCCGGATACTCAAGAATACAACTTGGACCACCAGGAGGTATGGGTGTCTCGCATTCGCTCTACGAGAACTGTGCGTGAAGCTTGGGCCTGTTTTCTCTCCTACCAGGACCGAGATCTTCCTCCCAAAGCAGCTATTTATGCTGCAATGGCTGAAAAATTAATCTACCGACGCATTACGATTCAAAATGGCATTGAAAACATGAGCCATACTCTCCCGGGCGATGGCCGCGAGGTCTACTCTGAGCCGGATTCTGCACGAGACATTATATATGTGCCCGTCGAGCCGCCTACGTTGGATGAATTGATCAATCAGATGCTCTCACATGGGCTCCGGCCTTCCGGACGATTCCTTGGTCTGCTTCTTCAGTCAGCTACTTCCTTGCAATCGGGCTTACAATACCTACAATGCAGTAGCCTGACAGAATCCCAAATATCCATCCTGTCAACTATACGAGTGAACACTCTCAAATACTCGGCATTGGATTTGGAAGCCTTTCAAGCAGTGCCTGACCATGTATTTGCATCATACATCAAACTTCTCTGCACATATTCTGATGTTATGTCCCTGGATACCAATCGCGGGGACATACTCAAAGCCGACCGCTTCCCTGCTCTTGTGGCTCCTACGCGCTGGACTGGCCCGAACGTCGATCTTTTATTGCATGTCAAGAACCATCCAGGGAACGGGCATAACCCGAGAGGCCTGTGGCATGCGATTCAGCTGACTAAACTGCGGCGCGTCCCCTATACTCCGGCCTGGACCCATATCTTGTCTGCCTTGGCCCGTGAACGACTAGGTGAAAATCATGGACCACGAGGTCGAGGTCTTCAACGCGTATTGTCATGGCACCAGACTTTGAAGACCATGAGCTGGATGCGAGAACGTGATATCGAGCTTGGCGAGCAAGGATTTCATACCATCTGTGTGGCATTTGCCAAAGCGATTGAAGCTGCCATTAGGTATCCCGGAACTGTCGAGCATAGCTTTGCACTGCTTGAGAAGGCTCAAATCCCTGATCTCGCAGCGGGAGAGGGCGATGATGACTTTGAAGCGTTGTTGCGACATGCATTACACGTCTTAAGGGATCAATTTGATCACCTTGTTCTCCCATCATCAAAATCCTCCGCCCATGCAGAACGCAGTATCTTTGCTGGGAGTACATCCAACTCGCCCCTCAGTGTTCCGTTCATACTTCACACGCCGTCACCTGCGACACTGCATGCCTTTGTTCGGGCTCTGGGATGTGTTGGGGATGATGAAGGACTGTTACATCTATTGCATTGGATGGTTCAATCAGCCGATCAGCTCAGCGAAGCCGCAGAAGAGCATTCAAACGGCCATAGAATGATGCGGCGAACCCTCACGGCGATCAGAGTGTTCCTTGAGAGACGACACCGACAGATGGACACGCGGGGACCGTCGGACCTGGTCACGCAGGAAGCATACGACCTCATCAGCCGGACAGGCTGGGACTGGCCGAGTGATGCAGAGGTTGAGAATTATTGCCAACCATTGTAATTATAGTGTATTTCTAGAGTCAATGTATATGATACCCCCATACTATCTTAGAGCTCGGCAAACGTCGGCATCGGAGCTTTCCCCACAAGCGACTTTCAACTTTTCAGGACATTCCTTCTGCAACACGCATTGCAGCACAGGCTCTGATATTATATTGACCATGGCAACAATCATGTCACCGCGCCTAGTGCGCCTCGCTGCCCCCTTGGCCGTTCGACCGACCGTATCCTCCACTCGGGTGTTCATCTCACGATACAGCACCGCTCCCGATGAAGACGTCATCAAGACCTCGCAAGTCCCAGCCCCTGGCTCTGGACATGTGCGCGTGCTACAGCTCAACCGGCCGCATGCCCGAAACGCCATTTCGCGCCACTTACTCGACACGCTATCGAAGCAAGTGAACGCCATCGCCGAGGAAGGGGGCAAGGGCCCAACCCGGGCTCTCGTTATCGCGAGTAGCGCAGACGCGGCATTCTGCGCTGGCGCAGATTTAAAAGAGCGCGCTGGCATGACCATGGCCGAGTATGAAGCCAACTCCCATGCGGGTGCATCCTCCGCAACTGACATTACCCCCGGCTAACTCACTCGATGTAATCTACAGGACCGAAGACTTCCTTCTTAAGCTCCGTGCAACCTTCAAAGACCTCGCCTCCCTCCAGATCCCTACAATCTCCTCCGTCTCGTCTATGGCCCTTGGCGGTGGTCTCGAGCTCGCGCTCTGTACCCACTTGCGCGTCTTCGCCTCGTCTAGTGTTGTCGGTTTGCCCGAGACCCGTCTGGCGATCATCCCAGGTGCGGGTGGTACGTACCGACTGCCCTCGATTATTGGGGTGAACCGCGCCCGGGACATGATTCTCACCGGCCGCCGGGTGACGGGCCCGGAGTCATACTTCATTGGTCTCTGTGATCGTCTCGTCGAGGTGTTGCCCGAGGAGGAGGCACAGGAGGGTGTTGCCCGTGAGAGAGTTCTCCGCGAGAGCATCAAGCTTGCACTTGACATTAGTGAGGGTGGACCCATCGCAATTCGGATGGCCCTGCAGGCTGTGGACTCGTATGCTCTTGGTGAGCGCGCTGAGAATGCGGCTTATGAGGGTGTCATCGAGACGGATGATCGGTATGAGGCGCTGCGCGCTTTTGCCGAGAAGCGTAAGCCTGCTTTCCGTGGCCGGTAACCGTTTTATAAGTTAAGCTATGAACGGACATAGTTCAAAAGTGAGGTAGTCACTACCAGGCTAAATATACAAAAGCTATTCTGTGTCCAGTACTATTTCGGGAGAAGAAGGAAACATCGTCTCTTTAACGGACTGCGCTATTTACAGTCCTGTACAGTAGTATAGTCAGAATGTGGTGTTTGCCCGAGGTGTCACTTTGTTTTTAGTCAGGCACCACAGGCTATCAGGTGGTCTTTCTGGTTGCCTTGGATCATGAGGCCAAGGGAATCATAGTGGCGCAACGATGAGGTTATGGTGCCCAAGTTGCATGTATAAGCTTTTACTCTCCACGAGTGATATCGATGACTCGGAATAGTTGCAGATTAACATGCCTTCAGGTCATCCGGCGGATTGACGGGAAGCTAATAACCTTATTTACATCAGACTGGACGCTTTCTTTGGGTGCTTGTGTGTCCAACTTGGTGCATCCAGATACTGACCCACACACAGTACTTGTATAGATCGCCCACCGTCTGGGACAAGGCATTTCCCCCCCAAAACAGGATCTGTGTAGGGAACCCCTGCAGTAGCTTGAAGTTGAAACTCGTATTCAGTACTCCGTAAGACGGCTGGGTTTCGGGGCCAAATCTCCGACTTGCTTAGAGGCTTCCCTGTCTCCTCATTTCTCCCATGGTCGAGAGATCCAACATGGTTGAGACTGTGACTCACCAGGCCTCTATATTCCCGCAAGGCACATCATGCATATGCCGACTCGAATGCAAGAAACCCGCGACGGTACCTGGCATGCCCGATCTGGGGCTGTGCTAGTACCCCGGGTCACCCAATAGGCAAACGGCACACACCCCCGAGGCATCGCGGGGCGCAAGATAGATCGAAATAGTAATCTGCATGCCCACGCCTGGGACAGACTGGAGAACCCCCCATGGATCTGCAGGAAAGGAAGACGCGGGTGACCTGGGTCAGGGGAACAGCCACCGTCACCTGCAGGAAATATAAAAACCGCGCTGGGTGACTCGCTCCTGCTCTTTCACCTCTTCACTTTTCTGTTATGGCTATAGCTTCAAGTCCTGCTTTGAGTGATGTCTAAACCCCTTCTCATCAAGCCCTTTGGCTTGTCGCAGGTATATCTGCCACGCGATGAGCCCAAGGTTGATATCGTCTTTGTTCATGGCTTGAACGGTCACCCTCACGACTCGTGGACGAGCAAGAACACCGGGACCTTCTGGCCGGTCGACCTCTTGCCTGATGTTCTTGCTGCACAAAACCCTCGTATCCTCACCTACGGCTACAACGCAAATGTCACGGCTTTTACAGATGGCGTGTCTCGAGACTCAGTCGTTAGCCATGCCGAAACACTCGCCTCTAGTCTCGCTGCCAACCGAAGTGTAAGTTCTGCCCGTTCTATCCCAACTTTGATGCATCTTCTGACCTGAAATTCTCCAGTTGAAAGGATGCGCCGACCGCCCAATCATCTTCGTCTGCCATTCTCTAGGAGGCCTGGTTGTGAAACGTGCCCTGATTTACTCTCGCAGCCTCTCAAGTGAGAAGACCGAGCATCTTCGCTCAGTATACGTCTCGACCTTCGGCATTCTATTCCTTGGTACGCCGCACAATGGATCTGATATCGCGAAATGGGGTCTATTGCTGCACAACATCTGCAACGCCGTCCTCCCGAAGAAATTCATGGAGGCATCTCCACAGCTCATCAAGTCTCTTCGGACAAATAACGAAACCTTGCAGCATATCAACAGTCTATTCGTAGACATCATGGGTCGATTCCACATCTATTTCTTTCACGAAACACGATCTACAGATGTACGAGGCACTCGAGAAGTGATTGTGGACGAGGCATCTGCGGCACCATATATGGAGGGCGTGGAGCGGATGGGCATTGAGGCCGATCATAGCCATATGTGCAAATTTGACGACGAGAACGCTGCTGGCTATGAAGTGGTTGCTGAAGCAATTCTCCGATACTCACGCCAAGCCCCACATATCATCAAGGATCGTTGGGTGGAGGAAGTGAACGTTCGTACTCAAGAAAAGAAAGCTAAGGCTCGAGAGATCTATGATGGTGAGCCAACTATTTCGCGTTCAAATATTACCCGGCCCTCTCTATCACCCCTGCGCAATCCTCACTGTTACATTATACCCTATCCTTGACATATACTAACTATCATAGGAAGAATAGATGACCCAGCAAATCGAAGCATGCCAGATTTGAACAGGCCTGGTATGACACACCTTCTTCCTGCACCCGAGGAGTCACTCACGTTGAAGAGCTATGAGATTGAGGAGCCCGCCATTTGATGATTTTGCTTAAGCTCTGGTTTGCGTTTCTTTACTTGAATTTCGTTATTGTCTTTGTTTTCCTTGTTGATGTTGAGTCCAAGGGATCACATACTTCAAATCAATTATTCCCTTCAAAATCTGATTGGACTCTGTTCTATGTACTTAGTTTCTCCGGGGGGGCTCCCGTCTTATGACCTCAATAGCTGACACTATTCATCTTGCATTTTCTTCCCCGAGTCAGAGTTGCTGACTGTCTCATAGGCCAATCCGTACCAAGTCTCCCGCGTGCTCCTGCAACAGAAGGTCGCAGTTCCCCCATTTCTGATCTGGAAAACAGCGGAAACCTTGAATTCTCTCACTATTCCCACACAAATCCACCGTTATTCGTGGCACCCCCGGGCTTCCACCCAAATGCCACATTCTTTGGCATGCAAAAAGAGCTTGCAGTATTGCATAATCGACTATTCAAGGCAAAGGCGCGGGCAGAAAGAACCATGGCCGTTTTGATCTCTGGCGTTCCAGGCTCCGGAAAGACGCATTTAGCACGGCAGTATGTGTTCGAACAACGCGACTGTTACCCAGGTGGGATATTCTGGATTGATGCTAAATCCCGCGAATCAGCATACAAATGCTTCTGGGAGATTGCCCAAGCCGCGACGCTGGTTGATCACAAGGAAACTGTGGACCCCGAGTACCAGGAATCGCAAAGGTATGTAAGTGCCGTGCGGAACTGGCTCCAGGCCCGACAGGATTGGCTCTTGGTTTTTGATGGAGTGACCTTTGACCGGGACGATGATATCAACGAGTTCAGATCTTTTTTGCCGTGGAATCGCCAGTGCAGTATCATTTACACCTCGGTTGATACGACACTGCGGAAGAAACAGCGACTGTATGAGCCCTACTGCCTGATGATTTCTCGGATGCATGTCGAGGATGCTTGCAGGCTTCTGTTCAAGGATGTTGGAATTACCCGACCTACAGCCGAGCAGGTCTCCAAGGCTACCCGTATAGTAGAACACTACGAGTGTCTACCATTGGCGATCCATGCTATTGGACATCGTCTCAATGCCACAGGAAAGCCCATTGAAAAATATCATGTGAAATCCCAAGTGACGGACAAGAAGCTCGCCGAACCATTCTTGAGCATTGTGAATGATTTGTTTCGCCTGCAGCAAAGGCAGGCATTGCATTTGATCAACCTCCTTTCGTTCCTTGGACACCAGGTTCCCGTGGGACTGTTGAACCTTGGAAAGGCTGCCATGACGGCCGAGAATTTGGAAATCCAGACAAGTGCCCAAACTGGAGAGGACCCTGATCTTGATAATACCCTCGGAACTCTCATACACTATGGACTGATCGAGAGGACCTCGGTAGCGGGTGTTGTCCGACAAACTTCATCGCTGAATCAGTTGGATCACCAATCTGACGGGGAAACGCCTGGGGATTCCAAGTCTTTTCCTGAATTCTCCGAATCTCAAAATGAAAGCAGCCAGGATGGCTTCTTTTCTATTTATCGCCACAACTCGGCAGTTGATGTGATTAAAATCCACAGTGTCGTCCAAGGGTTCTGTCGAGATGAGCTTCGAATCAAGGACGAAGAAAATAAGGGTGTCATGAACAAACACGACCCGGGGTTCTACGATACCTGGCTGATTGTTGCAACTCGGTTTCTTCTCAAATCTTACGACTCCGCCAGGGAGAGAATGACACATGACCAGAGCTGTGGTCTTGTCCGGGACTATCGAGAATACGAAACCCATGTCTCGCGAGTGGTTGAGCTCTTCCCGAAGAGACCTTTAATGGCTTCACACCCACCCATCCTTCGCGAAGCAAGAGAGGGCCTACGTCGCTTACTGAAGAACATTGGCAAAGAGATTGAGAACCTCTCTCCTAGCTCCTCACGCCACTTGACCGACAACCAAAAATCTGTTTTTGATCGCTCAAGCAGCTCGTCCTCATCGTTTCCCGAATCTTCGGCCGACGAAGGTCTATCGCACCAGAATACGTTCAACTGGGATGATCTTAACTCCCCTCGAGCGGAATCACCCGAGCAGATGGCAGTGCCTCTTCCTCGCTTCAGGTTGGAGTTGTTCCCTCCCCATATATTCCGGGGAGCCGGGTATGAGTCTGAAGAAGGTTATGAAACCGACGGAGAAGCCAAAGCAGTTGTTCGAGTCTCTCCAGCTTTGTCACAAATAAGCAATACCACAGAAAAGGCGAAACAAACTCTTTCAGCCAGCCCTCCAATTTCATCCAACGAACAGGAATGGCAGGTAGTCAATCGTCACCAAAGGCCAAGGCCAAAGCAACCCAAGGGAAGAAACCGAAGAAGACCAAACAAAGGCCCTGGCAACTTTACAGGCACCAAGGCCGATACCCCACTTGCAAAAGTATCCTCTATTCAAGGACGAGGTTCCTCAAGTCGAACGCCTTCGGGCGAAACAGTCAGCTCTACAATCCTGGGCTCAGAGGCCGAAAGAGCACTCGCTGCAGTCCGTCGACTTAGCAACTCCCAAGCGTCTTCTGAAAGCTCACAGCAAACGACTATATCTGCGCCAGCGAACCCGCCAGCAAGCAAAGAAAATCTGCCGACGTATGCAAATGTTGCCACCCGACGGATCCTAGAGGCGGAATCAGCCGTGAAGCGCCCTTCATCAGTGCCTGTATCTCGCGCACTAGATCCTGCTAGTGGCTTGCAGATGAAACATTCCACCGAGTCACTTGATGGTGAAATGGGCTATGGTTTTGCGTCTCCCTTGTCTCATGAGCTGAGACCCCACGAACTGTTGATGGAGCCCATGAGCCGTTCAACATACAGTGAGCCTGGCGATGATATCTTCGACTATCAGTTTAATGCCGTTGACTATCACACTGCACCTGGGTCAAGATCTAATTCTCGCCGTACCTCTATGGCACAATTCGAAATTTCCCGGAACCTGTCTGCGAGTGTACCATCCATCCTCCAATACCCACAGCCGCTACCATACGAAGAAGATATTTCTATCAGCATTCCGAATCTCCGAAGGCCATCAAGAACATCAGGCACAAGCACTCCATCTGGGTTCCCAAGACCCGTCCCAATCGCTCATCCATCCGCAATAATGCCAGGCACTTTTCCGCACTCATCAAGTTCAAACCTGCCAGTGGGATCTGCCCCCGAGCAGCCAACTATAGATGCCCTATCGCGTGGCTCGTCCGCATTTTCCCATCAATCATGGGCAACAGAACCTGTTCGATACCCACCGCGGTTCTCCCCACTGCCAAATTTCCAACATCAACCTCCAGAGCCAGAATCTGCTGCATCCCCACATCTTCAACAACAGCAATTACTCTCTGGCATTGGGAGCTGGACAGCAGATGTGCGTCTGGCGGACAGTGCGCTCCAGTCCGACCCTGCCTTTATTGGGCCGCCACCAACAAACAGGCGACTGGGTTTAATGGATGAACGATTAAAGTTCATAGATTCAGCCTGGAACCCAGAACCCGTGAATTCCCAATACTTGAACTTCGGCGGCCACCGTGTCGATGTTCGGGATGCACGTCAACGGCTGAGTGAGTCTGCGAGGTTGCAGGCTCCACGTCGTCCACCGCAATACCAGCTATATCATCCCAATTTATCTGGACCTTTGGTACAACACAATGATCAGATATATGCGCCTGCTCCACCACTGGAGGTATACGGGAGACGGCCACGGAGTGGAAGCTCGCCTCCACGCCCGGAATATGAAGGTCTCGGCGTGCGATTATCATGATTGTCTAATCCTTTCTGTCTTGTTTATTCCTGTTTTTCATGCGCTTGCATACATATATGGTTGTTGGTGTAATGCGTTATCTGCTATCATTGCCTGGTTGCATCTTGTTTTCTTTGTTAATTGCATCTGATCGCGAGTTATCCTCAGAAATTGGGGCAAATGATACCCGGAATCATCACATTGGCAGGAGTTTGATATGAGCATTGATTGATCAAAACATAGCATGTAGAGGTAGCTCAGTGAGCAAAGCATGGAATGGAATTCTTGACTGCTTCCCACCAAGTCCAAGTCAAATGCACACTACTGAGTTGCTGATACAAGCCCCGTCATTCTGGCATAGATCAACCGAAATGAATAACTAGAAACGAACTCCCATGAGAGTTAAACAAACACCAATCACCGTCGCTCAAAGTCCAACCAAGCCCAAAATTCCCATGAATATAATCCCATTAACCTAATACCCCTTCTCACCAACATCAGCCTTGGTCACCTCCACACCCCCCTTCTCAGCAACAGCAACAGAATCAACCGTAATAGTCGCATATCTCTCCGGTCTAACCGACCGATCCTCATCCTCGACATAATCCTTCGGCTCCATCCAGCCAGCGCCCGTCTCCATCCCAACCGGCTTCGAAACCAAACAACTCACATAGTACACCACAAAAGCGACGATCAAGCCCGTGGGGTAGGCGATGTAATAGAAGCGCTGGATGCCCATCGGAGCCTTGACACCCATTTGGTGGAGGAATCCGTAGAAGTTGGGCGCTATTGCCACGACGTAGGCGAGGAAGGCGCGCGGGTTGAAGCCGTGGATGTATCTGTATGGTGTTGGTTTGGAGATGTAGAGGGCTGGGATGTTCAGGTAGCCGCGACGGATGAGGTAGTAATCGCAGATGAGGATGCCTGCTATTGCGGATAGGAAGATTTGATAGGAGGAGAGGAACGTGATGAAGATTGAGGCGCTGGCTAGGAGGTACCAGGGGCAGATTGCGTAGGAGAGAACTGGATTTTAGTTAGAGGCTTTTTGTTTCTTTTTGGGGGTTGGGAGGGACTTGAGATTCTTACTGGCGCAGATGAAGAAGCCTCGCTTGATGGTGATGTATTTTGGTAGGAGGGCTGCGATGTCGTTTCCAGCGCTGGAATGAAATGTGTTAGATGTAGACTTTGGCTTTGCATGTGAGGGAGTCATACGGAATGGAGTTCTCGAAGATGGCGGAGAAGACTGTAGAGTAGACGAATGCGAGGGAAATGAAGGCACAGGCAGCACGGTTGCCGTGGGTGTAGCGCTCTCCTTCCATCAATTTGTCCAAGAAGGTCAAAGGGCTCCAGATGAGCTAAATCGAATGTTAGTCTTCATTTTCATCGATGGGATGTGCAAAACAAACCTCTCCGAAAATATCCTTGCTAGCTGATGCAATCAGGTTTCCTATAATAGCAATCAGGAAGTTTGATAATGGGAAGCTGATTATCTGGCCAATGAGGACATCATTAGGCTTTGTAGCATATCGCTGCAGATCAGACGCGTTGGAGATGAACGTTCCACAGCTGGCAAGTCCGAGAAATAGGAATCTGAAGATCATATAACTCTTTTCGGTGCCATGAATTTTGGAGGGCGCATTCAGGGACTTTAATGAGCCACCAGCTAGAGAAACTGTCCATCCAAGCATAGCAAAGGCTGCACAGAAGTACACGACGACCTTGATATAGACGAGAGACTTCATCTTTGGCACGGGCACAACAAGGAATGCGCAATTGACCAGCCTGTGTAAATGTTAGTCCGCAATTCGTGTACAGCCTAATTGAGTCACAGTACCAGTAGACGAAGAAGCACATCATCTGCGCAGAAGTCAAAGCTGACTTGGAGCCCATTTTATCGGGGATGTTCTCAATGGAAGGGAAAATAGCATGCAGGAAGACACTACACAAGGATCAGTCCCCGTCCAAACACCACCTGGAATGTACAATACTCACTATAAACACTGTGCGCCTTGCACCGAATTGACCCCGTTCCACACAATGGACATGGCCGCACGATTAAAGGTCGGCCACAGCGCACCCCAAGTACCGAAACTGGAGCGACAGAGCACAGGGAACGGAATGCGATACATGGCCCCAGCACGACCGTTCAGGGCCATGAGGGCCCCGGCGAGGATCTGTCCGCCAAAGGAACACCCGATGGCTTCCCACATGGTCAGGCCCATGGACAGGCCCGTGGATGCCGTGTAGAGATTGCTGACATTGGCTGTAGCCGAGAACCAGAACATGATATACGTGAGCTGGGACCATGTTCGGTCCTTGACTGGAGTGGGTCGGATGGAGGAATTGTCCAGCATGTCGACGGGGCGAGTGATGCCATCCTCTTCTGTCCGTTTGACGATCAATCGCTCATGCAGGCGGGTCAGCATGGCCATGACTGCTTTCTCGTTTCTGTTCCCAGAAACAATGTGTAGTGTGTCCGGTACGGAATGAGGGGGGGGAAAGAGGGGAGTTATGAGGCCAGCAATGGGCTCAAGTTAGGGCTGGCTGCGATAAGAACCTGTTAGCCTGTCAAGTGCCCACGCCCAGCTATCTGCGTTCAACAGCCCTCGACGCAGCAGAATGCGAACGCTCTTATCAGCCAAGCATTGGAGGCGTTCAGAAAGTCCGATCATTTCCGCAACTCCGACGGTCATCGGGCGGACTTGCAGGGGAAGCCTGGTATGCGGGGGACTTGCTTAAATATATCCACGCGTTATCTGGCACCCTGCACCCTGCATCTTGCCTCTCGCACAATCATGTCAACCCTGATTGAATACACCCAGATCGAGCTGCTCACGCTCAGTGGCCCTGAGTATCGCCGAGTATCGACGGCGCCCCCACGCCCGCCGACCGAGGACGAAATCCCCATCATAGATCTGTCCTTGATTAATGGGGATCTCTCAGATCGAAAGGCCATCGCATCCAAGATCAGATCAGCGGCGGAACAGACGGGCTTCTTTTATATCCAAAACCATGGCATTGCCGAAGAACTCATCCAGAACGCTCTGTCTCAAGCGCAAGCCTTCTTCAACCAGCCCGACGAGAAAAAAGAAGTAGTATCCGGCAAAAAGTCCAAACTTTCCGATGGATGGCATGGACTGGGAACAACTCAAATAAACAAAACCGAAACACGAGGTGATTGTCTATGATCGCCGACAACGTCTCCCACTAACCAAACCCTCTAGACCGCAAAGAGACATTCTCCGTACGCTACAACCCCAAGAACGACCCAACAATAACCGACCCAGAATCACTCCTCAAAGACGACCGATTCTCCTATGGCGACGATGAATTAAAATGGGAGGGAACAGCCCACCTCCCCGGCTTCCGCGAAGCAACAATTGAATTCTACCAACACCGCCTCGCCCTAGCCAGAAAGATGATCCGCATCTTCGCCCTAGCCCTGGACATGCCAGAGAACTACTTCGACGAAGTCACCACCCATCCAGGCGCAGACGGGCTGTACGTGCATTACCCAGGCACAGAAGACACCCTCGAAGACGATAACGCAGATGTAGACGTCGGCATAGGCTCGCACACCGATATCCAGTGCGTGACTCTTCTCTGGCAGGACATGTCCGGCGGATTGCAAGTGCTTTCTGCTAATGATGAGTGGCTCGATGCGCGACCGATCGCCGGCACGCTTGTAGTCAACATTGGCGATTTCTTGCAGCGGCTGTCAAATAATCGGTTCAAGAGCACTGTGCATCGTGTCTATAATCGCCAGTCGACGTCTAGGTATTCGATGCCTTTCTTTTTGGGCTTTAATCCGGATTCAGTTTGTCGCGTGGTGCCGTCTTGCGTGGATGAGGACCATCCCGCTCTTTATGAGCCTATTTCTTGTGGGAAGGTATGTTCTTCGCTTGTTATTGTTGTTGTGAAAGTCCGTTCTAACATTCGCATCTAGTGGCATCGCAATCGGCTCGAACTTTCTTCGGGTAGGCCGATCAGTGCGTAGATCTAGATGTAAAGTCGGTGTCAAGTTGACAGACTCCAGTTCGGTCAAATGGCCTCATAGAATTTATATATATAAAGATTGAAGATATTATCTAGAATGGTCTCATAGACTCCTCCAACCCATCCCATCCAGACGAAGGCAAGGAATCGATAAATCGAAAAGGCGCCCAATCAGCCACAGACATCGGGTACGAATAAAGCGTGTCCCCGGAATTAATCGAAACACTCGAATCCAAATAATCTCTCGCCTTCTTCTGAACGACATTCGTCGCCCAGCTGAACACACCATCGATACTCCGCGGAATCCTAGCCTGGGTCCGGACATTCTCCATCAAGGTGTATGTCGCGTGGATATCGGATATATCAGAAGAATACTCTGCAAGAGTCACGCCCGCGTACGCACTGAGCAGGTAGTCATACGTCGGTCTGACGAATGCTGTTTCCGAGGACCCGTAGATGAGAATTTCGCTCAGGACGACCTGTGCATGACGGATGACCGTCTGCGTTAGGTCTTTCAAACGTTCATTTTGGGCGAGGGAGCCGGGAGACATTCCTTGCTGTTGTTTTGCGAGTTCCCAGCGCGAGAGAATGAGGGAGACGCAGGACCGGGCCCATGTCAATACGCTGTTTCCGTCTGTACTTGATGTTTAGCTAAGTTTCTTCTTGAGGCATTGAGGAGGAGGATTAACCGGCGAGATATTTTCGACTCCATCTGTTTATCAGTTCCCAGGCTTCGCCCACTGAGTTGGCGCTGTTGCAGATGACCTCGTAGAGGAGGATATAAATTTTAAGCTCAGCTGCAATGATCTGGTCGAACGTTTCAAAGCCTGGGTATTTGACTATCTCTGTCCACTGGCGTAGACGATCACATGTGACGACGGATGGTCGGCCTGTTCCGATAGCGAATCTTGGCTGGTAGTTAGATTTTTTGCTTGTCTGTACATCGAGGGGGGATTGTAGCACTCACTTCAAGTGTACCAAAGAAGCCTGGATCCACATCCTGCACATGTTACGACTCGTATCATCGTAGAAAGAAGTAAGAGACCCAAGCTCGGAAAGGGAAAAACTAAGCATGCAGTGCGTGATAGTCGTGCTGCTCATTAACCAGCTGTCAATATATCGGCCGCCAGGCACGAGAGGACCAAAGCTCCAAGCGCTGAATATAAGCATAGCATGGATGGTAGTGATTCCAATTGGCGTGTCCAAGGCTTTCATGCCTAGATGTGTTTTGACCATTGAATGCAGTGTGATGTGAAGATTTGAACGGTTCAGACCAGCTGTTGCGCGGAACCCGGCCAGCAGACACATTGCGAAAAGCAGGGGGTAGTTTTGTTTGAGATCTGACATTGTTTCGTGCGGAAATGGGTACCATGATGCTATTTGTTCAAAGCCATGCTGGAAGACAGAGGCGAAGTTCTCGGAATCTAGACCCATCTCGGTCATGTGCCCTAAGATGGAGTCATTTTCTCCGTTTGTTTCAGGCTCTGTGATCAGATTGCCGACATGGCGGACCACCGTGATCGGGGCAGGATGGAGGTCGGCTGATGTGATTGTTGGTAACACTATATTATCTTCGTTTTCATCGAGGTCTTTTATCGTGGTCAAGGCACTGTTGTCCGTGGAAGGAATGCCATGGTCTGTGGATGTAGACTGGTAACTCCCCAGCTGCGACCTCAACAATTGCTTCATTTCATCGAGGGAGGCTTCAATGGCATCAAGTCTGATATCGATATAAGTCTGCGATAACAAAGATAGGGTTTCGCCGCTTCGGCATATTTTCGAATACCTTTTTGAACAATGACATTCAGCAGGCTGAACAGACGCCCGTTCCGGACTAGCAATGGCAGATGTAGCAGGAAGAGAGCATTCAAGTCTATTTAAGACCTGTCAGTTCTCCAAAATCAACAGCCTCGGCCCCCCCCCCACCATCGACTTACCTTAAAGACATGCAGCGTGCACATTGCCTTGACCCCGGTGGAACCTCGCAACGGGTCTTCAAGCGGCGACATGGCTGACAGGAGAGAATACGTCGCTTACTTGGCATTTCAAAGAACCGAATGAGAGATATCTTGAAGTCTGAACCGAGTGATGTTCTCCGCAGCTTATCTGGGGTCTACGAGGCTAAGACGGATTGGGTTAGCTGTTGAGTTAGCTTGATCATCTATACAAAACAGAGGCGACAGATGCATGTGAAAAGGAGAGAGAAAATTATATTAGAGATTGGTCTTTCTATATTACATGTGGATCATTTCAGTCCCCCAATTATGCGGCTCCTCCGGCGGCAAGATTCTTGCCTTTAACACTCTTCCACTCCACAACTACGGCACCAATGACACTCAAGGCGGACACAGCGGCGCATACCATGAATACCTGCGTGATGGCATCGTTGTAGGCAAGAAGAAGACCCGGGAGGTCTGCCTTGCTGACAACACTCTGAACACTAGTAGCACCGGTTCGGACGATCAGTGCTGGGTCCAAAGTGGGAGCATATTCAGCGAGATATTCCCTCAACTTGTTGCTAAAGACGTTATTTCCAATCGAAACAAAGAGAGCCCCACCAAGGGTCTGGGCGAAAACAATGATGGCAGTACCGGTAGGCACGTCGACAATGTCGAGGACAACCTGAACGGAGATCATAGGTTGCTGCATACCGAATCCGACGCCAGCACCGGCAATGATCTGGTATCCGATCCAGATGGGACTGGAGGTATCCGGGTGGAATTTGGTCATGAGACCATAGCCAATGGAGATCATGACCGTACCGAGAATCATAAAAGGTGCGTAATAACCGACAATGGTAACGACAATGCCCGACAGAACAGATAACAGCACAACTGCGATCAGCATGGGCAGATTCATGATACCTGAGTGGACGGCACTGGCGCCCTTGACGGCCTGGAACCAAATAGGCAAGAAGTAGACAGAGCAGAGGAATGCTGCGCCCAGGCAGAAGCTGAAGAAGGCAGAAGACCACACAGTACGCTTGAAGAAGATGCGAGGGGGCACGGTGGCATATTCTTGCTGTTTCCATTGTGAAGCCACAAAGAGCAAGATCAAAACACCAAAGAAGCAAAATAGCAGGATGATGCGCCAGTTGCTCCAAGGATAGGTCGTGCCACCCCATTGCAGGGCCAGTAGCAGGCAAATGATAGCAGGGAGGAAAAGCGATGTGCCCAGAGGATCGAACTTTCTGATTCGCTCTGACCATGTTGTGTCTTTGACCTGGCGGTTCGGAGCAGGGAAGAAGAAAGCAATCACCACGACGGTGATGGCACCGATGGGCAAGTTGATGTAGAAACACCAACGCCACGATACTTTATCAGTGAAGACACCTCCCAAAAGGGGACCTGCAACTGAAGCAATACCATACATACTGCCAATGAAGCCGCTGTACATGGGACGCTTCTCAAGAGCCACCGAATGAGCCAAGATAATCAGCGCACCCGAAAAAATTCCCGCCGAACCAATACCAGCTACGGCACGGCCGATAATCAGGGTCAAACTGCTGTTTGCCACTCCGCAAATCAAACTTCCCAACTCGAAGATACCGATTGCGCTGAGGAAAACCCATTTGATACTGAAAAAGGTGTAGAACTTTCCAAAGAGAAGCTGAAGAGAAGCGGTGGTGAGAAGATAGGCTGCCATTAGGGAGAAATTAGTTTCGGTTTCTCGTCTGCTATATTGTCTGTTTCACTTACCACTACCGTACCAGCCCACATCTTCCAAGCTGTGGAATTTATCCGTGATTTTGGGAATAGCCGTGGCGATGATACTGTTGTCTACAAAGCAAAGTAAGTAATAGTCTTATTTATCACCGGGCCAAACATACCAAGCGCCACTAGGAACACACTCAAACACAACGCCAGTGAAATCAATGACAGTTTTACCCCGGTGGGGTATTCTGTGCCATCTTCCCGTGTGTTGACAGCCTCGACTGGGTGCAATGAATCGGGCTCTGCTGTCGCAGTCTGCACTAATGTATGTTCTTTTTCCGTCTCCAGTACTGACGAGACAGCACGGTCACTGGAGCTTTCATCCTTCATGGAGGTATGCGTTTCTTTTTCGGGGTCCTCATGCATCGTATGGTCCGACATGGTAGACACCATTCCTAATATGAGGATTATGATATGCACAATCGACCAGAATACCAGACGTTCGCAGTGAAGAACTAAAAGGACAGAGCAGAGTTTTTAAGTAAAAGGAGTCATAAAAAAAAGCCCGTCTAAAAGGTCCGAGACCAGATGGTGACAGACGCTAAGCCCTGAATAGGCTTCGGGTCCAACGTAACCTTGGGACCCCTTCTGGACCACTTTTAGGCCACTTTTGGGTCTCTTCGGCTCCAGTTAGCGCTGGCAGATACGAGCTTGAACAATGGGGGCGACTCCACAATAGGAAAAACACAGACCCTAACTTAACTCCGTGCGCAGAATGTTATTACCTTTTATATGGGATCACATTTGACTTGCTCCGGGTAGATATTGTACCGAAGCCCTAGCACCGGACAAAGCCGAAACCTACACTTACTTCGTCCGTATTCGTCCGGTCGTATACTACAGTCGCTCCTTTCTTTGAACGGCCGGGGGGCCTTGCAGACCATGAATTTCCAAGGCAGCAACCACGCTCACCTATCTTGGCACTCGTGTGGGTTTCTTCAATATCACATATGAAGGTCAGCTGGCGAAAAGCACTAGGACAAATCAGCACTAGTTGCTGGTGTCATTTGTTCTATGGAGATATCGGGTTTTGGTCGCCACTTTGCCCACTGCGCTCGTCCGGCCTTATGTCCGCTTTGTGCGCTGTCACGACCATCTCTCATAATACCATGAAGCATAGCCACCTGTGAATGAAAGGCCGAGACCCATCTCGCCGAAGAGCCTCAGTCTAACGGTGAATGTTTATTTTCCTATAATGGCTTAGTGGCTCTCTAGCGTCGAGCAAGCGACGCCCTCGTGGGCAGACACAACTCATTTTGACTCCGTCTTCTGTCTACATGCATATGGTACTCATGGGGGTCAGCATGTTCCTATCAGAGAAATGGTCCTTCTGTAGATCAGACTTGAAGCAATGCCAGCCTCACTAGTGCCTGCTGCTCACTCGACCCGATCTCCCCTCGCTAGATGCTGAATGTAGGAAAATCAAACTCAACACGCGAACGCGGAAGAGAATTCCAAGACTTGGCCAAACCGACCAATTCTCTGCATTGACTTTGCTAGATAACACTATCACCTATGGGACAGTGAGCGAAGGTCAAAAAAGAAAAGCAACCAAGCCTATCATTCTATATCACAAACCAGAAGATACCAGTCGGGTTTCGAAGCTCACCAATCCCCTACGGTTATGCATCTAAGAGAACCCGCAAGACTACCCAATAAGCCATGAACTCCTGTCTTCCGAGCTATCAATGTCGCAGAATTGACAGAAGAAGATGAAACTACCAATAAAGTGTTCTGTGTTTTTCGTAAGAACTATATAGAACATCATTTCTTCTCAAGATATTCAACCAGCTCCTTTATAGATCATATGACACAAAACTTACACCACAAGCACTCAAGGATTTGAACAGTTGAAAAGCACACCAGAGTGTTTCAGTCCGAGAGTCTTGCAGTGAACAACAAACCAGATGCGACACCCCAAAAACGTAGCCAAAAATTGGTTCTCAGTGGAATCCTGTTTGAGTTTGGGAGCGGTAACTTATAACCTTGCAACGTGTTCTATAAGAACAGCTTACGAGAAAATTCCACTGAGACCGATGGGTTCTACAAATTGGGAGTATTCTGTGTATTTCTGACACCGCTAGAGTGATGTTTTTGATATGGCCCTATACTCCCTTCGTAGGCCCTCGGGCACTCAAAAACACCACCAAATCCTTCTCAAAAACACCGGGTAGTCATGAACACTTGAGCAGGAACATGGCAAGATCATTACCACTGGACTATCTAATTGAATTATGGCTAGCGTGTGGACGGTAGAAAAACAGGCGAGTAATAACACAAACAAGAGGCGAGGAACAAATCAGATAACAAGCGAACTTTTTATAGCGCCGGCGTCAGGCCCACCGTTGTTAGAGCTTTAGCGGAAGTTGTGTGTAGGACGTCAATACTGAAATGCAAGGGTTTGAGAGGTTTCGCATTGTCCTAAGGACCCCCGCCATAGCTCCCCGCGCCCGCGTGTTATGTGGAGCGCCTGCGCTTGGTGCAGAGCAGGCGGCGGCAAGATGATCCAGAGGATGTTAGAGCGTATTATCCGTTGAACAGTATTGGGAAAGGCTTTCATATAAGACCGTGTTCAAAACACCGACCCCCCTCCCTATATCATAGTGGATGTACAACATGAAAACATCTGCGTTAGGATTAGGGTATTTCCAGTATAATATTTCCCCTCATATTCTACCTCATATTGTACCTCATATTTAAGCTAAAAAATTATTTCAAAACCTTAGGGTTTTGATGAATTAGGTCAATCATGAATCCGTGCCTAGCAGCCCACGAAGAAATTGATTTTTTGCCAAGGGTGTACCTTCGTATCTGTGGCTGGTCTGAAAATGCAACCGAACTGGAGGCCAATTCAGAGACTTCGCTCAGAGGCAGCGCCGGTCAAATTAGAGTCGCTGTGCTCGTGAAATTCCGCTGAAGCAAGGCCCATGCAACGGTTTACGGCGAAGCCAGTGTGGGGGAACTCAATGGCTCAGATCGGCTTGTGAAACGGCAGACCGAGGTATGTGAACACTGTTCAAAGCACACCTCAAATTGATAACAACACACATCTTCCTATATAATGATGGATAAACAACGTTAAGTGTTAATATGAGCGCATTCTCCGGTACCCTAGGTGCGTATTGACCCTAGAGCCATGATTTCGTATGCTAGGTATTAGTAACTATGTCTCTTGAATAAGCTATGAGCGTGACGACCCTACCTTTAATCACACTTCTAAGATACTTCCAAATTATATGAACAGTCACGCTCTGCTGTATCTAATGCCCTGATTAAAGCGGCAGCCAAGATTAGGAATCCCCGTGCAGAGGAAATATACGGTGCGTATAGCTACATCACGCGTCACAGATGTGAACATGCATTCTGACTACAAAGAGCTTTGAATACAATTAACAATGGAATATTCCCACTAGCAATTGTGAAACCTGATTTCAGCAATACGACCAAGTTGCCGTCTGACCATGAATCGACGTAAGAGACACTACATACTGATGACGTAGGCGAAGCCAACTCTTCGAAAGAGGCGACAGAGCATAAACCAGTCCTTCCAAGGTTATTTTGTGAGGGTTGACTACTTAAGGACTGCTCAATCCTGGTCTAGACTTGATAATTTATCTGATCAATACCATACTTTGAAATAACCTCACTTTATCACCGTATCACTACCTACGACAATCATCGCAATCATGTCCGCAACACGCTTCGCTCCTCTCCTCAGAACCCGTGTGCTCGCTCCCGTTCCCCGCTTCCAGGCTATCCGGTCGATTTCTGCTACAGCTTCATACAACAAGGGAGCTATTGATGCAACCAAGGACACACTTAAGAAGGCCGATCGGACGGTATCTGACGCCGCTGTGAAGGGAATTGACCAGGGTGGTATGTTTACAATGCAGACCTGCTGTTTGCCAAGACGGACGCTAACCTCCTGTTGTAGAAAAAGCTGCTGAGAACCTCAGGAACGCTGTTGGTGCTGGTGCCCAGCAGGCTAAGACCAAGGGAGAGGATGCCAAGGGCGATGCTGCACAGGTGGCTGGCCAAGCCAAGGGCAAGGCCGAGGAAGCTCTAGGCCAGGGCAAGGGAAAGGCCCAGGAAGCTATGGGCGAGGCCAAGGGCAAGACAAAGGAGGCAATGGGTACTGTTGAAGGGAAGGCCAAGGAGGCTAAGAGCCGCCTGTAATGGATTTAATATGTGCCCAACGATTCGTTCAGCTTGCATAACTTGTAATTGTCGAGTGTAATATTATTGCCGTTGAAGATTTCATTTCAGTTCTTGCTTCATGTTGTAGGTGAACTCAGCTAGGTGGTAGCATGAGAACATATTCGCGGGAGCTTAATCCGAAGCGTATCACATCCTTGTCCATAACCTCCACGTAGCGACCTGCAGGAATGGCCTCCCCGTTGACGCTAGAGCCATTGGCGCTCTCCAGGTCAAGGAGGTAAGGCTTCACCTTCCCAATTCGGTCACCAAATTCGTTCTTCTTTTCTACAAATCGGAACTGGAGCACAGCATGCTGTTTCGAGCAACTCGGGTGGTCAAGAGGGAAATCCACAATGGATCGCTCACGACCGACTAGCCAGCAACTGCGTTCCAGCAATTCCACAGTTTCCAGTAGATCTTCTCCCTTGAAGACATACATACGCCAAGCTTCTTTGGCTGGAGGTTTGCGCGCCTCTGGAGGCTCATGGTATTTTAAGACGATTCCTTCTCCACCTTGGACCTGAATTGTATTGCTCTCTGCAGCCAACCTGCCGGTAGAGTTGAAGTTGGGCTTCTGTTTCTCGGGGGCAGGTGCCTCTCCGGGTTGTACTTCACCGGTGAAAGCATCTGATTGTGAAGGTAGCGGGCCACTGCGTTGTAGCGCACGCGGTGGGGAGCTGCGCGATGGTCGCGGGGAGCGAGATCGGGATCGTGGGCGTCTCTTAGAGGATCGTTCTTCGTCTCCGCGGCTATCACGATGTCGGTGACTTCGGTGTCTGTGTCTGCGGCGGTCTTCTGCAGCGGAACTGGTTGACCGTTCTCTGCGCTCTCTTCGGGGACTGCGCGAATGTCTGCGTCTGCGCCGGTCACCAGCTGAGCTTGTAGATCGGTCTCTGCGATGACGCCGAGGGCTGCGAGAGGACTTTCGTTGAGGGCTATCCCGTCGGGAGCTTCGGCGGTCGTCGTCACGTCGTCGAGAGCTTGGATAGTCGTCGTCTCGCTTTGCATCTCGCCGCCGTTCGCGACGGTCTTCATCGTCGGACCTGGCCATTGCTTTGAATATAAAATTTGCGCGGCAAGGAAAGTGGAGTGACAGAACTAGCAAGTCTTGAGTTGGAGATCTTTGATCGAAGCTTCAACAAATACACGTGATCATATCCGTGGCCGGCCCGAAGACGAAGTGAGGGGAGAGCTTCTCTTCTCCGAATCAGACTACTTTGAGAAGAGAGCATAACGGATTCACCCCGTGCTCTCTTCAACTGAATGATGCGGTCATGCTTAAGAGTTTCAACCTTCTTCGTGGGGGAGGCCTGCCACTACTGAGTTCGACAGCCTCGCCACTCGCCCAATTCAACAGCAAAACCGCTCCGATTTATGTACTACACAAACCGTACACGAGCCGGAGCTATGCAACCACCTCACAATTTTCTCACCAGAACTACATATGGCCCAGCAATCCATCCTTCAGCCCCTATGACGTCTTGAATATTCCCCGCGGCGCTCCGTACTCAAAGAGACAATACTACGACCTTGTTAAGATTTACCATCCCGATCGACCTTTCACCAAAGATCACCCACTATTCGGAGAACTGACTGCCGAAGTCCGACTACAGCGCTACCGGATTGTGGTGGACGCACATGAGATTCTATCCGATCCGATCCGACGAGCTGCCTATGATCAAACTGGCACCGGATGGAACCATGCGGTACAAGATTCAACAGAATTCAATACACACGGATCAGGTATATATGCCAATTCTACATGGGAAGACTGGGAACGGTGGCATAACCGCCACAATGGCCCGCAGCAGCACGTTGTCGACCAACGCACCTTCACCCGGCTAGTGATTCTCTTGGTGCTCTTTGGGGGTGCTGTTCAAGCATCATGGATCGGACAGATGAATACTGGATTTGAGGATAAACTGCGCCTGGTCAATGAGGAATCCGCGCGCTTCCTGCATGGGCGGAAAGACAATACTGTCAAGCAAATGGATTCGAATGAGGCTCGTGTGCAGGGCTTCCTCATTCGCAGAGATCCCACTGGGTCGGGCTTGAAAGACCATGAGCAGACTGTTTATCAGAAGGAGTTGGATCCCCTTCGCCGGCCGAAAGAGCCTTCCCAACCTAACAGTCAGGCCGTGTCAAATTTTGTACAGCCAGCGGAGCCGGTTCAGCCAGACACTGCAGGGAACTAAGCTCTCTACCTTACTGTATGGGATCGATCCCTGACTTGGCCTTTCACATGAGCGACGATATTCGGTTCTCAATGTGCCATTCCCCTAGTTCCTGAACTTTGTCTACAGTCATAACACATGACGTATTGGACAATACATGGAAGTGTATGCAAGGGCCATGATACCAAAGCCGTAAGGACAAGATCACATAATAAATATATCTAAGTTCGAAATATTGAATAACTATCTCACCAACATGTTCCTGAATGCAAAGTTATAGTTGCATGCCCCGTGGACCTCGGCAGTGACGCAACTCCACTGGATCCGGTTTAGGGCCTGATCTCTCGATCTCTATATACAAACTGCGTCAGCCCCTAGTTTCTTTCTTCCTGCAGTGCCTCAGTTCGTCACAATGAGCTCGCTCAAACATTCTGTTGGCCTTCTAAAGGCACTCTTGGTCCGACTTCCTATGATCCTAAGGACACTCATCCTACATGGGGTTCGAATGTCCCCCGTGACGGGAAAGCAGGACTTGCGCACTGAATTGACGGTCGCAATTCTGCGCTCATTCATCACCTTCAAAAATCCAGTTCGCAAAATGCAGATAGACAGCATGCGCGATCCTGGGATCAAAGGCCCTATGTGGGTGTCCAAAGTGACATTCCCGCAACCTGAGATCGACGTGCGCGACGCAGTGTTGCGCGCAATTGACGTCCTCAAGACTGGCGACGAGACCTATGATATACCAGAGATCGCCGCCGTCGAAGCCGAATGGACTGGCTACCGTGGTAATGTGGGAAAGCGTACAGCGCAACCGAAGATCTCAGAGGAAGAGAAATACCACAAGCTGCGTGCGGAATCGCCGTCTGATATGACGATTTTGTACTTTCACGGAGGTGCTTACTTGTGAGTCTTCATCTACACCTTATAATAAGTCAAGTGACCCATCTAACATACACCTAACAGCCTTATGGACCCATGCACTCATCGTGTCCCCCTCGCGCATCTCTCCCACCGAACAGGTGCCCCAATCCTCTCAGTCCGCTATCGCCTAGCACCACAAAACCCATTCCCAGCAGGCCTGGTCGATGCCCTAACCGCCTACCTCTCACTCATTCACCCGCCACCAGGCTCCCTCCACGAGCCCATTCCAGCAAACAAGATCATTCTTGCTGGTGACTCTGCAGGCGGTAACCTCGCACTCGTCCTCTTGCAAACACTCCTAACCCTCCACCGCACATCCCACACCCTCAAATTTCACGGTCAAGACGTGCCAATCAAACTACCCGGCGGTCTAGCAGCAGTCTCACCATGGTGCGATATCACACGCTCAATGCCATCCGTAACGAGGAACGAGCTCTTCGACTTCCTCGACGCACCGCCAGGCACAGACACTCCATTCGAGCCAATTCCCTTGCCAGCAGATGACATCTGGCCCGCATCCCCGCCGCGCGTGGATCTATTCTGCAACGCTAGTATTGTTCTCCATCCTCTAGTCTCTCCGCTCACAGCCCCAGCCGAGCTTTGGAAAGACGCTCCCCCAATTTGGATCTCAACTGGCGAAGAAGGTCTCACAGATGAAGGGTTGATTGTCGCCCGTCGTATTCACCTGGCTGGTGTCCCCATCGTCGCTGAGATGTTCGAGGGTATGCCGCATTGCCACGCTTTGTTACTGATTGAAACGGTGCAGGGTCGTCGGTTCTTCGAGAGCTTTGCTTCGTTCTGTCGAGATGCGGTTGCTGGTCGGGTCCAGTCGACGGGTGACCTCACTTATATCTCTTACAAGGCGAAGTCTGAAAAGCAGATTCCTATTGAGAAGGCATGTGAAACATCCGATGAGGAGGCTGATGCCCTTTTGCGGAAGAGTGCTGCTTGGAGGTTGGAGGGGGAGAAGATTCTACTGAAGGAGTGGCATGAAAGGGCGCGTCTCTGAGTCTTTTCGTGCGTTGAGTCGATTTGCATTGGATACCCGATTTATTTATGCATTATAACGATCTAGTCCGCCTTTTGAAGTACTAGCTCTCAGTCAATGATATGATTTATATTAAAGCAGCTGGTTGCAATTGCATTCGCTCGTAGCTCAAGTCAGGATCGATCGGGTCAATCAGCAAAACAGATAAAGCAAGAACTTGCAAACAGAAAGCAATTTCATGTAGCTAATGTAGTTAAAGGACTTCATCATCATCCATCGAACCCTGGTCTTCCTCCCACCGCTGTTGTGCATACACATTCTGAGGCGGCCACACAGACTGCACAGGTCGCACATGCTCAATAGACCGTTTAGGTTCATTGGCAACAGCCTGGGCTGTCGGCGCCGACAGCCAGGGGAAAGCAACAGGTGTCCCATTAATACGAATTTCACCGACAAGACCCGCAAGCTGAGGAGTCTCCTCCACGTATCCATCGGAGAAGCCCAGTACCTGTGTGAACAGTCGGAAAACGAAAACGCAGATGGAAAAGATAGGCATGAGAACTGCGGAGAGATGTGACCAACGCCACAGCATTGTCACTGTCACCAGTGGGAATAAAGGTGCATCAGGCCGTAGACAATAGCCTTCGCATTTCTCTGTGATTTCCGGTCGGCTGAAGTGTTCGCACATGAGACATTCGATGATATACCACGAGAGCGAAATGAGAGTAAACCAGCCGAGTTTGGTCATCTGAAGGCGTCGAGACGTAGGATTACGTTTCCAAAGTCGGGGGACAGGCAGTGCGGCATATACTCGTCCATCGGAGTGTGTACCGCAGTCGTTGCATGTTTCACCTGTATGGATGTGTGATGTCTGTTTGCTGCTCTTCCCTGTATTCGACTTCGAGATGGTCGTGGCTCGATTGACCTGGCCTTCGAGGCCATCGAGTCCCTTCTTCACTTCGCTGATGTGTCTCATGAGTGAGTTCAACTTGTCATTAACTGAACCCAGATCGACCTGGCCCTTTTGTGCTGAATCCGACTGTGCGAGTTTCTCGAGGACTGCCTTTTCATAGGCTTCTTCGTCTTCCTCTTCGACTTTGAGCTCAGCGGGTCCATCTTCATCATCCATCATACCTCGGAGAGACTCCAGGGTATCATTTCCGAATTCATCGTCTTTTCCAGAGCTTGCATCTTCAATCACAGTCTCCAGTGCACTTTTCGGGAGATGAGGCCGAGGCAATGGGGCTCTCGATTGTTTCTCGGGTTTTGACTCGGAGGGAGGCTGCCCGTTGTTGGTTTCAGTTGGTTTTGTTTCCTCGGCCTTCGATGTGACAGGTTCTGCTAGGCTTGCAGGCGGTGCAGCGGCCTTGGTTTCACTAGCTGTCCGTGGAGGAATAATGTCTTTAGTCAAATCCTCAGGGAGTTCAGGCACTCGATCTGTCACACGTTCAGTCATGGGCGTATCAATCCATGCACCAGTTACCCGAGGTGTCTGATCGTAGATTTTACCACCGAAGAAGTTCGAGGGCTGAGGAGTCTTCATATGGTCAGGCTTGGGTGTCTCAACCCTGGACAGCCTTCGTAGCAAATCTCGCGAGCCTCGCTTGCTCGGACTAGGCCGTGCAAACTTCGATCCTTCGTACGCAGCATCACTCTTGAATACAGTGACAGGGCTATTGGCAATGGGGTTCCCGTCACCAGTTGGGAAGATCGTTTTAGGCGCAGGTTGTTTCCACGCCAGGTCCTCCTTCGGAACCTGAATATGAGAGTTAGCGGTGCGTTCTTCAAGAACACCCCTAGCAGGAAGACCGTTCCGCACCGGAGAACGAGAAGACGTGCGAGCAGGCCTAGTGGTCGAGTCGCGCTCTCCATTTGTGTCAGGCGCCGCGTATCGATTCAATGGCCTAGTTTCCTCCTGTTTCTCAGAGGCACTAGGCGGACTGATTTTCCTCTGCCAGTCATGAGGGTAATTGGCCCGACTGCCCCAGCTGGAAGGTAAATTCAGCGAAGGACCTCGGACCCCATCATCCTCCACAATATGTTGCTCCACCTCAATCTCCTCTTGTTCGCGTCTCTGTAGATCGTCCGCTGTAAAGGAGGGTGACCGGCCCATATGCGCCCTGCTGAAGACCGGTGAGTCCTTCTTCGTAACGCGGTTGAGTCGTTTTTCATCTTCAGTATAGTCTCTGGCCCTGGGAGGTCGATACGCGCCCAGATCACCGTTGAGACTAGCACCGGATATGGAATTGCCTTCTGGGGACCCGAATGCCCGATTCGCCTCCCGGGCGCGAGAAGACGAGTGACTCAATCGACCTGGGGAGCGAGGTTTTGTCTCCCAAGAATTCTCGCGCACGAATTCCGCGAGGTGACCGTCATCGTCGATCTGTCTGTAGGGATCCATGGTTTCATGGGCCGGAGGGGGAGTTGGTTGGCGACATGAACGCGTTCATAGACTGTCGCTTCTGGCGCGGGCTAGGAGTTGTTGCCTGTGGGCTTAGGTCGTTGGTTGCGAAGGGCATGTCTTGCTTAGACGCAATATGGTACGCTGCTGCTAAGCTTCCGGAACGGGGAGGACCTCGTCGCTGCGTCTCATTCTTGAAGCTTGACGGGAATTGATTTATGTCGAATTTGGAGGCGTGTTGGAAAGACGGTGCTTTCTCTCTGGTCACTCGGTTTCTCCTGTCGGACATTTCGAAAATTGCCCCTTGCAGAGGAAACGCGAAAACAGAGAGTGGAGGACGCGAGAAGTGACGGAGTAAATACGGCGACCACTCATTCCCCGATGTGGTTAGCCCGTGGAATTTCTGAATTACGTATTCACTCCCAACTCCGACTTTGCTCTCACAACTCTTTGCTGGCCAAATATTAGAGCTTCCTCAGCTCATGCGCAAATGTCATTTGATCTTGACATGTGACCTGTCTATTTACATCGATCCTCAGACCTCGCGAGCTTCGATAAAAGCAACCCATTCCCAAGCTTAGCTGGCCAAGCTCCAGAGCTCGCGTTTCACCTCGAACCCGACCAACCCACCCTATAATCCAACTCATCATGGCGAAATCCGCAAGGCGATCAGGCCGCAAGACGCCCGGCTCAACGCCGGGCTCATCAGGCGCCTCAACACCAAGCTCGGTCTCAGGCCCAATCCCACCCTTCACCAAAGTCCCAGCAGCACTGCAGTCCTTTGTCGAACCGTTATCCGAAAAAGAAGTCTACCTAGTGCACCTGGATATCACAGGCGAAGAACTCAAACGCCAAACCTTCACAGTCCCCCTCGTCGTCAACCTAGTAGTCGGCGCAGTAATCGCGCTCCGCATCTACCAGGGCATAAGTACCTACCCAGCGCTCATTGCAACACTTATCGGCCTACACAGCTCGATGACCGTGGACACGGCGGCAACCCCGTTTACGGAGGGGCTCCAGATCGTCCTGTGGCGTACGGGAAATCTGCTGATCGACTACTTCCTCGTGACGATGTTCCTCTCGTGGCCGATTAATTTCATCCAGGGGCCCGTGCGCTGGCGGCGGGCGGTGGGGTTCCGGGAGCGCGAGGTCATCGTCCGCCGCAGCCACCGGAGCTGGAGTCGAAAGCTTGAGCGCAATAAGTGGATTCGCGAGGATGAGGCGCGACGGGACAAGATTGTTGCTGCTGTTACGCCAGAGCGGATCAGGAAGACGGGGTATTTGCTGGTTGATGAGGATTGGAATTTGGATTATAATGCTATGGTTCGGGCCCATGCGCTTGTTGATCGCAACAGGCAGGGGGATGGGGTGCAGATGGATGAGTTCCGGACTGCGGTGCTGGTTCATACTGACCCTGACGGGTGGTTGATTTGGCGTGTTGGAGATGAGAATACACCTGCTGGTCGGCAGCGCTCTGAGCAGCGCGATCAGATCCTTGCCTTCAAGGATAAATTGACGGAGATGGGCAAGGAGGATCTCTTCCTTCGTTGGGTGGAGCTGATTCAGTGGGAAAGCTCCCAGCCTGGCGGCTTCACTCCAGAACGACAGCGGTCTGCTATGCTTCAAGCAAAGCAGCTGTTTGAAGATGAGAATGTGGACTTTAGCGGTTTCTGGGACGACATGGGCGGTATGGAAGGAATTAGTGAATTAGATTAGCCTTCTACTTGTCATTGTATTCGCGTTCAAGCTTCATCCAACTTTTATTCAAGACGCTTTACAATATGGTTCAGCCGAGCTGATTCGAGAGCCCAGCAGACTTCGTATATAAATTGCATTCATTGTTGGGTATCTGAAATAAAATGACAAAAGCAAATGACTCGTAAATGAGAACCAACAGCCGCAGTCTTAATGCTGGAGAACAAAAAAAGAAGCCGAAAAAAAGCAAAACAAATGTTAGAGCCAAATATAACAATATGGATGCACCGCTTCTCCATTCAACTTGGGCAACAGTTTATCATGTGCCGCCCTCAAGTCGATAATCAAGCGACCACAACTTCTCCCAAGGACGAGACCGACCATTCTGTCGACGACCGGACGTGGATCGGGAGGGCGACGAAGCGACACCCCCAGGAGGGTTAACTGACGAGTGCTCAAGATCCTGAGGCAAAGAAAGCGTATTAGCTTCAGACCCGATATTTAAAAAACAAAGCAGACCCGGGAAAAGATGGAAATGAATATGTATCCTACTTTTCACGGGCCGGAGAGTAGGTCACGGCGAACCTCGTCGAAAATTGGGGCAGCCTCTCGAGACTGCGAGTCGGTATCAGCTTCAGCGGGGCGCACGAGCTCCGCTGTTGACTCGACAGCATGCTGAGATGGTGTAGGCGTTCCGCGTTTGGAGTTGGCACTTTCACGGCGGCTGTCTAGACTCCTTGACAGTGTCTTTTGAACGGCCCCTTCATCTGCGGATCGCTTCAGGCGGATGCTACCTTTGGCATCGACGTTGTTGGAGGCAACTGTGCTCTTTGCTAGACCTGGGGTCGCGGGTGCCCCAGGCTTTTCCTCTACGGCTTCGAGGAGGTACCAGCGTAGACCGTCTGATAGTTCAAATGGATTTTCGTCGTCCAGAGAGGCACCGTCACTGGCGTCTCCAAGAGATCGGCGATCTAGCGCGACGCTATTCAGCGACTTGGAAAGATCAACCACACGCTCCTCGATCTTGGTGATGCGTGCGAGAAGCCAGTCTCGAGCTTGAAGCTTGTGCATATCTTGTTCGCGCAGGAAGTAGTGTGGCGCACCAACATTGAAGGCTGCCCAGGAGCGGATAGCTTGATTTCGTGTAGGAAGGAAGAGAGCAAGATCGCCTTCTTTGAAAGATCGATAAGCAATCTTATCGTGTGCTTCGCTCTGGACTCGATGGTATTTATCACGGTATCCTCTAGCTTCCTTCTGCCACTTGCGGGCTAGGTTCTCGATATCCTTGACGCGTTTGACGATGACATCTCCAAACACGGCGACATCAAATTGGGCCAAGCTTTGCATAAAAGCCAAGAATTGAGTCTCCTCGTCTTCCAAGCTTTCTGCCTGCATCCACCTGAGAAGTGCGGCGTCTGGTTTCATAGAGACAATACCTGACTGGGCGATGCTTTCACCCAGGCTGAGGGAGGCACTGAGCTTGGAAGCGCGCTGGACAGTGAGTTGGCCATCTTGTTGAATAACCGTGAAACCCAATTGTTCCAAAATCCGTCCAACTTTCTCAACTTGAGCGAAAAGCTGCTTCGAAAGTTCGTGAGACTTGATGCCTCGAGCTTGAAGCCGGACCACAGCCTGTTGCTCCGTTTCTGAAGTCATGCCAGCTTTGCCTTCCCATTCTGCCGCTTGGTCTTTCAAGCTTTGGGCCTGGACCTCAGACTCGGCCAGTTGCCGTGATAGCTCGGCATGTTTTCGTTCACCCTCGGTAATCTGTTCGCGTAGGGCTTCAGGGCTAGTCTTTTCCGCCGTGATTTGATCATGCAGAGCATTGAACTTGGAGCGTTCTTCGTCCAACTCCTTAGTCAAACCTTCAAGCTTCGATTGTTCTTGTGAAAACTCTTCGTTCAGCCGAGACAATTGGGCCTCGCAATCTTCAAAGTTCTTCGCCCGCTCCTCCGCCTCCGCTTCCAACTTAGCAACCCGTTCTTCAAGAATCTTGTTCTCGGCGGTAGCCTCTGTGGCATTGGTTTCCGCACTTCGAGCATGGATCGAAAGACCCTCGGAGAGAACTTCAATAGACTTTATGATATCAGGAAGTTCCGTGGGTACGGTGCTTCCAGGAGAGAGGTTCATGAAGACGGCCTCGAGGGCTTGGTAGTTATCCAGATTATGTTGCTTCAACTCCGTTTGGCGCTGTTCGAACTCATCAATTCTCGCCTTCAGGCCATCTTCGTTTTGTTGTCGAGTCTGGATCTGGGCATTAAGATCGCTGATTTGTTCGTTAAGGCTAGTGATGTTCGAATCAAGATCAACCATTTTTTGTGCCTCGTCGGCAGCATTAGCATGAGCGTTCTGAAGCTCAATTTCAAGCTGATGTATCTGCTCATCGGTCTCTTGTTTGCCATGCTCTCGGCTATCCATGAGTCGATCCAGTTCTTCTTCCATTTCTTCGTTGCGGAGTTTGAACTTCTTCAGCTCCGAATCTAGGAATCGGCGCTCATCCTCAAACTCGCGCTGGCGGGCTTCTAGATTGCCAATAAGATCCTTCTTGGTAGATTGGGCTTCTTGGTACTTGTCAGAGCTAGTTTGACGCTCGGCATGGGCTTCCTTGTGGAGTCGTTGAACGACGTCTCTCTCCGTCGATAACTCTGCTTCGAGAGCAACAATGCGCTGGACAAGTGCTTTGTCTTCCGGGGACTGGGTTGCTGAGACTCGTCTCGAGGAGACCGAGGATCGCCTTGAGAGTGCATCGGGGTGGGGAGATGCTGGTGAGCTTGGGAAGTCAGGCGCACCAAAATTGCCGCTGGAAGGTCGACTGAGATGACTCTGGCGATGAAGTAGATCCTCCAGCTTTCGGACTCGACTGTCTGACCCTCTAAGCTTCTCTTCAAGTTTCGTCTTTTCTTCTTGCAAGCTGCGTACAGAGTCATCCGCGCGCAGGATAGAACTTCGGCTCAGATCAAACACACTTCCCTGTTTGAAAGCTTTGGCTCGTCGTCTTTGCTGTCGGCTTGGTGCATCGAGCTCCTTGAGTTGCTGAGTCAAGTCGTCTGCCACCTTCGTCAAGGAATGATTTGTCTTGAGATCATCAATATAATATTCGATCTCTTTGCGAGCTACCTCCGGCCATTCGTCATCTTGGCCCTGCAGGTTGACTTCAAGTCCGGGAGCTGTGGAATCAGTCACAGTAACAAAATCACTCATATTTTTTAGCCACTTCTTCCTCCTGCGTTGTTCCTCGTCTCGCAAGATGGCCATCTCTTCGGCCAGTGTCAGAGAGTCAGTCTTGATCTTATCACTCCACTCCCGCCGCCGCACTGATTCAATAAGAATAGACCCATACACCATTGGCATCTGAAATACAGAGTAGATTACGTCGAATGCGGTGCTACCCACGTCCAAATTGACCAATCGTGAATGTGCATCGGCAAGTCGGGACTCAAGCGAGGAGATAGTGCGCATATTCTCAATGGCGGTTTTCTCGGCAGTTGCTCGACGCTGCACGGCATGCTCCAGTGCGTTCTGAAGCTCGATACTGATCTCCGACAAAGACGGAAGAAGGTCTTGGGTATGGCTGAATGCCAGTCTGGAAATATTGGCCAAATTGGTCTTATTGTGAGGAAGGCCGAGGACATGCTCATAGTCCGAGCCAATCTTTTTCGCGATCGTTTCCACTTCTTCCAATAGTCCATCTACTCTGTCTCCATCCGGAAGGAGCGCCTCGTCAACCAATCGTTGGGTGTCAGTGGAAATGTCAGCGATGGCGTTTCCAATTTCATCGACATTGTTTCCAAAAGCCGATGACACACCCTCTGCCTCAGATCCGGCTCGTTGAGCCTCACCCACATCGACAAAATCACGGAGCGTTCCAGTTGGTCTATCCTTGTCCATTTTAGGCGTGGACGGCCGTCCGAGAAGAGGGAAGTCTTTGCGAGCTGGAATATCGTCCAAGGTGGAAAGAGCCCGCTGCCAGCCATCCAGGGCGGCCTTTTGCTCTTCGAGGAGGTTATTCGCCCAGGACTGAGCCTCTTGAAACCGATGCTCCAAATTTCCCACATGGGACTTGAGATTCTCGAGAGCCACGCTCACCGCACGATTCATGACATCGGTCCGTTCATTATGTTCTCGTAGGCTCTTATCGATAGAGCCACAGCGGCTGGACAGGTCCATTGCCCAGCTGCGTCGCGCCATATAAAGATTCCGCCATGCCTGAAGGTCGTTCTGGTCTTTGAGGGTCGCCGGCGGAGTGCTAGGCTGAAAAGGTTCCGGTGGAGGAAGCTCCGGGAATTCGACGTCACCGGGCTCGCTGATGTATTGCCGGTCATATACGAATATCTCGTTCTGTGATGGCCCAATATTATTAGCAGACTACAGGGAAGGCTGAACACTGGTATATATGGTGTCGTACCTCAGTAGCAAGTGTTTGGATCTTGACGTTCTTCCCACGAGCGGTCATCAATATTTGCCTTTGAGGTTGAATGGCTGTATTTCGGACAATCCATGACTTCAAGGCATCCGGACTAGACAGCGTCAGTTCACTGGAGAGTTGAGAAGTGAAGATCGGATTCTATCCATCGAGAACAATAGTAGATGGAGTACATACGATGCGAAGGCTACTGGATCGGCCAGGAAATGCTCACCCGTGTGAGCAATGTAGATGTGCAACGACATACCCCCCTCCGCACCAGCGAGCTCAAAAGCTCGACAGTCAGTAAAGAGAGATATAAACAAATCAATAAAAAGGTACAGGAAATTAAAAGAGGGAGAGTCCTGCAGCCCTGATCCAGGGCTCTGGTGAAGGTTGTAGGATGTCAACCTCGGGGAAGCTGTCCCACCGCCTCCGTCTCCATATCATGCGCCGGTCACCACGGGATCCAAGGCCATGGCTGCCAAACATGGCTTATTGCCTCACCTGCAACCGGGCGAGCTGACTTTACTGGACTATGCTACAGATGACTCTCGCGATGTCGTGACCTTATCAGACAAGGAGGCTCTAGTGCTTCAGCTCTACAACCAAACCCAGGAGCAACAACTGGAGAAAGCAGTGCTCGAACAGGGTATGTCCCAATAGCTTCACGACATTTCTCCTGCACAGTGTTTTTTCTCCTAACACATTTTCTTCATCAGATCTGGAATCACTTTCCGGCGAAAATGCCGAAGAGCAGCTCGCGATCGCGGAACGTGAACTCTTGGAGGCGCGATCTACGTACACGGTCAGGAGGAAGGCAGTCTCCACGATCCTCATGACCGACCCGATACTCAAAGCCGTTCACCTGAAGACTACAACCCCTGCTGAGAGGTACGTATCCTTGCAAATCCCCTGGGCCAGAACCCGAGTCTTATCGAGGATAACAGGGCGCTTCTTCGTCTTGTGAATCGACGCGACGTGCTCGCGCTCGCACACGAGAACCTAGCCTCGGCACATGACCTGGTGATGAAACAGCTCTCAAACTTGCAAGTCAAGAATCTACAGATCAATCGCGAGAACCAGGAGCTAGTGCGACAGCTCCTAGAGCTCACCAAGCAGGATTCATCATGGCGCGAGAGACTTGACGATCCTGAGTTGCTGTCGCAACTGAACGAGCTTGAAGTGGATCTGAAGGGGCGCAAGGCACATTGGGACACTATGAAGAATATCGCTAGCGCGGTTGTAGTCGGGAGTGGACTAGATTGGGCAGATGATGATAAGCTTCGCGCCCTGGTGCTGGATGAGAGTGATATCTGAATGTTATGTTTTGTTTCAGGTTTGTTCAGTCCACGGGTGTGGAGGCGTACAATACCCAAGATTCTATTTCTGTCCAGTTCCATCAACGGGTTCTAAATGACAATTACAGTACACGTATCACCGCTGCGCAAGGATGTCGGTCTAGACAAGTAAGGGCGGATTAATGTAAGCACCTTTTAGACTAGACTCCAGGATGCGATATATAAAATTACAAATACGCGATTCTATGACGCCTCTCGGAAGACGTGGAACTGATACATTACGGAGTCTCTTCCCTTACTGCGGTATGGTATGTAAGAATGTGCGGAGACTGATATCCGTGGACCACATTTGGTTCAGTTCCTCTCCAGTACTGTACTTATGACTGGAGGCCAGGGCGCGCTATGCGATACGCTCCAACGGAGAAGACATCCTGAATTTAGCTTGGCTTGTGATTGATGGTGTGATGCGGTAAGGAATCTTCATTTGGAGAGTGTTTCACTCTGGGACATGCTAAATATTACTTAACTTATACCTGACTCTCTGATATGATACTAGGATTTACTGTACTATCTCAGTACTGAAACTGTGTTGCTCCTGTCAACACCTGTAGTCTCTATGGCGATTGACTATTCCTGGCCAGGCAGTAGCCCATAGCGCGAGGGTCAATGTCCATACCTACTGTAAGTACTGTACCTCTGCAGCCGTGTTTCCAATTGGGGACTATGGGGGTTACGCTAAAAGGGTACGCCACGCCATGATTGAGCAAACCGTCCGCCCTTGCCTGAGAGAAGAACTTTGAATGCTACCAGTGGTCTCTCATTGCATTAGGTTTGGGCCATTACACAGATTGCCTAGACAATATATCACACAGCGGGTTTGACACCGAGAGCCGGAGTAAACTTTGGGCTCATATTGACGTGGGAGTCTACTGTATAGTACAAATAATGGTGGCCAGGGACCTCTTCCTGAGGGCGGAAACCGGTTCCTATACATGGCCAGCCAGCGTACGATCTCGCCCAACCGGCAACGATAGCTATCGTACGGCGATGTCTCTCTCATGATCCTTGTCAAAGTGCTTCCATGCCAGAATTCTCGCTACTTTTTGCGCTGCCTGGGCCATTTGGATGATGTTGACACGGCGTACATCGCTGCCTTGGGTTGATCCAGGCAACGCAAAAGACCAGACCAACCGTCCCCTTCATGTTCACAGAAGAATCATACAGTAGGGTCCCAATGGGCATGAGCGATCTATAGAAATTATAATACGACAGGGACTCGCCACGGGGACTCGTTTACGATAGATTACGGCGTATTCCGTACGTGTATGTTTGCGCGACTTTATTAATAAGAAGCAAGACGTAATTCTCCACGCCAATCCACCGGAATGGGTGTACCGTTTCATACGTATTATGGCCTTTACCAGGCATTTTATCAAGAACATGTCGACAAAACATGAGAATTAGACCCAAAAAGAAGAGAAGCAGCAAAAAAGAAACCGGCCAATTCACCAAGCAGTCTAATTTCAGACTAAACGAAGCATGGTTTGCTCTGGAGGCCACTCTGGCAGTGTAAGATACGCGTATGTACATTCCCTGCTTACATTGTCCCCTCTCACTTTGCTACTACTACGGCCCTCCCCCCTCTACTCTTCTTCCTCTCCTATTCCTCTCTACCATCCCCCATACAAACTTGCTTCCCCCCATACAAAAAAAGGTACTGCATATCTTCCATTCTATATGCCCTCTATGCCCTCCCATTTCAACCACCACCAATTTTCCCTTTTTTTCCAATTCTTTTGATCCTTTATTTCACCTATTTTCACCTCATTGCCCATGTCTTTTTTTGTGTCGCCGGCGCAATCTGGTCGCGAATCTACGTTGAAGGTCCCAAAGCTGACTTGAGTGGAACACAATAGCTTCCTGAATTTACCACACACAGTCAATTGCCTTTTCAAATCAGGTACGCAAATTTTGTTCGTCGTTTCCTGTTTTTTCCCGGTCGCGGAAGTGCTGAAAGTGGTCGAATGCGCGCGTCGCGACTACTCGCTCGCAACACGCGCACCCCGATACAAACACTCTCTTCTCTCTTCCTTCCCCACCCTCTCTCTCTCTGCCAGTTCTTTACTTGCCCGTAAACTTCATTTCCTGTTGCTCTCGCACCCATTTTACCTCGTTTTCGCATATCGCAATTGCTATCATGGCCAGAGTGACCCGCTCTAACTCTATTGCTGCAGCCAAAATGCCTAAGGAGAAGTCTACCCGCAAGGCCGCTGAGAAGCCCCGCGTTCAGCGCCGCAAGAAGGGTAAGTTGATTCATCCTGATCCAGAATAGATGCATGTACTGATTCATCGCAGACCCCAACGCTCCTAAGCGTGGTCTCTCTGCTTACATGTTCTTTGCCAACGACAACCGCGACAAGGTTCGCGAGGAGAACCCCGGCATCAGCTTCGGTAAGTCAATTGGTAAAAATTCGAAGTGAATCCAATCTCACGGTTTCTACAGGCCAGGTCGGCAAGCAGCTTGGCGACAAGTGGAAGGCTCTGAGCACCACCGAGCGCAAGCCCTACGATGACAAGGCTGCTACTGACAAGAAGCGCTACGAAGATGAGAAGGCCGCCTACCTCGCTGTAAGTGTAGACTTCCATTCCCGTGTTTGTGTCTCTGTCGTGACTCTTACTAACGGTTTAATAGAAGGCTGAGGATGAGGATGAGGAGGAGTCCTCCTAAATTCAAATGCTTTCCTCGCATTTTCACTTCGTCTTCGGCCTCAAGGTGTTTCTAGTTTTCATGGATTTTCCCACGGTTTCTTCTTTCGGATGGTTTCGTGCACGGCTTCTGGGTTAGGATGACGGAGGGGTTTTATTTGCTTCTGATGGTTCCCCTGCTTTTATCAAAGGCTACTACTTTCTCAATGGGAAACATGATCCTTTTACTGATCCAGCTCCGCTGTGTAGCTTGAATTGTAGACTCTGTAGGTGTCGGAGTGTAGAAGGGTAGAGCTTCTGTGCGCGAACGGCTTCGGCAATACCTCGGCTCAAGCTCAAGCTCAAGCTCCGGAGCTTTTATTTTGCCCCGCACAAGAACTGACCGCCTGCGTCATTGACCGCTCGAAGAATCCGGGGTCGGCTAAACGTTGTTTTGCTTTGGCTTTGCTGGAGCAGCCAAGCTGAAAATGCCGAAAACATTGAATAAATCATGGGTGAGTACTCCACAAATTCTGAGATTACTCCCATTTACCGATCGTCACAGTTTGTCAACCCGAACTATGAGCATCCTCTGTTGAATGCACGCTGGGTGAATCCTAACCATCCTCAGCGACTACTCCGGTAAACCGATGAGCCGATTAGCCGCTTTACCGATCGTTACAGTTTGTCAATCGAAACTATGAGCATCCTCTGTCGAATGCAATCCAGGTGAAATCTCACTATGTTCGGCAATCGATCCGATTAGCCGATCGTTATAGTTCGTTAACTGAATCTAGGAACATCCTCTACAAGGTGCACCGCCTGAGATGGAGCTAGATCGCCGAGAACCTTGTCTCGAATTTGAAGCCTCGAGCTCGATACCGTTCTGATCAGCCAAGACACAAAACGATACAAATTCCCAGGCCCGGCAGTCCTGGAGAACCTACCGTACACGTATAACAGCCACTGTCACGAAACGCCGAGCATCACGATACAATCCACAATCGGGACGAAAGAGAGCCCAGTTCAAGAGATGCATGGAGGCTCTAAGACGAGCTCTCGGTGACTTGCCTACCATGCATGCACTTCCTGGTGGTCAGAAAAGAGGACATACAGCTTCGTTTATGCCCCGGAAAAGAATTGATAGGTTATTCGAAACTCTTCCGAGACGAAGACACAACCGTGCAGCCGATATGAGCTTGGAAAGGAGATACTCCAAGATGGAGCCATCAATATTTCGAGGGCTGGAGGCAGGAGGGGGCTCAGGGTGAAGGACAATACAATGGGTGTGAAGGGAGGGAGGGTTCTGGCATCCCAGGGTACAATGCAGCGATTTGATTCTGGGACCAGCAGGCATGTTTGGCAGGAAAATTCTACAAGCGCGGGCAGGTTCTGATCCATGTCAATGCTAAGACTGGACAGCTCATGTCAACAGTGAAGCTAGACTGTCTTGAGGTGATCTCTGGCGTCGTCATGATCTAGGGCATCCAAAGTCCGGTCCTACCAATGACGGCCCACGATTTCGTTTGTCGTCGTTGCGAGCTGTCCCGGGGCTGTGGGAGAACTAGCCCTAGTCGACGACAAGCGGCTGTCGGTACATGCATGAGGCATCGTGTATAGCATGACAATTGAGCTCTATTACCAGGCTCATTTCTCACGTACAGCAGGTGTTTCATTTGGTGCGAGGGATAGGACTTCACACATCCGATTCGGTGTCGCAGCTGACCCGACCTTGACATCCTCGCAGTGTCAGGCTCCGGCCGCCTCCGATAGGCGCTTCGGATCATCAGTTGCCTTCATTGTGTTATAGGGCACATGCAAAAACCCCTTCCACATGTCTGTACGGCGAATTTTTGATGAATATGACAGAACTTGGCAAGCATTCTGAGATATCTTATGCTGTATGCCATAAGCGACAGCCTTGCCTAAGGAGACTACACCCTGGATCTGCAGAACATATTCCCAGATCATGTTTAAGAACCAATGAGCGAACCCTTCAAGAATCGGGTGAATAATCCCGATCGACATGCCAGACAATCCTGGAAGTTAATCGGATTTTGATCAATTAGGCGTCCACTGTTGCCTTCAGCACTTACTTCATCTGCTATTGGTTGTCTGCTTGGTCATTTCTGCCCTTTTTATTTTTCTCTTTCGGTTCGCTTGTTCTGACCACACTTGATATGTTGTCTATACTTACCGCTATTTGGGTTGCCACCAGTCTAGACAAGGGTCTACCAGTCTACCAGTCTAACCAGGATCCTGTCTTCTCCACATTTAGGGCTACAATTATGAACCATGGAAACCTCTCCAAGACAATCCGGTGACTATGAGATCGTGGTCTCTGTCTCTATCTCCCAAGTCTTTGTTTCTGTTCACTCGCAAATAGTTGCAGATGCAGAGGCAGACCAAACTCCACTATGCCCCGCCATTCCCGCTTGAACACGTCAAACGCTCAAGAAACCCTGTCCAGAGCCGCACACGTGAGGGGTTTTCAACAATCTTAATTGTGTCTATCTGAGCTTATTGGCTTTTATACCCCTCCAACGTTCCCCCCTCCATGGACTCATCTCTATGATGGCTCTGCGCACATCTGCTGAGCACGCCGAGGATGTCGCCGCTGGCTTCGCCAACTTCCGGGGTCCAGTCCCTGAGATTTCCTCCGAGGTCAGATTGCTTATCGCCGACTTGTACGCCATAAGCTCTCTGCTCTCAATCCTGGAGGACTTGGGCAAGGATTACCGCCTGCAGATCAATCTTGCCCGCATCCAGCCCGATCTGAGCATGGTGCAAGCAAGTTTGAAATACACGCTCGAGGATATTGTCAACTTCTTCGGTCGTCTCAGCGGCCCAGCGATTGTACCGGATACTTACAAGCACATATGGCTTTCGCTCAGTCGATTCTTCTGGGATGAATCGAGATATACTCTCGCGACCCGCCTGGCCAAGTATAAGGCAATGCTTAGAGAGCTAAGCGAGATGGCGAAAGAGTAGGTAGCCCACCAAAGATAACTGTAGACCCAAGACGAAACTGTACTTATACTTGTCATCCACAGTAAATATTACAGCTCGCCGCTCCTCGATGGCCTCCGCAATGGCATGAACACCCTCCTCTCCATCCAGGACAGCCGACTCGCTTCTCAACTTGGGCGCATGTCAATGGGTGGTCGGCATCCGTCCAGCAGCAGCACTGAGACGCATAGTCCTGCCAATGATCATAGACCCAATCCTGGTCGCCGGCAAAGATCATTCGACCGTAAGCGCCCTTCTCATGCATCTCCTACATCGCCGCTGTCGCCATCTTCGGGCAATTTCTCGGACTTTCCGCCTTCTGTTCCGGATGTCCCTCTCTCGCCGCCAACTTCTACGACTGCAACCACTGCTACGAATGGCACAAGTCGCTCCACGGCGTCTGACACTGTCAAATACCACTGGGCAAAGGATGTATACGGAACTTGCGATACGAAAACTCCTCTTCCATCCGTATCTGAGATGTGAGTGTACACTACTCTATAACACTCACTAACAATCGCTAATGCATCTGGCTATAGATCTGGTTGCCGAGGAGAAGACCATCCAGGCGTCAAACAAGCAATCCGAGAAAAGGGCTTCGAAGAACTCCTAAAGCTGTAAGCAGATAATTCAGATCCCAATTCTGGCCATCACTAAAGATTTATGACCAGAAATGTCAATGACGATTCAGACATGAGCGTATCATTCTGGCTGCGAGAAAAAGACAACAGAGCCCGAATCATGTGCAAAACCCCTCGCCGCGGTAGCAGACCAAGTGAATACTTCTGTCTTCCTCTCAACTTGCTGGAGATCTTGCGGGAGCGATCTTGTCTGCGATTGTGTAGACGGCGCAGATCTGGAACTGAGCTTGTTCTGTGGACTTTGCTTAAGTTTACCACTATGGAAGGTTAGTATCTTCAAACTTCGCCAGGCAGAGATATGAATTGTGTGTCTTTCTTTATAGGTTATGGATACGCTAACTCTTTCGTTGATTTCAGATATGGTCCTATTTCATAATACATTCATCGCTCTCCGCTCCCAGGACCAAGGCCATCCTCCGCGTCAAATCCTAGACCACGAACTCCAAGACGAAGATGAAATCTTTGGAGGGTAAGAATATTCACGCCTCAATGAACCACATTACAAAACGCGGTGAGCTAATAGATTGACAAATAGTCAAATCAACGACGACGAATACCCCCACGCCCTCCGCATTTACCAAGACCTAGAAACCGGGGCCGTACGTCTTCAATCATCAATAATGGACGGCGACACGAGACAGTAAGTGAATATTTCGTCCCATTTTATTTACAGACTTAACGGTTGGTCATAGAACACCAGTGTGGACAGCTTTCATAACAAAACACATTGAAAAGCCACGCCTATTTCACCAATACGACGCAGCAACGATCCACATCCGCAATCTGAAACCTGTTGTCTTTATTTCGGCAGAGGACTACTCGCTCCCGAAAAACAGGCACGGAGATCATGTTTTGAAGTTTACAAGTGCGGCTGGTACGTTCTGTTTCTACTCTATCTATTACTTACCATTGATACACATGTGCGTTTACATGCGCATGTGTATTATGTTCATGTATCATTGGCTAACAGGTGTGAAATGGTGTGGTCTAGATGCCGAGGGATTCCTTGATATCGTGCATGAGCTTTATAGATCTTATACCAAACGACGTTAACTAATGATCTTATCCTGATGAGATTTGCCTCGTTTTGCTTTGCCTTGCCTTGCTTTTTCTTGCGTTGCACCGATTCGACTTTTGCTGTTATGAGTGATGAGATGATGTTATGATTGTGATGATCGGATTAAAAGTCGTTGGAATCTTTCTTTCTATAATTATGATGAGCGTTGAATGCTGAATGATGATCGTTGAGTTGATTGCTTCTCCTCTCCGTTGTTCGGAGATCGGCTTTGTCTATGGTGCCCGGTGTTGTCCTGGCATAGTTTAGGTCTAATTGTGGATTGATATACCGGAACACGTGAGGTACTACTCCAATCTAATCAATTAAACAAGGTGTTTGCATTTGCTTCGCTGTAATCATACATGGGGGTATCATAAATAATAATCAAGACATGTGAAGGGGTGACTTTGAGTGTAGGGTGCCATAGTGTGTGAGGGCGCTTAAAGAGTTCACTCAGTCCTCCCAGTATCGTTTTTTTTTTCACACTATCGGCTGTTCAGGTTTGCCTATTAACATTGCCGACTGCCGAGCTTCTCAGGATTGCCGACTATTCGGCATTTCCCAGTGCAGCGTTGTCGGCCTGTTCAGTGCTGTCGGTCTGCTCGCCTTTCTGGGTAGGAATGATAGTTTTCTCAAGCTCCGTCATGAATTGAGCGGCCATCTTCCTGTTCTTCAACTCCGCAATTTTCTCTAGTCTCCACTTGATTTTAGCCTCACGCCGCTCCAGCCGTTCCTTGTTCGATCTGCGCTTGTTCAAGGTTTCCTCTCGAACCCGAGAGAGCTCCTCCATCTGTTGAGCACGATCCTTCTCATCGGTCGAGAAAGCATAAAATCCAGTTCCACGGTTCCGTACTTCCCATTCAGCATCATAATGCTTCTGCTCAGGCGGTGTAGCGGAACGGTCACGGCGAGCAGCAAGATGAGACATGTGTGACGTGATGGTAGCATCGGGGTTAAAAGCTTCAGCTTGAACAGCAGCTCCATAGATAAGATTCTCAGGACGGGCAGGTCGCCAACGTTCCTTGCCAACTCTCCCACCATTCGCCTCATCAATAGCATTGGAAGCTTCCGCGGCTTCGGCACGCGTTCCACGACGCGTTCGGCCAAATTCGTCTTCGTAAGAAATTATCGAGGCATTGTCATCATCCGATAGATCTTGTTTATTCTCTTCTTCATCTGCGTGCTTGCGATCGAAGTCCACTAGTCCTTCTCTTTCTTTGCGCCGCAGTCGCGCAAGGTAATCTTCCGGCTTGGATGCATCGTACTGCTCATCATCGTCACTGTCATCGGCGAGATGATGCCCTTTTTTCATATCATCGTATATCCGCGCTTTCTCGTCCATCCGGCGACGGGATCGGCCCAGAGTGCTGGCGTCGACATCATCGAGGTCCTTGCTGCTTTTGTGGACCTGCTTCAGTGCCCGATTGTCATCCGCGAGGTCAGCTGCGGCTCTTTTGAGGGATCCTTTGTTGTGCTTCGAAAATATGTCTGACTTTGGGTTCTTGGAAGGGCGCTGACGACCCTGTTTGGAGCTGGAGTTGGAATCTTGTGAGATGAGTGAAGAGAGTTGGGACGCAAAGGCCAGGTTAGAGGATGTTGTTTCGTTAGACTGGGTCTTCTGGCGACGCTGCCCATAAAGGGACGAGTTTTTGTCTGCAGACATTGTTGGGAAGATTGTCTCGAAGGCAGGGTGCCTGGAGGATGTTAAGTTGACTTCTGATAATCATGGCAGCGAGCTTATCGATAAGGCGCAATCGCACACCGCCGTATAGTTCTGCCCGATGACTAACGCCGATATTCGCAGCCCCGCACCTGATATCCGATCGTTTGACTCAATTGAAGTGTTTCTCAGCTTTGATCTGATACTTTAACTCTTAATTGAGCCTTAGAAGCAACAATTGATTCGGAATTTTTCAAAAGTTCAATCATTTAGCATACACTATGTCTGCTAACCCTATCTACCTCGGTGTCATTGGTAAGTACCCCTCATCATGATATGGCATTGAACATTTGGGACTGAATTCTAATCATAATCAACCAGGCGTTGGAGGTGTTGGCACTGCCTTCCTCTCACAGCTTGCCCGTCTGCCCAATGCCCCCCAGCTCGTCCTCCTTGCTCGCTCCTCCCAGACCCTTCTTTCCCCTAGCCCTGCCTACTCGCCGGCCATCCCCGCCGCCGACTGGGCTACTGCTTCTGCTGCTCCATCCTTGATCAAGAAGGGTGCCCTCCAGGCTGAGGAGATTGCCACATACCTTGCCTCCGCCCCTGGTCGCGCCATCCTGGTCGACAACACCTCTGACATCGCATTGGCCCGCCAATACCCCACATTCCTCAAGAAGGGCGTGTCAGTCGTAACCCCTAACAAGAAGGGATTCTCCGATGACATTTCCCTCTGGAAGGATATCTTCGCTTCTGCTGCCGAGGGCAATGCCCTCGTCTATCACGAGAGCACCGTCGGCGCTGGTCTCCCCGTCCTCTCAACTCTCAAGGACCTCGTGGCCACCGGTGACGAGGTGACCCGCATCGAGGGTGTCTTCTCCGGCACTCTTTCCTTCCTCTTCAACAACTTTGCCCCCGCCTCCGGCTCCTCCAATGCTCAGTGGAGTGCTGTCGTTGCTCAGGCTAAGGAGCTTGGCTACACCGAGCCCGATCCCCGCGATGACCTGAACGGTATGGATGTTGCCCGCAAGCTTACTATCCTCGCTCGTCTTGCCGGTCTTGAGGTTTCCCGCCCCGACTCTTTCCCTATTGAGTCTCTCATCCCCGCCGAGCTCGAATCCCTTCCTTCCTCTGCCGATGGTATCACTCAGTTCATGACCCGTCTCCCTGAGTTTGATGCCCAGATGGCCAACATCAAGGACACTGCTGAGAAGCAGGGCAAGGTAGTCCGCTATGTTGGCAGCATTGACGTTGCCGCCAAGGCCGTCAAGGTTGGTTTGCAGTACTTCGATAAGGACAGCGCTATTGCTGGTCTTAAGGGCAGTGACAACATCATCAGCTTCTACACCAAGCGGTACGGCGCCAACCCCCTCATTGTCCAGGGTGCCGGTGCCGGTGGTGATGTTACCGCCATGGGTGTCTCCGCTGATCTGCTCAAGGTTGTTGAGCGTCTGCGTTAAATGCTAGATATCAAGGTCCAAAAATAAAGCCGATCGTAACGTTGTATATGAAAAGATTCTTATAAAAATAAAAATAAAAACCAAGATCTTCTCAAACCACGTTTATTCACCTTCTTATGCTATATCTATGATCGCAAGAACTCCTTCAACGCTTCTCCCCACACATCCCCCCTCTTATAAACATGCATTTCAGGCACATTCCCCTTCCTTAGCCCATCAACAGCAACAGCCATATCCTCCCCAAGCCCCTCGTCCTTAATCTGTCTCATCGGATATGTATACGTATGAAAACCAAAGACGAGCGCCTCGGACCTAGGCATCCGATGCAAAGTCTGCCGCTCACACCGAAGAACAGTCTATATAAAAGTCAGCACCCTTACATTCTCAATCACAACCCACCAGTCCGACCAATACACACCTCATCAACATTCAACATCCCAGGCTGAATAGCATCCTCCTTCTTCCCCACAGCGGCATGTGTCCCCCCAAACGCAGCGAATAAATCCGTGGCGATAGTAACACTCCAATTAACTCTCCGAACAAACTTCCCAACCTCAATTCGGGCAAAGAATCGATCCATACTGCGCTCGATCTTCTCTTTATATCCCGGCACGGGCTTGTGGATATCAGCTAGCCGTAGACCGAGTTTCTCGCGTGTATTGAATCCAGATGGGAAACAGGCTGCGTAGGCCTGCAGTATGTATTTTGGTTGGTCGCCATTCTCTGGGGATAGTTCTGGGAGGAGGATTAGGAATTCCTCGTCGACGGTTTGTGTTAGAATTTCTAGGGCTTGGATTGTTGGTGTGCTTGGGGATAGCGTTGTTGGGTATGTTGCGCCTGTCACTAGGTTTTCAAAGGTGGTGAGCGAGTCGTTGGTTTTTAGTTTGAACATATCTGGGTAGCGTGTTGGTAGGTATTTGCCTAGTATAAATGTGTAAAGCTCGCTGACGGCGGCGCGGGTGCGTGGATCTTGGGTTTCTGGTCTGTCGTTGACTGCGACTACTATGTCATGGTGTTCGTTGAGGATTGATTTGCGGAGGTTTAGGCGCTCTTGGTATGTTTTGTCCATTGGGATTAGTTCTGATGGGTCGAGGTACTCAATTGCTTGTAGATGTCAGTCAGTATATATATTGAAACCATGGCAGAATGAAAAGTACTCACACATAGTCAAATTAAATTTATCCTTGCCTTTGAATGGTCGAAATTGCAATGGCTCTGTGTTCTCCCAGTTAAACCCCTCTAGAGGCGTAATGACCGGGTCCTTCTTTTCCGATAGAGCTGGCTCTTCCATTGTCGCACAAGTATAACGGTATTGTCGAACTCTCCAGGCTGCGAGACACAGTCCCATGATAAGAGCACCGAGCAGATAACTTATAGAAGGCATGGTGTGCCATGGTCCGACCAGATCCATTTTATTGTGTAGAAGCTCCGCCATTCTTGTAGGGTTGACTGTATGTGTGAAGTACGGATAGATAACTATAGAGCACAGGGTAGATGACAGCCCGTTGGACAAAGGATTTTATACCTTCCACCTCATTTCTACTCCGCATGGACTCCGCAGTGACAATCAACTCCGGTTGGAGCTTATCAAGAGCCCTTCACGTTGACTGGTGGAATGGTCCGTTGGTTGCCGCTCATTGACTCACACAGCCGAATCGACTTGGTGGGGTTGATATCTAGATAACATCTTATAACTTATACAGATAGAGAAGCCGATATTAGTCTGGATAAGAATAACTTCCATTGTGCGAGTATCGTTGCACAACCCTACATGAAGTAGAAGTAGAAGTGCCAGGGAGAGATAAAGGTACAGTTCCCGATTGTGTCAGTGACAAACCTCCGAGTCGTAATATCCGATGATAGCAATGAGATGCCAATGGAATCAATGAAAAGAGGAGACATACTCCTATGATGATAAAAAACAGACAAACAGACAATGCTCGTAGGTATAACGATAAACAGGCTAAAATCCATGACCATGGAACCCACAGGAGTCCCAGATGCGCAGACAGAAAACAACCCCCAAAAAGAAATAACAAAATCAAATCATAAGCGTCGTCATTTCTCACTTGGAGAGAAGCAGGTCGTCAATTCAGACTCGTGCCCCTATGTTTCAGAACCCCATCTCCACTTGAAGGTGGATTGACACCACTGACAGGGTTCACATTCTCTTTTCGAGATTCCTCGCGATCGTTCTCTCTCCTTGATCTGAACTCCACACTCTGGTCCCCATCGCTTTCCCCAGTATCTGTCTCCACGCCGCGCAATTTGAAGGCCCTCCGCTGCCCATCCGGCCGTTCATTCAAGCTCGGTGCGCGCGGACGCTGTTGACCCCGAGCGCGTCCTCCAATCCCAGGGAATTCCCAGAGAATCATGCGATAAAGCCATATAGTTGCATCAAGGAGGATGAGGAAAGCCCAGGGGCCGATGGTGATTAGACCGAGGACGAACTGCGAAAATCCGGGGTAGGTCAGCAGCTGCGTCATAGGGAGTTCGGGAAAGGGAGCGCAACATACGAAGACACGAGCGGCCCAGCTCTCCAGGTGGGTTAATTCCTGTGGAAGGATTGAGTACCACGCCATGAGGGGTGGATATGGAGGTGGTGAGTCTCGGGGGACTGTACAGCTATATCTAGCGCGCGTTGGGTGGGGCTATCCCTGCTCGCCGCTTTGAGGCTTGAGCCACACTTTTGTCCACTGTCCACTGTCAACTGCCAACTGTAGACTTGATAGGGATTTTGATCTGTATCGCATGATTGTGTGTCTAGGACCTTTGTTGAGAGCCTAGTCGCACGGGCCCCTTATTGGTTCCTTTTGATTGGTGATCTCGGGACTCAGGAACAATCTGTCACGCAACCCTGGAGATGCCCGAGTGTGCCAATGTGATGTATTTCAGAGGTGCCTAATCAGTAATCAATTGTGGTATCTTATATAATACAGCGCACTTAGAAGTAAAATATCGATTATCCGCACTCAGCTGTCTCGACGTTCGCATTCATCTTCAAATTTCCTATTTAGGTATCGCGCAGGATTTGCTTTAGCTAACGCAGTGTCCTTTCAACATTGAAATGATTGTACGCAGTAACTTTAACTAGAAGAGAGAATCTAAATTTGCCATTTCACCTCTTCATTCAAGTAAAAAAACCAAAACTTGAGAAGTCCGGCAGTGGCTTCTCGGTCTTCCGGACGTTCCTGCAGCACTAATTCAAGGAAGCCTATCAGCTTCTCGATATTTCTTTGCCAAAGCCAGTCTGTAGTTTCTTGCTAATATATAACCCCAGGATTGATGATAACTAAGCTCTAGTGCTATATTGGCCGAAGTCTTGCGGATATAATTTGAGTAGTTTGGATTCTTCCGATTATTGCTTCAACATCAGAGTTCATAGCTCGGAACACAGGACAAGGATATAATCATGAGGTCCAATATAAATCAAAACTATCCATTCATTCCAGAACCAAAGCTTCCCAAGGGTTCCCTGGATCAATTGCAAGCAGTTTCGATGGGTGGATGAGGGCAAAAGGTCCAAACTATAACTCGAACCCGAGAGAAAGAGAAATGCGATCTTAACAGTAACAGGAGAAACGAGAGCATGTCCCTGTATCTTCAGCCTACTTCAATGTGGAAAACAGACCAAACACACGTTATCTAACAATCCGATTTTTTTCTTGTGCAATATGTCCTCAAGGTGAACTAAGGAGTAATATCTAGCACGATAATCTTCTAAAGGTTCAGAAATACCATGGATGCACTCAATGAGACGCATTTCATCATTATGAAGGAATGGTGTCTCTAAATAGCAGGGGCAGTTTGAACCCGATGATCGCAATGCAACATGAACTAGCCGCATTGGTCCTAGTATGTATAGTATACTTGACTGCACAAGTTCCGTCTACTCCAGCTCGGTGTCTGTTTAATAAGGGGGTTTTTTGGAGGCAGGTCGATTGAGATATTTTATAATTGCGTGTTGAGGGTTAATTGATCTGATCATGGGCCCCAAGAAGTAGCTCGAAGCTGATCACTATCTACATTGTCTCTCCTACAAGCCTACTTAATGTTAGCAAAAGTGACATGAAATGTCCAAGTGTGCAACAGTATTGTAAATTCTTTCAAACTACAGAGTCCCGGCAGCAAAGATTGCCAAAAGCTCGAGCTACTTAGGTTCCCTGCGAATGAGGTTGACTGCTATGAATCTCGATTTCGGACCATGGTAAGAACTGAGGCTGTCGGTAGTGGGGGTGAAGAGGCGGAGCAAGAAAGGTCAAAGTGAAGCCAAAGTAAAGCCAAAGTAAAGCTAAAGAAAGACAAAACCAAGACAAAACTAAGGCAAGAAAAAACAAAAAAACAAAAAAAATACGTAGAGGTATTCGTTATTTCAGGAATGTCAGATTTAACGCTCGATCAGTGACATACCCAGAATTATAGCCCCTGCTGTATATCGGAGGGATATACCCATGTACTGACCATCCAATCGCTATTTGCGCGACTTCGCGACGTGGAGAGCTGAAGCAGCGAATCAGCTGGAGTTTAACGTCTCCGGTCTCAAGTACGTCACCGAGCGACCTCACCTCATGCTCCCCCCAAATCAACCGACTTCTCCGCAGCTTCTCTTCTCTTCTTCTGACTTCTTCTCCATAATCATCTCAGTCGCATTCTACCCACTATACTCCTCCCACTCAATCGCAGCTCATTTTACGAAGCACCCTCTCGATACTTGACATCATCTATTCACTATGGCGACTGAAGCAGCTGTCGGACAGAGTCCCTCTACAACTCCAGGTATGTATCTATATCTATTGGTGTGTTCATTGATGCTGGTTTAGCCGAATACTACGCCCCAGCCTCACGAGTTTGAGACGGAATGGCTTTTCTTTGCATCCATGCATCTATGATACTTGTGCTAGATGCTGACTAAGTGTTCTAGAGACGGCCCAGATCGTCGAGGACCATTCGCACGCATTCCAAAACACGTTGAACACAACACAGACGGACAGCGCACCCGATGTCCCTGAAACAGCAAAGCCTGCTGTCAACAATAATTCCTCAGAGGTACCCAGCTCGGATGCACCCAAACCAGTGGCTCAAGAGACAGAGCCGCTTGAGCCTGTATCATCTGGGGTTGACAATGCCACTGCTGTAACCAATGACACCGGAGATACAATTGGACCCAAGGATGAAGTACCTGTCATCGAACCAGTGACAGGTGTCAAGCGTGATCTTGATGCGTCTGAGGCTCCCGACTCAACTGTGCCTGTCGAGAATAAAGAAACTGTACCTGTGTCAACTGAAGAACGTGACTCTAAGAAGCAGAAGACAGATGAGAAGCCTGATTCAGGATCAAATGGTCGTGCTCCCTCGGATACAAAGAATGGAAGCAATGAACAAAAGAAGGAAGGTCGACACACGAAGGACAAGATCAAGGATGTTATGAAGAAGGTTATTCCGGGAGACAGCATTGGAAGCCGCACCCGTAGCCGGACAAAGGGTGCTTAGTTCTGTCCTTAGTGACCGTTGGCCCTCGGCTGTCATGCTTGATCCAATGAGTGATGCATACTCACGGACTTCTCATGGTTATAGCTGTACACGGGCTTCACCATGAAAATTGTAACCAATTATTTTGATGGTTTTGTTTGTGCCAACACAACTAAATCTGATTTTGAATCTCGTAGAAACGAACGGTAACTTAACATCGGTAGACACATCTTCGTTGCCCTAATTTCCCCCAAGAGGCCGATCATCGGGCTGAGTCATTTCATCGGAACGGAATAACCACGTCCCCCCGCTATCACCGGAGGGGCAAGTGTGTGTCATTGGCGGTCACTTTTAATTGCTTGACTTCTTTAACAATTTCTTTGGCATTTACAACTACAATATCACTATGTCTGGACAGAAGATTTGGCTGCGCGCTGAGACCAAGCCCGCTGAGGCGCGGTCTGCCTGTGAGTTGCTTCTCTACAATGGCGGTGATGAGTAGGAGCTAAACCACCCAGTGACTCCCACTACTTGCAAGGCATTGATTGATGCTGGATATGATGTGACTGTTGAGCGGTCCACCCAGCGTATCTTTGATGGTATGTTTCAGTTTCACTACAACTAATTGATCGGACTCAATGGCTAATTGTACTCTAGATGAGGAATTCGCCAAGGTACGCCGTGCTCTCCCAACGTCAATGCGGTGATTCGTATTCTCCCTGGATCTCGTTCTAAACACCGTCAAATATAGATCGGAGCTCCTCTCGTCGCGGAAGGTTCCTGGGTCAAGGATGCCCCTAAGGATGCCGTCATTCTGGGTCTCAAGGAGTTGCCCGAGGATGACTTCCCTCTGGAGCATGTCCACGTCACTTTCGCCCACTGCTTCAAGCAGCAGGGTGGTTGGGAGAAGGTTCTCAGCCGCTGGCCTCGGGGCAAGGGCACACTGCTTGACCTGGAGTTCCTCACTGATGACTCTGGACGTCGCGTTGCTGGTAAGAGCTCACACTTCTTCTGGTCTTTAATCCAATTTACTAAAATACGTCTTTTCCACAGCCTTCGGATGGTCTGCTGGTTACGCAGGTACATACACTTAAATATCACGATTGGACTCAATACTAAGATACTGATAGGATCTGCTTTGGCCGTGAAGAACTGGGCTTGGCAACAGACCAACCCTAACGAGTCTTTGCCTGCTGAGGTCCCCTATGCCAACCAGGACCGCCTGATTGAGTCTGTCAAGAAGTCTCTTGAGGCTGGCAAGAAGATCGCTGGCAAGGAGCCCAAGATCCTTGTAATTGGAGCCGTGAGTACTCTTTCGACCAACAGAGGTATTCATTATCTGACAACTCCTAGCTTGGACGCTGCGGCAGTGGTGCTGTTCAGTTGGCTCGCGATGTTGGTATCCCCGCCGAGAACATCATCGAGTGGGATATGGCCGAGACCGCCGGAGGTTCGTTACTATACCTATAATCAAAGTGCCGAACTAACTGATTCTAGGTGGTCCCTTTGAGGCAATCTCTCACCAGGCTGATATTTTCGTCAACTGCATCTACCTCTCTGCCAAGATTCCACCTTTCGTCAGCCCCGAGTCGCTTTCTAAGCCCAACCGAACCCTGAGCGTTGTCTGCGACGTCAGCGCCGACACGTAAGTTGACAAATCTTGATCTGATACGCATGTTCACCTAGCTAACTATCAACAGCACCAACCCCCACAACCCTATTCCCATCTACGACATCACCACCACATTCGACAAGCCTACCGTGCCCGTCAACCTTCCCGAATCCAACGGCCCTCCTCTCAGCGTGATCAGCATTGATCACCTGCCCTCTCTCCTCCCCCGTGAGAGCTCTGAGATGTTCAGCAGCGCTCTCTTGCCCAGTCTTCTCACTTTGAACGACCGGGCCAACGCTCGGGTCTGGAAGCAGGCCGAGGAGCTCTTTGATCAGAAGGTTGCCACTCTTCCCAAGGAGTACCAGGTTTAAATTCAGGGTTACGATGAAGTTAATTGATTTGATGGTACATTGATAGAATCCGATTAGGAGAAAATACCACAAAAGTTGCATGTTCACAATTCCATCATGTTGGCATAATCTATAACCACGTAGAATCTCCTTCTAGAAGGGCTGCACCCGCAAGGTCCATTTGAAATTGTAACGACAAGATTAAAATATACATGGATTAACTTATTTGAATCTTCACTAAATTGCTTGACTTCACATTCCTCTCCCATTTGGTTTCTCGCAGAGTACCTGCATCCCCAGTCCTGATCTGTCCAAAAGGCTATATAGCAGAGGCCTGAGCTTACGCCGTATAAAGACTGCCAACGTGGGCTTTACCCCAGACTCAACCCTGAAACCCTGAGTGCGGGGATCTCTGCGTCAGACGGATATCCGGAGCGTGGCGGTCCCGCTGCCTGGACTAAGAATGTATTGGACGAAAGAATATCGCGAGTACGAGGGCCAGGAATGTGTCCTCCTGAAACGCCCCCGGACGATCTTCGGATTTACTGATTTCTGCGAATTCTGGAGTTTCGTGTCTTTCTCCGCATGAATTCACTCCACTCCCTTTCTTCTCCCCCCGGCCGAACCCGCTCAATCCTTGCCTAAGTGCGCCCCCGTTCTCCAGCCCGCTCTCACCAACGCACCAACGCCGGCCACTGGAATTGAACCACACCCTCCACTAAACGAACACTCAACCCCCCCACAAGCCACTATTCGGGCCAAGCCGGCGATGGGGCAATGAGATGAGACCGAACCTTCCCTGCCTCGACACCTTACCAACACGCGAAACGCCGAACCCTTAACTCCTGCCCCGATGCAAGAGAAGCCGACAACGGTCGCTGCCTACGCGGCGGGGGCCTCACTGGCCGCCGTGGCCCTATTCTACGTCTTTGGACCAAACTACACAATCGACGGCGAAGAATCAAACGACAGCAATCGCAAGAAAAGCATTGTAGGCCTGTCCAATCTGGCCAATGACTGCTTCATCAATTCCGTGCTGCAAGCCCTGGCCGGCCTAGGCGACCTGCGAGTTTACCTGATCCACGAACTGCACCGGCGGCATCTGGATGGACCAGAGACATACCACACGGTGCCGAGTGACGGTGAGCTCACCGGAGCGCAAGAGGACAAGCTGCGGGAGCTGCAGCAGGGTATCACCACACGGGCTTTGAAGGAGATGCTAGACCGATTGAACGAGCGGCCTATCTACAAGAAGACAATTTCTGCGCGTGACTTCATCCAGGCTTTGGAGTACGCGTTCCGCACGCGTATTAGTCGCAATCAGCAGGATGCGCAGGAGTTCCTGCAGATTGTTCTTGAGAGATTGTGTGATGAATATCATGCGGGAGTGCGTGCTCGAAAGCGAGCACTTGGCTCTGCGGCTGCTGAGGTGACACTTGGTGATGCGCGTGAGGGGACTCCGTTGGAGAGCTCTTCTGAGGTAGAAGTCCGCGTTGATGATGGCTCACCCAATGGATTGCCGGCCATCATTGATACTAAGCTCAAGGCGATTGACCAGGAGTCTGGCTTCCCCTTTGAAGGCAAGATGGAGTCTCAGATTGAGTGTCAGTTCTGTCATTATCAGTACAAGCCGAACCAGACGGCTTTTGTCAACTTGACATTGCAGGTGCCACAGAAGAGCTCGACTACGCTGAGCTCGTGTTTCGATGGTCTTTTAAAGACTGAATACATTGAAGATTTCCGTTGCGATAAGTGTCGCATGCAGCATGCAGTGGAGGTCAAGTCGCAAGAGCTAGCCCGTGCCCGAGCACAGAGCGACAAGGACCGATTGGAGCAAGAAATTGCCCGCATTCGTGAGGCGATGGAAACTGACCCCGAAGGCGAGCTCGAGGGCATTGTGTTTCCTCCGTCCGAGACAGTCCCCAAGCGCCGAATTGCACGGCATATGCGTATCACGGCGTTCCCCAAAGTGATCGCCATTCACCTGTCACGATCGATCTTTGACCGGAGCAGTTCGAGCAAGAATGCCGCCAAGGTCTCATTCCCTGAACGGCTTCCTCTGGGCAGCATCTTAAGCCAGAAATGGTACAAGCTGCTAGCCATTGTCTGCCACAAGGGCAGTCACCACAGCGGTCACTACGAATCCTTCCGGCGCAACCATATATACCCGCCCTTCTCCACCCCCGAGGTCTTCAGCTCCTATGCTCAAAGTCGTGCTGCCAGCGAGAACCCCTCGGCCGCTCCAAGCCCGCGGATCGCGCCCCGTAGTAGTCCCGACCCCGACCTCAATGGCAGCATCTCGACCACCAACTCCTCGACCTCGCTCTCGGGGGCCTCGGCCTCGGCCACCCGGCTCACACCTCCCCTTCCGCGACCGACGACGTCCAGCTCGCGGCGTTCCGTTCAGAGCACCTCCCCCTCGGACAGCAACAGCCCAACCGGTGACCAGGGTCGCTGGAGTACCTCTACCTCCGCCCCCCGCCCCTCCCGCAGCATACCCCGCCCGTCTCTGGACACTTCGACGGGGGTCAGTTCGCGACTTCGACGCCGTCGCAAGCCGATGGATCGCTGGTGGCGCATCTCCGACGAGAAGATCAAGGAATGCAAGACTTCTGATGTGCTGGGCATGCAACGGGAAGTCTACCTATTATTCTACGAGTTGGAGAAGCCCGACCCGAGCCCTGCCGAGAGGCGTTGATCGCATCGGAGGATTCGAGTCTATTTTTCGTTGTAAATAGGAGTTAGATCTATCGTAGAATCCATGTGCGAACCATATCCCATGGAAGACAGAAGCAAAGAGTTCACCCTGCAGAGTCCTGAATATTCCTCAAATCATAACTTAGCGTTCGGGTGCCCAACATGTGAGATGAGACAATTGTTGAGGTTTTAGTGCCGATTAACGGTTGTTCCCTTTCCGATGATGTCACCTGCAGATCGAGCTCCTCTTCAGACTTGGTTGAGCTTGGAACCACAGAGACATTGGGTACAGGGAAAGAAAAAAAAAGCTCCAGTCCACCGGATTGACTGATTGAACATGGACTGGGTGTAGAATCGACCGGTTTGCTTCAAGCTTGCAGGTGGAAATCCGGCGAACGGCCTCGAATTTCCTCGGTTCCCCGCTACGAACAAAACACGGAGGGGGGGCTAATTCTTTCCTACAGGATTCAATGGAGAAGCAGTCCTGGTTGCGATGAATCATGGTCGAGAGTCTCTCTGCGCGCAGAAACCTCGAAACCCTTACAGTAGTCATCAGCTATGTAGCTGCCCAGGTGGTAGCTGGTAGCTCATAGCTCGTAGCTCGTCACTCGTCACTCGTAACCCCTTCCACAAGTCTCAATACTCCCGAATGTATAACCGGCGTCGGGCTAGAACGGGGATGGAGTAGACCGGGATACAGAGCACCGGGCCATACAAATAGAAGGCATTAACTCTCTCAAACTCCTGAAATCATTCTGACCTCAGTTCCACAGCTCCACTGACCGGTGAGTTTGCCTTCACCGATGACGCTCTGCCCCTCCATGCCCCTCCTATTTAAAATCTGCCCGCTTTCGTCCTTCGGTAAGGATTGACTACTTGTACTGACCATTTCCCCTTCTTTTCTGCTTTTCTAGATATATCTTCTTTATTTGTACAAACTTCATCATGGGTGTCCTGGAACAACTTAACCGCAAGTCCGGCGTCATTGTCGGCGACGATGTCCTCCGTCTCTTCGAGTACGCTAAGGAGAAGCAGTTTGCTATCCCCGCCATCGTGAGTGATCCATCCTCGTCATCATCATCGATCATCAATCATCAATCATCAATCCTAACCTCCCCCATTTTAGAACGTCACCTCCTCCTCCACCGTTGTTGCTTCGCTCGAGGCTGCTCGTGACCAGAACTGCCCCGTCGTTCTGCAGATCTCCCAGGGTGGTGCCGCCTACTTCGCCGGTAAGGGTGTGAGCAACGGTGACCAGAAGGCCTCCATTGCTGGCTCCATCGCCGCTGCCCACTACATCCGCAGCGTCTCCCCCGCCTACGGTATCCCCGTCATCCTCCACACCGACCACTGCGCCAAGAAGCTCCTGCCTTGGCTCGATGGCATGCTCGATGAGGACGAGCGCTACTTCAAGCTCCACGGCGAGCCCCTCTTCTCTTCCCACATGATCGATTTGTCTGAGGAGCCCGTCGACTGGAACATTGCCACCACCGCCGCCTACCTCAAGCGTGCTGCCCCCATGAAGCAGTGGCTCGAGATGGTAAGTCAACCCCAAACTTAAAGGCTTGATCTGTTTAAGTTCCATGCTAATGTCATTGTAGGAGATCGGTATCACCGGTGGTGAGGAGGATGGTGTCAACAACGAGGATGTTGACAACAACTCCCTCTACACTCAGCCCGAGGACATCCTGGCCATCAACAACGCTCTCGCTGCCATCAGCCCCTACTTCTCCATTGCCGCCGGCTTCGGTAACGTGCACGGTGTCTACAAGCCCGGTAATGTCAAGCTCCACCCCGAGCTCCTCTCCAAGCACCAGAAGTACGTCGCCGAGAAGACTGGCTCCAAGTCTGACAAGCCCGTCTTCTTCGTCTTCCACGGTGGCTCTGGTTCCTCCAAGGCCGAGTTCAAGGAGGCCATCAGCTACGGTGTCGTCAAGGTCAACGTCGACACTGACATGCAGTACGCCTACCTGACCGGTGTCCGTGACTTCGTCCTCAAGAACAAGGACTACCTCATGAGCCAGGTCGGTAACCCCGACGGTGCTGACAAGCCCAACAAGAAGTTCTTCGACCCCCGCGTCTGGGTTCGTGAGGGTGAGAAGACCATGAGCAAGCGTGTCCAGGAGGCCCTCGAGGACTTCAACACTTCTGGCCAGCTGTAAATGTGTGATGTCTCTTCTTTTTCTCTTTGATTCCCATATCCTCTCTTCATGCTGCCGAAAAAGCGATGGGCGCGCCCGGGGATGAAGGCGTCTTGGTTGTATGCTGCGTTGTATTCTGACACGCTGTAATGAATGTCCGTACGGTCTCTGACCGCTCCTTGGAATATGAATTTCTGATGATAGTATTTTTTTTTGCTACTTCTAGTAAGCCGTAGAGTACAACTTGACCCTTCAAAGCTTTCTTTCCCACAAGTTAAATGAACAGGAGATGGGTCCAGTTATGTGGCTTGACTTCAGCTGATGACCATCGGGCGGAAGTTGCCGAAGTCTTAGTAGAGTTACATCAGTTTGGACATTGTCCTGCATCATTGAGGGGGAAGAAACTCCAAAAATAACTTGGTAAAATTTTCCAAGACACTAAGTTAACACTAATGACTTAAACAGTAGAATGTTTTAGACGATCTAAGTTTTCAATTGGATGCCTCAGGCGAGACATGAGGTAACCAAAATCGGAACAAACACAACAAACTGTGACTCGAGACAAATCTCAAATCTCAAACTTCAAACTTCAACCCTCAAACCCACAGTGGTACACACTGGCACACGTATTGGTACCTTATTGGGACCTACATGGCTGAGGTGTTACCACAGGACCCAACAATGACAATGTTCCAGAACATCTCGTGATAAGGTGCCTGATTGGCCTGCCACTCAACACAGGGTGGCGGTCTGCCAATGAACCGGATGGGTATGGGTCAGATGGAGAGATCAAACGTGTTGAAACGCCACAAGGCACGTAGAATGTTGACGCACCGAGAGCTGATCTCGAGAGCCGTGGGAGATGATATTGCACTCTGCAGAACTAAGAATTTGCCAAGTTGGGGAACGTTAAGATCCGCATCGGCTTCTAATAATAACCAAAGCGAGACCTAGACCTGTGTCCACTTTTCTTTCATTCTTGGGCTTCGTGTGTCTCACTTCTTTTTGCTCCGCATCTTGGTGTTCTTGTTTCGTTTTCTCACCATTCATGCTCTTTCTTTCTCTCCGGCCCTTCGTTTATGCCGGTTTGCCATTCGTTTGAGCTGTCGCCATGGATGCGATCTCCAAGGTCTTGAAGGTCCGCGACGACGGGACTGATGAGTTCCTCAAACTCATTCAGAATCCCTTTCAGTCTTCTGTAGGTGAAATCATCGGCAAGGAGCAGGGAGATAATCTCCGCTAACTCATCCCAGTTCGCTACCACTGCCATCTGGACCTCGCTCGGTACCTCGCTCGGCGTCACAGTCCTCCTCGCCCTCCTCTTTTCCCTCATCCGACCTCGTCACTCGCTGGTTTACGCACCCAAGGTTAAGCATGCAGACCTCAAACACGCTCCACCGCCAGTGGGCAAAGGGTTCTTTTCCTGGGTCAAGCCCGTACTCAACACACGGGAAGCCCAACTCGTCGAAACCGTCGGACTGGACGCCGCAATCTTCCTGCGCTTCACTAAGATGTGCCGCAACATTTTTATCCTGCTCAGCATCATCGGCTGCCTCGTTATGATTCCGATCAACGTCACTAAAAGCAAAAGCACCGGCGACGGAACCACCCAGTCCAAATTTGCCTTGTTGACGCCCGTCAACGTGTATGGCACACCAATCTGGAGTCAGGTTGTTTGTGCCTGGGCATTCGATATAATCATCGCATTCTTCTTGTGGAGGAACTACCGTGCCGTGCGGAATCTGCGCAGACAATATTTCCAGAGCTCTGAATACCAGCGCAGTCTGCATGCCCGAACTCTCATGATCACCGACATCCCACCCGCCGATCGCACCGATGAGGGAATCCTGCGACTGACCGATCAGGCGAACCCAACCGCCGCCATTCCCCGCGCTGCGATTGGACGAAATGTTAGGGATTTGCCTCGCATCATCAAGGAGCACGAAGAAGCAGTCCGAGAGCTCGAATCTGTCTTGGCCAAATATCTGAAGAACCCAGACCGAAGGCCCGCAAAACGACCCATGACACGCCCTGCTCGTAGCCAGCGAAGCAAATACACTGGTGGAAAGGTAGATGCGATCGATTACCTGACTGTGCGAATTCGGGTGTTGGAAGAGGAGATCAAACACGGCAGAGCTTCGATTGATCGCCGGAACGCCATGCCTTATGGATTCGCTAGCTGGGAGAATATCGAGCATGCGCACGCTGTGGCGTGGAAGGCTCGTCGCAAGTCTCCGCAGGGAACGGTCATCAGTCTTGCGCCGCGGCCTAGCGATCTTATCTGGGAGAACCTGCCTCTTTCCAAGGGAGCGCGCAAGTGGAAGCGTTTCATGACTTTCATTTGGGTTGCTTGTCTGACATTGGTGTGGGTTGTTCCTAACGGCTTGATCGCTATTTTCTTGGCCAACTTGAACAACCTGGGTCTTGTCTGGCATGATTTCCAGACTTCGTTGAACGCGAACCCGACTGTGTGGGCTGCCGTTCAGGGTATTGCCTCACCTGCGCTCACTTCGTTGGTTTATTTGGTGCTGCCGATCATTTTCCGTCGTCTTTCTATCAAGGGTGGTAGTAAGACCAAGACTTCGCGAGAGCGTCATGTCTTGGGTCATCTTTACGCTTTCTTCGTGTTCAACAATCTGATCGTCTTTTCCCTTTTCTCGGCTGCTTGGACTTTCGTCGCTACCGTTGTTGAAAAGACCAACACCGGTCATGAGAACGCTTGGCAAGCCATTGTTGACAGTCGGTTCTACGCTACGCTGATCTCTGCGCTCTGCAATGTGTCGCCGTTCTGGGTGACGTATCTTTTGCAGCGAAACCTCGGTGCTGCTATCGATCTTGTTCAGTTGGTCAACATGGTTTGGGTTTGGTTTGCTCGAACGTTCCTCTCACCGACACCTCGACAGTCCATTGAATGGACTGCGCCGCCACCGTTCGATTATGCCAGTTACTACAACTACTTTCTCTTCTATGCTACTGTTGCTCTCTGCTATGCAACCCTGCAGCCGATTGTGTTGCCAGTGACGGCCTTGTACTTTGGTGTTGACGCCATGCTAAAGAAGTACCTACTGATGTACGTCTTTGTTACCAAGAACGAATCCGGTGGCTCATACTGGAGAGTCTTATTCAACCGATTGATCTTCGCCACAATCCTCGCCAACGTCATCATTGCTTTCGTTGCCAAGTCCAACGGCTCCTGGACCATGGTGTATTGCGTCGCGCCCCTGCCCTTCCTCATGATCGGTTTCAAGATCTACTGCATGAAGACCTTCGATGCCGACATCGAATACTACAACCGCGCCAACCTCACAGACGCCGAGGCCCTGGGCACCCAAAAGTCCAGCAAGAAGGCTGCCGAACGTCTCAACTCCAAATTCGGCCACCCAGCCCTCTACAAACCTCTGATGACACCAATGGTACACGCCAAGGCCGCAGAAGCCCTCAAGGAAATCTACCAAGGCCGTCTCGACCAAGGAGACACAGGCGGCGAATACTCAGACATAGCAATGAACCCCATGCTCGCCTCCCAACCCGGAAAAGCAGAACCAGCCCCATTCGAAGTCGTCCCCGAAAACCACCTGGACTTCTCCTACTTCAAGGACCGCGCCGACTTCCGCGACGAATTCGGAGGCGGCATCTACGGCCGCCCAGAAGACCTGATGACCGAACGCTCCCAAACCCCACGCTCCCACCTAGGCGGCGAATGGTCGCCCAGCTCGTCGCGCGCCTCCTCCCCAGCTCCCTCCCTCCCTTCCATCACCCCCCCTCAAACTACACGAGGGCCACACTCCCCCAGCCGACCCCACAGGCCTTATCCACCCTGCCTTCCGGGTTCCCCTTTCCCGGGGCCAAAGCAGCTCCTCCGTCCCCGGTGTCTATAACCCCATGGACGAGAGCGAGTCTCACCTTCTCAGCCATGCCCAGACCCCTGCCCAGACGGATGTCAACCCGCTTGATCGCTGGCGCACGCGTGGCTATGGCCCCGTTGAGCAGGAGGATGAGCCGAGCTTTACTTCCTATGAGGCTTATCGCTCGCAGCGGTAGTCTGTGAATACTGTGTGCATGTTGCATTTCTCAAATATTGCATATGAATCTATTGGGGTTTTTGGTTGGAATGGCGATTTGGTTAGCGTTCTGCTCTCTTTCTCTGTTTTTTTGTTGTACACGAAGGTCACGATTCATTCCCTTGTTAACCCGCTTGACTGGTCTTTTTGGTTCTCCCGTACAGAGTTTTGTGGATATAGATCTGTTTATTTCACTTTGTATTTTTGGTGTCTGTGTATATCAATGTCTATATTATTGATCTTTATCATTACATTGTTATTTCTCCCTCTTTCTCATTGTATGTTGCTGCCTTTGGCATTGGTGGTTTGGATAACGTTACCTCGTAGTAGGACAGATGTAGTTTCATTTCTCCAAATAGACGAATATACAGCATAGTCCGAGAACTACAGTCAATTGGTCAATATTTGTATTGGGAACACAGTTCTGGAAATGTCATGGAGCAAAGTGCCTCATATGGGAGTACTACTGAGATCGATAACAAGTCTAAGTTGCAGACTCGAGATTGATATCTCCCAAATTTGATGCGGAGAATGGCCCCACCAAGTCTTAGATCCAGTGATCTTGGCTCATTACTCACAAAAGTGGCATGAATTTATTAAATTGATATTCGACAATATCCTCTCTACCGTGATACAGTCCAGTATTCACCAACTACGTATGTCCTCGAGATCGAGTGCAGGGCAGATTACGGATGGCCTTCACTCGCGGTCTGGGTAACCAGGGATCGCCTGATTCTCGAGGCACTCTCAAGCTCTGGTGTTGGACTTATTTACATTTCAATAGAAAAGTTCTTGGATCGCCAATACAGTTACAAGGTCGAGCACCGTATATTCACAAAAAGGTGTAAATCACGGTATCGGGACTGGTACAGGAATATGGAGATCCCAGGGCTATTCCTAATATGATCCAGTTTTCTTTGACGGTGGGGCCAGAGAATCACTCAAAGAGTGTAGGCGGTTGCACCACTTTCGGGACGTACTGTATCCCTGTGCAGTGTGATGCACGAATGTAAAAGCGATTTGAGGGCACAGCGGTGTGCCTTCTGCGGCAGATGTGGCTTGTGGGGGTATGCTTGCGCAAGGGTATGAGATTCGTTCAGTCATTAATGTAAGGGTATCATGTCAAGTTCCAGTTCAGGCGGGCGAGGTCCTCATCCGAAATATGTGTATCAGTTCTTTCGTTGGTTGCTGGTGCGGGCTTCTCTGGCAGCAAAGCTGAGATATTTTGCTCCAGGCGGGAAATATCACGGAATCTCTTTTGCTCAATGAGAACCCTAAGTGCCTCAGTACCAATATCGAAAAATGCATCTCGTCTGACCTCGTTCCAAGCCTGGAACTTAGTTGGGGACAGGTTGTCCACGAATTGAAGGAATGGACGGGCTTCTGGGGTTGTTGGATGACAGATGGCTACAGATGCCACTAACAAAGACCGGGGAGATAACACGGAAATGACGTCCTTGAAGTGGTCGTATACTGCCTCGGATACCTCATGTTCCGCTGGCTTTTGCTCCACGGCCATACGGCTGAGGTGAGCACCTGCGGCCAGGAGCATTGGTTTCCGTGATTTATGAGAACAGGTGCCTTGGAAATGCATCTGGCATACACGCAGGTAGGTTGCAATTGCCGAGCTAAATCCGTTGCCGGTGTGTAACTCGGCATCGATAAGGTCGACGAGGAGATGGCTGAACGTCTGCCTGGCGAGCCCTTCTGTCATCTTGCCGTTTTTGCTGCCGAGGTCATTGACCATGAGTGTCTCCAGCCACTTCAAGGCAGTGCTCTGCAGTCCCTCGGCAACCATGAATTTGGTCAACGAGATCGTCGCTGACCGAGTACGGAGAAGTGACTGTCGAGAAGCGCCATCTGATGCCCAATACCAATTTACGATTCTCCCCGCAGCCCGAGAAGCCCTCATATCTTCCGAAGACCTGGCAAGAAGAAGCTGAGACTTGAGACAGTCATTGATATTGGCCGCAGTGGCAGAACCGGCGGCAGCGAGTTCGTCAAAAACCACCATAGGTTCTTCCGCTAACCGTCGCTGTCCCTCTATGCTTCGCAACACGGCGGTTTCCTGAGGACTGGCTTTGGCCGGAACTATACGGAACAGAGGATTGTCGAGGATATTCTGCAGATGTAAATCGGTGGCATGCGCCGATGAATCGGGATGTGGCAGCAGTCGGTCATGGCTGACCGCGGGATAGGCCTGGTCTAACTGACGACGGAACGAGGTCGTGAGGGCATTGAGCAGCTGTTGAGATTCTCGAGGCGTCCTTGGCAACGGCTGGTGGATCTTAGGCCAGGACTTGAATTGGAAAATGGAAGTGCCCTTCATCGTGTGGGCAGTGGGTGATGGGCAGTCAGTTACAGAGTCAGGATGGGCTGACGAAAGCGTAGAGAAGTCAGGTCCCAGGGCGGTGAGAACCAATGCATGACGAGTCGACGAACACCCCAAGTTGAACAGGTCGACAATGCGTAAGAGTCGACCAAATGGCAAGGACCAACTAGCCTAAACTGCCTCGTAGGCCAGATCTCTCCACCACAATATAGCACTATCCCTCTCCCGTAGCCTCAACCCCATGTTCTGTACGCCCCCCAGCACCCAATAAGCGCCACTCGCTAAAAGCCAGGCAGTGCCAAGACCTGAGGGAGCAACTCAGATTCCGTTAGCTTTTGATCCTTCCTTCAACTCCCATCTCCTGCGCTTTTCTCCCTCAACTCTTTTGTTTTATTTTCTTGTATCGGCCCCGTGCCTGTGGTCTTGGTGCTGATCCTCTTTTCTGCGAGGGTGCATCCCCATATACGTTCCTCCCTTCGAACCCCGAAACTCCCATCGTGACCCAACTCCCCAATTCCGACCTCTTCATCACATCCATCTACCAACATGTCCGAAATTCAGAACCGGTCCTCCGCTTCGCGGGGCAGAGTATCCGCCCGTGGTGGCCGTGGCGGCTTCAGCTCCAGAGGCGGTCGTGGTGGAAGCAGCAGATCTGCAAACGATAACTCAGACGTCTCATCCTTTGAGGAAGGCGAAATTGGACAGATGAAGAAGAAGTACTCCGACACTCTGCCTATGCTTAAGGAAATGTTCCCCGACTGGAAAGACGAAGATCTGGTCTTTGCTCTGGAAGACTCGAATGGCGAACTCTTGGAAGCAATTGAGCGCATTAGCGAAGGTCGAGCACCCCCCATTTTTCTCTAACTCCCCATTGACTCAGGATTGTCGAACTTCATAATTCAAGGACATGTTACTGACGAGCTGTGCAGGTAATGTGTCCCAGTGGGGCAAGGTTGAGAAGAAGACCGCAGACCGGACTCGCCCTAAGCCCAAGGAGGCCCAAAACCCCCCGACCGAAACGAATGCAGCTTCAGCTCGTGCCACCCGTGGCCGTGGTGGATTAGACACTCGTGGTGGTCGTGTTCGCGCAGACCGGGGTCGCGGTGGTCGCGGTGGTCGCGCTGGCGCTGGAGCCGCAACAAACGGAACTCGCCCCGTCGCTAGTGCTGTAGAGACTTCTGCGCCTGCGCCTGCACCCCCTGCTGTATCTGCATGGGAAACGCCCATCAACAAGACGGAGGAGGCTGAGGTCGAGGCCGAGGTTTCAACCGGTGGCGCATGGGGTTCGACCGAGTCGCCTGATACCCAGAGCACTGTGATCCCAGAGGGAACAAAGAAGGGATGGGCTAGTCTGTTCGCCAAACCAGCCCCTCCTCCGCCTCAGAAGAAGGCTCAACCTGCTCCCTCTGCTCCTGTCCCGGAGCAGCCTGCTGAGCCCGCTGTCGAGCCCTCTGTTTCTGCTCCCGCCCCCGCTCCTGAACCCGCTCCAGTGCCCGCCGCTTCGCAGAAGACTCCCGTCGCAAAGCCCGTTCAACCCGTCATTCCCGCCGTTCCTAACACATCTGCCAATGCTCTTAAGAACGACTTGACTGAGACCAACCTCGAACGTATTCCCGATGTGTCCGCTCCCGCTCCTACTGCGACTGCCGCCAGCACTGTTGGCAGTGGCATCGACCCCGCCACCGCCGCCGCCGCTACTCCTTCCCGTTTCACCTCTTCTGCCTACCCTCCTAGCGCTACCAAGCAGGGCCGTACCCCTGGTCTGCAGCGCCGTGTCATGGAGCAGCAGCAGGCTGTTGTCATGCCTGGCAACCATGCTGTGGATCGTGCTGCCGTTCAGTTCGGCAGCATGGGCTTGAACGGTGACTCCGTCGACATTGATGAGAACCGCGAGGAGGCCGAGACCCGCGCTCAGCCCCCTCAGCACTCCCCCGTTGCTCCTCGTGCCTCTCTCCCTCCTCCCACCCAGGCTCCCCCCTCCATGGAGACTGGTGCTGCTGGCCGCCCCGCCCCTGGCCTACCTCCCGTCCCCCAGGCCTCCGCCGCCGACTCCTTCAACGACTTTGCCCGTTATTCTGAGTCTCAGCAGAAGCCTTTCGACCCTTTCACTCAGCAGGTCAGCCAGCCCCAGCCTCAGATTCCCGAGCCCTTCGCCAACCAGGCCCAGGCTCCTGTCCAACCCGCCGCTACCACCGGCAGCGAGTACTCTCCCTTCTACGCCGCCGACCAGCAGCGTTTCCCCTACAACTACTATGGCAGCTACGGCCAGACCCAGGATGCCCCCACCGGACCCCGCGCTGGAGCTGGATTTGGTGTGTCCGGTGCTGAGGCCCAGGCTCAAATCCCTACCACGCAGCCTCCCAGCCGCTACGGCCCTGTTGATGCCAACAACAGTGGACACAACACCCCTAACCCTACCATTCCCGCCACTCAGCAAACCCCCACTGCTCAGCACATGCCTGGCCAGACTGCTCAGCACGGCTATGGTGGCTATGGCTACCCTTACTACAACAACCCCCACTACGCTACTTACATGAACCAGATGGGACAGCAGTACGGCCGTGGCAACCGTCCTATGTACGATGATGCCCGTCGCTACGAAGACCACTACATGCAGCAGCAACAGCAGCAGCAGCACAACTCCCAGTACTACGGCAGCCAGTACGGTCCTTACGCCGGTAAGGGTGGCATGTATGGTCAGCCCCACGCTGGCTTCTCCTACGACCAACACTCGTCCTCCCCCGCCAATGCCGGAAGCTTTGCTCAGGCCATTCCCGGTCGTGACTCCGTCTACGGCCGCACCGGCTCTGCTCAGCCCTCGGACAGCCAGCAGTCCGCCACTGGCACTAACGCCTTCGGCACTGGAATGTCCGACGTCTTTGGCCGCTCTCAGGGTAGCTTCGGCCAGAACCCTCCCATCGCCGGACAGGCCCCCGTGGCTGCCGACGAGACCAAGGGTTTCGAAGCCTCCAAGGCCGGTGGACCTAGCCCCTCTCTCGCGCAGAACCGCCCCGGCTCCGCTACCAACAGCGCCCCCGGCCAGCCCCAGGCTCAGAGCGGTATCCCTCCTCTCCAGGGCCAGCAAACCCAGGCTTTCGGTAGCTACCCCCAGCTGAACCCCCAGTACGGTGGACTTGGTGGACTCGGTGCTCACCAAGGCGCCGCCACTCAGGGCCACCAGGCCTCTGGCTACGGCAGCTACGGTGCTGGCTTTGCTAACTACTACGGCAACTCCAACAACCGCGGCGGCTGGGGTGGCAACTACGGTCACTAAAAAAATGAAAGAAGAAACGAAAGGGGAGACATAATGACCCACCAAACACATATGGCGTTGCATTTTCGGGTGATTTGAAAAGGGTATTGTTTTTTGTCTACAATAACGTTACCAGGGTAATCCGGATGTCTCAACGACATGACGGAATGAACCCAGACCATTTTCGCTTCATCTTTCTCTCTTCCTCATCTGTGTAATCTCTACTCTGGGGAGCTTGGCCGGTTTTATTTGATTTTGGGGGACTGTTCCGTTATGCTTTATTCCTATTTTTATTGTCGCTTTTTTCTTTGTGCTCTGCTCTCTTCTGATGGGCCTGTATTAAATTCACCCCTTCTTCTCTAGGTTCATTTCACTTTTCTTTACTCTCTACCTAGGTAGTCGGTGTCTGTCTCTCTTCGGGTCCGGTGTGTCACTTGTTCTGACGGTTCTGCTTGCTCTTCTGCTTTTCTTTTTCTTTTTCTTTTTTTTTTCTTGTTTACGCTTCCTTCTCTTCTGTGTCTGTTTCTTTTTCTCCCCACACCTTGTGCAATATCGGTCTATGATTATGATGGCTCAATGGGTCTGGTAGAGGTAGATCCAATGCTCAGTTGCGTTCTGGGCTAAAAGTGTGATGATTTATGTATGTCCTGTACGATCAGTATGGAACTTCATGCAGAACTTTGATCTTTTCCTTGTATAATTGTAGTCCATAACAACTTTGTTAGTGTGCGCAACATATCTTTTTCTTTCTAGTTACTTTTGAACTCTACGTGTACTCACCCATCTGCTCTACACCTCACACAAGATACCTGAAGATACCATATCATTAGATGGCAAGGTTGAGCCGCCAATTCCAAGCATATAAGCAAGTAAATGGCTCAAGCCCGGACCGGAAACTATATACAATTGAAATGCAGCATGACACGGTACAAAAACAATAGGAATTCAAGAAGCCAACTCTATGTGGGTGCAAGTGAGGCCCAAGACCAATCCTGAGGAGAGTTCACTGTTTACTCAGTGAGACCCAGACCCTCGCCCCCAATCTTGTGGAAAGGCGGCTTAGCACCCTCGGCCTTCTTCGCATCGAAGCGCCAGATACCGCCAGTCTTGTCAGTCTCGAAAGCGAGATCGGCTTCCTTGGCCAGACCCTGAATCTGGTCATTCTCGGTCTCAATCCGGTTGAAGAAGCGGCGCTCCCATTCGCGACCCTCCTCCTTCTCAGTGCGGCGCAGTTCACGCTGCGCGTTCTCAATGCGAGACTTGAACCCAGAGACGGCGTCCATGTCGCCCTTCTGGATGTTCGTGGCGACGTCGCTCCAGGCGCGGCGGCTCTCGTACAGATCCTGCTGCTCGATGGGAGCCAGGGTCAGCGGAGTGGTCTGGTTCTCCTTTGTGCACCAGCTGTCAATAATATCCTTGGAGCGGGCGTCCTTGATGTTGAACTTGTCGGACCACTGGCCATCCACCGTGTACAGAGGCTTCTTCTCGCCCTCGGCGGTCTTGTACAGGCTCGCGGTGAAGGTGTTCTTCTTGCCGCTCAACCAGCCCTTGCCGGAGAAGTCAATCTTGGCGGTGTAGCCGCTGCTGCTGACGATCTTGGAGGACTTCTCCAGCTCGACGAACGGAGAACCGTAGATCAGCGATTCGATGTGCAGGTTTGGTAGCGTGATCATGTATGTTTCCTTCTCCTGGGAACCTGCCGGGGTGAGAGAGTACAGGGCGTGGCCGATTTGCTTCACGAGGATGGTACTTGAGAACGAGGCCTTTTGCGCGTTGTAGCCTTGGAGCTGTGGATGGTCAGTATGGGATTCGCATGCGGGCGACACTATCGTTATTCTCTTACCTCGACTCCATGCTTCTCGTTCCGGATCGCGTACGCGGTGGCAGGAGGGTGGTGGCTGCGATTGTTAGCTGCTGCCTAGCTTCTTGGAGAGGTCCCGCATACCTGACTTGCTCACTGATCAGAGCAGTCTCTCCCACATCTGCGCCTCCCTCCCATTTACCAATGAAGAGCTCACCAAGGAATGGGTTCAAGGGCTTCTTCTCACTGCCGAGCTTCTCGCTGCGGCTGCAGTACTGCTGGTGCAGGGTGCTCAGGAACCACTTGAGGACCAAGAGAGCCCGCTTCTCCGGATCGGCTTCCTTCGCAGGTGCCACGAAGACATCGGGGTGTTCGGCCCAGTAAGCAGAGTACTCGGTAAGGGAGGTGGTCGACAGAATGAAAGGAGGAGCTGTCAACGAGGAAAGATCACCATTAAACGAGGCAATCGACTGGGAATCTGTTAGCCTGGAGCAGACCTGGGAAATGGGACACGTGCCTTGAGGAAACTTGTCCATGAGCCCTTACTGTGGGCGGGAACCTGGCTTTGAGGAGACATCTTGATAACTCTGGGGTCAAATACAGTACAACCAAAAAAAAAAAAGAATGGAGGGGAGGGGAAAAGGTGTTGGCGGTCAGAAGCGGATAACGTCATGATCAGGGGTCGATCGTGAACAGCCACACTTGGGGATGACGACGTGCGATCTTCGATTTATGCATTTTGCATATGGGAACGGTTTAATGTCAGTGTCAACCGTTGCAACTATTTACTGTCAGTGCCAGGTTGTCCACTGATCACTGATTCCACTATTCCACCCCTATGTATAGGTACAGTACACACTCTCTTTAGTGGACCACCCCGCCACTATATCGCTAGGGCCTGGTCGAGCTCTTGGTAAATGCTGGCCTTCCTTATTCTATCAGGCTAAACTATGTGGAAGTACCCAATAGCCCTCGGGACGGATTCTTTTCCGCCCCTGGGCCCTACTCGGCTACTTCCCCGGTCTTCTCCCCGAATCACAGTGGCCGATGGACCCCCCCAAAGAGATAGCAAGTCCTATGTTGGGACAAAAAGGCACTGTATGGCCAGAGGATTCGCCGATCTCGCAGAGATAATGCACTTGGTCTCGTTTTTCTTGCTGTGACTCACGCTTCAAGTGTGAAATGTGCTTGGTTGTGTAAAATTCTCTCTTTTCATAGTTCCTCGAACCAGATTCAATCCAATTGAAGGCATTTTTGGTGGATATCCCACTCAATAATTCCCTCGGAAAGTTTCCAAACTTGAATGTTTCCAGTTTCTTCAACGTTGAATGGACATTTGAGAACGTCTAGCCTAGTTGCCCATAAGATATCGAGTGCTCGTTGACCCCTGGACACCCAACATGTCTCCAGCATCCAATGCCTCCAGCGACGATCAATGGGAAAACGATGAACACATCCAAAGATCCTCATCACAGCGAGAAACAGATCCAGCCAATCTCATCCATGTCCGGAGCCATGTCTCTCACCATGATATGCCAGCTCCGGATGCATTCCACGAAGTCGACGCAGAACAATATCTTCGCTTCTCTCCGGCTCGCAAAACTATGATTGTCTTTATCCTCGCCTTCTGCTCTTTCCTAGCCCCTATCTCATCCACTTCGATCCTCGCCGGTGTTCCTGAAGTGGCAAAAACATACAACACCACTGGCAGCGTGATCAACGCCAGCAATGCCCTGTACATGGCCTTTATGGGTATTGCAGCACCATTTTGGGGACCTTTCAGCCAAGTCTGGGGACGACGTCCGGTAGGTCGTTACAGCAACCGGCGTGGTGAGCATGGAAACTAATTGCACCTAGATCTTCTTCATAAGTGCATTGCTCTTCTTTGCTTTTAGCATCGGCACAGCTCTCGCCCCGAACCTACCAGCATACTATATCTTCCGAGTCCTAACCGCCTTCCAAGGAACCTCCTTCTTGGTAGTTGGCAGCTCGGCTCTAGGTGATATCTATGAGCCACGTGCTCGAGCAACAGCCCTAGGCTGGTTCCTATCAGGAACCCTAATCGGACCAGCCTTTGGTCCCTTCATCGGTGTAGGCCTATCCCCATTCACCCGAAAAGCCTGGTCACAAAAGATCTAATCTCCAGAAAACAGGGCGTAATTGTCACCTTCCGCTCCTGGCGAGACATCTTCTGGCTCCAAACAGCCCTAGGAGGCTTCGGCACCGTCCTCGTCTTCTTCTTTTTCCCAGAAACATACCCCCACCTGACGAAAAATGACCTCTCCGAACAAACACTCCTCCAAAAAGCCAAGTTCCTCTGGCATCGCATCTCCCCTCTCCGCGTCGCCGTCATGCTATTCACGTATCCAAACCTGTTCTGCACGGGTCTCGGCGCTGGCGCTCTAGTCTGGAACCAATATTCATTGCTCACGCCCATCCGCTATGTTCTCAATCCCCGTTTCCATCTGACAAGTCCCATCCAATCTGGTCTTTTCTACATCGCTCCTGGATGTGGGTACCTCGTGGGTACGTTCATGGGTGGGCGATGGGCCGATTACACAGTCAAGAAATGGATTCGGAAGCGAGGGGGTGTGCGCGTTCCGGAAGACAGACTCAAGTCCTGCATTTTCTTCCTCGGGGGTGTTGTGCCGGGTTGTATTTTGATTTATGGATGGACGGTTGATAAGGCAGTGGGTGGAATTCCGGTTCCTGTTTTGGCGATGTTCTTCCAGGGTGTTGCGCAGTTGTTTTGTTTTCCTAGTTTGAATACTTATTCGCTGGATGTCATGCAGTCGAGTGGACGGAGTGCGGAGGTCGTTGCTGGGAGTTATATGTTCCGCTATTTCTTTGGTGCACTTGGGTCTGGGCTTGTTTTGCCGGCTGTTGAGGCTATGGGGGTTGGGTGGTTTAGTACCATCAGCGCTTTATTCTTGTTTTGTTCTGGTGTTGGGGTTTGGCTTACTACCATCTTCGGGGATCAGTGGCGTGATAAGATTGAGAAGAAGGAGTTGCGCAAAGCTGAGAAGAAGGCTGAGAAGAAGGTTAAAAGTACACAGCAGGATGCCGAAAAGTGTGAGACTGCGGCTTGAATATGAGGTGTTGATTGACCAATAATCTAATGATAGAATGACAATTGAATCGTTAAGCAATGCATCTTCTCGTCCCTAAGGATGTCAATTCTCCAGAGCTGAACTGCTCGCGTGTCCATTGCCCAGTCCGGGAGCATCTTCAATATTAACAGCCTGTTTCCCCTTCGAAATAGTATCAGCATCCAGTCCACTCTCTGCCACCACTCGGTCCATCTTGCGTTGCTCGGTAAACTTTCGACAATCGTCTCGACCTTTCTCTACATTGACAAATCCAATAGTAATCATAGCGCCAGCGCAAATCGCAAAAAGGAATGGAAAGCCCATCCAATTGTTGCGCGTATTGTTGATGATGGCCTGAATGACATTGGGACCGATGATAGAAGACTGCATAATGGATTAGATGAGAAAATGGGGAAACGGGTAGATTCCTTACAGCTCGGTTTGTGATCCCAAATAGAGCAAAGAACATGTTATCGTAACCGCGAGGCATGAGCTCGCTGATCATGGTTTGAGCGTACTACCGCAAATTCAGCAACAGACCCTGGGAATACTGCAATATAAAACTGGACCTACCGCATAGTATGGAGCTTGGAAGAGTCCAAAAATGACGTTGTAGAAATAGAATTCCCACTAGAATATGCTGTCAGTAATGAGACATTGCAGGGCTCTGATTGATCCATACTATGTTATGATATCCAATACGAGTAGTCCATAATCCGATCATGCCCCAAAGTGGAATGAGGACACTGAAAAAGTTGGTGAACAAGAACATGGTCTTTGTCTTGAACTTGAAGTATCGTTGTATGTACCAAAAGCCAAAGGTTGATGTGATCGAGCAGACAGCTTGGGTAATGCCAAGATAGGTAATCTGTAAGAATGAAAAAGAAACGTAATCGTTTTGGATGATGTTGACGAGGGTCCCTGGCGTATTTTAGCAAAACTTGTGCATAGACAAATCAGGTACCACAAACCAGTTGTATTCAGGCCATCCGCAAGGAGGAAGTAAGCAAAAAAGTACATGAATGTCTGAGGAAGAGATCTGATCTCCCGGATGGCGAGCCATATCTGCTTGAACCCAATAGTTGCATAGTTTGAGCCCTTTGGGATCTTCGGACCAGGTCTTTTTTGTTGGAAGATGAACCACCAGATGCCAAGGATGACCCAATCTATAAGATGTTAGATGTTGAGACAAGTCTAGTAAGCCCAGAGAAACCCACATGAGTTGGTCAGGCAAAGTGCCAGGTTATTCGAGAAACTGTTGTTTTGCAAAGGAAGCAAAACGCTCAGATTGAGGACGAGTGTGAGCAAGTACCCAATATTACTGTGCGCAGTGGAGATATTGCTGTATAGGATTAGTAGAAATCCAACCAAAAGCACCCCCACAAGCATCTCACCTAATATGATTTCTCTCCAAAGACTCAATGGCATCGTATTCTTCCTGATCAATCTTCCCCTCTCTCAGATCCTCCTCCCTAGCCTTTCGCACGTGTGGCGTATATCGAGCCAAACGAGGAAAGACAGCAGCATAGAAGACAAGCGTTGCGCCGTAGGCAACATAAGCCACAACATACATGCCCATTGCTGCCGGCCACTGACTAGGCTGTCGAATAGCCATCATGCCATATTGCAGCGCCCAACATACTACTGTCAACGTCAAGAGAAGCCACCGACCAAAAGTGCCGTAGTCCGCGGCACTTCCAAGCCACACAAAGATCACGGTCATGAATGCAAAGCAGAGACCATTCGCAATAAGAACCACTGATGCTACAGATCGGGTACCGCCTGCCCACGGTACTACACAAGCCGATGAACCGCTACACGGCTTGGGCGGATTTGTGTCGGGTTGATGCCCGGCGCCATTGAGGGCCCATTGGAAGCTTTGGATATCAGTGGAGGTGTGAGCTTTGGTGATAGTGTACTTACAGGGCTTGACTGTAGGAACCTGGGCCGACGCCATTATCACCTATCAGACATACCGAGTCAGTCTCTCATGCTTGTCCACTGATCTGGCGAGAGACCTCGTACCGTTGTAGTAGAGATAGTAGGACCATAGTTCCTTCCTTGTGGTGGTTGGTTGTTCGTATGCATCTTCGTCCACTCCAAATAGCCGTTCATACTCTTCCAGAGTCGGGTGAGGCTGTGTGGTTAGGTTGGCTCCATCGTCCTTCACGGCCTCACTGGCAGTCCGTAACTCCTCCATGGTGGTTGTGAAGTTGTGAACTGCGGACGACCGAATCACTCCAGGTTACCACGGTTACCCCGCATTCCATCACTCTTATCTTGCTGAATATCCCTGTTGTCGGGGGTTGGGGTTTCTCCAGGACTGTGCTGATACTCGATCACCATTGGGTCTGAGACCACTGGATAAGGCTAAGGTCACGGTGGCATTGGGAAACCATGGCAGTTCTCTATATTCTATACTATTTATCTCAATCTATGCCAAATATATCTCATATCACGTTACCACCTATAGTGATCCTGTCAAGCTATAAAACAAAAAAAAACGTCAAGAGAAAGACTACCCCGCATAAGGTCACCTCAACCTCAATGCTACACTGCTACACCACCTTGTTGACTGGTTCGCGGGAGAGTTTTGTCTTAGAACCGAGGTGATTTTGCTGAAACACTTGTCTTGACACGAGTGTGGAACCCCAGCTGATCGTCAATCCCTTCTGTTGTGACTGGGATTGCGAGTCTAACCCGCCTACCGTTGACAAACCTGGCAAAATGGCGTCGGATCTTCAAAAGCAGGTTGGCCAGGTAGGATAACCTGATCCATTCTTGCTGCGCGCCCTACTGAACTGTTCTCACAATCACAGCTGTTCGCGGTGGGGTTCCATGGCTGCACCCCAAGTCCAGAAATCAAGACTTTGATCCATGACTACCACGTCGGCGGTATTGTTCTCTTTGCGCGGAACTTTGATGATGCAGTCCAGCTTCAGGTACGACTGGCCCCGTTTCAAATCAGGCTGCATAGACTAACGTTCTGCGACAGGCCTTGACGGTAGCGTTGCAAAATGAAGCCAAAGCGGCTGGGCATGAGCGACCGCTGTTCATCGGCATTGACCAAGAGAATGGGTTTGTCACTCGAATCTCTCCTCCGATCGCTGCCCAGGTCCCTGGACCTATGGCCCTGGGCGCAACGCATGACCCGGAGTGTGCCTACAGTGCGGGGAAAGCCACTGGGGAAACCTTGAGCTTCTTCGGCATCAACATGAACTATGCCCCGGTCGGAGATATTAATTCCGAGCCTCTGAATCCCGTGGTTGGTGTGCGCAGCCCAGGCGACGATCCTGAATTCGTCGGACGCTTTGCGAGCGCAGCTGCGCGGGGTTTGCGGGAACAGAACATCATTCCCAGCATCAAGCATTTCCCGGGCCATGGCGATACAGCCATTGATTCGCATTATGGGTTGCCGGTGATCCCGAAGACTAGAGATCAGTTGGAGCGCTGCGAGCTGATTCCATTCCGGCGGGCTGTGGCCGAGGGAATAGAGACTGTCATGACTGCTCATATCTCGCTACCATGTATCGATCTGACTCGCCCTGCAACTCTTTCCCCAAATTTGATGGGTATTTTGCGGAAGGATATGGGCTACGACGGCATGATCATCACAGATTGCTTGGAAATGGATGGTATCCGGTCCACGTACGGCACCGAAGAAGGCTCAGTGCTGGCTCTACGCGCTGGCAGTGATAGCATTATGATCTGTCATACATATGAGGTGCAGGTAAACTCGATCAAGAAAGTCTGTGAAGCTATCAAAGCTGGCACAATTGAGCAATCACGATTGGCGGATGCTTGTCGCCATGTTGTCACTGTGAAAGACAAGTTTTTGAACTGGGATAGAGCACTGAAACAAAGCAACCTTGGAGAGCTCAGCCTGCTCAATACAAGAATTACCGAAACAACTATGGACATATACTCTCGGTCAACAACCCTTGTTCGGGATAAGTCTGGCACTCTTCCACTGTCAAAGACTTCCATTATCATCTTCCTCTTCCCCGGAGACAAGACTCCGGCAGGTGGTGCAGTTGATGGCGAAGGAATGGGACGACAAGGATCATACCAGTCCACTCGGTATCTAGATGTTCTACGACAGCACAACAACTCAATTGCCGAAATTCGATACGGATTATCAGGCTTAACGCCGGAACAATGGCAAGTGATCGAGGTTGCAGATGCTGTCATCTTCACATCTCTCAATGCGCGCGAATCACCATATCAGGAATCCCTTGGTCATGAGCTTGCTGGACGCATCAGCAACTTGGTACACATTGCGGCTTGCAATCCTTATGACTTCCTTGAAGACCCCCAGGTCAAAACCTACATCACCACATACGAACCAACCATCGAAGCGTTTTCTGTGGCTGCTGATATCATGTTCGGTGCACTGATACCCACTGGAGCCCTTCCAGTGGGGCCTAATGCTTTGACCAAGACCTCGGCGACAGTAACGCCGTTCAACGCCGAGAATGACTTGGATGGAATTCTGCACGTCTGGGCTGAGGCTTTACCGACCTACAAGCTGCCCGAAGACAGTCTACGCTCTCTGATAGTTCGTCCTTACGGCCATCATTTCGTCGCTCGCCTTGGGTCAGAACTGGTAGGCTTTTGTTTGGCCTACACAAATTCCGAAGGCGAGCCGAACACCGTTCACATCGCTGTTCTCGCGGTATCACCAAGCTATCAACGCCAAGGTGTTGGAATCGCTCTGTTGGAAGAAACACGGGCAAACGTTCGCGCCAAATTCGGCATCAATAGTGTGAAGCTAGGTAGTTCATTCCCTCGCTTCTGGCCTGGCATTCCTCGTGAGCTGCCAGAAACTGTCCAGCACTTCTTTACCCATCGTGGCTTCCGATTAAGCCCGGAAGATGCCCGGTCAGTTGACTTGTACCAAGACATCCGCAACTTCCAATCGCCCGAGAAGTACATGACTCGGGCAAGGGATCGAGGCTTTCGCTTTGCGCCATTAAAATCTGCAGACTACGATGCCTGTCTTATCGGCCAACGAAAGAACTTCTCTCATAATTCCGTATGTGTCACATAATCATATCGTCTACTCTCACTAACCTCTATACAGAGTTGGGTACACGCCTACGTCACATTACATCCAGACAAATATCCTGACAGCGTGATGGTCGCGTTCGACTCGGCAGGCCACCAAGTCGGATGGACGTTGATGCTGGAGCCATCACCTGCCCTCTATCACGTCTGGGCATTCCCGCAAATCTGCGGACCGAAGACGGGACTTATTGGTTGTGTGGGAGTTGATAAAGATCAACGCAGCTCGGGTATTGGTCTGGCATTGGTTTGTCATGCCGTTGAGAATATGAAACAGCGAGGCATTGAGGGTGTCTTTGTAGACTGGGTTGCGCTGGATGGGTGGTATGAACAGGTTGGCTTTGAGACGTGGCGCAGTTATAGACCCGGAGAGCTCTAGATTTATTTCGGCCGATTGAGCTCGATTTTAGAGGGCTAGGCAGACTTGAAGCTAGTTTAACTAAAATTGTGAATATTGATAATCCAATGTTGATTCACTGATTTATTGGATTAAACGACTGAATCCGATCTTTTGTGAGACGGCAGACCAAACAGTATTGGATGCTGCTTTCCCTTCTCATCAGGACAGGAACTCTCTCTTCTGATTGACTTGTTTTCTGCTCTATCCTTGACGAACCAAAGCCCGCTGGCTGCTAGGATATAGGTCGCCAGCGATAGCACCACAAAAGTAGCGATAAATGGTGCTTGGGAAGTGGATGAGCTGTCACTCTGATCAAAGAGGTGCATGCCGTAGAAAGACTAGCATATATTAGTGTGGTGATTAAAATTTGTATGAAACTTCATACCGTCACAAAGCTCATGGGCAGATAAACCACAGTGGCAATGGTGAAGACAAGAATATACTGATTTTGTCGCCCGCTCATCTCCGCAAGGCTCGTTCCTTTCGAGGCTTCTCGAACAGAAGTGGCATTGAAGAGCTAAACAGCGTCAGTATATACCATGCAATATTGGTCGAAGCACTCCTCACACCATCGCGAAGGCTTTTGACTTCTTCGACTTTTCTTTCAATGCGGTCCAGCAGCGGTCGAGACCTCGCCTCGTTCTCGGCCATTACAATAGAAAACATGTCGTCCAGTCGTTTCTTCTCCTCTTCTTTGTCTTGGGCCGTATGTGCATTGGTATCATCATCACTATCATCGTCCAAGCTTGCTTTCGATATATCAATCTGACTATGTAAAGTCTTCAGCCCTTGATTAACCTGTTTAATCCAATCACTGCAAATGCGAAGCACTTGCAAAGCAGTAAAATACTGATCCGACTTGGAGAACTGATCATTGTCAAACATAAGATCTTGCCTCCTGCTTCGTTTGAGCTCACTCAACTGTCTTCCTCGTCAGCAGCAACCCACAGAAAGACAAGAAACCCGACATAAGCACTCACACTCGTAACCAGAGTCTCATCCAGCCTATCCAAAGACACATCCCAATTTCCTCCCACCGTCTCCAGAAGCACCGACAAAAATGCCAAAAAGAACCCAACAGCAGTCAACCGTCCAACATTCCCACCTCTCCCTCGAAAGATCCTCTCAGCCCGCTCAGCCAACTCAACAGCAACATGCTCTCTAAGCGGTCCAGCAGCACAAGGCTCCCGATCCTGCAGTAGAAGCAACGAATAATACGGCAACGGCTGGATAGTACTCACGAGACAAACGCCATGCCGAACCTCCAAAAGATGCAAATCGATAGGAACCTTCCGGTTGATATGCGGTATGTCGCCTGATTCGCGCTTGATCTGCAGACCTAGGTCTGTGTCGTTATACACGCGCGGCATCTTGCTGATATCCATCCAGCGAATGTTGAAATAGATGGAGATGTTCTGGCTGAAGGAGCCGACTGGGTGGGGGAGAGCGTTCCAGCGTGAGGCGAAGGATAGTAGGTATTCGAGAGCGAAGGTCTTTTCGCGGTGCGATGGGTAGCCGGTGTCTTCGGCGTGTCGGAGACGCCAGAGGATGAAGGCTATTACGTTCATTGGGAGGATGGATGTGTCTTGGAGGTTTATGTCGCTGTTGGGTGTTAGTTTAGGAAGGATATTGCGAGAGTGGACTTGCATTATAGTGCCGCATCCAAGGCCCATCCAGGGTTTTTCCTGCGAATGTCTTCTCTGGTTCTTCTTGCGCACTGGACTGGGTTCCCATAGGACTAAGCAGCTTTTGGGGATGTTCTGGCAAAGGGAGTTAGTGGGACACTTGCAGCATAGAGATAACTTAACCCTACCTCTAATAGAGATTGTTGTAGACAAGACTCGGAAACAAATATAGGACATCCCTGATCGTCATACTCCATCCGACAGATCTGGACAAATAGACTCTTCTCGTTTTTTTCAAACACCCAATAAAGATCCTCCTCAGGACAGTCAATATGAGAAAACTGCTTCTGTAAAGCCCTGGCAGAAAGAAAAGGATCCCGGAAACCAGGATCCCACGCCAGATGTTTAGGCCACGCATCAAACAGTGGCTTCAGTCTACAATCAAGAGGCTGCGTACCCCATGGTAACAGAGCCAGGGGGTTTTGACTCACGATCATAGGCGCGGCATTTCGTCTACTTGGTGTTAACGTCCTAAGAGGAAAATCATCCAGCTGGCCGCCTATACCGACGCGAAGATTGGTAGTTGAGTTGCTCAGACTGGCAAAGAACTTGAGTCGGATACGTTCGAGTTTGGATTGGATTGGAATCAGGGAGCGTATCCATTTTTCGAAACTTCTTTGGTCCCAGTCTTCGCTTTGAGGGAACCATTGGGATTGGGGTTGCTTGATTAGAGTTGATGCGGGTCTTTGAGAGTCAATATATTGGTCGATCTGCGTTCGTATTGTATTTAATACTTCTTTGATTTGTTTGAGATCATTCGGTGGGGAGTGGTTCTTGGGGGTATCATTTTGCGACATAGGTGAAATGGATGGTGATTTCATGGTTGATACTTCAGGGTTTTCATGATGGGCTTCCTGGTAGGAGTTCCGATATAAAGCAGAACTCAACAGGGGCACTTTACCCAGGCTTCACGAATACGAGTTAACGAGAGGGTTGATGGATGCCTCAGCTGAAGGCGTTCATCAGATGTCAGACTAGATTTCATGCGGGGACCAATCAGGTTCAACAGTCAGAGCCGTTTACTGTTTTGACGCCTGTCAAGGCTTTTTGTAAAAAGGTAAATTTCGTGTTCTGGTATACATTTGAAGCGGTTGTCGGCGATACTCGGCAGCATGTGCAAGGTCGTATCACTTTTGCGTTGGTTCCTTGAATATCCGAAGAACCTTTTATATGCACCTCCATTTGACCGAGCTTTTGTGTCTTGGTCACTTAAACCTCTTTGGTGCATGAAACAGAGGTAGAAATAACTCTTATATATGCAGGAGTAGAACACATATTTTTGCTCACAACAATAGACAATAAATGAACAATACTCCCTTGATACGGGCTAATAGACTTGACTTCCATCCAAAAACCGTTGAATGAATCCCAGATATATGAAGCAGAATCCGCTGTAGATGCCAAGCCCAAGCAAATCAAAGACATTCAATCTGTTGTTTACAGTCGAGTTATATAGTTATTCACCGCCTTTGGGACTATTCTGCCGCAGGTTAATGTTATCCTGGGGTCAAGCTCCGCAGTTCGACATTGACTTTCGCAATTGCAGCTTCTCCGGCAAAAAGTACCCAGATCCTTCCAAATGCCTCCCCCAAAGGTAGCAAAGAGCGAATATATCGAAACAGTACGTCAATCCCCCTCCAACGCCCCACCTTACAGCACCTCCCCTACTCACCCTCAATACAATCCAATCTAACCACAACAACAGGACACGGGCAACAAGATCTCCCGCCGCTCCCAAATTCATGGCACACAACACATTATCCTTGGCGGAAAGACCGTAATCCAAGCCGAAGCCGTCATCCGCGGCGACCTCTTCCGCACCGCATCAAACGTCGCAGCCCAAGACCCTAAGAACCCAAGCACACCCCCGTCAAACGCACCCAGCGTCGCAATCACAGTTGGTCGATACAGCTACATATCTAAGGGTGCGATTCTTCGACCACCCAGCCGGCTCCACCGTGGCATGCACTCATTCTACCCGCTTAAGATTGGGGACCATGTCTTTGTTGGCGAGGGTGCCGTTGTTGAGGCTGCGTCGCTTGGTAACCATGTTCATGTGGGGAAGGAGGCCAGCATAGGCAGTATGGCTATTATCAAGGACTTTGCTTATGTTCTTGATGGGGCTGTTGTGCCGCCTGGTATGGTTGTTCCCAGTTGGTGTGTTGTTGGTGGACGGCCCGCTAGAATTGTTGGCGAGGTTGGAGAGGGATATGGGGTTGAGGGGGCTGAGGGTGGTATGGCGAGGGAGAGATATCGCGTTGTAGGGAGACCGTGATTGTGGAGGAGCTTGTTGTTTTCGGTGTGCTTTCAGCATACACTGGTGTTTGTGATACCCCCTGTTGCTTTTGTTGCGTTTGTGTGCATATTTAGTTTGAGATGTTCCGAGACTATGTACGGATATCAATTTAGTATCTAGTCCAAATACAGGAACCAAGTTACATCAAGAAATAAACAATAATTCGCATAACGCCTGGGTCCAAAGTAGATAAATGACTAGCCCATTTTCTCAACTTCGACTGCGCGAGTTAGCCGTGGTGCGTCTCCCACAGGAACACCGATTTCCTCGAATGCGAGGTCATTGATCCAGCGTCCATTGGGTCGGACGGGTTCGCCACGGGATAGTTTTGACGCAAGATAGAGCCAGTTTAGGGCATTGCCAACGGTACCGACTTCATCGCTGACATGGTGGATAGCATATTCCGACATGCGATTGTACATATCTTCATCCGTCCACAGCTCGAAGAGATGTCGTGCCACAGTATCAGTGTCCCCGACATCGACTAAGAAGCCGTTCTTACCATTTTCGATTTGCAGTGGGATACCACCGGCACGCGTTGCGATCACTGGTTTACCCTTGTGGATTGCTTCCGAGACTTTCACCTCGAACCCTTCGCGCGTTGATAATTGCAGGGCGATGACTGCCTTGGACAAGAGGGCGTTAAGGACTTGATCAGATGGCTTTAGGCGCATCACGCAAATCAGATGCCGAATATCAGGGACCTCATTTTCTAGGTGGTCGATTATATCGTCGTAGATAGGACCCCCGTCGGGATCGTCTACAGATCCATGCCCGCAGATCAATAGCTTTGGGGGTGTTAGGTCTGGACGCTCTTCTACTAGCCTGTGATAGAACTTTTTGTATGAGTCGAGCACATCAAATATTCCCTTTGATGGATCGAAGCGTGCAATTTGCACGATGTAGGATTCTAGAATGTGGTAGACAGCAGTGAATAGATTGCCAATAGAGAATGACTTCGAGGTGCTGATCTGCTAACCTTCTGGGTATTGGATAGGTGCCATCTCCGAATTCCTGCAAGCTGCATTGAAGACACGGCCGTAGTGCGCCACATCCCAGTCCCGCATGTTCTTGTTCAGTCCATCCAGCCTGCGCCACGTCAGCAAGATAAGACACAGTTACCGGGATACTTGTTCCTCACCAGTCGGTTGATGCGGGCATATAACCCACGATTTCCGGTGGTACATTCTGCGGCACAAAGGCGCTCACAGGATGACTGATAAAGCAATCGGCAAGCTTGATCTGCTTCCATAAGAACTCCCACGCTTCTGCTTGCGGAGACCCAGCCTGGCCAACCAAATCACTTCGAATTTGGATATGACTTCGGAAAATGATTGGTCGATCGGGTGCTATGTTTTTGGCAATAGGGATCAGTCCAGGCATCTGGGGATCGTCAACGATGATCACATCTGCACCGCCTTCGGATGGGGCGAGAAGCGGGCCACCATTGCGGGCCCAATATCGTTTTGCATTCTCTTCGATCCACACTTGCAGCAATTCCTTGTTCTCTGATGTCAGGCGTTCGTCCGGATGTGAAACACCTTGAAGGATGTTGTGGTTTGTTTTTGTAACTCTAAATACGCCTGGTCGAGGCTTCGGAACATACCTATGCACGATCAATATCTCAGTCGGAGAATGGGAGTTGGTATAGATACCATTTGATATCAGTGCCCAGAGAATGCGAGAGTCGCACGAGAGCATGCCGCATCAAAGCCACACCTCCACCTTGAGGCGTTGCGCTGAAAAAAGCAATTTTCACATTGCGTTCTTTCAAATCAGCGGTGTAATGTTCCACTGCTGACCACGTTCGACCAGAAACCGTTTTCTTGAAATCATTGAGGTTGGCTAAACGCACATGAAAGGCTGTGTCTACTTCCACAAGACCAAGGAAGCCAACTTGCAACAAGGGAATATTCTCTGGTCCAAACAACCTCACGCACTTACGTGCCATAGATTCGGCTTGCTCATCAACGGTTTTCTGATCCCACGCACTTGCTGCAGATGGACCCTGGGCTTTGATCGACTGACCGACACTTGTCCCATCTACCATGCTCGATTCTGGCAGAACCAATGGAATGATGTCGAGCTCGGCCCAGAGACGCGAGCAGAGTTCTGGACAGTGGTCTGCGACATGCCTGGGCATTGCCAAGCCGACAATTTTCTCCAGATGCTCTTTGGAGTAGTGCTTCAACTCGGATATGATGAAGTTGGTTGCTTCTCCCGCACATGCCTGGCCATTTGTAAACTCCTTTTCGATGAAGTCGAGCAGGTAGGTAGTATCGCGGATTGCAATTGCAATCAGTGATGTGTGATGATCTGAGAAAGAGCTGGCCACACCCGCGTATATGGTCTATCATGGTTCATGGTTAGTCTCGGGCATCTCCGTCTCCAGTATCAGCCACTCGTACATCAGATGGCGGTCCTAGCCAAGCATTGCGCTCAAACTGCAACGACAGCCGACGTTGCTGGGCCACCGAAGCATGGCGCTCGAAACTGTGTTTATCACCCTTATTGTCTGACATGGTGCTACATGGAGGAAATGGAAGGAGAATTGGCATAGAACAAGATTTCCCCGTTTAAAGGGTGACTTCACATAGTGACGTAGAAACCGTGGATATAACCATGGTAGTCCTTCTCGTAAATGGCCATGGCCACGAGCTGCAGTTCTCTATATCACGATCAACTCGGATCAACCAGGATCAACCAAGATCAGCAGAAGAACAACATGATCAACAGTTTATACAGTGGAACCCACGAGGTTGCTGTTTCACCTCGTGGGCTGACTCAGCCAAGCCCCTTTTCCCCCGCCTCAGGGAAATTGGAGGCCGATCGCATCTCTTCTTCTTTTCCTTCATTCTTTATACGGCTGTGCTGTCCCTTAATTTAATCTCTATTTTCACAGCCAGTGCTCAGTTGCACTGACTTACGCGGGTCCCAATTGTTGATATCCCCGCTCTCTCCAACTCCTGATTCCCCCCAAACCGCGTACCAATCTCGCCAACATGGGTGGCCAAGTATCCAAGATGATGGGCAAGATTTTTGGCACGAAGGAGATGCGGATTCTTATGCTGGGTCTAGATGCTGCTGGAAAGACAAGTATGATCCCAGACCTGTCTCAATTGAGCCTCGGACGAAGATTGGCTAACACCTGTTCCCTCACAGCTATTCTCTACAAACTTAAACTCAGCAACCAGGATGTGACCACCATTCCCACTGTCGGATTCAACGTCGAGAGCGTGACCTACAAGAATGTCAAGTTCAATGTCTGGGATGTCGGTGGTCAGGACAAGATTCGACCCCTCTGGAGACACTACTACTCTGGCACGCAAGGATTGATCTTCGTGGTTGATTCTAGCGACACAGCACGTATGGAGGAAGCTCGCTCGGAGCTGCACAAGATCATCAACGATCGTGAAATGAAGGATGCTCTGCTTCTCGTGTTTGCCAACAAGCAAGATATCGGCGGCCGTACGTATCGCGTTCCTCTGATTGGATGTTCAATTGACTAACGATATGCAGACCTGAGCCCCGAGGAAGTCACCCAGCAGCTTCAGCTGACCAAGCTCAAGGACAAGCTCTGGTACGTTGCGCCCAGTGTCGCGACAGATGGCACAGGTATTTTCGAGGGCCTGGTAAGTGATATTCTGCTCCTTTTCCTCGCAACAACCTTTAACTCCCTCCCAGGCCTGGCTCTCAAACAACGTCAAGACCCAGCCCCAGAAATAAGATGCTCGTGGTGGTCTCGAGAGGCGCTCCTGGAGTAGCTTCGTTGTACAACATCTCGCATTTCCTCTTCATGTCCGTGTTTGATGACAAGACGACGTAGCATTTGGGCTTTTATTTTCTTGTTGTTTCCTTTGTGGCCTTTGTCTTCTCGTTTACTGTTTCATTGCCTTGCCTTCACTTCTATGATATCCCCTCCGTTCTTATATGGGCTTGTTGGGTCCAATTTAATTTTTTAATTCTACCTTGCGCTTGATATCACGGGCGATACCATTGTTTAAACTGCCGGGGGGAATGATTTGCAGAATTGGAAGAGAACAGAGTTCTACAATTTGATAGAAATGGACATGACATCTTTTTGACCAGCCTGTCATCAGATCTGACGAATCCCCACGGAACCAATCTCCGATCAATCCCAAGGCCATGGATCCCTCTCGGCTATTCGAGCCTACTTGAAGCCTATTTGACTACTTGGAGCCTTGGTATAGGTCAATGCTTATTCAGAACGCACATGGAGAACACTGGACACTAGTGTCAATGTGACGACGGCGGAAGTCCCATCCACAACTATACGATGGCATAAATAGAGCCGCAGACCAGTGCGGCCGCCAACATTACTCGCCTGATGTTGAGAATCTTGTTGAAACCAAGATCAACTAAATCGCCAGAACAATTCCCCATTCAATATCTACACCTCACCGTCCCGCTGGGTTCGAGATTGAAATCGAACCCAAAGCCATGCCCAACTACGAAAAAGGGCAAAAGGTCAACTACAGACCCGTCGGTGGTATGATATGCCTACCTTCTTCGATTTATGCTGTTCCATGGAGACAGAGGCAGAGGCTCATAGGCAGTATAACAGGCGCAAACTCCAAAACAAACAAGAGCGTCGGAATCATCCGCGATTTCAGCACCGGAAACACAAACCTGACCGACCGGAGTGTTTCTGCTTCGGATGACATGCCTCGTTATGAGATCGAAAATATGAATACTCATAAGCGGTCTGCTATTAAGGAGTGTAACATTGATGGGCCGGCGGAGTAGGGGGTAGCATGAGTCTCTAGATCACTGGAGAGTAGGTTCACTATCCGGTTCTCATTCACTATCATCCATTCTATGTAGCGTGTATCTATAAGCCAGAACGTGTAACAGCTAGGGTCATTCGTATCCTGGGGACCTTGGGATGCACTTGAACAGCTTAAATCGGTCTTGCCCCCTCTTTGACTTCCTGTCATTACCGAATCAACTACTATTCTCTACAAGCCTAAGGTTCACACCCTTCACACCCTTTGCAAACAGTCATACTAAAAGTTCAACCAAATCAATTCAACCGACGCTCACTGACTATCCAAGAATAAAAACGTTAAGTGGGCATTCAAAAAGATAAATCATAACCTTCGTCCAGACTTCCCAAGAAAACAACGCTGCGCAGCCAAAAAGGTCCCAACCCGATCACATATGTTGAAAAGCAACCGAGAATGCCAGAACCCCCCAGCCATGAAGAAAAAGAAAAGATGAAAATGTACAAAACGGGAGTATAAGGTGGGTCATTACATAGAAACAGTCTATGCCTGGTTAGGCCAGATATCGTTGGCGATATCCCGGACCAACTGCAGCTTGTTGATCATGCCATCCCAGTCAATAGCATTACCCTCACGGTGGGAAGCGAATCCACACTGGGGGCTGACACCGACCTGGTTAAGGGCAGCATCGAGAGAGATGTTGTTACCCTCGGCAATGAACTTGGCAGCATCAATAACGCGAGCCTTCATCTCCTCCTTATCCTCCATAGTGGCGAACTTGGAGGTGACAACGCCCAAAATGACGTTCTTGTGCGTGGGCAGGAACTTGAGGGGCTCGAAACCACCGGCGCGGGGGGTGTCGTACTCCAGGTAGTAGGTGTGCACGTTCAGCTCTTGGAAGAGCTTGATGGCGATGCGGTCGTAACCGCCTTCGGAGAAGTGACGGCTGCCGACGAAGTTACCGCGGCACAGGTGCACACCGACGTGCAGATCGGCGGGGAGGTTGGCGGTGATGTCGTTGTATTGCTTGATGTACTTCTCGAACATGTCGTCGGCACTGTACACGTTCAGGGCGTCTTCCTTGAAGCCGTTCAGGAACTTGTCGGAGCAGAAGTCTGGAGCAGGTTAGTCTTGTGTGATTGTGCATTTGATGCATGGGATCTATCTTACAGGCCAGGTTGGGGTCGTCAAACTGCACGTTGCGGCAGCCGGCGTCATACAGGATCTTCAACTCGGCCTGGTAGGCCTTGGCGATATCACCAAAGTAATCCTCGTCGTTGGTGTACACAGACTTGGGGTAAGCCTTGCCCTCGCGGTAGCGGAGGTGGTACCAGTTGGGGGCAGCGAGAGTGATCTTCAAGTTGCCGACCTCCTCGGCGGGAACCTGACTGGCAAGGTACTTGAACTGGTCGATGTAGGTGCTGCCTACGTGCTTGATCTTGCCGGTACAGATGACACTCTCACCTGGCTTGTGGCCAGCCTCGAGGAAAGCAGCAATATCAGGGGCATAGGGACGGAAGTCGTCGACATCGACGTCATTGACCTCCTCGAAGCCGTCAAGGCCGGGGAAGAAAGTTCCCCAGAACACTGAGACTGTTAGCTTCACTCGGCTCAGAGTCTCTGGAGCTCTTACTGTGGCGACGGTACTCGCCGTCGGATAAAGCGGCATATCCGAGCTTCTGCTGGGTTGCGACAATGTCCTTGACTTCCTTGTCCTCAACTGCAGTCAATTGAGACTCGGGAATCTTGCCGGCCTCGAAAGCAATCTTGGTATCCAAGAGCGCATTGGGGCGCAAGAGCGAACCGAGGTGCTCAGCGCGGAAAGGAGGGCGCTGGTGGAGTTGAGGAGCCATGGTGAAGTATGAAGATTAACTATAAAGAGATGATGAGTGATGGTTCAATGCATAAAGGTCTGAACCGGATGCAAACTGACCTGGGGAGGATCTGAGAGGATATCAGGAGAGAAGAAAGAAAGAAAGAAGAGAAGCAAGAAAAGAGAGGGGCGTCCTTTTCATCCATTGCTTCATAGACGGTTAGCCCCACTGACCTGAGGCTCTCCACATTCGCCTATAAAAGTCGGTCGATTTCATACTCCAACTCCGATCTCGCCGATCATTTGGATTCTTTTGAACTTGGAGGGCTCTTAGCTATTGCACACCATGACCATCGAGAGTCACTGACTGCCGATATAGGAGCTCCCATAGACAGCCAGTGCGGGCACGTATTCGAGGCTGGCTTTGGGATATGCACGGGCCACCCCCGGGGGATTTCCGCAGCTTCGTGATAGTCCACTGCGATCATTGACTCTCCCCTCGCAACTCTGGCTATCTGATTCGTCTCCTTCTCTGTACAATCCCCTTGAAGAAGTCCATTGATTCAAGAAAACTCCCCTCCCCCAGCTGAGTCACGGATGACAAAGGAGCAAGTGGAGGCCCCAGCAAAAGTCAAGTGGGGAAACCGGCACTTGACTTTGTTCGTCTTTCCCGACGTCTCGACTGTCATGTGATATGGAAGACTCAAGATGTCTGCTTTCTCCCCTGTAGAGCGCCTTCCGAATGAGCTCTGGGATCAGATCATAGGATATCTGGATACCGAGCCACCATCGGCAAGACGACTACATCATGCGCCAAGTTTACAACTGACCGAGTCATCAACCAAAGACCTCAAGCATCTGGCACAATGCTCGTCTGGCTTTCTCCAGCTCGTACGACCCCAGCTATTCACTCATGCTCGTCTGAAACTGCATGATGAGCCGGCCTTTCTCTCCTTCCTGACTAAATCAGACCTCACGCGACATGTGACCTCTATCATCATAGCAGTGGAAGACAACAGCCCGGATCACCGAGCCGACCCCTTTTGGTGGCGTCAAGTCCTCTCTTACCTGGACCCTGCCCATATCATGGTGTTAGCGCCGCCAACATTCATTGGTGAAACCATAGGCAGCCCAATCATGGATGGCCATAGCTGGGCATTTGATATCCCACTGCAGATCCTGGATATAACGCGACGTTGCAGATTTGACAACTCGCATAACTTACCAGACTTGAAGTCATGCACAAGTCTACTGGGAGCCCGTCCCTGGACGTCAATTGCCTTTAATGAGTCATCTTCTCTAAAAGCATATAACCACTACGAATACTTTCTCTCCTGTGTCCCATCCATCCTCAGAGAATGGGGAATCATGCGTGGCGAAGGGCACAACATGCCGCTTCAACGGCCAAAGGATTTACCCTTGCTATTACATGGTCTGAATACCTTCTCTTACACAGCAGTCTTCCCGTTCTACAATCACGTGCAAATTGTACTCGATGGCGTCTTGAGAATGGGCTCTCTTCGACGTCTGGATGTCCAATTGGCGCCTGATCGAAATAACCACGTTACCGAGATTGAACAACGAGGCTCCATGGATGCTAACGATCCGTGGATGGAGCTTGCAACCTCGTATTCTCTAATTGGGTTCACTGTCAGCCAAATGGAAAGTTTGAAAGAGTTCAGATCCGGTGATTTACATGTGGAAGCTGTGAGGGATGATCTACTCGCAAATTTGAACGATGTTATTGGTGATGGGGGTTGGGTGCATGATGGTCGTGGGATTTGGAAGCGTAACTAAGCTTGATTGCATTGTGATATAACTTACGTATATGTTCAACAATTTGAAAATAGTGAAATTGTACGGTTTGCTTCCGCTAAGCACTGTATGATGATATGTGGTGGAAAAGATGTTCAACTGTATACAGCTTGAGCCAAGAAGCGGTGGGTCTCGCGCTCCCGCACTTCATCTCTTCCTACCATCAGTCGTTGCTACGCGTGGTAGATCCATCAAATATCACGACTGGTAGAAACACAAGATATTGCGAACAAGTGGCTATGGCATTCACCAAAAGTGTCTATTCAGCAGAGCCTGCATTGCCAGTCCTTGCTGATTCTCTGCTGTGCCAGTCAGAATCGAGCATCCAAAACCCAGCTCCACAATCCAATATCCCAGCTGCAGACAACGAATGGAACCTGAAATATGACTGGAAAAAGGGCGTTCACATAGACAGCAAGAGTGTATTCCGTTGCGGCACAGTCCTTGGATTCTCCAGGCTACGAGGGCGAAGCGAAGAAACACACGAATACATCGGCGAGGTACGAACTATCAAGCCCGAGAAGTCCAATAAAATTGACCGACCACAGATCCCCCGGTATCTCTTAACCAGTCATCTCCGAAGCATAACACAACACAAAGAACCCAGCACATTCATAATATACCCAGGCAACTTCGACGCCTTCGATCCACAGAACCTCTTTGACGATCTAACATCACCAAAAGACCAAGACCAACCAAGTCTCACAGAAAAAGAAGCCATCCAAAAAATGGACACTGTCCAGCTCCTAGCAGTCTCCGATTTCCAAGAAGCAGCACAAGCCATCCGCCAATACTCAGAAGTGATATACAAACTCGAACAAAAGCGCCAAGAAGCACGAAACAACCCCGAAAGCGAAACCCACCACTCAAGTTCCGATGCAATCATGTTGATAGTAGTTGGACTAGACTACCTCATCGAAGGAGTAATCCGCGCTTCAAATCCAGGAAAGGGCGTAGCTAAACTGACAGCCGCGCTGCGCTCGTTGACGACATTATCGCGGGCTCACGATTCCCATCTCTCTATCGTTCTTGTGAACATGAGTGGATTGGGCCCGTTTTATCCGGATTTGGGCAGAAATTCGCATTCGACCGGGTCTCCCCATGTGCATGCAAGTGTGAATTCTCGGGGCGATGATAGTGTCAAGGCACTTGACTATGCTATTCACTCTGTGTTTCATTCGGAGATTCTCCTGTTTCCGAATCTGATTATGAAAACGCTGGATCAGGGGACGGATACGCATTTCCTTGTTTCTGATGTTCGACGGGTGCAGGTGCTTGAGGTTATTAAGGATCGGATTGGGGGCAGTCTTGGGAAATGGGGGGTTTGGAATGAGCATCGAGAGATTCTGTACTAGTGATGAAAAGGGGAAAGGCGGAGTTTGATGGGTCTCGATGAAATTATCCATAATCTTACAAGAAGTATCCTAAGTTATAAGTATGTCCACCTCCTGGTAAGTAAAGTAAAGCGCCGGTTTGGATGCAATAGGTCCCAGAAAAAGCAATACGATATGCCTTTGCCGCCGTCAAGAGTAGGGTTGACATATGATAACCCGCAAATGCAAACCCCGGCTCCAACCCATGGACCTTTTGAAAAAGGAAAAAGGAAAAAAAAAAGTCCCCTGCAATATAAAAGGGGAATCAAGCTTTTGTTGCTGGAGGCCAAGGAGAATTGACACCAGTGATAGAACGAATGGCCATCTCAGACGGTGTTATCCCTTTCAGCCCATTTCCGCATAACACCTCTCTCAACAACAGATTTCGCCTCTTCCTCGCACTTGGCAAGATCTTGCGCGGCAGTCTCCTCTTCGAAGACGATATCTTGCTGCTGAACCTTAATCCACTGTTTATGTCTCTCGCACCGCTTCTTCGTGCAAACTCCTTGCGTCAAGGCTGTGATGCTAGTGTCGGCTTCGCCGTCCATGGCTGTATCGCCGTCTGCATCAGTGGTACAACGATAGCCGGCAGCCAAAGTTTCGACTGTGCCCTCCGCCAAAGCTTTTTGTCCCGATTCTGAGAGTCGCCACTCGTCGAATTCCTCGTCAGACCAGGAAAGTCTTGAGTCAAACCCGCAGATATCTTTCCAGCCACCTTTAGGCTCGTGCTGTTTTAATTTTTCGACGATGCCCTTTGCTCGAGGGCGGAGGAGTGATACGAATGTCGAGCGTGCAGTGAGCATTTCCTTGCGATGGATCAATCCTTCGTGTCGTTTGCGGAGATTTTCGATTTTGGCAATTTCGTCGGGTGAATATTCTGTGCCTTCGGCGTAGACGTCGAAATTTAACCATTTCCCGCTCTTCGACTGGGATGGAGGTTTGTCATCCGTTGGACTGGATTCTGTCTCGTTGGCTTCGGGTGGAGGGGAGACGATTCTGTCTCCGAGTGTTCGGAATTCATGTGTGGATGATACGCCCATGATGGCGGCTTTTAGGTCACTGGCTGTGAGAATGCCACCCATGCTACCCAAGTCTTCGAAGAGGCCCTTGGTTTTATTTGCCTTGGCCTTGAGCTGTTGGGTCTGTTGGCGCATAAATTCCCGGCCATGATCATCAGAGCAGTATTTGCTCGGGTTGTTTCGCGTGGCGCGCGCCGGTTTACGGCACTCGACTAGACGGCACATTGGTTTCCATGTCGTGTGTCCTTTGCCCTCACTTGCACACTTCGGGCCTGTTGCGAAGTTAGCGTTTATAATGAGTTTCTTAGTGTAAGATATGACTTACAGATATACCGCTCGATCAATTCCGCATCTCGCGGGTGCATGTTGACACATTTTCCATGGTACCAATCGTCACAGTCGCCGTCGCACCCAATCATCCAGGTATGGTTATCAGGTCGGCGACAAACACAAAAGAGTGCATTCTCGTCGAAGTCGTCATCATCATCCTCGGCGGCTGCCTTAGGTCCCTTCTTTCTGGGCCTTTTCTTCTCTTCGGGTGCTGGCGATCCTGCTATAGAAACGGATCCTTGTTTCCTTGCAGGGGTCTTGCTAGCTCGGGAGACTGGCGTATTGGAACGGCGCTCGTCGAGGCTGTCTGCATCTGCGTCATTCACTTTGCGCTTTTTTGGTGCTGGCTTTTTGGCGGTTCCTTTCTTGGCGGCGCTGCCTGCAGGCTTTTTGTTTGATGGCTTCACCGAGTTTGCTGGTGATGATCGGTCAGATGAGGATGCCCTGGACGTCACCCCGTGCCTGAGGTCAGAGACTTTCTTCGACGTCGGGTAGTCGTCCGCCCCATCGTAACCGAATGATTTCGTATCGAAGTCGTCGCTGATGGGGAATTTGTCCAAAGTAGAGCTTGTTGGTTCGGTCTTGACTGAAGGCAGAGCTGTGTCTTGGGTCGCGACTAGCGAAGCACCTTTTGCAGGGTCATAATCACCATCGTAGAGGTCAGCCCAGGTGTCTGCCTTCTCAAGATGGTCGTTCTCGTTCCGTGGCGCATCTCTGAAGAGGCGGTGGACCTTGTTGGCTCTGATGGGGCCAAAATACCCGCATTGTCGCCAACCAGCAATTCCCACAATTCGATCATCCCGAGCGATAATGTTGCTTCGAGTCAAGTCATTGTGTGCTAGGCATAGATCTTCATCCTGCTCCTTTTCCGAGAACAAGATATCTCGCTCACGAGGCTCGACGGAAGGCGGTGTTTGGGAATTGAGCGCGGAGGAGACGTAGGAGGGTTCGTTTGAGGGCGAGCCAATTGTACCTAGGACCTGTAAGATCTGGCGACACTGATTCTTCATGATATTAATCTGGTTTGCGTCAAGATATCTCCATGCAACGTCCAGCGAAACACCGGGAATCCTAGACTCGATTGTAACATTCCTCTCCTCGATCTTTCCGCAAAAATAGATCACTGGCACTGAAACACCGATCTCCCGGAGGATGTCCTCTGCCTTCCGCGCCGCAGATAATTCATTCTCATTGGCACAGGTGTATCGCTCCGCCATCGCGCCATTCGCCAGCTGGCGGTCAACCCAAATGATTATACTCCCAGCAGCGAACGCCTCCCTCGGCCCTGTGATGTGGAGCGAATGATCTGGTGTACAATATTTCTGCGCAATGCCCTCCCAAAACGCGTTCACTTCTGGGTCGGGCTGATACCACTGCATGAAACGAGGAATGAAATCCTCATCGCTCGGCGCATAACGACCATATTGCGCACTTTTGGCGAGGAACGGGTCATCGTTGGGGATGCGATTAGGGTTGGTTTCGTAGGGGTTTCGCATTTGCATGGGCGCCGTAGACCCGTTCATCTGGTTTGCGCCGGCCGCCTTCATATCCGCCATGTTCGAGTTTTCCGGTGAGGATGAAGAAGGAGATTGCGCGGTTCAAAAGATGGTCTGATGATGCTGTAAAGATGAGTCTTGCGGAGACTGTGAATGTTTTGGCTGTCGGGAAGGAAGGGCGCTGGCAGAAAGCTAAACCGATACAAGTTCTGCTGTGAATGCTGGAGGCATTATGGGAGCTGCATGTGGGTAATGGAGTAGCGAGTCTTGTTGGGGAAAGTTGCAGACCACGCGATCTGCGGTTAAAGGGTGGGAAAATGTTCGGAGGGCGTGTGTTGATTATCGAATCCTGGCGCAATCCCACTGTCGATTGGAGATATCAGTCTGCTCCAATGTCGTCGATGGAGTGTGATTTGTGTGGTTTGGAGATTTGAGCGCCTTAAAAAGACTTGTTGAATATGCAAACCCCCGAACTGAGCTTGGATAGGGTGAGTTGTGACTTGAACCTGGGGTGAACATTATCGGAGTTGCGGAGCTCAGGGACTGAAAAGCGAAGGCGGTGAGTAATTTCCCGACACGCGACAGCTACTCCTCATCTCGGCCATCGACACGTCTGCACCTACCGTACACAGCTACACACAATCTCCAATGCTTTTAATTTTGGCACACGATGATAACCTGGAACCTGATTTGATCTGGGTCATTTGTATCTGATAGTCAGAACAAGCAGCCATTCCTTGGGCAGTCTCTACGATCCATTGATTCTCTTCCCGTTTTCACTTTGACTTCATTCTACGATTCTCAGTGCGCAAGCAAACAGTTAAACTCCACTGGCAGGATTGCCACTAAGGATTCCAGCAGTCTGGAAACCTCATTTAATTATTGACTAATTGAGAAGGTGGACCTGTGCACCAATAGATCCCGCGCTTACCAGACAGTCGGCCACGAACTTCTCCCCATAAGCCTTCTATGGCGTGACGTCAACCCTCGAGACGAAAACAACAGGGGCATCATACTTGGCAAGCCTGGCAGACATTGATGACCTCTCTGCGCATGAGCCATCCCGTGTTCATGTCTCACAGCTCCCCCGGAGTCATCACCGTCTCCGAGTCGTCCCTTGGACCCCTTCCCGCTCCGCGATCGCCTGAAGGTTTTGGCCCCATAAGCAATGCACTCGATTGGGTGGGATGATACATGGCGGGCCCACGTATAAGCAAACGCATCGCGATAGCCGACATGCAGGTCCTTGTCTCAGCTTTCTATTCTAAGCATGCTGACGGCTTAAAGTGGCGCTGATGGGCTGTCTCCACTGACACCGGTCAAAACAGAGCCACCGTTCCTGGGAAATATATATGCATCCATCCTTGTATTATCCTTGCTCCTTGAAACCTTGTTTCGCTGTCGGTGTGCATGGTCGTGGCTCGACCTGTGGCCCGACGGAATGCGAATGAAGCAACAGCCACAATCGGCTCCGGGGGCTTGCAGATTAATTCACCGGTATAGATGAAATGACCGGATTACATAAATTGACCGGATTACAGACAGACCTCATCGCCGCTGAGGATGACTGAATGACCTTGCAGTCGGCTTCCTCATTCACACCTGGATCATACTCGGGCTTGACGGCTACGAAGACTGGGACGCTTCCGCGGAGATCTACTGGGGCTCTGCCTTGCAACGTTTCAACGTTCAGGGCTGAATCGGCACTGTGGATATCCGCAAAGCCTATCTTGACACCACATCCAAGTGAGACACGTTTAGCGAGTGGCGTTGTAACTTCAAAGTACAGTAATCTCAGGGCGCTCTCGCATGAACACCCTGGTCAACGGATATTCACATGATCTGACAGGATTGGTAGCGGAATGAGGGTACATGTCGTTAGGAAGGGGTGTGGAGAGCGGGTATACTAAAAGAAACACATGTACAGTAGGATATCTGCAGAGGTCAATGTAAGCCGGTGATCAGCCAAGACTATGCCCAGGATGGTATGTCGTGGTGGAGCAAGTAAGATTCAGTGGGGGAGAGAGGGGGGCGTAGATGTGGCAATTTGATACTGAACCTATACCAGGCCATGAACAGACATTGGTGTGAGACATGTACAGTACTGATGGACTGGTATATCCCAGCATTCTCTCAGATAGACTGAACCCGACAGTATGGTGCGCTTACTGCTCCTCTTTAGCGCAATCAACCTATCTTGGGCTCGATTAGGAAGCATATACGAAGGCTGTCGTCCCGTTTCCCGGGATGCTCGCACCGTGACAAGTAGTCCAACCGCCCCGCCGGATTATATGTTCTATCACACGCCAATGCACTTGTTTCCAGTGCCATATCCCAGGGCTCAGCAACCCATGCTGATCCATGCCAAGACCCACAGCACACTAGCGGAATCCGCCCGAGACCCTATTTAGTTAAGCTCTGCTACGCCTTCCACTAGCGATGAGTTCTATTCGCTAAATGAAACGGCGACAGCATAGCCAGGTTGTCCAGGGTCGATACTTAGGTTCCTTGCGCATCTGTTCTGCCCTGTTCTGCCCTGTTCTGCCCTGTTCTGTCCTGTTCTGCCCTCTCTCCCTCCGTCTCCGGGATATCTCAACCCTCCAGTGGAGCCTCTCTAAATTGTGGACTGCATCGAATCTAACCCGATTTGGGCCAGAGTCAATTTCGTCACAAGCAGACCTCTCCGTTCACCTCTTCATCGCTGCAATCACTCGAGCCGAACCGTCTCATTCGGCCCCCAAACTCGGCCCACACGTGTCGGCATGAGGCCACTATTCCGGACTCTGCTTAGTTCGGTGAAAGTAGCCTAATCACCGGTGGGGAGAACGAACCCCCCTTGTCCGTGGATCTTTTTGTCTCACATTTCTCTATATTCTGGGATTTTCAGTCTCCGCCTTTTGATGTACGGACGTTTTGTGCTCGGTTCGCCGATCCACCCCCGTTTTTGTTTTTATCAATCTATCCTGGTTTCCCATGTTCCTCTCTCTTGTTTAGCATCATGGCCAGTTCAGACCCCAACGCGAGCAATCAAGACGGCAATATGCGGTGGCAGTTCATCGACTCGTCCAACAATAGTCGGACCAACTTGACTCAAGTCAAGCGTCATGTCATGCAGGAATATATGCGCCAGAAGAAAGGTGGTCGCCAGAGTGACAGTGAAGAGGAAACCCCACAACCCAAGCGCGGGCGACCAAAGAACAGCCGGGCTTCAAAGCGAAATACGGCAAAGGGTTCCAAAGACAACAAGGGGGCGAAAGGGAAAAAGCCAGAAAAGACCGAGCTGTCGACTGAAGACGAAGACATTGAGGAAATCTGTCAAGATAAAACTACTCAGCGCCTTCCATCAAATAAGTTGTTTGTGCAGGATGAGAAAGGCCTCCAAATCTTGCCTTTCCGACCATCTCCCCACCAATCTCATGCGGTAGTCATCGCGCCACATGATTACTTCGACATATCCCCGCAAAGCGCGCAGAGTCAGGATAGGGATTTCAACAGCCCCTCTTGGCCGTCTGCGCCAACAACACCGTATGAGCTCATGCATTCACCCAAGACGATCATGAGTGCAGCCCGGACAGACCCATTCAAGACCCTTCCGGTGGATTTGGATCTAGATGGGCAGAGATTATTTGATTTCTATGTGAATACCATGCCCGCGTGCTCTTACGGCTCTCATTTCCGCTCGGCCAAGGCCCATAATTGGTACACTGCCGTCTTTGTACCGGAGGGGATGAAGGGTGCCGTCGCTTTCCAAAATACCATCATTGTCCATGCGGCAAACACGTGGGCCTGGGTACGCAGTGAGAGTGAAACTCCAGATACTCTTTTGCATCGAGATCGGGCCGTTACCATGCTTCGCGAACACCTTTCCAACAATCCCCACGATATCTCCGATGTCGCGATCATCTCTTGTCTTAGCGCTGCAGCTCTAGAAGATTTTGATCCAAGACCAGGTCACAAAGAGATCAGCTGGGTGCACATGCGCGCTGCTCGCGAGATGATTCGAGCCCGTGGCGGTCCTGCTGCATTCGCCTATACCCGTCTGGGAAAGCTTATCAATTGGCAAGACTATATTCTGTCTGGGTATGAAACTCATGGACCGAGTTTCTTCTATCAATATGAGCAACCAGCTGCCATTGCCTCCGAATACTCACACCAATCTACGCAAAACATCCACTCAATGCCATCACCACCATACTCTACTTCTTCCGCCCTAGACCTCTCACCCAGTCCGGAACCAAAAACTCAACCTACATTCCCACCACCCACAAATACAACCCCAGTTGACGAAATTAAGCTTCAATGCGAAGAATTTCTTGACTTCCTTCGGCGCTGTGAACAACTCTCCTTATATCAGCGTGACAATCCCGAATCTTCCCACTTGACCCGCCAAACCACCGTGCAAGACACATCAATCCTCAATGACGTGCTCTCCGCGCCTCCTGGAGCTCGTTTCACCTCGGTCGGGGGCAGAAAACAAATGGTCGCCCGCATTACCGCATTAATAATTCTTAATGCCGCTCTCTGGGACTATCGATATACACCGGCCCGTGCAAGCCTGTTCCTCAGCACCCTGGAGACCGCAATGATCGACAGTGAGGTCGGAATGAGTGGCTCCGTCGAAGCGATTCTCCAAATTCTATTGGAATGTAATGACGGCAGCATCGAGTTTTCTCCTGCTTCACTCGAGCATTTGCCCGACTACTCGCAATACGGACCGACTGCTTCCTCGCCTGCTTACCGTCCGTGGTATGCTGGCCGTATGCTGAAGATTGCGAAGCGGTTGTGTGCTGAGTCTTGGTATCGGGTCAGTGACTTTTTGTTCTCGTGCTTGACGCTGCAAGTTCAGGAGCCCTGTATGGCTCTTTGGGAGGCAGATCTTCGTCAGGAGATTCTTGATGCACCTTTGACGAGTTATCTTATGCGCTCTTTGATCGATTGATTCTTTTGACGGTCTTTTTTAAGGGGGGTTAAATAATTTGAATGGCTTGTGTCTGGAAAGCATTGCCATATGGATTTAGATCGGGTTGGATATCTGGGGCTATTTCGGGGTTTATTTTGATACTCTTCATATACGAAAGAGTCTTCTTTATATGCCTTCCACATTATTATCGACAGTACACTTTGAATGATTGATGACACAAGAACTCTATGAGATAAGTTAGTTATAAATTACTGGTGCTTCCACCTCTTTTCGAACCTTTGCAAATTTTGAACAAACATGGCATCTATCTGCCAACACTCATTGCTTCACATCCTTCATAACATCACCAATAGCCTCAGCACCCCCACCACCGCCTAACAATTTCTCATTCGTAGCCTGAATAACAACCCGCCGATAAGTAGTCAAAGCAGGAACCCCGTTGTCCTTCACCTCCAAAATCAAATGAAGCAACTGTCCCTTAGCAATAGCCCGACGACTAATCAATTCAACGCAACACTTGTCAGCCGGAGGCACCTGAACCTCCACAACACTACCATCCTCATTCAAAGTCTCAATTCTGAGTTCTCCAACCTCATACTGCACAGCCCACTGAGTCGCACTCGGGTCCTTATACTGATACCACCTGAACGTGAGCGAATCCGTCGGGTCTGGATCATAAGAAGCCGAAGCATCAAGCCTTACCACACCCCCGGCCTCGACATCCAGTTCCAACGGTGCCGGGCCAGTCGTTCCATTGACAATCGCCACAGGATGATGATTCGCAGTCTTCAAATCAGAAGATAGAGACCACTGCATCCTAGCCGCAAAATCAACCTGGAACGCCTCCCTCCAGCGCCAAATAGTCGCATGATTGGACTTGTAGCTCCTCCCATCAAGCCCAACGACCTCATCCGCCGTATCACTATAATGCCCATTGACCTCCCCCTCATCCCCACGCGTAGAAACATACCTCCCACCCCAACCCCCAAACCCAGGCCGCTCAGCCACCCCAAGTCCATTCTGAACAAGATACAAAAAAGTAGGCGTATCCCCCTCAGGAATAAACATAAAATCAGGATACGTCACCCCAAACGGCCCGATCTGAATATTGTCCTTAATCCACTCCGCACTGATCATGCTCGGATCAGGACCGCCCCGATCAAACCCATACCACGCATCACCGGAAATGCCCGCCCAAGTCGCATTTCCGTACTGGTTCCAGCCGTGCACGGAACAGATGTAGAATAGATCCGGGTATGTGGTTCTGATCCAGAGGCCTGTGTCGTCTTGGTCGGAGATGGCATACACGCGCAGCTTGGACCGCAGTCTTGCTGCTTCTTCTGGCGTGTGCGTCTTGCTTAGCTTTAGTAGTGCCGAGGCTAGGACGTTCGTGCCGCCCCAGCAGAGGATCCAGAGCGGGTTGTTCTGTGTCGCTGCGTCTGGGGCTTCGATGCGGTCTAGTAGGGCTTCTGCGCCTTCGCTTAGGGGTATGGTGTCGCCTACGGCTGTCATGCCGTAGCTCTGGAGTGTGGGTCAGCTTGGAGGGATTGGATTAGATTGGCTGGTGGGACGAGACGGGACGGTACCTCTGCGCCCTTTTTGATCAGAGATCGTAGGGATTCAGGTGTTGGGTATGGATCGTCTGGATGCGCGTGCGCATTCAGGTTGTCTACTACTTTCTCGTAGCCGTCCACGATCTTGTGCATGTCCTGCGGACAGACTTTGTTTTTCATCCATGTTGATGTACATGCTACCAGGCCTTCGGTGCGGAACTGGTTGGAGTAGAGCAGATAGCGGACTAGAGACTCTGCATCGTCGGGTTCGTTGGAGATGTCGCTGAGGATGAATACGCGCGGCTTGGAGGGGAAGGATTGGAGTTTGTCCTGGGATGCCATGATATGGGATGTAGAAGGATGTAGAGGATGGGGATTATCTGGGTATGATAGTCTACTTATTACGTTGTTTCTGGTCGTGGTTAGGAAATTCCCGAAATCGTAATCGTAGCCACTCCGGACTCGTGCGGAGAACGTGGGGAATTGCCGAAGTTCAGCCGGTTCAAAGCAGCATCTGTAACCGCCACTATGCCCAAAGTATATGTTCTTGGCTTTGTCTTCTTGGCCCTGGTCTATGAACGGATTATTCAAACGAGGCTTTTTATTCGAAAGGCAGGATTTTATTGTGGTCCAGATAATTATATGTCTAGGAAGTTGTACTAAACCAATTCTATCGTGATACATCGTTGACTTGTATATACCGAGATCGAAACTCCTTGGTAGTCAATAGTTGCCTTAAAGAGGATACTGCGAGTGGCTGGACATGATAATATTAATTTCATGAATGTTCAACAAAAAGATTGTATGATATATTTGGGCTATGTTTCAGAAAATCTCGACAAAAGCTTCCACAGGGTATGAGACGCTCATTATTATCAAGCCTGTGCAATATGTTTTAAAACTTACATGTATTGTGCATAATAACGTTAGATGCTAGGTGGAATTGCAAATATACATGAATGAATGCTTCACCACAGTCTATTTTCCTTTTTGTTCCTGTCATGCGAGTCCTTGATACCAACTGACTAGTGTGTAGACATTTGACCTTTCCAGAAACCTAACCGGAAATGTAATTAAAAGAATGGTATGATGCATAAAATAGCTTGACAAATATTAACAGCTTATGCAAATTTCTCTTAGTCTATTTATTAACCATAACAATTTTGGACACTTGTACTTAATTCAGGTATCCCGAATTATGACTGGTAGATAGACAAGGACGACGGGTAGTCGCTATCACCCCCACAAGCCATATTATAATCCCCAAACTGCTCGACTCGCCCTTTGACGAAATCATGGAATTGCGTCTTGGAGCAGCTTCCACCTGGCCCGTCCCGACAGTCGACCAATGGCTGAGGACCAGCATTGTTCAAGATTCGATAGTAATCTCCCTCCTTGAAGCCATCACTCTCACACGACATTTTCTCAATAGCAATGTTGGTCAGGAACGGCAGGATCTCACTGCTCTTCCAAACGCGGTTATAGTTGATTCTGTGCTCGGGCATGGTACCGTTCACATGGTTCGATCCAGAGTATGCGCTGTTATTGTACAGTCCCAGCGCGGTGATAACCGTAGGCGGAAGTTCACGATGCGTGAAAGAGACATACAGCTCCTGCGAGGAAGACTCGTCGTCTAATGCTGCAACACTGGCATTCACCCACGGGATGCCGAGGCTACCAGATAGCGGGCGGCCGTAGCCCGTGTTGTGGAAGTACATCAAGTCATTAGCGTATTCGAATCCGAGCCATTCGTCGGAATTGAACAGCTTGAGAGAGCAGAATGGCGATGAGCCTCTGATGACGGTCTCGTAGCCGCACAGCTCGAACATGCCGGTGATGTCATCTTGAGTGAAGTTGAAAGAGCGCGCTTCGGCATTCAGACGGCTGATGATGGGTTTCGTGTACACTTTCCCAAAGGCCTGGTTTGTTAGCCTATAGTCCTACAAGAAATGAGTAGTAAAACATACCGATGATTGGTCACTGCCGTAGGAAGAACTGAACGCAGAACAGCCCTTATACGGCGTCAAGGAATCGGCGCCCGCCTTTTTGCTTTCTTCGATTTGCGTGAGATTGATCGCCTTGGTGTGATTGTTTGTGAATCCCGAAATGAAGCTTTGGGCACTGTTTACCGTGCGGTCTGCGGTCGAAGACCAGACTTTGGCAGGTGTCTTGAGATGGGCGTATTTTTTGTGAAGACTCTTTCCCAGCATGCGTGCCTCTTGTAAGCCAACACGAGTAAGCTTTTCCAAATGCTCCTCACTGACTGGTGCAGTCCAATTGGAAAGGAACTTGAGGGACTTTGTCGAAGACCAATTTTGTGTTGTGTTCTGCAATTTCTTCAGGAATGGCTCGAGGTATGATTCGTAGTCGAAATCATTGGCATAGATTGCTGCATGGCGGACCAGATATGATGCTCGAGTGACATTGCAGCCTTGGGGAGGAGATTGTTCGAGCGGAGGATTATTCGGGGTGAAGTATGGTGCGATCCCGGCGGAATGTTCTAAAGGGTTGAAGTGGGAGGAGGACAGGACAGGGGCGGCGAATGCCACGAGGAGGTGTGAGAAATGCATTTTGCTGGGTTACCTTGGAAAGGGACTCAATTCCTATTTTATATACCTTTGAGACTCATTTAATGCAGTCGCGATGTCATTGTTTACGAGGTAGTAAACAAGGAAAAAAGATTGACGTAGTGATCGACAGTGGAAGTAGCCGTGCCAAGCTCTGCCCTATGTTCCGCCCGATGCTTGGTTCACCGCATCTCTCAATGCCCACAAATAGGAAGTGAATTTATTTAGAGATGTTTGAAGAGTTAAGCATATTGAGTCAAGATATGAGACTGTTTTAATTGAGCACTGAAGAGACCGCAATTGGGGAGATTGCCAACATGATAGAGACCTGGTGGGCCTGAAGGTGCCAGTATGAGTGGAGGCCATGACGCTCTTCGGTAAGCCGAGCCGGTGAGCCCGGATTGTCTTGAAATCCTACAGGGCTGTCCCTTGATACTCGGATCATCTACATAAGCCAAACCAGGTTGGCAAATTGAGTATCTTCGAGACCATCGTCGTCGTTTTGCTCTGTCTGGGTGGTCTCTCTGCGAAAAGAACGACGTCTCTATTTAGATCCAGTCGCGTTATGTATAAAGGTTCAGCACCTAGATTCTTCTTCTTCTTCTTGAGATATTTTGACTCAATTGGGGAAAGTTACAAATGCTTTGACCGCGAAGGGGGCGTTGTTAAAGTTTTCTCTTGAGAACTCAGCTCTTTGCTACGCAAAATCTACATAATTTTCCGATGACATGTGTATGCCTATATTTTCTCCGTCATTGACTCTGATAAAATGAGTCGTTCACTGAGACTTATCGGACTCTAAGTTTAGTGCAGAATGTACATTGAGTTTCATAATACCCTAGAACACCTGAAGCGTACCCGCTACATCGTTCCTATACCCATACACTAGGCGATGTCAATCGTGACACAAGAGTGTCTAGTAGCCGACCAAGCTTAAATCACGAAGTCGAAACCGAACAGGTGATAAAATGTAAGAGGGTGGATTGATAGAAGGATGATATTTAATCAGACGCAGTGTTGCTTTGAATCTGTCACAGACCGCTCTTTGATAACCGGAGAAGGGATCCATTTAGCACCCCAGCAAAAGGTGGCTTCGCCAAACTTTACTTTTTTATCATACATTCTAAGGCTCTGATCGGTGATCGGTGATCGGTCACAGAGCTCATATACACGGAGCCAGTAATCTGGATTAAAAAAGTCGCCACGGACTTTTTCAATCTTGAGAGCCCTCTGATCTTGCGACAGGCGGATAGTATGTCCAATGCAGGGACCCATCTGATGATAACGGCGCTAGCTTTGTTACATCAAGTCAGAAAGCTTGTTCAATATTACCGCTCTATACCTAGAGGGGAAGTAAGTTGATTCGCCTAGCCTCCCAGATCCAACGCTTGGCATATCTTTGTTTGTCAGTATGTTGCATAACTCCATTGTCCAAGTTCTTGCCCACTTAGATCCCGGGGACCTAATTCCTGATATAGATCACAGAACATTGCATTTACTTTTCTCTGCGGTATTAGCGCAATTAGCGACCTTGGAAACGCTGCTTGAAATTGTGAACCTGAAATGGATTTCTCCTACTGGAAGGTGCCATGCCGTCACGCACGACGTACGCAATATATACTCTCAATGGGAGAATGGGCAGCTAGCCTGGCCTCACAACCCCTAAGCTTTACCGCTCGTTAATATAAGACATTGAGAGCTAATGGTATACAATGATGTCGGAACACTGTATTTTCTCCAAAGTAATTGCTCGCAGAAACAGTCAGCTGATCATCGGATGTGGGAACTCGGGAGGGTCCGGGGAGCAAGTGCCGTGCCACTATGCCCATTCTGGTATGTGGGCATGTGGGTTGCCAGACATCATGTCGAAAATGAAGGGACTGGGGTGAACAAGTGTGCTTGGAAATTGGCATATGCTGGCTTTGTTATTGGGGGGTGAGTAATTAGCAGCGATGTGTAGTTTAGTGCGATGTTGTGGTCTGCACAGTGGGTTTGTGGGTAATTTGTTCGCAAATCGGGTCCATCACACTACGGAATGGTATGTTCTGCTACAGTACGGAGTACATGACTTCTCCATACGAGTTGACAAAAGACCTGGACAAATGAAGCCCGTCAGAAACCAGCTCAGGGGCAATGGACTGTCCTCAGACCAGACACCGGAAAGGGTGGGGTCCGTGCATGTGGATTGGATCCTCAATCAAGCATTTTTTAACAGCTTGGCTGCCTCATCGAGAATAGCAGGGTTTCAGAAGCAAATCAGAAGTCCGAAGCTGTGAGAAGCCATCCGAACAGGACTCAGGCCTGAGGCAGAAAGAAAGACAAACTGTTGGGAAAAGGACTTTCACATGTCAGAGTGGGGGCTGACATGTGAAAGGGCCTTTGGACGGTTCAGGTGAGGGTAAGATGAGAGTGAGGAGGATACTTTATAGACAGGAATAAGGAACAAGAGAGTCAAATAGATCTTCTCATGCAAAGAGCAATAGGAATCTGGCCGTGCCTAAGGTCCTGCACTGTACAGACCGGAACAAACCGCGCGGGGAAAGCGATTGGACCATGAATGAGCCACGTTCAGAGCCAAGTTAGGGTCTAAGTTAGTTCCCAGTCCTGTCTCTCAACAAATTCGTGCCTATTTCTTGATTTCTGGATTTCTGAATCTCGAGAAGGTTCTCTCTTGTATTCTACTCCTCTCCTGCATTAGTGTCGGGTTTACATAGATCGACTGATCCCCCTTCTCTCTGTTTGAACTTCTAGCGTCTTCCACTTTCCTTCACCATGACCATTCTCGATATCACCAAAGATCTCCCGACACTCTTTAAGAAACAGGTGCAGGCCACCCCGGACGCCATCGCGCTAGAGGATGAAACAACCTACACATACCAACAGCTAGACCACGAGGTCGAAGCTCTCGCCAGTCGATTGCGGACCTATGGGGTGAGTCGGGACACCCTCGTGGGCGTACTTCTGCCACGCAGCGCAGATTACGTGATTGCGTGCCTGGCAGCGCTTCGTGCTGGGGGCGCCTTTCTGGTGCTGGAACTGGCTTACCCCGCGGACCTCTTGGCGGATGTCATCGAGGACGCAAATCCCGCCGTCATTGTCACCCATCGATCAGAGGCCGACAAGATCAAGGCCCCTCTCCCAGTGATCGCCCTGGATGATTCAGTGGCGGAGGCCAATGGCGCTGCCAAGGAACCTGCGCCGTTGCCCGCCGATGAGGATTTGGACCGTTTAGCCTTTGTTTCGTACTCATCGGGGACGACGGGAAAACCAAAAGGAATTGCCAATCCTCATCGTGCGCCGGTGTTGTCGTATGATCTGAGATTTGCGGTGCAGGATGTCCAGCCTGGAGATCGGGTGGCCTGCAATGTCTTCTTTATCTGGGAGATGTTGCGCCCATTGTTGCGGGGAGCCACGGTGGTGATTGTGCCCGATGAAACGAGCTATGATCCGGCCGCCCTGGTCGACTTGTTGGCGGCTAAAAAGGTGACCGAGACCCTGATGACGCCCACACTGTTGGCCACGGTTCTCTCCCGCTACCCGCGCTTTGGCACACGTGTTCCCGATCTGCGCATTATTTGGCTGAACGGCGAAGTGGTGACTACGGATCTGGCTCGCAAGGCCATCAAGATTCTTCCCAATACTCGTCTGCTCAACTGCTACAGTGCGTGCGAAACCCATGAGATTGCGTGTGGAGACATCCGCGAGATCATTGACGAGGAAGCGCTCTACTGCCCTGTTGGCCCTCCCCTCGATCCCTCACACACATATATTCTGGACGAAGCCGGCAAAGAAGTCGAGACCGGCACATCGGGAGAGCTATTTATCGGAGGTCCCCTGTTGGCCCGAGAATACATCAATCTACCCGAGGCTACGGCCAAGGCTTTCACGCCCGACCCCTTTGACACTACACCCGGCGCTCGGGCTTACAGGACCGGTGATCTAGCGCGCAAGTTGCCGTCGGGACTCCTCGAGATTACTGGTCGGGTGGGCGCTATGATCAAGCTCCGCGGCTACTCCGTGGTGCCCGCAAAGGTGGAGAGCGACATCTGCCAATACCTGGCTGTTAGTCAGTGTGTCGTGATTGCCTATGGCGAGGGGCTGGAGCGACAATTGGTTGCTTACATTGTCCCCGAGAAGGAGGCGTCAGAAGATCGCCCAGCGGTCACCATTAACGAGTCCGGCCACAGTCCTTCGGCGCGCCGTGCTCTTGAGAAGAACCTTGCCCACTACATGATTCCCGCCCTGTGGGTTGCACTCGAGCAACTTCCTACTAGCGAGGTGTCTGGAAAGGTTGATCTGAAGAGCCTCCCAACCCCCCGCAGTGGAAGCCCCAGCGGTAGCGAGCAGAGTGGCGGAAAGGACCCCATCAGCCTTGGTGATATCGCTGCCATCTGGGAAACTGTGCTTAAAATCTCGAAGAATCTGCTGAAGCCCGAAGACAGCTTCTTCGATCTCGGTGGACACTCATTGTCTCTGGCCGATCTGTCATCGAAGCTTTCCAGACGGTTCGGTTTCCGCATTCCTATTCCTCGTCTCGCTGAAAACACCACCCTCTCCGGTCACCTGGACACTGTGCGTGCCGTCAGAGACGGTCACACCGAAGAGGTGCAAGCCAACTTGCCTGCAGTGCTACTCTCGGACTCTACTCTGGATGAAGACATCAAGCCCTCTACCACTACTATCACTTCGATCAATGAGGCAAACACAGTGCTCTTGACTGGTGTGACTGGTTTCCTAGGCGCGTTCCTGCTGAATGACTTGATCGAGAACACCTCGGCTCACATCATTTGTCTTGTTCGATTCAGTGACCCGGAGCAAGATGACCAGGCTGGAGGTGTGGCTCGAATTCGTCGGAATTTGCTCGACATGGGACTTTGGCGCGATTCAATTCTGGAGCGTGTTGAGGTTCTTCCTGGCAACCTCTCTCGTCCTCGCTTGGGCCTGTCCCCTGAGGTCTTTGATGAGATCGCGTCCCGTGTTGATGTCATTGTTCACGCTGCCGCTACTGTCAACCTTGTCTACCCCTATGCCGCACTCCGCGGTGCAAATGTTGGCGGAACCAGAGAGATCCTTCGCTTGGCCGCTAAGGGAGGTGCAACTGTTCAGTATGTCTCTACAAACGGAGTTTTGCCCTCCTCTGGGGAGAACGGCTGGCCCGAGAGTACCATGCTGTCTGCGGAAGAAGTCCCCAAGAAGCTACTTGATGGCTACGGTCAGACTAAGTGGGTTGCCGAGCAGCTCGTGCTCAAGGCTGGTGAACGCGGATTGCCCGTCAAGATTCACCGATGCGGTACCATCAGTGGCCACAGTATCACTGGTTCTGCTAACGCTTGGGATTTGCTCACTGCCTTGATCGTTGAGTCTATCCAGATTGGATACTTCCCAGACGTGGAAGGATGGCGCGCAGAGATGACTCCAGTCAACTTTGTCAGCAAATCCATCGTTCACTTGGCCACTCAAACTCAGACCGACCAAACTGTTTTCCACCTGGGCGACCCCAAGCCGGTCGACACCCGATCCGTCTTTGAGGATCTCAAGGAGCTTGGATATCAGACTAAGCCCCTTTCTTGGGACGAATGGGTAGCCCTTTGGTTCGAGAAGAGAGGCACAGCCAAGGGTGGAGATGGATCTTTCACCGTCGACATTCTTCGCAGTGGTATGCCAACTGTCGAGTTCCTTCGGGATATCGTGGTCCTCGACAACGCCCTGACCAGACCTCTCCGTGCCGAGGTTGAGCGACCCAAAGTGGACAGCCTCCTGCTGGAAACCTACACTCGTCACTGGTTTGCTCGAGGATGGTTGCCCCGACCTCCGTCTCGCCAACATGCTCTCAAGCGCGCTGTTGAGCCCACCGTGAAGGGCCCTCTCAGCGGACAAGTAGCCGTGGTCACCGGTGCGTCCTCGGGCATTGGCGCGGCGGTAGCAGCCGCCCTGGCCAAACAAGGCTGCGCCGTCGCACTAGGTGCCCGTCGCCTCGACGCTCTCGAAAGCACCAAGCGCAAGGTCGAAGCCCACGGTGTCAAGTGCATCCTCCGCTCAACAGACGTAACAAGCAAGACCCAAGTTGAAGACCTAGTGAAAGCCGCAAGCGAGGAGCTCGGTCCAGTCGACATTCTCGTCGCCTGCGCCGGTGTCATGTACTTTACAATGATGGCCAACACCCAGATGGACGAGTGGGAGCGCACCGTCGACGTGAACTGCAAGGGTCTCCTGCACGCCCTTTCCTCCACCGTCCCCGGTATGCTCTCTCGGGGCCGCGGCCACGTCGTCGCCATCTCCTCGGATGCAGGCCGCAAGGTCTTCCCCGGCCTGGGAGTCTACTCTGCCAGCAAGTTCTTCGTCGAAGCAACCCTGCAAGCGCTCCGTCTCGAGACTGCCGGCGCTGGCCTGCGCGTGACAAGCATCCAGCCCGGAAATACATCTACAGACCTGCTGGGCATGTCTACGGATGCGGAGGCAGTCAAGAAATTCGGCGAGCCATCTGGAGCGAAGATCCTTGACCCTTCGGATGTTGCCAATTCAATTGTTTATGCCCTTACTCAACCGGAACATGTCTCGGTCAACGAGATCCTGGTTGAGCCTCGTGATGAACCTATTTAAATGATGTCCTTGCTTTTCTGTTATGTCACCAGATGAGATGCGATGATCTGTGGAGCTTTTTTATGTGCTATTATTTATCTGCCAGTTGCTAGCTGTGATTCCAGGGGTTCAGATTACACATAATTAGATGGCTGTATAGTGGTAGAGTATAGACTTAGATTTGTATATATAGACCTAACATAGACATAGAATACTGGATTCGTTCCAATGATTTTCCCATGCAACATCCATCGATCGATTTCGCCCATACGCTGTTTCCTCCCGTGCTACATTCCACTACATTAGAAGCTCACTGTGACATATGACGAATAGGATGACCAACAGCATACTTATTTCTACAGTATCAACTATCCAATCAACGAGTACACACCGCAAAAGTCCCTCCCCTTTCAGCCTAAGCAAAGATCCGAAGAGGATAATCAGCCAAATAGAAACCAGGATCATTGAACCGCAATCCCCGATCCAAAGCCGAAATAGCCTGAATCTCTTCATCCGTCAAATCAAAGTCCAAAACATCCAAATTCTCCGCTAACCGAGTAGGATTATTCGACTTGGGAATCACAGCAACACCCCTAAGCCCATTCATTAGCACCACCGTCCCCATTTTCCAAAAAAAAAAAAAAACCAGAAACAAAAAGAACTAACCTCTGCGTAGCCCACCTCAACAAAACCCTCGCAGGACTAACACCCACCCTCGCAGCAGCCTCAACAACACACCCACAATCAAAAAGCATCTCAATGCCCATAGCCCTCTTCGAAAACGCAGCCGGTAACTCTACAAAAGACATCGGCCCGAAACTAGAGTACGCAGTCACGGCAATGCCGTTCTCCCGCGCCATCTGGATTAACTCGCCCTGCACCAGGTACGGGTGATGTTCGATCTGGAGGGCCGAAATGGGATGTCGCGCGTAGGTCTTGATGTCATAGAGTGTCTGTGCTTGGAAGTTGCTCACGCCGATGCTGTGCGCGATGCCGTCGTCGACTAGTTCTTCTAGGGCTGTCCAGGTTTCTGAGATGGGGACGTTGACCGGGCTGATTTTGCCGGCGTCGTTCATCCACCAGGCCTGTTTTGTTAGTTCGTGTTGATGGGATGTTTGGTTTTGTTAGGGCTGTGTGTACGTACGGGATACTCTCGCTCGGCTGGGTCTATGTACTCCAGTGCAACGGGAAAGTGAATCAGATAGAGGTCTATGTAGCCGAGACCCCATGCCTCGTTCTGTCTCTGGGCCATTTGCAAGGTGTGCTCGCGTCGGTGGTAGTTGTTCCATAGTTTCGTTGTAATGAAGATCTCGGAGCGGGTTACTAGACCCTCGGCGATGGCGCGTTGGATTCCTTGTCCGGCCTCTTTTTCGTTTTGGTAGTCGTAGGCGCCGTCGAAGAGTCTGTAGCCAGCTTTGATGGCCTGGTTTTGTTAGGGCTGTCTTTTTTGGTGTGGCTGTTGACTGTTGGTCGATATACTCACGTTGTAGACTGTTTCTGCGGCTGTTTCTTTGGGGACTTTCCAGAGGCCGAAGCCTACTAGGGGCATTTCTTTGCCGGAGGCTAGAGTGATGGTTGACTTGGTCATTTTGGCGTTATCAAGGTATGGATTGCTTGATTCAATTGATGCGATGTCGAGTGCGAAACAGCTGTATAAATAGTGTGGTGGAACTTTGTATGGGTGCTTCCAACTGCCTAATTGGGATGTGGGCCATGAACCCAGATCGAGACCACCGAACCGACTCTGATCCAAGTGGGACATCAATCAGATCCATAACGAGGTATTCATGGCTATGCCTACCCTCTCATCTTATCACATACAATACATAAGGTAGACTGCGTTGGTCGTTTGACAGGCTCTTCATTTCATCATATCATAACAGTCTCTATAGTACACTTCGTTCTAAACCTCTTTAACATGCATCCCCTTCTCAGACCCGCTTAGACTAGTACTAGTCGTCACACTACCAACCGTGTAATCAGTCGGATGCATAGAAAGCGGATGCAATCCCTTATGTCGAATCTGCGAGCGCGGCGCCGTAGCCAAAGTCATCTCACGGCCTTGATCCGACACCTCAACCACAGCCCGACTAGAGAAAACATCCTCAACTTCCTCGAGAGACCGGCCCGCAGTCTCGGGATAAAATGCCCAAACAATGACCATCGCCGCCCAGTTGAACCCAACAAAGCAATAGAAATACTTATACCCGATATTAGTCAGAGCAATCGGCGAGCACTGCGCAAAGACAAGGTTAAGACTCCAATTCGTCGCCGTAGCCAGCGAAGAACCACGAGCTCGAATGGGCGTGGGGAAGATCTCAGATTGATAAATCCAGGAAATCATCCCGAGCGCCGTGAAAAACACCGAGAAAACGAAGAACATGGCGATTGCAGCGCGCAGCGCATTCGGGTTCGCGTTCGGGTCGTTGAAGTCGATATACCGGGCCAGCGTGGCTTCCACGCACATCACGGCGCCCATGCCGAAGAGCGATGGAATGAGCAGTTTGCGACGACCGACTTTGTCGATGAAGGTCATGAATACCGTGTTCCAGACTAGGGCTAGCGCGCCCCAGACTCCGATGATCATGAGGGATGTGGAGGTTGATAAGCCAAGGGTTTTGTAAATGCGTGGGCCGTAGTTTTGGATCACGTTTGTGCCGGAGCATTGGGTGAATGCTTGTAGACCGCAGGCTAGGAGGATGCGGCGGCGCCAGGCTGGGGAGGTGAGAAGCTGGCGCCAGGATCGCACTGTTGTTTGATGTTCGGTTAGGAGACTATCGTGGATCTGGGAGAGTTCATGTTCGAGGAGTTTGTTGTTTGTTGCGCTGCGGTTCAGGTGGAGTTTTGCGAGGACTGAGCGGCCTTCGCCTTCTCGGCCTTTTTCTATAAGCCATCGAGGGGATTCTGGGAGGAACCAGATCCCACTTGTGAGGATGAAAGCTGGGACGATCTGGAAGCAGAGGGGGAAGCGCCAAGAGAAGATTCCGCCGTGCAGGGAGCAGCCGTATCCGACCCATTGCTGGTTTCGTCAGTTGGTGTCAGAGATTGAGTAGATCTCAGTAGTCTACTCACGGCAACCATGATCCCCAGACCGATCATCCATTGCTGCATACTGGCCAATAAGCCACGGATCTGAGGCGGGGCAATCTCGCTCTGGATGCATGTCAGACGAAGCTTGGTACATACGTTACTGGATAGCGATCACGTACACAATATACAGGGATGGTAGCTGACATCTGCCCAATGGCCATGCCCGCGATGAATCGACCCGCAATAAGCATCGCAATGGTCACTGCACCCCCCTGGAGGGCAGCCCCGAGACTGGCAATCAAGCCACCAAGGAAGATGACCATTCGACGACCATAGTAGTCGGAAATGTATGGGGCCAGGATGGAGCCCACAATCGCACCCCCTGATCATATCCATTAGACCCTGATCGCCACATGTTCCGAAGGAGGATTACCAGTGTAAGACGAGATGATTCCTCCCGCGGCGGCATCAGATAACCCCGGAGAGCCAAATCGGGCTAGAAAAGCCTCTTGTTCAATACTGGAGGAGATCACGCCGGAATCATACCCAAACAGGAATGAGCCCAGCGCGGCAAACGCGCAGCAGAAGGTTACGAGGAAGAAAGCCATGGTCCATAGTCGTTACAGCACCGATGCATAGCGGGATGGGTGTGGACGAGTTCCATATAAATGGCAATAGTCGCGTATCGAATGCCGATCCCCGGACGTGCCGAAGGGATGTACGTTGGGAATGTTTCGTGGGGGACCTTTCACGCTTAATATTTTGTCGCTTAGTTGATTCGAGATCGCTAAATCGCTAAATCACATCCCGCCCCTCTGAAAATGACGCTATTGACTTTGGAGGCGCAGAGAGAACCCATGTTTCTTCTCGGCAGTTCTTGGATCGTCCGATCGTCCATCACGATGGCGCTAAACGATGCTTGGGGGACAGGCGTTTCAGGGTTGTTTTCATTCTTCAGCGCGTCACAGGGCTGTCAATTGCGGTATTGCGGCCTTGTTTCAACCCTGCCGCATGGTTAATCCCTTTTTTCCTGTGTGGCAAGGAGAACCCAGTGTATACAGTATATGCAGGTCGAGACCTGGAGAGGATTAAAGTATTACAAAAGGTAGCATTATCTGGTCAGCAGACTAAGAATAGGAATTTGAGTGAGCACTAGTAAATCTTGGCTACCGTTTACAGATCTTTATTCTGCCCCCCAATTTGGGGAAGTCAACCTTCACATTTCCCCAACCTGCAGAACAGGGTAAGGAGGGATATGATGCATCGATTATTCAACAGTTCAGGCTTCTCTCGGGCTTTCGGGGTTCGGGGCGCAAATTACCAAACAATGAAAAATATCACCAACGCTTAGCGTCGGGGCAGTAATATACAGTAGTCGCAGGAGTAGTACACCTGGGCAGTTGGGAGACTGTATTTGCAATGTTTGCAAATTACCCAAGGTCCATGTGTCTTGCGAACAGGTGCAGATGGAAAATATTATCTGCAGGCCAGTTTCAAACCCCGAAAGTTAAGAGTCATGCGCGGAAAAATCCACGTCAATCCCAGGGTCATGCCCTACCGTACATCCTATGGGATACGTAGATTAGTGATACTAAATGACCTCGGCTTGGACACTGAAAAGGCCGAGTCTAAACAGAATTGGGACCGGTGGAGATCGGGAAAAAGTCTGACATCAGGGCCATTGGAATAGTAGGAGAAAATGCCTCAGGGCTGCAAAAGAGCGGAAAGTCGGCGTTGACGGCCAGAATTCTCCGAATGACTAAACGGCTGGGAAATACGAACCTTTGAACTGGCACTTGGCCCTTAAGCACTTTAGCACTTTGGCACTTTTGACCAGCATTGCAATCCCCCACTCATTGACCGCTTTCGCATCGTGAATCATTTCCATCCCCAACTTCCATTATTGTGACGCTCCTCAAAAGGGCGATCTGGTATTCGTGAACTTCGGATCGCCCGCCAAGACTCTCCTTACATGAATTCGTGCACATTACCGATATCAAATCTCCAGTCATGGCGTCTATAAGCCCTCATGGCGACGATGACGATCCCCTGAACGACTTCAAGTATCATGATGATGACGCCGCCCCGTCGGAAGCCTCACCAGATCCTAAATCGCTGCCCATGCAGAAGAGGCGACGAGTTGGCCGCGCATGCGATGAATGTCGTCGAAAAAAGATTAAATGTGATGGCAAACAGCCCTGCACCCATTGCACCGTCTATAGTTATGGTACGCTCTCAATAATCCGGGAAACCTCCCCCCTCTGGCCTAACAATCCTGTAGAGTGTTCGTATGACCAACCCTCCAACCGCCGTCGCAACCCTGCCCCGCAATACGTCGAGGCGCTCGAAAATCGCCTGTCCAGAGCTGAAGCCCTGCTGCGAGTCGTTCTCCCTAATGTCAATCTCGACGACCCGGACCTAGATGTGCATGCGACGGAACAGGTATTAGCCGCCCAAAAAAGACAAGATGCGACCGAGGATGTCAAGCCACCGGTGCCGAAGCCTCAACCTCAGGCCCAGGCGGAGGTTGCGCCGGAGGCAGGGGATGAGGGATTACTGGAGACAATGGTCGATAATTCCGGCTGTTTAGATCGGGATGATCAAGGCCATTGGGATTATCATGGACATACGTCCGGGATTATCTTCGTTCGTCGCTTACGCAAACAGTTGGGCGCCACCGATCTCAATGGTCCGATGTCACGACCGCGCGCTTCGATCACGTCGCATATGTGGGATAGTCCCAAGTCGATGTCGGAGTCGCCTCAGGATACGTCAATGCCTCCTACCCACGATCTACCCCCGCGCGTGGTTGCCCGCCGCTTGTGCCATAATGCGATCGACCACGCTTGTTCGCTCATGAGGTTCGTGCATGAGCCTTCATTCTTCGCTAGCCTGGAGCAAATCTACGATACACCTCCGGAACAATTTGGCAATGATGAGAATTCATTCCTGCCGCTGCTGTATATCGTAATCGCGGTTGGTTGTTTGTTCTCGGATGACGGAGGTAGTACTTTGGATTTGTCTGGTTACGAAAGCGCAATCGGCCAAGGGTAGGTCTATCTACTACCCTCAGTAATGCCATTCACTAACTGTCACAGGTTCCAATTTTTCAAGGCTGGCCGACAATTATTGGAGGTTACTGATTGCCGTGACTTGCCTTCTCTCCAGGCAATTTGTTTCATGGTACTTTTCTTGCAGTCATCCGCCAAGTTGAGTACATGTTATTCATATGTAGGAATTGCGCTGCGCTCATCTCTACGATTGGGTCTCCATCGCAAGGTCGCCACAGATTTCAATCCCATTGAACGAGAATTACGAAAGCGAATCTTTTGGGTGGTTCGCAAGATGGACGTCTACGTCAGCACCCTTCTTGGTTTGCCTCAGATGCTGAGCGACGACGACATCGACCAAGAATATCCCATGGAGATTGATGGGGATTTCATCACCATACAAGGAATTACTCAACAGCCATCTAATTATACACCGTTGATGGCTGGATGCAACGCCCACACCCGTCTTTCCAACATCATCCTGAAGGTGGTGAAATACATCTACCCCGTCAAGAATGCCCGGTATCGCTCAAAGTCAGACCAGCGCTACATGGTCAGTCATTCCAAGATCCGTGAGATTGAGCGTGATCTACAAAATTGGATGGAGGAATTGCCCCCTGCTTTGCGACCGGGTACAGAAGTTTCACCACAGCTAGAACGGTCAGTCTTAGTCCGCGATCGATATACTTGATCAGAATACTAACGTCCTTCAGTGTCCGACAATTACTGCGTATCAGTTATGCACATGTGCAGATGGTCATGTATCGACCTTTCCTCCACTACGTTTCTGGTGGTTCCCAAGCGCGCGGTGTTGACAAGCGATCGTATGCTTGTGCAGCGGCATGCGTCAGTGTTTCCAGGAACATCGTTCACATTACCACTGGAATGCAAAAGCGAGGATTGCTTAATGGATCGTTCTGGTTCACCATGTATACGACCTACTTTGCTATTCTCTCTTTGCTCTTCTTCGTGATTGAGAACCCTGACTCACCAACAGCCAAAGACGGTGTTTTGAAGGATGCCATGGAAGGCAAAAATACACTTGCTGGTTTAGCTAAGAAGAGCTTGGCTGCGGACCGATGCTCTCAGAGCTTGAACGTATGTATCCCCGAGCTCTCCGGCCGGCTTTGACTAATACCATCGCAGTGCCTCTTCAAGACTTTGCCTGAGATGCTCAAGAACCGACAAGGCTCCAAGACCCCGGTCAATCTAAAGCGACCAGCGCCATCAAACCAAGCGGCTGAACGTGAGCCTGCTCAATCCTCATTTGAGCAACCACTGCCACACCGGTCAAGCACATTCCCCATGCAGATGATGCCTCAAACTCCTGCACCCGAAGCTCCAACCCGTCGCCAACAGAGCCTTGATAACGCCCAGATGATGAACAATCGCTCCAATGACAATAGCAGCCAGTCGACATGGGTTTCAACAACTCCTGAGCTGCTTACAGAGACCATGTCTACCCCGGAACAGATCTCTTCAGCTAGCTCCATACATCCTTCCATGTCCAACCAAGAGCCATCGAGCCTTGCTTGGGCCCAGCAATTCAACAACCCGGCTAATCTCCCTGATCTGATGCCGATGATGTTTCCCTCTGACGACCCATTCGCGTACCCTACACAACCCATGTCCACGCTGGAAGACGACCACTTCCGCCACGACCGTGGAATGCCTCCATCCCAATACCCCTTTGATGCAGCCGCACAAGCAACAGGCATGGGAGCAACAACACCCACCGAGCAAACGGGCGGCGTCGGAATCTCAACACCCAACTTTGACTTCACCTCTCTCCCCAATTTCCCCGTCGGCAATCCCTCGGCGATCAAGTCATCAGTGCCAAGCCGCCTCCAACCCTCCCACTCCAGAAGCTCATCACGTACCATGTCTCCCATCTCCCACGGCCATACCCCAAGCGAAGCCCTCAGTAGTCCAGATCTGGTCTCAATTCCGAACCAAAACTTTGTCTGGCAGGGTTACAACTTCCAACCGAACAATCCAAACCCCCATAACCCAAACAACATGCCAGCCGAATCCGCAGCCCCACAGCCAGAATTCCACAGTCCAAATGGATTACCTGACGTCAGCATGGGCATGATGGATGAAAACATGGCCGCGAACATGGACCTGGGCATCTCGTTTGACGATCTCTTCGGTAATAATGCTAACTACCGATCTAACAATGGGGCATCCAATGATGATTGGACTCAGTGGATGAACGTCAATGCCTGATTACTTCTTGTCTGGTTTTGCTTCACCTTGCCTGTGATGGCCCTGTTGGTCCGATTTCTATGAGGAAATGCAATTATGAATGCTACTCTTTTTTCTGGTGTAAAAATGTTGATACCTGGTTTGGCGTTGTGTGGTGGTCTGGCGTCGTGCTTTTTGGTAATGGTTTTAGTGTCAGTATGGATTTTATACTTGAATTATAGTTTATATTGTCTGATGTAGGTGAGATTTACTATAATTTACATTGTTTTATCCTGATTTGCCTTCAACAACCGTGGAGCATGACCACGCATGATAATACATCAGGGGAGAACGAGATGTACTTCTTACACTATACATTTGTCTACTCTTCGCCTGTTTCTCTGCAATGTTGGAGCACCTTGAGATGATTGTTGATATAGTAGCAATCAGAGCTGTATACTGGTAAAACCAAGTTTAGAGTAGCAATAGAAAGTTTGGCTACATCATCACATCTTCCGTACATAAGAACATCTTGGACACTGTATAGCGTGTCAAAATGATTTGATTGTCAAATGACAAGGCTGTAGACAGACGCGGTCCATCTTATAGCGGAGGGCTACGGATCGGTAGACCCACATAAACTCCATCGCGCATCTCAACGTCCTGACGCAACCTCTCCTTCATACGCTATGGCCCTCCACATCTTCACCAAACATACACCCACGAGTCTCAATTCCTCCAATTAAGGAACCTTCCGATCGCTTGCGCCACATGTACAGTTTGATCCAGTCCTAAACCCTCACACCAATCCGATGTACATTCTATAATCGTCTGCATATTTCCGCTCCTATTTATAGCCAGCCGGCGCACCACACCATGCCCTCCCTGCCGAAGTTGTCAACAGTGATTACATGGGTTTTATACTCGATTCCGATATACATATTCATCCTCGACCCCTTGCTCCGCGGCTTCTTCCCGGGTCTGCTCTCAGCCTCGGACCCAAGCCCGGAACCCAGATCCAATAAAGATATCTTCGATTTCGACGACGCAGCCGCTATAGGACCTGGTCTGAATCTTACCGATGATAGCTTCATCAGTCCTGAAGATGGCGTGCCATTCGATTGTCCCAATGCCGAGGGCTATCGCGTTCACCTTCTGTCGCGTGCGCCACTGGTAATGTACATTGAGAACTTTGTCAGTGAAGCCGAAGCAAATCATCTGCTAGATGCCAGGTAAGGAAAACATCACGACCGGCGCAGTCTAGCAAGACACATATTGATTCCCTTTTCCCGTCCAGTGTCCCGAACTACAAACCCTCCATCCTCTACGACGGCCATACAGAACGCATTGACCCGTCAAAACGCCTCTCAGACCGCGCTCTTCTAGACCGTGACAATACAGTGCGCTGTTTGGAAGACCGCGCGCGCGCTTTCCAGGGCTGGCGCCCGAACCTGTTCATTGAGCGTATGTGGGCCCAGCGATATAATACTTCTGGCCATTACCAGCATCACTATGACTGGACGGGATCGCTGGCACGCGGTGGGGACCGATTGAGTACGTTTATGGTTTATTTGGATGCGCAGTGTCAAGGTGGGGGAACGAATTTCCCGAGGTTGAAGATGCCGCGGTCGAGGGAGTGGTGTCGGTTCTTGGAGTGCGAGAACCTGGATGGGAAGGAGGAGGAGAAGAAGGGCAAGGGGGTGCCGGAGGGAATCACGTTCAAGCCTATCAAGGGCAATGCTGTGTTCTGGGAGAATCTAAGACCCGATGGGTCTGGATACCCTGAGACGTGGCATGCTGCTTTCCCTGTGACGGAGGGGACGAAGGTTGGGTTGAATATTTGGAGTTGGTATCAACCTGGTAGGCGGTAGGATGTCGAGAAGAGAGCACGTGGGTGGGCTTTTGCCAAGATGTGCTTTCTAGGGGGAGAATGCTTGGGCTTTTGTGGAGATGAGATGCTATGGATGAGGTGAGTCTGGATATATAACCTGTCTGAACATAATATCAAAAAGAATAGACCAGCAAGATGAGATCACATAGAAAAATGACATGTACTCTGCGAATATCGGGGCTGTTTCTTTGCAGTGAAACTGAAACGCGACTCATGCATAAAGCGAAGCACCAGTCTTCCAGGCAACCACATTAATCAGGTTACGAAGGGGATGGTAGCGATGTGTTCGGAGGGCTGGTCGAAGGGGGAAATACCAAGACCCAAGACTCAAGGTCTTGGTCCTCGGAGCGGGAATTATTGGCAGAGGGATCACTTGGCTGCCAAGAGGCATGGCCCCATGTTTTTTGGTGTGCTTGGCGAAGCAACCTGATCTCAATGTTGCCACGTCTGTTCCATAATTGTTTCCTCGGAAATTACTCGACAAGTTGGGGAGGTGACTGACGAATCAGACGGATTCAAACACCCCCAATACCCTAATACTTTTAATTTACCGAAATATCCGCAGGGCGTACGCTAAGCCTGTCTAGACATGATTTAAGTACAGTACCTAGAAAGCCCCTGGAAGTGTTTGCTTCTTGGATATTATTTTTTCACCATACTCTGTACTCCGTCAGATTCAGAGTCTTCGGAGTCCAACGGGAGGGATACGCGTTAGCACCGGAATGTAGAATACGCACAGCCCCTTCCCTTCAAGACCAACCAGTCACAAGCCATGGCGCAGCGCCTCTCGGGTCTTGGGGGCCCGCACCAACTCTTGGCCCGGTCTTGTCGCTTGGTTGTCTTGTCCCTTTCTTGTCACGCACTCCGCCCGGCTTAGCAAAGCGCTTTTTCTGGGCAAAGTCTCGGCTCTTTTCCCTTGCGGAGAAAGGCCCCCCCATTTCTCTCTTTCCTTTATCTTTCCCCGAGGTCTTTCCCCCCTTTTCTCTCCCTTTCACTCTCTATATTATATCAGATCATCGCCTGTCTAGCGTAACTGCTACGTGTGTCACACGTTATCGTTTCAACTGTTCTCTGAGAGTCGTGTCTGGGCTTTCCGCCAGCACCACCAGCTTCATTTCTTGGCACAATGACAGATTCCAATATCGCATCGACTACGACGCCGCAGTCTACTATTCCTGCGCCTGTCGCTGATCAGGCTCCCATTCAGGCAACTGCTGCACAAGCAGTATCCGTCACTGCGACTGCCGCCGCTGCCACCGCTGCCGTCAACAGCCCCGCGATGAATGGAGGCGGCGAGCAGCTACCCTGCCAGTGGGTTGGTTGCACTGAAAAGTCCCCAACCGCTGAGGCTCTCTACGTAAGCTTGTTAAATCAGGGTGATATTGTGGCATGGCATTGATACTGACGCGTCGGCTACCAGGAACACGTCTGCGAACGCCATGTCGGACGCAAAAGCACCAATAACTTGAACTTGACTTGCCAATGGGGTACTTGTAATACTACCACCGTCAAGCGTGACCACATCACCTCTCACATCCGTGTTCATGTGCCTCTTAAGCCTCACAAGTGCGACTTCTGTGGCAAGGCTTTCAAGCGCCCCCAGGATTTGAAGAAGCATGTTAAGACCCATGCCGACGACTCAGAAATCCGCTCTCCCGAACCTGGCATGAAGCACCCCGATATGATGTTCCCGCAAAACCCTAAAGGTTCGTCCTAGGAATCTTTTCCGCCCGTTGAGCTCCCGCTTGGCATCTCCCTTGGCACCGCTCCCTTGGCAATATCCCCTGGATTTGAGACAATGTTCCCCGTTTGGACGCTTGGACTTGATCAACTTTTTTTTTTTGTATTGAAGACTCGATCGCTGACTGAACCCGTGGCATTTAGGCTATGCTGCCGCTACTCATTACTTTGAGAGCCCCATCAGTGCCGTCAATGGCGGATACGCACATGGTGCGCCTCAGTACTATCAACCTCACCCTCCTCCTCAGCCTGCAAACCCGCATTCCTATGGCAATGTGTACTATGCGCTGAGCCAGGGACAAGATGGAAACCACGCCGCGTACGACCGCAAGCGTGGATATGATGCTCTGAACGAGTTCTTCGGTGACCTGAAGCGTCGCCAATTTGATCCCAACTCCTATGCCGCGGTCGGCCAGCGCCTGCTTGGTCTCCAGGCTCTCCAGCTCCCTATTCTTAACGGTCCCGTGCCGGAGTATCAGCACATCCCGGCTTCCGTTGCTGTCGGAGGAGGCGGTGGTTACAGCCCCGGTGGTGGCCAGGCTCCTGGTTACCATCTCCCTCCAATGTCTAACGTTCGCACCAAGAACGACCTGATCAACATTGATCAATTCCTCGAGCAAATGCAAAACACCATTTACGAGAGTGATGAGAACGTGGCCGCCGCTGGCGTTGCCCAGCCCGGCGCTCATTACGTCCACGGTGGTATGAATTACCGTGCTACCAACTCCCCTCCTACTCAGCTCCCGCCAAGCCATGTCACCGCGCAGCCCTCAGCCCCCATGATGGCTACTTCTGCTCACTCTCCCTCTATCGGCACCCCGGCCCTGACCCCGCCCTCCAGCGCACAGTCATACACCTCGCAGCGCTCTCCCATCTCCATGCACCACTCTCACCGTGTCTCGCCTCCTCATGAAAGTGGCGCTGGTATGTACCCTCGTCTGCCATCTGCCAGTGTTGTCGACAACATGGCAGCAGGATACCCCACTGCCTCAAGTGCCGCCCCGCCATCTACCTTGAGTGGAGCGTACGACGATGACCGTCGTCGCTACACTGGCGGTACTCTGCAACGCGCGCGGCCGGCCGAGCGAGCTGCGACCGAGGACCGCATGGACGTTTCTCAGGATAGCAAGGACGACGGCGAACACACTCCTACCAAGGAGTATCCTGCCGTCCACTTCTCCGAGAGTCTGATTGATCCCGCACTGCACTCCAACACATCCCCCGACCCGGACCATGAATCTGCCCAGCGTACCGCGCAGGCTGCTACCGAGGTCGCCGAGCGTGATGTCAACGTGGCCTGGGTGGAAAAGGTCCGTCTGCTCGAGAATTTGCGTCGCCTTGTCTCTGAGTTGCTGGAGACTGGCAGCTTCACTCCTCAGTTTGGCAATCAGAGCGCCACTGCTCCTGATTCTGCCTCTCCAACCCCTGGTCTCGATGCCATGGAGGGTGTTGAAACTGGTAGCGCACCCGATACTAAGGAGGAGCCTCCCAAGACTGAAAGCGAGGCTGTCTTCTACCCCACGTTACGTAGTGTGGATGAAGACGAGGACGGGGACTCCAAGATGCCCGGCGATGAAGCGTAAAATGGTTCTTCTATTCTACTTTGTGGCTCAAGCCTGTTTAACGCCGTCATGACATTCTGTTTATTTCTCTGTTCTTTTCTCTCATCTCGTTTTTTTCTTTTTTTCTATATTTCTTCTTGATCCTCTACAGGCTGGTTTCAACTTTTCTCGATGAACACAACTTCTCATTTATTCCCATTTATTTCATATTTGTCTCACTTTACCCCTGTTTACTCCGGGTTCATGGATTCCCCATTTTCTCTCTCTGCTCTGTTTCCATTTGTATAATTAGGATTCGTTGTATTGACGAAAAATGTTGTTTGCGTCCTTCCTATTGTATAGTAGCATGTAGATCGGGTCTGGATAGAGTGATGCTACTACGGTCCACTGTGTCCGTTGGCGCTGGATCGACACGTCAAACCCAAAGGGGCAAGGCAACATTCCAGGCTAAACTGGATCCGGGGGTGACGCAAACGGTGGGGGTGAATAATCGATCATTGCTAACTGTCCAGGTGAAGGTGATGTTGGTAGGAAGTGGTTATAGTTCGAGATGTGAAGTTATAGTTCACCTAACGTAAATTAGTTCTACAGGACCAAGTCCACGCGTTGATGCATGGCAGTCCTAGATCGAACGGTAAACAAGGAATTCAAAAACCGTTCAAACCCAAACCAGTGGCTGTCAACACATCATTCCAAAGCAAACATCTCGATCCCTCCATCTGCATCTGGAAATGCTTCTGCATTGGGAAAGCCTCGATCCCACCCCCCACGTATGGTAATGGTATTTACGCCCGATTAATACGTGGAGGTGGGCTTCCCACTTGTATTAAACGTGTTTGTGACTCAAACCCACAGTTTTTCATGGTCACCTCAGCACATCTCTTTTATTTTCTTCTTATCTTCTTGTCTTCTCTTCATTCTTTTCTCTTTCTCTCTCTCTCTATTTGGGCTTCAACTGTCAACTTCACGTTGTGTTGTTCTTGTTTCCCCACGCGACAAGGCGGTCACCCCAAACAGACGCCATCGCGCGTGTCGATCGGCCTAGGGATTATCGATAATAACATCCAGCCACACAATATCTACCGGGACGACTCTCTTTTCTGTCTTGTTTACAAACCATACAACAAGGGGATTGGCCTTTATTTTCCTTTCCTTTTTTCCGGTGGCAAATTACAAATCCGCTGGCTCTGACGTTTTGGTTCTCTGGTTCTCTGAACGCTCTTCCGATCTTTGGGGGCGCTGAAATCCGGATCCAGACTTGACTTTGTTTTTTTTTCCGTCTCTGCTTTTCGCCTTCCGACTTGCCTCATTTTGGTGGCCTTGTTTGTTGGGGACTTGAACTTGGACTTGTCAACACACAAAACTCGATTTGCGACCCCGGTTGCAATTACACTTTCGGAAAAGAATATCCAGATTTCTGAGACATGCCGCTATCAAACCGTCGCCGCGCACGGCGCAAGGAAATACAACTGCAGGAGACCTCCGACGCAGAGGCACCGGACTCATCGCCTAGTCGACCCTCGGCAAAGAAGCGCAAGGTAAGTCACAACAGAGCAACCCGCAGCCCATCCCCGCGCCGAACAGGAACTAAGACCCGATGTTTTCCTCTGATACAGGTTGAGCGCCGCGCTTCTCCTCCCCGCAATGTCAAACACGAGTCCGGCGACGAGGCCGAAGATTCAACGGGCGATCACGAACCAGCCACCAACCAGGACTTGGTCGATCTAGTGATCTCATACCTCAACACACCCCGCGAAGAACTGCGCGTCTCGCGCGACCACTCCAACACCAAAACCGAAAACACACAGCGTATCCAGGCCTACGCGAAGATCGCCGGCCGCAACTGGACCTATTACGTCAAAACATTGCATGTCAATATCGGCCGCGAGCCGGACCGCGAGCCGAGAGCCCCGGAGCAATCCAGCCCCGTCGCCATTGCCGCTCGAGCATTGCCGGATGTCCATGTCGACTTGGGTCCGAGCAAGTTTGTGTCCCGTCTGCACGCCGAGATCTTTTATGATGGCGAGGAGACGCCCGCCTGGCACATTCGCGTCAATGGACGAAATGGCGTGCGCTTGAACAATGGGATTATCAAGCGCGGCACTGATGCGATTCTCTCATGCGGCGATATCATTGAGGTGGCAAATACTCAGATGATGTTTGTGACGCCTGGCGACGAGGCCAATATCCAGCCCAGCTTCATCGAACGCGCTCAGCGCATTGCAAGTGGCCAAGAGCCGGATCCGGCGTCGGTAGCCTGGGATGCGTCGCAGCATGCTCATCCTCCCCCGGCATCTCAGAACAGCGAGGCTGCGCGACCTTCATCGTCTGGTGGACCTTCATTGGCGCCTGCTCCACAGTTCCTCAAGCGCCAGGTTACACCGCCGCCGCGCTCGCCTGATACCGCTGGCCAGCGCACGGCTAAGCAGTCGCCGCTTTATAACCGTGGTATGATGATGGAGAGTACGGAGGAGATTGACTACAGCAATGATTCGTCTAAGGATTTGAAGCCGCCGTACAGCTATGCAACTTTGATTGCGCAGGCTATTTTCTCTAGTGAGGAGGAGAAGCTTACGCTGAACAGCATCTACAACTGGATCATGGATCGATATGCCTTTTACCGGCACTCCCAGAGCGGCTGGCAGAACTCGATTCGTCACAACCTGTCTCTGAACAAGGCGTTCCAGAAGGTGCCCCGCCGAACAGATGAGCCGGGCAAGGGTATGAAGTGGCAGATTGCAGTAGAACATCGGGAGGAGTACCGGAAGAAGCAGATGCGCAAGGGTGGTACACAATCGTCTGCACCATCATCTCCGGCGACAAAGGAGCCCCCCTCATCAGCACGCGGAACACATGTCAAAGCCATTGACACGTCGTTTTCGGCCACAGCGAAGAAATCCCCTCCGGTGTCATCACCCGGATTCAGTTCATTTCCCGTGGCCCCAGTCGAAGCCTACACGCCAGAGCGCGGCTCAAGACTCGGCCGCGGCGTTGGCTCCGACCATCCCCTCCGCCACATGAACCCACGCGACTATGAAGAACCATCCCCTCTACCGGCGCGCGCAAGTCACGTTCAACATAGCAGCAACAACCTCACCCGCGCATACGGGATGTCCGACAACGTAACGGGCTCCCCGCCCATCCTCTCCTCCTCATACTACAACGAAGAACCGTCCTCAATGATAACGCCCGCACCCCAACGCCAACAACCCCGCCTCCCGCCCCCAAGCACAGCACAGATCCCATCAAAGTTCATGCCCATGAGCTCGCCGGCTCAGTTCTGGAAATTCGCCGACATCGGCTCTACGCCTGCTCGTCCCGTGCCGGATATGAGTCCGCTCAAGGGTGAGGTCGAGGATCGCATTATAGGCGGGTTCCCGAGTAGCAGTCCCCCACCGGCGAACTTGGCTAGTCCTTCCAAGCCTGGGACGTCGAATGGGTTGGGCTCTGGACCGAAATTGCCGCCTATTCAGACTGACCCCTCGGATCATGGGGCCCATGGTACGAGAAAGGAGCACAGGGAAGAGGAAGAGGATGATGGATCGGGGTTTGATCTTGCTAGGTATGTTTTTTGTCCGCTCTTTTTTCCTTGGGGTATATCCTTAGGGTTTGGCTCTTTGGTCCTTGAGACATTTACTAATACTCGAACAGGGGGTTTCAGCCTATAGGTTCATACCATCGCCAACTAAGTAACGCTGCCCGCGCAACCGCTACTTAATTTGCTCTTGTCTGTCATGATGTACAACATGTCACTTATCCACAGAGTGTTTATGTTTGTCTTGTTTCTCACCTCTTTCATGCTTCCGCATTACGAATGGTGTTGGTGGCTTTGGTTTTGTCAATTTTGATGGTTTTGTTGGTGGTTATTCTTATATCTGTTACAATGTTTTTTTTTTCACAACATTGCTTGGGAACGGAGTTCAAGTTGAAACTGTTTACATGTTTCTTGTCTTTTTGCTTGGGGTTGTGGACATCCGGCGTTTTGATTGTTTTTTTGTTTATTTCTTGCACCGCCATCATGGAAGATGGCTTTGTATGTATGGCTCAGACTTTGTCGGTGGCTGTGTATGATATTCTCACATACAATCTTGTTTGCATGCAGCCGTTCTCCAGCATGAGTAGAAGTAACCAAAAACGCTTTTGTTCTAAATCTATATAGATCCAAGTTGCATATTCCTTCCCTATACTTTCTACACCGGAAGAAAACTAACATGCCCAAACTAGTAACTTACAACCTATTGGCAAGGTTCAACATTAGGCCAAAACCTCTCCTCCAACCAAAGAATCTGCTTCCACCACTCCAAACACCGGCCACGCATCATCTCAGACTCCTCAGCCCCCTTCAGCTGCCCGGCCATCTCATCAACAACATCCCCAATCGAATCAACAAACGCCTCAAACTCAACACTAGACCAATTCCCAATAAACTGGCCCCTAAGCGCACCCCCATCCGCATCCTCCGAGTAATCATCCTTCTCCTCCCCATGCTCACGCATACACCCAGCAGCAAACTTCCACGCGCGCAAGTAACAAACCTCCGTAGCCCACAGCACAGCCAACCCCTCCAAAACCGACACCCCAGCACTACCAGCACTCATAAACATATCAATATACGCCCTGGTAGTCCGACTAGCCGAGAAGCAAATAGTGCCACACCGCTCCAGCTCCATCGCCACATCCGTAGCTTCAAGCGTGCGGGCAGGCCCAGCAGCACCCCCAGTCGTAGTGGTCGGCGTCGGCGTAAGCACCTTCCCGAACGGCGATAGATTCTGCACAGACTGGGCCTCATACTGCGGCAATGGAACGCACGGCTCGCTTCCCGCTGGCATCTGGCACTCGCCCTGCGAACGGCAGAGCCCGTGGTCGGCAGAATGCGATCCAGACCCCGTGGCAATCACGCCCGAGGAGCCCGAGCCAGCGCCGAAATCGTCTAACGACGGGTCTCGGGATAGGAGGTCTTTGCCATCGCGGCCGCCTGTGAAGCCTGGGCAGGCGCTGGAGCCTGTGCTTGAGATTCCGGCGGAGGTTGTGATGCAGCGGCCTGAGCCGCAGGATGTGAGGACTATGCCGCCTTCTTCTGGGGAGATTGCTGTTAGGTCGAGGCCGTAGTCATTGGCGGTCTTTTCGAAGAAGGCGAGCTCAGTGCGGATGTTGACGAGGGCGTCGATGAGGACTGTGATGGCTTTTTGTTCTGGGGTGTGTTGTTGTGGGGTTGGGTTTGACGGGGCTTGAGAGGGAAGACGGATCTTTGCGAGTAGAAGGCCTATGAAGCGGATGTAGGATTGAGCGTATAGGCGGTCTTGGGAGAGCCATTGGCTAAGGGTTGATTTTGGAAGAGTGCCGCGTCCTGCTGCTGCGAGAAACGGGTGGTTGGTTGCTCTTGCTAGGCCATTGGGTGTGCTCCCTAAGAGATAGGTTGTCAAGGGGCCTTGGCTGGTCATGGTGATTGTTGGAGGGGCAAGAGGGATGGGAAAGGTCGGTTTAGAGTCGACAGAGCTGGTGGGGGCAATAGTGGACGATGTGGGTATGTCGTCAGATCGGAGCTTGGACTTGCCCCCCATGTCTTACCCGGTGTTTCATAGTGCGATGGGCTGGATACTGCATACATATGGTGAGGTGGTCAAATCATAGTCCGAATATGTGTTTGAATCAAAAACTAAGCTAATTAGTTGATTGTACACATTGCCATGGGTATCTTCAACTTTCGGACGTTTCCTCCGCACATACAGATCAGATCTCAGCCTCAACCAATAAACCATCCAGTTTCTCACTAATCCTCACATATTTCTCGAGCTCATGAAGCTACTCGAGAGACTCCCGCTTGTGATCTTAAATTGTATCTTTCTCATATGCCCATGGCTTCTCTCCGGCAGTCTTCATCATGAGGCGCACCAGACCATGCAGGGTGTAGTGTGCATCATTGCCGGCATTGTGCAAGTTGACATGTAAGACCTGCAGCGATCTCAGGAGATTTTGCAGGCCTCGGTTCTGCAGCTCGCCAGATTCGGCCCGGTACAGGTCTGCCACGTTGATGGTATCGTAGAAAATGGAACTTGGGGTATCGTAGTCAAGGAAGACCTGACTTCCGCTGGTTTTCAGCTGTTGAATATCACTTTTCATGTCCAATCCAACCAGTACAACCTTGCGTGTTTGCGTCTTCCACCATTTCACAGGGTCTTTGGCAGTAGGAACCATGTAAGGAGGCTGGAAAGCTTGATCAATCATCTGTCCCATGTGGGCAGATGCGACAAACTCGCTCTCGCCAAAGTCGAACCGATCAGGGCACCCAGGGCAGAACTCCGAATTGACCCAGTCCCGATACTCCTCCACGCGCAGGTGTCGAGAACGGATGCGAGCTGCCCACATCTCGCCATAATCACCCGGGACCACACCCTCCATGTCCATCGTATCCAGAACCGAGATACCAACTTCAGTCATTTGCCAGTTCTCACGCTCATTCCATTCAACATCGATGGCGATAAAAATAGGTGAATCCTGGAAAGCCCATCTAACGGTGTGATTGGGATTGATGGGCGCAAGTTCACCCGTGACAAGCGAAGGCTGGTGCATGTTTGCTATCCATGGAGGCCGCAGGCCAAAGAACGCCATGGCACGACCGAGATGATCTTCTGCCTCTTGCTTCCTCTTCAACTGCTTGGCCAATTTCTTGGGATCTTTCTTCTTGATCATATCGAAACACAACTGGATGTTTGCTTCAAATACTTTCATAACACTGGGATGGATATTGTTTGACCAAGCTCCCCAATTAATGTTGGAAGGAGGAATAGTCTGAACAAGCTCATCTTTCTTCTCGGTGCTGCTGCTTCGGCCAAGAAACACCGGACGCGGAACTTGATTGTTGTCAAAGGTAAGCACCATGCCCTTTTTGCCCGTGCCAGTAAGGTGAATCTGGGTGTTCAAGGCATTGTTTATCTCAGCAAAAAAGGAAAGGGCTTGGTCAACGGAAATGAGAAGCAATGCCCCTCCATTGACAGTCTCTGGAACACTGAAATAGTAACTATGTATATGTCAATGAATGTCAATCCAACTAAGTTTTCTATACATACAGATCCCAAGTTCGTTTCCAGAACTTCCCTTCCTCATAGAAGTCTTTGGAGACGCGGTTGGCCAAGGATCCACTCATGTGTTTGTATGGGAAACGAGCAAGAGCGAGGGCTGGAGTAAAGGATGAGAGGAGCGTAGAACCAGTTATCTGGTTGAAATCAAGGATGGTCGAGTCCTCAGATGGACCCAAGTCAGAGTTAGAGGCAGCGTCCAGGGTGGGTTCGTTGCTTCGGTCGTCGAAGGTGAAGGGGACCTCAAGCTCCTGAGGCAGCGAAGTCAAATCATTATCGCCGTCCTGGTTATATCCTTCCTGAACACCTGTGCCGGGGACATAGGTACGGATATACGACAGTGGATAATGATGAACCAAAGGAGCCGCATGGGGTCTGGAGAAGGAGGGACTGAGATTATTCTCACTTACACCTTCCTCAGCACCACGCTGCCCATTCAGAACAGTCGAAGCAATGTTGGCATCCATATTGCCCTCGAACAGCAGCTTGAAACGATCGTGGGGATCCATTGTGGAGACAGACGGGATTAAGAAAATCGCGTGAAGAGAAGAAGAGGAAGAAGAGAAGAGAGAACATCTCAGGTAGTGAAACAAACAACCGCAAGGCCGTTAGTGCGTTTCTGTGTTCCAACTCGAAGCTTTAGGAAGTCGTGGTGTAGGAAGGAGCGACCCAGTCATGAAGGAGGCCGTCACGGGGGGACTATGAACCAGGTCATTTGAGTCGATGATTTAAAGGTCAAATTTAATTAGATAGACATATAAAGAAGTGACTTCTGTCATAAGTTTCTAGCGCTTTCAAAAGATCCAAGAAACCCAATATAATGTAAAGAAACAACAAAGAGCAGCTTATAGTCAAATGTCCCGGAACAAGTAAACGTATAGATCTGGCGTGCACGTGATGGAAGAGCTCCCCGGACGGGGTCGGGACAACAATAGTCCGATGTTTAGGATCTCGTGCAGCGAGGGATCCAACGACTTGCGAGTCCTTATCTATGGTAGCCGATTCCTGTTTATTTCGAATTCATTGATTGGGAATTGTCCCTTGAATACTGTTAGGCTGTGTTCTGCGAGGCAGTCTCCTCTTTGGCACTACCCCCTACCGACAATGGCCATGACGGACGAGACGGATGACAGCGGGGGCGTCATCCTGGATGGTCCGTTCGACCCTGATGCCCAGGCGACTGTGACCGATTTCATAGACTATACCGAATACCTCCCTGCCGACCTCATCCGCTCCTTGACCCTCATCCGCGGCCTCGATGACCGATACCTCGACTCGGCGCAGGGAGTACATCAGCTCACCCAAATCTATGGCCAACTCCCCGAGCTTCCAGCAGACCAAAGACCCAGTGCCATCGAGCTGCGCAAGGATATCTCGCTTCAGCTAGATCGCGCAATCAATGCGCGCGAGTCTGCGTATGCTGAGGCCTGTCGCCTGTACGACGTAGTAGATCGTCACTTCGACCGACTGGGTTGTATCCGCCAGAAGCTAGAAGCACTTCCGAAACCGCCATCATCGGAACCGTCACCGGTGCCCGAGCCCACACCGAAGCGTGCACGTACAACAAAGAAGCCAGAAGGAACAAACCCGACGCGCATCACCCTTCGCGTCGACAATCGCCGACCCAGAGATCACAAGAGGAGAAAGTACCACATGGGCCTTGATGGAGCAGGATTCGACCCCGACTCCCCGATTGCCAGTACTGAGCAATCAGATGCGGAGACCGATCTCGCTACAATCATTCCTAAGCCATCTAGACCGAAGAAAGAAAAGCCACGTCGTCAAAGTTCGGGCAATGGACAATCGACTGCTCAAGCTCTTGCGCAATTAAAACCACCACCTGAGGATGCCAAGTTGGGTAGCGAAGACTTGCCATGGCTGCGACTCACTGAATGGGAAATGACACGATTGCGAAAGAAGATGAAAAAGAATGCTGTATGGCAACCCAGCGAGGTGATGATTCACCGCGAGCTGGCACTTGCAAACCGAGGGTGGGAAGCCTACAGGTTAGCCAAGGCTTTTGCGGAAGAGACGGGGGCGGAGTTCATTGACTGCGACAACATTGAGCAAACTCGCCGGGGCGAGGCTGCCAAAGATCTGGAAGAAACGAAACTGAGCAATCGCGGAATGAAGCTGAACGAAGCGAAGAAATTGAAGCGAGAACAGTTGGCTCGTGAACAGGCCTTGATGGATGGCGATGGAGTTTTGCCCAAGGCTATACAAAGCCCCGCGCAGCCAACACCTGCTGCTAATCGGTCTTCGCGAAAAAGAAAGAGAGAGGAGGCTATGATCGAAGTGCCTGAAGCTGCCATTCCCGAGCCTGCTCCCGAACCGGTGCCTACGGCAGCCCCAATTTCTGCACCGACACCTGCACCCGTGCCAGCAACCTCTTCTCGATCTGGCGCTCGACGTAGATCCAGTCGAGGTGCCATACCAACTTCAGAAACCGGTAACAAAACCGTCACTCTCATCAAAACCCGCGTCTCTCCCCCGGCCGAAGCCCCTGTTTCCCCTCCTCTCCCCAGTCCCACTGGTTCCCGCCGATCCAATCGATCATTTGTCCTCCCTATTACCACACCTACTCCTCCCGTGACCCGGCCTTCTTCGCGACGTTCAGTGGCAGCAGCATCAATTGAGACAGGAACTCTGAATGGAATCCATGCCGCTCTAACAACCAATGTCCGCGATCAACGCATCAAGAGCGCAACACCCACCCACAAACCTCAGATTCGCGAATCATCTCATGCCCCGAGCGTTCAAGGTCCAGACCGTAGACGAAAGCGTCCTGCGCCAGGTCCCATTTCCTCTGGTCAGGATGGCGGAGCAGCGGTGAGCTATGGACGCCGAAAGGCCAAACCAGGAAAGAAACGCATCAATGTTCGCGATTCTCAGGATGTTCGGGTCGATGAAGACGGCGTGCTCGAGCAGATTGATGTCAATGAGCCTCGATATTGCCTCTGTGGAGATGTCAGCTTTGGCACAATGATCTGCTGCGAGAATCAAGATGTGAGTTTACCGCTGCCCACTTTCCTCGAATTCAATACTAACCCGACTTAGTGTGACCGAGAATGGTTTCATCTTGACTGTGTTGGTCTGACCGAGGTTCCCTCTCGCACGGCAAAGTGGTACTGTCCACAGTGTCGGATCAAACTTCATAAGGGAGAGGACGGTATTATCAAGGGGGGGTCACGACGTTAGATATGGGATGGATTGACTTTCTGCATGATACCACGAGATGCGTTTGCGGGTTTGCTGCACACGATTTGCTTATTTATGGTGTTCGGGGTCTTGATACCGATTAGCTCTGATGTCAAGCTGTTTTTTTTCAGCCGAGTAATTCTTCAATTGTCAATTTCTCAATATCTTATTCACACTTTTCGTAAATCCTTTGAAACAGTATAACAGGAGTCTCTACCACAAGCTCTTATAGTCCCCGTTACTTCGAAGTATGATATGGAGGGGTTTTACCGTACACAGCGGGTTCAATAGACTAACAACACCAGAATAGTGCATTCGCCATGCAAGACCCTAGGACGTGGTTTCAAGGAGCCGGATCAAGCAAAGGTGTGCCAACTTATGATATCAAGTAAGTTTACTTTTGCAACACTCATTCAAAGCGCCATCATCAAAAATCCAGCCACCAAAACCCCCATACCAGAAGCCATGGTCAGCCAGCCGCTCACAAACACAGCAGGACCAACAGTCCCAGCAGCAGCCCCCTTGGAAGTCGAAGTACTTGCGGAACCCCCAGTAGGGTTGGAAGAAGCAGCAGTACCAGTTCCAGCCGCACCCCCAGCCTGACTAACAAGAGCCTTGCAACTACCGGAAGCATCCTTTGCAGACTGAACCTTGGCCGCGCCATTGAAATCACACGCAGTACTGACCTTCTTCTGGCTCTCATAGTACCGATTGAACGCCTGCGACAGCTGGTCCTTGCTACCACACATACTGTAGGCACCGTAATCACCCGTCGTTGCATTATGCACAATCCCATCACAGATACTTTTACCGTATCCGCAAACTTCCGCAAAGAGATCATTATAGTCTTCTGCTTTAACGGAGTCGCTGACCACACACGACAGGCTCGAAACCATACAAGAGCACAACTGGGAATCCGGGGTCGGGGGCAGAGGGCTAGACTTGGCAAGCCAGTTCTCATCAACGGTTGGACATGCGCGCGGCGAGTTCGTCGGCGAATAGCTGGCGCTGCTGGTCCCGCTCGGAGTTGCGCTTTGGATTTGGCTGGAGTAGTAGCTGAAATCGACTTCGGTGCTGACGGAGTTGCCGTCGACTGAGACGAGGCCGTAGTTGTTGTCGGTTTCGAAGTACATGTAGACGATGCCGCCGCTCCATACCTCGTTCATTTGGGGGCCGAAGAGAACGGGGACGTCGGTGAACTTCCGTGGTCGCACGGTGATGCAGCCGTACTCGGAGAAGAAGACTGGGATTGAGTAGTTTGCGTACTCGTTGGTTCGGGCTTCGTATCCTGAGGCTTGGAAGGTTTGATCGCCGCACCATTCGTAGATGTTGTAGCCGAAGAAGTCGATTGCGCTTGACTGGTCGCCGCAGTTGAGATAGTCTGATACCGTGGTTCGGATATCTTCTTGATCGGTTGTTGCGTAGCCGATGGCGAGCGAAGTGCGATAGTTCTTGTCTTTGATGTATGACTTCATATCGCGAGCAGCAGCTTTGATAAAGGCCGCGGCGTTGGTCTGGTTTGGTTGGTTGACCACTTCGTTCCCGACGAAGAAACCAATGACATTGTCGTACTTCTGGAACGTATCGATGACACTCGTGTATCGCTCATACTGATCCACTGTCCACACTGGGGAGCTCGCTTCGATGGAAACATCGGGCGAAGATAGATCACTGATCACGTAAATGCCTGCGTCGGCTAGCTTCTGCATACAGTCATCGTGGTCCTTGGAGGGATCCACGGTGTATGTCCGGATCACATTCGTGCGCAATTGGGTGAGATAAGGAATATCGCGCTCGCAATTGGTGATGTTGAAGAGGGGATCCTGGTAGCCAGAGTCGGTGGTCTGTCCAGTCCCGCCAGCTCCTCCACCACTGTAGTTCTCTGTAGATTGATTAGTCCTGATTGGCGTGGGCAAAGATTGATGTCGTACCCTGATAGGCTATGCCTCGGATGTAGCTAATCCATTGAGTTACTATGTGGTATTTAGAAGAGCCGCGCCAGACTTACAACTCGGTTCCATTGTTTGAATAGAAGAATTTAGAGCCCTGAAGAGCCCGATGTGAGTACGGATGGCCCAATTCCAAAGAGCAGTACCTACTTTGATTTCTATGGCAGGGGTGCTGGCAATAGCACTTTCAACGAGCAGCAAGCATGCTGCGAGAGCCCGAAACTTCATGAGTAAACGAATGTCGGCAGAACCGTGGTGAAAAACGAGTGTGAACGACAGAAAAGAAAGTGGGAATTTCCCACAGGAGCCCAAAAAGCAGGAGCCTAGAAATCCGCGTGAGGCTTGAGGCTATTTTGGTTCGGTCTCAGACTTTGGAAGCGACATCCGACGGGCCCGGGCTAAACAAGTACTTTTACCCATCTACCAAGTGGCTCACGTCCGTTCAGAAGGCTTTTCACTAGAATGAACTTCCGAAAATCAGAAAATCACATGCGTTGTAGGGATCCCATCAAATGAAGCCTTCATATGAGGCAGAGCATAGTTCCAAGGTTGGGTGTGTATGTACCTTTCTTTTTTTTTTTCGCAGACCCCAGAGTACGTGAGGGGGTCAAAGTTATGAATGGAAATCAGTTAAGTTCAATCTTCAGGACGAAAAACACAAACGAAAACATGCAACAGTGAGGATTCGCTGGTAGTCACCCACTCAACTACTAACTCACGTTAATAGAGCAGGACTCAACAAGTTACCCCCAAATGCTGAAAAGCCCCTCCCCATAATTCAATCTGACTTGAAAGTAGCGATAATTTAGCGCTTTTTGGATATTAAAATTTATATTTAATTTTATCTCTAATATAGTATTCAAGCCTTAGAATTTCAATAAATCGGATTAATCTTTAACTGTCTCCTAGTAGCCTACTAAAACCCCGATTTTAACCAAGGGCATAGGGTCTATACGCAGTTAAGGTACCCGAGATTGTAAGTCACCTATAGATACGATATGATTTACGTAGGAGCAGCAGTGAAGGGAGAAAGAGAAAGGGAAGGAAAGTGCAAAGTAGCTCATTGCTAGAGAGCGGACACTACGGCTCCTGAGGGTCAGACTCCGAGGTCATGAGTCATTCCAGACATTTCCTAAGGTTGTTCAGTTCTCAAGAGTGTAACAAAATCTTATAAGTGATCATATAGAAAAGCTTAAAGCTCCAAATCTGCCAAGCCTCAACGTTGATCCGATTTACCATGACTCCACACACAGGCCAAGATCGGCTCTCACAACTGCCTATCGAGCTTCTCATCAACATTCTCCAATGTACCGACTTCACGTCACTATGGAGTCTCATCAATACATCTTCACGTCTGTCATCGATTTTCAACCAGCATGCCGGTGAAATTGTCAGTGCAATTTTAAACACAGTTCCGTCCCCGACTCGAGTCCTGATGCAAGCGGTTTTGTCCATGCAGAAAGGGACCTTCCCTTGTAATTCTTTACGGGAAGCCCGAATCCTAGGATCCGGACATGACCAATATGAGCCTTTAGGATGCGTGTCTGGAACCTCCTCCCAGCTGCGATGCTTTGTCCGTTTGTGTCATCATGTGCACGTGTTAGCCCATATGACCATCGAAAGCTGCTTGCAAAGATGTCTTAAGAGTCCCCTAGGACAGCGAGAAATCCCCGCGGGCTTTGAAGATCCAACCTGGACTGAAGAACAGCGTATGCTGCTGGGCTTTTGGCGATTTGTGTACTGGAATCAGCTCAAAAAAGACACGAAGAACAATAGGTTACGATGGTTTCGCCCCGACCTAGAAACACTGGAACATTGGAGGCCGTATGACGATTGTCCAGCGGCCCTCGGCAAGCAGGCATACACGGCACTCTTTTACATCGAAGATATTATCGCCCCGGGAGTGTTCAAAAGCGAGTTTGATGCGTTACACTCGGAATCATTGGAATTACCTCCTCTTCTTCCGGAAAAGGAGTTTGGATGGAAGTGTCGACCAGCTTCCTCGTCGCTGGCTATCACCCAACATTGGCGACCGAGTGAGAAGTTTCGTGAACTGACTGCTCATGAGATCAGCGCGCAGATGAAGCGATTATCTAGCACGGAGCAAGACACACTGTCCGGTCTTACTTATGTGAGCCGCCCAAGACGCTTTTATCATGCAAGCTCAAGCTCTTTATCTGATTACTCCAGTCAAGAAGAGGAAATTGACGAGTTAGATGAGGAAAACGGAGAAGGCTTGGACTTGAGCGTTGAGACCGATGACAGCCCACAGACTGGAAGGCAATCACGTAGTCGCCCTTCTAGACCTGTCCACTGTACTCTGACGTACACTACCACGGAAGCGGATACGGAAACCCAGCATCAGTCAGTGTTAACACGTCGTCATCCTTGGAACCCGCGCCCGGTGCGAAAATTTGGCCCGCGATACAAAACAAAAGATGAGTCGTTGGACTTGGGGAGACCGACACTCGGGCTCCAATTCTGGCGCAGCATGTCTTTGAATCCTGAAGGGGGACCTGCTCAATTCATGTGGTTTGAGGGCTATATCCGGTATGGCTTTGCTCTCTGGGAAGAGAAGCGCATGATCGATCTTGGCTTGTGGTCAGATGGTGTCATAGAAGATATGACGGAGTTTTACCAGCGATGGTACTATTTTCTTGATGCAGAGGATATCTCCCGTTACAAGGTGAAGGCCAGCTTTTTTCTTTCCGACGATGGCGATAATGAATAACAGCAGACTTGTTTGTCCATGATGACTGATTTCAGATAATATGTCTCTCCTTCATGCCTATATATTCCGGGCTCACCTGTTCTAGTATGTTTCTACAGACTGGCTTGGAAGTTGAAGTCATCCAATACGCTATCCTTTGGTCAAGACTTTATTGGTCAAGTACCTGTAATTGAGCAGGAGCATTGAAGAATGGATGTATCTGTCCTTTTCAATCCTACGTGGCCAATCAAGCATCAAGTCCGAGCCTCACCAGCGCCGATCACTTCATCAACAAGGCTCGGGCCGTCCCTCCAACACATGAATTCGGGAGCAACCTAAGCATTAAACCGCGGATATATCATATTTATGCGCACGCTACTGATTGTACTCAAATGCATCGTAGCTTTTCTGTTCAGGACTCAACCAAGTTTGGTATAAGCCTATTTAGACGTAGCGCAGATTCCAGCGCCTACCCTTTGATGGCATTTGAGCCGGTCCTGGAAACTGCGCAGAGAGGAAGATCAAGATAAGAAGTGAAATAAGTTTTAAATATATATGTAAAAGAGTATATAAGAGAGTATTAGAGCGAACGACACAGACCCATTTCCTTATGCCTCGATATAAGACAAACGTATTAACCGATTAACAATCCCACCTCACAACTCAACAGCTCACGACTCTTTGGCCCACTGCTTGCCACTCCACAAGTTGCCAGTCGTCCATAGCCAGTAGTCTCGGCCTTTGATAGCCCACACCATCCAACTGGGTACCTGATAGCCCATGGCAGCGCCCACACCCTTGCTTTTTCCAATCGGCACGAGCTGCATCTCCCGAGTGTCCTCCTTGAAAACGCGATCAGCAGCAACAGCACTTTCTGCCTTCCCACTGGCCAGAAGCAAATCCCGCTTGATATTCGCCCCCAGAACGGGAACTGTATTCAGGATGTTGTGCACCGCCGGACGCGCATGCGAGCCCACATCACCGATCGCATATACCCGTGGACCAGCAGCGTCTACACGCAGGGTACCCGAGTTGGTCTCGACCTGGCCCCTGGCCGTCAAAAGAGACTCGTTGATGAAGCTGGTGTTGGGCTTGGCGCCGGTGGCAGGGATGTATAGGTCGGCGCCGAGGGTTTTGCCGTCTTCCAGGGTGACGGTCGCGTTGGTCGCCAGAGCGCCCTCGGTTCCTGCACCAGGTGGTGAGACACTCGCAACGCGGGATCCCTTGATCACTTTGACGCCCACGTGGGCGAGGAGGTCTTCGGCCTTCTTTGCGATCGCGGGTCGTAGAACGGGGAGGATTTTCGTGTCTGAGGTCACCAGGGTAATGGGGACCTTTGGATTCTGCTGTCCATGGCTGAACCAGCCGGAGCGACCGTTGAGATATTCGCCTAGCTCGCCGGCTGTCTCGACGCCGGCTGGACCTCCACCCGCGATGACAATACTTTTGGCCTTGGGGAGAGCGGCGCGGAAAGCGTTCCAGCTATCGCGCAGGGATTCAGAGTCGCGGTTCAGTGATAGAAGGGGCGATGCGGTGGAGGTACCGGTGGCGATGACAAGCGCGTGGTAGTCGATCTTCTCGGTGCTGCCTCCCTTGAGGGTCACAGTGACATGACGCTCGTTGTGATCGAGTGCTGTCGCGGCGCCTTGAATGAACCGGAAACCGCTGGGGTATTGCTCAAATTGCTTTGGGATATTGACGAAGAGCTTGTCTTGGGGGAACATATCCTCTGAAATCAATGCGCGAGGAGTGGCCGGGCGACAAATAACCTCGGATGAGGGGCTGACGAGAATGACCTGATAGCTTGCTTTGTCGGGCAGCTGAGGGATGGCATGTTTGAGAAGGTAATGCGCGATGGAGACGCCCCCGTAGGAGCCGCCCAGAACGACGATATTCTTGCTCTCCTTAGCCATTGTTCGTAGATGGTGAGGACTTGTGAATTCAACAAGGCCGAGAGATGGTAGAAGATGCAAGTAATAGAGGACTGGAGAGAATTCCCCCTCCCCTATTCTCTTGGCTCAGCATTACCAATCTAACCTCCCCTGGTTCCATGGCTTGTGACGGGTTCAATCGCCTTTGAGTACTTTTGGTGGCTGACGGGCGAAGACAGGGATGCACTCGACCGAGCCGACCCAACGCGACTTCGGATCCCGACTGCCGCTGCGCGGAGGTCGGAACCCGGACTTTCTCACCCCGACGTTTTTCAACCTCAGAATGTTCGAATCCGGTCGCCGAAATAGAGAATCATGGAGAGAATGACTGTTGAAGGGAGATGGATAGTGAGATATAGAAGCAGCAATGCATCCACGATGGTTTCCGGACTTGCCCTTCTGGACATTGTGTGAAATACCAGCGAGCAATTCAGCTTAACCATCATGGCCCCAATCCAATCCCCCATTTTCCAGGCTCTTACCGAGGAGTCCTTCTCGGGATCACCTTCGACCGATGAGGCAAAAGATAATGCTTTCTATTGGTGGAACACTAGCGCCCGTGACTTGGGCAATATGCTCTACCAGGCGGACTATAGCGAAGAGGTTCAGCGCGGGTTTCTCAGCTACTACCGCGATAACATCTGTCCTCGCCTCGGTGGCAAGCCAGACAAAGACTCGGCCCCGACCGGCGTTGGATGGGATGGCAACCCGCTGGAGTACAGCTTTGAGCTGAAGGGCTCGACCAAGAAGAAGTCGGTGCGATTCGTTGTGGATCTGACCGAGTGCCGACCCTCCAATCCCGATGAACCACTCAGCATGAAGCACACGCAGGAGATGGTCGATATGCTTGCGAAGAAGACCCCCAATTTCGATGATACTTGGTACAAAGTACTCAAGGAGTGGTTCGTGTACTCGCACCTGTCTCCGGCCGACCAAGCGGCTTTGATTGCCAAAGCTGGTCAGCAGACATCGGTCATTATCGGCTTTGATATTTACCCCCGTCTTTCGGGACCAGAGCAATTGCCGGTCATGGGTAAGGTCTATTTCCCGCCGTGCTATGTTGCCTCCGACAAAGGTATCACTCGCTGGCAGGCGGTGCGCCAGATCATTAAGAAACTTCCCGGCGTGGAATCATTCCCTAACATCCTGACCTCAACTGAGATCATCAACAGCTACCTCGAAGAGAAGCCAGAGGCATGGCAAATGGGAACTCGGTACCTGGCAACGGACTTGGTATCCCCTGCCAAAGCTCGCTTCAAGGTCTATATGCGTTGCTTTGACACTAGCTTCGAGGGCATCTGGGATTACTACACGCTTGGTGGCCGTATCCCCGATCTGGACGAGGACAAAGAGAAGTTCCGCCAACTCATGGACATGGTCAGTGGAACGACTTATGCCGAAACACGCAGCACGAATGAGATGGAGTTGAACCGATTCACCTCCGCTACAAAGAAGCTGACCGCCATCTACTTCAACATCTCGCCAGATAACCCTTACCCAGCACCCAAGCTCTGCATCTACCCATCTAATTTTGCGGAAGACGATGGAGTTATTGCGCGCGGTTTGGATGAATGGCTGGATAAGTATGGATGGAGCGATGATACAAAGTCCATGGAGGACCAAGTTAAGAGTGTATTGTATGTGACTTCCTCATTCCCCGGTCCTTGTATGTTGTTTATATTCTTATACTAATATACTACTAGCACACACCGTAAGCTCGAAGAGAAGGCGGGTATCTTTACTTTCATTGGAATTGGCAGAAAGGAAGACCCAACGAAAAAGGATTTGAGCATCCAGGTGTACATGACCCCGGAGCTGTACCGAGACCCTCGTTATTAGAGAGATTGATGAGTGGTTGGACCCAGCGCCTGTTAGAAATGAGTCATAGAGACCATTTATTTTTCTCAGAAGACGTCGAGTGCAATACTGAATCAAATATATCGCCTGCAATGAGAAAGCACAGTAAACTATATGTCGCTCTAGAATGTTGCTCTAGCCAATCACTAAGCAAATGCTCAGCCAATTTATGTAACGGCATTGCAGATCCCCTCGTACTCATTGATATACCGACCGCAGCTTTTAAGCATCCGAGGACAAGATGGGTATATATATATAAAAAGAAAATACTTGGGCAGAAAAAGATGTTCATGCATACTGTACATGTACAGTACTTCGGACATGGCAGGGCTTGTCAATAAGACGCAGTCTGGAATTGGACCTATCACATGAATATCCAGATCATAGCTGTTCTTCATGAAGTAGCACGAGACCTCCGAGCATCTGGTCAATTTAGCCTCCGCCACGATGCTTCAACCCTTTAGACTCCGCGGATCCTGAGCCCTCTTATGATCGACTCTGTCCACTCTTGCGCCATGCCAAGGGTACTCAGCTGCAATCAGCAGCCTGGAGAGTGCGAACTGGATTTAACCCTGAGGCCAGAACTACTGGCCCAACCAGGAACTCCAGCTCGGTACAGTCAGACAAACTAGAATCCTGCAGATGAGAGAGGCTGAAACACCGTAGGGCTTGCGAAGAACGCAGAAACAATCAGTGTAACCCTGTAGCAACAAGGATACTGAATATAGTGCATGATGATGTGCTTACCCCATGCGTAAATGCATTCGACTCCAAATGATAAACTAAGTTAGGGCTTTTTTCGACAGAGAACGGGGCTTGGACCGTCCGCTCCGAAGGGTCCGAGGGCCACTGGATGGGGTTAGTCAGCATTCGGGCGAAAGGCCGAAATTGGCATACGCTCTGATACGCTTTGATACGCTCGCCAAAGTCTGAAGGCGATATCGACCAGATTTCCCAAGATCTCACCATAGATACAGAGACATCCGAGTCCAATAACGCTCTAGATCCTTATCATTTCTACAGTAATCATCTTCTCAATTCTCTTCTTCGCGATACACTCCTGCAGAACTTTCCCATGCATGCCACGTTTGACATGTTTTCCTCAGGACTTCCGGCCCCCAGCGAATATTTCCCCCCTCCAAGGGGTTCAGACCAATAATATGCACTGACGGTGGATCTGCAGTCAACCCCAAAGGTTGCACAGCCGAACTAAATGCGTTAGCCTTGCGACCTTGCAATAGGCTAGGCACACGGGCGTTGGGGAACTGCTTGATCTTGACACCGTATTCTGGCCCCCAATTTATAACCGAATACTTTCCCCTCTTCCTTCGACTCACAACTTTCCACCTGTCTAAGACCGTTGAAGCGTTTACCTAAAAAGGTAGCCTCTGCTCTGGGCGTTTCGGGCCGGACCGCTCATCTCCGGATGGCGGTTTCCGGAAATCGTTTCGACACAGTAAGCATCAAAATCAGTGATGAGTTTCGCGTAGTTAATATCGCCGTACTGTACATGGCAATTGACTAGTGTCAAGAAAGGATCGTGTTTCCGATTGGGGCATCTCGACTATCAGGAAGCATAACCTGGTTAGGCTAACCGATTCCAGCATAGCCCCCCATTTTAGGCCCGACCATAGTCACGCGCTAAACCAGGCTAGGTATATCGTGCACTATGAAAGGTTCTCACGATCGTACTCGACCTGCAAGATTTGCTAAGAAGGTCTGGCGGAGAGGAGGGGGTCAGTGGGACCTGATTGGTGGCGGAGAGGCTGGAAACGCACCAACTGGTACGAAATGCACGTTTCCCAGTCTCCAAGGGCTGAGTGGTGAAGTTGTTATTTTTGTTTGTTGTTTTTTGGTTGTTTTTTTCTTTGCAGAAATCCCCCACCTAGTGGATCCTATTGTTCTCAGCGATCTCCACGGGAGGGCAGAAGATGATAACGTGGAAGAAGCAACCGCATTCTTACATAGATGTGGCAAATGGCGCCGAGAGCTCCATATACGAAAGGATCACCCTAATGCAAGGCCCGCGAGGCTGCTCACTCAGATTGACGCCATCTAATGTAACTCGCGGTGGTAACTAGATATGATGACTCTTGGTAAGCCTGATTGATACGAGACCATAAACTGTAGAGCTGGACGTCTTTGCCGAAGTGTTCTGAATTTCATTCATCGCACCGTACAACATGGCAAAGGTCTCCAAGAAAGTCAGTATAGTGATCACTACCGAGAAGACATGGAATACTGACTAGACAGAACTGGGCCACTCCCGATGGAGCGTGCACTAGCTGCCGTGCCCGGAAGATCAAGTGTGATAGAGAGAAACCCCAATGCAGCAGCTGCCTTGGGGATCAACATGAATGCATCTACTCCTCCCCTCCAAAGAGGGTCAACCACATTAAAGTGCTGTATGAGACATTCTTCCCCGTGGCCGAGACTTAAATTTTAACCCCCCCACTTTAGATGCGAGAGCTTCGATGAGATCCAGGATCGCTTGATCACCATGGAGAAACAGCTGTCCCGACTGACCGCGACGCTCGGGAATCCAAATGCCGCAGAGCAGGGTGGTATTCTTGAAAAGGAATCCTCCGTTCCAAATTCGACCAGCTTTGGTCATGTAGTGCGGGATACTGACGGCCAGATCGAGCGCTATCATGGCCCCTGGACATTACTTGCCCAGTGTCGTCAACTTGAAACTGACCTGATGTGCTGGCCGGAAGTCAGCACCCTCTTGACCCGAATGGTGCACGATACAATGAGACTGTCGTTAGACTCCTTTTCTGCAGGATTGGCAGACATGAAAATGTGTCTGCCACCACGGCAGCTCTTGTCCGTCATGGTGGAGTGCTTCCTGAAGAACGCCGACTACGCCACGAGTATCTTTGATCATCAATCTCTGTATCACGCGATTGACCGTGTGTATCAAGACCCTGCTAACCCAGAAGAGAAGCCTTGGGTCCTGTGTTTCAATCTCATCATCCTGCTTACCCTCGGAGCGGAACATCCCTTGCAGAGTGAAGACCCATTCGTAAGGCCCATGCTCCAAGCCGTTCATGTGGCTGCAGGGAACTCGAGATTATTTATGGAGCCAAGGCTCGTGAGCGTTCAAGCCCTGGCTTTGTTTGTAGGTCGATGATGACCACTATGATGATTACCCGACTAACTTTCTCTAGAGCCTTTTTGTGCAGCAATGCTATACCGACAATGAAGCCCTTGGTGACTCCATATTTGCACAAGCATGCCAATTGGCCCGTCAGATGGGATTGCCCCAGCCTTATGGGTGCACGTCCAACTCCATTCTAACCCCGGTCGAGGTAGACGAGCGACAGCGCGTGTATCAGTCGCTGTACATTCGCAATCGATATTCCACCACCGCGTCTGGCGGTCTCGTATGGTTGCCCAACGGCGTATCATCTACAGGTACCGTCACAGCACTTGCAGTACATTGGGAGCTTGCAAAGCTGCAAGATGAGGTACACCGACTACTCGGGGCTCCCGATCTTACCTCGTCAGATCGTCGCGCTGTGGTGGCCCAACTTCGCGAAAAACTCAAGCTATGGCAGGAAACTCGCCTATTGCCGTCACTTCTGGAGCCAATGACTGTGGATCGTGTTGTCCTTTATTTGGGCTTCTTGGGAACTCGCATGTACATCGGTATGGAGAGTAAAGAGACAGACAGAGAGGAAGTCCTGGATGATTGCCGACTCAGCTGTCTCCTACTCATCGTATCATGCACACAACAACAGAATCCGACTTTTCAAAGTCAGCTCCATGATCTTTTGCATAAGTTGAGCTCATCGCGCGAGAAATCAGATAATTTGTCGCAATCATCTCGAGCGTCTACCCCTTCATCCTCCTCATCCTCCTCTCATTCTACAAGTGACAGGCTAGCGCAACTTTCTCCATTGGCAGAGACATCCTCTACCAAAACTCCGCCAGCCACTACATCCCCATTACTTCCACTTCATCGTCTAGCAAAGGTGTTCCCCATCACCGCTATATTCATGCTCGGACGACATATTCTTGGCGTATCCCCCAACGGCAAATCTTCAACCCCATTCAGGACAGACACTGATAATAATTCGGACATTTGCATCCTCAAATCTTTACTACTATGCTTTCAAAGAAGCCCACCCTTTCTCGGGGTCAACAGCCAGCCTGATTCTTGCAGCTACAGACTTGGCCAAGCTCTCGACCATCTAGTCCACATCATCCACACCATGACCTTCCAACAGACCTCCCCGAGGGCTTTAGTCTCAAAAAGCCCAAATCACCACATGGAAACAAACGAGCATATCCCCAGAGACTTCACAGCCTCACAAAGCCTCCCCGAGGTCACCGACCTGTCTCGCTTCTGGTACGCGAGAGAGATGACCGGACATACACCCATGGACATCTCCATGTCCGACTTCCAGTCTGCGTGGACAGCTCCACAAGACTCGCTCAGCTCATCAACTATGCCGCTGCTTTCTTCCGACAGTTCAATCTACACACCGGCTATGGAGCCGACGCCCATCATGTCAATGTCAAACACACCCTTGGATCTTTCGGAGTTCTTTAGTGCTGAATCGGACGGCCAGGACGGATGGAATGTTGTCGGTGATGTTTCGAATATTATACAACAGATTAGACCACCTATAAAGAGACGTCGGACTAATGAGGATAAACTGGATTGAAGGCGTTGGTTCGTTGATTTTGCGTCGGAGCTTGTTCCGGGTTTATACAAGGCGTTGGTGAATCACATGCGCCCTGACTCTTTCGGTCTATACTCTTCGTTGTCTATTCTTATCCGCACGGTTTCTTCTGGGGCTCTTTCTATTTAATCTTTATGAAAGTGACGTTTCATAGAATGTGACGAACATTGAGTAGCTCTCATCGCCATGCATATTTAAGCCTCATGTGCCTTCCACTACTTACTTTCCACTCTCAAAGGAATCAGTTACCGTCTAACTTTTGAAAACTTGGGATATATAAATAGAACAAGTCTCTTTATACCCGCTGTTACTGAGAAGGTACGTATAAAATCAACCAATCATAGAAAATTTCCCTGCCCTCAGTTGTTCGACCGTTTTTATAGAGCTTTTCAACTTATGAAATGCAACTACAGTCTTACTTCTAGACTAACCATTTTATGAGCATCTAGTAAATTGATCATCAGGTAACAAAACCCAAAACACATCAAAACAACCACTCATATCAAAGTTCTTTTCTAAGACCAGAAGGTTCTTCAGGCATCATTATTTGTCGACGTTCACACTGTTAGTCACAGAGCCAAACACTTCCAAAGCATTCCCGAGATAATCCCGGACTCCCTCCAGGCGGGGGGTCATGTCACTCCCTAGAGGGAGAAGCTTCTCGGCTTGGTGGCCTTCACCCACTCCCTCGCCAATAACGACCTGGTATAAAGCCTGCATCGCTTTGTCCTTATCACCGTTGATCTGGATCTTCCCATCGACCATAAGATCCTGAACCTGCCCCACCACGGTCGTCTTATAATCCTCGGGTAAGGCGGTCTTCGCTAGAACGATCGAGTTCAAAAAACTAGTATTGAATGTTCCGAGAATGACAGTCAGAGTACGGATGTTGAATGGGGCAACTTCCTTAGCGAGGACCTTGATAAGAGCTATTCAAATCAGAGTCAGCTATCCCTCTTGAATGGAACCTCTGAAGTACAAAAGAAACCTCTTTGTCCTGATACATACCATCCATGCCAGCCTTTGCTCCGGCGTAAACACCCATAGTGGGCATGCCATCCAGTGAAGCACCACTACTCATGTTCACGATAATCCCGGATTTTCGCTGGCGCATGTGAGGCAGCACAGCCCGGATAAGTCGCAAGGGACCAAAGTACATAGTCTCCATCTGGGATCGTACCTCGTCTTCTTCGAAGGTCTCGACGGGGGCGAATGTACAATAACCGGCATTGTTGACTAGGACGTCGATGTGGTGGCCGTTAGCTTCCAGCTCGGTAACGATTTTGCCGCAATCACTGCTATCGAGATCAAGGGGGGACCCATTTTCCTCCCTTGGATTCGATCTCAGTGACGAGGTCGGGTGTGCGCGATGGATTGCGCGAGGTCGCAATGACTTTGTGTCCGCCGGCCTGGGCGGCGCGGGTCAAGGAGAGACCGAAGCCGGAAGAGCAGCCGGTGATAAGCCAGGTGAGCTTGGGAGTTGCCATCATGATGTTGATGATATGCAGCAATAGAGAGCATATCTGAACTTTAAGCAATCACGCGTCGGAGTTAAGGGTGCCCTAATGCCGCGAACTTTGAGTAAACCCGGATATTTTTGTTGTCAGACTCGGAGTTTGCGCATTTAATCTGGCTTGCTATAGATTAGTTGGGAAAAGAACGATGCGAGGGTAGAAAGCATGTCGTATCACAGCTAAAACCCCTAGCCAACTTTGTCATGTAACATGCAGTTAGTTAAATACTCAAGGCGTTGTAAATTCAACAATGCATTTCTTTCTGAAATATTGAAATATTGAAATAAGAGTATTGGAACATTCTATAGTATCTCGCAAACTGAATATATTTCAAGCATCAGCCTCGATTCAAAAACCCAGCCACAGCATCTCCCATCTCGACCGTTTTAGGTCCCTTGTCCATCAATGTGAAATGATTCACTTCATCCAGTACTCGAATACTCAGCCCCTCTCGTCCAACAATACTAGCCCACCCATCTGCAGAGAAATCTGTACGATTGTTCAACAACCAGATCATCTCCCGTGGATCATCGGGCCGAATCTCCATCTTTGGCCCGTTAGGATCTTTGCACACTCCATCGCGAGCATAGATCATCAGCGAAGCTGGCGCATTTGGCAGTGGAGACGGCTCATACTCGTCCAGGATAGTGATGAACGCATTGAAGTGTTCGAGCAGCCATTCTGGGGTCTTGGGCTTGACGCCGTTCTTAGTCGGTGCTGAGCCGAAGATTCCCAGGCTGTCGAAGAAATCAAACATCCTTTTGGGTGGGTTCTGTAGACCAATTGGGTTGGGCGAGTCTAGCAGGACGAGGTGGGAGATCTTGGCTGTGTTTTGTTGCTGGCTCATTTGTCGGATTGCTTCGAAGGCAAGGATTCCGCCGGCTGACCAGCCTCCGAGTGCGATGGATGCCTTTGTGTTGCCTTGTGCGTGAGCTCCTTGGATGAGTCGCTGGACTTCGGGGAGGTATTGAGCGACCATGCTAGACATGGTGATCTTCAAACGTGTCATCTCGGTGGCTGTCTTGCGCCAGGGACAGTTCAACCCGTACACGGCCACGGTGCTGGGAGTCACGGCTGGGGCTAGCGCTGCATAGGACGAAGCGGATCCGGAGCCGTCGGGGAACAGGAAAAGAATCACCTGGGCAGTTTTGGGCGAGCCGGAAAGGAGAATCGAAGTCGCCTGGGGGAGAGACGAATTCGCATTTCCGGGCGCTGTGGCTGGGATGGACTTGACTTGAGAAATCGAGGGAATCTGAGGCTTGGATGGGGAGACGCTAGGCTTTGCCTGTGGCTTTTCAAGACCCATAACATTGTAGAGTTCCTCTTCCAATTCTTGCACTGTCTCAAGTTCCATCAGCATGCTGCCTGGAATCTCAACTTGCAAGAGCTCCTGGAGTCTACCACTAATGGTAAGCCCAAGAAGTGAGTCCACGCCGATATCCGCTAGACATGTGTGGGACTTGAGCTCATCCATAGCAACCTGGGTCTCTTCAGAAATGACCTGGCGCAGGACTAGGGCAACCCTCGCACTTTCAGGAGAAGAAGACGAAGATCCATCGCCGTCTGGGGTCAAGACTCCCACGGAAGTGGCGCGACTGGAGGCCTGGGATTCAGCAAAATAGTCTTCTTCGCCGCTTGACGTGCCACTGGGTGTATCTTCTTCTTCTTCTTCTTCTGTGTTTGCCACTAGAGCTCGAAGTTCACCCACTGTAGGCTCGTCAACGAACAAAGATGATGGGAAGTCAAGACCCATCTCGTCCCGTATTTTGGCAGTAATAGTCAAAGATAGAAGGGAGTCTACTCCAAGATTTGCGAACTCGGCATCAGGAGTAAGATCGGACATTCCAACACCCACCTCCTCGCTTATTAAAGCTAGAATGCGATTGAACACATTCGAGGAGGACTGCGAAACTGGCTTTGGCTTGGAGGTAGCTTGACGGACAGGCGGTGATGGGGCTGATTTTGCGGGAGCTTGCTTCACAGGAACTGGAGGAGAAGCTTGCTTGGCCACTGAGCTGGGCTTAGGGCTGTTTCCTGGGAGGAGGTGGTCAAGCGCACGACGGGGAACGCCTTGGAACTAGGGAAAGTTAGCTTGCAGTGAATAATCATGAAAAGATAGACAAACCGTAACACCCTCAAAGACGGCAATAATACGACCCTCGTCCAAGATATACGTATCTCCAGCGTAAGTTGTGCCCTCAACCAACTGCATCCGGTTGTAGGCCTGGTAAGTCTTCTTTTCCTGGAAGGGCTCCGCAATGCGCATAGTCTCCCACCCATGGTTGATAAAGACCTGATCCTTGCTGCTGACTCCATCGTTGGCATTCATGATGAACCCAGCCACACCACCCAGGCTATCAATCCACCGTGGGTTGATGCAGAACTCCTCCTTGCCAATCTGGAACTGAACGGTAGATACCGCTTCCAGTCGATTGCTGTCAAGGATGATCTCCGACATGCCCTGGTAGTCTTTACTGTAATCAACAAGAGCAGCGAACAGCTTGTAAGCTAGTCCACGCTTGATGAGATGCGTTTCTGTGTTTGGATTGTGAATGCTAGCATTCAGGGCATCGATGCGCGCTGTGATGAAATGAGTGTTGCGCTTCCACTCCTTTAGCCATTGGTGTTGCGGGAACACATTGACTTCAAACTTGGCATGTGCTGTTGTGCGTTTTCCTGTAGCGTTGACACTGAAGATCTCCATAGCAATACGATTGGCAGCCCAGTCTGCATTTGCTGAGAAGCGGAACAGATGCGAGGTTTCATTGGTTTTGGCAATGAGAGGATTGAATACTTTGACGTTTGCCACATCAAGGCCGGTAGTAGCAGGTGGGAGCTGGTTAGGGGAATGGCGCACCAGGTATTCAGCCACGGTGAAAGCAAGATCAGCGTACATTGACTAGAAATAGATGTTAGCCATATCTTCCCTGAGGATCGAACTACAAGAGAGTTAACTTACCGATGGACACAGAGCTGCTCCATTGACAAGATGTCCCTGCAGCACAGGAAGCAATCTCTCGTCAAAGATATCGGACTCCACCATCATATATGAACGGTCGGTGCCATGAGTCTCCTCAACTATCTGCTGCGCACACGGAGAGAGATACTTTCGTACAGGAGCCGGTGGTGGTGGAGCAACCTCTTTGGGGGCTTCTCCACCCTTTGTCAGAAGGAAATCATTGCGGTATGGAATCCAATGGTTCTTCAAATCCCATGAGTATCTAGGAAGCTCGGTGACTTGATGGGCTGCTGGGAAGTGGCGATGATACTCGTTCCAGTTGATGTCAAGACCTGCCAGGTATAAAGTCTTTAGTCCGGCAGTCAAGGTCTGGTATGGATCAACCTTCTGACGCAGGGTTGCAACGGTCTTCACGCGCGAGTCAATTGAACCCTTGACCATGCCGCTGCATACAGGATGAGCACCGATCTCAAGCCAGATCGTACGGTCAAGGTCTGCAAACTCCGTAGCAGAGGAGAGGGCCTCGGTGAAGTTGACCTGCTTTCTGCAAGCGGAGGAGAGATATTGAGAGGTCAAAGTACCTTGCTCTCCAGCAGGTATAACCCTTCCTAAAAGTGGCGAGAGGACCGGGATGGCAGGAGGGTTGTATACCACTCCCTGCGATGCACTCTCTTCAAATGCTGATAATATAGGCTCCACCTGAGGGGAGTGGAAGGCGAATGGAACATCCAATTTCACCACTTCCACTCCCTTTTGTGCTGCCTGTCGCGAGATCTCTGCAATCTTGTCTCCTGGACCGGCAATCACATGGCCTGAAGGCTGGTTTGCACAAGCTATCTCGCACTCATCACCCACAAGTGAGGCTCTCATCAATTCATTGGCCACATCTTGGGATGCCTTGATTGCAAGCATCGAGTGTGTCCCGCGCGTGCACAATTTCTCAAGCAGTGCTGCTCTCGTTGCTACCAAGTAGATCATGTCTGCTGTCCCGATAACACCTGCTGCATATAGAGCAGGATATTCACCGAGACTGTGGCCGATTACGGCTGCTGGAGCAATGCCCCAGGACTTCCAAAGCTCGAAGAGAGCAACTTGGACACAGACAAGAGCCAGCTGCGATACGACCGCACTGACATTTGGAACTTCCGCTGCGGTGACGGTCCCATCAATGAGACCGAGGAATGATGGGAAGCCTTGAATTTGAGCTAGGCGGTTGAGCTTGAGAAGGGTGGTGCGGAAGGCATCGTTCACGGTGAATAGCTGCTTGCCCATCTCCGCATATAGGGTTCCCTGTCCAGAGAACATGAAAACCAGTCGTGCCTGCTTCTTAGGACTGGCAGGGATTGGTTTCAAGTCAGAAATATTTGATTGATTCTCCTGCACCCACGAATGGAGAGCCGATTTGATAGATTGCAGGTCAGAACCAGACACAGCAAGGCGATAGTTGTGATGCATTCTTCGGGCTGTTGTAGTGTATGAAAGGATAGCAGCCGATACAGGTGTGCGCTTTGCCTCAAGGGATGCGACAAGAGAGTTGACATTGGACAACAATGACTTTGAAGACTTGGCGGAAACAGTGACGAGCTGTGTGGAGCGCGCATCCTGCATGTTTTCCATTGATTTTGGAACTGGCGCATCCTCCACCAACATAGCGGTGTTTCCACCAGCTGCACTGAAGTTGTTCAGGAACACTGCACGTCGACCAGAAGGAGCATCCTCACGGTGCCATGGCTTGATTTCGAAAGCAATGTTCACACCTCGCTGAGCAAGATCAAGTGGGTAGTTATGATTGATGCGATTCTTGATACCACAGTGAGGTGGGATCTCGTTGTGCTTCATCATCATCATGACTTTAATCAGTGAAGAGACACCCGATGCAGACTCAGCGTGTCCAATGTTTGCCTTGGCGGAGCCCAGATATAGTGGCCGCTCTGGACGCATCTGCGTTCTCTTGTACTCAGGAACAAATGCTGACAGGACTGAGTTCATCTCAGTAGCATCTCCGGCTTGCGTTCCAGTGCCGTGCATTTCAACATAGCCGACATCAGTGGGATCGATACCTGAGTGGCGCATAATATTCTTGAAAACGCTGACTTGATCACCCTCATGGGGTCGGGTGATACTCTCTGTTTGACCACAATGATTTGTGTTGGTCCCTAGGATGACACCGAATATTGGGTCACAGTCCGCCTCAGCATCTTCGAGTCGCTTCAGAATAACGGATCCGACAGCGTCGGATCGACAATATCCATTGGCTTCATCGTCGAAGGCATTGCAGTTTCCTAACACATGTCCTGTCAGTTTCTAATCGTACGTTATAGATCGAATAGACCCACCAGTCGTCGACAGGAAATGAGCGCGATCTAGACCTGCAAAGTTGTCCGGGTTGGTCAGTACATTGGTGCCACCAGCAATAGCTGTATCGCATTCTCCTCTCCATAGATAGCCACATGCAGCCTGGATAGCAGCAAAACTGGATGAGCATGCGGTATCGACGCTGAGACTAGGCCCGGAGAAACGGAAGAAATAGCTGATACGGCCAGGCACAAAAGCTCGATTGCCACCAGGAATGAAGTATGTTCCGATGTCTTGACCGCTGTTGACTTCTCTGTAGTCATCACTAGTCGTGCCGAAGAAGACAGCCACGCGGTCCTGCTGCGTGCTCGCTGTGCGGTTGCGTACCATACCAGCCATCTCCATGGCTTCGTATGTGGTTGTGATGGCTAACCGTTGAGCTGGATCAGTGTTTTCAGCCTCCTTGGGAGACATGTTGAAGAATTTGGTATCAAAGAGACCAGGCTCATCAATCCAGCATCCATACTTGACACGACTAGTATTCTTCTTTTTGCTGGTCGGGTCATGGTACTTCTCCCAGTCGAATCTTTCCTTTGGAATCTCGCGATGGACATCTCGGCCAGCCCTAAGGAGTTCCCAAAAGGCTTCGTTGGACTCTGCGGAGGGGAAACGACCTGAATATCCGATGATGGCAATCTTCGACTGATCAAAGCGCCCTGTGGGCAAGTTCTGCTCATCTATCCGGCCGGAACCTGTCACATCACTGATTGTTACTTGGAGATCTTTTTGCTTCGTAAGCTCGGAGGCGATCATTGTGGCCGCATTGCTAGAGAATGGAAGGATTGCACATTCCTGAGCACCCCCCTGTGTTGACCATGCCCGACACGAGTCAAGAATCAGGTCCCATCGAACGGGCTCCAAAAGAGTCTCATGCACGACAGAGCGCAGTAGAGCAATAAAGCTGGGAGCAGAAAGTGCCCGTCCAGTGGCAGAGGAAAGCAGAGGCAATCGAGGTTGGCGCTCGTTTGTCTTTGTGTCCGCTAACTGTCCAACTATCTCTTCGACATCCGCTTCACAGAACAAGTGTGCTGCATGATAGGGAGTTTCAATCTCCAGTGATTTATACTTTAGTTGGGTCGAGTTTGTATCCAAGAACTCTTTCAAAACTGAGGGATTTCCGCTTAGCGTGACCGTCTGACCGGCAGTAGCGGCACTTTTCCAAAGAATTGAATCACGAAGGGGTGTCTACAAATCATGAAAGGTAAGTACTACATACTTTGCGATATCTGGGTTGAGAAAGCATACCTTGACGGCCATGTATTCCCGTGCCATTTCCTCAACGCTCTTGTCTCCCCGAGAGCTCACGGCGACAGACCATGAGGAGAACTTGTCTGACTGAGAGCGAGACGAAAAGCTTTGGGAAACAAGGAAGGAGAGCAAAGCTGTTTTGAAGGCCGCAATACTAGCTTCAACACCATTGGTGACGAAGTCTGACAGATTATAGGAGCAAGCTAGGGCTGATGCGGCAAACCCGCCTGTACAAGGACCAATGAGACAGGTATTTGCTGGAGGGAAGGTCCTAGACCCGTGCGAGAAATATCTATCTGATGATTAGCAATTGAAATGAGCGAGGTAATGAAAATGGTTCCTTACACAATACATTGGGCCACTTGCTGCACACTGAGAAGGAAGAATGCAAGCACTGGAGTTCCGCTTGTCTCACCGAGTCTTGAGATGAGGTCAACGAGGGTAGTGAAATGAGGGATAAGATCTTGTTGTTCTAGAGGCAGCTCATCCAGTAGTCTTCGTAACGAATAATTCACTCGATCAAAGAATGAAGTAAGAAGCGGGTTGGTCTTGACATGCAAAAGGCGCTTGAAGGAGTCTTCCAGATTGACCAGGCTCAAGTCACCAAACAGGATGACTTGACGCTGTTCTGTGGGCTTCTCGCCCTCCATCACAGTGACTGCCATGGCTGGCATTCAACGATATTGGTAAAGCGAATGACTATTGGAATGCCTTGCAATAGTCTACTCTGAAATGCGAGCAAGACCCTCACACAGCTCGTTTTTAAATATACATCGTAGTATCTGGCACTACAATCTGCCGAGAATCGGGAATAAGCACTCGGGACACGGGGCCCGAAGACAAGTTTTCCAGCTGGTAAGATCTAGAATCTGGCATGAAAAGAAGACACCCAGCCTCCGGAGTGATCGCGCCCGTATCGCTCGACTTTCGTCCAGGTCCAAGGATTTTCGGCGCCCGAATTGCTGCAACTTCTGTATGAGTAAGATTCTTGCCACTCAGACTCTTGGCCGATTGGACAGGCTTTATTGGAGGCCTGGCTGGGAAATTAATTAGTTTCCCGTGGATTGGTCAAGCTCAAAAGTACGTCCACCGCGGTATAAGACCCTCTATCTATTCAGGCGTTTACCTTGTGAGCTCACTTCAGTCCCATCTCCAGGATATCTTCCATTTCAGCCTCTCTCTCCATCACTGCCTTATCGACATTATGTTCGCATTCACCGTTTTCGGATACAGAAAGGATGGAATGAGCGAGGAGGACTACCACAGCTATATCAGCACGGTGCACTCTGCTCATCTCAAGGCACTACTAGCCAAGAACGACATTGTTTCGTACACCATGGTATGAGTTGGTTCCTGTCATATAGAAACATGAAGAAATAACATCCCCAAAGCAACACAACACATCCGCAGCCAAGGCTGAACTCATGAGCACCATCTATAAAGATCAGATGCCAGATGACAAGATCGCCGACTGTGACGCCCTTGTCCGTATCGTCTTCAACGATGTCCAGGATTATTTGCGTGTGAGGGAGGACCCTCACTTCCTGAACGTGGTGAACCCAGACCACGCCAACTTTGCAAACTTCCCCAAGACAAAGTTTGCAATGGGATGGTATGAGGTTCATGTTGCGAGTGGACAAGTTGTATCCTAAATGGGCCTTTTTTGATGGGAGGCAATGAATCTGAAATAGTTGTCATTTGAGGTGGCTCGATTTCATGATGGAATCCTGCGTGGATAGCCAAACTCTCGACTCATCCCTTAATCAAGAATAGCTAAATACACGAATCTTCTGACTTTGCTCGTATTAATCCTCTAACTGGACTTCCCACAAGCCCCGACAGCTATGAGACGTAAATCTCTGTTCATACTTGATCTGCACATTTGATTAATTGAAGTTCTCACAGCATACTGGGAGGAAAAAAATACCTTGAACTCGGGACTAGCAGATTGAATGAGCTGACCCCATTCAATGGATGTGCGTTGCTGCACATTATGCATTGTCATCAACGTCACATCTCTTCTCCGGAATGCTCTTTCCACATGAGTCTCAAATGTCGACCACGTAGGAGAGACCAGATCGCTGATAAGGATGCGAGGCTTGGTATGATGTCTCATTGCCGGCAAAATGCTTCGCAATATCGTGAGAACCTCCTCGTCCGGGTGATTCCACAACACTCCTCGCAAGAGAAAGACGGTGGCATCATGGCGATTACTGATCTCTTCGATCTTCCTGGGGGCAAAAATATCCCTTTGGGATAAGATTACCTGCCACTTCAGCTCACTTTCCAACAGCTGTTGTCCTCGACTGATCAAATCAGCCGAAGTGTCTTGGACATCGAACTGGATCTTCGGAAACAGTGTCGCTAGCTGAGACGAGAAAGCTCCGGTCTTGCCTTGGATTTCAATAATGCATGGTGTCTTCCCGTTCTGAACATAGCTGGACTCTTTGATCCAATCCATGATCATGTCATTTCCAGCATCAAGACCTGATATTCGGTGTTAGTACAACGCAATCCAACAAAAGATGTCATACTACACCTACTTTTTGACACGCTCCCCATAGCCGCTGCAAACCTTTTACCCTTCTCGGGATTTTTCCTGTGCCAATCATACATAGGCATCCCCCAACTGTTTTATTCGTCAGATCACGAAATCCATCGAGTAGCGCATCACTTACGCAAGTTCAAACGCAGCCTCTCCTGTCCAGAAAGGATTTGGCTTCCGCAGCGAATCAGCCAAATGGGCACTCGCAACCCGCGTTTCGAAGAGTTGAAATCCAATAAAGCTTTTGTAGCCTTTATCCTTGACTAGAGTTTCCGAGATCGCCGTATGTCCAAACTCGCCCTCGGTAGGCTCACGTAGGATTCCAGTTGTCGCGACAAGCCGGCAAATACGGAGCAACTTGTCGGCTGGCAAGCCAGTTTCCTGTCCGAGGTTCGCGATGGGAATGGTCGATCCGTCTAGAGGGATGTGTTCGAGGACATTGTGATCCAGTAGCGTGTACAGCGCTCCGTGTTCCCAATTGACGGATACATATTCGTGCAGGAAGCCGTGAGGGCCTTCGAGGAGTGTTCCGAGATTCTGAGTGAGCGCTGTAATTTTGGCTTTCAGGGCATCGAGTTTCTCATCGTGTGTGGTCCAGAGATTGGAGGTGGCGCCTATATCAAGGTTCTTTGGGGGAGCAATGTTGCTATCTTTCAATTGTTCCGATAGTTCGGATGTGCTCGCCAGGATATCCTCGGCAGTCTTCAAGAGAGTGTTTTCATCCATGATTGGCTGGGTTTGCGAGATCTTGAGACTTCTTGGGGTTGCAACAATATAGCAGAAAAGCTAGTACAAGGGCAAAGCAACAGGCTCCTTCAGGGCTTATACGATAGAATCCCAACATATTATCGGTCTCAAATCTTCCCCTTTAGACTATCATCGCTTTAATCGGACAACCGACTTCCGTTGTGTCGCAAGTTTTCCTTTCGTCGGGAGCACGGGGTTCGGGCGCCGGGGCCGAAAAAAGTAAGCACCGCAAATGACGGATTAGAGCGTGGGACCTTTTCTAGAATCTCCAATAATTCATTGTTGGGAATCATAGCAAGGAACACTTTGTGCTTTGAAATTGGTACTATGTAGGCTCTAGCTTTGCATTACTAATGTTAGTGATCTACAGTATAGTGATCGACAGTATAGATCGTGTCCTATGTCAATCCGCAAGAAAAGCGATACCCGCTTAATTGAACATAGTCAATGCTAAATATAGAGTCATTCTGTGTAAAACTCAATTCCTCATTCACATTTCTTCGCTGATTACTGATAGAAACACCACGGATGATATTGTTTAAGATGCAAAGACTCGATTGAAATCCGAAACATAATTGACAAGACAACCAATATAATGATGAATATCACAATATAATCTCTATGGAATCATCTCCGGTCTTATCTAAGACGTCTGTGCAATCTCCTGTCGAGTATCATGTCCATCCATGGGCTTGAATCCACGCCGGAAAACGGGACTCTCCTGAACCTTGTTCCAGTCATGCAACATTTTACCATTCTCAACGGAGCAGCTAACTTCTTCTTTTCCTCGAGGAATCATCTCAGCCTCGTACTCTACGATGGTCTCGGAGAGAGTAGCCTCTCCACTGTGGACTGCAATAAGCCCCTTCAGGAGCTTAGACACGTCGTTAATGCAGTGGTTGAGCCCTTGTCCGCGATCTAGGATGTGAGAAGTCTATTAGTAGAGCCAAAATAACACAACGTTCCATGATACACTCACAGGGGGGCATCGGATGCGCCGCATCACCAACAAGTGTCAGTCGACCCTGACGGTTGTCCCACGGTTGACTGATCCAGTAACTGATATCTGCTTTGTGCACTTCAGTGTCCTCAGGCATCCACATGAATGCAGAGCGCGCTGGCTCTCCCAGCCCATCTGCACGCGCTTTGATAAGAGCAAGTCGTTCGGCGTAGCACATGGTGTTGTCACTCTCGCCCATCCAAGCCATGGCCATGTGGAAGATCCAAGACTCGGGGTGATCGGGACCATCAGGCATGCTCGAGACTATCGCGTGTTAAGAGAATGAAGGCGTACGAAGATGCTGGATACTTACTAGACTGGAATGCATGGAAGGACCTATCGCTCAAGGCAAGATAACTGGTCGGGTACTTCTCACGCACATACTTTGCCTTTTCGGCATCGTTGTAGCACACCGTCATGTTAGTGTGGAAGATGGGGAATGAAGTCGTGGCAGCAAGCTTGGCATCTCCCATGGCGGTCTCGCGCACTCGAGATCGTGGCCCGTCAGCGCCGAGGATCATGGATCCAGAGACGATTGTACCATCTGCGAAGGTGGCGATCACACCTTTTCCGCTCTCGTTGAACGCAATGTCTACCAGGGTTTTGCCGTACTAGTTTCTATTAATTACTGTCTCTGGGGGGAGGCATGTACGAGTATACTAACCTGGACGTCGATTCCTTCAGCACACAAGCCGCGCATGCGGCTTCGCGGAACGCGCAATCCCTCTGTGTAGGGAACTCCAGTGATCAACTCACCGGTCTCACCGTGGATGATGGGATACAGGCCGCTATGAATACCTGCAACTGGATTGCAAGCGATCGTGGGGAACTTGTCGTGGACTTCCTTTGGCAGGATATCTTCCAAGAGTGGACGGGCCCAGTGAATTGCCATCGTCCATTCATTACTGCGGTAGTTCATGGACACATCACGCTCAAAGCAGGAATAAGGAATCCCGGCCTGGATGAGCCTGCTGTCAGATAGGGGTTAGGGCTAAGGGGATGTATATGGCTAACCTTCTTGAGGCCCTGGCAGGTCAGGAGTCCGGTTATACCTAATTGCGATTAGCTTCAATGCTTGAGTACCAATTATCATAACTTACCGGCTCCAATAACAATAACTTGCGAGTCAGTCGAGGCCATTTTGACGTTGAGAGTAAAGAAGCCGTCTTGGTCACCCTCTCACAGTCCAGGGCCAGAATGCAATCTATATCTAAGATCTGACTCTTGTCCAGGTAAACTACAGTATGTAAGTTCCGCCGAACTGATCGCATCAGCTCATGCACTTCGGGTGCCGGTCTTGGCCCCACGGATTTCGGGGTCCGGGGCGTATACTACGCACTCAGGCGCTCTCACCTGCATAGAGCAAGTCACTAAGAATTAATTTCTTTAAATGGGGGGTGTGCCTTGCATACAACTCATGCAAGCAAAAATCGTGCATTATCTCCCACCCCTGAACTCAATATGAAGCTATCTCTCCTTTCTGTTGTTGCCTTCGCGGTCTCGACCCTCGGTAGTAAGCCGACTCCTCCGGCTCTGACTCTTCTCTACAGTGCAACTATCAACAAAGGCTCGGCTTTGGTCATTGAAAGTTCTTCGACTGGTCTAAAGGCGGTTCAGGCCATCACTGGTGGCTCGTTTTCGGGCTCCAAGATTTCTGGTAAGTGAAACAGTCTCATCTGGCATCCATAGATAGAAGCAAATGTTCTATAATGCAATCTAGATCTTCAGGCTAATCAATGATATGATGCAGGAACTGTTGTCACTGGAACGGCAATAAGTGTCAAGAGTGCCAGTGGACTCAAGGTCGAGGCGAGCTTTGTCTTGCAGACGAGTGATGGGGCTAATATCTTGGTCACCGAGAGAGCGGCCATTCCCTATGTTGAGGCGACCTTTGAGACCGGTTCAGCGACGTATGACTGGTTGAACAATGTTACTGCATGGGCGACACCGCGGAGTTTGAGCAACATTGATTATCTCGACTACTGGCAGGTGAGTTTCTGTTACTGCTGATCGGAGGTCTTTTCGGTGCTAACTTTGGCCAAGGTCGCAACAGCCTAGAGGGGGATTCTTCGTTGCGAAACTCGATACATTAACCTGGCTTGGTATTTAATGTATTGGCTTTCTCGTAAGTCATCGCCACTATTCTAGCTATTCATATCATTCTAGCTATTCATATCATTCTAGCTATTCATATCATTTGAAATTACTTAAGCTCCCAGTGATCTCCCTCAGACACAATCTCAATAGGCCGCCTCTCATCCAGCGACTTGCGTCCAGCATCTAAGATAGCAGTTGTGCCAATAGTATTGCGGAGAGTAGGCAGAGGACGGGCATCCAACTGATCAAGGGTCACGCGGCCCTCGTTCACGGCAGTCACAGCATCAATGAACTTTTCGAAGCTGATGTAGCCGTATCCGGTCTGTCCGCTGAAGTTACCCTCTTCATCGGGAGCGTAACGCATGTAGAATCTGGGTTTTATGTTAGAAATTGAACTTGCAGAATAGATACCGGGGGCTCTTACGGGTTCACCCAGATCAGACCCTGGTCATCACCAGTCACATCGTAACCTCGCTTAGCTTGGTTGACGCGGATTTCACCATTGGCGGCCATATCTGGATCCATGTGTTAGAATGGGTTGAGAACGACTCTTAGTCGGGAAAAAGTGAACATACAGTGGAAGTATTGGTTGGAATGAACTCCGGCGTTTTGAGGAGCGGTCCAGCTAGCAGTGTAGACACCAGTAGCAATCTTAGACGGGTCATCACGGCGGCGCCACTCAACCAACAGAGTAATAGTATCCTCGGTCTCGGGGATACAGCCGAGTGAAGCAGCAGTGCCCTGAGAAGCAGTGGCTGTGACCCGCACAGGCTTGTACTCCGGGACCATACTCTCACAGATATCGATGTGGTGAGAGTTCAGGTAGTAAGAGATATCAGAATCACGGCCAGCCCAGGCCTTGAAGGTCTCGAGCTGACTCTTGGGCTGACTCATGTAGCTGTAGAAGTAATTGAAGTCGCCGAGGGTCTTCGCCTTGGCCCGCGCATCGGAGTATGCGGGGTCAAAGCGCTTGTGGTGTTCAATGAAGACGAAGACGCCGGCCTTGCGCGCGGCCTCGACGAGAGAAAGGTGATCGCCAAGGCGCTGGGTGGCTGGCTTGGTGATTAGCACATGGTGCCCGCGCTCAATGGCATACAACGCAATTGGGTAGTGGGTTGAATCGGGGGTAAAGATTGTGATGGCGGAGCCACGGGGAAGGGCATCAATGGCGGTTTTGTAGGCGTCAGGATCGGTCTGGTCATCTGCGGGGAATGAGGCAAAAGAGGTGTCCAGATTGTTGTAGACTTGTGAGATGTTGCGGTGTAAGTGGTCGCCTAATATTCTGGTGAGTGATTTTCTTCGCCGGAGCCTGTTGGCGCAACCTACGGATTCCGGGGAACTTCTTGCCCGACACGCCGACCATGCTCAGGTCGCCCACCTTTCCTCTTCGGCGCAGATCGAACAGTGTGAGACCTACCACGCCAACTTTCTTGTCTGAGCCAGACGCACCACCACCGACAAAGCCAGTGGTGTACTCGCCGGTGCCGACCTGTCAAATCGGTTAGCTTGCATCTACCGCGTGTGAGTGCCGTTTCATACCATCAAAACGCTAGGAGGAGCCATTATGTCAATCAGGATTATACTTAAGTTAAGCAACCCGGGGATTTCTGGGGAATGAGGACTTTTAAGAAGAGAAAGTCGAGAAAGCGAGCGGTTTAGTTGCTGGAATAAATTCTTCCGGCATTTGAAGCTCAATAGCCGTCATATCTTATCGCCCTGTTCCAATGTTGTTCTTTTCCTTCACCTTTTGCTCTCTTTCCCTCTTGAAGTATGCTGTTTTCGATAGCTACATTCTTCGAAATGGTCCTAATTGATTCGATTCACCAGTGAGGCACTCCATCATGTTCTCCTTGTTTCTCTTCACGACTGTTCTGCATCGTGGGCCGTCATCTACCCCTCATGCCATCATTTCCCCCCCCCACACTGGCCCGCAAAAAGTGATTGGTGGAATGGAATTCTCCGCCATACAACTTGCATCGGAGCATTCGCCGACGTGGGGGAAAGAATGACTGTAGAGCGATCTATATTTTGTCTATATCCCCCTCTCATCCGGGGATGTTCAATTCAATTAACCCACACAGTCCGCAGTCATGTCACTCACCCCACTTCGTCCCGGCGTCTATGCGCCAACAATGACTTTCTTCGATGCCCAGACCGAAGAACTTGACATTGCTGCCATTCGCCGTCATGCCGTGCGCCTGGCCAAGGCCGGCCTCGTCGGTCTGGTGACAATGGGCTCAAATGGTGAGGCAGTGCACCTGTCCCGTGAGGAGCGCTCGACCGTCACTCGTGAGACTCGCTCCGCTCTCGATGAAGCTGGCTTCCAGAATGTGCCTGTCATTGCCGGTGCCAGCGAGAACAGCATCCGCGGTACCATCGATCTGTGCAAGGAAGTTGCTGCCGCTGGCGGCGAGTACGCCCTGATCGTTCCTCCCAGCTACTACCGTTACGCTGTTGGTAACGACGAAACTATCTACGAGTACTTCACATCCGTCGCCGATGGTTCTCCCATTCCTCTGATCCTGTACAACTACCCCGGTGCCGTCGCTGGTATCGATATGGACTCCGACCTCATCATTCGTATCTCCCAACACCCCAACATTGTCGGCACCAAGTTCACCTGCGCCAACACTGGCAAGCTGACCCGGGTCGCAACTGCCCTTGGCGCCATCACCCCCTCTTCTCCTCTGGCTCCGGCTCAGCGCACTGCAACTGTCTCCAAGCCGGATGCCAAGCACCCATACGTTGCCTTTGGTGGTATTGCCGACTTCAGTCTCCAGACCCTTGTCTCTGGTGGCTCTGCCATTCTCGCCGGTGGCGCCAATGTCCTTCCCCGTCTCTGTGTTCGCATCTTCACTCTCTGGTCGGAGGGTCGTCTCACTGAGGCTATTGAGGCCCAGGCACAGCTCAGCGCTGCCGACTGGGTTCTCACCAAGGCTGCTATTCCCGGTACCAAGGGTGCTATTCAGTCTTACTATGGATACGGTGGCTTCCCCCGTCGTCCTCTCGGTCGTCTTAGCGAGGAACAGACCAAGGCCGTTGCTGATAAGATTAAGCCTGCTATGGATGTGGAGTTGTCTCTCCCTGATGTCGCATAAAAGCTTCGCTTTACGATTCATTTTAATATATGCCAAATTCATGCCCCCATCAATTTATCTTCATAGTTTGAACTCTTCGCGTTATCTCTGAAACTATTTGGTTCATTGAACTCTCGTAGTAGGCTTGAAAGGTGAGATCTCAGACCTCGTATTCTAACGTCGCCAAGAGCAAACTTTTCTGCTTGTAATATATATACATAATAGAGATCATTGCTAGGAATACTTCGTATCGTCTCAGTATCCCCTGCTCGCCAATCCCATAGCTCGTTCCCGCTATCACAGTGTGGGGGCTCGGGTGCAGCATACCCGAAAGACCGAGCCCATGAATAGCACCAAGATGAAGTAGAAAATCATGTTCAATATCATGTAAAAAAAACAGCACGAGATCCCTCAGTCCTTATACCAAAATGCAAACCCCAGCAAGTGCAAGCCCTAACTCCAAGCCCTGCAGATACCTTATCACGATAAGCCCCGGAAATCAATTTCTCCCCTGTCTGTCATTGGTGGGAAAACTCCCAGTCGGAGTTGATACGAGAGCCCCAACTGCCAAAGTCGAAGTATACAGCAGAAGGGAGACTGTATGGAAATTTACAAGCCCCAAATTAGACTCCACAAGATTACAATAAACCCCACGCCTAGACATCTGACCGTGCGTATGATCTTTCCTCTCGGACGAGACAACCAATTCAGCATTCTGATTCCCGGACCGTAGTTGCGAGTTCTGCCGATGGACTCGCGGTATAATGTCCGAGCCTGTGGGGTATTGTAGAACTCTCGTATTGTCTCAGTGAAAGTACATGCCGCATTGGTATTGGTATTGGCTTCGAAGTTGCATTGGGAACATTGTCTAGCCGTGCTTGGAGAGTTTTGGTGGCGTTGATATACATAACCCCCCTCTACCCCACGCTGGTCTTTCGTTTTCTCTTTCTTTTTTTTTTCTTTCATCAATCTACTCTTTCATTGCTTGGACTTTGTGTCTATTGCCAGCTATATCATCAAAGGTTCCTGCCGGTGCTATCTCTAAAAACTTTGGTCAATTGCTCTTTCGATCTTGAACAATGCCTTACCCCGAGGAAGCTGAAGGTTTCCAGGTCGATGGACCTGCGAGCTTTACTGAGTTTCACAAGCGATTCGTAGGTTTTCCTCTTCTGAAGTTTTTTTTTTTTCTTTTCAGAAATGCGCTGACCTGTTTACCATACAGTTCAAGCTGAAGCCCTTTGGTGACTATGGTAGGTCCTGCCCTAGGTCTCATTTCATTGTGATTAGCTTGGTGCTGATCATTGATAGATGTCGACGTCAAGATCGAAGCGTGCGGTGTCTGCGGCAGTGACGTGCACACTATCAGCGGTATGAAACACCCCCAAATAACAGACCAATCAGCCAAAGCCAAAGACCCAAGCTGACAAGCCCACAGGTGGATGGGGCGAGCAAATGTTCCCTCTCTGCGTTGGACACGGTAAGCCCATCCTCGATGTCCACCCAAGGCCTCCCCGCATACTCACACCCCGCCAGAAATCATCGGCCGGGCCGTCCGCGTCGGACCCAAAGTCACCCTCATCAAGGAAGGTAGCCGCGTCGGCGTCGGCGCGCAGTCCTACTCCTGCGGCGAATGCAAACAGTGCAAGAATGACAACGAAACATACTGCCAAGTCCACATGATGGACACCTACGGCTCGAAGTGGCCGGAGACGGGCATCATCAGTCAGGGCGGATACTCCTCGCACGTGCGCACCCACGAGCACTGGGTCTTCCCGATCCCAGACGCCCTGGAGAGCAGCACTGTGGCGCCAATGCTGTGCGCTGGATTGACGGCGTACTCGCCGCTTGTGCGGAACGGGGCTGGGCCCGGCAAGAAGGTGGGTATTGTCGGGCTTGGGGGTATTGGCCATTTCGGTATTATGTTTGCTAAGGCGCTTGGTGCGGAGACTTGGGCTATTTCGCGGTCTCGGGCTAAGGAGGCTGATGCGCGCAAGCTTGGGGCTGATGGGTATATTGCTACTGCTGAGGAGGGATGGGAGAAAGAGCACCTGTGCTCTTTTGATTTGATTATCAACTGTGCTAATTCCTCAGAGGGCTTTGATTTGGCCAAATATTTGTCTATGATGGATGTTCATGGACGCTGGATTAGTGTTGGACTTCCTGAGGAGGAGGGGCAGGTGATCAAGGCACAGAACTTGATCTCAAATGGTGTGCTTATTGGTGCTAGTCACTTGGGTTCTCGTCGGGAGATGCTTGAGATGTTGCAGCTGGCTGCTGATAAGGGTCTCAAGGGTTGGGTTGAGGAGATTGCTATTAGTGAAGAGGGCCTGAAGGAGGCTATGTTGCGGATGAAGAAGGGCGATGTCCACTACCGCTTCACTCTGACTGGATATGACAAGATCTTTGCTTAGTTAGGCTGTTCATATGTTATGGGCTTAGGGCTTTAGGGTTTGATAGAGTGGGGAGACTTATAGATCATGAATTGTCAAATTAACGTTCACTTTAGTACAACATTGTATCCAAGGGAAATGTGCAGAATGTTCCCAGTTTAGCTTTTCTTACCCGTACTTTGTGTTTTTTTTTTTCTCTTTGACCAACAGTCAGGATCAAACATCGCCACCGGAGACACCACCAGATGTATTGGGTACCCGGACCCGCGGTCAGGTAACCCGACGATCCAAGTAGAGGTACTCCGCAGTTCGGTTCCCCCAACTTTGCCCGAAACAACTCTAAAACTCTGATCCGTGGGGCGATGTCTTGGAGAGGTACTCGGTACTTAATTTTCTTACCAGTTCCTCCGCCCTGGGCTTGTATCCAGTACTCTCCCTCTACCTCGTCTGGAACCAATCGCTCCTGTCCAATTCACCGCCCGACCCTCAGACCCGTTCGATCGGCTTTCTGGAATTCCTCCGCCCTTTTTCTACCCTTTTTTATCGCCCCTTGCGCCGTTTTCTTGTTTGTTTCTCTATTGCATTCGTTTTCCTTCTTTTCTGGGTACTGGAGTTCATAAACGGTCTTTCGAAATATACTTCGGCATTCGTTAAATTGCCTTGAACTCTCACAGACGATCAGATCGACATACATCTGATCTGTCTCCTGTCATTCTTTGTCCACCGCTATTGAGTCGCGACGATCAGTTTCAGACCGCTTGCATAGCATTGACACCCACTCGTATACGAAGCGCATTTCATCATGTCGCCACGAGAGAACAACTCCGCGACCTCCACACGACGACGCCCCTCGTTGTCGTTTCGTTCTCGCCCCCGAACAGCTGCGCCCGTTCCGATGTCGAAGGACTTTGGCTGGGATACCTGGCAGGAGCCATCCGTGGTGAAGATGTGCCAGGATGGTGAATCCCCAGCTTTGGAAGAGATGGAGCCATTCCCAGATGCCGTGCCTCGGCGCCGCAGTGCCAAAAGCTTCTCCGGCTTGCGGCACCCCGTGGACGGCATTGTTGCTCTGGGTCGCCGCCTGTCTGTCAGCCTTCGGACCAAGTCTTCCAAGCAGAACCTCGCTGTGATGGAAAACGGTCATGGTGATTCGGAGGACCGTGAACGGGATGAGGATCGCCACTATACTCATGTCGCGGATCGTGCCGGACATAAGCGTCATATCGCCACCGGCAGCTGGGATGCCCAGGTGGCGTCAAACAATTGGCCTCAGGGGTATAGCATCAATCGGCGCCCTTCGTTAAACAGCGTGTCTGCTCTGCATGGCTTCTATGCCCCCACGGCCTCGATTCCAGCCCCGATTCCAGGTCGGGGGCAGGAACCTCCGATCCTACCAAACAACCGGCTCGGTGGTGCTGCGGCACGCGCTGCCGCCGCTGCGCAGAATGAACAAATGGAGGTTGCACGCTTGGCTAAAGCTGAACGGGAGTCGAACAAGATTCTTGAGATGAGAATTCCTCAAGACTCGGAGAGTGGCATTGGTATTGATCTTCGCGATCGGTCAGAGGTCCCAGATGTTGATTTCCTGGGCATTCGGCGTATCGGTAAGGATCATGCACGCATTCTTCCAGTTTCCTGCTAACATGTATCAGACCCCATTGGTTTCCTCCCAGCTGAGATTTCAGCACACATTTTCTCATATCTAGACCCTGACTCCCTTATGACTTGCGAAGCTGTGTCCCGCAGTTGGCTCCACGCCTGCTCTTCACCCGTGTGGAAGCGTGTTTTCCGCGGTGCATATGGCCGACGCCCTGCGAGTGACACAACCTCCAAGGTCAAGCAGTCTTCTGGACTCGGCAAATCAATTCCGAACCAAGACTGGAAGAAAATGTATTTGACCCGGCGCGCTCTTGATCAGCGCTGGAAGGATGGCAAGGCAGCGGCCATTTACCTGCAGGGTCACCAGGACAGCGTATATTGCTCCCAATTTGACGAGTATGTCCCCTCATTGTCATCTGTTTTGTGTCACCCTAACCCGCCTATAGGAAGAAAATAATTACCGGCTCTCGTGACCGAACTATTCGCGTATGGGATGCTCAATATCCCTGGGCCTGCCGAAAGATCATTGGACCGCCATCGCAGCGCGTTCATAGCCGTGGCCCAGTTAACAGTCCCACCTCCCAGGCAACCGGAACATCCCCCTTCTTGACTATTACGCCACCATTCGTCCACCCTGATAACGTCGATGAAGGCTCTGAAGATGAGGATTCGGTATACCACAGCGCCTCAATCCTGTGTTTAAAATTCGACGAGGAAATCATGGTGACTGGATCCTCGGACCACACCTGCATCGTGTGGGACATCAAAAACGATTACCGACCCATCCACCGTCTTTCAGGTCACCACGCCGGTGTTCTTGACGTATGCTTTGATGATCGATATATCGTCTCATGCTCCAAGGACACTAGTATCTGCGTATGGGACCGTAAAACCGGCGAGTTACTCAGACAGCTCGTTGGTCACCTTGGTCCCGTGAACGCCGTCCAGCTGCGGGGTGATCTTATCGTCTCGGCCAGCGGTGACGGCGTAGCCAAGATGTGGAATGTGGTTTCCGGTCAGTGTGTCAAGGAATTCGTCAGCAAAGACCGTGGCCTGGCGTGTGTCGAGTTCAGCGACGATGGCCGGACCATCCTGACTGGCGGAAATGACCGCATAATCTACCAATTTGACGCCAATACCGGCGATCTGGTCAATGAGCTCCGCGGCCACTCCGGCCTAGTCCGGTCTTTGCACTTGGACAGCTCTAACAAGCGCATTGTTAGCGGCAGCTACGACATGAGTGTCAAGGTGTTTGACCAGGACACTGGCAATCTATCTACCAACTTCCCTGGCTGGACCACAAGCTGGATGTTGAGTGTGCAGTCCGATTATAGACGCATTGTTGCGACTAGTCAGGATGCTCGCACTGTTATCATGGACTTTGGATATGGTCTAGACGGGATCGACCTTTTGGAGGAGTGATCCATCTGCATTTTGATTTATATACTGTTTCTCTAGCGCTCTTTACTTTTCATATGTTGGTTTTTTTGGCACATATATCATTTGGATTACGGGGGGTTAGATGGATACTAGCCACATGGTACCAAGACTGGACCTGGTGGCTTAGATTCTGGTCATGGCTTCAGCATAAACATCACATCATCACAAAAGGATAGCGATTGGTAATTTGGAAATACATCTGCTTTTTATCCCACTCTTCACATAAAATCTTGATAAGTTAGCCGTTAGACATGATATTAGGCCTGATTATGCCAGCGTCTCAGGCGGTGAAATCCGCGGTGAGTCGGATTAACTAATCATCCCGTGATTCGCCGGCAAAAGCGGACTAGTGCCACCTGGATTGATCCGTGGTTTTCAGCATCAAAACAAACCCTCTGCTGTTTCCCATCAAGAGACTGTCGAAAATTGACGTGTGGTATTCTTCTTCGCTCAAGCATTTTCTCGCTTAGCGCTCATCTCATACTCTTCCATCCGCCTTAGCGTTTTCATTGATATCACTTCTACCCCACCATGGGTGAATCCAGGTTTGGCTTTTCTCCTATTCCCCGCCTTCCAGCTGATCGGCCCTTACTTACGATTGAATTACGGAATCTAGACAAGAATTGCTGGCATGGCTCAACAGCCTGCTGCAGCTGAACCTTACCAAGATTGAGCAGTGTGGAACTGGGTATGAGATGCCAACCCCTCTCCGTTGCCTAGGCGTGCCCGCCTATTGATATATAGCAGACGTGCTAACGTGCTTTGGCCTTGACAGTGCTGCGTTATGTCAAGTTTTTGACTCTATCTTCAGTATGTAACACTCATTTCGCATGATAGTCGATCGAGAGGCGGTCAGGCGACACTGGCCGTATCACATTTACTGACTGGGTTTTTTTCTTTGTTCAGTGGATGTTCCCATGTCACGAGTCAAGTTCAACGTCAACACTGAATACGCCTACCTCCAGAACTTCAAAGTCCTCCAGAGTATGTACCGACCCGTCCATCCACAATCAGGGTTTAATCCGTTTCACTCGTGCAGATGTCTTCGCCCGCCATCAGGTCGACAAGCCCATTCCCGTCCAGTCCCTCACAAAGTGCCGCATGCAGGATAACCTGGAGTTCCTCCAGTGGGTGAAGAAATACTGGGACCAACACTACCCCGGTGGAGAATATGATTCCGTAAGCCGACGCAAGGCTTCCGGCGCGCCTGCCCCCGTCAGTCGCCCAGCTCCTACCTCCCGTGCCCCGTCTTCACAAAGCGCTCGTAGCGGTGTGACCTCGACTGGCGCAACTCGTCCCCGCGTCGCCGGCGCTGCCACTGGAGCCGCAACCGCAGCCCTGCAGACAGAGATTGCGACACAGAAGGAAGCCATTGCCGGTCTGGAGAAGGAGCGCGACTTTTACTTTGCCAAGCTTCGCGATATTGAACTTCTGCTGCAAAGCGCCATTGAGGAAGATCCTGAATTGGAGAAGGAGGAGGACACGCTTGTTAAGCACATCCAGGGCATTTTGTACTCAACCGAGGTATGTTGGACTGAATCCCATACGCCGGAAACCCCCGCACTGACAATGGCCCTAGGACGGATTTGAGATCCCCGCTGAAGGGGAGGAGGTTGTGGCTGAGGACCTCGAGACTTTTTAAGCGAGTTCCCTCTCTGCTCCCAGGAACCCGTTACCAAATACCCCAGTCACCTTGATTCTTGCGTTGTGCCCAATAAGATGAAACGTAGATATGGAATGCACCCACGTTTTTCGACGGATATCTTAAAATAGCTGGAGAATGGGACCGGCATCCTCTCGTGACACATTCCCACCACCTTTCCCGGTCTACTTTAAATCAACCGCCTGTTTATGGACAGCCCCGAGGGTACATGCCTCCTCGTACTTTGTAGAGCTCGCCTAATGGGAAGCCCGCGAGTTCCTAGATTGTTGACTCCTTACCTAATTAGGTAACTGTAGATGCGCATGTAAGCAGATAATTAAACCTGCAGGGCCGACTAAGCCTCATTCAGCCTAGTCTTGGCCAGAACCTCATCGCTGCCCCACCTGTCACTTGCCATTCGTTGATTGCGCGTACCTGCAGTTCCCGGCCTTTTCTGTTCTTCTCTTTGACAACCATTCTGTACTGGATTCTGGGGGTGTGCTTAAGAGGAAAAGTGTTCACACATTGAGTGTATCAGAATCAGAGACAAGTGGAGCTCGAAATCTCATTTGTTCGACGCTAGTTCGGGTCGGGTAGGATCGTTTGGTTCGGTCTGGGTCCTCATTTCCGCCGTTTTCTGTCTTCTCTTCCTCTTTCTATTGTTTCCCCCTTTCAGTGTGACACACGGTGTGTGTTCCTCTGGGGCTTTTCAATTCTCACGTCTTTGCTGTACGCTATGGATTGACGAGGGGTTCTCTTGTTTCTTCGTCACTCCTTTTTTTCTTCTTTCAGGTACGTGATGGAAAAACACTGGGCTGGATCAGCCCACATCGGATCGGAATCTATGCTAACGTGTCTCAGTGTGAATTCATTCTTTTGATAGTCTAGTCGACTTCCCTTCAGTGGTGTCTACCGACCTTGGAGTCGCCGTCCATCGCTTCGCTGTCTGCTCTCTGTCGTTGTGTTTGTGCTGCGCGCACGCTATCTGGAGCCCTGACTCTTCCCGAGGGTCCGTCGCATATTCATGCTCATTGTTCTCTCGCTTCGTTGGCTACACCTCGCCGACTGTCACTCTTTCGTCTTTTCTCGACTCGGGCATTATTTCCAGGTCTGAGAATACCCACTCGATTCAATCTTTCGTCTATCTGTGCACGCCAGATCGTGCTTTTCTTTCGTGTCAACTTCTTCCGTGTCAATCTTGATATCACGCCTTATACTCTTCCGTGTGAAGAATCTCAACCTCTGTGAGGATCTACAGACATCACCTTTTTCGCCCCATCCGTTTGGTATCTTTTCTTGTCGTCAATAATTGTCCATATCTGTGAGGAACCGACAAGATGCATCACAACCATTTCCGCCACTCCCGCATTGAGAGGCTTATGAGCGCCAGGCACCATCTCCAAGCCGAACTCACCAACGATGTCATTGATAGCGGCTTGCTTGAAAATTCATCTCCATCAGCAACTCTCAATCTCCCGGCTACAGATGTCATCTCGGATGAGACTTGCGATCCATCGACAAATGCCACGTGCCATGAGCGTGAGATAGATGGATCTGATACATCACCTCAGAAACGCGATGAGACGACACCTACTGATACGATAGTCGTTGAGACTGTGTTGCAGGTAGTCGATACTAACTCGCATACTCTCTGGCAGTCGACTGGAGCGGCTCTTCCGATGACATTTTCAGATCCTGCAGTTGGCACTTTCACCATCCCATCATCTGAAAGTACCCCTGCAACTGCCGCTATTGCTGTCTCTGCCTCTATCTCTGCGACGGTATCAATGCCCACGTCAACCCCACCAGGATCTTCCACCCAGTCGACAACATCGCTGCTTAGCGAGTCCTCATTAAGCAGTATCACAAATTCGACTCAATCTACTACGAGCACGGCCAGCACCACCAGTCGTGCTCCTTCGTCCTCGAGACTGGTGTCGGCCATCAGTTCTCCGGCAACGTCGACCCCTTTTGTTGCTTCTTCAACCACATCCTCGTCTACTTTCAACTCACCATATGGTTACTACTGGACGCAATCTGAATCCAATTGGGGCTCCTCCACCTCCACAAGCTCAACGGACACCGCAACTTATTCGCCCTCTTCGACAAGTTTCTATGGAACCTCTGGTGTGACCAGCACTGAAACAGGTAGCGGTTCCACGCCAACAGCTAGTGAAACGACTGCCGCAGGAACTGGTTCCTCGAGTCAAGCCACTAAATCTAAAATCGTTGGTGGGGTTGTCGGATCTATTGCTGGTCTTGCTCTGCTTTTGTTCCTCCTTGTCTACCTCCTTCGTCGTCGAGGACTCCTCCGTGGGAAGAGTGGGGCTCACGCTCCTCTTTCAGACGATGCAGCAATTGGAGCTGGAGCTGGGGCTGGAACCAGAGAAATAACCGAACGTCGCTCAAGCAACGACCCCCTTTTCACGGCATCCTATTTTGCCCCCGCTTTCATGAAACGCTGGCGTCAGTCAACTCAAACAGTGCGTACGGAGAGTACGATTGACTCAAATTCCAGCGAGCGTGGCTTCCAAAAGATCTCCGGTCGAAAACTTCCCCCCGTGCTCACTCACGGTGGCGATGGTTTTGGTGGTGGATTAGATGGAGACTCCCCCACACTCCCAGGCTTTCTCCCTAATTCGCCAGGTCCAGGGCCAGGAGGCCAACCCGTCTTCCATGCACCGCCCCCTGCCTCGCCATATGGCATGCCACTCGACTCAAATTACACCCGCGAGATCGAGGAGTATCAGGCACCTATCCGACCTTCACCCGTGCACCTCCCCATATCCAACACGGTGCCTGTCGCCACTCCTGTCACAGTCACACCAGCACTTCCTGTACCTCAGCCCCAAAGTGCCATTCCCATCGTCCCCCAGCGACCAGATGGGTTGGGCCGCAACTTGCCGAGCTTCGACGGTAGTCGAAGCAGTCGTTTCACGGAGGGCATTGACTTGTGATGCCCTCCATTGGGCTATGTGAAATGATGGATATGATGTGCTGGTGGCTTGGAACCACCCTTGATATGGACACGATTGGTTTCTTGAGCGTTCGAGTGAGCACGAGGTCGTCTTTTCTTGTTTATTTTTTTGATTCGAGTCAAAATACTTCGCCCCTTCACCTGTTAGTCGCTTCCTTGAGCGACTTTCCCTGTCTATGAGTGTTTTTTTGTTTTATATTCCTCACTTATTGATACCCCGCTTCTCTTTTCTCTGATCTTTTTTTCTGATCTTTTGACTCACTTATTTTCCCTTTGAAAAGTATGGCATTTCTCCCTAATTCCATTTTCTTCTTCCCCCTTCTCTGTACGTCACTTGTTTGTTCTTCTTTTGCACATGTCATTTGGAGGTCGGGCTTGTTTATATCATCTGCCCGTGTCAAGGTCTGAATCGTATCAGCCGGGCTAATCAATGTAATGTTTGGATCGTCATTCTCGCCACGGTAGCCTAAATTGGGGCTGTGGTTGTTCAGAAGTAAAACAGGGTCAGCCTGTTCGGGGATGTACGCCGTATATGTATCGCCTCTTGGAACTAGGGCTTACTACAGGTGAATTGGGGCCGTACCTGATGAGCCCAAATCAGACAGCTCCCCTGCGCCACATCTGCACCGCCACCACACTCGCCACAGATGGCGAACTGCTCGAAGCTGTCTGAGCCCACGTCCTTACATCCCTCGAATCACAATAGAACCACATCCAGACCCCTGCATTACCAATATCCTAGCTTCTTCCTTTCAAAATCCAATACATCGCGTGCCCACGGCCTGACACGGCTTAGCCGCTCAAGTGGACCAGATACCCATCCACCTACACAACGCAGATCAAGCCCATGACGCAAAAACAGACTCATCTCGCCTCTTGAGACTTGGAAGAAACTCAACAAAAGTCAACTGCTGATCCGTATCCAATATACCGCATTGTACATATTCCCTGAGGACCCGGATGGGGGGGTCATGATTGACTGGCATGCAAGCTCATTGGATATCTCCATCGAGGCGCAGTCGAGCGGTCTCCGGCGCCAAACCCCGTTTTCGTCGCTATTGGATGGGATCTGCTTGGCGTATCGCTCATTCTGTTTGATGTTTCGTGGTTCTCTCTGGGGTTATAACTTAGCTCCGACTGTATACCTGTCATGCCGTCTGGTTACATGTTTTGGATTGAGAAACTCGGCGCGTAGATTCCTCAGCTGTCTGCTTTCGGTCTGGGGGTTTGGTTCTTGGTTGCCTATTCGTATTATTATGGTCATGACGACGACGCTTCGCCTTCATTCTTACTGTGCTCTGTTCTCTGTATGGAGTACATCATATCATTTCATACTCGTACCTGGTCCACCTTGCCTGGGCAACGTCCTGTAGCGCTCGGCAGAGGGGGCTGTGTCGGGCCTGTAACTCTGCAATCAGTGCCACTTCAATTTTTAAAGACGGATGATTGACTTGACTTTCTTCTCATTTTTACCGCTACTTGGCATTTCTAATAGTCATAGCTTCTTGCCGAACTGTCTGTATCTGCGTTTCTGGGCATCTTTACACAGCCCCAGCATCCAATGGGAGGGAAATTCTTAAGATAACAAGGACTTCTCGCCCTCCGGTATTTGGCAGTCAATATTAATCCTGAGACGAATATTGCGTGCACTTTTACGGGAGGCTTGCTGTTTTGATTCGCAGAATTGCTCGCTCTGTCCCAGGGTGTTTGCCTCACTATGTCATCCAACGATACACGCCGTCAGGACTCACTATTAAGTCCGATAATAGTGACGGATTTTTCCAATGATTCGGGCCGAGAGGTTTGTCTTCCCATACTTATCCTATCTTGTCCTATACAACCCTATCCTGTGGACAAAAGACATACTCTCTCCCTTCCTGGAACAACTCGACTGACCATCTCGCTTGTTTTCTGCTTCGCTCTATACAGCGCTCTCTCTCTGGAGCCTCTTCTTCTTGGTCTAGTCCCACAGATCAAGATCACAGCCCAATATCTCCAGTCTCACCAACTATGGCCTGGAACCCTGATCCGGACAGGCTGATGGTCCATCAAGCCTCACACCACCATCAGAATCATAACCATAACCACCACCCATCAAGCTCAATAGACGGTGACACATTAAGGCCGCGATCGGACTCATTCGCCTCGTCGGCAGACACAGTGGTCCGCTCGCGCGCTAATTCAGACGTCCATCCAGCCCACGCCGTCAACGCCGCCTACGATGATGTCTCATTGTCTGATGCTCTAATCCCAGATCCAAGAAACGAGAATGATTTCCAAATAGAAGATAACCGGTTTGCCTTTTCACCCGGTCAACTGAATAAAATGCTAAATCCAAAGTCCCTCGCTGCTTTCCATGCTCTGGGTGGTCTACAGGGCCTGGAGCGTGGTTTGCGCACTGATCTTGATGCGGGCTTATCCGTGGATGAAGGCTGTCTCGAGGGTGCCGTTGACTTTGAGGAGGTTGCTCCGTCTACGCATATCAAACCCACAGCCAATTTAATACCCAAGACTGGGGAGCTTCCCCCTCCCGCGCCGGTTTCTTCGGGGGCTGGTCAGCCCTTTGAGGATCGAATCCGGATCTTCAGTCAGAATCGACTGCCGGCGCGGAAGTCGACGGGCTTCTTCAAGCTGTTTTGGATTGCTTATAATGATAAGATTATTATCTTGTTGACTATTGCCGCTGTTGTCTCTTTATCCCTTGGGATATACGAGACTGTGGATGGCGGCACAGGTGTTGACTGGGTGGAGGGTGTGGCCATTTGCGTGGCTATTCTCATTGTAACTGTCGTCACTGCTGCCAATGACTGGCAGAAGGAACGACAATTCGCTAAGCTTAACCAACGGGTTAGTATACCTCCTATTCCCATTTCCCTCAAATATGCAAAGAACATCTCAATCTAACATACACACAGAATAACGACCGCGAAGTAAAAGTCACGCGCTCCGGCAAATCAACAATGGTCTCTATATACGACATCCTTGTCGGCGACGTGCTGCATTTGGAGCCCGGCGACGCAATCCCAGCAGACGGCGTCCTCATAACCGGCCACGGAGTGAAATGTGACGAATCCTCCGCGACGGGCGAATCTGACGCAATGAAGAAAACGCCTGGTCATGAAGTATGGCAGCAAATTGTCGATGGAAGAGCAACCAAGAAACTTGATCCGTTCCTTATTTCTGGGTCGAAGGTGCTTGAGGGCGTCGGCACTTATATGGTTACTAGTGTTGGGCCTTACTCTACTTATGGACGCATTTTGCTTTCGTTGCAGACTCCCAATGATCCGACGCCTTTGCAGGTTAAGCTTGGACGGCTGGCAGATTGGATTGGGTACCTTGGTACTGCGTGAGTATTTGTCTTCTCCTACCAATTGTGGTTTTTATGTAGATGGATAACTAATGGTTTATTTAGAGCTGCTGCTGTCTTGTTCTTTGTTCTTCTCTTCCGATTTGTTGCTGATTTGCCTAATCATCCGGAGAGGAATGGGGCGATGAAGGGCAAGGAGTTTGTTGATATTCTTATTGTGGCTGTAACTGTTATTGTCGTTGCTATCCCAGGTAAGATCCATTATTCACTAGCGAAAGTGAAGAATCACTAACCTGTCTGCTTTACAGAGGGTCTACCATTGGCAGTGACCTTGGCATTGGCCTTTGCCACAACCCGAATGGTCAAAGAAAACAATCTTGTTCGCGTGCTCCGAGCATGCGAGACAATGGGAAATGCCACTGTAATATGCTCCGACAAGACAGGCACACTGACCCAAAATAAGATGACAGTCGTTGCTGGAACTTGGGGCTCACATCGGAGTTTCAGCCAGTCCATTGATGGCGAAGAGCAAGATCATAATTCTATGAGTACCTCTGAAATGTCTCAGCAACTCTCAACCCCGATCCGAGATCTGATTATCAAGAGTGTTGCCTTGAACTCCACTGCTTTCGAGCAAGAAAAAGACGGCGGGAAAGAATTCGTCGGTAGCAAGACTGAAGTCGCTTTGCTCCAACTAGCCCGTGATTTCATGGGCATGGATCTTGTCTCGGAGCGTGGCTCTGCAGAAATCGTCCAGCTGATTCCGTTTGACTCGGCCAGGAAGTGTATGGGTGCTGTGTACCGTGTTCCTGGTTTGGGGTATCGTCTCCTTGTAAAGGGAGCATCTGAACTGATGGTCCACGTTTGCACTGCCCAAATCTCGAATATCGATTCCTCCAAGGAGAGGATCGATGTTGAGCAGCTTTCTGACAAGAAGAGCCAGCATATCTTGGAACTCATCGACAACTACGCGCACAAGTCTCTTCGAACCATTGGCATGGTTTATAAAGACTTTGCCAGCTGGCCCCCCGCAGAGGCTAAGAGCCACGAGGATCCTTCTTCCGCCAACTTCGAAGACGTCTTCCATAGTATGACCTGGGTCGGCGTCGTGGGTATTCAAGATCCTCTGCGCCCCGAGGTCCCGCCGGCCATCCGCCAATGCCACTCTGCAGGCGTGCAAGTCAAGATGGTGACGGGCGATAATGTTGCCACGGCCACAGCCATCGCATCTTCCTGTGGAATCAAGACAGAAGACGGACTCGTCATGGAAGGACCCAAGTTCCGACAATTGTCAGATGCAGAGATGGACGAAGTCATCCCTCGTCTACAGGTTCTGGCACGGTCATCACCAGAGGATAAGCGTATCCTGGTCGAACGACTCAAGGCTCTCGGCGAAACTGTTGCTGTCACTGGTGATGGTACCAATGACGGACCAGCTTTGCGAACTGCAGATGTTGGTTTCTCTATGGGAATTGCAGGCACTGAGGTCGCCAAGGAAGCCAGCTCGATTATCCTGCTCGATGATAACTTCCGGTCTATTGTCACGGCTATATCTTGGGGTCGGGCTGTCAATGATGCTGTTGCCAAGTTCTTGCAGTTCCAGATCACAGTTAACATCACTGCTGTCGTGCTTACTTTTGTTTCATCTGTTTACAGCAGTGATAACACTAGTGTCTTGAATGCTGTGCAGTTGCTCTGGGTGAACTTGATTATGGATACATTTGCTGCTCTGGCTCTGTAAGACTCCCTTTCGTCCCAGTTATCTGAACAGTCTACTAACATATCGAAACAGAGCAACGGACGCCCCCACAGAAAAGATTCTCGATCGTAAACCCGTTCCAAAGCACGCCTCTCTATTCACTCTCACAATGTGGAAAATGATTCTTGGTCAGGCAGTCTACCAACTCGCCGTGACATTCATGCTCTATTTTGCCGGTGACAAACTGCTCAATGCGCATCTCAACTCAGACCCCAGCCACCCAGAAATTCGCGAAAAAGAACTCTCAACAGTGGTTTTCAACACATTCGTCTGGATGCAGATCTTCAACGAATTCAACAACCGCCGCCTGGACAACAAATTCAATATCTTCGAAGGCATGCTCCGCAACTATTGGTTCCTAGGAATCAACGCAATTATGGTCGGCGGCCAAATCATGATCGTCTACGTCGGCGGCGAGGCTTTTGGCGTCACCCGTCTGAGTGGCATTCTTTGGGGTGTGTGTATCATTTGCGCTATCGCTTGTCTGCCTTGGGCGGTTGTGCTTCGCCTGATTCCAGACAGGCATTTCGGAGTTGTCTTCAATGCCGTTGTTGGTGCTATGTCTTTTGTTTTGCGACCTATCTCTAGGGGGTCCAAAGCCCTTGGTCGGGGTATCAAGGCTTTCTTCCGACCTGTGAAACGGGCTACTCGCCGCGTCTTCAAGAAGAAGTCGGAGCCGGAAGTTGACGATGCGGTTAATCCTCAGTCTTCCGAGTCCTCGGATCTTGAACAGGCTTCTGCTCCGTTTGAGTTGGGTAAGCAGAAGTCGAAGTCTCCTGAGCGTCCTCTTACTCCTCCTACTATTGCTGTACCGCCTATTACGATTACTGCCTCTCCTTGATTGATTTTAGCGATGGTGTTGTTGGTGTTTTTTGCTTTGTTTTTGTTCTTTTTTGTGTGTATAGTGCTCCATGTGTATATAACCTAAAATGATCTATTTAGACGTGTGCAAAGATATCGTAACTTACTTTGCACAGGGACTTTCTAGACCTCAAAATATAACGATTTCGGGAGACTTCACAAACGGCCCTTAAAATTACTAGAATCAAGTCAATCCGGTCAGACAATAAGATAATAAACAATATAGTAAGTGTTAGCCAACAGGCAGCTGAATTGCGGTTGGAGTCAAGTTATGTTTCTGCCTTAGACCTCAGGCCAGAAGACTCCATCAACCAGCTCCATCTGCCGACCCCCAATTGACTGTCCATTGTTCTCTCGACCTACCCCAGAATCTACCTGTGACTCGTTGAATTGGCACTTCTCTCCGTCATCACCTCTAATCACTCTCTCGATCACCATTCGGTCTATCCCACCACTCCCACGTCACTACCTAACCTCCCCGCTCCCCCACCGCACCGCCATACCAAACAGAGCACCCTCACCAACCTCACCAACCAAAACCGAACCACCAAAGCCATAGCCAGACTCCTTCAAACCCCAATTCCAACTCGCAATCATGTCCCAACTCAACTACCGCACGATCAACATCGACGCTCTGGATCCGGAGTCCTCGACCAACTTCCCTATGGACTCCCTCCTCCCCGCCACCCTCCCACAGTCCCAGTCCGCCAGTGACTCCGCCAACGTCGCAACTCAGGTGCGCCAGCTGCTGCGCGGCGGTGACCCCGAAGGCGCGCTCCGCACTGTCCTCGATACCGCGCCGTTGGGCGGCGATGACCGCGCTAAGGAGGTCCACCTCGCTACTGTCATTGATGTCCTGCAGGGCATTCGACAGGGCGAGATGACGAAAATCCTGGAAGGAGTTTGTAGTGGAGATGGCGGTGCTGAGCGCGGTGATTGTCTGATGAAGTACCTGTATGTGCATTGCGGTTACCAACCTTATTACCCCGTGCATGAGACATACTCTCCCGCCCCTGGGGAGAGTGGTTTGACTCATTGCTTGCTGGTCGTGTGCTAATTCGTTCGGATATAGATACAAGGGTATGTCCTCCTCTGCTCCTGGATCTGGGGCCCAGACCCCGCGGAAGAACGTTTCACCTCAGGATACTGGGTTCTCGCAGATCCAAGCTCGGAACTTGGGTGAAGGTGGTGGTGGTCAGCAGATGAGTGTTTTGCTTAGCTGGCATGAGAAGTTGGTTGAGTTGGCTGGTACTGGGTCTATTGTTCGGGTCATGACGGACCGCAGGACGGTTTGAAAGAAAACAGCTTTCGATGGAGGGTCGTTTCTTTTATGATTTACTGTTTCTGTTCTTGTCTTTCCTGGTAGAGTGTTGGTTTGCATTCCATCCATCCATACATCTCTGTGGATGATATCCATCCAGTGTCGCTTTAAGCGTAGTTTTACATTGATATTGTGACAATATGTTGAGCTTTTCCCTCTTTCTTTCCCTTTACTTCCGCTGTGAGGTTTCTTCTTCATGGCCTGTCAAACTCCCCGCCGCCAAGGATATCCTTGAGGTTGACATCACCAGTACCGCGCTGCAATGGCTGCGCCTGGCCCTTGCCCTCCTTCCATCCAATCATGTAGATCAGTCGGAACGTAGCCGGGATGCCAGGAGCACCATCCTCCATGTGCAAATTGCGATAGATAGCCTCATTAGCCAGCAGCACATCCCGCGACAGTGGCGCCGAGTCGCGGTTCATAATCGCATTACTCTCACCCATAGCCTGCAAGTCCTGCATCAAAGCAAAGGTATCAGGGAACTCAACCACAATATCCTCAACATCAACCGTCAGCATCTTAAAACCAGCCCGGTTCAACAAGCTTCCAACATCCTTGACATCAGCCAGCGGCGACACATGCGGACTGACACCACCGCGTCGCTCCATATCGGCCAGCTGCAACGATCCCCGCAGTTCATACAGCGTATCACCACCAAACATGGCGGCGATGAATGGCGCATCCGGCTTGAGTATTGTGTTAATTTGCTCCAGCAGCGCGGGCAGGTCATTGATCCAGTGGATTGACAGGGACGAGAGCACGGCGTCGAAGCTGTTCGGCTCGTATGGCAGCGTCTCCAGGTCCGGGATGATATCCCGCTGGATATCGATCTCGTTGTTGAATGGTAAGTCCTCGTCTCGGTGGAGCAAAGCCCGCGATGTCTCCACGCAGGTTAGCTTTGAGATTTTGTCGGCCAGTGGTGGCGAGACCGTTCCTTCCGGTGTGGTCGTGTCGAGGTTGGGAGTTGTGAGGGCTTTCGCGATGTTGCAGCTGTTCGCGCCTAGATCGAGAACGTGGGGGAAATTGCGCTTGATGTCCTATTTGTCCAATTTGAAGATCTGTCAGTGGTTGTGCTCTTTTGTCCGTTCTTGCTTCGGCCTTGCGCGCAAGCTTCTCTGCCCTTGGGAGTGTTGCTCACCAGTAATCGTTCACATAATCGCATTGCCACTTCATCTTTCAGATAGTCGACTTTTCGGCTTTCTTCGACATTCTGGGCTGCACGGTCTTTCTGCAGGTGCTTCATTTTGCGGTTGAAGACCTCCAGCATCGGGTTGCCTGGTGTCTGACTCGCATATGTGCGGAGAGAGATTTTTGGGGCGACAGCGCGCCTTGAAAGGCTGGAGCGGAATGTGTAGGAAAACATTGTGGTTCTATTGATTATGATGGTGTTGTGAAGCTCTAAGCCATTCTGCGTTGCGGAGGGAGATGCGAGGTCGAGCTTGAATTTTGTTCTGACGTCGATTGTTGATGCGGAACCTCCGCTCTCTCTCCGCATACCCTCGACTCGCTGGCAATCGGTGATTGGGGATATTTTCTGATCGCAAGACTATTCATTGTTGCATTGAACATACTTTGCATTGCGCATTGAGTGCGATTAGATCCATTGTGACTGCTGCTGTGAGTCTTCGCCCTACATCGTACTTACTGTCCCTCCCTGATCTCTAACTTCGCGCAATAGGCTTGACCTGGACGGCTACGATATCCTTTTAATAGGACACAGAGGCCACTTACCCGCTACAGCTTGAACTCAAGCCCGTCCACCGTCGCTCACCCCTATCCCGCTATCGACCCCGCGGACGTGAAGCATGATTTGACCCAACTACGCGCCTGAATAGCTACGACGTATCATTTGGCTCGCCAAAACACCGACATATCAAAATGTCACGCCCTTTTCCTTACACGTACATATCTTGTCCCTGCGCCGACACCGCGGTGCCCGACCCAGCTAGGAAGCGAAGATCGAGGGAATCCCCCCAGAAATCCCCTCAGAAACCCCCGCCTGAGCGGCTGAATCCCTCGGAGGAAGATAAGAAGGAACCACCGAAGGATGAACAACAAGAAGAAGAGGAGGAAGAGGAGCAGACCTTTGACCCTCGCTCTCCGCGGTCCAATTTCTCATTGTACCCACCTGAGCAGCTTCTCTACTGTGAAGAATGCCATCAGATCAAGTGTTCTCGATGTATTACAGAGGAGATTGTGAGCTGGTTTTGTCCAAGCTGTTTGTTTGAAACACCTAGCAGTATGGTCCGGAGTGATGGCAATCGGTACGTACTAAAAAAGACCTCCCTCCTGTTCGAGTGATTATTGACCACCCATGGCTCTAGATGCGGTCGAAACTGCTTCAACTGTCCTGTCTGTACGGCTCCATTAGCTGTCAGTACTATTGAGAATGCCACTGGGAATGGAACCCAGCAGGGTCCGTGGGTGCTATCCTGTGGATATTGTCTTTGGACAACACTGGACATCGGCATCAAGTTCGACAAGCCGACAAACATTCGCAGCCAGCTGCAGAAGATGACCGACTCCACTGCTCAACCTGCGATTGACAGGTCGAGGCAAGCTTCTCGTACCTTTGGAGATCTGAAGTCCCCTCTCTCGACCTTTGCCTCCATTGACGAGCAATCGGCCGCACGCGAACGAGAAGAAGAGCAATCTCCATCCCAAGAAACAGAAGCACCTCCCATGGACACAGATGCCCGATTTGCAGCCTTGAAATCCTTCTACCGTAATCAGATCGCTGAAACATCATCTTCGCCCAGCGACCCTCTCAGCACAGACTTTGGGTTTTCTTCGCCCGGTGCGCTCAATCGATTGATGTCACTCTATGCCTCGTCTTCACGTCTAAGCGGTCTCTACGGCGGAAGCAAGAAACCCAAATCCAAACCACCCGTCATGCGCGAAGCCATCACAGCAAGCGAGGGGCTTCAGCTCGCCCCAGAAAACAGCGACGAAGATCTAATCCAACGCCTCACCTCCCCAAGCTGCGGCTGGGACGGCGTGGCATCAACCGAGCAGCGCGCCGCCCAATCCCCAGACGCCCGTTTCACAGACGATCTCCTCCCACTCCCCGTCCTCCTCCGCACCAAGCGAGCCAAGCGCTGCAAGTCCTGCAAACACATCCTGGTCAAGCCAGAGACAAAGCCCCAATCCACTCGCTTCCGCATCCGCCTCATCGCTCTCAGCTACATCCCGCTGCCCACCCTCCGCCCCTTAGCCCTATCAACATCCTCCACCCTCCCAACCATAGCCGCAACCCCAGACCTGAACTCCCTCCCACCCCTCCGGCCCGTGCATGTCCTCCTCACGCTCAAGAACCACATGTTCGACCCCGTCCGAATCACCCTCGCCACGCCGCCCGTCACACCAGGCAATGTCGCAACCAAAGTCACCGTGCTCTCGCCCCAGTTCGAGATCGGCGCCAACAGCGACGTCTGGGACGAGGCCCTTCAAGGCGCCTCGGCCCCGCTGAAGGGTGACGCTACTACTGCCGGTATGCGTGGCGTGCCTGAAGCAGGCAAGGTGTGGGATAAAGGTCGGAATTGGACGACCGTTGTGTTGGAGGTTGTGCCTGGCACGTTGCCAGGTAGTAGTGCCGAAGGCGGGGATGGGGATGGAGGGGGTGATGAGGGTGTTTTGGCTGTTGCGGGTCAGAAGGCTGATGAGGATGTTCTGGAGATTCCGGTGTTTGTGAGGATGGATTGGGATGCTGATGCGCAGCTTGATCAGGGAAATGTTGAGAAGGTGTCTAAGCCTGATGATAAGGTTACGCGGGAGTTGGCTTATTGGATGGTGCTTGGTGTGGGTAGGATTCAGCCTTCGTTGTAGATAGATTTGTTTGTCTGGATGTGGATTGTTTGCGTTGTGATTGATATACTTCCATACCCCGAGTGTATTTTGTTTCCAAGAAAGATACATCTATGTATGTATATATGTTCATTCTTTGACTTGAAATAGTGGCCGAACAGTCACATCAGTTTTACATATCCATCTCGAATATATATATGCAAGTATATGGTCCATAGCTCAGATATAACCCAAGACGTAAGTTTATACGCCACACAAAGTGGATATCTACAGCAGGTGTTTCCTCTACAAGTGAGTCGATAGGGTTGGCTAGACAAAACCTCTACATTGAGAACAGGGTGAAGGTTGAATTGTTGAATTGGAATATCACATATCCGATCCCATCCTCATTAAAGAGAAACACAGCTCGGAGAGCCCTCGAATCCATCACCTCGCCCAGGAACAGGGAAACAAAGGGAGAAACACCAGACAAAAAGCCGGGGAGGACCAACCAAAACCAGCGAGTTATGAAAAAAGAGAAAAAAACCGTCAATGCATTTTTATGGAGTCATCTCTTTTGGAACCCATAATGCCTATGAATCTAGCAACAATTCAAAACTAGAAAACACAGAGCATCAATTCCCCACGCATCGAAACCGAGCACATTCACAATCACATTCCAGCCCCATCCCAAAGATAAAACGAAACGGCACTAGTATTGAGTCTTAATTTAACATTTAGAACTCAGCACCGCTCTGGGGGAACTCGAATGCAACAGCGCGGCCAGTTAGGCGACGGTAGACCTCGCCGTAGGCATCGAGGCGGTGGTCAACACCACCACGCTCCTTCTCGTCAAGGATGACCTTGAGGGTCTTGGAGCCGTCCTCCTTGGTGCGGATGCGCTTGCCGACAATCTCGACGGGGTAGACAAGGTCGGTGAGGATGGAGTCGTGGACGGCGGTCAGAGTGCGGGAGCGGGGACGCTTCTGGGTCTGGGTGGTGCGCGAGGTGGCGGAGCGCTTGGGGCGGGGCAAGATGCGGCGCTGGGCCACGAAGAGGACGTGGCGGTCGGAGAACTTCTTCTCGAGCTCGCGGGTCAGACTGTAGGGGGTATATTAATATTTGTGTGGATTTTTTTGCGGGTTTGTGGACCGTGGGGGGTTGGTGCTTACCGCTGCTGGATCTTGTGGAAGTTACCGAGGAGGGGGACGGGGACGAAGACAACAATGGCCTTCTTGCCGTGGCCGACCTCAACCTGTTGTGGGAAAATTGTCAGAAATTGGCCTTGAATTGTCTTGCATGCAAAATCGTATCCCTGAAACGGCGTCCTTGTGCGAATTTCTTGTCTCGACCTTTGTGTTCTTCTGTTGATTGTATATTCGTTTTCATGTTGATGGAGTTTTTTTTTCGTTGGGGAAGGTGGATTGACACAATCCGACCTTGACCCCGGAGTATTGAAATTGTTCCCAATTTCGCAGGACGCCATTCCAGAGCACACAATTCACATGGCGGTATCACTCTTCAACACCAATCCTTACCTCACGGGCAGAGACGAACTGCAGGGGGCGAAGGGAGGCCTTCAGGTCCTGTGTGTTGCTCTCGAGGTCGAAGAGAGCGCCGGCGATCGCGGTCTCCAGCTCGGAGGGGTTCTGCCGGGACGGCGAGTTGGAGGCGATCTTGTTGATGGCAGCCATTATTGCGAGCGACGGGGTGCTGCGGGAAGTGCTGGTGGTGATGTCGACGGAGGGGAGGTTCGCAGATTGAATCGAATAGGAATTTGCTGTGGGATCGGCGCATTCGCTTAGGGCGCGCTATTTCCCAAAATGGACTAGCGCCACCGTCTTAGGGCTCTCTGATGATTGGAGGATGACAGGCTTGATGGGACCCACTTTCTTCTGCTTACCATTTCTATTTCGACTATACATCTACAGTGTAGGAAGGGCGCTCGAATTTACATCTAATCAATTGGGGAATAACAGTAGACTATAAGAGCCCAAGAAGAGAGAAAACAAAAAGCAGGGACGCCTGTATCCATGGGAAATAATTGCACATCTCTTCAGATCCAAATCAGCAAGCACAGCCTTCATTGGCCTTTGCAACGTTCCGATCACCCAGGTTGACTCGGGCATCTTCTCCAGTCCGACCCAGCGAAGTTTGGCCGGTGCCTGCGCCGGTGCCTCGACCGGTCTTGAGACTGCTCTCGGGGATGGTGTTGGCAATAGCCGTGAAAACGTCCACTACGTTCGTGCCGGTCTTAGCACTAGTCTCGAAGAACAAGAGTCCCTCTTCCTCGGCATAGCTACCCGCTTCCCGTGTTGACACCTTGCGAGCATCACCCGACACAGCATCTTGAGGCTCATCCTCCTCGGCGGCTCCGTCCTCACCGTTCTGTCCAGCCGACTCAGACTCCGCCTCGGCAGCGATCGCAGGCTCGGAGGCCTCACCACCATCGTTGGTTAAGTCCAGCTTGTTACCGACAAGGGCGATGACGATTCCAGGGCTCGCTTGGCGCTGCAGCTCGGCAACCCAGTGCTTAGCTTTTGTCAGCGACGAAGGTTTCGTGACATCGTAGACGACCAGCGCGGCTTGCGCATTGCGGTAGTACATAGGAGCGAGAGAGGCGAATCGCTCTTGGCCGGCGGTATCCCAGATTTCGAACTTAATCGTGCGTGTAGGAAGGGAGCATTTCTGCGTCAGAAATGCGGCTGGAAATATGACGTTAGCTCGGTCATCCTGGTTTGTACATGTAGTGCCATCGAGGGGTCCGGAGGGCCCGGTTGCGGGGATATTCCGGAATAATAGACATCATGGACTACCCTGATCAGGATGCATAATTTTTTCTTTTTCAGGAACAGGTACCCCGTGTCCTGTGGAAGCTGAGTGTCTGGGGAGTTCTTACCGCCAATGGTCGGCTCCTTGTTCTCCTGGAAATCATTGTTGACGAAGCGAAGGACTAGTGAGGACTGTACTCCAGTGAAAAGATATAATTAGCTAGTTGTAAGCGAAGGATATATCATAAAGGTAGACGTACCTTTCCAACTGCGGCCTCTCCTAGCAGCACAAGCTTGACGCTGCTGCTTGGCTTCGGGGCATTGGCGCTTGCTGCGTCGGACATGGCTGAAACAGCGAAGCGAAAGTAAAATTGAGGTATGGAACTCCTTCCTGTAGAGGATTTGTGGGTCGTCAAGGTATCAGGCGAACGGAGGAAGTGTCAGGTTGGTTCAGCTGGTGACTACCGCTCGGGATTGGGGGGCTGCCTAGAAGTAAGACGAGAGTTGGAAGATGATATGCTGCTGACGCGCTCGTATAAACTGTGTTTCTTGAATCCTGGTTTAGAACTGAGAACCGAGAAAAGCAAGGCTGGCAGTCGTACACGAGGGTGTTGGTAAGAGCGGAGGTCGATGATGATGGGTATCCCCAAACAGGCTTAGCGTGTTTGTCACGGGAGGCCTGTCCGGTGAAGTATATCTTGTTTACTTCTAACTCTACTTTATTGGGAAGTTTGGTTGTTGGCTATTTAGAGACATGTTCAGGGATCTCAAGTCCAGCTAGTAAAATATCTCAGATATGCATTGAAGGTAGACAAGGTTGCCGGGAGAAGCAGAGTTGGGACCAGTCAACTCAGAGCCACGTACCCGGACTTCAGACATAGTGCCAGACAGTTAAACAAACATGTTCCTGGCACCTTTGACAGCTGTCATTGCCAAAGTGACTAGTGCCCAACACCTCTGTAAAGATGATCTCGGGCACTTCCCCCTTGGCGAGTCAGATCCTAGTCAGGCTCGGGAGATATCTGCCGATACAGCAGGCCCGCATCAGTTATCGGGCTGGCCGTTCCTGGCTCGGCATTAGTCTATAAGCAAATCTGCCCGATGTTAGCGCAATCGAAGTCGGTCAGGTACGAGCAGAGGAGTCCACGAGGAATTATGACTTGCAAAGCTTGAGTCTACGAAAATTCGGGAATATATATGTCATGGTAGTGTCAAGGTTCAGAATATTATGGAAATTGATTGGCGCTGGCAGTTTCGCGCTATATATAATACACAGACATCAACATAAAAAAAATACACATACAAATATCCCGGGAAGCAGAGCCCATCCAATAGTGAAACAAGAAAATCAAAACGTGCTATTGACCGTGAGGTCGAAGCTCTAGGTTCTGGTATCAACCCATGCATCCCATACAATATCCATCCCGTCTATGCCAAAACGCCGGGTAGAAGACAGAACCAACAAAGGAAATAAAAGCAAGAAAAACAAAAACAAATGCACTTTTGAGAGGTTGGACCGTGGTATCGAGTCGTATCAGAGGTAGGTAGAAGGTGAGGCGAAGAGGATGTCAAGGTTGAGGGCCCGAAAATAAGTGGCAAGGCGCGTAGGCGCCAAAAATGAAGGCTGTTGAAATAAAAGTGTCCGCGCTTGGTATCCGAAAGAAAATGCAAAAAAGTCGAGCCGAATTAAAAAGGGTATAATGTCGCGTGAAGCCTATAGCGAGGCAAGAAAAAAGAAGTATGGCTGAGACGAAAATAGTGTTACAGATATCTAGACCATGTTAGTTTTGATGCCCAAACAGTGAGGTGCGTCAGTCTTACCAAAATCAAGTAAAACTCCAAACGCATATACGTCAGAACTCCAGCCACTGTTGGGCGCCATTCAATCGAAAACATGACCGAGTGGTGTAGAAAATCAAGTATAACGAGCGACGCTGAAGACGATTTATTTCGGCGGTGGTGGAGGTACACCGGGCTTCTTCACCCCAGTTGTGTCGTATGCGCCACGTCCCATGTTGAAGGCTGAGAGGTCTCGAAGGATCATGTTCAGGTCTGCAGAGACACGCATGATTAGAATAGGGCGAGAGAATGGAGAGAGGCGAGTGTGGTGCGATTGTAGGGCGAGGAATGAGATGGTTGGAACTCACGGATAAACAACGACGAAGCGCGGTTCTTATATGGATAGATTCTCAAGCAATCAAAAGCCCAATCCACCCCCCAAGTGCAAAAGGTCTAGACAAAAGCTGGTAGGTGCAGATGCAGATGCAGTCGAGATCGGAAACGGTGACCCTTTTATGGATAACCACTGGGGGGACAAATGCGGGAGCAAGCAGAACTGTAGGGCAGGAATGTGACGAAACCCGACAAATCAGGAAAAGTGGTTCTCTCAATGTCGGACAGGTTGCTTTTTAAGGGCAAAAAGCTCAAATCCAATCAAAACGATATTAGGGTAGCTGCAGCCAATCCATAGAAATCTCGATCTGAACCAAGAAAACGGGCGAGAAGGGATATGAACGGCAAGGGAGCAAAGGAGAAGTGCTCCGGAAGTGGCCCCGGTCGATCCGGGACAAAAAAGCAATCGACGTATCGCAAGGGAGAAGGGAGGAAGGAAGGAGAGTAGGGAGGAGACGGTTAGGTATGTCGAAAGAATTAAAATCGCAGGGGGAAATGATGTTGATATAGAGAGTTTTTTTTTTTTAGGGGAGTTGATCTTCAGGATTATTGTAATAATAAATCGGGTTTTATTTAGTCTCTTCTCAATCAATAAAACCATCTAAAACATGAAAACATTAAACATGAAAAGATTTAAATCCCCCAATAAAAAAACCAAAAGGGCAAATCGGATTTAAATCGAGTAAAAAAAAAGGGAACTAAAAAAGAAACTAAAAACGGACCTACTGTACAGTACTGTAAAATAATAAATAAAAACCCCCCAAAGAAATAAAAAGATGATCAGAAATCCGATATTTCTTTGTTTAGTACCCAGCGGCTCTCCCGTCCCCTGGTCCCGGGGAAGAGGAAATGCGTTCCCCCTTTCTTACAGGTATCACTCTATAAGGTACCGTACAGATAGATCCTGGATTGATCACAATTGGATCTTGGATGCATCTAGCTCTGCTCTTATGTATCACTCCACCAAATCTCCGGCCCTGTGTGCATAAGTGGAGATCAGCCGCAGGAACGAGAAAATGGAGTCTTCTTTACGTATATCATTCTCGCGTGGGTATAGACCTAGGTACACAGACAGGGGGGCTGATGATGCCTAGGTCAAGCCCTGTCCCCTAGCCAACACCAGGTATTTGATTCAATCAAGGCCAGACATCCGGCCTACCAACGCGGTTCCCCGTGCAATTTACAACTGATGGAGGTAAGACCAGTCGCAAACTTCCTCTCGGGCGTGATTTGTGTCTTCCCCCGGTTACAGATCAGAACAAAGCGCCAGGTGCTTTCCTATTATTTAGCGCCTGATTCTGAATCTCATCACTTTTTTTTTCCCAGCTTTCCCAGCTGTCTCATTCTCACGTCTGTTCTTATCTACGAAAGAAAGAGAGAGAAAAAAAAGAGCCGGGACTCCATCATAGGGGGTGGGGGAGGACGCTAAGTGTATGAAATCCCGTCTCGGTTACGTGAACATTCTTTTGGCCTTCTAGTTCCCGAAGGACTGGGTCGTAATACCTGGACTCTGGACAGTATCTTGACAGGGAAACATTCTGGACTTGTTCCTGACTCCACCCCCATAATCCCCCCCCTCCCCCTAATTAAGGGTATAGCTATCCAGCTATCCAGCTTGAATTCGCCACAATGGAGCCCGACACATAATCCAGCCACAATGACTACACTTATCCATGACGGGTCGTCTCCCCTGTCCCCTCGGCCCTAGGCTTGTTGTTTCATTGTTTCAGCTTCTGGTCCACCTCGCCAAAAGAGGGAGGATTCCCTCCAATGGGAACAATGCAATCGGTCAATCTGACTTTCTCCCTCGTGGTAATCGGGTCTGGAGATCGCTTGTCGATGGGAGCCTAGGACCGTTGACGAGATCAAGCCCCATTTCCAATGCGCCCAGCGGTCTTTCCCGAACGGACATGGGAGCGGCTCATCTTCGCGGAATCTCATATCCTCCAGACCCCCGATGCAAACACTCTACTCCAGACCTGGCGTGTCTTTCTCCCCGAGACACCTGGGAAAAGAAAAAAAATAGGGGAACCCTTTGCACACTCCCGGATGGAATTGGCGATCATCCCCTGTGGACCAGGACCCATAAAAAATAATAGGTCCCAGGAACAGTACCTGTACTTACGGACTCCTGGTGTTTCCCGATACCAAAACTGACCACATGTCCAGTTGACAAGGTAAACGAGCTTCCTATTCTTCCATAGTGGACCCCCTTCTGGGGCCCTCTGGGTCCTCTCTGGGTCCTCTCTGGATCCTTTCTGGATCCTTTCTGGCTCAAAGAACGGGAAGACCCCGTTTGGATTACAGCTAGAATGACGCTAGAAACGGGAGAAAGCTGCTGCGAGAATCCATCGGTTAGTCAACCTTAATAGACCCATTTAGGTTCCCCCTTTTTTCACCGTTGAGGTTTGGTATACAGTACGGAGTGTACCGTGGATCGAGGTATGGATACACATCAAAGTATGGAGTACCACTGTATATAGTAGGGCCATGATAGCCTCAACGGCGAGACCCAAGGCTGTGGTTCATGATTGCCCTCTAGTCGTCCAGAGTGACCTCCAGGAGAGTCCCGACGTCGGGTCGATGCATTAGTCTCTAAAACAAGGTTCCCCGATTGCATGAACCGGCTTCCATCGATTCCGGAACGTCTTAGCCGTAATGTAGCTCACCTTCCAATTCGGTCCTTTCTTTCTTTGGTCTCCCGCACTCTCGCGGCCCGATATTTGACATTCCTACGCGGTGGCGTTCCAATCTCAACCGAGTCGAATAAACGGTCGCAGATCCATCTCATGTTGGGTCTCATGTTTTGCGTTGGGATCTAGGCAGGGGGGTTCCCCTGGGCCCCGGATGCACCTTTACGCCAGCCGGCTCTTTGTTTATTTGACAGGATTGTGGATGTGTCATTGCTCCTAAAATTGAGTATCTCTGTGTCTTGTGTTGGGAAGGGAACATTTCATTTGCTTTTTTTCTGTTCATCTTTTTTTTATCCCGCCTTGTCATTTTCTCATTGTTTGGGGCGTTCTGTGGCTTCAGATTGATTCACTTCTTTTAAGGAGATCACTAGACACAGGGGAATGGCGTCCACTAGGGCTTCCGCGGATGTGAAGCCGGGCGATCTTGGTACCATTTCCCGATTCTCTCTAGAATTAGGCTCCATAGAGAGAAAATTCTAGAAGACCATGCACTCCATAGTTTGATGGTCGCAGTGGACTGCCAATAGTGGGTGGTGTCCACCGCAGTAATCCGCCTTACTCCGTTCAAGGCGTTAGAAAAGGGACCTCAAAGCCGATTAAACGAGACGTGGACATGGGGATTGCGTTTCCCCCGTTCCGAACCAAAAAAAAAATGAAACGAGTCCTCGATGTTAGCGCCCTGATGAGACCACCGATTTGCAACTCAACAAGTGGATAGATGCTGGATAATGACAGGCCACACAACCCACCGCAATAGTCTCGGAAATCCTAGATGACGATCTCTCTCCGCTCACCACCGCGTCGGGTTCGATCCCCCTTTTCTCCCCCTGACTTCGGGAAGTTAGTCTGATCTTTTTTGTTACCCATCACGACATGACGCAGGGAGTATGACTGATCGAGCCATACACAGTACAATGTTGATACAATCTTGCACGACCCACCCACTAGGTCGGCTTCTCATCCCCTTCCGCGACCACTTGTGAGTGGCTGGTTGATGTATCCATCCTGTATACGACCCCCTGGGAATGAACCCCCAGCACACTCTCTGCGTCACACCTCAGGATATGTACGGTACTGTACCATGCACACTGCATGACATGCAACAGAAGCGAAATGTCCACTGCGATGCACCCTTATGTTCATGCCTATCGAGTACCGTACATGCCACATTCAAAGTGATTTCTTCTTTTCACATAACTTCGACTATGACAACCTTGGCACCGCGATAATAAAGATCACTGGTTCACCTCGCCCAAACCCGCTAGCCTGCAGATCACTGAACCATGGAACTCGATCTTGCAGAGACCGGGGAACTACCCGACAACCTGGTTCAGAAGATATGTCACATTCATCAGGTTGATTTGGGGTAGGCCAATAACAGTCGTGGATAGGCTACACCGCATCCACCCTCTTGGTCCTTTGGTATGTAGGGACTTTTGGGCTTTTTTTGGATTTTCTCCCCTAACATACTGTACAGGTACAGTACGTACAGTATGTACATGTCCTCTGTGCAGGAACTCACGTCAACTTCCATACTGTGGAATGACCCATTGAGGCGCAAATATGACCATGTACCTGGATCACCACTGCATTGCTTCCTCCCGATCCCAATATCCCAATTTCCGGGTCTGATCCACCCGACACTGGGGGTTTGTATCTGAGACTTGACGCGTCGGAGACTACCTGTCATCCCCGCCACATACTCTACATGTACCTTTCCATGAAAAAGGACAAGTAGTAACGTGATGGTCGGATGTCACATATAGAGAGTTTCGATTATTTGGAATGATTAACTTTGAGTATGTACATGTATACATGTACTATGTACGGAGCAGGGCCATCAATATTATCAATCGTAATCTCGAGGTATGTTCAGCTACAGCCCCCTCCAGCCACTCTCATTCATCTGTGCCATTTGAAATACCTACCGCGCGCGCGCGCACAAGTCGACACCTCGCATGTGAACTCAGCTTCGCGTACAGACACACCGATATGCCATTTCAAACTGCAGTACAACCCCATGTTAGTCCAAAATTCACCCTCAGATCAAGGACTCGAGCATAAGCAAGAGGAGAAGGGTTGCACTTCTCATCACACTGATTGTGTCATCGAGCATCTGGATGGTGAGACAACTTACTTGCTCATTGGTCTGACAAACTAAAACCCGGGGCCCCTTGCCTCCACCGGCAGTGATGTCCTTCACCGTCTCGTCATCGCCAGGCCCCTTATCATTGGCTTTGGTGTCGACCGCCACGCCCAGACATTCGAGCTTATCTGCTAGTGTTTGGCGGAGCAGAGCGCTCTTCTCGCCAATGCCTCCGGCGAAGACCACCGCGTCCACTTGCCCATTTAGCTTCACGTAGTAGTTTCCAATGTAGCCTAGGATGCGATCGACGAGGATGTCGAATGCGAGCTTGTGCGCTTTGGTAGGCGGGTTGGCGACGGCGATTTCCCCAAAGTTCGTAGTTCCAGTCAGTGCTTTCCAGCCGGATTTCTTATTCAGGATTTCTTCAGCCTGAATTGGGGTGTTGGGTCAGTGTTGGGGATTCGTATTGGTCTGGGGTGGGATTGCTGCTACGAACGGTACTGATGTGCATCTCCTTGGTGCTCCCTGGGCTTAGTTTGCCTGCTTCGCTGGTGTAGTGGAATACCAATCTAGATACGAGGCATGTCCGATCAGTATCGCTACGTGGATAGGAAGTAACTTATGCAGTAGGGTCAACGTACGAGGGATCGATATCTCCACTGCGCGTCGCACCTGGCAGTCCTGCCAGAGGTGTGAGCCCCATGCTAAACATGGGATTAGCATGTGTTCAACTTGAGATGGACTGTACTTGTAGCAGGGTACTCACGAGGTATCAATGGACTTGCCATCCTTGATCGCACAAATTGAAGCTCCACTGCCAATATGCATGGCAATGATGCTCGTCTTCTCTACTGGCTTGCCCAGATGCTGTGCGACAGATCGTAGAATGAACTCGTAGCTGATTCCGTGGAATCCATACTTGCGCAACCCATTCGCCTTGGCGACTTTCTGATCAATCGGGTACGTGTATACGGGTTCGGGGATAGTCTGATGGAATGCCGAGTCAAAGAAGGTAATACTCGCGACTTTCGGCAGCTCGTCCCTACAGAGACGGATAATCTCCAGCGCGGAAAAGTTGTGGCTGTTGATGCGGTAGGGTCAGTACAGTGCGGATATATATGTAGAGTGGGGTAAGGCTCGATAGCCAGGCGACAAGCTTACAGCGGTGCGAGATCTTCCAATGCTTCAAGATGGTGCATTGTCTCATCATTAATCTCTACTGCTTCATGGTAATCTCCTCCGTGGACGACGCGGTGGCAGATATAAGCTAGATCGTCAATGCTGGCGACTTCGGAGAGCTCGGGATCACTAAAACAGCGTTTCAAGAGATAATTGAATGCATCCTGGGGTGTGGCCAGTTTTTCTTTCACCTCCTCCTTGTGCTTTGCAGCTCCCTTCTGGTACTTGAACGATGGTGGGGGTGCGGTGATCCCAGAGATCTCCGCATCGGCGATAGCTCTTGGCGGGTTCTCGAAGGTGTAAAAGGTGATTTTGACGGAGGATGACCCGGCGTTGACAGCGAGGATTGACCGTGTCATTTTGAATTCTTTCAATGGATTCGAGAGCCTTGTTAACTTGATCTAAGTTGGTCTAACTTGGTCTAGTCAAAATCAAAGACAAGTGAAAACTGGTCGTGGTGATGTCAGGTCATGACGTTGTCGGAAACCAGGCGGATTCCAGGTTAAATACCCTGGGCTGACATAGCATGATTGTTTGGTGGTGCCATCTGTGAATTGTTTCTATTCCTCTGTTTCTCTGGTATTCTTTTCTTGATATACCTCTGCACTCGACTCCATCTGCTTGAGTGTGGATCATACTGGCCGTGTTTTCGTCGATCGCCCATACTCATCATGCCAGGAGAAGTCATAAAGGAACCAAATCCGCAGCCACAGCCATCGCATCTGCCAGACTACCTTGAGAAACTGAGTGTCAAGCTAGAACATGAAAATCTAGATCAAAAGTCTTGCGATGCGTTGCTCAAGTTTCGCCGAGCGGCTTCCTACATCGCGGCAGGTGAGTGATCAAATGACAATATGGGTTCGAATCGCAGAAACTAACTTGATTTAGCGATGATCTTTTTACAAGAAAATACGCTTTTGAAGGAAGATCTGAAATTTGATCATGTCAAGCCTCGCTTGCTGGGTAAACTGCTCTGAACTATAGCCTGCGACCACCGTTTAGCTGACGTAGTATCCGTACAGGTCATTGGGGAACATGTCCAGGCCTGATTCTGGTCTATTCCCACCTGAACTATCTTATCCGAACCATGGATCTGGATATGCTCTATGTCGTCGGCCCTGGACACGGTGCGCCGGCAATGCTAGCCGCACTTTGGCTAGAAGGCTCGTTGGAGAAATTTTACCCTCAGTATTCACGAGACAGCAAGGGCCTACACAATCTCATTTCAACATTCAGCACCCCAGCCGGCTTCCCAAGGTCAGTCTCTTGGCATCCTGTTTGCTTTCCGAGCTAATACCGTTGCAGCCACATCAACGCTGAAACACCCGGCACCATCCACGAGGGTGGAGAACTGGGATATGCTCTATCAGTAGCATTTGGTGCAGCCATGGACAACCCAGACCTCATTATCCCCTGTATTGTGGGCGACGGAGAGGCCGAGACTGGCCCTACGGCTACGTTTGTCATGCATCCTATATACCATGAGCTTCGCTAACAGCTAGCAGGTCGTGGCATGCAATCAAATACCTAGACCCGAAGGAATCAGGCGCCGTTCTGCCAATCCTACATGTGAATGGATTTAAGATCAGTGAGCGAACTATATTCGGCTGCATGGATCACAAGGAGCTTGTTGCTCTTTTCAGTGGCTATGGATATCAAGTTCGCTTTGTGGAGGATATCAACGATATAGATACGGATCTTCATTGCTCCATGGTTTGGGCCGTAGAGGAGATCCATAAGATCCAGAAGGCTGCTCGCTCTGGGAAGCCAATTCTCAAGCCAAGATGGCCCATGTTGATTTTGCGAACTCCCAAGGTATGAACTCGGTCACTTGTGTGGAAGATCCAAGCTAACAAACTTGCTTGATAGGGCTGGTCTGGACCGAAACAGCTCCACGGTCAATTCATTGAGGGCTCATTCCATTCTCACCAAGTTCCACTGCCAAAGGCAAAGTCTGACAACGAAGAACTGGGCGTGCTTCAGAAATGGCTATCTGGCTACAAGCCACAGGAGCTCTTTACGGAAGATGGTGGAGTCATCGACGAGATTTTATCTGTGATCCCAACTGCCGATGCAAAGAAGCTTGGTCAACGCGTTGAGTCTTACAATTCTTATATTCCTCCAGATCTGCCAGACTGGAAAAACTTTTGCCGGGAGAAAGGCTCCAGCGAGAGTGCGATGAAATTAGTGGGAAGCTTCATCAACCAGACCTTTAAGCAAAACCCACACAGCGTACGACTGTTCTCACCAGACGAGCTGGAAAGCAACAAGCTCTCTGCTGTCTTTGATAGCACCAACCGCAATTTCCAGTGGGATGAGTTTGCGAATGCACGAGGTGGTCGTGTCATTGAAGTTCTCAGTGAACACATGTGTCAGGGCTTCTTGCAGGGCTATACTTTGACCGGTCGGATGGGAATCTTCCCATCGTATGAGAGCTTCCTCGGCATAATTCATACGATGATGGTACAATATGCCAAGTTCATCAAAATGGTGATTTCTCCCCTCTCCCATCTAATAACTTAGACCTAACCATGTACTGTTTCAGGCACTCGAAACGAAATGGCACTCAGGCGTGGCCAGCATCAACTACATCGAGACCAGCACTTGGACACGTCGGGAACACAACGGCTTTTCCCACCAGAACCCATCGTTCATCGGCTCAGTACTAAAGCTCAAGCCCACCGCTGCTCGCGTGTACCTGCCCCCAGACGCAAACACCTTCGTGACGACTGTGCACCACTGCCTCAAATCTAAGAACTACATCAACCTGATGGTAGGCTCCAAGCAGCCAACTCCTGTGTATCTCACCCCCGAAGAAGCCGAGATCCACTGTCGCGCCGGAGCAGGCATCTGGAAGTTCTGCAGCACGGACAATGGAACAAACCCCGATGTGGTCCTGGTCGGAATTGGCGTCGAACTGATGTTCGAGGTGATTGCGGCGGCAGCGCTTCTGCGGAAGATCGCGCCCGACTTGCGAGTCTGCGTGGTTAATGTGACGGACCTGATGATTCTTGAAAATGAGGGTCTGCACCCGCATGCCCTGTCCACTGAGGCCTTTGACAGGCTCTTCACTCCTGACAAACCGGTTCACTTTAATTACCATGGTTATCCAACCGAGCTGCAGGGCTTGCTCTTTGGACGGCCTGGTCTGGATCGCATTTCCGTCGCTGGCTATATTGAGGAGGGTAGTACCACTACTCCTTTCGATATGATGATTGTCAATCGTGTCTCGCGTTTCCATGTTGCCCAGAACGCTCTTCGTGGTGCAGCTAAGGTCAATGAGAAGGTGCGAGTTTTTCAGCAAGAGCTGCATGCTCGGCTTGAGCAGGATATTGTCGGCATGCGCAAGTTTATCATGGCTAATCATCAAGGTGAGCATCCCTATCCATTTGATAATTTATGGACACAGCTAACGTGGACTCTCAGATCCCGGGGATATCTATGACACCCCAAAATTCGACTAGAGTGGCTTAGATATCATACAGAACTAGACTAAACTAGAATATCATCTATGGCTCATCAGAAGCCATTTCAAGATTTCGAATACGTCGAATAATCTCTTCCACGTCTGTCCAAATCCGCCGTCGATTCTGCAAGCCCTTAAGCCTTCTCCAGTTCTGCTTGATCTGCGTGAAGACAACACGCCAGTCCGTTCCCAGTCTTGGTAGATCCACCTGGTTTGGCATGTCACATGGCATGGGTAACCAGTACTCAGCAGCCTTCTCAGCAGCCTTGTATTTCATGTAGTCCGCACTCAAGACATTGGACAATAGCTTCCGTGATTTCAAGATAGACTTGACCTGGGCAGTTGAAACTCTTGTCCAGATCTGAGGACTGTGTGTGCATTCGGATTCATCCCATGCTTCCCAAAGCCAAGGCATCTCTTCGCGTGTGAGTCGGTACCATACACTACTGGGGAGATTGGTGAATGTCCTAGATGCGGCTCTTAACCTGGTGACATCGTCTGATCCCAGGAAATCGATTATCATGAGGCGGATTTCCAAGGGCATTGATGACAAGAGATTGACCCGCCGATGCTGGGATGGTCTAGATCGAGCTCTAGTAGCTTCAGATGATCTGTCTTTCTGACGTCCGCCAAAATGTTTGTCACTGCTCTCGCCATTGACCGCCGAGATCAGAAGCTCTGGCAGCCCGGGCACATAAAGAGGATTGGCAACCAGATACTCACTACCAGGCTCATGATCCCACCATTGATCCTGTGCCCTGCGGACTTCTTTTGCCCGAGGGAACTTGAGAAAAGACTTTCGATCAAACTCCGTATTGCGCCATTTCATAAGAGCTGAAGTGTCAATATGTTTGAACTGGACTTTAGATTGCCGGCAGAAAATATCGAAGCACCATGGATGAAACGGCATTGCTATATCATCTGGTTGCATATGTGGCTGTAACATATTAGCTTGAGTCTATAGACATGCTCTTGAACCAAGTCAAGACCACAGAAAGAGACGACTCACATAGTAATTAGTATTATCCGCTTCTAGGGTTTCAACTCCACCGCGCGCCGGCCACACTGTTGGGATATCACAATCACGCGACGGCACTCCATCGCATATACCGGAAAGTGCCCACTCTCCATGTACCTCCCAGGCCTCATGATGCTCATCGGGCTGCCAAGAATTGCTTTTATGGAACAGGAACTGGGCTGTGCGGCATCCTCTGGCCGCCTCGGGAGAAATAATATTGGTCGAGTAGGCGGAACTCGAAGCATCGAAATATCCGACACGTTCCTCTGGCTCTCTGCAATTTGGGTTGAAGGTTCTTCGTGCCCATTCGGTATAGAATTGGGTTTCGGTGTCCGTTGTATCAGTGGTCTCTTCGTGTTCGGGCACATCTTCGTCACTGGTGTTGTATGATACATCGGAGTCATATTCATATGGCTCGCTATCCTGGGTTTCTTGGGGGTTGTATTCGGTATCGCTATCTGCATCTTCGTGGTCCGTACAGCAGACTACGTCTGTCGTCTTCACAACCGGGGGTTCCCATTGCAAGGTGGAGTCTGGATCATCGTCCAGTTTTCCTGATGTTGAACTGAAGATTATGTTGAAGCTCACGCCACATAGATGGCAGTATGGCTAGCAGACTGTTAGAGACGTCATGCTATCTATCTCCATATAGAATTGGAGGGTGCATACCTCGGAATAGCCTGGCAATCGTTAGTTATATTCTCGCGCTCAGCAAGAGCTCAACATACCCATAATGTTGAATGACTTGAGCTTCAGCTAAAGAAATGTGTTTTATGTAGTAAGTTTCTCGAGAAGTTGGTTTGCCTGTTGGGTTCGACAGGGGAGCCTACACGCTAGTCCTTTCTGGGAACAGCCAACCTAATCCATAGGCAACTACTGCGCAGGCAGCAGGCGCAGATGCATTTGATTGCGATAAGTTAACTCTGGGCATAAGTGATCGAAGGTTTATCACCTGATTGAGGAAATATACACATCTGACTAGATCCATATTAGTCTCATCTCTAAAATATCATATTCCTCAGGCACGGGTGCACTCACGGCCCATGAACGCGGCTCCTCCCGCGATCAACGCAAATGACACCCACATTCGAGTATACTCCCCATAGTCTCTTGATTCAAGTCCTAAGATTCACCACTGTAGAACTCTCTAATAAAATACGGGGCAGAGTTTTGGTATTTGAATGCCTGGATTGTGGACGGAGGCTCACTGAGCATGATGTGATTATTAAACCAAGTAGGTCTATGGTATTGACATCTGAACCGTCAAGGCGATGCTTGGTTCCTCTTTCATTTGTTGTGGTAGCTGTCTACTTATCTCCCTCATTTCAACTCTGGACTAGAATGGTTGAGAATTGATCTCGATGAAATCGTAATCTCATTGCCGTGACTGTGAACGGGCTGCGTTTTGTCTTGGTTTTCTCCTGTATATTGCTAGATTTCGCCCTCTACTGTAGACATCTTGCTATGATATTTAAGATTGACTCTGGGGACTGTGTTAGGGTGGAGAAGGCCCCAGGAGTCTGGCCATACGAACGTAACATCTTTGGAGGTCATCAAAGTTGGTTGAGGTGCAACAAGTAAGTTGAGCTAGCAGTCCAATGTTCATAAACTGTAGCACTACTTTGCATAAAGTTACATATTTAAAGCGTGCTGGAATTGCTCTGATTGTAGTTATCTCGGCCAGAAGTTAACATGTCCTTCCCCAAGGGCCATAGTGGTATTGCTTACAGATATGAAGAAGGCCAATCAGTCTTCAAGATTAGATCCAGAGCGTATAACCTAGAGCCATGTACCATTTAAGCGGCAAGAGCCAACTGCCCAACAGGCGTTGGTGGATCTTATTCTCATTTTTCTCTTCCGCTGTGCCATCCGCCATCATCCGAGACCGCGGACCTGGATTGTCTCCAGAGTCCATTATTACGGCAGAGCCAGGACCAGGGCCGGATTGCAATACTCCTTGAAAATACACTCTCCAACATATCAATGTAGTATTTCCATGCCATGAATACGATCTCACCTCAGCATGTCTTCTTTGGTGGTTCTAGTTCCAAAGAGCCTATTGGGGCCGTCGGAGTTCGGAATGTTCAAAAACCCACACAAGCCAACGGCAGTGCCCATCAACCACGCTCTTTTCTGGACCCTCCCTCTCGGACCGGAGATAACCTGGAATTCTGAGGTCAAATCATCCCAGGGCTGACTTGGCGACACGCTCCGCGCTAAACCTAAGAGGGATGAGCTTGCGAGAACGCCTGTAGTTCGGCCCGAATCTCTATAAGATCTGAAGGATTTTTTTCTTTCTACTGTGGCTTTGATGTCATATTCTAGACACGAGGACAATGCCATGCACGACTGGTCCATGGCATTTCCACACAATCTTGCCAAGCATTCATGGTTCCCACGCCTTTGTCGCCTTCTCGCTTCATTTACTATACTAGACAGAGCCGGCCCGATTATCAACCCGCTGGACAAGTCTCAACCCGCGCGGTTCCTGTTCTGCGATTGGTTGCTCTGGTGCGGGTCTTATACTTGTCTCTCCCTAGTCAATTAAACATGGTAGTAGAAACGGAGTAGGCGTGCTTTAAAAATCCGTGGCTTTGGCCTCGCAAGCTCTTCCCCGATGGTGGGGGCTAGTGTTTGCTCAGCCATGCTAATTCATACTTATAGTTCCTGACTCTCAATATTGACGCCTAATATCCTGTCTTTTTCAGGTCCATCTGATCTAGACTATTGGCCTTGTTGTCTATAAATCCTCCTGTCCGAGTCACTTGCGGTTGCAACGTCAATCGTTCCATTCAACAACACATTTACCGCCCATACTTACTTTCGATACCCTTCTCACCATTTATTGATTGCTTTGATATGGCCGAACGACTTCAGTTGGAAATCGGCTGCCATGCTTACGTCGAAGGCGTGGAAACGTCATATGGATACATCCCTACACTAGGAGCCGGCATCGCATACTGCACACTCTTCGGTCTCTCGATGATCCTGCATACAGTGCAAATGACCTGGAAGCGAACATGGTGGACAAGCGTATTCAGCATCGGATGTTTAGGTAAGAACGCTGTCGCATCGTTACCTGTGCCTCCGAGCCCTAACTTGCGAAACAAACCACTGACAACCGCAACAGTTGAAGTAATCGGCTGGGCCGGCCGCACCTGGTCATCCAAATGTCCATATAATTCAACCGCATTTCTAATGCAAATCTCCACCCTCATCATCGGTAGGCCTTACACCCCTGCCGCATATCCAACCACTGCCTAACTAAAAACTCTCCAGCTCCGACCTTCTACACAGCCGGCATATACATCCTCCTAGGTCGTTTCATCCAAATCCTCGGCACTGAATCCTCAATCCTAAAGCCAAAGCTCTACCTCTGGATCTTCTGTACCTGCGATGTAATCTCGCTCGTCATCCAAGCCGTCGGCGGCGGCATAGCCTCCGGAGAAGCCGGCAAGATTGACGGCGATACAGCGCCAGGAACGCACATCATGGTTGCTGGCATTGTCTTCCAGCTATTCTCGATCACCATCTTTGTATTTTGCGCTGCGGACTTTGTCCGTCGCACGATGCGCCACCGATTGTTGCAGTCGCTTACTGGCTCGGTTATTCCTTTGTTTGCTGCGATGGTGCTGTCGATTGTTTGCATCTATATCCGGAGTATTTATCGGACGATTGAATTGTCGCAGGGTTGGTCCGGGTATCTCATTACCCACGAGAGCTATTTTATTGCGCTTGATGGTGCTATGATGATTGTTTCTGTGGCGGTCTTCAATGTGCTTCATCCTGGTTGGTTGTTGCCCGGTGGGAAGACTATTTCGTCCAAGACCGAGAGGTCTTCTACTGATGGGCTGGAAATGAATCGCTCTGTTGATGGGTCTGAGGGTAACCGTGGCCCTCCTCTTCAGTGGTGATTGCTGTTCATTTGATATTGGTTCTTGTTCGGTGTGGCTTTCTTTCTATATAGCTGTGGTTGTTTATTATCCTTAAAGATAGATACTGGTTAAAAAAATTCTTTATAATAAAGAGATAATTAGCGTTAATACAGACCTTTGATTGGTCTCAATAGCAAGGTATATTCAGAATGGCCTATTAAAACATGTTCTGAAGGGTAATCGATGCGCAAAAAATCATCAAGCAAAATGATAATGGAAAGAAACAAGAAAGTGACGCAAGTGCCCAGTCTGGAATAAGGATATTTGCAGCAGTATCGAAACAGCAGCGAGAATTTTGGGCTCGATAAAAAACAAAAGTGCTTGTATTGGTGACACTGGCGCTGGCACTGGAGGCCATCATAAACCCTAATCCAAACACCGCGCGAGAAAACTCCCATGTCCATATCATACACCATCCACGGATCCGATCCAGCCAAAGCTGGCTCCTGCAACAAGCGCAGAAACAGCCCAGACGGATCCCCACATAGCAGCACCTACAACAGAGACATCACGAACAGTTCCAGCCACTTGGATAATGGTATTAAGAAGGATGCCAATTGCAAGCAGTACCGACCGAGAAACCAAAACTCTGGTCTTGATCGAGAGCCTGCCCCAGGTTTTGCGTACAATAGCCGCAATCAAGTATTCGCCTTCACGGTTAGCGCTCGCCGGTTCAGTCTTGCTGATCGTGTATCCAGTAGAACTAGCGAACAAGAAGTCACGCGCAGCCCATCCAGCAGGGACAAGAGTCAGGAAGAGCACTGGCAGGCCAGCAGGTCCAGCGTGCGCGGCGCTGATATCCGGGAGACTCTCGAAGTGCACGACCAGCTGTGCAGGAAGCCAAGATGCGTAGCTGATATACAGCCCAAGACTGAAGATCGAGGTCGCGAGCACACTCGTGAAGAAGGTGATGGACTTGTCCTGCAGGATGCCTCGGTTGGCAATTGCGTCAGAGGGGGTGTGCGAGAGATCGTGGACGGACGACGGCCGGCGCAAGAAGACGAATGGAAGTGCCGTCGAGACAACTGTGATTCCGAAAGAGATCAACGCCGAGGTCGGGCGCACGCCATAGAAGCAGGACAAGAGGGAGTAAATCGGTAGGTGGGTCAAGAAGAGATACGATGCGACATCGCGACCTATATCAAGAAATCATCCTCGAGATCAGCCTTTGTAATCTATAATTATAGCTGCAGCAGAGCTTTGCCTACCGTCAAATCCGAGCACCCAGGCTACCCCAACCTCCACAGCTCTCCAGCCGATCAGGACCCCCACTTCCCACCATTCTTCCAGGTGTTTGCTGATCGGTCCGAGATCGCCCAGAGTCAGGCTGGAGGTAAGTGTGAACAAAATTGAGCTCACGACCAGACTGCTCAAGACGACAAGGACAAATCGCGCCGGGGAAGGAATCCGCATCAGCGCGGAGGACTTCGTCGCGGCATCGGAGTCGCGTGTGGGGTGAGAGGTACTCGTCGATGAAGTCCGCTTCTTGGGAGACATGGCTGCAGTTATTTTTATGGTATGACTGCAAGGCAGGAATTGGATCTGGGATGCAAGTCTCCAAGCGAAGAAGAAGGAATGTGCTAGCGGTGAGCACGTGATGATGTCATTGTACAATTCCAAGGTTTGATAATTTACAGTGGGGCCAAGTGTATAACCCTAAGCATCATCCTCTGTCTCTGCCACGGCAAATTCCACTGTGCCACTTTCACGTCCATGGTTATCTTTAACCACTACTCTGTACTTGCCCTGGTTCCAGAGGTCCTTAATGGTCAACTCACGGGTACGGCCAAGGCTCTCAATGTCGCCAATACGCTCCAGAGTACCCTCCAGATGCGAGTCAAAGTTGTCGAGCTTGCAAATCTCTCGGAAGGCGTTCTGCATAGGCACAGAGTCAGCTCGCACCATGGCTCGCGAGTCAATGGTGAAAATGTTCTCATGATCGTAGGATTGGATGAAATCAGCACGAGTCATAATCTCGCGTGCCTTGTGAAGCGGGATCTCAGGTAGAATGTGGCCTCTTTCTGGGTGGTAGCTTTGCTCCATCTCTTTCTCTTTGTCGACAAGTGCTTTTGCAAGAACCATAGCCGCAGACTGGTAGTTATCTGGTTAGATTGTATTGCATGACAAGTTGAGAGTTCCATGGGTAATACTCACAGAGAACTTTTGCTCGTCCATCACATCATCGTCCATCTCCTTTCCAAGAATCCAGCACTTGTTGAGAAGCCACGTCTTTTCAGCGCGGCAAATTTCGTCACAGGTCTTGTTCATATCCCCGGATTTGGCGACACGGCTCAAGAAGGACAAACGACCACCAACCTTGTCGTAGACTTCCTCTAGAACCGATGATGGGAGAACCTGGTTGTGATACTGCTCACGATATTTCTTCAATGCGGCCATTGCCTTGTCCTTGGGGAGGTCGGTCACGGGAATAACTTCCATACGGGTTGCATAACGCTTCAGGCGCTCATATACCCAGTAATCGTCGCTGTTGAGAACTGAAATCAAGTTGGGTTAGAACGGGTTAAATCAAATACTTGGTCATTCCTTACTGGTAGTGACAAGGCCACTGGCAGCCCATTGCTCTGCCCGTTGCTGAATCATCTCAAGTAAGTCCTGTCCATCATGGTCGTCTCGGACCAAATGAGTGCTGTTGATAATAAGAATCAGGGGAGACGAGCCGGAGCGTCTTCTGGTAAGTGCCACTTTTTCTAACTTGTTGAAGGCACGTTCAATATCTAAAAGCGCAGTGGTATCCCTAGGGCCACGGATGCTGAACAGACTTCCGATATAACTAAAAGGCTGTCAGTATTTTGTTTGTGCTCGATAATAGGGACAACTTGCTCTTCGTGGAATTCATAGTCCAAAGCTTTACCCAGTCTAATGCGGAAAATTTCGAGATCGGCATGGGCTTCAAACAACGCACAGCTGTTACCATTGATCTTGCGCATGGCCTCTAGAAGCATTGAGGTCTTTCCTGTGCCCTTTTCGCCGATCATTAGGTAGTAGTGGCCCGTTACTCTCCCAGCCACGATGTCATCAACCTTAGGTTGCTCATTTCGAATCACCCAGTGCTCCTCGTGCTGGTACTGGTGTTTTCCAGATACAACACCAGCAACCTCAAGGGCGGGATCGCCTGGTTTGAACGCATTGTCCATCTTGTCCAGGATCAAGTACTTATAGTACTGGTGATACCCATAGCCAGCTGCACTTGGGGGAATTCAGCCATGGTGCGGGATCAATTGGGTAGGACTACGTACCCTAGGATGAAAATTGATGCGGCAGTGGTTGCTGCGGTTTCTAGCATTTTTAGAATCGTAGATTTCAAGTTAGGGTCTGAGTCGCCGTTGCGACCCTGACCCTGACCTCGACCTTTGCCCTCATCTGAATCCGGCTGGTCAGTAGGGTCCGGGGTATATTGCCCGGTGTTCTGAGGGTTTGAGTTGAATCGCTTCGGTGTATACGCCACAAGGCGGTTGTTCGACCGAAGTCTTGGCAGGCCCCGCTGTGCATAGCATCTTGCCGGCTGTGCCAGTCTGTTCCATAGCATCCTGGGTTCGTCTTGCCGAAGGAATGGGATGCTTTGAGAGGTGAAGGTTCCAATTGTTTTCACAGAAATTGGGGATAGGCTTCCATGCAAAGCGTATAAAGGAGGGTGGGAAAATGGAATCACAAAAAGGGATGACGCGTCTTGAAAGGGGAAACGAGAGACTCAGCTGGGCTGGAACTGGCAATATAGGAAGTTGAAGGAGAGGCTGAAAGATGCCAAACAAGTCAGAATACGAATGGAGCGAGTGTGGCTTAGTCGGGAGGTGGACTCAGGCCTCAGCCTCGATGAACCACGGATGCACAAGGCTTGGCATTTCGATTCGGTTACGATAGGATGGGAGGATGCGATCTGCTTCACATTCTATTGTTATGTGTGCCTGTGGCTCTTGGTTGGGAGTCTCAAAATTCGTTTTCTTATTCGTTTTGTGCGTCAAACTCCTTTATCCTCAATTCTAACAAAGCAGGAAGGCGATGTACATTGTGAGATTGCAGGTACGTGAATATAGCTACGAGTGGGCTAGCCCAGATAAGCAAATAAGCAAATCCTGCAGCAATGGTGAGAGTACACCAAAATTGCAGGGGTAGATGTAATTTGCTAGTGACGTAGTATGCTGCTGCTATTTTGCCTGACCTATTGTCACAAGGTCCTCGAACAGCTTCAACTAAGACTGAGACCAAATACAAAAAGCCATGCCTTTTTATTCGCAGTATGTGTGATAGTTACGATCCCTCATCTTCAAATGTTGGCCACATCACGACGCCACTGTGTATGTATCCTATGGCCACAAGTCGACGTGTACACAAACATCGACACCTAAGGCACCAAGGCACCCAAAACTAAGTGATAATCGAAGAATTTGTCGGACAATGAAAGTTATACACCCGAGTATATCTCCACCCCACTATCTAAATAGCAAATAGACCACAATCGATCTCAAGAACAAACATCATCTACAAAATCCTCACTGTAGAGTGGAGAAATGGCACTCTCCGCGTCTTCCCCGAACCCACCGCCCGAGCACTTCCGAGGGTATGCCGCATCCGCGAAATTTTCTCTCCGGTTTCCCTGTTTCACCGTCTTAACATCCTATTCAACTTTCTGGGGTACGGGGTTTTTGTTTCTTGCTCAATTGCCCTTCTTACCTTGTATCATACTACATTTTTATTCCTGCCAATTCCCCGCAGGCCTTTTAACCTCTTTTTACCGACCCATTTTTCGACCTTTTGTCCCATCCGCGTGACGGTTGTGGGATAGGGGTTTGTTGCATTTATCCTTTGTCGAAGCTTCGTTTTTCATCAATCCGACACAATGGCGCAGACCAATGGGGAGTTGGAGCACTCGAAAGGTGTGTGTGTTAGCCCTGGAAGCTCGAAGCACGAGACCCGTCACGGTCATCGGGAAACAACCCAGGTCTCGGTAAACTCAGATGGAGGGCATACAGGCTAACGGAGGAACAGAGGCTCCTCAGGCTTCTCAGGAAGTGATCAACAGCGATGCCCCCGAGGGTGTCGAGGAGGACAACACAGGCGGTACGTCGAATCACACCAGACACACTGTAAACGCTCGCTAACTCGAGACCAGGTCTCTTCCAGATCTCTGTGAAGCTTCCTCACGCCCCCTATAAAATTCAAGTGATGGTGCGTGCTAATTTGTGAAAGAAAGTCCAGAAGGATATGCATCTGACTCGTTTACTTGTATAGGTGTCCAGCCAAGAACAGGTTCAGGATGTTCGCCAATCCATTGTCGAGCTACCGGGTACCTTCCAATACACTTGCTTCCACCTCGAATTCAACGGCAGCCGCATCAATGACTTTGTTGAGTTGTCCGAGGTGCCGGATCTTCAGGCCGACTCCGAGATCGTCCTGGTTGAGGACCCCTACACCGAGAAGGAGGCTCGCATGCATGTCGTCCGCATTAGAGAGCTGATCGGTGCTTCCGGTGACCGGGTCGATAACCTCCACGGTATCTCTGCTGGTCTTTCGCTGCACGACGCCATCTCCGCAGACGCTGTCAAGGCCAATGCCTCGGAGAAGGAGCACTCGCTTTCTCAATACGACTTGACCGGAGTTTCATCTCTGCAGACTATCCTGCCCAGCGTGCAGACTCCTCTTCCTAAGACAGTGAAGTCTATCTCTTTGTCTTCATGGAACCCCGTTCCCTACAACCTCCGCCAGAAGGGTCACCTGCTCTACCTTTTGGTCACCACCAACGAGGGTGAACAGTTCCAGATCACTGCTCACGTCTCCGGCTTCTTTGTGAACAAGTGCTCGAACACTAGATTCGATCCTTTCCCTAAGCCTATGCCAAAGGATAAGAAGGGCAGCGCCCACTCGTTGCTTACTTTGATCTCTCACATCTCTCCTTCTTTCAACGAGTCCTTCGAGGCTCTGCAGGAGTACAACAACGAGAAGGATCTCTTGACCACTTTCCCCTTCCAAAACGCCATTCCCAACAGCCCATGGCTCATCTCCCCATCTACCTCCAGCTTAACCGCTCACCAGCCTGATATCACCCGTTCTCAGGAGAACTATCTGATCTCTGGTGTCGATAATGCCGAGACTCTGCGTGACTGGAACGAGGAATTCCAGACTACTCGCGAGCTGCCCCGCGACACTGTGCAGGACCGCGTGTTCCGCGAACGCCTGACCTCCAAGCTGTTCGCCGATTACAACGAAGCTGCTGCCCGCGGTGCCGTTCTGGTTGCCCGGGGTGAGGTTGCTCCTCTGAACCCCACTGAGGCGCGGGACGCCCAGATCTTTGTCTACAACAACATCTTCTACTCATTCGGTGCTGATGGTGTTGGCACTTTCACCTCCGAGGGTGGTGACGAGGCTGCTCGCGTGGCTGTTGGTAAGGATGTTCTCGGAATTAAGGCTGTCAACCAGCTCGATATCGACGGACTCTTCACTCCTGGAACCGTTGTTGTCGATTACCTTGGCAAGCGTATTGTTGGCCAGAGCATTGTCCCTGGTATCTTCAAGCAGCGCGAGCCCGGTGAGCACCAGATCGACTACGGTGGTGTTGAGGGCAAGGAGGTTGTCGCCACTCACTCTGACTTTGTCCCCGTCTTTGAGAAGCTCTCCAAGGCTCTGCGTATCAAGTCCCACCCCGTCTGGGACAAGGATAACAAGCGCCACGACCTCGAGGGAAGTGTTGAGACCAAGGGTCTTCTCGGAACCGACGGTCGTAAATACGTCTTGGATCTGTACCGCGTGGCTCCTATGGATGCCGAGTGGCAGGAAGAGGATGGCAGCGATGTCTATCCCCACCGCATGTCTGTCCTTCGTCTTGAGTTGGTTGAGTCCTACTGGCGCCACAAGATGAGTCAGTACGTCAAGGCTGAAGTGGAGCGCCGTCGTGCTGCCGCCGCCGATGCCCCCAAGGAGGAGGGCAAGACCGACGAGGAAATCGCTGCCGAACAGGAGCGTGTTGATATCTCCGGATTCAACTTGGCTCTCAACCCCGATGTCTTCAGCGGCCAGGTCCCCCAGACCGAAGAAGAGAAGAAGCAGTGGGCCCAGGATGAGAAGGAAGTCCGTGACGCCTGTGACCATCTGCGGTCTAAGGTCATTCCTGACCTGCTTAAGGACCTGCACGACGGCGATGTTGGCTTCCCCATGGACGGCCAGTCGTTGACCCAGCTCCTGCACAAGCGCGGTATCAACTTGCGCTACCTCGGAAAGTTGGCTCAGCAGTCCAACGAGAAGGGACCTCGCCTGCAGGCTCTGTCCACCCTTCTCGTTCAAGAGATGATTACTCGTGCCTTCAAGCACGTTGCCAACCGCTATCTCAGCAATGTTCCTGCTCCTTTCGTTGCTCCCTGCATCTCTCACTTGCTGAACTGTCTCCTCGGTTCCGCCGTCAACGCTGCCCCTAAGGCTGAGATTGACGAGTCTCTGCGTGAGATCTTCCCCGAGGGCGACTTCTCCTTCGAGAAGGTCACCCCCGAGTCTCTCCGCTCCGAGATTGAGAACCAGGTCACCATTCGCTTCCGCTTCTCCCTGGAGAACGGCTGGGCCAACTCCCTGAGACACTTGCAGCTTCTCCGTGATATTTCCATCAAGTTAGGTCTCCAGCTTGGTGCCCGCGACTTCCCCTTCAGCAAGGACCAGGTCAAGGAAGTGGTTGTCCCCGCTCCCACCAACGGCACCAACCGCGAGGAGCCCAAGAAGAAGGGCAACAAGAAGAAGGGTGGTGAGGCCAAGTCTCCCACTCGCGCCCCTGCTCCCGCCAAGCCCGCTACCACTTTCACCGTTGACGACATCCTGAACATTGTGCCCTTGGTTCGCGATGCTGCTCCCCGCAGCGCTTTGGCCGAGGAGGCCCTGGAGGCTGGCCGTATCTCTCTCATGCAGAACCAGAAGCAGTTGGGCCAGGAGCTCATTCTGGAGTCTTTGTCTCTGCACGAGCAGATCTACGGTATTCTGCACCCTGAGGTTGCCAAGCTCTACCACCAGCTTTCCATGCTTTACTACCAGACGGATGAGAAGGAGGCTGCCGTCGAGCTTGCTCGCAAGGCCGTCATCGTCACTGAGCGTACCATGGGTGTGGACTCCGCTGACACCATCTTAAGCTACCTTAACTTGAGCTTGTTTGAACACGCCTCTGGCAACACCAAGACCGCTCTGGTGTACATCAAGCACGCCATGGATATTTGGAAGATCATTTACGGTGCTAACCACCCCGACTCCATCACCACCATGAACAATGCCGCCGTGATGCTGCAGCACCTTAAGCAGTACAACGACTCCCGCAAGTGGTTCGAGGCTTCCCTCTCCGTCTGTGAGGACTTGTTTGGCAAGGAATCCATCAACACCGCCACCATCCTCTTCCAGCTGGCCCAGGCCCTTGCTCTGGACCAGGACTCCAAGGCCGCTGTTGGTAAGATGCGTGAGGCTTACAACATTTTCCTCGCCCAGCTTGGTCCCGAGGACCGCAACACCAAGGAGGCCGAGACTTGGCTCGAGCAGCTCACCCAGAACGCTGTCTCTATCGCCAAGCACGCCAAGGACATCCAGGCTCGTCGCCTGCGCCGCATCAACATGAACCCCCGTGTTTCCACCATGGGCACACGTGTTCAACCCCAGGTCGGCCAGGTCGCCCCTGATGTCTCTGGGGCCCCCCAGCCTTCTGCCTCTGGTCTTGACTCGCGGAACATTGATGAGCTCTTGAAGTTCATCGAGGGTGGTGATGCCGGCAGCTCTTCTCGCTCCAAGCAGAAGAAGCGTGCTGCCACCAGCAACCCCAAGCTCCGCGGCTCCAAGCAGACCCCTCAGGCTTAAACTGGTCCCCTAGACCAACCGGACTGCATCATTTGGTTCCCGCCTTTAATTTCTGGTCATTACATGTGTTAACAGTCAAATAAGTTACTATCTCGATATCCATTGTCATTTTGGGAAACGGTGGGCAGGCTTGATGCGTGAAAAGAATTGTTGTATTTTATTTAGATCTCTCTCCTCTCTTTTTTTTTTGATGTCTTGATCTGTCAAGTTGGGTTTCCCTCGGGCAGTGCATAAAAAAGGATTCGGTTGTTTTATATCGCCTCATCTGGTGCATTATACGGTGGTATGAATCTGGAATTTATATGGGATCTTACGACTTGGGTCAATTCTCTTTTTGGGTAGAATCCATCACGTTCATATGTTCATACGTTCATACATGCTTCTACAGAGTACATAATATAATTGACGAATTGAATACATTTAATACCAAAACATCAAAATGTGTTGCCCCAGTAGGCAAAATGTGTACCGATCCGCCTTACCGCTTTGGGGTGTGTTTGTTTACTTTGTTCGTGTTCATCAATGTTGTCATGCATCCACTTAACGCGCTTTGTATTTCTTCATACCTTAACGTTATCTCATTGGTGTATTGCTCAGACGCAAGCGATTATTGCTGAGTATCTTTTGCTATTCCTCTTCTTTACCATGTATAACTGAGGGGCTATTTCGTACGGGGTGGTTGGTGCAATGCGATCCCAAGACTGCAACATTGGAACAGTGCTGATATTTCAACAAGTGTATGCGTTTAGCAGATATCTTTATTTATTTCTCCCCATGGACGACCTCCAATCTAGCGCAAGATGGGCGAACCGTGTTCTGCGCCCTCTGACCTCCATCTGTCGTCGGATCGAAAAGCACCAACAGACGCTATCCCAGATCGCAACCGAGTCAAGGAAACAAGAGGCAGCACACAAAGAAGCGGCAGTGGATACAGAGAAGCAAGATGATCCTGTGGATATTCTTTCAACTTCCGACGCGGACGAAAATGACCCAGTCTGGATCCCAGGGAAGCTCGAACGGCGCCGCGCAAGACACAAATATTCCAACAGAGGCGAAGAAACCGGTGGAAGGAAGCGTAACAGACTATCTCTACAAAGCCCTGAAGCACCGCGGGCTCTCCCTGGCTCCATCGAGATCGCGACACCACAAATCACAGGCAGACGATGGCAAATGCCTCCGAGCGCGCAGTCGCAACGCTCCATTGACCGACCTAATTCCATTCCTCGGCCTGTCCAGCAACAAGCATTTCGTGATCGATACTCGTTGTATAAGAGTCCTTGGCAGGAATTGCTTGACGAATGTGGTGACCCGACCTTCGCCGACATAGCCCACAATCTCGACCGTGTTTTCCAAAACTTCCTCTTCAATACTCAAATCTCTAAGAACGATGCAAATCCTCTGGCAAAAAGAGAGGCGACTCGTGGAGCTCCGTCTTTAATGTCGATGCTCGCGCGACGCCTACCCGCGTTCATCGCGCTTGAGCAGAAAGCACAAGATGACCTTGACAAAGATGGAGACGAAGATATGTGTGATGCATACTTTACAGAGTTAGAAACTTTTTATGCGCCTCATGGTTCTGGGTGGAAGCCGCTCCGCGAGGCTACTCGTGCGCAGGGTATACATTTGGTTGCTTCGGTAATACAGAATCACTGGGTCACTGATGGCATTGCCTGTGCATTGATTGAAAAGTGTCGCTCCTGTGCTCCTGATGCTTGTCAGTCTCTTCTTTCGATATTGCTTTCCACCCGCAGGTCGTATCCATACCCGACTGCCTTGAAGTCTCCCGATCAACCTGCTTCCTCTGGGGACGCAGTCAGTCTATTGCGCAAGTATGCGCACCATGGGGTTGTTCCTCGGTCTTACGTTTTCGATCAACTTGCAACACTTCTTTCACGAGGGGTGCTGCCTCCTGAGTGGATGGCAACTAAGCTGTGGACTGTATGGGTGACACGAGCGACAATATCGTTCTCAAAGCAAGATAATGACTATGTTGCAGCTTTGAGACTGATGGAAGCAATAGTTCTCTCGGCGAGTGATGTACGCCCCGCTGCTGCTGCTGTGCAGTCTTCTTTAAAAGTTCCCGCGGAACCCAAAAACAAGCATGTCCGTTCTCGTGAATCCAGGACATCTTCCATGGGAGCATGGCAAAATCCGGATCTTACCCAGACCTGCCCGTTGCAAGTCGAAGATGCGCTCAGCAATCAGGTCATAAGTCTCATGGCAGCGATGTGTGGTATGCACATCTCACGCTCTCGTGCCAGCGATAATATCGAATGCCAGAGTGGAACAAAGGCTGGCCATATCATCAGCTATATCATGCTTGCTCTGCAACAAAGCATGGACTTGAGCTCGGTTTCCCAGCGGTTGAACATCACGCCGCATCAACTATTACGGCGCGGCTGTATCTTACTTGGTACCAGCATTGTACAGTCCAATGATACACTTGTGTCTGATGACCATAATTGCACAATACTATCGAACACTAATGTTGATGAATGTGCGCGGTCTATTGCCTCTCGCGCAGATATGGTTAAAGAAATGGCATTGTTCGTACGACAGGCATTCCGTGGCCTCAAGACCGGCACAGAAACCGAGCGTGATCCTGTAAGCGAAGACGTACGCCGCATGATTAACCAACTGTCTTGCCTGGCAGATACACCAGGTCTGTCTATTCTCCTTGGAAAAGTGGCTGCGGAATCTGCCATGATATTTGCAGAGGCCACAGACGACCCAGAAGATCTTGTTTGGGCAATCGAGGCTCAAGAGACAGTTGTCAAAATTCAAGGTCGGCAAACGCCCGAGGAATCTGAGGAAGACTCTGATGAAGAAGTCGAATTTGAGCAGCCTCTGCAAAGCAAGACTTTATTCCGCTGGGAAGAAAGTATAGGCGAGTGGGTGGCACGTACGCCAATAAGCAAGGCCAAGCCCAAACCAATTCTAGTGCAGAAGTCCCCAAGGCCCTCATTGCGGATGCTATCAAGTCCCGGTCCCAGTATTTCTTACACCGACAAAAGTGACACATCAGAAGATGAAAGCTCTAGAGACTCTATCTCCAGAGTGACTTCATCTCCTTCATCAGTGGCCGCCCCTCTTCCGACAGCCCCGAAGCGCACACTGGAAGACACGGATTCTGTACATTTTCCGTCCAGAAAACGATACCGACCCACTCCAGTTGTTGTTATAGACCATGAGAAGCGCAGCGCCCGAAGACGCTCACCTTCGCCTAATCGATACAACTCCACTGTGGAACCGGTCCCTCGCCGTGAAGCCCTACGAGAAAGACGTAATGTCAATGTGCGAATGGCCCCTGCAAAGCAAGGCAGCAAGGTCGCAGTTGTCGTGGTCAACAACCGAGAAACTCGCACTCGGCAGGATGCACCCCGGCCTGTATTAGAGCAGGGTGAGAGGCAAATCCATCGCACAGTGGAGAGACGCCGGCCTGCGCGCAATTCCCGTCCACACCCCTGCCATGCCTGCCATGCCCAAAATAGGTGGGAGGCGCATCTCCCAATTTGTTATTCCCGACTCTCAAGAAGAGGATTCTGATGATGAGCTCAGTTTTCTGTGAGTGGGGCCGCCTGGGCTTTCTGAACTGGTTCTAGTTGGGCCCATTATAGATTACCTCGCCGGGAAGAGAGGTCAGTGAACCTCCAAGCTTGTCGTTGTGCCATGGTTATGGCGTCTATCCCATTTTTGTTTTGCGAAGGGGCCTCTTCTTAAAAATTGGAGCGTTTGGATACCCACATGGCCGAGATGGTCCGAATGCCGTATGAACAAGATCTTGGTTGAATTCATTTGATGGGAACGGTGGATATACTTTTGGGGGGTTTTTTTTGTTTCTTTTTTTTTCTGGACAAACCGGTGTTTTGGCCCTTTTTTCTTTTGATACCCTTGGCCTGAATTGGAGTTTTGGATGTTCTTGTTTTCTAGATCGTATCTTTGCCCTCAAGTTCTGGAGATTTGATTAGCAGTGCATGTCTTGACTTGGACCTGGCTCTGGATCTAGACCACGGTGCTAAGAATTCAACGCTTACATCCTCGGACAAACAACCTAAAGCGACCCCCAATTTATCTGGCACTTCAAGACAAGCAAACTGGAAGGCCGGCGCCAACGCGGGAGGATAACCTGCGTAGTTATAGGCCTGCAGCATGCCGTTAACCTATGAAACATGAGATAGTGAATTCATACGTTTCGGATGCCAAGCTACTTCAACAAGGCTAAGCAATGAAGGCAGTTGACCATTAACACCATGGATCCAAACGGAGCCCCTCGGAAGCCGATTCCCATTGTGGCCTTGTGGGAGATGAAGGTCTGATATAGATGAAGTCCGCCGGGGCGCCAAGCCTTTCCCCCTGATTCCCCTGAGATAACCGGGGATCTCACCTGTACTCCTTCACATCTTTACACATTTACACATTTACAGTGTGGCTTGCTCAGGAAGTTATGACCGGCGTGTTTCACAACCCTCAATTTGGGTGAGATCTCCGTGAGTTTCCAGGACTTTCGGATGATGTGGGCGCTAAACGGAATGTGCCGTGGCGAGCAGAGAGCTCTCACTCTACGCATGCACACCTCCTGAGCCCACTGAGAGTCTCCACCGTAGCCCAATACTAGCAGCATATTGGCCCCCGACCAAGCAAGGGCTCTAATTTCAAACAGCCAGTCGTTGGCCAAGCCTTGTTGCGGATCGACTTTTGGCGCCGGCTGATTTCTCTTCAAACTCTGCTCACTGGTTGTTTCATCACTAGCCAGTCACAGTCTCGAGGACCACCCCCCGCCACTCGATGGCAGTTAGCTTGGACCTGTCGCATGTCGCATGTCCATTTTCTGCTAAATCTTGCGGAAGACGATCTGTAATCTAGTTGTCTGATTCGACCCAGGGATTCGAGGGCATCGCTATGAACACCCCTTGACACCCGTCAACCCTGCCGCCAAACCCCTCAGAATTAAATCAATTATCAACTAGGAGAAATCGGTTACATAGCATGGCACACGGGCCAAAGCCCAGCCTTGCTTGGCTTCTTTACATATTAGTTCCGGTGGCCCTTGTCGCTTGTCTCATACTCTCCACTCTTTATGGAAGAGACGGTTTCTCTTGTTCCTTTCTTCTTTCCTTCGCTTCTTCTTTGTGCTTTATTTTTACAATTGACATTGTTTCATTCTTCACTTTGCCTTTCTTTCTGAGACAATCGTCATTGTGTGACGAAGTTCCATCTTTAGCCCTTTGCAGTGACTGGCTCACCAACATTCCTTTCGTTGCCAGCCGACAACAGCCTTTTTAAGACATATTTCCCTGCTCAGTCCTTTCGTCCGATCTTCTCTGAGCACAATTGCATCGAAAGCCACCGCCAATCGCTATTTTCATGCTGTTTCCTCTGATTTCTATACGTTAGATATAGGCAGGCCCTGCACTCGACATCGACCACCCAACGCAGATCGAGGCTAGGACTCTTCTCCCTTGCTCTTCTTTTTGACCTCATCAAACAACTGGGATTGTTTCGACTGCTGTGTTACGTTTCAACAATATCGACCGAGCAAAGCCTACATTGGCTTTGGTCTCGATATAACTGCCCCTTTTCACTCTTTTTGTAGCGAGCTGGTCTCGCTGAACAGATATTCAAGTCACCCCTGGCTTTAGGACCTGCAGCATTCTAGCGGGACACCATGCAAGTCATTCTGCTCGCCATGTCCCTGGCTGGACTGACCAGCGCAATGGACATCGAGAAGCGTTACGCCAAGAGCTCTTCCGAGATGTACTATGAAGCCGTCAACGACGACTTGGCCCGCTATACAATCCTCGCACTCGGCTGTGCCGCTGCCGCGTACTATATTTGGCACCTTTGGTTCCGCTTCTCGGCGCATCTGCGCCGTCTGTCCAGCTTCAGCGATGATAGACAACGATACTTTGTGTCTGCTCATGATACCTTTTCTTGGGTCAAGGAACACATCATCTATGCAGCTCTGTTCCGCACCCGCCACAACCAGGAAATGCAGCTTTCCTCGGCTATTAACATGGGTACCTTGCCCAGTCGTTTCCATGCATTCCTTGTCACAGGCATCGTCGCCATGAACGTCGCCCTCTGCTGCGTCACCACCCCTTATGGATCCAAGGAAGACACCGTTGCTGGTATCGTGCGTAACCGTACCGGTACCATGGCCACTATCAACATGATCCCTCTGATCATCATGGCAGGCCGTAACAACCCTCTGATTGCCATGCTCCGCGTGCCCTTCGACACATGGAACCTTCTGCACAGATGGCTCGGCCGCATTGTAATCCTTGAGGCTCTCGCTCACGTCTTCGCTTGGGCAATCCCTAAGGGCCAAGAGAAAGGCTGGAAGGTTGTCGCCATGGCTATGACAGGAAGCAGCTTCCTACTCACCGGCCTGGTAGCAGCTATAGCCTCTGCCGCGCTCTTAGTACACTCGCCCTCGCCCATCCGCCACGCTTTCTACGAGACATTCCTGCACCTCCATTTCGCCCTTGCAGCCGTCTTCGTTGGCTTCCTCTGGGTTCACCTGAACGGATTAGCTGCGCAGACCTACCTCCTCGCAGCTATCATCCTCTGGGCACTCGAGCGAGCAACCCGTCTGCTCATCATCCTCTACCGCAACTGCGGCCGCGAATCAACAACTGCAACAATAGAAGCCATGCCCGGCGACGCAATGCGCATTACCCTGCGCGTAGCCCGCCCCTGGACCTTCCGCCCCGGTCAGCACATCTACCTCTATATCCCTTCAGTAGGATGGTGGACCTCGCACCCCTTCTCCGTTGGCTGGAGCGACTCAGAAGACACCATGTCTGACGAAAAGTCCCTCCCACTGAATAGCCAAGACATCCTCAGCGCCCCGCAGAAAGAAACAATCTCCCTCCTCGTCCGCCGCCGCACAGGCATGACCGACAAGCTCTTCCAACGCGCTGCAAATTCCATGGGCACACCCCTGACCGTGCGTGCCTTCGCCGAAGGCCCTTACGGAAACATCCACACTATGGATTCCTACGGCACAGTCATGCTCTTTGCCGGCGGCGTGGGCATAACCCACCACGTCCCCTTCGTCCGCCACCTGGTTGCCGGTTTCGCAGATGGAACCGTCGCCGCGCGCCGCGTGACTCTCGTCTGGATCATCCAGTCCCCTGAACACCTGGAGTGGATCAGGCCGTGGATGACGAAGATCCTGGCTATGGATCGTCGCCGTGAGGTTCTCCGAATTATGTTGTTTGTTACCAGACCTCGTAATACGAAGGAGATTCAAAGTCCTTCGGCTACTGTGCAGATGTTCCCTGGCCGTCCCAATATCGATACCCTCATTGGCATGGAGGTTGAGAATCAGATTGGCGCTATGGGTGTGCTTGTTTGTGGTAACGGTGGGTTGAGTGATGATGTGAGAAAGGTCTGTCGGAGACGACAGGCCAAGTCCAATGTTGATTATGTGGAGGAGAGTTTCACTTGGTAGATATGGATGTACGTATGTGAGACTGGTGTCTCATTTTTCTTTTTGGGATTTGTGTGTATGAGCGTGTTGAGAGGTCGCTGTCTTGTTTTTTTGTGTCCTGTTTGTTTTCGGGGTTTCATCCGTTTGGTCTATATACTGCGGCTTTCGCCTTGGTATATTGCACTCTGTTTCTTTTGTTCCTGCTTCGCAGCTGGCTTTCACTGTATACTTTTTGGTTATTCTCTTCTCTTGGCGGCGACCTATACTGTCTTTTGGACAGTATATTGGGTAGACATCGTGAGGAGCTGCACATATCTCTGCAAATATAAATTACGTGGTGATTCAAACTCTTCTTTGTATCGTGGTATTCAGATAGAGCATAATCACAGTCATGTTAGTTCATGAGTCAACAGAACAATCATCTTCATGATATTATGGAATATGCTTAAATACAATCAACGAACTCATTGAGATACGACAAGTCTCATCCAAAATCAAGCATAAATGCTTATTATCAGACATTGTCATTTCCCTCTTTAACAGCAGCACCCATAGCCTCAGCGTCGGTCTGATACGCCTTGAACTTCCTCGCGGGAACCTCCCTAACAAACATCTCATCTAGTTCAGCATAAGTCCGACCCGCAGTCTCAGGCTGATAGAACCACAAGTAAACCAGACAAATCACAGCAAGACCACCAAAGATGAAGGTAACCTTTGCACCAAGATTTGCCTGATCAGGATTGAAAAGATACGGCAGAACAAACGACCACATCGTATAAAGCGCATTCTGCAATGCCAATCCAATAGCAATAGTCTTGATGCGCAGTCTGGAGGTGGAAACTTCGGCGAGGATGGTATATCCTGCCGATCCAATGGTCATATTGTACCACCAGCAGTAGATCAAGATCAAAGCCACGGTACCCTTGATCGCACCGGCAGAGTTGGGGTTCGAGGTCTCTGCTCCCACAACCGCCAGTCCACCGGTCAACATCAGAATGATGGTCAATATGCCCAAACCATAGAGCATGATGTTTCGACGGCCCAGTCTGTCGATCAAGAAGTAGGACATGATATTGCCCACAAGTGAGCAGACCTGCTGCGCAATTTGAAGTCTGAAACTCATTTCGGTGCTATACCCAGCCAGCTGGATGTAGTATGTCGAGTAGCCGGCGGCGAAAATAATCCCGGACAGAGCCTGGATGCTCAGGGGGAGGATGGAGATGATCGTACGACGCAAATTGGAGTGACGGAAACATTCCAGGTAGGTGACGCCCTCGGTCTCGCGCTTGATGTCCTCAAGAGTCACCTTGATGCTGGCAAGCTTTCTGACTCGCTCTTCTTCACTGTAGCCTAGTTTCTGGAGACTGTTGAGCGCCTTGTCGTCGCGGTTCTTGGATACCAGCCACCAGGGTGACTCTGGCATAAATGATATGAAAGCGAGTGCAATTGCAGCGTAGCCGTACTGGGCTACGAAGACGGCACGGTATGCCCATCGATTCGTATAAGTTCCTGTTGTGTTTGTGATCAGGGCGACGACGAAGGGGCCGATACAGTAAGCCAGAGCCGAGAGACAGGTGAGGGTGCCGCGAAGGGCAAGAGGGGAGATCTATCAAATTGATTAGTATAACCCCAGAAGTAGATGTCACTGTCAGAGACAAACTCACCTCTCCAATATAAGTAATAGGAACAGATGCCAGCGCTCCCAAAGCAAACCCATTCAGGAACTTGCCCCCAAAGAACATCTCATTAGTCGTCGCAACAAACTCCAACGTCACAGCAGCGACAGTAATCACGAGAGATATTCCAATCGTGAGTTTACGCCCAATAGAATCAGCAATCTGACCCGAGCACAGCGCCCCCACGACGGCCGACGCCACGGGCGCGCCACTGAATGCCGACTGCCACTTCGCCTCCAGAACCCAGGCGCCTTCATAGAAATGTCCAAAGTCCTTGCGGAACTCAGGGATTCCCGTAACGTTTCCGGAGGCTTGGTTCTCGAAACTGACCAGCAGGATGCACCATACAGCGTAGACGCACCATGCGAAGGTCCACGGGTATTTTCTCAAGCTCTGCCATTTTCTCAGTTCGTGGTCTTCTTGATTGGCCAGGTGGCCGAGATGTTGATCATCGGTGTCCTCGATTTGGTCGGTGCTGGGTTTTTCCATGGTTGTCTGGAATCAAGGGGTATGGATGGGGTGAGGGTGTAGTGTATATCAAACGAATTCCAGAAATGGAGAACTGGGAGTCAGGCAATGTATTTGATCCCCGATGATCCTTAAACAAGGCGGAGGTGGTGCATTTATTCTTTTCTCCGCATTGGCAAGGATAGGACTATCCCGAGACGGGACCGTATAGCAAGCCGACAAAGCCGGAGTAGAGATTTCAGCCACGCGCTTAACGCATCCGAATTGGGATCCTCGTACTTTCCAGTGACTGACTCCTGATTCCGGGTATAAAAGCCGAGGAGAGACCAGGGGGGAAAGGCAAAGAGAGATCAGATGTGTGGGGGAACCCCAGACGCACCCCGGATTCTGTGTTCGCCCGAGGTTTTGCCGCCGAGAGGGAAATGGGAAGCACTCGGGGGATCTTTCGGCCTTACTTTGAGCAGAGGGGAGATGATGGACTATTGGGATAGACTGGGATAGACTTTTTGGTGGCATGATGATGATTCATCGGTAAAAGATACTATAGGCTCCAGTCGTAGACGCAAACTAGATTCACAACTCATAAGACCTAGCCCTAGCAGACACTGTGACCTTCCCGACAATATCCTGTATAGACCGCCCAACAGCAATATCATAGTCGCCCTGCTTCAGCTCCCATCTTTTAGTGTTGTCGCCGAAATGAGCCAACTGCCGGGCTTTAAATCTAATAGTAACAGTCTGAGTCTCCTGAGGGGCAAGATGGACCTTGGCAAACCCAACCAACTCCTTCACCGGATCCTCACTGGATGCAACCTTTGCTCCAGCATAAACCTGAACAACATCAGCACCGGCCCGAGAGCCAGTGTTGGTGACAGTAGTTGTAATCGTAAAGTCCTCTGCATCATCAGAGGTTGTTACTGTCGGGATTCCATGGCTGAATTGCGTATACGAAAGACCATAGCCGAATGGGAAGAGGACCTGAGAGCGGTGTTCCTCGGATCGGTCATAGTGTCTGTATCCCACGAAGATCCCTTCTTCGTAGGTAACATGAAGGTTTCCGTCGATGTATTCACCGGGGAAATTGCCATGGGCAGGAGCATCTTCGAGTCTGCGCGGGAAGGAGACCGGGAGACGACCAGATGGGTTGACTGCTCCAGTGAGAACGTCTGCAATTGCGTTACCGGCTTCTTGTCCCGGGAACCAGGCTTGTACGACGGCCTTGACATCGTCAAGCCAGGGCATGCTAACAGCTACGCCGGTGCAGTTGACCACGATTGTGTTGGGGCTTGCTGCGCTCACAGCTGCCACGAGGCGGTCCTGGGATCCGTTGCTGGGGAGGTTGAAGCTCATTTGGTCCTGGCCTTCTGTTTCCCATTCGGGTGTGTGGCCGGTGAAGACAATTGCAAGGTCGGAACGTTTTGCGACTTCTACAGCTTCGGAGATGAGATCCTTATTGTGCTCTTTCTCAGTCATGAAGCCGAATCGGAAGCCTAGGTATCCGTCTACGAGAGCGAAACCGCCGCTCTCGGAAGGCTTTAGTGTGATTATCTCTAGGTTGTAAGTCTTTCCAGCTTCAAAGTCCCACTGGACCTCGGGCTCTTTGACTCCACCAAGCAGGAATGCCATTGAGTCGGGGCAGTTTTCTTTTTGTTCGTATACGGTCTTTCCATCGATGAGGATCTTGGAGAGCCCTAATCCTGACATGCCAAGGTAGTGACGACCGCTTTGTGTTGGGGTGAAGCGACCAGATGCCTTCAGGCTACCCCAAGCCTCTTTGACGAAAATCGGCATGTATGTTGGCACATCAGAGTGCTTCGAGGAAGATGGGTTGCCTGATGGTTCTTCGCTAAGGAAAAAGTCCAAGGTCCATCCAGGCTGGCCGTCACGGTCCACAACCATCGTTTCCATCAATGGTAATTGGCGGAATGTGTGGGCGCCCTGAGCATATTCGAAATCAACAGCATCACCGAGTGCAGCACGGAGACCCTCTTCGGGTGTAACACGGTAGTGAGCATTGACAGATGCACTGCCACCACCGTGTATCAAACCCTCTTTAGCGAATCCCAACAGAGCAACCTTTTTGTTGCCAAGCTGCTCCTTATTCAAAGGCAAGATGTTACTGTCATTCTTGAGAAGAACCAGGCCTTGACTGCCAACTGAGCGGATAAGCTTCTGGTGCTCTGGTTTATTAATGGCTTTTTCTTCTGGAATAGTTGGGTCCTCGAAACAGCGAAGTTTGGCCTCGAACTCGAGAACGTTGCGAGCCCGTTCGTTGATGGTCTTTTCTGAGACTCGGCCAGCCTTTACTTCCTCAAGAACAGCCTCAACATTTCGCCACCTGGTGGGACCGGGCATCTCAAGGTCAAGGCCAGCCTCAAGAGATCCAGCAGTCGAGTTCGTGCCGCCCCAGTCACTCATGACAAGACCATTCCATCCCCATTGACCGCGCAAAACATCTTCGAGAAGAAATTTGCTTGAATCGGCATGGTGACCATTGAGAATATTGTACGAAGTCATGACTGCCATGGGGTTGGCTTCTTTAACGGCAATCTCGAATGGCTTGAGATAGATTTCACGAAGAGCCCTTTCGTCAATGTGAGCATTCACTGTGAACCGACAAGTTTCCTGCTCGTTGGCGGCAAAGTGCTTGATTGTGGCTGCGACGCCCTTCTCTTGCAGACCGTTGATATACTGCGCGGCCATTTTACCGGCAAGCAACGGATCTTCAGAGAAAGACTCGAAATTGCGACCACCGAGCGGATGCCGATGAGGGCAGACAGTTGGAGCCAGACTGGATAAGTCATTAGCAGAGCGTTATTTGAATTCGGTTCGGGATCCTCACAGTGCACGAGCTCCCTTGGATTGCGTCTCTTCTGCGAGGGCATTTCCAATGTTCCTAGCAGCTTCCACGTCCCATGTTGCTGCTAGGAGACAAGATGCCGGGAAACAAGCAGCTGTTGGGCCGCCCTTGAAGGTCGCACCTCGCGCTCCATTGGGACCATCGGATACCTGAGGTGTGTCAATCAGTCTGCTAGTTGCGAGTGGGAGTTCATTACTGTACTTTGACTGAGGGGACGCCCTTCTCCGGAATGTCCACTGTCTCCCAGAAATTCTTTCCAGCCAAAAGAGAGACTTTCTCTTCCAATGTTAGCTGGTTTAGAATAGCGCCTATGTCAGGAGTAGCAGTGTATGAACCCATGATTTCGAGGTGAAGGGAGCATGAACAGGAAAGAACCGATCAGGACTGTCAAGATTCTCTCAGCTCGGCAGGATTCCGTCAGCATTCTGTCATCGGGGTCTCCCTGTGGAGAAATCCGTCGGCCCAAACAAGCAGGAATTAGCACGCGAGACAGCCTTGAAGGGGCGGAACACGCGGATATCCGAAGTTCACCCGGATGCCTCCGGCTAAACCTCGGCTCTGAACATCTCCAACATTTCCACAGGTTAAAGTTAAGATGATTGCAGGATTATTCAACTCGGGCATATTTAGCCCGAAAAGGTCACCCGTTCATGACAGGTGTACATGTACTTCAAGAGTCAGTTGAAATCCATTCAGCTCGTCGTTTTCTCACATCAAATGTGAAAGAAGTATACAATGTCGTCACCATCTATAACATCGTTATCCTTTGAGCAACATCCCACGGGCTTGGGGATCGGAGAATCTCAGCCTCGCCTCTCATGGCGATTCACAGCAAATGAACAGACAAGCCAAGACTGGGAGCAAACAGCATACGACATGGAAATCGCCCAACATTACTCGGCGCCAGAAACATATCATGTGAAAAGCCCCAACTCGGTCTTAGTCCCCTGGCCAAGTCAGCCACTCAAGTCTCGAGACATCGTACGCGCTCGAGTTCGGGCATATGGACCAGACTTCACCCCCACCGAATGGTCAGACTGGAGTACCGTGGAATGTGGTTTGCTTCATCGGGAAGATTGGACCGCACGCGCTATCACGAGCAGCAAAAAGCAGTCCAAAGGTCCTTTACGGCCTATCCGCTTCCGACAGACCTTCACTGTCCCTTTCGAAAAGGTGCGGCGGGCTCGTCTTTACATCACTAGTCTGGGGGTGTTCCAGGCGTATATTAATGGTGTGCCGGTTGGTGATCATTGCATGGCTCCTGGTTGGACAAGCTACCACCATAGACTCAACTATGAGGTTTTCAATGTTTCCTCACTTTTGCATAAGAATGAACCAAACACGATTGCTGTTGAGGTTGCCGAAGGCTGGTATGCTACTCGACTGGGATTCCATGGTGGAAGGCGATTCATCTACGGGGATGAAATGGCCCTCATTGTCCAGCTGGAAATCCAATCTGAGAGTGGCGATCAATTGAATATCGCATCTGACTCAAGTTGGAAGAGTCACGGCTCCGCAATTGTCAGTAGTGAGGTCTATGATGGCGAGGTGTATAATGCACTTGATGAACAAGATGGCTGGAACGATTGCTTTTTCACATCAGATTCGACCTGGGAGCCAACTCGAGAGGTGAGCTTCCCAAGTGCTGAGCTCGTGGCTCCCAATGCCCCTCCTGTGAGAGTCACGGAAGTGGTCAGGCCGAATCAGATTATTGTAACACCATCTGGCAAAGTGGTTGTCGATTTTGGGCGGAATTTAGTCGGTCGTGTCCGAGTTTCAAACCTCACAGTCGACCGTGGGGAGAGTGTCACGTTGACTCATGCTGAAGTTCTCGAAAACGGAGAGCTGGGAACTCGTCCTCTTCGTGATGCTAAGTGCAGTGACAAGATCGTCTCAGCAGGCAATGAACTCGATTGGGCCCCCCAGTTCTCATTCCATGGATTTCGCTATGTTCAAGTCGACGGATGGAATCCAGATCACAACAACATCGTTGCTGAAGTAATGCATACTGATCTCACTCGTACTGGCTGGTTCAACTGTTCTCATCCTATGATTAACAAGCTTCACCAAAATGCCACTTCGTCGATGCGTGGGAACTTCCTTTCTATTCCAACCGATTGTCCACAAAGAGATGAGCGTCTAGGCTGGACTGGAGACATCCAAGTGTTTGCCCCTTCTGCTAGCTTCCTCTATAACACATCGGGCATGCTTGGTGATTGGCTGAGGGATCTATCGGCCGAACAACTCCAAACTGCAAATGCAATCCCTCCATTCGTCATTCCAAATGTCATCCCCGAAGAGGCTTGGCCTTCCTTCCCACAGGCAATTTGGGATGATGTGACAATTCTGCTGCCTTGGACCTTATACCAAAACTATGGTGACCTTGAGCTCCTCCGAAGGCAGTACCCTAGTATGACCGGCTGGTTAGATCGAGGAGTCCAGCGCGGACCTGACCGTTTATGGGACGATACTCTCTTCCAACTTGGAGATTGGCTAGATCCCACCGCACCACCAGATCAACCAGGCAACGCGCGAACAGACGGGACACTCGTTGCTGACGCATACCTTGTACACGTCACGAAGATATTAGCCGAGATCAGCTCAATCATCGGCGAAAGTTGCAATGCAGATCGATATGCAACCGAATATCAAAGCCTGAAATCGCGCTTCCAAACAAAATACGTTACCCCCGAGGGCTGGTTAGTAGGCGACACACAAACAGCTCTCAGTCTTGCTTTAGTATTCGATCTAATTGATGACCCTGCAAAAGCGTCAGCAGCAGGTGCGCGTCTAGCGCGGCTGGTTCGAAAGGCCAAATTCCAGGTCTCAACTGGGTTTGCAGGGACACCGGTTATCACGCATGCATTGACCAAAGCCGGATATCCCCAATTAGCATATCGCATGCTTCAAGAGAAGAACTGTCCCTCGTGGTTCTATCCGATCACCATGGGTGCTACCACTATCTGGGAACGGTGGGATAGCATGCTTCCGGATGGATCGATCAACCCTGGTGAAATGACAAGTTTCAATCATTATGCCCTTGGATCAATTATTAATTGGCTGCATCAGACCGTTGCTGGCGTCGGTCCCCTTGAGCCAGGCTGGCGGCATATTCGTATTCAGCCAGTACCCGGTGGTACAGTCACCTCTGCGGAGGCTATTTATGAGACTGCCTATGGGCGGTTGGAGTGTCGATGGAAGATTGGGCACGGTGGTCAGTTTTGTCTTGAAGTGATTGTGCCTCCAAATTCTAGAGCGGGGGTCATCATGCCGAGTCAGATTGGAGAGAAAGAAGATATCAAGTGGATTGGTTCAGGGAAATATTCTTTCTCCAAGACGTTTGATAGTCAGGCTGGTTGGCCTCCGAAGGCACTAGTACCCCCAATGTTTGCACCTGAGGATAGTTTTGTTTGATACGTGCTATATCAGGAAGCCTCCGAACCACAGTATGGAGAGTATAAATTTTGCAACCCTTGTTTTGCCACTATTTCCTTCCACCTAGAAATGCGCGTATAGAACTAGATCGTCGGGTCTGGTTCCTATCTAGGATTAGCTCATTACCTTTATGACTTTTCATTGGCTCGGGATCATATATATGTGGGCTATCTCTATACGCGTATCTGTACCACGATCCATTAAAGACTAAAAAACTAAAAAAAGGATTGTTTCTGTTTCATAGGGAGTGCTTAATGTTTTATAAAGGAATCAATACTTTTCCAGAAGATCAGATCAACCATAAACTCACAACCCTCGACTTCTTCTTAGCGGCACACACACCCTCAACATGAATCAGCTCGTGTCCCGTGGCTATCAATTCTGGGACTATGTGCCCTCAATACCTGCAGCGGTGATCTTCATGCTTATATTTCTGGCTCTTACGGGGCTTCACACATGGAAGATGATTACAGCGCGAACATGGTTCTGTATATCATTCACCATTGGAGGATTTTGTACGTGGGCTTCCTCACTTATTGAATTTTGTCTACACCACAAGGACAATCACTAATTTGACCACTATTACAGTTCAAATCATCGGCTATATAGGCCGCTGTGTTGCACACAACAATACAACAACAATGGGACCTTACATCGTCGCGAGCATCTTCCTTCTTCTCAGCCCAACCCTCTTTGCCGCAACAATCTACATGACCCTCGGTCGTGTAATCCGCCGTGTGCAAGGCGAGCACCTCTCGCCAATCCGAGTATCACGCCTTACGAAAACCTTTGTTTGGGGAGATGTCCTATCTTTCGTCGTCCAAGGCAATTCCTCTTCTTTGTCCATACTGGGATATCCACAATGGGCGAAAGTATGCGTGGTCGGCGGATTGGCAATTCAATTGGTTTCTTTCACGCTGTTCTGGGTGACGGCCATTGTCTTTGCTAGACGGCTTCGTCGATCGCCTACATCTGAATGTGTCAAGCCTGGAGTTCCTTGGAAGCAATCGTTAAATATGCTTTATGCTGTCAGTGGGTTGATTTTGATTCGATCAATTTTCCGGATTGTTGAATATGTTATGGGTAACGATGGGTATCCTCTGATGCATGAGTGGACGCTTTACATTTTTGATAGTGTGCCCATGGCGATCGTGATGGTCATCTTTTTTGTTTGGTATCCTGATCAGTTGAGTCTGGATTACGGTCCTGATAGAGGTATACCGCTTGCGCAAAGCTATACTACGGTTTAATGTGTTTAGGGGGTTGATACTTACCGTGTTTTCTATGTCTATATGGCGTCCTCGATTTTTTTGTGTCCTTCCTTTGAGTACTAGCACATTTGATTCCTTTTATCATAATTATTGATTGTTCTTAGCTGAATCTTGCTCATAAGTGGTGTACATGTGAAAATGAGAATAGGGGGTGAAAGCGGCTATGAGCTTTGTAGCTCGGAATCAATGGGAAACCCACTTTGAAGGCTAATTCCAATAGTAGCTGTCAATATGATCGGATTCTCTATATTGTTAGAAAAGAGTAGAAATAAAAGACCACCTACGTATCCCCCTCCCCCTCCCTTGGGGCATTAATCAACTAGCGGCATTTTAGCGCTTTTTGGGTATTGGAATTTACATCTAAATGAGTCGCATCTTGTCTAGCCCCGATCCTATCATGCCAAAGTAAATTTAGACGTCTCATTGTTTTACTTAATTGCGGTGACATAAACGTATCTAAACCTTGCTTTTGGCATCGTCCTTCATTCCCTGCTGGATCCAAGACCTAGCATCAGCAGCGTGCTTATCCATGGAAGCTTTGTCCTTGATGAGATCCTTAATGGTGTGAGGAGAAGGAACATGGCGACCCTTTTCCATGGCAGGTCGCTGGACAATTCGCTCCTCCCACGCCTTCACATGCGGGAACTCCTCAATATCAATACCAGCCCAGCCAGCAGCAGCAATCCATCCCCAGTGTGTGATATCAGCAATGGAGATGTGATCACCAACAATGAATCCGGACTTTGACTGAGCAAGGTGCTTATCCAATACGCCGTACAGTCGGCGCGACTCATTGACGTAGCGGTTCACACCGTACTCAATGTGTTCTGGCGCATATCGTGAGAAGTGGTTGGCTTGGCCTTGCATTGGGCCTAGACCTGCATTCTGGAAGAATAGCCAGTTGTTCACTTCGTAGTATTCACGGGTGCCCTTGGGGTAAGAGATCTTGTGGTCGTGGTCATATTGTTCTGCTAGATACTGGAGGATGCTGCCAGACTCGAATAGATTGATCTGCTGGCCGTCGCTGAAGGTGTCTGTCAATGCTGGGATACGGCCGTTGGGGTTAATCTTGAGGAACCAGCTGCACGAGTGTTAGAAATTGTACATTATTGCAAGGTGTTACTACACACTCTTCCTTCTGGGTATTCTTGGAGATATCGATCTTCTCGACCTTGTATGGCAAGCTGTAGACAAGTCAGAACTAGTTTCAACGTGGAGATGAAGCTACTATACCCAAGTTCCTCTAGTGCCATGGAGATCTTGATGCCATTGGGGGTCTGGGCCGTGTATAAGGTAATGTTTGGTTGACTCATGGTGACTGATTATTGTAACTCAAAGTGGTGAGGCTCAGAAGAAGCCCGTGAGGGGTTTAAGTACGGCCCTGGAGCTCCCCACATCGCGGATTTATAAGCTCATGGAAACATCCCGAGACACCGGAGCTTGTTGAATAATCGACTTATTTGCATTTATAAGGTCATACAGTATTTATAATGAGATGAGCTTGCATAGAACAATCCCCTACTCTGGACATAAAACAATGATCTGACAGGGTCGGAGTTATAAGCTGTAACGCAGGTGACTTGAAGAAGTTCTAGATAGCCCTTGGAGAACGTGAAATTCATCATCTCACTTCTAGTTTTCCTCATAGAATGCGCGTTTTAAAGTGAGAAGAAGTTGTGCTCCAAAACTTTGCTGGCAAAGCATCAATCAGTCTTATGTCAAATAAGTCTTGCTCTGGCTCTGAATCCACAGCAGAAAGTGACTGTTAGAGCGGTGAGTAAGGCTGTATATCCTCGGAATCCTCGGCGGTGAACTTGACACCGCCCAGCATCTGCCATCACGTGGACGGCCACTTTTACAAGACCGAAAGAAGTCTCCTTGGACTTCCTATCTTCGCATCACTAATCCTACATTTTCTTATCAAGACAGTCATGGCTTGGCGCAATCAAGGCATCACTGGCTCCAACAATATCCCGCTGGGGAAGCGGCGCATGGGGGCTGATGACGAAGAGGAGGACTCGCGCACTGCGACCCCTTCGTTTGACGGCCCTAAGCGCGGTCGCAGCCCTGTTCGTGGTAAGTTTACCCCATTTGCATTCTCGAAAGCGCATATATACTCATACTTCGTTCTTTAGCGGATCCTCCTCTGGCCGCTGATGGCTCCAAGAGGCGCAAGAAGCGCAATCGCTGGGGTGACCAGCAAGAGAACAAGGCTGCTGGCCTGATGGGCCTGCCTACCATGATTATGGCAAACTTCACTAGCGAGCAGCTGGAGGCCTACACGCTTCACCTTCGTATTGAGGAGATCAGCCAGAAGCTTCGGATTAACGATGTGGTCCCGGCTGATGGTGACAGGTATGTTTTTTATCCTACATCCTTGCCAATTCTCTAACCTCTATTGCAGATCTCCTTCGCCCCCTCCCCAGTACGACAACTTCGGTAGACGTGTAAACACTCGTGAATACCGCTACCGCAAGCGACTCGAGGATGAGCGTCACAAGCTGGTCGAGAAGGCCATGAAGACCATTCCTAACTACAACCCGCCCTCTGACTACAGACGCCCGACCAAGACCCAAGAGAAGGTCTACGTTCCAGTGAATGACTATCCAGAAATTAACTTCAGTATGATAACTAACCCTCTAACTCCTAACCATCCTTCCATCGTGTCTGTCATGAGTCCCTGCTCGACTCGAGTTGACATGACATATCTCTTTGAATGTCCTCAACTCGTTTCTTGCTAAACCTTGGTGCTTGATGCTGCACATTGATTTAAAAATTACCTGATCACTAACACTCAGCTTTCTTTGCTACCTTTCTACAGTTGGCTTACTCATAGGACCTCGTGGAAACACCTTGAAGAAGATGGAAACCGAGTCTGGTGCCAAAATTGCCATTCGAGGCAAAGGTTCCGTCAAGGAAGGAAAGGGCCGATCTGATGCTGCTCACGGTAGCAACCAGGAAGAAGATCTACACTGCCTGATCATGGCCGATACCGAAGAAAAGGTCAACAAGGCTAAGAAGCTTGTGCACAATGTCATTGAAACAGTGAGTCCTTTCCATTCTGTCATTTAATTTCGATATTGATTTCTTTGTTAGGCTGCCTCCATCCCCGAAGGCCAGAACGAGCTGAAACGCAACCAACTGCGTGAGCTTGCTGCTCTGAACGGTACTCTTCGAGACGACGAGAACCAGGCTTGCCAGAACTGTAAGTTGAATCTACATGGGCTCTCTTTCACACATGATATTAACCATAATATAGGTGGTCAAATCGGACACCGCAAGTACGACTGCCCTGAGCAGCGTAACTTCACTGCCAACATCATTTGTCGTGTTTGTGGCAACGCAGGCCACATGGCTCGTGATTGTCCTGACCGCCAGCGCGGCAGTGACTGGCGCAACGGCCCTGGCACGGACAGACGTGGCGCTCCCCGTGTCGGTGGCACTGGCGATGCTGTGGACCGTGAGATGGAGGTAAGTTTTTTTTCGATCCTCTACTATATCACGTATGGTACTGACATTATCCCTAGCAACTCATGAACGAACTCTCTGGTGGTGCAGGTGGTGGCGAGTTCCAGCCTCGTCGCATTGAAGCTGGTCCCGAACAGGGTGGCTACCCTGACGATCGCGATGCGAAGCCCTGGCAGCAGCGTGGACCCCCCGCCCAGAGTGATGTGGCTCCCTGGCAACAAAGAGGCCGCGACAGCCGCCGCGACGATTACGGCGGATCCCGTGGCGACTATGGCTCTCGCGACGATTATGGAGGTCAGAGCCAGGGTGCCCCTGCACCTTGGGCACAGAACCGCGACTATGGGTACCAAGCTCAGGGTGGATATGCTGCTCCTGGTACTGCTCCCGCGGCGGCCAACCCTTGGCAGCAGCCGGCGCCTCCTGGAGGCCAGCCTGCCTACGGATACGGCGGATACGGTTCTTATCCCGCTGCTCCTCCTGGTATGGGAGCTCCTGGTGCTGCTGCCCCTGGTATGAGCGCTCCCCCACCTCCTCCTGGAATGGCTCCCATGTACTATGGAGCTGCTGGCAGCCCTCCACCCCCGCCGCCTCCTGGTGACGCTCCACCACCTCCTCCGCCCAGTGACCAGCCTCCCCCACCTCCTCCCCCCGCTTGAGCAAGTCCCGATGCTCTATGTACTTGCGCCATAGTCGTTCACATGATTCACAAAAAAAAAACGCAATTCAAGTAATACGATTGGACTGAAATGCCCGCTGCTTCTTGCAATTAAGGAGCCACCAAAACAGCTATTGATACTTGGCTATTTTTACCTCAGTTGACTAATTCTTCTAATTTATCACAAGTACTGCTTCATATAGTTATTTTTCCGTACAAAGTCGTCTAAGAAGTAGCCTGTCACCGTTGAACATAACGAGTCCCAAGTAGAACAAGACAGCTGCCCCAGGCCCCACTCTTGGCCTTGGCTTCATCAGCTCCCAGTCTTTTTCTCCGCAAAATCAATTACACCTCGATTGCGCTTTAAGTTTCGCCTTGAAATATTCCACGGCTTCGGTGCTGACTACCCACATGCCGCTCGCATTGACCTATTAATTTCATCAAAACATTGCATATGCAAGGATCCTCGCACGGAGACTTCTCTCTGCCCGGGCCAAACATGCACACTTCCGCCTCCGCCCAGCGGAAACCTTCCTGGCAGTCCCAGCGTCTATCCTCTGTGCGCTCAATACGGTCCGGAAGATCAAACCACGCATCAGCGCGCGAATTCGCCCAGACGGCGGAGGAACAGCAGCATGCGGTACCAGAGGACTCGCAGCGCCATACATCGACTGCAACTTCGGCGCACTCAGCCAAGTCGAAATGGTGGCATGTCCATTTGTTCCGGGGTATGGTCAATGATTTGAAGCGCCGCGCACCGTATTATTGGAGTGATTGGACTGATGCGTGGGATTATCGCGTTATCCCTGCGACGGTTTATATGTATTTTGCTAAGTATGGTCTTCTCTGCTTTTTTCAATGCATTGTGAGTTATTTGATTGCTTACGCTCTTGTGTAGCATTTTACCTGCTTTGGCTTTCTCTTTGGATATGTTTGAGAAGACGAGTCAGAGCTATGGGGTAAATGAGGTCCTACTTGCGTCTGTTCTTGGGGCTATTGTTTTCTCCCTGTTTGCAGCGCAGCCGTTGGTTATTGTGGGTGTCACTGGTGAGTTTGTTTTCTTCTTTTAATCGAAGTACTACGGCCTGAAGCTGACGGGTTTTAGGCCCCATCACTGTGTTCAACTATACTGTTTACGACATCATTGCCCCCCGAGGAACTCCTTATCTCGCTTTTATGTGTTGGATTGGCATGTGAGTTCAACCATCATGTTCTCACTCAAGGCCCAGCTTAGCTGACATGCAACCTAGTTGGTCGTTGATTATGCACTGGATTCTGGCTATCACCAATTCCTGCAACGCATTGACCTACGTCACCCGATTTTCGTGCGACATCTTTGGCTTTTACGTTGCTTGTATCTATCTCCAGAAAGGTATCCAAGTCCTCACCAGGCAATGGGGCTCTGTAGGAGAAACATCTGCATACCTGGCCATCATGGTCGCACTACTCGTCTTGATGAGTGCATGGATATGTGGAGAATTGGGCAACAGCAATCTGTTCAAGCGATTCATTCGGAAGTTCCTGGAGGACTATGGCACCCCTCTGACCATCATCTTCTTCACTGGCTTCATTCATATTGGCCACATGAGAGACGTTGACGTAGCTACGCTTCCTACCAGCAAGGCCTTTTTCCCTACTCTCGATCGTTCATGGCTGGTGCGATTCTGGGATATCGACGTTGGTGATATTTTCCTCGCTATTCCATTCGCAGTGCTTCTTACTATTCTCTTCTACTTCGATCACAATGGTATGCCCTATCAATCCATCCTCGTATCTGCAATGGCTAATTTGATCACAGTCTCTTCTCTCATTGCCCAAGGAACTGAGTTCCCTCTGAGAAAGCCAGCCGGCTTCCATTGGGATCTCTGGCTTCTCGGCCTCACAACATTCGTAGCTGGTCTGCTGGGAATTCCTTTCCCGAACGGTCTAATCCCGCAAGCACCTTTCCACACAGCCGCTCTATGCGTCACCCGCCAAGTCGCAGACGAAGACGACACAAACAAAGGCAAAGCAATCCGGATAACAGATCACGTCGTCGAGCAACGAGTCAGTAATTTTGCTCAGGGGCTTTTGACTCTAGGCACAATGACCGGTCCATTACTCATCGTCCTTCACCTGATTCCGCAGGGCGTCATGGCTGGTCTCTTCTTCGTCATGGGAGTCCAAGCTCTGCAGGGCAACGGCATTACACAGAAATTGATATTCCTCGCCCAAGACAAGAAGTTCACACCTGCTTCAAATCCTCTTAAGCGGATTGAGCGCCGTGTAGCGATCTGGGCTTTCGTCCTTCTTGAATTGGTCGGCTTTGGTGCTACTTTCGCTATCACCCAAACTATCGCTGCCATCGGGTTTCCTGTTATCATTCTGCTCCTCATCCCTGTTCGGTCGTTCCTTTTGCCTAAGTGGTTTACTCGGGAAGAGCTTGCTGCCCTCGACGGTCCCACTGCTAGTCCGTTTACTATGGAAAGCGTGGGCGGTACTCATGGTCTTGAAGATGATTCCAATGAGGCGGTGGCTAGTGGAGCAAATGGGTCTTCTAGTGGAGGTGACGGAATCTTGGGAAGCCGTCACTCGACGTCTTCTGACTCGGCTGTTGAGGATAATGATTTGGAGCGTGGAGAGGCGTATGAGCTTCCCACTCGAATTTCGCGTCGGAGAAGCACTACTACCAGGGATGACTGAATGTTTCTTTTACAGTCGAACTAGAACAAAAGTGAAAATTCAGTAATCAACTCTGCTGGCTTCAAACCGGTTGGAAATCAATAATATATCAGTTCAAAATATGATCCAGTTCAAAATAATCAAGATCTATAGATGCACGTGACGCAGGCAGATCTTCACGGTCTCCACCGCTTATTGGAGATAACTTTTCTGCCACAAAATTATTTTGCCTATCGACGAGTCACAAACAACGATGGCAGCCCCGATCGAGGAACAGCTTCAGTCCGAGGACTCGTATGCATCCGATAACGTCGACATGGAACAAGCCGATGTCGAAGCCCGCGCGCCAAAGCGTCGTCGTCTCTCAACGTCCTCAAACGCCTCAAACGACTCGTATGTCGCACCTGCACCGCTTCCCTCTGTCTCCCGTATTAAGAAGAAGGGCGAGGTCGACCCAAACGCTGAACCTGAAGAGGAGGAACCGGTTACTATTGCCGATGCGATTGCGCTCGGTCGAGAGAGTGAAGTGTCTACTTTTGCTGCTTTGGATGTTGCCCCATGGCTTGTTAGCTCGTTGAAAAATATGGCTATCAAGCGGCCTACTGCTATTCAGAAGGCGTGTATTCCTGAGATTCTCAAGGGGAGGGATTGCATTGGTGGCAGTCGAACTGGATCCGGAAAGACTATGGCTTTTGCGGTTCCCATCATGCAACAATGGGCGAAGAATCCCTTTGGAATCTTCGCGTTGGTGCTTACCCCTACTCGGTATGTTTCGCTATCCTGAACCCAATCTTTGAGACTGTATACAAATGCTGACGTTCTATAGTGAGCTTGCGCTCCAGATCTTTGAACAATTCAAGGCTGTCTCCGCCCCGCAAAGTATGAAGCCCATCCTCATCACCGGAGGCACCGACATGCGGCAGCAAGCCATCGCGCTCGCAAACCGACCTCACGTCGTGATTTCCACCCCAGGTCGACTGGCAGACCACATCAAAACATCCGGCGAAGACACAATCGCCGGACTCCGGCGCGTGAAAATGGTCGTGCTTGACGAAGCAGACAGACTCCTTGCCAGCGGAAAGGGAAGCCAGCTCCCAGACGTAGAAACCTGCCTAGCAGCACTCCCCCCAACAACCGACCGCCAAACCCTCCTCTTCACAGCAACGATGACAGCCGAAGTGCGCCTATTAAAGGACATGCCACCAGCCGGCGACAAGCCCCCAATCTTCGCCACGGAAATCGGCACCGAAAACCAAGGCAAAATCCCCCCAACCCTCAAACAATCCTACCTGAAGGTCCCGATGACGCACCGCGAAGCCTTCCTCCACGTCCTCCTCTCCACAGAAGAAAACATCTCCAAACCCGTCATCGTCTTCTGCAATCACACCAACACATGCGATGTCTTAGAGCGTACCCTCCGCCGCCTCGGTCACCGCGTCACCTCCTTGCACAGTATCCTCCCCCAGTCTGAGCGGACAGCCAACCTGGGCCGGTTCCGCGCGACTGCCGCGCGTGTCCTCGTCGCTACGGACGTTGCATCTCGTGGTCTCGATATCCCCGCTGTAAGCCTCGTTGTCAACTTTGACGTGCCGCGCAACCCGGATGACTACGTCCACCGTGTTGGTCGTACGGCTCGTGCGGGCCGGAGTGGTGAGGCGGTTACGCTTGTTGGGCAGCGTGATGTCGAGCTTGTGCTTGCTATTGAGGCGCGCGTTGGGCGTCCGATGGTTGAGTGGGAGGAGGAGGGTGTCAGTATTGAGAGCCGAGTTGTTCGGACTGGGGTCCTCAAGGACGTTGGGTCTGCTAAGCGTGAGGCTGCTGGTGAGATTGACGAGGGCCGTGATATTCTGGGTCGGAAGAGGAATAAGCTTAAGAAGGTCCGTTGAGGGTTTGCTGAAGCTCAAAAACTGTCTTAAGACTTAGACTTGGACTTAATTTGGATATCAATCTTGCATCAATTGATTTATTTAGCGGTCTGGTTTTATTCTTCCGTCATCTTGCATGACCACGTTCATCTTATCGTGTCGATCTGATAATCGACATTCCTTGCTGAAACACAACGTGGCATGTCTCATTGCATTGTGTACTAGACCGGGCAATGGTGTATACAGTATATGGTATCATTGATTGCAGTGCATAGACTGATTATTCTAAGAATACTGCATTTCCAAAATGGAAAAGAAAAACCTCCTCCCCGCTATAATATCAAGGCTCGGCGCTATAGCAGCCAAGTCTTGATATACTGGCTGCATGGCCCTGTACATTGTCATTCCACAGTTCCGAAGGAGCCTCGGGTTGCTTGTGTATAACGCCAACTGATTTCGTTTGGATCGACTATCTGCGGCGAGCATCCATCAACGCTCTCAGATGATTATATCATCCGGTCCAAGAATCCGAACTGTGATTCCGATCCGTCGTGCTCATCAGCTTGAGCAGCCCATCGACAGCATCACCCCGCTGTGACGGCGTCATGACATTCTCAATCCCAAGCTCCGCTCTCGGTCCCATGCTCGACTCCCGCTCCCTCTCACGACGAATCACCGTAGCAGGAGGACTACTCAGCTGCATCGGTGAGCCAAGGGCATTGGGGGGAGTATGTTGGCCATGACTCTTAGCGCGGTGTTGGGGAACGCTCGAAGACAAAAGTGACGGTCGAGCTGGGAGATCCGGCGTATCATGTGAAGGAGTCGAACTGAATCCAGAAGAAGCAACTCTGGGTGTCTTCATTTGAGACGATGTGAACTGTTTGCGGGATGAGAGTGGGGGTGTGGAAAGGACGGAGAGGGAAAGGCGCGGGCATTTCCGACTATGGGCTTCTAGCTCGGAGACGCGTCGGTCGAATTGGTGGTCTGTCACATTGCGCATTGCACTTTGTAGTCTGTTTCGTAGGAGGCTTGCTTTCTGGGCCAATTGTTAGATCTGCACGTGGATTGCGGGTGGTTCTGCTTTTTGCATACTTCTTGGATGAACATTTTGCGCGCGTCTGGGTCTTCGGGGACGTTACGCGTTTCTTCCTCGGGGGTATGAGGCATGACAGGTGCTTGGTATGTTTCCATTTGGTCTTGTGTCTGGTCACGTTCGGGTTGGGAGTTTTGTGGTGTTTGGATGTCCATCGCGTCGGGTGTTTTTCTGAGCTGTTCGGCGCGTTATATGGTTAGCTTGAGGCTGATCGTTCCGGAGATTTCTGCTGTGCATCTGCATTTCAGCGCTTACCTGGCATTGCATATCCTCCTGGGCAGCGGAGGGGGCGCGCTGCGGAGAGAACCCCCGTGCATGCACGTGTCCGATGTTCTCTCCGGCCTCGTCCACTTGGTCTCTTGTCCGTTTTTGGCCTGCAAATATGGGAGAGGGGAGGAGCTTCTTGGGAGACAGCATTGTTGACATTCGTTTCACGGGTGTTCCTGTGACTGGGAATGACTGTTTGGCCTGTGGCGCGGGGGAGAGACACGCGTTGGAGTCTTTTTCACCCAGGATCCGCCGGCCGTCCTTGACAGGACTATATTGTGCAGTTGTGTTCATCGTGGAGGTTTTGACTTAGGGTTCAGGGTTGAGGGTGGAGGGTGGAGGTTTGAGGAGATAGGTGTGAGGCGAGAGAGAAGAGTGGTCCACGGGGTTGGGCGTCCGAGATTGGCTCTGCGGAGGAACGTATCGTGATATGCAAGTATACCAGGCAATTGGAATGCGAACCAGATATGCAAAGAGAAGGTGAAGAGAGAGAGAAATGTTCAAGAAGAAAAACGGGCGCGTCGATCGCGTATAGTCCCCGATACCTTACTAGCTTGTATAGAGCACGGACTTGGTACCCACCAGCACGCGTTGGTTATGTTGGAGTGTTCACCTCTCAATTCTTCAATTCTTAGGGTATTTTATGCTGGCCTATTTGCTCGTATGTCTATTATATGATATGTGATGTCCATCCTAAGGAGTGTGTGGTGTACGTGACAATTTACCAGTGCTAATCGCCTGAGAACCAAGACCACATTCGGCCTTGCAGAGCCAATTCCATGCCCTTGCTAGGCCCAATGCCTCATTGCCTATTAGGGGCTGTTTTGAAATGTTTACTCAGATACGCAATTAGGCGAATACCCTCAAGCCCCGCGTCCTGGGGCGCGTCCAGTGTCTCCATCGTGTCTGGCGGGTCCACAGGGGCCAATTCCCCATAAGTGGGCTATTCAATTGAATCGCGTGAGATTCCAGTTGGTGGGCGTGTCGTTTCAATTAAAAGACACAAATCAGACTGTATCGTGGATCACTGTCAGGCAAATTCGAGGATCCCAAGCAGACCCAAGATTATATGTTACGGAAATTGACTGATCTGAGGCCAGTATTCCTAGTGAGACAATATATTACCATTTTTAACAGTTCAATTTATCCTCCTAGTGCATATATTCTGTCCCAAGTATATGGAAACCAGATTCTCCACGCTGTTATTGAATCGTCTGAGGAGTTGATATATCGCTGAGGATAGCACTACCGCAATAGAGCCTGGCATTGAATATCCAGAACCATGTCACCTAGGATAGCTCTAGTGCAGTAGTCAAAAGAAAATACATGGATTTTCGGCGTGCCTGAACTAAACTCTTGATCTAAATACTTCGTACTTGTATATGGGTTCGTCGGTGACTGTCGCGTCTAGTCCATGGATACATAGCTCTCACATGCCTGTCTCTCGAAGAAACTGTTAGTCTTCAGCAAGATCCCACCCTCTCAATCTCATCTGCTTGTGAAATGCCATGTACCCATGGCTAGTTCAACACCTCTGGTTGTATGCAGAATATTGGAGAAGCTGTGATAAGAGCTATCTCTCCGCATGACATCATCGAGTAGGAAATGCGAACTTGGGTGAAGAGTCAGGGGAATTGGGAGAAATCAAAGTCCAAACATACGTATACTCTAAGTCAGACCATCCTCTGATATTCTTCTCCCAAAGCCAGCCAAGCACAACGCTTTGAAGCAGGTGATCCTTCCCCGCATTTCTTCCCCATCCCTTGGCTTCCGCATCTTCGTTTCTGCAACTCCTGAACACTCTCTTGATCTTGTATACCCGTAACACATCAAATCTGTGTTACAGTCATTCCCTTATTGCGACCATGCAGCTGTCATTAGCCGTCTTGGTCGCCTGCCAGGCAGCAGCTGTCGCTGCTTCCTCGCTGACTCCGCCTGTCCTTCCACTCATAGTGCGGAATCCCTATCTCAGCACTTGGCTTGGTGATGCGAGGGAGGCTCCGTGGAAAAAATGGCCGATGTTCTATACCGGAGAGGAGGTGGGACTCTCGTTGATGGCCCAAGTCCCTAGTCAGGGTGCGGTATATCCTCTGCTAGGCAAGCCGCATGAATCTCTGTCCTCGAAGGAAAGGTATGAGCTTCAAGGGACAAAGTTTACACGCATAGCTAACAGACAATAGCTACAAAATTAAGTATCCTGAGTACCTCGGCCACAACTACGATGCCTCCACAACCAACTTAACATACCATATTGATACCGGCTCCGCGGACCCTATAGACATCACCGTGTCGTTCCTTTCCCCAATAACTCCGTCTTCGACTCTGCGGCAGTCGATCCCGGCCTCGTATGTCACCATTGACGTTCAGGGTGAACTTGACGTAAATATTTACATGGATATCGATGGCCGTTGGGTCAGTGGGGATACCCATAGCAAGATCAAATGGGGCCGGGACAAGCTGAAGACTGCACACGAGAAGTCGAACTATGATCTTCAGAGATGGCAAGTCCAACGGGAAACTGAGCTTGAGCTGACGGAGACTCGCGACCGTGCCGAATGGGGAACACTTCATTTTACCGGACCTGCGGTAAGTCGGGTTTCTCATCAAACGTATAGTCAAGGCTGTGGGCTAACTTCTAGCTCAGGATGTAAACTACCAGTCCGGTGACGCAGTGGATGTTCGTCGTGGATTCGCCAGCAGCGGCTCCCTGCAAAACGCCAACGATGACTCGTTCAGAGCTATTCAAGATCGGACTCCTGTTTTTGCATTTTCCAAAACATTCAGCTTGGGCCAGCAGTCAAAGGTCTATGCCGATAGTGTCACTTTCACGGTTGCTCTTGTACAAGTCCCTGTCGTTCAGTATGCGGCAGCTCGTGGACTCACCATGATGCGACCCTTGTGGGAATCGTGGTTCCCTACTACAGAACAGCTTTTGAGTTTCCACTATAAGGACTACACTGAAGCTAGCTACCTGGCTTCCAACTATTCACAGCAAGTGGCGGAAGATGCCTACCTGTCGGGTGCAGATGACTACGTCGACATCGTTGCCCTAACCGCTCGCCAAGTCATGGGTGCAACCACCTTTTCGGGAACCCCGGATTCCCCTATTCTGTTCTTGAAGGAGATCTCCTCGAATGGAAATTTCCAGACCATCGATGTTATCTTCCCGGCGTTCCCCTTCTTTTTGTACACCAACCCCAGGTGGTTGGCTTACCTCCTGGAGCCCCTGATCGAGCACATGCTGAGCGGTCAATACCCTAACAAGTATGCGATGCACGACTTGGGCACACACTTCCCTAATGCCACCGGTCATCCTGATGGAAATGATGAATATATGCCGGTGGAGGAGTGTGGTAACATTCTCATCATGGGTCTGGGTATTGTGAATTCGCTTCTGTATGAGGACTCTGCCGCAGCCTCATCCATTTGGTCAACACAGGGTTCAGCTTCGCCGAACATCGAAAGCGAGTCTTCCGGAATCTTCCCTCTTGGTAACTTGCAGACGCTTTCTGGCATTGCCCACCAGGACGGTAAATGGGGTGGCGGTCAAGCCGGCCGGCACCAGGCAGAGAAGTGGGTGAAGCGAAGCTACCGTCTTTGGAAGCAGTGGACTGGATATCTGGTGGAGTTCTCTCTTGAGCCTGCCAACCAGCGTGAGAATTTTTTCCCCGATTTTGCGTTTCAGTTGAAGTCTGACTTGTATAGTTTCTACCGATGATTTTGCCGGCTGGTTAGCTCTGCAGACAAATCTGGCTCTCAAGGGTATTGTCGGTATCAATGCCATGAGCAAGATCGCCGAAGTAGCTGGCCTTGAGTCGGATGCTTCGTACTTCAAGGTATGAAATGGTACAAGATGCACCTGTTGAATGCCAGGCTGACTTTCAAACAGGAAATCGCCGATGATTACATCGCTAAATGGGAACAATTCGGCATGTCTCGAGATGGCTCTCACGCCAAGCTTGCCTACGACTGGTACGGCTCATGGACGACCATCTATAACCTCTACGCAGACGCCCAGCTCTGCTTCCATCTCGAGGGCACCGATACAGACAAGCCAGGTTTCGTGCCACGCCACATCTACCAGAAGCAGTCTGTCTGGTACCACTACGTGCGTCAGAAGTACGGTCTCCCTCTTGACAGCCGTCACATGTACACGAAAACAGACTGGGAGTTCTTTTCCATGGCCGTCGCTTCCAAGCCAGTGCGTTCCGAGATCCTTGAATCCGTCGCTCGCTGGGTCAACGAGACAACCACCGATCGACCATTTACAGACCTGCACAACACAGAAGGTGACGGCGGATTCCCTGGCCCTAACTTCTTTGCTCGGCCGGTTATCGGTGGCCACTTCGCTTTCCTCGCTCTGGAACGTGCTTGTGGTGGTCGTGCCATGCCTGGGTTGTCCTTCCTCGATGACGTTGACGAAGAAACCTTGGCAACTTGGAGTGCTGACGCCCAGTCTGCGGCGGCACAGTTCACCGAGCCCTGGGCTCATCGTCATCGCGAGGGTGAGCTGTAGGTTAAGTATATGATAAAATTGGCGGTTTGTGGTGGGGAGGGGAGGGGGGGGAGAGAGTGGGCAGGTGGATCATCGCCCTCGACGACGTCCTGTCTTTCTTGCATTCAGACCTTCAGCCAAACTTTGATAGTTTGGTTGTATCATTAGTACATAGGCCTAGCTTCCTAGAGTATATCCTCAGCACACTCGGTAGAACTAGTTCAATATATTACAGTTCCGGTCCGCTCATGTTCCAAGTTCAATTTATACTCTACCATTAACCAAGAAAGGCTATTGAGTCGAACAAATACGAACTTGCAAAACACTAACCGAATTAAAGTATAAAGAAACAAACACGTCCCATGGTTCAATTGAAGATTTCTTTGCGTTCCTATTTTTTGTTTGACTTCTGGATCGAATCAAATTACATTGGGCCCGTCGAATTCAGTCATCCAATTCGCGCTTGCACACAAGGCAAATGTAAAGCACACACATAAAAAACCCGCTCTGATATACCTCTTTTCCATGAGATGGAAGAAAAGAAAACTTAGTAAAATCCGAGTTGGCTCTTGAATGCATCCAGCAGAACACGGTAACGGTAACCCACAATGAACCCTCCGCCCCACCCCTCAACTCACACACACATGGGAAAGAAGAAAAGAACATGATTCTCTTCCCTAGCATAGGACACACAAAAAACAAAGGCACATACTCAATAGACGGAGAGAGGGACAGGAGAAGATCCGGGTGGCAGAAACCGATTCATCGTGGAGCATATCCCGAGATGTTCAGGTAATTTAGTTGCCGCCGAGGCTGGGGAAGTTCTTCTCGTCGACGGTAGGGCCGGCAGGGCCACGGGCAGCAGCAGCGCGGGGGGCACCACCACGGGCAGCGGGGGCACCGCCACGGGGAGCACGGTCACCACGGGGAGCGCGGTCGCCACGAGGGGCACGGTCACCGCGGGGGGCACGGTCACCACGCTCACCACGCTCACCACCACGGGCGGGGCGGTCACCACGGTCGCCACGGCCGCCACGGCCACCGCGGGGAGCAGGGCCGCTGCGGGGAGGCTCGACGTAGCGCAGGTCGACGTCAAGGAAGTTCTTCTCCTTGCGCTGCTTCTCGCGCTTGGTCTTCTCGCCGGAGCCGGCAATGTAGGACTCCTCGTCCTCCTTGGCGAGCTCCTTGGCCTCAGCCCACTTCTTATCGAGCTTGCTGCCCTCGTTGGCGGAGCGAACGGGCTTAGCAGCGAGGGTCTCCTTCTGGGCCTTCTCGGCAAGGTAGTCGGCGAAAGACTTGGAGTTATCGGGCTCCTCCTCGGCCTCCTCGGCAGCGGGGGTCTGGGGCTCAGCCTCCTCCTTCTTGGCGATCTTCTCGCCCTGGCGCTCGTCATCCCAGTTCTTCTCGCCGCTCTCGGCACCCCAGCCCTGCTGGACCTGCTTGCGGGTGTCACTGTATGGCGTTAGTCCCAGGTTCGATAGTTGCGAGCAGTATATCAAATATGTATATGTCTTCGCTGTGAAATTGAATTGCTCGCGGGGTCGCTTACGTCTGGCCAGTGCGGGACTGGCGGTCACCGCGACCACCACCACCACGGCGGCGGGCGGGCTGAGCAGCCTCATCAGTGGGCTTCTCGCGGTTGTTGTTGCGGCCAGCGTTGCGGTCACGGAAAGCTACCGTCATGTTAGTCCGAAATTTCCCATTGAACAATCACTCGATTGACCACATACCGGCCTCGTTGCCGGCGTTCACACGGCCACCGCGGCGAGCGTTGGTCTCATTGTGACGAGCGGCGGGCTCCTTGGGGGTATCCCGCTTGCCGGAGCGGTCAGCGGTGCGGTCGACAGCCCTCGTGGGGGGAGGAGCGGGTCTGCTAGGGTCGAGCTCTGGGTCGTTACCTGAGGAGGGGGAAAGGCAAGGTCAGCTATCAATGCATTGAGAAACAAAGACAGATCGGATTGGAATTCCGATTGAAATGAGGAATTGTCGTCGGAAAAGATAGCCGGTGCTTAAGCGGTGCTCAAGGGAGGGGAAATTTACCCAGAAGCTCATAAAGGTTCTATTTGCGACAAAACAAGAATTAGTCACTGGTCAAAAATCCGTTGAATCTCCAAATTTCCTCCAAATTTCGAGATCGGTCTTGCGTCGCCGGGGCGCGCAAGAGAGCTTCAATTGAGCGTACCTTGGACCGTACGTCGGCCATGACGCCTGTTTTTGCGGAGGCCTTCCGGGGGAGGCGCTTCGACTATCGTAGACCGTTGTCTAGAGGTAACGGAGCACAAGGCAGAACCCAAGGAGATCCGGCCTTAAAGATTGATGATGATGAGGAATAGAGGGAGGTCCACGGTTTGTGGTTGGGTGCAGAGTGACTAATCGGGAAAGGCGGCTTCTGCTCCTAAGCGAATGTGCCCGCGGTCGCTGATTGGCTGCCCGCATGCTAGGGCTTAGGGTATCTTACATAATGATGGCGTCAAGACATCCAGCTCTGGAGAGCTTCATCTTTATATAGTTGTTAGATAGGACACGTTCCAAGGTGGTTTTGTGCCTTGTGGGGAGCTTGACCGTGCTGCTGTGATGCATGCCACTGGTCTATGACCCTGACTATAGTCCTGCCTATGGTCTCTGTCGATGCTCTTTGCCGACTACTGCAGAAGCTATGTAATCGAGCTTATTCATGGTCATAGCAGAATTGCATGAGTTCATTTCAATGTGAGCAGATCGTGCTTATCATCAGCTAGGAATTGTCCCTCGATCATTCTCCATCGTCCATGTTGCCATTCAATCCTGGAGGACAGCGCCTCCGTCTCATCACTCCCTCTGATCACACCTCTTGAGTACAACCCGGCCCTGATATCCGTCAGCAAGCCTGCACCCATAATAATCCAGTTGAGGTGCAAATGAGCTTCATGGCTGGAGGTGGGGTTGTCAATGACCATCAGTTGCGGCAAACAGTCGTCAAGTTTGAAGGCGCCCAGAATCGACAGAGACTTAACAGGGAAATCCATCTGAGGCACCAAAAGCTCCCCGCAATATTCTTCATGCAAATGCCCTATTCAGTGGCAGTATTAAAACGCAACCCTGATGACCCTTCTCCAGAACTATACGGTATAGAGCAGCAGCAGCATCCTCGCAGCTCACCGCAGGCCATCGACTCTGTCCGTCATCAATACAGATTGCCTTGCCATTTAAAAAGCAGCAATTTCTTGGATTAAACCCTCACATATGGACCGTATACTGCGAGAGGAAGACGCAAGTACTGGCTCCTACATCCTCTTCGGAGAGCTCCTCACTCGCTTTCTCGATGTAAAAGCGGGAGTCTTGCACGGACTCGCAGTCGTAAACGTCATCTTCATCAGCGAGCTTACACTTGTCAGGGCTACAGTACAGGAGGCCATAGTAAATAGCTTGAAGGTATCACAAAGGGCTTCTCCGATGGTTTCGACGGGGTGATGTTTGGCAGTACCAACAGCGTTCATTTTGAATGCTAGCTGGATGACACCATCACAAGTAGTAGCGCCAAATTTGAGCAACGCGGGATCACTAAAAGAGCCGTGGAGGACCTGGGCTCCCTTGGCACTGATAGTCAGACCTTCCTCGTCGGCGGACGCAGAATCGGTGACGGTGTAACCGCTTATGAAGAGTTCGTCGATGAAAGACGGGGGAGAATTGGCACAGCCGACAATTTTCTTCAATTTTCTTCAATTTTATCATCACATATTATGATCGTTGTCTCAATGGCTTGCCTGTCTATTTAGATCTAGACCGTACCATCTATAGCCGATGCCTATGCCCCCCCCCCCCCCCCTTTTCTATAACATATAGCTGCCATCAAAGTGCACGCAGTGTTATCATATGATATAAAGTTGCTAAATAGTCGCTCCAAGTGAACTTTTTATCAATGAGTTGATTATTCTTATCTATATTGCCAGTCGCTCTTGGCCTCCCATGATGTTTTATTCTGGAGGACCTGCACATTTTCATAGTGAAGATTCACGTGGGTGTTCCCCTATTTGAATATGGATATCTTATTTTATCTCTCCATATCCTATATAAACCCCCCGAACTAATGTTATAGCAATGTACAGGAGTGGTTAGTGCAACAATGCAAGCCAATGACATCGCCGCTCGGAGCTCGGAGTTAAGCAAATGCAACGACCACTGTAGACGCATCAGGATTCTCTGTCATTCCTTGTTAGCCCATTATTGAAGTTTGAAAATGACGAAGAAGCAAGCACTCGCTGGCCAAGAGCCCCGCAAGCGTCGTGTTCACACCAAATCTCGACAGGGCTGCCGTAATTGCAAGATCCGCCGTGTCAAAGTGAGTTTGCAACATTTATCCATGTATCGTCCTTAATATTGAAAATAAACCGATTTTAAGTGTGACGAGACCCATCCGCGATGCAGAAAATGCCTCGAATATGGCGTCAGCTGCAACTATCCAGCCCAAAGTCAGGGTCAAGGCCAAACACCAGATCTATTGACCTGGCAATCCAACGAACCCGAAAACAACGGAGCATGCCAGATAATTTTCAACACAAATCCAATCTCAAAAGCCCTCTTACCACCAATTACAGTAGGAAATGGCCCTGATTCATTCTCACTTGACCTCGAAAGCCAAGCGCGCCTACATCGCTTCCAGACGCAGGTTCTGCCTACTATTGGTACAGCGAAGATGGCAGCATTATACCAAGAATTTGTTATTCCGTTATCACTACCGGTAAGATCCAGACTTGGCTTACAAATGTGAGCATGGAACACACCTGGACGCCAAACTAACTATATCCCCATCAGCATCCATTCCTCATGCACACAATCCTAGGCGTAACAGCAACACATGACCGTCTATCTCTTGCAATCGTATCCCAACCAATAACGCCCCAAGAATCTCACCACCAGAAACACGCAGCCAAAACCCTAATCAAAAAGCTCTCGGAGACAATCAACCCCCAAGACCGCGACGCCCTCTGGGCAACAGCAGCTTTACTGGGAATAGCAAGCCTGGCATCCATTGAACCGACAACACCCGCAGAAACATGGCCATTAAAACGAAGCACATCCATACCCCCCGCCCCATCAGATCCAGATCTCCAATGGATGAACCTCACAAAAGGCAAAGAAGCAATCTGGAACCTAACCAACCCCCTCCGCCCAGACTCCGTCTTCCACGTCCTAAAAGAAGAATACCAAATCCTAGGAGCCGATCCAGGAATCTGCGAGCTATCCGAAATACAAAGTGAATTCGTGCACGTCTTCAACCTGAGCAATAATTCCAGAATTACTCCCAACATAAGCCCTACCCACAACTCCCCTCCCAATCCATCCCATCCAGTCCACAATCCCTATCTAAAAGCAATATCCATCCTCACCCGTCTACGCGGACGCGAGTGCAAGGAGGGCGCTATACCGCGGGATCTGGCGTTTATTGGGTTTATGGAGGGGTCGTTTAGGGGCTTGTTGCAGGTGAAGGATGTGCGTGCTTTGCTTATTCTGGCGTATTGGTATGCGCCGCTTTGTGGGAGTGTGTGGTTTATTGCTAGACGGGCTTGGTTGGAGTGTCGGGCTATTTGCTTGTATTTGGGTATAGTTTGTGAGGACGAGAACGTTCTTGCGTTGTTACAGGGGCCCAGGGAGATGTGTGGGTTGGATTGAAAGTCTAGAAATTTCGGTTAATTTGGAGATAGAGATGATCTATAGAGGGATGTTGGGGACGGTGGTGATAATGTAATGCAATGTATTGGTGATGATGTGAATATTGATTCATATCCATGAATATTCATATACAAGACATGTCAAGATAATAACTTCTCCATGTACCTCTCCAAAATCAGAGAGGAACATGAAAATTGGTATCAAAACCCTCGCAACAACGCCGGGCAATGCTCAAATCAAACTTTTAGATAGAGATGACCATTTACCATTCATGGAAAACAGCAACAGCAAAGAATCGAAAAAAACATGGGGGGGAAAAAAGTCTCAAAGAAAATATAGAACAAGAATAAAAGAAGCGAATTATGAACAGTAATATAAGAGACACAATTTTGGCTTGCTCGCTCACTGTCGTGAGTTGTTCTGCTCGTAGTTGAACGGCGTAGGGAAGTGCATGCTAGCACTCAGCCCGAACGGATCCGTATCCAGCATTGGCTCATACTGTCCGAGGAGATGATTTGCATTATTGAAGTCCCCGGGTGTGCTCTCCCCGGCTGATGGGTTAAAGCCAGACATGTGCGAGCCCGAGGCGACAGACTGTGGTGTAAAGCCTGGCACGAAGGATGAGGAGCCATCATGTTCGTCGTCGACGAGGTCGGCTTGCGCATCGTATTCTTGTTCTACTTGGTGTCAGTTGAGATTCAAGTTGAGGGTGGGTGGATAATTGGTCTGCTTACCGAGCTGGTCGTAATGTTTCTGGAAAGGAGAGGGATAGTATGCGGCCGCCACGCGACCTCCGCGTGGCCCCATGCGCGATGACTTGGCGTCGGAGGGTTCTGTCTGTGGCATACTGATTGCCGGCGGCGAGGTCTGGTTGAAACTCCGTGGTTGGGGCAGGAGCTGGGGACGACCCTGGCCTTGTTCGGCGGGAGACATGGCGCTTTGGAAGCCGAAGCCTGGGGATTTGGCGTGGGAGGGAGAGGAGACGTGGGAGGTGGGTGTGGCCTGGAACTGGGGGGATGGGACCCCGTAGGCACCTTCGCGCTGAGAGATGCCGAAGGCTTCGGGCTTGGAAGCGATGCCTGCTGGGTGTCTGGCTGAACGCACGCCCGGTGCGCTCTTTGGTGGCATTGGGTTTTGTTTTGGGGGAGCGCCCGGCGCTCCGGTCTTGAGGCGTAGCTCGGCTTGGACGTCGATGCCCTTTTCCAGGAGGATGCGCTCCAGCAAGGAGTTCTTGTAGCGTAACATGAGGCATTCGTCGGCGGCACTGCGGTGACTTTGTTGCAGACTTTGCAGCGATTCTTCATTGCGCTTGATGGTTGTCTCTAGTTGGCGTATATATTCCGTTCTGCGCTCGCGGAAGGCGGCTTGGGCCTGACGGTTGCGCTGTTTGCGCTCTTCGGAGGTGGCATAGATCTAGGGGTGTCAGTCAATGCCTTTCATGCCCTTCATGCCTTCCCACGATCATCGAGGAATGCGGGGCCCCAGGTTTGCAATGATGTTACGTACAGGTTTGCGGCCTCCCTTTCTCTTCTGTGTCTGCACATCTTGGGTGACTTCGGCTTCGGGATCCGGTGTTGACACGTTGGAACTGATTTCCCCATCTGGGCCCGGTTCATGCTTGGGCACGGGGTCCATCATCATGTCGTTCTCGACAGAGACCATTTTCTACCCTGTGCCTGCGGGCCCGCGCCAACAGACACAGCTTCCCCGCGAAAAAGGAACAATGGAAAGGCGACACACGCGCGTCTAGGCGGTTAGAATGCAAATGACATAAAAGAAACGGTAGAGCGATAGGAAAGAAAACGAAAGTCAAGCCGTGAGGTAAAACAATTGACTAAGTTGAATAACAGAAAAGTCTGAAGGGAGAGGGGCTCTCTCGCCTATACGGATTTTTCCTTTCTTTTTCTTTTTTCTCGACTCTTTAGCCTCTTTGGGCGTGTTTTCTCCACTTGGCCCAAGGCGCAAATTTGCCCGCGGAGTTGCCAGCGTCAGGCCATTGGGAGGCCGCTTAGCCGATACCGGGCGACATCTTGGTCCGACTTGGTCCTACTTAGGCCTACTTAAGCCTACTTAGGCCTACTTAGGCTCACCGTACGTGCTAAGTGTCTCGACCACATGACTCCATCACGCGCCGCCTACGTGGCCTGGGCATTATTTCCCCTTCCCCGGATTCCCAAGGGCTTCCCCCCTGCAAGACAGAGAGAAACAACCTGAGAACATGCAGACTGGGCCGGTGCGGGGATATTGGTCAGGAGATTAGCCAAGGATCGGGACTTGCAGATTTTCATCGATGATCTCATTTCATGATGCCATGCTACTATGCACTAGAACGATTACCTTGAGTTAGTCGAGTTAGTGCTTACATGGAACGTGCAAGCGAGGCAAATATGCACATCGAGACAAACGAGTCAAAGTAGACAAACGAGACAAACACAAGTCATGGGACCTGGCTCGGCCCCTCCAGTTGGTCTTGGACCAAGTAGATCTTGTTCGGGTTGGTAGTTCGATCTACTATTATGCAAGTCTATAGAATCCAATCCAATTCATGTTTCATTCACATTTAGTCAATTCTCACAGTCTCCCTTCGTTGCACGGTTCACAGTACAGTACACGATGCTCATGGCAATCCTCGGCGATCGGCATTACCGCTCGGTTCCCCGCCAAACCCATCACATGGGAACATTGCCAGGCCCGACGCTTCTCTCCTCACCAACCCCTTGCTTACCATCTGCAATTGTTTTGTCATGGAGAACGTATCACCGGCTGGGGATGCACCCAAGGAGACAGCAGAGCAGACAAAGCCCACCGCACCGGTCGATGTCGCGCCGCAGACACAGACCGAGGCACAGCCCGACACCAAAGCTGAGACACCAAAGCCAGCAGTAGACGACGACGAAGACTCGGATTTCGACGAGCTAGACGGTACTTACTTGTTCTTTTAAAGCAATCCCGCGTATCTGTATCACCGGCTTATAATTACCAACCCAACAGACGTCCTAGACGACTTTTCCAAGCCCAAACCAGCTCCCGCTCCCGCTCCCGCACCAGCGGCAACCTCCGATGCATCAGCGTCAACGGGCGTCACTCCGGCAGACTTCGACGAAGATGCCTTCTTGAAACAACTCGAAGCGGACATGGCCAGTATGATGGGCGGAGGCGAGCCATCCCCAGGCGCAGGAGGCAACCCCGCAGATTTCCAAGGAACAGTCGACCAAGGCGCCGACATCTTCGCCAAACAACTTGAAGAAAGTGGGATCCCCCCGGGTGATTTCCTGAAGCAGTTGCTTGCGGATGTGATGGCCGAGGAGGGTGGTGGTGGTGCATCAGCTGAAGGACTCGCCGCTGCGGCTGCAGCCGCAGGACTCGGTGGACCTGCACCTGGATCTGGATCTGGATCTGGATCTAGTCAAACAAACAAGTCATCGCCAGCTGCAGGCGCAGAAAACACCGACGGACCAGCCGAATCCTTCAACGACGCCATCAAGCGAACAATGGGCCGAATGAAGGAGTCAGGCGAAAAAGCCACCGCAGCTGCTAGTAACGAAGACGACATGTCGGATGATATGCTAGCGCAACTCCTTAAGGCGGTTGAGGCCGGCGCAGCGGGCGCAGGCGACGAAGGCGATTTGTCGAAGATGTTTATGGGGATGATGGAGCAGCTTTCTAATAAGGAAATGCTGTACGAGCCGATGAAGGAGCTTGATGGGAAGTTTGGGCCTTGGCTTGTCAAGAGTAAAGCCGAGGGAAAGGTTTCTGAGGAGGATATGGGGAGGTATGAGACTCAGGCTAAAGTTGTTAAGCAGATTGTGGGGAAGTTTGAGGAGAGTGGCTATTCGGATGAAGATCCAAAGTGTCGCGAGTATGTTTGGGAGAGGATGCAGGAGGTAAGTTCGAGTTGTTCTACGTGGTGGATTGATTTGTTTTGCTGACTTTTGACTTTAGATGCAAGCTGCTGGTAGTCCGCCTGAAGAACTGGTCTCCAACCCTCTTATGGAGGATCTGGGTGGGCTTGGTGCTGGTGCTGCCGGGGCTCCTGGCATGCCAGATTGTCCGCAGCAGTGATTTGATCCTGACGGTGAATGTGGATGAAGACTGGAGAAGTGGCCCCAAGTTGGATTTGAACTTGTCATGCTTGTTCCTCGGACTCTGCACTGTACATAAACACAACCCTTGTCGATACCCTTATTTACATGCAGACCGAATTGCTCAGTTCCCATCCATTTATCCCATGCCATATCCTAGAAATTATCCATTCCCGTGTCCATATCCATATCCATACCGAAAAAAGAACGCCATACAATGCCATGCAATGCACAACCATGCCGTCACAAATCCAATCAATCAAGATCTCGACCAATCTCATGACATATCCATATCCTGCCCCCCATTCCCACCCTCAAACTGCGAATCCGACAACCCCATAAAGATATCATCATACTCATCATCACTAAACGGGATTCGACCCCCATCACCGCCCCTCAAAGCCCCAACCCGGCCAGACACAGGCGCACCCTGCGTCTCCCGCAAAGCCATCTCCAGCGCCTCCTCCTGCAGAATGAACTCATCCAGCTCATCCATTTCAACAGAGCTATCAGGAAGCATATCATCCTCCCCCATTCCCTCAAACTCTCCATCAAACCCAGCCATGACCTCCCCGTCGGCAGCCATGCTCTCCTCCCAGCGCCGTCGATCGGCGAGACATTCCATGCGCATCATCTGCTCGCCGCGCGCCTCGAACCGACCACTGTCGCGCTCGTTGCGCACGCGATTGAGGAACATTTTGCGCGTTTTGCTGCGGGCCAGGGAGGGGGCGTTTTTGAGGGGGTTTGCGATTGTGTCGTTGTAGCGGGCTTCGAATTTGGGTTTGGGGCGAGTTGGCGTTGTTGGTGAGGTTGGTGTATTGGTGTTGGTGTTGGTTGTGAAGGAGAATGGGTTGTTGGAGGTGGATCTTGGGCCATTGAATGTTATGGGTGATTGGTGGTTGTTGCTGTGGCGCGTTATTGGTTCGCTTTGGATATTGAAGAATGATTGTGGCTGTGGTTGAAATATGTTCGTATTGGAGTTGGTTATGGGCGACGAGTTGAGGAATCCATGTGTGGTCTCGTTGCCGGAGTTGATGTTGGCGTTGTTCTCGTCCATTGTGCTTGGCTTAGGCGCGCCGCTTCGCGTCGGTGACGTTGTCCATGGGGGTGTGGATATGTTTGTGCTCCGTTGGCCTAGGGGCGATGGCCGGGCTGGGGTGAAATAGCCTGTTTGGCGGAAGGGTGTCGACGGTGGATGGGCGAACATTTCGAGGTTGAATTCCGTCGGATGCGGAAGGGTTGCGTCAGTGGAGGTGGTTGAGTGGGTTTGGGTTTGGCAAGTGTGTGGATTGGGAGTTCAAGTTCTGGATTATGGTGGAGTATTGGAGTATCAAGAGGAAATGGAACGACTATGGAGACAGATATGGGATTGGTAGGCTGGGAGACGGGTCTTGCATGAATCTCGCGTGTCCGACGCGTGCTGGAATGCGTCACGTGAACCTCGATTTGGATTGATCATTCGAGTTGATTAGACTTAGTTACTGGAGTAGTGGATTACGTGGAAATTGTTATTGGCTGACACGAGATTTATACTATGACTGAATCCATTGTCTCAAATTACATATATAAAAGGTTGAAAAATGCCTTCGCACTTGGCGTTTAGATACACTATACAGCATCCAATGCTCCAGAAAGAAAAGAAAGTGTCAAGACGAATGAACTCAATCACAGATAAGCCAAGCGCTTCGACACGGGGAATCAAAAAGAGACGGGCAGAACTGCAAAGTAGTGCCGATTTTGTCAGTCGCGCAAGAATCATCGAGAGTTGCGATCGAAAGGAATGTGGTGGTTGCTGGAACGCTCAACGAATGTGCAAATGTCCAATCTATAAACGAGAGACCAGGCGAAAACTCGCCAAAATGAGATGAATAAAAAGAGTCCGCAACCGAAAGAAAGAAGCAACCGTGCCCTCGCCTATCCATAGCGCCTGAAAATTGCATGATGATCGTACAAGGTTTACACTGAAAGTGTCAAATCCACAGCTTAGAAGTTGGAGGCTGCGTTGACAGGGCCAGGGTTGTGGTACTGGTCCAGTGTGTTCTTGAAGGGGGTGTTGCCGGCAGGGCTGGGAGCCTTCTCGCGAGGTCCGGAACCGACGGCGGTACCACCCATGAGATCATCCTCATCACCGTACTGCTCGTTGCGCTTCTTGTGGATTCTCCAGAAGACGAGACCGAGGGCACCAATCAGGATGGCACCACCGACACCGACCACGACACCAATGATGATCTTCTTGTCGGAGGAAGAGATACCACTGGAGCCAGAGCTCTTGTCGCCGTTGAGAGAAGGCGAGGTAGCATCGGCCACGGGAGTAGAAGTAGTGGTCATCACGTTAGCCACGGTCGATCCGCTACGGGTCTCGTAGGAAGTGATGGTCTTCACGACAGGGGTCTGGGTGGTGGAGGGGGCCTCGGTAGTGCTGCCTCCGGCGCTGGTAGTAGCGGCAGGTTCATTTTTCGATGAGGTGGATGAAGTAGAGGACGAGGAGGAAGAAGAAGAGGAAGAAGACGAGGATGACGTGGTCGGGTCCGCAACAGCAGTGGTCGGCTCGGTTGACGAAGTGGATGAAGTCGACGAAGTCGAAGAAGTAGTGGGGGCGGCAGTAGTAGTGGGCTCAGTGGAAGTAGAAGAGGTCGAGGACGAGGAAGAAGACGATGATGTCGGCTCAGCAGAGCTGGACGAGGAGGTCTCACTGGTGAGATCCAGGATATCCGAGACACCACCACTCTGGGCTGCGACAGCAGTCAACAGCAGAGCGTGGACGATGAACGAGAGGCTGGAGAGACGCATGATGAACCAAAACGAAGGAATATGACCAAAGTCAAGATGTGGAAAGTCGGGAAGATGTCAAAGGAATAAGCAGAAGTGAAAAAGGAGTCCAAGCGAACGGGAAACACATCAACCGCGCTAGGCCAGATTGGGTTACACGCTAGTCTCAGACTAGTGCAAGCGCCGAGAGATCTGCGACTGTGATTGGCTGCAGGGTTTCAATAGACACGCGCCGTTGTCTGATGTTTTCTCCAGGCTGAGAAGTCAGTCAAGACAGGACGGTAGACAGTGAAGGGTTGGGGGTTAAGAAGTTCAGTGATGCAGGCGAATAGTCCTAGAACCTTCTCTGTCATCCAGCTTACCTGCACAATCATCGCATTGTCTACAGAGAAAAACTCTACCCCTCGCTTCCGGGCCCATAATAGTCCCATATTTAGTAACAACCCAGCCCTGGAGATCTTCTGATCTCCCAATGTACCCGTTAGTGTGCATGCACTGCACAGTATGACATTCAATGCTACCCTCGACTACTACCTTTGTTGACAATTTACTGTTTACTTGTTACTAGTGACCTGGACTATTTTTTGCATGGCAAATTCTCACGTGGGATGGCTTCGAACCCTAGTGCCGGGTCTTCCAGCTGGGCCCTCCAGCCCCAGTCAAAGAAGCCGACACAGCCGGCCCTAAAATGGCTTGTCTCCTAACCCTAACCCTGACATACTCGACATGTTCGACATGCTGGGAATCGCATGTTCTGGAATTTGAACGGGTACGTACTTGTACCGGTTCTGCTAAGGGTTGGTTCGGCTGGAATCCACATAGGGGTTCCAGGGGTTCTAGACTCAAGGGACGGGGTCGTCATTGAATATTCTGTCAAGGCATAAAGTATAATATCCTGTTGATTCTTCTCCTTGGAAATCGAGGCCGGCCATACAGTAGAATGCCCATGATTACTGCAGATTGCTGTACTTTGCGGCGGGCCTACTGAGTCGCGCTATTAATGAATGGTCTCCGCTGACGTAGAGATCGTCGACTCTACCTAAAATTGGCGCTGACACTCTCGAATAGTTGCCTCGTCCGCTGGTGCCGGGGCATTTTCCTTCATTTGCCTTGGCAACGAGGCACAGTCGGCGCTAAGACTGAGTTAGAGTGAGGGGCTGTCTTTGTGTATGGCTATGTGTTTGACTCGGTGGCTCTGGGATATCCACCGTCTGTCAGATCGACATTGAACTTGGGCAACAACATCATCTATTAAATATTCATCGGAGTCTTAATTGGAGGTTATGCTGACCGCTGCTCTTTGGATGTTTTTAGTCCGTCTGGTGCCACGTTTCGGCCACGTTGTGCGACTGGACACTGCAGTTTCTGAAGTATAACGAGTCCATTCACTTATAGGGGTTCTTCTTGTTGATATCTTGCGTTATTGATTGTCTATATTCCCTCCCAAGTCTAATTTAAGAAATGACATGGCTTCAACGCCCACTCTTTAAAAACTCTGCGCTGAATGGATAATCCGCATATCCAGCCTCCTGCATGGCCGCATAGAAACTATCCCGATCATACTTGTTCAGCGGAAGCTGATGTTTCAACCGGAAAGGCAAATCGGGATTCGCAAGGAAATACCGTCCAAATACAACAGCAACATCATTACTCTGATATTCCTCGAAAGCAGCATCAACATTGTCGGCCTTGTACCCACCAGCAACAAGTACGGGAGAAGTCTTCCCCCAAATATCCAAAAGGAACTCAATCCCTTCGGCCTTTTCACAATCAATGTTGTTAATGACCCTCGACTCAATGAGATGAAGATAAGCAAGCTTAAGCCCCTTCAACCGCTCAACAAGGTATGCAAACTGAGGCACGGGATCATCCATCTTCATTCCCTGCCAGGTGTTCCACGGACTAAGACGGAATCCGACACGGTCAGCCCCAACAGCTTCAACCAGCGTCTCAGCAACCTCCACTGCAAATCTGGCGCGGTTCTTAACACTCCCACCCCACTGATCACGTCGCTGATTCGAGATATCTTGCAAGAACTGATCCACCAGATACCCATTCGCACCATGAACCTCAACCCCATCAAATCCAGCCCGAATAGCATTCTTCGCCGCAACCCCGAATTCCCGAATAATACCCCGGATCTGCTCCTCGCTCAACTCCTGGGGCGCAGCGTTTTCGGCTTGTCCGGGGAGTGGGATAGCGCTCGGCGCAAAAACTTCGTACCCGCCTTCCTTCTGCAGGGTGGTTGGATCGGCTGCCCGTCCAAGTGCGACAAATTGGCAGTAGATGTAGCTGCCCTTGGCGTGCACGGCATCTGTGATTCCTTTCCAGGCTTGGATTTGGGATTCGGTGTATATGCCGGGCCCGTTGGGGATTCCGCCGCTGGACGGGGAGATTAATGTCGCTTCGGCGATAAGAAGTGTTCCTGGCACTGAGGCACGTTGCTCGTAATATGTCTTTGATATTGGGAGGGGGACGTGGTTTGAATCACAACGTAGGCGCGTTAGAGGGGCCATTACCACGCGGTGGGATAGGGATGTTTGCCCGATTTGGAGGGGTTCGAAAAGATTAGGTGACATTTTGGTTTCAGTGTAGGGAATATGGTGGTAGGTTGATAAGTAACTTAATGAAGAAGTTGGATATCTGAACTTGTGCGCCTCTTGTATAGTAGAATTCCCGCCGTGGTTGATTGGTAATGGATGAAAATTTGATGATTCTATACTTCGAGGACGTGCGTGGAGATGTGTTGGAGGTGTGTTGTGGAGGTGCTTCAAGATCAACGGTCTGAATAATCTGACCTCCAGCACCTCCACACCACATCGGGGACTTTTCACTGCAGAAACTGCAAGACTGACAAATCCTTTGGAAAATGATATTGCGAATTATCATGGCTTAAATTCAGTTCAAATAATGGTTTTAGCATAATCCAAGCTAGCGTTGACGGTTTTCCAGCGAGCGATCTATAGCCCTAATAACTCAGATATGCCTCTCCAATGGCTACGTGACAGCTTTTTGGGACAAGCTTTACGTCAATTCTACAAAACCCCCTGCTTGACCTACAAAGAAGAGCGTCATGACCGGCAAGACATCGAGGACAAAGTTCTTCCCAATAGAAAGACAGTACTAGTCGAATGGGATACCAACGACGAGGAAAACCCTCAGAATTGGTCCTCAATCAAAAAAGCTTTCGTGCTCATCGTCATTGGCGCATACAGCTTTGTGGTATACATGTCAGCACCAATCTACACCCCAAGCGAGAACGCCTTTATCGAAGAATTCGACGTGAACAACGCAGAAGCTGCCCTTGGACTTGCTTTATACGTGTATGTCAACCTTCGAGCCCACCAGCAACCTTGTGCTAACTCAATAACAGCTTAGGATACGGAGCTGGACCTCTATTTTTCAGTCCTCTTAGCGAGATCCCTCGCATAGGTCGAAACATCCCATATGTCATCTCCTTCGCCCTCTTCTGTGTCATCAGTATCCCAACAGCAATAGCACCAAACGCAATCGGCTTCTACTTCCTACGCTTTCTTCAGGGATTTTTCGGCAGTCCATGTCTAGCCACTGGAGGGGCCTCAATCGCAGATATCTACTCAACGGATGTTCTGCCTCACGCAATGACGACGTGGGTGTTTTGCGTGTTCTGTGCTCCAGCCATTGGCGTTTTAGTCTCTGGATTCGCGATCCCAGTTCTCGGCTGGCGCTTCTCAATGTGGGAGATCTTGATCGCTGCCGGTCCGATTCTTGTCCTCCTTGTTTTGTTGCCTGAGACTAGTTCGGCTACTATTCTGCATCGTCGCGCACGCCGTTTGGAAAGCATGGATCCGGATCAGACGCGGGAGTATAGGACTGCTGCTGATATCGCCCAGGCGGGCGTTTCGTTCCATGAGATCGTTCAGGAGTCCCTGCTGATCCCTGCCAAGATAACTTTGCTTGATCCGGCTATTCTCTTCTTGAATTGCTATACGTCTTTGACTTACGGAATCTACTACTCCTTCTTTGAGGCTTTCCCGATTGTCTACCAAGGCATGTACGGTTTCAACCTTGGTGAAATGGGACTTGCATTCTTAGCCATTGTTGTCGGGACGGTGATATCATTCGTGATCTACAATGTTTATATCCACAAGATCTTCGTCCCAAAGACGAAAGAAGGAGGTGTTCGGAAACCAGAAGATGTACTGGTTCCAGCTCTGTTTGCATGTTTTGGACCGGCTGTTGGTCTATTCCTCTTTGGCTGGGCTGCTAATCCCAATGTTCATTGGATTGTTCCGACAATTGGTATTGTCATCTATCCGGCTTGTGTGTTTATCTTGATGCAGTGCGTTTTTCTTTATATTCCTGCTTGTTACCCGCAGTATGCTGCCAGTGTTTTTGCCGCGACTGACTTCACACGGAGTGCTTTTGCTTGTGGAGCTGTTGTTTTTTCCAAGCCTCTTTATGAGAATTTGGGCATTGGGCCTGGGTGCAGTTTGTTGGCTGGGTTGACCATCGGGTGTGTAGTTGGGATCTATGTGCTTTATCACTGCGGGGAGGCGCTGAGGCTTAGATCGAAATTTGTATCTAAGTGGTGAACTTATTTGTTCATTAAACTAAACTCGAGGCCCTTTATGGACTCATTTCAATGGAGAGAAGTTGTTCCAGTTTACTTTTTGTTTATCTTTTCGTGAAGCTTATGAGAATCAACATTCTCAATCGAATTATTGATCGTTCAGAGAACTAGCGAATCTTTGCTCACAGGTGTCGGCGTAAATATCGAGTCCTTCTCCAATCACCTTCAAGATCGCCCATTGCTCATTTCCCCTGATCAGGCGCGCCCAGAGCTTCACCACAGCAAACCCGAGATAAACACAATTCGATGACAAAGTCGGTCTGGACCATAGATCCTCATCGCCGGACGTCCTCCCTTCTTCGACAATATCCCCAATCCAGCTGATCAGGCGACTCTCATGCTCTAATATCAAAAATTAGCATATCTCAGCTTTACTTAGTAGGCTAAGTACAAACCATCAAGCGGCCTCGTTTTCTGACAATCGGCGATACAAAAAAGCCATTTACTCAGGAAAATCGCAAACTCCAATCCACAAAGTGAATGCTGGATACTCCACACAAACGCATGACTCCTCGCGACGAAATTGACGCCCAGCTTAACTGGTATACTCAATGCATGTGTCGCATGCAAGATTGCAGGCAGTAGATGGGGGCCAGCGGGCAGTTTTGGCATTTGTAGAAGTTTTTTTGCAATCTGCTGTGGATCTCGTGATCCGAGGATTTTGTATGGCCCTATGTTAAGAGCGAGTCGCACATATGCCAATCCCAGCAATGCCGTTGATGTGAATGTGACTGGGCCATTGGGATTGCGAGGGTCTAGACTTGATTCGGGGGCTCGTTGCCATTGCGATGTCCATGTGTGAAGGGCGTTTCTATAGGTTTGTTAGAATATGCAATTGGAATGTCTGGGTTCCTTACCTGATGACCTCTTTTTGACCATTGAGTAGAGTATCATTCGGGTCATTGTGGGAACCAAATGCTTGTTGCACTAGTGTGATTCTCTGAATTAATGCATGTAGAAGGATATAGTTTGCCAAAGGTGATGGCACTGGTTGGGGGTTGATCGCTTGAATGTCGCTTGGAGATTTCATTAGTTGTGAGAAAGCCTCTTGGAAAAGCATTTGCTGTGCATTATCCTGCTTGTGTACCATTGACCATTTCTGCTGGTTAGGCGCAATCCATTCAAAACAGCTGCATGGAAGGCGCAAGTGGATTTCATCGCCTAGTATAACTGGAGGTGTGCTAAATGCTATGCCATGCAGATTAAGGAAGGCAAAAGAGAAGAGCTTGATTCTCCTTTCGGACTCCTGCTGTACCCATGTATGCCAATTCATATCTTCTTGTCGAGATGAAGCACTTTCTTCCAGTTGACTCTCTCTCACGCACCTGGCGAGAAAGCTTTGAAGATTGAACGCTTCCCTTAAAATTTCCGGTTCACGCTGCCAAGTTGCGAAAGCAATGAGGTAGAGAGCGCACCGTGCTTGGAGCATTAACTCTCTATCAGTCAGATTTTCACCGCTCTGCTGTGTTTCACGGTGCTTCAAAATTGCCTTTGCGGCATAGAAAAGGGTGACTGCTTTTCGATGTTCATGGCGATACTGAGCGCCAAGCGCAGCCATAGACAGAATAATTTCCGATTCGCAATTGTCCACCTTAAATGTTGGGATGTGAACGACTGGCATGTGAGGATAAAACCCATCGAAGAATCCATTCACAAAGCGAGTCAGTGAGTGGGCCGACGGAAATACACCATCGGCCATCGCCGTCCCAGATCTACCAAGAGCTTGTAAAAGACGGTTTCTGTGTTCATCGCTGATTCTCAGAATCGGTAATGTTAAAACTCCAAACTCGGCTAATGGTTCACTGTCAGTTTATATCTGCGCATGTGAATGAGATACGCACCGACTGAGTCTCTTTCAATGGGTAGCTGGCTAAGAGGCTGATCTGGTTGCGAGAACGGTTGTTCTTGTATGTGATTTCCAGCACCTCCGACATGGGTAGGGTGCATATTGGATTCTCCAGCAAGAAATTGTATAATGCTGGGCTCAGAGGGAAGTGTCCACTCGTTATTGAGGCCTATGTTGTGACTAAATGTCTCCAGATCTTGTAAAACTAGAAGATCTTGAGCATTTAACAACGAGTCCCCTAACCAAATAAGCATTTCTTCAGGCTCCACATATAATAGCAAGGGGAGGTGAACCTTCAAATTGATAACTTGGAAATTGTCCCTCCGAATCAATCGGAGTGGGCATAGCAACCCCTTGGAGATCAGGCACCCCCCAGAATGATGTGTCTGAATTGCCAGTGGAGACATTATTCAGTGGTGACTGAAGGTTCTGATTGCTATGGCCAGTCATAGGCGATACTTGCTGCGTTGGAGGAGTTGGAGAGTGGCCAATGTCCTCATGGCGTTTCAGTAGATCCCGCCTGCCGAATGAAGCTCCGCAGGTACATTTGTATGGCTTTTCATTTGTATCTTAATTCAGTTAGCATCTTTTATTGACGTGCAGTAAGGGTGAACCGACGTATCCGAATATGCCGTTGGAGGTGTTCGTGGCGACGAAAATGACGCTTGCAGTGTGGACATGTTCGGGGCTTTCTTTTACCCGTTGACTCGGGCGTTTCAGGTGTTGATATGTTCATGATTAATTAATTGGCATTCTGCATTATACGAGAAGATAATTGAAAAAGGCACTTTGGAGGTGCTCGGAGTTGAACTTCAGAGCCCAGGGAGAGCTATGGGAATGACTAATCTAGGTTGCTTAACGTAACTTAATTCACTGCCGAGCGGCCACCACAACCGAGTGGCCACCTCCAAAACACATAGTGAATGCAATATTTTAGAACCTCATATTTCAACAACCGCATTATTGTTTGATTTTACTAACTCTATATAGATATTGATAAGGACCCTCAGTCCTACATATCAATTTTAAGATTCTCGAAAGGTTACATTATCGTGGTTTTTAAAATTACACTGCGTAGAGCCAGAAATCCATATATTATCGCATTTACAAACCTGCAACAATACTCAAACTCCCTAGAGAAGCTACACCTAAAAAGTAGTAGGCTATCAGAAAAAACTCTATATAGATTGATGTTGTTGAGACACCAAGTTGTAATATATCGGATTTACTATGTGTTTTGGAGGTGGCCACTCGGTTGTGGTGGCCGCTCGGTAGTGAATTACGTTAGTGAGCAACGTTAATGCACCTCCAAGGCTGTGGAGTTGCGGGTACCAGCTCATTGAGGTTTGAGAAAAGCTCAGCAAGGTTTATAATGTACTAACGAATGGAATATCGGTCTCCGAGGTTGTGGAGGTGAAATCTCTCGTAGAGATTCTCGGGTCTATCTCTGTCATATGTGAAATTAGGGTAAAAGCAGCAATCCCAGAAGAGCACTTGAGATGATGAGAGAAATTGGAAAAATTGCATGACGGAAAGACGAACCCGAAACAAACATGCAGACAGTAGGATATTTATCACGACGGCTGATATATATCAGCAGCAACCAAGATCTCACTGTACCTCGTGCCAGTAAGAAGCCACTAGTCCCATGTAATGTCTGTCATAGATGTGAAAACATACTTAATCATCATTCAAATAAAAAACACGTACTCTAATTACATGAACCGTTACACCATCGCCGTTCTTTAAAATTTACTTAGATAAAACACGTGATGCTGTATAGTTTCCGAAGCGCACCAATTTATTTGGGCTCCTATAGTCAAAATATGAGGATTTCAACATCTAAGGTGCTGTGGTCGAGGGGTTAAGACACATCGTTGTGGTTATTCTATGATATCCTCACATCGTATACCGATGTAGCCCCGGTTCGAGTCCGGGCAGTGCCATATCTTTTTGTTGCTGCCACTAGGCAGAAATGCCCCGTTTTTGCCCTAGTTCAACCTCTTTTTTTTGATTGTTTTCAACTTTCCCCGATACACCAAGGAGTCTATTGTTTTGGAATAGGATAAGGACAGTAGGAAGACATCATAGCTTTCATAACAGCGAAGGGGAAACATCAATTCGGGGTTGAAGTGATGGCACCAATGGACTCTCCTAGGTCACACTATATAGCCCGGCTTTATTCAATGACCAATCGCTGAATGAGAAGACCTACAATTGCATGCAAGGAATGTACTAAGTGACTCCCCCACGGCCACGCCACAGACGCCACAACGAACAATACCCTTACATCCCAATTCCCACCCAATCCAACGCAAACAACCCTTAGACAAGGCAAGCCTAAGCGCCAAAATCTCAAAACAGCATCCCGAACCCCAAGATCTGCAAGAGCACAGGCAAGGCCGCATCAAAACCGACAACAAACGGGCTTTTCCCCGATGTCAACCCCCCGCACTTCCCCAGACCCCCACAAAGACGATCAAAGAAAAAGCGTCACTAAGTCAGCCAAGAGCCGATCTATACCCTCAATACTCCGTTTACCCCAGAAAAGCTGAGGTCAAGCCTTGTTTAAAGAAGGTCATTGGTGGAACTGACCCGTTGACCCCCTTCTTGTTTCTTTGTCCCACCGGCTAACTCCACGCGTGAGACACAATCGAAGCAAGGCTGTCGCTTTCTCATGCCGCATCCGGAGAGAATATTTTAGTCGAAGGCTCAGATTGGTTGGAGATTACAGACTGCAGCTTTTGCTTAATCTCGTAGAGGCGTATGTCGTGTTGTTGTAGAAGATATAAAGGAGGAGGTCTGCCGTGTCATGACACGGGACTTGCAAGCTTCCTTCTCACTCGAATCACATCATCTTGTTATCTTGTTTCCCTGTGCAGGCTATGTCATAGCCATCGGATAGCTGCATTATGGTACAATTCAACATCTATGGCCGCGGCCGATCACTGCGGATGGCCATAATGTTTACATGCCAACTAGCATTCATATTTTTCGGTGGGTATCCTCCATCTTCTTAGCCAGGGGATGAGACTCGAGAAGCTCAAATCGTTCATTTAGGCTACGACCAAGGCGTCTTCTCCGGAATTGTAGGAAACGACGATTTCCTAAATGTAGTTCACTACCCCAGCGCCGGTATACTGGGTATCATAGTATCGATATACAATTTGGGATGTTTCACCGGGACAATAGTCTCATTTATGATAAGTGATCGAATTGGACCACGGAAATCGATGTGGTTTGCCATGATCTGGATTATTGTATGTTTCTTTACTCTCTCTTCCTATATTGACAATGGAGCAGAGCAGACACTGACATACTTCGTTCAGGTTGGAGCAATTCTACAAACGACCTCGTTCTCAAGAGCTCAACTGCTGGTTGCGCGCTTTGTCACCGGTATAGGTACGGGTATCGAAACCACCGTCGTACCAGTGTACCAATCCGAGCTATGCGAAGCCAAGAAACGCGGAAAATATGTCTGCAGTGAGCCGCTATTCGTTGGCGTTGGTATTGTCATTGCTTACTGGTTTGATTATGGCATGAGTTATGTTGATGGGGATATCAATTGGCGGTTGCCGATTGCTTGTCAGATGATTTTTGCTATAATGGTTATCTTGCTGGTCTTTGGGTGAGTGACTCTAGGAGTGAATTTGAGAAGAGAAGAAGTCATATTCTTGATGACCGATGCTGACATTGGGTATGATAGTCTGCCTGAAAGTCCTAGATGGCTCTACCGACATAACAGACCAGATGAAGCTCTCCAGGTTCTATGTGATATCTATGACATGGGACCCGAGGATGGGAAAGTTATCTCCGAATCTGAGGGTATCATTCAGGCTATCCATCTTGAGACTCTACACGGTGAATATAAATGGTCCCAAATTCTCAAACGGGATGAAGTGCAGACTGGTCGACGAGTGTTGCTGGCTTATGGGATCCAGTTTATGAATCAGATGGGAGGAATTAACCTGGTTGTGGTAAGTAGTTCCTATGCTATCCTACTGTACCAGTCTAAACCGCATCTCCTCTAACATTGTACGGCTTACAGTACTATGTGACTTCTGGTAAGTTGTCGTGTATTTAACAGGCTTCTGTCAAACTAATGCCGACTAATATCATCCACAGTGCTCGAGTACAACGTCGGCTTGACCCGGAAACTAAGTCTTTTATTGGGAGGAGTAATCCAAATTATGTTTGTGATCGGTAAGTTGAAACTCTCCTGGGTCATCAGCAGCAAGAGGATAAGAACCAAATGAAGCCTAACCATTGCACACCAGGCTCCTTTTATCCGACCTTCTTTTCAGATCGATTTGGTCGCCGTAAACCAATGATGTGGGGATCTTTCGGACTGTTCATCTCCATGATGATGATAGCAATTTTGCTCTCATTCAAGGGTAACAGTCCTCCTCGTCCATTACACGCATCCTGGTATTGATATTACTACTGCAGGGACATCGATCGAAAAACCGACAGCAACGGCCTCCGTCGCGTTCTTCTTCCTCTTCATGCTAATCTTCGGTGCATCGGTGAATTGTATTCCGTGGGTATACGGACCTGAGATTCTACCTCTGCATGTTCGCGCTAAGGGGTAAGTCTTTCATACAACCAAGATATAAAACACCCCCTCTTTTGATATATATTTCTACATTCATACACACCACTCACTTCCATTTCTCTTATAACAGCCAAGCCATTGGAATCTCAGCAAACTGGCTCTGGAATTTCTTCGTGGTAATGATAACGCCCACACTGATCCAAGACCTGGCCTGGAAGGGATACTTGATTTTCATGTGTCTGAATTTAATTTTCGTTCCGGTGAGTCTAGCAGCAATTCTTGTTTACATCCCAATATCAGCTACAATAACATACTGTGATTGAATCAACGCAGTCCACATGTGCTAATGAGCTGTGATATAGATTATCTACTTTTTCTACCCCGAGACCGCTAATCTCACGCTCGAGGAGATTGATTTCCTGTTTACGGATAGAGCGAGATACCCTACTATCGTGGGTTCACGGTCAGCTGGAGGTGTGGATACTCGCGTAAGTATGAATGAGAGCGAGAATGGAAATGAGAAAGATGGAAGTGGAAGTGGAAGCGCTGGGGGTAGTGTCAGCCACGATGAAGTGAGGATTGGTGCTAGAGAGAAGGAATGACTATAGGTGACAATGAGGGTATGATGGTGTTGTCATGCTTCTATTCTACTATCACTACATGGTAATGCTACAAATGAAGTGATTTTGAACTGTTGCTCTACTGCTAGTGATATAATTAGGAACAACATTCAGATTGTGCATGCAGATGGCATACTTCTAATGAGGGCTCAGAACCATCCTCCCCTCCAAGTCTGTTTGAATCGAGCCTTCTCCCTCTAGCATTGATTTTCCCTACCTATACTAGTCCTTGTTCTATAGTTCTATGACAAAGCTCTAAACCTCGCTTTGGGTTTGGTTTCTTGACCTGAATGGATCCCTGAATCTTCAGCCCTCGGGCCCAGACATCTGCTTCTAACTTTACGAACATATGGCACTGATAACAGAACTTATCATATCTCAGGTGCTGTGGTCTAGGGGTATGACGCCTCGTTGTGGTGAAGTCTTAACAGATATCTGCAACATTTCCGATGTAGCCCCGGTTCGAATCCGGGCAGCGCCATTTTGTTTTTTGTCAATTCTATGTGTGGATGTGAAATCTATACTCGGTTGGATTTCTTGATAAAATTCTGATTCGACGTCAGATTGGGTTCGGAAGTACGCTTTACCTATTTGGGAAAGGTTCAGAATTATATGACCTTCAGTCCGTCAATCAATTGTAACATTTTGCTCAACATTCTAATGGTTCTACGATTTAATTATTTGCTGTGTCTTTTATTTCTATAACATAGTACCTAGTAAACAGCGTGATGTAGTTATCGCTTCAGAATTGTAGTCAAGTCAATGCCGAACAGGGGTCATAAAAATCAAAATCCTAATAAGAGAAAGTCTTAACAATAGCTAGATAGTCAATTGCAGATCCGATCATAATGTTATAATGATTGCAGCCAATCACAAGCTAGGTGCTGTGGTCGAGGGGTTAAGACACATCGTTGTGGTTATTCTATGATATCCTCACATCGTATACCGATGTAGCCCCGGTTCGAGTCCGGGCAGCGCCATTACCTTTTTGCCTCTGTTGCTCATACTTCGCAACGTCTGAGGGCTTTTGTTTTTGCATCAGCACGATACTGGGGATTTGTACAGTTGGACATTGTTCGTGAGCGGTGATTGAAAGTAGAAAAAGAGGGAGAGGAGGGAGAGGAAGGGAGAGTGTAAGTAAAAGGCTAAAAAATATGGACAATAGATGATGTGATGCTTGCACCGCCCTCTTTGATGGATAATTCTCTTAAGTGACTTGACGATATCTACGAGAGCCACATCGTCAGTAGATACGTCGGTATGTTAGACTTTCGTATCCAGCGGTTAAACAAATTATAGTTTACTTACTCCTTTTCGTATATTCTAAGAACTAAGCATATAAAGACCATGAGAATGCTGACTTTGAAGTATATCCAAAAATTGTTCTAAATGTTCGCAATCTGAAGCAAAATACTATTATTCTAGTCACAAATTGACAAAAATAAAATGGCACTGCCCGGACTCGAACCGGGGCTACATCGGTATACGATGTGAGGATATCATAGAATAACCACAACGATGTGTCTTAACCCCTCGACCACAGCACCTTGATAATTATTAATAATTGCAGATTTTGAGTCTATGGCGTTATTTTATAGACGTTAGAAGTCCACACAATATCCATGATATTGATTGTAGATTTTCCACTGTGCAGCAGAAGCTATGTAGGATATTTTGTAAACATTTGGATTCAAGATTTATGAGCTTAGGGTTCGGGTGCTTCTTACCTGTTGCAAGATGTGGAAAGGGAAGGGCCTACTTCACTTTGTTCGCCTCATAACATAACTTGACCATGAGATTTCCAAAGTTGACTCGTTCCCAGCAAATTAATGAGGGACGGTATAGTACTTGGGGAACTTTGGGCTGTGCAACAACGCATGTACAGAAAGCCAGAGTGGTCAACTACAAGCGAAAGGACTCATAACTTATTTCTTTTGATTGAGAAGTCAAAGTTGTTCATAAAATAAAAAAAGGGATTCAAAAGAGAACATAGATGAACTCCAGATTACGAGACGCCATAACCCGCCCTTAAGACGCAGAGGGGGAAAATCGTAGAAGCAAATAACCAAACCCCATCCTGGACACCCAAACCCAAAACCCCCAGAGAGCGAGAACTGAAGTGGGTCAAACCGGGTCAGTCAGGCGTGTAAGTCTCATAACTAGATAAGCAATAGTAAAAACGAAAATTGGCGAAGATGATATCCGAGTGTCGATGTCGATGCCGGTATCGATGCCGATGCGAATGGCTGGACGTCGAGCCGAGGTCGAAATCGAGGTCGAGTCGGTTGATGGCGTATCAGGGGTAGCGTATCGGAGGTTGTGAATAGAAATCAAGAAATCATGAGTCGATCTCCATTCCCATTTCTACGCCCCCGCTCAGTCCCGGTGCGTGTGAATGGTTTGAGATGGCTTGCTGGAGAAGTGGTACGCCAGTTTCCATGCGGAAAGGAGTGGTTTGGGCGTTGTGTCGATCGGTAGCGCTAAGAGGCGCGGCACCCTCGAAGATGATTGGGGTGCTGCGCAGATTTTGAATGCAAGATTCCCACGAAGAAGCGACGAGCTGGCCTTGGGTGAGATCTTCGGTGAAGAGGTAGAAAGCAGGCGAAGTTCCAGAGGTCGGAGTCGCTGCTACCAGGAAAGCGTCCAGAGCGCGGCTCTTGATGAGAATCTGGGAGTCGTGTAGCTGGGAGGAAAACTGGTTATCGATGTATTTCGTCCAACCGCGCACCGCACAAGCCATATCGTCATCTGTGCTGACGCGCTGCCAGCCTATGCCGAGGAGACGGGTTGCGTCATCAACAAGAGGCTCCGCGGGAGGAGCAGGCCCGAGATTGAGGGTGCGGTGCTGGTCGTTCGAGTTGGACTCGTTGAGGCGTTGGTGAATTGAGGAAAGGGCGATGTCATCCAGGCCTGGGGCAGATTGGTCGAGACGTTGGGACTTGCGGCTTACGTCCCCCGCGTCAGACTGCAAAACGTTGGACCGGGAGTAGACAGGCACAGCGGTGGCTTGGTGCGTCTCGGACTCTTGCTCGTACCATGTGCCGGTCTGGCTTTCAGCAGAGAGAGCGAGACCAGTCTGCGGGTTGAGCAGAACCATTCCTTCGCCATAAATTGGCTCCTCCTTTGGTGGTGACGGCGTGGGTGCTGGAGGCGCACTGGATGTCAAGGCTTCTTCGAAGGACGCATCGTCACGCGACCTCTTGCGGGATGGCTTCGGAGGAGGTGTGAAATTGAAACTTGAGGATGCTTGAGCAGGGTTATTGGCAAACGCAGTGTTAGGGTTGGAGAAGCTGGTGAAGCTTGACGGAGGATCTAGCATGGTCTGCGGGAACTGAGCGAAGGCATGATCCTGGGGAGAGAGGACCGTCGCGGGACCGTCAGAGAGGCGATTGAGAATCATCGGGCACATTGTATTTATGAGTGACCCTTGAGGGATACTGTTCTGTCAGATTAGGTGAGTAAGACACAAGAAGCTTCAACCACCTGCGGATCACGTCCAAGCGGAAGGGAGGTTGAGAGGTAGATGTGAAGGTGGTAGAGGTGAAATAGAAGAAGAAGAAGGATATATGTAGGATGAGGAGGTAGCGTGAAAGAGAAAGAAGGAGAAAAGATTAGCGGAGAGGGAGAAAAGAGGAAATGAAAAGGAACCGAAGAGAGAGAAGAGAGGTAGAGTGAGAGTGAGACCAGAGGGATCTGAGGAAGTGGATGATTTGATGCGTGAAATGCGGAGTTACCGTAACAAACGGCAAGTTACCGGCCAAAAGCAGCTATCCGATCGACCAAAACAGTAACAATACCAACGTCACTCAGCGAGGCGATTGGCCAATGCAGCCAAGCCGCCTCCGAGGAGTGGAGCTGGTCACGGATGGATCCAGACTCGTTGTGATTGGCCAATCAGCGTTGATGCCCGGACGCCTCAGGTTTGCACGGATGTGCCGTCCGTGGTCATCACGTGCAGTCACCTGAGAGCAGCCAAGGAATCACGTGCAGTGACATAACACAGTGAAGAAGAAACGAACAGTACGGTTCAGGCATGCAGGAGAGTGAACAACAAAGAAGTCTATTCGAACACTATAGAAACACGAATGGTAATAAGATGACCACATGAACAGGTCCAGAGCTAAAACCGACACCAAAGCTCGTGCAAGTCTAACAAAATCAATGTTCGTAGAAAAAAAAAAAAAAGAGAACACCGCCAGTAACACCACATGTCACTGAATACATCAAATGCGGCTGGATAAAACAAAAAGCCAAAGCCCAAGCCCCGTTCTCCATCACACCGGGGCTTAGGGGAAAGAACATGGCGGCATCATACAGGGGAAGAGAGGATGCCAAGGCCGCTACATGTTGTGCATCCACTGCTCAAACCAACGCTGGTAAACTATGTTGGCTCCGAAATTATGTTGCATTCCAGTTCATAGGAGATGCAGGGATGATAACTGCATTTAAGCGTTACCAGCAGTAGCACCGCCAAGCATGCCCTTCACACGGTCAACGGATGAAGGAGCGTAGCTAGGGGCCATGGAGCCAACAAAGAGGAAGAAGATGAGGGCGGATGCGCCAAAGACAACAAACTTGCGCTGGGCAGGACGGGCCTGGCCGTACTCAGCCCAGGCGCGGCCAGCAGAAGAGGTGTACTCGCGCATCTTGTCACCACCCAGCTTGTACCAGACGAGACCGAGCAGAGCGATGGAGTAACCGAAGAACTGGAGGGGAGTGACGGGGGTGTTCCAGATCATCATGGAGGCAATGACGAGGAGGATATCCTTGAGGACACCACACAGGGTCATGACGAGAGAGGAGGTCTTGCCAATCTGTAGAGAAGGTTAAAACGGATCCGCGAATTTGGATATTGAACTCAAATGACTTACCAGGAAGACCACAGAAACGTTGAGCAGGAAAGCAATGACAGCGTTGAGAACCAGAGTCCAGACACCAACGGAGTAGATGTGCTCCATGGTGCAGCGAGGGAACTCAAGGAACAGAGCAACGGCACCGTTCATGACAGCACAAATGGGAGCAAAGTAGTACAGAGAGACCATGGGATCCATCTTGAAGTCCGAGGAGCTGAGCAGACCCTGGACCATGACCAGACGAGTGGCTTCGAAGATGATACCACCGACCTGGAACAGGAAACCAACGAGCTGGAACTTGACCTCACCGAAGGAAGCGATGATCACACCAACCACAATGATGGAAACGTTGGCGAGAACCTTCATGTTGGCGGGAGCCATACCCATACCCCAGGTGGCCAGCAAGACAGCCACAGGTGTGGTGGCCTTGAGCATCTGGATGAAGGCAACGCTGAGGTACAGATAGGTCATGTTACCGCAAATCAAACTCAGACTGAACATCACACCGATGGGAACAATCGCGCGGAGGTAGACACGGCCGGTCATCTTGACGTTCTTGCGGCCATCAAGGACAGTGGTGGTGCGGGCGAGGATCTGGGTCATGATGGTAGCAAAAGTCAAGTGCCATGTTGTCAGGATAATAGGGAAGCCTGTTCAATTGTTAGCAACTGAATTCCTTGTCGCGCGTCCAACTGGTTTAGCTGAGGCGAGGTGACTTACGGAAGCCGAGAGTGTCGAGGAGGTACTTGTTGAACAGAATAACGGAGGAACTGAGGGTAATCCAGGTACTGGCAAGATATCAGCGATTGTGTCTTCCTCGCTGGAACGACGGTGGCTCACGTCACGTAGACCGCGGGGTGCAGGGCCGCGCTGGACTCCTGCTTCTCAGCGGCGGGGTTGACCGTGGGCAGAGACTCCCGGGGAGTCTCGCCGGAGGCGCGGACCTTCTCGCCTTCGCTCATTTTGAAAATAGGAGGTTGATCGGAGAGGAAGCGCTTGAATTCAAATGGTCGTGGCCGAGAGAGGCTTCCTTGACTAAATGCGGAGGAAGCCACGGAGAAAAGTGGGCGAGATAAGAAAGGGAGATAGGGAGGCGAGAACACTAAACGGTTAAACGAGAGTGAGACAGTTGGATCAAAACGAGCGTGAATGAAGGAATGATGAGGTACGTACGAGGAACCAAATACTTCTTTTCCACAGAGTTGAGAAACGAAATTAAAAAAAACCGTCGGGGGGGCAGAGACGTTGTTTAGACGTAAAGAAAACACCCAAAACAGAACACCACACGTCTGTTTGCAGAGTTGGTTCCTGTTTCAAGGTCTGAAAATTACGGTTACATCTCAGCTAAGGCCACCTGTACACAATACTGGACGATGATTGGTCGAGAGGGCTTGGGACGCCCGTTTCCCTTACCTGAGCCTGGACCGGGACTCCCATGGGTTGCTCGTGGCGATGCTCCGTTTTTGTAGTCCAGTCGCCAATAGAGTCTAGTTCCACTCCACTGGCTGCTTTGGCAGCTAATGTTAATTCCTGCTCTTCTCAGTCCAATCCAGGAGTGTGTATTGGAACCATCCAAAGAGAGATCCCAATCACCCGAGACAATACAGATGACCAGTACTGCAAGAATGTCCGAGCTCGGTATTCCAATCGTTTGAGATAGAACACTACGTAAACGCAGATCCAAATTAATAGAAAAGGGTTACGCAAGCAGCTGTTAGCCACGACCCACCAAGACCCGTGTTCGGCGACCCTCTGGTCCATCCGGTCCCTTACGGGTGGAGAATGCGGCGATCGCCCTGGGCTGTGTCTGACGCCATCAGGGACTCTCTGGCGCTCCACAAGGACTGGGGGACCAAGCTTTGTTAGCCTGTAACCCGTATGGCCTGGTTTGATTGGAATTGTTCCTTGGATGCGGTGATTGCCATGGATGGAATCGATTTTCCAGACTTCCAGAAGTTCTATCTTTGTACAGTACAGTTCAAACTCCCCAAGGATCCTCGTCATGTTGCCTTCTTGGGGCGACAATCAGTGGACCCTTGTCGCCTGTGCCCTGATGTCTGCGAATCCCGTTCATTTGGAGACCGCCAGAGTGATGGGTCAGTGTGAGTGGCCGATCAACGGGCTCAGGGTTTTCCCCCTGTCCTATCGGTGTTGGATGCATATGATATGCTGCACAGGGAACAGGAGACCATATCTTACTGTACTACACTGTACACAGTCATGTCCAGGTGAAAAGTCCGGAATAGGGCTGTACATGTTTGCTGCGAGCGGAGTCGGTTGATAGTCAATCTCGAACGTTGGAGCCGAATTTAAACTACATCTATAGCTCACAGCCGATATTGCGGTAAGTAATTTAACTCGGTCGGAAACGTGCTAATTTCGACATCGGTGGCGTTTTTAGTCCGGCCATCTTCCATCTGGTCCTGCTTTAATGGCCCCTATCTGCCCCTTTTTTCCTAGAGCGTTAGAAATGTCCGAGATGGGCGATGATAACGGGCATTCCAGAATTGTCCAATGTCCGCCAAGGGAATTCCAATATCGAATTGTCTGCATGCAAATCGATTTCAGGTCCCTGCTTTGGGGAGTCGATAAGCCCAGACCAATAACGGGGCCCCCAATGTGATATAGATTCAATAGTTTCACCAGGGTCTGGGATGTGATGACATTGCCTTACGTGTCCCACGGGCCTGATGGAGCCCAAGAGACCCTGGAACAGAGATCGGAGTTGTTTGAGGATGTGTATTGAAGATTAATCCCGAATAAAATGATATATGGAGTGTACAGTAGAATATAGTTAAATTAGAATAGGGGGTCAAAAATACCGAATCAGTAAAGCTGAAACAGGCACGTCCTCCCCACTTCCTTTAGCCGACTGCGTCTGGATAGCTTGGCTTGTCACGTTGTCCTCCCACTTCTCCTTCTTTGGTTCCCCCCCTTCCCATTTATTACCTCTTCCGCTCCCACCTGTCTTCTGCAGACCTCCTGCAGCTGTGCTTTTTCTATGCTGAACGTCGCTCGCAAGACTTTTAAAAGAGTTCCCAGCTTCCAGGACCTCCTACAAGGCAGAATGACCCACCCCGACATGTAAGTAGTGGCCAACTTCCGGTCCATGTCAACACTGACAATGGTTAGTTCTGTTGACGTTCTCGTCATTGGTGCTGGCCCAACTGGCTTGGGTGCCGCCAAGCGGTTGAACCAGACCGTAAGTCTTTTCATCCTCAATTGTGTCTCGAGGGGACACAATAGAAAAAAAGGGGGAGGGGTATTCTGAAGAATTCGGGACTGATTGATTTGACAGAACAACGCCTCATGGCTGATCATTGACTCCAACGAGACCCCCGGTGGTCTTGCTTCCACTGATGTGACCGATGAGGGCTTCGTAAGTTGCAATTCCTTTCAATTGCCACTTCAACACACTAACGGTTGTAGCTGTACGATGTCGGTGGCCACGTTATCTTCTCCCACTACAAGTACTTCGACGATTGCATCAACGAGGCCCTCCCCAAGGATGAGGACTGGTTCACCCACGAGCGTATCTCCTACGTCCGCTGCCAGGAGCAGTGGGTTCCCTACCCCTTCCAGAACAACATTTCCATGCTTCCCAAGGAGGAGCAGGTCAAGTGCATTGACGGCATGATCGATGCTGCCCTCGAGGCCCGTGTCTCCAACACCAAGCCCAAGGACTTTGACGAGTGGATTGTCCGCATGATGGGTACTGGTATTGCCGACCTCTTCATGAGACCTTACAACTTCAAGGTCTGGGCTGTCCCTACCACCAAGGTGAGTTTGTTTATTTTGATCCCGCCCCCCGCATTCAGCATACTGATTCCACTAGATGCAATGCGCTTGGCTCGGTGAGCGTGTCGCTGCCCCCAACGTCAAGGCTGTGACCACCAACGTTATCCTCAACAAGACCGCCGGTAACTGGGGTCCCAACGCTACTTTCCGTTTCCCCGCCCGTGATGGTACCGGTGGTATCTGGATTGCCGTTGCCAACACCCTCCCCAAGGAGAACACCCGCTACGGCCCCAAGAACAAGGTCGAGAAGGTCAACGCCAACCAGAAGACTGTTGTCCTCGCTGATGGCACCGTCATCGGATACAAGAAGCTGGTCTCCACCATGGCCGTCGACTACCTCGCCGAGGCCATGAACGACACTGAGCTCATGCCCCTCACCAAGCAGCTCTTCTACTCCTCCACCCACGTTATCGGTGTTGGTATCCGTGGTGCTCGCCCCGACCGTATCGGTGACAAGTGCTGGCTCTACTTCCCCGAGGATGACTGCCCCTTCTACCGTGCCACCATTTTCTCCAACTACTCCCCCTACAACCAGCCCGATGCCTCCAAGAAGCTGCCCACCCTCCAGCTCGCCGACGGCTCCAAGCCCAAGAGCTCTGAGGCTCAGGAGGGTCCTTACTGGTCCATCATGCTTGAGGTTTCCGAGTCTTCCATGAAGCCCGTCAACCACGAGACTCTCCTCGCCGAGTCCATCCAGGGTCTCGTCAACACCGAGATGCTCCAGGCCGGTGATGAGATCGTCTCCACCTACCACCGCTGCTTCGACCACGGTTACCCCACCCCCTCCCTCGAGCGTGAGGGTGCCCTCACCCAGATTCTGCCCAAGCTCCAGGAGAAGGGTATCTGGTCCCGTGGCCGTTTCGGTTCCTGGCGTTACGAGGTCGGCAACCAGGACCACTCCTTCATGCTGGGTGTCGAGGCTGTTGACAACATTGTTAACGGTGCCGTTGAGTTGACCCTCAACTACCCCGACTTCGTCAACGGTCGCCAGAACACCGAGCGCCGCTTGGTCGATGGTGCCCAGATTTTTGCCAAGAAGCAGTAGATAATTCCCCCTTGGTCCAACACATGTTTGTGTGAAGGAAATGTTTTTCTTTTGTTCTTTTTCCTTTTTTTTTGATACAATTGAAACGAGCTCATACCGTCATGGAAAAAATATACACGAAGGGAGCATTTGAAGCGGCATCTGGGAGATGATCTTTCGTTGGCGTTTCATCATGTTACTTAACCCATCCAATCCGCTACTTTTCTTACTCCTGTGGGCTAGAGCTGGGTTACTTTTGAGATACACTTTATTAGACTGGCTTGATTGGTTCGCTATTCCTAATTGATTCCGTTCATGCACTTTTCATACAGTACAGTACATGTAAACTGTAACACACTGGCTTCGGCATCTTAGACTTCAATCTTCCTCGCCTAATAGGTCGTCTCACACTTGCTCAAAATTCAGACCTCCAACTCATTCCCCCACAAGGCTCTCCACGGAGAACTCAGCACAGTGCACAGACTGATGTACAGATCTCAGCCCGACCCCGACCCCGACCCCAATCCCTTCGCCTCCGACTGCGCCTTTGGCCCCTCGCCCCAGGACACATATGCTTGCCACACGGCGATCACTAGGCAATCACCAATCGAAGATCGTAAATCTCCGGAAAGTGTACACTTGTATCCCAGCACAATTTAGCGACCGTTAACTTAATTCGATATTTTTAATGCCTCAACCCCTGGATACTGTCCTGTACATGTACCATAGAACTGACATCTACGGCCAACGAACCTAACCAACGCCGGCAATATTCTGGAATAAATTTCTCAAGGTTGTTGTGGTGGCGTTGTGGATCCGTACCAATTCCACGAACAAGACTTAGCATATGCACGTAGACTGTCGTGCACAGTGTATGTTCGGAGTGTGTCCGTAGTAATCTCACACTGTATCTACGTGTACTGGAGAAACTGTCAACCCATGATAAAAATATCAAGCATACCGTACGAATAGGAAGAATAACGCCCAGCACTACGCCCCATACGTACGCTCCCGTGCATGTACATGCATACTCTGAAGCTGACGTATTCCTCAATCTCCAACCGGAGTCATCATTATAGGGCAGATGACAGCATCTTGCCTATTACCCCTAATCTCCACTGCAAGGCATTCGGCATGTGAGGGATGTGCAGGTTCCATGCTCAATGCCCGGAGTTCTCAGAGGCAAAGCGACGCGTCAGTTCTGATGCCGGGCCCCGGTTTGTGGTTCTCTCCACTTGGCTTTGGAACTATTGATAGATTGCCGGATTTGTTTCAGATGGGCTTGTCAGGTTGGGATTCTAGATTGTTTGGTGCTGTTTAACGTGAGACATTCGCCGGGGCTGGTTCTAGGTGTTGGTTTTGCATTGTCATCAATGGGAGGGGGGTGTATAGTAGCGTGATAATGTTATAAGCTTGTATGGCAGGGGTGGTCTACTCTTTGTTTCTTGTTCGTTAAGTGGCTCTTCATGAGTTTTCCATACCGCCACTTGGACTTTCTAGTGCAGATCGTACTCTTGTTGGTTATTCATGTTCATGTCAGTTCACGTTATCGTATACTTCGTCAGTTCATCACGTCCTATTCATACAACATTACCCATAACAAACCTCACAAGTGTATCCGAGAATCAAAGCCACAATCAATAGCTTCTGGCCAGCTCACACTGGTCCACATTGGGCCACACTCCAGGAGACACCAAAAACAGCCACCAATTTCGAGCCACCTCGGACATCTAGGCAGGATGGTCTTCACCAGTCTCCTCCAACGCGGGCGAGACCGTCTTCTCGGCCAAGGCGGCCTCGTAAGACATTGTAGACGCTAAGGCTAGGTCCCGGAGTGGGACGCTGGCCATGGCCGGGCTGGACGAGACACCACACGACAAGAAGGAAAGTTGTGGCGTGACCGGCGAGTCCAACGCATGTAGGGCTGTAATAGTGTTTGGACGAGGCTGATAATCAGTGCCATCTATTTTTATATTAGATGGGAGTGCGACTTGGAACTGTGTCGCTCTGCGTACCTGCTCGTTCGTCGGGTGAACGATTCACCCTGCCGCTATGGAGCTCCTGTTTGTTCGGTGACAACGCGAAGGTCACTTTTGTCCGTGGTGGGTCGATAGACTGGGACACTCGACGCGGCTTTGACATTGAACATGCGTTCTGCAAGGACTGTGGGATTGAGAAGTGGGATTTCAGACATGATTTGGTGGATGCCGTGGATGGTGGAGCTGGGCTTGGAGATGCGAACATCCCGCGACTGGACGAGGTGTCGCGTTGATGAGAGAACTTGCTGTGACTGTGTGCGGTCAGGTCAATGCCGGTGGTTGCTCCTGATGAGCCACCCCCGTCATCGTCGCTCTGTGCGTCCAGGGTCAGTTTCTCGAAGTCAGTGGTCAGAGAGAAGGTCTGCAGCGACTCTACATCCTCCAAGAGGATCACAGTTGGACGACGTCGGATCATGCCTAAGTCGCGACAATAGCGGTCGTGAGAGTAGCACGAGTCTATAAGTAGAGAGACAGTCTTAGAGAAACGGCCGGAGAATAGGTGAAGTGCACGTATTAATAGTCAGACTCAGCCCCTCAACACTAGACCCGATTTCGAGCCTCCTGTTGATCCTTTCCCCCCCCTCCTCCTACCTCTCTCTTCTCTTCACCATGCGTTAATCCTGTCGTTCTACATTCTCTCGTCATGAACGGGGATCTCAGTCTCTCCCAGTCGCTGGGAGGACTTCGGATAGCCAACCCAGATGATTCGCCTCTTGCGACCGCGGATTCACCGGGGACCAGTCCACTCGGACGCCCGGGCGGTTCAGTATCAACACAGAATTCCACCGACGACCGCACTTCAGCATTTCCTCCTGCACCTATCGAAGTTCCTACGGTGGAGGACCGATCCCTCGTTCCCGAACCACAGCCTGTGCCAACATATCAGCCATACTCGGCTCCGCTCTCAACACCTCCAAACCCCAACCGGCCCCTTTCCTCCGTATACGCGAATGGTTCGGCAACCTCAATCCTTCCCCGTGATAATACCTACCGGATAAGAACCGACTCCGGTGCCTCATCTCAATCTGGCTCTCAGGTGCGGGCAGACACTCGAGGAGGCTCATCGGCTTTGCATGCCGGTGTACTAGCGCGCGACAACTCGCACAGCGACCGGTCCTACCGGACCGCCCAGATTCCCGGCAACGGTCCGGCGGTGATGCGGCAAACGTCTCGAGCACATGCAAGAAGTGGCGGCGCTGCATCTCAGATGTCTCGATCTTCCTACATGGAGAATGGGCCTTTGCCTAGCAGCGAGGATTGGCAGGAGCGCGGTGCTGCAGTTTCTGTGCGGCAAGAAGTCGATGCAAATGGTAAAACAGTTTCCCGCTATATCAAGAAAGGTGTCCGGGATTTCTCGTTTGGGAACACTCTCGGAGAAGGCTCTTATAGTACCGTCGTGTTTGCGACGGATCGCCAGACGTTGAAGGAGTACGCGATCAAGATCCTTGACAAGCGACACATCATTAAGGAGAGGAAGGTTAAATACGTCAATATCGAGAAGGATACCTTAAACCGCTTGACCGACCACCCGGGCATCGTGCGGCTATACTATACCTTCCAGGATGAGCAATCGCTATACTTCGTGCTGGACTTGTGCAAAGGAGGAGAATTGCTTGGTACACTCAAGCGGATGACCACATTTGACGAGGAGTGCACGAGATTTTACGGTGCCCAGATCCTGGATACGATAGACTATATGCACAAGCGCGGTGTGATTCACCGTGACTTGAAGCCGGAGAACGTGCTTCTTGATAGCGGGATGTATGTCAAAATCACTGATTTTGGAACAGCCAAAATTCTCAAACCCTCACGACAAACGGAGTCCAATGGCCTTCCCCCAATGGACAACGAGATCCCTGCGGAAGAGCGTGCAAGCTCATTTGTCGGGACTGCGGAATATGTCAGCCCCGAGCTGTTGACAGACAAGAACGCCTGCAAGGCCAGTGATCTATGGGCGTTTGGGTGCATCATTTACCAGTTACTGGCCGGTCGTCCTCCCTTCAAAGCTGGCAATGAGTATCAGACTTTCCAGAAAATCGTCGGATTGGATTATGAATTCCCCATCGGATTCCCTCCAGTCGCTCGTGATCTCGTTGAACGTCTACTTGTCTTGGATCCCGCTCGACGTCTACAAATTGAACATATCAAGAACCATCGATTCTTCGAAGGTATCACCTGGGGCCCGGATCTTTGGAAACAAAAAGCTCCTCGTCTGAAGTCTTATGTGCCTCCTGCACGCGATCCTATTAAGCTCAATGGTGGTGAAGGTGGTGAGAATGTACCGCCGGTCGTCTCAACCGCTCCTTCCAATGCCCCCAATGCCAGCAATCGCCAGCTCCCACGGGTAGTGACCGAGTTGCCTCCGCCGAGTCAGCTGGATATCGAATGGTCCCCAGTACTCAGCAAGAACAACGAACGAATCTTGAAATTGGGTAACCTGGTGGTTCTTTCATCTGCAGCTTCACACAGCCCGACATCCAAAAACAGCAGTGGCGAGTTCGAGGCCCCCAAGAAGTTTTCTCGTTTCTTCTCCGGGAACACCACCAAGAAGCGACAACGGCTGGTCATGGTCACTTCTCTTGGACGTATAATCCTGGCTGCGTCTGGTGGCGATGATAAGAAAATCAAGCTTGAGATCTCTCTCCTGGCTCCAGGAACACATTACCGGAGCACGACTGACCCGAAAGGACACTCATCTTGGATTGTTGACACGGTATGTAAATCACCTCCCATCAATAAGTATCCCGTCTAACACAATCGCAGAGAGAAAAGCACTACGTTTTCGAGGACCCCAAGGCTTCATCTGGCGCCACAGCAGTTCAAGCCCAAGAATGGCTGGACGCCTTGGACAGGTCCCGGGAGATGGCAGCATTGCAACAAAGCGCCGGTGGCTTTGGCGATGATTTTCAAAATCTCTCATCCGGCTTTCCCAGTCCCGCCAACACACTAGACCGCACCTCCGACATGCAGAAAGATGATAGAGGGCCACCATCATCTGGCCGGAACCATCTGGTGAAACACCAGGCTACCGACTCCGAGTCAACTAAAGGAAGAAAGAGATTTAGCAAGCGCCACTCAAAGAATGGCCTTGCTGCCGTCTTCTAGTGGCAAAGAACCAAAAAGCATCCCGCTCGCGACTTGACTCATTTCTTGTACACCTTGTTCCAAGCCCTGGGGGTTATTATCGTTCATGGGCAATAGGAGGTATTTCACCCGACTGTGATCGAGGTGAAATACGACACCTCTGGCAGTCTCCTCTTCCATTCTTCCATTCTCCGTTCTCCGTTCTCTTCTCTTCCATGCACCGGCATTCGCACAAAGACTGGATGTCCCACTCGCATATCGGTTACTCGACCTCCCCTTTGCATATTCCAGTGACAAGCGTGTTTGTTGATTATATCTTTTCTGATTTTTCCATTTCCATGCCTGTTGGGGAACCATGTTTTCTTGCATTTTAGATTCGGAAGGGAGCATGCACATTTTATCTTTGCCGTCTGCTATTTCTCAGACTGTTTTCGTTTTCATTTTGATCCTCCACCCCTTGTCGCCTTTTGTGTGTCGTGTCTCCTTCTTTTTCCTTTTCTCGTCTCGTTTTCTGTTGTCGTCCACTGTTATATATCCCTGATTTGGCCTGCAGCATACTGTCCACAACATCGAGACTGTTCCTGCTTTGCTCTTTTCTTTTACTTTGATATCCGTTCGAGACTGTGTTACGTACTTCTGAGCTGGTATTGAATCACAGTAGACCTGTTGACTTTTTCTTACCCTCCTCTCTCCTTCTCTTCCTTCCCTCCCTGTCTCGTGGTCCCTATTTTTGGCTAATCGGTCAAATTGTCCTTCGCATTCCCCTGTCTTTTCCTTACCTCCATTACCTTTCAATATTCTTCACTGTAAACTCCCGATTTGACTTCTCATTGCTCTTTTTTTAATACGTTATGCTCTTCCTACTTCCCATTATCATCACCACGGCGCAATGCTTGCCTCTTCTTTCTCTAGGCTGAAAATTTCATACTGTACCTCAACTTCTGTCACAATCCTTTCAAGAACATAGTATTTTCGTCAATATAATTTTCACATTCAATTTCAGATATATTATATCCATTACCACATAACACAAATGATATTTACAACAATGTACTCAAGATACGAATATGCACACGTAAACGTCAGTCATAATAGGAGAGATATCCAGAGATGTCCCAGCAACACGTGTGTACCAAACACATCCAATTAAATAAAAAGCCAGTCAAGACGAGAGGAATCCAGCTCATCAATCCAATCAAAGGTAAGATCGACATCGTCAGCACTATCACCACTCTCACGCTCCCGGCGCTTGGTATCCTGCTTCTGCCACATAAGTCTCAGAACCCAAGCAGCATTCCTTACATTAACACTAGTCAAAGCCTCATAAAGCGAGCCCAGTTTCTCCAGGATTAGTCTCCGCTGCGAGGGACGACATTCAGCACCAGCAATAAAAGTAGGCCAGATCAGACATTTGAAATGCGGATCCGAGGGCGGGATCAGACAAATCTGCGTAATGAGATTTGTAGCGATGAATCCATGATCAGCTGGCAGGCCAACATCAGACCAGGGTGGATCGAAGCCTGGTCGTTTGCGAGAGAGGACACGACTGGTGTAGAGGTAGACGGCGTCTTGGTAGGAGGTTGCCAGGGCGAGGCGGTATGTTAGGTCTGGGATGAAGAATACCGTTTGCATTTCTTCGCTCCAGGCTACTGGATCGAAGTTTCGAATTCCCTGTAGGAGGGTTGAGAATGTTGATAGGGTGAGGGGTTGGCCTGGCTGGATTGTTGTTGGGAGAGCTGTTGGTTGGGGGGTTGTGGTTGCTATCTCGGAGTCGGAGTACCATAGGGTGTGGACGAAGAATATTACCTCGAGGAGGTAGGCTGGGCAGCCGACCCAGGAGTTTTCTTCTAGGCGTTTTAGGATCGAGGGTCCCATTGATGAGGAGTAGAAGGGTTTGGAGAGGGCACCTGGGCGGGCGAGTGTTGAGCCCATGATTTCCATGCTGTAGGGTTTTCGTTAGAGGGTGGCTTTCGAAAAATTCAAACAGTTCTTACATTAAGCACCCGTCCAGGGCGAATGCGTCCAGGTCTTCGAGGATTCCTCGTCCCAGACCATTTTCAGGTCGGTCTTTGAGAAGTTTCTTTGCGCCCTCTATGTGGTAGCTCCATGCTCCACTGCCTGACTCGATGATGTCCAAGAAAGCAAGTAAGACGATGGCGGCTAACGTCCTGCCGTCTTTTTGCATTGCTGGATTGCCAAGATCCAGGGACAATTGGCGAAGAGCGCGCTGCTTGAATTCTAAGAAGTGCTGATATCCTTGGGAAGTGGGTTTCTTCGAACTCGCTGGCGCGACTATGTCCTCAATTTCTTTCACAGTCAAATGTGAGTTCTCCAAAGGTTGACTGCTAGATGACCACGGCATAGGAGAGGAATCCGACTCCGAAAGGAGTGAATAGTGAAGAGCCCCGAGGGCGGAGATACTATGCGCAAGAACTGGGGAATGATTGACCAGGGCTGTGATGTCTCGAAAGGGGTTTTTAGACTGGGAGTAGAGCGCAAAGTCGTTCACCATATATTGGTTGTCTAATACATTGTTAGCGCGGTCAATGAATTATGCAAAGAACATCCTACAGTGATATACATAGTACCGTGAGTACTGACTGAGATCCTTGAATAACGGATCTACCAATCCCCATGGCGCTGGAACATAGTCGGTACTGGGAGAAGCACTCCGTGAAACATGAACGACAGAATTATCCTCTTCAGTGGGATCAAATTCCAAGTGTGTAGCTTCGTCTCCAGGTAGATTATCCACTGCGTCCAATGCCCATCCATCTGTTTCCGGACTAGGCTGGGTGCCAGAGCTATGTGATTCAGCGTCGGAGAAGGACTCAGCAATGGAAAAAAACCCAAACCCACTGCCTGTCGCGGTAGAGTCGGATACCTCAGCAGGTCGGCGTTTTGGTTTGTTCAATGGCTTTTCCACATCATCAAAGCTGCGTCCCATCATCTTGCCTCGACTAGCCACACCACCCTTGACCCAAACAAGCGGCTTCTGATACCCCAGACATTCCTTTCCCGCATCTCGACACTTCCGGCAGGTGGGTTGGCCATTGTCACAGATGATGCGACGTCGTCGACAGGTGTAGCAACCTTTGGTCATTCTCTGGACTAGGAGAAACGGAGTTTCTGATATGAGTTGGGAAGAACCGAGCCACTTGAGTAGTTCGTTCGGCGCCACTCGCCATCGTTGGCAATGGTCAAGACTCAGTGGGTTGTTGAAGCCACACGACCATCGCTTTAGCGCCTTATAGTCGGTGGTATTATCGCAAATGCTGGAAAATAATTCCAAGGTTGTTCTCCGCGATGATTCAGAAAAGCTTCGCGGGGAAGAGCTGACTAAGGATCCGGATCTTCAAGGCCGAGGTCTCATCTTCGATTCTTGCTCTCGCAGATCCCCATGGTTTATCTTTCATGGTAAAGTCTTAGAGAATCTCCAAGATGGCGTGGAGTACTTTGTTGTTCCGAGGCTTGGAGGTAAGTGTTCTTCTTCTGTCACACCGTTCGTCACTCACAAATTTGCCCCGTCTTAGGTCTGGCTCACTGCTCGAGTACGTCGCATCGAAATTGCCGATTCACTTTGTTAGGTATCCTAACATCGCTCTCATAGCTCCTTCGAAGCCCTATCTTCCATCGCATGGTGGGCCGAATCCACGAGAAAGTCCAGCACGTCCGGCACGGAGTGCCTCCAGAAACCAAACTTGAGAATGAGGGTACGACTCTATGTCAATCTGTGACGAGAAGTCATGGCTAACTGCTATGTGCTAGGCTCTTCGATCAAGCAGTTCTTCGATTATTTCAAAGAAGAGCTCAAGGATCAGGCGAAAGGAAACCCGCGCAACAAATTGTGATACCCTGGCGCTTGTTTAGTATAGGACACCAATGATACCCACGTTGAATACTTATCTGTTTTTTCCGGATCCAAATCTCGTATTCTGTCGAATACGTCGAGATCGGGTTGGCAGTGGGATATCTCTTTTCATACCATGAGATATGTCCCTTGTCTCGCCCGGAAAACGAGACTTGCACAACGCAAAAGCCCTGTCTACTATTTCCGGCTGCTACACATACCCGGCTGGAATTTATCTTTGAGGCCTACATATACTGAAGTGGGGATTGGCCGAGAAACAGCTCAATGAACGGACGCATATTGGCCAAGTAAACCGCGCATACTGAGCTCTTCCTACTGGCAGGGTGGCAAGTCAGTTTCATGACCTCCATGATGGTCAAGTTTCATCATAGCTCCAGGGCTCCAGGGTCCCTTGATCAACATTCAACGAGTTCGTGAGAGCGAAGTCTCCCAATCATAGTGTCTTACTCAACTCTTAATATCGTAGCATTTCTTGATAGTTCATGTACCGTTCATCGGGTAGTGCGGCCTTCAGTTCCCCTGTAAGATCAGGCTGGCAACATTCCGGGAAATATCCAGCTTATATTGTATAGATAATGGATGCCCTGGTGAGAGTCCTCCAGAGAGTGCTCAGTCTTTGTGAATATCACGCGGGAAGGGGCGAGTACTGAAACAGACAGGGGAAGCCATGTCGGCCTAGAATGCGATTTACTGGCTCTACAACAAGGCCGAAGAGTGGTTTCTGTCTTTCAGTTCCTCGTGCAGCTGTTATTAAAGATAATAACTGCACTCAACCGGTGCATGGATGGGGATCCATGCCTAATAATTCAGACTGCCAGCATGCGGCATTACAGTCGTGTTAGGCAGCGGTGCAGCTGATGCATGATGTGTTGCTACGTTGATATAATCGTGGCGTTATGCCTTGAAGAATTTGTTTTATTAAAATTGATTCGAATCCGGACCCAATGCGTGTGCGCTGATAGTACATGGTATCATTTTGAAATTCGTGCAAAAAAGCCCGATATAAAAAGCAACGAGATGAGTATCATGTTCCAGCACTTAACTACCCATCTATTTACTGAGTCTAAAGATCTCGAAGAAACTCGAGTGACTCCCTAGTCATCGTAATCGTAGTCACTCTCGTAATCGCCGTAGTTGCCTGCGAAGGCATCGTCAACACCATCCTCCTCGCCATCGTCGTCATCGTAATCATCCTGATCGTCTGGATCTGGATTTGTAGCCTCGCCATCCTGCTTGATTGGCTCTTGTGTGTTTTGGGTAGCAGGGGGAGTGGGTAGGGGCGCGGAAGTGGTGGAGGGGGGAGGAACAGGCTTGGTATCCGATGGAGTCGCCCGCCGAGCGACTGCCTGTGGTTCGATGCTGGCACTGCGTCGCGAGACGACACTTTGGCTGCGGCTCTGGCTGCGACTCATGCTCTCTGCCTTGGCATCGCCTCCTTCTCCGCCGTAAAGAGTGTCCAGCAAGGAGTAGTTGATCTTCTTACTGTAACCTCGACGCTCTAACATGCGACGAGTAGCCTCAGCAGGAGTGGAAGCACGGGAACGACCCTCTTCGCCTTCACCCTCGAGATATGTGACATCGCCCAGACGACCCCGGCGACGCTTGCGGGGTTTGCGAGACGTTGAACCGCCTTCAGATTCTTCCATGGCACGCTTCAGAGCCTTTGCCTGTTGAGTGCGGAGATATTCTTTGTTCTCGGTCACCCAGATGGATTCCTTGATTTCAACTTCGGCAGGCAAGAGGAGACAATTGGCGACTTCTGGATCATCCTCGAACTCGGTGGCATCAATCTCAGTGCTATCGGAAACGGGGGGCCGTTGCGGTTCGGTGGCGCTCTCAACCAGGCCTGAGCCTTGAGCTAGCATTTTTCGCATTTCGTCCTCCAGTGCCGCTTCAGATGCAAGCTCTTCTGCAGGAGGCTCTGGTGCAGGCTGTCGCTTTTTGCCCTTAGAGCTGATTACTTCGGACTCATACTCTTCTGCCACGTCGGTGATAGTTTTCGCAACTATCGATGAACGTCGACCTGTAATAGCCGGGTCTATGGGGAGGTTCGGGATCGCAAAGCCGTCAGCATCTAAACGAGGTGGCGGGACTGATCCGGCTTCGCTCTCGGTGAGGTCATCTTCAATTTCCGCAGCAGTTTCTGGCATCTTTCTCTTGATACGAGCTTGCCGACCTTCTCGCCCGCGAGTGAAGGAAGGGGGTCGTGGGTGTTTTCTAGTTGAACAGAACGGAATTGATCAACGGTCAGTTCACCACTCTCGGTGGAGCTGAACTCGTTCAAACGCTGACTGATGGTGATTTCCGTGACTTTGACAACGTAGACCACTTCGCGTACGGTTCGACGGAAATTGTTCATGCGCGCGGCGAGGATTAATGCTGCACCACAGAGACCAGCTGGGCGTCGTCCAGTAGTCATCCAATCACGGTTCATTCGCTGAATGATTCGAACTGCCTCACCTGCAACCGCCATTGTAGAATGTCCAAATTCCAGCTGTTTGGCGAAACGATATATTAAGCTTTCCGGGTCGATGGGGTTCATCAAGAATACGTTTCCACCCAAGCGGAGCTCATCGAGGAGAGCCTTATAAGTGCGACCGAGTTTGAAGACATTGACCATCAAGACATCAGCAAAGTCAATCAGCATTACTGTGTTGCCATTTTGTCTGCGACAGGCGATATATAGACAGACTGCAGCCACGGTCTTTGTGCGACGACCTTGAATGAAATTAAGGCCGACTGCAAGTTTAAAGACCTGACCAGCAGCTTTTGTTGCACTTTCGGGAATTGTGAGTGCACGAGAGAGTTGAAGCATAAACCGATTTCCATTTTGCTCAGTCATTTCACGACTTTCCATTGCGCCTCCTCGCTGGAATCCGGGGCCATAACTGCGGACGTGTGTCTGGTCTTCTCCGACGAAGGATCCTTGGACGACAGCTGCACCGGAAGAAGATTCACCGAAAGTAACTTCTGAAACGATATTTGACTCGCTAATGACTGTACCACAGCCTGAGCAGACCTTCACCCCCTCATCTTCGACGATATGCGGGGCAGGACAACCTGGGTTTGGACAGTTGGAGGTTTTCGGATGTGTAGTTGGTTTGGGAGGCTGAGGACGTCCAATAGACTGCGGACGCTTGATAGGGGGTTGGGCCTGGGGGTTTGAGACTCGCTAAGCGGCCGACAGGTGCCCTCCGGGGAGGCGGGATAGTCGGACGCGCGCCAGGTTTGGGCGCAGGCCTGGGAGCTGACATCTTTCTGAGTCAATAGAGGTGATTGAAAAGAGGACAGACGCGCTCGGTGGAGGAACCGAGGTCCTCAAAGCCTCAAGAATTCTTGTCAGAGTTGGTCTCAGGAAATATTTCGTATCACCGTCACGGCCGTCGGCGATAAGGAAAGAGGAGAAAAAGTATTCGAGCTTATGTAAGCAGATGCATTTGGAGATTTACATTCCAATGGGAAGAAGTTGAGTTGAGGAGACAATGAAGGTCGCTAGATTGTCTGTGGCTTGTCCTGGATGCATGTCTGGAATCTGTTTTTGACTTCATTCTGCTCGCTGGCTCGGAGGTCGTTGTCTCCAGGTCACCTGACTTTAATGGAGTCAGACACGCTAGAGCAAATCAGGACTAGGGGCATCACACGCGTATCTGTTCTTGGCATCTTCACTTCTTCCCTTCTTCACTTCCTTGTACACATGGCAAACTGTAGTTGACTTGAGAACTCCGGGATCTGGGATCTACAACTGGAGATCCGAGCTCATTCCTCATGACTGGCTCCGTAGCTGGCATACTGGGTCGTGATCCCCGAATCGTTGGAATGCGGCATTTCTGCGTGGTTTGGGTGGAATCGCGCACAAATGTCGCATCTTCGCCATCTCTGCTTACCCACCTATTTCTAAGTTTTTCTTTCTTGTTGTCTTGAATAAAATCTGCTGTGACTCTTTCAATTCTTTTTCATTCCAAATATTCCTTGTGCTTGGACATATAACCACTCCGGTTCGCGATCTTCTTCTACATACCCGCGCGCCACGCCCTGTCTGTGTAGAGTGATCCCACTGCCGATCAGTTTCAGATATTCCAGGAATTTCTTTTATCTAGGTCTATCCTTCCGGGCCAAAAAGCTCTGGCATTACGTCTACCCAGCCAAGCCTCGTGTTGGGCCCCACGCAGAGATATCTGCCGATCATGACTTCAGGATCGAAGACCCAGATCTCTGATCTAGAGGTCGTCAACCACGCAAATCATATCCAAAGAAGTGTTTTCTTTGTGAGCAACGTGCACTGTGCATCATGTGTAGCATATGTCACCGAAGTGCTCTCTGATATTTCCACCGTTACCGACATCGAAGTCACGATTTTAACCCACGAAGTGCGTGCCAGTCATAGTGCTACAGTTCAACCGACCGTCCTTGTAAATGCATTAATTCACGCCGCATTTGAAGTACAATATGTAACGACTTTTGACGACCGAGGAGCGCTCGTCTCGGAACTCGATACTTCCACTTGGAACCACCGTGGCTCAGCACTGTTCTCTACACCTCGCAACTCGGTTTCTAGCATATCATCGAATATCAAAGAGCGAATCCAGGCTAGCAGACATAAAAGACATATCGCCAACTGTGATGCCTGCAAGAAAGAAGACCGCGAGAACACTTCTCCCCATTGTTCTCGAACCGAGCTGGGGTCTTTGGCAGAGAAATCTTCACAGGGTGGCTACCGTCGGTTCAGTAAAAGCCATGAGCGCGATATTTCGGTCTCAAAGCTTGAGCCAACGCCGGAGAATACTTTCCAGGATACAGCTTCGGTTGCCTCTCTTGAAACAAGAGTGGAACGTGATAGACAATCTCCAGAACAGCTCAGATCGAGCCCTCAACCGATAGATGAATTCAAGGCACAAATAAGCATCGAAGGAATGAGCTGTGCATCATGTGCCAACAGTATCACGGCTGAAGTTCAACAGCTCGAGTTTGTGAAGGAGATTACAGTCAACCTTCTCACCAACAGTGCTACATTAATTTATATTGGACCCAAAAACAATATCGACAAGATTGTTGAACAAATCGATGATATAGGGTTCGAAGCATCACTTGATGAAGTGAATCCGGTTCGCAAAGCACCCTTCCCTACAGATTCCATCGAGATATACACCAGCGAGATTGCAATCACTGGTATGACCTGTGGATCTTGCAGCGGGGCAGTGACTCGCGGAATCGAGGAGCTGTCGTTCGTTCGAGATGTCTCTATCAACTTGCTTTCACATAGCGGAAGGGTTGAGTTTGAAGGTCGGGACAATGTTGATAAGATCATTGAGAAGATCGAAGACCTGGGTTACGAAGCTGCCATCAATAGCGTCTCTCCAGTGACAGGTGTTCCAGAACGCTCGCGAAGTAACCAGCACAGGACAATCTCTATCCGAGTGGATGGAATGTTCTGTCACCATTGCCCTCTGGCAGTTATGAAGGCAGTGGAATCATTTCCGGATGTCACCATAGAACAGCATATCTCCGAGAAAGACCCCATTCTCAGAGTGACCTATACCCCGCGACCCCCTTCTTTCACCATTCGATCTCTTATATCCACCATCAATGCTGCCAATGATGCGTTCCGCGCACATGTATATCACCCACCCAGCATCGAAGACCGTTCTCGTGCAATTCAGCACCATGAACGCCGCCGCCTATTATTACGCCTGCTGTTCGTCTTGATGAGTGCAATTCCTACATTCATTATCGGCATCGTGTTCATGTCTCTTGTCTCATCCGAAAACCCCACTCGAATGTATCTCGAGGAAACAATGTGGGCCGGCAGTGTGACACGCATAGAATGGGCACTGTTCATCATGGCAACGCCCGTGATGTTCTACGGCACTGACGTATTTCACGCCCGTGCCATGAAGGAGATCTATGCCTTATGGCGACCCGGAAGTCGGGTGCCCATCTTACGGAGATTCTATCGTTTTGGTAGCATGAACCTTCTGATCTCTGCGGGTACATCTGTTGCCTACGCTTCATCACTCGCCGTGCTCATTATTGATGCGGTCGTGGGTACCAAGTCCAGTGCTCACAGCACAACCTACTTTGACTCGGTGGTCTTCCTGACATTGTTCATTCTTGCTGGTCGGTTCTTGGAGGCATACAGCAAAGCTAGAACAGGTGATGCTGTCACATCCTTGGGCAACCTTCGACCTTCCGAGGCACTATTGATCGAGGAAACACCCTCTATCACTGGCGATGCCTCCGATGGCTCTTCCGTAGAAGAAATGAAACGTACCAATGTTGACCTCCTCGAAGTTGGTGACGTGGTAAGCATTCCTCATGGCGCCTCGCCCCCTGCCGATGGAACTGTCATCGACACTGCCACATACAAATTCGATGAAAGCTCCTTAACTGGAGAATCTCGACCGGTCAAAAAATCAATCGACGACAGAGTCTACACCGGATCTGTGAATGTCGGCCAGCCCGTGCGCATCCGCATTACGGAGCTCGGTGGTTCATCTATGCTTGACCAGATCATCGCTGTGGTTCGTGAAGGTCAAAGCAAGCGTGCACCGCTCGAAAGAGTTGCAGATCTTCTCACCTCGCATTTCGTCCCCGTCATCACGCTCATTGCAATCTCCACCTTCATCATCTGGCTTGCTCTTGGCCACTCGGGTGTGCTTCCCACAGACTACCTGGACGTCGCGCATGGCGGTTGGACATTCTGGGCTCTAGAGTTTGCAATTGCAGTATTTGTTGTAGCATGCCCCTGCGGCCTGGCTCTTGCAGCCCCTACTGCACTGTTTGTCGGAGGTGGCCTAGCAGCAAAGCATGGTATCCTTGTCAAGGGCGGAGGTGAAGCCTTCCAAGAGGCCAGTCGCTTGGACGCTATTGTCTTTGACAAGACAGGCACATTGACTGAAGGGGGTAGCCTAAAGGTTTCTGACCATCAGGTTTTGACAAGTGACTTAGAAATTGCAAGAGTTGCATGGGCATTGACTCGAAAGATGGAAGAGAGTAGCAACCATCCGATCGCTCAGGCAATCACCGACTTCTGCAAATCTCAACCCTCTGCTACTGTCAACTCCTTCGATATTCATGAAATTTCCGGACAAGGCATGAAAGGAACTTTCACTGTCTCCGGACCCGAACCCGGACAAGTCAACGAATACGAAGCTGCCATTGGAAATGAACGTCTCCTGCACAGCGTCCTATCACCCGAGACAGATACATACTTCGTTTCGAACCTGCTGTCAAAATACCAGTCAACAGGCAAATCAACCGCGGTTCTCTCTCTCCGCCACGTCAATTATCCGTCCCCGAAAACATCAAAGTTCATTCCAGTAATCGTACTCGCAACATCAGACACTATCCGCCCCGAAGCCGTCGACATCATCTCCCAGCTCAACAAGCGCCGTGTCGATGTCTACATGTGTACAGGTGATAATCAAACAACAGCCCACGCCGTCGCAGACATGCTAGGAATCCCCCGTTCCAATGTCATGGCCAATGTCCTCCCAGCAGAGAAAGCCTCTTTCGTCCGTCAGATACAGAAAGGGTCTTCAAACGCCTCTTCGACAGATAATAATGCTGAATCATCCCGTCCAATCGTCGCCTTCGTTGGTGATGGTGTGAACGACTCGCCAGCTCTAGCAGCAGCAGACGTCAGCATCGCGATGGCCTCCGGCTCAGACGTGGCAATCAACTCGGCCAGCTTCATCCTGCTAAACTCAGACCTGAGCACGATCTTACAGCTCGTATTGCTCAGTCGTCGTGTTTTCAATCGCGTGCGAATGAACTTCGTCTGGGCGGTTATTTACAATACCTGCCTGGTGCCTGTTGCAGCTGGTGTCTTCTATCCTATTATCAGTGGGCATCACTTTAAGTCTGTGGGCGGGGAAACTATCATGGTCAATGAGCATTGGAGGTTTAGTCCTGTGTGGGCTGCGTTAGCGATGGCTTTGAGTAGTATCTCTGTTGTTCTGAGTAGTCTTGCTTTGAGGATTGATATGGGGAGTATTATGAAGATTTGGAGGAGGGATAATTAAAAGGGATATTGCATGGGATATGACATCTATTTTAATGTTCGTTAATATTTGTATCTCATGCGTCTGAATGAACTGTTATCAAGTCTGTGTCCTAGTTATCCACTATACTTTCTGTAGTTGAGTTGTCCAGCTTTCTAATGGTCTACTTGATCCCAATCAACTAGCTTGTCCCCAGATCTCGGCAATCCGCTTGCTTAGCTCCTTAGCAACCTTCTTGCGTCCAACAACTTCTTGCATTCGATTCGATATCATCGTCTCCCGCGCACTGGGCTCAAGGGCCATATATGCTTCGATCAAATGCCGCGGTGTAGGCCAAATTTGTTGAATCTCAAGAGCCTTCTCTCCCGTCACACCACGGGTACACATCAGCATCTTCAGGAAAACATCCCTCAGCGTAAGGATATCGGACTTCGAAGTCAGTGCTCCAAAAGTCGAGAAAGAAACGCCGTATGTAACAGAGGAATCTTGAGAGCGGAGATTATCGAGGATGGTAAGGTACGAGTCCGTGGCAAGACGGCGGCCGGGGATGAGGGCAATTTTAGAAATGGAAGTTGGAGGGCTTGTATTCGGGGTTGTGTTGGCGGCGTCTGATTCTACCTGTCTAGCTGGGGTTGAGCAGGGATCTTCGACTCCGTACATCTTTCGTAAGAGTAGTGTCATGCGCGCTAGATAGCGGATTGATTCGTCGAGATGTTTGGTCTTTTTGATAAAGTATTCGTTTAGGACTTGTGTGGATGCAATGGCTGAGGCTACCATTTCCTGGTATTGTGCTCCACTTCCGCTTGTTGAGTCGTGATGCGTGACTGCGAACTCCTCGATGAGGTAGATGACGTTTTTGATGCCTGAGCGACGGAGACGGAACTTTTGTTCGTGAAACCGTCCGTCTTTGATAGAGCCAATCAGATCGTCGAGACGTTTTCTCTCAATGATCCAGTCAAGCATTACCTCATCCCCTTCTTCGCCGTGGCGGGTGAGTTCGTTGGGGTCATTGCATTTAGCCACCCACATTGCATCGCCCACTTCCAGGGCACGCACTTGCGGTGTAATTCCTTGCTTCTGAAGTTCCCCTGAAATATAGTCACGATCAGCCGGGGTGCGAACTTCTCGTGTATCTAGCACCAGCTCAATTGTGAAGCTTTTGGGCGGGAGGAAGACAGGCTCGATGTTGGCTATGTCTTGCTCAGTTAGATTTTCTAGGGCATCTATTGCCCCATCATCTTCGTCGTCAGGCAATCCAGTACCACTTGTTGTAGCGCCAACTTGTGACTGGGACGTTGCAGACTGGGAGTCACCAGCGAGAGATGCCATGTTTTGAGCCCCGGGCAATGTCCTTTGGAGACGTCTGGCAACCTCCCAGCCTTCTTCAGAGAGCAAATATTTCCGCAATGGACGACCATGCTCATATACGAGATCTTTTTGAATGAGTGTTTTCATTGAGTTCCAGGCAGTGTAGAACTTCGTGGGATCGGGAGGTGCTGTAAACGAACTGTCGCAAAATGGCTGAGCCACCTCAATCAACTGGGCCTTGGTCATTCCCTGTGATGCATTATCGTCTTGAGTTCCGAGCCCTAGAATGATTGCATATGGGCCAGACCGTAGTGCTGGCACATATGGCTTGACTTTTCTGGGTTTCTTTGCGGGTTGATCGGAAGTCGCACCATCAGACGTTCTTTTTCCACCTATTGAATTTGATGAGCCATGATATCAAATAGTAGAGGATAACAGAGGCGTTTACCCTTATCAGGTGGTTCTGGCATAGGAAGTCCATTTTCTTCACAATATCCTTTGAGTTTATCTGTTAAACGGTCACATAGTTTGGGTCCCAGTCCGTTCAACTGCTGCGCCTGGGATGGGTGTTGAAAGTTCAATGGACATGCTTTCATCGACTCGTAAGCCTTCTTATAGCTGAGAGCAGTTAGACATGTGGATATCACTGGGATTCGGGATACACGAACACCGTCACGCCCTTGCTGTTCCGTTCTCTGGCTTGGTCTAGCCATTCTTTGATCCACCCTAGAAGGAGAGGATTCGCGCACTCGTCACTCATGGTGCGTCGAGCTTTCAAGGATCGAGCATATCCCAGCGACTAACTTGGAAATCAACTCTGATGGCGCGAAGTGATCTTTCCTCTTTGGGAACGCGACGCACACGTGCGATAAGAGATAAGCGATAACACCGGCTTATCGGGGTTGATATCCGAAGATCTAAAGAAAGGCAGAAAGAAGTGCACTTTGGGGGTTTGTTGCCCTTGACGATGTGGAGAATTATGATCCTTGAACTTAAATGTTTTTCTTTGATCTTACAAAAACACAGCTTCGCCACAGTCGCTTTTCTCAAAACCCTCAATGGGATCATCGATATTGGTTTCTTGGAAGGTGTTTCTTGTTATACCTCCACTATTACTCTGTCTTTGGTGTATATATACCCTGCTGTTTCATTCTCTCCAGTCTAGCTTAATTTTCTTCTTGGATCGTTCTAAATTTGGACTTTTGCACATGTCTAATGGACTCGATGGTCGTCCGCTTCGGTCTTAATCTCAATGCTGATTCTCCTTTTGTTTTTTTCTCATGGATTTCTTACTGCCTTTGTATTATAACTAGTTTTGTTAATATCTACTGGTGCTTTGTAAAACGTATGTCGAACATTTGATCTGCAGCGATACTACGGATTAGTAGTGAGATTTGTAAGAGACTGAGCATTAGATATTGCTACACCACCAGAGAACTTTGAATTTCCCTTGGTTAAGATCCTATATTTGATAGAGTTTATAAGCTTCCTTTCTGGTCAGATTAGACTGGGTCTTTCTTTTTCTCTTTCTCTTTCTCTCTTTCTGCACATGAAACACCAATATACCATATGCTTATGATGTATAGATATTGTAACATTTTTCACTTCCTACTAGCGGAGATTTCTTTGAGACTCAGGACCTTTGAAACTGCTGAATAACTCAATACAAACTATATAATCCCGACGCAGTCCCACGATACATACATCAGACCAAAGCAGTAAGCAGCAGAACAGCTCCTCACAAGTCATTCAGTAGACTTTGGATATTGCCGAGAACGCAGATAACAACGCAGCTGGTTGGAAGCGTTTTCTCGATGCGTGTATCAATTGCTTCGCGATTACTTGCTGCCGTGGAACAGAAAACTCCAGCGAAGACGATAACGCAGGGGGTATAGAGCTGGATAACCAACCTGATCCAATGGAAGCCACTACAACTGCAGATTCCGCTGTATCTGCAGGGCAGAATGCTATTTCGTCAACAGCGCCCAACGAGCCAACCTTGACCGAGAATTCAATCCTCTCTGTAGTTGAACAGGCTGGCACTGCAGATGTAAATCCAGATCCGCAAGCAGCACCAGCAAATATTGCATCAGAAATCCCTGAGTCGGGGTCTTCTGATCCTCTCAATATGGTATCTGCTGGTGGAGATGCTCCAAGAGAGAGTTCTAGTAGAAGTGAGAGTGCATGGAATAGGAAGCTAATGGAGGTCCAGATAGAGGGTTATAGAAGGCAAAATTGGATGGATACTCCAAACGATACCGACTGCCCTCACGGTCTGTCAACCCTTGAATATAACACCTTGGTTCAAAACCACGGGTGGACGGAGGTCTTCAACGTCCCAACGGATCCCAATAATTATTGGAAACAGGAATTCACCACTCAGAAAGTTCCTGTGATAGGTGAGAGGTACAGAGAAAGAAACATTAGGAAAGCTGCAGCCGCTCCGGGAACTGGTAAGCGCAATGTGAACGACCATAGAATGGCGACTGGAGTAGGATACCTCATCATTCAGGATGTTAACCGAACTGATGGACCGCGAGTATAAGAAATGCTGTCGCTCAACTCAAGCAAGACAATGGCGGGAACATCGACACTACGATACATCTGCGTGGAGAACATTACCAATGATCCGACCGTGGAATTTATGAGCAAGCAGCTATGGAACATTGATAGGAGAAAATATAACGATAGCAAGAACCTTGCTAGGGAAGTTTTTCACTATAACCGAGATGGTTACGCCGCTGTCCTCGGAACGGTCTTTTGGGAAAATGGCAGCTCATATAGTCTTGGGGGCGTTTCCACGAGGTACGCACCGAATCATGCGAATTACCGCCTGGAAAGAGGAAGATTGCTTCCAGGTGCTATTTGAGATTGAGCCCAATATTTAAGTGCTTTGGGGGGCTCTCAGAGGGAGATATGCTTGGTCGTCTATAGACTCCCTATGTATGATATCTCCAACGAAATGAATGTCATCATATCGAAGTGTGGGATATGCTTAATTGAACCATCTGGCCTAGACATAAGATCACACTCTTAATAATAATAATAAAAAGTGGATTTTCCCTTTCCACAGACCAAAAAACCCCGATGAAAGAACAAGTTTCGTGAGTTGCCACTGCCCTGATCCCACGAGATGACGTCGACAACCCTGTCAACAAACGTCTGCATACTCCGTACATCTCCCACAATCAACATTCCAACATCTCCATGTCTTCACAATGTCCAAACCCGAAATAGAAATTATGGACTATGATGCAACAAGTAAGGCCGTCAACCAAGTGACCACTGTACCAACCCCCGAGGGCCCAACTGATAGCCATGTGCTGTCCCAAGTTGAACAGGATGAAAAAGGCCTGGCGCAGAAAGCCGGCGACACCGATGAAATTACCAATGTCGGGTGGGGTGTTTCGCCAGACGTGATAGAAGAGCCTCTAGTTGCTGGGTTGTCAAATGAAGACCTATGGATGCTGATCAGACGATTCGACAAGGTGCGCTCGGCGATCATTGTCGTAATCATTGCTGTCAGCACTAACATAGGAGTTTACAGCAAGTGTACAGAGTCAAAGCCGTCTCTGATGCTCCTCTTCAAAATCTGGATCTCACACGAACCGATGATGATGAATTCTCTCCGGACAAGCTTCGGGCTACGTTGGAAAGATTCTACATCACCGTTGTCGTGGGCTTGACCAGCTGCGTGAAGCATATTGCTCGACTTCGTTCGTGGAAGGAGCCGCGACGAACGGCGATCTTCGGCACGGCAAGACTCTCTTGAAGATCATACCTTGTGTGAAGACAGTCTCTGATAGATTACAGGTTTACCTCATTGCATGGCTTCTTGATCTACTAGCGCCGACAATACTGGCAATTTTACTTGCCTTGGTAGTACACAAACCATTGCGACCGCTGATGTTTCCTCCGGCGCCAATAGCTCTTGTGGACAAAGATACGGGCGGGGTGCAAAAGCCAAAAGCAGGGATTCTGGGCTCACACGACAGCATTACTGGCGCGCCGGAGAAATTCAAGGGTGAAGCGGCTGAACAAGAAGCAAGTAACTTGGTCGCGAGTGTTGCCAGCGTAGCTGTGGGCAGCGCGGTTGGGAAACATGACCAAGGAGTGCCCGATGATGCACCCTTTGAAGACGATGTACCCGATGCGATGGATATCGTTGCCAATACTGCGGATGCGCAAAGTGCCGCACATGGAAGAATGCCCACTGACACGCATGACAAAACGCGACAACCTATGCGACAGGGCGTGATGAATGGAGCAAACTTTGCGATGCAGATCGTAAGTGATATCACAGATACATATGAGAAACTTGGAAAGTGAGTGCGAAACTTGTGTTTTATATTACTTGGCCCAGGCTCAACCCTATCGATATAGTGCTCTTTCGGCAACAGCTCCATTCCCTCAGATGAAGCCTCGTCTACGTTTAGCAGCGGTGCTAGGTCCAGCATGTCTGCTTTCACTACTGACATCCAGCTATGCTCTGATGAAGATCTGTACACTTTTTGTTGGCTTTGCATTCTTCGGAGACCCGGTGATCAGACGAGGAATCAAATATCTGAACCGCCAGTTCCCCAAGTGGCAGAAGTTAATTGAATTGCAGAAGTATAGCCCCCAAGCCTATTCAGCCGTTCACACACTGACAGTCTTAAACTAGTTCTCTACTGAAAGGCATTCCAACAAACGCCCAGTTGGCAATTACACTTCTCCGCATTGGTGAAGCCAATGCATCCCCACTACCACCTCCCCCAACATCCCAAGAGAAAGCACCCTCGCGCCCGGCTTCATTACATCACGAAGAACTGACCCTCGGTGCCACTGATGCAGAGATCAAAGATGCCGCATTAGTCAAACCTGATCATGACCGGGAGGACACCACCGAATCGCATTCCGAATCCGAGAAGAACCACCAAAAAACATTAGCATCACGAATCCTTGGACTTTTCCGAGGAACGACGGCTAGCGGCGTCGAAAGCAAAAGAGGCATTGACCGCCTCCGAGCAGCAGTTGGTTCACGGCACGCAAAGAACAGAGTCGGTGTCCTGCGCCAGAAGGGCAAGATGATCACGCCCATCGGGCCAGTCTCTTTTGATGCCCGCCACAAAGGAAAACGCGGCACAGCGGTTATTGACTCAACGAAAGAACCTGCCCTCCTTTACTTCACGACTGATACTCCGCAGAACGGAGATCTAAAGCTAGAGCACCGAAAACCCGGATCTGTTCTGTTTACAATGCCCGTTTCTGATATTCAGGAGATGAGAAAACTGGGTGGCATGGGATGGAAGGGGAAGTTGGTTGTTGGGTGGGCGCTTGGTAGTAAGGAGGTTGTTGATGGGTTGCTTATCACTGGGAAGCAACCGAAGCAGACCTATCAGCTTACGGCTATGGGAACGAGAAATCAATTATTCAATCGGCTTATTGCTATTGATGGACAGGTTTGGGCTAGCTGTTGATCTTGGTATACAGAGGACGAGTGCTAAAACGATACCAGGTTTGGAGGTAAATCCCCAGGTGTTTTCCCTTGCTTTGTGGCAGTATATCCAGTGGATTTGAAGATTTGTTGCAAGCATTAAATGTGTCCAATGAATGCATAAGATGGGCGTTAGATTTGTGCTAAACCATATTGGCATTTACGAAGTGAATCAGAGCAAGGTTTTGGAGAATTTCCAGCATATGAGAATGCAGGTTACTTGATCAGAAATGCATCCAATACTACAAAAGAAGAACACGTGTATTATTAGGAAATATGAATGAGCTGGATTTGAATGGAGGTTCTCTCGCCAAAGAAAATCAAAAAGAATCCGAACGCAAGCAACGTCAATGTATATGCAGAAAGAAAGCAAAAAAAAAAACAGCCTCTTATAACCATAACCCCGAGTAAAACCAACTAGTACATTCCATCCTGGCAGAGAAAAGATTAGCACTCAAATGTCTTTCTCGGAAAAGATATCCAAAAACTCACATCAACCTCCTCATCTTCAGCTTCGAGAATAACATCCGTCATAACCCCAATAGCCAGGCTTCTCTGCTCAAAACTAAGAGCACCAACATCAACAAGCTCAGCAAGGGCCTCCCCAACCCAATTCTGACCATTCCAATCCCGATCCGTGGGCTCGTTGCGCACCGTCGTACGCGAACACGCCGCATGAATCATAGCCCTAGTCACTGCTTCTGGAACCGTACATACCGGGATCCATGCGATGGGCTCTTCGGATATAGGGTTATGGCGATCTTTTTGGAACTTGAAGAATGGGTGTGCGGCTACTACGTGAAGCCATTCGTAGTCGTTTTTGGTGTAGAGGGCGTGTAGGGCTGTGTGTCTGTATCTTGGGAAGTCTATGGGTGTTCCTTTATAGACTAGGATTGAAAGTTGGGGTAACATCTTTTGAGTTTGATATTGAGAGATCTGGGGTGGGGGATCCTGTGTTTAGGTGTAGGTTGGTGGTTGTTTGCTTGTGTGGCGGGCATACTGTACGTATGACTGCCAGGCTAGGTGTGGTTCACCCCTTTTCATATCGGAATTGTTATGCTGTGTCTCACTAAGATAAGCGGAATTGTCTTGAGGGTCTGGATCACCATGAAAACAGGGGCTCTCTACCTATCATTTATGCAGCCTAATCGTAACGCTATGTGAGCTGGGAAGAGGAATGTGAATATCAGATAGTCTGGTGGGAGATTGGCATGTCTGATGGCGGCCTCAGGCAGATCACTAAGGCTTCAGAATAAATAGTAAATCGAGGTATCTCATATCCCTAGGCTCTATAGAATTGATGAAAACATTCTAGTTTATATATAGCTTGATCCTCTTGAGCCTATAGCAGCAAGGGATGCTAACAAATGCCCGCACGGTAACCCAGAACACGCAGGCTCAGATTGTTGGGGTTTGCTCATGCTCTATCCATTCGGTATCAACCTGCTTGCTATTCCTATTTCACTAGCCATTCAACTGTGCAGAACTACGCAGCAGAGATCTGGATTCTAATATGTGGTCACAGCTTCATTGTATTTGATTATAGATGCATCTTTCACTGCAATCCCTGCTTATAGTCTCTCACAGTCTGCTCAAATGACTCGTCACGCTTGAAGCCCAAGGAAATAGCCTGAGTGTTGTCAAACTGTGTTGGCCAAGACTTCAGAATTGGAATTACGGCAGGGTCCTCTTCTTCGGTGAGAAGGGCTAATGCTTCCTTGCCGCCCACCTTTTCCAATGCATCCATCATGCCCTGAACTGTGACACAAATGCCCGGTACGTTAATCTGGCGGATGTGTAGGGGAACCGAGTCGGCAGGAAGGCGGAGTGTGATAAAAAGATTTTGAACCAGTATCTTGGGCGAACAGAGCCATGACTTAAATTGTCGATCTTCAATCGGAATAATGCACTTTTGGCCGCCGAGAGGTTCCCGAATCATACCCGACAAGAAAGATGACGCCGCGGCGGTCGGCGCACCAGGGCGAACGGAGATGGTAGGGAATCGCAGCGTAAAGCCTGTAATGAAACCGCGGCGAGTATATTCATTCACCAGGGTCTCACAGACGATCTTTTCAGCGCCATAGGAGGACTCTGGGGTCGGGATGACGCTGTCGGTGACAATCTCTGGTAAAGGTTGACCATAGACAGCCTGGCTAGAGGAGTAGATAACCCGCACGCCTGGGCAGGCGTGTCGCAGGGCCTCGAGCAAGTTGCGTGTGGCATCGATGTTCACACTCATGCCTAGGTCGAAGTTGGCTTCGGAGCCTGATGACATGATGCCGTGGAAGGCATAGACGGCATCTAGGGAAGAGTCGACAATGTCTTTTGCTCCATTTAGAAGATCGGCTTTGACTGCTTTCGCATTCTGGGGATATTGCACACCCGCAGGAATTGGCGGTTGGTTGATATCGGTCAAGGTGACGCGATAGGATGGGTCGCTCAGAAGTTCCTTTGCGAGCAGTTGGCCAATGAAGCCGGCAGCGCCGGTGATAAGGATATGCATTGTGATCGTGAGGATATCAATTGGAAGTTTAACGATGGAAGTACAGTTTTATTTCAGTCAATTGGTCGCGCATTTCTCTCCGCATTCGCAACAAGTCCGAGACGATCGGTGGATTTCACTCCGCACGCCGGACTTGGGCCGGTGGAGTGGACTTGGTTAATTCCGCAGCTGCATCTTTCTAGCCAGAAGACTCAAGACTGGTGGAATGTCGTCGATTAAACATCGAAACTACAGAGAAAGAAAGTTGCCAGTAGAAAATCAAAAGTAGAAAAGTCGAAGAGAAGAGAAGAGAAGATGAGTGAGTCCCCGTCAGTGCTTGGATTTCGGGCAAGTCCAGTCCGGGCACCTGATTTTGTTGAACCCTCACTTGCTTCTGTTCTTCGACTTCTCAATACTCTCAAGACTGCAAGATCTCAGGATCCCAATTTCCCGATAGCCGAATTGTTGGAATCCCTGATCCTCTCGAATCAGCTTCCTTCGACTCCGAGCTTCCCCCACTCCCCCAGACCCCCCAGATTTCGCCGCATGTCCGGAGTATCACCGATTTCCCCTCGGAATGGAGGTCTCTACTCCACTGAAACGCTCTGCTGATGACGCCGACCTGGAGTCGCCCCGAGAGAACAATCGGCGTTCTGCGCCCAAGATATCCAAAGCTCGTGCTTGTGAGTCTCCCCCACATTGTCCCCCCGATAGTAGCAACTCGGGTCTAATTCAAATCAGGCGCCGAGTGTAAACGCCATAAGATTCGCTGCGAGTTTCGATCGGGCGAGACAACCTGCACAAAATGTATTCGCAGTGGCATCAAGTGCGTTGTGAACGACTTTTCGCAGAAATTTGTTGACGATGATGGGATGTGCGTGCGCCTCCCTCAAACCCCGCTCGAATCGGCTCATGGAAGCTCCTAAGACACTTGCTAATCCAATGCGGCTATAGATGGAAATCCCAAGCAAATGCGACAATGCATCAGCTGCAGGCAGCTGTCTCGCATCTCTTGCGACAAGGTGGCTTGCCCGAACTCTCGACATATCCCTCCGGGGACAGTCAGAATGGACCTAGTCCCGCTGCTTCGCACCATGCCCACCGTCCTTCGATCGATAGATCACAGACCCATACCAGTCACCAGGAGGGGCCGGGGGTAGTCATGGATGTCACTCGGGAACCGTCACCAGAGCAGGACCTCCAGGACCCGGAATTGGTGCAGGCTCCTATGCGCAGCTTATACGAAGTGACCAAACTGCGGAACTTGAGGAATAATCATGTCGAGGCACCCAAGCAGACATTGCTAGAGGAAGATTTTATCTCGCGCGGATTGATATCGCTCCATGAAGCGGAGGAATTATTCGCCTACTTCAGCCGCACCATGAACCAGCTACTATGGGGCGGGATAATTCTAGTCCATCGCGATTTGACATCAGTCCGCCGCGCATCGACACTACTCTCTGCGGCCGTTTTGACTGTCGCGGCACTTCATATTCCAAATCGCACCGAAACCTTGAACCGATGCTATGGTGAGTATGTCTCGCTCGTCTCCGGCATGGCGCTCACGCGAGCCCATACGCTGGACGATATCCGTGGACTTTGCGTGGGCGCATTTTGGCTTTCTGAGTTAAGCTGGAAGCTATCTGGACATGCGGTGCGAATTGCGACCGAGATGGGCCTCCATCAAAGCTACCAGCGCCTCACCCGCGGACAAACGGATCAGTATGAGCGCGCTCAGCTTTGGTACTTGCTTTATGTCTGCGATCATCATTTCAGTATTGCCTACGGTCGGCCACCCGTGATCCACGAGGATGTAGTGATTCGCAACTATGAGACCTTTCTCGCCCTGCCGATGGTCGTGCCAGGCGACATTCGGCTTTTGGCTCAAGTAGCCCTATTCATGATCCTGACCGAGGCTTACAGGATGTTTGGCAGCGATACTGAACAAGCGCTGACCGAGGAGGATTTTGGACAATTGCGTGTATACAACGTTGCAGTGGACCAGTGGCGGCTCCTCTGGCAACCTCGATCTGGTAAGTGATCCAGTGCGTCAATCATTTTGCTGAGTGTAACACGCCTTCTAGCCGATAGCGCCTATGTGCGAACTTATCCCTCAAAAGGAGTGGTTCTACACTACCATTTTGCCAAGTTCCAACTGAACTCGCTTTCCCTCCGGGCATTGTCTCCTTCCAATACCCCCGTATTTTCTATGGATCGCAAAGAATCAGCCAACATCGCGATTTCATCGGCTATGGCATGTCTCAACATGGTACTCGAGGAACCTGATATTCGAGATGCGATAGTTGGCGTTCCCATCTTTACCCACACTATGGTTACATTCTCCGCTGTGTTCTTATTAAAGGTCGCCATCAACTGGAACACAGCCTACCTCAGTATCAATGCTCGTCAAGTTCGACGATTAGTCGAGCGCGTGATTGAGCTGATGAACTGTGTCTCTGCAGGTGAAAGACATTTAACGCGTCACATCGCGCGTGGGCTGGGTAAGATGCTTGAGCGCTTCGACTCGTGGGAGGCAGCCTGGCAATTTCGAGGAAGCAACGAGACCGCAGTCGAAGGACGCGAAGTACCCGGGGGCGCAAACGCCATGGCACAGGGATTCCCTCCGCCAGACTTGATTTATGGCATGGTCGGCACGTACGGATTTGGTCTTGATGAGAACTTGCTTGACCCGAGCATGGCGGATTTTGAGTTCCTGACCCAATGAGCAGAGAAACGAAAGCAGAGAGCAGAGAGCAAGACAAAAGTACCCAATACCCAGACATGGAATACGGAATGTAGTAAGAATCTCACTGGCGACACGCACCCGTCGCCACGCACTTCGTAAATCAACTTAACCCTAACCCATGTCGTCACTGTCACCTCCGCTTATTCCCCTCCCTTGGTTCGACCCCCCTTCCCTCAGCTTGGAGCGACTCTCTTTTCTCCTTTTTCCTATAAATTCCGCTTCCCCGGTACTTGTCCTCCCGTACTAGAATTCTCTCCCTCGAATTCCCTCCTATCTCCCTCCCACTCTCTTCTATATCCCCATGTCTACCCGCAAGAGAGGTCGCGAACCTGAGGAGGAGCTCCAAGCTCTCCCTAGTGATGACAGCGAAGAGGAAGAAGAGTAAGTTCCCAAGTTCTACTTCCGTTTTACTTCCCCATTACGACTTCATTCCACTCCCTTTCCTCCAACCTTTGCGCCAACGCCTCGCGCATCCTTCTAGCACAATTCAATGCAATTGCAAGAGTCGCGCGCCAATCGCGAAATTCTAATTAATCTGATATTCACCACGCGCATCCCTCGCCTCCAATTCGAGCATTAATTACTAACTCACCGCCCGCAATCAGATATGAAGACTCCGAACCCGAACTAGAGGAAGGAAGCGGCGAAGAAGAAGAAGAATCAGCCTCCGCCTCCGACGAAGATGAGGAAGAGGAAGAAGAGGAAGAGCCCGCCAAAGCACCAGGTATGATATTACTCTATATTTCTTCCCCAATCCCAAATCCTAGCCCTTCTCAGCCATTCTATTCAATCTTATCGCGTCGTCTACCCACACGAAACACCACGCTAATAACCAACACAGCTCCAAAGAAACAAAAAGTCGCACCGAAAGTCGCTGACGACGACGAAGGTGTCGAAGTCGCGGAGAACGGCGCCAAAGACAAAGACGAAGACGAGGAAGTACTCGCCGAAGAAGGAGACGAAGAAGCTGCCGATGCCACGGCTGAGAAGAGTGGACCTGCTGCTGCGGCTATCAAGGACAAAGGTGGTGTTATTCCTAAGGAGTCCGATCTTCCTGAGATTGAAGAGGCGGAGAAGGATGAGTAGGGGTCCGGTCCCAAGGGGTATTACAGTGACATCGTTATTTACTGGAAGTTGTGATAAGATGTGTAGTTGTAAGATGGCTTCTTTGGCGTGAGTTATAAGATAGGATCAAATCAACCAATTGAATGGATCGATTTGGCCTGGGATACCATAGGCTTCGTTTCTATGATAGTATCACGGAGTCAGTTAGGGCTTCTGTGGATCTTGTTGTAGATAGATAGAGCTTCACTAGTTCTTGCTAGTGGCCAATCCGGCCTGTTCTTCATTCAAACTGGGGCATGGCGCACATCAGGCGTCCGGCACGGCCATATAACTGGTTAGTTACTCTTTGGATCCATACTCTCCACCAAGTTAAAATCTAGTTCTTGGGGTATTGGACTGGCGCAGACCTAAGAATGTCTAATCTGAGATAAGCAGTGTGTGTGTCCTCACTATGATGGACCCCCCTATAGAGTACCTTTTAAATAAACGATGAAAAATTCATAGGAAATAGTATATACTCTAAGAAAAGTACCCAGTAACAATTGACAAGGGAAAACAGAGAAAGAATATGTCATCAATCAAGAATGGTCATTAGCCCTGCCTACGCCCGCTTTCTATCTTGACATCGACACCCAGGGAAGACATTAACGCTATGGCCTCGTAAAGTCAAGCAATATGTCATCCTTTATTTTGCTACCAGAAAATTTAGGTATCACTACCACTGCTGCGGAATGTTGCGCAGAGTTGGCAGTACTGATGTGTGAGGTCAAGGACGGGTTGAGGGAGGTTGGTGGCTTGAACGATGCTACGGACCTTGACGGCACCTTCATCTTCGATGAGCTTGCGAACAAGGAATAGAAGCTCGGGGGAGAACTGTCAAATGTCAGCTATGAAGCCACGAGATTACCTGCGTAATAGGGGAAAAAATACCTCTGAGTACCAGCGATACTGCCAGGCAATGAGGCGGATGAGGGCACCGAGCATGCCTCGCGTGTCATTTCGCTGCTCGTACAGTTTCAACACACCGCGCATGGCCTTCGGTGAGAAGCGGGTGGCTAAGCAGCTCTGGTAGGCCTCGATACTCTCGTCAAAGTGGTGCAATCGTTCTGCAAGCTCACCAAGAATCTCCCACTCGGTGGCGGATTTCTTGTACTCCATCGCTTGTTGACGGAACTGGGCCATCTCGGTTCGCCAGATAGTGTAGATACGAAGGTCTTCGTACAGAACCATGAAGAGGTTATCTAGCCACCTCTCACACAGACGCTTGTTGCGGAATTGTGTGTATGTGGCGTGCGAGGGATCGGGCTGTGAGATAACAAGTTAGTATGTAATCAATGATGTCCGTGCTATATGTTCTTACATCCTCGTTGCCAGACTTTACAACCTCTGAAGCCACCGTCTGCTCAGGTCTTTCAAGAGGGCTTTGGGCAGGGTTCTCGTCACCGTCTCCATTGGACGTTTGTGTCGTGGATTCAACCGCACTAGGTCCATTCACAGAACCAGTATCGTCCTCCTGCTCCACGCTATCTCCGTTGATCTCAGCCTCCAGTGAATGAGCAGGCTTGGGGACATGTTGCCGCTCGACACGGTATTCTTCTTCCATCACGAAGACCTCGCTGCGAACCTTCAAGAGCTGATCCCAACCAATGGCGGCAGCGATCTTGGTCAGAAGGTTGTATGCCTTCAAGAAAGTACCCTGATAGCTAGCAGCATGGATCTTCCGCAGAGAAGGGTGAACGAAGTCGTGGGGGTCTCCCTGCTTAGGTTGGCCCTCGTCAATCTCATCGAGAATGCTTTCGGCGAGGATCGGAAGCATGATACGTGATGGCTGGGGCATGCGGGGTGTATCCTTGTCCTGATATGTGAACATCGGGCAGGAGTTGAGAGTCAAAAGCGCCAGATCCCATTTCTCCATACCAACGTATACCTCCGCCAAGCGAGCCCATGTGCTGAATTCGCTAGGAGCAGCGGTCACAGCCCGCTTGGCACATTCAAGTGCCATATCACCTTCACCCTTCGTCTGGCAGAAGTTTGCCTGACAGTCCAGCAAAGCATAATCCATAGGCACATCTTGTAAAGCATCATACATCAATCGCACCGCTTGTACTTCCTCGTCTGCCATCAATTGTACACGAGCAAGCAGAGACGAGACTTCTACATCCTTTGTGCGGAGCTTCTCGAAAAGGTTGATTCCGGAGGTGTAGCGGCCGGTGGTGTAAATATACTTCAGTACGCCCGACGTAAGGTGGTTGCTCACGGTGTTGGGAACTTGAGTCTCGGGGTCAGAGCTAAGCTGGCGTCCTGGGCATTGTCAGTAACGGACCAAAGGAACAAAACACTGCGTAATTTGTACCTTGGAAGAACAGTTTCTCGGCGGCGTCCAAGAACTTATGTTCCATCTCTGTATTTGTCACTGGGTTGAACCGCCTAACTCCGACAATCTTCTTGACAGCATCTCCGCTTCCGTCATCGGCGTAAGAGTAGGCTCTTAGAACAGCGCAAAGGAACGTTTCAAGCCAGAGAGCTTCAGTTGCAACCCGCTTGTCACCCCGCTCGTCAATGCAGTAGCTCTCCAAGCTTCCGGGAATCTTGACTTCAACGCGCATGTCGAGGTGGGAGAAGGCATTGTAGCAGCTGTATAGATATCAGCATATATTGTCCACTATGCCGAGGAAAAGACTGACCAGTAGATTCCTGATACCACTTTGTGTGTCTTATCGAGGGGAGAGAATGTGAGGGTGTTCACGTAGGCGGCCAAGCTTGCGGACGAGGAGGCATCAATTCCGGTGACATGATGATAAACGCCGGTCTGGTGTAGATGAGAATGAGTTAACTATATATCTCGACCACATTGAATCAAGAATCAAAATGTACCTGGCGAATTGAATTGGAATTGGCCTTAGGTTGCTTGACCAAATAGACCAAGTCTGGCGGGCCTAACTCGCGCAAGCTCTGTAGAGATTCTGTTCGCGCATCAACAGCAACAAAGATATCCTCCTCCTCGTGAATTCTAGATAGTGACCACAAGGTTAGTCACAGTTGCTGCAATTTGCGCGGCTGCAGCTGTCGCCCATTTGGGACAATTGCCATGCGTGCGCAGCCCGGGGAACACGTAAACGGGGATAGGAGTGACATACTCAGGGACAGCGGGCGCGACCATGGCGCCTGCAGAAGTGCGGCGAAGTTAAAGAGGGTATTTGAAGTAGAATAGATTGAGAGAAGTGAAGTAAATCCAGGGGGGTGCACTGAGGGGTGTAAGTGAGTCTGGACTACAATTGTAGCGTTACCCCAAAGGAGGATGTCAGGCCATAAGGCGACAAGGCGACGAGGCACCAAGGCGACACACGCTTTCCCCGATCTGGTCAACGCGTGATAACGTGTCTGATAACCAATCCCGCGATTAAGGGTTCCCAGGGCGCCCTTCTTGAGACCATCTAATATCTAGAATTGAGTGACCCCGAGCTCGCGTTATGTCGAGCTGGGTCGCATTGAACGTTGAGCCTGATGAGGCGGTCGAAGAGGAGGTCGACGACACAAAGGAGCTCCAGATCGAGGAAGCTTTGAAGCTATACCACGGCGCCTTGAAATTACACGCGCAAGGTCCAGCATTTTACTCCCAGGCAGCTGAAGCATATGAAGCTCTTCTGAACTCCGAGATCTTTAAATACCCAGAATCTATCTCCGATTTCAAACGAGGCGCATTCGAGGATGCGCAAACCCAAGAGACCTCGGATGAAGCCGCAGAACCGATCGGCGAGTTCAATGTCAACGACTCTACCTCCAGCCTATTCCAAACCCTTTACCTCTCCTACAAAAACCACGGCAAATATATCCTCGATGCAGCCCAGGAATCCATACAAACAGCACCGAAGACACCCGAGTCCGAGAGGGAATCGAAAAAGACGTTGACGGAGGCGTCAAGGAAAGCGCTGCAATCATTCGGAGACGCCTTGGAGCGAGATGACTCAGACTTGAATCTCTGGAGGCAAAGTGCGAGACTCAGCAGCGCCTTGCAGAGCCATCGCTTGTCGCGGTACTGCTTGGAGAGCGTACTAGCGGATGATGACAACCGCCTGGAATTACGTGCAGAGCAGCTCGGTTTGGAGGAAATATTTGCAGAGCAACGCCTTCGAAGCACCCTAGAGGCCCTTTTCGACAAGTTGTCTGCCTCGCAGATTCCAGTCAAAAGACCCAAGAAGGCTTTATTGAAGTATTTAAAACAGCATGAGGATCCTTACCCAAACCTGCCTACAATGCCGGCCGATTTAAAGAGAATCGATTCTTCCAAGGGACCGCTCGCAATACAAACTTCCATCAGATATATCACACCCGCAGCTCTGACATGGGAAGCAGTTGGAAAGGCACTTCTCCAAGCCCTCGATGAAGATGATGAGGCATCACTTTCCGCTGTTCCGAGTCGGTCAATCGGTATTTCTCTTCCAACAAGAGGCTCGCATGCTCCTGAAACACCTACCACAAAGCCCGAGGACGTGATGATGACCGTGGAACACGATGGGCACGAAAATATTGTTGAAGATAATGAGGTTGAAGCTGAACTTCTTCAAACAATGGACCAGGAGAAAACCCCCGAAGAACCCGAACCGGAACCCGCGCAAACCAAACAGGCCGCGGAACCAGTCGAGGAATCTTCAAACTTCGATCAGAGCGCTGAAAAGCAATTGATGGAATCACTAGATTGTCAGTCAGCACAACCTTTGGATCAACAAGCTGAAAATGACGAGGCAAATGCTGAGGACCTTGATCCAAGCTCTGCAGCCGCTCGTAAAAGATCCTCTGCATCCGCTGCTAACGAGGAGCCCGAGGGAGGACGAATGAAAAGCAGACGGACACGTGCCCGAGAATCAAATGCCGACGCCTTGGTAGTGCCCGAGGAAATCGCCTTTGATCAGGAAAAGTACTACGAAAACCGCCTCGAGGTTTTCGTTATCGCTGATGACTGGATGTTCAGCACCATTGACTCCCTGTTTTCGAAAGTCGGAATCGAAGCTCTGGGGAGCATCGCAAACATAAGAGCCAAGTGCTCAGCGAGCGAATCAACTGATACACCCGAAGATATTGAGACACGATTGTTTCAGGATTTCCGAGGTATCATCAAGACATGGGATGATGAAAAATCTCGTCTGATGCAACAGAAGGATGAACTGTCTCCCTTGAAGAAGGATATCCACGGAACAAGCAAAAGTGGTCTGGCTGTGTTCCTTGAACACTCACGCAAGGGTGCCCGGAAACCGGTTGTTGCGGAAGATCTTCCCGCTGGAGAGCATCTATATGACTTCTCTGATTCCATAAACAGCCAATGGCGACACCCTCATGACACCTCTTTTCAATGGCTCAAGTGCCTTCTGATGCCAAATTTTGGCCGAGAAACTTCAGACTGGTCAATTGCACAGTCGTCATACAGGCGTTTTCTGTGGCCTAAAGAACTGAAGAGCACTTTGGTAGATCTACTGCTGCGCGAGGATGAATTCATCTACAAGAGGACTGCTGAAATGATCGCCGAACTCGAAAGCCGAATGCTCGACGCAAGCAGTGATTCTCCCTTTGAATACAAGGCCAGCGACTTCTTCGAGCTTGAGATGATACAATCTATTTACGAACTTCATCTGGATATATTTGCTTCAATTGAGACTCTTGAAAACAAGACGATGCTTACAAGACTCTCACAAAGCGACAGACTGAGTCGCTGGGGCATGCTAGCTCGAACATCTGTGGATCATTTTGTCGAGAACGGACCGTCTGGTGATTGTCAAAAAGACATTACTCTCCGCCATCTGTGGACATCTGCATTCCATATAAACCTTGCCGGAGAGGCAGAACGGGAGCATATCTTGCTCTGCCTCCAAGACCTGAAGCAAATCCTCCAGAACCTTGGCAATCCAGAAACCAGCCTCATAAATAATTCCACCATGTCTGAACTGTCTGCGGCTGTGATAGATCAAGAGGTGCTGAAACTTAAGTGCATGGACTTCTTTGCCAAGGTCTTTAACTCGGACTCGGAAGATCCTGTGTCTCTCATTGAGGCGATTGAGCCCATTCTTGAGCCCTCGTCGATTGAGTACGCGGAAGCACCATCAGAGAACGATATGAATCATCCTACATCACACCTGAGCGAAATGGCTGCTTTCCTGGATCGCGGAGATGCTACATTGCGCCTGTTTTTGTGGCGACGGCTCCTGGAGGCATACCAAGCGATCGACTACGCACCTAAAGTTGTCTCTTGCTATCTGCGAAGCATCGAAGTGGTGATGACAGAACTTGAGGCCACGAAACACAACGAAGAAACAAATCGACAGCGTCAAGTGTCTTTGCTCGGCTGGCTCAAGGCTCTGGATGGCATCGTGGCGAAGGCTATACCACTTGTTCTTGAAGAGTCAGAAACGGCCTATGAATGTTTTGACCAAGAGCATCTCCAAGCATCCATGTCTGCAGTATCCCGTCTTGCTAGACTCTTGCACAGCTTCGTCCTATATGAGGATTCGGTGCGAGTCGGTCAAACTTCTGGCCGTGACCTACGAGCATCATTAACAAAATCGCTTGAAAATTTCAAGGATAGGATGCGAGAGCTGTACGTTCGTTGCTGGATCCTACAGTATACTCTTTTCCTGGAGGCAATCACTCAGAATAAAGAGCTTTTCGACGATGCGCTTGAAGATCGTATTCACTTCCTTCGTTCCGTCCACAACGCATTGGGTGTCCGATCAATGTGCCGATACTCCCAGAAGAAATTCTTGAAACTTGTCAAGGCAGAGCTATTTGGTCTCGAGACGAAGGGAGACTATGAGTTTGACGTGTGCCAAATTCTTTACGATCTACACGGCATCAAGTTTTCTCCATTCGATGGAACGATGGACCATGGGTGTCCTCCAGAGAAGCTGGATCGCCCTACAGCTATAATGATGATTGACTTCGTTTTACAACAAGCAAACAAGATGAACATGAAGGACTTGTCAAAGTCTGAACTGAAGACAACGATCGAAAAGATGCAGACAGCAATTGGTATCGCCAAGGCTACGTCGTCGCAGACACCACAGCTAATTTTCAACCGTCGTATTATCAATGCCTACCTGAAAGCCGCACTCAACCCGACTAATATTCTCCGAGCTGTCCAAGGTATTACAGAGCTTTCGACAACAGTTGTTCTAACAGAGAACGCAAAGATCGCTGCTAAAGGATGGTTCTTCCTTCTTGGGCATGCTGCCTTGACCAAGTTCCGTTCTCAAAAGCGTCTCAGCCCTGGTTCAACGAGTGAGCTTGATGATGCCATCAGCTTCTTCAGGCAGGACCTGGAACATGGGACCGGAAGGTGGGAATCCTGGTTCAGACTAGCCCAGGCTTTCGACTCCAAGTTGGATGAAGATATAACGTGGACCGCGGATAAAATCAACAACAACCGCGCGGATCTAGCGACACTCCAGCGAAATGCCATTCATTGCTATGCAATGGCCGTTTCGACGGCAATCAGAACTGCAGAGCCAACAGCAGAGACAAGAGCCCTGATGTCGGACCTTTACTCTGACTTTGGTATCCGTCTATACTCGTCTTCTCGCGAGCCGTTGTCCATGGGTGCATTCAGCGTGGAAGGCTTCCCTCGACATTTCAGCAGCGAAGAGAGCCAGCAAATGTACAAGGGGCAACCGTTCAAAGAAATGTCGGAATACTCGGTGTGGAACTTTGCTAGCAACCTTCTCAAACGCGCAGCCGTTGATAAGTCAAAACGATGGAAGTGAGTGACAGCCAGACCTTGCACATATTTATCACGCTAATGTGAACAGGACCCATTACACACTTGGCAAGTGTCTTTGGAAGATGTATAATAGCGACGATTCACTAAGGACGAGTCCAAAACGGGTTGAGATACAAGAGGTGCTGGACGCTCTTTTCGATGCCATCAATGCACTCCCACAACGAAGAGATTCACGTTCTGACCCAATCTTTGAACCGCACTTCAAACTCTTTTCTTTTGTGCACAAGCTTGTTCTTAGAGGAAAGATGACAGTGAGTGACGTATCTTTTGGTCCGAGTAAGTTTTACTGACTGACAATCGCATCAGCCTGCCGAAGGAAGCAAAGCCTTACTCGCAACTCCTTGGGCCAAAAAGGTCGATGTTCCCGAAAATATGGATGCATGGAACTCATACATGATGGAGGTTCTTCGAAAGTTCAAAAGTGCTGATAAGTCTAACTGGCATCATCGGATGGGCGTGAAGGTAAGTCCCTTTTCCTGGCTGCTCTCGGCGATTCCAAAATTGACAATCGATAGGCTGCCCATTTGGTTTATGATGGTCAACCCAACCCAGCTGCTGCGATTGCTGCCAGGCAGGAACTATCTCAGATCTTCACCAAAACACTCACCATCCAGGTCTGGCGCCCTGAGTTTGAACGCCCGGGTAGACACTTCGTCTACACCACTCGATATGTGTACTTTTTCGTCAGTCTGCTTGATCAATTAGACGATCGCGCGAGCCTAGATCAATTATTGCGTCGCGTGAGAAAGAAGCAGGGCGATTTCCTCAACCACACCAAGCTCTGGGAGGACAGTTGCCTGAACTATGCCAAAGTAAGCCAATGCTGACCTTGTGTGACCCTCTACACTACTAACCAATTCCAGCTCATCCGCCGCGCAGCAAATATCAACGAAGGACACGAAGACGGCGTATTCAAACCAATCGGCTGGGAAGAATTTTCTACAAAAACAGCTCGCCTGGAAAGCCTCCCCCAATTATCACCAGACAGCCAGCCCCTTCTGGAACTACTCCGTGACGCCCTAGAACTAAAAAAACTAAACAACAACCTGATGAAAATCACCATGTTCGAGGATCTAATCGCAGACCTCTACGCCCGAGTCTACGAAGTCAACATGCCCCACCTAATCGAGCAAGTCAACGACGACAACAAAGAAAAAATGAATCTCACCCACCTACTCATGACTGGCGAAACTCCTGCAGAGACTTCTGCACCGCCTACCCCCTCCCTGCATCTGATGCCCCCGCCCCGCGCGGCCGTACAAAGGGTATCGCCCGCCGTGATATCCAGAAGCGGGCTGATACTATCGTAAACACGAAGCTTGCTCCTCGTGCTCCTGCGAGTAAATTGATTGCTGCGGGTGAGACTGATCCACCGTCTACGCCGCATGGTGCGTCTTTGCCTGGCGCTGCGTCGACTCCCGCTATTCGTGGTCCGGGAAAACAAGCTTCTGCGAGTGGGGGTGGAACTACTGGGCCGAAGGACCAGCATGATAGTGCTGATGAGAGTGACGTTGGCGACGGCGATGATGCGACGATGCTTGATGAGGGCAATTCGACCCTTTTCCCTGCTGTTACTGATGCGGAAGAAGGTGGGAGTGTGGATGAGGGCGCGGAGGAGGGCGATGGGGAAGATAACGAGGATGAGGCTGAAGATGGTGATGGTGATGGTGATCCTGCCGCTACTGAAGGAGAGGGTGACGGCGATGAAGACGAGGAGATGCAGGATGAGGAGACCAAAGATAATGTTGTTGCTGAGCAGTCTGCTAATGAGACAGAGATTGAGCGTTTTGCTGGCAAGGATGCTGCGTCTCAGGATGATCTCGATGCAATGGACATTGTGTTGATCTAGTGACTGACTCGAGGTTTCTCTCTGTTCATTTTTACCTATTTCAGATATCATGGCGCTGCGGTTATTCAGGTCCTGCTATATTAAAGCTGGATGTTAGCGTCGAGAGACAGGCCATGCGGGTCAATGTTCTACGAGCTGGCATGTACAATATTCACAATATCTTATCCCAAAGAAATTGGTATTTCTAATTGCAAAGGCAAATATCAAAATTATTCCAACAAACGGTTGCTCCCCAAACGCCTAGCCCGAGGGATATCATTGCCCATAGCCAACCAATCCAAACATCCGGTAGTTAAAATTCAGTATCTTGAACGGGGTGAGAAGAAAGGTAAATCGTAAAAGTCGTGTCCATAAATAGGGATGGTTAAATGTCGTCCTCAGGGGCGAGATCCCACTTGCGTGTTCCCATTTTCCGCTGCTTCTTGACGGGAGATGCTCCAGGGGAAGGAGGCGCAAACATAGTATCAGCAAGCTTCAACTGATCCATGCGTTGCAGAGCATTCTCAATGTCACTCTCGCGGCTCAAGACATTAGCACGAGCAGGTGCCGCATTCTTGGCCCTGGGCTTTCTGCTCGGAGATTGCGAGTGCATTTCACGCTCGAGGGCGGCGAGACGGCGACGGAGGTCGTCGTTTTCTTGTTCCAGCTCTTCCATGCGTGCATTCGAGTTTGGGTCTTCAAATACTATAGCCGAACGTTAGTCTAATGGCCCCAGCGTAGCTTTCATGCGATCAACTTACTCTGAAAACCACGGGAAACCAGCTCGACCTTCTTGTCGATATGCTCATCGTTGCGACCGAGCTAAGAGGTGTTAGCATATATCTTAAACCAAATGTTTTGTGTATTCTGACCTGCTCATCCCAAGCATTTTGCCAACGGCGTCTCTCCTCTTCCATTTTTTCGTCCATCTCTGCCCAGCATTCTTCACGCACGTCTTGCTCAACCATGAGACATTTTTCTTCGGCGGCAAGTAGTCTGGCTTCAATCTCAGATCGTGCGATTTCTTCTTCGGCAAGCTTGACTGCAAGGCCGTGGCAGTCACGAGTGAGACGTGTGATCTCACTAGCTGCTCTTTCGAGCTCCTCTGCCGTCCCATCGTGCACTGATGCACGGCCACTCACTGAGCGGTGGCTTCCTGATGTAGACATGATAGACTCAGCGATTGAGGGCGCTCTGGGCACGGTGACCTCACGAGCGAGTGCGGAGTAGCGCAGAATTTGAGAGGTTGCGTTGATATCACCGAGGGGGTCCGCGGTGACTATCATAATAGCTTTTTGTGGATATTGTCCCCGAGACATTTGATGGGGGGAGGGGAAAGAGTTTGAGAACAGGAGCTCTGTTAACTTGCACTGGCGGTATGGCACAAGTGCGGTCTAAAATGAGTTAGTCGCGACTCAGGTAGCAAACAACATTTCATGCTTTACCTTCATGCCATCTTGAATATTACTTTGCATCTGCAAGCACTGACCAAGATACATCAAACTCTCGTTGATCTTGCCAGCTTCGGCGAGAGTAGCACCCGCTGTCTTGGCCGTTCTTGCGCGTTCAGAGCCTAATTTCGTAAGTAAAAACCAGCATATGCAGACCGAATATGCTTACCAGCCAGATCAACTACAGTCAGAGCATTACCAATCCAATGGGCCTCGCCAGTTCTCTTGGAGTAGGTACGTTTCTTGACTTCCAAGGAGAAGAATCCATGACTTCGAGAGCTAACACTATTCATTCCAGTGCCAGTCACCTTTCGTTCCATCAAACCCACGTCCAAAATAGCCAATGCTTCTTCGTAAGTGCCGCAAGCAATTTTGCGCAGCCCTGCGACTATTTTACGGTCAGGTGAGCCTTCGGTTGGCTTGAAGAGCAGGGGGCGTCGTCGATCCTTTTGGTTGTTACCACGGGACATTGTTCCTTGGCCTGGGACAATTGCAGGTGACAGGAGATCAAAAATTCGGTCGTTGTATACTTCATACATCGATACCAGAACGACAAAGTCGGCATTCGACTCCATATCCACCGTGAGGTGGCCCATATCGGGAAGTCGAGGAAGTGCAGCTTGTCTTTCACGGATGTTTCGGCGCGGGAAGGTCAATGCGGGGGTGGGTTCCTTTAAAACATAAAGTCGTTTAGCTACTTGCGATTCAAACTCATTGATGCGGGTGTAGGGCAGGGGGGTGTAAAGTCTCTGGTCAAGGGTTCCAGTATCCTCGGGCGAGTCCTGGCCCAGGGCAGCTCTGGCACTGCGCTGAAGACTGGCTATCAAAACATCCACCTTGCGAGGACTTCCAGGTCTACTCCGTGGTCTTGGGATAAACGAACTGATCGTTTTCGGTCGTGGGGTTGACAATCCTTGGGGGAAATTAAGGGTTTGGGGACTTCGTACCGTAAGGGGTGTGTTGGCACGACCTGGGCTCATGGGTGTTTGTGCTCTTGAGTTGCGTCCGGTAGGTTCACCATAAACAGCTTCCAAGAAAGTCTGGGCGGAAAACAACTGGGCTTCAGACACATCGGCAGCGGCCAGCGATGCAAGCACGACTGGGGTAATGCTCCCATCCTCTGTCTTGACGGTAGGTTCCAGGGAGCGGAAGATGACATCGAGCGCCATCTGGGTCATTCCTCGTTCGGTCTTCGATCCTAGGATTGTGTGGCTCTGCAATTCTCGGCTTATTAGCTTCAGCTTTGCGCTGGGGGGTGTACTCAATGCCAGACCTTTCCACTTCCTGTCACTCCTAGGGTAGCAACCAACCCATCGCGATTCTCCTTCAGCACTCCCCGTATGATAGGTTCCATGCCAGTGTCATGGAAGACGTCCAATTGCGAGGCAGCCTCTTCGAAGACTTTAGTAAAGCCGAACTTCTCAACGGCGCGCTTTCGGGTATCATTCGGAGGTAGAAGAGTAATGTGCGTCGGCACTGCGGGGACGATTTCTGCGTCATCGTGCGACGTCTCTGGGGTCTCGACCGCAAGGAATCGCTCGGCTTCGTCTTTCTGGGCAATCGGAGGTCGCAGACGGAGAAAGACCTGAAAAAGTGACGCCTGGGGCTGTTTTGGCGACATTTTGCTGGATATGAGAGTGTTGAAGTTCGAAGATACAGAAATCAAAACAGGCAAACGCTGCGAAGCCGACGTTCCAGAACGTCTACAGATCGACAGGGCGCATGCCGTTTTGGGTAATCTGTTACCGTGACAACACAATCACGTGCATATGCATCTATACGCGATTTTCAGCCGCAAATGACGGTTTGTGCATTAGCAACGCCGCTATTGGTCTTTCGACAGCCCCGGTGACGTTTTCATGCTCAAATCTACTGTCTATTATGTAGTCTTAGTTACTAGGCTGGTAGAAATCTAGGCGGTATCTCATTCGTAGTATAGTTCTCATCTGACCTCGAAAGATATTTCTGTGATCGATACAAAACAAGAATACTAAAGCCTCAAACTCGGAAGATACGGTTTAAAGAAAAACCATGGGGTATCAGACAGAAACCGTGTATCCTTGACGTTTGAAATTGCATCCCTCTGAGTTTCAACCTAAGCCATCTTCCTCCTCCATATTTTCAAGGGCATAGGACCAGGACTCAGATTGGTAGTTTCTCGAATGGGAGGATTCCAATTGGGTGATGGCAAAGCAAACTCAAAGCGATGAACCAAAGAAGCAAGTAGAACAGTCTGCTCAAGATAACTGATATTGCGACCGATACACCCCCTCGCTCCAGTACTGAATGGAACAAAGTACGGCTGCAATGCCTTGCCTTTATCTCCCAGCCAGCGTTCAGGCTTATAGGTGTCATGGTCATAGAAGACAGACTCTTGGTGATGAACAACATAGGCTGAAATGCTGACAGAAGTGTCACCGGCAATATAATCATCGAGAATTGGAGCTCCTTGTACAGGTGTCCGGCGAGGAAGTCCGAAGATCACAGGCGGGAGCATGCGCAAGCTCTCATCTATACATGCTCGAAGATATGGCAAGTTTTTGACCTTAGCATATGGCACGACGACTTCATCCTCTTCTATGCCATCGTCGAGTTCTTCCCGAAGCTTCTTCATGCATTCTGAGTTCTTCAGGAGGAAAAACAAAGTATTGCGGAGTGAAATTGCTGTCGTGTCATGGCCAGCATTCATCATGATACTGACCTCGGCGACAATCTCGCCCCATTCCATATTATGAGGTGACCCATTTTTGTCTTGCATCATAGCACCAAAGAAGTCATCTAGCACCTCGCCTGCCAGGTATCGTTTCAGACGGGTGGTCGCACGGTTGTAGATGATGCCGTTCCAATCTCCATCCATTCTCCACATTTGATCATACTTTGATGAGACTATTTTACTCACTCGTGAGAATGTCTTGAACCAGTCATAGGCCCAGACTAGCTGATATGACACCCGACTTGCAGCAGCATGACATTCTCGGAACGAGACCTCTTTAATCGTCCCATCTTTCTTCTCGGACTTCACATTGTCGGATCCCTCATCCAAAAATCCAAGGTCCTCGCTCAACCCAATGCTCGTAATCGCTGCGGCAGTGAACAGGACAGTCCAGTTCCGGTAGTCGACAGTGAGGTGTTCTTTTTGAGGGAGTTGATTTGGAGGCAGGGGATCGGTACACCGGTGATCAAATGCTTTGATAAGTTTGCCGGTCACCTCTGCCACTTTAAACTCCCAATGCTCGAGATTCTTGAGCGCATAGGCGCTGGACAAGATCTTCCTCTTTCGGGCATGATCTTGCTTGTCGACGACATCGGCAAGATGCGAGTGAGAACCTGAGGTCTCAGAGTAAAATCGGTCCTTGATACAACCAGTACCATGACCATAGATATTTTTGATGGCTTGTGGGTCGGAGTAAGACAGTGCATTGGGTCCGATTCGTAGCACGGGATGCCTTTTATGAGCTTCGAAGAGTCCCCGAGAGCGAAATCCTTTTTGGGCTTCGTAGAGAAAGGGGAGATCAGATACCCCGGAGAGGAAGTAGGCATTTGGGAACTTTCTTAGTTTCTTGGGATCATACCAGTATGTGATCACCGGTACTACCAGGTAGTACGCCAGCGCGAATAGTGTGAGTGCGCCTAATATGATGACATACATTGCACGAAAGAAATACTGAATCCGAGTTGGACCCCATTCTCATGGATTTGGCCTCTTGATATAGAGCTCGACATGATTTAGGTGAAAAAGAAAGGTGGTTTATGTTTGGACGAACATGGACATGTACTGGCGAAGATTTGACACATCGGGTTAGTGTCGGCGAAGTCGTCCTAATTAGGAAATGATCTATAGACTTGAAAAGTCGAGATTTGGAGGTTGTTCAATCCCGCGTTCGAAAGAGGAGATTTAGCCCGAGTAACAGAATAATACAGAGGGAAGATTGGCTAAATCGTTTCTTCCAGACGCAACCCCCAGATGTCATCATGCGGGGTGAGTTGTACGAGGACCAAGACTCGTACAAGACACAAGGCGACGGCGGATTGGGCGCATCAGGGTCTTAGCTATGACACTAAATGGATATTCTGATCATGATCATGTGCAAAGTGTCGGATCTTAATTTGAGGAAGTTTACTTTGACATGCAAGGTCTATTTGGGAAGTCATCTTGAACTAGGTAACGTCTACATGTGGTTGACTGATGCAAGCCATTTTAGCTGCCATGAACTTGAATCATCCTGGTTCTTTCATCTGATGTCAGTCATATGTCAGAGCTCTCATTTTGTATCGTCTGTTTGTCAAATTTGCACGGGGAAAGTAACAAAAGCACGCCTTTCCAGGTCCTGTCCTTGTCAGAAGACAACCCAACCATGAGTGGTAAAGTAGCCTTACTGATTTATATTCACGATGCCAACAATACCGTTGTGATATGAATTCCTCTGGTTGTTGGCAAGGGTCAATAGATTTGAATCATGGCAATAATACTTGTGCAAAGTATAGCACCTCATGAAGTTGTCCCCTACATTTGAATTTGTGCTAGATCTCAGTTGATCGCAGTCGAGCAAGCAGATGCCCAAGCGTGGCTCAGGCAAGTCCCAACTTGCTGTAGCCCGAGACCTCGTATTTGCCTGCGCCATGCCAAGCCTCTCTGGATATGAAGCTTATTTCTTGAGTCCTTGGACGTTGATTGGTCTATTCTTACTACGCCTTTCCTATTCAAGTAACTCGTTTTCGCTTCTTCGGGGCGCGAAGCATGAGACACTTTCATCTCGAGATGAGGCTGTATTTATACCTTCTTGTAACCCGTCCGTCACTTTGCGGCTACATTGGTTCAACAGATCAAGTTCCCAGTGTCTGTCTGCAGAAATCCACTTATTATTTTGGATTGTTTATCTATGTCGCTTTTTGCTTGTCTTTATACAGTATACTAAGTCCAAATAACACCAGACTATTATCCACCATGATCGAGGCAAGGTCATCTTATCGTGAGTTTTCTGTCGAAGAAAAGTGACCGACGGTTGATTCTATGACTGACAAATCCAGAGGAGGGAAGTTTGTGGTTCTACGCGCCAAACAAAGGAGCTGCAATCGCATTTGCAATTCTCTTTGCTATCTCCGGAGCTGTTCATGGATACCAATGCTAGTAAGCTATATAGTCTTCAATCATACTAGAGCACCGGACTAATCTCGGTTTATAGCAAATACAAGTCCTGGAAAGTCACCGGACTTCTTCCTTGGTCTGCCCTTCTCTTCACTGCTGGCTTCATAATGCGCACACTTGGCGCCTTTGGTCAGTGGGGGAACGTTGGAATCTTTATCGCGAGTACAGTGCTACTTCTGGCTGGACCGTAAGAGACTTTTTTCCCGAGATGCAATGTAGGCGTCGCTGACACAGACCCTTCGACTAATCTAGTCCCGTATATGAAGGTGCAAACTTCTTCATCTTGGGCCGCATGCTATACTATATCCCATACCACTCACCCATTCATCCGGGTCGAGTGTTTACGACATTTGTCGCCTTGGGAGTTGCGATCGAGAGCATTACCGCCAACGGAGCTGCCCGAGTTGCCAGTGCAGATGCCTCAGAGAGCTCACAGAATACTGGAAAAGCATTGCTGAAAGCAGCACTTATCATGCAAATTGCTTTGATGGCTGGATTTGTCGCTTTAGCCGGGAGATTCCACTATAATTGCTCCAGAGGTGGAGTGTTGAACGACAAAATCAAACGGACTCTGATAGTGCTGTATTGCAGCTGCACTCTCATCACGATTCGCACGATCTACCGCACAGTCGAGTACTTTACCGCAGCGAGTTTGAATGCTTATTCGGATATCGAGCATGTCAGTCCAGTTCTCAAGCAAGAGTGGTTCTTTTGGTTCTTTGAAGCCGTGTTCATGTATAGCAACACCACTCTTCTGAACGTGTTCCATCCCATGCAATCACTTCCACGCTCTAACAATATATATCTTGCCGAGGATGGGATCACTGAGATTGAAGGACCCGGATATGAGGATTCTCGCCATTGGCTTCAGACGGTTGTGGATCCATTCGATATCTATGGGCTGATCACAAAGCGAGGCAAGAAAGAGAAGTATTGGAAACAGAATCCAGCATCACAGCCTGCAAAGTCTGTGGTTGCAAGCCCGAATGTTTGAGTTTATACGTGTTTGTCATATTTTGTGTATCTCAACTCTCTTCTATTAAACTAGTTCCATTTATAACCCCCATATACTCCATAGAATGTTCACTTTTGGAAATACAATATGTATCAGAAACGCATAAATCACCAATCATCCTCATCTTTGCCCATCTGCTCCTGAATCTCCCAACTATACCGAGCGAACTTACTGGCCTGCCGGATCCGCTCCCCGTAATAGAAAAACACAGGTGGAACTATACAAAAGACCGTAGCCACACTTGCAAGCACAGTCATGGCAATATTATTGCCTAGTCCACTAAACATCTGCTTAGTGAAAAGTGGAACAACACCAGACACCAGCGCGCGCATGAAGGCAATCGCAGCGGAGGCACTTGCCGAGTAGCTCAAGTAACTATCTGAGATGTAGCCATACAGCGCTGTATCCAGCTCCGTGAGTCCATATCCCACTATAACAAGGGAAAGTGCAGGCACTATCCATGAGGTATGTGCATCTTGTGGGATAGTCCAGGCGAACCACCATAAGCCAATAGCGAGAAATGGAGAACCGATAATCAGTCCAGCGAGCTTGTGCTCGGGCTTGATTTGACGTCCTTGGCGACGGAGAGAGTTCAAGATAAAAGAGTCCAGGAATCGAGTGAAAGTGCTGAGCATGGTTCCGAGGCCAATTGTTATGAAAACTAGAGAGGCGTGGGTCTCGCTGAATCCCATGGCCTGGAATATCGGTTGAAGGGATTCCGTGAAGATGTAGATGAGTGACATGACCACGGAAATCATCATTGAAACGGTGAATATGATGGGTTCTTGGAAAAATAGCTGAGCAGGACGCATGAGAGAGTCCTTCAAAAAATTGTTCAGGCTTGGGATATGATCATGATTGAGAGGCGGCGGGATTGATTGTATGTCTGTGATGGTGCGCAAGTATTTTACCTCGCGGGCCAGCAGCAAGGAAGGTCGAGATTCGCGGATAAGACAAAGACCACCAGTGAGGGTAGCTATAATAATAGCAAAAACGTAGAAGTTCCATCGCCTAATGACTTGGTTAGATTGGGATATAATGCGCTCCAGTTGAGACGTAAATACCAATTGAGACCTGCAATGATGTAGCTACTCATTATTGGTCCCATGATCAGACCAATGTTAGATGCAATGGTCCAATAGAACATGGCCCATATCCGAGCATGTGAGTTGAACACATCTTCGATGGTACCGCCGATGATAGTATACGGGATTGCGGAAAGCGATCCAGCCACAATCCGCATAATAATGATAACTGGGAGTGGATGTGCCAGACCGATGATCATGCAGCAAATGGCGCTGAGACCGCTACTATAGATGTACATCTGTTTGCGCCCAAATGTCTCTGACCATGGAGGAAATACAACTGTGCCAAGCACCTGGCCAAGGAGAAATCTGTTTCGTGTTAGCTTAGCTGATAGATCAACATCGCGCGAATGATATTCTTACAGTGTCACGAATATAAAAGTTGCAAGCGTTTCATTCAAGTTATACTCATCCTTGGCGTTCGTTGCTGCAGCCGACTGGTAGTTGTCTGTTAGCACCAAAATCCAAAGAGAGAGAAAGCAGCATATCTGTTTTTCACTCACACCTGCAGTGCTAGATGCTGTTCTGTAAACATTGTTAGCTGTTAGAAGCTTCTATGGCCTTGGAGCTCACCATACATAAACAGATCCAACAAACACACAAGAATAATGTCATAGGCTTTCCGGAAGCCAGACCAATTCCGCGGATGTCGGGGGTGATCGCGCATCCATCGTACATATTTACCGTCTGGGGTAAGCTCTAGAGAATGCTGGTAAAGAAATCCTTGAATAGAAGGCTTAGGCTCATCCGACGACGTGGATTCCGGGGAAATAGCATGCATAATGGGAAACCGTCAGGAATCTCATAGGAGAGGGAGAGATTGTTGGCTTGATATAGAGAATATGTCATGAGCCCGAATTATCTCACGTTGGACACTTTATCTGGGGTGGGATTTCTGCTTTTATCATGTTACGCCAATGTTCCTAGTCGGACATTATTATGGAAACCTTACCCTTTGGAATGCCCCCTTGCAACTTGTGGAGTTGTTCGATGCCAGCTCCTTATTAGTACGCGTCAGTCGCCTGGAAAGGTGTCGGGGATTATTCGCTTGTGATCTGCCGATCGCTTGCTGTAGCTACTGAAAGATGGTACTATTGAGGAACTTTTATGCTTGTTGGCCTGGTGTGTTCTTGCTCAGATCTACCTCTTGGGCCCTGCATATTTTGTACTAAGTTGGCGTCTATCTTGCCAAGACAAAGCTACTTATTTGAGCCCACCGGACCCTGTCTAATGACCTCAGTTGACAGGGATAGCTAGCTTGAGCATTCCTTAAGGTGTTCAAGCTAGTTCCCCGTGCCCCTCCGAATGAACTTTTTCATAGAAAATGGAACTTGATCTGGATAAGAAATGATCAACCAATGATGTCAGTTTCTTTTTTCTAGCTGCAACAATCTGTAAGTGATCCACAGGGAAACTGCTATAATGGATGCGTTGAGCACTAACTACTAGTACAAGCCGAACAACCAAGCATACCCGCACCCGAGCCAAAGTGCCCTTTCGATGAACTCATGCATCGATCGACAATTATTGTTTTCCGCTATTGTAATGCAGCTCTAGAGTACCTTGAGCTGTGAGAAAAGTAAAAGGGGTCACACATTCTGCGCCAATGTGAAACAGACCAGTCATTTTATCTTATATGACAGTGTGGTTAGGCTCCGGTGCGAAACATGCCGATTTATTAGATAGTCCCTCAATTTCCGCAGGGCAACCACATATGTTGTGATTTAACGTTACAGTATTTCAAGGTAAGAGATTTCATCATCTCATCACATAAACTTGTCTCGCGGCTTAGCGGATGATCTACATCGATCCGTTTTATATAGGAATCGATCGGCTCATCATGGGCTTTGGACAAGACATGACGACTTTGTGGCCACAGCCAGTCTCTATCTGGGCAATTCAACTTTCAAATTATCATTAGATTTGTGATTCGCTGGAATCCATCAATTGAGTGTTCAGATATACTGTAGACATTTACAAGCCCTTCACAATATCAAAACAGTGGAACACGCAACAATCATATAAACAAGCATTTTGGTCCTGCTTTTGTGTAGTGTAAGCAATAGAAATCATAATTTTAAGCAACCTTATCCCCACACTCATACTACTTGAGTAGATAGAATGCGACCAATGCAAGCACTAATGGTGTAGTTTCATCTGTCTAATTTGTGAGAGATCTCACATACTACAATACTGGGCTATTGAATAGGACCATGTTTCTCGTCCAGATTCCTATCCTGATCCATGGCTCATACTTGAGTCATGAAACTTGCATTTGACAGCGGCATTGTATACAAGGGCGGAAAGCGGAGATCTGCAACGCCAAGCCGATCTCAGTCAGGACACCTCTCCGCATCAAAACACAGCTCGACCAGCACAGCTTGACCAGCACAGCTGGCCATCAATAAGTATGACCCGATCTTTTTCTATCTGACACCCCTGTGGGATCTTCCATGGAAAATACTAATCGACAATAGCTTATCGAACGGCTTTACCCACCACATCTTCGACCACGAACCGCCCGTCATGCTATCTTCCCTCTCCTCCACCATGGCAAACGCCCGACACTCAATTGCACAAGCCTTGAACTTTGCGCTAGTGCTATCTACAGCCTTTATGCTATGGAAGGGCCTATCTGTCGCCTCTGCGTCTAGCTCACCAATCGTCGTCGTGTTGTCTGGATCAATGGAACCGGCCTTCCAGCGTGGTGACCTACTGTTCTTGTGGAACCGAAGCCCTCGCGCGGAGATTGGAGAGGTTGTTGTCTATAATGTCCGGGGCAAGGACATCCCCATTGTTCACCGCGTGGTGCGGACATTCCCCGAGGTCGAAGGACGCGTGAATGCCAGGAAGGTGAAGGAAATCACAGTGTACGCCCATCCGATACCCTTGAATATCATATACGGAGGTTCTTTGAGCTAATGTCAACTTCTAGGGACACGGCACCCGATACTCACATGCTCCTTACCAAGGTAGGCAAACGCGACCCGTTTGACTTGCTACATCAGCTAACAATCCACACCCAGGGTGACAACAACCTTGCCGACGATGTCGAACTTTACGCCCAGGACCAAGATCACCTCAACCGCCAGGAAGATATTGTGGGCAGTGTGCGTGGATATATTCCCATGGTGTAAGTGATTCTCCTGGACCTATCTTGAGGATATACGACTAACAGAGAGGAACAGAGGATATGTAACCATTATGCTATCTGAACACCCTTGGCTCAAGACGGTCATGCTTGGATTAATGGGCCTAATGGTCATGCTTCAGCGAGAGTGATGGATTCCAGAAAATACAAAATGCGCAGATAGATTGGAAACTCCAGCAAAACTACTCCAGATTCGGACCTAGGCATCGTAGGGTATCCTTACAAGGTAGTCCTCACATATAAATGACTGAGCGCTGCTAAACTTGTTGATTGCCTATCGGGGACTGACGTCTTTGCCTCCCCACTCAGAGCTTCTAGCTCGGAACCGAAGCCAATGGCCACTTGAATCACAGCCTTATCCTAGTCGTTCTGTTCATATCCTGTTTGATCTTAGCCTTGAACTTTCGAGTGGCATTGACGCGTTGATTTGCGATTTCCCTCACCTCCCCGCACCCACACCCCGCCAGATTCCACATTTGACATTAAAATGGGCAGCCAGAAGCGCATAGCCAAGGTATGGGCCTGGGATGGACCCCTGGATATCGATATTTGCCAGCCGTCTAACTCTTACTGTCAACCACAGGAGCTAGCCGAGCTCACCGAATCCCCTCCCGCGGGGATCACGGTCAAGCTCGCCGACGAAGCCAACCTGTACGAGTGGATGGTCCACATGGAAGGCCCGGAGAAATCGCCCTTCTGCGTATGTCAACCTCGAATTCTAGCTTCCAAAAAACACTATCCGTCAAGACACGTTCCCTGTCCACAACCAGTCTCTTGAGGAAGGGGGTGCCCCGCGAGCGTCCAGTTCCAACCATGCCAGCAATTTCGCTAACCCCTGATTCGGACAACACAGAATGGAAAGTTCCTAGTCAAGCTCTCCCTGCCGATCGAGTACCCCTTCAAGCCACCAACCGTCTCCTTCGCCACGAAAATTTACCACCCAAACGTGACAAACGATGACAAGGGGAGCATGTGCCTTGGCATGCTACGGGCAGATGAGTGGAAACCCAGCTCCAAGATCTCAGCTGTTCTCCAGTTCGCTCGACAGCTACTGGCTGAACCTATGCCTGATGATGCCATCGAGGCGAGGATCGCTGAGCAATACAAAGTCGACCGGGCGGGCTATGAAGAGGTTGCGCGCGAATGGACTCGGAAGCATGCTTGCTAGTACAAGGGTGCTTTGATCGCCCGCACATTGAGCTGCGGCGCTCCTTAGTTGGACGCGGAATTATGTATGCATGTCGGAATCCTGTCTTGGTCGCTACACGCTGCACCGCGGGACGGGTCAAGTATGGTATTTATGCCATGGCTTACGAATTACACGCTGTCATTTTATTATTGCACTTTCAAAGCGAAACATTCATTTGAGATTTTTTTTTCTTGGGGTAGCTTGGCTGTAGAGCGATATGTATCTTGTGGAAGTGGCATGGGATATTGGGATAGTCTCCGCGCCTCCGCGCGGGTTGATTCCGGGAGAAAAGACGCATTTCGTGATGTCTGAGCGGCTAATGGCATAGATAAGATATTAAATACCTAGAATAGGGTGTCGAGAACTCACTCAGGGTTCTGTACCTTTCTTTCTAGACCCCGGACACAAACGATTTACCCAACTTCCTTGCTCGTGAATACCATCACCTATTACCAATTCCCCCAAATAGACGCGAACAGAAAATCCAGTCAGGGCGGAATGATCCGTTCATACTTCCCCGCATTTACCCCAGAGTGCTTTGGGGGTGCTCAACCCTCGGGACCAGAGGCAGTATAAGAGCAAAGCACAATGCCTCTTGTTAGATACGAGAGACTCCACTTCAATCATGGCCGTGATATCAGACACGTTGACCTTCCTAGTGCAGCACCTTCCAGTCATCCTTTTTCTGGCTGTTATACTTCACTTAACAAGGAACTATCTCACACCCGGAGCATCTTCTATCCCGGGACCATTCTTGGCCAAATTCTCTAATATCTGGAGATTCATCAATGTTGCCAAAGGACACGCAGAAGTAACACTCTATAAACTGCATCAGGAACATGGGGATTATGTCCGACTGGGTCCGAATGTGATCAGCGTGCGGAATTTGGATGCTTTGAAGATGATTTATGGTATTAATAAAGGTTACCAAAAGGTATGTGAATACTGCTCAGAATCGTTCATCAAGGTATTCTTGAATGTTGGTTCCTCTGCTGACTTCATCTTCAGACAGATTTCTATTGCGTTCAACAACAACTAGCAAAGGGAAGACCGACGCCTACGCTCTTTACTACAACGGATGAAGAGTTTCATGCTGCTATCAAACGGCCTATCTCCTCGGCTTATTCTATGAGTACGCTCACTGAATTTGAACCGTTTGTTGATAAGACCATATCAACGTTGTTTAAGAAGTTGGATGGGTTTGTGGAATCGGGCAGTGTTTGTGATATCGCTGCTTGGTTGCAGTATTGTAGGTTTTTTGTTTTGGGCCAAAACTCAGAGGCTTGTGATCAACTAACTCAATGGTTATAGATGCATTTGATGTCATTGGCGAGTTGACTTTCAGTAAGCCGCTTGGCTTTCTTGACAAGGGGGGAGATGTGGATGGGATTATTGTCGCTTTGGAACATATGCTTGATTATTCCGGCAAGGTAACCAGAATCGTTTAACAGATATCAGACAAGAGCTAACAAAGGCCCAATAATCTAGATCGGTCAGATTCCATGGCTTGACTATCTTTTTATCAAAAATCCCTTGAAGAACCTCTTCGGGCGAGGCTCGACAGGGGCAGTGGCTCGTTTTGCACGCGCACGACTCGATGAAAGGCTTCAGATGAGAGGTCCATCTTCATCTCCACACAAAGACTTCCTTGCCCGCTTCCTAGAAGCAAAAGCCGAATATCCAAACATAGTCAACGACAACCAAGTCTTCTCGTACACCGTCAGCAATATGAACGCAGGCTCAGACACAACAGCCATCTCCCTACGCGCAATCCTCTACTATACTCTCAAGAACCCCGAAGTATACAAGAATCTAAACGAAGAACTCACCAACGCCTTCACAGAAAAGAGAATCTCGTTGCCCGTTTCATGGAAACAAAGCCAAGAACAACTCCCTTACCTAGATGCAGTCATCAAAGAAGCTCTTCGTTTACATCCCGCCGTGGGACTAATGCTTGAACGGATTGTTCCAGCTAATGGTCTTCAACTTCCTGATGGGGGTCCGTTCTTACCTGCTGGAACGATTGTTGGGGCTAATCCATGGATTGTACATCGGCACCAAGTCTTCGGGGATGATGTGGAGGCATTTATTCCCCAGCGGTGGCTGAAAATGGAGGGCGAGACGGAGGAGGTATTTCACGGCAGGAGACAGAGAATGCTGCGAGCGACCTTTACGTTTGGAGCAGGGCCCAGGACTTGCATTGGGAAAAATGTTAGCTTGTTAGAGATTTACAAGCTGATCCCGTCTCTTCTTTTGAGTTATACGGTGAGCGGACCCTTCCTATATGAATCTATATGAAATATGTGAGTTGTCTAACTGGATTTTAGATTAAGTTGAAGAATCCCGATGCTGATTGGGAGACTTTTAATGCATGGTTTGTGAGGCAAAAGAATATGGATGTGAGATTGGGCCGCACGGCCAGGTGAAATTGGCGAGGTCACATCGTCCACGGGCATCGGAGATATACATCACTTTGTCGCTTAACGGATCAGTGCATTGCACACGTAAATTCCTGTACATCTCACGAGCACATCATTTGAAAACTCTCGAAAATTATGTATTGTGATGGAAATGTAGACATGTGCTGGTCATCGCCAACTACTTCCGGCCCAATGCCTATCTTGCATATAAATGACACGCTAATTAATAGCAAAGTAAGGCCAAATTGTCATGCCTTGATTTCTTTGTTAGAATTGACAGGCAATAAGGTACCATTTCCCCGGAAAGCCCATGTCCCATTTTTCCCCCACAATCTGGAGAATTTCTCGAAAGCATTCGTCAATGCGGCCATCTTCGGCTCAACATATTTTGTCCACTGTTGAACAACATAGAGCAAGAATACAAAGAATATAACCAGAATCACAGCCAGTCGGAATGGGCTCGGAGTAGGAATATAGGACTCCGGATTAACGGTACCATCTGATAGCAAACTTGGCTTGAAGCCGATTGACATGGGCAAGTAGACAAGATAGACCAACACAGAGCGCATGAGAGGCCCGTGTATCAGATAGAGCGGGAAACTGATTGATCCAAGCCATAAAAGACTCGGGTGGGAGAGTATCCGTCGTAAGAAGGGCGACAGCATCACGCCGAGGCAGATCATCTGTGCTCCTAGACTGGCATAGTATCTGCTAACATTGGCATCTTTCGGAAAGATGGTCTGGGCTAGGGATGCGAGCTGAGAAGACCATTCCGTTTGGTTTGAGTACTCATCGGGATAGGAGCAGATGTATAAGCCTAGTGTGACGAGTCCATAGGGAAGGGCTCTAAACAACAGGCGGGGCTGAAGAGCAGACAGGTTGTAAAATGACATTTCGGCCATTATCATTCCAGCGAAGATGTTGGTACCGACAGCCCCTGTACATTATTTGTCAGCATTGAATATTGATTGGGAATAATGCGACATTTACCATCAAGCGTGATCCAAGCATAGGCGTAGAGAACCATTTGGGCGCAAATGCGAAACAGTGGCGTGGTATTCACCAAGGCCAGCATTGTCATGAAGACATATAACGAGCCACGGAAAAGATGTTTCAACGCCCATTGTGGTTGATCGTAGGCATTCTCCCCATAGAACCAAGTGCCAGTGACTTCTCGAACTAGATCAACGACGGCCGTGAGCAAAGAAGAGCTTGGTTTCGGACTTGTTGCCCGCAACCAGTATGCATCTACCTGGCGAGCCAATTGGAACACCCCAAACTGACACAAGAGCCAAGCAAGAAATGTCATAAGGGCTGCGGGGAAGACAAGCCTCCCCTTGCGCCGAAAGGCACCAGTCGATAGGGCGCTGAGGGCATCGGAAGTAGCCCCACGGCGGGCTAGCTGGAGTGGCTTGAGGGCATTCACAAATCCCAGTAGTACCATAAATATGGCTACCCACGCCTGACCCTGAATCACCAATCGGAAAAATGGACGCTGGAATAGAATTGATGTTCCAGTTTCCGAGAAAGATGGCGGAATCAAATACGTCGCAAAGGAAAGACAGACATGGCTTGCAACTACGAATAGAGCGGCGATTCCCCGAAGGCCCTATTAAGAGAGAGAGGAAGTTAGTAGCCGCTGACTGCAGGGGACAAGGAATAATACAGTACTTACATCGGCCCAGCTACTGGGACGAATGTGCGCTGCAGATCTGGTCGCCGGGTCGACAATGGCCATGTTGGGCAACTGGGCTCATTGGTACAGGTCAATAATGAACTGCAGCAGCTGCAGCTGGCACACCTCGACCCATAAGTACTAAGCATTGGAGATATCCGGAAACCGTCTGAACGATGCAAACGTACGGGGGAAAAAGTGATAGAAATGATATTCCCCATGATTAAGTTCAGCGGTGCGGAATGGCTGACATGATATGTCCGATCCGGGAGGCCGAAAACGAACATTCCATACTTTCTTTTTGGATCTTCTGATATTCTGATCTTCTGATATGATATGAGACTTCTAGTTGGTTCAATTTAAAGTCTGGAAACAGCGGGATCGTCGACGGTTAGACTGGAGCCCAACGGGGGGAGATTTTCTAGAAACCTTTCAGGGGCTTTACAGTACTGTACAGTAGATCGCAGATCGCCGTGTAGCCGTGGTTCGCTATAGATGTGATCTATCGATTGTCAGCGCTTATGTTAGAAGTCGAGATCCTTTTATCTGTACTGTAGACTCGTATATGTCTATATAGCAAGTTATCTCATCATCTACAGACCTGATAGTCATTACTTAAATATCCCTCTTCACTCCCATCTGCTGAACCCCTTGGATTATTACGTCACATGACACTAGACCCAATCAGGGCGTGTTGATTTTGTCTCAACTTCACCCTTCTTTTCTTTTTTCCCATAGTCCTCTGGCAGGCTGTCTTCTCCCTCCCCCTCCGGAATTCGCCAATTACGCTCCCTCGTTACATTCCTATTCGCTCGTTTCGACTCTTTGTGAGCTCTCTTTCGTTACATTCTCACCCGGAGTACGCGCCGGCTCTATCTCCTTCTGCCAACGTTTCGATTTCCAAATAGCCGCCCATGGTCTTGGACCACTCTTTCGCAGATTCCTCTTCAGTCACGATAATCAATGTCCAGCGGGCTCTGGGTGCTAAGTCGTGGCCATGGTCACAGAAAACGCAAACTCTCGATATCCGCCTCCGGCTGAATTTGATCTGCCCGGCCGGCGCAGAGTACCCCTTCCACCGCGGTTGGATTCTTTAACGATTGATCCGCGCGCGCGACCTTCAAAATCAACCCCAAGAGGGTCGACTCGCTCTCCCCACTCTCCACATCGTCCTCCGTATCATACACCGGACCCACGTTCGCGTTCTCCTCTCCCACGGTTACGCCTTCCGAATCATGAGAACCAATGGCCGCCGACTTCACCAAGTTTAGGCGCCCCGCCGGGTAGAGACGAATGGAAAACTCCCCGATCTACAGCTCGCCCTGCTGTCCATGCTACACCCGAGACCCATCCTCCGAACTGGACCTCTCGAGACGGCGAATTTGACCGACCTAATTACCGTAATGCTCCGCCGAGTCGAGGTGGACTCCGCATATCTATGTCAACGTCCCGAGCGAACACGCGTAGACCGCGGACGCAGGAATCTATGGAGCGTCGCCCACAGGAACTTGGGCCTCAAGACTTGCCTCGTCCACGATTCCCGATTAATGGGCCTGCTGATGAAAACGCAGCCCGTTCAAGCATTACATCAGGCGAAACATCGCGCTCCAGTACTGAGCAGGCTAGCGGAACAGAACGCAGCAGTGTCTTGACCAAGAGCAGCTCTTTTACAGATCTGTCGCCGGACACCCCGGACGCGCCTTATGGGATCGATAGTGGAATGAGTGTTGAAGACGCGATCTCTATGTATCTCGATGGCTTCAGCGATGTGACCGAAGAGCCCCCCTCACCAAAATCTCATACGGAAAGTAAAGCGCCATCAATAACGCCCCCTCCGTCACGCGATGCACCACTGGATGATGTGTCACCAAGCTTTACACAGTTGGACGAAATCCCAATGGTGTCCCCATTGCCCGAATCAACACCCAGAGCCACAGACCTCGAGCCCGTGTTGCAAGATTTGACTTTCTTGCCCAACTTGACATACTCGGAACCGACACCCTTACAACCTGTTCTTCCAGAATCCCCACCTGACTTCACGCCTCTTGAACCTGCGCTACTGGAATTCCCGGAACCCACGTCATTGGGCCCCATCACACCAGAGTCTCCGACATCAGATCTAACTCAGCCTGAATCTCCGGTACCTGAAGCTCCGCCTGCACATCAACGACAGCCCTCGAAGGTGTTTATCCCAGGATTAGTACCTCCTCGGTTCTTGCCTGGGATTGGCCCTCGGGACGAATATGGGTTCCGGAAAGCAACCCAATACGTGACCTTAAATGAGCATGAGGCCTGGAAAGGTACTTATTCAAGCCATGTGGAACATCGGAGATTAAAATGGATCGAGATGCTCAAGGAACACGGGCTGCCAACGGTAGAACCGATCAATTTCCCACCGCAGTCGTCCAAGGTGAAGCGATTTGTGCGCAAAGGCATTCCTCCAGAATACCGAGGTGCGGCTTGGTTCTTTTATGCCGGCGGGTACGAGCATCTGAACCAAAACATGGGCCATTACGATACACTTGTGGAGCGTGCGATGAATTCGCCGAGCAATGACGACAAGGAGCACATTGAGCGTGACCTTCATCGCACATTTCCCGACAATCTTCACTTCAAACCGGAGATGCCCGAACAAACGGAGAACTCTGGGAGCAGTAACCCCATTTACTCTAATGTCACCACAGAGACACAAATGATCCAGTCCCTGCGCCGAGTGCTGTATGCCTTCTCGTTGCATAATTCCAAAATCGGATACACTCAGTCTCTTAATTTCATCACCGGTATGCTCCTTCTGTTCCTGCCCGAAGAAAAAGCATTCTGGATGCTACATATCATCGCTTCGGATTACTTGCCTGGAACCCACGAGATTAGTCTGGAAGGTGCGAACATTGACCTCTGGATTCTCATGGTACTGCTTCGGGATACAATGCCGGGAATATACTCGAAGATCGCTGCAATGGGAGGTACCCCGTCAGGACGGGGCAAGATGCCTCCTTTGACAGTCAACTCTCGGCTGCCAGATATCACCCTTGGACTGACCAACTGGCTTATGTCAGTCTTCATCGGGACATTGCCCCTGGAAACTACACTCCGGGTCTGGGACGTGTTCTTCTACGAGGGGTCGAAGACCTTTTTCCGTGTCTCGTTGGCCATCTTTAAAGCCTGTGAACGTGACATTTTGAGCGTGACAGACCCCATGGAGGCATTCCAGGTCGTTCAGACCGTCCCCAAGAAACTGCTGGATGCCAACGCGCTCATGGATGAATGCTTTATTCGTCGACACCGAGTTGGCCAAGGTCGCATTGAAGAGCTCCGCGCTCAACGCCGGGTTGCTGTCCGCGAAGAGAAGCTGCGACGGTCGGTCGCCTTCGCCAAAGGCCATCTGCATCCCGCGACAGACGACTTCGCAGGGCGAGCACGTACTCCAACCCCAGGCATTGAACACCGAGTCGTAGGTTCCTGGCGGCACTTGAAACAACACACATTCCGTTGAGTGGACCCTTGCTCACTCGGTCCATCTCACTAATTTTCTTTTTGTAATTATAATCATGGGCTAAGCGTGGCCCATCTGGAGTTGCATTTTCGGTGCTTCGAGGCGAACATTTGGAAGGGAAAGGGGTTTTTTATTCGAAAGGCCTACAAGATTTTTGTACATAAAAAAGTTAAAGAAACAAAGATTGCCAAGCAGGCAACCCAGTTGGCAACTTGGCAGCTTGGCAAAGCTGAAAATTGAGGTTTCATTGGAACTATCGATCGCAAACCCTACAAGGCTGATCATTGGCGATCGCGGTTCGTTGCTCCCAAGAGCATCCATGAGATGTCGTCATGATTAAAACCTGCCCCTTGCTTCCCCAACTTTTCTTTTTGCGCACTGTGATCTTCATTTTCCTCTTCTTGGTGATTATCTACAGCTTGCAGACATGAGTGGACAGGCTGCTAGCTATTACAACACCGGTGAGGGCGTCGGCCAGCAGGGCCAGCCCCAACCGGGATACAACTACAATGGACAGGAAAATGGCAATTACCAGCAGCCCCAGTACCAGCAGCCTGCGGGCTACCAGCAACCAGGCTATCAACAGCCTGCAGCTGAGCCTAAACCTCCCCCGCAGTACCAGCAAAATATGCCGCAGTCGGGATACAACTTTGATGACGCATTTAAGATCGAGAAGCCCAAATGGAACGATCTGTGGGCTGGTCTCTTGGTATGTTGGTTGCGATCGCAGCTCTGAACTCTCATATAGACCCCAGAACTGACAATCTACTGTATAGCTGATCGCAGTTTTCCTGGGATACGCCGCTGTATCTGGAATTACAATCCACAAGTATGCGACCAACAAGGGCTTCAATGGAGGAGGCATCTACGGCTCGAGCAATGATTTCTCCCTAGATACCAACACACTCGTCCTCTTCGTCTTCGTGCTCGTCGTTGCCCTCGTCTTATCCTGGCTTTACTTCATGGGCGCGAGGTACTTTACCAAAACATTCATCTGGGCGACCGGCATTTTGAACATCGTTTTCGCTCTCGCAACCGGCATCTACTACATCGCGCGCAAGCAGTATGGAGGTGGAATCGTGTTCCTGCTCTTCGGCGTTTTCGCAATCATATGTTTCATCAGCTGGATCCCGCGCATCCCCTTTACGGCATTCATGTTGCAAACCGCCATGGACGTGGCGCGTGGATATGGTCACATTTTCCTCGTCAGTGCCTTGGGTGGCATTGTCACTGTCGCATTCTCAGCCTGGTTCTCTGTGACTCTTGTCTCGATCTATGTCGCCTACGAGCCCGACTCCTCCGGTACTAATCCTTCATGTGCCAATGGTGGGTGCAGCACAGCTAAGGTCATTGGTCTGGTTGTCTATGTGACTTTTGCCATGTACTGGCTCAGCGAGTGGATCAAGAATACCGTGCACACTACCATCGCTGGCGTGTATGGATCGTGGTACTTCTGGAGCAAGTCTGCCGGCGGTATGCCCAAGGGCTCGACCCGTGGCGCATTCCGACGTGCGACAACTTACTCGTTTGGCAGTATCAGTCTAGGAAGTCTGATCATTGCATTTGTCCAGATGCTGCGTCAGGCATGTTCAATTGCCCAGCGTCATGAAGCCCAACAAGGGAATCTTATTGGCAGTATTGCCATGTGGGTGTTGGGATGCTTCATTTCGCTCCTAGACTGGCTCGTTACGCTATTTAATCGATATGCCTTCTGTCATATTGCATTGTACGGCAAGCCCTACATCCCTGCCGCGAAGGATACCTGGAAAATGATGCGTGATCGGGGCATCGATGCCCTCGTGCAGGATTGCCTTATGGGCCCGGTGTTGACCATGGGCTCCACATTCGTCGCTTATGTCTGCGCTTTACTGGCTTATTTGTATCTGCAGTTCACCAAGCCCGCATACAACAATGATGGCGACTTCACTGCTGTCATCATGGCGTTTGCATTCTTGATTGGTTTGCAGATCTGTCAGGTCTTCATGACGCCGATTGGGAGTGGTGTCGAGACTATCTTTGTCGCTATGGGCTGGGATCCTCAGGTTATGATCAATGATCACCCTGAGATCTACTACAAGCTTGTTGAGCTTTACCCTCAGGTGCAGCAGGCGGTTCACGCATGAGGAGCGTATGAGAAAGACCCTTGTTGACGGATCAAAAGGACAACAATACGAACTTTATATGACGGTCACTGCTTATGTATGGACATGACCATGACCCGTGAGTACTTAATCAAAGTGTAATGTAATAAATGGACAATTGAACGAGAAACATCATGTTACGCATTTAATGCGTCCCTGGGTCAGAACTGATAATAGTTGTTGAACATCCAATTTCCCTATTGTGTTATGTATTGGACCGGTGAAAAAAGAAATTTTGTTCTCGAGCATGAGGGTTACTCTGCAGACGCACTCGTTCTTAGCTGGCTTACATTGCACCAAGTACTAGGCATATTTCATGTATCATTACAAGACAATCTGAGCAAATAAACTAATCCAAAGTTTACCAAAAAAGACTCCAATATAAACTCCCAAAAACCCTATCAATCCCAAACCCAAAAGAAGCCTAACCACATCCCAAAAGAAACATCATCCTTACAAGGCAGCCATAAGAGCCATAACGGCAGCAACACCAACAGCAGCAACACCACCGTGAACAGAAACACTCTTAGCACCGACACCCTGGAAAGAGTTGAAGCGGTTGGCATCAACACCAGAAGGTGAAGGCGAGGCCTGTGATCCAAAGACAGCCGACGAAGAAGCCGCGTTAACCATCATGCCGTGGGAATAAGAAGCAGAAGAAGGCACAGCGCCGGACGAAGCAGCCATCATGGCGCCCATGCTCGAGCTGGCAGGGACCTGGACGGGGATCTGCGAGATATGAGCCATGTGGGCGTTGGGGGCAGGCGTGGCCTTGCAGCTGCACTCGGTGCGGGTCTCGGTCACGTAGACGACACGGGGCATGGCTGGCTCGGCGGGCGCGTAGGCGCGCTTGCTGTTCATGTTCGTGTGGGCGTTGGGAGCCGCCACGCGCTCCATGGGTGCGCCTGCATGGCGGAAGGGAGTAGCCACGCGGCTGGAGGTGGCGGGGCAGAGGCTGTCAGTCAGTGTGCTGAGGTCGATGCCGGAGCATGCGTCTGTTGAGCTGCTCAGGCTGGCGAACTCGTCGCTGTTGCTGCAGGCGCACTCTTGCGCGGTCTTGCCGTCGCAGTCGGTGAATGAAGAGGTGTCGGCGTTGCCAATGGCGGATTCCTGAATTGTTCGTTAGGGTTTGGAGTACTGTGTTTGCTTTGTTGCGGATGTACTCACGACACAGGACATAATGTCACTGGCGGATTGGGCAGCTGCGGCGCCGATGAGAACTGAAGCGGTGATGAAGTGACGCATTTTGATGATGACTCTTGAATGTAAGGTTGAGATATGTCTGGGGATAGGATTACTAGCAGTCTAGTCTGGCTTGGGAGAATGGAGAAGGTGGATAGAACACACTATTCAGGACGGCGGCCTCGAGATATCGGTAACCCTTTAAATAGAATGAGGTTTCCATGGCCATGAGCACACACCGTAAACAATTACTTGTGAATGGCACCCCTTGATCCCTCAAAGGTGGGCGTGAATGAAGTGATGACGTTCAGGCATTCTCCTGGTGGATTGTACCCGATATAGGGTTGGTGTTTTTACTGGGAGGTCAAGCTTTGGTTGGCATTTTTCGACTGATTTTACAGGTTCATGCGCACACAGGTACCCTGTCGTTGTCTTGGAATGACACAAGAATGTGCCAGTTGCCATGACCCTGTCGCTCTTCCCTTGGTATCCCTAGTGACCCTTAAACTCCGGGGAATGTCGACCCAAGCGATAAAAATCTTGTTCCATTAGGTTTTATTCTGATCGTCGCTCTTCTGTTGTACAGTGGTATCAAGTTGGGTCTCCTTTGCATGAGCAGGAGACATGTATTGTTCTTATTATGGGGGCAGCTTAGGGCTGTCCCATCCCCGTGCATCGATCCACACGTGAAATTTTGTATAGTTGACACTGACTTTGACACGTTCACTTGGAGTCAACATATTTTTGTGCTAAAAATTAAACCAAGTCCCCTCTCGAATTGGACATCAAACAGCAATGGATCTTCGTGTGGCGATGGTGTAACTAAGCCAAGTCGGCGGGAATGATCAACAGGCACTCAAGGAGGCCGTTTATCCTTGAACCCTTCATTGAAAACCCGATCATGGTCAGCTAACAGCAAAGACAAAAAAAGAGTTCATCTTGCAGTTTATTATAATTCATAGATCTATCTCGGTTGCCCGGTATAGTATGCGAAGTAATGCAAAACTGCTAAAAAATAAGTGCCTCCTATCGGGATTGATCCGATGACCTCCGTATTACGAGTACGGCGCTCTACCACTGAGCTAAAGAGGCCACTTATTAGAAAACCCAAATCAGGAGAGAAATCATAATAGAATGTTTTATAACCCAAAACATAATTTTTACTCCTGGTCCATCTTTCTAGACGATCATAGAATTTGGTCATGGTAGGTTTCACTCGCACAGTTCGAAGATACCATTCATTGAGGCCCCAATGATCCGCAATTGCTTTGGAATCGAAGCTTTCTCGCGTTGCAATGGCAAATAAATTGAGACTGATCAAGGTGTTGAATGCAATGGGAGCATCTCCTGCAGCGACGCGGTAACGTCCATCTTGCCAAACATGATATGTCAAAAAGTCCGATGCTTTTTAGGCTCGTAGAATCAAAATAGAGGGTCCTATCTTATTCGGTACTGCTGCGTGTTCAAGAGGGAGTTGTACCGATACTCCGAGGTTAAGATATATATTTGGTTACGACCACATAGGTTACTCCAGAACGTAGCGAGAAAAACATTAAATTGGGTATAAGCACCGTCGTAAACCATCTCAACACTGTCAACATACCAAGGAAACCAAGCTATAAATCGTGAAAGCAACAATAATAACAAAACAAGAACATCTCAGTCCAGGCCCAGATCAAAACTTCTCACTGGTGACGCACCGCGTCGCATTAACTAACAACCAAGCCAAAATCTTGACAATAAGCGTCAACCCCTTGACAACAAGATCAAGACCAAAGAACAAAATCCCCAGGATACCGCGCGTAATCCCCGGTAATTTCTTGCCCTCGCGTGTCCCCCCTCCATACCTTCCATATTTTTCAAGATCAAACTCCTCAACAACAATTTGTTGATTCTTATCCTTCTTCTTGCCACGGCCACCAGCCTGCGATTTCGGCGCCGAAGAAGACTTCTTCCAGAATGCGAATAGCCCAGTTTGATCTGAAGCTTCCTTGGCCTTTTTCTGCGCAGAGTTGATCTGCGATGCTAGGAATATACTCTCGGCGGTGTCGTCACGCTCTGCGAGTGTCGTGACTAACTTGCCCTGGAAGACAGGCATGGAGTGCGATGCGACCGTGTGAGATGTAGTTGGTCGCGGTGGTTCGGGTGAGCCAAGGACCATATCTGCCAAGATAGGGTTCGTAGCTTCGTCTGAGACGGCGACTGCGAGAATTGCTGCGACGAGAGAGTCGATTGCATAGAGGGAGGGTATTGTGGCTTGCACAGCTGCTGGGGAGATGCGCAGTGTTCTTGTGCCAAAGTCTAGGGAGGCGAGTGGTTCATCCAGATCTGTTACTGGGAGTGTTGATGTTCTGGGATTTGCGGCTTGCTGTGCAGCTTCCATTGCCGTAGATGAGACTGGGCCGGTTACTATGATTGTTGGTGGCTGGTGCAGTGAGCTATCGCTTGATGGCGCAGAGACTGTTATATGAACCATTCCCGGGGACTGAGAGCGCACTGGAGATAGTGGAATACCAGCTGCACCGACCAGAGCTGATGGCTGGCGTCTCGACAGGCAAGGGTGTCTCAATTCGTAGAGGCGTTGATGGCGGTTCCAGGAGAGTCGGCATGACTCTTGCGCTGCGGCTCGTTTCAAAGCATCGGTTTCAACCTCAGATGCCTCAGATGGCCCCAAATGATGTTGCCTACTGACTTCTTCTGCTTGCTCAATGGCGAGCATGGCAGCTAGTCGTGAGAAAAGGAGAGTGACAAGACCATCGTTGGGATGTTCGCGGCGAATACGATCTTCCAGGCTCATCATCATGATGGGGACATCGTTGTTTGGTCTTGATGGGTCACTTCTGCTAAGGGAAATCTCGTCGGTGGAATATGTCTGCAGAGTATAGAACGGCTGCTGAGAGTTGCCAAGCATGAACGTAGCAGGTCCTGTTCTTAAGGGAAGTCAGTGGCAGCAAAGTTATAAGATGTCGAAGCGAACTTACTTTGTCATCCGCAGATTCAAGGTACCAACGAAGTTGTCAGGCCTTTGGCCATTTGCAGTCTCCCACAGCATCATCAGCTCCTCATTAGATGAGTATCGTACTTCTTCTGGCTCCCAAGACCCAGTCGGGAAGTCAAGTACACTCGCAGGCACAGTCTTTGGTGCAAGAACGTGGTCGATATGATTACTCGTGGTGAGCGTAAGCTTGGGTGGCTTGCGAGTAGACTTGGTAGGCTGTGGTTGACTCGACGTCTGCTGTTGATATGACTGCTGATTGACAGGCAAGCTCGGATCAAACTGCGGGAACATTGATCTCATAGGGATAGGTGAAGCTGACGACTGTGATGATTGTGGTGAGATCGTGGAGGTCGCTGTATAGCTGCTACTGCTGCTACTATGGCTATTGTGTGAGGGCATGATTTGTTCGGTTGGTATCCCAGCTTGACGGCTCTGACTGTGTATGGACTGTGGAGACATTGCATTCTGGACGGTCTTCTTCAATGAGGGCGGTGATCTTGATCTTTCGACATTTCCAGGCGGAGGGGGCGGAATCATTTGAGTGTCTTCGATCATTTGAAAAAGCAGAGACTCCGTCTTTGCAGTATCTTTAATGTCTTCAAGAGGAATCGGGGAGCCCGGTTCAGCTTTCACGACGGCTTTCTTGCCGGCCTTTCGAAATGGATTATTAGACTTCTGGCCCTCAGCCGGAGGAGGAGGCGGAAATAGTTGGAACTGGGTTGGTTTAGCACTCATTCTGTCGGTTTAGAAGAATTGAACAGAGAAGTATATGACAGCATGGAAGGGAAGTACAGAGCGCGAATGTAGGGAACACGAGTGAGATATACCCCATGTACACCGACAGAGGACTCATTTCGACAATCCAAACAGAGAGCACGGCTTGTTGAGCTATGTGACAACCCTGCTTGTCTGGTGGGCGCTTAACTCATTATAGGTGTGATTGGCCGTGATCCTGGGATAGGCACTTCATTCTGCAGTAGCGGCGCTTCGACTCTGACACTTGATTGGTGTTCGGACTTTTGGGGTTCTATAATTATCGTAACTTTGCTATTAGATTGGCTGGTTATTTTGGCTGTGAAGAAGTCGAGGAGTAAGCTCACTCTACCCTGCATGTAAGTTTGGCATAGACACTAAGATATGACGTCCGATTTCGCATCTTGGATAGACTCCAGAGAGGCGCGTCAGTCCCAAGGTTGGGACTAGGACGCAGGGTGGTCATTGGCGCTACCAATAGGAGGACGACGATCCAATCCCTGATTTTCACTCGCATCTCCAATTCTCGTGAACAATTTGCGAAGGAAAAAAAAAGACACACCTTCAACTAACTTATGTATGCGAGGGATAAGGTAAGGAAATGCGAATTGGAAATTTTATTCATGTTCTTTAGTTTATATCCCAGAAAACTCTTTACATAGTAGAGCCCTCCAACTCCTCCAGGCGGTGCATGTCCATGTCTTTCTCGAGCAGAGGAATAACGTAGGGGTCGAAGGTCTTCCAGTAAGGGTTGTTGAGGTGGTACTCTTGGGACGACTCCTTCTCATAGCGCTCGACAATGGTGAAGTCCTGCTTGTCGAAAACGGACTGCATGACGAACCACGAAATGGTCTCCTTATCATTGGAGTAAACGTTGGAGGCCTCGACGAGCTTAGCCTTCAGCTTGGAGATGGACTCCTCATCGGCCTTGGCGCGGAGGTCTGAAGACGGTTAGCGTCAGCGGAGAATCGCTCGGTAGTATAAGATGAAACACGTACGGACGACAATAGTGTAAACCATGTTGAAAATCGGTGGGATTGTGTTGCGGGGAGGGAAGAGGGGCACAGGGATCTGACGTTTAAATAGCTGCAATTCGTATTTCGTCGGTAAAGACTCGGTGGGTCAAGGGGAAAATCCCCGAGATTTACCCCAGGTGATCCCGACGTGTTGATTTGTGGACAGGAGGAATGGATATCTATAAATGGGATTGGATATTTACATAGTGTACATTTAATCGCGTTTTCCTTGGTCGTGGCCCAGTGCCTCCGTATGAACGGTGTAGGTCAGTCCCTCCGCCATGGCGATCGCACCCTCCATGTTGCCCTTATTGTACAAAAACAAGCCCTGCAGGGCCGCAGCACTGGTGCTCAAGGACTGATCGGCCTTATGACCAGCCTCATCTTCAATCAGACCAAGTTCCTGGAGCCGGTCCAGGAACATCTGGCGGTAAGCCCCATCGGTATCAAGCTCCTCATAGAAGCGATTCCAGAGACAGCCAACCTGGTAGCGAGTCACCTCGCCTAGGCGAACGGTCATATCCACACGACCGGGTCGAACCAAAGCTTCATCCAGTCGCTCAACGTGGTTGGTGGTGAGGAAGATAATGCGTTCCTCTGCACTCGCGACTCCGTCCAGTGCATTGAGCAGTCCCGAGAAAGTGACATTGGCACCGCGGTATCCATCCGCATCGCTCTGCGTGCGACGGTTCGAGAATGCAGCATCCACATCTTCCAAGAGTACAAGGGTTCGGTTTGGAACAATCGTGAGGAGGTGGTTTAACCGGTCATCAGTCAACCCGCGCTCACTCAAGTTCAGAATGGCAATGTCATAGTCCAATTCGCCGGCCAGTGCTTGAATAAATGAACTCTTGCCCGTACCCGGGGGACCATATAGAAGATATCCTCGTCGGTATGGGATACCACGGTCGTGATACCAGGATGAACTTGAGATGAAATCCTCTACGTCTTCCACGATCCGTTCCTTGACTCCTTCTTGGAGGACAACGGATTCCAGAGGCCGCTTCCGACGAGGGTTTCCAAATGGTTTCCACTCCGTCCCCCAGCTGTTATAAATGGTAGTCTTGCCTTCGTGTGATTTTGCGGCGTATGCATGGGCTTCGGTGAAGAGGTCCTCGAAGATATGGCGTTGAGAGTAGAGGGTGGTGAGTGTGATTGTTTCCCAGGGCTTTCCGGTCTGGATATCACGCGACTTCGACTCGCGCATACGATTGACAAATACGAACGCATTCTTGTATCGGAGAACGTGTTTGCCGGGGCCCGGGACTAAAGAGAAATGTGTGTGGATAGCTCCGTTTGAGTGCTCGACTTTTTGCGTCTGGATGGAGAGGTGACGCATGCCAGGAGTGATTTTCTGGAGGAAGCGGTCCATATATCCAGTCTTGGTCGCTGCAGCTTTGCCTGCATTGAGCTGGGACTGTTGATAGAGGGTCATCCAATGTAAGAACCATGGGTAAGAATCATCTTTGATGCTGATCTCGACGTCCACCAGCATCCGGCGGCGGAGAAGTGCGGCGCCATGTCGGACACCTTTTTGCGCGAAGGTCAATCCAGCTCCTAAGCCAGCGAGTCCGAAGCCCTAACAGCGGCCGTAAATCAGTAAAGCGACATGAAACCGGTGATTTCATAACCTACCGCGGTGAACAAGGGATTGCTCGTGAGCTGTGAGAACAGGCTTCCATCGCCCTTTTGCGCTGACTGCAGCGCCTCGGTCCTCTGCTGCAGAATCAAGTCACCTGCAGAGGGCGCAGGCGCAGGACTGGAGACTCCGTTCGGCTCCATGCCAACAGTTGGTGCGAGAGTCGCAAATCGCAGGAATTATCGATAAGGAGCACGGTCGGACTTATGTTGGGCCGACCGAACAATAGCCATGGCAGGAATTGGCTGCTGGAACTCCAAACATTCGCATATTTCCACACTGCATAATAATGACGATACAGAAAGACCACCGACTATCTCCATGATGTGTCCCAGGTGGCGCCCTCGTATAAAATTGGTCCGGCCTTCGCATTCACATGGGTCCGTCGGGCCCTCGAATAGCCCGCGTCGGAGTTAGCGGAATTAGACTGTTTTTTTGCTTCAACCCCCTTCTTCTCCTCCTGCGTAAGCTGACACCTTCATGTTGTGTCGAACGGGTGTTTAAAATGAAGTTGCACCCTATGCGATTCCTATCCCAACATTTCTCATTCCGTGGACGCGTTTTGCATCAGCGCGCTCCTGGTTCAACAATTCGCAAGATGTCTACCCCAACTGCTGCTACCGTGCTGTATGCTCTCACCGTCTCCAGTGCCCCAGCGCGACCTGGACCTGAAGATGTATTGGAAAAGACTCATCATACAAAGTCTGGCTTTAGGAACCCATGGGAGTATGTCAAAGTCTTCAGACTTGAGCCGTTTGCGCCAGAAAACTAACTAGCGGCTTGAATGGCAGATCCTATCGTGATCACAGTCCAAAGGAGATCATGGGAACACTCCTGTAAGGAAACTAGAGACAGCATTAATAAAAATAGCTCTAATCGAAAGATACAGCTCTCGACGATTGAAAGGCGAGGCGAACTCACCCGACATGACACCTCCGGCTTCCCGCAAGCCCGAATTCCTTCCTACTCGAGAAACACAAAAGCTTCGCGCCACATGGCTTGGACATGCTTGCTACTATGTTGAGTTCCCAGGGGGGCTCCGAGTGCTGTTCGACCCGGTGTTTGATGCTCGCTGTGGGCCATACTCTTTTGGCCCGAAGCGCTTTACCGAGCCTCCATGCAAGATCGAGGATATTCCCGTCATCGATGCGGTCGTCATCTCTCACAATCATTATGATCACTTGTCTCACCCTACCGTCAGTAAGATCGCCAAGCAACACCCCAATTGCCATTTTTTCGCGCCTCTTGGAAATAAATCATGGTTCCATGACTCCAACATATATAATGTAACAGAGTTGGATTGGTGGGATGAGCGAGATATTGCGTTGTCACCAGCGGAGGGAAAGGGCGCGGAGGTCGAGCTGATTGGAAATGCTTCAACGGGGGCAGATATCAAGGCGCGTATAAGTTGCATGCCGTGTCAACACATTACGGCTCGTGGTCCATTCGACAAATGCAAAACGCTCTGGGCCTCATGGGCTATTGAATCCGGTGGTAGCAAGCTGTACTTTGCTGGGTTAGTCAAGTATCCAAACAGGGCAGGCAGGATCACGTGGCCATTGGCTAACCCTTATTCCAGAGATTCCGGCTACCGCTCCGTGGACGAAGTACCCAAAGGAGAAGATGATTGGGATCCAAAATATAATTTTCCAATCTGTCCTGCGTTTAAGCAGGTTGGTGAATTCCGAGGACCATTCGATCTAGGACTCATTCCCATTGGAGCCTACGCTCCTCGTCATATCTTTAGCCCGGCGCATGCTGATCCTCATGATGCTGTGCGAATGTTCCAGGATACTAAATGCAAGAATGCCTTGGCTATGCATTGGGGGACGTGGGTTCTCACCGAGGAAGACGTCCTCGAGCCCCCAAGGAAATTGAAGGAGGCCCTAAAGCGTCACAGTATTCCTGAAAGTGGTGTCTTCGATGCATGTGAAATTGGAGAGAGTCGAGAATATTGAGAAAGCCCAGGGCGAAGAGACCCGATGCCAGAGAGTCTCCAGGTGGCAGGAACGATCCTGTAACTACTCCATGTACCAAAAGCAGACGATTCCTCTCATACAACCCGTTTTGTTGTTCTTTTCCCTAGACGCGTCTTCTTCTCTTCACACACCTTCTAATCTCTTGCTTCTTGTTCTGTTATTCTGTTCATCATTCTGTTCATCATTCTGTTCATCATGGCACCTCCGCGGTTCTATTCCCAATTCCAGTCTCCTGATTCTGCTAGATCTGATTTCGGCTCGGAATCTCTTGATCAAATGAGACAGGAAGCCGGTATCGAAAGCAGACCTCCAAGATTCTCCCCAAACCCAACCCAATTCATTCCTGAGCTCCGTTCTCAAGGCATTGGCCTAGATAACAGAGATTCTCCACCTCGTAGCCATTGTCATGGCACTACGTCTTCCACATCCTCTTTGTCCTCCACCTTTTGTGAAGAAGAAGTCATGTCTCCTCTGAACGAACAAGGACCCTCAGTCCTTCCCCCTCCTCTACAGTTGCACACGAGAGAGATGCATGAAGAGCGCAGTGCTCGCTTGCGAATCCAAATTCCTCCATTGCGGTTGCGTGATCTCATGTCATACCCCCAACCGAGAGATCCATCCCGGAGACACTTTACATCTCGTTATCCTGCTGTCAATTCTGCCGAGAGAAGTCCTTCTCGACCTTTATTGCATCATAGTCACAGAAACAGCTCGACTTCCATTGATGATCACTCATTGTTGAGTACAAGTTCGACCGGCGATGGCAGCATTGACCGTACGTCTCCGACCGACTTATACAACCTTCGACCTACCTCACCATTGAGTTGGCTCTCAGCAGCACCGGTCGGCCGCCTAGATACCATCATCCAGCCCCCACAGAACTCAAGCCGCCCGTTGATCCATTGAAACGGACTCTGGTTGCACCAGAATGCTCCTGCCAGTTGGAACTACACTGTATGGGACCGAACTGTTCAATTTGATGCACCAACATTGCGCCCATTGACAACACTCACGACCGCCGAAATTGAAAGTTTTGATTTTGGTTTCCATCAGCCTGAGCCTGTCCAAAGTGTCCAATCACCCCAGACACAGGCCGAGAAAGATGTTGACATGGATCATGCAACGCGTGGTATTGCATTGATCAACACATGGGTTCATCCAGCTTTGCCGGATGAGACGATACAGAATTGGCAAAATGATGGTCTGCTTCCCGAGAACCTCCCTATTGTTGCAGTTCCGGAATTTGAGGTCCCAGCTATCTCAATTCCAATTGGTGTTAATTCACTTATTACAGCCCCTAATCTCTCGCCTTCTTCCATCCTTCGGGCCTCAATGTCTTCTCCTTTCCGTCAAATCTTACAGCTACATGAGCCTCAGTTTGACCCTTCCTACGGTCAAAGTTCGAACGATTGCACAACGGATGATTTGGAGAAACGACTGATCCATACGCAACGATCTGCTTCTCTAGTTGCCCTTCAAGGCTCTCCAGTCACTCCAATTTCTGCTGCTAATCGTTCTCCTGTTACCCCGGGCAATTCTCCTCCTTGGCGCAATCACACTTATCTGCCAAGGAGAGGCATGAGTGACAACCCAGGGACGCCTCGCCGGAGTCCAGTGGCAAACTTCGATAGCACATCCAGTGGCCTCTCGGGGGAGATGAACGACTCGCCAACAAATAACATTGTGCGATCGGTGCCAATCGAACCCCCTTGCCAACTGAGCCCATCATCGACTCAGAGTGCTGTCAGTGGTACTTCACTTGAATTACCAGAACGTAATTTGCTGCCACCTTTCTCCCCAAGCGGACTCAATCTGGATGAGTCTCGCTCATCATCCTCAATGGAGGACATCACAGAAAGTGAGGAGGAAGGTCCGGTCGGAATGACAGAGTGGACGTCTGAGATGTGGGAAATTATGGCAGACGACACTCCGCGCTCGCACGAAGAGCGGCGCAATGCATTCGGCCCGGAATGCAACCCGGGCCGATGCAATTGGGCCTCGCAGGCCCAAGAGTCAGTGCCGGTGCCGGTGCCACCGCGTTCCAATCGCGACCGCGTGCGCAGAGCCCTGCGCAGAGTGACCCAAGGGGTCAGACACCAGTGAACCGGGGCTCCGGTCACTATGTACAGCAAGATGCAAATGAGCATCTAAAAGTTTCCAAAAAAGAACTGACGCGAAAGTCAGAAAAAAAAACAAAAAAAAAAACACAATAATGATCAGATGTTCATGAATTGATGCCATGACTCTGATACCTGTTTGATTATGCTCCTGTGTGAATACTACCTGTACGATATATTGTGTCCTGACCTGCCAATAAATAAGTTTGAGTACAACTCCTCCCGACAGAAGTAATTGGCAGTCATACCGAACTTTGGTCAGTAATGGACCATGGGTTCACACCATAGCAGCTTCCAGGCTCTGACTCTCAATTAATTGCTACCTTCGAAGAGATTAGATTGAGCGCCAGAAGCATTGAGCGTAGAGAAAATGGGGTAAATTAATAGAGAAACTGGTAAACATTTGCCAAACACGTGCAACATGATCTTCTACGAGACATACCCATCCATACAATATTTACTCACCCCCCCCACCCCGTGTCTGATTCTTCTCCCTCTCTCTCTTTCTCTCTCACACTAGAAGAAACTGAGCTTCCCGAGCCTCTTGAACTCGGTTGCTCTTGATATTCATTTGAGAAACGAGCTGAAATGACATGCGAGGTTCTTTTCAATGGTCGTGAAACTTCTCTGGACTTCATTTGCTCGACCAATGCTGACCCATTGACATTTTCAGGATGGTGACCACAAGATGAGACGCCTCTGTCATACTTGAAATCAGCCACAAAAAGATCTACTCCTATGCTGAAGCACACGAATCGGGGGAACAATAGTCCTTGGCGGAAACAAATGGTAACGGGGAGCGAATCCAAGGTTGGATTACGAGCTCAGTCTGCCCTGACTTGTTTCAAGCTTTGCTTCATGTAATCTAAATACTCTGAATTAATCTTTCATATGATAACTGGATCTGTTTCCACAGGCGACCACTTATGAATCATGATGAGCCTCCTTCGCTGAGTTCAAAACCACGGCTCAAGTGTATCCCATTACTTGGAATCACTGATGACGGATGTGAGCCACAGACGATACGATGGACTTTCCCGATGGATCTTTGGCCATGGAAATAAGATAGCCGACAAGCAACGAAAGTGACTCCGAGAAAAGGTTGAGGGAGGATAACACTGCGAGTCTGAAGATAATGACTTAGGGCTCGCTGGTCGGCACGTGATGCAGCTCAACCAAACACCAATGACTCCCAAAGTCGGGGCGAATCGAACTTTACGAAAATGAATTCCTTTTCTTCCTTCTAATTTTCTCTTATTCGACATGTGAGCAACTCCGATATCGGTTTGGCCGCCACTTAGACTTCATCAATCCATGGAAACGGAACAGTCACGTGCAGACGAAGGGCCAATGCTGACGACATATATCTGAACACATTCCCGGGGTATGATTGTGGCTTCAGAAACCTACAAACAAGTTGTGCAATGCGCCATGCCTCTAGCCGGTATTGGTCGTTGAACCAGACGACTTACGCTCAACATGGTCCAATGCTCCGCCCCCGTTGAAGGCATCGTCGGTTCATACACTGGCAACAGCTTCGCTCTCCAGGGTTTCATTGTCAGCCTGTTGAGCATTGCCCTCTACAGCTCACTCGAACTGATTATCTTGGTGTTTTCAATGTTTCATACCTACCGTGGGCTTTACTTCTGGAGTCTACTCATCACAGCCAGTCTCGGCGTAATTCCCGACGCTCTCGGCTTGCTTCTGAAGTACTTCCAGCTTGCGCCCATATGGATCCCAGTTACACTATCTACTGTAGGATGGTGTATCATGGTGACTGGACAGTCGCTGGTGCTTTACTCCCGGCTACATCTCGTACAACGAGACAAAAGAGTCCTTAAGTTTGTCTTGGGTATGATCATTGTTGACGCAATTGTCTTGCAAATCCCTCAGATCATTGCCTCTTATGGTGTTGTCTATGCCTGTGACCTTGCCTTTGGTCGATTTTTCAACATTTGGGAGAAGGTGCAACTTACCGTCTTCTTTGTCCAGGAGATTATCATCTCCAGTATATTCATTGTGCAGACAGTCAAACTGTTACACAGCTACCCAACCAGGAGCAAACGGAAGACCAACATCATGTACCAACTGTTGGCAATCAATACGGCTATCATTTTGATGGATATATCTTTGATTGTGATGGAATTTCTGGGCTTGTTCATCATTCAGACTGTGCTCAAAACGTTCTTCTATACTATCAAGTTGAAGTTGGAGATTGCAGTCCTATCGAGGCTGGTCTCATTTGTACAGGCTGACTTTCAGCCGGAATCTTCTGGCTTTAGTCAGCCCAAATGAATTTTCATATCCTAAATTCCTGTCCTGGCAAGCTAGAATTAGTAGAATTCCTGATATAGTTCAGATGTTTGTCTCGTTTGTTAGGGAGTAGACACTAGCCATATCGGGACTAGCGTGAGGGAGCTCCCACTTCGCCTGGAAATTTGATGGAATGCGGGCGAACAGCGTTGAAGTCGGAACTCCTGGATTGTCATTTATCTTCGTGGTTTATTTTCTGATATCTGGAAGGAATTACCCAGATTACTCCACCTTTAATCCAGCTCCATTCCCGACAACCCACCGCCAACATGCAGGCTCCGGTGGTGGTGATGAGTTCGATACCCCCCATTGCTTGGATCCCCTTTACGTGCTAACATGTCATCCAGACACCAATGCCGGCGACCGTCAGGTCGGCCGCCGCGCGCAGTTGTCTAACATCACTGCGGCCAAGACGTACGCTGTCCCCCGATTCCCCGTTGATTCTCCCTGACCGATGCTAATCCAGTAAACACCAGTGTTGCGGATATCATCCGGTCATGTCTCGGACCCAAGGCGATGTTGAAGATGCTGCTTGACCCCATGGGCGGTATCGTCCTGACCAACGATGGCCACGCTATCTTGCGAGAGATCGAAGTGTCGCACCCTGCGGCCAAGAGCATGATCGAGCTCAGCCGTACCCAGGACGAGGAGGTTGGAGACGGAACCACAACGGTTATTATTCTTGGTATGGGCTACATTTGCAATATCGTGATGAACGATGACTGATCTCTGATAGCCGGTGAAATGCTGGCCCAGGCCCTCCCCCAGCTCGAGCGTAACATCCACCCCGTCGTTATCATCCAGGCTTTCAAGCGTGCCCTCGCCGACGCCCTCAAGATTGTCGAGGAGGTTTCGACACCTGTCGACATCACCGATGACAAGGCCATGTACTCCCTCATCCAGTCCTCCATCGGAACCAAGTTCGTGTCTCGGTGGTCAGACCTGATGTGCAGCCTCGCCCTCGCCGCTGTGCGCACAGTCTCTTTCGACGTTGGTGGCGGAAAGCAGGAAGTCGACATCAAGCGTTACGCTCGTATTGAGAAGATTCCCGGTGGTCAGATTGAGGATTCCGAGGTTATCGACGGTGTTATGGTCAACAAGGATATCACGCACCCCAAGATGCGTCGGAGAATCGAGAACCCCCGTATTCTTCTGCTTGATTGCCCTCTGGAGTACAAGAAGGGCGAGTCCCAAACCAACATTGAGATTTCCAAGGAGGACGACTGGAACCGCATGCTCCAGATTGAGGAGGAGCAGGTTAAGCACATGTGCGAGGCCATTCTTGCCGTCAAGCCCGACGTTGTCATCACCGAGAAGGGTGTCTCCGGTAAGCAAGCGAACACCACCAGGAAAAAGGAAGTATTATGGATATACTAACAATTGGGGTTTACTAGATCTTGCACAGCACTTCTTGATGAAGGCCAACATCACAGCCCTCCGCCGTGTGCGAAAGACCGACAACAACCGTATTGCCCGTGCTAGTGGTGCCACCATCGTCAACCGTGTCGACGACATCCAGGAGTCCGATATTGGTACCGGCTGCGGTCTGTTCGAGATTGAGAAGATTGGTGACGAGTACTTCACATTCATGCGTCAGTGCAAGTCCCCGAAGGCCTGCACAATTCTGCTGCGTGGTCCTTCCAAGGATATTTTGAACGAGATTGAGCGCAACTTGCAGGACGCCATGTCCGTTGCCCGCAACGTTATCTTCCACCCCCGTTTGTCCCCCGGTGGTGGTGCCGTCGAAATGGCCGTCTCTGTGAAGCTTGGCCAGCTCGCCCGCTCCATCGAGGGTGTCCAGCAGTGGCCCTACAAGGCTGTTGCTGATGCCATGGAGGTTATTCCCCGTACATTGGCCCAGAACGCTGGTGCCAGCCCCATTCGCGTGCTTACCCGTCTGCGTGCCAAGCACGTCGAGGGCCACACCTCTTGGGGTCTGGACGGCGACTCTGGCAACCTGGTCGATATGAAGGAGTACGGTGTTTGGGAGCCCGAGGCTGTCAAGCTCCAGAGTATCAAGACCGCCGTCGAGGTAAGTTATACACATCCTACACCCGCACATTCTCGTGACAGTTCGCTAACATATATACTAGTCTGCCTGCCTTCTCCTCCGTGTCGACGACATCTGCAGTGGAAAATCCGCTCAGCAGCTGGCCGGCGGCGGCGGTGGCGGTGAGGAATAATTGATAGACGAAAAAGAAAAATGATCTTTGGACTCGAGGTCCGTACATAATGCTACACGATTTGCCTCTGAGGTTTCTTCCTTCTGTATGAACATCCTAGAACACAAAATCCACATGGGTATCTTCGTATCATACACAAAATCCACATCTATAGATAGATATCCTAATCTAGTCATCATCATGAATAATAACACCAGGGACCTCCTGCGTCACAGCCCCCTCGGCGCCAGTCACTCCATCCACACCGATCTGTTTGCTGGGTGCAGCTAATCCCGTCACAGCAGGAACAGTGTCTTTCTGGACCGCACCACCACCCTTCTTCCCCTTGACATTCTTTCTCTTCTCCCTCCTGCGCCGATTCTTCTCCGTCTTCTCATCATCCTTGCGCTTGGCCTCTTCCCGCTCCTTCTCCCAGCTCTCATTATCCTTCTCCTTATCAACCTCCGATTGCATCATTCGCAACCGCTCATACTCGCGCCGCCGACTGGCCTTGTACACGTGGAACTCGCCGGATCCTGCACCCGCCGACGATCCTTGGACATTGGCGACGATCTCCGGTGGTGGCGCTAGCGAGCCTGATGTACGCGATACCGAGGCATTGGGTAGTTGGAGGTCTTTGCTTGGGTCTTTGAAGAGCGTTTCGATTTGGTTGGCGTGCTCTGAGTGTGGTGTTACGGCACGGCGCTTTGTGGGACGCTTGCTGCGCGGGTCAGCGCTTGTAGGGATTGATTCAGGTCCTGGCTCGGACATTGTGACGCGGCCGGTTCTGGTTGGGGATGCGACGGTGGTGTTTTGCGCGAAGTGGGAGGTTTCGCGGGCCTTTTCTTAGGTTTTGATGGCCGGAGATGGATGTTTGAGGTCTCAACCAGCCGACATCCACTTGGTTGTTTAGGGGTTTGTTGTCAAATTGTCTGAATACTAGACTGGAAGAGGAAGAGGTAACAATCTCAGTCGAAGTGTAGAGATGCGACCTTCAACTTCGGGAGCCGCTAACCGCAAACGGCTAGCGCTATAAACCGCGCTGATGGCCTGATTTTCGCCTGATTTTCTTTAAGCTGGACTCGTTTCTTACGGTCGAATTATTTGAGTTGTGTGGCTATTCAGTCATGAGTGATTCTTGGAGTCAGGCACATTTGGCAATTTGCGACAGGATGGGGACGTCTGAGCCGCTATAACAGCTCCTCTTAGCTTACAGCAATCCTGGATTCTCTGGAACATCTCATAATTACTAATAAGCTATGGAACCCCTAGGAGTATTTTCACTTTGAGAGCAGAGAAATTAATACCTCCAGAGAGCTGATTTTCCAAAGGCTTTCCGAATGAGCTTATAAGGTAAACATGGTGATAGATAGAATAATCGAAAAAGCGCCCGTGAAAGCGTGAATGCTAACTCCATACCAATAAGCCCCTGAGTTCCTAGTAAATAAAAAACTCCAATTGACTTCTTTGCTGCTAGCTGATATCTGTCAATGTCTCGGTCTTAAGTGAATTCTCACTCACTTCGACGCTGAATTGGCGATGTACGTACTTTTCTCAGCCTTCTCGAAGCGCCTCATCACATTCCGCAGTGCCGCACCGCCTAACTTCATCTCTTTTCGCTTGAGCAACTCACTCCTGGCCTCTTTCGCAACTAAAAGAAGAGTAAACGTGATCGAGGTCCTGTTCGATCTCCGGTCGGCTTTGCCATTTCTCTTGCCCCCCCGTGATACAACATCACACAGGTGGATAAGATTCTACCATCTCTCATCTTCTTTCTTCCTTCACCCAACTGCATCATCTCCGATCGTTCCAATGCCAACTTATCGCTTTGGTAAGTTTATTTCATGCATGGTGTTCATTTCTAGTTTATACGCGTTCTCGCGTTCCCTCACTTGTTTGACTGCAAGAAATCCAATTTCCGGAGTCATCTTGGTGACTGCGGACTTCGTTTCTGATTGGCCTACGCGTTTTGCTTTGAGAACTGTTTTTTTCGCTGTCCGTTGATGAAATAACAGCTAACATGATGATGATAGAACTCGCCCGCAGTGGCAGGGCTTCCTGCCAAACTGCAGAATGCAAGAAATCTGGGGATAAGATCCCCAAGAATGAGTTTCGTGTCGGCACCTGGACCGATAACGAACGCATTCAATCCTGGATGTGGCGTCACTGGGGCTGTCTTACTCCGAAGATCATTTCTCATATGCAGGAGTCCATCAAGATCGACGACTCAGACGACTACAACTTTGACCAGCTCGATGGCTTCGAGGAGCTGAGCGAGGATTACCAGACTAAGATTCGCAATGCCATTGCAGCTGGTCATATTCCCGACGAGGACTGGAAGGGAGTAAGAAACCAAATCGGAATCGAAACACCAGAGCAGTTTAACTGACAATATCATGTTTAGGATGCTGAACTGAACCGCCCTGGCAAGATTGGCTTCCGTGTCCGTGGCAAGAAGGCTGACGCGAAGGTTCGTCTAACCCTATTCAGTGTCCTCATAATAAACTGACACAATTACAGAAGGCCGCCGACTCCGGAGAGGAGTCCCCGGCAAAGAAACGCGGCAAAGCTGATGAGTCTGACGACGAAGAGGAAAAGCCCGCCAAGAAGAAGCGTGGTCCCAAGGCTAAGAACGATGCCGATGCTACTCCTGCTGCTGGACGCAAGAAGCCTGGTCCTAAGAACAACAAGGCCACCAACGATGGTGACGAAGGTGAACCTGAGGTCGAAGAGAAGCCCAAGCGTGGCCGCAAGCCCAAGGCTACCCAGAACACTGAGGAAAACACTACCAATTCCAAAGAAGAGCAAACTACACGTGCCAGTCGCAAGCGCGCTACTAAGACCCCTCCTGTTGAGACCGAGCCCAAGAGTAATCGCCGCACCAAGGCTTCAGAGAGCAAGTCTTCCACGAGCAAGGGACCTGTTGAGGGAAAAGACAAGGCTCAGGGCGGCCGCGCTAAGAAGACACAGAGTGCCGAAGTCGATGAGACTAAGAAGGCCAAGCGTGGACGTCCAGCTAGGAAGACCCAGAATGGCAATGAAACAGTCGCCAAGACTGACCAGGATAACTCGACTGAGCCAACTGAGCCAACTGAGCCAACTGAGCCTGCTGAGCCAACTGAGCCTGCTGAGCCAACTGAGCCCGCCGCTGAATCCGCCGCCAATGACAGCAACTAAGGCGCTCCCCATCCCCGTACATGGATCGTACTTGGACATTTATTCTTACTTTTCCTTTTTGCTTGTCTTTTATCTTCGTTGAAGCGTCGCAATATTCCCTGAATGGCGGTGTTCTAGGAGAGAAACATTATGGTTGTGCGGATATCTAGGACAGTCACTTTTGCGATAGCCTGAGGAATATCCAATCAAACTTTTAATAAAAAAAACCAATTTTGTATACTGTAGCCCTTAATCACGCTGAAGTCTAGCCCCTTGTCTTGAACGAAAAGGAGGTTGGGAAGAGCATTGAGAAGAGCTCTCGAACAAATCCATTACCTTGATGTTCGAAGTCGGGTAGTCTTGTTCATCGAAAAAAGCGAGATAGATTGCTATGCCTTTGAAAATAAGGCTATCTCGCCTCAGGATATGCATGTTTATAGGTAGGTCCACAGCTTTCCGATGAGGCCGTCTAGAAGGCTTCGATATCCCACCCTAAAAATTGCTTTTCACAGAGCTGTGTTTAATGTTGTGCGTCTGCATATCAATCACGTATAATGGAAGGACAGACTTGATATAGAGTCATATAGTCAACTCCAAGCCCCGCTACTCGTTGCCGATGAAGATCCTCGAAATGAAATTCGCATTGAGAGAGGAGAAAAAGAAAAAGACGAGATGGAGCGAAGGCAAAGCAATGAGTCCCTTGAGCATTCATAAACCTAACCATAGGAAATTGTAATAACGCGAGATAATAATACGCAGTAAGTAAAACTAGATATTGGGGCGCATGGCGGGATCAGGGTATTCAACCAGGATAGTCGAGAAGAAACAAATGAGAACAGACTTGTGAAGCACCGAAAAGAGTGAAAGTGACCGAAGAAGAAAGAAATCACGTCGAAGGAAACGAGAGAGAAGGAAGAAAAGAAGCCCATCATCACAACACTGTGATTCCGCGGCTCCTGATGAGGGCCAACGGATCAGAATACAGCTCTGGGTTCCCAGAAACAAGCTTGCTTCGTATTCCGTTGACGGCATCTTGGAGGCCAGAATTAGCGCGCATTGTCGACCAGAACGCATCCGAGCAGTCGTAGGCAAACAGGTCATAGCTTTCGGCAAAGAAATGCAACATCCACTTCTGAAGGATATCGAGGGTGCTCTCGTCGTAGCTGTTGGCAAATACGAGAGGAACAATCTTGAGCAAGGCTTTGAGATGCACGAGACTTGGGTAGGAGTTCCACGCAACTTGAAGCTTCATAGCAATTAGGTGAATCAGGTCAGCAAGCTCAAAGCACCGAGCTTGTTCGTAAAGTTTTCCCAGATCGAGAATCATTATTACAAGATCCTTGGGATTATCCATGCCGTCTAGGCGATAGATTCGGCCAATACCGAATAGGTCACCGATCTGGTGTGAGATTGCTGACTCGGACGTGGACGAGGGATTGTGAAATTGAATGAGCCTGGGACAGAATTCGCGATCCCGAAGGAACGATTGGATTTTTTGAAATTCAATCGTGTGTTGTATTTGGACGATGCCATGAAATGCGCCGAGGAGTGTGCTGGACTCCGCAGTGTTGAGGAACACTTGTTGAAAAGCCTTGCGTACTGACATGTCGAAGGCTCTGTTGCCATTTCCCGGGGTATCGCCTTGGACAGGAACGGAAGCAGGTGTATCTCTATTAGTCAAATCAAAGCCCGGAAAAGATTTTTCCGTGTCCTCCTTTTTCGTTACACTCTCATCGACCTCCGGAGACTGCTTGCGACTGAATGATTGAGCCATGCCACGGTTCATGAAACGAAACGGCTGGAACAGATGAGAGCCAGGGACTAGGGGAGTAGCACTTGTCGAGAGACCACGAAGAGAACTTACTTGGCTGGGGAAACAAGAGCTTTCGTTGAAGGCAAATGACTCATGAGTGCTGAGGAAAGGATCCGAAGCGTTGGAACACTGGCGAGTTATGGCATTGGAAGTTGTAGACATATCATCGGCGGCTTGAAACTCGAATGATATGTCGGGCTGTTCAACATGGGAGAGCGCCTCGTCTGACTCGTTAGGAAGATGAACGTCCGTAGACTCATGAGATGAAGTTCCGTTCTCAGTCCGCGTTTCATCATCGGAACCCTGGTCGTCGTCGTGATAAACATAGTAGTCATCTAGAAAGTGCTCAGAACCACAAGGGAGGACAATGCGCAATTCACGGCCTCGTTTTCCTTTGCTTCCCAGCTCTTGTTGAGCCATGTCAAGCCACCAGTCAAGGTTAGGCGCGAACTTGATGATGTGCATAAGCTCACCCCAAACCTTTGCTTCGCCTTCTCGTTTGGCTTTCTTGAAGATATTTGGGGTCTGATCCTCCAAGACAAAGATATCTTCGAGTCCGGAGTAGCGGCTATAACCATTGTCAGCGCTATTGCTGTTGCATGAAGAAAACGGTAACCTCGAAGGTCTTTTTTGGGGTGCAAAAAGTAAACTCCAACTTACTACATGTTGAGCCCAGGAAGATAGAGAGGGTACATGCGGTCTTTTAGGTGAGCTAGCCACGGGCCATCATCAATCGGTTGTGCTGTGGACGGGCGCCGGTTGAGATGACGAGAAGGGCCGAAATCTCGCGGGATCACAACTCCAACCCATAGATCGCTTTTGTATTTGCGCAGAGAATTTTTGAAGCGAGTGATGACGATTTCGCCGGGCTCCAGCTGGCGAGGCTCGGGCAGGCGCTTCAGTCCTTTGCTTAGGACCGGGATTCTGGTCATACTGAGAGATGTCTAACCATATTAGAAAGAAGTTAGCTGGGACTTCTTAAACCAAACCCAAAGGTGGCACTCCTGTATCAAAATCTTGAAAAACTGGAAAGTAGAGGCAATGAAAAAGATATGAACCTCCAGTGTTTGACTCGTGATATGAAAGATGTCTCGAACGCGGTCTGAATGCTGAATCTTTGGGAAACCACCGAGTGACTCGGAAATGTTAATTGAAAAGAAGAACAGCGTTTGGGACATGAAAAATAACGGATCTGATACTTGGTTTGACGTTTGAAGATCCGAACGTACCACCAGATGGTGATTGAAGAAATAGTCTGGTCCTGGAAAGAGGTACCCTTTGATGTTGAAGGAGTAGATTGCACGAAAAGTGAAGAGACGTGTAGGCAGGCGATTGAGTGTAGGACAGTCGAAAGTGAGAATAACGATGCCAGCAGTTGCTTACTTCTGACTTGGAGAAATCCTGTTTCCCGGGGTCTCTCAGTTTCACGGTGAAGTCAGAATGGAAGAGAATTGCGAGACAGGATTGAGCCTGCAAAAGGATCAAAGTGCGAAAGTACGAGACGGTGGCAAAAGTTTACCTTAGGAAAGGATGGAACTATACCACGATGCTGGCAAAAGCTTTTCTGATTATCCGCAGCAGAAAGTGCGATATTGTGAGAATGAAGCTTTGAGCGACAAGTAAGGAACGGGTTCGTTACTTCACTTTGAGGAACTAAGAGAAATGCCCGAACCGCTGCTTTGAGTGATCTATATCGGCTTTGTTGATCAAGGAAGAACCAACAATGATGGTTGGAAAGGGGACAATATGTCAAGATGGAACAGATGTAGAAGTTGAAAGGATGTAAAGTTGAAAAAGAAAAGAGGCAAGAGAAGACGAAATGGGACCCAATAAGTCGATGAAGACCTAGGTCTTCGATCACGTATGCAAGATGATAGAAAATAGACAAGATGATCGTGAGTTTCATATTTGAAAATTCTCCGTAGAAGCTTGAGGATGGAATCACACTATAAATACTTTCTAGCTTTGAGTCTCTCCCCTCCTATCTTGTCGCAGTAGCCTCGAATGCAAATACTGGAGCAGATCTGACAGCACCAGGTCACCAAAACTGTGCGATTGCAAACTTTCTCGCATAATTTGCCTTGTGAGGGTGAAGCGGGAATGATCGAAATGGGAACGTGGGAAGTAAATTGAGCAGGTGGCCCGGTAAAAATTGACATTGACATCAAGTCTCCAAGCGTACTGTAGTCCCTGTTATATGGTTCGGTCAACGTTACAATCATACGCAGAGAATATGTGAGGTGGCCGTATTTCTTAATTTCTGTTTCTCAATCACCATATCAACATGCGGTCCAAGAGCAGCATAAATCACGCAGCCATGAGGAGTGAATACATGAAAACAAATGCAATGATAAGTGAACGCAGAAAAAGCAGAGATTGTTAAAAAGGGCCCAAAACCTGGCTCAAGCAAAGGAGTGTAGAATAGTCCAACGCAGATTATCGTACGCCGACCCGATTAAGAATGAATAAGGGTGGTTCTTCAAACCAAAAGGCGGCCAACCTCGAAAGAAGTGAAGGTCAATCTGCTGTCAAAGCAAGAACGCAGACCAGTAGTTCAAATTTGTTGCCAATGTGCCAATTTGGTTGATAATAAACGCGTGTCTCCCTTGTTCAATTTCAATCTCGAAGTCCGAGTCCCGCAATCAGATACAAAAGAAAGGTGGCAACCGCTTAGAAGAATCTCGGTGTTCGCTTGATGCTAGTAGGCGAAAGTGTAAGCACTTATGGCTCAAGGTTAAAGGAGGAGTCAGCAGTAAAGGAAAGATCTGAAAACGAGAGAGATGAATCGTACCGCAATTCCGTGATGTCGTCCATGTGGTTGCACATGGCCACAAACAGGTCAAAAAACAACTTGCCACCCTTTTCCATCTCCATCTGCAGAGTTCCACTGCTCTTAAAGGTCTTGCGACTGCGGATTATGAGAGCCAGGTAATGAGCTCGAAGTCGAGAGTCAGTGTCCGGGGTGTTGTCATATGCGTATCGAGCAGATCGCAAAATCACGTCGGCCGGAATCCCACTCTGCAGGCCCTGCTTTCGGAGAGCAATGCGCTTGAGCTCCTCCAAGCCGTACTTCTCGGCGGCGCAGTACACCACAGTATCACGGAGGACATTATCTCCCACTCCAGGATGGAAGAAGATTGCCTCGCTCGACCCGCGGTCACCAGTTTCGTTGACATCCTGAGCGTTCTCGAAAAACCAAGAGTGGCGATGCTTACCGTGTAGCAAGCGGGGGAAATAGTCACCCTTATACAGGAACTCGAGAATACAAGACAGGATTTCAGGTTCCCTGCATTGAAAATCAGAATAGGCAGGGAAAGTGTGAGTCGGATCGATGCTCACTCATCGGGCAAAGTCAATTCTCTGACACCATCCTCCACAAACTGCTCCTTGAAAGCGGCGCTGAAAAATGGCGAAACGGATAGAATGTCCTCATGGGCAGCGAAAAGACGCTGGTCCCCACCCACAATCATCGTGACGATGGGGCTGGTAAGTGGACTATCAACCTTGTTAACCATATTTCCGCTTATTGGGACTCAGCGCGACATAACAAACCTTCCCATCGAGGAGCTGTCCATCCTATGATGCACCTTATCTTTTACCTGCTCTTCGTGTCTCTTCTTGGCAACCTTGACGCTCTTGCCCGCCCGGTTCTTAGTTACGAAAGAGCGCTTGAACATAACGACAAAAGGAAGCCAGTGCCGAAATATCGTGAAGAACAGTATTCAGAAGTGGCTGAAAAAGCCTATAACTATCAAAAAGAACGATATTAGTTGGTCGAGTGAAGGAGTGAGTGACGCTGCTTATCATGCACACGTAGCATGTGAGCCTCGGAAGCTCTCCACAGAAGCGGTGCCTCCCCGAAACTTAGTTAAAAGACGAGGAATACACAGTTCTGGGATGACTTTGCAATCGAGAATTCTGAGGTTCTCTTTGCGGGAAGTTACCGACTCTGGCAGGCGTGAAAGAAAGAAGAGAAAGAGAGGACGAAGAGGGGGGTTTGAATGCGGGGGTCAGGTGATATCAAATGTGACTAGACCATCACCTGGTGAGGCTGAGACGGATTCGTGGCTGCATCTCGAACAGTTTGGCGCTAAATGCTCACGTCACATTGGCTATAAGGCACGGAGTGATTGGCGAATCACGGGGAAACTATAGATAACGTATAGGCTACTTGGGGTTTAGCTGGATGGTATATGACAATAACAGTTTGCATTGACTAGTCACTTAAACAATACATTTCGCGATGCTAGCCATGTTGAATGGCTAGCATCGAGGACAATCAAACAAATCAGACACAGTCCAATATTCCATCGCCAGCGAGAGAAGGAACTTGCATCTGGTTAATCGTTGGCGTAACTTCAATCCAAATTTCTTGTTCTGCGCGAAAATCACATTCACAACAGCGTCTTGGGAGTTTAGAGGAGTGAACCGCAGCCAGCAGCGCCCAGAGTAATTCCGAAGCTCTGGAAGTGACCAGCGGTGACACCGTACATGCCATTTCCAGCAGAGCAAGAAAGATCGCGCTGACCAGAGCACTTGAGAGTAGTGGCCTGGAATCCGGAGCTGTAAACTTCCTGTAGAGATTTGACAGTGGTCAGAGGCTGTATATATACTGAGAAAGGATAAAATGACTTACAGTTCCATAGTGGTTGAAGCTGTAAGGGATGTTGATATACATGTTCTGGGTAACTCGTTAGTAGGTATCCCGGTTATGAACGTTCACAAGATACAAGAACTTACGGGAACACCATCACCGATGTTGTTTCCACGGTATAAGGTAGCCTTGGCTTGCGATCCGGCAAAGGTGGCCCAGGCCGCGTTACCAATGGGGAAAGCAGCCATAGCATGGCTAGTGAGTTGCTTCTCAGGGAAGTTCTGTGCCAGTGCTACGTGAGAGATGTATGTGAGAGAGCCACCCAGAGAGTGTCCAGTCGCTTCCAGGGTGTAATCTGGGTACTTTGCGATAAGACGCTTCACTTCGGCGATGACTGTGTCGTGGACAGCACTCCAAGGGCGATTGATGCCACTCATGATCTTCACTCCCGATGGGAATGTGACACCAGAGAGAGATGGAGTGACAAGGGTGGTACTGACGTCGTTCATAATGTCCGTCACTATATTAGTTAGCAACACAAACTACATGTTATGTGGAATCAAGATGGATCTTACTAGTAGTCGAGCCCCTCATAACTACAGCAATGGTTTTCTTCTCTGACGAGTACCCAACAAACCCCTGTTTGAGTCAGTCTCAGGCCGGCTGAGATCTATAAAGGTTTGCATACCTGAGTGTCAGTCAAAGTGTCCTGAATTGACTTTGTGACAGTGATATCAAAAGCCGTGCTGCTGCAGCCAGTGTATGCAGCGGAGGAAAGCTGGGCAGCGCGATGAAGAGGAGTCCAGAGCGACGTGTCTGAATCAGAATAAGTTTGGAAACGAACCAATACTTCAATTGGAGGATAGATTTACCTAAGCTTGCTCTTGTTTCCAGAAGAGGTGCGGCAAAGACCTGGGAGATCAAGGCGATCCCAGCCAGAGTAGTTCGGGCGTCAAAGAACATTTTGAAGAGTAAGATGGTAAGAATTGCTATAGAAGTATTGCTCGCGCAAGTGGAATTGAATGGGCCAGCCGATTTTTGTCTGCCGGGGAAAGAATAGTTCGCCTGGTCATCGTCCTCTTTAAATACTTCAGATACCCTTTCAACGGTCTATTCTAATCATCTGTGCGCCCCATACATCCCGAGCTCCATACCCGATGCCTGAGCACGAGAATTGGATCGGATGGACTGTTTGAAATAGGAAAAGGGCGCGTCAGGCTAAAACAAACAGCTGCATGAGCGATATGCACCCTTGTGTTCGGGAGAATCCCCGTTCGAGAAGTTCAGCCCTTGGCCGGGTGGAGACGGAGTGAATGAGAACCAAGGCTCTGGTTCCCTACAATCCGAAGCAACAATCTTCATGTATTCCCATAAGAAGAAAGCGATCTAGTATGGGATTTTTTTACACATAAAAAGCGTAGTAATTGCTATGTTTGGCATGCGACATATAGAAAATGACCAGCAATCGGTTGATCCAACGTGCCTACCAACTTTCACGGTCTCGGACGACCGATCCAATTCGGATGTAAAGTTGAGCCTAAATCGCCTCGTCTAACGGTGTGGAGTGGATCAGCCTCAAAAACAAGTCAAACCTCGAAACAACCTCGGTCACCCATCGACATATCAGAAGCTTGGGCCTGGTGATCAACTCGGGTGTAAATCCCTGGACTCCACAAATACCACTCCTATAGTATTTGAGGTGGCATCTTGGATGTGAAATAGATTGATACCGAACTTCAGATATCCGAAGTTCTGCCGACTCATTTTTAGGAGACCAGACTAAAATATTTGACTCGATGTCCTGGTTTATTTCTGATCCATGGACAGTCTGTCACATAAATTCCCTGGTTCAAAAATTGGCGTTGATTCAGCGGATAAATTGATGAATCGCGTAGATAAATCCAATTCATGACCCCTGTCACGCTAGATCTGCAAGACCCTGAAACGACGAATGGGGCTTGAAACCGACTGGGCATAGGTGAAACTTCACCCTGACCCCGAGAGAAGAAAGAGACCTTTCCAAATGATTTAGGTCGCATATAGCCAATGAGAGTGCAAGGTTCATGTCTAAGACCAATCGGTACTTGAGGGTTCGGCAGTTGTGGACCGAGGCTTTCTCATCGGAGGGGCTGAAAAGCCCAATATTCCAAGTAAGAAATTAGATTGATTGCAATCTGCAGGCATCTATATTAAAAATACGGGTCTTGCATGGGACCTGGTGACGACAGGTCACCAGGACGTAGGAAAGTAACTGAAATTATCTCCTATAATTCGATATATCTGCTACTGGTAACAAGAGCAACGTACAAGGTACCCACCAGTTCACTGCAGGTTTAAAAATAAGATTGTGGTATAGCACAGTATTATTAAATTGATTTGCTAGTATTCTCTATGAAAGCATCTAAGCAGAAGAAATAAGCCAGAGGAGAGGCTGCAGCAAAGTAGTATTGCCAATTTGCGGGGTTTGGTGGCTGATTCCACTTTGTGTTTATGATGTACAGTAGTCTCTTGATAGTGTCTCTCTTATGTGCCAATGCGACTATACTCTCTGCATGTCGCTCCACCACTTAGAGTCCCAGACCAGAGCGGGGTGCATATATAAGTCTGTGGTATTTCGTCTCTGTCTTCAAGAGACCGAGGCATTTACAGTATTGGATGACGATATGCATGAATGCAGGTAGTCACTTTAACTCCATTGAAATGCGGGGGAAACAGGCCAAGATAATTGAGCGAGAAACCTTGGAAATGCGAAGCTTTGACAGATCTTTTCGATACTATGTACAGGTGCTTCTTCTGGCCCCATAATTAATGCGTATGAGTTATTTGCACACTCATTAACTCTACATACCTTCATTTCTTTGTGAACTTGGCACGAAAATCTAAGAAAAAACATGATCATATCAATGATGAACATTCCAATGACGCTCTCCGTCGGATATTTTGCTTGATATTCGGCACTGACGCTTGTAATTTACCCTTGGCATGTCGCTCTATCTATTTTGCATATCATGCACCTTTAGCCGAGACATGGATTCGGACATAGACCCTTATTTGCTTTTCTTAGGCCAAATTGTCTCGATTTGAAAGGCTATGCTACTCCGTGATACTTTCGGTGCGCGTTGTCTCCGATTCTACGCGACCCTGTTGGTCATTTTGTAACGTCAGTCGGCGTATACTAGGTACTCCTTCTGGGTCCTCAAATTCGATACTTTCCTGCCTACCTAGCATATTGCTCCCTTGTTTGCTTGAGTTAAATCCCGAACCTCGGCCACTGATTATGTGGAAATACTGCATATGCGTCACAGTGGTCGGATCATGAGGAAACATTTTAACGGGGAATTACGGAAATGCAGCGCTTTATATCATGCTTGGGCTTGATATCGGATAAATCCCTTCAGTCTTTCTTCAATATGCGTTCATGGGATTCAACTATTCTCGCGTTTTTCTCACTAGCTGGAGCTGTCTCCCCAAGCAGCCCTGCGGTGTCCATCCCCAATGTCAAAGCTGTATTGATGATCTAGGACGACGCACATCTGCTCTGAATAAGGAAAGGGTGACTTTCGGTGTTAAATACCCACTCATCCAGACTGAGAACATCTGTCTCAGTGAATGACAGATACAGGTACTTGAGCACCTCTGCGAAATAGAAACTGCAAACCAGAAGACGTTAGCAAAGTTCCGAATATACAGCCTTCGTATGGCTCTTCAAAGCAGCCCTGCTACTGCAAGAACTCACCTGGAAACTAGATTTACCAACTCTCCACCGCCAGGAGCATTCACATCAGAGATCTCCGCATATGGCACAGCGGCGGATCGATGGGTGTCCAGCGCTTGGAAGATCTCCCAGTTGTATTCTTGCCAGCGGGTATCGCCGGTAATGCGATATGCGTACCAAATGCTTTCTAGTGGCTCTGGATAAGAGCGGTAAGATGGGTCTTCGATGAAATAGCCGTATTTGGCGGCCTCGGCGCGGTAAGTTGCGTTGTTGTTGTAGGCTGGATTGTAGGCATTGTTGCTCGAATTGTACCACCCAATCACTGGTTGATCCTGTTAGGTCCTTATCACAAAAATATAAGCATGGAAAAAGTGTCTTACTTGAAGGTCCCAATCCCGTGGTAGTCGAGTTGTACAGCCAGTGGCAGCTGTCTGTCACCTTCAATCCTAACTCAGTAAATTCAGGTCGATTAAGATACTTTCCTCCGAGGAGCAGGTTTCCGCCTGCGAAACATGTCTATGGAAAGTTTGTCAGTAAACATATTTCTAGATATGAAACAGGAGAGAACTAACGTAGTCATCCATTGTCCACATCATGCTGCCATTGGCATCAAGCTGGGACAAAAATGTCAACTCTGGCTTATGGTATGGATTCAATGCAATATTATCAATGCTTGACTCGGATGCAGTCACCCAGAAGTCTCTCAGCTTTGCCGCATATTCATCTTCTGGGTTGTACACGTAGGTTTTAACCAGGTACTATCGAAAAGATATTTCGTTAGACTTAGCACAAGACAGTACTTTATGTTGCTTACTTCGATGAAGCTGTCAACACCGGCTTGCCAGCCTGCATCAAAAGTGATGAATTTGCCGGTTTCCATGTCCAACTCAGTGCCAACCAGCCCAGGGAATATGGGCGCAGGACTGGGGCTGATCAAATAATCCTCTGCCTTTTGAGCCTGTGTTATTGTTTTCATGTCAGCCACCTCCTCAGAATCGGATCAAGACTTGATGGCTTAGGAGATGAAATCTTACATGCTGCCTGAAGGATTCATCTCCGGTGAGATCCGAGAGACGATAATACTCCAGGATCAAAGTTCCAGCTTGAGCGGTGTTCGTACTGTTATACTTTGTTCCATTTATGGTGGAAGTACTGGGTATTATCTGACCGGTTGAGAAGTTTCGTTGAGCGGCAGGAAGACCAGTGACCGTGTCAAACACTGGACTAATAGCTGTCGCAAGGGACTTGGCCTGGGATAGGAGAGATTCAACCAGGTCATGGTCATACGGATTTGGAAAATGCCCGCTCTTGATCAAGTCATAGGCACTCAGAAGCCTATCGAATCAAGTAAGTCACGAAGCTCATCGGGGGAATTTGTGAAAGATATACCCTCCCAAATAGCGAATATTCACGTCGAAAAAGTTGACTAAGGATGAAGATTTGCTGCGCTTATTTAGTCAATCAATTCAAAATCTGGCAGCGGCTAACAACGTACGTGAAATCAACCGAAGCAATATGCTTCAACTGTAGTTCGACAATATCCGTCAAACCCATGACAATGGCTGTATCAATTCCATCAACAACAGATGCACCCCAGCCAAACAAGTCATTTGTGTAGTTATGAGTTACGGGCATGAGATCATCATTGGGGAAAGCATATTTCATATACTCGTTCCACTCACGCACGTAAGCCTCTTTCACAGCTTGAGCGCGGGGATTGTTCTTATTAGTACCCGATGGAAAGTCGTATTGGATCTTGTTACAAGCTTGAGGAGAAGTAGGTGCCGCGGCAGCCCCACTGGGGCTTATCAAGCTGAGAGCTAGCAAGACATGAGAGAGGCCGATCATGATGTACTTTGTCGGGCCACTTCGGGTCCTTAGTTGATGAACAAAGGGCGAAGTAGTTGAATTTTAGTAGATTGATTCCACAGAAGAGCACGAATGACAGGATTTAAATGCTCTCCTGTCGATCACGGAGCTAATGGATGTTACATCTATGAGGGGTTACATGGACAACAATTAATTAACCAAAGAGCAAAATTGTTGGAGACATTTTTGTCACTGGGCTCCTACAGTAGGTCCGAGTACTCGGTAAAGCCATACATGGCTCTCATTTTTGCTCTCAACTCGAAGGTAAAGTCTTGGGGTTTGATCCTTAGGTACAACGTGTATGAGATTGTGGCGTTCAGGGGCGAAGTCCGGGGTTATGATACCGAAGAGCTCTAGGATAAAAGATATTTGCAGAGCTCATCAAGTCACAGTGTAAAAACCCAATCTCATTCGTACTACTGTTCTTCTTTCTCTCATGCGTTTCTCTTGTTTCGTTGCCTACTCAAGCTTTTCTTGCGGAACTACCCGCCTCTTCACTAGGTCAAATGCAATCCGATTTAGCCATGCGGGGAATAGTCGGAGGTCGGGCTTCGGACACGGAGCCCGACAGGGCCATGCCGTCGATTCCAATACTACCCCAGAGTCAGTGCGAGGTAGACCAATCCAGGTGGAGAAAGGCATCCAAACTCATGGATCTCGTGCCCAATGTCCTCCACGGAATTTATTATGCCAGTCCATGAGGTCGTTTTTACCTTATAGTGACTGGTAGCATCTATCGGGCACCTCTGAGTTGGGCTAAGATTTATTTAAGGTCTTGTATATACAAAATGTTATGCTTTGTCGGACTTGTTTATATATAAGCTTCTCATTATTCACTTAATGCCATGTAATCTGGAATGGCTATATTGATAGAGCCACCAGCATGGTCGGTTGCGCAGTAAGAGACTGGCTTTTGTATACAATAATGGCTGTAAATCGCTTTCTGACTTATCAGCCGATTTTAAACCAATGCTGTCAATGCTATTGTTGAATAATGCGTCGCCTGACGTTCAAATACAGACATGGTTGAGCATCTCAGAATCTTGAAAATAAGCTTTTGACTGAGATGTGGCGGTGCGATGATGCGGTGGCGCAGCAGTGGAGCCTGCGGGGACCAGAGCCACCGGTGATATCATCACATGAGAAAACAAAACAGTGACTTGACTTGTCATGCGCAACTCCTCGACTATTTTCTCCAAATATTTGGCTTATGCGCTGGCAGAGTTGATCTATCACCAGAAGACACAGCGCGCGTCCCCTTACCTGCAGCACGCGCCCGCTTTGTTTCGGCCTACCACAAAACGCGTTTGAGATACGAGAGAAACCGAACCCATCATCTTGATACATGCTTCCTGGGTAATCATACCATAACCATGGATTATTTCAACCAACTCAAGAACCGCCGTCGTTCCTCGCAGATTAACAGTACGCCCAAGCCTGTCCTGTCGCCGGAGGATGAGGCCTACCTACGTTCGTTAACCGCCGAGGAATTCGTGCCGATTCCAACGGATCCCAAGGAACGAACCCCAGCCGAGGCGTCCCAGCAAGCAGAGACCGGTGAATTTGCTATCAATGTACCCCTGCCAACGTCACCCGCAGAGGAGTTTGGGAAAGAACTTGGGGAGGAGGACAGGCGCGAGCGGAAGGGGTCAGAACCAACGTTGACGAGATCGGAGACACCACAGTCCGAGAGCAAGAAAGCTCCCCAGAAGAAGAAGCGATGGAGCGCTATGTTCTGGAAGAAGAACACAGATGGCAAGGTCAGTTCGTTTGCTGGAATTCTTGTGCCCGGCCTCGCATATGCTAACATATGTCCTCCAAATATAGGACAAAGATGTCAACGAGTCAGCAAAGTCACAGATAAAAACATCGACTCCTCCCGCGACGTCAGAGACCTCAACAAACGGGCAAAGTGCAGAGAAGGACAAGGATGCAGAGGACATGACGGATATTCTGGAGCGGCTGAACCTAGCAGCAGACAATAACCGCGTGTTCTCTATTAGTGACGAGACTCAAGAACTTTTACGAAAGTTCAAGCTCATCTTTAAGGACTTGATCAACGGAGTGCCGACTGCCTACCGTGACTTGGAGATGCTCTTGACCAACGGAAATCGTCAACTGCAAGATACTTACACAAAGCTTCCTGGACCCATGCAAAAGCTTATCGAAAAGCTTCCGGAACGTTGGACTGAGACTCTAGCTCCAGAGATGCTCGCTGTTGCTGCTGAACGCGCTGGTAAGAGCGGTGTTAGCATGGAAAATGTGGGCAAGGCAGCCGCCGCTGCGGAGAAGATTGGCCTCAATGTGCCAAGTCTGAAGGAGCTTGTTTCGAAGCCTGCTGCCCTTGTTGGTATGCTCCGATCGATTATGGCATTCTTGCGAGCTCGATTCCCTGCCGTCTTGGGTATGAATGTGCTCTGGTCACTGGCATTGTTCCGTAAGTACAGCATTCTGCTAACAACCGATGACATGGGCTAAGTTTGGTACTTATTAGTTCTACTATTCGTTCTATGGTATTGTCATAAGCGCGGACGCGAAGTTCGCCTCGAGAATGAACGTCTTGTGACGGAAGAAGAAATCAACAAGCTCAATGAAGACGCCTCTGCAGAAAGGATCCGTGCCACTGAGACCTTGACAACCACAGCGCCCCAGGGTGCTTCTCCCGAGGAGATTCGGGAGGGCGTGAGAAAGGTCGAGGAAGCCAGAGCTGCTCCCTCTGTCACCCCTACTGAACCCGAAACTGGGGCTGAAGAAGTTGTCCGACCAGGACCAGTACCCACTCGATCGAAGTCTCGCCTGTCTATCTTCGGTCGAGCGAAGACAGATCCCATGCCCAATACTGCCACTCCATATCCTGGAACGTAGTTGGGAGTCTCTTGGTGGTTGACGTCCTGTGGTAGGTTTCCGGATCCCACTGTGACTCGGGACAACCCACAATTTACTGCCAAACGGGACCTGCATACACTTCCGTTGTGGCATTTGATGAATATTGCAGCATCATCTGGATTCGTGTGTTTAATTACTTTCGACGTCGTTCGTGTCTATTGATTACCCCTTTCTAATTGAGTCACATTCATCATTTCTCTCTTTCGCATAAATGGAACATTTAACGGTCAGATGGTACATAATACGGGGAGTCCGTTTGCATTACTGTAACGGATTACTTTAAATCAATAAGAATAAAGTATATGTAACTCAATGTAACGCGAATAAAGAATAAAAATACGACGCATCTCGTATATACGGATCGCCCGAGTGATGCGGGTGATGGGGCCGGAACTGATTTCTTCCTTCGGGCCGATTTGAGTTGAGTACATGATTAATTAGGTGGTGAAAGCTCGATTGATTATGCTCAAGGTCATCCTTTGAAAGGGACAGTTTGCCTGTAGTTTGACGTAGGAAATAAGATGTATCGAGCCCTGGAGCGCACCTGTGTTGTCTGAGTCGCTTAGTCGCCGTAGCGACCGCGCTACACGCGGAGCGAAGCTGTCAGGACTTGGCAGTCAACTTCTCTCTTCGGTCTCGTCTGCCTGACTGGACACAATATACTAACATTACTGGACTGCCATTGCACTTGATGGTCATTTGTCACATCTTCCATCCAACCTCGGAACTTTTCATACTTAAATTCGTCAGTCCGATATTGATTGGCTATGGCTTCCCTGGGACAGCTTCCAACCGAAATTCTTCAAATGATTGCCACGCAAATATACTCACAGAATGACCTCCTACACCTGATCTACAGCTCCCGAAAGATGTGCAATTTGCTACTCCCAATTCTGTATTCCCAGGTTCGCCTCTGCGACTGCCATTTTGATATTCAAACCGTGGTCCCATTCCTCATTACCATTCTACGCTATCCGGAGTTAGCAAAGGCAGTCCAGCACTTAGATCTGAATGATTGGAGATATTCCCCATGGGATCCACGCATTCAACCTCGATTTGATTATGAGGACCACCATAAAAGGCTCCTTAAGAAGGCCGATCTCGGCGTCCGCTACTCTTGCGAAGAGGAGCAGTTGCTATTCCAAGGCCTAGAAATGGGGGACTCCGACGCCTGGCTCGCTGTTCTGATTCCACAGCTCACCAGCTTGAAAAGCCTTAGGATAGCCTGGCCCTATGAGGAGAATAAAGTCAACACGATGTTCGCCAAAGCAGCCGAGGATGGCGGTCGTTTATTTCCTCATCTCCAAGAAGTAAAGGCCGGACATTGCGACATAGAAGGCTATCTCGATACAGACTACCTGGATCCATTTTTCAAGTTCCCAGCTATGCGCAGAGTGGTCGGAGTCATGGTCGCAGAGGATGAAGAGGATAATGCCCCAGAGCCTCCTTCTCAGCGTTATTCCGGAGTCGAAAAAATCGAGCTCGTGATGAGTAACACCGTATATGGATTCCCTGTTTGGATCCAGTCTTGCATGGCGCTGAGATCATTCCACCTCGACATTGGTGGGCCATCGATCAGTGATGTTTCGATCCAGTCTGATCCTCTCCGCGAGTCGCTCTCATATCACAAGACGACGTTAGAGACGCTCTGGATTCGGACGGACGAGGAAGCTGATCGTGACGAGGACGAGGGGTGGATTGGGTCTTTTGCCGATTTTTCCGCCTTGAGGATGTTGCAGATCCCTTTTAAAATGCTGATTGACTTTGATCCGGAGACTGGGACAAATCAAGAGCTGAGAGAGTTGTTGCCGCCAACTTTGACGTTTTTGTATCTATGCCAATGTGACCCTGACCTGGTTGTTTTGGCTATTGAACAAATCGAGGCCCTATTGGACTCACGATGTCTACCCAAGCTTGTTTCGTTGGGCCTTGAATGTAGCAGGCCTAAAAAATCAATACGGCCTAGAATGGATTTGCTCACTTCAAGGTGTAAAGAGATGGGTATTGCCTTTGTCAACTTACCTCCTAGCCAGCGGGAGACTTGGTACTATCTGGGAAGGAATTGGCCTAGTCATGGTTACTATAGTTGACCGAAATACTGCTTCTCCTCATATTGTCAATTTGATCTTGTTTAGCATCTGGAAATTGCCAGAAAAGAGAGATAGAGACGAACCGAAGTCTAGGTAGGCAGGGAGTGTGTTGAAACCGACATACTTGCGTTGAGGCATGTAAATATCAAACCGAATCTATCCGCTTATTCTCTAGGTGGAACTGCATACAATTGTCACAGCCATCATTTACAATCCTGCCAACTTCCTCATTGCCCGCAACCGTCTCTTGATTTCTGCGGATGGACCCACATAATTGTCTCGATAAGGTCAAACTGCAATTCCAGGAGCCAGGCGGACAGTAGGGACCCATCGTGGCGTGTGGAAAAAGCCTTTATTGCTATCCTCGTCGTAAAACTCCCAGAAAGTTGTGATGCTCAAGAGACTGGGAATATTCTACGTCAGTCATCCGGGAGATTTCACTCTGATGCTCAACAGAATGGGTCTATGGAGCTTCCCGAAGGAGTGGAGTCAAGTGCCGACAGAAATGTTTTGCTCTACACGTGCATAAAGGATCCAGGGGAATCGTTTGGGTGTGCTATTCTTGTACCAAAGTAGACAGTAGACAGTAGCCTTCGATCTATGAGACACATCAATCTCTAAAACCAGCAAACGCCACCGTAAACGTAAGTTATACGGAGCTCGCTGTTCCGTAGAGGCGTTAGAAGAAGGTGGAGTCAGTCATTGGAAGGCCATAGAAGTGGCCAGGTGGAGGATTCTCAAAAGTGAAGAAAATTCGACTGAAAACATATTAGCGCTAGCGATATTGTTTTCCCGAGGCTTCTGATTGGCGTTGGAGGCAGAAAATTTTCCATAGGACTGCGGGGCAGAGATGATCTTGCATAACTAAAAAAGGAGACGGAAAGATCTTCCGATTGCCTCCGCAGGTGAAACGTGTCTCTTCACCGATGAAGAGATAAGAGGGCACTCGATAGATCTCATGCAAGAGACGTGATGACCCTTACCGCTTTTATAGTTAGGCCGTCGAGCATGGGCGGTGCATATAGACTTGGGGTTCAGAGTCAAAAGCACCTGCAGCTGCCCGGTCTTGGACCGGACATGCCAAGCCGGCCTGGAATGGAGCATCAAATTGCCACTGGACAAATCTGAAGTCGGATCTAAGCCTCGAGCCAATCAATCAGGTGAAAATTGGAGCTGACACGGTTCTTGCAAAGAGTCAAACAATATGATTCATCGATGGATGTGTCATACGTTCAATCAATTAACCCGAGAATATGAATCATAGGCATCATCATGCATATCGCACGGGTCAGAGGCTGAACCGAGCGAGGGTCTAGTTTGACGTCCATCGTCGAACCATCGAACGGCCTGTTGGAGGGGAATCCTGTAAGCGCTGGAGATCTCCGGTGCAGACTCGTACAGACTGGCCACTCTAGACCCGCTTGCCCCGAGGTTGGAATGACGACTGGTTTTTGGCGGTTTTTGCCTGTGTTCGCCTCCAGGACTCACCTGGACAATATCTCTAGTACTAAATGTCAATAGCCATGCTCTCCATATGCAGAACCCTGAGATATAACCAACATTCCATAGAATGCCTGTAGCAATACCACGAAGAGAAAATAAAAGAGTCGGTGAGCGGCGCCAACGAATGGGCAGCCGCTGTAGTCAGCCAATCACGGGCACCCCCACCTCCGGGAAAAAAGTCGACTATCGCCCTTCTATTCTTCTTCCTTCATTCCACTCCATTCTCCATTCTCCAACTCATATCAAACAGTCGGTTTACAATCAACTAAAACCTTTCACCCTTCTACTTACAAGATATCGTCGAATAACCAGCCAAATGGCTTTCGTTGAGCTGTAAATGCCTCGCTGGGGAACCACCTGGTTCCCCAGTCCTGCAGCTCCGATCCTTATTTCGACTTGACGATATCTGTTCCTCTTTCAACGCCTCCCAAGAAGCGTTGGAATTGCCCCAAAGTACACTCCCAGAAGGAGCACAGCGTTCGCATTGAACTGCGGGTGCTTTCACCAGAAAATTCTCCCTACCTCCGCTCCGCCTCCCCACCCTCTACCCACCTCGGCCCTCCCTTTCTATAAACAACCTTGGACCCAATTACGACTATTCTCTCCTCCTAGGGGATCCACTCACCACCACTCCACCTGCTAAGCCCGCCTTAACGAAACGGGAGCAGAAAAGTCTGGATCATAAAACTCCACCTCCCCTACCTTTCTCGCAATGCCTCAATCCTCTTATTCCTCTAAAAGGGCACCCAAGAGTTCAGCTAAAAACGCCCACCCCCGCCCTGCAACCCCCGAGGGCCACATCAGGCGCAACATGGATATGTCTCCCAAAGTCAATCCCCCTAGGAAGTTGGCCACTGGCCGACCCGCCGACAGAAAACGCAGAGCATCGTCCTCTTCAGTCTCCTCTGTCTCCTCTGTTTCATCCCTCGATGATCTTAGCGAGGAGGCAGATGATTCGGAAGAAGATGCGGACGATGAGGAAGAACCAGCTGTCAAGGCCCCGTCTTATCGTCGGAGGGACAATAAGGCGGGGCGTCAACCTGCACGAGCCAAAAGAAGACGTGTGGTTTCAGATGATAGCAGCAATGCCAGCGACTCTGATGAGAGCTCTGATGATGTCTACGCTGCGGTGGACTACATCACGGATGCTGAAGATGAAGAGCAAGACGTTGAACAAATGGAAGAAATGATGATTATGGAATCTGAAAGATCTCAGCGGGTCATGCCTAGTTCAGAACTGAACGATGAGCAGTGGACCATCTCGAACGCGTTTGACGACCATATGTTCTTACCAGCAGCTTCTTTCTTCGACGAGGAGCACCTTTACTCCGCCATGGACACCTTTGGGGAACCAGAAATGACCAGCGAGGCTGTTGAGACTCCAGTTGCTCGACGAGTCCACTTCGAGGAGCGATCAGAATCGTCCTCTGATAGTGATTCCCACAGCGATGATGAAATTCCCGGTGACTTCTTGCAGCAAGACAGCTTGGACCCACAGCTGCGTCGTATGATTGAAAATGACCACGAGTCCTACCGCAACAACCATCGTAGGCATTCCGAAGAAATCTTCGGTGATGCTGATTACGGCCATGGCAGCATTTACCACGTCGAGTCCGAGGGTTCCTCCGAGGGCAGCTTGAGTGGATATGAGAGTATGATGACCGACCATCGAATTTTTTGTTCTATTTTGCTAACCTGCTGAAGGTGATGATGGCGATACCACAGATGAAGATTTACCCCCACCAGCTACCATCACCCACCCTCGATCCCTTCTTCGCCGGGACTCATCCGATTCATTGGCCCCTGTAGGTGACGACAAGAGCGATAGTGTTCCTCGCCGCCGTGGTCCCATCATGGGAACCTTCGTGGCCGACCCTCACAAGCCGGTTGCTTTGGTTGACTGCACTGGAAAGCACCTCGTCATCATCCCTGCCTATGCCTCTTCTCGCCACGACTGGCTTGAGTCCGCTGCTAACAGCATGCCCGGAACCGCCAACACCAGCCCTCGCCAGACTACTCTTCACCTGGTTGACGAAAGTGACACCGATGCTCTTGTCTCTCCTCATCAAACAGATTTCAGCCCCATGCTGGCATCCAGTGCCAATCTCATGATGACTGCTCTTGGAAATGACCTTACACCCGGAGGCCAGGTTATGGGTCCTCCTGAGGCGTTCTACCCCTCCCAGGACTTCACCATCGACAGTTCTTTCGAAGAGGATGAAGACGATGATCCCGAGTCCGCCCTTAATGTGGACGATTTCATTGACTTTGGTAACGGCTCATCCGACGAGGACGATGACATGGACAACCAATTTGACGATGAAGCCCAAGTGTCTCCAATGGGACCGCCATCCGTCAAGTCCATCGGCGCCCGAACTCCCACACGAAAATCCGAATCTCAGCCCCCTAACAACGAAGAGCGCTTCCTGAATCACCTGGACAAGGGCATCGTCACAGCCTTCCGTCGCAACCACAACCGCTACCAGGCTCTCCTACGCCTCCCTCAACACCGCGAGTTCATGCCGGCCAACTCTCCAGCTCGCCCGGCAAGCGTTTTCCGCCACGCCAAAAACAACGACCAGCGCACGCCCACCCGCAAACGCAAGTCAAGTGGCATTGCCGGTGGCGAAGCCGTCCGTCGCAAGCTCATGGACGCTCAGCAACGTCGCAGCACCCAACTCCCAATGTGAACATTTGGTGCTTTTGATTGTCGTCTAGACACCCCCGAACCAGACATGCATCCATATTTATCCTTTTTATGGCACTTGTCTGCGGTTTTCGTTACGATTTCCACGACTTTTGGATTTACAAGATCATGATACACACGGGCGCATCTCCTATTCATTTCTGAGTCGCTGGCAGACTCGACTCCGTGGGCTGCTTCCCCCACCCCACCTTGAACTGGGCCTCAATGCTCACACTTCCTGGTATCATTGCATTTCTACTAGGCTGTACGGATTGGACTCTGGTCTGTGATGATTAGATACTGTTCCCCTACTTACCTGGCTTGCTTGTCAAAAGGTCAATGTTGGTTCTTGATATATTGAAAGGACCAGATTACTTGTCTTGCACTTATCTTTTGCATTATCTATGCTTTTCTTTTTGCTTATCTTTCTACTGGTTCTTCTTTCTCTCTCGCTTACCTTTTCTCATGGTGATACCTTTGGATCTGGAGTTGAAAATTTCATGTATTTTCGTTTTATGAGTGATGGCTATTTGTTTTCTCTTCTATTACTATCAATTTCAAAAACATTCGAAACTTATTTCTCTCTATGTATAAATATATGCAGCATGTGCATTTAGACATAATCGAGGGGTTAACGTTAAGCTTTGTGATCGCATGCATGCAGTTCGTTTGCTGCCAAGTATGTGTTGAGACTCGTTCTTGTGGGTACATGTGCCTTAATCTGGGGTGCATTATATGCCTTGCTTCATTGATAGATCAATCTACTCAAGCTTTCAACTATGTGATCTATGGACATAGAAACAAGAGTGTTCAACTTAAGCTTTCATTGACTATCTCTCTCTATCTGCACTTGGAAACTACTTCCGATATCACAATGTGCGCTCTTCTAAAGGAGCAACACGAGCATCCCCCTCATAGTCGTCCAGGTGGAGCATCATACAGCTTAGGATCTATCTTGCTTAAGATTCGAGGTTCCCTAGTGGCTCTTTGCTATTTACCGAAGGAGCCCTGAGAGAAGCTCGAAATTTAGCAATGCCGTAAATAGATGAAAGTAAACACATCTCACTCCATTAAAAGTCTGGGTTTATTTGAGTATACTGAAGCATAACAGGATCGGGGGCTTGCAGGTACACACATCAAACATTACTCAATTCAATATTGTTTGTATCCTCCAGCCACCCTTTGACCTTTTCTATCCGAGCAGCAACATAACCTAGATCCGATTCCTTCTCGTCAACCTCTTCATCATCATCTCCCCAGACGTCAACCCAAGAATGCTGATAAATCTCTTTCTCACCAGCCGCACATCCAGACATTTGAAGATAGCCGTAGATTCCACGAGTGGGATTTGTAGACATATGCTCGGTTTACATCTCAAACTCCAAGTCATCCGGAACTGGGGGAAGATCAATAGATCGTATGGGAAGCGAGACAGACTGGCAAGATAGACATTCCGAAACAGACTGCGCAGTGGAATCCCGCGTGTCAATCTCAAGATCGGAACTCAAAAGTAGGATTCCGCCCTGTATCTTGGATAGCAGATCCATTGTCAAGCTCCCAATTGTAGTCTTCGTATTTCAGAACATGGCATGTGCAGTCAACGTGAGGACGAATGTCAATTTCAGTGTCGCAAATCCTGGTCTTTCCGAAGGGTTTCCAGGCCCATGCACTCAAATGCCCATGGTTATAATGAGTATGGTTGTTCTGGTCTCTTGCACTCGGTGTTACCAAGAACAAAAGTTTGCACTCATCTTCCTTCATTATGGTATTAGTGTCCTTGTTGCGGCAATCTGGATTCATTTTCATTGTCAGAAATGTTGTATTGACCGGCATCCAGGCTTCCGCTTGAATACTGGGCCTTGCAACACTTTCTCCTTTGAGGTTGCTCAAGACAAATGAGCTAATTCCGTTGATTATGGCACCAAGCCAAATAACCCCGAGTCGTGGATTGTGTGCCGTGAGACCGTTCAAGAGATGCGTGTTATCTCTTTCCTGGCAAATTGGTGAAATTGTTGCTATGGCTGGATTCAACCATGCATCAACTAGATTACAAGGTATTGCTGGGTTGAAAATGTAGAATCCAGGGCCTCAATGAGTCTCCATGGGTTGCTGCTGCGAGTCATATAGTAGGGCAGTAAGGCTATGTAAGAATTTATCAACGAGGGTATTGGCTGCGGGCTTTGACGTGTTGCTGTTGAGGTCTTTTGGGGGTTCTCTGATAGTCTTGGAATCGGAAGAAATGTTTTCGATTCAAAAGGTTGACAATTGAAGAAAACTGCAGATAGAGCTGCAGTAGCCTGGGCATAGATGTGGTGATATATGCAGAATCGACTCAGATATTGTAAGGCTGTTGTCGAGGATGGCGGGGTAGGTTTCAATGTAGACATTGTATCCTGTTTCCTATCCTTCTTGACGTCTACTTTAATGAGGCCAGTAATCGCGACAGACCATGGCGATTCGAATATTTCGGACTTAAACGCTACCCTGATCTTCCAGGCTGGGTCTCCAGCAAGAACAGCTCGCCACCAGCAGATCTCGTCTTCACTAGAGTCTGGTGGTATCTCGACTTCAATGAAGGTGTGCTGGGTTTTCGCGGTGCTTACCTCGTCTTGTTCTCTTTCAGAATGGATTTGATATCAATGCATTCGAGTGGGAAGGTGTCGCTAAACTTGAAATCCGACGACCATTCTTGGTAGCTTTGGCGCAGGATGCGCTCGTAGGACTCTTTTTCCGGGCGGAAGGGGTCCATAGCTGTGTATATGAGAGATGATAGCAGGCAAGAGGGAAGTAGAAAAGAACAATTACTGAGAAATCCCATGCAAACAACGCACTTCAATTGACTTAGGGTTATTTGGAGAACGAGTTGTTCACCGCTCATTTGGCTGCATCTTGAGCCTCAGCTGTCCATATCATTGCATTTGAGATCATATTGACTTAACTTGAACTATTTATCGACATGGTCAACTAGGCCATTGTTGCATGGTAACCTTACTACAAGTTAGTCTATGGGCAAACAGTACCAAGCTACGAAACCTAGGTCCATCACGGGTGGTAGTCATCTATAGTGGCAATGATTGCCAGGGCTTTCTTATGATGCAAAATGGTCTAGCTTTAGGCTAAATAATTTCTTATGCATATGTCCATGATTTTATAACTTGAGTTGCACCACGCTGGCACGGCGATCCATTTCCCAAACCAGCTTAGCAGGATTAGTATTAACATATCATTCATTCAAATAAGTGTAGAAAAAGCGTTCAGACGCATATATTGCAAGAGCTTGAGTCTGTTTGAACTGACTTTGGGCTGTGAAACGAAGTCCACTAGGAGCGAGCAATATATTTCTTGGAGAGGCACCAGTTTTCGTTAAAAGAACTATTACGGGATTGACCCTGCACTGGGCGCCAAGCTGTGCAAGTTTCCCGGGCTACAGATTATGACTGCATAAGCAGAAAAAAACATAGAAAACCAAGCAAAAGAGGCGGCAAGTAAGCCTCAATGAACGCTCTACACAGAACAGTTCTCGGGGTACACCTGCACTACAACCTCATGCCATGCCGCCGCACAAGCCATACCAAATTAAGTGCTCGGCGAAACATAGCTTTACAATATAAATTATGCCTAGACTCCGGTAGAGCAGGAGTACAGCGTCGCATTCTCAGTCGGTGTGGCGTCAATGTCATTGGCTAATATTTTTAGTTAAGCGTTTCAGGTTGGACGGACTTCGGAGTCAAGCTAACAAAGCCATCGTCCGATGCCAAATATTGAATATCGAGGGTTGGAAATTGTTTCTTTATCTGAAGCTTTGAACTATCCAGTGGCAGTGATTTTACAGTTTGAATCTCCAAGATTCGAAAGCGCCCACATTCCAAGCCAAAATGCCGCAATAGAGTACAGTATCCGGGCATCGGCTTCTCGCGGAGTTACGGTATAGCACGTTTGGGCTGAAGAGCTTACTACGATTGACCCGAAAAACTGAAGTCACTCATGCTTCCGCTCATGCTCACGCGCATGTTGCATCGGCTACACAGCCGTGCAGAAATGTATCCAAGGCGAAACGGAATTGAAGCTCCGAGAGAGCTGTCAAGTTGTGATCCACCAGTGCACGTTAGCGCTTTTGGTCTGCTTCAGCCTAAAGATCCACCATGCCTTTAAACAAATCAGGAATCAAGTTGAAGGCCCGTTCAGGTACCCGACGCCACAAGTGCTAATAGACCAGTTAGGCCATTGGAGTGGGCGGGTTGTGGCACATTCTCAAGCAACTACTGTTCGAGCTTTCAGGGGTGACCCCTTACTGTAAAGAGCGTGGGAGAAAAAAAAAGACAGGGAAAAAAAACAGCAAATGTGTATATGCAGGGAATTTCCCTTGGTCCTACCTCAATCCTGTAGTTTTGTTGGTCCTTGGTGTGTCATTTTGTGATTCGCTGAACCCTGGCGCTTCGAGTGCAACAATCACAGCGCTTCTCCACAAAAGCAAAGCAAAGCTCAGAAGATCAGCGACGATCACGCACAGATAGCACCGGCAGTCAGATAGAACAGCAGTACTGTGAGGATTAGATTAACTCACGCTAACGTCTCAGGGCGAGACGCCAAGTAGCACTCCGTCTGACCGGTCGCATATAGATCCCGAAAGAAAGAAGTACCGGTTGACTGGTAGACTAGAACCATAAGAGTCATTTGAATATTATATTTGAACAGCGTGAGTGTCCACCAAGAGTTGGGCCAAGACAAAGAAGAGTTAGAACTCTACACCCACAGTAGACCCGAACTCAGCCTGGACATCCTCAATGCTTTGCAATGCATGTAGCCGAGCCGATCAAGCGCCGCTCCATTGTTCAATGCTATTTTTACTCTTCTGTATCTCTATTGGCTCAAAGAAGTACTGCATTGAGTCGACGAACATGGACCAAACCCCGCAGGCGCTCTGTCCTGCAAGCCCTAACTGGTTCTCCACCACAGCCTCTTCAGGCTGTTCCTGCACTAGTCAGCGCCGCGCCTGGAATGGATCCCAGAGTCTTCCTCTTTGGGCTGGCAAACGTTTCATAAATGTCTTCCAATTCATACCGATTGGAGGAAATCAGCGCCCCTCTCTAGTAGCATGTCTTACCTGTTCCCTAGCAGGATAGGGAAAAGGAAGACCCTTTGTGTTCATGGTCCACTATGGAGTCTTTAAGAGCGCTTTGCCCAGGACCCTGGACCATTTTCAGTTCTGTCATTGTCTTTTTCTTTTCTGTTTGGCTTTAAGCCTATTCCCACTCGTTCAGGGATTTTGGATTTCTTGTGCCACCCTCGTTAATCGTTGGCTTTCATTGACGCCTTTCATTGTTGCTGGTTAAACAATCACGTCGCACTTAGAATCACTAGATTGATTGCTCTATTTTACCGAGAGCTTATTGACATCCGACTTTATAACTATTCTTTTCTTGGCATTTCTTTCTTACTTCTTCTCCTTACCTCTTCTTCTTTCTTCTCCGGTTTCGTCTCTCACTTTCCCGTCACTCGTTATCGACGTCCTTCAACATGAAGGTTTCCTCTTTCGCCTTCTTCTCGCTTCTGGCCTCTGTCCAGGCCACTGGATCGGTATGTCACTCGATGAATGTGTAAGAATGCCCATGCTAACAGCCGCAGTACTGGGGTTCCGAGAAATGCTACTCCAGCCCTGGTCGATCCCCCAACAAGTGTAATGAGCACCAGCAGAAGGGTTTCAGCTGGTCTGATCTCGCTGCTGGTTCATTCTCCAGCTATGGTGGCTTTGAGTTCTCAGGTTTCACTTGTGGCAACGGCTTTGGCTCCAGCCTCGGCAAGCGTGGTGTAAGTTGATTTGATATTGACAGGTCAGGACATCATGATCATCTACAATGTACTGACCTTACCATAGACCCAGAAGTGTATCTCTGGTACTGTCTCTCGTGGATCCTCCAGCTCTTCCAGCTCTTCCAGCTCCAGCCATGGCTCTGGCTCCAGCAGCTCCGGCTCTTCAGCCCCTTCGTTCTCCTGTGGCTCTGAGGAGAGCGGTTTCTCTGTGACCAACTTCCACATTGCTACTGAGAAGGAAACCGAGCTGCACATCATCTACAGCATGCCCGACGGATCGACCTGCAAGAACACCGCTAGCTGCCACTCCGGCGGTACCACCGTCACCAATGACCAGTGTGGTGGTGCTACTTCCGTTCACTTCGAGCTTCCTGAGGACAGCGAGACTGAGAGCTGTGGATTCGGGATCTACAGCGTTGGCTTTGACTGCACTCCCGGTACTACTAGCACTGCTTCAGCTTCAGTCTCTGTCCCTGCCACCTCGGTGCCATACACTTCCGTTGCTGCTGGGTCTAGCTCCGTGCCCTCAGCCTCGGTTTCGGTCTCGGCTCCCTCCTCGGCCCCGTCGTCGGTTTCCCCTGTCACTACACCGGGTGCTAGCACTCCTGTCAAGATGACCACCTCGACCGTGTACACCACCAGTGAGGTCACTATCACTAGCTGTGCTGCGAGCGTCACCAACTGCCCAGCCGACTCAACTACCGTCGTAACTTCGACCATTGCTATCTCTACCACGGTTTGCCCAGTTACCGAGACTACCCCTGCCGCTGCCAGCTCCCCGTCTCTGCCTGCCGGTCCTAGCAGCGTCTTGCCTGCTAGCTCCAGTGTTGGATACTCTTCTGTCTGGTCTGGGTCCGCCAGTGAGACACCCTCAGCTCCTGCTTCCTCGGGTTCTGCTTCGACCCCTGCTGGAACTCCTTCGCCATCATCTGTTGGTGCTGTGACCACCCCTGGTGCTGTTACTACTCCTGCTCAATGGACCACCTCGACTGTGTACACCACTAGCGAGATTACCATCACCAGCTGCGCTGCTAGCATCACCAACTGCCCGGCTGACTCTACCACTGTCGTTACTTCTACTATTGCTGTTTCAACCACTGTGTGCCCTGTTACCGAGACTACTCCCGCCGCTGCTAGCTCGCCTTCCCTGCCCGGTGCCCCTAGCCCTAGCAGCGTTTCGCCTGCTAGCTCCAGTGCTGGATACTCCTCTGTCTGGTCTGGGTCCGCCAGCGAGACACCCTCAGCTCCTGCTTCCTCAGGCTCTGCTTCAACCCCTGCTGGAACTCCTTCGCCCTCATCTGTAGGTGCTGTGACCACTCCTGGTGCTGTGACCACTCCTGGTGCCGTGACCACTCCTGGTGTTACTACTCCTGCTCAATGGACCACCTCGACTGTGTACACCACCAGCGAGATTACTATCACCAGCTGCGCTGCTAGCGTCACTAACTGCCCGGCTGACTCTACCACCGTCGTCACCTCCACTATCGCTGTCTCGACCACCGTCTGCCCTGTCACTGAGACTACCCCAGCTGTTGGATCTTCGTCTGTGCCTGGTGTTCCCAGCAGCCCCAGCGGCGTTCTTCCCGTCAGCTCGCCTGCTCAATCCACTGGTCCCAGTGAAACTCCCACTCTTTCGGAGTCCGGATCCTCTCCTTCGGGCACTCCTACGGTTCCCAGCGTGACCTCTGCTGCGTCTACTCCTGCTGGCACCCCGGGTGTTCCTGGCGAGACCGTCACTACCGTTGTGACTTATGAGACCGTGACTACCTGCCCCGTGACCAACACAGTTACTTCTGGCTCCTCCACCTTTGTGACCACCTCCAGCACTGTGTCCACTGTTACTTTGACTTCTACCTCCACTGTCTGCACACAGTGCTCTGCCACTGCCACTGCTACCTCCGTTGCTGGCCAGAGCTCCGTCGTCCCATCTGGTACACCCGAGGGTTCCAGTCCCGTTGGCTCTGAGACTGCCCCTGTTTCTACCGGTCCAGCCGTCACTAGTTCCATTACCTCCAGCGTCGGGGCTGTCTCTACCCCTGCTGTCCCTCAGGGCGGAACCACCACCGTTGTGACATATGAGACTGTGACTACTTGCCCTGTCACTGATACCGTCACCTCGGGATCTTCCACCTTCGTCACTACCTACAGCACTGTTTCCACTGTCACCTTGACTTCGACTTCTTCCCTGCCCAGCTCCGTCGCCGCAGGCAGCACTCCCGCTCCCTCTGGAACTGATGTTGCTACCAGCCCGGCTCCCACTGGACCTGCTGTGACTAGCATTGTTGTTAGCTCGACCCCCACTGTTCCTGAGGGCCAGACTACCACCGTCGTTACCTACGAGACTGTTACCACCTGCCCTGTCACTGACACTGTCACCTCTGGATCTTCGACCTTTGTGACTACCTACAGCACTGTTTCCACTGTCACCTTGACTTCAACCTCCTCCATTCCTAGTTCAGTCGCTGCCGTCAGCACCCCTGCTCCCACTGGAACCGAAGTGGCCACCAGCCCTGTTCCCACCAGCGTCGGTGCCAACTCGACCCCTGCTGTTCCCGAGGACCACACTACAACAGTTGTTACCTACGAGACCGTCACTACCTGCCCCGTTACCGGCACTGTGACTTCAGGCTCGTCCACCTACCTGACTACCTCTAGCACCGTCTCCACAGTCACTTTGACCTCGCTCTCTACAATCTGCACCAAGTGCAGTGCTACAGCCACAGGCACCTCTGACGTCTCCGCCGCAACAGGTACCGCTGTCGCCGTCACTGGAACCTCCCCAGCATCGAGCCCCGCTCCCTCGGCTCCTTGCCCCAACACCGTCCCCCAGTGTATCAACACCTGGTTGAGCCTCGCACCCAAGTGCACATCCAACAGCGACGCCTCCTGCTTCTGCCCCAACACCGAGTTCACCAATAAGGTCATCTCCTGCATCCAAGCCTGGGGTGCCTCCAAGGCCGAAGTCCAGTCCGCCCTCTCCTACTTCACCGGAATCTGCGCATCCTGGGTGCCCCAGAACCCAGCCATCGTCACCGCCATCCCCTCGACCATCACCCTGGTCCCGACCGTCGTCCCCTCCGTCGCTGTCTCTAGCGCCGTCGACGCAACTGGCATCCCGGCAACCCTCACCCCAGCCGCGCCCCTCACCTCCGCCCCGGCTGTCCCCTGCACCACCATCACTTACTCCACCTACACCCTGACAGTCCCCCAAGTCAGCTTCATCACCAACACCGCTACCGGAACGGGTGTCAGTGCAGGTGCAACCATCGGCCTCGTCCCCGCCGGTCCCAGCACCAGCGCCGTCTCCCCAGCAAACACAGGCGTCGTTCCAGTGCCCGCATCCGCAACCTGGGTCACAGCCTCCGCAGGCGCATACGCTTCTGCCTCTGCCAGTGGAAGTGCCAGTGGAAGTGCCAGTGGAAGTGCCTCGGCCAGCGCCTCGCCAGTCTTCAACTCGGCGTCCAGTCTTTCAGTCGCTTCTAGTCTGATTCTGGGTTCGTTGGCTGTATTCTTTAGCTTGATGCTGTAATGGGGAAAGTCCTTGACTTTCTTTGACGGATCTAATTTGATATGGCTTCTGTGATTGCTATTTTTGTCTCTTTTCTTTTCTTTGAATTTGATTGTCTTCGTTGCTGTCCCTCTTGTTTTCTGGGCTCGCGAATTGACTGATATGGAACGGGCTGCGAGGGATGCCTTTTTGTATTGTACTTATTCACTCTCTAATTGAATGAAGATAGACCTCGTTTTGCCTTGACTTTGCTTTTAGTGAGTGAGAGTACTGTAGTGTAACCCATGTTTGCTTTGGACTTTAGATGAGCTTAAAATACGTAGGATTTGCAGGCTATCTTAGTGGATATTCATATTTCAAGGACGGCCCACTGGCAGTAGTAGAATTCAGAGACATCATATGAATCTTAGCCGGATCTGATTCAGGTAACTCAAATCCATTTTTCAGCCAGTTTGTATCATGACAGGACATACATAGTTAAAGCATAATCTCATAACAAAAGGAAATAAAGAAGCAGAAATGTCTTCATCATCACCAGCATCCCACAAATTCGTTCAAATTCCACCCTCACTCCTTCTCAGGCCGCTTCTGGTGGCTGAAGAGGGTATCATCAAGCCAGTCCATGTAATCAGGGACACCTTTCTCGATATCACGAAAGACCAAGCGGGCATTCTTGCGTCTAAGGCTGGAGATGTCGGCACAGGTGGTGTTTTGGTACTTTCCCTTCAGGTAGTGAGGAAACTGAATGACACGAATGTATCCCTCGGGACTACCAAAGTGGCTGACAACCTGCATGGCAACCTCCTGGAAAGACCTGGCCTTGCCGGTCCCCACGTTGAAAATGCCTTCGGCTTCGGGGTGGTCGTAGAACCAGCAGTTCAGGCGAGCCACATCCTCGACGTGAACAAAGTCGCGCTTCTGCTGTCCGGCTTCATATCCTGCGTACTCTCCGAACAGCTCGACTGCCTTGAACTCCATGCGCTTGGTATAGAACTGATTGATCACGCTCGCCTTGCTACCCTTGTATTGCTCGCCAGGTCCGTAGATACTGAAGAGGCGAAGACCGGCGACCTGCTGGCTGGGAATTTGCTTATTTTTGGCCACATACTGATCCAACAGGAGGTGGCAGTAGCCTTTGGGGGTCAGAGGGGCTTCTTTACCGTCGATGTCGCTGAAGCTGGGGCCAGCTCCATAGACAGAAGAAGAGGATGCATAGATGAATCGAATCTTTGACTGCTGACACCAATTGAAGACCTCCTTTCCGTACGTGAAGTAAGCATCCATCACGTCTGCACCATTGGCTTCGGCAGATACGCCGCCATAGTGGTAGACAATGCGGGTCTGGCTGAGGAACGGCTGACTGCGGCTCGTAGCCCGGAAGTCGGTGGTCTCGAGGGTGGAAGCTCTGTTACGAATGGCAGCCCGAAACTCCGCCGGCGAGATTAGATCCGTGATTTGGCAATCGGCCAGGTTGCGAAATTTGGCGCCCTCGGTACCCAGGTCATCCACAGCCACGATGTTGCTGAACCCGCGGTTGTTCAGTTCCTTGATCAAGTTCGAGCCAATGAAGCTCGCTCCTCCAGTAACGACGATCATCGTGCGTGGCTGTTCGGGCTCCGAATTAACGGGGTAAAAAACCGCAGAGGCAAGGTACTTGTATTCAGCAGTGATTTGCATGATTTGGGGACCAAGGAGAATTGGGCCAGAATGTTTGGCTCTCTTTTGCGCACGTGCGGTGAACAGGGTAACGGACAACTATTGTGGAAGGCACGATCCTGATCTCACGTGTGATGATGAACAGTCGGGGATATGCACAGAGAATCAAGCAATCCTGATACAACGGAAGCTCCTCTAGCTCTATCAAACTCCCGAGGACTACGTATCCATCATTGGTGACTGGAGTTGTGCACGGAATTCAACGATGTAGCCTTCATGACCGGTACCATAATAGCTTACACTATTACTGTAGTTTGGAGACTTCGAATAATGAACATACTTGGCCTGAATCAACCGAATCAACCGAGCCACCCTGTCCAGTAGGCTGGAGTGAGCAGAACACAAGTTAGTTCTCCGGACCGCAGACTAGCATCTGGATTGTCCACCAAATTGTTCAAGGTCGCCCGACCATACCAATTCTCTTCGGTAGAGACTTCCCGAAGAATCCATTGAAGCCTCTTAGTTTCGTCGGGGCTGTCCAGACCGAAAAAGCAGGTTCTTATCGATCCTTCCGAGTGGGCGGGGGGCCAGTAGTGTGTGTTTTGCGAACTGGGTCGTGCGTTCAGCGGAGAAGGAATCTCATCCTTCGAGCAGCTATTGTCGACGTCCGCGGAGGAGTTTGTTTTTTGGCCGCTTCTCCGTGGACCTTGTCGCCTGCATTCACGGCGGGAAGCGCGTCTGTTACCACCGAGTTGAATGCCTAGTCCAGGGACGTGGGTTGCCAATCCAGTATGCAGACTGTCAGCTGGAACTGATGGACAAGAGGTGCACAGATAGGGTGGATATCGCCAACACCTCCACTTGACCCGGCGACCAAGTATCGGAGTAGGCCGATCCACCGTTCTTGAAGGGCAAACGGTTAGCCGCGCTAGGCTATTGGGGTTCCGAGGAAACCCCGTTGCCGCTTATCATGTAGAGTCAGGTTATTCACTGTTGCAGATGACCGTCTCGGAGATGGATGACGAATGGGCTCTCGCTTCTGAGATTATCGAACGCCACTGGCTTGTCGGGCGACTGTGTTGTCAGGGGGGAGAAAATAGAGTCGGAAGATAGGAATCATAGCCCATGTACCGACATGACTGCATTAACTCTGCTGGATAGATCTCAGCAGACCCAATAATTGAAAGACTCCCTTGCAATACAATAGAATCATGAACATCAATAGCACTAGTTCCTGGGCTACATATGACAGTGGAAATCCATGAAGATCTGCTCCTTATCTCGTTAGTAACAAACCCCCGAAGATAAGCCAACCGGGCAAGATTGGCTGACGCGGAGGCTGTGAACAATGTCCTAGTGAAAGCACTTTACTTCACACTGAAGATGCCTACATGAATTGCTTTCAGGACCGGCACTGGTGGACGGTCCTCGGTTCATCTGATCGTGGCACTATTGGACACTTCCCCTTGCCGTTGAGATAAGCCTTCTCGCGACACCCAGTAGGCGTCTCGTATAGTCCACAACTCCAGTGGTCCCAAGGTTTAAACGTGAAAAAAAAGAAAGGCTGACAGGGGTCGCAACGTCCGGAGCTCCGGTGTACACGTCTACTTATATCGGCCGTCGTCCAGACTTCTCCAATGCGTATGCTCACACCATGTCTCAACCCACAGAGACCGCAACCTCCCTCTGGTGGCCCGAGGAGCGCATCAAAGCCACCCTAGACACAAAGTACATTGTTAGTCGGCTGCGACAGGACAATATCCCGCGGCTGTTTGAACTGCCGCGATGGGGCGAAGGGCTGACCAGCGAGACCTATATGGAATACATCCTGCTGAAGGCCGGTCGACTCTTTCTGATTCTCGATGCAATTGGCATTCCCGATCGCATCTTTACTCTGGTAGATGAGTCATGCGATGATGATGATCTGCCAATTGCCGAACATAGTGTCGATCTCCTGAAGCTGTGTCCCCATGGGGATGACATGAATCTCGATACCCGCTTTTTCCATGCGCAATGGCGGTTTTTGGTTCGGGGAATCGGGGAGAGTGACCATGTGGTCTATACAGAGAACGAAGGCGTGCCGGTCGAGGTGGTGCGCTCTCATACGGGTACAGGGCTGCATGGACGTGATGAGACCGTGGACAAGGTGGTGCTGGCGGGCTCGGTTTGCCGAGTTTATATGCGCACCCAGGTGCAAGTCGGGGGTGCACCGCACTTCTTCTCCTCGGCGGAGGTTCTTGCGGAGATCCGCAAGCTGAGGAAGCTATCTCATGAGCATCTCATATCAGTCTATGCCTCATACCTCAAAGATGACAGTGTCAGCGTGCTCTTTACCGGGGCCACGGCGGACTGGACTTTGCACAGCTTCCTGACTGATGAGCCCTCGGCGTTCAAACGATTGTCCAAAGAGCAACGTCGACAGACACTCATCGTCTGGCCTCACTGTCTCACCTCAGCAGTCGCCTGGCTCCACGCCCGTGGCCAATCCCACGGGGCAATCCGTCCATCCAATATCTACGTCGACGCCAACTATCACATTTGCCTGGGCCAGTTCCAAGCTCTAGACTCCCTCCTAAGTCCCCCACACGTCAACGACCTCGAGGCATACAACTATTCAGCACCAGAGCGCTGGGTCCGGCCTCCAGCACCAGCAGCACCCCCCAAACCAGCACCACCCCCAACAACCTACCTCCAATCCGGTGGACGAACCAAACGGCGACAAAAGCCCGCCCGCTTAGCCCTATCTCCTCTCAATGAAAGCCCACCGTCTTCGACAGAAAACCCACGCCCAGACTCGGCTGCTTCCAAGGGCACAGTGATCCGCATAGGACTACCCGGATCCCCATCCCGCTTCTCCTTCGCCTTCTCCTCATCCTCCTCCTCCTCAGGCACATCATCAACAGCCTCATCAGGAGCCACAAACACAACAATGAGCCCAACCCAACCCCAAAACAGCAAGAAAACCAGACCGTCCTTCTGGCCTCTCAGATCCAAAGCAAGAACCTTCCTCTCCTCCTCCTCAATATCAGGCTCATCATCCTCAACGGGCTCCTCCACAACCTGCTCCTCAACTTCTTCAATCCCACCAACCTCCCCCTCCACCACATCCCTCGCAACAAACCCCTCCCCAACAAACACCCTCCACCCAGGCTCGTCTTCCCTCCGACACTCCAAATCCGCCCAATCCCTCACCCCCTCCTTCCGCTCCTACAGACCCCCAACCCCCCATTCCACCCTCTCCACCCCAACCCAAAACCCATCCTCCAAGGAAATCCCCAAAGACGCCCCAGCAGACCTCTTCTCCCTAGCCGCCATAACCCTAGACATCCTGACAGCCCTGCACAAACGCACCCTCAGCTCGTTCTCGACGCACCGCTCCGCGCGCAACAGATCGGCCGGCCGAGGCGGCGGAATGGCAGATGCCTCCTTCCATCTCCCCCGCAACGGCGTCCAGGTTCAATCGTGGATTGCCTTGCTGGAGGGCGATGCGTTGAAACGCTGTCGGCGGGACAGGAAGTCTGATCGGTGTTTCTGGGCTGTCCCGCGCATGTTGATTGTGGTGCGTGCTATGCTTGATGGGGATGGGTTGAAGCGGCCGACGGCGAAGAGGGTGAGGAGGTGCTTTGGGGGTGCTGTGAAGATTGGGTTTGGGGCGGATGGTGTTCATTGTGGGAAGGGGGGGAATGGGAAGATGGATAGTGGGAAGGTTAAAGGGGAGAAGGAGAGGGTTGATGATGGTGGTGGTGGTTATGGACGGAATTTAGAAGTCATCGGGGAAGAAGGTGGTTTCGGTCCAGGGTCTGGCTATAGATCTTCTTCTGTTGCGCCGGCTTCGATTGCACCTTCTATGGTTCCCTCGGAATCAGCGTCGGAATTTGATTTCGGGTTTGATGATACGGGCAGTGGGACGGAGAGTGTGGATGATGACAGTGAAGCCGAGACAGAACATGAGCGTGGACAGGGACCTCAGATCAAGATCGAGGAAGACAGTGACGAGGATGTTTCAGACGACGAACCTGAAATTCATGTTGATCGGGTTTCGCCTCAGTTGTATTTGCCGGATTTGGATATGAACATTACTGGGATCGAGGGATTGACGTTTACTAATTAGTTTCATGTTTATATGTATATCTTGGCGATGTTGATGGGAATGTACGATTATGTCTGATGACACTCAATACTGACAGTAATAATTTATATTCATTTGTGTACACGAGAAAGACAGACCTTGTAACATAACCTGTATGTCGACAAAAGACGCCAACTGTTTCCGTTTTATGCAGTACTTTGAACGTTCTATCGGAAAGTCATGGATGCATATCAATACAACTCGCAATGCAATCACAGCCAAAAGGCAAGAGCACCGAGCATGCCGGAGAGGACAATGGAGCCAGTGAGGAGGCGCTCAGTCATGGGGGAACTGGCGGTCACTGCAAAAGCAGCACCCTCCTTGGTCGACGAGGCAGTAGCAGCCGACCCAGTGCCGCTAGCACCACTGCCACCAGTGGTTGTGGCGCTGGAACCGGAGCCCTTCTTGTAGGTCTGGCCGAGAGTGGGAAGGGGAGAGCTGGGGTCCACGTCCCAGCCACCAGAGGTCGAGGCAGGGCACTCAATAGACAGGCCAGTGGCTGACTTCTTGTAATCAGAGAGGGCAACACCAGTCGGGTTCAAAGTGGCCCATTGCGACTTCAGGTTGTCAAAGTCCGGCGACACCGGGGTCGGGGTACCCTGACGGGTGAAACCATCCTCGATAAAGGTGGCAGTGGCGGTAGCAGCCTTGACACTGGGGCCGTAGCTGACCAAGCCGTAGTCGTTGGTCTCTTCAAGCCACTCGTAGATGATAGATCCAGACCAAGTATCGGCCATCTTGTCACCAAAGATCGCAGACTGGTCATCGAAAGTACGAGGCTTGGGAGTGTTGCACCCGGTCTCGGAGAAGAAGATAGGAATGGGGTAGTCCGTGGCATTCTTCTGCAGCATGTCGTAGCCGGACTGCGAGTAGCTGGAGTCACCACACCACTCATAGGCATTGAGCGAGTAGAAATCCAACCGCTCTGAAGCATTCTGAGAGCAGCCGAGGTAGTTCTGAAGCATGGGTCTCAGATCGGCAATGTCAGCAGCAGAGTAACCAACGGGGATCTCGCGATATCCCTTCTGGTCACGGTATGCCTTCACGTCGCGGGCAGCGGCCAAGACGTACGGAGCAGCCGCGGAACCCTCCGCGGTGGTGAGGACCTCATTTCCAACCAGGACACCAGCGGTGTTCTCGTACTTTTGGAATTCATCAAGAACATCCTTGAAGCGATCAAACTGGGTCTGGTTCCAGTGGGGCGCGGTCTGCTCGATCTGCGTCGTGAAAGTGTCCAGATCAACCCAGAGGTAGATCCCGGCATCGGCCAGAGCAGTCATGCAACCCTTGTGGTTGGCACTGGGATCAACATGGTACACCCGGATGGAGTTGGTGCCCAGCTCGGCCATGCGGGCGATGTCGCGCTTGCATTGCGCCGTGTCAACCAATGGGTCCGAGGGTGTCAGCTGATAAGCAATACCTGGCGGCGTCAGTTTCTCTGCCTATGCGACGGAGTGGAAGTGAGGTCTACCCTTGATGTAAAACTGAGTGCCATTCTCATAGAAGAATTTGGACCCGACAGCCGAAATCGTCGGGACGGCATTGACTGTGGCGTGCAAACCAGCCAACAGGAATGGCACCGAAAGCGCCAAGGAAGACAACATGATTATGGAGTCAACGGGGTGGAGTATTTCGAAATTGAAGGCAGTTCACTTCATTAAATGAGAAAGAAAGTGGAATCTCTGCAATTATGGTCAATTGACCTGAAAGAAACGGCAGGTGCAATCAGGACAGGAACAAAACAGAAACTTTAGAAACTTCGGGGGTGAACTACGGAAATGAAAGCCACTGCAATTCCTTGATTTGAGCCAAATTACCTGCAGGGTGAGCTAGCGTGCTTCATTCTTGTGGACATGCCAGGGATAACTATATGATCTCAGCAGGATCCCATTCCAATACTCCAACACTAAGTATGAGCCATAGTCCGACATCAATGGAAGAAAGAATTGGCATTTCACTTTCTAGACCCAAGACTGACTCTGCAGATGAAACAAATTCCCCCAATTGTCAGCCGTTTAGCCTAGCCCTAACCCCAATCACGTGGTCCAGCCTTGTATCGTTAGATCACGTTAGATCACGTTAGATCACGTTATATCATGTTATATCATGTTATATCATGTTAGCCCTCACTTCACGTTGTCAGGTCGACTACAGCTGTACTGTACACTCGATATCACCTGGTAATGATACCCCAATCTCTGCACTGACCGAGATTATATATGTCACCTTACTCGGTACCCGGGTGAACGTTAATGTACTCCCCTGAGCCCGGAATCAGCCGAGTCCCACACTATAAAAAGACTAGAGATTGAGGCGTTGAGACATTCGCTATTTGCGTTCAACAGATAACGTAAATAACCAAGTCAGTTTCACTGCCATCTTCTGTATTCCCATCGGTACTCCCACAGTACACACGTACCGTTAGCATGCAAATTGCTTGCATTGTAAACCCTGCCAATCCCTACTCTTCTGGCTCTAGACGACCCCCTCCTACAGTGTACCCACTGGGCTCTAACGGGGGAAAGATAGACAACAAACCTGGCACACGGCTTGCGATCATCGGCAGTTTCCCAATTTTTTCGATGTTTGATTTGCCCAGTCGCGAGGGCACCAGCAACCACCTGTACAGTACCGTAGACCGGCAAGCGCAGGTAATCTTTGTTGGGCAGCTAAGCCGATTCCCGATCGGGCTCAGAATAGGAGTCTGAGACCCCTATCTTTCCAGAAATCAACGCTAACAGAACGCCATCGCTCTTTTTTAAATCTCCCACGAGCCACGTTACCCCACTGGACGGTCTTCGGCGGTCGCCCTGGGGCTAGAACGGGGGCCCTAGCGATAGAGTAGAGCCCCTATCACCGGTGAGATCCATGAATGACAAGATATGTATGCTACCTGGAGATGTGGCAGAGGCTGAGAGGGGGCTGATAGCTGAGTATACGAGACAAGACACTTTCTCCCATCTTAAATATAGATGAGGCGAGAGCGAAGAAGAGAATAAGCTTATGTAGACCTGTAACCGTAACATGGATGTGCAAGTCCAGACTCTCGCCAATCTCCACCCTCCACCCATTCCGGTCCAAGTCCGCCAATAACAAACGCCATTGGCGAAAGTGTTCGTCAGCTAGTGGAACCGAATTGCGATCGACTGCTTTTACCCTGGACTGTGTGCCCCCCCCAAAACGGGAGGCAAGCCTGATCTGCGACCATGACGTTTCCGTAAAGGGGGGAACTATATTATTCTCTGATGCCCGCATCCGGTCCTCCTTGGACCCTTATGCCTCCCCCTATGTACAGCCTCATCCGACATTTTTACATGTATAACCTCACCGATCGTGATTGATCACTTCGACTGCACCATGTCGTCCCCATTTCAGATCCCCTTGCAAGCTCAACTCGAGCTAGAGCACAACGAAGCCTTCTGCGCCATGCGCGAACAACTTCGCAGACAAGAATGCGGTATGGAACGACCAAGCTTCTGCACCGCCCATCGCCACTCCTGCACCACCACCGAACAAGAGACCTTCCGCCTCCACCGCGACATCATCCACACTCTCCTCGTCCCCCTCTTCCTCATCAACCACCAAGCCGAGCGTGTCGCAGCCCGCACCCTCCCCAGCAAGCGCGCCGCCGAACCCGAACGCGCCTTTCGGGGCGAAGCCCGCAGCGCCTTCGCCTGGCTGAACTGCATTCTCACCGAGGAACACGACTGGTACCTCACAGCCCGCTGCCCGGCCTGCATCGTCCTGCACGTTCTCCACTCCGAGCCCACCATCCGCTTTGTGACCGTCGCCTCCCAGCTCGCGGGTGCGCGCTCTGCATTCCAGTGCTGGCTGACCGCACTCGAAGTGGCCGTCTGTGAAGATCCCTTTTGGGGGGATGCCTTCTGGCCCGATATCGAAGAGCGCGCCTCTCGCCTGACGGAGGGCGTCCAGGAGCTGGTTCGGCAGTGCTACGAGCTGCGTGCGACTCTCGATGACCCGTCTCGCCCGATGCCATCCATGGCCAAGTCCTCTCTGCCGACTTATGGCCGCTCTGCGTCTTGCACTATTCCCCTGAAGCCTTCCAGCTTTGCGCGGAAGCAGGTCCGTCTCACCCGCGAGGAGCAGAAGTATCGCTCCTCGCTTTGGGGCTGTTCGCAGGATTTGCGACCGCCTCTGGCAGGCTGTACTACTGCGACTCAGTCTCGGCGCCGGTCGCTGACTTCTTGAGGCGGTCCTCGTGGGCTATGTAGCTCTAGTGGCAAACGCCCTCTAGAGCCCGCATATGCAGTTTTACCGACCTTTTTTTGGTGTTTTCGCCACTCCTAGTGGACGAAACCCTCTTGCCGACCGATTTGTTTCGGGCTGGCTCCCAGCAGTGTTGCCCTACCCACACGCACACATGCACACACACTTCCCGATCGGGCCCAGGCCAGTCTCCAGGCCAGTCTCCGAGGTTCTGGATAAAGTTCCTCGCCTCTTCAGGACCCGGGAATCGGGTCCCGAGACACGCGACCGATCTCATCACGCAAGGGTTTCGGATCTGGAGAAGAGCCGTTATTCGTGATGTCAGATCTAGATCCATGGATTTGTTCTCTCGGCTGCGATGTGGTACCGGGATCGAGATTGGCTCTCTGGCTCTAGAGATACTTTATCTTCCTTCTCATTAGATATTAGTATTATTATTTTTTAATCTTAATCCTATTCTGCAGCAGTGTGATTTCCCGAAATGTAGCATGTAACATCACGCAACTCTATTGTACGAGTACGCGTGGACGATTCGACATGAAATTAACGGGTGGCAAGTCACTCAATCTGAGACTGGTGGAGTATTCCGGAGATGGAAACTGGGCATCAGAACCAGATCGAGGCGCACGGTGGAAATGAGCCCTGGACTTGTACACGCGAAGTCTGTCAGTCCACTTCAGGGTCCGGGGAAATGCGAACTTCCTGCGAACCCTGAACAAGAATAGATGTGGAGAGAATAAGATTTTCTGGGCAGCAGCAGAGCATGTGCCCAACCCCTCTGTGGGAGATCGAATACCGTAACGAAGTAATCGAATATCACTGAATCACCAAATAACAGGATTCAGGATCCAGTATCCAGTAACAGGATCCTCTCCACCCCAAGTCAGAAGGGCAATATGTGGCAGTCTGGTTCAGGTAATGAGTTCATTTATGTGGGAGCCTTCCGACACTCAACTCGATGCAGAACCGAGAATGATCGCCGCCCCGTGGAGCTAACGAAGCCACCGGTCGCTCTAGACTACACATTTTTAGCACTGGCCTTTCAGCAAGACAGAGAATTGGAGAGGAGTAGGAGGGGGGGGGGGGTAATTTTGACAGTTGAGATGAATGCCGTTAATCTACTTGACTCTCGACTCCCTTCACACGCTGAGAGCGCAGAGAAAAGTGTGAAAAACCGATGACTCGATGAAAAGGTCTAGACCTTCCGAGTCTGGCCCAACTCTTGGCATTCTGAGGTAACTGGTACTTGGTCAGTCCCCCAGTTGGCCATACTGGGCCCAGGTACTGGGTACGCTGGGCTCTGGCCCCCCCAAGTCAATTTCCAGACCTTCGTCGCTCTCATCCCTTCTTCTGTCGCTCTCTCCCCCATTTTTCTCTTCTTCCCTCTTTATTTCTCCCCTCCCCCTCCCCATTCCGGCCTCTGCTTCATGCCGAACATCGTTGTCGCCCATATCAAATGAATCGTCAACCGTGCAATGGACAGTGGCCTATCGCCTTACCCGAGAATCTGGCCATGTCTGTTCCACCAATGGTGAAAGTCGACACACAAGCACATCTGTACTCCAACGATACTCAGGAAACCGTCAACACAGCAACCCCCTCTAAGATCCGCCGACGAGCCTCCCAAGGATCGCTGCGGACACGACCGTCTCCGGTGTCGCGGTTTCTCTCCAAGAGTAGTGTCGCCGTCAACTTCCCGTCGTGGGAACATCGTGGCGCTGGGTCTCGAGAATCTCGTCCTCGATCAGCAGACTCCCGGCTTCGTCTCTCAACCACGGTGTCTCGCGGGCCGAGACCCTTGACGGCCTCTCCGGCCTGGAACTCCCCGCCCGCGTACCAGTCGGAATACCCCTCCACCTTGCCTCCCACCCCGCCAGAAGACGATATCCACGTTGCCTGGAATCCCAAGTCCGATATGTTGCTGTACAATGTGCATCCCCATCAGCACCAGCACCCGACCTCCATGAAGATGATGGAGGATGGGCCAGGTGCGGATAACTCTTCCACCAATGGTGCTTCAGATACCTTGAGTAGCCCATCCGATGGAACCTCCCATGGTTCCTCCAGCTCGGGGGGTAGTCCGGGACCTCAAGATGAAATGGATTGTCAGCAGGACATTGGCTCATGGCTGGATCATGGCATCAATTTGACCGGTAGGTGTGCAGTGAGCCGGACGTGGAATCCTCACTAACGATTAGTAGCATCCGCACTGGGTTGTGCCAACCCGCGGGGCGAGGCGGTCAAGATCGTTTCCCAAACTCTTCCTTATCCCCGCACATCCGATCAGTCCGTGTCATTACCAAAGACCGACAGTGTCTTCAGTTCCATGGTGCAGGCGGTTCACAACCACCTCCAACCGGGCCAATCACCATATATCAATGTCACCCATGCAGTTCCCGAGCAGTTCAGTCTGTCGAACTTGCCTCACTCTCCTCCCAGTACTCCGCGTTCTCCTACTGCCGCGGAAGAATATTTCAATGCCACCGTATTCTCCAGTGCAGCCGTGGTTGGTGCGTACCACGATTACCGGGGACCTCTCCAGCGGCAAATGTCCCATGCCCCCATGCCCATCGTTCCTCCGCACAGTGTGCACATCTCCGTCCTTGAGCGTTACCTCCCTCCTTCCTCCGCGCAAGAGTACCGTGATGTATTCTGCCCCACACGGCCATCCTTCCTTGTCGACCGAATGAGCGAGCTCTCACCAAACGGTGGATCCCTCCTCTTCGTGTACCCCACCAAGAAGGGTGCGTCCACTTTCAAATCCCAATATCTGGGACCCATTCTCGACCCCCTGCTTCGTCAGCTCGTTGTGGTGAACGAGCTGTCAGCAGATGTGGGCCGCTACCTCGGTAAGCTCAACACTGTCTCGCAGATGGACGATTTTGCCACCATGAAAGCAAACATTGTGACTCTCTGCGAGACTTTGAGCTCGCCCTCCTCCAAATTCCATGTCGCAGATGCAGGCCGCGGAAGCACCCACCTCGACCGTAACCTTTGGTCCGAGTGGTTCATCCACCAGGAAAAGGCCCGCATGAAGGAAGTCCTTAACCTTTACTGGCAGAACAGCCGTCGCCACCCGAATAAATCCATGAGTTCTGGTGGCATGTCCGGGAAAGAAGTATCACCCGCTATGCTTCTTAGCGAGATCTTCGACGGCATCCGCAAGCGACGCTACTGCGAGGACAGTGAGCCTCACGATGGAATCGAGCTCGGTGTCTTCGTGATTCGCCGCACGAACTAGGCACTCGATGCTCTTCTCTCCTCAACTTAACCCTCCACATACCTCTTCCTCTCCTTCTTCCTCTTCCACTTGACTTCCATTCTCCACCACCTCATTCCACCATAGCATATTTTAACACATCAGCTTCCTTCAAATTAGCTCAAAAGACATGGGACAAAGGCGTCCCCGGTGTTGGTTGGGCCTGTGACTTTCATCTCGCCTTTTGGTTTTTTTTTTTTTTTTTTCTGTGGGCATCTTGGAAAGATCCCACTGCATGACTCTCCCAGGCTTCTTTCTCCCTTGGAGCAGCCACCTTCGGAATGAACTATGAAATACCCCGGTTGTATTTGGCGATTCGGGTTTTATGACATCCTGCTTTTTTTTTTTCTGTCTTGATGATGGAGATATAAAGATACACGTTTTAGTGGCAATATATCTGCTTATATAGCACACTTCTTTTCTGTACATGTATATGCGTAGTGCATTGTAAAGTGAAATTAAAGGATCCTTTCTGGTAAATGGCTGGGATTAAAGGGGGTTCTGAATAGGGGTCCGACTGCTCGGTGGACTGTGCTGCTCTGTTTCGGGGTTTGTTAGGTTGCGTTGGGCTTCACCGATTTTTGGGTTGTTCAGGGAATGTCGTGGGTTCCGCCAGACTACTGTACAGCAAACGGGGTAATATGTACATGATATATGATGTATGAATTTGTGATATCTTGCACATGGCAATAGCTTTGTCTATGATAAGCGATCGAATGTCGTCAATGTACATGGAACGAGACTGGAGTATAGTGTCAAGATCCTCTCATTCCACTACCCTCCCCATCAAAGGTTTCAGGAAATAAAATATAAAATATACACAGAGTACAGGATATAGACGGAAAGAATATGAAACAGACCGACTCTTTTGTTTTTCTCACTTAATCCTCCGAACTCACAGATTCAAATTCAGGTAGTCCATTGGCTTCGCTGTCATTTGCAGGACGGATCCGGCTATTGGCATTGGCATGCTCCCAAGGTTCCCCCTCCACGATGTACAATCATATAGGAAGAAGCCACAAAAGACTCACATTATATTATTCCGTTCCCTAAGCCGGAACCCTGAATTTCCCGTCAACCTCCCCCGCCCCAGAAGGGAGAAACCAAGTCGTTCAGTAGTCTTTGTAAAAATAGCCTCTGTAGAACTTATTGATAGAGCTTTATTTTGTAGGGGTTGGGAGATTGAGGCCTACTGATAAAGATATTGGGCTTACTAAACTCGACAATACTAACCTTGGAGGTTATTCAGCGCCTTTAGATGACTCAGTAGAGGCAGTGATTACGCTTTGGACAGCTCTTGAACTGTTTGATTCACTGGTAATGGAACTTTAGTAACTATAGGCTACTAGAGGCAAGTCTTTCAAGGCAAGTGAGGCTAGCAAAGCGTGCTAGTGGTATACACTACGTCAGTCCACTGAATGTGGACCTGCTTGGACGAACTGTATTCCCTCTTCGCAAACTCAATAATCATTTGCTTCGCATCCTTCTAGAGGGAGAGCTATTTATTCTAGAATGTGAACTAAAATAATGAATCGGGTCATTATTTAATGCCAGCGCAGTATTTGAAATCTTAAAAGTGTCGCCCGCTGATTTCCCTCTTGGGATATTGTGCCCTTCCTGCTCAATGCCTGTATTGTGTATTGCATTTCAAAATCTCTCCAACTTTGTCAATCGTACTTTGGCGCTATGATTATGCATCCTATCTAATTATTGACATCGGTAAATAATTTACCTTGCCTATTCCGGAGGATATATTCTCTATTCATCGCTATTCGTAGTCATGTGCTCAACTGTTTAGGCAACGGGGCTTGGAGAAAAGCCCTAACCCCACGATATTCAACAAAATCTCTTCTTGCTTACATGCCTTGGCCTTTCACCTGAATAATTGTTTCCTCAACAACCGTTTCCCATTGTAGTCTCCCCGACTACCTCATCTACTTCGGACCGGCGGAACCTTCCTCCGGCCATACTTCTCCGACGACCCACCCCTCAAGCATCTCTCTGACCAACTCTGGTGCAATCTAACGTTCACCGTCGACCACACTCACCAAATACAATGTCCTATCCAAACGCAGCCCCCATCAGCCCTGGTGGCGGGGCTAGCGGCGCCCCCTCGAAACGCGACAAACGTCGTTCTGCGCTCCAGGAGCGCCTCCAGGAACTTACCGCGCAGTTTAGCCATAACCGCGACATTCAGTTCCGCCAGCAACTGCATGCCTTGCAGTGCGATATGACTCTCATAAATAATGCCGACCCCTATGGCGCTGGTCCTCTGCTTGACACTGCCGAATCTATTGCCGCCCTGATCGAGGATACTGTTGGTGGTGGCAGCAAGTTTGCGAAGGAGATGGCTGGGCTTGCTGGATCTTGGTATTCTCGCTTTGTCCAGCAAGTCAATCAGGTCAAGGAGACAAGAGACGCAACTTTGACCTCTACTATGGTAAGTTGTTTATTTGTTAACATGGTGACTTTTGCTAATCGGACTTTTTTTTTTGCAGAATGGTTACAACGATATGCTTGAGCGACAGCAGCGCGAACATGATTTCCGAGTTTACTTTGCAAAGGAAGAGTTTAACCAACTTTCCTCTACGCTCCGCGAACGATTGATCCAGAGCATCTCCAGCAAAAAGGCCCGTCTCATGCGCGAGAAGGAACAGCTCGACATCGCGGACACCAATGCTTTGCTGCTTCACCCCAATCAATTCAGCATCACCAACCCTGCCAGTCCTGGTGGCACCCACAGCAACCGCAAGACTCGGCACACGCGTCACCGCGTTGATCTCGATGAGCTGGGCAACGGTGTTATCACAGAGTTGAATAAGCGTAAGCGCAAGGCCCCCGACGAGGAGCCTGGCTCTCCTGTGCGGGAGACGGGTGATGCCACCCCAGCGAAGCGCGCAAAGGCCGAAATTGCAAAGGAGCAGCTGGTGCCAACATATTCAATTCACTCCCTGTTCACCGATAAGGAGCTTAGCGCGCACGCCAATCAAGCCCACGTCGCTGCCGTTCATTTCTTCTCTACCTCCAAGCGTCCAGACCACGGGTCTGGTGCTGTGACCAACGGAAATAACACCGACGTCGAGGATACCCCCGAAGGAACCGGCAATGAAGACAACGGCACCCCTAGCGCAGCAGACATGATGCGCACTGCCAGCCACAACTACCATGCCACCCGCTCGACCCGCACAACCGCCGCTCATAGCGCTCTAAGTGCCCTTGCCGATCTAGCCGATAAGCCTGCAACCCGCCCCAACCTCCCCTACCACGTCCTCTCCAACTACCACGCCCGACCAAACGGCAACGCCCCGCCCCTCACCTCTCTCATGACCGAAGAAGTCGACGACGACTGTGCGCGCATGAACCGCCTCATTAACAAGCCCGTTTCGTGGATCGACCATTCCCTCGTCGAGCTGGTCGCCGCCCCTCTGCCGTCTTCAGACCTCATCGACGGCCACGTACCCGACCCCAACAGTTACTCACAGCTTCACCCTGACTTCTCTCCTACCATGGCTGTTGACTGGACTCCTGCAGCTCACAACCCCGCCGCCGAGATGTTCCCGCCTACTGCTATGGAGCGTGAGCGCAGCCGCAAGCGCACTCGGAACCACTAAGGATTGCATCGAAGTTCCGGGCTCGATACGGTGTGTGTTAGATAAGACGAGATAATATGGGATGGACGGCTTAGGATGGGCTGGGCTGGTTTGGTGTTTTTTTCAGGAGTCATGGGCTTTGGTCCCACACCCACGGCGTACTTTTTTCAAGGTGATTGCCATTTGAACATATTAGCGCCTTTTTTATACTTTCGAGTGAATGCGTTTCAAATACATTCTTTATCTGTTGATGACCCACGTGAACATGGCGATCTCGGAATGGGAATCTGTAGATGCAAGTGCCGAACATCTCAGAGACTACAGAAAGGGCAGAGCGACAGAAATTGATTCATTATTTTTACAAGTTTGATGTTCTTCCTATGGACGGCTTCTTTTCTTTCCTTTGTAACTCTAACTCCACGTCTATACTATATCGGACGATCTTAAAGCTTCCTTGTGGAGTTCTCGCTTCTCATCAACCGTCAGATCACTTTTAGCCTTGTCGATCCTGATTCCAAAAACAATAAGCACAAGTGCAAAACCAGCAATTCCAACCGCAAACCAGAAGGCCACCTGATAGCTTTCTTTCACACCCAGGTGCTTGGTGCTCGAGGCCGCAAAATCAGCAAAACCAAGGAAGAAGCTAATACCAACAAAGACCAGACAATTGACCAAACCGCCCGCTGTTCCCTGCTGGTGGCTTGGCAGGCTGGTAGTAATGAACACATTGCTCACACTGTAAGAGATATCAATGCCAATCGTGGCACATACCATGGCAGGGAATACCCAGGCCCAGAAGTTTGGCTGGGCAGGCATGAGGGCGAAAAGAAGTGCACTAATGAGATATCCCATGGTTGAGAATGCTAGCAGGAGAGTCCCTGATAGATGATGAAGTGTGAAGCCTCCCACTGTAGCGAGGACGAGGCCTCCGATTGCCATGGGCGCGAACCAGGCTGTTGTAAGGAGGGGGGTTGCGCCTACGATGGTTTCGATGCTGTTTTGCTCGTTAGCGATCGCCTATGGTAAATTAGCTAATGGTGCACTTACTAAAAGCTTGCATAGAAGAGGTATATCCCAAACACCCCGTATGAGAAGAAGAGTGATACGCAAAGTGGTTTCATATACTTTGACGCAAACAGATCGAATGGCAACAATGGTTGTTCTGCAACCCAGCCTTCGATGTAGAACGCAGTGCACAGCAGCAGACCTCCAATGATGAATGTGATATAGATGTATGGTGTTGCCCAACCATTGGGAGCATGAGAACTGTCTGTTATACCAAAGACCACAAGTATGAGCCCCGGCACGATCGTGATAAAACCCAGCCAATCCATCTTGGCCGTCCCATGCTTTGTATCCGACTTCGTAGCATATCTCCCCAGTGGAACAGTAAAGAATGCGATAACAGTCACAATGGCCAGAAGAATAGTACCGATATAAAAGTCCCAGTTCCATGGAAGATACTGCCCACTCAGCCCCGACAGAAAGATACCCAAGAAGAATCCCATCGGTGAACAAGCGCCGTAAAGGCTGAATACCAGGTTCTTTCGCGGTCCTGGTCGGTAGATACTACCCAAGAGCATCACACCTGATGGGAGGAACGCCGCAGGTCCAAATCCTTGCAGTGACCGGCAGAAATTGAGCATGAGATAGTTCTGGCTGAAACCACCTATCAAGGACCAGATCGTGTACCAGAGCAGCCCGCATACGAACACGATGCCTCCGCCATAGATATCTGCGGCTCGACCGAACGGTAGGAGGAAGGCTCCTGTGACAAGGGAGAATACACTTGCTGGCCATGTTTGGGAGTCGGGTGGGATGTCAAGTGCTGTTGCAAGTGATGGGAGAATGATGTTGAATCCGCTGATGAAGTATTCCTGCATGCTGTTAGTATATTCTTGTTTAACAGAGAGATTTCCTCAGGGAACTTTCACCCATCATCATAGATGCGAGCAGGGAAAAGCAGAATCCAAGCTCAGCTGCCCTTGTTTTGAACATTTCTGGCCTTTTCCTTCCTAGTATTTCCACGTCGATTGTTGTTCGATTGGCCGTTTCGCAGCCATCTTCACTTGGTGGGGGTGGGAATGAAGTCATGAGGTCGACTAATCAGGCACAAGGTCACGACCTGAGTCAAACAAGATATTCAATTTGAGTCTAAAGCAAGTGGTGCAATATTGGTTGCTAAGAGTTGTGTATTCGTGAAGAAGGGACCGATCGATTTGGGGATTCCCGCATATTATAGGACGGCTATCATCTTATAAGTAAGCCGCCATTGATACATTTGTTATCTTGTAGAAATTCCAAGTTTTCTTCGGTTAGGAAACTTATCAATGGCCGTTGCGATTCCACTATAAATCTGCTGGTTTAACCTTATGTGATAGACTAAGCTTGATCGGGGAGCCAAGACGCTAGCGTGGCCGCAAAAGTGGGCCTGACCGGAAATCTTGACAGGCCTAAACTTGCGCTGCAGGGAGCTTACAATGATCCATGGAGTCTGGAAGCATCGTAAATTGAAACGTCACATTGAGTTTTGCTGCTTCAGGTTCTTGAAAGAAGATTCATGTCTAGCAGAGATTGAACAAATGTTTTGATAGAACGAATCGCAATGCCTGCAATCTTGTCACCATCACCAGCTTCTGGATCAAAGGAGCAGACTGTGAGTGACTTGGGTGTTGACTGTCGGGGTACAATTCTCATGCATTCAATCAAATCCGACTCAAGCATGCCCCCAGGTGACGGGTAATCATTCACCTTGCCGTAACTGTCATCAAGAACATCCAGATCCAAGTGCACCAATGCCGGGCTGTAGTCGCGGCCTTCGAGGTGAGATTTCAGCTCGGATGGGAAGTTGATCTTTTGCATGGTGTCACCCCAGATAGCCGTCATGCCGGCATCAATCACCCGCTGTCTCTGAAGATCGGATTGGTCTCGCAATCCACAATACAGAAAGCGATGATAGTCCAGAGGCTGGAAGCCAGGAACAGAGCTCATGAGTAGTTTCCAGCTTTCGCCACGGAGCATTGATAGCCCCATGGCATCGAAGTAGCCATTTTCGTTGACATCCGGGGAATCGAGATCATCATGGGCGTCGAAGTAGATAAAGCCTAGATCCTGGATTCGAAGTCCACATGCAACTGCAGCACTGGCATAACAATTACCTGAGAGGATGAGGGGGAAGGTGTTGGTGGTGACGGCGCTTGTAACGGCCTTCGAAATGCGACGCATGATTTCGAAGCTCCGGCCGATTTCTCCTTCGAATTCATCAACTCGTTCAATCTCGTGTAGATGAACTTTGATTCCCAGATCCTCAAGCTCTTGGACTATTCCAAGTGAGCGGATTCGATGGGGTCCGTTTCCTACTCGGTGGTCCCGAATGCCAACATGGTATGGTGAGAAGATTATGGTGATACCATGGGCAGCCATTTCAGCTGTTTGACTTTCAATTGGAAAATGTGATCAAGAGAAATAGACAAATACAAATATTGAGCCTGTCAAAGGCTTGAAAAGGGCAGCAAAAAAAAATAAAGTTGAGTTCTCCATGGAGGTGCTGTGGAGGCGGTATCAGCCTTCCGGGATCCATCTAGATCTAAGTGATGACGTCGTTGGAGATGTCTACATCAGGAGACTCAATTGTCTGCTTCGATTCTTACCATGTCTTTGTTGCAGACGATGCTTGTTTTACTTCGGTCTATGGCCAATCTGAAAAATCGCATTTGCATCAGAAGTTGACATGTCGGTGCGAGGGACCCCATATAGGCCATGTCTGATCTATAAGATCAATAGTTGGCAAATGAAAGTTAAGATAATAAACCAGTAACTTACGCCGAGAAAATGAGAATATGTGTATTGTCTTACTGATCACGGATTAAATAGCGACAGAGGACAAGAAATCCGTGGATTGCCACAATACAGTAGCTCAACTCTGCGTCATCGCCTCCTACCCTAGGCAAGCTTTGCCTATCTCAACACATGGAAACGAGCAACACAGCTCATATCAAACAAATAAACCCCAAAAAACGATTGAGTCGCGAATATGAGTTCGATTGAGGTTGACAAGGCAACAATAGAGCCGCGCTGTCTCCAGCTTTTTACCACAATTGAATCCAAATTCAAAGCCTCCAATATCGACAGCGAGAAGTGGTACCTCACAGCGTTAAGTTCCATCTCGACAACCCCGGAATCCCACTTTGCTGGCCAACTGTACCTATATCTGATAAGCCAACATGTCTACTCGACGACCACCGAACGCCAGAAGCTGATTCGACGCATGCGGGAGGTGCTATTCAAGAACATTGGTCTGCTAGGGCTTCCAAAGCCCACTGAAGCCCTCATTCATATTACCAAGCTTTTGTCCGACGAAGACTCTGAGTACTCATTCAGCAGAGAAGGATGGCAATGTGACGAGGGAAACCATGCGCGTGGTATGGGATGGTTGGAGACACTGTACGCGCAGAATACCACAGCGCTGTTTGAGTTGTTCAAGAAACATCGGGACTTTGGGTTTTGGGTCGCAGATATCACCTATGGGTTGCTCTTGTCCGACCGCCAGATTCTAGACGATGTGGACACTGAGATGGTTGTTTTGCCGGCCGTCATGGGCCAAAACCTCCCACGAGAAACATACTGGCACATCCGAGGAACCAGGCGATTGGGAATATCTAAAGAGGATGTTCGCATGGTTCTGGAGTGTATCCATTTGGTTGCTGAGTCTGGTGGTGTAAACTTGAATCGCGTGCCTACTGTGGATGCCGTAGACGCGGATCTCTAGAATTGCACTGGCCATAAGCCGGGCAAATCAAATTATATGTCAAAGTCCTAAAGACTCAAATTAAGCATTCACAACATATCCACTCCGATATTTTCCAGAAACAAAGACAACACAAGACGAAACAAAGAAGTGGAAGTTTTGTTTGGGCACGAGGTGCTTACCTAACCACCTCGAGGACGACGTTTCGAACCGCATCGGGAGACTTGTTTATGTCTACCCCGCGTTTTTCTCTTGTTCTTGTACTCGAAGCGATAGTTTGTTCATAATTCCTGTTCTAGGATTGATTGTACAGTTCAACGCATTCCGCCGGGTGTGCTCTCCACCCCCTTGGCGGCACGCGTGCCTCCCGAAATTCCATCGCATGAGTCCGCCATGTCCAACTACACCTCGTCGCGCAGTCAATCTTCCTCCCCCGATATTCTGGGCCCACCAGGCGACGCAGAATACCTGATTTCCTCGCCAATGAAGCCTTTTGTTGGGCGTCAAAGCTGGGTGTCACCAGCTCCCGTGAGGCGCCATCAAACCCCCGCGAAACGAGCTCCTGCAAAACAAAGCCCGGCGAAGCGGTCGCGCGTGAGCCTCAGTCCCGCGAAAGGCGCGCATTCAATCCAGTTCAACGATGTCATTCTCCCCGGATCGCCGTCCATGAATTTTAATAGTCGCCAAAGGTCGATCTCTCCGGAGAAGCAGGATGGAAATGTGAGCCCGTGGCGCATTCGGCTCACGCTCGAGGCGACCCAAGATGAAGAAGACGAGAAGCTAGCCAGTCCGTCGCGCAAACGACTGAAACCCTCAACAACCACGACTATGATCCCTTTGAAGGATGAACGGAGTCCCTTGAAGGAGAAAACACCCGCGAAGCGACGAGGCCGTCCACGCAAATCAGAGGCTCAGACACCGACAGATTCGCCATTTCCTGGGAGCCCTGGACATACTCCTGGCCTACGATGGGAAGAATCTCAGTCGCAAAGCCGAGGCAGACCTCGTAAAGGTACGCCCAGACCGAAGACACAGGATTTCCAGATGGTGGAGGACCAGCCGACTCCGAGTGTGGAATACGATCAAACGTTTAGTCCGATGAATGTCGTACCAAATAGTGACGCTGGTTTGACAGAGCAACTCAGTCCAATGGATACTGTTGCCAGTGATGCCAACCAGCGATCAAGCCCTATGGATACCATTACCAGCGATGCTCATTGGGGTCAACAAGGCAGCCCAATGGATACGCTTGCCAGTGATGCTGGCCAGGGTCTACACCAATTCAGTCCGGAGGATGATTTTATTCATGATAACGCCGACGTCGACCGCCCGCCCAGTCCAATCAACCTAGCCGCCGATCCAGATTCCGAAGAGGATTCTTGGGGCAATTCCGACATGTCCATTGCTGATCTTCGAGACCCCACTCAAACAGTCACTGATGAAAATAATAACACAAATCGCCAATATGGACGCACAAGTCTGGAAACACCTGTCATCAGTGCTACAGAACATCATTTTTTGGATAATGATGATAACATACATTCCACGCCTTCCAAAATGCCATCGCCCACCCGCGAGAGAGCGATCGCATCATCCAGAGCATCTCAAAACACGCAAAGTCCACAGTCACGTACATATCCGACTCCGACTCCCACATCTTCGCCGGCCGAAGAAGAGAGTCAAGCACAACAAGCTGATATCGACCAGCCCTCAGAGCCAGATGAGCACCCTGAGACTGATCCGCTTGAAGATCCAACAGATGACCACGAAGAGTATGATTCCATCATGGAAAGTGAAGGGTTCACTATGGTTTCCCTTGATACCCTTCCATCTGCCAAACAATATGGACTGAGCTCCAGTACACAGGCTGGAGAACGAGGCCCGAAACCAAAAGAATTTGGAGATCGACTGAAACGCAAGCTTGCCGGAACGATTGAAGACTTCCGACGCGATTCTCGTGCTCCTAAATCTCTAAGCCCAAGTACAAATACAGCTTTTATGAATTATGACGAGCCAACCCCTCCCATTCGACCACATGCCCTACTACGATCGGCCGAGCGACCTTTTGTCAACTACGTCACCGAAGTCTCTTACCCGCAACTCCGTGACGTACATTCTCCTACCAAAGCGATTCCCGATCAGGAAAAGCACCGAGAGGAAGAACGTTATGCAGAGCAAGAGCGCCAAGCCAAGGCTGAACGTCGCGCTGAAGAACAGCGGCAGATAGAAGAAGAACGCCAGGCAAGAGCAGAGCGACAACTCCGGGCTGAACGTCGGGCACAGGCAGAGCGCCTCGCCGAGGAGGAACGCCAAGCAAGAAACGAACGTGAGGAACGGGCAGAACGCCAAGCGCAGGCAGAACGCTTAGCTGAGCTGGAGCGAGAGGCTGAACAAGAGCGTCAGGCTAAGAAAGATCGACAAGTAGAGGAAGAGCGCAAAGCACAGGCAGAGCGCCTCGCCAATCAGGAACGCCAAGCACGGATAGAACGTGAGGAACAGGCAGAACGCCAAGCGCAGGCAGAACGTCAAGCCGAAGAAGAACGTCAAGCCGAAGAAGAACGTCAAGCCGAAGAAGAACGTCAAGCCGAAGAAGAACGTCAAGCCGAAGAAGAGCGTCAAGCCGAAGAAGAGCGTCAAGCTGAGTTGGAGCGTCAGGCAGAGGAGGAGCGCAAAGCACGGACAGAGCGACGGGCACGTGCCGAACGTCTCGCACATGAAGAACGCCAAGCCGAGTTAGAGCGCCAGGCTCAAGAGGAGCGCCAGGCTCAAGAGGAGCGCCAGGCTGAAGAAGAGCGTCAAGCAGAGCAAGAACGTCAAGCACGGATAGAGCGACGGACACGTGCTGAACGCCAAGCGCAGGCAGAACGCTTAGCTGAAATAGAGCGCCAAGCTGAAGAAGAGCATCAAGCAGTGTTGGAGCGTCAGGCAGAGGAGGAAAGACACGCAAGAGCCAGACGTCGAGCACAGGCAGAGCGCCTGGCCAAGGAGGAGCAGCAGGCGCGAGCAGAACGTCTCCGAGCAGAGGAAGCAGCACTTTCCTATGAGCAGCAGCTAGAAGAGCCGCTTGATTACGAACATCGCGAAGAGGATGTGGAGGATGTGTATCAGGAGGAGCTTGATGATGGCGAAATGGAAGAACCAGATCTCTTCATGCCATCGCCACAGCCCAAATTCACCAACTCCATTCAAGACAATCAGATGTCCATACGAAGAGCACAGCGAGAGGCACAATGGCAGCGTGAACGCGATGAAGTCAGCCGCCAGGCCTCAAACTCAAGATCCGCAGTCTACATTGAGAGTGATGAAAGTGACGCTGGTGCCGAGCAGTACGATGCCGGTGTCGGAAGGTCATATGATGAACCCGCACCTGATGGTGAATCGGAGTTTGAAGAAGAACCTGATGACTTCGAACCTGATCTTGTGCCTGAGCCCTTGCCCCATAAGAACCAAACAGCGAGCCCCGAACCTCAAGACGAGGAGGATGGCTACGATGACATCTGGCAACTTGAGGCCAACGACCACGACCATATCTCAGAGAATTCCGAAGATGAGCGCCTTCGAGAGGAGGCTGCCGAGGCCGCTAGCCCTTGGAGAGATCTTGGAGCAACTTCAACTCGTCAAAACCACTGGAGCTCATCTCCAGGCTACGCTGAATCGGAACGTGATAGTGCATTGTACTATGGTCCATCTAAGGTTCGCGAGCTTCGAGAGCAAAAGGTTGACCTTAATGCTTTACTTGCGGAAGAAGACACGCCGAATCGCGCGCAATACTACAATGGAACGAGCACCCCTCGCGCCATGCTAAACAGAAGGCTTGGGACACAACGGTCCCCGATCAATGTTTCTCCCTTGAAGGAAAATGTATCGCGTACTCCAGCGCATATTCGGTTGCAGCCTCTGTCCCGATCTCCGGACGTTTCTCAGGCCGATGAGTCTTCTCATGTCTCTCACAAGAGCCCATATGTGGAGCACTCATTGGAAACAGAAGATGACGGTAACGACTCGAATGCCGGTCTTGATCGATCTAGGTCTGCTGATGCACCTTTGACATCAACTCCACAAACTCGTCAGCCCAATGGAGGACACCAAGGATCATCCTGGTTCAAGAAAATCACTAGTTTTACCCCGCAATGGCTGAAAGCCCCTACGAGGGCACGCAGCTCAAGCGTCACTACTATTCCCGAAGAGTCGGAGTATGAAGATGACGATGAAGTAGCTCACATTGAATCCGCAAGGGGACTTGATGGGCACCTCGATGACGAACCGCTCTCTAGGCAAGGGAGTGAATCCCCCGCGAGCCCTTGGCGACAACTCACTCGGTCTCCGCAAAATGATGACCAGCAGGCGGTCGAAGATGAGGAGCCATTCTATGAAAGAAGCGTGTCTCAGGAGATTGCGGAGGATGCAATTCCAGCGAACGATCTGCATGAGGCGTCGCCAGGGCCTAGACCACTTGCTGTCTTCGGCTACTTTTCGGATGCGCATTACATCGCCCTTCGCCGTATCTACCAAATAGCAAAGCGCTACCCGGAGCGTTTCCAGTACTTCGACTCCCCAGGTCGGGCTGCTATCATCGGTGATTGGATATGGACATCGGATGGCCATCACGGGGTCCCCATCACAGAGATCCAATTTGCTATCATCGACCGATTCGCCCAGGAACTTTCTCGGGCAGATATCCAATACGGTGGAAGTGGACAGATCGATTGGACGGAAGCCGATCTGCATCGGAGACTCATTAGCATTATCATTGGCGAGCAGATCCGAGAGGAAAGGAAGGCCAAGGCCAACCGGGGTACTTCAGTTGATACATGGCGATGAAACTGTTATTTTTGTCTTTATCTTTTTTGTCTCATTCTTGGTCCGCGGTTGGACGTTTGAGCAACATCTACCTTGGAGTCAGCGGTTTGTTTTGGAATGGGGCTGTTCTTGATTTGGTTATGATTCCCTCACGGTTATTGGTTAGGCTTTTGTGCAGGATTGGGCTTTTTCTAGGCGTTTTGGAGCTTCTTTTACCTGTCTGTTTTAGGCTTCTCGCCTCATGTGTCGGACATGAATGACTTTTGTACATGAAAGTAGTATAAATTTCAAGTTTGCCACATCAGAAAGTACCAACTCTCGGAAGGGGATCCCTGTGTTCGACTGCGAACACCCTGTAAGAGGCTGGATATTGCAGATTGAACAGATAATCCCAGCCAACCATGTCAGTATCCTGCGTCGAGGTTCCTTATTCTCCCGAAGACCTGATGGGTGGCGATATTCACCATGAAGCAAGTCTAGATACCTAACGAGTCAGTCCAGATCAACCACCGAAGTGCCTCAAAACGAAAAGAAAAAAAAAAGCGTCTCGACTCATTTGCCGTTTCAGACAGGTAGGTCATACCAATCCTTGCACTGACACAAACACAAACAACATCGACATTGAAGTTCCAACCAAAGCCTGCAGCACTCGACCATCCAGACCAACCAACAGCACCTGCACGATCGTGTCCTGTCGCGTGGCTAGCCAAGCAGAAGCCGGGGAGCCTCGCATCCCCCACTTCCGTGCGAGGTGCCCCTGCACCATTGTTTTCGTCCTTGGGCGTCGGTCTGGCTGGGACTAGAAGTGTCACCTAGTGTGAACTCCGGCTTTATAAAGCAGGGATGAGACGTACGATGGAAGCAGAAGTGATTGACCTCTTTCCATCACGTCTTCTGGAACCCTGCTAGACAAATAGCCTTCTATACGGCACTTTGAATCATTGCATAGCACCATTCAATGTCCCAGAGTCAATCATGACCATGTTCACAATCGTCCAACGTGCCCTCCCGCCACTGTCTCTCCCCTGGCGACGCCGGAGTAGCCTCAAAGGCAAAGACCCAGAGACAGAATTCGATCTGAGTAACGACGGCACCAACACCGACCTGGACGGTCCAAACGCCGAACACAATGCGTCCGCAGACCTGCACAGTGACGTCTCAACAGCAAGTCCCCTGCAGGCCCATCTAGCGGTGAGAGACGATGCACGCGAGTCTGCAGAATTCCTTCAGTCAATATGTGCCACTCCGGATAATATGTCTGAATTGGAGTCGGATTCGAGTTCCGCGCGCCGCTCGCATTCTACGGACAAGGCACGTTTGGTGCGGGCTGAGCTTGCCCGTGCTGTTAGTTGGGCGAGTATTGTCCGCAGTCAATGCCGGTGGACTTTCGAGCAGGAGAAGGAGCTCTTGCATGCGCAGAGGCAGCTGGCGAGATGTCAGAAGGCCTGGAGCTCGGAGCAGGAGTTGTGGTTGACTTGTGTAAGTCGACTGTTTTACATTTTCTTGATAACCGCACGAAGTGTTTTTCATTTTTTGTTTATATCAATCTGTTTCTATGTGCTTTTTCGGGGTTTAAAGCAGAGCCATAGACTAATTCGCTTCTCCTCGATAGGTTCAAGCGCTGAGCGAAGAAAAAGAATCTCACGTGGATTTCCTCTCTCTGCGACATAAACAACAAGATGAAGAGCAAGTGCAATTTCGAAAGGCCTGGAAGCGACGACGATCATCGTCCGGAGATGAAGAGGTGCAGAAGAACGCCACCGAGAATTTTAATCGATCAGGTAAATTACGTCGCTTGCAGCGGTATGGCTATTTGGGGCCCCGGTTGGGCACGACCGGATCGACGCCTGTCGCGGTTAGGGCGTAGGGCTATGATCGTCTTTGCAGGATGAATATTGAATTGTTGGGACCAGAATGGCGATCTGCTGCATCAGCTTGGGTGTCTTGGTATTGATGTTTCTAGCTATGGTTTACTTTGCGTGTAAAGAAGAGGTTCCTGTGGAACAATTGTAATGGAAAATGAGTCCACGGCATGTCGCTTGGACAATTTATAATGTTATTTCTTGTATGATTCTGACTGAAGATGCACCCATAGCTCCAGAATGTCTGAATCTAAATATTCATGTGTCCTCCTTCTCACCAGGCCACTTCCGAAACCAATTCGTCAAACTATCGAGAGGCGCAGCCATCAACCCAGCAGCAGTCTCAAAGGGCGGCTTATTGGGTAGAAGGGGATGAGATCTAGAAGGAACAAGCATTTTAGTTCGATCTAGAGACTTTGTCAATGCCACACTTTCGTCTTTAGACAAAACATCTTCAAGCATAGGCAAATCCACATCCTCTTCGTGCCTAGCATGAATCTCAAAGTCCCTCAGAAGATTTTTCAGTGTAGGCACAAACCGTGGATCGGTAGATGACAGATCCTGGAACATTTTCAGCTGTTTTTTGACGCCTTGGTGCTCCAATCTATTTCGGTCGACTGTTTGTTGTCCCTCTTTCAGTGAGTCGATCAGAGCTGGATAGACGACTAGCTCTTCACCAGCCATGTGCCGAGCTAGTTCCCAGACCAGCTTGTTTTGAAACCGGGTTTGCTCTTCGGGTTTTGTTGATTGAAGAATCTTGTGGCTGTGTGATTCAAGTTCCTGGTGGTCGTGTTTGATCGCTGGGAGGATGCGGGAGCATGTTTCTGGAGTTGCAGCTGCGTCGGTGAATGTGCGTAGAGGTGGCCCTACACTGCCTTTGACGACTGGCGTGGGTGTTTTTGTTGTAGTTCTTTTGTTGTTTGAAATAGTTGACATTGGGAGCCTGGGGACAAAGAGGTGGGTGAAGTGGATGGCGAGTGTACGCCGAAGCATTGGAACTGAAAATAAGTCTCGATCTGATTTTACAATACTGCGAACTGGGCAAGAAGAAAAGAGAGATCATCGGCGTGTGTAATAGTCCTCGGTGGTAAGTTCCGCTCTTGCGTCTTGTCACCATGATGTAGCCATCTGGAAATTAGCCCTAATTCCTTGGAAATTCCAACTACTACGTGCAATCAGAACAATATATTTAACTGCATTTGAAGAAACTTCGTATTACTAACTATAATTTCTGTTCCAATTTCATGTGCCCGCCCAATGAAAGAAAATCAACCAAACACCAAAGCCCTGACTTCAATGCTCTCCCTTCCCCTCGCCCCAACGGGCGTCCTCTGATCCCAAAAGGCTGTATGAGGTACCGACTCTCCAATTCCGGGGCTTAAATCCAAAGCCACCGCTGAATCAGAGCATTTGAGCAATAAGCGCTCGTCGGGTGTCATACCAGACCAGTAGTACCACTTTTGGCCCTGATTGAACTTCACCCCGAGAGTCTCTCCGACCCGATTCGGATAACGGTGTTGAACGGGGACCAGATCATCAGGATTTACAGAAGTCGCCGAGGCAAACGCCAGTGGTGCGGATTGCACGGGCTCATCTGTGAGTGAGCGCCAGACGTTGACGATGCGATAGCGTTCTTTCAGTAGCTTTTCTGCCTCTTCGGGATCTTGGATATGGAGTCTGACACGGTCTGCAGCTGCTCGGCGGGTCTGGTCGACGTGGACTCGTGTCACAGGTTGACGGGGTGCACCATCCTTCTGACGGCGGATGGTGTGGTCGAAGAGAACAACTTTGTGCGCTCCTGGTATACTTGAGAGCAGGAGAGATTCGACCTCTGGGTAGTATATTTCTCGGATGGATGTCTCCGAGTTGAAGGTCTGGTAGTTTGTTGATGTTGGTATCTTCTGGAAGGTTTGGAAAGCGTCTTTATTCAAGGTGAATGCGCTTTCGGCATTGCGAATGTCGGTTATTGTGACTTTCTGTTCATTCTCCAGATAATTTCGCTGCAGTTGGCCTGATGGCTGGGGTTCAACATAGTTATACGGGGCAGCGTTATCTGGAGGAGGTGCGTAGAAAGTGAGTCCAGCAGTTGCTGGGCCTCGAGGAATGTAGGTGAGGTCTGATGTTGCTGCAGTGATAGTTTCAGTAGTAGTGGCTGTCATGGTGTAGATATGCAGCTTGAGTTTCTAGTCGTATTTGTTTCTGTAAGATATTCTGTTTGAGCATATGGATTCAAGGAGAAGAAAGTTCCGTTTTATAGAGCAAAGCAGCCCCTTCGTATCCTGCATTTGTCAGAAATGCGGAGATGATGTAGAGGCTCTCATTCGCAGACCATCACATCATCTGATTTATCATCAAATGGAATACAAACTGTCTGACTTCATCTTGGCTGATCCAAGGATGTGTTAATGCAAGAGGGAAATTGGGAAATGGAGAATATTAATGACCATTGATGCAGGTGGCATCTTCAACTGCTGACCAAGCAGGTCGGAAACCCTGGAAGGTTCAATGAGAGTGATAGTTCTGCCTTCATATCTCGACAAGGCCAACTTGATCCTTAAATAATTATCAAACGACAGTTTTCTACCATTCTACCATTCTACCAGGATCATGCTAAGTGTGGCTCATCTGAGCTGAGCCACACTGCGCTAGCTGAACATTGGGCGCCCAACTTGAAGCGCTTAGAATTTCATTTCCGTCATCTTCTCCCAGATTACTTCAATAAACTATATTGTCTTTTTTTTCTTCAAGTAACCAGATTGCATGCTCGTGTTGATTTACCAAAGATGAATGCGCAACTCACAAATGTGGCAGGAGCTGCAAGATCCGATCTCACTCAACTGTGGGAGGCAGCGGTGGAAGAGTATGAGAAGGAAACTGGACACAGTCTCCAGCTCAACGGGTTCAACAGTATGGAAGAGATCATGAAAGGCACGGAGAGCATGTATTCAAAGTTCAAGGCCTTTCGTAACGACCAGTCCAAGGTTTCCAAAGTGCGGACGGCTTTCAAAAATAACATGTGGTTGATACAAAATATCGTGGATACCGTACAGAGCGTCGCAAGCGCCGCATCGGTAAGCCTTTATACGATTCTGGTCTGAGTATTCATGTTAATCTTTCACAGGCCTTTCCGCCCGCTATGCCGGTCAGCTTGATCTTCACGGCCTTTGGGCAGGTGATGCAGGTATGAGGCTCTGGGAGCTATACACTCTAATTACACCCTGAAGCCTGATCTAACTGAAATCTAGTCATTTGCTGATGTTTCTGCTGATTACGATAATGTGATGGGTTTCTTGGATTTCACCCATCGCTTTTTTGATCGGCTCTCTATCCTCGATCAGAAATTGCCAAACATGCTTCCTTTCCAACGCTGTGTTACGCGTATATTCTCCAGCATTCTGAAGATATGCTCTATTGCACAGAAATACGCCACACAGAAGCGACTTAGTGAGCCTTATATTATACTTTACAGCAGAACACTCCTAACAGTTGTTTAACAGGGAAATGGTTCAGCAATTTAGTGAAGGGTTCTGATGAAGAACTTAAAGCAGCGAGTACACAGTTGGAAGAGGCCGTGAATGAGTTCAATCAAGCGGCAGGCTTAACTACTCTCAGGAGCGTTGATGTTATGAGTGAGGTTGTGCAAAGTATAGAAGGGAACACCGAGTTTCTTGTCTCAAATGCGACTCTCATTGATGAACGCACCACAGCGATACTACGTGATCAGGAGAGACTGGCAGATTTGCAGCAAAAGACCCTCGAGAAAGTGGGAGACCAGAGTCAAGCGCTCGATGAAGTCACCAGATATCTTGAAAAAATCCAAATTACCTCGAATTATCAGCAAGCACCACCGGAGCCTGTTTCCACAGTGCCCTTTACCCGTGATCCGAATTTCGTTGACCGTGGGACACTTCTTGATGAGATTGTTGCGCAAGTTCCTAGCCTGTCTTGCAAGATCAATGTTTCAAGCTCGGGATCAAGAATAGCCCTGGTTGGTCTGGGTGGTGTTGGGTGAGTCACCTATACATCTTTTGTCATTTCCCTTAAATTAACTCCCAAACAGCAAGTCTCAGCTAGCCATCGAACTTTCATACCGAATCCTCGAGCAGTCACCTCAAACATGGGTTTTCTGGGTTTATGCGAGCAACACAGCGCGCTTCGAGCAAAGTTATCGGGAGATTGCCGATCGAGTCAAAATCCCCAGTCGTGATAGCACGGACGCAAACATCTTCAAACTCGTCTATGACTGGCTTCAATGGGGCAACAAAGACTGGGTCTTGATTCTTGATAATGTTGATGAACATGAATTTCTGAGTGAGAAGCGCGATTCAAATGGTGCTTCTGAGCAGCCACTTGCAAGCTACATCCCACAGTGCCAGCATGGCTTGCTTATCATGACATCCCGAAGCAGAGATGTGGCATTGAAGTTTGTTGATGACAGCGAAATCGTTGTTGTCGATCCGATGGATAAGCCACAAGCATCAGCTCTCATGAAGAACAAACTCGGATTTTCTGCGAACGAAGACGATATATTGGACCTCACAGAAGCGCTTGATTTCATGCCCCTAGCAATCGTCCAAGCCGCGGCATATATCAAAAAGCGAGTGCCGCGTTATTCTGTCTCCCGGTATCTTGAAGATTTCCAGAAAGGTTATCGTAAAGGGACGAGACTTCTGGAACATGAGGCTGGTCATCTCCAACGAGACCGGGAGGCCAATAGCTCAATCCTGACCACTTGGCAGATATCATTTAATCATATTCGAGCTTGCAAGCCATCGGCTGCAAACCTCCTCTCCCTCATGAGCTTCTTTGACCGACAGGGAATTACTGAAGAGTTAGTACAAGACGTGAGATTCAAGGAGAATGATAGTGATGGCGACAGTACTTCTGATTCTGACTTCGATGACGGGTTTGACGAAGACATCGAAACCTTGAGAGACTACTCGTTCATTTCTATAAGCCCGAATGGCAAGTCTTTCCAAATGCACAGACTCGTTCAGCTTTCTACCCGGAGATGGCTTGAGACCCGCGACGAGTACGAACACTGGCAAGATGTTTTCTTTGACGTGCTGTTCCAAAAGTTCCCGTCTGCTGAATATGAGAACTGGGAACTATGTCACTTGATGTTCCCTCACATCAAATCAGCAATGTCACAATTTCCAAAGTCGCAGAACTCGCTCATGAATTGGGCATTCGTTCTACTAAATGGAGCACTGTATGCACGGAAATCAGGAACATCTATTGACGTACAGTCGATGGCAGCCAAAGCTGTGAAGATATTTCAACAGATTCATGGCCCCGAGCATTATGATACTCTGAGGGCTCTACAGATTCTCGCAATAATACTACATGACCATGGCCAAATCCACGAATCTGAATCGCTGGAGGTGCAGGTGCTCGAGATTAGGAAGAGGATTCTCGGTGCAAATCATCCTGACACTCTAACTAGCATGGGCAACCTAGCGACGATACTTAGCAATCTCGGCCGATTTAACGAAGCTGAAGTCCTAGAGGTGCAGGTGCTAGAGATTAGGAAGAAGATGCTTGGTGCAGATCATCCTGGAACTCTGACTAGCATGAGCAACCTAGCGTCAACAATCAGCGATCTTGGTCGATTTACCGAAGCTGAATCCCTGGAAGTGCAGGTTCTAGAGAGTAGGAAGAAGATTCTCGGTGCAGATCATCCTGATATTCTATCTAGCATGAGCAACCTAGCGACGATACTTAGCAATCTCGGCCGATTTAACGAAGCTAAAGAACTAAAGGTGCATGTGCTAGAGAGTAGGAAGAAGATACTCGGTGCAGATCATCCCGACACTCTATCTAGCATGGGCAACCTAGCGTCAACACTTAGCAATCTCGGCCGATTTACCGAAGCTGAAGCACTAGAGGTGCATGTGCTAGAGAGAAAGAAGAAGATTCTTGGTGCAAATCATCCTAATACACTGATTAGTATGAGCAACCTAGCTTCAACACTCAACGATCTCGGCCGATTTGCCGAAGCTAAAGCACTAGAGGCACATGTACTGGAGAGTAGGAAGAAGATGCTTGGTGCAGATCTTCCTGGCACTCGGACCAGCATAAGCAATCTAGCGTTCACACTTAGGGATCTCGGCCGAATCGACGAAGCTGAAGTTCTAGAAGTGCATATGCTAGAGAGTATGACGAAGATACTCGGTGCAGATCATCCTGACACTCTAACTAGCATGGGAAACCTAGCGTCAACACTTAGCAATCTCGACCGATTTACCGAAGCTGAAGTCCTAGAGGTGCATGTGCTAGAGAGTAGGAAGAAGATGCTTGGTGCAGATCATCCTAGCACTTTGACTAGCATGAGCAATTTGGCGTCAACACTTAAGGATCTCGACCGGCTACAGGACGCTGAAGCCCTAGCAATGATTGCACTGGAATCAAGAGAAAGGGTTCTTGGCACAGAACATCCCAATACTTTGAAAAGCGGGAATTTATTGGCAAGAATACTTCGAGGTCTTGGTCAGTTTCACAAGGCCGAGGCGCTTTTTGTTTCAGTGCTTGAGACTCGCAGGAGAGTGCTTGATGTGCAGCACCCTGCTACACTCCGGAGCATGGCTGAACTCGCTCGCACCTGGAAATCTCTAGGCCGACACGTCGAAGCTCTAGATATGTTGGGAGAGAGCTTGGCCATGAGAAAGCAAGTTCTAGGGCCTGAGCACTACTCTGTCTTATCCGACTCTGAGACATTGCTGCAATGGGAAACCGATGGACATGCAGGGCAGGAGAGTTCAAATCGACATGATGCCTTATAGTATTCCATGAGCTCGAAATGGTGTCTGAGTACATTTTTTCTGTGTTATATACGAACCACGATGTCTGGTAAATCCACGACCCACCAAGAAAGGACCATCTAGACAGGGTTCACTGGGAACGCTCAATATGTGAAGATCCCGAGTAGGCAACATCCTATGATTTCATCTCTTAAACAAATAAAAAGATTAGCATATCGCAGGCTGGTCTATATAGTACTGATCTTGTCATCTAGGGGCTTGTTTAGGCTAAGAACAGGGTTTCGGCTTCAGGGCTTGTGATCAGCCATATTGCACCACCCTTTTGCCACTTGCTATTATCACTGGCAATTGCATGGGACATTGCCTCTATTCTGTTTCGACGGAACTGAACCCACTGTAAAGGTTGAATAGTGATTGTGATGTAATCATGTTAATAGCCTATTGCTGGTGATAGCCTATAACCGTATCACACTAACCTCTGATTGTACAGGCGAGCACTCAGTAAATAACTGGAATATTCCAAAAAGAAACCTATCAAACCAATCCAAGGCTTGGAATCGAAATGTTGAGCTGCAGTAGTAAATGTCTTGGCATTTCGGATTTCGGTATCCATTTATAGACTCCGGCGATCAAAAGAGGACCCTGGACTTAGTGTCTAAGATCTGGACTGGCTTTGCTTTGCTTTTAAAAGCTATTATCGGATTGAAATTTTCACACATCATAATTCTGCCAAAGAGAAGTCTCTTCCAACACGACTCAATTCTGATTTTGAGGAGCTCTCAAGTTGGAGCCGGGGTTCGGGCGAATCCCGTCGAGAATGCTCGATGGCCTGACGTATGGACACTCCCAACAGTTCAACATTTTATTGCTGGGAAGATATCAAAAGGTAGAATATCTAAGATCAGTTAAATTGAATTCATTTGCAATCCTCTTGCTAATCTTAATATCCTTTGATCTCAGTACTGGTCGTTGTTCACCTTCCGACTTGAAGCTTCATACTTCCTCCATACAGAACACCTTCCTCAACATCTCCACGATGACAGTCACCGAGCCGAAAGGCCAAAGGCTGCACATCAGCGAGCAACCTTTGACACTCGGGAACTGGCACAAACATGTCAACTGGGTCAACACCTCCCTCATCTTGATCGTGCCGTTCTTTGGCTGCATCGCTGCATTTTATACCGAGTTGCGAGCCATCACTGCAGCTTGGGCCATTCTTTATTACTTCTGGACTGGCCTTGGTATCACTGCTGGATATCATCGTCTCTGGGCACACCGCTCATATGAAGCGTGAGTATCTCCCCACCCCCACCGTCGGCCACAAGCAACTGAACACTAACTGAGAGTCAACTCACTAGCGGTCTCCCTCTCAGACTCTTCCTCGCATGCGTCGGCGGTGGTGCAGTCCAAGGCTCCATTCGATGGTGGAGCGCTAAGCATAGGGCACACCATCGATGGACCGACACAGCCAAGGACCCGTACAGTGTTATGAAGGGGGTGTGGTACTCACACTTCATGTGGATGGTCTTGAAGCAGAACCCTAAGAACCGTGGTCGCACAGATATTTCAGATTTGAATGAGGACCCTATCGTTGTTTGGCAGCACAAGAATTATGGCACTGTCATTCTTGTTTTTGGCATGTTGTTCCCAATGATGGTGGCTGGACTAGGATGGGGCGATTGGAAAGGTGGTCTGATCTATGCCGGAATCCTTCGGTTCTTGTTTGTTCAGCAGGCTACTTTCTGTGTCAATTCACTTGCCCATTGGCTAGGTGAACAGGTTAGTATATCCTCATTTCAGTCTATATCATCGCGCTGACGGGCTCTAGCCATTTGATGATAGAAACTCTCCTCGTGACCATGTTGTCACCGCGTTGGTGACCCTGGGCGAAGGATACCACAACTTCCACCATGAGGTAAGATCATGCTCGTTCACCTCCTTTGTTGAAGAGAAATTAACGATCTTCAGTTCCCCTCCGACTACCGAAATGCCATCCAATGGTGGCAGTACGACCCTACCAAGTGGTCCATCTGGGTGTGGAAGCAGCTCGGCCTCGCCACTAATCTGAAACAATTCCGCGCAAACGAGATTGAGAAGGGCCGTGTGCAACAGCTACAGAAGAAGGTCGATCAGAAACGAGCCAAGCTTGATTGGGGTGTTCCTCTCGAACAACTCCCCGTCGTCGACTGGGACGACTTCATTGCCGAAGCACAAAGCGGCAAAGCTCTTGTGGCTATTGCTGGAGTGATTCACGATGTCACCGACTTCATCAAAGAACATCCTGGTGGTAAGACCCTCATCTCATCGGCTGTCGGCAAAGATGCCACTGCCATCTTCAATGGCGGTGTGTATAGTCACTCCAATGCCGCACACAACCTTCTTTCCACGATGAGGGTCGGGGTCATTCGAGGGGGTGGAGAGGTTGAGATCTGGCGAAAGAGCGAGAAGCAGATGTCCAGTCAATACGCATAGAAAAGATAGAAGAGACAAAAGAGATAGAAGAGACAGAAGAGACAAAAGTCGAATGTTGATGTTCGTGCCGAGTCACCTGATCGATGTGTACTTCCTTCCACATCCCCCCTGTTTTCTCTCCTTTCCCCTGCTTTTCCTCCCCTTTCTCCAGACAAAAGAAAACAAAGGACCCAATTTCAGTTTACTCCACCGGAGTTTTGCCTTACAATCTCACGGGCTAAGCACTAGGGGTAACATTTGTTCCGTCAGTGGCGCCTCATAAGCTTGACAGGGACCACACCCCCCCAGTGATATGCCCCCAAGCCTCCAGGGCTCGGATCTTCCCCCTCTTTACCACGCTCCATCCGATCCGGTGGCCCAATAGCTGGCCTTGAACACCTGCATCGGATAAATCCTGATCGCGCAAAGCTTACCCCGGGTTGTCCCCGCCTCCCTAGCGTCAAGCCATGCGGAGGGAGCTTTGGAATGTTTGTTGCGGCACGTAGCTACCCCATATAATGCCTGCACCCCTCGGTTGCGTCCGATCTTTACTTTTTCCTGCCCGGATCACGCTTCGTCTTCTCTTAGTTTATGCTTTCTTTCTCTCGGTAATCATTCTTCTGGGAATCAGAATGCATTTCAAGTCTTACGTGACCGCTGCCTTGTATGGGCTGCCCGCCCTTGCACAGGCTGCCCCGTCGCCTTCTTCGGGCGCGTCGGCTTCCTCCTCGTCGGCTGCTAGTTCTAGTGGTCACTTCGAGAGCTATACCATCAAGGCTGAGAACATCACCGCTAAGCTGATTCCGTACGGCGCGCGTCTGACCTCCTTGACCGTCCCCGATCGCCATGGCAAAGTCCAGGATGTGGTGGTTGGCTATGATGACCCAATCGAGTATCTGCATGACAGTGAGACCAATCGCACCTTTTTCGGCGCGGTCGTTGGTCGTTATGCCAACCGTATTAAGAACGGTACCTTCACCATCGACGACAACACCTACCACATTCCTGAAAATGAGAACAACGGTGTAGACACCCTCCATGGTGGCTTCACTGGGTATGACATGCGCAATTGGACGGTCACTGCCCACACTGAGTCTGCCATCACCTTCAGCTTGCTCGACCAAGGCTTTGAGAACTTCCCCGGCGATGTCATCACCCATGCCACCTTCAGTGTGTCCACCGAGACCACCCCTGAGAACCCCAAGGGTCTCCCCCAGTTGACCACCAAGCTAGTAGCTATCGCTCTGACTGAGAAGACACCTATCATGCTGGCCAACCACATCTACTGGAACTTGAACGCGTTCAAGGAGAAGACTGTCCTCGGGGACACCTTGCAGCTGCCTCTCTCCAAGCGCTACATCGCTGGAGACAGTATCCTCATCCCCAACGGCACCATCTCTGACGTCGATGACACCTACTCTGGATCATTGGACTTCACCACCCCCAAGACAATTGGCCGAGACATTGAGAAGACCACCGGTCTTTGCGGTGCTGGCTGCACCGGCTACGACACCTGCTTCCTGATCGACCGCCCCGTCTCCAACGCCCCCAACTCCATGATCACTGCAATCCGCGCCTCATCCGACAGTACCGGAATCAGTCTTGAGGTCGCCACCAACCAGGCTGCCCTCCAGATCTATACCTGCAGCGGCCAGAACGGCAGCATCGCCACCAAGAAGTCCCAGGCTCAGCGCAACAAGGCTGACAGTGGTAACGCTGGTGCCACCCATGTGAACAAGTACGGTTGCTTTGTCATTGAGACCGAGGACTGGATTGATGGCATTAACCAGCCTGAGTGGGGACGTAACCCCTACCAGATCGCCGGCCCTGATGATGGGCCTGTCGTCAACTGGGCCACGTACCAGTTCGGTAATATCTAATTCCTCCACGTTGGAGAGTTATGCACATAACTGCATTTGGATAATAATAAAACTTTGATTTCTGCGTGGCGAAGGCTATGTGCAGAACCTATTTTCAAGCTCCTCCCGGGTGTATTCTGTAAATCCTGTAGTACCATTTGCATGCATTCATTTGGCGCGATATAGTATTCATCATCTCAACCTCGGGAATATTCAAAGCTTCGACAAAATATCCGACCCATCAACGCCACTGCCTTTCACAATCTCATCTTCCCAATAATTAGGATTAAATGTTATTCGGTTAAGAGGATTTAACCGATGCGCCCGGTTAAACAAGTCCTCGTAGACACGGCCATCATACCGACCCAGTGCACTACAATCACTTATGTTAGTAGCTTTCATGTCAGGTGAGTGTTGAAATAGGATTATCATACCTGTCCAGTAAATAATCAGGAAGCATCCAGGAATCAACCAGTTTCACTGCATGTGGTCTGATCCGACTCATCAGATCTTGAACCCGAGCAGGCAGAGCATTCAGAGCTGACTGTGCGACGGCATTGCATCGAAAGACTGGACTCAGTGTTAATTCCGAGGTTTCTGGCTGTTGGGGATATCTCACATTCGTAGCCCTCGTTCTCCATTGTATTCAATGCGAAAAGGCGATATAGATCCCACAACACGGGTTTTATCGGGGCTGAGAGGGTCTTGTTCGTTGAAAGAGCTTCGAAGAATGTCGTTACCATGATCGATTGTGATTGTGCTGCAGTTTCATTGAGTGAATTACATAGTGGCATTGGCTGGATATGAATACATACCCCGGCTTAGTTTGTGAAGCTGAATGAGAAGACTGTTCCAGTTCTTCTTTTTGATAACCCGCTCTTCATATGCGTCGTATGTCTATATCCTGTCAGTTTGGTGAATTCATACTAGAAGGGATTCCTCCAACATACCAACGCAGTAGCTCTCGTGTCAAAACTCTTCACGATATCCCGATCACTGTTCAAGACATCAAACCTTGTCGATAACCGTCCAGCACGCTTCTCCCGAACAAATACCCTAAACCGAGCATCCATCTCATCACCCTGTTCCCCCCTCCCCTCGCCCTCAACAGCAGCACCCATCTTCTTAATCAAATAACCCGCAACCTGCTGCGTGATCATCCAATTATCCCCCTCAACAGTCGGCTTGGACAAGTAATCATTATTGAGCTGAATCAACCCACTTCCACCCCCAAATCCATGACCCCCCATCGCCCGTCGACAAGTCTCAATCCCATCCGCCGCAAGCATGGTACAGAGACTCTTCAATCCAGAAGACATACTATGCATATAGGCCAACGAGTCGAAATCCCCCTTTTCAATATCATCTCGTGCACTCTGGTATATAGTCCGCATAGCAAGACCAGTGTAATGCAACGCGAACGTCGTCGCCAGGAGGGGCAGGATGCGGATTTGAACGGTTGGATAATCCAACACTGACAACTCTGGTCCGCGCTTGTCCCCGTCTCGATCTTGGAACTGTCGGCGCACGGTTGTGTATCTGATTGCGACTGTGACTGCTCTTGCAAGCACGAGGCGTGCGTGTTGCACGATATTCGCCCGGACGTAGGTGAGCGAGCCGTAGACTAGAGCTGGCTGGGCGGGTTTTGTGTATAGCCCTGTATCTGGATTCACGCTTGAATAGCGCGAAAGAAGGGCTGAATGAGGGATTCTGTGGTTCTTTTAGTCGTGCTGGACAGTTTTGCACTGTTGGAATTTCACGTACCGGAATCGATCAAATAGCATATATGCATTGTCCATGGTGATATATCCATACTTCGGCCCTATATCACCGACAACAATACCCTCCAATGGCAAATGCGTCTTCATATCCCTGACCTGCACAATGAACGGATGCGGGCCATGCGAGACAAATCGATTCGAGCCGGGCTCTGGCAATACTAATTGAGCCACGACAATGGCATGGTTGGCAATCCGGCCTAGACTGCCATTCCACCATTTACTAGCTGTCAGAGACGGGCTGTGTAGCACGAATTCTTTAGTGTGAGGGTCCCACTTTGCTTCAAGCTCTATACCACGGACATTGCTGCCATGTCCAAGTTCAGTCTGTGCATATGCACCTATGATCTTCCAGGACTCGATTAGAGGGAGCCAGTAGACTCGTTGTTCTTCGCTGGCCTGTTCTCGGATTGTGGTGATGAACATCTCCATGTGGAGGAAGTAGGGGGAGACGTCGTCTACTAGGTATTCTGCCATTTTGTAGTCGTCATGGCTCCATTTGTGCTTGTCGCTTAGGCGTCGAAGGAGCTTTGCGCGTGCAAGTCCTAGTTTAAACCGTTCCGGTCGAGAAAGGTTTTGTTGTTTTGATTTGGAGAGAAGTGGCTCTTTCTGGAGGATTGGCAGGATTTGAGCTTGTCGCTCTAGGAAGCCATCTGAGGATAGAAGGTGTTTTCCGAGCTCTTCCGTTGAGATATTTGATTGTTCTCGCTCTTTTGCGAGTGTAGAAGGTCCATCTGGCTGGCTCGGACGAAGTTTGTCTGTAAAATCCGGCATTCTGAATCCTTGAATCCTTGAGACTCCCTTTGTCAATAACTAGAGTATAGCTCTCGATTCCTTTTAATAAGTTGCATATCCACGCTGCTATGCTCGCTCAAAATCACCGAGTGCCGAGTGCCGGCATATCCTCGCGGGGTCGATGCAGATCCTGGGGAAGTAGCCGAATGGATTGAAACAGCGAGATCGATTGGTTGGAATTGTGAACGGCGTAATTCCGAAATGCTGTCGCGATTCATATAGTCGAAGGCTTTGCCGGGATAAGAAGCAATGCCCATCCCACCGATTCAACAAGATCAGGCTCATATAGCAGTATAGCACTATTGTCCACACTATGGGAGACCGCACTCAATTCATTCCTCCACACTGGGGAGATAATGTATTACCAAATATGCCATTTTTCCATCGGTTGCTGCGCTACGCGCAACGCAAGCCTTCTCCCGTTGCGATTCGAGATTTGAACGCTGGTCTGGAAAAGTCATACCACCATCTTCTTTCAGACGTCTTGGCTCTGCGAAAGATATTAGAGGGGAAATTGGGCCCTGAAACGCGGCGAGAACTGGCTGCCGACAAAGAAGTGTACATTGGACTGCTTGCTCCGGGGGGCTATGAGTATACTGTCGGCTTCATGGCTATTCTTGCGCTTGGTGCAGCTGTGGTACCAATGGGTAAGTCTGTCCTAGAAAGAGAAGAAACAACGACAGCCAAGCTAATCAAGAGCAGCTGCTGTCTTACCTGCCGAAGAAGCATCTTACTTTCTGCTGAAAGCTCGATGTGTTGCTCTTCTCTCCAGCACAGCCAGCGAGCAAACCGCCAAATCAGTTGTGCAATTCGTTTCAGAAAGTAAAGGTGTACAGATTCCCTGTATATCACCAATCGCATCATACTTCCGACCAACACTCCTCCCAGCAGATGAAGCAATCGTGTCATCGGACCTGGTACCAGATATGAATGGCGCAGCTCTGGTGATCTTCACCTCTGGCACAACAGGGCCCCCAAAAGGCGCTGTGCAGCGCCGCAGCTACTTGACCGGTAGTGGCGAGGCCGATATGGACCATTACCGTATTACAGAGCAGGATACCGTCCTCCATGTTCTCCCTGTTCATCATGCTTCAGGCGTGGGACTTACATTCCTTCCCTTCCTGACTGCTGGTGCATGCATCGAGTTCCGCAGCGGAAGCTTCGACTCGGCTTGGACGTGGGAACGCTGGCGTCAGGGTGGGCTTTCGTTCTTTTCTGGTGTGCCCACCATCTATATGCGCCTGATGCGATACTTTGAAGAGAATATTGCGCATCAGCCTACAGAGATTCAGGATCAGTATATTGCCGGTGCGCGTGGTCTTCGAGCTATGCTGTGTGGCACTTCTGCGCTTCCGGGGCCGGTTCAGGATTTCTGGAACCGGATTCGGGAGAAGCCTATCCTCACTCGATATGGAGCTACTGAGTTTGGGGCGGTCATCAAGACTGATCTTGACTCTGGGGACGCTCCGAAGAATAGTGTTGGGCGTGTGGCCGAAGCTGTGTCGCTGAAGCTTGCTGATGATGGACATCTTTTAGTCAAATGTCCATATATGTTCTCCAAGTCAGAGTGACCCTTCTTTCCCTTTTGACTCGGTCACTGACAGTGTGTAGATATCTGTTTGACGAGAAAGCAACGGCAGATGCCCATGATGCAGATGGGTACTTTAAATCGGGTGACATTGCCCGCCGCGAAGGGAAATATTATTTCATCCTCGGTCGTGCCTCGATCGACATCATCAAATCTGGAGGATATAAAATCTCTGCGTTGGATATCGAGCGCGAGATCTTGGGTCTGGACTACGTTTCAGAGGTCATGGTTGTCGGTGTTGCAGATGAGGAATTTGGCCAACGCGTTGCTGCCACTGTTAGTCTTAAGCAAGATCGCAACACAACACGCAAGGACTTGACCCTCGCGGAGCTTCGTCATGACCTACGGAGTCACATCGCTGGGTATAAGATGCCAACTATTCTCCGGGTTGTCCAGGGGGAACTTCCCAAGTCGGGCACGGGAAAGGTTCAGAAGAAGATCTTGGGCCCTCAGCTGTTTCCCTCGAACTATCGCGAATTGCCTGATGTTCAGACTTGGGATAGACAGAGTCAGGCTAAGCTGTGATTGGTGACCCTCATGATATGTGTCCTAAATCTTTGTACAGTTCTACGAAGTTTTCAGTCTATACACTTAAGACTCGGGTGATATCCACGATCGAAGTATAAAATCCGAACGGAATAATGAATGCCTAACATGCAATATGCAAGATAAACCACATGTGTCCAATTTCCAGCCCTTCAGCAAACTCGGCCCCCCTCCCGGTGATGCATCTATACCAGGCCGGGGTCTCTGCCGCTTCAACAGACATCAGAAATAGTTTGGATTGTCGCTTTCCCCTGACGTACTTTGAATTCTCGCCAATCACGAGGGTGCCCGCAGCCCCCGCATTTTCTCCGCAGTGTCATCGTGCAGACGATTGTTGTCGTGGACACTTTATCCTCATTGGGCATGAGACTCCAAGTCTGCAGGGTCGACTATCTGGGCTTGTCATGGTCAATTGACTCCTGGTGTATGGCCCTGTCCAGAGGCTTACTCTATTGGTATATATGATGCTGTAAGATTCGGGTTCAAGTAACCCAATCCTCCAGGGCAATCTTTACTTTAATCAAAATGAAGACCCTCGTAGGAGTTTAGGCTTATTATACTAAAAGGCTCGAAGTCATAAGATTGTCAGATATATTGATTTCGTTCCTTTTTCGCATAGACATCTATGGCAGCTCTATTGAATAGCCATCTCGGCAGAAATCACGTAGAATTCGAATTATCCGCACACGTAAACGGGGACGAATCTCCAGAGGCCTGTATAACTCCGAGCACAGTTCCGTAAGTGCCGGCAACAGTCAAAAAGCAACCTATCACTATGACAAAGATACTAAAGCACACCATTGGTAGCCAAGTTTTAGAACTGTGTCTCCCGTTGGACCAATGGTCGTAGATCCACATGCAACCGTACGGTTGGAAGCATAGGATTGTTCCGAGAAGTGCACCAATAAGTGAAGTGAGAGCATTAAAGCCAGGTATTGTGCTAGAGATAATGTATGCAATGATGGTGATGCCGCCGGTGCAGCACAGCCAAACAATCCAGTGCGTTGGGGTATTGCGATTCAAATGGCGGGAGCCGCGAAGGATGCGGACAAAAATGTACTTGGCTGGAATCTATACAGGGTTAGTCTTCTGTGGGCACTCTGGCATCACCGTATGTCTTACATGTGTGACAATTGTAGCAGTCACAATCAACCCGGGAATTGCAAATCCATATGAAATCTTCTTCACGAGCCCACCAGCGGAACCAAGAGCCGGTGAAGCGACATATGAGCCACAGTAGTAATACACAACACATGCAATGACCAAATAGATCAAAGTCACGCCAGCTTGACAGACAAGCAGTGCATGTGTGTATTGACGAGGGTTGCGCATCTCAGATACAATAGCGAAGAATCCAGGAGTGCCTGAGAAAGCAAACAAGATGTTGCAAATACCCGCGATACCCTCTGCGAACGTCGGGTTGCCGACAATCTTGAAGTCCGAATGCCATGGTAGGTCATCCTTGGGCGCAGCGGCAGGTCGGTCTTGCACTCCAACGGCGATAGTGACCACCATGACTGCCGAGAAGTTAGTATATGATCCATCCTTGCATGTGGAACACCGTACCTGCCACCAAAATACACGGAAGTCCAATCCAGGCAAGCCAAGTAATCCGTCCAAGCGTTCGTATACTGCTTCCACTGAACCCAAGGATGGCCGCAATGGCCGCAAACCCAGCAGTACACATGCCATGTGTGGAGACTGCATTGAGGCCAATTGACAATCCCAGTATGCCGGACGCACTGACAAAGATCCAATCTGTTGAGTCAGTTTGGTGCAATGTTCTGCCCCTTGGAATACATACAAACACAGAATACAGCCCCGAGAAACCAGCGAGCGATCGGGCCGGCAATCAAGCCTCCCGCATCGTCAATTCCATATACTTCACGATGGTTCAACTTGAAGCCTCCAATCACGTAGCCAGACCACGTTGTTATCGCCGAAATCACCAACAGACAGATAACCCCCGGAACCATGCCCAAGGCATCGAAGGCGGATGGAATCGAAAGAATTCCCAGGCCAATCTGTGACTTTGCCATCAACACAGCAGTTCCCACAAAGCCCACCTAGAAAGCCGTCAGTTTTCACCTCCCGAGAAGTTCCTGGGAATGAGCATCTCATCAGTACATTGCGGTAGTTCGGTCCTTCTTCTGTGATTTCTCCAAACACGCCATCGTGGTTGGCTGTTTGGGTCCGCTTCACATCAAGCTCATCGTATTTCTCGTCATTTTTGCGGTCCCGGTCCTCTTCTAAAGAATGTACTTCGGAGATATCCATTTTTCGCCAGGAGAAATCTAGTGGACACGGGTTAGAATCCGTGAGAGTTCATCTTCCTGGACAGGGGCGTTATATAGTCGACAGTTCAACCAATGGGCTTCAAATGGGGCCCCGCAGTCGGAGAGAGAAATATCCCTTGCATCCCCGCACGAGTGAATTCAAGAATCCAGTCGAATCCAGTCGAGTCCAGTCAAGTTCTTGTCAAGTGCAAGTGTGATGAACATCGGGTTTCCTTCCCGTTGAGTGCGAGTTCGGGGAAGGTGCCGCTATGTGGAGTCTCAACCCTCTTTGGCCTCAAGTCGCATTCGTTTCTAAGTTGCAGGTTCAACAGCATAGGAAACAGTGACTGATATTGAAGTAAGCTCTTTTCTTATGGTCACTGTTTGATCTCGTTCAAGACAACTGTAGTACACCTTCGCATTGGCATCCCCCAGGGTCAATTTCAAGTTACATCGAGTCCAAGGCCAAAGCGGGATCGCCGGTTGAGAGCGATGTGGAGTGCGAAGAATATGCCGGTAAAGTCTGGTCTATTGATTGCCGAATAACGTGTGATATGAAGAAATGGGGTAGAGTGTACAGGAGGAGAATGAATGTACGTCACGCTAGAACAACTCTATAGCAAGGCCAACCCTAATCAAAGCCCTTGAATTCATCCTCGTCATTGTTGCCCTTGGCTGTGGCCTTCTCATTGGCCTTTTCAGCTTGGCGAGCAAGACGCTCCTGTTCGTTCTTGGTACGAATCGCCTCCAACATCCGCTGTGTCTCTTCCTCCTTCTTTTTCTCATGCTCGGGCAGTAGGTCCCATCTCTCCTGCTCCTTACGACTTCTCTTGATCTCCTTCTTCTTGAATTTCTTGTCTCGTTCCTCGGCTTTCTGACTCCAAGCCACACTCTCAGTAGGCTTGCGCTTGGTGCCTTGCTCGCCGCCTTCGCCATTGGCAGCCTCGGCCATGGCTTCCTTGCGCCGCTTTTCTTGTTGCTTGTCTTTGTATGTGTAGTTGTCCCAATCGAGCTTCATGCCGAGTGATTTGTCGCCAGTGAAGGTGCGCAACTCGGGCATCTTGGGGAGCTTCAGAAGACCCCAGGCCAAGCCGAGGGCTTCCCAGTCTAGATCGGCGACTCGGAAGATGCTGCTAGCCTGGTGTTTGCTGTAGCTGCGCAACCAGCTGACAAATGCCTTTTGGCCCTTGTCGTGCATGGCCCGATCCTTGAGAACGGCTCTGCGGACTTTATCCGTAGCTGCCTTGGCCTCTTCGTCGGTGAATTCAGTCAGATTATAGGGTGCAACGGGAGTTTTCCGGATTTCTAAGAAAGAAACATAGTCTTCCTCGCGCCCAGGGTGGATGAGAACAATGCTGAGGCCTCGACGACCAGCGCGGCCTGCTCGGCCACATCGGTGGATGAAGGTCTTCGGGTCGGACGGGGGTCAATCTGGACCACTAGATCAACAGATGGAATATCCAGACCGCGGGAGGCAACGTCAGTGGTGAGGAGGATGGCGGGAGTGGTAGCGGAGATGAAGCGATTAAAGTTCTTTTGGCGGACGTTGGCCTGATGTTTCCCATGTAGCGGCACCAGGACGAATTCATCACCCAGGATTATTGGTAGTATAGCAGCGAGATAGTCGACACTTGAACATGTCGATACGAAAAAGATGGTCTTCTGGGGTGTGGGTTGAACTGTGGAAAGGATGTGCTTCAGGATGGCATATTTGTGAAGGGGAGGTGTAGTCAGGTAGGTCATTTGCAAACTATTCGAGGGTCAGAATGAGATATCCAATTGTTCAGGGGCCGTGGCATACCTTGCTGGAGTGCGCTTATCCTCAACACCAGCGCCTCCCTTCACCTTGACGGCGATTTTGACTGGATTGCGGAGACCCACACGAACAATCTGATCAACAGCTTCACTGATACTGGCACTGAACAATCCCGTCCTGCGCTGCTTAGGCAATCTGCCAAGAATCTTCTGCAAATCTTCCTTGAAACCAAGGTCCAGAAGTCTGTCGGCCTCGTCTAGGACCAACATTTCGAAAGAGGACTGGGGGCAGTGCACGTGAGGCGATGAAAGGAGCTCCAACAGTCTTCCCGGGGTAGAAACCAAGACATTAGGCGAATTCTTGAGGAACAATCTCAGATCCTCTGCCGGAGAGGTGCCACCACCCAGGAGAAGTTGTGGAATGACCTTCAAAATAGATGAGGAGGACTTCAGACGAGGCGCACCATCTTCGGCAGGCTTGTTGGCCACGGCAGAGGCGGGGTGGAACTCCAATAGTGAGAGAAGAACTTGGTAGATCTGTGTGGCCAATTCTCTGGTGCAAATCATTAGTTACTAGCTTGGTATTGCATATGCGCCGCACTTACCTTGTGGGAGAAATGATAATAGCGCCAACATGATGCTTCTTGAGAGGCTCATCGAGACGCAATAGCTTTTCAACAATTGGAATCAAGAAAGACAATGTCTTTCCACTTCCAGTGACAGCTTCCACCACGACATCCTTGTGTTGCATAAACAGAGGGATGGCCGAGGCCTGGACTGGTGTCATGCGCGTAAAGCCCATTGAGCTCACGGCGTCAAGTGTCCATTCGGACAAAGATGGCGTAATGCCATCCCAGGCTCTTGAAGACGGCTTAGCGGGCATCTTAAAAGAACTCCGAATCCTTGACGATGTCTCGAACTGCTGAGGCGCAAAGAAAAAAAATCCGTTATCGATTAGATACGGCGCACGTGACTACGGCATTGGGCGGAATGGGGATATCTTCGTTCTTCTTTCTTCTCTACATCTTCGTTGACTGGCCTTTTCTTGATACTCACATTATGCGCCGGGCTGTCTTTTGTTTCAAACTCTTCCGTCTCTAATTGTCGATAGGGCACCGTGTCGTGCTCACACCGCCCATCATTGCTTCGTTCGCGAATCCACATATACCATTTGGCTTATTTGCCTGCGACAGTACAGAAATCTGTACGCGGCCATTATCTGGCGTAATTCCAGTCGCATCGCTACCTTTGTTCGCCCTAAGATCGCCTGAGATGCCCGCTTCCCCAGATGCCGTACCGGCAACACCTCGCGTGATCTCCCCGACACCATCTCTTTCGGACCCATCGGAGGCACATGATGGATATTTCGCACCGACAACACGGTCCGCTGCGCGCCGACAACGCCAATCTGAAGGTACAGGACAAGCAACAGGCTCAGAGCGGATACCGAGGTCCACCACAACTCCCTCCAGACCCGCACGCCGATCAAACCCCAAGATCCCAGCTTCGCCGCCGCACACGCCCAATGGCACCTCTTCAAATGGCTTCTTGTCACCATTAAACATTCCGGATACACTGCGCGATCTCTCGCGGTCCCCATCCCCTCTCGGACTTATCCCGCTACATTCTCGCTATCGCTCCTTCATTCACCGCCATGAAATTCCCCGCAAACTCCTGCACGTGTCCATCGGGTTCTTGACATTGCAGCTGTACAGGTCGGGCGTGCAGACGTTACAAATCACCCCGGTGCTTTTTTCTGCCTTGGTTCCCATCGCGGCCACGGACTTGATCCGCCATCGCTCGGAGAGGGTTAATAAGTTCTATATTCGATGCATGGGTGCGCTTATGCGTGAAACTGAGGTTTCGGGCTATAACGGCGTTATCTGGTATCTCCTCGGGGCGTACGTTGTCCTGCGCTTCTTCCCCAAGGATGTTGGAGTGATGGGTGTGTTACTCCTTAGCTGGTGTGACACCGCCGCGTCAACATTTGGCCGTCTGTACGGCCGCTATACCCCTCATCTTCGGAAGGGTAAGAGCTTGGCTGGCACCGCAGCTGCTTGGGCTGTTGGTGTTGCTGCCGCCGCCGCTTTCTGGGGCTGGTTTGTGCCTTACATTGGTGCATTCCCTAACGACCCTGAAGATGCCTTCATGTTCACTGGACGCTTGAACTTGCTTCCAAACTCTGTTCGCGGTCTTCTGGGCTGGGAAGCCAGTGACTCTGCAGTCATTACCGGGCCTCTGGCTTTGGGTGTGATGAGTGTCGTTTCTGGTGTTGTCGCTGCCGGCAGTGAGTTCATCGACTTGTGGGGTTGGGATGATAACTTGACGATCCCTGTCCTCAGTGGAATTGGACTATGGGGATTCCTCAAGGTTTTTGGATAGATATTTAAATGATTTATACCTTTCGTTCTCAGCACAACACTCATAGCTTTTCATTTAATGTTATTTTGGTGTCTTATTTTTTGCACATAACTTTTCACATCTCTACTCTACTTTCAGGCATTGCGTTGCATCAAGATTCAGGTTTTTGCTTGGATAGAGGCGTGGCTAATATTTCGTCCGGTCCGCATTTTCTCGGGTTTTCTGCAATGGAAATATACTATTTTTTTTCCTGTAGTTTCTCTCTGATTGGTTCTTTGGCGGTTTTTGTAAATGCACAAATAGCAGTTCATTTGACTGTACTGAAACTCTGCATGGAATCAGACAAATCATTCGAGGCAAGTCACTAGGCTCTGTGCCCAATGCTTAACGGTTTCCTAAAACGCAGTTAAATAACGCTAATTGCTACACACGTAACATGCTGTATGCTTCCGCTCATAATTTCAAACACCCGCAAGAGCTTATGATGAATCCAAGCGCTAAATCCAATGACCAAAAACCAAAACCATGGGTATAAGAAAAACTAAACTAAGTCGAGGATGCTCACGCGTGGGATCCTCTTCTTGCCACTTCGAGCTCTATTGTTGCCTCCAGATGGGTCTGCTGGGTCCCCAGGCGAGGCTTCGATGCTCCAAAAACCATTGTGTATGGTGACGTTCTCTAAGTGACCAACTGTTTTTTGCTCTTGTTTGGTGCATAGGGTATCTTTGGAGGCCTTGGTGGTCTTCTTTGGCTTCTCGGCATCCTTTTTGTCTTTTTTCGATAATGCCACATGCTCGTGGCATTCGTTATCTTTTGATGCAAGTAAATTCGTTGAGCTTGATTGTTGTTTGGACTCGGGTGATGTCTTCTTGAGAAGCGGAGCTGGTTTGGCGGCTTCGGTCTTGGTGGTACGCGTAAGGACTTTAGAATCCTTTGCCTTTTTCGGCGACAGTTGGCGCATTGGCTCAGTTGATGCATCTTCGCCGCTATCATTAAGTTTCATTGACAGCGAAAGTGTCTCAATAGCCCTTTCGATTTCCTCGATGTCGAGGCTTCCCTCTTCGCACTGAGGCTCGAATCTTGTCTTTGTCTTAGATCGAGTCTTCTTCGATGGGGATGGCAGGGCCGTCAAAGCCCTAGCTGGTCGTTCCTCTGTCGAGGTTTCCGAGTGATAGTTATCTAGAATGGAATAGCTCATTTTGAGCCCCCTGGTTCGTGCTGACCTGCATGGGCTGTGGCTTGTTTCGGCCAGTCGAGTTTCCGACTCTTCAATCTCCATTCCATCGGTGCTCAAAAGTTCACGCCTTGATCTGATGCGAGACTGGGCTGCCATCGGGTGACGCTTGATGTTTGTAGAAGGGGACAGGGCAATAGATGAAAAAGAATCAAGGAGGTCGTCCACCTCCTGGAGTGAGTTGGACATGACCGACGTGGCACCTTGCTGGGGGTACATACTCGGGGAAAATGGATCATCTCCCATGTCCAGGACGATGGGTGAAGTAGAGCCAGCACCAGATTCAAGCCTGGAAAGAGGGTTCCCGATAGACTTTTTCGAAGTAGCTGCTTCCAGCAAATGTGTCTGCTTAGATACCGATAGTTCAGTCGTTTCCTTGGTGAGTGTTCCGTATTTTAGGATACTTCCTCGTTTCATCCCAGGATCAATTGGTCCCTTCTTTTTAGGTCCCGTTCGTCGACTTGGAGGCTTTTTGGCAGGTTTCTTTGCTTTCTCGGCTTTTTCAGCCTGTTCTTTTTCCCATTTCTTGACGACCTCTGGAACGCCTAAACGTGCAACGGTCTCAAAAACCCACACCTTTTCAATAGCAAAGGGGTCGAATCGTTTGGTCACACGGGACTTTGATGGTGTCGTGGGAGCCTGTCCCGAGGCCATCTCTGCTTCATCTTCCTCCTCTCCCTCATGTGGACTTGCTTGGGATGGAGCAGGCTCCTCGGATGGAAACGGTGGGTTTGGTTCTTCGGCGAGAAGATCTAAGCCCACCACATCTATGGGTAGCATATCCAGTTGCAGTTCTGGCATTGCGTCCGTGCCGAAGCTTGTCCGAGCTTTATAGGCTTTTTGCAAAGTGGGTGGACATTCAGGGACGAAAGAGAATCCCGGGGCCACGCCTCGCACTGGTCGCTGTAGGCGGAGTCGGTATGAGACAAGAGGCTCGGCTAACAGCTTGATCACTTTCCTTGCGCCTGATCTATAATTCCACTCAAAGTTATCTGCAGTAAACGTTCTGATTGCCAAGGGGTCAATATCGCGATCCCAGGCCTGCGTAAGACGGCTTCTTAGGCTTGACATTTCTTCTTCGCTGGAGACTTTTGGCTGTGCATAATACTCGAGAATCGTTCGATCGGGGAATATTTCAGGAATCCTGACGGCTTTGTGTTTTGTCGAAAAGTAGCCACTCTCATTCTCTTCCAGTTCATACTGAAGACGTTCTCTCCACTCACGTAACCCTGTTTCGACCGAATCCGAGTCCAGCTCTTGTAGCAGATCTTCACCGAACCCAGCCTTGGCAATTTCTGCGGCGAGTTTACTGCCACATTTGGGCACACCAGATGGAAGATAATCACCACCACTGAGCATGGCAAATAGAATCATTCCTGGACGGTCGAGTGGTATATTTGAAGGGTGCCCGTTTTGGCCCATTGCATAACATGTAACATGAGTTGCAGAAGATGTGCCACTTCCATTTTCTTTTGAAAAATTCATGATGGTCAATGATGACCCAAACATCAAAGCATCGACATCATTACTCATGACGGCATCAACAATCCCGGCCTGCTGCAGGCGTGCACACTCGGCTTCTGCTTCGCCGGGTGCCTCATGCCATGGAAATCTGAATCGCTCAATGAGGTCTTTTGAGCGTCTGATGATGGGGGCACTGCCGTAACTGCGTGCTGAAACTGCTTTGCCTCTTTTAAAAGCAGGTTTTTGCTTTCCATCATAGACAAAAAGAGGATGAACTGGTAATGCAAGTAATTTGAGCAGTCGATAAAATAGAGTTCGCAATTCGGGATTTCTTCCCCCTCTGCCAGCTTGGACTTGGAATAGCCAAATAGAAATATCGACGGCGATCCGAATTGGCCTTGCTGTCCGTTCCAGGTGCGTCACAGCCACTTTTGCCAATGAGATACGCTCTCCTGCCCCGATGGCATTAATGAGGCTGAAGGATCGTCAGCAAATTCGATCTCATCCTTTGAGAACATGCACTGCGGAGGTGCGAGGAGGTGCCTGTTGTTTGACCTCACCCGACACAGGGATTATCCGCATTTACATCTCTCAGTGCACCAGGGACGCACTCACCCAGGAATACCCATATTGCCGGCCCCAAAATCCTGCAATCTACAAAACAAAATAAAGGGTGTTGCGCCTCGCCATGTGGTTGTGGCGCTGAGTTACTGAGCGGAGATGAAGTTGTTGATAGAAGTAAATAAACCACGGCCCGATGTAGATCCGTTGCCTTTCCTCAAGCTCTCAACCTCACAACAGCAACGAATACAATTGTGATTCAGGACCGTCATTATCTGTTTGGAATTTCTTTTGATGGCGTTCAATGCTTTACCTGCGTGTCGGTGAAGCAAACTCTGTTTCCTACCAACCTCCGCGGAATTTTGTTGAGTCGAATAAGGAGAGCAACGCGCTCAAGCTCACCACCACGCAATGACGAGCGAATCACCTTCGATGAGCGCCAGTAAGCGCAGCTCGGCAACATCAAATCTACGTCACAGCCAAACCGCACGACCAAGCTCGCCGCAGACACCACAGCAACAACTACGCTCAGGCAACACCTCATTCACGAGCACGACATCTCCGGGCTCGTCCTTTCGAAATGAAGAAGATGCGATCATATTCGAGATAGGCGCGCGATGGCTCCGTGCAGGCTTTGAAGGAAACAGTGCACCCGCATGCGTGATTGGATTTGGACCCGAGGACTCGAGGAGAGTGGGGGACTATCGGGGATGGATTCAGGGGAGCATGGGAGCTGGACGGTTAGCCCAGCCTGTCGACGCAGAGGAATGGACACGGCCATACGAATTGTGGAGGCCGGACTCGCGGGAAGTCGATCTGGGTTTGGTCGAGGACAAGATTGAGCGCGCGTTCCGCGAGACCTATAACCAGTACCTGTTGACGGATGCAGGTACATCTCGCCTGGTTCTTGTCCTTCCTTCTCTTATGTCACATCCGTTGCTTTCGTCATTACTATCTACGCTCTTCAGTCGCTGGCGATTTCCGAGTGTCACCCTTTTGTCCAGTGCGACTATGTCGGCTACCGCTGCTGGACTGCGGTCTGCTCTGGTAGTTGACCTTGGGTGGGCTGAAACCACGGCAACCGCCATTTACGAATACAGAGATATGATTACACACAGGACGACACGAGCCATGAAACAAGTGATGCAGGAGATGGGTCGAATTCTCAGTGAATTGGCGTCTGACGGGGACCAAAATGATGACGCAGAGGACGAAATATCTGTGGGATTTGCCTACTGTGAAGAGGTGGTCAGTCGTTTTGCCTGGTGTAAATTGCAGGCAGAAGACAGCTCGGCATCAGAGCAGGTATTGGCAATCCCGTCTCCAGCAAATCCCCAGCAAGAATACATGGATGTGTCGTTCGCGCGTCTCGCCGAACCTGCTGAGAAGGTCCTAATTGCAACGGGCACCGCCGAGCACGAAATGGATGATGAAGAAAAGTCAATTCCCCTGCTCATTTACAACACTCTCCTTACATTGCCTCCTGACGCACGTGGCACATGCATGTCACGCATTGTCTTCGTGGGTGGCGGTGCTCGAATTCCGGGGCTGCGTCAGCGAGTCCTCAAGGAAGTCTCCCTCTTACTTGACAGACATGGCTGGAGTGCAATTCGAGGCAAAGCCCTCGAGCGGCAGCGGCAGAGATTGGAGGATCTGAAACTTTCAGCTCGTGCTCCTTCAAGCGGCACTGAGACACCTCAGAGTAACGAGAAAGCTGCAGCCAAGGAGGATGCTTCTTCGGGAGACGAAGACAAGCCAGATCCCTCCAAGGAAGAGCCTGAACTAGATTTTGTGGAACAAAAGCTTCGTCGCCAGAACAAAGACATTCCAGTTCCCGTTCAGGGGGTCTTACGCGAAGTCGAATCCCTTGGACCGTGGGCTGGTGCAAGTCTGACCAGTAGTTTGAAGATCCGGGGCATGGTGGAGATTGAACGAGAACGGTTTCTACAGCACGGATTGGCCGGAGCTACACGAGATATCGAGCATCATGTTTCTGATCGTCGATCGGGCTTGAGATCTGGTGATCGGTCAAGTTGGACCTTGGCCGGCTGGGCATGAGCACTATGAACATCTGGCGCATAACTACACAAGATACCCCCTGATTCAACCTGCATTGTTGAGTTTGATTTCCTTCAGTAGAACGATCTCGTAGTTGAATGTGCTGAAAAGCATCAAGTCATAGTTCGGCAATGCAGCCTCGGCTTATAACGCGGGGAAGAGACCCACGTCGCCGGTTTGCTTCAGATTGTGTTTAAGCACCATGTCCAGGTCAGTATGGATGGTTTTAGCCCTCCGCCATTGAGAGCACCAACAGCCTGTGTTGCTTGCAATAAGAAGAAGGTACGAGAGTGCAACGTTTACGCGGCATCTTGACTGATATTGCTAGGTGCGATGTATCTTCGGCGAAACGTCCGATGTATGCTTGAACTGCCAACGACATCAATGGCCTTGCTTGTAAGTGTCATGTGTGGAAGAGAAAAACAATCAATGTTGTTAATTATGCCCAGTCGACGAGAGCGCAAGAGAAAGAGAACGCAGACCGATGATACTCAAGAAGCACCTAGAAGAAGACGAGCAACCTGGGGCGAGTTGGAAACGAGCAACACCAGTCCTTGTCCTGTTGAATCATGTCTTTTGAACTCTGAAAGGGCCTATGACCAAAATCAGCACCGCGAGGGAAGCCAAAGCAGCATAGCTGGGACCAGAGATGCTCTTCCAACCCCAGAGTGGTCCAGAGCATCTGGGCCACCACGGACAGACTCAAATCCATACTCATCTGCCCCAATTCCAAGCTTCATGGCCCGCTCTCGTTACTTCGACGATACAGTAGCCATAAACGAGGATCAGGCCAGATCGTATCCAACAGGAGAGGCGGACGGTCCCACAGAAGATGATATCCATATACTACAATTGCAGGGTGCCTTCGAGCTACCACCACGACATGTGCGCCAAGGTCTCATAAACACATTCATGGAACGGTGCTCGCCCTGGATGCCAATCATTGAACGCAGTTGGCTGGAAGAAAGCGGTTCTCAGCAGCCGTCCATGCTACTTCTTCAGTCGATCTTCGTTGCTGCAAGTCGTGTCACTTCAGCCCCAGCTGTGACTGCGTATGCATCTTCACATCAGTTTTACCGCCGTGCCAAAGCGTTGTTCTGGTCCGGTTATGAGAGGAATCCTGTGACGGTTGTTGCTGCGGTATGCATTTTGCATTGGTACAACCCCGAAGGGCCGGAGCATGTTTCTACCAATACTAGCGGCTTTTGGCGATATGTCGGGGTTGGCTTAGCACATCAGATTGGGCTGCATAAGGAATCGACTAATAGGCGAGATGCTCCTTTGAGGCGCAGACTCTGGTGGACATTGTTTGTAAGTTGTTTCATATTACTACTTAGCCCCTTTAGCTTGTCGGAATGGGTTGGGATTGATATCAAACAGGCTAGAGACTGCTTCATTTCTGCTGGACAGGGCCGACCACTTGCAGTCGACATGGAGGATTGCGAACTAGCACCGCCTTGCCTTGATGATTTCCAAGATTCAAGCTCGGATGCCACGCTGTTCATCGCCTATGTGGAGATCAGTTCTATCTTGGGCCATTTGACCCAACACTGTCGACGCAAGGCCCTCACTCGTCAGGTACGACAACATATCGAGAACCAGCTGTATCGGTGGACACGAGATCTCCCTCCGTCGCTGCGTTTATTTCGCAGTGACAGCACTCCAGGACGTCCATCCCTATCTCAACACCTAAACCAGTACAGTTTTGAAGCGCGACAGCTTCACATTCCATACTTCGTCTGTCTTGCCATCATGTGTCGTCCAAGCTCTGGAAAGTCGCCTTCACCTGCAGTGATTCTGGCATCATCTTTCGTAGCAGGGATATTTGACGACTTCCTTGCTCGAGATGAGGTCCAATTCTTGGGTCCCATCTTCACTTTTCATTTACTAGCTTCTGGAATCGGGTTGCTTTCATGCAAAAACACTCCATCCCTTTGGGAACAAGCGGCTTCTAGCCTGGAAACAATTTATCTGGCCCTTGACGAACTTGCGAAGCGCTGGTCGTCTGCAAAGGGTAGTCTCAGAGCTTTGAGAAGCATTGCTGAAAAGCAGCAGAGTGTAGGAATCCCAGAACAAGTGCCGGCGATGACGCTCTCGAGAGAACACCGGCCCTTTTTTGAAGGATTTCGTGGGGAACTTTCTTGGGCGTGGCCCTTTTTTATGGAAGTACGAAATGAAAGCAACCAAGCCAATGAAACAGTGGCATTCGGTGGATCTGGCGCACTAAGTCATTTGGCCGAGTGCCGGACACCGGGCGATATTTCAGAGTATCGGCCGCTTACCACAGTCTTGGATCCCAATGCCGGCTTTACTATGAGTGGTATGCCACCCATGACGGGTGATTTCTTTCATCAATATCAGGGTATGGGAGATTGGCTATTCAAGGATCTCGACTGGGACGAGATCACTTGGTAGATGAGGGCTATAGGATAGGCTCTACAAAAAGAAAAGAACATCAAAATACAAGAACACAGGAATACAACATAAGAACGAATAACAAATCAACTTCAGAGCCAGCAGTTCTTCAACATACAATCTCAATATCTGATGCTCCGGCACTCGGTCAGTTTCGGTGTGGGGGATTTGGGGATGCGGGGGCGTAAGTACAAAGTATAACGTTGCATTTATGCATAGACAGCCTGGATTCTTTGATTCATTTGAGAATATCAACTGACTATGGCCGATATACCAACATTCAACAATTTGTCTCTCGGACGACATGGCAATGTCTTCGTTCTCACCATGCAGAAACCACCCGAGAACCGACTCAACTCAACATATTGTCAAGAAATGATCCTAGCATATCGCACTATCGAGAAGACCCTTGGCGCTGAATCTGCAGGAGCAGTGATCACGCGAGGAAATGATACCAAATTCTGGTCTACTGTCAGTACAGACGTCTATACAGAACAACAACTAACAGACATAAGGGACTTGAATTAGAGGAATCAGATAAGAACCCATTTGCCAACACTGATGGCTTCTACCCAGTGAGTCCAATCAGGATTTCCTACGCGACAATTCACAAAAGCATGCCCCCAGAGCTCTAATGAATCAAAGCTCATCCATACAATTCTCGACTTCCCATTCCCAACAATCGCCCTTCTCACAGGCCATACCTTCGGCGGTGCCTGTCCACTCGCTCTAGCTCATGATTATCGGATCATGAACTCGCGCCGGGGTTTCATCTCGATGCCCCCCGTGAATCTGGGCCTGCACTTTGACGGAATTGGTGCCTTGCCTCGTCTGAAACTGCGTCCACAGGTGGCACGTAAAATGCTTCTTGAGGCACACCGATGGACGGGTAAGGAAGCTTTGGAGGATGGCATTGTTGATGCTGTTGCTGAGCCTGAGGATATGCTTGACGTGGCCCTCGAGATGGGAGCCAAGTGGGCACCTAAGGCTCAAATGGGGTATGTTCTCTCTGGGGTGTTTGAGGTGAGGAGAAGATATGGATGGATCTGTGCTAATTGGGTCTGGTCTAGAGTATATGCTGTGCTTCGTCAGGAGCTTTGGGGTGATGCGATCAAGAAGTTTCAGAGGATTAGTTATGTTCATGGTCGTATGACTTCGGCACCTGCTAAGGTCAAGATCTGATCTGAACCAGTGCTATGATTCGGGCATCATTGTGGTTTAGGACTCTATCCATAGGCATAATGCCTTCGCGTACCAATCTTCCCATAATCCGAATGATTAGTTCAAGGCACTTGAAAATAAAGAAACAACTATACAAAACAGAACCTCAAGAGACCGAAAGACCTGTGGGCACCAGTGTATGAAAAAGAGTAAGTCAGTTAGTCTTAATCGCTTCGAGGTCTTGGTAGAAGCTGTCTCAATTTAGGGCAATGTGTAAATAGTCGTGATACCTGCCAACAGTGCAAGTTTATACCTACAATACCGATAAATCCAACAGACATGCCGTGATGCCAATGTAGCCCTTGGGCTTATACGTGAGTCACCTATGGTATGAATATCAAAATGAATATGGCAAGAGGCAGAATGGTATCTCGTATGGGATAAAGTGAAATGAACCTGTCCAGAATATCTCACCCTCTGATATTCTCATAATCTGCAGTAAGTGTCTCCCGGATAATAACCAAAATAGCTGCCACATCCTCGTCCGTAAGTCTGAGCTCCCTCTCTTCGACTATGCCATCCAACAGTACCATAGCAGTATAATCAGCAGGGCTCATCTCCGCTTCCTCGCCTTCTGCAGCTGCCTCATCCCCATTTGTCTCATCTACATCCATCACCGCCTCACCATAGGGCAGTTCCTCCCCAGCTTCTTCGCTAGCTTCGGCTGCAGGACCCAACCCCAGACCGAGGTTCAAAATCATCACGACTTCGGCTTTCGTCAGTCCGTATGGCTGTAGACGGCTTACTAGGTTCCGCAGGGCGGTGTCCATGGGTGTGGGTTCTGAATTAGAGACTGGGGGTGGCAGCGACGCTGCGTCAGGGTCTGTGATTGAGCTTTGGGCTTGTAGTGTGCTCGTCATGGCGGCTTGTGATTGCGATTGCGAGGATGAGGGTCGGGCTGTGTAGCGGGGGTATCTGAGGAGGTGGGGAGAGAGACGGTTTGCATAATTGTGAATCTGGAGGAGAGTTAGCGGGGATCTTTCACTGTCGTTGTCTTTGCTTGCGATGTTGGCTTTGGGAAACGCGACGATTGATCAAGGCCGCTTCATATGCTCTTGGTGTAGGTGCGCTGCGCTGCTATTCCTCAAGGAAAAGATTGAATAAATAGCTAGAAGTATCTTACCTCCTTTACGACGGTATTATGGTCTCTAAGATCAGGACTAGGGACCCAATTGCGCGAGTTTGGCGGCGGGTTCGGTGGCCGGCGGGGTGGATTGGAGGTGAGGTACGCCAGGACCTCGACATTGGTCATGACGGCGGTTTGGGGGTCAATAATCTATGACACATAGTCAGAATCTATGCACCTTTCCATGCTGAAGAGACTTACCCTCATTTTGCTGGTTCAATATGGGAAGATAGGTAGATGCTAGAGCTATAACTCTAGTGGTGAAGGAAAATTGTTTGAACTGCCGGCAGAAACAGGCGGTGACTTTATCTTTTGCATATCATTTCGAGCCTCAAAGTGTAAAGCAGGGCTGCCGCATGGCTAAAAGAGTGTAATGCTATATCTATGACAATGCATGCATGTATGCAAACAAGCACAGTGTTACAGTATGGTACTAAAATATGAACAGATTATTCCAGCTAAAACTGTACTGCCTTGTTCCTAACGAGCACCCTCTGCGCCAGTGAAAGACCGGTAGATCAACCTTGAAAATGCCCCAAACATACGAGCGACAGGAAGATCAACAAAAAACAGAAAAGAAAAAGAAAAGTGTGATATCATACAGATCCCAGGAATACCATCTGGTCACAGTGCAGAAACTTTTAAAACACGCGCTTACTCTCCCTTGCTCTTCTTCTTCTTCTTCTCGCCATCGTCCTCGGAGCGCTTGCGCTTCTTGCCCTCGTCCTTGCTGGACTTCTTGGACTCCTTCTTGGCCTTCTTCAAGTCCTTCTTGCTGACTGAGGTGGGGTTGCCCTCTGCGTCGAACGTGATTTCACCACGCTCGAGCTTGCGCTCGTATCGCTTCACGCTGAGACCGGCCTTGGCAGCCAGAGCCTCGAGGTCTGAGTCCTTGCTCTTCTTGGACTTCTTCTTGGGGGACTCGTCCTCGGACTCGGAGTCCTCGTCGTCAGAGTCGGCGTCAGCCATCTCCTCATCCTCAACCTCCTCGACGAGCTTCTTCTCCTTCTTACTCTTCTTGGCAGAGGCAGGCTCCTCGGAAGCCAAGGCATCAGCATCGGGGTTGTACTTGCGGGCCTCCTTGAGGTCGAACTTCTCGGCCTGGGTACCGTTGGGGGCGATGGCAACACCGCGGGCCTTCATGGGCTTGCCCTCCATACCGGCAAGCTTACGCTCGAGGTTGAAACGGGCCTCGTTACCGAGAGCGGCCTTCTCCTCCTCAGTGACATCGTCAGCCCACTCAGCGAGAGAGTCGACACGGATACCCAGAGAGGCCTTGGCAGCCAAGATACGGGCCATCTTGCCCTTGTTGCGGCCAGTGGCCTGTCCAATGAGAGAAGCGTGGTAGATCAGACCGTACTTGGGAGTGTCGTGCTTGGTCTTGAGGGCACGGAAGAGGGCCTTCTCGGCACCCAGAATCTGGATGGTACTAGCAGGGCTCTTGGAGAGGTTGGTGAGGCTGCCAGCGTGGGCAATGAGACGAGCACCAACGAGGTCACCGACAAGGGCAGTCAAGTTAGGAGCAATGGCGTTCATACGGGAGGTCAAGTAAGAAGCGAGCTGGGAGCGGTAGTCGGCAAAGCCAACAACCTGCTCAGCGAGAGCCTGGATGTTCTCGAGATCTTCCTCGCTGATCTCAGTTCCCATGGAGCGGTCGGCAGCAGCCTTGACAGCACCCTCAATCTCCTCGGGGAGGACCTCAGCGAGGTCAGCGGTCTCCCAGTTGGAACGCATACCCATCTTCAGAACGAGCTTGGCGTAGGCAATGTTGTCGTTGAGGATCTTAGCCAGCTCGGGGAAGTGCCATCCGTACCATTCCTTAACACGCATAGCGTAGGTGTTGAGCTCCTTGTCAAGGTCATCCAAAAGGCCAATGGCCTGGACGATCATGGTGTCAATTTTGTCGGGGGAGAACTTGAGCTTGTGACGGGCGAGCGAGTGAGACAGACCAAGGGACATGGTGGACATGTCACTGGGCATCAAACCGGGAATGAGGGTGGTGAGGTGCTCACGAATGGCACGGAAGATGTCGTTGGTGGTGGAGTCAGCGACGAGCTGGATGTCGAGGCCAGGGAGCTTGCTAATGGCATTTCCTGTGGGATCAATCGTTAGCAGTCTGTTTCATGATATACGATTGCAATTACCTACCGAGCTTGACATCGGCAACAGCCAGAGAGACCTTCTTCTCCTCCTTAATTCCATCGAGGAGCGAAGCCAGACGGGGGGTGACCTTGCCCTCCATAATGGAGGCAGCCTCCTCCAGAGCTGTGGCGGCACTGTCGAACTTCTGGAAGCTCTTCAGCTTGAGACTAAAAGTTGTGTTAGTGACATTGTTGCCGATAACGAAATTTTTGCGCCCACGCAAGGATAATTTATCCCCGCTCAGAATTTGCCTGAAAGCGTGCAAAGCAAGCATTGACGTACAGGTTGGAAACACCCTCAGCGGTGGAAGCCTCCTCGGCGATATCATCACGCTTAAGGAGCTTCTTGTCCTTAGCCTTCAGCAGGGCATAGCCCGCGCTGGTCTCAGTGAGGATGAAGAGCGTCATGGTGCGCGGCCACGGCGTGTAGGGATCGATAGTATAACAAGTGAAAGTGTTCAGATAATGAATGAACAAATAATCGAACTAAAAAACCGAGGGTTGAAAAAATTAGGCGTAGGCGGCGACCACCAGTTGTCGTTGGAGAAATCTAGAAATTTTGCACGGAAGAAAAAAGTGCAAAAGCGGGAGCCACAGGCGTGGCTGAGCGGGCGTGGCTGGTGGCTTATGTAATGCCGTGCGTGTCCAGGTTGAGTAGAGCTACAGAACAGCTTCCCTATTCATCTGCTCCACGTTCACAATGGAGGGCCTATTCTTTAATGTTAACGGCGGGTATGTGTTCTAACTGTCTGGCTACTCCCAAGCGCCCTTCGCTAACTCGCCCAGATTCGTCGAGGGCATTGTCCGTGGATATCGGAATAGCCTGTTGAGCGGCCAGAACTATTCTAACTTAGCCCAATGCGAGACAATCGATGGTACGCTCTATTGACCCTATCGACTCTCATGTCGATCCCATTGTTCGCTATCGAGTCTGACCCCCAGCCCCACAGATGTCAAGCTCCAGCTCGCTCCCGCATATGGCGATTTCCTTGCCTCTCTACCCCCGAACCCCTCCACCTCCGACCTTGCAGGTCGGATGACCGACAAGCTAGTCTCTGAGTTCAAGTATCTGATTGCACAAGCGACGGGCTCATCGGCCAAGTTCCTAGAATACATGACATACGGCTACATGATCGACAACATCGCACTCCTGATTACCGGTACTCTGCACGAACGTGACACCCGTGAACTTTTGGAACGATGCCACCCACTGGGATGGTTCGAGACCTTGCCTGTGCTATGTGTCGCAACCAATATCGAAGAACTCTACAACTCAGTTCTGATCGAGACCCCACTAGCCGCCTACTTCAAGGATAGTCTGAGCCACCAGGATCTGGATGAGCTGAACATCGAGATTGTCCGTAACACCCTGTACAAGAACTACTTGGAGGACTTTTACAACTTCATCAATACCCACCCGGACTTCAGCGGCACGCCGACACAGGATGTCATGGCTGAGATCCTGCAGTTCGAGGCAGACCGTCGCGCTATCAACATCACTCTCAACTCTTTCGGTACCGAGCTGTCCAAGGTCGAGCGGAGGAAACTCTACCCCGAGTTCGGAAAGCTCTACCCTGAGGGCAGTCTGATGCTGTCCCGCGCAGAGGATGTTGAGGGCGTCGCTCTGGCAGTCAGCGCTGTTGGCGATTACAAGGCATTCTTCGATTCTGTAGGTCTGAGCCAAGGCGGCGGAATGAGTGGTATGGGCGGTGGCCCTGCAGATGGCAAGAGCCTTGAGGATCTTTTCTACCAAAAGGAAATGGATCTGTCAAAGCTGGTCTTCACTCGTCAATTCACTCCGGCGGTAGTCTACGCTTGGATGAAGTTAAAGGAACAGGTAAGCATATTCAAAGGGTTTCTCTTGGATATACAATCATCATCTAACGAGTCTCAGGAAATCCGGAACGTAACCTGGATCTCGGAATGCATTGCCCAGAACCAGAAGGAGAGAATTGGAAACTTCATCTCTGTGTTCTAAGCTCAAGGCATAACCTATGATATTTCCTGCTTCTTACACCTCTTTGTACTTACCTATCTTCCTGGCTGGTATTTTGGTTTTTCTGCCAGCTGCTTTTCGTTGTATCGAGTACCCAGTTTGTTCTTTAACGTGAGCGCATCAACCTCTTTCTCTTTGATTTTGGTTCTCCTCCTTTGTCTATCTTTCGTATGAGGCGTTTTTTGCATGTGCGCTGCCTTTATCCTTGTGATATAGAGGACAAAATAAATATATCAGATATCCATTTTGTTGGTGTACATTCTTGTCCCGGGATAAGCTCGGGATCTAGATCTATAAGTACATGGTGTATTTCTTCCACGGGTAGGCCGAAGAAAGCCTCAATTTCAGTAGACAGTTTACCGAAAAAAAGAGTGAGGCAAAGCGAGAGAGATAAAAAAAGACATGGGTCGGCCTCCACACCGCGAATCTTACGGCCCCGCGGAGCAGACAACGGAATTAACCGCGATAGTCTAACCCGAGACCGTTGCTTATGCAGATTGAAAAGAAAGATTCCAATTTCGTTTCAAGAGGGCTCATATGTGCAAATGGCAAAGGGTGTGGCAGAGATAAAACACAAAATATTCGAGACAAACATAAAGGAAAAGCCAGCCAGAACCAGAGCAAGACGCAGACGCATCAATCAGACCGAACGCAAATTCAGGGTACCAAGTCTACTGCGAACCTGGATCTATGACGAGGGGGAGGGGGAGAAATGTAGGTCGAGGTGAAATTTCGTTATATAGGAAGAAGGGGAATTCAGCAATCAGTCATACTGGAAGAGAACGCTGATACTTTCACCGTGGTGCACACGGCGGATGGCCTGGAGATAGGTTAGCAATGATGACGCGGGAGAAAGTGGACGGATGACTCACTTCGGCGAAAACGTGGCCGACCTCGAGGACCTCGAGCTTGGGGCACAGGCGCAGGTGCTCCTGCTGGTCCACGCTGTTGGTCACAACCACCTTGTCAAGGGCGCTAGCGTTGATGCGCTCAATGGCGTCGCCGCTCAGGATACCATGGGTGACCAGGGCGTAAACTCGGGATGCACCCTCCTTCTTGAGGAGTTTGGCGGCCCGGGTAATGGTGTTGGAGGTGTCCGCCAGGTCATCGATCAGAATAGCTATCCGGTCACGGACGTCACCGACCAACATCATGGTGGCATTTTGGCGGTCTGTGATCTTGGTAGGGCGGCGTTCCTGTAAAACATTAAGATTAATAAAATACATGTCAGGGTGGTGTCAAACACTGACCTTGTGAATCAAAGCAAACTCCATGCCCAATTGGTCCGCAATCGCAGTAGCGCGCTTGGCACCACCAGCATCGGGACTGACAATAACAGCCTGCTTGTAGTTGGGGATGTTGCGCTGGATGTAGCTCTTGAGGAGGGGACGGCCGTAGAGGTTATCGACTGGGATATCAAAGTATCCTTGGTATTGCGGGTCGTGCAAATCCATGGTGATGATGTGGTCGGCACCGGCACAAGTAAGTAGGTCGGCCACCAAGGTACCGGCTTGTGCAACCCACTGCTTGTAACCGGGACGCGGCTGGAAGGAGCTGATTTTGGAGGAGGCATTGCTGGCAGCGTCGTCGGCTCCGTTGGCGACGGACTTGAGGGAATCCGTGGTTTCGCTGCGGGGCATACCGTTGCGGCGCTTCACAGGACTGCCGGTGCTTTCCTCAATCTGAGCTCTGGCCAGGCCCTTCTGGAGATTTTCCATCCCATTCGTCAAACCGAGGCCTTCGGGTTTACCGGGGCCGGGGGTAGGAGGAGTGCTCTCGAAGGTGTAGCCGCCGTTAGCGGAGCGGCTAGGGGCACCAGCCTTGACCAGAGGAGCACCAGCCTTGTCGTATGGGATATCACTTTGGCGGGAGTAAGGGAAGAGAGGGAGAACGGCGGTGACGCGCCGGGCCGAGGCAGTCTTGCAGGCGGAGATGGTGATGAGGAGTTCTAGCAAGTGATCGTTGACCTTGCCACCGCCGGATTGAATGATATAGACATCCTTCTCACGAACTGACTCTTGGACTTCAACCCGAGTCTCACCGACGGCAAATTTGGAGAGCAGAACCTCTGCAGGAGGAATACCGAGCACACCGCAGATAGTTTGAGTCAACTGGGGGTGAGAGTTTCCTCCAATGACAACAAGATTGCGAACCATGTTGTCTGGTTGTGTAGGTGTAACGGTCGTAAGAATTGGTGAAAGAAGATCAAGTGGAGGTCAGAGAAAGTTGGAGGGGAAAGAAAATCTGGGGCGGGAGGTGAGGGCGAAAAGGTCGAGTCGAAAGGAAGAAGGTCAAAAGGAGAGTTCTTGAGATTGAGGCTAATAGCTACCTCATGGCGGAGCAAAGACCGAGAGTTTGAAGAGACCAGGACATAAGAGAAAAAAGTGACGCTCGTGTGAGTCCCGCGATGGAAAAAAGCCTGGAGTGGGGATGGTGCCTCAGGCATGCAATCCGCATGAGGTAAAGCGCATGTCGTGACGACGCCCCCAGAAAACGGCGGCGCAGGAACGACCAGGTACAAATGTTCCATTGTAGATATACACTGCCTCCCTTCCTCTGTAAAAACCAAATCCTGATCATATCCATGCCTTACTCCGGTGCTCCGTTCCCGTGGTAACTAGAAGAGAAAGAATAATAAAATCAAAGACCCAAAGTGAAACTGTTCCATATACAGTCTGATCCATCCTTCATTCTCCAGTTCCGACCTCGCTATAAGACCATTAGCATTTCAGTCGGAGTGCGACGGGTCGATGAAAACTTACAGATCAAGCTGTACTCCGTTGCTCACTCCATAGTCCTCGAGTGTAAGCTGGTCTTTGAATGGACGTTCGCCTTGACGTTTCAGAAGAATCTCATGAGGTTCACGACCAATGCGGGCAGCCACCTGGGCTTTGAAGAGCTCTGTAGAGGGTCAGTATGGTGTGCGTGGAGCCGTAAGTCGAGAGAGACGTACTAATGGGGTCTGAAGCAAGACATGGAATCGCAGCTTTGGTTCCCAGGCGATCATTGACATGGACGACAATCATGGGCTCCGAGGATTGAGGCATGACAGGCTTCTTCTGTTTCTTCTCTTTCTTTTCCTTCTTCTCTGTCTTTTCTTTCATTTCCCCACCTTCGCGCGGCGCATCTCGATCATCGCGTCGTCGCTGGTCACGGTCCCGGCTGCGATCTCGAGATCCTCCGTACCGGTCTCCATCTCTGTCGCGACGTGGCGATCGTGGTCGGTCGCGATATCCGCGTTCTAATCTGCGCTCATCGCCGCGGGAATCGTCGGTGCGAATCTTGTCACTCTTGTCTTTCCACCGGAAACCACCAGACTTTTTGGATCGGTCTCGGTCGCCATTATCTCTTGGCCGGGGAGATCTGCTTCGTGATCGATCACCCATGGTGTTGTATGAGGGGAAGATAAGCTGTGTTGTTGCCCGACAGCCCAGACCTAATGTAAACGGAGAATGGATGGGTCACGTGGTTGCATGTAGCTGCCATTCGGTGCACTACGCCCAAATAGGGCTAGTGCGTAGTTATTCAAGAGCTTCTCCTGCGTAAGGAGTGCTCTCGAAGTTCCTGACTTAAGCCTAAGGTTCAAGAGGACATTGCAATGGCGTTGCTCTATTGATCTGCTTCTCGTCATATCATTCTCCAAAACCGAAGATGCCAGGCCGATTAACAGTCCGTCGGCCCTCTCCGACGACCGTCTCCTTCACAGTCTCCAATGCGCCGCAGCGATCGAATTCCCCCGCCAAAATCCTATTCGGTCTCCAAATCCTACTGCGTGCAGCTCTGTTCTTCTGTGTAATAGGCACTGCGATTGCGCGACTCCGACATGCGTTCTTCTACGAGGATGGCGGGGTGATAGCTTGGCCAGCCGTGTGGTCCAGTCCGCTCGGTGCCAAAGTGTGTAATCTGGCGGACTTTTACAACCCTCTGGCTATGGCAGTGGGTGGAGTCTTTGTCATATATTGCGTTTTCAGAAGAACTTATACTGGTAGGTGGAAAATGGCGAGCTGGAATGGTCTGGTCTATGCATGGCTAACTAAGGCCAACAGAGGAGTCCCTCCTGGTCATTCGAGGATTTGGAATACAAACTTCGACATCATCTTCGACTTACCTTTCCACTGCAGCAACGAGGTTTATTCCTACCACACAAATTCAGGATATTGTGATCCATGAGGCTTTCAAGGGCTTCGAGGTTCGCTTCTACCTAGCTGTCATTGTCGAAGGCGAGCCTGATGCATTGGTTGTCTTTCCGGTACGTGATTCAATATACGTTGTATTTCCAGGCTGACTTTTGGTCTAGCACATGTTACCCAAGAGGGAGATCTTAGAGCAAGTATGGAGAGGTTCACGGCGATGTCTTTACGATGCGAAGTCATGAAGTGACAAGATGATCTACAAGGATTCGTTCCTTGTTTATGATAAACATATTTTCATACTTTCAGCCTAAGCGCCATGTTTGATCGCTATATACAATTGGCTCACTAGGCTTGGGCCAACTTTGCCGCGGCCTCTTCCTTGCTGGCCAGCTTGCGCTGCTTTGATACAAGTCCTCGAGCATTTTGAACCTCCACGGTATCCATCTTGCCTTTCTCGTTGACCGGAACATATTTTCCATGAGGGCGAGTCTCATTTCCGCCGACCCAGATCTTTGCTCCCTTGTTTGACTTCTTGGAATTGCCATGGTTTAATAATTCGCCGCCAGTGTTCTGCGCAGCACTCTGGTCACCTTGGCTGACAGTCAGATCCAGGAGAGCACCCGCCAAGATCTCGTCGATCTTGCGCTGTCTCCAGACTGCCCACAGCCGGTCGACAGCTCCCCGCATACCGAACTTGCTATCGCCCTTGGCGGTCGTGTTGCTGTTGCCGCGGGAGTCGCCAGCATAGATCCAATCCATAGCATCTACACGATTACCCGAGTTCTCGTCAGGGAATATGCAGTCCCACAAAACGAGAGGAGCGTCATCAGCCATCTCATAAGTTGGCTTCCGGGGGTTCTTCTGAATATCCAGTAGTTCAGGCACAATGGATGGAGACTCGAGTCCTTGTCCCACTAGGAACAAAATCGCAACCATGTGTCGCACTTGGTGCCACAAAAACGCAGAGCCGTGAAGGGTGAAAGAGTAAACAAGAGGAGTGTTCTGAGAGCTTGTCGAAGGAGGGTTTAAATCCGCTTCGGGTCCCGAATTTGCTTTGGCCTGGAATCCAGTTTGTCCGACGTAACCCACCGGGTTAGTCTTCGGGTTGACAACCTCAATGTCAGAGTGGAAGATAACACGTTCAAAGTTCTCAATCTGCTTGCTGGTGTCCAACTTGCAGAAGTTCCGGAAATCATGGTTACCCTCGAAATGCTTAGCTGCTTCACGCATAGCATCGATATCGAGCCAGCCTTCACGATACTCAGCACGCGGTCCTTTGCCATTCTGGGCGCGGTTCTCAAATCCAGGGGCCCCGGGCGTTGGAGAGAAAGCAGGGTTGGTAAAGAAGTATCTGTACCGACGTTCGCGGCAAGAGAAGCGAGCATTGAATCCTTCCGGTGGGTTAGGACACCAAGCCAGAACACGAATATCTTCCGGAAGCACTCTGTTCAGTACTTGTATATAGTTGGTCTCATCGGCAACATCATCCCACTGCTTCCCACCAGAGCCTGAATCTATCTGCATCGCATCGTCGCCCTCAATGGAGTGCTTAGGCTTAGGCCGTGAGCTGCGCACTCGCAACCCAATGACTTGTCCGAACGCGCTCACACCCCTATCTGTACGCCCTGCCTTGGAGTAATCACATCCATCCCAGTAGAGATGGTAAGGCTTCAACGCGCGCGGCTCGATATCATCTGGCTCGTTGCCATCGGTAATTTCGGGGAAGATCAGACGTGTGCGTCGCAACGCCTTCCATATGACCTCTTCAACTGTAGGCAACGGAGTCACATTGCCGTTTGTATGCTCGAGTCCATTGTATCGCTGGCCAAGGTATGCAAACTTCAACGCAATGTACCGCGTCGAGTACTTGGAGGGGTCGAAGCTGCGATCGTTCTTGTGGATCCGTGATGGCGCAGGAGTGTGTGTGATATCGCCGTCTGGTGGAGACAACGGCCGCTTTTTAGATGGCTTGGAGGTCTCTGGGTGTGGGATATCAGGTTCGGGGACGTCGGTAGAGATGGGAGCTAGTGGATGGCGGGGTGTCTGTGATGGGGTTTCTGTTGGCGCTTTGAACTCCGTTGTTTGAGAGTGGAGTTGGCGCTCTAACTCAGTGATCCGGGCGATCAGGCTAGTGTTGCTCCAGGCTGAGTAGTCTGTTTGTTCTTGTTTGCTGTCTGCCATGGTTGGTGTGGGAGTATGGGACTGGCAGAGGGTTCGCGTGTGCTGGAGGGTTTGTTGGAGTCTGCAACTCAATGGGAGGAGCTTTGCTGGAGATTTCCACATGCCACGTCCAGCGACTGAACCAAGGATGGGCCAAGTATGGATTGGTGTTGACCTGGAGAAAATCGAAGTTGAAAAGTCCGCGGAGCATGGGTGTATTGTGGTAATTTATATTTGTATGGTATGGTAATTGTATAGGGTTTAGAGTCAAGTCGTAATGAAATCCATGTATATCCATGTACTATGGGGTATGTACTACCTCATATATCGCTCAATATGTCTTACAAGTGATGTTCTCTCCTTATTCTCCAAGAAGTCCAAGAATTACTACTCATATTGTAGGCCTGGGACACTATCTGGCCGGTGTAGATCTGATTCGCTAAGCTTGGAACCTTACCTCAAATGTTCACCTCATCGATGTCTACAACAACCACGGAGCATATATATTATTTCCTTCAGATACTGCTAGGAGGCACTGGTTTATCTACGTCTGTCTTCATCTTTCAGTGAAAATCCGCAATATATCTTCGGGTTGTCCCCTCCTGCACGTTGACCGATATTGAGGAAGCCGAGTATCAATTGTATCAATTCACAGTCCTAAAATGGCTGAGACGGACCCTCAAACTGGGGCAGATACCTCGGTCTCTTTGCTGCTTCTCGGGGATCCAGCCTGCGGCAAATCGACATTCCTAGCGTGAGTATATCTCTCACATGTGACTCCCAAGATATCCTGAAATGTCTCTGTCTTGTCCGCATATGCATACATGAACATCTCTGTGGGACTCATATGCTAATGCGTTACAGTCGGTTAAAAAATAGCAGGCCATCTCCGCCAGGGCAGCCGGGTGCCAGCGCAAATGCCCTCGAATTATTACGAGATAGCGATCAGCCTTTCATTTATGATATTCGGTTCTCAAGGAAAACGTTCACTCTGGAGCTATACGACACATCCAATCCGAATCAGCATTGGTCAACTCTCAAGCCTGATCTGGTTGTTCTAGCATTCGATATCTCCAACCGAGAAACACTAGACGGGCTAAAAGCGGTACGTAAAATCTATACACCAGGTCATATAACTACATAGGATCTAATCGAATCTCGGGGTGTAAAGTGGCGAAACGACATAACACGATACTTCCAGTATGGCCATAGCGAGCGTCTACCGGTCATGATGTTGGGTCTGAAAAGGGATCTGAGGAGAGAAGGTCCGGAAATCATCTATCCACAAGAGGTATGTATACTGTTGTCAAAAAGGCACTTTGTTTCTGGTATAACTGACTGATCGGTCTAGGCTTACCGGATTGCTCAAGAACTTCGCTGTGACAGATATGCCGAGTGTTCGGCTGTGACAGGCGAGCTGCTTCCAGAGACGTTTGAAGATCTCGCAAGACTAGCAGCAATGACGACTACTGAGAAGGGTGGGCAGACCCCCGGTACATCGTGTGCCATTTTATGAATTGTTCAAAGTTTTGTGACTGTCGTACCCAGTGTACGCGTCTCAATCAGTGAGGTTGAACTAAAGAACTTTCAATTTCATGTCATTCCAAGCAAAATATCTTGTAGACAAGGTCAGCACACCGGAGCACGCACAGAATTAGTCGTGCCCCGAAGCGTCCAGCATAGAACCTAACTGATATATCCTGTAGTTGGCTTGGGGTCAACCGAGGTGTGGCTGGCGAGACGGAAAGGGTGAAGACATGTCCTGGGCATCCACGTTTAAGTCTACATCCAAGCAGGCCTCAGTCTACGAGTCTACGAAGCATAATACGATACCAAGCACAACCTTTTCAGATTACTAGAATAACATGCAGGGAGAAACCAAGGTAACGATCAAGTCCACCTTGTGAATTGACAGCACAGGGCTTTCCCCCAGAAGCTTCATTAAGAAAAGCAACTGGATCTCTTTCCCTCATAAGCGCCAGTCAATGATTGACTTTGCTATCCCTCCCCGATGCAAAACAAGGAAATAAAAAAAAAGGTGCTGGTAAGAGGAGGCCACTGAGGCAAAAGAATTGAAGGGTTCCCGGTGAAAGCTCGTTTTCTTCTGCTGTTTTTCAGTTTTTGGTTTTTTGAACATTGCACACAGAGACTAGGATAGACATGTCAAGGGAATTTGCGGGGGATTGAAGTCCATGAAAGGACTCAAAAGTAGAAAAGAAAACAAGAGCATTCTCCGATTCCCGTGTCTCCAGGGACGCAGTAAATCATCAATCTCCCCGGATCGCCAGACTTTTTTATTGATTTGATCAAATTTCCCCCCTCTCAACGACTATCCGTGTCACAGTGAAGCAATTTACCACTTGGCCTCACCGGAGGCGGGCTGAGCCTCAGCCCACTCACCGGTAGGGGCGGCAGTGCTGGTGGCCCAGTCACCACCGTCAGCCTCCCAGCTGGTGGCACCAGCAGCGGCAGTGGCAGCGCTGGCAGCGGCGAAGGCAGTACCAGGGTTACCGGCACCGGGGGCGGAGGCGTCCCAGTTCTCACCGGCGAAGCCAGACTCAACGGCACCGGCACCGATCTCCTCAGCACCGGGAACCTTGGTCTCATCGGCGATCTCCTTGTTCTCCTCGGCCTCGGGGTCGCGGTAGAAGTACAGATCGACAACGGTGTCCCACTCGGTCTCGCGGGTAGCGAGAGTACCGCGGAGACGGAGGACCTCACGGGCAAGCATCCACCAGACGAGACCGATGGCGTGGCGACCCTTGTTGTTGGTGGGGATGGCAACGTCGACAAAGTCGGTGGGGGAGTCAGTGTCGCAAAGGGCAATGACGGGGATGTTGACGTAGCTGGCCTCCTTGATGGCCTGGGCGTCGGTGCGAGGGTCGGTGACGATGATCAGGCGGGGCTCCTTGAAAGAGCGGGTGATGTAGTTGGTGAAGTTACCGGGGGTGAAACGACCGGCAATGGCGGTGGCACCGGTGTGGGAGGCGAACTTCAGGACGGCACGCTGACCGTAAGGACGAGCGGAGATGACACAGACATCGGCGGGGTTGTCAATGGCGGCGATGATACGGGCAGCCAAGACGATCTTCTCCCTATTCCATCACAACACAGATTAGATACAAATTCAGTCAGGAGTCGATTCACTGTTGCGCATACCAGGTCTTGCCAATGTTCAGGACGTTGACACCATCGGGGCGGAGCTTCCAGAGGTAGGGCTCCATGTGCACCTGAAGGTTCTTGGAACCAAGGTGGCACTGAGCAGCAAGGAGCATCTCAATGTCCTGCGAGGTAGGGTTGAAAACCGGGGGGAGCTGGGAGGGGGCCATGATGGGCGATTGATAGATTGACGGATGTAAGATCAATCGTCTGGCTCTTGTCGTGGTGATGGAGGGAAAAAGATCGAAGCCAAGCCGCGAAATTGTTGCACGTCGCGATTCGGTGCAATTTTCGCTTGCGTGCGCTAGGGCTAGGGCTGGTATTATGTAAGTATTCCTTGGCACTGTCTGAGTCTCGTGAGTCTCGTGATTTTCATGCCTGAGGCTTGATTATACCAAACTGGCATAGCGCGGTTGGAGACCGGCCGCAAGATTTCCCGACAAAAGGTTGATGCGAAAAGACGCCGATTGCTACTGGTGTATCATCTACACTGAAGCTATCATCCAGCATGCCTCCGCGCATTTCAGTTCAGCCCTCTTTGAAGGCTTTCTCCGGTATGGCTTACAGTTCCAGTTCCAGTCCCAACCAATTGGTCCCATCTAACCTGGCGTCCAGGATCGTCTTATGGATATAATCCATTGACCGCGGCCAACACATCCATTCGCGCTGCATCCAGCAAGGCTCAAGTTCGGAGGAAACATGACCCCTTCTTGATGGCCCAGGCGCGTCAGCGCAAAGCCGCCAACGTTTCTCGCCAAAAAGTTCTTGCAGAGGAACGGCAATCTTCGTTGGGTGACCCCGTGAAGAGCCGGTCGACACCTTTTATACAAGAGATCACAGCAATCCATACCGAATCACACATTCCCTCCACCCTGAACGCAGACCTCAACTATTACCTGAACTTGAATGAGCTGGATGCCGCCCTGGATTTCTCCAAGGACTTGACAGAACCTCTTCAGGTCGCCGACCGCAGCACAGCCGATCCTGAAGCCGAGAAGGCGGCGCTTTCTGCTCACAGCAAAGATCATCAAAATGCCCAAGAAGCGATCAATCGAATTGTGAACCTCAACAATGGAAACACCAAGGACCGAGTGCGTCTTAACATTTTGAAGTGCATCGAGACATTTGGAAGACATTACACAGACTCGGTTCTACCACCAAAGCCCTCAGCCGTGGCTCATGAGTCTGCTCCTGTTCACCCAGAACGAGCGCCTCGCGTTGGCCCCGATACCGGTTCTCCCGAGGTCCAAGCAGCGATCTTGACCGTGAAGATCATTAACCTGTCCCGACACCTCGAGTCTGCCAACAAGGACAAGCACAACAAGCGCAACCTGCAACTACTTCTTCACAAGCGACAGAAGTTGCTGCAGTATATCCGCAAGAAGGAGCGTGGGGGACCCCGTTGGCAAAACCTGATGGAAACATTGGGACTGTCTGATGCTGCCTGGAAGGGAGAGATTTCCCTATAATGGGACTTGTTTTAATAGGATGCATCTACACTATTCCCATATTGCATCTGTGGTTGGGGTTGGATAGAGCATCACCGTATTACCTTGTATCATCTATCTTGGAGCTAGCGAGAGTTACTTTGTTGGTCCATGTTTTTTTTTATCACTTTTGAGCTTACAGAGCATCTGTACAAATAGCATTGGTTTCGCAATAAATTTACTTTTCATCGACAAGCATTCAAACCTAGGAACATACAGTAGACAATAAGGTGAAAGGACATAGAAGCAGCCTCACCGCCTTATTATTCTGCCGACCTGGCGCATCGATTTTCAAAAGTTACAACTTGGGAAGGAGCGACTGGGCGAAAACACCTCAACTGTGTGCACCTGCCCTCTTCACGCCTTCACGTCACTTTGTTTACTTTTTTTGCGATCCTCCCCCCTCTTTGTTTTTCTTCCTCTTCTCTCTCCCCATCATTCACATCAACATTACGCATTCACTCTTGACTGCTTAAATGTTTACATCTTGCCTTGCAGGCAATAAGCTGACAGATCATACTTTGACTGGCTACTTTCTCGCTTTCTAGCTTTCCAGCTTTGAAGCATTTCTCAGAACTCACCCTCCCCATCCTCACTTTCATCCCTCGCCACCCACATCTCTCTCGCATCTTGCGCACTCACCAAGATGCGTCTTCGGTCGAACCATGTTCTTCCTGACCCTAACCAGGTCCCACCTCCCGCTCGTCGTCGTCGCCAGACGCGAGCTTCTTCAGCTCAGCCCACTGAGCTTACAGCTCAGGTTACAACTGAGCCTGCCGCTGAGCCTGCCACTGGGGCGGCCAGACGGCCTGCCAAGAAGGTCTCCAAGAAGACCCGCGGCAAAAAGGTGAGTATAAGATTCAGATATTCTGACCTCCTGTTCTAACACATGCTTTTAAAAAAAGCAGGCGTCTCGCAAGACGAGACCGCAAAGCCCTGGACCTGAAGGTCCAGCCTCTACCACTTCGCCGGGGCCCTCCCCGATAATCTCCCAAGCTCCCAGTCCGCTGGCCGCCACCCCGGCGGTTCAGTCTACCGATGACCGTGAGTTGGACCCTTCTCTCCCCCCCTTGGATCCCCAAGAGACCGTTCAGGGTACTCGCGTGGCCCAAAATGACGCCCCGACCACTGCCCATGACACCGTCCCTCCCCAGGACGCCTCTCCCCAGGACACCCCGCTTGCTCCCCCAAACTTTATGCCTGAAAGTCGACTTGGAGCACGACTTTTCACAATTGAAGAGGCCGACGAGCCCTTCTCCCCTTTCCAACAGCACGCACAAGAACGTGCTGATGAGCGCCGCCGGGCACAGCTCGCGGAAATGGAGCAGATCCAGAACCGCCTTGCTAGTCGCCTACAGGGCCAAAGAATTGTACAGCAGCGACTTGATGAAGATGAGCGACGACGCGCAGAGTTCCACCGTCTTCGCGACGAATACCTTGCTCGCGAATCTCAAGCTTCCTCCGCCTCCTCTGTCAACCCCCAAGTACCCTCCCCTTCCCTTCCTGAAAACGATGATGAAGATGATTTTGTTGATGCCCGCGAGGTCATTGACCGAAAGTCCGAGTCGGCCAGGAAGTGGTTGCGGCACAAGAAATACTCCCATATGCCACCTCCTCCGCCTCTCTCACCCTTCAGCCAGGACCGTTTGCATCGCGTTATCAACGGCTTGGAGCTTCCCGATCCCCCAGGAGTCTGGACCAGAATCAAGGAAACGCAGGGGCTAACATATTACAAAGACGGCTGGGGCATCAAGCGGGTGCGCCAGTCAGACCACCCCGAATCGTCACCCGCCAAACGACAGAAGTCATCGATCGCTTCCCCTGTTTTCCTCTCATCTCCTCGCACCCGTGGAGTCCCTCGCAAGTCTTACGCAGATCGTACCCGCCGCCGGCAGATTGAGGCCAATGGCCGGATCGACCGAACGATTTTCCGCCTTCCTGAGCTGCTTGCTCAACAACAAGCAGATGCCGCGTCAAACCCGGCTCGCTCATCTACAAATTCACATGATACTAATCCTCCTACAACCCCACCACCTGCTGACCCTGCACCCGCCCCTGCTACAGTGCAGGCAAACACTAGCTTTCCAAGAGCCATCTTTAATTCACTTACTCAACGTTGGACCAGCCTTTGGGGAGGAACACCCGCTGGGCAACAGGCTGAACAGCAACCCATTGGTGAGTCATCTACTCATGAACTTCGTTTCAATGACTTATATCGCGTCACAGTACAAGAACCGCAAACCCCCCGTGTTCAAAACACTGCTTCTGAACCACCCGCATCTGCCCCCTCGGCATACCATGACGCCCGGTCACACCGGGAGACTTCTCCTACGTCTCAACAGACCGGCAATCCTCGTGTCCTCCGACGCGCAACTACTCGTCCTTACCGCCCACCCCGCAACTACGACCTCTACCCTCGTGGCTTTGATGAAGCCCTTATTGACCGTTGCTTCGTTGGCCAGCGCAAAGCTCCTGAAAAGAAACAAACCAAGGAAAAGGATACCTCAAACAAACGGAAGCGAGCGCCTTCCCCCGATGTGATTCCTAATCCTCCAGGTTGCAGCTACGGTTTGCATGATGATTATTTCACCTATGATGATGACGATGAGGCATGGGCCGCTGAGGAACAGGCCCGCCGAGATGCTGCGAAGACCGCCACGGATTCCTCAGAGCCTGCCACAAAGAAAGCCCGGGTTAACTTCAATCATGCGGGGCACTTTGAGGTGCCCTACTCTTCTGATTCAGAGACTTCTGTCGTCGATCACGCACCTGTACCTACCAATTTCAACCATTCGGGACATTTTGAAGTTCCCGAGTCATCGGAACCAGAGGAGTCCAGCACAAACTCTAGCCCAAGTTCTGATTCAAAAACCAGCACAAAATCCGACACAACCAAATCCAGCAACCGCGAGGCTCAGCGTACTCGATCGAAAAGAAGTACCTCCCCTCTCACCAAGGCTCGTCGCACCGCCGAACAACATAAACCAAAAACCCCTAGCCGTCTTCGTGCAGCTCACCGTTTCTCCTTGCCTCCTGATGTGATGGACAACCTGCATCAGATGTTGACCAGCGAGGATGAAGATACACGCAAAAGAGCCGCAACCATGTTGCAAGCTTGTCCTGATGGCGACCTGCGGAAAATCAAATGGCCTCAGCGCAAATCTTGGATCGATAAGTTAGATCTCATTCGAGACGATATCCGCGCCCGTGACCGCCACTACCGGAGCCTCGTACTCAAGGACACCGACCAAATCAACCGAGACAAAGTCCATAAGAGGTTCCAGCGAAATGTTGAAATTCTGGCCAAGGCCCGTCGGGCTGGACGGTGTCTCAAGGTCTGATCGCCATCTACATAATCTCGAGTCACAATCATGAAAACTTCCGTGTTGGATTAACCTGTTGAATGTATGAGTAGGATGTGGTCTGTTGTTGAATGTTAGAATTGGATGTTAAAACACTTCAATCAATGTTATATTAACATGTTGCAGCCTACTTCACATCGTACTGGTTGGCTCTTGAAATGAGAGAGCGCCGGCTTCATATGTAAATCAAATCCGTAAGCCATCCCCAAGAACAATACTTCACTCGAGCTTCAGTAACCACTGGCTGGAATGCCTTTCATCTCATCATGGACATTCTGCCTCCGCCAGATAACTTCGTTCCACTTTAGTCAACTCGAGCGACTACGCTCAAATTCTACACGTGATGAAGATGTCGAGTCAGTGTATTGTTTCTAGAGTAGTGGTATCATGCTGCTCAATGCAGGAACAGAAAAAGAAAACAAAGAGATAGAACGCCAGAGACTGGAAAGATGCATCCATGCAACCCCAGTCTCGATAATGGATACACGCGTATTCAACCCCTGGTATAAAACAAACAAATCGACTGAAAGCCCTACAAAAACAACGTATCCCGCTCCGGAGCCTCCTTGCCCGAAATCAGATTCCCATACTGATTGTAAACCGGCTCATCGGGGTCATCAACCTCCTTGGACCAAAGCCCAAGTCCATCATCGAACAAATCCCTTTCCTGTCCATTGCAAACCTCAGCAAGGGTAATCCAATTCTCATCGTCGGTCCAGATCCCACCCCGACCACCCCGCACCTCCAGCCAATCCTGCCCGCCGAGCAGTGCAGATTGGGCTGCGTCGAAGCCGTGTGCGCCGCGGACGTATTTGCGGAGCAGGGCGCGCGCCCAGGGGTAGAACCACATTTTCTCCCACCATCCGTTGCGGAGTTTGCTGTCGCCGTTCAGGTGGATTAGGGCTGGGATGTGGCCTGAGTGGACGTTTGTCATTAGAGGGCTGTTGTGCCAGGAGATGTTGTGGGGGTTGGGAAGTTTGTCAAGTGTGGCGTTCCAGACTGGACGGAGGGTTGATTCCTTTGCGAAGCGGGATTGGTTGTATGGGTTTGGGAGGGCTGATATGTCAGTTGGGAGGAGCAGGCGGTGTTCGCGCGGCACGCCGTGTTGGGCTTGCAGCATGGACATTTTGGTGATGTTGTTGTATTTGACCCATTCCACGTCGTTGCGGGACATGATCTGGTTGAAGAAGAGTTCCGATTCAAAGTCCACGCCGATGCCGTACTCGTATCTGTGGCCTGTTTCCAGTCGGAGGCTTATCCCTGTGATGTTGGCTGCGTCGGATATGCCTAGTCGCCGGTAGACCCAGTCCTTGACGCCGTTGGTTGTGCGGCGTCGCTCCAGTTCTCGGATTACTTCTTGTCGTCCGTAGATCTGGGTTAGGGCTTGGTAGTCACTAGACTTCTTCGCGCGCTGATCAAGTAGTCGCAGCACTTCATCGTAGATCAGTCGTACATCGGCTGCTTGGCCAATTACCGCTCCGGGATCCAACCACTTGGGTCGGTTCAGGTGCCCATCTGGATAGGAGTCCGTCTTCCAGCCATACACGTCCGGAGGCAGAGTAGAGTCGGGGACAGAAGCGCAGCCGGGGTCGTCCTGCAATCCCGGGAAGCATATCTTGCTCGCACCAAACAGCACACGCTGGGTATATTTCTGTACTTTCTCGGACACAGGCCGGCCCTCCAAGCCGGCGAACCCAAACTTCGCCTGCAGTTTCTGGTTATTGGCCCGGATGAGGTTCTGAAATCGCTTTATCAGGACCTGTGGCGGCAGTTGGAAGAACGTATCCAGTCCATCGACCATCAAGACAAAGTCGCGGTCATGCACGATCTTGCTGTCGCGGAGGTAATTCCGTGCACGGGTGATGTGCTCCACCATGCGCTCTGTCTCCGTCGCCCCCGGTGCGTCATGGCCGTATCCAAGCAGCGTTGGGGGCGGGTATCCTAATATCATAGCCGATGTGAGCGTGCGACATACTCCACGCGAGCCTTGCGAGGCCGGGACGAGTAAATGCAGGCGCGGATTGGGCTTGCTTAGGTCGTGCGGCAGGGTCTGGTTGACATTGATATCTGTCCGGGGAGGGAGAATCACCTGAGCATCTTCGGGGCGCTCAGGGAAAGGAGGTTGTGAGGGAAATTTGGTCCAGAAGTTGGGTTCAGGTCGCTGGCGGGTTGTTAGCTCCAGCTCCAGCTCTCGCTCTCGCCCTAGCTCTAGCTCTCGAGCATCGATTGCGGAATATTTTCCAGGGAGCCATCACCTACTTTTGAAGACGAGTGAAGCATGTAAAAGACGAAGATCAAGGCGACCACTGACAGGACAATTGTCTTGCGCTGTGCACGTGGACGGTGATAGGCCTGCCATAACACCGTTGCCGACTTCTCTGTGAACGGCGCCTCGACTGAGGCCATAGTGCGAGGATGAGGAACTCAAAGAGCTAAGATGTGAAGTGAACATGTCCAGAAAGGACTGGACGAGAAGACATACGCAATCGTTCTTCAAGTGGAGAGGCCACGGGCTGTGATCGGCGCGACGTTTCCGGTGTCCGCCACCTTATTAGAGGTTGAAGTTTGATGTTGGCAGCCAGTTACACACTTTACATTCTGATATACTCTTTTACACTCGTTTATATTACTGTTATGCTCTTTAATATACTTGGTTCAGGTATATGGTGGAATTATTATACAGGCCGGGTGGATATGTACATGCGTTCACTCCAAGTATATCTCCTCTCGAAGACGTTGCAGATTGCGAAATAGGCCACCAGCCGGCGCACCACTGTCACTATCACGCCTGGCCTCTGGCCTAGATCTAGCGGAGGCGCGCTGGCTTTGCTCACTAGCAGCCTGCTGCTGTTCTAGAGAGCGACGACGATCCTCCACAATCTTCGCAAGGCTATCCACAAAACGATTGCGCGCTTTCTCTTCTGCGGAGCCATTCCAGACAGTCGCCAACACTCGAATCGCTTCGACGCGTCGGTTGGCAGCGTCTAGCCCAGCCTGTCCGCCTCCTTCGCTGTCCAGTAGTTCTGTCACCTGTTTTTGTAGCTTCTTCATCATCTCTTGGCCCTTTTCTTCCCGGTCGCGACCGTCGGCGTCTAGGTCTGGTCCGGAGACGGAGATAAAGGAGGAAGAGAAGGATATCTCTGATGGGGGGAGTGGCCATTCCATTGCGTCGCCGAATGTTTGCACGACATCTTCTAGTCGTGAGCGGACTTGGTTGAGAGTTCGGAGGTTCGTGATGTATTCGGGTTCTGCGGGGGCGCATGTCTTTTCTTCTGTTGGTGCTACCTCGTCGTCTTGAGCTGGTGCATCCTCCGTTTGTTCGGGCTTGTGCGCATCTTGCTCTGGCTCGGGAACAAACTTGTTGATGTCGTCGCGCAGAACTTCGGTTAGGGTTTCGGATAGCCCAATGGTCTCGCCTCGCAGTACCTCGACTTCGTAGGCTAGTCGTCCGCCGCTTCGGAGGATCTCATCGGTGAGCTGGGATAATGTGCTCGAGAATCGGATGTTTTGAGCATTGATCTTGGAAAGTAGAGACTGGACTTGTGCCGACAGCTCTGTCAGAGGTACTGAGCCGGGTGTTCGAGAGGCATTGGGTTGTAATGATGCCACGGTCAGTGGTGAAAGGGATTCATTGAGGAAATCGGCTGGGTCAAAGTTGGGGTCGGCGAAGTTGGGGGTGACATCGGGTATATTAGTAGCCTTTGCACCTGCTCGAGTACTCGAGCTATATGAGGAAGCCATGCTATGTGTTTGACAACCGTTCAAGATCACTGTCCAAGATCGCAACACTGGAGAGAGACAGAGCTGGCCTCCGCGGGGATATCTCCACCGCCTGAGCTATTTTCGGTATAGCGGTTGCCTCTTTTGGATGAATCCGCTGCCGCTTTATACGCCGATCTATACAGCATCAACATCGACTTTCGGTTCTTTCTGTCCAAAAGATCATGGAATGTCTATCATATTACTAGGCTATATTATCTACCGCCCAAAGGTTTATATAAATCACTTCTTTCATGCAGCGCAGAACTATACATATATGCAACCCACAAAACTCACGTTAACCACCAAGAAAGCAAAAAGATAAAACAGATAGGGTATAATACCATCGACAGGAAAAAAATTCAACCAGAAAGCTCATGTACAGGCCTCGGGGCCTGGTCAGCCGCCAACTCTGAAGGATTTGTCGAGGGTGTGATACCGCTCACAGGCGCAGTCTGCTGCGAACTTCCACCAAGCTCACTAGCCTCGGCGTGCGCAGATCGCTGATATGAGGGGTGTGTGTTACTCGGTACCTCCTTTTGTGTCTTGCGACGGCGCAAGAACCAGAATGCCAATGCGGCGAGGATGAGCGCACCTCCTACGCCGACGCCGACGCCAATTCCAATGCTTGCGCCTTTGGATAGGCCAGAGCTTGAGTTTGAGCTTGAGCTAAAGCCTGAGCCCGAGGATGATGAGGCGGTCGAGGAGGTGTCTGATGTCGAGGTCGAGGATGCTGTTGCGGTGTTGGAGCTTGCGGCTGAGGCCGACGTTGATGTTGCCGTTGTGAAGAGACTGGAGTCGGTGGCTTCTAGCTGGATCTGGAGTGGTTGCGCCCACATTGTGATGGGGCCTGAGACTTGGGTGCTTTCGTCGGATACTTGGCGGACAGTCACGATTGTCGAACTGGTGGATGGGAACATGCTGGTGCATCCTGCGTAGGTAGAGTCTTCGCCCATTGAAATAGTGAGGTAGTCGAAATTGCTTGTTCTGTGTGAATTTAGGGTTTCGCGTTGTGCGGATTGGATAGTACGTACGAGGGACAGCATTGGGCTGTTGTAACTGGATTATGGATTACCATGTTGGCTGTGGTATATCCTTCTGGACAATAACCCGGGCTAAATGCGATCGAGGCCATTTCTCGTCCGAAATGGGTATACCCCGAAGGGAAACAATTTGGATCCGCATTGTCGCTCGCCGCGGCGTTTTGTAGTAGTAGGCCCTTTGGGATGAGGTTTGCGCCTGAAGGCTCAAAGGTCCATGAACTTGAACATGAAGCGGGTGGAGTAAAGATTGTCGTCATTGCCAAGGTCGTGATTCCATCGGTGGAAACACTCGACGTTGTCGTCGCGGCCGCCACGGTGCTCGACATGATCTCGGAGTCCTGTATGTCCACGAGAACTCAATTCCAAGAGCAAAATCACCCCCAAAAAAACTCGAACGGCGCCGAGGGACAGGGGCAGTTTATGTACGGAGTCTCTTAACAGTTTCCGCCCCACTGCTAGGCTCTTAGTGCTTATTTTCTCTTCAGACTCTCACCGTCGTTCAAGTTCCTGAGCCTCGATTCACGGCATTGGGGCCAAATTTAGTATCCAGTATGGGGGTTTTGTTGGCCCCATGATTGGCCCCGGTTCATTAACCTTGCTAACAGCCATGATTTGGACCATTGATTGGCTCAGCATATGCGAAAATGTCGGATAGATCTGCACACCCAACTTGTTCGCCTCCTACAACCAATGAGAGAGGCTTATATTGTCTCCATGTTGCTGCAGGATTAGCTCCAGGAGTCTGCACACGTCGCTAAAGTGCAACGCGTCACGGAGAATTGTGGACTAAGGACTAAATATCGGGGTATCATAGGACCTATAGCCTCTTCAGAGTCAAGATGATAATGTGCTTGGATTACTATGTGCGTTTCAGCCACAAAGTCATGCAATGTTTCCTCGTTAGATATCTCATTCGCGCGGGAAATTAAGTGGTGGGTATTAGGTGCATATTGTCCAATAAGATGCCTTGCGGCCTGACTAGCTATCTATAGCCATCTGCTTACCAGAACTTGGATTAGCGTGTATGCATGATGTTGATAAGTCTTGGTCTACGGAAAAGATCTCAGCCCTGTATGCATGCACCTTGGCCTGATGTGGCAATTCAAAAATATACAAAATTCACATAAAACTTGCATTAAACTAACGTGGTAATAAGCACCAAAGCATGTAGTCATAGCTATTAAAACGCTGCAAGGGCAGCAAAAAGAAGGTGGGTATCGTTATAGATCCAGTCGTGTCCAGCCATAATACAGAAAACAGTAAAGCCCAAGCAGAAACGCAACAGGGAATCTCCAGGTGAGAAATCTGCTTGGACAACATAAATCACAAAGCAGAAAGCAAGGTCAACTTTTCATGTTGAAAAGGTACTTGACCCACGAACAAAAAGACACAGGTTCTCTAGATGTCCTCAACCACGCGAGCATTCATCGCACGCTGGAACCCATCATCGGCCTGGCTCGTGGCGCCGTAGTTGCTCGGGCCTTCGCCGGCGGAGTCGGCAGCGACGAGCTGGCTCTGGACAGTCTGGTTCATCGCAGGCAAGAAAATGACCTTGCTGTTGGCGGTCTTGGCCATGGCTTGCATCGCTTCGAGGTATCGGATCTGCATGGCAGGAGCAGAAGACAGAATGTCGGCAGCCTGGCGCATCAACTTGGCAGACTCGACTTCGGCGCGAGCCGCAATCACCTTGCTCTCACCGATTCGCTTGGACTGCGCGGCCATGGAGAGCGAATCCTGCAGGTCGTTGCTGAAGATGATATCCTTGATGAGCATGGACTCGACCTGGACACCCCAGCCGGCGGCAACTTCTTCGATAATTTCCGATGTCGACTGCGCAATTTCCTCGCGACGCTCGATCACGTCCTGAAGTACGCGGGCGCCAATCACATGGCGCAGGGTGGTTTGGGTACGCTCCACCAGCGCTTGTTTGACGTTGGCAATCCCGAAGGCAGCCTTGTGGGGAGAGATGACTTCGTAGTAGATGACCGAGGTCAGGTTGAGAGTCACATTATCCTTGGTCATGCAGACCTGGCGGGGCACCTCGACAATCTGGATCTTCACGTCGACTGTGGTGATGTGCTCGCTGAGGGGGTTGATCTTGACCAGACCGGGATCCACCGATCGCTCGAAACTATAAAATGTCAGTCCCAGTCGACCCCGGCGATGGAATCCTAGCTTACCGTCCGAATCGCGAGACAAGACCGACCGCACCTTGGTCGACAGGCTTGAAGGGGTTGGGGCAGCAGATACAGCAGGGAATCGCTCCAAAGAAACCAATACATTCACCCAGACCGTGGACTAAGACGGATTAGCTGCCGACACCCATCAACTATCGGTGACGCGACTTACTCATGGCGGCGTACCAGCCGTGGGCATCGGGGTTATCGTCATCGTGTTCAATCTGTGCCGCGTACTTGGGCTGCAGATCCCCCCGACGAGCAGGCTGGACGTTAACCAGACGGGGGAGCTGAGGCTCCTCGGGAGCTTTGCTAGAAGTGGCGCCGTTGGTAGACATGATGTATAGTTTGGTAGTGGATGGAGAGGAGAGAGGAAGGAGGGGGATGGGCGAGGTTTAAATGCAACCCCAATAACTTCACATACGAGAAACCTTGAAGCTGCACTCCGCAGTGGAGACCGAATTAACCTCAGCCTCAGGGCTGAGTTCGCCGATTATCCGAGTCGTCATGACTCGTTTGGAGATCCATGGATATTCCCTTGTCACGCTGTCTACTGTAGAGCTCACTACAAGCTATAGCTCTTCAGGTCTATCTACTGTTTATCTGCAGAGCGAGGTAAATAGGATTCCTTCCATTCCGTTTCCTGGTACATAGTGGCATGCACATTCCGATGCAAATCTCTCTCTCTCTCTCATATCGTCATACCCCTTCCAGATGTCTTCCAGGGCGCAAGGGTCAAGGCAGATTCGGGGCAAAGTTTGGGAGCGAGCGCGAGAACGAGCCGCATTCAGTCAAGCGCCCAACCGCTCTCACACCTGACTTGTTTGTTTTCCTTCGGCCCCCAACTCGCGGATCTTGGCGATGATCGTCTCGGAGGCAGTGCTGGACTGACACGGGATTGGCGTCCTTTTCTCCGACTTGTGATTTGACTTGATTGTGGGGCTGTGTATAGGTCGGGCAACGGATCAGATGGGGCACAAAGTCGGATAATGCCGTGTTCCGGGGTTGCTATGGTCCATGGGTGATGCGGGAATGACATATGACGGGAAGCATTACACACATTAGGTGTATGTAGCCTTTCTGTGCTGCAGATTATATCAACTAGCATCATTGGTCTAGTGGTAGAATTCGTCGTTGCCATCGACGAGGCCCGTGTTCGATTCACGGATGATGCACATCTTTTTTTGGTTCTTTTTTAACCAGCTGAGAACACGTCCAACTTGTGTTTCTCGATCTTTATTATCCCTGATTTAATTTCGCTCTTTTTTTCAGTTGTTTCTGTTTCTCGGTTTTTTCAGGCACAGAGTACACATATAGGGCTTACTATAATTCAAGCTCGTTCGAGTGGGCAAATTGATGGGTAGCCCAAGGGATATACCCATTGACCTATAACCACTATATAACTTGGGATAACGTCTATATATCCATACGACATCACAAATATAGCAGATTGTTCTGACCTCTTACACAATAATAATTCATACCCCAAGAACTGGCACGACTTCGAAATGAACACATATCAATAGAAATCACCTCATAGTACGTGGGTCAGTACTCATCCTCAACAAGACAATCCTACGCTACAACTATACCCCACGAGCAAGACAGGCACTCGCACGAGAGAACCGACATCCGACTACAGTAGAAGCAAAAGCTCCGTACCAAGCCTATCGAAAAGGACAAAGCCGTGCTCACATTGGTCCCTGCATTGCTGACGCCATCAGACTCCAATTTCACGTCTTTACGCGGGGTGAAATGACAGGCAGGAACCAACGTGAACGGACAATAAATAACATTGTATCTGCCCCTCATAGTAATGCGACATCCCAATTGACCCCTCAATTCCTATATCTTCGATCCATCACCTCTCCTACCGCCGCGAACAAAGCCCTAACAGGGAGAAACCACCAAAATGCCCGAAAAGAAACAACTCATAATCAATGCATTCGCCATGCAATCTCCGAGCCACTTAAATCCAGGTCTCTTCGGCTACCCGACTGACCAAGGCGCCGACTACAAAAACATCAAGCACTGGATTGCCCTAGCAAAGAAACTCGAAGACGCAAAATTCCACGCCATCTTCTTCGCGGATGTCTTGGGCGGCTACGATGTCTACCGGGGTCCGGCAAACCTCGATCCTACCATTCCCGCCGGTGCGCAGTTCCCAATCAATGATCCGCTATATAGTATCCCCGCCATGGCGGCTGCGACGGAGAATATTGGATTCGGCGTCACGGCATCCACGACCTATGATTCCCCCTATGCGCTTGCGAGACGGTTTTCCACGGTTGATCATCTCAGCAATGGCCGTGTGGGCTGGAATATCGTGACTTCGTACTTGGATTCTGCGGCCAGGAATTTCGGACTGGATACGCAGGTTGAGCACGATGAGCGGTATCGAATCGCCGATGAATATCTCGATGTCACGTATAAGCTGTGGGAGGCATCGTGGCGGGATGATGCCGTGACGTTCACGAAAGGCGATTCCAAGAACCAGCCCTATGCCGATCCAAAGGCTGTTCGTCAGATCAACCACAAGGGGAAATACTTCCAGGTCCCTGGCCCGCATCTGTGTGAACCTAGTCCCCAACGCACGCCGTTTATTCTTCAGGCTGGTACATCCACGGCTGGCAAGGCGTTTGCTGCGAAACATGCCGAGGCTGTCTTCCTGCATGCGCAGAAGCCGGAGCTTGTGCGGCCTTCTGTGGATAGTATTCGGCAGCAGGCTGCTGAGATCGGTCGGAATCCGCAGGATATCAAGATCGTGGCTGGTGCTTTGGTCATCGTCGCTGAGACGGATGAAGCGGCGCAGGCCAAGTTTGATGAGCTGAAGACATATGGTGATCGGGAGGGAGCGCTTGCTTTGTTTGGTGGTTGGACTGGGTATGATCTGTCGACTTATGACGATGATCAGGATTTCCGCTTCGTGGAGTTGCCTGCGGTGCGGAGTATGGTGAATCACTGGGCGAGTACGGTTCCCGGCACCGAGGGTCAGAAGTGGGATAAGAAGACTATTGCGGAGTATCTGGTTCTCGGTGGGAACGGGGTCAAGATTATTGGGAGTGTGAAGACGGTTGCGGATGAGTTGGAACGATGGGTTAGTGTCGGTGATGTCGACGGGTTTAATTTGAGTTATGCTAGTCTGCCGGATACGTTTGACGATGTGATTCAGCTATTACTGCCCGAGCTGCAACGCCGTGGCCTGTTCTGGTCTGATTATGCTGTCAAGGGAGGAACTTTCCGGGAGAATATGTATGGCAAGAAGGGTCAGGCAAGACTCCCTGACGCGCATCCGGGAGCGAAGTACTTCTGGAAAGAGGGCCAGGAAGTGCCCCCGTATTCATTAGAGTCAAATTAGATAGTTTGAATGAATTGGCTTCTCATGACCATGTGCTCGTCGAAAAATATGTACAAGTGCTCGAGTTAGGGCTAGTCGAGAGTGAGTCAGCTTCCCCGGGAGTTCACCACCTGTTCCTGCCGAGGAATCTCGTGTTCTCAACTCTTACCCGACTCAACTGCCAATCCCCGGCTCCACGTATTCTGGCCGTGTCCGAGACGCCGAATTTGTTAGCGTGGCCGAAACGCCAACGCCCGTCTATACTTTCTCCCCCACTTCTGCGGCGTTTTCAGCCTGTGATTGGTGTGTCGCCGGCAGTTCCCCATTCTTTGCATAGGCGGGTGACTGAATTCACTTTTCTCCCCATGGCACCGTCTGATCCTGGGGCACTTTTGGCGGGGTTTCTCGGGGTAGAGAGGAGCGAGTTGTAATGAGTTACGTTGGATTCCTTTCCAATCGGGAAACCCGATGCTTCTGGTCTGTGGTAGCGGCTTTTTGGGGCCATGGTCTGGGTCATTTGACATTTGATATTTGCCTTGGACTCTTAGCTTGAGTTGTGTTCACTCTTTCAATCACTCTCGAGGAACAGTCTTGCACCATGCAGATCTTTCGCTGTGGTATTCATGGGTTCCATGAAGTCCTTGGAATTGATGCTGATGAGATTCGTTTCTACTGGGCCATTGAGAGCAACGAACAAGATGCGGCCCAAGTCGCCTATCGCATTGTCGTGACGACAGATGCCAAATCTCTTGACAAAGAGGACTCAGGCTCTCTAGTCTGGGACTCTGGACGAGTCGAGAGCAATGAGCAAAGAAACATCACCTGCAAGCCCTCCAACGGGTTCCAATCCACCTGCAATCATTTCTGGAGGATCAAAGTGTGGGATCAGGCCGGAAATATGTACCAGAGTGCTGTCAATCACTTTTTCACTGCTTATCCGCGCTCTCATCTTTTGCCGCCGTATAGCATGAATCAGACCTACATGCCCCACACCAGTCTGATTTTCAAATCCTGGTTCGAGGACGAAGCAAATCGTTGGAAAGCGGTTTGGATCGGTGATGGAGGCGACAAGCCAATTTACCTGCGAAAATCATTCGAATTGGCGCGACGACCAGCAAGGGCCATTTTGTTCGCATCTGGTCTTGGCCATTTCAACATGTCTGTGAATGGAAAAGCTGCTTCAAATCATCGTCTTGATCCTGGTTGGACCAACTATCACCGTCGTGTCCAGTTCACTTCTTATGATGTGACCGATCAGCTTGCTGCAGGCCAAAATGCCTTGGGCGTTCATCTAGGCAACGGCTTTTACGCCGGAGACAAGGGTGATGATCGTTTCTTTTGGCCGATGTACGAAGACAATACGTACGTTCGGTATGGAAATGAGCTATGCTTCTTTGGAGAGTTGCATCTTTTCGACGACGATGGAGAACATACCGTTTTGATCTCGGATGCTTCGTGGAAGGTCAGAAAGAGCGCTACCACCTTGGCCAATATCTATGCATCTGAAACGCACGATCGACGCCTGTATCCCTCAAACTGGGACTGTGTTGAGTTCAATGATGCGGAATGGGCACCAGTAAAACCTCTCACTGGACCCAGAGGTCAGATCCATTATCAGACTCAGCCTCCAGTTGTACTTCATGAGACATTTGAACCGATTAAAACCCACAGTCCTAAAAAAGGGACTGTCTGCTATGACCTGGGTCAGAATGCTTCAACCATGGTCAAAATTGCAGTGGAGGGTGCCGCAGGCTCAGAGATCATTGTTCGATACTCTGAGACTGTAGGAGAAGATGGATTAGTTCTCATGCCCGATCCTCTGTTCAAGGAATTCGAGACGGGTGTTTTCTCTCGAATCTTCTTGGCTGGCACTGGTAAACCTGAGATATGGGAGCCAGACTTCAGTTTTACCAGTGCTAGATATATCCAGATTGAGGGTGTTTCTTTGGAAGCCGACGATCAACTGCCAATCATTCATTCCGCAGTTGGTCGTCATATTTCATCAGCTGCCAGAAAGCTCGGAACCATGAAGACCGACAAAGAAGATGTTAATTCCCTGCTGAATGCTCTCTACTGGTCATTCTCCAGCAATTTGTTCAGCTATCACACGGATTGCCCTCAGATTGAGAAATTCGGCTGGCTGGAAGTCACTCACCTGCTGGCTCCCGCCACACAATACATCCGCGATATGGAGTCCTTGTACACCAAGATTCTTGATGATATTCTAGATACCCAAGAGCCTAGTGGTCTTGTACCAACAATGGCTCCGGAGATTCGCTATATGTGTGGTCCCCTGCACGACACCATCACCTGGGGTTGTGCCTTGTGTTTGCTCCCTGATATCCTGCGACAGTACTATGGCTCTACACATGTCATTCCCAAGGTGTACCCAGCTGCAGTCAAATATATGGAGTATATGCAGACCAAAGAGCGCAAAGGCGGATTGATCGAGCACGGTCTTGGCGACTGGGGCCGTGGAATTGCATTCGGCAACAACCAAGCCAACATCGAAACAGCCATATACTACCGCTGCCTTCAATGCGTTGAGATGATGGCTCGCGAGCTTGGAAAGCATGAGGAAGCTGAAAAATTTAATCAATGGGCTGCACGCGTCTATGCTACCTACAACCGCCATCTCCTCGTGACCGACGACTCTTCTCGTCCCTATGCATACTACACCTCGCTCGATAACTATCCCGAGCGAGATCGTGATGCCATTGCTCAGGCTATGGCTCTGCAATTTGGTCTTGTGCCTGCCGAGCACCACCAAGACGTGATGGCTGCTTTCCTGGACGATGTCTCCGACGGCAAGATCCGGGCTGGTGAAATTGGACTCCGTTTCCTCTTCAACACGCTAGCCGATGCAAAGCGACCTGATCTAGTCCTGCAAATGGCTAGACAAGAAGAGCATCCGTCTTATATGCGTTTCTTGCGCCGGGGTGAGACTACCTTGCTTGAATTCTGGCAGGATGAATGCCGGAGTAAATGCCATGATATGCTGGGGACTATCTATGAGTGGTTTTATGCTGCTGTCCTAGGCCTGAAGCCTATTACAGATGCCTACCGCACTTTTGCTATTGAGCCACCGTATAATTCCGAGTTTGAGCATGTCAAGGGGTCTGTTGATTGTCCTTATGGGTTGATTGATATTGAGTATATCCGCTCCGAGGGCTTTGTGTCGTTGAACCTCACCGTGCCATTTGGAACTATAGCTACTGTTAGATTACCTGGTAATATGAAGAAGGCCGAATACGAGAGGCAGGAGGGGGAGAAGAGGATTTGTGTAGAAGGGAAGGAGTTAACGCTTCCCCACGGATTGTATACTGTCAACATTCAGCTCTAGAGATCCCGAAACGGAATAGAATAGAAATTACCAGCTTCAGGTCTTTGACACCGATATCTCCCGCGTTCCAGCTCGTTTAATCCCGCATCTCCACATACCGACTAGAAAGACGACCAGACCAGTCCCAATGAGTGGCAATTCCCTCCCACCCCCACAACCATACAACCGGCAACAATGGCCGAAACAAATAGAGCTTAATTTGACTGAAATCTCGGGCAAAATCAGACCGAATGTCTGTGCTTTCTCTCTCGCTTGGCCGGAAACGCTGGACTCCGATTGTCTATATAAAGTTGATCCCCACGGGGAAAATCCCCCAGATTTCCACCTCGACTGGCTCTGCATTCCTGCCACCATGACAAACCTCAAGACTTTGTTAACAGCCACCTTCCTGGCCACTGGAGGTATCTCTTGCTCTTCTTTATGTCGATCATACCGAATCATCACTAACAAACTCAGGCTTCCTCTTCGGCTATGATAGTGGTATCATCACCTCGACCATTGGTCAAACCCAATTCATCAAATATTTCTCCAACCCCAGCGACACAGTAACCGGCGGCATCGTATCAGCCTTTCAAGGCGGCGCGATCCTAGGAACAATCATCAACATCTTCACTGGTGATCGACTGGGCCGAAAATGGTCGGTCTTTACGGGTGCTTGTATCTCCTGCTTTGGATGTGCGTTGCAGGCTGGCGCTGTAAACATGACGATGCTGATTATTGGTCGCTTCATTGCTGGTGCCGCTGTTGGTATGCTGACCTCGGTCATTCCTATGTATGCTGGTGAGATTGCCGAGTCCTCATCTCGAGGTATGATGTCGGGACTGTTGCAGTGGATGTTGAGTTGGGGATTCCTGGTTGCGCAGTGGCTGGGATATGGCTGTTCGTTTAATGAGACACAATTCCAGTGTGAGTGTTTCTTCCAGGATTGTGCTGATTGCTCCATGGCATACTGATACCTCTTGCAGGGCGCTTCCCTCTCGCCTTCCAATGTCTCCCCGGTCTCGCCCTGATGAGCGGAGTGCTCTTCCTCAATGAATCGCCGCGCTGGTTGATGGAGAAAGACCGCCACGAGGAAGCCCTCGCCGCCCTCCAGAACCTGCACGGCAACGGCACACCCGAGAAAGCGGAATACATTGAGCTGGAATTCCAAGAAATCCGCGAGACGATCGCAGCAGAGCGGGCGCAAACCAAGATCTCCTGGACAACTATTCTCCGCAAGCCGTCCTGGCGTCGCCGTCTCATCCTGGGCTGTGCCGTGCAAGCCTTTGGCCCTCTTTCCGGTATCAACGTGATCAACTACTACGGCACACGCATCTACTCCTCCCTCGGAATCGACACCCAGACCTCCCTCATGATCATCGGGATTAGCGGTGCCCTCTCTATCGTATACTGCACCGGTGGACTCTGGGCCCTCGAGCGCGTCGGCCGTATCAAGCCGCTCATCTTCTCTGCGGCGGGTATGGCCGCAGCACTCGTCTGCAATGCAGCCATGTCGCAGCATTTCAACGAAGATAATACGAACCAGCTACGCGCTATGGTGGCCATGAACTTCGTCTTCAGTTTCTTCTATACCTTTGTCGGGATCATTTCTTGGGTATACCCAGCTGAGATTTTCCCCGTGGATGTTCGCAACCAGGGTAATTCGCTGACCACGTTCACGAACTGGACTATCAATTTGGTCTTTGCGCAGTTCTCGCCGAATGCGCTGTCTACGATTGGATTCCGTTATTTTTATGTCTTTTTCGTTTTTAATCTGGTCGCCATGTTGGCCTATATCTTTTTCTTCCCTGAGACCAAGGGTAAGACGTTGGAGCAGATGGATGTTCTGTTTGGTGATGAGGCGCCGGCTGGGCTTGAGAATGAGAAGGAGACTGTTGAGGTGGTGGAGCATGCTAGCAAGTGAGTGTTTTGGACTTGCGCCTGGATGCTTGACCGATGAAGACCATGTATGGAGGATCTTATGACCTTTGTTATCCTATGCCAATTTATTCAATCCTAATTATTTACAATGCGCCTGTGAGATTGGCACAAAAGAGCCATGTTTAAAACACCCTAAATGAATCAACACATACCCTTTCTCATATAATAGTGGATGTATAAAATTAGCGTAGGATTAGCGTATTCTAAAAGTAAATCATCATACTGAAAACGCTATACATCCACTATTATACGAGAAGGGATGCGTTTTTAACATGACCGTTCATGAATCATTTCGAAAAACCCCCATCAATTCGAACTCATACTCGTAGACTAAACATGTCCATCTCAGACTCGAAATTTACACATCCCACCAGCCCTCCATATAAGACTTCAAATCCAACTCCTCCGGCAATCTCAAATGAGGCGTCAACTCCGCTCCAGGCGTAATCTCCTTCGTAGTCCATCCATTCCCAAACCAAGCAAAACGATTCCCACTAGCTCCCACATAAGAATACTCCCAATCCTCCCAGCGCGGATCCCGCCGAATGTAATTGGCATGCGATGCACTGCCGGGGAATAATCCGTGAATCCTGGAACCGGGCTTGCCGCCATTATACCAGGAGCTACAATTCGCGGACCAGACCGTCCGCGGATAGAAATTGTCGCAGTATTCGACGAAATCATCGGTGGCGGCCTTGGATGGGGCCATGGATTTGATGCCCTGGCTGCGGAGCTTGCGGAGCACCTTGGCGATGTATGTGACTTGGTTCTCGATGCTGTTGGGAACGGTGCCGCTGTGGCCGGAGGAGTAGGGCCCGCCTAGCCAGAGGAGGTTTGGAAAGCCTGGCGTTGCGAAGCCGAGGTACGAGTATGGGAAGCCGAAGTGGCCGTCACGCTTCCAGGCGGTTTTCAGGTCGAGTCCGTTGGCTATTATGGAAAATGGGGGTGCGTGGTCGATGTTTGCTCCTGTTGCGCAGATTGTTATATCGACTTTTCTTTCTATGCCGTCTTCTGTGACTATGCCGGTTGGTGTGAAGTTCTTAATCTTCGTTTGGATGTAGTCGACGTTTGGCTGGGATAGGGCTTCGAGGTAGCCGGGTCCTGGTGTTGGGCGGCGGCAGTTGGGTGGGAAGTCTGGGACAATTTTGTCACCTAATTCAGGCTTTTCTTTGACACGTTGGAGCATGAGGTTTGTCCATTTCTCCTTGAGGCTGTTATTTTCTGGCGTATCTTTGAAAATTGCCCCAAAGCGTTGGAAGTAGCCTTTCTCGACGTCGCGTCGGTACTCCAGGTATGCTTTGGGGTCTTTGAAGGTCTCCAATTGGGACTCGGAGAAGAGGTTTGGCTCCAGACGGCGGACTCCCACGTTTCCGCTGCTGAATGAATCGGCGATCCAGGTCGGATTCCGGGCAAAGTGGTCGACATGGCTGGCGAGTGGCTGGATTGATGGGAGAACCTGAAGACCAGAAGCACCGTTGCCTATGAGAGCCACTCGCTTTCCCTTCAGATCGACACTGGGATCCCAATTGGAAGAATGAAAGAGACCTCCTTGGTAGTTGTTGATACCCTCATAGTCGGGTAGTTTCCAGGCATTAAAATGGCCTATGGCGTTGATTACAACGTCCAGTTCTTCTTCGTATATCTGCTGTATGTCAGTGCTGGTTATCAACTCTTGGATTACATTCTTTACCTTGGAGCCATCCACGTATTCAATGGTGACGTTCCATTTCCCTTTCTCGGGATTCCATTCAGCCTTTTGGACCTTCTGTCCTGCACGGAGATATTGATAGACATTGTGCTTGCGTGCAACACCCTGCCAATAGTCTCTAATCTCCTTGCCTTGGGCAAACTCCTCGGTCCATTGTGTATTCGGCGAGATATTGGACTGGTAGGCATGTGCAGGAATATCACAGCGAACACCCGGGTATACATTCTCAAACCTGATGATGTTAGCCACGACCTCCACTGCAAAGAGAGAATATCTACCATGTCCCGCCCTAAAACCGCTGTTAGCTGATGTCGCCAATGTCGCCAATGTTGCCAGCAAGGGGTTAGTCAACCTACCACATCGGCATTCTTATCATAGATTCGCAGATCGAGTCCGGGCAGTTTCGTGGGGAGCATCACTCCGGCTGTAATTCCTGCCAGACCGGCTCCGATAATACCAACTTTGATGGGTCGCACTTCATCAACTGGATGCTCCTCCAGCTCGAAGGTTGAGCTATTTTCCTCCACGGTGGAATTGGCATCGTTGTCCACTGTCACAGTAGTCGCGTCCTTTAGCTCAGAGATACGCTGGATCGACTCGGGAACATGTCGGGGATTTGAGAAGGGAACATCTCCCACGGGAGTCTCTACAAGAGCCATAATATGTGTAGGAGAGATGAATCAACGTATAGCATGTATGTTGTAGAGTCAGAATTGGAGCTCTCTTGTACACGAATCGACCCCGCGTGTCCCTGCACGTCATTCGGAGCATTTGACACGTTGAATCCCCCACTGATAAATAGTTGCATACTTGCGATATCTGAAGCATTTCATTGGTCCAGACCACCCCATCGCGGCATTGGATGGCGTGCGGATCGCAACATTCTTTCCACTTGAGTCGCCTTATTCTCTCGGCCGACATTTGGATGTTTTGGTTTGGTTGACTTAGGGCTTGAATGCCTCGGTGGCCGATGGGATTAGTCCAGATCTAATGCTCCCGAGGTCCCGTCGATACTAAGTTTGACCCTTCGCCTAGACAGAGACCAATTTAAATATGATTTTCTCGAAGCAATTGATCTTATTCCTTCCCTTCGGTATTGATAATCACACGTTGTGCTTCGAGACTACTACTATCAGACTGTCCCTCCTCATGTGTGTCCGTCTCGGGTTGATTCCAGTCACCAAAAACAGCGAGGATCGTAAATGGGATTGTGAAGCCCCACAAGGAGAACCCCAGAATCATCTGGTTCAAATTAGGCCAGTGAGTAGCACCCACGGCGTAGGCAATGGTGCTGCCAATTGACTCCCATGATCTCAAAATGCCAGTGGTTCTCGCGATATCGCCATCTCCCTGAGCTCCTTTGATCTCGGCCATCAGCCAGTAGATATACGTTTGGAGTACCTCATAGAAGAACTTGAAGAATAGATAGACGGTGAAAGCAGAGTTGAAAAAAGGTCCATCTCCGAGGTCGAAGGCGGGTGATTCAGTCATTCGTGATAGTTTCACTTGTGTGATAGCATTCCAAATCCAAGCTGCGGTGACAAAGATCAGGACAAAGATGTAGACACCTTTAGACCGAGTTTCGCGAGACAGATAGTTCAAATCGAGAATGATGCCCGTCGATACATTGGCAAAAGCACCCACAACGGCTGTCAAGAAAGAGGCGAGCGCTCTGGAGCGGACGGTAAAGTACGCTATGTTCGTCAGCATAAGGGCTTGGAAAAAAAGAACGCAGAAGACGTACAGGTCAAATAGTTTCCTTGATAAGTGGTGCCAAACTGCCCAGCCAGGAAGACTGGAATCAACAAGAGCATGTACTTATTCTTCAATTGCCTCCAGATGGCACGAAACTCAATCCCGAACGTCGTTTTCTTCATATAAGGGATTTTGGTGCCATCACTTCTGATAACATCTTGCGGCTGGGACAGTAACAATGCAAAGGGAGCCCCTAGAGATGATATGGCAACAAGTCCTAGGTATGTTGTATAGGTGACCTTGCCGACATGTGCAGTATTGACGTTGAGGGCGAGCGAGATCGCACCACCAACCAGTGGTCCCATTTGTCGGATTCCCATCCAGATTCCGACGTATCTAATAAGACAATCAGTCAAAGTGATCAGCAAGATGGTGAATACATTGTACTGACCGTCCCCGTTTCGCCTCCTCTGGGTATCCAACCGCAATGGCAGCTTCACTAGCCCACAGAAGAGATGCCCCAATTCCACAGAGAGCCGCACCCAGCAACAGAAACCACTCGTTTCCATAGCGATTATTGCAGTATAAACCAGCGGCATACGGCGTGTAAAATGCAGCTCCGATGAACAGGGTCCATTTCGCAGTGATTTTGTTGGTGACACCGCCAGCAAGGAAGCAGCCCACTGACATGAGGCCATATGTCAATGCATTTGCTGCGTTGTTTAACAGAGGCTTAGTCCAGTCAGCGAGATTTCGAGCTGCAAGTTTTCAGGGTGACCTACACTCGCGTTACCTCCTGCCCCGAGATTGTTAAGAGCAGTCCAGATTCCGGGCTCGCAAAAGGCGACTAGTCCGACTACGATAATTTGCAGGAGGCATGACCGGTAAAATGTTTTTACTCGATCAAAAGCCATGGTGGAAATCAGGTATTCCTGCAGAAGTATGTTCCCGGGAAGAGGCCATACTGCCAATCTTATATGTGAAGGATAGATAGCACGCCAGGACCCATTATGCTCACGATAATATTCACACTACTATAATGAGACCCCCACATCAACGTGCATACATGTACAATTCTAGCACCAAAACCATCCGACAACAGCAGATACCAAACAAGGCAACGTAGTATACTCCACCACGGGGATTCTTATCTAACTTTTACTCCAAGCGTGGCCCCTGTTTGTCCTCTCAAAATCCAGGGTCAGATCACATAATACTCCACAGACATGGTGAATCGTACGAAAAGTGTTGAGATGACACTTCTTTGCTCCAAATGACACCATTTCTTGGCATTTCCAAGGCCGACTTCGAAATCCTCTTTTGACGGGGCACGTGGCTATCTTTTGCCCTATATCTCAACCCAAAAAGGGCGCGTGTACTCCAGCCATTTCACATCTTCCAAGTCAATAACAACCAAGCGTCCAGCCTGCTCATTCCATAACATGTTCCGCCACGCCTTATCTCGATGAAAAACCCCATGTGATTCGAGTATCTTTAATACCTTCTCTCGCTCGGCATAGAAGAAACGGCTGTTCTCCTCATTGATAATCTGCTGAATCCGATGCCCAGACCAGCTGAGAATCATCATATGAGCCATCAACTGGCCATGATACCAATATGAGACGCGAGGCTCGAACTGTCATATATACGTGGGGATGTGATGCCCCTGCAAACTCCGAAGACGAACATATGTGCAGGCTTCGGTTTGCACATAATGGTCTTTGTCGGATGTCGTAGCTTTGATGACTACAGTATACCCGTGCGACAATAATGTCGCTTTGATAATGAATCCCGTTCGACCGCGGATGTGGAGTTGTTCGAATCCCTCGCTTCGGTTTTCTTCAAGTTGGCTATGCAGTCTGCGTGTGAACTCTCGGGGAGTGATGCGATGCTTTTTGCCATGCTCGCTGGCATTTGGGCACTTCCTGTCCACGGATTCTCCTGTGACTACGCCGCGGATGCATTTCATAGTACAGTACGATCTGGTATTCTGTATTGGGGGTTCGGACTTTCGACCTCGGGCACGAGTGTTGTATACCGCCTGAACAAGTTTCCAGGTTGGTCGGTACGCTTGTTTTGGTGGATAGTGACGAAACAGCTCTGGGATGTCTCGTAGCACATTCATGAATTCAACCTTCCAGGTAGGAAGATTTTTATATGCTGCATCATGCCAGTCTTGGGAAGGAAGCCCGGCGGTCATTGCATGAAGTGTAAATGCGAGCATCTGCCCTACCGCTGTTCGATGGAGGCGGTATTTGTCCTCGGGTTGAACATCTTGATTTGGCACGCAGAGGTAGTACTTCACTGTCGTGGGATCTTCAGGAATATGGAGAAATACAAATGCTTCTCCAGTGCGAATCACCCCGTATGACACCCCAGTGTCGATCATATAGGAAAATATTTGAGTGATCACAGCAGTGACCAGGCGAGTGGCATGAAATTTGAAGGCGGTGCCCTTCTTGTCGATGACTTCACGGACTGGATGGATCTCATGTAGCCCGGCAACCAATTCGGGCACCGTGAGTTTGTGGGGCGACTTGAACTCAACAGCATATACTGGGACTATTTGTTCTCCAGTATGAGCTTGAACATGAAACTGATCGGAACGTATGTTCCGTCGTTTTCCCAAGCGTTTGATCGCCCGTCTGTTTCAGTCAGTCAATTGTCCTTGAGAACCAAGCTGGATTCAACATACATGCTTTGAGAGCCTTCCACAAAAGTCGTCAAACAGTCGTCAGTAGTTTGACCGTCAAAGTCAACTTGTCCTTTGATACATAAATCTCGTCTGAGATTTTCATCAGCTCGCATTTCCATTAGAATCGTCTCGAGAAATGTATCCACTGTGTTATTCTCAAAGATTTCCAAGGAATTTTCCGAGTAGATGCTTATATTCCTGGCATTTCTGGCCATAAATTCCACAATCACTTTCGAGGCAAATAGAGGCCTTGTCGTAAAGTCTGATGCATTCTCAATTTTCTTCCATATATCCTCCTGGCACCGGGGAAAGTCATGCCATGGGATGATGCGCATTGGAACTAATCGTCTAGCTGGGTCCATTTCATTTTCCGTTGTAAGCCTTGCTTTTGGCTGGACTTGAATTGGCAGTGAGAGAGAGTCATGACAGCAATCAAGAAGTCCAAAGAGGTTGTTAGGCCTAAGCCGACGATCCAATTCTTCTTTTTCTTTCTCCAAGTCTTTGAGCCCTCCCCGTAGTTCGTCAGCTTCACTCATGATAAGAACAATTTCTCCTCAACTCAAGGGCAATGGACACGAGTTGAATGATACATTATCGTATCAGCTAAGTTATTGGGAGAAGACAATCCTGGGGGAAAAGGCAGATATATTTAGCGCTGTGAGTTTCGATCAAAGAACAAAGATTACATACCTTGTTGGGGACGAGTCAATGGTCTGTAACTCATTTGCTATCTTTCCTCGATTTTCTTTCACTTTCTTCTTTTTCTTTGACCTTTAACTGAGGCCCCATCTGATGTCCTATCAAGGTTGCTTACAATACCTATCCTCGCATTTCCCATCCGCCATATAGACTCATACAAAGAACCGCACTAGCCCCTTTAAATGTAATAATTTCTCTGATCAGCATTGAGCTTGCCCTAAGACGCATGGCATGGCCTGTACTTCCGCTTTTAAGGCTGTCACCATGAGCACTGTTTCTCCCGCATTATGGTGACAGCCTGATAGGATATCATTTGAAGCATATCGAAACAGCAGATTGCCCTCTTTGATCTTAATTTAGGGCTCATGTCTAGTGTGGTTTTTTGCAAGCAACAGACATCGATCAATCTAATGGACGCGAATGACTGCCCTGGCTGGGGCCAATTATTCTACTATGCTGGGCGTCATTCAATGCCGTCAAGAACTTGACAGTCCAAACTAGATTAACAAACATGAAAAAGAAGAGCGAATGGCGATAGACCCTAGCTTGGTTTCCATCGCTTACGGTCGGAGTTGACCCCAACTACTTAGTTGAACTCCGAAGCTTCTCTCAAATCCTTCATCCTCTCTTCGATTTCAAATTGAACCATCTACTCCTCCTTAGTACATTTGAAATACTCAGAGCTCAGAGTTCAACTTCCTCGATTCAAGAATGTCTTCTGCCCCGCCAACAAGTGGGCTTTCCTCACAAATATGGACCCGAGATGACCCCGAATTCTTCGTCTCAACAGATCCGAAATATCTCTCTGTGAAAGCCGTCAACGCGGCCTTTGGACAAGATTTTGTTTACTGGGTGAAGGAACCCTTCCCTGAAGATGTGCTATCCCAGATGCTCCACGGCTCCCTGAGTTTCGGGGTGTATCGGAGGGTCAAGCCAGCGCAAGTTGATGACTCTGTTGCTCCGTCCCCTGAGGATACAGAGCAGGTTGGACTTGCGCGTGTGGTTACTGATGGGTGTTCGTTTGCTTATTTGTCTGATACTTATGTCCTTCCTCAGTATCAAGGCCATGGACTAGGGAGTTGGCTTATAGGATGTGTTGCGGCGACGTTCTCAAAGGAGAATATGCCTTACTTGCGGAGGATTATGTTGCTTACAGATGATGAGCGTATGCAATCTTTCTATGCTAGGATGTTTGGTGTGAAGGTTGTTGGGCGTGAGACGAGGAAGGATATGGGGAGAGACTTGGTATTTATGTGTGCTAGACCGCATGCGCAATCATGATTGAGAGTTTCGTGTCCAGAATTGAGCTAGACAGCAGCATCTTTGATACATAATAGTTGCTCTCTACCATGGCAGCTGCAAAGGGGTTGGCAGATTCTTTCCGAGAACTTCTTCTGCTGTGCCAATATCTCTGTAGAATCTATTAGTTCGAGTCTTTCTCTAGAACAGGAGATTTATCTCACCCTGGCCCACTAGGTGCCCAGAACTCTCCCGTCTTGTTGATGTCGAATTCCTCGATAAAAGATGCAAGCGACTGCGCAGCTTGATCCGGTGTGACGGCTATGAAAACCGAATCAGCAAGGTCTGTATATCCCAGATAGGATGAGGATTTGGGTCGCCAACATACCACCGCCTGCATCCCAGTACTTATCGAACCCAACACTCTTTGTCATCTCAGTTCGCATAAATCCAGGGTGAACCAAGCCCACGGCAATCCCCTTCTCCTTTAAATCCAAACTCAACAGCTTTCCAACCATATTCAACGCCGCCTTGCTAGCATGATGCCCAAAGTTGCCTCCACCCTCTTTCTCATGGCGGAGCGTGATACTTCCGCTCTCGCTGCTAACCATAATCACTTTACTTCCTTGATCTAGTAAGCCGGCTTTGACTAAATTATGCACCACAAAGACTGGGCCAATTGCAGAGGTGGTATACATCTGCACTTGCTTCTCCCAATCCGGAGAGTCGAATGTTTCAAACCCAAAGTACCCCGCGGTGATAATGATCGTTGAGAGCTTCTTCGAGGGAAGTTGCGAGACAAGCTTCTGGCCCACATCCGGTTGGGACACATCCACGCCTGTTAGCCAGGTAACTCCTGGGCTTGGTTCTGGGGTTGACGATCGGGCTGTTGCATATACATGGGTCGCTGGCTTAGCTGAGTATAGTGTGCGGAGAGAGGCACCTAGGCCTCGAGTGGCACCCAAGATCAGAATACTAGACATCAGTAGGGTGAAGATGAAGGTTAACTCTGGGCTTTGGAGAGAGTTGGTCCAGAGAGAACCTTGGAAGTTGCAGCTCTGCAGATATCACGCCTTGCCCGATGACGTAATGGCATATCACGTTCAGTTGAAGTCAGTGATAGACAAGAAGTTGCATACACTTGCAAGCACTTGCATACTGGATTGGTGTCTCCTTGCCTCGGGTTTGGTGATAGCGCCATGGCAATCCGAACGGTAAAATGATCATCCTATTCTCGACTTGCTGAGATTAAGCATACAATAAGTTCTGTGCTTGATGCTAGCACAGCAACCTTGTCAGAAACACAAGTTGCACATACTTGGGCCTAGCTCATCTCGCATCTCCGTACCAACAACTGCCAGAGCCTATACGTATCTAGGCATACTTCGAAAACCAGCAGAGGTAGCATGTGAAGAGCAGGTGTTGTCTCACGGTTGCCAGAGCTGTGAACAGTACCAGTCTAGCATGCTATATCCAGACCAAAGCCTCACTTTGAGAACAAACCCTTTGCCTCGAGGGTCTGATGTTTCTGGCAGATCATCTTATACTTCCAATCAGTCCAAAAACTTGGAATGACGCGCGGCTTAGTCATTCTATTTAAAGAACAATCGAAGGCCGTGAGAAGTCTTATCCAACTCGAGACTGTGAGACTTCGAGAGCTCCAGCGACAAGCCAGTCCATTCATGCGTGCCAGGGCCCAAGAATGACTGGCTTTGGCAAACTCGCCCTCTCCGTCCAAAAAGTCCGGGCTGCGATCCACAGGAGGAAGGCGGGCGCCAAGGACGGTCCCAAGCGCGAATCTGAGTTAAGGTGAGGATCGGAGTGAATTCCTCCATGACAACTCTAACAGACTCTCTCTCTTAGGCCCAGCCATGTCGGTCTACTGCCTTCCTCACCCTGGGATCTCCCGGTCGAGATCCAAATCACCATATTTGCGTATTGCGGCATCACCGACTTCCACCCGCTGAGACTCGTCTGCAAGGCCTTTTGCCAGCTCCTCACCTTCAACGAGCATGAGATTGTTCGCCGATACCTTCGCCAGCGTCGCCACGGGACCCTGCCCTCTCCAATCGACAATGACCGCACCTATACCCGCAATCCAGCGGACGACGTGGTCCTCTTGTCTGACCTGTTCCCGCCGTCCAAGAGTGCCCGCGGGGGTCACCTCTACACCTTCAAGTACCTGCACGGGCTACGACGGCGGCAGATGCTCTGCTCACGGCTCTGCTACTACCTCGCGGATCGCATCCTTGATCGCTTCGTGCAGACCGAGCCCGCGGTCATGAGGGCCTCTTTCCCTACCAAGAAAAACGAACGCAATGCTCTTGTCAAGCGCGGCATAGCTAGCATATGGTTCCACCTTGCTCCTCTCATGTAAGATGACACCTATACTCGGGTCTACACATATCACTAACTCCCCATCTCTGACCAGGTATTATACCCTCTATTTCCTTGAATCATACGCGTCAGCGAGGCGCGAACACACCAACATGCTCGTGCAAAAATACGAAGCTGGCCATCTACCGGTGCCTCTTCCCCTAGAAATCCGACTGAAGATGTACCGCGAGCTACAAACCCGAATACTTCAGACACCTCCCTTTACCAATACGGCGACCTTGGTCGGGACACACCATTGTATGCATTTGCTGGTTTCTTACATACGATATACCATGTCACCCGAGGGACCTGTCGTAATGGATGATTCCTGGATTAGCTCGTTGCTCACCCTAGCGCCGTTCGTGCGCATTGTGGAGTTCTTCTCCGCCGAAATTGGAGATGGCGGGAGCCAGCGGACCCAGCGCAAGGACTTTATGTATAACTTCTATCAGGACATGACGATGTACGAAAAGGATCATATGCATTCGGCTGTCTTTGCTCGTGCCTCTGCGCAGAACTTGCATAGTTCTGTCGAGGATATTTGGTTTGCTGCTGCTCATGCTGAGTTGACTGCTCGCCAGGCTATCCCTCATGAGGTTGAGCATGTCTGGGTATGGAATGGTATTCCTATTGTTTTTGGATGTCCAAATTGTCACCGCACCAGAGGTTGGCAGGCATGATGCACGGTATTGGTGTTGGCGGTGTTAGATCTAGACTTTTGTTGGATATTCAGGAGTTGTATGGACAGTGAAACCAATTGCATTTGTATCCGAGCCATCTATTATGTACCTATGTTATCTTCTTTGAAAATTGTCCGATATGCGATTCGCAAACTACCCAATTGGGTTTGATGGCTGTTTGTTTGGTTTGCATTGGCACGCGTCTGTACTGGCCGAGTATCAAGTTCATTCAACCTCATTCAAGCATAGCATGTGAGCATAATCGAAGGGGGAAAAACACCCAGTTTCCAGACATGGAGCAAGCAGACCCAAAACAATTGTTAAATACATCGTGGACCCTCCACCGTCTCTCCCCACTCCACCACGGGAAAGACAGCAAGGCCCTGTTGAATGATGAGAAAGCATTGAAGATATACGCCACGCGTCTTCGCGATCATTTAACAGGCGATGCTCTTGCGGGACTACAAACAAGCACCGCTACAGCAGATGATGACGCGCTCTCCAAAACAGGCGCTCTGAAAAATTGCCTCTGGCAGCTAATCGCAACACACGACGATGAGTCCAGCCTCGCATTCTCTGGGATTCTGGTCACGCTTGAATATGAGAATATCGTCTACAAAGCTGCTCTCCTCGCCGAGCCAGAATCAGATCCTAGTCATCGTGAAGGATCGACTTCTCTCCCGCTCCTCTTAACCAGATTCCCCACTGCGTTGCGGCAAACCTTCATCTCGTTCTTAGCAACTAATTTCGATACCTATTGTTCGAACCTCCGCTTTTCCTCTGCTTTCCTCTGCTCCGGCTTGGAAATGTATGTTGATGTTCTGCACGCCAAGCGTGGATCCGTCGAGGATGCTATCAAAGAGCTACAGCTTACGCTTGCCTTTTCGGCATCTATCGCCCCGGCTTTGAAGACTCTCAATGTCAGTGTATCGCGTGCTTCATTGACAGCACTCCTGCGTGATCAGTCTGCGTCGAAATCGCGCACCCTGCAGCAGAAATTGAAGAGTCCTTTCGTTGCCAATCTTGAGGAGTATCTGGGGACTCATCTTGCCATGAAGCTGGACCTGGATGGGTCTTCCGAGAATCAGGTCTCTAAGAAACATGTCCGATTGTCGAAGGTTGCGTGTGCTGCTTTTGTCCTTGGTAGTGAGGGACGCTTGAAGCTAGTTGTGGCTGGTGGTCAGGAATATGGGGATGAGGCTGGGCTTTCATTAGAAGCTAGTGGTGCCATCATTCGATCTATTATCCAGAAGGCTGTCATTGGAGACCAGGCTACGTGAGTCTGTCATTTTCGTCTGTGCTGGTTTGAAATTCACACGCTACGAACCCTCTATGCGCACAACCGAACGCCGCTTCAACCTCAATATGAACAGCACATCCTTGGACTCTTAAGCTTTCTGGCTCCGCGCTGCTGCCGAATATGGAGTCTATTCGGCGCAGTCACTTGATGAAACACATCTATGAGGACTTTTTGAGCAGCTCAATTGCTGGTCGTCACTTTGCTGCGATCAACTTGTCTGTATCTCCATCGGTTTCAAGTGATAGCTAGCCCCGTCCAGCAAAGTCCATGAATGCCCAAAGACCTTATTTGGGAGAAATTTGAGACCGCAACTGGTATATCAATCTATGTATGAACTTGTGACACCTGCACAGTCGGTGGAATCGGGAATATCTGACTATCCTGCCTTGTGGTTGTCCCTTCCAGATGACAAAGCGACGACGCGCCAACAACTTCCAATTTTTGTCTAGATATTCAGATATCTAGAATGCACTATATCACAAGACACATCAATCATACATGATTCCATCTCCAATCCTAGCAAAGTATGATCTAGATTTCGTCTATATGTTCCTCGGATTCCGCCAACCGTAGCGCCTCATCGACACTAGGCACGAAATGCGACAAACCGCCACACTGCTCGACAATACCACTGCGCTCAAACATGCGGAACACATTACTATTCGGTAAGCGACAAAAGAATACTCGGACATGCTGCTCCGCATATGCATGCACAATCTCCGAGAGAACCTGGGTACCGGACCCATCAATACTTGTCACACCGTGAACATCGAAAATGATATTCTTATTATGCTCCGGTGCGCGCATCCGAGGCAGAGAAGGATGAGCACGACTCGAACCGTAGAGTTCCAGTCGGCGGAGACGGTTCTTGAGGTCGCCTGTGTTGGCAAATGTGAGGGGTTCGGGGACCTTGACGATGAGGGCACCTTCGACTAACTCCACGTTTTCTGGGTGCAGTTCGGCGTTTTCGAAACGTGCAGGTGTGCCGGATACTTTGCCTAGGATCTGGATGCGAGGTTGAGTTGCGTGTCGGATGAGAATTATCACAGAAAGGCCGATTCCGAGGGCCATGCCTAGTTCGAGAGAATAAAATATGGTTGTCGTAAAGATCAGGAGCATGAGGACCAATTCTGTCCAGCCGCGGAGGCGGAAAAAGAACATTAGGTCCGTGGGGCATTCTTCGACTAGCGAGTATGCGACCACGGATATCATCGAGGAGAGGACGGCTTTCTATTTCAGATTAGAAGGGCCGAAAGACCACTGTGGGAGTATAGCTGGGACGAACCGGGAGATATGAAAGATAAGGCAAGATCATCATGATGCAGACAAAGGTGATGATGCTCACAAAAACACTAGTCATGGGCGAGCGAGCTCCTGTTTGAGAGCTGAGCTTGCTACGTCCGTATCCGCCAAAAGCAGGGAGAGCCTGGAAACAGCCACCAATGACATTGGCCACACCCAGGGCAACCATCTCGCGATTGGCACTCATGTGCATTCCCTGGATCCCATCGGACCTGCCTTCACCCAGTCCTTTAGCTGCAACTGACGACTCAAAGAAACCAAGAAGCGCAATTATGAAAGCCTTGCTCATGGCTGTGCGCACATGTTTCATGTGAGCAAACTGGAAAGGCCAGTTGAAGGCGAAAAGTCCACCAGAGCCAATCTCTGTCTTTCCAAGAAGCTCAAGTCCTTTAGACTCCCAGTCAAGATGCCAAGCCAGAATTGCTGATAGGGTGACGACGAGGAAGCGATCAGGGAAGTATATCACCTGGGGATAGCGTGGGACAAGCCACTTCTTCAAAGTACTAAAGCACATTGTTAAAAGGTGAGAGTGAAACGGAGATAAAGGGTACATACCGGAATACCATGATGATGGAAAAGCTAACAATCGAAACTGCGGCAGTAAGTCCATGGGACTGTCCAGCATATCGAGCAATAAACATCAACTTCTCAACACAGGTACCATGGCTAGTACCGGCCTCTTTAGCCAGTTCCGCAAGGCCCAATTCGGGGATAATCTGGTCTACGAAGATAACAAAGCCAATGGCTGTGATGAATCCTCGTAGGAATGGTCGACTGAGCACATTGTCTAAGAAACCTAGACGGGTCAAACCAGCAATCAGGATCATGCTGCCGGACATGGCAGTAGCCACTCCTACGACCATAGCATTTGCAGCAGGATCGTCCTCGCCCGCATTTCCTTGCAAAACACTGGCTTTAACAATGGCACCTGTGAGAAGGGAACCGGCGGCCTCTGGGCCCACTACCAAAAGCGGACAGCTTCCTAGTATAGCATAAACCATAGGATGGATCACAAACGAGTAAAGACCACTGATGGGTGGCGCATGGGCAAGGTTGGATGCCAAAGAAAGAGCCATTGGAATATATATAGAAGCCACAGTCAATGCGGCCATAAGATCTCCTCGAAGAAGAGACCAATGGTATTGTCCAACCCAGTTAAAAAGAGGAATGTAATAGGATATGTACCTGCAATACTACTGTCAGTCCGAATTCGGGTCCAAAGTCAAAGCACTGGCTTGGGCTCCACCATACTGTCTTTTCGTATCATTCATTGAGAGCGTGGTGAGAGACGACTTCATCTGGGATGGAGTCTCTGACTCCGCGCAAGAGTCTGGATGATCGACAATCCCTCTGGCGCCACTGGTCGCACCACCGGTCTCTTCGTGTCCATTATAACCAAATCCATCACCCGATCCGCCGATATAGGATGACCGCGCATCTTCTACTCGTGGGGAAAAGGTGCCATGGCTACAGCGCCGTTCTCCACATGCGGGATCTGCGCTGTGATATGAATCCAGAAGCCGGCTTCTCACGTCAGGTCCGATTGCGTCTCCAGGGAGGATTTGGCCGTGGTTCGATCGCGGTCCAGCATTGCTAGAGCTTGTCGAAATCCCTAACCCATTTTGAGGGGAGTGGAAAGCATCAACAATGCGGTCTCGTAGCGTTCGACGCCTGTCGGACTCGGGGAGTAAAGAGCTAGTCTCAGACATTGTCTAACAATAGTGAAGAGAAGTTCAAAATGGTATTAAATGTCCCAGTGGCCCGCCATATGGTCTCACAAAAAGTAACGAATAAATTGAGCTTGGAAATTGGAGTCGGTCAAGTAAGGGCGCGCTAGGGACCGATAAGCGGGGAAAGTGTTATCACGGAGTCGATCGGAGGTTTAACACCGCATAGTCGAAGAACAAAAACTGCATCGTCTATATGGCTTTGTCTGATTCGATGCGACCGTCACTCGACTTGGATTCCCAAACATCTCGTCGTTCAGGTAAGCTGTAGATCGAGAGCGGTGAGTCACGTGATATCACCACTCACGGGTCCCGTGACCGACAATGTGGGTTTTGTGAGTCCGCCACAAAGACAGGTGAATTGTGCTTCCATTCAAGTCGCTTACCCCCTTCGGTCTTTTCACTTGGACCTTTCATTCTCGCTTCACTCCGGAGATCAACTTGATCATCTGGACTCTCCCATATACCCAGACCCTTCATCTGAGATTTCGCCGAGAAAAAAAGAAGCCCCGCCAAGATGTCTCTCACGAACTGTCGGTTCTACGAGGACAAGTTTCCCGAGGTGGATAGCTATGTCATGGTCAATGTCAAGCAGGTACGGATTATTGGGGTACAATTTGAGTGCGAAACGAAGACTAACTTCTTGCGAACGAGCTAGATCGCTGAGATGGGCGCATATGTCAAGTTGCTCGAATACGATAACATCGACGGCATGATTCTCCTCTCAGAACTTTCCCGCAGACGTATTCGCAGTATCCAAAAGCTTATCCGCATTGGGCGCAACGAAGTTGTTATCGTCCTCCGTGTCGATAAGGAGAAAGGCAAGACTATACCATTCAACGGGGGGGACCTAAAAACTGACTGAATGTGAAGGTTACATTGATTTGTCGAAGCGTCGTGTCTCGCCCGAGGATGTGATCAAGTGCGAGGAGCGATACAACAAGAGCAAGGCTGTCCACTCCATCATGCGCCACGTCGCAGAGGCTACCCAGACTCCCCTTGAGACCCTATACGAGACTATCGGTTGGCCTTTGGACCGGAAATACGGTCACTCGCACGATGCTTTCAAGATCTCCATCACGTATGTTTTTCTTATTCGGTACACACGACTTACTCTAACGGGCTCGTCTTAGAAACCCCTCCGTCTGGGAAGATATCTCCTTCCCCAACGAAGCCGTCAAGAAGGAGATTCAGCAGTACATCAGCAGCAAGCTCACCCCCCACCCCACCAAGGTCCGTGCCGATATTGAGGTCACCTGCTTCGGTTACGACGGAATCGATGCCGTCAAGGATGCCCTCCGCACCGCCGAGGCCGACAACACCCCCGACAACCAGATCAAGGTCAAGCTGGTCGCTCCTCCCCTCTACGTTCTGGCCAGTCAATGTCTGGACAAGAAGCACGGTATCCAGATGCTTGAGGAAGCTATTGTGAAGATCGGAGAGCGTATCAAGGCCAACGGTGGTAACTGCACCGTGAAGATGGCACCCAAGGCCGTCACTGAGCACGATGATGCGATCCTCCAGGAGCTTATGGAGAAGCGTGAGCGCGAGAACATGCAGGTCAGCGGTGACGAGAACGACTCCGAGAGCGACGAGGGTGTTCCCGAATAAGTATGTGTCACATCTCTGAGTCGAGGGGCATCCAGCGCTGATCGGCGCTGGCATCCAAAAAGGGAATCAGAGCCGGAGGAGAGTTGGGCCACCACGGATAGAAAAAAGCTTGCACAATTGGGAGGGCTCGTTGGCTCAGTGTGCTGGAAGAATTGCAGTCAGAACTCGCCCTTCAAGGGCAGTCGCCTGCACCTCGGGTCTGGGGATGATCTATCCACGCCCGTGTATGCGCTGCATGCTAATTGCGGTCAATCTTCGTGCCCGTCTACCAAAGACAGTCTACACGAAGCAAGTTCTGATGTACATATGTGATGCAACCGAGACGTTCAATGCCAGTGATGCTTTTAGAGTCATGCCAATTCATTTCCATGTAGATCAATTCCACAATCTTCAAGTACACACCAACGCGATTGTTGAATGGATATAAATCGAATGGCGGGGGAGGAGACTTTATCCGACGATCATTGGTCCCAGCGTTGAACCTTGGTTATATCTCGTTCCCAGCCTACTGCGCCCTTTTGGCTTTCCTTCTACACTCAAACATCATGGGTCATTGGAGGACCCTTTTCAACTCGAATGCCGATACGGCCACGACGCGACACCGCGTCGAGGTAGAACGTCGTCGACGTACGTCGCCAACCGTGCGCCGTGGAACATCGCTAATCTATCTCTCCCAGTGCTACCCGCCTACGCTGCCGATGACTCGCTGCCATCTGGTACTTCAAGGGAGATTGCAAAGGTTGCACTCCGCTTGAAATACCAGATTGAACAGGTTGTCTCGTGTGAGATCGAGGGTAGTGTCCTGACCGATCCAAACAGCCGTATCATCACCGACGATGTAGTTGCAACTGCCAGAAAATCCGGCGGTGACGACTACAAGGCCTGTGTAGTCTATTGTCTTCTGGTCTGTGTACGATGGTTTAAGATTCAATCCACTGTTGAGCTGTGGGATTCCGATCTGCACGAGGTTCGAGCTTTGGCTTGCGAGGTCATCGCCAAGCGCATGTACTACTCCCCTGGCAAGATTCATGTTTAACAGTCACTCACCAGCTGCAGTATCGAGTCCGAGCAGGATCAGAATTACTTGCTCAGAGAAATCCTGCTCAAGCGATACTCTATCTTCTGTGAGGGGGTGGAGACCGATCCCGCCAATGTCATTGAACGGTCGGTGGACCTCCACGCCTTGAGGATCATCAGCTCGTCTGGATACCAGAAATGTATTCAGTATCTGTGGAGGGGCTGGATCTGTCAGGAAGAGGGTAATCCAACTAATTTTGTCGATTATCAGGAAAAGTCCAACACCAGCTACTGGGCGCATTTTCACCCTGATCGCATGAGGACTCCTCTGTATCAGAATGTATGCCAGATCTTGTTCTCGTTGATTTATCTTGCAGTTTATACTGCGGTGATCAACACTGTCAATCCAACAGGCGATCTCGATATCGCAGAAGGAGTTCTCTATGGCATGACTCTTGCGTTTGTCTGTGACGAGGGTGTCAAGTTTTGGAAAGTTGGTTGGAATTACCTCGAATTTTGGAACGCCTTCAACTCAACCCTTTATACGATTCTTGTGGTTTCCCTTGTTCTTCGATTTGTTGCATTGGCCCATTCACCCTCCGCCCATGATGAACAGCGGCAGCTCTACAACCAGCTCAGCTACAACTTTTTGGCCTTTGCCGGTCCGATGTTCTGGATGCGCATGATGCTTTATCTCGACTCTTTCCGCTTCTTCGGTGCCATGTTTGTCGTTTTGCGGGTCATGATGAAAGAAAGTTTGATCTTCTTCGCTTTGCTGTTCGTCGTCATGGCTGGTTTCTTCCAGGCATTCATCGGTATGGCTCAGGTTGATGCGGATGTGCCAGTCCATCGGAACATTCTCCAGGGAATGGTAAATAGTATCATGCAGAGTCCGGAATTCGATACTTTCCAGGAGTTTGCGTTCCCTTTCGGTATAATTCTTTACTACGTGTTCAACTTTATTGTCATGACAGGTATGTTCATGTATTGTTTTTGGGGCGAGGATAGCTAACATTCTCAGTTCTTTTGAACATCCTCATCGCCTTGTACAACAGTGCATACGAGGACATCTCCGGCAATGCGACTGATGAGTACATGGCGATCTTTGCGCAAAAGACCATGCAATTTGTCCGCGCTCCAGATGAGAATGTCTTCATCCCACGTGCGTATTTGATCAATGTCATAGGGAATGTTACTAATTTCCGTGCTAGCATTCAATCTTGTCGAGATTCTATGTCTAGTGGCTCCATTTGAATGGTGGATGTCGAAGGGAACCTACGCCAAGTTGAACGACATGGTTATGGGAATAATCTATTCGCCTCTACTGGTCGTTACGGCCTGGGTGGAGACACGTCAGGCCCACCGTATCCGACATAATCGCCGCCACGGGGAAGAGGATGATGACTGCGCTCAGGAATGGGAACATGTAGCTCGGGAGGTCGACTTTGACCTTGATGACACTTGGAAGCAACAGGTGACCGAGTCGACTCCTGATATCAAGGTTGATGGTTGCACATACGAGATCAGGGAACTCAAGAAGCAGATTGAGGATTTGACGAAGATGGTGAAGGCATTGACTGAGGAGACTACGAAGGGTAAGGGTGGAGATGGCCAGTAGAGAGGGGAGGAAATATATATCGATGATGTGTGAATAATTCCGGTGATATTTAAGTTGCATCCAATTTTGCCTATGTTGGTCACTTAAGTTATGACTTCAGTCCATACTTGTTTGAAAAGACTCCAAAAAAAAACATACTTCCTAAACGCAATCCTTGAAAACCAACTCGACACCAGAGAAATAAAAAGAAAAGCAAAAAAAGAAACGCTCACTCGAGGACGGTGTTTTAGGAATAGCCGAACGCGGGGGTCGAACCCGCAGCCTTAAGATTAAGAGTCTTACGCTCTACCGATTGAGCTAGCCCGGCCGGGCTGTTGAAAGGGCATCAACTTGTGGCTACATAAGCCAGACCTTGGGCAGCTGACATAAACGTTAGCGCGTCCTGGTCGAGCGGCGAACCCTCTGGAACCCGCAGTATCTAAAGGTGGCTTCTTCCGATAACCTGAGCACTTCCTTCATTGGACCCTTGCTTCCTTTATTTCCTATGAGTCTTTAGGTTGTCTTTGTCTGACCCTGACCGTGGTCATTACATTGCCAAAATGTGAGTTTTGCGCTGAAGCCCCCCGAAAATCTGGGGACTAACAACATGCAGGGCAAAGCTCGTAGATGACCCTCAGATCCAACATGCATCGTTGCATAATCCGCTCCCTTGGCAATTGCACCTCTACGTCTGGCCATTCCTGATCACCTGGCCCATCTTCTTCGCCTTTTATCTCTCCCCCGAACGGTATGACACCTACATTCAGGGACAGGAATGGACATTCGTCTGGGCGGGGTCTATCATCACGATCCAGTCGCTCACCTGGTTGATGACCAAGTGGAACATCGACATCAACACTCTCTTCACCACGACCCGTGCCAAATCTATCGACTCTGCCCGCCTCATCAAGGTGGTTCCCATCACCAATGCTGGCTCCGCTGAGATCTGCACCCTGATCAACGAGAACACCGGCCCTAAGAAGACACTTTCGTTCCTCTTCCAGAAGCGCCGTTTCCTGTTCTACCCCGAGACTCGCACCTTTGCCCCTCTCTCCTACGTCCTGGACAACGAACCAAAGCCGGCGCTCAAGACTTTCCAGCTGACCGAGGGTTTCACCTCGAAAGCCGAAATTGACCGTATCCAACACCACTATGGCGATAACACCTTCGATATCCCCGTTCCCGGGTTCCTCGAGCTCTTCCAGGAGCATGCCGTTGCGCCTTTCTTCGTCTTCCAGATCTTCTGTGTTGGTTTGTGGATGCTTGATGAATACTGGTACTACTCGCTCTTCACCCTGTTCATGCTCGTTGCTTTCGAGAGCACTGTTGTGTGGCAGCGCCAGCGAACCTTGAACGAATTCCGCGGAATGAGCATCAAGCCTTACGAGGTCTGGGTGTACCGTGAGCGCAAGTGGCAAGAAATCACTAGCGACAAGCTCCTCCCCGGCGATCTCATGTCTGTCAACCGTACCAAGGAGGACAGCGGTGTTGCTTGCGATATCCTTCTCATTGAGGGCAGTGTCATTGTCAACGAGGCTATGCTTTCCGGTGAGAGTACCCCCCTCTTGAAGGACTCCGTTCAGCTTCGCCCTGGCGATGACTTGATTGAGCCGGATGGATTTGACAAGCTCTCGTTTGTACACGGTGGAACCAAGGTTCTCCAGATCACCCACCCCAACACCGGCAACGATTCGTCGCGTAAGAACCTGGCCAGTAACATTACCTCTCCTCCGGACAATGGCGCCTTGGGTGTGGTTGTGAAGACCGGGTTTGAGACCAGCCAGGGTAGCCTTGTTCGCACCATGATCTACTCCACTGAGCGTGTCTCCGCCAACAACGCCGAGGCTCTCTTGTTCATCCTCTTCCTTCTGATCTTCGCCATTGCTGCTTCCTGGTACGTCTGGCAAGAGGGCGTTATTCGGGACCGCAAGCGCTCCAAGCTTCTTCTGGACTGTGTTCTCATTATCACGAGTGTTGTCCCCCCTGAACTGCCCATGGAATTGAGCTTGGCTGTGAACACCAGTCTTGCTGCCTTGAGCAAGTTTGCCATTTTCTGCACCGAGCCCTTCCGTATTCCCTTCGCTGGCCGTGTTGACGTTGCTTGCTTTGATAAGACTGGTACCCTCACTGGAGAGGACCTTGTTGTCGATGGTATTGCTGGACTCACCCTGGGTGAGGCCGGTTCTAAGGTCGAAGCTGATGGTGCTCACACCGAACTGGCCCAATCATCTGCTGCCGGAGCTGACACCACTCTTGTACTCGCCAGTGCTCATGCATTGGTGAAGTTGGACGAGGGTGACGTTGTTGGTGACCCTATGGAGAAGGCTACTTTGGAATGGCTCGGCTGGACTCTTGGAAAGAATGACACCCTTTCGTCCAAGGGTAACGCCCCCACAATCGCTGGCCGAAACGTCGAGTCTGTTCAGATCAAGAGAAGATTCCAGTTCTCCTCGGCCCTCAAACGTCAGAGCACTATCGCAACCGTCACTAGCAACGACCGCAAGACCTCTAAGAAGACCAAGTCCACTTTCGTTGGTGTCAAGGGTGCCCCCGAGACCATTGGAACCATGTTGATCAACACGCCTCCTAACTACGAAGAGACTTACAAGTACTTCACCCGCAACGGTGCCCGTGTCCTTGCTCTCGCCTACAAGTACCTTTCATCCGAGTCTGAACTCTCTCAGGGCCGCGTTAACAACTACGTCCGCGAGGAGATTGAGTCCGAGTTAATCTTCGCTGGTTTCCTAGTTCTGCAATGCCCTTTGAAGGATGATGCGATCAAGTCTGTCCGTATGCTGAATGAGAGCAGCCACCGTGTTGTCATGATCACTGGTGACAACCCGCTGACTGCAGTGCACGTTGCCCGCAAGGTTGAAATTGTGGACCGTGAGGTTTTGATTCTCGATGCCCCCGAGCATGACAACTCTGGGACTCGCATTGTCTGGCGTACCATCGATGACAAGCTTAACATCGAAGTTGACCCCACTAAGCCCCTCGACCCGGAGATTTTGAACACCAAGGACATCTGTATCACTGGATATGCTCTGGCGAAGTTCAAGGGCCAGAAGGCTCTTCCTTCCTTGCTCCGTCACACCTGGGTTTACGCTCGTGTGTCCCCTAAGCAGAAGGAAGAAATTCTTCTTGGACTCAAGGATGCTGGCTACACCACTCTGATGTGCGGTGATGGTACCAACGATGTTGGCGCTCTCAAGCAGGCTCACGTGGGTGTTGCCCTTCTGAACGGATCCCAGGAAGACCTTACCAAGATCGCCGAACACTACCGGAACACCAAGATGAAGGAGCTGTATGAGAAGCAGTGCAGCATGATGCAACGATTCAACCAGCCCGCTCCCCCGGTCCCTGTGCAGATCGCCCACTTGTATCCCCCTGGCCCCACCAATCCTCACTACGAGAAGGCCATGGAGCGAGAGTCGCAGCGAAAGGGTGCCGCAATCACCGCCGGTGCTGAGCCTATCCCGACAATCACATCTCCTGGTGCACAGGCTCTGCAACAACAGAACCAGAACTTGACCCCCCAGCAGCAGAGACAACAGCAGGCCCAAGTTGCCGCTGCTGGCCTTGCCGACAAGCTTACATCCTCCATGCTGGAGCAGGAACTGGATGACAGCGAGCCTCCCACTATTAAGCTGGGTGATGCCTCTGTCGCTGCTCCATTTACCAGCAAGTTGGCCAACGTTATCGCTATCCCCAACATTCTCCGCCAGGGTCGTTGCACTTTGGTCGCTACTATCCAGATGTACAAGATTCTTGCTTTGAACTGTTTGATTAGTGCATACAGTCTGAGTGTCATTTACCTTGACGGTATCAAGTTCGGTGACGGACAGGTTACCATCAGTGGTATGCTGATGAGTGTTTGCTTCTTGTCTATCTCCCGCGCCAAGTCCGTCGAAGGTCTCTCCAAGGAGCGCCCTCAACCCAACATCTTCAACGTTTACATCATTGGATCTGTTCTTGGACAGTTCGCCATTCACATTGTGACTCTGATCTACTTGTCTAACTATGTCTATAAGCACGAGCCGTACGTTGACCCTGTTTCCTTTATTCGATCACTCATGCTAACATACCCATAGAAGAGATAGCGATATCGATCTTGAGGGCGAGTTCGAGCCCTCCCTCCTGAACAGCGCCATCTACCTCCTCCAGCTGATCCAGCAAATCTCCACCTTCTCGATCAACTACCAAGGCCGTCCCTTCCGCGAGAGCATTCGCGAGAACAAGGCCATGTACTGGGGTCTCATCGCCGCCTCTGGTGTCGCATTCTCCTGTGCCACCGAGTTCATCCCCGAGCTGAACGACAAGCTGCGTCTTGTGCCTTTCACCAACGAGTTCAAGCTTACCCTGACCGTACTGATGATCTTCGACTACGGTGGCTGCTGGTTGATTGAGAATGTTCTCAAGCACCTCTTCAGCGATTTCCGTCCCAAGGATATCGCTATTCGCCGCCCCGACCAGCTCAAGCGTGAATCGGAGCGCAAGCTGCAAGAGCAGGTTGAGGCTGAGGCTCAGAAGGAGGAGCAGCGTAAGGTTTAAAGGGGTTGACCATGTATGTATACATAGAGGAGGTTTGCATGTTTCTAGAATTGTGGTTGTGCATGACATTTAATACATGATTTTGCTTCCCCCGTGGAAGTTTCTTTGCTTTTTATATGCAGTGATTCACAGCTCCAACAGTGTAGCTCTATCATCTCAAGCATAGTAAATAGTAAGTGTAGAACGAGTTGCGTATCAAGATCGGACATTTCCCCTTTCGGACTCGCAGCATCGACCCCACCCGATGATCTCATATGTTTCTTCCATTTCACTTCTTGCTTCCCTCTTGACTGGTTACAATCCACTATGACCATGGCAAACCTAACACCCCAGTCGAAGTACAAGCTGCAATCGGGATATGAGATCCCTATTCTGGGATATGGCGTGAGTAGCTATCAATTTCCCCGCAGACGCTTTGAGCATAGCTGATAATGTACTATGAGGATTAGGTCTATATGATGTATGTTCCAATCCAGTTCGTATAGACTGAAGTCCACTGACCAGAACTAGTTCCCCTTCTCAGACCGAGAAGGCTACTGCAGAAGCCCTGAATGTTGGATTTCGTCACGTACGTTGACCTGCAATTGATCCCATCCACACCCTATCCAATGCTGACCTGGCATACTAGGTGGACTCGGCAATCATGTATAGCAATGAGAAGCCCTGCGGAAAAGCAATCCTGAACTCTGGGCTAGATCGTTCGGAGATCTTCTTCACCACCAAGATCCCGCCTGAGTCCATGGGTTACGAGTCGACAAAGCGGGCTGTCAATTCCAGTCTACGTCAGGCTGGACAGGAATATTTTGACCTGTAAGCACCCCAAATATCACCTTTGCCTATCACAATCACAGTCTCCAGGATGGATGCAGTAATAAAATCTACAACCAACCATTCTCTAACAAGTGTGTCTGACTAGAATCCTCCTCCATGCACCCTATGGAGGCAAGGAAGCTCGCCTGGGCTCCTGGGACGCCCTGGTCGAAGCCCAAAAGGCAGGCAAGACAAAATCAATCGGCGTGTCAAACTACGGAATCCACCACCTTGAAGAGCTGGAAGCATACATCCAATCCGGCGGAGGCGGCCAAATCGACGTCGGTCAATATGAGCTGCACCCGTGGCTGGATCACTCTGATATTGTGGAGTGGTGCCAGAGTCGGAAGATTGTTGTTGAGGCGTATTCACCGCTGGCGCATGGAACTAGGCTTCAAGAGCCCATTTTGGTTTCTATTGGGGCAAAGTATGGGAAGACGCCGGCGCAGGTTTTGATTCGGTGGAGTTTGCAGATGGTAAGCCTTTGCCCAGTTTTCTCTGTCTTTCTTGTGTGTATTGATTGCTAATTGCTGATGGCTGGTTAGGGACTTGTGCCTTTGCCCAAGTCTGTGACGCCGGAGCGAATCCGGGAGAATATAGATGTGTTTGATTTTGAGTTGGAGGATGAGGACATGAAGTTGTTGGATACTGGAGAGTATGAGCCTACCGACTGGGATCCAACTGTCGATTCCGACTGAGAAGAAAGGGAAGACGTGAGAACAGCACACGAGTAGAGAGGGAGTAGAAGTTTATAGAAGAGGAACAGCCGGAGTTGGATTTGTCATGAGGGGTCGCGGGGGAGAGAGAACATTTCCCACTTCTTCTCTACACAACTCCCTCCTTTGCCTTTCAGACATTCAATCGTTCAATCATGAAGTTGATTCTCTCTAGCTCGTGAGTAGTGGCATGCGCTCAAGTAGTCTACCCACTAACCATCGCAGAAATCTCATGCAAGGCGGGCGTCAGTCCGTCATCCGCCAACCGCTCACGCAGAAATCCAACGTCGAACTAATTAACTCGTTTCGGTCGAATTTCCTCGCTTGGCAACAGATCGACTCAGTACATACAAATGGAAATGGCCACTCGAGCGGTTCGCGCTCGCCTGCCAGTTCCTGGACGCACCAGGGCGAGGACGGCCTCTATATCCCCGCGATCGACTTCTCACAGCCTGGTCTTGCCGAAGAGCGTGATCAATACGATATTACAGTGAAGCTATTCTATCTACCGGGAATTCCGGCGTCAAGGCGTTGCGCACACACGCGAGAGGCAATTGATTTGGTATTGAAGGAACTACATGTCAAGTCTATTGATCTGCTGATCGTCTCGTTCCCGGGAATTCTGTTTGATGCCGACGATGACAGCGAGGAAGAGGAGAATGAGGCGAGCAACGGAGAGCCGGATGATTTCGATAGCATGGTGCAGACCTGGCATGTGCTAGAGTCGTTGCATGAACAGGGTATGATTGCGCAGCTGGGCGTTGCTGAGTTTGGCAGCGAACGGTTGGCCCGCTTCCTGCCTCATACCAAGGTCAAGCCTTCGGTTGATCAGATCAATCTCAAGGATTGCTGTGTCGTTCCCAAGTCTTTGATTCTCTATGCGAAACAAGAGAAGATTCAACTCCTAACCCATAACGACTGCAATGATATCCTTCCAGTTGGAACGACGCGGGAGTTGCTCGGTCCCTCGGAGAAGGGTGCTGGAATCTTGGCCTCATCGCCTGATGCGGATGATGGTATTCAAGGCGAAGTCGAACCGCAGTGGGTGGTCAAATATACGGCAGTCGTCAAGGATCGCGGAGTTGTCGAGAACAAGGGGTACTTTGCGTTGGCTGATGTCGGCACCTGTCTCAAGGACCGGTCTTGACTGTTCTTTCTTTCTTTCTTTCTTTCTTTCTTTCTTTCTTTCTTTCTTTTTGTTCTTCATTCAATTCATTTGCATCGTCACTGGGCCATATGTCGGGACAAGCGTGGCGTTCTTTTTGTTTTAACTCGGATGAAGGTCCAATCTATCATATATCGCTGCATCCTTCAAGACAACATAAGACTGTTTTAACCAAGCATACTCCTCTTACGGCCTCTCATGCGCACATCTTCAAGTCTCTTCAGTGCAGAAGGCGCGCCCTTGTAGCTCTTCCGATATCCAAGCAGCAATTCATCGAACAGCGGCTCAGAGCGTGGATGCGTACTTCCAATCGCTCGCTCAAGCACATACAAATCCACCGCGCGATCCTCATCCTGCGCACTTTGCGACGCCAGCCCAAAGTCAATCAACACAACATCGCCCTCAGTAGAAATTGACTCGGCTCCATCTGCACCAGCTAATGGCCGCAGCATCAGGTTACTCGTCGTCAAATCTCCATGCACGACACCAGCCTTGTGCAGTGCACCAATAGCAGCACCCATTTTCTTCAGCAAGCCACGAACACGCGCTTCTTCCCGTTCGATCTGTGAGTCGTCTAGCGATGCCTGGTTCTTTTTCATCCATGCTTCCCATTTCTCTAGCACGACGCGTACCACATCGCCTTCAATCCATTCCATCATTAGCCAGGCGCCGCCCCACCCGCCTTCCTCGCCGCCGTGACCCTCCCAGTCCAGGGCTAGAAGGGCGGGAACGGAAACTCCCTCTCGTACTAGCTTCGCGAGGCATCGTGCTTCTTGGAGGATTCGTTGGCGGGTAAGGCGTCTGTCGAGGATTGGGTGGCGGTAGGGTTTTGAAGGGCGGATCTTGAGGGCCGCGGGGGTGGAGGGGTTCAATGAGGTTGTTTTGTACAGGTGGGCTTCGGCGCCTTGGGTGAGGAGAATTGGTGGTGGTGTTGTGTTATTGAAGGGTGAGGGGAGAGCTGGGGGGCTGTAGTCTTCCATGGTGGAATGTGAGGTTGTTGAGGTGAAAGAGGTGAAATGTGAGAGTTCGAGAAAAAGTTCGGGTGGGGCTCGGAGTATGCGACTGACTGTTCATAGTAGACCATTCATGGTAATTTCATTGGGAGAATGACAAGCACTGCCGGGGGCGTTAATGAGTTATTCTATTTTCTAGGACTTCAGGAGATTACAGTCCTAGGAAGCTGTAGGAGAGGTTTGGTTTCCCGTCTTGGGTGCAATTGTTACTTTGCCCTCACAGTTGAACCCGCAGATAGTTGAAGTATGGAGTGGACCAAATCGATTGACGTGAATTGATGCTGATTTACGTTGAATGTAATTGGAACCAGCTAATAAGTTAAGTTATATCATATAGCCACAAGAACAATCACCTAGAAATCCCATACCTACAATCCTATGTACGTATATGGTCAACGTGAACATCTGTCTCGATGAAACAGCTCATAATTCGACATTGTTGAACTCCAATTAAAGGTCCCAGAATTAAAGCAGGTGAAGATCAGGGCGAACATTAGCCAACCGACAAGTGCCCTGATACATCCTCTCCAAAGTCGATCGCATAATCTCAATATCAATCGACTCAGCAGCCCAATGCTTCAACGTACGCAGCGAGACCCGAACAAGACCAGCCCAATTGGGCGGCACGCGTAGCTGCCAAGTCCCCGGTGTCCGCGACGCCTCGAGCTGGTAAAGTACGACGCCCAGGATGTGCAGAGCGCACGCGAAGCTGGCGCGGATTACGTTCCAGATCCACTCATGACGGAATTGATAATAGTAATTTGGAATCAGCTGGACACAGTTGTCGACTGCCTTTTGGGCTAGATCAAACACTTGCAGCCATAGTTGGTTATCTCTTTTTATGAAAGTTGGCATGGTCTGGAAGTGGATTGCTAGGAAGAAGGCTGGTCTGTAGATCCGTTCTAGAGCCATATGGTACCGGCCGCGGAAGAAGAACATCAGATCTGGGTTGTCTTTCGGGGATTGGATCCCTGCGATGGAAATTTGATACCTGATTTCCAGTCAGTCGCCAACTTCGTGTTCGAATAAGGGTATGAATGTCTCCGGGGAACCGGGGAGTAGGGGAGTAGGGAAACGGCAAATCAGAGGAGCATATACCATGAAGTTACGACATTCTCTGCGGCAGCCGACCTTTTCAGGAGATCGGGGATATCTTTAGTCCAGCCCTTTTCTCCCTGCCGCCACATATCGGCTAGCAGGTCGTTGGTGGTTCGGCGGTTACAGATAGATCCTATGTAGAACTTCCACCCCTTTTCCTCTTCGGTGCCGCTTAGTTCAAACCCTGGCTGGACTGCAAAGTCCTGAAAATCATCATGCATCTGGTCAAAGGAAGGAGGTGTTTTGCGGGAGAACTTGGGGAATGGGTCCGAATAGCCTAAGCTCTCAAGCCCACTGCTCCAGAGAGGTAGCTCACTTTGCATTTCACTGTGGATATTAGTAGACGACTCTTAAACCAAAAAAGACGAAACCTACTGCTCAGCTTGAATACAGGACCAATATAGACGAGACTCCAAGTTATGATAATTGTCATCGGCAGTCCACTGTTCTCTACACAACGACCGCAATCGAACTTCTAGCCGGCAGGACGCTTGCTGGAAACAGAACCAGGCCTGCAGAGGGCGCATGGCATGTCTGTGGTAGCTACCAGCAAGTAGGAAGCACTGAATGTCAGTCGTGGAGGTGTACAAGAACCCGAATCGCTGCTTCGCGGCGTGGAAATAGGTTTCAGCCAAATCCATATTGGCGTCTGACATGGGTGGCGGCGGGAGCCGATCAAAGTCAATAGTGATATCCTCGTCGGCCAATGGCACAAACTTAGAGGATGTAGATGAAGCTAGCGCGCACGCTAAGAGCTATAGGGAAACTTAGCTCAGACCTATACAAGCAAATGGTCGACGTACCACCTGGCAGGATGGACCATCCCATCCAAGACCCTGGACTGTGACTTCCTTGGCATACCGCTCGAGCATAGCAAGATCAACTATGGGGTTTCTTCGGTGACAGATCATAAAGTATTTTTTGCAGAGTCTAGGGATCTCATCGACAAAATGGCCGATCCCCACTTGTCGGGGAGGAGGACTATTTGGTGGTTGACTATCCAGCGAGTCAAGTAGAAATGAGCGAATATGCTTCTCCGCTTCAGTTATGATCTTGTTATAGACGGGCCAGCGGAGCATATTCTCCCCAGAACTCGCCATGTAGAGAATTCGGGGGTCATGATCCGGTCCCCGGTCTTCAATACTTGGAGCTGTGGTACTGCTATGCGGAACGCTCCCCGACAATGACTCTGTCAGGGGACTAGTGTTCTGCATAGCAAGCTCAAAAAAGGATTCCTTCAATGAACGGCTCGAGGATATGGTCGAGCCCTCCGACTTGATATCCTCCAGCAGACCGGCGATATGATTCAGACGCGAGAGGACCTCCTGATTCGATGGACTTCCAGATTCAAAGCCCGTTCTAGAAGCCAAGGTCAATGCCTAATCTATCAATCCATGGATTATTTTTCTTACTGGTTCTGCTGTGGTGAGGTCTCGGGGTAGTTGCACTCGACTCCCTGTGCAGCGCAGTAGCTGCATGTTGGCCTAACATTGTCGCATCGAGTCTTGCGCAGCCGACAGGTCTGACAGGCTGTTGGGGCTCGTGTGCGGATCTCACGCTTCCTAGCGAACTTTGGAATGGGAAATTCCATAGTGGACTCCTTCTCCTTCTGGAAATTCAAGATGCAAGTCGGGGAACGTCGGGGAGCCGTCGGGGAGATTGGAAGAAGGGTGAAATAGTAAGTGTGACCTCAGGACATTAACGCGTACTTAGGGGGAGCAATACCTCCGCGAGGACTATCTACTGGAGCCCGGGTTGGAAACAAAGAAACACGCGGCGGCCACAAAACGCCGGATTGATCGAGTGCTGATGGATGTGGCGTTGGCCGATTGAGGTCAAGACTCAGAGCAGACAAAGAACCGTCGTTTGTGATGTAAGGGTCAACCCCAGTCAGTTGAACCCCCATGACTGCCTCAGGGGTTTCACGATGCTGATTGGAGGGCGGTTAACTCGTTGGTGACTCCGGACAAGGGTGTATGTGATGATACCCAAGGGTTTCTTTTGGACTGGGGAGCTTTGCCGACCTCGCTCGAGCCCGTGAGCCTCCATTTCTCTTTTCGAAGGGCTGCAGTTCATTGCCTAGGAATCTTTTGGCGGTTTCCAAAGGATTGGGAAGGGTAGTTGTACTTGGAGAACCTGGGATCCGAGACATTCCGGGAGGGTTGGGGTTGTCAGATGCTGTGAACGTTTTGTAAGTGCAAAGTCTTTTAATATTGGAATCTAATCTGAGAGGGAAGAGAAGCTCGTACCTGGGATCTTCTACAGTCGAGTTGGAAATTAGCTTCACGCCCACACACCACAACCCCTAACCTGCTCATCACGGGACCGATGTGACCCTACTATTGAGTTGAGCGTATGAGCTTTATGAGCTTAATGTGCTTATGTGGAGAGTCTTGATGTCTCAGATGACTATCAGATACAGCTCAACTCTCCTTACTTGGAATCAGAGGTTCATTGTGTGTCAGGTCGTCATCAAATTCACTAACGCTCATCGCCAGTAGTTCTGTGTATCTGAGTACATGTACAAGCCGGGGGAAACCAGAGTCCAGACCGGCGCCATAATTTGGCAAATTCAAACGCCGAGGTAAATGCTGATGGGATACAGGGTCATAGGTCAACTTCACCGAACCTTCCTCTTAGGCCTCCGTGCCAGAGGAGCATCGCAAAGTTCAGACCAGATGTCTTCGAAGACGGTCTTGCGTGGGCCAATCTGCCCTTCGTAGAAGTTCAGCTTGCGCACAACCTCCATGGCACCTGTACCCAAACCAACCGTCTTGCCCATGATGATACATTCCGAAACACCCTCGATAAGATCGGTGCGACCAAGGCCACCAGCGTCAAAGAGGTGATCGGCGGTCTTCTCGAACGAAGCAAGCTGAAGTACTGAATCTCGCATTTTGGCAAGACCGAAACGAGTGATACCAAGAACTTCACCTTTGTAGGTCATGACATCTGCCAGGAGCTGCATGTGGCGAGGATCAATGTCCATGTCCTTCATGACTTCACTGATTTCAGTGATAATTGTGCTTCGAGCTGCCTCGATACCGAGGACCTCCCGAGCTTCCATAACGTTGTTGGTCTTAGTGTGAAGTCCATCCACACCAGTTGTAGTCATACACTCCCTCAAACCGTAACCTTCTACCAACAAAGTATTGGTCGTGGATGTCTCATCCGTTCGGATGATGGCACGGGTTGCGCGTGGGTGACCCAGAATTTGGATGTGAGGAAGGATACGCTTCAGATGCTTGAGGCGCAGGAAGGGGTCAACACTCGTAGCCGCAATCTCAGTCTTAGAAAGGCCTGTCTTGCTGGCCGGATCAAGATCCATGAAGATCTTGATGGTGTATCTCGAGCACGAAAACTTGAGGTCACCTGCCTTGAAGCGCTTGTGGACCTTAATAGTTTCGGCGATCTGGTGAATCTTAATATCAAGTTGAAGATTATCAATCGTCTGTTGATTGATATGAACCTTGAGATAGGCATCATCTTTATTCCAGCATTCCGTGATGGAGTGAATGATATCCGCGAGGTAAGTCTTTTCAATTCGTCCCTTGACAATGCGAGCGGCCGCAACAGACTCTTTGTTGACCAGGTCGCAAGCAACAACGGGGGTACTGATTTCCCGCGAGGCGTTGATAATTTCCTTAATACGAGGGACACCCTGAGTAATACTCATACCGGCAACACCAGCAAAATGGAAAGTTTTCAGCGTCATCTGGGTTCCGGGCTCACCAATAGACTGGGCACCAACAGCACCAACAGCATGACCGGGTTCGACCTGAGCCTTTTTGTATTTCAGCAGACAAGCAGTAACGAACGCTCTCAGTGTTGTGTTTGTCAGCTTGCCGGTGTGATCCAAGCCCTGACGGCTACGCTGGTCTGAGGGATCAATATCGCCACCACGAGAGATTAACTTGTCAGCCTTGGCTTGCACATATTCCTGGATCGAGTCAAGGAAATCACGGGCACTTTCGAATTGATCGATACCATGATCACTGCGGTCCATGTAGGCAAGATCGTTGCCTAGCAAGTCCTTACGCTGCAGCTTCGCCCGCTCTTTGCCGAGCATCTCTTCGCAAACCTCCATGATCTCAGTCGGTACCAAACTTCGCTCGTCGTTGTTGTAGGTAGTAGACTCGCAGTGAATGAAAGTTCGGTCGAAGTAGACGGGCTTGGCTTTACCCTCCATATCCACGGGATCCAATTTGTCGTCACCGTACTGGAACTGAACAATGGCGGCAGAGGAATTTCGGACAGTGTCATCGTACATCGATGACAAATCCTCCAGAGACTTCATCAGACGACGAGACATGTAGCCAGTTTCGGCAGTCTTGACAGCCGTATCGACCAGTCCTTCACGACCGGACATGGCGTGGAAAATGAACTCCTGAGGCTCAAGACCAGAGAAGAAACTGTTGCGAACGAAACCTTTCGACGGAGGCTGGCGCGCATTCTTCGGGAAATGCGGCAAGGTACGGTCCTGGAAGCCGTCCTGTACACGCTGTCCACCAATAATTTGCTGACCGACAAGGGCCACCATCTGGGAGACGTTGATACTGGAACCCTTGGAACCTGATGTAGCCATGATCAAGGGAGAATTGTACTTGCTGAGCTGCGCAATACACTCGTCACCAGCTTGCTGACGGACCTTACTGAGAATACCAGAGATTTGGTTCTCCATAGTCTGCAGTTCGTCACATCCAGGATACTTTTCCAGAGTACCAGCCTTATACTGAGCAATGACTTCGTCACACTTTGCGTAAGCTGCTTCGACCAGGTCATTCTTCGACTGAACCAGCCTTGCGCTGGGGTAAACATCTCCAATACCAATCGAGAAACCCATGTTGGTGAACCATCTGGCGGAAAGTTTTGACAAACGGTTCATGCCTTCAGCAGCAGCTGGAGGGCCGAAATCTCTGAGCATAATGTAGAAAATGTTGTCCTTCTTTCCGGAACCGATCGTAGACTTGTCCATCACACCACACATGACTTCTGAATTACGGACAACGAGCCAGCCATCATTGGGGTCCAAGTCCTTTGGTCGGCCATCTTTGGGCATCTTGAATTCACGGCATGCAGCATCAAGGTTGACCATGACCGGGTCATCCAAGTTAGGACGCATGAGAATGTTGAAGACTTGTTTACCGGTCCACAACATTTGAGGCTTCATAACCGATGGCATAGGGAGATCAAATCGTGTTTCGGGGCCAAGCATATAAAGACAGATCTGAGTGAAAGCGGCACGATTAAAGAAGTTGTCCTTGCTGCTCAGCATGTAAGCGGCACTGATAAAGTCCTGAATGGCCGAAATGATAGGCTCGCCGTTCTTGGGAGTAGCCAAATTGTTCTTCACACCCATAAGCTCCATCGCCTCAGCTCTCGCTTCTTCTGTCTGCGGCACGTGGAGGTTCATTTCGTCTCCATCGAAATCTGCATTGTAAGGATTGCAGACACACTCATTCAGACGGAATGTCCTATGAGGTCGGACTTTGGCAAAATGAGATAGAATACTAAGCTTGTGAAGGGACGGCTGTCGGTTGAACAGAACGATGTCGCCATCCTCGATATGACGCTCCACCATATCACCTTCTTGCAGCTGATCGGCCATCCATTGAGTATTGCCGAACTTCAGCATCTGCTTAAACCCGTTTCCTTTCTTGACAATCATGTTCGCTCCGGGCCATTTAGAGCTTCCATTTGCAACACGTTGCTGCAGCTTTTCTTTGTTATATCTGGTCACAACTTCGGGATATGTCATGTTCTTGGCCACTAGCTCCGGAACAGCAACCTCATCGACACGCAAATTGGGATCGGGTGAAATAACAGTTCGGCCGGAGAAGTCAACACGCTTTCCGGACAAATTACCACGGAAACGACCCTGTTTTCCCTTCAATCGTTGAACAAATCCTCGAATCGGCTTTCCAAGATCGGCTTTATTAAGGCCAGGAACATCGCTGTTGATGTAGACAGCGATCTGAAGCTGCATGTAGTCCCAACATTCCATGATGGTCTGGACCGGAGCACCCTTGAGCAAAGCATTCTTGAGGTTGATATTGCTCTGCACGATATCACCCAGTTTGGCTGTCAAATCATCTTCTGTAGACGCAGAATCTTGTCCCACTGAAGGTCGAATACAAACGGGAGGGGCTGGGATGAATTGCCAGAGGAACATCTCCGGGCGTGCCTCCTTTGGGTTCATACCGATCAACTCACAGTCGGAGTCGGACATCTTCTTGAAAAGCTTGAGCACGCGAAGAGCATTCAGGTCATCCTGTGCCTTTTTGAAATGTTTTTCGACCTCCGCATTCGCACTTCTTGCCTCGGCGAAAGAGTTGTCGAACACATCCTTGCTGATAGGCGTCTGCTTTTTGACCGAGGTCGAGGCGTTGAATGCACGGAACTTGTCGTGTGTAATTTTCAGGGCGCTGGTTCCAGTCTTCTTCACGACACCGTTGATGGCTCCACAATTTCCACACTCACGAGTTTTCCGACAACGTTCGTTGATTCGCTTCGCTATCTGATTTCGCCGTAAATTATCGATGCCGGGGCGGCGCATCTCACGGATGAAAGCACGACGCTCAGCTTCGGGAAGTAGGATGTGGGAGCATTCCTTGCAAATTTCTTGCAAGATACTGATAACGCGCTTGAAATAACCGACATGAAAAGAAGGAAGAACCAGTCTCACATGTCCAAAATGTCCATTACAGTCTTTGAGGTTGTTTCCGCATGTTGCGCAAGCGTCAGTCTTATTCGAGATGCCCATACGCTGGTCGAGAGGTCCATGTGCAACCACTGTTCGGGCTTGATCCAGGTCGAAGAACTTTCGATCGGAGACTTCCACCACGGCTTGCCCGACAATATCATCGTTGGTTCTGTGAACATGAGTCTTGATTAGCGATCAATCCGTAACTAACCATCGCGTCAAGCGCTTATGGAATGGATGCGTACAGGACACCAAATTTCAATTCCTTGATCACTTTAGGAACGCGATCAATGACCTGGGCTTTGCCCAGGTCTACCTGCGCACCCTCTGGAGGCTGCATCGCCGTCGTCAACTGCGGAGCATGGCAGGGTGACTCAAAGAGATGCGATCGGCATGGGCGGGTGTCAGCCGCAAGAACCAAAATCCAAGGTTCAAAATAATATTTCCGAGTCTCTTGTCCGTAAGTTCCCTAGTTGTGGGTCACAGAGCTTGATTGAGGACTCCTAGACACGGTGAGCGGAATTGGAGATGAGCAGAGAAAGAAGTTGTATGGCGGGGTCCGACACGAACTTTTTTTCTGCCGGCGAAGCTCTCACCGCTGTCACACTTGGATCTATGAAAGGAGGCTCAGATGGTGATGATGATGATATTGTACATTTCATTTGCTATTTTACATATCTTTTGGGCTTGGCTTACTTAGCCAAGAAGGCTTGGAATGCCTTATGTTCGATCACCACATTTCCAACGGCCCGCAGCCTCTTGCGGCCTTCTTTCTGCTTCTCAAGCAGCTTGCGGCGCCGACTCACATCACTTGCGTGCAGCTTAGCCAAGACATCCTTGCGGTATGGCTTGATGGTCTCGCGCGCAATGATTTTCTTACCAACAGCAGCTTGAATGATGATCTCGAAAAGCTGTCGGTCGACGTGCTCCTTGAACTTGGTAACCCAAATTCTTCCTTGTCGATTCACCTGGCTCAGATGCATGATTCGTGCCACAGCATCCACCGGCTCTTTGTTGACCAGAAGCTGTAGCTTAACGATGTTACCCGCTCGCCATGCGGATTCCTCATAGTCCAGACTAGCGTAGCCCTTGGTGCCGCCCTTGAGCTTTCCGAAGAAGTCATCAACCAAGTGGGCTAGAGGCAGTTCATACTTCATGATGACTTGAGTCGTAGTGAAGTACTCAATGCTGAGTTGCTCGCCTCGGTTGGCTTCACAAAGCTCAATGACTTTGCCAAGGTATTCTTCCGGGAAAGTCAAGGTAACTAAAACATAAGGCTCTTGAACCTCGGCAACCTTGAGTCGGACGCTGTCGTCATCGGGAAATTTAGCAGGGTTTGTGATAATATCCTCGGCGCCATCTTTCCATACGACCTTGACCGGAACGGAAGGAGGTGTAATGATGATACTGGCGCCATGCTCCTGTCTGAGGCGGTCCTCGAACACGGAGCAGTGGAGAGTGCCCAGAAATCCCATGCGAAATCCTGCACCCAGGGCTTCTGATGACTCTTTTTGCACGGTGATACTGCGGTCATTCAAGATGAGCTGATTGATGCTGTCTTCCAAGTGCTCGAAATGATCCGCATTCACTGGATATACTGCAACGAAAACCATGGACTTTGGCTCTTCAAAACCCGGCAAAGGCTCCACCAGCTTTTCCGAGCCAACTCGAGTGAATGTATCACCAATCTTGGCTTCTTGACTCCGCTTCATACCTGGGTTGAAGTAGATGTATCCAACCTGACCTGCACGAAGGACGGTCTGCGCGGTCTCGGTTGGATACATAATTCCAACTTCACCCACATAGTATTTGAGTCCCGTAACGAATGAAATAAGCTGCTGACCAGCACGCACCTCCCCATCGAATACACGGACTAACAAAATAACACCCTTATACGAGTCGTACCAAGAATCCACCAGCAGCATGCGAAGAGGTTTTTGGGTGTCACCAATAGGTCTGAAGAAGGTCAGTAAACATCATTGTACCACATCGAGCTAATTTGAACTTACGCAGGTATCTTCTCCACGACTGTCGGTAGCACAGCTGGAACATTTAACCCAGTTTTGGCTGAAACCATCACAGCATTATCCGTGTCAATCTCAAAGGTGCTCCTCATCTGTTCCAGAGCCCGCTCTGGATCTGAAGATGGCAAGTCAACCTTGTTGAGAATAGGAATTAGCTCAAGGCCTTGCGCAAACGCCAAGTAGAAATTGGCAACTGTTTGCGCTTGAACACCTTGACTGGCATCGACCAAGAGAATCGCGCCACCGCAGCTGGCATAACTTCGCGAAACCTCTGCACGGAAATCCACATGGCCTGGCGTATCCACCAAATGTAACAAGTAGTCCTCGCCCTTGTAGTTATAGATCATCGTACACGTCTGCGCTTTGACGGTAATTCCTCGTTCTCGCTCCACATCAAGTTTATCCAAGACTTGTTTGTTCATTCCAGGTTTGATTGTGCCTGTTAACTCGAGGAGTCGGTCGGAGAGGGTGCTTTTGCCATGGTCGACGTGGGCGACAATGCAGAAGTTGCGATAGCGTTCAATGGGGATTGCAGAGATTCGTTGTTCGAGATCTATGTCTAGCTTGATTGGTGTTATTTTTGATCGCGCAAAATATGTGCTGGACGTAGAGAACAAGCGCGTAGATCTGATTGCTGAAAAGCCAATTGGTGGTTGAAGGCTAGCGACCTGGCATCTCGGCGCTGCGCTCAACCATCGGCCTAACCGCAGACATCCTCGCATTGAGACTTTTGTGGCATAGAAGCAAATTGTTATACTATAAAGTATTCAAGTCGTTTGAGTCGCTTCAGTGTGAGACCTCGGGGGTTGCGGAGAAAAAACGGGCGCGGGCGGTGACTGCGATTTATTGCTGCGGTGACTATCGACGTAAACAAACCTCTCCCACTTTCACCTCAACTCCTGCATCTACCAGCCCATCATGCCTGAAACAAAGGACAAATCAAAGGTGCACAAGCTGTCCATCAAAGGTAGTTTTCCAATCGCCAATACTCAATTGCGACGCTCACAAGTTTACAGGATCGGCGAAGCTTGTGTCCGAATTCGTGAGTATCGATCTCTCAGACAAAGGAACATCGGCTAACAGCTTCAGTTTGAATACTCGATCAATTCAATCCTGTGAGTGGAATTTTTTTATCACGATCTCACGACATTAGCTCATCGCATTCACCACCGCAGTTTCCAAAGAGGTGTCTATCCTCCAGAGGATTTCATGACGTACGTCTTCATTTCCCTTAAGCCAAGTCTAGCAAACTAATCCATTACAGTATCAAGAAATATGGCCTCAATATGCTCGGTTCGTTTCTTATGATCGCCTTGGATAGACAACAAGCCTAATCGACTCTCAGTTTCCGCCGACGACCAGGTCAAAGCATACATCAAGAAGATTATGTCGCAATTGAATAAATGGATGCAGGGAGGTAAAATCTCCAAGCTCGTGGTTGTTATTACAAGCAAAGAGACCGGCGAGCATGTGGAAAGATGGCAATTCGACGTACGTCCTTGGCCCTACACTTGCTATTCGACCCACTCACTGATCATGATGTTTAGGTTGAAATCTTCGGCAAGCACTCCAAGAGCAAGAGCGCACAGAAGTCTACCGACAAGGAGAATGCTACACCTGGGTATGTTGCACACCCTTGAAAATGTATGCTGATCATTTTACTAATGATACTGTACTTTTACCAGAGATGCGGATCCCCAAACACCCGAACCTATCGAAAAGAACGAAAAGCAGATCCAAGAGGAAATACAAGCTATCTTCCGCCAAATCACTGCCTCTGTCACTTTCCTTCCTGTCCTAGATGGAGATTGCACCTTTAACGTCCTTGTCTACGCCGATGCCGATTCAGATGTACCTGTGGAATGGGGCGACAGTGACGCTAAAGAGATTAAAAATGCCGAGAAGGTTCAATTGCGCAGCTTTAGTACCAACAACCACCGAGTGGGAACTCTGGTCAGCTACCGCCTGTCTGATTGAGTTCTTTGTGAGATATTATGATCAGATACGAAGGGTGCTCATGGATTGGCGTTTTGGGAAGGGATCAAGGAATTCATCTTATCATTCTAGAGAGCTTTGAAATTATAGTAAAGGCTTTTCATATTAGCGGCTTCAGTTGTTGTGGCTCTTAACGTATTCCGTTCGTATCTGGATACTGTCGAATATGTTTCACTATGGTATCAAAGTCACAAAAGAGGTGCCTCGAGCGCTGGTCTCGCCCAAAGAATAAATTAAGCGGTTTTATAAGACCAAGGCAAACTCTCTCTCCTCGGGAACCATTCATTGCAATGATCACCACCATCATACCGAATCAAGTCCAAAACCACATCTTCCAAGCCCAAACTGGAGAACATTTCCGTGTCAATACCAGGAGACCAACCGCGCCTCACTCGTTTTTTCATGAGATCAGTATTGACGCCATACAAATCGTTTTTCCAGAGCCCAATCCCGTTCTCTGCCTCGCCTCGAATCAGTGTTTCGGAAGGAGTCACTTCCTCTGGAGGGTTGATTCCAACCACTGCAACTTTCTGTATATCAACTCCTTCTGGTCCCAAGGCGACAGGCACAAGCCCCAAGGCTAGGAAGTGACACTGCATAAATCTTGCACGCTTAAACTCGTGTGTCACGACAGTGATTCGTTGTGGATAGACACCTGTATATTGCCGAAAGCGTATCAAAGAGAAGAGAACATTTTGATATGAGTCAGTGGCGGACCTCTCTGTAATGACTCTTGATGGATTAATTTTGTGACTTTCAGAGCTATCTTGGAAATAGTTGTTGTCTTGGGCTAGATTCTGCTATGCATCAGCCTTGTTTTCATGGCAACCGGTGGAGAGAACTCACAAGGTAGGATTCGCCTTCAGTGAGCTCCGTTCTTGGCTTCTTGGTAGGTCCTCTGTTTTCAGGTTAGCTAGGAATTAATCAAGTGTGATGAGAAGTCCTTACCCAGAAAGTACAAGAATGCCCTTGGGGTCATCTGCAAGGAGTTTCACTCCGGCTCTGATATGATTGATATACGTGGGCGTTTCTCCTTTTTGGAAAGATTCGATCATCCTATACAAGACAGATTGTGAGAAGTTGTGATCTCGTTGCAAGATGTTCTGTCTTCACGTACCATTCTTCCTCGGAGTGTCCAAGCTGAGGCCCTCCGATATAAATTGCATGGCAGCAAACAATGATTATGTGGTTACACTCAGCAAGCCCTTGTAAATTTAAGGTCATGATAGACAAAATACATCAAAGTCGTTGGTCACATTAAGATATAAAGAGAGAGAGAGAGAGAGAGGGCGGTCAAAGGCCACATCTTCCCCGACGTTTCAGTGGAGCCTAATCCGACTATAACCCAACTCTCTTCCGATGTGCTTCTTTCTTCCTGTTGTATACACTCTGCCATTCTCGACTATGCGGAATGAGTCCCCATGCAATGAGCGATTTGTCTTGCTCTGCCGTTAGATTCAACCAAGCAAGTAGATCCTGACGACGTTCGGGTTTCTTCGGTGTTGGACTATGTTCCAAATCGTCCACGGCTGGTGCACCGAGACTGTGTTGCAAGACACTCTTTTCCAAGACTAATTGCACACTGGTAGTCCTGGGTTCTTCCAGCTCGGGCCAATCCATGTATCTCTCGGGATACGCAGATATGGTGGCTTTGAGGGTCGAGCTGACCCAGCAGCTACTCGGAGTAGTTTCATCGCTGTGGTTCCATCGATTGCGAATGGTCTCCCAGATCCGTGAGTCCTCACATCCAACTTTGTGGGCCACCAGGACTGTGGTGGCAATGATCACCACGACGGTAACTATCTGTGTATACAAGCCGGCCATGCCGATGCTGATAACATGCACTGCGAAGAAAACCCAGCCGGCCCATTGGCACGCCTCATACCAATACGGGTTTGGTGGCTGAGGGTTAATGGCAAAGGCCAGCTTTGACAGGTATCCTGGGACAACAAGCGTGACTACTTTCGAGTCCTCTGTCACGACAATCACCTTGGCCTTTGAAAATGGGTCTTGAGGCTCAATTGGTACTTCGATGTCGCTTTCTTTCCCTTGCTGACGTAGATCTTCAAATATTGCCATTGATTTCACGTACTCAGCACGCTTGGCCGGGTAAGTTTTGCTTTGGTGCTCGGCTTCTTCCTGAGCTTTTCGGATATTTACATCAATCCCGGCCTGGTTTTGTGCCACCTGGAAACATCTCAATGCCACCGAAGCTATCATGGATATCACATTAGCAAATCCCCACCAGTCACCTGCCAGTACAGTCATTGAAATGAGTAAACCATGTACCGGCAACCCGACAAGCAGAAAGCCAAACATGAAAGATTTCCATCTGCGTGGTCTCTCTGTGGCCTCCCAAGTCACAATACTGCGGACTTGGTGGAATGATTGCGTCTGAAGCCAACGCGAAAACCAGCCGGCTAGTTCTGTTGTCATGATCCCGGCTGAAATGTTGCAAAGAGCAAAGCCGGGTTTCTTCACGACAAACCGATTCCCGGCGACCACGAAGGCTCCCAGTAACGGCAGATAGTCAAGATACATGCTGGGGACCAGTCGCCCAATGCTTCGATCCATTTCTTCCGCTCCAAGCAGCGTAACCAAACCGAGGGCATCAATTCGTAGCCCGGTACCATTGGCCCAGGAATTCAGGCGTTGGTGCCATGAATACATGTCGGGAGAGCAAATGCACGAGTAACAGTGACCACACTTCTCTGTGCCGGGATTTGGGTATGATGATCATGTTTATGGTTATTGTGATGGTTGATCTCTTGTCCACTTACTTCCCGAATTTAGGATCATGCCCGGCACTAGTGGCGTCTTACTGCATACAACTTGTCCTATCAGGGACCGCGCTCTGTGAGGATTGCGGCTGAATGGCCAAACTTGACAGACTGACAGGGCCACGGGACGGCCCATGGACTCATTTTTTCCCTCGTTCTGGCGGTTCAGTCTGCTGGTGGGTTACGTATGTTCTTATTTTCTTGCGTCTATCATGACTGCACACTCATGATGATTCGACGCATTGAGCTGCAATTTGACCTGTGGATTTATCTCCGCTCATCATGTGTCAGGCAATATTGTACTCCGGTTCTTCGTGACATTAAGCCAACGTGAACATGCAGAGACGAAACCGTGGCGTTGGGTCCAAACTCCGGTGTGGACCATCACCCTACAAAAGGAGTTCCTTATTATATTCACCCACACGATGCTTAAATTACAGTATGGGGGCCTTTTTTCAACACCCTCTCCGATCGAGATTGCTTGGACGCAACTCTGCAAGCATTTGCCGCTATGTTCAAATCTGACGCTCTTTTCCTTTTCCGTGAAGAAAGAATTGGACGCTAACGAACAAATGAGTCAAGTGCAAATTAGCTACCTCGTATCGCCTTGCAATGGGACCAGGCTAGACCAACTTCTCTCTGGGGGCGAAAAATATGCATATCCCATTGGAGGGGGCAGTGCTCACGTTTGAATTATGGGCCCTAGCGCAGTGGCTACCGATTCCCCTGGATATCTCCATTGAGTGCGGATGCGCATTGATGACAGAGAAACTTGCTCGGCTTTGGGCCGTGACTTTTGTGAGATCAGCGACTCGGCACGATATCTCTTCCATCTTTATTGCCAACTGATCTCCCCTCAAGAACGTGTCTTGGTCTCCAAGATGGCTTCGTTCTTTCCATTCTGGCGCAAAAAGCCGACTCAGATTGAGATTGAGGAGGCAGAGGAGAATCTCAGACATCAATACAACGGTCACCGGCATTGGGCTTCTGGGAAACGTTTCCAGCGTCCTTTCATCAGCCCGGAGAACTTGTCAGAGCGCAGGCTGGAACTTGAAGATCCAAAACACATCTACGGCAAACAAACTTATCTCAACCCCAATAGAGAGAATGACCACAAGAAATACATCGATGTAGACACATACTACAGCACCAACAAATCATTCCCTCGTCGGCTCGTTGTGCAGGCGACTCCAGAGGTCTATGCAGAGTCCGATAATCACCCCCGCCATTGGGGCCGTCGTCGCATTCATGGCAAAGTGCCTTTCATCATTTCACTGTCTGAATTTTGCCTGAACCCGTTTGGTTTCCGTCAATATGAGGGCGCTCCAGACGAAGAAGATGACGGGGAATCCCCGAAACTGGACCGAAAGGAAAACCTCGGATTGAGAGTTCTCAAAGGCTTCTTGCATTGGATCACGTCGACTGTGCTGACCTTGTTATTGGCATGGATCATTCAACTCATGATCTCTGTTGAGATCGTTACCTCGCCATGGAATGATGATGGATCGTCTGAGCCTTACGATGAATACCAAAATGTCCACTGGTATTGGCCAAAGCATGCTGTCAATGTTCTCGATCAGTCCCCCGCAAACAACCAGCCTCAGTCAAGAGTCGCCAAGCTTACAATTCCTCGTACTTTGGTGGTCAGGGATAGGACCACAGGCGCCTGGATCCCTACAAGCACAAGAGAGCTTCGCGACAAGAAGACGGGCATGCTGCCGCCATACATTTTTCTCAGTTTCTCGCGCGCCAATTTTGTCGGCAACAATGAAGCCGATTTGAGAGGCATCCTTTACTCGGTAGCTGAGCGCATGCTTGAACACGAGAATGCACACAGAGATCCACAAACACCTCCTCTTGAAGCATTCTGGGTGGATGTGGATTGCGTATCGGGCATTACAGAAATACCATATAGGGCCAGCGAATCGCCAAAAACCCAAGACGTCAACTCTATTTGTGATGCGGTACGCTGTGCGCATCGGGTTTACATCGTGTTGCCGAGTAACAGCATATCTGCCCGACAAACATGGGGGAGTCGGATATGGACTTTACCAGAAGTTCTGCTTGCTGCAAACAAAACTCGATACTGCTTCGCTGAGTCCACTGATGCTGACCTGCTTGCGCCGCACGATGTTTCCTTAAACGACATGTATGAGAGTTTTTGGAAGCCACCAACTCACAATGATCAATTGGAACATGAAGATGCAATAGGCCACCTGATCAGCCACTATAACAACACAATCAAACTTAGTGATCTTCAGCTGTTCACCTTTGCAGTTCAGGTCATGGCGAAGCTGTCCCAAGGTAGGGATGTTGAGGGATATACGACCAGAGATATGGCCTATGCCGCCATGGGTCTGTTGTCTTATCGAATCACTCCTTGCGACGATGATACAGCATTTCAGGCTATTGCAAGACTATCACTCGTAAATGATAGCAACCAGCTCCTCGAGCGTCTCGTTTGTCTATGGCCGAATCCAGAGCAGGATCTGCGGTCATTGCAGTCAAAACAAGGCTATGTTTCAGCTAGCAGTGAGACGCTTCTTTGCAATATCGCAGACCGAGATCAGTATTTGACTCATTTGTGGGATATTCAACCTATCTGTGATGTCGTTGGTATTGGCGACGACTTATACGAACCCACAATCATCATGGACCGCTGCAAGGGTATTCCTATTCGGTGGAAAGACTTCCCAAGGCTGAGATATGCCAAAGAAATCAAAGGCATTGGTGCAACAGCATCACAGTCAATCGTCTATTTTGGCGCCTGGGCTCTGGCGACTGGCTTCGGTCTCTTCTCAACTGCTATGGCCTTGGCCGTTGCACTATCTACTGGGGGCAAGACAGACTCGAACACTGAAGGGTTTACAAAGGCCCAACTTGAAGACTTGAGGACTCAAATTATGCCTAGCTATCTGTGGTCCATTGCGTGCTTCTTTGCCCTGTCTTGGGTGATCTCTTGGTTCGCTCCGTGGGCAGTCCGACAGCTTTGCAATGAGGGTACCAAGGGAACCTCGAGCCATCTTGTCGGATTTGAAGGCACTATGTCGCTACATGATCTGGAAAAGGCGATGTATGGAAATTACAACCACCGCCTATCGTACGCAGCCTCTTCAACTGTCTTCTCGAGAAGTATGCGCAAATCCTACATTCGAGAAGGCAAGGAACCACTTGACCCGGGCCATTGGAAGAGCGAGATGAAGAAACTCGGCTTCCCAGACTCGTATCGCCTATTCACGCTTGTTGACACGGGTAGCATGACCGTGTCCGTCATTGCTGCTGAACGACCACCTGTCGTCGCCTTGATTTGCGGCCGGGAAGGCGGCATGCTGCGCGTTCTTTTATGCAGTTGGCGCTTTGAGCAGAATTGTCTATACCGCGAGTGCGTTGTGCGTATGCGCAGTTCCTTGGAGGAACAGGCAACTTATAATGATTGGCTGAAGATCAGTCTGGCTAGTCAGGGTGATGTTACTCGGACTCGTGTCAGTCATCTGCAGCAGAAACGGATCAATGAGGAGAAAGCCCGACTGGAGGAGACAGTTAGGCAGCGAAAGCCTGTTTCTGAAGGGAGTGCCTTGGGCACTTTGAAAGGACCACCTTCGCCTCGTGTTTCGATTCTTTCGGTTGGGCATGGTGTAGCAGGACAGTAGATATCAGCGGTCTCTTTACTCTTTATCAACTGCAATTTAATGTTTAGTGGAACCTGGTATTTTCATGCAGCTTGATGACACTATATAGCAGGTGTCATAAATGCGTAGATTGTCCTATAAAGCCCTTGGATTAGAGTGCAGCGACACCCTCAGGCACATCAACCCTCTCCAAGATAGTCGGATCCTTTTGAAACTCGTCGCTCTCAACAACCTCTTTCAGCACCTTATACACACTCCGCTCAATAACCACAGCCTCAGGGTCCCCGATATCTGTCGCACTCATAACCCGACACAGAAATCGAAACGCAGCCACTAATGCATTTTGACCAAGCACACGCCCAAACAAAGCAGGCATATACGTCGGCTGAACAGCAGGCTCACCCCTAGCTCCATCAACATTAAGCGCCCTCTCCAACATTCCCCGAGTTTCCTCGTCCAACGCATCCCACGCAGCCTGATACAAAAGCGCCTTATCACGCATAGTGACATTGCCCATGCAGAATAATCGCACCAATGCCCGATCCCTGGGATCAGACTCAATATCAAACCTTCTAAGTTCTTTGTCGGAAAACTGACCCAGATATTCTGCTTTTCGAATCAATATCAGATCATACCCGCTCCGCAGAGTCAACCTGTCCGACATGACACCCTCGTATATTTCATAGACATGGCGATATCCCTCGAAAATCGATTGAATGAGTTTCTTCGCGCACGTCCAGTCCATATGTCCAGCTGCACCTGCTATATCGAGTATCTGCTCCATAAAGCGGATCTGCATACTGCGTTTGAAATATTTCATTCCGTGCAGGGCTGTCAGGCAGACTGGGGCATTTTCTGCTTGGGCTAGTTGGCCAAAGTTGAATGTGGCGCCTAGAGTTATTGCCTGGAGGACATCTTGTCTGTCTTCGGCTCGGAGTCTATCCAATGACGGGACTAGGCCTTGTTTGCAGGCTTGTAGGAGGATGGCGTCGTGGTTGAGTATGGAAATATCATGTCCTGTTTGTGCGTGGTAATCTGTAGCTAGCTGTGGATCTTTGCCTAGGTCGTTGATGATGATTGAATAGATCAGGGTGTAAAGCGTGTTTGCATCTGTGATGGCTTGTCTGTAGAACTGCCGGATCCAATCGAAGGATTCCCTCGTTAATTGTGCTGGAGACTGCGCGCCGATGAAGGACTCATATTGGTCTGTATGGATCCATCGAAGGGCTAGAAATCCGACTAGTGTTCGGTTGACTTCATCGTAGTTATCTTTGTATAGAATGTAGGATGGCGATGGGGTGTTAGGTGGGGTCCAGGGTCCGTCTCGGATTGAATACGCGCGCTTAAGACGATCGATGTCTTCTGGGAACTCTTTGTACAGCAGATTGATGAGGTCTTCTTCTGAGCAGGCGAATAGTGAGTCTGGGTGTGCGCAGGCTTCTTGGAGTGATTGAAATACGTCCATGTTGAGGTGTTTACGGTTCATCGGGTGTGCAGTGACAGGATTCAGCCCGTATATGCTGCGCCACAGAGGTTGGGGGATTAGGGCCGATCCCTTCGGTTGAGAGATGAGAGGAGATTTTGCTTAAAATTTGGATTCTGAGTTCTGAAAGAGCTTCAAGGGAGCTTTAAAGGAACTTCGAAGTGGCTTAGACAATAGCGCTATCCTAATTGTACATGTTTGCCCTTTTGACACATGAGTCACTCCCACGGAAAATGCATCAAGGCAAAAAATTAACAGAGAAATACGCCTTCGCTCGGAGGAAATATGCAACGTGTGAGGGAATATCAAAGCACAATATATGCCCTCCCGACCATGAAACGCACCCCATGTGGTAAACGCCAACCAGAGAAGTTCTAGTTGAGAAAATGCATATACATGACCCAGAATAACAAGGAAAATCAGGTAATAATGCATAGAAGAAGAAGGGCAGAAAGGACAAAGAGTGCCCCTGTAGAAATTGAACAACGAGGGTATCAGTTGAAAAGAAATTATATGATGGGCTCACTGGGTATCGTGGCGGAAAGTACAGTTGTCACCTTTGCGACACTTGCCATCGGCCCAGAATTTGCAAGCAACGAGTCCAACCTTGTACTGATGATGAAATGTTAGCAATGGTCATTCAAGGGTGACGAAAGGATACATACAGGCTTATCAGTAACCCGAGTACGCTTCGAGCGACTCCATTGAGTGTCAAATTCACCGTCATGCTGCGGCGCATCGCGCCCTCGTTTTCGCTCATCATCATAGTCATTGCCTGGGGGAAATTGACCGCCGAATGGCGGGAACATGGCGCCAAGATTAGGTGCCATGCCTGGCTGTGATTGACCCTGGGGAGTAAATTGTTTCATAACGTTTAAGATCTGATTGAAATCAACCCCTTGGAGACCACCGGCAGGCATCTGCGGGAGAACCGGCATTTGGGGCTGTGGCTGGTGCTGGTGCTGTTGCTGTTGAACAAACATATTGACTGCTTGCTCATAACCGGGCATCGCGACAGGCGGGGCTGCGACAGGCGGAGTTGGTTGTGCCTGTCCAGATACACTCTGGATGATGTTGAACAAGTTGGAAAAGTCATGGCCAGGAGCAGCCGGATTAGCTTGCTGTGGCGGTTGTGTGGCCACAGGCTTGGGGTTGATGTATGAGTAATATCGTTCCTCGCGAGCCTGCACCGTGTCAGCAATGAAGTATTGCGAGGCAACGTAAGTACATACCTTGACATGGTCAGGAACCTCTCCAAAAGGCACTTCATCGGTGACGGCCTCGTCGGAGTCCGGGGTAGGTGGCTCCTTGGCGGATGCAGGCATTTCTGCAGGAGAGGTATAGAAGACCATGAGTGTCGTGGATTCTCGGTGCTCCTGGGCCTCCTTCTCGGGGCTTGTTGGAAGCAATGGACCACCACGCTTAATGAAGCTCTGATCTTTCGGCTCCTCAAAGTCGAAATCGATGCCTATAATGATTAGAATTGACTGGGAAAAAAAGATTAAAGAGACGACTCACCTGATAGGCCAGTGTATTCTTGGAAGACGGTCTCGTGCATACCACCAAGGTCGTCTTCTTCAAGTTCATCCATATCTTTATGAAGCTTGAGCACACTACCTTCACCCTTGGTATCTCCCAATCCACGAGTAGATCCATCACCAGGGCCCAGTTCCTCGTCGGGGTCGTGGGTGAAGAGTCGAACCTCGGTAAGAGAATCATCGGGCTTCCAGGTCACACGCAACTTGCGGCGTTCTTCCTTACGCAGTCTCTTACTCCGTTCCTCTTCGGTCTCGGGTGGCTGATCTTCAGCTGGTTTGGGGGCTGGTGCTTCTTTGGGTTTGTTGAGATCTGCCATTAAATCACCGAAGGAGAATGCGGGTTTTGGAGGCGGCGACTTCTCTTTGGGAGGAGGAGGACTATGCCAAAGTTAGCAAGGTTGTGACTCGAGGATAGTCTGATACATACGCTATTTTGGCTGCTGCGGCTGCTGCTGCCCTCTCTGCATTGGTAGTTCCAGGCCTCTTGGATGCCGAGCCCAATGCACCAAACAGACTGATTGGCTTAGGTGCCACAATGTTGGCTTTGGGGCGCGCAGGAACAGCCTTAGCTGGAGCTCCCTTGGAGCCATTGCCTACAGCTATTTTTGACGCATCTTTGTTTGCAGTCGCCATTCTTTTTGTTCCAGCCTGCAGACTTCCGTCTGCCTCGCGAGGGCGTTTAATTCCAGCTGGATCAGGCTTTTCAACACTTTTGACATCTTCTTTGGGAGGTTTGTCATTTTCTTGTTTACGCTTGGTGGAGGCGATGGCATTGTCCAGAATCTTCTGGGTAAGATCCTTGACTTGCGGTACGCCTTTCTTCAAGAACTTAGGCAGTAATTTGGAAAGGTTTGTTTTCTGCAGCATGTCTTCTGTCATGGTGGAGAAGCGTGCAAAGAGCTAGAAGTGTTAGCAACCAGATTCGCAATAAGACCTGAGAATAATAAGACTTACCTTGAGCAAATTGATGGTCAGGGTTCCTGCAAAGTCTGCAGCCTGGAAACGGTCGACCAAGAAGGAATATAGAGCTGCCACAACCATGGGGTGCTCTCCCAGCCTACATAGGTATCACAATTAGTCTGGTCCAATTATACCAATAATTGATGTTGCCAATAAGGAAAAAGCACAAGCTCTTTTCTAGATAAGTCTCTCAGATCTCAGATGGCGTCCTATAGCCTATCTGAAAGTGACAGCTTGCACTCTGGGTCTGCATATTTGCCTATGTTCATCCAGCCCATATAAGATCATGCCTTGCTGGCGAACAGAGCGATAGCCCTTGATACTAGCCATGACAATGCGATTGGGTTTAATTTCAGGATAGAAAAACATACGGAGCAATGCTCTGCGGGTTCAAATAGCCACAGCCAGAGAAGGAAAGGTGAGGTGCAGGGAAGGGGGGGAGGAAAACGTACTTATCAACAATGACGGGGTGACCCATTTCTAATGTTGTCGTTGCAATGTTGTCCATTATCCGACGCTGAGAGATGACCTGTTCTTTTAGCTTGGTAGCTTTATTATTATCGCCTTGGTTCTCAGCCGTTTTCATCGCCTGGACCTGTTCCTTCCATGCATCTCGAAGCGCCTTGACGACATCTTTGAAGGCCACTAGCGCATTCTTCACCTTTTCGGGGCCTGGCCACTTGTTTCGTGGGGACCAAACTGCTAGCACTGTATCATATTGGGCCGCAGCCAACGGGTCTGTCGGTCGAATAGGGGGTAATGGGAAAGGCTCATCTGGAGCTTCGATCTCAAGGTCTGATTCATCCGAACTTTCACTTTCTGACTTTGAGTGGGTTTTCTTTGTGCCCTTGGTTTTCGGTTGTAGTTTCTTAGCAGGTCCCTTCTTCGTATTTATGATCACGTCTGGCACTGGTAGACCTAAAATGGGTTAGCAGCCGATCAAAGGGATCTCAACTGCACTATACATACCTGTGGCCGGCATTTGGGAAGCTGGTCCAAGCTGCGGTTGGACTTGGAGACCATGCTGGTAATAGTTAAACTGCCGGTCCCTTGAATAAAACTTAGTCATTTTTTCTCGTAGTTTGCGCTAGAGGTATGAACTTACTGCTCATTTGATGGTCTTTGAAATTGCGGGGGGAGACCATAAACAATACCATTTGCCAAAGGAGGCTGCTGGCCAGGTGCTTGTGTGGGGTTCAGAAACTGCGGGTTGATGGTGACGTTGGGATCTGATTCAGGGTAATCGTTGGTGAGGTCAATCGTGTTGGACTGCTTCGAGTTAGATCTTACAATGACACAGAGTAACAGCGGCACTTACCATCATCTCCTGAGTGAAGCCTTGGGGCAAAGTGTATTGTTGTGGCTGCAATCGCTGCCTGGAAGGAGCGGTCGTGAACGTGTCTGAGATGGGCATCTGTTGGTGTGGGGGAAGTAACCCGGTTGGAAAGAGTAGGACGGAAAGGCAGATGACTCTGATGCATTCAGGGGACGACTGTCGAAATTAATCTGCCCTGCGTACTGGGGAGCTGGCGGTTGGTCAAATTGGGCATGGCCTCCGTAACTTCGTGACTGTTGAAGAGGAGTCTCCGCTTGCCAAGGCTCATGCATTGAGGTATATATGCCATGATTTTGTTCAGGTCGGGGAGCAAGCTCTCTCTGGTCCTGAAACACCGGATGATCCCAACCAATTCCCAGTGTGTTTTGTGATATGGAACCATGCTGAGCTTGGGTGTGTTGTTGCTGGAGTTGCGCATCAGGGGTCGGATACATGGCATCAAGGGTATCCCAGTAGCCTGGAGGCAGTGCGTCTTGCTCATTGCCCTGAGGCAACCCCTGCAGATGAGCGGATTGCTCCATGATGGAGAGAGCACTCAAGAGTTTAAGCTTAACTATGGAGTATCACGTAGTCACGTGTAAATCCGATATGAAGTTCACCGCCTGTTGTCACCGCCTTTGGGAATCGGACGAAAAAGAGGACGGCGACCGGAGTAAGTTTGCTTCCGAGTGAAGTTATGCGGAGGGAAGCTGTCTGAAGAGTTGAAGAATTAGACGCGGCAATTCACTTGATACGCCTAGAATATTGAATATCTTCAGATTTGAGTACTGTCGTACCTTAGAAAGAAAACAAAGTGCTTTCGATTTATGGTGCCTCAGGCATCAATTTTATTCCCCAGTACTGCGAGTCACTGTGTCGTTCTTGGCCTTGCAGCTTATTGACTCCGCAGTTGCGAATACAAGTCTAGTGAGACGGTCCACAGAATCTCAGGATCTCCAGGAGCCTCTTCTGCCCTGTGTCCTTTCCTTGACTTGGTATCTTTTCCTGGCACTCTGTGCACTCTGTGCACTCCCTGCAGAAGATCTCTGCCTTTCTGCTATGTTTTGTCTCTGGAAAGACTGAGTATCAGAAAAGAGTAAGGCTCTCATACGAAGGACCACTCTAGATAGCCATTCGTTTTACGAAGAAAAGAAGGGAACGGGGGAAGGTGTTGATGGTTAAAGGTGTGAAAAGGGAGAAAAGCTGTCGTCAGGGCGGTTAGCCGTTTACAGTACCGTAATGGGTTGACCGCTGTGGGAAGTCACGTTATGTGGCAGAATCCCGACATGTGATCTAGCTCCGGGGGAGGGGAGAGGTTGAAGAGTGTCAACAGTCATCATTTTGCAGGGGTTGCGCGCATATCTCAAATCTCTCCTTGCGCAAGCGGTACATGCTTTGAATCTCTGGCTTAGACAATCCCCCTATCCCACCCAGCCCTGCCAGCTATTATCATGGCCTCACAACCAATGTCTCTCCGGGACCGACAGGTCGGTAAGTGACGCAAGCTGGACTCTTGCCAGCATAGCCTTTACTGACAACTGCCTTGAAGCATCAATTCAAAAATTACTGAATCTCAACCATGACCCGCAATCTAATGATGACAACACGATTGACCAATCTGCTGGCGGTCTTATTTCACACTCCACTCCGATCTTGAATGAGGATGGCGACCCTATTTGGAAGGTCTTGGTGTTTGATAACATGGGCAGAGATGTCATTAGCAGTGTCCTACGGGTCAATGACCTCCGCGCATGGGGTATTACCATTCATCTGTGCGGCCACCTGATCCCCTGATACGACCTCATGGCTAACTAGGAGCAACTCTTAGAAACCTCCACTCTCAAAGATACCCAATTCCCGATGTTCCAGTTGTCTACTTTGTGGAGCCAACCCCCGCCAACATTCAAGCAATTACCCACGATCTTTCCCATGGACTCTACTCCCCTGCCTACGTGAACTTCCTATCGTCCGTTCCGCGGCCACTTCTTGAGGATTTCGCTTCTCAAATAGTGACCTCTGGTGCTTCCGAACACATTGCGCAGGTCTTCGATCAATATCTAAACTTTGTTGTGGCGGAGCCCGATCTATTTAGCTTAGGGCTTGGCAACGATGCATACTACAAAATCAATAGCGGAAAGACAAGTGATGAAGAGCTGGATGCGATTGTAGACAATGTGGTTGGTGGACTGTTCAGCGTTAGTGTGACAATGGGTAAGCACATTCGAGTTCCGGTCATTGGCCTATCTGACTGACGGGGCAGGCACCATTCCCATTATCCGGTGCCCGAAGGGCGGCGCCGCGGAATTGATTGCGACAAAGCTGGATCGGAAGTTGCGAGACCACATTCTCAACTCCAAAGACAACCTCTTCTCTGGGAATCAACAGGCTCTCCCCGGTGTGCCTTCAGCTCGGCCAGTGTTGATCATCATGGACCGAAATGTTGACCTTGTTCCAATGCTCTCTCATTCGTGGACATACCAGTCACTGGTGCAGGATGTTCTTCAGATGCGTTTGAACCGGATTACATTGGACGCGGATGAATCTGGCTCGGGCTTGTCAACTAAGAAGTCTTACGACATTAATAGTAACGATTTCTTCTGGCAGCGCAATGCCGGAGTTCCGTTCCCACAGGTGGCTGAAGATATTGATGCTGAGCTTACGCGGTACAAGGAGGATGCAACTGAAATTACGAAGAAGACCGGTGCTTCTTCGATTGAGGATCTGCAAAATGATACCAGCGCCTCAGCACAACATCTTAAGGCCGCTATTACATTGCTTCCGGAGTTGAGAGAACGCAAGGCTGTTCTTGACATGCACATGAACATTGCCACTGCCCTTCTCAAGGGCATCAAAGACCGTCAGCTGGATAACTTCTTCGAGTTAGAGGAGAACATTACAAAGCAATCGAAGGCGCAAATCTTGGAGCTGATCAATGATGGCTCTAAAGGAAGTGAACCATTGGACAAGCTGCGCTTGTTTGTAATCTGGTTCCTGAGTACTGAGATCGAGCTCAGCCGCTCGGAGATGACTCAATTTGAAGAGGCACTGACCAAGGCTGGCGTTCCTGATGTTTCTTCCCTTGCCTATGTCAAGCAGGTGCGCGAAATTACTCGGATGACTATGATGACCACAGCCGCCCCAGAACAGCAATCCTCGGACCTGTTCCGTGGGTTCTCATCACTTTCAAACCGCCTTACAGATCGCATTACCTCGGGTTCTCTCGGTGCCAACTTTGATTCCCTGATTTCAGGAGTGAAGAACTTCCTACCAGCCAATAAGGACCTAACTGTGACAAAGATCACCGAGTCTATCATGGATCCAACCGCAGCTTCAAGCTCTGCCATTGCAAAGACCGAAAACTACCTCTACTTTGACCCCAGAAGCGCAAACGCTCGTGGTGCTATGCCTCCTGCGTCTGCGTCTCGTAACACGCAGATGCCTGGTGGCATGGGCGCAGGTCCTGGTACCGGTGCCAGCTTCGGCCAGCGCCGCCAAGCCTTCAGCGAAGCCATCGTCTTCACTGTCGGCGGTGGAAGCATGGATGAGTACGGCAACTTGCAAGACTGGGTTCACCGAACGAGTGGCCAGCAAGGTGGTGATGGTGCACCCACCCAGCGTGCGGGAGGCGCGCCTGGACATCGCCGAAGGGTTGTCTACGGCAGTACAGACCTGATGAACGCCACTGAGTTCCTATCTGATTCTTTGGCGCCTCTGGGTCGGGATAGCTAAATGTAAATGGGGATAGGTGGCCACAGGGCTTGACCATGACTCAAGGCTGTAAAACATAGTATAATTCTAACATCTGATGTGCAATGTTCTATTCTGATCGTCGTGTAGACCTTGATCCACTGGGTATGAGTTGATCGAGAGCTGTTATCAGCACATTAGGGGGCCATTAAGTCTGCGAGAAAAGTTCCTAGCTACGATACTACCAATGATCACAAACCCTTGATACTGTGACAGATTCACTTCCCTCTAGGATCGATCCTTACAGCCATTTGAATTTCCAGATCTTGGATCAAACACAGTCCAAGGAATTGAACCTGTTTGAAGGAACTATTTGTATCCTCTTACATATAATTTAAGACACTCTTATCACTGCAGTCTGACCTGTAATCAAATTAGCATCCCAGCAATCCGTGCCAAAGGTTGTGATTCGCGTCTTCACTGATAGGAGATCTATGGCCTGCATGTTGCCAGATTGGGCTAGCCAAAGTGTTCAGGGGTTCAATTCTACTCCGAGATCAAAAGGTAGAGAGCACTAAAACAGAAAGGCAAAGGCATTTTGCGGTATATACCGTATCTAGTCACCCGTTTACGGGAGGTTCAGAAAGACGAACTCTTGATGATTCTCTTCCCTTTCCGGGGCAACATTCTATGACCAAGCGTGTCGGGGCATTCCAGCAATCAAATTGCCTTCCAGACCTGGCTCTATTATGAATTTAGTCCCCAACAATTCACTTTGCCTCCGTTGGCTACGTGGGAAGTCGCCCGACTGATGTCAGAGCAGGATCATAGACGTGATATCCCACGCCACAAAGAACATATATGAAGGAGATGAAAGAGAGCGTAAATTAAAACATCACCTGCTTCCACAATTTTAGTATACTCCAAGTTCTCAACATAGAATCATTTCTTCGGACAAATCGTTCAACATGACCGACCAATACGGAGACACATGGTCCACGACCTACGATGCATACAACGCACCAGACACAAGATACGATACAACCTCATCCATGTATGATACACTCGGAGACTATGAGCCCTCGGGCTATGAAAGCTATGGTGCAACGGGCTATGGAGCCGTGGGTTTCGGTGCAGATCCGACTGGCTCGACATACGACAACCACGACATCGGCTACGGTGCCACAACATATGATCCCAATACCGGTGCATATGATCAACATCTAGATTACCGTACTCCGGCGGGTCGGAGACATCACCGAGAGCGCGTTGATCAACATGGCACCTTTCGACATCGTGATGTTGATCGGTACGAGGATGGATCGGCTCGTGTCCACAAAGAATACGATAATCCCAATACTGGGACTAGTTACCACCGGGACTATGAAAAATGACGTTTATGTCTGATCACTGGAAAAGCAGACACAGATGAAAGAGTCTAGTTGGCTTTGGGGGGCCCAAGAAAAAAAGATTCAAAATGTTCAAACCAGAAAAAAAATTCCATTTAGACTGTTGATTCCATGTTTTAGCGCGATGTTAAGTTCGAGTGTAAACATCAGGATTATAATGATCACCATGAGAGAAGTGCTTGAAGCCTATAACTGAAGCCTATACTCCATAACGTAGAGAGAAGTATAAAAGGGACATGCCGAGGTACGCCCCTGAACATCCACTTTGACAGCTAAGCCCAATGAGCCCAACTAAACCAATTGGTCCAATTAGTCCAATTAGTCCCATTAGTCCAATTAGTCCCATTAGTCCAGGGTAATGTAATATCCAGCAGCAAAGAAACCCCTAACCCAATCATCGCTGTCCAAGCCCATCGCCTTTCATCGCATCAAACCACAGCCTTGGCATTCGTCGCCTCAGGCCAGAACATGCAAGGCTGACTCCACCGCATCATATCTGGCACTTTCTCCAACTAACTTAGTCCTTCCCCCCCCCCTACTGTCCAACCCAAATGAGGTCTTGAAGCTGCTTCTTCTTCAGCTTCTCATGCCCCCGTGATCATGTCGCGGAGGACGCTGGGCGGAGGTCGTGTTCTGGGCAACCCGAGCGCGCTCGCATCAGCTCCGTCCCCGCAGCCGAAGCCAAGGGTGCTCTCGCCGACCGCCAGTAGCATTTCCCTCAGTTCACAGACGTCTGCGTCGCAGTTTTCGTCCGAAACCCAGGATCTCACTTCTCGCATTTCAATAGAGAATGGTGATACCTCAATCTCTGCGGCTCCGGCTGCTCCGGGGGCTCAGCTCTCCTGTCCGATCTGCAGTGAGGAGATGGTATGCTCATTCTCACCTTGTGCGCCGCTAGATGCGAAGTTGAACCCCGCTGACAACTCTTAGATGACTTTGCTCCAGCTGAACAGGTATCGACTCATTCACTCCTCTCTCACAACCGCCTGCATATATGATTAACACGTGGATAGACACCTCGATGATATCCACCAGAATTTGGAAGACGACCGGCAAGATGAAGTCAAGGATTGGTTCAAGGTGCAAATGGAGAAGGCGAGGAAGTTCCAACCCCTGGCGGTCCTCAACCAAAAGTTGAAGGGCTTGGATGTATTCGAATCAAACGAAAACCAGAATGCGCCTCTCGTCACTCGACCGCTTGCAACTCACGCAGCATCGCCCGAGCCCCCGAGACCACTGGATCCGGAAGATCTTATCTCAAAGGACCACTGGCAGCAAAGCTGCATCTATGATGAGTGTCTGGAGCCGTCATGTGGACAACGCTTAAATGCCACCAACGGATGCGTAAATTGCCGGAGTTGTGGAAAGCTCTTTTGTGAGGAACACACGATGTATCAAATGAAGCTCTCGCGGGCCGCGCATCATGAACCTGTTCGAGGCATATGGGCACGGGTTTGTGAAACTTGCTACAAATCAAGAGAGGGTTATAATGACCATAATGGTGAGTAGCATCCTGTTCCGAGTTAGCACCAGGCTTACAAAAAGTAGGAGCTACGAGAAACCTGACGGATGCCTTCAAATCCATAAGAAAGCAAACAGTGGATAAAGACTTCTTGGAGATCTCTCGACTCGAGAAACGACTGACCCGCCTCACCCAGCTCTTGGCTAGTTTGCCGCCGGATCAAATACACTCCAGTGCGACTAAACTGTGGTCTCTTGCTTGGCAGAGTGATCAACGGAAAGAGTTAGAACAGACAATTGTCAGTTGGCAAGACGATGCAAGTGTTCCACGGTGTCCATTCTGCCAGCAGGACTTCTCTGGCTACACTTTTCGCAGGCATCATTGCAGAACTTGTGGACGAGTCGTCTGTGGTGACCAAAATACGGAATGCTCCAGTGAGGTGGCATTGAGCATTGCTCCTCGTAAGTTCCAGCCGTGTACTCATTGTGGCCAGGGTCTAATTTCTTACAGAGGCCACAGCTTCCTCCGAAAAAGCCTCTCCCAACAACCTCATCAACATTGATGTACGACTTTGCAAGGATTGTAAAGCAACATTATTCGATCGCCGCGACTTCAAGGCGGACAGCACTCGCAAGCCAGCGGAGATTAGAGCCTATGAGAATTTGATCCAGTTCGAAAGGGGCATCCGACTTCATCTACCTCGATTCCAGAAACTGTTGACCTCTTTACAAGATCCAAGGCGACCACCATCATCCGCCCAGATAGCAGATGCATCCAAAGTGCGCAAGCGACTCATCGACTCCTTTGCACAATACGATGTTGCAGCTCGACGCATACGTGATATGCCAACTAACTCACCTACCCAACAACGGCTACAGAAAGCCATTTACCAGCAGGCCAGCAACTTCCTTCATCTCCACATGCTGCCCTTGAAAACCCTCCCCAAGATCCTCAAACACGCTACCCCAGCGTCGGACAGGATACCCAGCCGGACGAGCTCTCCGAGCACCCCGGTCAATGGCTCTACATCCAATACCCGACCACCGGATTCTGCCCTTGCCTCTATCAAATACAACAGCGTTGCCGCGAGTGGTAGCAACAGCAGTCTAGCCAGCGAGACTAGCAGTGCTATCTCAGCCCTCGAAGCAGAAGAGAAATCACTTCGAGATCGACTCATTGTACTAGAAGAACAAAAGTTCTTTGTGTCAGAAATGATTGCCGATGCTAATCGGCGGCGCAAATTCGATGAGGTCAGTAGTCTGGCTGTCAATGTTGAAGATCTGAGTCGTGAGATCGATCGTGTCAGTGGTATACTCGCAGGTCTTGATTTTGAAGGAGTCTACACGGGGACCTTGCAATCGGGTACTTGATTGTATCCTTAAAGTCAGGGTGGAATATCTTGATTCTATTTGCACGCGTCTTGCACATTTTATTTCGCGTCTCTGCGGTCCCATCCTCGAAACTTGTTTGTTCTCTGATTTTGTGTCAGTGCTTAGCTAGCGTTTGGGCACCTTTCCTTGATGATACATGCATAGCATCGGGCGTTGGTTTATTTAGGCAGTCAATGTTCTTTTTTCTATATAATTTGTGATTGTTCATAGTTTCAATTTATGCTTAGTTGCCTATTTATGATGCAGGCTTATTCATGTGTTCTTACTATCCAAAGGTGTCGAAATATATATTTATCGGCGAACACCTACCTCGTACAACCAATGTTGATGGTTTCCAAAAGTAAAAATGAAAACTAATCACCGATATAGCTTTATTCAGTCTATTTCTCTCACTAGATATTGACCGATATTGATTGACAAAAACAGTTCCGAGGGATATAAAAAAAGAGCAAAAAGCAAAAAAAGAAACGCTCACTCGAGGACGGTGTTTTAGGAATAGCCGAACGCGGGGGTCGAACCCGCAGCCTTAAGATTAAGAGTCTTACGCTCTACCGATTGAGCTAGCCCGGCCGGGCTGTTGAAGACGGCCCGCATTTTATGCCCTATAAACTAAAATTGATCGAAAGACAAGGGTAGGCTGGTTAGCTTGCATGGTGGCTTGGTCGACCTGCATCCTGCAGTGAACCTGGCAGATGCATGCATTATCTATGCATCAGACTAGGTCTGGCCATTGGCTCTGGAGGTTTTTAATATACTTGTAACTTCCACAGTAGGGTCTAGTACAGAGAACCGGGATTCAGATATTTAGGCACAAGCATAATAATTACAAAAGAGAATGAAACGATAAGGAAATTGTCATTAAAATGAATTTGATACATATGAGCCTCATTGCCTTCACAAGGAACAAGAATATATAGTACAAAGAAACCCGTTAACCCCCCTCGAAAACCCATTTGCACCTCATCGAGAGGCATCATCAGCGGAAACATAAAACGTCTTCTGCACGTTGACCCCCTGGAAAAAAGTACCGCTATGTTTCGGATTCAGGTCCTCTGTGCTACTAGTCCTGCTACCCTCATTTGAGGTGTGGACCGTTGCAATCGCCGTGTGCGATTCGTCTTCGACGTCTGGGCGCCAGTATTGTGGTCCAGATGGGTCAGAGCGAATGGCGTTGACGCTGGTCAGGGGCACACTGCCACCTGTACGCTTGCTTTTGCTTTTGCTACCGCCGGCGGAGCTGGGGTCGCGGAACCAGCGGAATAATGGGCGAAGGGTTACGAGGCTGCCGGCTGCGATTCCGAGACTTGCCTCGACGTTGGACCAAATTGAGATTTGGGCTGTTGCGTCTGTTGTAGATTGTTAGTATGACATGTCTTTGAAATGGAGTTGAGGGTGTTGAACGGTTGGATACTTACAGAGAAAGTCCTCGTCTTTGTAATCGTGCAGGAAGGGAATGCGAATGATGACTGCTGCACTTGCACTAGATTGAAAAGGGTCAGTATCAAAATTCAGCCTGCCCCCAGCGTATCGGATACATACACGCAGCCCATTCCAAGAATACCAGCCAGGGCGGCCTTGGTCCGCCAGTTCATCTGCAAGTTCCAAACCAAAGCGATTGGCAAAAGACCCAGGGTCAGATCACAGAGCGTCGCAGTGACACTGTAGACATAGGCGATGGCGATGATGCTGTCGAGGTTCATGCAGGTCCCGGAGACATTGGCGTGAGGATCAAGGCTGAGACGAACCCGCTGCCAGAAGAATGATACCGGTTGGCATTGCAATGTCAACATGAACCAAAACACCAGGCCAATGGTACATGTGACGGAGATGACCCCCCATAGGATGAGTTTATGCAGTTTGGCGACCGTAAGGCGGAGCAGGGCTAATGCGATTGAGATCTTCGCCAGTGCGCATGTCCATACATAGCTGGTCTGACCGAGCCACCACCACTTCAGACGGTGTTAGTATCCGAGTTGCATTGCTTCCATTGCGCATTGCTATTCACGTACAAACATTGCTGTTTCCATTGTCTTTCTCTCCACAAGGACCGGAGTTCGTTGGCCAATTCCATACAACGCCCCAGTGATACCACTTACGGCAAAGAGGATGTTGAGCAACTATACATCCATTCAGCAATTGATTTCACTCCAACGAGTCATTGGGACATACCATGGCGCACACCATAAACGTGTCATCCCAGCCAAAGGCCTTGACGATCCTCAGCCGCACGAAACATCGCAGGCATACGGCAATAAAGGAGATCCCCAGAAAGGTAGTGGTCACGATAAAGATGGACTCACTGCGACCATGCAAGGGCAACATAATGACAATCCAAAAGACTCAGTAATTCATGACCTATATCCCTGCTCACAGCGGTTGCCAAGAAGAACCAGGGCAGGAAGAAGAGAAAAAGCGATCAACATCAAAATAAAAAAGAAGAAAACTCATCCCCAAGCCAAGCATTTCATCTCGTGGCGAGAACCGCCAAGAGAAGGGGCTATAGCGGCGATGGTCTCCGTGTTTTCAAGTCAGAAACTCTGGGCTGGGAACCCCAGGGCATGGTTGACATGCAAGGATGAGGCTAGTAAGCCTTAAATCGGTTAGCAGCCGTGCATCTGCAACAATGGCTCTGTCTGTGGGCTTTCCAGCCGCGATTCCTGTGGAGACTCTACCGAATCTAGGAGGAGGATACAGTTACATTGGAGTTTACCAAGGTGGAGAGGAAGGTTGGCAAAAGAAAGGAAATATTTCAATAGTCTAATAACTAGGGTGGTGTGTCTTTGCCACATCCGTGTACTGTATGCATGTGTCAATGGAGGCAACCATACGGTCCCTGACTGACATACGCTCAGTCCTCCGGTTCGAGTCGGCTACCTATGAAAGAAGATTTGGCAGATATGCGGACATGCGGTTTCTTGGCCAACTCCACTTGATATCGGCGAATCAAGATCGATTAGTGGAGAGAAGTTTTGGGCACAATCAAGGCCGTCAAGGTTTTAGTGCCGGGTCTTGTCTGAATAAGGAGACCGTTGCTGTCAATCGCTCTGAAGTTGGCCCAGGGGGGTTCCTGTCTAGTTTTGCCTTCCGTAGGCAAGCCACGGAGATTAATTGTGCCCCGAGAGGCAACATTTGGCGACTGTCGAGTGGTGCACATGCTACCTAGGCAAGAAGATACTGTAGGGCGGTCAAGATGGAATCGGATCTCGATACTAGCATCGAGTATCGAGATCGCTGTCCATCTATCTCCTTAAGCATGAATTGAGACTTGATGAGAGCCGATCAGCGGAGAAGCATGCAAAGGTGGGATCTGCAAGACTGTGGACAAGCCGGAAATTACTTGACTCTTTTGTGGCCCCACTGGCGAGTACGTGGTTCGTCTAACGGCAAATTCATGACAGGATAGGGGAGGTCTAGTTTATGCGCCATAGACTCGTTGGATAATGCTATGCGACAGTATACACAAATACTGTACATAAGTCCTGCAAATCGACGGGCATACGTAGATGAACTGGAGACAAGAAACTTACACATCTGCATACCCACATTGCGGGTCTGGGGAGAACACTTTCAAAGATTGAGATTAGCTTCAATATAATCTCGGCTATTCCTTGGTTATTCTTAGTACAGGTTCTTCTAGAACTCTTTGAGCATATTTGCTACCATGGATCACGATACGAGACCATGGGGCTCTATGCAAGGGTCTGATCCCCGACTCTAGGCCTGGATGCCTGTATCTGTATGCCCCGACTGTATGGGTATGAAAGCTTGTAATGCGGTTTCCTGTACATTGATATTTCACAGAATTTCACGAATACAGAATCGAGTGGGATCTGTCAATTCGCATGTACCGACGTTAGAACGGGGTGGAGTGTGCACCGTAGGTTAAAAGTTGAGTGGCTGGCTGGGCAGTCGTGGATGGTGCATCACCTGACTCGCGTTCTTATGCATACGATAGAATAGTCCTACTTGGGGATTGACATCGACTCTAGTGTTGTCATGCAAATGCAAGTTTAGGTATATTTGTATAGCAGCTAGAATGATTGCGAATTCGCTACATCAGAATTGAAAACTCGCGTGTTCGAAACCAGATCGCATATTTACATATCAAGTTGCTCCAAGCACCATGATTTAATGGAGATGCCTCCAGGGCATGCTTACTTCCACTTGGCGGCGGGGGTCTCCTGGAAGGCCTTCAGGATAGCGACCACCTTCTCCAGGGCAGCGACCTCCTTGGCTAACTCGGCGTTGACCTTGGGCTGGTCCTGACCAAGCTTGACATAGAAGTCCTTCCGGTATGGGGTAGCAGACATGGCAGCACTGAAGATAGGCTTGATGACCCAGGAGTGGTGGGGCTTGAGGGTCTCGCCGTAAGCTTCACGGAAAGACTTGGAGAGCTCAGAGTCGGCGTTGTTGATGTTGTGACGGAGGGCTTGGGCGGTAAAGTCAAGACCACTGTAGAGGAGACCAATCAGTCCATTGTTCATTCAAATATAGGATATGCAATATGCGCTTCTTGCATGCTGTGTCGCGATTGACTTCGTGTAAACTTACCGGACCAACCAGATAAGACCTTCAGTGGCAGTGTGCTTGCCAGTCTTCAATTCATTCACGACAAGGGCCTGCAATGTCTCGGACTCGGCAGGGGCGGCCAATTGGCGAGTGCGAACTTTCTGGAAAAGGGTTAGAAGATGTTGACACCCGTTTGTCATAGATGGGGACCAACCTCGATGTTGCCCTGCAAGTCACTCTTAACAGGGGTGAAAGCGGCGGAGCCGAGAACATCTGGGAGGGGTCCTGCATTAGTTTCAGAAGCTTCATGCAGTGATACAGCACATACCAAAGAGAGTCACCAAGGACTCGGCAGCTTCGAGGAACTCGGTGGTGGAGATACCATCCTCCGCACCGATAGGGACATCAGCGAAGGACTTCTTGATGGTGTCAAACCATGTCTGATCAGCAGGAATAGCAGCCATTTTTGCAGAGAAAATTCAAATTGAAACACAAAGACGAGAAAGCGAGAACAATAAGGAGATGTCCTTCACCGCTGGTGACACGCAAGCCAATGCCAGGTGGGGTGACATGAGGGCGGTGAAACCGCCATTGTTATGTTTGCTCTGTTTGCAGAATCTGCCAAGCTTCTGATCACGACGTCATCGCTAAGGGTTGCATTTCGATCGATCGTGAATTCAAAGCATGTTCCTGATCGACCTGCATTGCCTGCCCCTATGCTTTGGTTGAACTTGCACATATTTCCTGCCCCTTTGGTCCACGCGGGTAAGAGATTGCCATGAGCACTCCACCGGATCAGGCCGACGGGTCGCCAGGACCTGACCCACGCTTGCCAAGTCATGAGCACTATCATGGTTTGCAGGCTGGGTCCTATACAGATCAACAGCTGGTATGTATACCTCCCCCGCAAATTGAATCATGTTATGAGCTGACCTTTATGGATAGCGTCATGCCTCTGCCAACCATCTGCATATGACCCACCGGCGTTTTTTCGTCGGACCAATTCCTGAAGGCTGGCTTCAAGGCCATCGAAAGTCGTGGTACAAGTCTCGACTAAGGCTCAGAAATTATACGTCACAAGCTATTTCGTTTTCTGCCGGCCCAGTTGCGACCCATTACAGCGAACAGGACCCACAGGCTGAGCCAGCGCTACCTGACCTGGACGAGGAGGTGGCTTTGACACTTACAAGTTCATCTGCTAGGGCTGCAGCGGAGCAAGAAGAGGAGATTGAAGTCGAAGAAGCTACAAGTGAACCTGAAAGGGAACTTCGGACCCTCACTCACCCCACGGCCGAAGCTAGTGGTGACGATCCCCTATGGGGAGTCGATGCGGAAAATGAGCACAGTGATGATGGGAATGCCACTGAAACCGGAAGAAACGGCGAAGAGGATAGCGGGAATGAAACGGAAGATACCGACAGCACGCCCAAAGCAAGACCAAGGGACACTGATGTTTACGACAACGATGTTGCTTCGTCTTCATTTGTCACGGCCAGAGAAGAGATGTCAAGCTCTGCAAACACAGGGTACACTGCATATACTGGGCTTTCTGTCAATACAGAGGATTCCTCATCTACTCTGCAGCCCAACAGATTAACAATTGGTCAGCGCTCAACGTCGTATGGCTCACAAAACACACCCCTGAGGAGCCAAATTTCTGCTAGCCCCCTTACTCCAAATTTATCTACGGGTGCCAGTGAGGCCGACTCAACGACACAGTTGTTGAGAAGTAGATACAAGGACAAGGGAAAGCAGAAAAGTAAGAGCTCTGGTATATCTCGCGCAACGCTCCGACACCATGACCACGATCCTCAAGATGAGGATGATGAACTAGGCGAAAATGGCATCAGAGACGTGCCACAGCGCATGTTTACCAAGAGAATGGCAAAACTCAACCTGGATGACAACATCAAGCACAAGCAGCAACGGATTCGTTCCCGAATTGCAAAGACACAGGGCACTATTTCGGCCAATCGGCCCCGTCGGCGAAAGGTACAAGATGGAGAGATTGTCAAGGCGGAAAAGATGCTGGTCTGCGTGGAGGAAACCATGCAAGGCAGACTTCCCGCCGATTACTCCGAGAATGACAGCCTGCGCATGGAAACCCGCACTGTGGACAAGTGGCGAGAGTTTCTCGTTGTATGTCGAAAAAGCTGCGCAGAACATGCGCCATTTGCCCTGCAAATGTATCGCACTCGTGTCATTCCTGATGTGCAACGACCGAATAGCAAAACGCCACCTTATTACGAGATACGACTCAACCACAAGAATACTCGTGTTAACCTTTACTCTCCTCTTGATAAAACCATTGTGATCTGGAGCCCTTGCAGACGTGGCACCAAAATCTATATTATCCGACCGAAGTCTGCTGCTCACTCTGCCGAGTGGTATACTTTTATTCGCCAAGTGCTTGGCTGGCGACGTCCAACGTCACTCCCTATCAACGTTCCTGATTTGGGTGTCTCGCTCATCTTCAAAAACCCGTTCACTCAGCTTGGATCTGGTCGAAAAACAGATACCTGTGAAGAGCATGCGGCGTTAGATGAGAAATTTGTTGCTCAGAGCATCATCAGAGAATGCTTGAACATGCTCGAAGGTCGTTCTGAATGGGCTGAGGTATTGAAGGCTTGGACTAAGACTGAGAAGATGGGTCTTGCTTGGAAACGATATGATCGATTGGAGTGGGTGTTTGGTGTCAACGAAGAAAAGATGTTTGGTACCATCGCCATGCAGTCATCACATGAGCTTGAGTTACGACCGAGACATCACTACTCAACTGCAGTCAGACAGAACGGTGTGAGGCAGGAGGAACCTGCACCTATTGAGGGTTTCCTCGTTCGTCTCACCTCCCAAAAGGGCGTTCACCAAAGAATGAACAGGATGTTCTTCAAGCGGCTGTATTTCTTCACCCAGGATCATTTCCTCTTCTTCTGCCGACCAGCCAAGGCATGGCCACCACCGCCCCCAAAGTTTTCCCCATCACAAGCTCCGCCGCAAGATGGAACTGTGCCATCTGCACGTCAAATCCTCGATGAGATACCGCTCTCGTGGGATGTGAATCCATATCCTCTTGAAGACGGCCGTATCGCTTGGCTGTCCAACGGCAATAAAGAGTTCATAAAAAGACACGATGAGGAGGCCTTTGCACACGTGCAAAGGAATGTCCACAACATTGGCCATGCGGATGGTTATATTGATATGTGTCAGGTGCAGGAAGTTCGCAATATCAAGCGCGGTAGCAGTCCTGCTGACACCAACATTGATCATGGACCTTCGGTTGATTACGACCAACAGGTGACGGACTCACGACAGGACGATGGTGCCACACAAGAGTTCAACGACGATAAAACCTTTGAAATGGTTCTGGACAATGGTCTTGTCATCCGACTCCAGGCATATGATGCCGCTAGTCGGGACGAATGGGTCAAACGGCTCGATGCTTTGGTCAAATACTGGCGTTTGCGTTGCGCAACCGATGCAGCGGAGTTGCAGTCAGTCCGACGGCGCAATCTCAAGCTTTTGGAAATCGATGAAGCTATGGAGTCGGTTGTTGGGCAGTTTGCGAAGAAATGGGAAGTGAAGAAAGCTGAGGCATCTCCACATTTGCACAATATGTGTCTGCTTTCCGGCTGTCGGACTATCAAGGTGAGTTACAGCTGGGAAACAACAATACATCAAACACAATGCTAAGAATCATAGATGGCTGGACTACTCTATCGCAAGCCCCGACGCCGCGCGACTTTCAACCAGTGCCATGTCATTCTCACAGCGGGTAAACTGATAATCTTCTCAAGCACGCTGCGTCACCGAAATGGTACCGAAATACCACACATCCATGAAGAGCTCCAATCAACCATTGAACTAGCGGATTGCTATATCTATTCCGGTCTTCTCACCGAAGATGACTTGTTATACGGCAATCAGACATTCGACAGCAACAATCCGGGACTTCATGCTCTCCCTCGGGTTTACCTCGACTCAGATACCTTCACAAGTCACGACGAAGATACCGCTATCACCTTTGTTATCTGGCAGCCTCTGAAGAAGAGCTATTTCCGCGCTCAGGAAACGGGAGTACAGGGCAAAGCGAAACGATCCATTCGACATGTCTCCACACTCGGAAAGCATGGCCGCACGATTGTGTTCAAAGCGCGTAGTCGTGTCGAGAAGGATCGCTGGGTTATGAGCATTTCTTCGGAAATTGATCGTCTCCAGGAGGAGAAGCACGAGGATATACGACTTGTCTCTCCTTGAAAACTGTTTTCAGCGCTGACATTTCTGCATTCTTGCTTATTCGCAATTGCTCATACGAATACCGATAGCACAGTGCTCATTACTTATAATAGTAATACCATGATATCCACAGACATCTAAATATATGTACAAGCTCAAATCCACCGCAACCGCTATAAAAAAACTAGTCTATACACAATGCAACAGGACCACCACTACTAGTTCCATCCCAAGCTATCAATTCAAGAAAGGCTGCTCAACCTCAACAGCATTCTTGACAACCCGATCCCGAACACTCTGCCGATGCTTCTCAACCCGACTGTTCACATCCGCATCACCCCCACTCTCTCCCTCCCAATCGGACGCGTTCAACCATCGCATCCGCGGCCCCAGAACGGCAAAGACCTTCCCAGTAACCAGACTGAGACTGACGGGCCCATACGTATTACTATCCAGCGTCTTGTGCGGATCCTCTGCATCACCTTCTAGCCAGACATGGTTCCATGGCACGATCTGTGCCCCCTTCAGACATGGTTCGCGGGTTGTGACGCGGTCGCCAGGTAGGGCGATTATGCGCTTGATGGCAATATGGGAGGGATTTGCTGGGGATCTAATTGGAAGGGTATATGTTAGTTTGGTTTCTTTCATAGCGAGTCGCTGTTGCAGGAAATAATATAGGAATAAGAGAAGAGAGGAAAAGGCAATACTGACCGGAAAGTCACGACTGTCCCCCGTTCCAGCTTCCTCTCATGTCGGAAAGGTAGTAGCCCACCCCAAGGCCACATATTCACCAAAACCATGTCACTCTTCGTTTGCATTTGATCATAGTCCTCATTGAGGTAGGGTGTCATTGACGGCCCGCGCACCCACATCACTTGCATGACATGTTCAGGGAAGAAGAGGCCAATTGGAATGACGGGTGCTAACCAGCTGAGGGTGCGACATGTTCGGCGGACCGGGGAGGGGAGGCTTGCGAACCGTTGGCGGAGGTTGGATAAGAGGCTTGATTTGAAGATCGGGCGGCGCCTTGGTATTACGAGTGCTGGACCTAGGGGTTCTGCTGGAGGCTCTGGCACTTTCGGTTTTGAAGGAATTTGGGGTACTCGAAATTGGGAGTTTGGTATTGGTGCGCCGGGTTTGCGCGGTTGTGGTTTCGTCATTTTTGTCGGAGGCCTTGGGGAGGTGGTGAGGTGAGAATCAGGTATTTGCGTTTGAAGGAATTGGGAGGGAGGGCTCAATAGGCATTCTTCATACCAATGAGACTAATTGAAACTTAAAAAGAAGGGGGAATTGGAATTGTAGAGGAGGCAGTATTGAGGAAGATCGAATGACTTCAAATGCGCTGATAGAGCGTTTGCACTGTTTGCACGGCGTATACATACTCGGCGTCACATCACAAGCTTCCTGTCTTGTTTACTCTGGAGGCAGTCTGGTTGGATCTTTTGTTTCAACATCTCCATTGAAAGAATGAAACAGCATATGAAATTGAGCTCTACTTGAAAGTACATTGGTGAATCATCAATTTATCATATTGAAGTTATTCTAGTTCGCGTTTTTCTCCAGAGCTAACTCAGCAGTTATCGCCATGGTACACGTGTTCTTGGTTGTTTTTGATTGTTTTGGGGGTGTCCTGGATGTCGTCAGAGTCATAGGTATCGAGGTCATAATATTACTGTATCCTCATGTGGATGGTGCGAGAATCGCTCAGTTGGGGTGGGGGGAGCGGTCGCCTGTACTTCAAGCATCGCTGTTCTCGGCCAAATCCTCGGTGGTCGGCGGAAAATATTCACTATAGACACTGTTAGCTTTTGCTAAGCAATATAGCCAGCAGATGAACGCACGGAATCACTTCCTCATAGGCGCGAACATCCTTGCGCTCAAAGTTGCAGAAGATCACCCGTTCTAGCTTCCCTATGTTGGCAGGTCCTTCGAGAAACTTGCGCACTTCATCAGTCGCAGCCTCTGCAGCAAGGTCACTGGGAAATCCATAGATACCAGTGCTGATAGCAGCGAAAGCAATACTCTTCAGGTTATTCTCGACAGCCAGCTCCAGACTGCGCCGGTAGCAAGAACGAAGTAGAGCTTCAGGACGTCGAGGATCGATGCGCCTCTCACGGAAGTAAACAGGACCAACTGTGTGGATGACATATTTGCAGGGTAGTTCATAAGCCTTGGTGATCTTTGCATCGCCAGTATCGCATCCATCCAGCGTGCGACATTCTTCCAAGAGCTTTGGGCCTGCGCCCTGGTGGATTGCACCGTCTACGCCACCACCACCCAGGAGGGATTCGTTAGCTGCATTGACGATACAGTCGACCTGCAGTTTGGTTATGTCATTGCGGATGATGGAGACGCTGTTGTTGAGGCTTTGGGAGGGCTTGAACTGGGAGGATGTGGGGGCCAGAACATGTAGCTTGTACAAGAGCGCCACTTTGGGGATCTCAGCGAGGGGAACAGCCATGATGAAGAAGCGCACTGGTGTAGTTGCGTAGTGCAGTTGTGCAGTTGCGCAGTTGGCCAGCAAAGCTCAAGTGGGGAGCTCCGTGCGCACGGACTCCACGTGATTGTCTCCGTGATTCTCGCCTCTTTCACTCTTTTTTTTTTTTTCCCTTCAGCCAGTCTGATAGTCCGGGGTCTTTCGGCCGAAGATGGCATCGAATCCCGCATATATCCCGACTATCGGTTTAAGGAGCTTAGTTACAGATGAGACAGCTACGGTCCCCAACCGGAAGGCTGATCGGTGTTGACTCCCCGATAGGCATAGTCCGCTTGAAGACTCTATGCATCGACTCGGATTAAGTTTGAAATACCAATGTCATATGGGCAATGCTCTCGATCCGGCTGCAATGTACTCCATACGGCAAGCTGCATTGCATATGCAGGCAGACCAAAAGACTTCCTGTGCCGCTGAGCCCTGTTCGAGACTCTCAACCCCTGCCATTGGTTATCGATTGACTAGCCACTCAAAGGACGGCCATCTCTTTGCCGCACCCAGGCCCAGAGCCAAGCTCGGGATTTGACATCAGCAGACGCATGGACGTGGCTATCAGCGGCAGTTCTACTGTACACACATACTCACACACACAGAGAGACAGAGAACGGGAGAACTTGATTGGAGACCTCGGTGGCACATGATTTTGCCTCCGTAGATCGCAGAGAACCCTTTGAGGGGTTGTGCGTTATGCGTTGAGCAATGACAAAAAGCAAAGCATTTACAAGGCAAAGGCTAAAAAAAAAAAAAGAGAGAGAGAGAGAGAGTGGCCATGCTTTGCATAATCGTACGATTCCTCCGAGTGTAACTCGGCTCCCAGTCCCCGCCCAGATCATCGGCGCCCATGGCTGAGTTGGGCTTAGGAGAGTTAGGGGCATCTCTCGAAACTGGCCTTCTATCCTGGGCAAGGCCGTGTATCGGGGATCACATAACGGGGAACATACGGGATTCGTCCAGCCACAGTGGGTTTGGCCCACCTCTCTCCACCTCAGGACCTGTCAAAACCACAGCCGTTTTCACCTTTTTTAGGACATCTGGGGGGGCCTTTTGATTTGAAGATTGCCGATCCTTCGGTTGTTCGCTCGTCGATCGCATCTGAGAGTGTCGCTAGTTCGTCCATTCTCCTGCCCCTGGAACCCAACTAAACGGCCTCGGATCCTGCTATTGGCGGGGACTGGCGTAAAATGAGAAAATTCTCCTCGGCTCCGCTCCATCGTAGGAACCAGTTCTCTTTTTTCGAGTCTATCTGGGAGCCGTTCTCGTGCAGGAGGAATGGAGATGTGGATATAGCGCAGGCATTGGACCCAATAATGGGAGACGGGAAGGGTTGTACTTTTCGGATGTGCCTCAGCAGTTCCTGAAAGAGTTACAGTACTACAGACTGGTAATGCGCTACGTGCAGACTAACAATTTGGAATCAGGATTCTGGGAAAAGTGATTGGATTATGGAGACCTTGGACGGCAACTGGCAGCTGTCACATTCGAGTATCCAATGGCCGTTGCATGATGTAGCGCAAATATTACTGTACAGAACCTTTTTTTTTGGAAGCTAGAAGACGCCTCATTCGCTCTGGCTGTGAATAAATATCAATTTGGACCAGAACCCTTGTTCATCCATACGTCAAAAGTCTTGGATGCATGTACAAGCACCTGTCAACCCCAACCCGGTGCTGCAGGCCTCACCTGGAGGGGCGTTTAACCTTCTAAGCCGGCTTAGCCAGTACCCGATATGACTGCTGTCTTTGTAAGGTAATAACGGTGTCCAGGGATTGCTTTCACTTTTTATTTTCACACCTGTCAACAGGTGAAGTGCACCTGGATTTGGAATAATCCCTGTCAACCGACCAGCACCAGGCGTAGGAATCTATCCTTTCTACTGTACATGGATCAATTTGTCAACCTGTCCGATGACTGGTGTGCTTTGTTGTGAACGTGTCAATTCAGTGGTCAATTCACGTTAACGGTATACGAAACAACTGAACAACCGAACAACTATGAAGGATCGAGCATGCATACGGTCGATGGAGCCACCTATCCTATCGGATTCCTCACCAAGCCTCATCAAGCCTCCCCTCTACTGTGCAGTATGTATGCTGTGGAGCTCCTGTTTGTTTCAACACGACCACCTCAACCTCATCATCACACTCCATAGACATCCGACCTTGACCGAGCTGCGGCCGACCCGGCTCAAAATCGAGATCGGAAGGATTCCGGGATTTGCAATGCATTCTGTTGTGTTTCTTGTTTAACTGATGATTTTTTTCTCTCTCTTTATGTTGCCTTGACGGTCTTGACTCTTACAGTGTAGCCAGTTTCCGACGGATGTAGATCGTCCCTGTTATGTAAAACCAACAAAAGAAAAGAACGATTTGACGTATAACGGTCCTGCAGATGATGTACACAAGGCTCCATCGACGTCTCCATCTTGATAAGAGTTTTTTTGTTGGTCCCGGGAGACTTCCGAGTACAGCTTTCTCTCTCAGATTGTCCAATGGCAGGAGAGATAGTCAGGTTTGTTGCGCTTTTCCTTCCTTGGATGCCCCAACTGACTCGAAAGTACTGTATGGGTTTAATCAGGGATATGCTTGATACTGCGTACTTTGGACGGTGTGTTTTCCCTGAAGATCGTCCCAATAGTTCCTGTACACTCCTCGACACGAGTTCACTAATTCATGTACGTGCTTAGCCGTATCGACCCGTCAAAAAGGAAACGGAGCGAAACAAAAAAAAGGGAAATAGAAATGGCCAAATCAAAATTCAAAGAGAAAACACAGAGGCCCAAGCCAGAATGGTACTCGCAAGGTCTGCACAAGCCAAACAGTCTCCATACTGTAATCTCACGAGAGTCAATAGTACGAAGCTTTGACAGAGCCATCTTCGATCCCGTCATGCTATAAATTATTATCGGCGAGATTCTGGAAATGAGATAAACACATCCACCGAGGACTCCACCTGGAGGATCGTAATTAGTCCAAGGGAACGTTTTCCTGGGCATGGAGACAGTCGGTTTCCGCTGGTTAAATCCGTGACGATCAATGGGGGATGTGCGATATGGAGACTCGTTCTGCTGGCCTCGGGAATTTTTTCGGCGAGCAGGCTTCATGAGCTTACTGTGGAGAATGAAATTCGAGGTATTTTCCGAGCTTCGTAGAATTTGAATGGTCCATGCCTCTCATCTTCTCCATGACCTCTCGGAGGGTGAATATATTTTATTTTATTTTCTTTTCTTCAAAGACGATCACACGGTGAGACCGGGATTTGCTGAAATTCAGTGGAGAACTTGACGTTCTAACGGTCTTTTCGGCAGCAAGCGCCAATGTTGCCTAATCTCGCTCTTTTCGCGCTAACACTGGAAGCAGATATTGTACACTGCTGTTCTGCACTAAGGGAAATGAACGATCGCGGTGGGGATCTTTTTCTATTCGAAGAGATTCGAAAAGGAGGTTGATATCCCGTGTGCTTGGACTGTTCCAAAGAGCCTATAGGCTATAGACTATAGCCTATACTGTGATCTGGGACGCCCTGTATAGTAGGTCCACGTGGAACACCACCCTTGTCGGCACATCGTGAGATTCTAAAGCGGAGCCGTCGTCAATAGTGGGAAAATTAGCAAATGACAAAACTCCATTAATATCGAAGATCGATGAGATGTTCGGGGGGAATTCTCCATATGTTGCAGCAACTTGAATCATGACCCGCTCTCTCCCCCCCTTTTGGCGCTTTACAGCAAACCCTAGTCAGGCGGCAAAAAAACTTCTCCCCCCCCAAAACAACACACAAAAACACCCAAAAAAACACCAGTGTCCTTCTTCGATCCCTGGCCTTTCTTCCTCCTGTTGCAGGATCGGACCTCTCGACCCCCCTCTGACTCTTACCCGCTCACTCTCCCACCCTCGCACCCCTCTCTGCAGCTGTCACCTCTCCTTTGAGACTAGAGATCGGAGAGATTCCCGGGTCTCCACTGGAGTTAAACACCCCTGAGCGCCACAATGCCTCGGACCAAAATCTCGCCGGAGATTTTACTCTGTATGGGCGTGAACCGTGCTGGACTGAGGATGCACGTTAGTGGAGAGGTGAGTCTGTTGTCCCGGGGCTATTGATTTGCACAGATGAACGGCCGACTCAATCGCTCCCAACGGGATGGATGCAATATAGACACTGTATGCTTGATAGATTGCCCCCTTTAGTGGGTGTTGATTCGAATTCTCGGTTCTCGGGAAGATTCTGAACTCTGGAGTTGGTCCAGACGCTAGAACAGAATCTAGACGTTGACCGAAATTTCTCTGGGCATATCGAGAGGGGGCAAAAAAAAAAAAAAAAAAGAAGTAGAAGAAAAAAGATAGCATCCAAAATAGATGGCCGATGCGCCACGCAAATAGGGATCGGATCGTAATCTCTTTCCAACTGGAGGCAAAGTGTTGTCGCTCCCTTTCCTTTGCGGTTAAGATTATCTGATCGGCCTTTTTACTGGCGTTGAGGTCCCACATTCCTCTCTCTAGTGTCCAACAGGTGTCTAGAGGAGGTTAAAACGGGCTTTGTCAGGATCCAGTCGTCAGGGGAAACGGTTTTTTCAACGGTTTGTCGATCAATCCCCAGTTTGATGTGGCGATGTACTCTGTCCTCTGTCCGCTGTACAGCGATACACGATACAGAGGTACCATTGGATCACCGTGGCTCCGACGGGGAGGAGCTGAGGGGGCTCTTAGAGTGATTGTCTCATTGGTTGCTGATGTGAAGGTCGTGTGCAGATACAGTGTGCAGGTGTGCAGATGTGCAGATGGGCATCGGTCCCCTCGCAAAGCCCAGGGGGTATCCCGACACGTGAATATCTTCAATGCCGAAGCCACTTTGTCTTTGGAGTTGTCTTCCACGACCATACTCTGTACTGACCGTATTTTGGCATGGCCTCTGCATTTTGGTTGTTCTTGTCTGTGGATCAGCCCACAAGGCGTCTACAGTTGATGCACTTCCCAGTTGCCGTAACAAGGCAACCAAAATAGACTCCAGGGCAAAACAAAAAGCCCCAATTACACTTCGATCTGGTATGATCCATCACGACCAGTTACGATTCTGATAGTTCATTCAAAAGCTTCGGGGATATTCCGGGGCTTTCGCCTTGCCTCAGGCACCCTTTGGGTTTTCCCTTGAGTGATGCAGCTTCACGGGTCTTTACGGGGTTGTGATCACCGGAAACTTTTTGGGCTTCGTTCTTGTCCCCTGGTGGAGCAGAGATCCTTACTGCATTCATGCTCGGCAGGTGAAGTGACCTACCGTGCATGCACTGGAGATTTAGTGCGCACGGAAGGCATCGCAGAGTGGCTGAAATGCTAAGATCCGGCTGGTGCGGGCTGCAATGCAGCGACTCTGTAGATCGATTCCTCGCGCTGGCTGGGGGAGTTGGTTTTTTTTCTTTTTTCTCTTTTCAGATCCGTCAACAAGACCATTGTCCGAGGATTTGTGTTTAGATCTGGAGGACCAGAGGGAACACACACTCACATCCCCCTTCAGAGACTCCGGAGGATTCTTTGTATGCGGTGAAGACGCCGTGAACAGGGGGGCCCCGTTGAGACACGGTCTCGTTTACATGCCAACTGCATGATCATATCACACCAATTGTTCCAGCAATCGGGATGAAACAGCCCCCAAGACTCCTTGGAGTTCCGAAGATCTGACGATTACCTTTGCTACTTGACCGGTTTGGGAGGTCCGTTGACGTTTAGGCCTTGGGCCGACCGTTGAACCATACATCATACTGGGGGAGAGGGCGCCCGTCTGTGCGCGGAGGCAAAAGAGAGAAAGTTCTCGAGATGTTGCGATCCGGTTCTCTCGCCCTCGACGGTGACATGCTAACGGCGTGGGTCTCCAAACTCAAAGACCCCCGTTCAACATTTTCCCAGGTCGATCGCCCTTTCGATCCACCGGTATTTTTGTAGAAGCCATTGATAAGTGTACGGAGTACAGCATGGAGGCTTTTTCCCTCCGCATGTCTGACACATAAGTTAGCTCATACGCACATAGCCCGGAAGGGTAATCCGACCTGAGCATGGGTTGGTGACTAGATCGTGCCCTTGCACTCTGTCTTTTTCGCTCTCTCTCTGTCTCTGTCTCTCTCTCCACCCACGATCTCTTCATCATTTTGTTCCTGGCATTCCCCTCACCTGGGTGTACGATCTCACCAATAAACGTTCCGTGTGGTCCGATCTCGATCCAAAGCTTAAGCACAACGTGAGCAGGGTGATGCCAGTCCTGAAGAGGGAAGCATGCTCCGAGACGTGAAGCCCAATCTTTTTCTATTTTCTTTTCTTTTTTGGAGAGGGGGGGGGGTTTTCTTTTTCTTCTTAGTATGTCCTAGTCCTTGTTAGCCCTGCTTAGTGTGGGTTAGTTTACTCGGATTTGGGATTGAGTAGCGCCCGATCTTGGCTAACGGTCTGACGTAGGCAATATAGCATATCACTTATAGTACGGCTCGATGATCCAGTGATAGTGCCACGGTGTAGTGTGTAGTGTGTGTAGTGTATCGTGTTTCTAGTGTAGATAGAGCCACGATCTAGATCGAGGGAACCATGGAACGGACACGTCAGGAGATCCTGTGTAACCTCAGCCACGCAGTTGCGATTTGAAGTTCGAGTCTCGTGGTGACATTCTGTCGATGCGAGGTATGGGATTCACCGAGTCACCGATGGGATGATGGGATGATGGGATCTTCTTATGAGATCCTGATTCAGAAGATCTCTGAATCCGATCCGTGAATCGAAATCCTTCCAAAAAAACCCCCAACCCCAAAAACCATGCAAAGAATACCCATCGTAATACACAGTCATGACGATCTTGTAATTTTACCCCCTGTTCCCTACCGATCCGCCCATCTCGATCCACCCTCATTTTATTTATTCTGCTGTTTTTTTTTAGGGATTTGGTTTTTTTTATTTATTTTACTTTGGGATTTGGCATTTTTACGATTTTATGATTTTACGATTTTATTTCATGTTGGATTTTATATTTGAACCATTTCTCTTGAAGGTTCCTTCCATTCTTTCTAAGCTTCCCCCCGTTCATTCTTAGCCTCGATCCCCTTGCCCCCCCTCCATATCTTCTTTATATACACCCTTCATCCTCGCTCGAACCTCTTTCTTCCTTACCCCCCCCCCTCAATTCGACCCTGTGTTTTCACTCTGCAATCTATATTACACCGGGACAACTGGGGTTTATCCGGAAACCCTGAAACCCGCAATCCGCTACTCGCAACCCGCAACCGTAATCTGGTCACCGTCGGACTAAACTCGCACCCGGCCACACTCAACGCCACAGTCGAAACTTGGGTCGACCCCCCTCTGCGGGATCTTGGGTTGACATCACTGCCCACGAACAGGTGGAACACTTTTCCAAGTCGCACGAGAGGCGTTCGGACGGCCTTCATCGCTGGGAATTCGGCCGGATCTCCTGACTACTTTATCTCACTGCTTCCCACCTTCGGCGCACATGAAATAGCAAGGTTCCAGAGCAACCGTGATGGGGTCTTTGGAAGTCGCATCTAGGCACAGGTTAGTCGCTTCACCTTCGCGCATATAGTGCCTCGACTGACTCCCTTCCCTTCCCCGCCACAGAGACCCTTTGCCTGCAATAGGGTTCTTAGGCAAAGACGGATCGGCCTACACTCCACACCACACGACGAGCGCCGCGGCGTCGCCAACCTCGATGATGAGCCCGAACGCCATGTACGGCCAATCGTTACCGTACGCCTACGCGTCGAACAACGCTCCGCCCCCGGGTTACATCTCCCCTACCGAGCCTCGTCGGGTCATTGAAGACGAAAAGGACAAACCCAGACAATCCCTGCCCTCCATCCACGAGGCCCTGGGCAATGACAACCCTCTCCCATACCCGGCGCCCACCTCAGCGCCTCCTCCCCAATCTTCACACACCCCTTCGTCGCATCTGGGACGATCAACCACAGAAGGTCCAGCAGGACCGCCGAACCCGTTCAATGGACCCCCAGGGTCGATGATGCGGGAACCGGGCTTCTCGCATGCCGCCCAGTTGGAAGCCTCGCGGGCCAGTCTCAACTCCATCAACACACAAGATTCGCGCACGTCACTACACTCCCTCAGCACGGGCAAATCTCCCACCCAAAGCGCCAAAACCGGCCTGACCTCGGTGTCGGGGTCACAAAATTCTGGATATGAATACAGTGCGCCGACCTCGGCCGGCAGTGTGGCTTCACCGAGTGGATACGGCCATTTCCCTCCCAACTACACCTTTCAATCTCAACCAGGCCCCTCATACCCTCCTCATTACGATAATCGATCTTACATGGCACCGCGGGTGGAAGAAGTCAAGGGTGGATTCGTGGGCCGACCGATGTCTGGTCCACCCCATAGCGACTCCGTGAAGCGGCATCTAGATGTCTACGATGTGGAGACATCTTTGAATGAGGTATGGATTGGCCCCTCCCCCTTCCTCCCCCTGGCAAGACTTGATTCTTGTGGATACGAATGCCCAGAAAGCATGGCAGTTTTGTGTCGATTAAACGGTTTTTTTGCGATTGTCGAAATTAATAACGGGACTAACATTGTGGGACAGATCACCGATATGAGCACACGAACTCTTGACTTTTCACGGCACTATGCAGCCCGCGCACACCAAACACAGCGGTCTGGGCCCATCATTGGCTCCCTGCCTTCGCTCAATGAAGTGGAGGACATGCTCCATATGCAACGGCGGAACCAAGATGCCCTGATCCGGATCCGAACGGCCGTGGTGAACCAGGAACAGGCGCTCGCCGAGCAACAGATGGCTCAGCGGAAGGCGTTCAAGACCGAAGATGAGCACATGGCCATGTACCAAGAAGAGTTCAAGGGCACTGGTGGATTTGCCGGTGCAGACCCAAAGAAACGGCGTGGAGTAAGTTCTTGACGGTTTTTTTTTTCCTCTCCCCGGTCATCATTTCCCTATTTCAGCTTTTCCCCCTGGCGCTGTCACCATGGTTGACAGGGTGTCAACCCACATGATCTCCACCTCTCATTCCTCTCTCGAAGCATGTATGGCTAACCACCACGTTTTTAGAAGGCGGCCCCTCCTGGTCGTTGCCACAGCTGTAACCGAGCCGAAACACCGGAATGGCGTCGGGGTCCAGATGGTGCCCGAACGCTGTGTAACGCCTGCGGCTTGCACTACGCCAAGCTGACTCGCAAGATGGGCGCGAACAAGGCGGCGAGTCTGGGTTCAAATCTCAAGCCGAAGACGGCCCTGGACTCCGCCTCGCCAACCAGTCATTAAGCTTCCTTTTCATGTGGCGTTGAAAAAGGTGGGAAATAGAAGGCACAGGAGTTTGGCCCATTTTTTTTCCCTGGGATTGTCATGAGTTTCTCTTTTTTTATCCCCCGTTCGGCATATTCCTCTTTATTCTTTAGGATTTTCTCCCCCGTTCGATCGTTTCTTTTTCTTTTTTTTTTTTTTTTTTTTGATGCTCTGGGACCTTTCTCTTACTTGGTACCCTTCGATAATACCCTCACAGCTTCCCATTGTTTGGGAGAAAAATGGCATCCGCATAGATTCCCCCGTTTGACGATTCCATTTCTTTTTGCCATTGTCTGACCCTGGTTCTTGTTTTGCTTGTGATTTGCTCTTTGTTTCCCTCACCCTTCCCTCAAGATTGTCCCTGGTTTATACCCTGCATCTTTGTTCCCTGAGCCAATCGGGAGGCCCTACTGTCCTCATCCCGCGTGTCTGTTTGAGTATGTCCCTGATATGATGTGTACGATCGTGTCTCATTCAGCGTCTCTTACATCTCTATGTTCCTAGTCGATATTTACAGGTGTATGGCACTTTTCCTTTTTTTCCCTCACGAGATCTTAATTGTGGCAACATGAAATGATTTGGCTCCGTGCTATATATTATTGGTTTAACTTTTTTCCCCCGTCGAACTGTGTAGAACATGTAAGATGATGGTATGGCGTAGTTGGGGCTATAGTTCGCCTCCGAGGTTGTCGGCCGGGAGGTGGTGACTCAGCCACCGCATGGGTTTCCCACCTTGGAAGTTCTCCAGGGCTGGTTCCGTGTCAGCCTTGAGATAGAGTAGAGAGATGCGAGATGAGATGCGAGATGAGCTGCGCTATTTTGTACATATTTGGAATTCTATTGCCATGTGGCAGCCAGTGAACGCATGGCACTCTTTTTTTTAAGGTTTACTCGTTCTTTTCCTCCTGTTATTTGTTGCGGCGTTTCTGGGGGCGTTGGCGCCACTGGTGTCGACGTATGAGAGCGCAAGGGCCTGGAGAGAAGGATCGGCTTTGGATTGGTGTCAGAATCCATGACCAAAAGCAAAACTAAAAAGGGGGACTAGCTGACTTTGGGTCGGACTACGTATTGACCTTCGATCGAGGGTATACACAGTATACTGTACACAGTATAGACAGTATACTACACAGTATCACCCTAACTGGGTCCTGCACCCCTCCTTACCCGATAGACGCGGGAAGAGAACTCAACTGGCGAGAGCGAAATAAGATCATCGAGATCATCGAGATCATCGAGATAGATCATCCCCACTAAAATTAGTGATTGGACTAGTGGACGATATAGCACGATCATTCGCTGCAAGTATTTGTGTTCACGGGACATTCCCAGATCCATCTCGAAAGTGAGATCATAAGCGACTCGGGGGATTCTTTCCAGACCGCTATTCACACCTCTCAAGATTTGTCAGGGTGATGAACCCCTGTTCGGAGGCAATGCGGTGGAGATCGGTATGGGGGATCGACGCACTTGGGTGCAGTTGGCCCTTTTTGGGGTTGTTTTTCCACATTCCACGATCTCACGTTCGCGTTTATCCCTGCGGAGATCAAGGGTAGATTCTGGGAATTGTATGTCTGTACTGTAAGGTAAGTTATTGCCACCGGTCCTGATTTCTTCCTCGTCATCGCCGTCGCAGCTCCTTTGCTATTGCCATCGTCTTCCGAGATCCGGTTCCGGCCGACACACCCAGAACCACCATCTCGCAGCCGTTCATGCTTGGTTTGAATGATGCATCGTCGGAGGGCTCCGAGTCTTGTAATCCGCCCCGGAAATGAGTGGCGTTCTTCAAATTTGGGCGTGGCGTCCTGGTTCTACGGTAACAAACTCCTGTTCACCGTCATTGTCGTCGCACCGAGTATTGGGAAGATAGACTCAACTCGGGTTTGCATCGACTGTCCACTGCCGGGAACCTCATCCTGAACAGCGATCATGAGGGTATACTTCCTAATCAGGCATATGGAAGTTTGGATGGCCCCCCCTCCCCACCACATCAATAGCCTGTGCACCGAGGAGGATACTCCATTGAGATTCTGATCGGATATGGATCAGCAATAGGCCTGTGCTGCACGGCACATAAGCCTCGAATCGGTGCCCGACGGCAAACTCTATCTGATATATGGCGATCGGCTGAGATATTGTCCTGCACATGAACCGCCCGCATACATTTATATGCTTGAACATGACATGAGCGGCAAACTAGGAGAAGATGCCAATTCAGAACCCCGTGCAGATCAAATGTCGGTGTATAGTTCAGCTGAGATCCACGCGGGATCAAAACATGGCCATCAAAGCTAACTTCGGAGATGAGGATTTCACCTTACTCTCAGACCTCCCCCACCTTTGCCGTGTTGGGGGAGTGGAGTGCAAGGTTTGGATGTTCTTGGAGTGTTCTACTGTCTTCGGTGCACTAGAGTTGGTAGCGGTCTAAGGATGCACTAACAGCAGACTATCGAACTTGGCCTCTCTCTCTCTCTCTCTCTATTTGCGCCTGGCACAACGTATGTACAGTAGGACTGCAGGAGGACTGCATACTACAGTCGTATTACCGTTCCATCCCATATATCCCACATCTTGATCTCTGCATACCGTTACATGCACACGGTCTCTTCCAAGACAATTGGCATTGCAGTCCCAACTGCAGCGGATCTATCCGAAACCGATTACGACCAACTCCTAGCCCTGTCCTCCGTACTCCGTACAGGACTCAAATACAGTAACAGAGGCCACGATCTTCCCAGGGCCAAAAGAACCTATGCGGGAACCTAATCGAACCACAGATCGCCTACCCGTATGGACTCTGATTGGAGCATGGAGGTCCATTCCCGTCAAATATTCCCTGTTTTGTAGGATATTTGATTTTCCTGCAGAGTTCATCTGCTGCCTTCGGTGGGTCCAATCGCATTGGTTTGCTGGAGTGGAGATGGAATCGACCGTCCAGTCTGCTGGGATCACTATTGACTGCCTTTTTGGTCTTAGTTGGCTCTTTGTCTTTTTTTTTCTTTTCTTTTTCTTTCTTTCTTTTTATTGCTTTTTTTTTTCTGGTCCATGGCTTCGACTCACTGTAAACATGTATAGTCACGCAGCTGTCAATACTTCCCGCGTACAACTATACAAGTATGAGTATGCAATGGACCTGCGGAGTACCACATCGAGAAATGACCGGAGATCAGTTCCCTTCACCTGCAGGAGGCTTTCAATAATCCCATGCCTCCTTCAAGATCGATGGATCTGCACATGCCCGGAATCGCGAGAGCGAGATCGAGCGAGATCTCCCGTAGATGGCTTGCAGCCTGGTTGCATGGGTGTACAGTACTGTACTCTCTCTTCCCCTCTATCGAGTCATCTTGCGATTTCTAAATCGAACTAAGCTATTTGTAAACTTACCAGTCCTGCATGAAACTTTTCCAGATCGCCAAATGTCAAGCCCGATCTTGATTTCCCCTCCTTCCCCCCAGGTGATCCTTACTTGATGCAGCTGTCCCGCGCCTGTGATCTCAGATTGACTCCAAGCCAAGCGCGATGAGATTTTGTGGCGGTGAGCTTGGGAACTACGCATTTATATGCTGCATTTGACACTGAAGCGCATGAGGTTATGAGTTGTCGGGTGAGTCTGGTGAACTCGGCCACGTCACTGGTCCCCATTGGGACGATTGGGACGATTTCAACAACGGACATACCCCCTTTCTTTTCGGTTTCTGTCCGTTTCTCTGTATCCTGTATTCCCTATTGCAATGATTTGTGTTTGGTTTTCCTTATATAGATGGTGCCGAGGACGCTAGTTGGTTCGGTGGGCCTAGGAGTTCCCCCAGCATGATCGTTGCCTGGTCTCTTTTTTTTTTCTTTTCTTTTTTGGAACCCCATTTACTCCCGATTCCGACCCGCGCGATAAGCGCGTGTGGTAGCGTGAACTCGAACTTGAATGGGGAAGAGATGCAAAGCAGTGGACGGAGTTTTCGACCGGGAGGCCCACACGAGGGGCCGTTCCTGTGTGTCTCACTGTGATTGATTCGATCTCGATTCGAAGGGGCTTGCGGCTCATATAGTTCGTGGGTCCCGAGCCTGCACGCTCGGCAGCGGAGGCACTATTGAATCTGAGATTGTCATCCATGGTTCACGATTTATGTTGAGTGCGATATGTGGAAGAGATGTGGAAGATCTATGGAAGATCTATGGAAGATCTCAAAAAAGTTCGGTACAGAAGCAGGCTGTCGAGCCGATCCTTCACGCTAAATCTCGATTCTTGATCGCTGTCGTCAGTGACAAAGTGATACTGTACACGGACCCAAATCGAGATTGGGTCGAAGAAGTCCTCATTTTCTTCCCAGACACGTATATGAAGGAGGCTGAGACATTGAACTAACGTTTAACTTATGTTAACTTAAGTTAACTTAAGTTAATCAATTAATTACAAGTGAGCTTCCATAAGCGGATTACCAAAGCCAGATCTCGGATCCGACGGCTCCGAGATCTCACGTGCCACAGATCGGTCTTCGGCACCGAACCCGGCGATTGCCGAGGAAACTGACCAAAACTTGATTACTGCCAGTGTTCCTAGGTTGTGCAGGTGGAGTCCGGCTATCTACCGCCAAAAGGCTGCCCCAACAGAGTTGATGTAAGCAATCCCTGCGTGGCGCCAGGTATCAGCCTCCATGTGGCTAGTACTATTGGCATCGAACAGGAGATCAACGGGCTTGGCTGTGCTGTAAGCATCCCAATGCACAGACTGATTGACAGCAACAGGATTGGGATTCAAGTCATGGATGAACGAGGCCCACATGCTCGTCATCAATGAACTGAGGTCAATGTATGACTGGGGCACCCCGGCAAACGGCTTGCCGTAGTGGTATCCCAGGCCGGCGAGGTTGTGGAATACAAAGGAGACTTCCTCGAAATGGGTGGCCCCCGAGAGAAGGGGCACATCGGCGGATCGCACATTGAACCGATAGCAATATGCTGGCGTGGATGTCTCGGCCCAGGCTTCGCATTGACGCCGGCGGTTGGCGTGCATCGTCCAGTCCCCGGCAAAGGCAGAGGTCCGGCGCCATTCATATCCGTTAGATGGGACACGCGCATCTTCGAGATATGCTGGGATACCTTGCGAGGGGTCATCTGGGTAGAGCTCAAGGATGCGCTTGGCGACCGATGGTGGGGTTTGGAAATTGAATCCGCCGTCTGGATGAGTTAGGGTTTGATATCCAATCCGGAGAAGATCATGTCCATACCTGTCAAGTAGTCATACCATTCTTCCGTGGTATTGATTCCTTGAGGGCCAAATGCTGTCCCTTCATCGGTATTGGTGCCGGAGATGATGGGAACTTTGACGAATGCATGTTGATTCAGTTGAACACTACCCCAGTGTCGAATCAAGTCTCCATCCACCACTGGGGAAAAGTTATAGTCGGAATCGCCATCTGTGCCATTCAAAACAGAATTGAGCGTCTCAAAAGGAACCTCTCGTAGACACTGGAGCGAGTCTACAACGTCGGAGCAGCCGACCCTCGAGGCAATCGTATCGTAGTCTGATTGGAAGGTGGTATAGTTCGATGCACTGGCGGAAATAGATCCCCCTGACTCCATGATACCAGCGCGGAACAATCGGTCGTCACGTCCACCGTAGGCTGTGAGATGATATCCCACGGACATGCCACCGGCCGACTCGCCCCAGATAGTCACTTTCTCGGGATCGCCACCAAACGCGCCGATGTTTTCTTGGACCCATTGCAGCGCTAGCCTTTGATCCCTAAGTCCAAGGTTGGTGTTCCCACTGCCGGAGACTTGACTTGAACTGATGAAGCCCCACGCTGACAGTCTGTAGTTGAGTGTGACAGCAATGACGGGTTTGCCTTTCGTTCTCGGTCAGATCAGGAGTCTAAATAGTGACTGAATTGACTCACCAATATCATATGAGTTTTCTACAAAGGCAGACATATTGTATCGCTCATCTGCTCCAGAGCCCATATAAAATCCACCGCCATGGATCCATACTCCAACGGGAAGCTTCGAATTCTTTTCGACAGATGAACCTCGAATGACGTTTAGCGTCAGGCATGCTTCCGACTGAGGATACCAAATGGAGTCGGTCTATATTCAGAGTTAGCGAATGAAGCTCAATTCCAAAATGAAGTAGACGCACTCCATATCCAACACATATGTCCGAGTAGGCCTTTGCATCGCGGGCATCATCCCAACTTGTGTTTAATGGTTGCGGCACCGTAAATCGCAAATGATCCACAGGTTGCTGGGCATAGGGCATACCCAGGAAAAAATCTTGATTGTAGGTAGTACTGTGAACTCCCGCGTATGTTCCATTGCGCACTGTTACCGTAGGAGAAGATTTGGATGCCGGGGCAGCAAGGACCGCCGTGCCCAGGACAAAGCCAATCGCCAAACCAAACATCATAAGGAGATTCCAAGGTAACTTGGTAACACTTTCCCTGATCTTTCCTTCTGTCCCATGCCCCATTTATAGTCGCTGTCAGTCTGGAGTTGCGGGGAAGACCCCATAACGGAGCTGGCCCAAACCGTCCAAGATCTGCACTGCTGAGAAGTGCAACCGGTTCAAATTTGCCCCGGCCAGGACGTCAATAGGAGTCAGAATGCGGGATACTTGCTGCGAAGCCCTAACTCCGAGAAGCGGGGAGAGAATGGCGTAGGCTTGGCCCAGGCCTGTTGCTCCACCATTTCCCCTTCAATGCCTGCTACGCGGGGTATGGGGCCCCATTCTGGTGATCGTCTTCACGGCGGAATGTCTGTTTTGGATATAGACTGTTTGAATAGACCGAAGATTACCCGAGCGTGTGCTCTTCGGCATCGGTTCACGGGAAATGGCACGGTACAATGTGAGCATTAAGTCTGTCAGAATACTCGGATATAACTTGAAGACATGCCAGTCTTAGCTCGAGGGTCTCCGATTTACCATTATCATGCATGACAACTACAGCAGCATGACGCGCTTCCAAAGTTAGACCCAGATAGTGACATTCATATCCGATAGTCACACATAAGGCATGTGGGAGGTAACGTTAATCAACGATCCCATAACGGAAAGAGTCCATCGGAGAGGAAGCACCGCATCAATATAGCAAGCTGTACCAGCAGATAAGCTACTATGTCACACACAAGGCACTCACTCCTTTGGTCTGACGGGATATCGCATTCCAGATATGGATCAAGGTAATACAAGGCGGAAAGACAGGGAAACAACATGCCGAAGACTGCAACGGTGACAGCAAGGGTCAAAAGTATAGCGCCTGCCACCAGTACTTGCACACGTGCATAGAGTTGTTCGCTGTGTCTTGTGAGAGATATGAAGAAGTAACAAACCTCTGAAGTCAAGACCGGATGATTTTCCATGATTTATATTCCTACCAATGTGCTGGTCACTGTTGACTTGCCCTCCCTCTGGGGACGAACGCCAACAACTGCTATCGCAGGAAGCAGATGCCATCATAGCTGCCACACATGGCTTTCTCGCTGCGCTGAGCACGAAATCCCGAGTCGACTTTGAAAATCACTGTGTTGGAGCTGGATGGATGTCTCTCTCGCCACCATGTCCCACGACCCTGCGTTTCTGCACGATCGGTTCGTTTGTTGAGCATGTTACCACGCTCAAGGATGATATCAACGAGCGCATCTGGGATCCAGAACTCCAGGTGCAGGAGTCTGGCAACCTTGCTGCTGTGTGGGCACCCTTCAGGTCGAAGATAAACGGGGTCGTAGACCACGTTGGTGTCGAGCTTTTCATCTTGCATAAGCTCAACGGCAGATGGAAGATAACTGGACTGGCAGATTCGTGTCGACGGCCAACCGAAGAAGAGAAATTATTGGATTAGGAGGATGGAAAATTGTGGTACAAAATAAGGAGATCGATGGAGCCGATGCCATGAAAGCCGACTCAATGTTATGAATATGTGAAAAATATGTGAAAATTCCTTATGCTCCCGCTGTACATGCTTCCACCCCGGATATCTATTTGTGAGTGGATACCTCTATTTAGTTCTTTTTGCCTCGGAGCATCTCCCATCCAACTGATCCAGCTTGGCCTTCTTTGATAGTCATCTCTTCAACGGCCTTCACAAGATCGTAGGTAATCTCCTCGGAGACTACACTGTCTTGCTTGTATGAAGGGTGTTTGGCGACAAATTCACGCATCCATCGAGCTCCCGTCCAGAGAGTTCCGTCGGCACGCTTGCGGATAAGATCAAGATAGCTGGCCAAGAAACATCTGGTCTCGACATCAACGTTGACGCTGTTGAGGTAGGACTCCACAAGCGGAATGAGGCCTGGGAATGTTCCGTCTGCACAGCCATTCACAATGTCGGAGATGGTCATGAGCTCGAATTCTGATTCAACGGGACCCAAAGGAGGAGAAGGAGGAGGGGTGTTGACAGCGGATGATGTAGTGGACGAGAAGGTGCTGCCGTTTGTGGACTGTTGCGCGCTCCGGGGAACTCTACGAGAGAAAGGATCCTTGCGGAACCAAAACTTCTGGTCGAGGACAGCGTTGCGAGCGTGTGCTGTTTCCATGTTCTCGGTTGTACGCTGAATCGGAATGTAAAAGTTGAGATCATAACTCAAGATGGCACGAGTAATAAGGACGATGAAAATGCTAAACGCTGCATTTTCAAAGTCGGTAATCTGGATTTCCATGGAGCGGAACTCCACTCTCCAGCCGATGTCGTCCTTGTCAGGCGGTGGTGGCTTGAACCGCATGTGCTGCCAGTTGGTAGACTGTAAATTTTCAAAATGATCGCTCTTGTTGAGGTCAAGCTCTTCAAGGTCTTCGGAGAAGATGACCAACGGGTCGCGAATAAAAAGGTGTGCAAAGTGAGTGGCTAGTAAATCGTCCATTCCACCGTCCATGAGGCGTTTCTTGATGTCCTCATCGACGACTAAATCAGGATCAAAGTACTCCTTGCGCAGTCGAGGATCTTGGGATATGTAGGTAGAGTTAGAGGCATATCTAGACTTGGGAATTCTCCAGCGGTCATTTTTGAGAGGCTGCAAGACGTCAGTTTCAGGAATTAACCTCATTATTTCAGAGGAACTTACAGCTTCACCAAGCTCCTCAGGAGTCCTGTCATCGACCGCATTACCAATTTGGTTCCAGCGAACATCCGTATCGACGAGGAAACCCTTGTAAATAGGTGTGGCGGCAGTAAGAGCCAGCAGAATAGGACCAAGAGGACTTAGTTGATCATAAAGGCGTCTTCCTTCAGTCATATTCTTTGCTTGGAAAGTGATTTGCAAACAACAACTGCCCATTCCGAATGCCATTGCATCCATGTAGACATGGTCATCCTTGGCAGCACCATTACGGACATCATCATCCTCGGGCCAATTGTGGAGATCATAGTCGACAGTTGGATCCTTGAATGGCCTTGGTGTGTTTATGTCGTGGAAAACGGGTACGTTCAATTCAACCTTGCGGCCTCTGCGTGATCGAATATTAGCAGCAAGAGTTGGGAAGCGAATATGCGGATTGGCAATCTCATCAGGAACGAATTGCGAGCGGAGGGCTGGCCCAGAGGGAGGATAATATGGCTGGATGTAATCATCCTTTGTTCCCAGTCGAGGGAAGGTCGTCAAAGTGATAGGGACTTCGTTTGGGGCCATGTGGGCACTTGCAACTTCTCGTCTTTGGAGTCATTAGGATAGTGTCAAGCCATACATCTGTCCAAGGAACTTACCTCCACTTCATATTAGACTCTACCTTAAGTAGGTCCTTGAAGCCAATGCCCCATGGTTGTCCCGGAGTTGCTTCCAGCATGAACCTTCCAAACTCAGGGTGGAAATGAGGAGGTTCTTCGCCCTCACTAGTGACTGTCAGATATGGTCCTCTATGTTCATATCGATGCCCACCCACTGTTCTCCATTCTCATTGCCCTTGCTGGTTCCGGACTTCCACAGCGCTTCATCTCTCGCCAGTGATTTCAGAATATCGGCCTGAGCCAGGGACAACCGCGATTTCTTTGCCGCATCATCAAGGGCCACCACGAGGTACTCGACCTAAGTCCGGAGTCTGATCAGTAATGCGACCGATACACACCAGACCGAAAAACGTACCTCATCACCCCAAAGAAGAGCATCGCGTTCCTTTCCCTTTGCTCGGCGCCAATTGGCAAGTAATTGCTGATCATGTCAGCAGTTGCACTATGCAGCTGTCGTTGAAATGCATCAAATGTATGTCACATACTTCAATGCCCCACTGGCGCACCTGGTCCGCCTTTTTCTTGGCTTCAGGCCATTCCAGCGCTGTTCCAAGAGCTCTATTTGTGGACATTAGACAGATGATGGCGGGAAAGTTTGATCATAGTAAGCACATACAAGAGACCCATGGCGTCGAGATTGTAAATCTTGTTGCGACTTCAGATATGAAATCCGGGCACAAGTATGGGGTAAGATTAGGACAGGCCCAGAGTGATAGAGAACAGAAGTCGAACACGAAGAATCTCGGGGTAGATTAAGTGTATGAACCCCCGCGCATGCTCCAAATGTACTTCTGCCTGGTTCTTTGCAATTCGGAAACGACAAATCGCATGAGGGGGGAATTTTCAGACGCCGCAACCGCCGTAACTGGCGGGGCATCTCGGCGATAGCGGCCTTGATTTCTAAGCAGTCAGGTGATTGGTTTATCGCGAAGTATAGACATCGCTGGACTTCTTTTGACTCTGTTAGACTCTTTTGAAGGACTAGGTCGTGTCATTTAAAATGGTATATTGTGTAGAGGGCTAGACGGAGCCTGGTGAGATTGATCCCTGCACTTGCGTGTTCAGGGATCATCATAGCAACCTGCATTATAGGCCCGAGCACTGAAGGAACATAAGTTGGTTGCTTGTTAGTGAGAAAAGGTTTGCCATGAACTCTTTGGGCCTACAAGATCTATAAAGGCTCAGCTATACCTAGTGTTTGATCATTTGGAGAGTAAACTTTGTTCTCTGTCACTCCGTCATGCTGCGCAGGGTATGCTGTAGGATGGTTTGTGTTTATGTTGGTCCTGTGGACATGGAGATTTATTTGAATAACATTTTTAATTTTCACTGGTGGTGTTAGGCAAAAGAGCGAAAGGTGGTCATATAGAGTGTGGCCAGTCTGACAAAGTCAAAATTAGACTATTCTTTTATTGTGCCGTTTGTGCTCGAGGTAAGAGAGTATATCGAGTAGTTATAGAACTCGAACCGTCAGAACGAGACCGTATAGTCAAGTAGGTAGATATCAATACTTTTACGGCATACCATAGATTAGGCACAGCCTCCTACTAGTAGCAGTGAACACGATGCAATTTGACATTTAATTCGTGACCCGGATATTTGATCTTGCAGTCAAAGCCATTGATCCGCTGTTCTCGAAATCGGCAACAGCTGGAGGGCGTGCGATGTGCTCTCAAATGCCTGGACTTGTCAAGATATCCAGCAGGAAAATCTGGCGTGATACCCGCTCTGTCAAGCGCAGCTCTACACGAGCAGGACACCGAGCGTGTTGACTTATTTGAAGTCAAAGGAAGCATTGGGTCGCAGGTAAATCGCAAAACAATCGTTGTTCAGATGGGCGGATAAAGTGGCTGATTTCAATGGAAAAGGTCCCAACGCCAAAAGGCAATCCATAAGCAGTTTCGGTGTATCTCTTATTTACATAGCCTGCTGCTCTGCAAGCAGCTCCGACCGCGCATTTCAGTAGTCGCGCAATTTAGTTGCTGCGGGCGCCGTCCTTGGCGGCACGCAACTCATCCATCTTGGCCACGCGCTTCTTGAACTCTTCGTACTGGCACTTCTCGTAGGAGTGTCTCTCGTCCTATATGGATCGAATTAGCCAATGAGTTCTCTGAGGCGTAACGATCGAGTCGAGGGGCCCTGGGATATTGAAATCGAGGGATCTCGTACCTCACACTTCCAAGGAAGGTAGTATTCTTGTTGCCGGCAGCGGTTCAGGGGAATCAAAAGATGCGCACACGAGTCTCTGTATTGCATGGGAAGGCGGGCTTCGGACATTTCCTGGCGGGTTGCTAGGAGAAGTTAACTTCCTGCCAAAGCTTTTGATTGCGCCTCAATGGCTTCAATTTCTTACCGGAAGACTCTGAAAGGCCCACGGCGCTCTTGACCGACTCGATGACAGTCATTTTATCGGTATTGAAGGTGGTAATGGCAAAGAGCGGGGAAGGAGAGGCTGGTCGAGGTTGGCGACTCCCGCTCGTTTGATGTTCCTGCTGTTCCGATGTGAGGGCACGTGACACTATCACATGACCAAAACTACTGCATTAGGCTTAGCTCGCAGAAACCACCACTTTACGCGTAAGGCGCGTCCAGATCCCAGCTCCACCAGATTGTGTCTCTGCGTTCCCGGTCTACAATTTTCTTGTATGAAATGCATTGGAGCTTTGAAGCATACCTAAGCTGATCAATTTGTGAACCCCCAACAAGCGACATTGGACGCAAACGTGCGTAGTGTGGCATTTTGCTCATCGGGAACCTACTGGATTGCAGTGGCCAACGGCGACGTACATCATGGCGGGATTGAATCAGATTTACTCTGCTACTTACAGTAGTGTAAGTACACCGCAGAGGAAATTCTAACACGTTTCTATTCGACATTTTATCCTGCATTGCACGTACAACGACTGATATAATTGTCACCAGGTCCCTGTGTTCGAGTTCAAGCTCGATGGCGACAGTGTTATGAGAAGGCGGGGTGATGATTGGGTCAATGCAACACATATACTCAAAGCAGCGGGCTTTGACAAACCGGCACGAACTCGTATCCTGGAACGCGAGGTCCAGAAGGGAGTGCACGAGAAAGTCCAGGGTGGCTATGGCAAATATCAGGGTATGCTTTGTATGCGCGAGATTTAAAACTTGACCTATGAATATCTAACACTCATTGCCATTAGGAACATGGATTCCACTCCCGGAAGGTCGCCAACTTGCCGAACGCAATAATATTCTTACCAAATTAGCTCCTATCTTCGATTATGTTGCTGGAGATCACAGTCCCCCACCCGCGCCGAAACACACATCCGCTCAATCTAAACCAAGGGCACCCCGAAAGTCCGCTGCTGCAAGCCGTGCTGCTGCTGCTGCTGCGGCAGCAGCAGCGGCGGCGGCGGCAGAGACACTTGCTGCTCAATCACAGCGCAGCATGGGTCCTCCAACCATCCCGCAAGACCATTATGATCTTAATACCGGATTTGATGACAATGAATCGCTTGGACATGCCACAATCGAATCCTCGTCAATGGTTGCAGATGAAGACATGCTTCAAATGTCCCATGGTGGCCGGAAGCGAAAGCGTGGAGTGGATGAAGCAACCGCTATGTCAATCAGCGAACAGGAACATATCATCTATGGTGATCAACTTCTAGACTATTTCATGACTGTGGGCGATGCTCCAGAGGCGACGCGAATCCCTCCTCCTGAACCTCCTGCTCATTTCCAAGTTGATCGCGCCATTGATGACTCCGGAAACACCGCCTTACACTGGGCCTGCGCGATGGGCGACTTGATGATTGTGCGAGATCTCCTGCGCAGAGGGGCCAACGTCAAGGCACTGTCGGAGCATGAAGAGACGCCACTCGTCCGAGCTGTTCTATTTACCAACAATTATGAAAAGCGAACGTTCCAGGCACTTCTAGATCTGCTCTTGGATACTGTGTCTTTTCGGGATTGGTTTGGTGCCACTATTTTCCATCATATTGCAGAGAATACTCGAAGCAAGGGAAAGTGGAAGAGCTCCCGTTATTACTGCGAGGTACTCCTCGATAAGTTATGCAAGACGTGCTCGCAAGACGAAATTGATTTGTTGCTTTCATGCCAAGATCAGAATGGTGACACAGCCGTTCTTGTCGCTGCTCGCAATGGCGCATTCCGCCTAGTGAACATACTTCTCGTGCATTGCCATCGCGCTGGTGATCTCGTCAACAACAAAGGAGAGACTGCCAGTATGATCACAAATCGATCTAACCACGCGGAACAGGATATTCCTCCAGCTCCATCTTCTACCATAATGGCCAATGATCACATGGACGGTGAAGGGAGTGGCCTTGCAGGAGATCATCAGTTTTCTGCCGCCGCCGATGCTCCTGCGACCTCAGAATTGCTTTCCAAGATAGGGACTATCATGGCGGAGGCAAATAAAAAGCTTGCTGTGACATACGGGAACTCAAAGATCAACCAACAAGATTCTAATGATGTTGCGAACCCCGAAGCCTTACATGAACAACTTGAATCTGATCGCCAGAAGATTCAAAAGCAGCTTGCCGCATTGTCAGAAAAAGAGGCTGAATATGAACGTTGTGACGACCAAGTTGGTCGCTATGAAAAATTACGCGCCAGTTACGAGTCTCTTCTTGAGCAAATTCAGCATTCACGTCTTGCACAACAGCTTTCAATCACGGAGACACCGAAACCGACGCCAGCTTCTCTCGAACAAGATGACTTGCTGACTCGATATCAACTTTCCCAGGAGCTGTGCTCTGCCCAGAGGATCCGCCGCAATACCGTCAAAGATCTAGCCCAGCAAACAGCAGATGCCGGCGTGAGCACCAAGTTTGACGTGCATCGCAAACTTGTAGCCTTGGCGACTGGACTGAGAGAAGAAGACTTGGATCCTATGGCTGCCGAGTTGGCTGAAACTCTGGAGTTTGACCGACTGAACGGCAAAGGCACAACTCCAGAAATGGGCCACCGTCGATTGCCGTCTCAGAAAGACTCGTCTGCACTTACTGTGCCTGGTGTTTCGGTTGATGCTTAGGTCTTGGTTTGCTTTACATGTCACGATTCATTGATTTTCTCTCCTTCTGGCATACCCAGAGCCGGCAGATACCCTGCGTAATGTCTCTTTGTTTCTTCATGTTCATTGTCCTCTTCTCACATTTTCATGGCTTCTCGCCGCCTCATTTACACCTGTTGTTGGAAGGAATTATTTGGACACGGATTGTCCAACGGTTTCCGTGGGCTTGTACAGAGTTCAATGTGTAAATAAAGGGAAACGGTTATCGTTGAACACCACAACATAACATTTGAATGAACAATCGCCCTCGGTGATTTCATCGGGGGTCAATAACCTTGGGAAGCATGATTAATTTCGTAAGTTCCTCACTGAGTGGGCTTTCCGACTACTGCCAGACATTGTATGGCTTTGAGAATTGAGATTCAAGTACCATTCTGCCCATGGTCTTCTTGGAATCGAATGGTATATTTGGAGCATTCACTACTAGTAAGATGGGAGGAGCTATTGTAGACAGGTTTAAGAGCGCGCCCCATGATTGTACAGAATTCAGACGTTCAAGTAGTGGGAAATGAAGTGCAAAGTCATACTATACAGTATATGTAGCATACGGAGTAAATCAGTGGCAAAATAAATGGCTTAGGCGTCTTCAACTATGGAATTTACATCCAAGATCTTCACGACCCATCGTGAATGCAGATCATAATCACGCTAGCCCAGTAGCTCCCTTAAACGACACACGATCTGAACAGTGCCATGGTCTGTGCAATCCCACCTGATCTTCAGCCCTGAGATGTGATAATGAATAATCAAAATGTGCTCCGAGCGAGTAACAAGCTCCTTAGCAAGCAGTTGAAGTGAGACAATTGGCAGCCTCCGGCAGCTTGGCATCAGCGGCGAGCGGCTCCAGGGACATTGTCAGGCGTAGACGGCGGCCACGTCGCGCCGCTAGTGGCTACCAGCCAATGATTTGGCAGGGGATGTGACGGGGGGTCACTGTACATTACTGTAGGCCTAGGTGTGTTGCTTATTGGTTGATACGACGAGCCAGTCAGAGCCGAGTAGGCATCAGTTCATATCACCCAGATGGATTTAGGCAGAAAAACTGGGAGTTCATCTTGAATTGCCCAATAATGCAGAGTATAAGGAGCTCCCAGAAGACAGACTGACAGTCACAAAGAACGAGAGAGGAAAAGAAAGAAAGAACAATGGAAGAAGTTGGGACCTGAGATGTCTCCGATCTAATCTCCTTTGGGAATAGCGTGTATATGGTGCCTGAGGCTGCACCCGTTCGATAATTCCCCACATCCTCACAACTTCGCTCTTCTCTTCCTCAACCATCCTAATTTTCGCTTCTTTCTTTCTTTTTTCTCCCCCCTCCTCGTGTCTGCATTCCTTCTTTCCCTGCAGCTCGTCTCGTTTATTGGAAGAAAAGACCAAAAAAAGCACCCTTGCAAATAGTCTCCGATCTGTTCCGCCCCTGAAAAGGTTACTCGCGTCTGGCCGAATTCCGATTCTACACTACTTTTCCGACCTTGCTCCTTTCACCTGGTTCTTGAACCTGATTTCGTCATCTGCATAGCACTGAGTTGTTTGATACCTTCAGCTTGTGTCTCAGCCTCCAGGTCTCAAACCTCGGCCTCGCATCGCCTCTTTATTATTCACCTGGGATTTGCAGAGCATATCCTTTGGCTTTTCACTTCTTCTTATTCCTTTGCGGTCTTTCTTTACAGACATTTCTGCGATACCCTCATAATCGTCTTTTCGGTGTCTGTCATCCCGTTACGTTTGCTTGCTCGTTGCTTCGAGGCTTGTTTTCGACTTTGCGAATCTCAACCCCAGTGCAGCTCTTGTACAGCTTGATAATTTTGGCAATTGCCATTCTTATTGGTGCGTATTTTCTCTCTTTTGCTACCTGATGTCGCTAACCGATTTTTCACCGCAGATATCCTGAATTTTGCATCTTCGCTTACCTTGACGGCCGTCGAATCTCGAGCTTCCGGGTTCATTTAGCGCTCCTCGCATAGACAACATAATTTCTTAATCATCGGGAAGTGAACTCAGCTTTGTGGTTGATCCCAAACGCTCTCGAATCCCCGACGCGAAACAACGCGACTTGCTTCACTCGCATAATTTTGCACATACCTACAATTCTCCCCTCATCAACCAATATGAGTATGGACGCTGGCGGTCTTGCTCAAATGACTTTCAACTCTTCTTTCGATAATGGCGGTTCCCTTGGGGTCCCGGGCTCTGGTTTTGCTTCGCGTCGCAAAGGCTCTCACATCAAGCGTTTGAGCGTGCCACCCCAAATCGCTACCATTGATGAATCTCAGGCTTCCGCCTCGGTTTCTACTCCACGCACCAGTCGTTCTCACCTCTTGGCTGGGTTGCGCACTGCTCCCAAATCTGCCACAATTCCCTCCCAACAACAACGGAATGCAATGGAGGGTGGACGATTCCCTGGTTTCCCTAGCCGAGGGGCAGATCGAGTTCCACAAACTGCGACAGGAACCGGATTTCCGCAGCAAATGTACGCCAATCAAGGCATGAACTTGCATCAATCTCATCAGTCGAACCACCTACACCAATCCCATCAAGCGCAGCAAAATCGCATGATGTACACTTTGCCAGAGCAAGTGCTTGCACCCCCCATGCTTGACATTGGTGGTGGAGATATCCCCATTGATGAGAACATGTACGCGGAGATCATGTCGACCAACTTGTTTCTTGCTGCTCAGCAGCAGCGCCTACAGCAGCAGCTGATAAGTGTCACTGCTGCTGCTCAGCAATTTCAAGGTCTTAACTTGGGCATGACTCAACATCAGCAAGCTGCCTCCCTTCCCGGCATGGGTTTTTATCAGCAACAGCTCCAGCAAGGCGTTCAGCCGATTGTGCAGCCAGTTCCTGGCAGGCCTGGATTGTTCTGTGTTTACAATCCTCTGACTGGTCAGCAGAGTTACATTATGGATAACTCCCAGGATGATGGTCCAGCTCAGTCCTATCAAGATACCCGATCCCATGTTGGCCAGCAGGTGCCGCAATTCCGTGCAGAGATCTCTCCTCCCGGAGAATCTGCGCACTCTGTGATGCAATTCCCGCAAACCATGTCGCTTCCCACTGGCAGCCCCTCCCCGCCGCACGAGGCATCTGTGAGCGCTCTTCGCCGCGGCCACCGGAAGAATCCTTCGTTTAACCCGGCCATTAAGACCAGTATAGATACCAACAAGGCCAATGTGGGACATGGCCCTCGTTCTGCTGCACTACCGCCGACACCAGCTACTGGAACCTTCGGACCCGGTCATTCCCGTGCTGGTGAGCATCCTATCCGTCAGCCCCGTGGACCTCCTTCGCTCGAGGATCTTGTTGCCAAACCCACTTCTCAACACGAGGGTAGCAAGAATTTCGCGACTCGTCAACGCCGCCGTGCTGTTCACAACCTTGTTCGTGCGGGTATTGAGCGTCGTGGCGATACACGTAGTCTTGGATACCACAGCAGCGGTGGTACTAATACACCGGCAAGCGAGAAAGAATTCACTTTCTCTGATGGCGATGATGCAACCGTGCGCAGCGGTAGTCTCTCCAGCAAGCCCAGCCTCGGTAGCCTACGTGCAGTGGCCAATGGTGCCATTGGATCTGAGAGAAAGGAGAAGTCTGGCCGGGAGCGTGGCTCCCCAGACAGTTCTTTCCACAGTGCCACCCCAACCAGCGAGGATGGTGGCTATTTTGGGTCCAAGTTTGTGGATGTTCGTGGGGAATATGCCCCTTCGCCTAGTCACAGTGGTACCTCCTCGCCCTCAGTTGCGGCTGTTGTTGCTGGCCAGGGGCCGGTGGCTCAAGCACCAGAACGGCGCAAGACGCCAATGCTGGTGTTGTCCAGCGCTGAAAAGCGCAAGACCCCTTTCATGTAACACTGAACATCATGTGACAGCGACGTATGACCTTTTTTCTTTTCAAGTTTCCTTTGGATTGGTCTTGTCTTTTATTTGCTACCTCGACTTTGATCGAGCCTTGATGAAGGTTGAACCTTTTCCACTCCTTTTCTTATTACTACTTTGCCTGGCTACATTTTTAGCTCTGATGTTTCGTGACGAAAGACCTCGATTGGTCTGCAATGACTTCATTTTTCCTTCTTTCATTCCTTTTCAATGCCTCTTATCCTTCTGTTACCTAGACTCACCGCAGCTGGGCTTGGACAGAATAGCTTATTACCTGGGATTGAAGACAAGACAAACCGAACTCACATCGGAACAGGCCTTGTTCACGGTACAGCCTCTTCTTGACATTCGGTTTCTGGTGTACATCCGGTCATGTACATATCAACAGGATAATCTTTCCCTTGTCATCTCATTCTCCTCGATCCTTTTTGCTCTTTGTACAGTAGCATGCATAAGCCATCACCTCTAAGAACCAATTCACCAGTCGGCTGATGGTTGATGTACGGCCTGCGTTAAACGACACTTCAATCAACTTACACAGAGCATGCTGCAATTCTCATGCCATTAAAAAGGGCTTGCCCAGCCTACAGACTCTTCGAGGAAGTGGAAAGATGTGTTATTCCGCTCATTTTGTACAATTGAAGAAAGACCAAGTGACAGGAGACGACCGTTCAGGTTCGAGAGTTGCTGCTCAATGTATGGTTTTCATACCGCCCTTTCTTTCTCCTTAACCACCACAAATACACTCGGCACATTTTGTTAAATTGCAGGTATCTTGAATATGAAATATATCAGGCAAGTCTATTTCCCCAGTTGAAAAAGTGGTATTGGGGAAGGAAATTGAAATCGAAAATCTAACCAAGTCCCTCTAAAGTGGTGTTATTTTAAGCCAGGGAAGTTTCAACTGAGCCAGATTCTAGTTTAATGAGATCCAATGCCTTTCCATTCGGCACGATTGGAAGCATTTCCGCCTCTTGCACCAGAACTTCTAGCAATGCCGGCCCCTGATACTCTAGTAGCCACGTAATACAGTCTGAAAGCTCACCAGAATCACTACATTGCCGGCCCCCACATCCCATGCTCTCTGCAAGCTGCACGAAATGGGGATTTCTCTGACGGTTGTAGCAGATTCGGCCCTCATAATCAGCCCGTTGAAGCTGGGCAATCATTCCTTGAGTGTTGTTGTTTAACACAATCACTTTGATAGGAATATTGTATTGCGCCGCAGTGAGAAGCTCTTCCATAGTCATGCAAAATGAGGCATCGCCGTCAATATCAATCACTGTGTGATTCGGTTGGGCTACCTGGGCTCCAATGGCGGCAGGGACTCCGAATCCCATGGTTCCCAGAGCACCAGATGTAACGAATGAATGGGGATGTCTAAAGCGATAACGCTGCGCTGTCCACATTTGATGCTGTCCCACGCCTGTGGTCAAAATGGTGCGGTGCTTGATTGGCGCTGTCTGGCGATCTACCTCGGCAATCACCCGCTGGGGAGAACACAGGCTCGCCGAGTCTATTTGAGGCGTTCGGAATGCGTACTGCTTCTTCCAGGCCTTGATCTGATCCAGCCAGATGTCATTGTCGTCTCTCTTCTCTAACCGTGAGAGCAGAAGTCGCAAGGTCACGGACAAATCACCCAATATGGGCTGCGTTGGTTTGACTACCTTGGCCACACTTTCTGCATTATTGTCAAACTGAATGATGCCACCTTGTCCAGTTTGGGCTGCTTCTCTGGCTTTGGGGGCATATCCAGCTGGACTACCCACGGCTCTCTCCTCCAGGCGGGCCCCAAACACAAGTATCAGGTCGGCACTTTGGAGAGCGTAATTGGCATATGGAGCCCCATAAGTACCTATCATATGCAGGGCCAGCTCGTGATCTTCATCAAAAGATCCCAGTCCTAGCAAAGTGGTGACTACGGGGATTCTGTATGTTTTTGCAATTTGAGACAGTAATGCTGAACCGTCCTTGCTAGCAAGGACCCCATGGCCAGCACATATGATTGGACGCTGAGAGTGGTTGACAAGTGCTGCAACCTGGCTTACTTGAGGCTTTACACTTTCGATATCACAAGCAAGTCCAGGAAGCATAGCCCTGGGTATGGTTGTCATAGACATGAGACCGCTTGGTGTGTCTTCCCCGGGTGGTGTCAGAGGGTAGCCAAGTGAAATTGGGTCCAGAACCTCTTTGCCGATATCCTTTGGTATGGAAACAAGAACCGGTCCAGGTCGAGCAGAGGTGGCTTGGTGAAACGCCTCATTGATGATGTCCGGTAAATCACGGACGCTTTTAACGGAAGAGCACCATTTGGTGCATGTCCGAGCAAGGGGAACAACGTCAATTTCCTGGAAGGCCCCAGTTCCTTGAACAGTGGTAGCTACCTGACCGCAGATAGCCACCATTGGTGTTCCATCCAATAGAGCATTGAGCAAAGGCGTGACGAGATTAGAGCTTCCAGGGCCAGAGGTTACCAGTACAACGCCTGGTTTCATGCTCGCACTCGCATAGCCTTCTGCCATATGGCCAGCCCCTTGTTCATGGTGAGACAGGATGAATTGGAAGAGGTTGGTCTTGTAGACTCCATCAAAAAGAGGAAGAGCTGCACCGCCTGGATATCCGACTGATATGGATGATTTGATATTAGAGTAGGATCCGAGCTGTTTCTAGGACAATTCACATACACACATGGTCAACATTGTGGCTCCCGAGAAGCTCACAGAGCAGTTCACCTCCTGTGAGGCCTTTGGGACAGTCGGGTTTCATTTGAAGGTCTGGCATGGTTTGACGTAGAAACCTTGATTGACTCTGAGATTCTGAGACTGAGATTCTTGTGGCGGCCATCTTTAAATAATGGTGTTCGTTCATCCCAAATACTTTCGTTATGTGTTCAACCACCCAGTTCTACGTATAACCAATGATATTTGCGTTCATCGATTCTGATAAAACTTGATTTAGTCAGAGAGGGCATTCTAGAATAATTTGATCTTTACAGTATGACTGCACACCCTCGGGTAGGTCAGGAGACTATATCGGTAAGGGAGAAAGTGGCAGGACGGTTTGAGAACTGATCAACATATGTTGGGCTGCTTCTTCAACTTCATTCTGCCTATAATACATGATGTTCCAAGAATTTTGGCCTCATATGCATGTTTGGTGACACGGGGCCACCCAAGATAATGCATGTTTGGCGACACTGTGCTACCACACATCACAAAGGTTGAGACTTGCCTGGAACAAGGATCAGATTCTATTGTTTAAACTGGAGAGGATCTGCCAGACCATAGTGAGAGAAATGGGAGCCTAACTCGAGAGTTGACTTGCGCATACCCTCCAAAGTCTTACCACGATCTATATCGTCGTCCTTCAACTCCTTGTTCAAACACGATGACCAAGAACAATATCTATCAGTATTCCGTTCTAGGTGCTCTCTTGGACGGCATCTGTCAAACAGGCCCTTTGCTCCAAAAGGCCCTGGTTCATGGCGATCATGGCCTCGGCACTGTCCCCGGCTTAAACGGAGAAGTGATTATAGTGGACGGCAACGCCTACCACTTCCCTCCAGGGGAAAAGATTCGAACAGTCCAAAGCTCCCACGCTCTCCCTTTTGTGATGATGACTCGGTTTGAGCCAACATTCCAAAAGACCTTTCGGTCTCTAAGCATGAATTCGCTACCTGAGGCATTGAATCCTTTGCTGCCCTCTCGGCAGAACTGCTTTCTGTCAATTCGCCTCCATGGAATCTTGAAAGATATCAATTTTCGGGTGATAGCAGGACAATGCAGACCCCGAGAGCCTCTTTCGGAGTTGGCCAAAAGACAGGAACTCGTGAGCCTGGAGGATATCGAGGGCACACTATTTGGCTTCTGGTCTCCAGCTTTCAGTGGAGGATTCAGTGTCGCAGGCTTTCACTTGCACTTTTTGTCCAAGGACAGAACTAGAGGCGGTCATGTTACAGGGTTTACTGGGGAAGTCAGCCTCCAAGCGGCTGTCATTGACAAGTATACAGTTGAGCTGCCTCACAACGAAGATTTCAACCAGGAGATCATCCATGGTGGAAGGGAAGCTGAGCTTCATGCTGCAGAGGGAGGTTAACTGAGGCGTGGATGATATATACAGTATCATCTTTATCTACACTTATAGATCTTAGTATAGATACAATATATGATAAATAGATGTTAATGATACCATTGATCTCTCACTACCATTAGCAATAGCTTGCGCAGAGGCCGAAGCCTCAGAATTGATGAGTGGGAAATAAACACAGCTAGTCACATTGGCTCTGGCAGCTTTCCGTATCTTTTGGCCCTCGCCTGGAGAAGAGGCACATTGGTCCGGGATGTCTGGGGCTGCCATGTTTTGCAGGCCAAACTCTATGCTCAGGATAGTGTCCAGTGACCATTAGGTCCCTATTTGAGGACTAGATGGTGGTTTCCTCGAAACGGGGGAAGTCCTAGGACCCAACGTATCTCATCAGCGACGCGTTCTGGCTCGGTGATCTGTATATTGTGGCCACTTTAAGTCGTGGAGAAGCGCACGTTACTCGACAGATTCAGGAGTTCACGCTGAAAGGCCTCCTCACTACCGTCCTAGCGCTCTAGATAGTGACGAAAGGCCGCTCGCTCGGCTTCAGTCCCCAGGCCTTGAGCCACACCCCGCTGGTACATCCGCTCCTGGTCCCGATGTGAATTGCCCCGGAGCACACTCAGCGGCTGGCCGCAGAGGAGATCTCGACTAGGGAGGAGTTGCTGTTTCTTAGCTAAGACGGCCCGACTGACCTGTAGATAAGACAGCTCGCGGGTGGCCTGTTGCGTGTGGTGTAGGCTAGCTTCCTCGGCCATCAGCTCAGCCCACTCGATCTCCGTCAGTCGATACTCCCGGGTCAGCTCGACGACTTCCATATAGTTCAATCCTGCCGTGACAGCTGTGATACAGGGATCGGGCTATGTCTCGAAGAGCATCCGCTCCTGTACGGCATCCACGAGCACCATCCCACAGATCACTTCGGGTCCACGGGAAGCAAGAAACTCCCGCGCGAGAATTCCGCCCCAGGAATGGCCAACCACTAGGTACGGGGGTGGCAGGGCCGCGGCGGCAAGTAGCCGAGACAGCTCATCTACAATTGTCAGGGAGTCCGGCTCGGCGGTAGGGCATGCTTCGCTCTGACCGTAGCCAGTCCGCTCATACAGCAGCACGGATGCATCATTCTCGAGATTTCGACACACCGCGCTCCATTCTAGCGCGCTGCTGGTGATCCCGGTCAGAGCCACCACAAGCGGAGCGCCGGGCTGCCGAGGAATTCCTCGCAATGCGTAGCTCAAAGAGTGGGTTCCGATGTGAGCGGTATGTCGGAAGTGTTCCATGGTAGCAGGTACAGAGTGAAGGAGAGATGGTATAGGTTTAAATCCCCCATAGATGGCGAAGAAAGGAAAGTGAGTCACTTAGTATAACCCCAGTCGGAAAGAGGCTTAGCCCTACGCTTGTTTGCATAGCCTTATTAGCCTTTTGCGACTCTGAATTTGCGCTCTAGGAAAACGATCCAAGTATCGAGAGTCTTGAATTAATGGATAGATGGATCGTGTTCAATCCATCCAGTATGGCTGGCTTCCCTCACATAGCAACCTACTGGAACGGCCCGAAAGCCTTACCCGACAGCCCTAATTGGAGCACGAACTCCGGAGGCGCTTGGCTTTCTTCCCCCTCCCTCCCTCTAGGACTGGATATAGCTGTCCGAAAAGGGCTAATGTAGAATATGCAATTGTTTTCTCGGGGATCTAGATATTTCAGACATGTGTCTAACCGAGAATATGAGCATCTGAGGAACGTCTACACGCTGCAGTCCAAGCTTTAAGCATCAGTCCCTGCATCTTTCAAATGTCACACCATTATGTCCAGCACAGCTGGTCAGTGTGACCTTGAAGAGTATGAGGGTGACACGGGCAATTGTGCGGTCGCGCTGTTGCATGGAGATATGGGGTAGAAGTCGGTATATTGCCACTCGGCTTGATATAAAGTCACTGGCCCAGAAAAAGAAGCACATGATCGATCTGAATATATGCTCATTGGAGATGATTTGAAGGGCCAACGTTTTGAGTTCCATCTACGATCATCCTCACTGTTTCATCTGCTATATCACAACTCACAACTTCATTCTCGCTTTCCTGATTGGGATGACTCGACAGCCACAGCTGCAAGCTTAAAATTCCGAACTTGTCCAATGCAGAGATTGAATAGCATTCAAATTCTAATGACGACTTCCTAGATAAATAACCATAGGTCGCACAATGACAAGCCTAAAAGCTCATGGAGATCTTGACATCGTGGAAAAGCATTTGCGTTAAGCCAGGAGCGCGTGTGGTTGTCACCCTTTCTTATTGGCACAGGTCACAACCTGGCCAGAGAATGGCCGAGCTCATGGGCACAATATCCCTGGATATTGGTACATTTGCTTATCTGCTGTACTTATACTGCGCCGTGACTGATCAACCCTCCCTACAACTTCGAGTGCTCAGCGCCAAGTCGGGTTTCGGGGGTCTTCCATGATTTTCGCACATGGTATGGATATTCTTTTGCTAAGACTTCGGTCGAAAAGAAAAAAGTGTTCTTGCGAATCCACCGGAGCGATCCCGAGACATGGTCTATGTGGACTATGCAAGTGGGTAAAGAATAGATTTAAATATATGGCTCTTGACTGGTCGAGTAGAAAGGAGGTATCTTGCAGGTATCTTGCATATATGACGATGCTTCGCCTGTCGGATGATTTCCCACGTTCAAGGCACACAAGGGGCTGGACCAATTCACAAGTACATTACGAATATGCTGAAGATGGCATAAAGAAGACAGGTCAGACTCCAAATAGCACTGAGTCAGCATGAAAGGCTTATTGAGCTATACCAAAAAGGAGTTGCTCCACTGATCTGCTTCAATCGTCAATTCTGAAGATCCTTTTCCAACCATACCCCGATATCACAACGCCCCCTTTGGCTGCGGCCATGAGACTCTCAGCTACTTTGTGCTACCTCATAGGACTGTGAAACCAACCAGTCTCTTTGGTCTCATCGACTGTGAGCTCGGTCCCCTTCTTTACCCTTGAGCACCTGTTCTGTTCGGACGAGATCTTGTAATGCGTGTCGTTGATCCACGAGCCGGAACCTCGGCCCTAATGCAAATCATCTCCTTGCAGGTTAAGAAAAACTGGGTCAATTTCAACTAAACGCGTCAATCTCCCGTGAAGTATCCACCAAGGGGAGGTCTTCCGTATCTATTGTGAACCATTCCGGTAGGCTGTGTCTCTGACATACCTTGAACCATCCTCCACTCTAGCCAAACAAGAAAAGAGAAAAAAAAAAACATGTGCCAGCTGGTCTACCGTGGCAAGGTTCACAATTCTCAAAAACAGATAAATCAAAAATCAAACTCAAGCAGAAGAGCCTACGGAAGTGGCCCCTTGGTGGCTACACGGGATCATCATGGCGACCAAATCCCACCAATCCATCATAGTGTCTTCAGTTCTTCTGGATATGGCCCGTGTACTGCTAAAAAGCCCCGGGAAGTGTTTTCTAATTGTAGTTTTCGAGCCAAGAATGGCCTAAATAGAGAAACACCTTCCCATGCCATGATGTTAGGGCTCTTTTATATCGACATATTCCTCCCCTCTCACACAGAAACCCCTTCCTCCGAGGTTACAGATGCCTTGAACCTCCGATACGCTATCCTGTCATCCATAGAATTATGTACTCGTGACAAATTTTTCCTTTCTGGCAGGTCTTCCACCGACCCTGACCCCCTTTCCGAAGAAACCCCACGGTGGGTGGGTTTGTCTCATTCTTTGTGCTTTGCTCCACGGATTACAAGGTCAGCTTCATTTCTAAAGACGATTGAAACTATCAGGCTGAGGTTTTCAAGTTAGCTCACATATCTGACTGTTGCCGGGCTACAGTCAGCCCTACCGTGCAGCTCTCTTCAAGTCCGGTCACCGAAGAGGCCTGTGAGCTCCATTGAGTAACCAAATGACAAGAAGCTTTCTATTATAAGAAAACTAGAAAAGAAAAAAAAAAAGAAAAAAAGAGACCAAAAACCCACCCAAATGGCCGGGGGTTATTTTGACCTTCCGATCTCCCGCCGTTCTAAGCCTGATATTAAACCACAATCAGGCTTGCGTTTCTCACTGCCCGGTCATAGACCTAACAAGTTGTCTCAACGGATCCCGAGTGGCGGTGCACAGGACAGGCATCGGAATGCAGGCATTCCCAGCACGAGTCAGTTCAAAGTGGCCCGCGAATCCGAGAGCGAACCCACAGCGATCGACTTCCGACTTGACCGAAGGGGTTGTGAGCTATTGCAAAGACCTCTGCCCACGGCCAGCATTCCAGCTATTCAGGAAAGCAGCTCTCCAAGCTCCTCACTGGCTGGACCAAGGGTCGATGGCCTCACTAGCGCGTCAGTGGATGTCACTGGCCTGACGATCAGCACCGGGACTACTAGCTCGGGGACTGTAGGGGAGCTGCATGGGCGTATGAATGACAAGGGGGCTATCTACTTCGCACATCAAAGGGCCCATCGACTCATATCCCTTTTCAGTCCTCCAAAATCTCCGAAGACAAGTCGATCTTTGTCTTCTATCGCCTCCACTCCGACTGAGGCGGGTTATGCTGAAGATGGGGATAAGTGCCCTATAATCTCTTTTCCTGAGAAACAACTCTTCGACGACTTAATACATGATCATGAATCGGCCTTCATAGACCGGCGATCAACTCCGCGCATCTCCAAAGCCCAGTATATTTTGCGCCAAATGTCACCCCGAGACTTCGATTTCCTGACTCGCCTTCGAGCTCCCTCTGTGTCTGGTCAGGATACCCCAAGCGAAGACCGAGACTCCGAGTCCTGTGACCGGCCAACTCAATACCGTGGAGGGGTGCTTTCATCACTCCTCAAGCTCTACGACCATTCGCATAACAGCCATGGTCACGGTCACGGCCATGGTCGTGGCCGCTATGAGCACACACGCTCTCGACAAGGGAGCGCGTCCGAATGGAGTGAGCGTGGCTTGTCCCCAGACTCTGTCTGGAAGCCTCCTAAAAAGTGGTACGACAAGACTTCTGCTCGCTCGAGCATTTCCGTGGCTGGATCCTCTCAGCATTCCCACTACTCTAGCTCGCCTTTTGCGATGCTCACGCGGTCCCGCAGCAGTGGTGCTGCTATTCCGAGTCTAGGTGGTCGTATCAGGCCTAAATCTCAACTTGAGGATGAAATCCATATCACAGTCCATATTGCTGAACTTTTATCTCGGCAGCGATATCTAATTCGTCTGTGTCGTGCCCTGATGAAGTATGGAGCCCCGACTCATCGGTTGGAAGAGTACATGCGAATGACAGCCCGAGTCATCCAGATTGATGGACAGTTCTTGTATATTCCTGGCTGTATGATCATTTCATTCGATGATGCCTCTACACACACAACCGAAGTCAAGGTTGTCCGGTCCAGTCAAGGAATTGACTTGGGCAAGCTGGCCGATGTCCATGAAATCTACAAAGAGGTCATTCACGATGTCATTGGGGTCGAAGAGGCCATCCAACGACTGGACAAGGTGATGAAGAATCCAAGCAAATTTCACATTCTCTTCCTGATCTTCGCCCATGGCTGTGCTAGTGCATCGGTTGGACCATTCGCTTTCAACGCTCGACCGATCGATATCCCTGTCGCTTTTCTGCTGGGCTGTCTTCTTGGAATACTTCAGTTGATCCTCTCGCCTAAATCAAGCTTATATTCCAACGTCTTTGAGATCTCAGCTGCGGTACTGACCTCTTTTCTTGCCCGTGCCTTTGGAAGCATCCGGTTCCAGGGTGAACCTCTCTTCTGCTTCTCAGCTCTGGCACAGTCAGCCATCGCTCTCATCTTACCAGGATACACGGTTCTTTGTGCAAGTCTCGAGCTCCAATCACGAAGTATCATTGCTGGATCCGTCCGCATGGTCTATGCTATCATCTATTCCCTGTTCCTCGGATTTGGAATCACAATCGGCACAGCCGTATACGGCCTACTCGACTCACAAGCCTCGACTGCATACACATGTCCTGCCAGTCCCATTCATAATGAGTACCTTCAGCGGTTCCCATTCGTTATCGTGTTCACCGTCTGTTTGGCAATTGTCAATCGTGCCAAGTGGCGGCAAATTCCTATCATGATGGTTATCTCTCTGGCAGGCTATGTGGTCAATTACTTCAGCGCTAAGCGCTTCTATTCCAATACTCAGGTTTCCAATGCCCTCGGTGCCTTTGTCATTGGCGTAATGGGCAATTTCTACAGTCGGCTACGACATGGTCTCGCTGCTGCGGCCATGTTGCCCGCCATCTTCGTTCTTGTCCCCTCTGGTCTTGCAGCCAGTGGCTCGTTGATATCGGGTATCACCTCTGCGGAGGAGATGACCCGGTCTCCCTATGCGGTTGTCAACAATGGAACACAGGGATTCGTCGATGCAGCGAAGAGCCTATCATCTGATCAGGCGAAGAATCAAAGCTATGGCGTCGTCTTTGATATCGGATACGGTATGGTACAGGTTGCTATTGGCACTACTGTCGGTCTGTTCCTCGCTGCTTTAGTGGTCTATCCACTCGGCAAAAAACGAAGTGGACTGTTCAGTTTCTAAGCTGCCAATATTTGACCAGCGACCCCTGACATCCCCATTCCATTTGATATCTTAGCGGCACGTCTGGCTTGCAGGTTTTAATCATTTGCTTATGCGGGCGTAGCCTATCAACCCCTTGCATTTTATCTTGATGATCTACAGAGATCTTCACTCTGAAATCATTCGTCATTGAGCGGCGAATTGAAGCTTGCGTTGCGTATGCATACGGACTATGAGCTCCGTTCCTCTTTACCTCTCTCCCGACTCTCAGTCTGGACATATATAGAAGCTACGATTCTTATGAGTCACGACCAAAATCACGGAGGACCTCCCTGTGTGTATTTGTTCTGTGCTGACCTTTCCTTTCCCGGGACTTGCTTTGGTCTTGATTTGCGGGTGTCTTTTGGAACAGGAGGCAGGAAGAGCAAAATTGTTGTGTTTTGGGGTTTGTATTAAGGTCTTATCTTGAAATTTAGTATTTCCTTGCTAGCGGGCTCTTGAAGCGTCAACATTTATGGAGCAGCACTATCATTTACCTGGATTTGTTTTTTTTTTTGGAATTCTGTCGTGCTGTTTGTTATTGTTTGCTACATACGGAGTACATTGTTATCTGATATTTGAGATACCTAGGCTATATTAGCTTTCGTTGTGATAATTTACCGTGTTGGTTCAAGTCTTGCATATACTGTAGGTTAAGCCCTAAGCCCCGAGGCTCTCTGCAAGGGTTCATACAGTCGGATTGCCGAGGCTCATTTCAAGGAAGTAAGCTTCCGGCAGGCTGCGTCACACAGCCAACAGAAGTCTATTTGTTAGATTGTCTTGGATTGGGTTAGATTAATCTCCGAGGTATAGTTCATCTCCAAGATTGGATATAACAGTGTTGTGCTAATAATTGATGGCATGCATTAGGCACTACTAGGCTACCTATTTACCCCAGCCTAAAATCACAATTCACCGCATGAAACAGATCACAACCCCCGAACTCCGAGCTTGTGGAAACGATGTAAATGCCAGCCAACCCCATAAATGCGCCTTTCCCCAGTCCCATGAGAACCGGGGCTCATCAAGATCATCGCTACCAGGTCGTTCGTGGGGAACTTTTGCAGTAATACCCAGATCGAGGAAAGGAAAGAATGAAGAAAAGAAACGAACGAAGAATCGCCAGAAAAGAAATTATTGAGGATATAAACCGGGAGAAGAAAAACTCGGAAACAGCAGATGAATGGCAATACTATCGCCTCTCGAGCCGACTGAGTGCTCCCAGAATAAGACCCAGGTCTTCTCGGGGCCTTGGGATATCTGGCGGCTGGTTATTATCGTCGCCTTCGATTGCGAGACGGCCTTGTGTATTATGCGCGTCGCGCTCTTCTAGTCGTTGTGAGCAGATGCGGAGTACTCGAGATGAGACGGCGTCTGCGGAAGCGCGGTATAGTTCGATGTCATGTACACCGGCTGCGAAGGCATCTAGTGTTGGCGCGAGACCAGCTGTAATGCGTGATATTTGGGATGAGACAGCAGATGGGGTCATAGGTGGTCGGGTAGAAGATGTGTTAGAAGATTCCTCTTCAGGTAGAGTCGGAGGTTTGAGAGATCTCAATATGGCTTGTTGAGAGGGGTCTAGGAGAGTGGGATCAACTTCTTCCCGTTGTGATTTCTGAGAGGATTGTGTCTGCTGTTGCTGGCCCACTTGCGAGTCCGACTTAAGGGCTGGAATGGCTGGTTGACGGAGGATTGCATTGAGAGATTGTCGTTCTTTTTGTAATCTGGAATTCGTTAGCCAAGTGGTACGTCAACTGAAAGCAATGAATACTCACTTTTGTATGTGCTCTTCCAATTCTTTGATTTTATCCGTGTTCTGCACGTTTCGTGGGTTCGGTTTCTTCACAATCACGGCTGGAGGATTCACCTCCTCCCGAGAGAACCAATTGGAAAGCTCTGAATTGCTCGAGAACTCTCGAAGTAGCTCCTCCTGGATCACACGTGCTGCTAACCGTGCGCTCTGGTCATCCGAATTTGAGCCCCCTGAAGGCTTGTCGCCCAACGCACGAGTCGCACACCAAATCAAAAGCTGGCGCATCCTTCGCGGCTCTAGAAGGCCTTCGTCTGCAATGTGCTTATAAAAGTCTGCAACGCTGACTTCCCGATGGGGTAGTGCTATACAGTAGAAACCGATCAGTGGCTGGCCTTTAATAATATTTCACAGACAAGAAAACTCACCATTAGACGTGCCCGAGTCGATTAAATCACTGGCTCGTCGTCCCCGTCTGCTCAAACTGCTTCGTCGTCCTTTCTTATCACCCTTCCCACCCCGGAGCTCCTTGTTGCGCTGGATGACCGGGGTATCAGCTGTAGGCAGTGCCACCTTAGTTCCCGCAGGCGGTTGTTCTGGTGACCGATATCCGTTTGTCTCTGGCGCTTTCGGTTTCGGGGGTCGTCCTTTTCTCGGTTTCTTGGCTTCTGGCTGGTGCTCTGGACTATCGCGGGTGTGCGTTGCGCGTGTCGCGGTTGCGGACTGAGTCTCCAATTCTGTATTCGTCTTTCCAGACCCCCTCGTCGGCCTCCTACTTGGAAGCTCCATGGATACCCCCTTCGCTGGCACCCCGCTTGAACCAGTAATATCTTCCGGCCGCTTCTTCGGTGGCCGCCCTCGTCTCGGTGTTGCCTTAGGGTGTCCATTCTCCATATCCGAATTGGGGTTTTCGGAAACCGCTTCAACTGAAGGCCGGGACTTCTTAGGCGGTTTTCGTGAGAACTGGAATCCATCATCTTCCTCGTATTGCACTGTAACTGCTGGGTTAGACATTTGCCGTACAGGATCGCGCAAATCCCCCATTCAAATGAAATCACTCACCAGGCTTCCGTTTCCCGTCCTTTGTCAGTTCCTCCAGTCCTTGTTTACTTGCGCTTAATCGCGTAGTCCTCCGTTCCCCTGCGCCTCTGAATACGCCCGCGGATTGTGATTGCGCCTTTGGGGCCGCCATTGCTATCGTCCCCAGCGGTTCGCGACGCTTTGTCGTAGTCGTAGTAGTCGCCAGGACCGCGATTGTCATGTCAGGAGGGGTGCACGCGGGGTTTTGTTGATAAGCCTTGTGGACGAGGATATCCTCTGGTTTTGCGTTGGATAGTCTCTATAAGCTGTCTTTTTCTCCAGCCGAATACCCCTGGTTGCAGAGGCTTCCTGGAGAATCAACAAGATCAACTCCCCTGTTCGGAAGGACGCCGGCCTTGAAATTTCTCCTCTAGGCAGTTCAACTAGCTCTCAGCCAAGCCACCCAGATTGCCGATTGAGTAGTCGCCTAACTCTCTGTTGGCGTGTATAGTGGTGGTAGTCCGGTCGAGCTGGTCGATGCTCGCGGATAATGTGTTCACGGTGGGCGGAATGTCAGGCGCGGGTCGCGTTCAGATGCAGAAGCTGCGGAAATTGAGCAGCAGATTATGCGATGTGGTTGTTCAGTTTGACCACGAAATGACACGCAAGGGGAGCGCAGCATAGGTCGGGGGGTGGTGAGTGGTGGGTTGGATTCTCGCACGCGGTTGTTTTGGTCGGGCGCGTGGGGACTGCGCTAGTCTGCTTCGGGATTTACAACCGTTATACTTCAACTTGTACTTGGCTGTTCTTCTTCTTCTTCTTGTTTTGTCGGGGGAATTAACCTGACTGATCTCTTTGCAGAAAAACACAAAATTGCATTTTCTTGTCCTTCTTGCCCCTTTTTTTTACCCCCTCTCGGATTTAGTGGACTCTCAATACTTGATTGAGTATCAGCTTGATCATGCTTGGGCAGCGAATCTCTCAGAGAAAATGAAACTTAAGCCAATCATTTCGAATTTGAAGAAATGACAAATTATAGTAGCAGAGAATAGAGGTCATATTCAGAATAAAAGCATGGAACAATGAAAATATTTTGAAACATATATATGTACTGTAGCATGTGGGATAAACCGATCAAGAACTAGGAACAACTGGAGCAAAACAAGCCACACTGTGGACGCATTTTTCGAATAACAATACATATACAAGAACATCGAAAATCGCTTGATGCATATTTTTTTTATATCAAACTGTCTCTCATCTCTACAGTGCACCACCTCATCACCAATGCTCGCAATGTGCAGAATTCTGCAGATGAACGCTATGTTGTGTAAAATAAAATGATACAAATGACCCCCGCCAGCGCCAATGTTGAAAATTATGTTCAGTGAAAGAGTGTCGGATGTTGGGAGTTGAGTCCTCAAAGATACGAAAGAAAGATCAGGTGAGTGTCTTCAGTATGGTGGAAGGGTGACTCGGGGGTGCAAGACTGCCTTCGATGCGACGCTTGGCTTCTTGCATCTCCTCGGCGGTGATATTCTCGGCCTTCTTGGGCATGTCGGGCTCGAATTGAGGGATATCGGGACTGTGGCCGACAGACATGCCAACTCGGATCTAGATCATCTAGGTCAGTGTCGTGGATCAAAAAACACATAGAGCTGATACGGACCAGAGTTTCTAGAGCCCCCTTGGAATTATCCACCAGGTCCCTGTCAAAGTTGACCTTGCCCTCTTCGAAGAGAATGAGAAGGGTGCTACCACCGAACTTGAAGTAGCCCAGCTCTTCAGCGCGTGTGACTTTCTCGCCAGCTTTCCGGGTGATGACCGTGCTACCCACCATCATGGCGCCAACACAAACAACCATGACCCGGCCATGGGAAACGGAGTCGATAGGAACGAGGACGCGCACATTCTCACCGTAGACATCCAGCGCGGAGCGAATCGCCATGGGATTCACAGTATAGTACTCGCCCTCAATGGTTTTAGGCTCGCCCATGATTCCATCGACGGGAATATGGAAGCGGTGGTAATCCTGGGGCGCCAGACGAAACACACCCAAGGCGCCATTACGATACCGAGCTGCATCATCTGGATAGGCATTGCCCAACAGCCTTTCAATAGAGAACTCGCGACCCTTCACCCAGACACTCGTTGCGTCGCTCATGCGGTCAAAGACGACGGAGCGACAGTCTGCAGGGGATACGACGATCTTGGGCTCCTCGGGAGCGGAGCATGGACGGGCATCGGGCTTCAGCGCCCGGTAGAAAAATTCGTTGAAGTTACGGAACTTCTCAAACGGAAGCAAGACTTCAGACATATCCAGTTGGTGGAAGTTGATAAAGTCTTGGATCTGAGATGCAGAGGCTGGATCGTCGTACTTCCGGCCCTGCTTGACACTTAAAGAACGAAGAACACGTCGAATTCGTTTCTTTTCCATGTCACGACTCTTGATACCCTTGTAGAGCAATCGGATTCCCAATCGCACATAGACACTCATACGTTCTTCGTTGATCTGACCGGTGATACGATCCTGCACAAGAATATTGGCCGAGTTCGCTCCGAGTTTATATCCACCATATGAGATCTTTGTTATGACTTTAGAGTACCACTTGCGCTGTGCCTGGCTGGAGGTCACGAAACCACCCATCACCAGGTTGTCAACCTGCCGCCAGTCGCGACTTGCACAAGTAGCAATGTGGGTAATAATATCCGCATCAGAGCGTTTGGAAAGACGAGGCTGGTGGCAAAGAGGACATTCACGGATTTCAATAACGTGCTCCTCACCCCTTTCATCCGCGAGATCATCGGGCTGAGGGTACTCATCGTTGGAGCTTGACTGGTCTTCTGTAGACAGGGTAGGAATGGTTGTTCTACGTGGGTCGGAGTTGGAAGGTGCACTGGTGCTGGATTCCAAGTGCTCATCGCTGCTAGATGGTTCACTTTCTTGGCTTCCAGAGTTCGACAGCGGCGGGAGCGGGGGCAGCTTTGGAATGCCCATTGCATTTCGCTTTTGCAGAGTCTTAAGCGTGTCCTCAAGGCAGACCACCGCCTGATCGAATGAGAGATCGTCGTTTCCATTGGCCTCGTTCTCTGCGCTGAAGCGCTCAAAGAAGCTGTCAATGGTTGACTCCTTCAAGGTAGAACCGAGAGTATCAAGCATTGTTGTCATCTCAACTTTGTCAATGCAACCGCTCTCGTCTGCATCGTATTGCTTGAGCATCAGTCTCCAGAATTGTTGACGCAAAGCACTATAAGGTAGGAACTTTGCCTTGACATGCAACTCGGGTGAATGCTTGTCTTCCCAGCGCTCCCGGTTCTTTAGAATGAGAGGAATTGTATAAGATCGGAAGCCATCTTTGTCAGGTGGCGGGGCCGAGTCACTATCATACGCAGTCGTAATGGAGGGCACCTGCAAGGAGCTGACGCTATCCATCTCTGCAATTCCTTCTCCTGGGAAGGAGGATGGAGTAACAAGAGTTGGCACAGGTACATCCTGCATGGATTGACTTGAGACCGAGGTATTGGAGCTACGACTCTTCAATATGGGCCTAGACACCTTTGAAAGATTTGAAGAAGAGGCGGAGGGGCTGACTCGCGATGACTTGGAGGCCGAGCTTGGCTCCTCTACCATCTCCTCCGACTCTATAAATTGGTACAGCCCCGTCGCAGGGTCTGCAATAGGGCCAGATTGGACGAGACTTTGGAGAGGGAAACCAGTAGAGGCAACAAAATCGTTGCCGGAGAATTTGTCACGATCCATCACGGTGAAGCTAATGGTGTAGTTCTGTTCGTGTCGCATGACCTGGAACACCATCTTCTCGTGGTAAACCGGGTTCAGATTATGGCGTATGACTGGTGTCCGCAATGTCTTCCTCCCGAGAGAAGTCACGACAAAGGGATCCATGTCAAAAGATGTTCGGGTCACTGGTCAATCGGTTAGTCTATCAGTCAACATTGGGTGAGTCGGGTACTCGTACCATTCCGTTCAGGAGGCAGATCGGTTACTTTGACGATTTCCATAAAGACAATGCCTTGCACTCCGCTGCCTGAGCCAGAAAACTGATATGCGCGAGCTGCCAGCGACTTGCGTCTTAAGCGGGCCAGGCGAAGTCGCCTGCGACGCTTCTCCACCACTTCTGGCTGTGTCAGGTCATCGGCTTCATCGGAGGTCTCTTCATCCCGATCGAGATCATCGAAACCGGTCGGGGGATCTGCTCATCGTCATCCCCCGAGAATACGAGTCGTTTGAACTTGCGGTATGTATCTGGCGGCGGCGCAGCGGGGTTCGCGGAATCAATGAGGGAGAATTGCAGTAGAATTTCGCCTGAGATAGTGCTGTCCTTCTTCTTGGTTGGCTTCCGTTTCGAGTTGAGGGTATACCATTTAGGCTGTGTCTGAAGTCAGCCCCGAAACCTGGTGATCCGAATGTGCCACGCCTACCTCTGGATTCAATTGGCCATCAGTGAAGATGTCCTCTAGTGCGATGTCGAATTCGCCCAGATAATCCTTGCCAAACCGATCATGATCCCAACAGATACATTCTAGCAGCGGTACGCCCACGATGGGCATTTCGAAAGAGACGTTCCATTCGGGGTTCAGTGTCTTGAATATTGTCGGAGTTGACTGCCTTGCGTCTCCCAATGTAACCACCAAGTACTGTACGTGTAAGCGATCACGGCCGAAGTTGCGTTGGGGAATTGTTGAGGGGTGCTCACTGGGTCGCTCGTGCCACCGCGGTCTTTGGCCGCGAGGTTTTGGCCCTGTAAATATTGTCAATCCCGTCAAAGGAAACATCGCACCATCAATGACTTACCCGAATGACCGAAACTTTCAGTTGCAGCGGTTTCGAGTCTGGTGCCCGGAGCGGACTGGTGCTTCTGCTCTGGCCGGGTGTTGACGACGCGCTCCTCGCGGAGAGATGCGAACTCAACCGTGAGGGCAATCCCAACCGGACCATGACGGATGTGTAGAGGACAAAGATGAAAAGGAGAAGAAAGAAGTGGCGGGGGAAAAATAAGTAGTGGCTCAAGGCCCCCCCCTAGTCAAAGTGGCTTGTTCTTAGACCCCAGGTCGCGCGATCTTAGATCTGCCGGGCAGAATAGGCTATGGACAGGAATATCACTAGTATGTCCACCAGGACAATGTAGACGAGCGAATAGAACCAAGTAGTCAGTTGTGGATCGGAATAGATATAAAGGACATGAAAAGGAAAGAAAGAGAAGGAGACAGAGTTGGACACAATTGCATCGGATTAGCTCGGTATCGACGTCAAGATCCCCACACCGCAAGTCAGATAACATGGATGCCTACGTGGTGTACAGTATGGGGGTGTATGTGTGCTGGGGTGCATCTATGCATAACACGGCTTTACAGGCGTCATGTTAAGTATTCTATGCAGTTCCCTCCAGGTACGAAATATCTATTGGATTTTATTTGTTGAGAAGCGTTGAGAAACTCCGAATTCAAAGTTGACGGGTAAAATGGTCGATCATTTTAGTCTTGTCGTCGGACTGTCCGATTCCAGACTTCATCAGCGTTGGCTTTGCCCTTGGTCTCTGGTACATATCGGTAGATGAAGACGCCAAACAACCCTGCCATGGCTGCAAAAATCCAATAGACCTTACCGCGCCCCCCGAGAGCATCGTTGAGAATGGGGAAGAATTGCGCGACGACAAAGGTTGCAATCCAGTTGGCACCCAGGGCCCAACTCTGCGCTGCGCCAACTGCTTCTGGTCCAACTAGCTCGGAAGCTAGAATGAAGGGGACTGGGCCAAGTCCGACCGCGAAGCATGCCACGAAGAGCAATGCGGCGATCGCTGTCAGGATCTTGGCATTCAGGTAGATGCTGATTGCAAGAAGGATCGAGCTGCTACCCATACCGCAGATGCTCAGCATCAGACACGTCTTGCGGCCGATGCGGTCGGGTAGGGGTGAGCACGCCAGGGTGATCAAGAGATTGATGACTGAGATCATCACCGTCAGCAAGGCGGCTGTCGTGGGTAGAATGCTCTGCAACAGGGACACACTGTACATGACAATGCTGTTCATCCCGGTCAATTGCTGAGCAACCATCACTCCAACCACAGCGACAATAGCCGGGCGGTAGTAAGGATCTTTGGCAACCTGCGAGAAAGAGACAGAAGGCACCTTGGGGGATTCAGCCGCCGAAGATTGGGCTAACAAGGACTCTTCTTCACTGGAAGGAGCATCCGATCTTCTCCAGCTGGCAATCTCCGCCTCGATATCGGTATTGCGACCACGGATCCGCTGTAGAACTCGGCGCGCGTGGCTGACCTTCTCGTGCTCTGCGAGCCACGCAGGACTCTCCGGTACCAAGAGGAGTCCCAAAAATTCGAGGGTACCAATGATGCCAGCCACAGCTAGGATGAGTCGCCAGATGTTGGCTTCGCTCCAGAAATATCCCAAAGTTTGGGCCAACAGGATGCCGACATTGGTCATTATTTGAGTAAATGCACCGAAGAACCCTCGGGAACCGAGAGGAGCAATCTCTGAGATGTAGATCGGGCCTGCCACAATGGCGGCACCGGATCCAATTCCCGAGAGGAATCTACCCAAGATAAGAAGCGGGATTCCAGGGGCGAGAGTCTCGGCTATAGGGCCCAGGATGAAGAATACGGTAGTTGCACGAAGTGCAAGCAGACGGCCGTACTTGGTTGACACAGGCCCTGCCAGCAGAGCTCCGACCAGACCCCCAAGCGTGTAGATTGACGAGACCAACCCGAATTGGGATGGGCTCATCGCAAGACATTGCGGCAGACCATGGAATGTATTACCCGCAGAGTGAATGCCTTTGCGCTCACATGTTATCACTGCTTGAGGGGCATTTAATTCCGCCTATTCACGGTATCAGCACAGCTCGGCAAATGCGGGGGACTAGATACCCTACCAAGTGATAGCCGAATTGCAGCGGGCCAAGAGTGGTGATGAAGACGAGATAGACCAAATATGGGGTCACCTTGGACTTGCTCGATCCATCTGACATTGTGACAGGGGTCTAGAACGATCCTGACTGTGAGAGTTGGAGGGATGGATCAGGATCACGCCAATCCCAACTCTTCCCAGGGTTGGTTGTAGTAGTGTTTAGATGGAACCCAATGAATCTGAACCGGTGTGATTAAATGAATGATTTAAATATGAACTATCAAAGGGGAGTGAAAGAGAAATCACATCTATGGATGCTGAGTTGTCAGCTCCCAAGTTGTCAACCGGGGAAGTGAGAGGACCGACGCAGGCTGAGTCAGCATCTCCTGTCTCGACCCTGCAACTCATCGCCAGCCAATAGCTGGAATGTTGGCAATGTTGGCAATCTTCCTCTCACTCATTCGATCGGAATCTTGTGAATTACCACCAGTGGATGCATTCAAGGCCCTTCTCCAATGAGTCTGACCAACCCGCCTTCCTCCGGCTCTCTCTCTACCCGAACCAGGGTCAGCCAGAACTTGAAACGCAGTCTGCAGGCCACTGATGGTAATTATATATTTTCTCAGATCTCCTAAGCTTGGCTTGTTTCCATAGCAGTATTTGCTCTTTCCATCATGTTTGGAAAGGGTTTTCCTTTTTGAATTCTGGAGGATTCTATTCTCGTGGTAACTCTTTCCCCTTGGTTCTCGGTGTCATGGATTTGGGTTGCATCTCTCCGTGCAATTGGCACGGTCATAAGGCTTGAATTTGTGATATGTTTCTGTCATCAGGCACTTTCTCCTCACCAAGCAGGTTGCTGCAACTGGATCTGAGCTAACTGGCCCTTGATAGATGGCGTCGAGTCCCGAAGACCGGGTGGATATACCAGCAAGGTCCGGGTTCGAGATCGATATCACATTGTAGGCTTCATCAGCAGTGGGACGTACGGTCGAGTCTATAAGGCTCTTGGCAAAAATGGCAAGAAAGGAGAGTTTGCCATCAAAAAGTATGCTCCGCGACATATCACAGCTCATTCAGATCTAACCTCGCCTAGATTCAAGCCGGACAAGGAAGGCGAAACAATCCAGTACACGGGTCTGTCACAGTCTGCGATCCGTGAAATGTCACTGTGCACAGAGCTTTCGCATTCAAATGTCGTCCAGCTAGAGGAAATCATCCTCGAAGACAAATGTATATTCATGGTCTTCGAATACACAGAGCATGATTTGCTCCAGATCATCCATCATCACACCCAACCCCAACGACATGCTATTCCGGCACCTATGGTTCGGTCCATTTTGTTTCAGCTTCTAAACGGGCTACTATATCTACACACCAACTGGGTCCTGCATCGCGATTTGAAACCAGCAAACATTCTTGTCACGTCAAGCGGCGCTATCCGAATTGGCGACTTGGGACTCGCTCGTTTGTTTTACAAGCCACTGAACTCACTTTTCTCCGGCGACAAAGTTGTCGTCACCATATGGTATCGGGCGCCAGAGCTATTACTAGGAAGTCGCCACTATACGCCTGCTGTAGACATGTGGGCAGTGGGTTGTATCTTCGCCGAACTCTTATCCCTTCGACCGATCTTCAAGGGCGAAGAAGCCAAAATGGATAGCAAAAAGACAGTACCCTTCCAGCGCAATCAAATGATGAAGATTGTCGAAATCCTCGGTCTTCCCCGCAAAGAATCCTGGCCGGGTCTGGTCTCCATGCCCGAATACACCCAGCTCCAGTCTCTAGTCCTTCACCGACAGCCATCACACTTCCACCGCGGCTCAAATCTCGAAGGCTGGTATCAGAATTGTCTGAAAAATGGTGGCTACAATGATACCTCAAGCGCTGGGACACCCGGCTCTGATGGATTTGACCTCTTGTCACGAATGCTTGAATATGATCCGGCAAAGCGGATCACAGCCGAAGAGGCTCTCACACACCCCTACTTTACAAATGGACCCCCGATCAGTGGTGACTGCTTTGCGGGCATTGAGAGTAAATACCCGCATCGTCGGGTTACCCAAGATGATAATGATATCCGCACCGGCAGTCTTCCCGGTACCAAGCGCAGCGGGCTACCGGATGATTCGTTGATGAGGGCTTCGAAGCGCCTTAAAGAATAGTCTACTCTATCCGTTATACAGTTGCATTGGTTTCTCAGAGTGTGTGGGCGGACTGGTCGGGATATTCACATCATACGTGACATATTGAATTTCGGGTTGGCGTTGCACTTGATAGCGAAGTTGGTTTTATAGGTTATGTTGGAATTTACTCTGGGCTTTGTGGCATACTACGGATTATAAATGAAGACTAGAGTAGGGGTAGTGACCATTTTATGCAGAGCATGTAAATGGATCCAATGAGAAACCGACAAAAGGAGTCACGCAGAAGGGAATAAACTGGCAGAAAACATGCATTTGAATAATATGAATGCATTTTGATCAAATTATTCGAAGTTCTGATAGAGCATATTGCCTTTCATATCCCGTTTTGCGCCATAAAAGCCATAACCTATTCAGAGATCCCTTTCCCAGCCCAATATCCATGCAAATTTGTACACAGTCCATCCACTAGTAGCGTAAATCCACACCCGAAATCGCAACCCCCATACCCGTAAACAGCAACTCATGGATCATCATCAGTATCCTGTCAAGAAACGACTAAGTTAGCGATAACTACCGGAAAGGGACATATGCAAGACTTACCATTCTGTTCGCGACGACCATCACCATCAGTACCGTCCTGATCATGACCCCCACCAGCAGCAGAAGCATGACCAGCAGCATCCTTAATGCCCTGGTCATCACCACGCAGCTTCTCAAAGTGACTCTTGATATCGTCCGCACTGACAGCTTGTCCACTCTCAGCGAAGGGTCTCAGGAACTCCTTGAGATTATCGCGAAGGTGGTTGTAAGCCATTGCACCCTCGATAGCGCGCACGCGGTCCATGTTGTTGAACGCTGCCTCGCCGCGCTCCAGAATACTGCCTGTGCCCGTGCTGGCAGCACCGTTGGCGCCGCCGTCTTCTGAGAGAGGGGGCTCGTATGTATCTTCCTCTTCACGGAGTTGAGGATGAAGTGCAAGTTTGGGGAAGCATTCTGCGCAGTGGCAGAGTTGGCTGTAGAAGTCTTCGGGGGCGAAGAGGGAGAATGATTCGGTTGGCGCGGTTTCGGGAAGAGTGATGTGTATAGGGACAGAAGGGACCAGAGAAGCCTTGGTATCTTCCTCTCTCTTGACTAGTCCTTCCTTCAAGGTTGTAGATTCAGGTTTCTGCTCCTCTGCAGGTACCTCTACAGGTACCGATTCTTCCTTGGGTCGCTTGGTAGAGCTGTCTTCCAGATGATCCTCGTCATCCGCCTTGCGCTTTTTGGTGTTGGCCTGGTCCGGATCCTTGGCATCTGATTCCTGGCGCTCAATTTCCTCGGACTTAAGCTCCTTGGTCTCGATCTTGAGAGTGGAATCCTGGGCTGCCATCTGTACCTCCTTCTTCAGCCCACCTTCCTTGAAAACCGGTGGCAAAAAACCGCGCGTTCCAGCATATGGCTTGATCCATGGATTTGAGTCAACGCACTGGAAGCAGATCAAATGATGGAAGTCATCCTCAAGTGGGAATCCGGGTGGAAGCGGAGTCTCCTCTTCCTCGGCTTGAACATGGGTAGCGTCGCCATCGACATTGGCCTTGGGTTCTGCCTTGTTCCAATCGCGCGATAACCCGATCAGACATTCCGGATGCCACCAATCCTCGCCACAGCCGCCAGTCTCGACTGTGCCAATCCCCAGGCACTGAAACATGATTCCCTTCTCTTTCTGGGCGTCATACTGTTCGTTACAGCCGCAGAATTGATTGCGGAAATTGTGGTTGTAGGAATTACCCACTGCAGCTTCTTGGGAGTGAACACCTTTCTTTCCAGTCCTGGGGTCTTCACGTAATTTGCAAGTGGAAGTCGAGGGCAGGCGAGTGGTACCGCAGTCACAAACAAAATTGCGCTTGTTGAAGAGCTCAACTAATTCGTGTTCACCGTGACACGAGATCGAACATGAGTAACAGACAGCAGCGGCATCGTAGGTTTCGTTTGGATTGATTGGAGGAGGATTGCATGTTAGACAAGCGAAGAGAATCTGTCGTAATGGCCCAAGGGCATATGTACAGGAATCGAAGGACTAGACGAGAGCGGTTAGCTATGTACCACGCCACACTAAATAATCCATTGCATCACTCACATAAGGCAGAGCCTCGCGTGCATCTGCCTCCAGTTGGAGCTGGGACTCAATAAATCTTATGTGGATTAGCATCATCACAGAGCTTAGAAAGCATAGATGGGGTTCATACTGTCTTGCAGTTTGTGAGTTCTGCGAGCTGAAGCTGTCGTGTCGACCACTTTCAGCCTTGGTTTTGTCACTTGCTGTTATCAGGGACTCCATCTTTAGAGCTCTGCTTATTTTGTTCGAAGTGGACTGATATGTCGGTGCCAAGAGGTTGCGACGTCTACGTATGTAAACAGAGTGACGTAAGATACGGGTAGCGCAATGTTAACACTACCGATATTGAAAAGTCGTGTGGAGATGGATGCGATCAATTTGTCGTTATCGGCAGCTAAGGCGCTTCTTTTGGCGAACAAGGTGTGTTCGTACACAATCCCGTACGTGATCAATGTAGGTTGGGTTTGTTAATGAGCAACGTACCGATGAAGGTAAAAATCTTGAACGCAATTTCGTACACGATTGAGGTACGTTGGTGGCGAACAAGGTAAATTGGAATTGCTGTCGAGAAACGTGTTTTATGAGTGATTAAGGTATGTTCGTACACAATTCGTACGCGACCAAAGTACCTTGGTAGGCAATAAAGTAGGTGAGGGTTATGAGCGCGCAACGTGCTTTATTGGTGAGTAAGGTACGTTTCAAGATTGGTTCGTAGTTTCGTACAGAACTAAGGTACGTTGGTAGGCGATGAAGATGAGTTGGATTGGTTGGTGAGCAATGTGCTTTTTCAGCGAAGTCAAGTTGATTCGCGATGAAGGTATACTTATGCGTGAATTTCGTGTGCGATCAAAATTTGTTGGGAGGCGATGAAGGTAGGTAATGTGGGTTGGTGAGCAATGTGCTTTATTGACAGCGAAGGTAGGGTGGTTCGCAAGATTGGTGTGTTTGTGGCGGAGAAATGTGCTTATTGGCAATGAATGTAGGTTCGTACGCGATCTCGTACACGATCTGTGTACGTCGGTAGGCGATCAAGGTAGGTTGGTTTTAGCGAGCAATTCGCTTCCACTTGTTGGCAATCCAGAAACGTTGGTCCGCGAGATTGTTGTGTTTGTTGGCGAAGAAATGTGCTTATTGGCAATGAATGTAGGTTCGTACGCGATCTCGTACACGATCTGTGTATGTTGGTAGGCGATGAAGATAGGTTGGTTTTAGCGAGCAACTCGCTTCCACTTGTTGGCAATCCAGTAACGTTGGTTCACGATGATGGTGTGCTTGTTGGCGAGTACATGGACTACAGCTGGAAAGTTTTGGTTCGGAGGCGAGCAAGGTGCCTTATGACGATTAAGGCACGGTTGTGATCGTCAAGGATTGGAGAGAGCGGAGGCGTGGCAGAAATGACAGTCGCGATTTATGAACGAGGGCGGTTAATGGGAGTGTCGCTAGAAGTGAAGACCGCAGTATAGGCACCGTTACAAGAATCGTGAGCAGGACAACTGTGCGAAATCCTTCGATGGGCTTGGAGACCACAAAAGAGATTGGAGTTGGGGACGTGACAACGCGATACGCGATACGCGGTCGATCTAAAGTGGCCATTTCGAGACGTGCTGAAGCAGCCAATCAGACCCATGTCTCTATACATCAGAACCATCGTGTTTTCTCGGGGACTCTCAATTTCAAAATTGCGATTCGTTATACTTTATGCTTCCCCGAGGTCGTTTGCAATGGCCCCGGGGATATGAAGAGATCTCGGATTGAGGAAAGTGATCCATACCCTTTGTCTCTTTGATTTCATGGATGACCAAAGACACCAGATTAACGTCACATTCTACCCTGAAGCCCGAATCTTTAGTTACCCTATTACTACATTGTAAAAGGAGACCTTCAAGCTGATGAGCGACTTGAACAGACACCGGAGTCTATTTGTCAGCTGATTGACCGACTGGCCAAGTGGTTAAGGCGTCCGTCTTACATGTTGAGCACGGAAGGTCGCAGGTTCGATCCCTGCGTCGGTCAATTCTTTTTGTTTCTTTTTTGCTTCTTGCGCAAGAATTCTCATTTTCATGAAATAATTTTTTGCTGCCAATTCAACAGACCTCGGGAATCTTTGCATATCAACGAAGCACCCGGAGGAACTGAAGAACTGCCAACGTGCAGAGAGAATCCCCTTTGGGCTCCTTCCCGATTGGGAGTTAAGTGGAACGCGTCGACGCGTCGCGACTTTCACGCGAGAAAGTGAACTCTGCCGCTCCCTTTCCCTTTCGTCTCCGCCACTCAACCCCAAGGGAGAACACCACTCATCTGTCCTTTTTGTGTTTACTCTCCTTCCCCGCCTCAGTGCTAGGCGTTTCATTGCTTATCGGAAATTTCTTGAGCTTGAAAATACACACATACAATGGAGTCAGTACTATCCTCCCCGTAATAAATTCTCTGCGCCCGCATGCTAAACCCCCCAGTCCGCTCCGACCCAGCGACTCGGCCGCAAACCGTGGCCTGAGGGCCAACACTCGCAAGCGAGACAGAGAAGATGATGATATGTCATCGCCGGCACCATTGCCTCCATCAAGTCGTATGCGTGCTCCCTATCTTCACTGTCAGGTTCACGTTGCTGGGCCAACTGGAAACTGACCTTTTTTTTTGTGCGCAGCTACTGCTTTGGGCTCGTCCCCTCCCCCCATTCCCTTTGATATGGGAGATGAAGATGATGAGGATGAAACTGGACTCGTACAGGATATTGACGATATTGATGAATTGGCCGAAGACGAAGATGGCATTGATCTGTTCGGCGACAACTTTGAGCGGGACTATCACGATGCGGCACAGGACCGCTACCAGAATGAAGGATACATCGATGATGACGAAGACCATGAAGAGATCGACGCCGCCAGCCGTCGACAGCTAGACGCTCGCCTGAATCAAAGAGACCGCGAATTGGCACGCAGGCGCCGCATGCCTGCGGCCTTTTTACAGGATGACGATGATATTGAAATGGACTTGTCGCGCCAACCTCGCCGACGCAGACACCATTATGACGAGGACAGGGAAGACATTGACATGGCCGATGAGGGTATGGAAGAACTCTCCCTCGAGGAATTGGCTGATGTCAAGGCCGCCAATATTACGGACTGGGTCACTCAGCCCCAGGTCCTGCGCTCCATTTACCGGGAGTTCAAGGCCTTCCTCACGGAGTTCATCGATCCAAGTGGCCAGTCAGTCTACGGTAACAGGATTAAGACCCTCGGTGAGGTCAACTCGGCTTCCCTCGAGGTATCATACGCCCACCTGAGTGAGACCAAGGCAGCTCTGTCATATTTCCTTGCAAACGAGCCTACCGAAGTCCTGAAGGTGTTTGACCAGGTAGCACTTGATGTCACACTCTTCCACTACCCTCAGTACCACGACATTCACAACGAAATCCACGTCCGTATTACCGATGTGCCCATCATTTATACCCTGCGCCAACTGCGTCAGTCGCATCTCAATTGTCTGATCCGTGTCAGTGGTGTTGTCACTCGCCGAACCGGTGTTTTCCCGCAGTTGAAGTATGTCATGTTCCTCTGCCAAAAGTGTGGTATCACCCTGGGTCCATTCCAGCAAGAAGCCAGCACAGAGGTGAAGATTTCATTCTGTCAAAACTGCCAGTCTCGCGGTCCCTTCACCGTAAATTCCGAAAAGACTGTTTACCGCAATTTCCAAAAATTAACCCTGCAGGAGTCGCCCGGCTCCGTCCCTGCTGGTCGTCTGCCACGTCAACGCGAAGTTGTGCTGCTTGCCGACTTGATCGATACTGCCAAGCCTGGTGATGAGATCGAGGTAATTGGTGTTTACCGCAACAGCTATGATGCACAATTGAACAACAAGAACGGATTCCCCGTTTTTGCTACTATCATTGAAGCCAATCATGTGGTCAAGGCCCACGACCAGCTTGCTGGTTTCCATCTGACAGAAGAGGATGAGCGTGAAATTCGTGCACTCTCTCGTGAGCCTGATATTGTGGACAAGGTTATCCGCTCTATGGCCCCTAGTATCTATGGTCACCAGGATGTCAAGACTGCTGTTGCACTTTCGCTCTTCGGTGGTGTTAGTAAGCAGGCCCAAGGAAAGATGTCAATCCGTGGTGATATCAACGTCCTACTTCTTGGTGATCCCGGTACTGCCAAGTCTCAGGTCCTCAAGTTTGTGGAGAAGACAGCCCACCGCGCCGTGTTCGCTACTGGTCAGGGTGCTAGTGCAGTCGGTCTTACAGCCAGTGTTCGTCGGGACCCCCTTACTAGCGAATGGACGCTTGAGGGTGGTGCCCTCGTTTTGGCTGATCGTGGAACCTGTTTGATTGATGAGTTTGACAAGATGAACGATCAAGATCGAACCTCTATTCACGAAGCCATGGAACAGCAAACTATTTCCATCTCCAAGGCTGGTATCGTGACAACGTTGCAAGCCCGTTGTGCCGTTGTGGCCGCAGCTAACCCCAAGGGTGGTCGTTACAACAGCTCAATTCCTTTCTCGGAGAATGTCGACCTGACAGACCCTATCCTGTCTCGTTTCGATCTTCTTTGTGTCGTCCGTGATCTTGTTGATCCTGCCGAGGATGAGCGTCTAGCCAACTTCGTCATTGAATCTCACCACCGTGCCAACCCGGTTCGTCCTCTCCGAAATGAGAAGGGTGATATGGTCGATGGTGACGGTCATAGAATTGATGCCGAGGGCTACCGTATCGACAAGGACAATCAGCGGCTGCCTCCTTCTCAGGAGGAGATCTCCAGACGGGCAGCCGAAAAGCAAAGGGCCGAGGAAGAAAAGGAGGGCGAGATTCCCCAGGAGCTCCTACGAAAGTACATCAAGTACGCTCGCGAGCGTTGCAACCCTAAGCTCTACCAGATTGACCAGGACAAGGTTGCTCGTCTCTTCGCAGACATGCGCCGCGAGTCCCTTGCTACTGGAGCCTACCCCATCACAGTAAGTGATCTTCATCCAATTTACATTGACTTCATGCTGATCTAGATTTCCAGGTTCGTCACCTCGAAGCTATCATGCGTATTGCCGAATCCTTCTGCAAAATGCGCCTGTCGGAATACTGTTCCGCGCAGGATATCGACCGTGCTATCGCTGTCACCGTGGATTCGTTTATCGGCAGCCAAAAAGTCAGCTGTAAGAAGGCACTCTCGCGTGCATTTGCCAAGTATGTTTCCTCAGCTTTTGAACTCATTGGAGCTATACTGACAATCCTATCAGGTACACACTATCCAGGCCCAAACCCCAATCTAAGCGTCGTGCTGGTATCCCTGTCACAAACCCTCATCTGGCAAGGGGTCAGTCCACCGCGCGGTGAACGTTGGAACTGGAGATTTGGCGTGGCTTGGTTGCATGGCTTCTTTTGTTCAATACCATCTTGTTTGCATTCTATGTATGTGGCGTTTATGACAAGGTTCTGTTCTTCAAATCGAACTATGATATTTTAATGAATGGGAAACCAATGAATGATATTCCAACTCTATATATGTCCCTAGATCCGTAGATTGGTAAATCTGTCAACGGGAGTCTTGCAATATGCCACTCTAGTTGGTATATATGACACGATCATCCAAGGATAAGGAGGAACTGCAGGTTGATGAGGGGGCAATGAGATGTAAGTATACATAGGAGAACTTTCACTATTGACTTGACACCATGTCTGCATCATGACGTTGTCCGACCAGCACTGATAGAGATATAATCCAATGGACCTTTTCTGACAGATATACAGTTGCTCGATGAATCCTGTAATTTCCACATTTCGTCACGCAAAGGCCCAAAAGTGGGTGATACCACACTTGTAGCCCTAAGTCGATGTATTCCAAACCCTCGCAGCACCGGTGCATGTCTAGATTGAAACCTCGGAGATTACCCAGGGATTTAGATCCAAAATAGCAATCATCTCCATAACATGCACAATGTCATGACGATCTCACAGTCCAGTCGTTTAACAGTTAGGGCAGCGGAAAAGTCCTTACCAGGACCAATCGCCATCACCGCAGCTGCATCTATACTCATCGCCCCAACCCCCAGGAAAGCCACCAATTTACCACCGACCAACGTCCTTGTGTGCATTTGGTCTTGTGAAGGGGGTAAAATCTCCCGCAATCCATGGACACGTATTGCTATCCACCACATATCCGGTTCCTCTTCTCCAAGAGGGATTAGTCTGTCCAAGAAAGCCTAACAATTGCTTCAATTGCCCCCCTCTCCCCCTGACCCCAGTTCTCATCCCCACTATCCCACTCATGAAGCTTATCCCCGCGTCCTTTGTGGAGATCCATTTGTCCGTCGTCTGAAGCTCTGCTCGATTATCCGGGGTGGAAGCAATCCCATGTCCTGCTTTCTCCACGTTTGAACCGGGATATGATCGTCATTTGCCGAAAGATCGAGTCAATGCGGAAATAAGAGCTCGCTTCAAGCGAGCTGGAGACGAGACTATAAAAACCCCGAAGGATGCAAGATTTCAGATAGACAGCATCAGTTCCAATTCCATTCTTCTCTCTCGTTAGGCTCCACGGGCGCCACGATGCCTTTCTCCCTATCCAACCCCCGGGCAAAGGCATTTACTGCCATTGCATATGCTACCACCCTCCTCGCGGCTTCCCTCGAGGATGTCTGCACAGTGGAATATGCCCAGGCTCACCTACCCGCATCGACCTTCATCCAGGGCATCACCCTCGACCCGTCATCCGTCACGACAAACATAGTCACAAACGCATCTACAAGCACCAACTCAAACTTTTATCCTGCAGCAACCTTCTCGTACTGCAATCTCACCCTGGCGTACTCCCATGACGGCCGAGATGACCAAGTTCTCATCCAATACTGGTTGCCCGACCCTTCCAAGTTCGAGAATCGGTACTTGTCCACCGGCGGTGGTGGCTATGCCATCTATTCCGGTCCGCAGTCTCTGCCTGGTGGTGTGATGTATGGCGCTGTTGCTGGAGCTACGGATGGTGGGTTTGGGAGTTTTTCGACCAACGCTGATGCGGCCATGTTGCTTGCTAATGGGACCCTGGACTATGAGACTCTGTACATGTTCGGGTACAAGGCCCATTGGGAGTTGAGTAAGATTGGGAAGCAGTTTACGCGCAACTTTTATGGAATGGCTGAGGCGACCAAGCTTTATTCTTATTATCAGGGATGCTCGGAAGGTGGCCGTGAGGGTTGGAGCCAGATCCAGCGGTATGGCGATGAGTGGGATGGTGCTGCTATTGGTGCGCCTGCTTTCCGGTGGTCTTTCCAACAGACTCAGCATCTGTATTCCAATATTGTGACGAAGACTCTGGGGTATTATCCTCCACCCTGCGAGATGGAGAAGATCATTAATGAGACCATCTCGGCCTGTGATTCTCTTGATGGCCTGAAGGATGGCGTGGTTTCTCGCTCTGACCTTTGTCAACTGCACTTTGACATCGATACTGTTGTTGGGAAGCCATACTATTGTGCGGCAGTCACTAGCAGGGGCTATGGCAAGCGCAAGAGGCAGATGGGTTCTTCATCTACCCCAGAACAGAATGGAACTGTCACCGCCAAAGCCGTGGAGGTTGCCAAGGAGGTCATTCGTGGTCTTCGTGATACCCAAGGACGACAAGTTTATCTGTCATATCAAACAGCTGCCGACTTTGACGATGTGACCACCCAGTATAACTCCGCAACTGGCAAATGGGAGCTCGAAGTGGACGGCCTAGGTGCCGAGCACATCGCTCTTCTGGTCGACAAGAACGGCACCGACCTCTCCAATCTTGACGGTGTGACCTACGACACTCTGAAGGCATGGATGATCTCTGGCATGGTGGAGTTTGCCTCTACCCTGCAGACCAACTGGCCCGACCTGACACCGTTCCACGAGGCTGGTGGAAAGGTCATTCACTTCCACGGTGAGGCGGATGCCAGTGTTCCGACGGCGTCCTCGGTTCGATACTGGGAGTCTGTCCGGCAGACCATGTATCCCGGTCTTTCGTACAAGGAGGGAGCTGCTGCCCTGAAGGATTGGTATCAGCTGTACCTCGTTCCTGGCGCTGCGCACTGCGCCACGAATCCCCTCATGCCCAATGGTCCCTTCCCACAGACCAATCTGCAAGTCCTCATTAACTGGGTTGAAAAGGATGTGAAACCTGTCACATTGAATGCAACTGTCCTCCAAGGCGAGAATGTTGGACAGAACCGGCAAATTTGTGGCTGGCCCCTTCGACCAAAATGGAAGGGAAGCCAGATGGAGTGCGAGTATGATCAGACCTCCATCGACACCTGGCACTACGATTTTAATGGCGTCCCATTGCCGGTCTACTAGTGTTTTCTGAGTTTGGCCCTATTTGTGGGGGAGCATGAAGCTAGGGGGAGTGGACCTGTCATGTTAATAATGTTTCCACATAGTTTGTATCGACCCAGGTAGCCAGGTAGAGATGCATGTATGCCAGTTGACTACAGGCCTTTGTGATGACCTCATTTCCAATCGCATTCCACACCGAGGAATGTTCGATGCCTTCTTCTTCTCTCTAGACGGTTCCTTTGTCCGTTCTTCGGACTGTTTCTCGAACCGTTCGAGATTCTCAGACATTGAACAGACCATGCATATCAGTCTTTCTCTTGCGTAGAGTATCTGTTTTGGGTCACCCATCCCCAAAGATCCTGGGTAAGACCTGATGACGTTGCCTATCAACGAGCGAACTCGCGTGGAAGTATAAGATCACCGCATTCCGGAAGAGGAAAATGACATCAGGGAGGGATGCGTCATTCCAACCTATTTTTGGGGAGGAATCCCACGAGCAGAGTCACCGTCACTGTCGCAGTCGCAGCCACAGTCACAGTTCTCGAGATATCCAATCAAGTCAAGTAGTATACACACTGCCTGGAACCCCCACATGTGCAGAAAGCAGACGACAGTAGAGAAGAAAAATAGCTTGAGAGATATAAGTGCATCAGGGACAGGCACAGAGACAGGCACAGGCACAGAGGCAGTACAGTCCGAGGAGAAGAAGTTAAGGGGAGATCGCCAGGAGGTCATGTAATTCCCCCAAATCCCCTTTCTCCCGTGTCTTCCCCCCCCCCTCCTCCTCCTTTCTTCTTTTCCTCCGACTTTTCTTGCTTTTGCTATTTTGCTTTTCTTTGAATTCCCGAATTTATCGGTATTTCGTGGATACCCGAGCCAACTCTGGATCTATTGGCTGCCATTCACTCATCACTCTGTAACCCCTGGCCGTTTCAGAATCGCCTCCTGCCACCTTCTTCCGCATTCGTGCGACAGCCTAAGATTCACTTGACGCACTCCAACTCCACACACACACCTTGTTTCATTGTGATAACCTCACAATGAATGCTCCAGCGCTTGGATATCCCGGCGTCTCGCTGGCAGGTACGTAATGCTCCTCTTGGCTCATATAACTACTCCCATCTCCCCTAATTCTACCCTCTCTTTGGCACAGTTCGGGCATTTCGTGCAGACTGACTCGAAACGTATACAGAACCCCAGTCATCTCCTACTGCGGCCAGCTTTGGCTCCAACAATCCATTCCGCAACCGTGCTCTCTCACCCTCAGTCCCTGCGGCATCCAACACTCGCCCAGAGCGACCTCGATCAACCAACCCCTTCCTTGACGACACAGATGCGATGTCGCCCCAATCAGCCCCTGGAATGTCGACTGGCGCTACGATGTTTTCTCCGGTGGAGAAGACCGACATATCGAGCAACACCCGTGAGCTCTTCGTAAGTGTCCAAGTCAAGACGGGAACCCGGCCAGATCTAACGTGCCACAGGAGAGCCTTTCGTTGAAACCCTCCCCTCAACCGCCTCGTGCTCGCCCACCTCCTCCCAACACCGCTCATCGCGCCCCGTCAAATCGCACCCGACCACAGCGCCCGCCGGGGCGATCGGCAGAGGCCAATGAGAAGGACCCGCTGGACATCTTCGCAGACCCTCCTAGCTTGAACAAAGCCGCGACCATGGGTCCCGGCGCCAAATCCTCACGCAGACCGCGCCGGAACTCCGAGTCCTCAGTGATGGACCGGGCCTCCACCGTTTTCAACGATGAAGATGACAAGCGCCGCCGTGAGAAACGCCACCGTGAACGGGAAAGTCGCAACAAGGATGGCAAGTCTCGATCCACTCGAAAGGACCGCCGACTGGATATCATCGATAAGTTGGATGTGACAAGCATCTATGGTACGGGAAGTGAGTATTTAAATCGAGCCAACCTCCATTTTTCCATACTAATTGTTCTCCAAGTGTTCCATCACGATGGTCCGTTCGATGCTTGCAACCCCCATCGTAACCGCCGAGGCTTGCGCACTGCCCCCATGCAGGCCTTCCCCAAGGGTTCCAGTAACATGGCCCTGGGCGGCTCCGGCCCGGTTAACTCCAACATTGATCTCAATCTGTTCCACGGCAGAATGGAAGAGGGACATAATGACTTTTCTACAGCAGCCCGCCGCAATGCTGATTCGGGTCCCACCTTTGATCCCACCGCTCGTATAGAGCCTGTTCATGGATCAGAGAGTATGGGATTAGGCACCAGTACTTTCCTCGATGGTGCCCCAGCGAGTCGGTCCGCCATGGCGCGCCGCCAGAGTGAGAATGAGACTTCTATTGGACAGAATGGTGGTCTTGCACGGAAGAAGAGTTTGGCGCAACGATTGCGTGGACGCGGCCCAGGTCGTATCACATCTCCCACCGAAAACAACTACCCGCCAGCCATCGAATCCAGCCACTCTGCGTCTTCCCGAGGGAATGAGCGCAACCCATACTTCCAGGAATATGATGATGAGTGGGATAACAAGGGCGCCAGCATTGAGTCTAGCCTCGAGGGCGGCCGCCTCCGATCTTCCAGCAGTCCTAAGCAACACACTGGCTTGGAGCGCAAGGCCACCCACGAGCGCGCATATGAAGAATCCAAACTCAACCCTGGTGGTGGTGGTTTCCTGAACCGCATGAAGAGCTTGCGCAAACCCAAGCCTGAGCGACGCACCAGTGATTGAACTACCTAAGGAGCAACTCTTCGCCCGCTTCGAATAGGACTATCAGGCACGCCGTGCGTCATCCTGAACCCTAGGGTGACTCAATGGACGGCCTATATCTGCTTTTCCCATCGCCATCTCCTCCGTGAGGAGTGATGATTTCCCATGTAATATCCAGCATCGAGTACTGTGAAAACAGCAGTACTCCCCGTGGCGTTAATTTGAACTGAAAGAGAATGCATGACACTTATTCTGGTTTCAGGACGCCATGAAACACTACACCCAGACGAGGATCGGGTCATGATTCGGAGTTTGATTCATTTTTTCTTGATTCTTCCCTTCTTGTATTTCACTTAAGCTCTGCTTTGAATCTGTATTCTCTACCAATTGCTTCTTCTTTTCGTATCAGATCTTTCAATCCGTTGATTCTCATCTCTCTCTCTCTGTAACCCACCAAGCATTTAGCTACGACTGGCCCTCGTAAAGGTACTTCTGTGGAGCCTCTCGTGTTGAGAATGGATTCCCTTCAAGTAATGCTTGTACAAGACCTTGTGGTGATGGAATTGACAATCACGTTATAGTCCGTAGAGCAGTCGGTGCAGCGACATCAGACGACTTAGGGTTGCTCCACCTTTCCCGCAGTTCCTTCAACTTGAGCTTCACAACATTCTCCTTCACCATGGAGCCTCTTACCAACCCGCGCTTTACTCTCGAGTTGGAGTTTGTCTCTTCTCTTGCCAACCCATATTACCTCTCTCACCTTGCTGTCACCTATCCCAACCTCCTGGGCGTCTCCCATGCCGACGATGATGACGACTCCGCAACTTCCCCAGACGCCGAGGCATTTGCAGCCTACCTCGCTTACCTCTACTCCTACTGGAAGACTCCTGAATACTCCCAGTTCCTTACACACCCTGGTCCTACACTGAGGGCCCTGCGACTGCTACAGGAGGACCGGTTCCGCCGCGACATTATTCTCCCGCAAGTCATTGAAGGGCTCGCCGGACTGAGCCTGCCTGTCGAACCTGCACAGGCCGAGGCTGAGGCAGAGCCTGCCGAGCATAAGCTAGAGGATGGTCAGAATGGAACCAAGACCTGATGGTTCGACGGCAAGCCTGAACCTACACTCGAAGAAGGATCTTGCGGGCATGCGACCGGGGGTGTACCTGTTTAAGCGCAAAGCGTACGAAACGAACCAATCAAGCCAACCGAGTCACCCAGGATCTACACTACAGTATGTGCTTGAAGAGTCTTAACTGTGGGTTGAGCTCTTCACGCGGGGGAGCGCACACGAGGGCTCATGTGCGACCGAGGCTCCGCGACCGTCGATCAACCATATTGTTTGCGAGCATCTCACAGCTTTGCCGGCATAGAATTGCGGGGTGGCAACAGGACCAAGCGTTGTTGGGATGCACAATCTCATTCTCCTCGGACCTCAATACCTGTGCCTGTCCTTGTGCCTGTCCCTGTATCCCAGTCCCAGTCCATGAGATCGCATGCCTGGACTGAAAAGAATGGCAGCCTCAATGCCGAGCATGAATAGCAATTAGCGAATGATAAAGCCTTTTCAAAATTGAGTCGCCCTCTACCTGTAGCAATATCAGAGACTCTGAGTAGTAGTATAAGCCACCAACAGACATGACGCAGTTGCATTGGGCTGTTCAGCCCGAACAATCCGAACCTTGTTTTTATTTTATTTTTCATTGACTGATGAACGTCAAAAGGCTCAAATCCTCAAGTTCTCCAGTCTTGACTTGATGTGTTTATCCCCTTTGAAGTCCGTGATTCCTGTCTTTGGGGTTACAGCCCCCCTGGTGATCGGCCCTGAACTACCTCATCGTCCCGTTCTCGTCCACGTTGCGACCTTTGGACCACCCCCTCCACCTTTTTTTCTCTTTACTTTCGACAATCTGACCCTAGACATTCCCTTTAACCTGCTCTGAATCAATCTGCTCCTAATTTGAAGTTTCATCGCGCCTTTCTCGAGCCCGCGTCACCCCGGAGCTGCATGCGGCACCCACCACTCTCTCAATGGAGTCCGTACGCCAGTCATGCCGGCCCAAGCACCAGGTCTTGACCTTGAAATGTTATCCAAAGTACCAAAAGGGAGTGGCGGAAGTCAGGCCGAATCCCAGTGAACTCTCCTACCTGCTATACTATACCAGCACGCGCCGCAGTAAGCTGACCAAGGTCGGCGCGTTCCTGGAGAAGAGAGTGGCTCGAGATGTCTGGAGACGCAGATTAGGGTTAGTGAGAGATATGATATTCAAAAAATATGGCCCTGGAGTGTCCAACTAATTCCATCGCAGAAATGTCCAGGTGGCGCTTCATATCCTGGCCGCACTCATCGAAAAAGTCCCCCGCGATCTTCCAATCTACGCTCGGTCTGTCATGACCGTGATCGAAACGGTTCTGCGATCAAATGACATAACCATGGTGGAGGAATCAATTGTGCCCTTTGAAATGTTCTGCAGGCATCAGGACATTGCGGCCATTGCGGCGGACCAAAGTCTTGCTCTTCAATATCGAGAAGTTGTCCGGACATACGCCAGCTTAGCGGATCCGGCCTTTGTCTCCAACTCAAATGCAAAATTCAGCCCGCAAGTGGCTATTCGGTGGAGGAACGCGGGACTACGAGCTATCAGAAGCGTGGTCAGCTCAGAGAGCCTTGCTGCGGACGGTGGCACTTCGCTGAAATTGTGCCTGCCAGTCATTCTGGAGAACCTGTACTCGGGGGATGAGGACTTGCTCGCCTCGCTCAAGTTGAGGCTACAAGAGGCTGACACAAATGAGCGGGAGGGAAACAAGCCTCGCCGCATGAGTGTGAACACTGTCCACACCGTGGACACAGCGGAGGGGGATCCAGAGCTTGCAGCACGCTCTGCGGATGATGCAGATCGAAAAGCAGAGATGGACGCTCGACTCATGGCCCTTCGCTGCCTCGAGCAGATCATTGTCTCGGGGAGCAATCGCGGTCAGATCCGCATTGCAGTCACAGTCATTTTGCGCTTCATATCAACCAAGGGTTTCCCGCAATGTGAAAAGCAAAATGGATTGAGCTCGGCCAAGAACGGAAACTGGGCGACCTCTCTGATCGAACTCATTGCGAACTGGTGCCCGGTGCAGGTCCGCTTTATTATTCTCATCACGGCCATGGAGATCCTGCACGATACAAGCCCCAAGGAGGATGCCCTAGAGTCGGCATTCACTATTCTCTCTGTGGTGGATTGGTTGCTAAGATCATCCGTGAACATGATTGGTCTCAGCGTCATGGATATTCTTTTCGGTCTCATGCATTATGCTTCTGATATCCTTTCTCCTCCGGGTCGTACGGAGTCTGCAGACTCAGAAAAGAAGCCCAATGGTCAGATTGACATAGTCATCTCCTCCCAAAGACATGACCTTCTCACACTGCTAGAGCAGACCATTGGAGACCTCGCAACACATATTTACTATGGTGATCAAGTCGCTGATATGATGCGGGCGATCCTCAAGCGCTTCAAGCCTGCGTCCCTGCATGATAGCACCGCGCAATCTACGTTGGCTACTGTTCACGAGTCTGGAGTGGCATACATTGACTCAAACTCAGCCTCAGATTCCAACGGAGACAAAGCCTCAGGAGAAACCTTTTCGCATGCCGCCGCCAAACTGACTGCCCTTCGATCCGTCAAGTCTATATTGGTTGTAGCAAATCTCAGGACACCTTCAACCATGTCCGGGGCGGAATCTAGACACCCAGTCGGTATTCATGTGTGGGAGGGCACCCAAGGCCTCTTGCGCGATGCAGACCGGGCTGTTCGCTATGCCTACACTGACGCTTTCCTCTCATGGTTGACCTTTGAAACCAACAAGAACGATCTCAAGGCACGAGTTGATGTGCCGAAATTCATCAAAACGGGATCGAAGCGAGAGTCCGAGCAGATTGATAAGCAAACCCGACGAAGCACTTCTGCTCCTGGTAACCAGCGAGAAACAGTGGCGATGGCAGCACAGTCAAACTTCCTCCGCTTACTGCATTTGGCTATCTATGATGCTGCTCTCGAGGGAGCCGCTGATGAGTCGGAGATTCTCCTTCTTCATCTGCTTCTAACAAATCTTGTGCAAAACCTCGGAGTGAACGCTGCTCAATTTGGGTTCCCTATGGTCCTCAAGTTACAAGAAGACATGTTCACTTCTATGGAGTTAAGTTCCTTCGCGGCTCGCGTCAACACCGGAAGCTTGGTCCATGGGTATCTTCTTGCACTCTCCGAGAAGTTTGAAATGGACACTACCCCCGTTGGAGCTGAAATCACCAAGGAAATTCAGGGGCGAGTGGACAAGGGTCACTGGCTCTCCAAAGTCCGCGTGCCTCCAGTTGGTCTCGGTGGTATTGATTTCGACAAAGAGAAGAGAGACGTCAACACCTCCACTTCCTTGCCTTCATTGACAACTTTCCGCAATGTTGAAGGACTCATCTATCTGATTGACGAGTCTTACCGCCAGTCAATCTCATCCCCGCCTCAAAGCCCCCCAACATCACCTGCACGAGGATTTACATTCCCTGTTCTTGGGCACCCAACCGCCCAACTGCAGGTTGAGGGTGGACTTCCGTCCCCCGTGAAAGATCAGTTGGCGTCTCCATGGTCTCGTGAGGCTTGCTTGGCAGAGGTTGAAAAGGAAAGCGCGAAGGCCTTATCAATCAACGGATCTCGAGTCGGTACCCTCAACACTCGCACCAACCAAACCAACGGGGTCGTGAATGGCTCGCCTGCTGGCTCGGGCTCTCGCGACAACCACCGCACGAATATTCCTGATATTTCGACCTCATCAGCTCCTAGTTCGAGCCGAGGATCTCCCGTTCGCGTCAATGAGCTCCGTCGCGTACTCTCGGTCACCAATGACTCCCATGCTCGACGTCTCAGCCCGCTGCGGGGACGACTTGACGCATCAAATGCTAGTATCATCTCCTCGGGAAGCGATAGTATGGTCAGCGGTGCCTTCTCTGTTTCTGAGATGGAAGACGGCGTCTCCACCCAACAACCAGACGGTCAACAAGCGCCTGGTGACGATGGCACTGACACACCTCGCGCTTCGGCGGCAAACTTCGTTTTTTCGGATGATAGCCCCTCAGACCAACCTCCCAATGCACGCTCCCTGAGCCGTGTTAACTCAGACGAGCAAATTCCCCCAGTACCTCCTATCCCCGTCAAACTGTCAATCCCAGGAGGTTTTCCGAATGATTCTCAGCGATCATTGCTTTCATACGATCGCCCATCCACCGCACCAGGTCCCTCGCGAGAGTCTTCAGTGAAAGATAAAGCTGACGCAGCTTCCGGTTCCCTCAGACCCAAGTATTTGGACCGCAATAAGAGCCGATCCAGTAACAATCTTGCCGACAATGGAATTCCAGAACTGACGACAGACTACGAATCCAACGCCCTAGATGGCAGTCACCAAGATCAACTGCGGAAACTCCTCGATGGGTTCCTTTCACCTGACGATGCCACAGCGACGAATGGAACTCGTCCAACAACTGCCATCTCTTCCAAGGGGCCAATGGGCAGAAGTGCCAGCAGACGACAGGTCAGCGGTGGCCTCGGACGTCCTCCATATTGATTCTCCAATTGCCCTTTTCTTGAACTGTCCATTCGATAAGCATGATTCTCCAGGGATTCCATCTGCCATTTCGTTCCCTGGTTCATATGTTTATATATAATTTTCTTTTGTGACTTTGACGTGCATCGCCTGCCCGCTTTGTATCTGGGTTCATGGGCATGGACGTGCAGGCTCTTTCCGTCCCATCGGTCTGGCATATTTCATTTCTGTTTTGTCATTACATTTACTTCCTCTTTGTGAGTCGATATTCTTTCTATGTTTTGCCTTTTTCCTTTTTTTTTTCTTTGCATATTCTTATGTCGAAGCTCGGACCTTTGTCATTACATCAGTGCAGGTTGTCTTTGACAAGTAACTTGATGTTGTATCTAGCACCTTGTCGGTACAAAATTTAGATGCTGGTTTGGAATGGTCTTTCGCTAGCCATGTGTAATACATTGAATTCGATTCAACTAGTGTAATAGTATTGCTGCTGGGATATCATATGACAGAAAAAAACTCCGATGAGATAGAAAATAGTTAGTGACCACGCTGCACGACAAGACCGGGCGATGAAGTGCTCTGCTCTTCTTTCAGCGGCGCAAAGTACTCTTCAAAAGTCTTCTTCAGCACCTTTTCTGACAACCGCATGTGTTGTCCAGGAGAAGTCTTAAAGTCCAACTTTCCTTCCTCGTCAAGAGCCTTCAAGCCCAGCCAATCTTCCTTGTAAATTGGCCTCTGATTCAAAGGAGTGACCTCCCCGGTAGTACCGTTCACCTCGGCAAAGAATGAACTTTCTTTCGGCACAACAACAGTATCCTCTTCAAACATGAACATCGCGAACCGATTCAATGACATCAGATTCTTCTTGTAATCTTGGTTTTTGAAACCGCGCTCGTTGTTAATATCGGCCAGGAAATTGCTGTACTCCAGGTATTGTTCCATGTCTGTAGGATCGCGGAAGTACTGCGCTGGTACGACGCGAGACTGCGCGAAGCTCGTCCATCGGCCGGATCGAAGTAGTGCTTCGGCTCCACTGCATAGCCAGTCTCCCAGCTTGCACGACTGGAACTCCGAGATGCCATTATGCTGACTGCCGAATGTGACGAGATTATGTACGGGTGGGGAGTTGCAGCGCTCGATATATCCGCGGAGGAATTGACCGCCTTGTGAGAAGCCCAGCGCATTGATGGCGGGCGCAGTGCGAAGGATTGGGTCTGCGGCAAGCTGCTCGCAGACATAGGCAATTTGTTCTGTGACGTTGCCGTAAAAGGTTGCCTGGCGATCTCCACTTCCATCTTCAGCGAGTCGAATCAGATACACGTAGGTTCCTGGGTTTGTGGACTCGGCTAGCTCAGCGACTTCTTTCAGACCATCGCGTTCGAAGTCGTCCCCAAGGCCGTGCCAGATTACGAGGGGGAGCTGGACGCCATCAGTTTCTGTGGTAATTTTCGGTGGCAATGCAAATGCGAGGGCACCGGCAGCCAGTGAGGCTATGATTGGAATGGGATGCATGCTGAAGTAATCGTAGGAACGGCTGGCCCCGTGGGAGATACGTTATCTGTGTTGGAGATGTTGGAGATGACATCGGGGGTTGGTTCGGGATGACGTGAGCCTGGGGAGCGTCATGTGACTCGATATCGAAATGGATCCCGGAAGGCTGTCAGGCCGGGTTAATAAGCAATTGACGGCAGAATCCATGCATATAACTTCAGTTAGGGCTCGGGATGAACATTTCATATCCAGGTACCGCAATGAGCAAATTTAAGGCTAAGAGCTCAATTTTGAGTGATTCAAAGAACAATGGTAGGTCAACTGGTTCTTGATTGGGACTAGGAACTACAGTAGAATTGCGATTAAAACGAGTTAGCTAACAGTAGTATAACTTATATCTACCTAGGTATGTATCAGTATCTCTTGTATAGCGTATACTGGGGCTTACTAGTGGTCAACTCATTCTCCTGACTTTGGATCTGTTTTGTAGAAGAAATACGTTCATGTTTGAAACTCTGCAAGCTCTCACTGGGGACAGGGTAACAGATTGGTAATCCAGGTAGCTGTCAAATTTCCTTTCTTTTCCTGTTCGGATACGACAGGTCCCTCATGATCGAGAAGCATTGACTGTGATGACAGACTACTCATGCCTAACCCTGAGTTGTTATTTGCATGAAGGTCAACTGGTCGTCGGTTGATTTCGATGTGGATGTCCTCGACCGTATCGATGATCGAGGAAGGTTGTCTCTCTCTCCATGGACATTTGGGCATCTCAAAAAACGTAGAACCATTACTTTTGGCTGCCACTGCCCGTCTTCTGTCGTTATCATTCAGCCTGCGCCGCTTTCCAAACCTCTCAACTTCTTCAGTAGTTGTAAAGGAAAGCTCAAGGGGACGAGTAGCAGATACGGCAGCCCAGTCAGGCTCTTTGAGGAGTTTGTGTCTGATATCACTCAACCTATTTCTAGTATCGCATGTAGATTCTTCAGGTTTGAGACTGGCTCTATGGTGGCCTCTTAGTAAGTATCCAGTTAGTATAGATGACATAGGTCAGAACACCAAGCCAAAGCAACCAACAGTACTCGACTAACTGATGTTCTGCATTCATCTCTGCACCTCCATCACCTCTATCACTTGCGCTCAAGCCCTTCCATGGTCCAGAATCAGGAAAGTTGCGAAACGGAGAAGGCGGGGGAATGGCCGTGCCCTTCGTATTTGATCGAGACCTGGCGAAATTCTGCTTCTGGGCTTTGGTTAGCAGGCCCGAGCGATTGGAACGCTGCAGCTGGCCGCCTGTCCAATTCATGGTGCATGACAGATGTGAGGAAGACGTCAAACGACAGCGCATGGTCTCAGCCATCGGGAGAGATGTGATGTTTCCTATTCGAGGACCCATCCACAAACAGTGCAAACACCGACACGTGACCATTCGCGGACCTCAAAAACTTTTCTTCTCTTTCCACACACTTCACTTCTTCCGTCAATCACAACGTTTCTGACTGCTTCTGACCAGTAAACAGCTCAGTCATGTCTGTGATTGCCAACTCATCTTCCGACATGTCCCGCTAACAGGTAAGCTATCAGCTCCTTCCATTTCCCACCCCCTCCCATCCTTTGGATGATGAACAAAAATATCAAAAGCATAGTTCACCTGAAATCTTCGGATTCTTGAACGAAAACATATTCCATCTTTCATTTTTTCTGATCCTGTCAACCCATCATACTTTTCTCTTACACACGTTGGAGAAGAATTCGACTGACTCGAAAATAGGAAAGGCGCCCGATGGCTGCATGGCTGCCCAACGTGGGTCGCCTCGCCCCGTCCCGCTGGCCCGGATTAGATACAGTACTTCTCATTTCCTTTTTGTTTCTCATTTTATATCTTTTATTTTTTTTTAATTTATAATCTTTGATTGCATTATTCGTTTCACTTCCAGTAATGACATGGGGTGAGGTCACGCCGCATATGCCCTCCTGTAGCGCCTCCGGGGGACGTGGGATGCTCACAACCATCCGATCATCCAGCTCAGCGCCAAACATGGACATCTCATCAACACGCGACGAGGGAACCTGCCGATCGACCAATATAGACATCATCATGCAGCGTCAGCCTTCACTTTCACCAATCATATCCCTTGCCAAGCACTCAGGACGCCGCGCCGGTCTCACCGCTAGAACAGATTCCCTCCAGTCAGCCAAACGAACACCCCCCATCTGCAAAGCCCATCACCGCCAGTCTGCTGCATTGGCTCTCAATAGTGCCAACGCAAACTGTATGCGTGTCTGGCACACGTTGTGTTTGATGGTCCACAGTCCGAGCTTCTCGCTTGACTGTGTGCTAAAAAGCCGCTGATCCCCTTTCCCTTCTTCTTCTTTTTCTTTTCTTCCATAACTCTGGACATCCCCTTTTATTCACAATATATACTTTGTGACTCTATCATCTCACACTTTATATACCACCCCCCTTTCAACATTCAACAATTCCTGGATCGGCCTTTTAATTCAAGAAGTTCCTGGTCTTTTTTGATGCAATCAAGTCTGCCACAAGGATTCACTGCCACATACTCCCCGGACAGGATTTGCTTTCTTGTTATTTCCCAGGCTTCTTCTTAGTCTGCCCACTTTCGACAAACACTCAATAGGTAGTTTCCGTCACATTTTCTTTCAATTGCTTATCCTATGCGTTTATCTCTTTTGTCATCTGGACCTGTACCTCTTTATCATTTGTTCTTGCCAAGGATCTCGACAACCAATCTCCCAGGACCGAAGGACTTCACTGCTTTCCTTCCATGAACTCTGCCAATCTTGGCGATCAAACAGGACTTACTGCCAAGGACTGCTTGCCCTCAGCACCCGCTGAGTTTATCTCTCTGAGATGTGTTTAATGTGTGCACTCTCACTCGACAAAATACCACTGGATTACTACCCTGGATGTTTCTCTTTGACCTTGCCTCTACTCCAAACCTGGAGTGAAGAGTGGATGGATATTTGCCTTGGACCTGACCTTGCCTATGGAAACAACACCCTGGAATTACCACACTTCATGGACAGACATTTCATTTACCTGGTTTTTATCATGCTACTATGGCCACTTTACTATTTCAACAAAAATGGAACCGCTTTTCTTTGCCCTATGGAACAACCGAGGAAACTCAAGCTAATGTGCTTGCACTTCAATAATGGAGAAGCGTCCGCTTCAATCTTTAAAGGTCAACCTACTCAAGGCCATTGACCCATGGACCTGGCCCATATACCTGACCTGCCATAACAAGAATGAGCGACAGTTACTTACCTGGACTTACCTGGATGATGATGCTTCAACGAATAGTAGCTCCAACGTGAACCTTTCTTCTCACCTGGCACCACTTACTACTCCATGGAATGACACCAGAACTGGACTTGACAACATAGACAAGACGACGTGAACCAGGATCCTTCATCCCTTAGGCCTAGGAATTATCAAACTCGCACTAGAGGATTTGGTGCGTTGAATTGTTGCTGAAATCCAAAAGCCTGACGTTTACTGACTCTGACTAGGTCCGATTTCACTCTGGACCATGGAAATTTCCTTTGTCTTTTTTCTTTTCCTATTTGCTTTTTCTTCATACTCAACGTCAAGGAGTAGGTCACTGACTTTATTCTTACAGTGTTCATATCACAATCACAATCACAATCACAATGTCTTCAAGGACCAACGACCCTGAGCGGGTTTCGATGTCACAGCCCATGCATACCTCCATGGTTCAAGGAATCTCAAATCTTGCCTCAAGATCAATCCAGGATGATGAATTGTCGAGCCATGACAGCTCGTCAATGTGCTCAAGTATCCCTACAAGCCATGGAACTTCCCGGGACATGAAAGACTGGACTTTGAACCACTCAGACCAGCCCATTAAGCAAGACTCTTCCGATGTGCACATGCTTTCTTTCTCGCTGTCTCAGCAGCTGATGACCCCCACGGTCGGACCAAATGATGTGATGTACTCTGGCGTGGACTTCCCAGCAGTCCCAGACATGAATGATCATGAAATGTCCCGTGATCTCTATACTTCCTTCCTGGATTTCTCCTCAGTTGAAAATGATGTCTGCCATAGGAATGGCTCCCCAGATGATGCTCTTTCTATCGGACATAGCTCCCACACCGAGGACGGCCACTATATCACAGGCCCTGAATCATGGACCCCCATGATGCATGACGGCCAATACCCAGGAACCACCATGGATCAATTCTCGTCAGGTCTTTTCCAGACTGTCCCAGTTTCCCCACCACTGACCGACGCGAGCAATGATGTTTCTGTTACTTCTTCTTGCTCTAACTCTGGATTCCCTTCCTTCATGGCCCCTGATGACTCGCTCCTCGGAGATTTTACCACTTCACCCATCGGAAATCATGGACTCAACCCAGCAGAACCCTTGTTCCCCAACACTATGGACAGAGATCTCCACAGGTGAGTGTCGACAACGCTGATATTCAGACCACATGGCCAGATGCCTAACCACAATTACGTAGGACCATTAGACCAACTAGACAATCCCGCCGTTCAGCTTTGCCAGCTGCTCAGCCTAAGGTTGAACCAGAGTTCTTCCAGCCTCTCCCTGTGAGAGAGCAGGTCCGCCAGCGTTCCAAGGAAGGTGTTGAGACTCGCAACCCGCGGGAGCACCATTACTACTCTATGTCCACCCACAGCGATGGAAAATACTACTGCCCCTTCGCCACCGGAGAGAAGCCCTGCACTCACCTGCCCACCACGCAAAAATGCGCTTACCAGCAAGTTCTCCTGTGCACAAAAATTGGTTTCATCTGAGCCCCAGCTAACCGATCTCCCCTCAACAGCAAGTACCTGGACTCCCACCTGAAGCCCTACCGCTGCAAGGCTCCTGCCTGCATCGATGCTCAGCTCCGCTTCTCCTCTAATGCTTGTCTCTTCCGCCACGAGCGTGAAGCTCACGGACTTCATGGCCATGGAGATAACCCCCATCTCTGCCTTTGGGAGGGTTGCGAGCGTGCTGTGCCAGGTAACGGATTTCCCCGGAGATGGAACCTGTACGACCACATGCGCCGTGTCCACGATTATGCCACCTCTGAGCGCCACAGCTCGCCTGAGACCTCGCCCGGCGCTGGCCAGATCAAGAAGAAGGAACCCGCCGGCCGTAAGAGGAGAGTCACTGGTGCCACTCCGGCCCCGACTATGAAGCGCACTCGCTCCGTCCACTCACAGGCTGGATCTGTCAAGGCTACTCAGACCTCTGCTAGTCTCGGTCAGCGTCTCCAGACTGCTGAGCGGAATTACGACAAGTGCCGCCTGCGCCTGTTGGAAGAGTTGACCAGCATCACTCCCCAGGATACCTCCATGCACGAGCGTGTCAACGCCGGTCTCCAGGAACTGTTCACTCTCGGATTGAACTACCGTCACATTGAGGCCAGCCAGGCTGTTTCCCAGATGCCCAGTGGACTCCCTGCGTGAAGGATGTTCGAGATAGCCGCTGGGCCTTTTCCAAATGAAGAGGCGAACAGCGGTTGATACGATTTGAACAAATTCACAGGAGGACCGGTTTTATTTCCTTTTGCGCGGCGGCCGATCCGGGCTGCTTGCTGCTTGCTTGTCAGGCTATTTTCTACACATGGAGGAACCAGTGTGATCACTGGCATGGACCTTGACGTAAAGCACATCGGTACTATACCCTCGGATAGGGTATTTCTTTCCTAATCTCTGATCCGTTGGATCACTCGGATGGCCACGAACCATGAACTGGATAGGACCAGCGCGGGCCCCGAGCCTGCGCTTGTGCGCTTGCGATCTCTCCCCGATCGCCGCGGCCATCATATGGTAATCTGCTAGCAGGAGCTTTCTTGGCTTTGCAGACCCAATTTAGCCCATTTCCAAGAGCTTGATATACCCTGAACTTATGCGGAGGAACAGCATATGGGATCATGTCTCAAAAGGAGTGACAGAAGAACGACAGTATAGTTTTGTGTCCAGCATTGGTTGGATTTATTTTTGTTTTATTTTGATAGTTGATAGATTTCGCGGTGTTTTGGAATTCCAATGACTTTTGACAAAGTTTCTTTCTTTTCACGTAACTAAATGTAGATCTAATAATACAAATCCAAACTTATATCGGTCATAAATCGTATCTCATACTTACTCTCTGAGTATCTCTAGCGCTATGAACAAAGCATCTATGTTGATCCATCTTTGAGAACATCCAGATCATCTAATTCCCACCATCCGCTGTATCCCTGCCTCCAAACTCAGCATTGAGGAAGCGCACAAACGCATCCCCAACTTGATCAGCCGTCAAAGCCCCGGGCCCACCAGCACCATGTCCACGGCCAATATAAGCCCTGTTCAAACTAATCCACTGCCTCCGCAATCTCTGCAGCTTCGGCAAAGCCAAAATCCCTCCAGCGCCTGCAAGCTCATCCGTCGTACCGGACATGGCAACATGCGCCGGGATAAAGACTGGTACAGTCGAACCCGGAACCTCAATGGGAATTCCGTCAGCTTTGGCACTCTGCGCGAGCGCGACCTCCGCGGATGGAGTCGAGGAAGTAAATGCGCGAATTGCTGATACGACGGCTGATGTCTTCTTTTCCATTGCATACATCGCATTCGAGTCTGTGGCTGCTGCTTGCACGGTTGCTTGATGGGGAACGATCTTAGGCCTGGTTGAGAGGCCGCTGCGGCTGCCGCCAATTGTTCGTGCGCCAGTTGCTATGCTGGCTGTGTCGGAGATGGTGGAATTTGCTAGGACATCGGTTAGGCTTGGGATTGAGGTCGGGGCTTCCGTTTCGGTGGTTGGGAGGACGACGCCGGTCAAGGCCTGGAAGATATCTGCCACTGGAGGTTGAGGGTCATCCCAGGGTACTGTAAAGAGCGGCTTATCCCAGCGGCTGTGAGTGCTGGGTTCTTCATAGCGGAAAATGAGGTTGTTGAGCAAATCCGCGGGGTATGGCTCTTCGTTGTCGGGGGCGGATTGTCTGTCAGTTGCTGATGCCGGTGTCTCACTGGGTTCGGCGGGTTGTGCATCTGATGTGCTTTTATCTTGATTCTCTGTAGCTTGACGGCGCAATCGAGCATCGTTGATTGCGACACATTGGTCGACAGGTGTTCCGACATGAACCTGGAAATTGTCAGTCATGGTTGCCGCGCTTGAATTGATCTTGAAGGACATACCACACAGCAAGTTGTTTGCGCGGCTTTAGCCTCGCACCAAAGCTGGTACCTCCATCCCTTGATATAGTTCATTCCGTCGAGAATCACAATGCTGTCCCGTTTGAGCACGCGCTTGGCCCTCGCATAAGCGACACCACGCGCCTCCTTCTCTGTACGGGCATGGTCATAGACAATGCGAGGGTGTGAGGAGTCATGAGAGGCGACAACGTGAACCGCGTATCGGGACTTCAATGAGACTGGCGTGCCTGCTTCGGAGGCCGCGAATAATTCATCTTGGTGTTTTTCGAGCAGCGATGCGAGCTGCTTTGCACGGTGAGTGAGGCCGGAACACGGGTATCCCGTTAATATGACGAGCTAGTTTATTTTAGTTGGATAGCGCAATTGATCAAGGACTGGGACTTACCGGCATCGTGGGTTGTGTGTTGTGTTCTTGTGGACTTTTTTTCCTCTCTTTTTTTTTTGGCATGCGGGGTTGGCCATGTGACCCGCATACAACTTTTATAGCTTTTGGTATACAGTGCTAACTTATATAGTCATGGATTAGGGTAGAGAAAACAGCTAGAGCTATATATGGTTCAAATATCAAGATACGTTCCTCGTCGAGTTTCTATTGAATCTAAAAATCTATTGAACTTTGTCATTCATGTCATCGTTCCAGTTAGGTATAAAATCGAATCGGCTTTCAAGCCTTGCAATCCTCCAATTGATCTTGAGCCCATCGAATCTGATATCCAAAGACAGTCCGGCGAAGTCTCTCATCCTGTGAAGGGTTAGTTTGGATACCGCTGGGTTGAGAGGGAGGACGTACACCAGGATCGTCTTCAAACAACACCTCATCCATAACCTTTTCAAAGATCTTTGTGACCGTGAAGCCGCTCGCCTCCGCCAGCGGGAAGAACTGCTCGGTCTTAGGTAACAGCCAAGGCTGATAAGGGGTGAAGATGACTAGAGCCACAGACTTGGGGTCTTTCTTCATGGTCTGCTGCATGGTCTTGATCAAATTGGGGTGCTCACGATGGCTGTAGACCACGTCCGCCATGATTAAGACGTCGAACATGGAGGGGGTGCCATCGGCCGCGAGTGGAAGGTATGCCCGCAGCTTGCTCACATCACTACCCCACTTGTAGCCATCGACGTGAAGACGAGGCTTTCCGTCTGATCGTGGAGGAATGGCGCTTTTCGAGAGCTCTGAGTTGTGCTTCATATTATCCACGAGTTCGGGATCGGGGTAGTCGGTCAGAACCACAGTGCGGGCACCTTGGATGGCGCTCACGATGCTGGGCACACCTGCCGCCGCACCGATCTCGAGGACATCCTTGTCACGGATCAATTCCTCGGTGTGCTCTTCAATGTAGTGAGAGCTGGTTCGGCCAGCGTTCCAGAGCAGATTTCCCTGTCCAAGTCAGTTTGGAACCCCATTCGATCTGATTGTGTCGTACATAGAGGGGATGGCTGCCAACCAGACGCACGCGCACAGTCTGCCCTGAGAGCATGTGGTGCTCGGCGAATGTTGGCTCTGGATCTTCCGGGTAGTACCCTTCCGGATCGTCGAACAGATTCCCTGATTCGTAGTCGGCCATGGTGAGTTGCGAAGAGGGGATTCGCAAAAAAATAAAGATCTTATCGGGGATTGGTGCCTCAGGCGACGGAGTGGACTGATCTTCAGGTGGGGGAGGGTATGGTAAGGGCTGGTAAGAGTCGGTCCTCTCGGTCTTTTTGCAGTGTGAAAGTGGTAGAGCTTGATCAATTTCAAAATCACTTCAAACTCACTCAGATTCCCTTTTTTATCCTCACTTGCTTCTTCCAGTCAATCCAATCATCTCGACGTGATCCTCGGCCACTCTCCCATCGGCATATCACGTGCTGTATCGAGGTGACAATACCGTATTGTGGAGATGATACGCCGATGAGGTTTGCCAGTTCCCCCCTAAGGCTTTTCCTCTCCTCTTCTCTTTTCACTCTCACTTATTGCTAGGTGTCCTTGTCCGCTTGTTCTTACCCTAGATCATCACTTTGTTACTGTGTCTGTCTTGGAACTCAACTCTTGGTCTTTGCATTTTTCGCACTTCGAGGCGGCTTCAACTTCCTTAACTTGCCACAGACTGCCGCCTACCGATTCCGTGCTAGATCCGGTAACCCGAGCATCTCATCCATAGCGACTTGACTTTTCTCGACTTTACCCTTTGAATTCCAAATACCCTTCTGCGACCAACTTTTACTCGGATCCCGAGAGTGGATCTCTTTCCGTTAGACGTCATGGACTCGACCCTGCACCCAGCCTATAATTCCCAAGCACCTTTGGTCGGCTCCTCCTTCGCTCCCTCTGCCTCAAACCTCGCTCCTTCCACCAACCAGTCGACCATGGCTGTACACGCCCAATCTACCCTGGAGGTCGCTTCCAATGCGACCAAGCAGGTGTTCTCGTCGCCCTCGCTACAACCCTCGACATGTGCCCCGCAAACCTCCGCTCCTATGCAACCCTTGTCGCAGACACTAAGCAACGCATCCAACCCGGCCGCTTTGTCTATTGCCCCCGCAGCAGGCACCTCCCAGGGACTTTTGCCCTTGAATGCCGCTCCGGCTCCGGCGGAGAACTATCCCCACCAGATAAATGGCCTCGGGGGTCCTACTGCTACGGCGCCCTTCTTGCAAGATTTCAATCTGGTCGCCGAGGCAGCCAAACGGGCCCAGATGGGTATTGTCATGCGGGACCTTGAGAGCGTGACTCTATAATCTGGGTGCCGCGGCTACAGCTCCAAGGGCGGGACCCGCAAGGGAGATCTGCGCCTCGCGGCATTCTTCATGTCTATGGACTGGCTCTGTGGACTAGAAACATGGGATCTGGATTTCGGCGTATCATGTGGTGGGCTTTGCTTTTTTTCCTTTGTTTTCCATCTATTTTTATTTTATTTTTATCTTTCCCCCTTCTGCGGGCACATCTTTCATTGGGTTGCCAGCGTCCGTATCATTCGGACTCTCGACCACTCCGGCGTTGTTCTCAATCGAGATTTCATGGTTGGAAATCTCGATCACTTACGGCTTACAGGCCCTGATACCAGTTATTTACGAGACACGCAATATTATCTTACTTTAGAAGCATAGAACAGGACATTTTTTAGCGAATGTACAGTAGTTCGCTTCGATCTTGGCTTGTGATTCGCCCAAGCACCTGAACCTCGGCTTGGTCTCATCGCTGCTTTTAGCCGGACTGATTGGCTGGTAGTTCGGGATTTTATGCCTTCATGTCTGATTGGTCTGCTTTGGGCTGCAGTTCGCCATTGAAGTGAACAAGCGAAGATCGTCTTTCCACCGGATTCCAGCTCTGATCATTTCCCCGCATCCCCGGACTTTGGAGAAGATTTGACCGGCAGCTTGCAGGTTCCCGGCTCTATTGCCAATGTGGTGGCCCTTGATGTCGGTCTAGTTGAGGGCTGATGTTGAATTGCTGGCTGTGGAGGGCATTCAGTTGGGTTGGATATTCTGGATTTGGGACTATACCACCCCTGCTCCCACAGCATCCCAGAGACCGGCATGTGATCAAGGCTGGAGGCTCAGTACTTTGTGAAGACTACAAAAGAAATCTTATTGACAGAGACAAACCATCCAAACATGAGAAAAGGAGGCCATCAGAAATGGAATACGAAGGCTGCAGCCTCACTCGGGCGCTTGGGGACGCCTCACGACATATCGGCCAATGAACTTGTTTCCCTCAAGCGCATCACTATTCTGCTGCTTTGGGATATTGGGGATTTCCAACTATGAGGGAGTCATTGGTTAGAGATCTGATCATCAATCACACAACACGCCTTGATAGTGCTCGAGGGCTTACGGTCGTCTTCCCTACATCGCCTTCAAGCTTGACACCTTGCACCAATAGAATGAATATTTACTGGGCATCCTAATTGATTCCTGTGATGCCCTGCTCCTGAGGTGAAGCAAGACCCAGGTCATACATCCGCCTGTCGAATGAACCGTGCTGCTACTGCTATGCATGAAATGCTTCTACTAGTGAAAACACCGGGTTTCAACCAGTGCGCCCATGTCTAACTCGCTTCTGTCTCAATAGGATGAGGGAAAATGCAAATTGACCCAAATCGAGGAATTCAGGCCTTGATGTGTGAGCAGCCCGAAAGACTTGATCAATCCCCGTATAAGTACTCCAGCCTTTCGCCTCTTCCATTTCCCGATTACAGACACAACCCACTATTTCCTTCGCGGTCTTCAACATCTGACTGATTGTTGTTCGTTATAAGGTACTTGACTATCTCTTCCAGGTATTTTCCCTTGTATTTACCGTGCTAGGTTCCCCTCTGATAGATCTCAGATCTGTGCATCAGCCTCGGAGACTTTGTCATGTCAGACTCTAAACAACATACCTGTGATAAGTCCCTTCAGCTGAATAGATCCGCAGAGAATACAATTTCCTTCTTCAACCGCGACTGGAGATCCGGAGGAAAGCGAGTTCAGCGTCATGATCCAACCCTGTTTATCCAGGGAGAGGTTTCGACTACCTTTCTCATGGGGCCAGATGGATACCTGTACAAGCCCTCTGACAACTTATCCTATGAAAGATTGCGACCTGAGCCCCAGGCCAAGTCACGAAGCGCAACCTGATCTAGTTGAGTCTGGGGGACATGACTGGGCCGAAAGTCGGAGATACTATGAAGCCTAATGATGTCTGACCAAGTTGATGTACACATAACCAAGCTTACAGCCTAATAACTTATCGAGCAAGAGAATGATCTGACCCATCTGTTCACCTCTGGCTCTCGTACAGTATATTGATGAAGAGAAAATGTCCCGGAAGCAGTTGTGGTATCAATCCGGAGTCAAGGTGTTCACGTTCACACCGAGAAAAGAAAAACAGCGACAAAGGACATTGGGTTCATGTTTCCAACCAAACAATCCCAAACCAATCCACTCGGCCCGAAAATTGCGAACGGGATATCGAGTCCACGCCCCCAATACAGTAAGCCCATCTAAGACATTCCGGACAGACTCCACCGCGATCAGCCCATAAAGAACCGAGGAAGAGCCGTGTGGGACGGCCAAGTGGATGTTCCGCGGGCATCTTCGCGCTAAGGTGAGGATTCCATTGGCTAGCGGATACAGAGTGTAGTGTGTTGTAAATAGGATCGGATTTCAGGCAAAGATGTTTCATGTAGACGTACGAGGTCAGTCGCATTCGTAAGATTCTCTTCGGGTGCAATTCCAGTTGACCTCTGCACGGCTGACGCACGTTGGTCCACCGGTAATGCTTGGCTTGGAGTTTGATGTTAACTGCATGGTGGCGTTGGTTAGCGCTTGGCTGCATGGATGTGCGTCTACTGTACAGTCTACTGTACAGTACGCATGCGAGGGGTTAGCCGAGTATTGTAGAATGTACAGGTGACTGCACAGGACACTGGAGATGATCTGTCATTCTGATATGTCGGTATGGCACATTGGAATATCAATAAATATCAATAACACAAAAAGCAAAATAGTACTGGAAATCAGACAGTCCCCCCTCAAAAGCACAAACACCGAGCTATGCGCAGAATGGAGACATGCAGCGAGTAAGGAGTGTATAAAAAGTAAATCATCGCTGTCGCTGTAGAAAATGCAGAATGAAAAGAAAGCGCCCAAAATTATAGAATCAAATATTATATCCCAACTCCCTCTCCGGTTGCGCATGGTATATCTCGTCGATCTTCCCTCCCCCCGGGTTCCGGACTGGGGGAATCGACAACCTGGCTTTTAGATTTTGGTCATTAAAGAGTTCCCTTCATTCTAGATGAAGGAGACCTGGCTTCGGGATCCATATTGAGTGGAGGATCCAATCAGGTTGGGTGAGGAGATGCTGCCCCCAGCGTTGCCGGTGGGCTTGCCTCGCGAGGAAAAGACCGACAAGCGGCGGGACAGGCGCTGGCTCAGTCGTCTGGAGGGGGCGGCAATCGCATCGTAGGAGATGATGGACATGGGTCGCGACCGCAGGCCGTCCGAGGTCATGGGCACCTCGGGACTCGCGGGGGACAGTGGGGTTTCGAAAAAGATGGTCGAGCGGCGCTTGAGGGGATCCAGCTGCAGTGTCACGTCCTCGCGGATATCGCCTAGAGCGTGCGACACCCGGCGCAGGAGCTTGGGGGGCTTGCCGTAGATGGAGGGTTCTCGTTGTTCATGGCCATAGACTTGGAGAGGAGTGGCATCAGTGCCCTCGTCCACCGGGGATGCATAGAACCGGGGGTATTTGAACGGCATGGGGCGGCGAGAGTTGAGCGAGATGGAGGAAGTAGGTTGAGGATGTTGATAGGGAGAGTGAGGAGAGTGAGGAGAGTGAGGATCAGAGGCTACACTCGAAGTGGACGAGCTGTTGGAAGTATAGATCATTTTGCTGAGAGTGAGAGAAGAAAGAAAAAGAAGACGGAGGACAGAAAAAGCCAACTGATGAATTCCGAAAAAAACCACAGTGGAGCAGAAACCTATCCTTGGTCCTTTTTTAGTCTTCTTTTAGTGCCGTGTAACACTTAGATGACGGGTAATTTATTCTTTGCTGAACTGCGATGTCGGGGAACTCGACGGTGTATCTGGTTGATCTCTTGGTCTTTGCTAACCCTAACTGAGGTCTATCCCATAGCCATAGCCATACCCATCCCATCCCCATCCCCCCTAAGAGTCGACAGTAGTCGCTAGTTCGGTTGACTCTGACCCCATGTGGACTCCCGGAGACAGCGGAGTTCCTATCAGATCATACAGGATCTGCAACACCATCCAATGACGCGGCCGAGCGAAGCCACGATCTTCTCCGGCCAACTTACGCACCATCTTAGGTGTCCGATCTATTTTTCTCGGATGGATTTCTGGTTCAGTAGGTGTCTTCTAGCTGCAATCCAAGGGGCTGTTCCCCCCGAATCCACGGTTTCCACTCGGGAACTGTTCGTGGGGGAATTTGATTGGTGCGATTCCCACTCAGGGGCGCTAGAAATGTCTCTGGCAGCTTTTTATAGATCGAGAGACATGGAAGCCACCACTGGGGTTGGCGTTTTTCAGACATTCGCAATACAGGCCACTTGGATGACTTCAGCCTGATTCTCATAGGCGAACCGATACACTTATTCTCTCTCTTTGTCTCTGCTTCATCGCGTCAATACGAACTCATTAACTTTGCGGGATCCACCTCGGGCCACAGCCACAAATGAAGCTGGAGATGTGGAGATTTTCCTTTTTCCTTTTTCCTTTGTTTGCATGAAACAATATGAGTACGGTACGTCGGATAATACGGAATTCGTTCTCGTCATTCATTGGCTGCATTGATTCATCTACTTATGGTATGGGTCACTGGTACTCCAGTTACATCACAAAGCGAAGGTTGGTGTCTGCGATCGTCAGTCCCGGGTCTGGGGTTAGGGTGGAATCTGGCACGGGAAAAAAAAGGAAAGAAAAAAATAATAATCAAAAAAAAAAAAAAGGATAAACTTACCAAGTGGGTGACTGCAGCTCAGCTGCGGCTTCTGAGAGTATTTGCCCTCGAGTTCATTTCGGATGGTGTTGAGTAACTGCAGGTAACTCTGGTGTGGCCATTGTTGCAGGGATTTGATAAACGCCCAACTTAAAGCACCCCGCGCTTGACCATCCTGGAACGTATCCGCACTATCGAGAACAAGGGTTAGTTCAGGTTCTTAATTTCCCCTTAAAACAACCGTCTGGGACGCCACGTACGAGGTCTGTGTGTCCTTGGACCCTGAGAACATCACCACGTCGGCTGGGGAGGTCTTGGTCATGATGGTGCGTTCGCGGGCGGAGCCACCGTTGGCTGCCTTTTTGAAGAAGCCGATGGCGGTAGAGGCCATGCTGGAGAAGTCTCCTTGACCGTACGAGTTGAACGCGCTGAACAGATCTTGAGCGGCTTCCTTGGCGAGATTGGGCTCCTTGAGGATGCCCTGCGTCGAGTAGACGTACGGCAGGTCCAATGCGGTGCCCGAGTGGCACGAGTCGAAGATGGCTGTCAATCGCACTCCCGGCCGCAGTGGACGCACCATGATCGCATGCATGTCATCGTCCACGATGTGACCCGCTACGCGGTAGTCCAGTGGGTAGATGACATCGTCAAATCCATCATCTTCGTCGCCATCCAGGTCGGGTGTGCGACCGCCATGACCGGAGAAATGCACAAAGAGGGAGTCGTTGGGCTGGGCATCCTTGACGAGCCATTGCATGGCCCGCAGGATGTTGGCCTTGGTCGGCACGCTCATCGGGTTACGTTGGTCATCGGTGAGAATCACCATGTCCTCCCGTTTATACCCGAATCGCTGGGTGAGGAAATTCGACATGTTGGTGACATCATTAATGCAGCCTTTGAGGGCATTCGGTTGCCCCGCGTAGTTGATTCCAATTAATAGAGCCCGGCGCCGACCGGTACAGTTAGAGTACTGGAAATTGTAGTTGGACGGGGCGCCCCGACCGAAATGCTGCGCTGTCTGTGGTGGTGGAGGTGGCAAACTGGCCGAGTTGGCCCGCGGTCGGCCTGTTTTCTTGGTGAGCGAGAGCGTGTGTGTGCTTGGCGGGGTTATCTTTACCATTTTGGGGCGCACTGAGATGCGCCGGTGATTGTGACTGTCCGTAGGGAAGAGGGGATTGCGGAGGATATTGAGGATATGGGGGATGCATTGACGGTGCATGAGCACCTGGATAATGCGACTGACTCTGGGATCGGTGATGGGCATGATGGGCATGGTGAGCATGGTGAGCATGTTGAGGGGGATAGCCAGGCTGGGGTTGGTAGGGCTGAGGGTAGGGCTGAGGCGGGGGTTGCCACCCAGGTTGTTGATAACCCCACGGCGGTGGTCCCGGAGGAGGAGGTCCATAGGGACCTGGAGGTGGATGATACATGTTGTAGAGAATGGGGGGGGAAAGGGGAAGTCGAAGTAGAGAGAGAAGTAAGAGTTGAAATCCCAGTCCAAGTACAGAACACTTTTAAGGCACTCCGAGGGTGGGTCCTCTACACGTCCAGAGCGGCACTGTGCCGACTGATTCCAGCGGAAATACGTTGACGTATTCTATGCTTGCGATTCTAAAGGATCCACCTGTAGGGCTGCAGGAGATTTGCTCAAGTTACGTCAAGGGCGAATGATCAATGAGGGATAGCGGACATTTGACAGTGGGCAGTGGATAGTGGACATTCAATAGTCAGTAATCAGTAGCCAGTATCTAGAAGCCATTCGTCAAGCAAGTGAATTATCTATGTAAACAAATGTACTACAGACCCGTGGAATCCGACTTTGTTCCTGGAAATGTGGCTGAAATTGTAGGCAACGACGTTCTGCAGTCAGGTGATCTAGTCAGGTGATCTAGATTATCTGGCTAAATCACCTGACCCGGGATCGGAGATCGGAGGACAATAACGCCGTCGCCACTTGAGGCTCAACCAGGATTCGATGATTCTACTGACTGACTCTACTGTAGAGGACGCCCCATGGATGACTGGCTACGGTATCATCCCTCATGCATGACTCTGCAGATCTGCACGGGCGATCAGACCCTAATGTTGGGAATTCAAAATCAAATCGTAATCAAATCGTATATCCCCGCGTAATCCGACACCTGGAACTTGGCAAAGAGCCGCATCGCTCAGCCCCTAAAACAGAGAAGAGCCGCAAGGTCAAGGAAAGTCTCACATCGTGAGGCTCTTTCGGCTTCTCACACCTGGGCTTGGGGACCTCCTTCATAACCCCCTCCTCCTCCCTTCCTTAACAATGTTCCTTTCCTTTCCCCCCCATAATTTTATAATTCTATAATTCTCTCCCCCCTTTGCTGTCCTTGACAATGACGCCCCAGAGTCTGGATACTCTTCCGTTTGATATCTTCTATCAAATCGCCACGTCGCTGGACGACCGCGATTTTATCAATCTCAGCCGCACTACCCGCGCCCTGCGTGCACTAACGCAAAGTGAGCAGATCGCCCGCAAAACCGTCGAGGTAGGTAATGCTGGATGACGTCGATTCAAGCTATCAATCCCACTCCAAGTCTCGACCTCAAAAGCTGACCGTGGTAGAATGAGTTACTGTACAGCAAAGAAGGTCAGGCTGCTGTGGCGGCCCAGTCGGGCTACCGCAAGGCGGTCGGTCATCGCTTTGATATCCACGAGGCTGTCGCCATGGCAAATCCCTACTCTGTCGCTACACTAGGCTATGCGGCCGACTTTCTTTATAACCAGGGCATTCTTTGCTATCGATGGCAGGAGGAGATTCGTCTCCTGGATGTGCATGGGGATAAGCATGCGGAACGCGTGATATACCTCCCAGCTATCCATGACCGATTCCATGTCAGCTCGATCAATGTGTCGCCGGGTAGTCGGATCACACTGGTCGCTTATAGTGATGAAATTCTTGTTTTTCGAGAGACTGGTGTGAGTATGACCGAAGATATCCTGTGGGCGATTAATACAGAACGGGCTTCGCTGAGCGGGATCGACCGCAAGCTGTTGTCGCAACCCATTCCGGCTGGTGCTCCTCTATTTGTACGTCATAATCGATCTTACATCTGGTTTGGCACGTTCATGGCTGCCGATGGCTCGGATGGAGTATGGTCGGTGACAGGCTGGGATTTCCTCACTAAACTCCATTTTGGGTTCCAGCTGGATCGAGTTGTCGACGGGGACCTGGGACAAACATTGTGTTTTGAGATATATCAAGACCATCTCTACGCGGTATCAACGCAAGTTGCGTCAGATGACAACGAGCTACATTCCTCGTTCTACCATTGGTCCTGTCATGCTCCCCGTGAAGCTGGCCGCACATGGAATGGTCGCTTCTGGCGCCGTGAGCATGGAGAAGGCCCTATCAACGAAATGTGGACCGATCTTTCGATCCGCACGGATGAAGTGACTGGACGACCGATGATTTTAGAATGTCGTCGGGAATGGCGACACGGAGGGAGTGAAAATCACCGCACCTACTATACACAACGACTACCCACCCCCGAAGATGCTTTGGCTCCTTTGTCGGAGGGTGCAGTTGAAACTCCGTCCTGGGTTTCCCTTGACGATAACCTTGATGACGATCACCCCTACGACGAGCGCCCTGCCAAGCGGTTACGTCGCAACTATCACGCCGAGTATGAGAACGGCTCCGATGAAAAGAAACGACAAGAATTCATTGCCGTTCGGACAAAGCACCGCAACTATCATCTTGGTTCATCCACATTTCTTGATTTAGTCAACGACCCAGCTCCCATTGGCGGCAGTGTGCGGTCTCGAGACCGACTCCGCCTCCGCACAGTATCACGGAAGCGCAAATCCCCCATTGACGAAAAAGGCACCGAGGGCCCTTGCAATAAGTTGTTCCAGCCGATACAGTTTGACCAAGATGGTCGACCAGTCGAAGATTCCGAGGAACGCTTCGCATGTCGCGGTGTGCACCTATGGCCCTCAGACAACGCTCCGCCTGCGCTACACCATCTTCTCTGTCCAGACGCACGCACTTCATTCGTAAAGGGGATCTCAGATGAGCGTTCCCTTATCTATTCTGTCCCTGCCCCTGGACTACCAGCGGATCACCACGCTCTCATTCTCATCAGTTTCGATCCCCAACTCTATCTCCCTACTCTTCAACCCCTTTCCCCCGACGAAGAGGCTGATTCACGAGACATCTTCCATGTGAAACCTCAGTCACCAAATTACTATGGCAAGGATGCTATACAAGAAGCGCAGCCTTTCTTTCTTCCCATCCGACGTGGCTACTGGCTACGTTGAGTCCACCAATTCTCCACCAATAACCTCCCTATATAACTATAGACAGCTTGAAACCTGTCAGATATACAATAATCATTCAATAGCAATAGAGAAAAACAAGTTAAAACTTTACTTGATACGAGTACGAAGTGCATGAGTTCGTAAACAGTGCAAAAGCGGGGCGCCTTGGGCGTCCAACAGTGCAAGACACACAATAGAGCCTCTTGGGCAGTCTTTGCCACTGCGCAGTTTATTACTATTTCTGGCGCTCAAGTAGTTGCCTGTTTCCATCGAAGGTCATTGGTCAAACATGTGTTAGCTCTGCATACGCTAGTAAATCACCCGGGCGAAGTACTTTCCCTAAACTGACCCGCAGTTGTCAAACAGCATCGAAGGAATACCGTAGTGGAATGGATGTATTATATGCACCGAATCGGTCTAGACTGTCCAAAATCTCAAATAAATACTGTACATCACACCTCACATAAGCCGCAAAAGGACCTGTGGACGATGAATCGAGCAAGCAGGACGGTGTCAACAGTGAAAATACGGCCCGACAAGGTAGAATGTCCACATAACTCCGAAACAAGTCAAGGAAAACAATATAATGAAATATTCACAATGGCCACAGCCTGGGAATCATGTATCGTCTAGACATCATTAGGCTCACAATCATGTACATGAACATGAGATGAGTCCCTATTAACAGAACCAAAAAAAAAACCAAACCGAAAGAAAAAAAAAGATCATAAAACAAGGAAATATGAATCATTTCTGATGTTTCACATAAATACCAGCCAGCGAGTCAATAATTGCATCCCGCTGGATGGGATGTTCGTTCTTGAAGGCTTCCCGTACAGCCACATTCCTCTTCAACTTGGATGAAAGCGATGAAGATTCAGCGAGAGCAGCGCTGGCTGTATCGCTGGCACTTTCGCTATCGGTCAGATTTGACAGGAGGCCGCTGCTGCTTCCGTTGCCAATGCCTAGCGAATCGATCAAGCTTGACATACTCGAGTCGCTGTTCAGGAAGTTGTGAATGGTATTCTTGAGTAGATCGGCAATTGCCACATTGGCTGTGAGGGTCAATTGCTTCATCACATCTGTGTAGTAGGGCACCAGGGTCCCGTTCCATGTCACGGTTCGTGATATCGTGTCCAGCGCCAGGTTGCCTGATTTTAGAGCCGAGGCTTGGGAGGCGAGCACCTTGCCTAGATTCTTGATTATTAGGCCCAGATCTAGCACGCCCGTTAAGGGAAAGGTGTTGTCGCCTGGGTAGATGGTGACGTCTTTCAACGTCGCATTGCCGATTAATAGATCTCCGCTGTGGACGTCTAGGACGATTGTGCCGATGTCGAGAGTCAGGACTGATTTGTTGGGAAGAGTGGCATTGCCAACGAGGTTGGTGCCATCTTCGCGAGCTGGGATGAGACCACTGTCGGAGATACTGAAGCCTTTGAATTGGTTCAACACTGGGGATTGTTAGCTATCCATCCTCTGGGAGCTATGGACGGGGCACATACCGGGAGAGTACACATCCTTATCCATCGTCACCGGCGACTTGAGCACCCCCAAATACGAATTGGTGGTCCCCTTGATGGACAATGGCGTCGTCTCCTTGAACACCACATTGTGCACATATTCCACCCAGGTCGTCAAGTTGGTCAACGGCGTTGAGACATCACTCACTCCCAGCGTGGTATTCCCCTTGACTACCATCCCAGCCAAGTCGGCTGACGCCCATTTGTTCTCGGCGCCTGCGTCGCGCACAAATAGATCCAACGTGATTGGCTCGATGCGTACAGGCAGCGCGATCTTCAGGTCCAGTGCCGACTGCAACGTCAATTGAATGCGATCGGGTCGCGGGTTCAAAACCGCGGCATTGACGAGGACCAGGTCGGACTTGTTGACGACCATTTGAGAAATTGCCGGAATGGCAACGAGGAAGCTATGCGGTCAGCTTTCTATACTCTCTCTTCTCTCTTCTTCTCAGGCCACAACTCACAAGACTGGTAAGAAAATGGCCAGGAAGATGATGGTCACAAAGAGATGCAGACACCAGAATCGTTTCCAATGGCGTGCAAACTTCTCTTTCCTGTTCAATTCTCTCGCGGCTAATGAATGACCGGCCGACTCGACCTGGGCTAATTTGGAGCCTTCGACATCCTTGGAGAACAAAGGACCCCGATGAATACCCAGGGAGTATTTGGCATCATCGGAGCTGAGATAGGCCGGCCTGTCAGACATGGTTGGACTGTCTGTTCCTCAGGGGTGGACATGGTATAAGTAGACCAGCCCTGGACCCTCCCCTCCACACATCCACCGCGGGTCGGAGGTCGACTATCCAGACCTGGGGAGGCTAACTGAAGTCATCAAAAAGAACCAAAAGACAGAAATGACCCAAAACAAGGTTAGTGTCGGAGCAGGCTTCCCTCTTCTGGTCAAAAGCCCCCTGAAAATGGATGGAGATCGACAGTTCAGGAGATGGCGATCGACGAGCCGCGGCTCCACGAGACTATTCACATGAGATCGACGGCTTGGGAGAGAGCTTGAGGGTTCGGATCTGGGGATTGCGGGGGATTCCAGTTATTAAAACACCCCAAGCAGAGTCATCGGTGGCCAGATTCACCGTTTCATGACCCTGAATGCTATACTGTGAGCTGATACACCATGTCGTCCACGGCCTCTCCCGTTTCCCACTTGGACCAACATCCCGAAAAGAATGAACTCAACCATGAAGACGTCTATAGTGGCGATTCAGACACTACCACCAACAACATGACCAGCGACTCGGGTCGGTTACATGCCCTGGAGCAACTGGAAGTCCTGCCCAAGATGCTCTCGGAGGGGATCCTCTTTGCGGGCTCAGGGGCAACTCTTCTACTGCAAGCGGCCCTTCCTGGAATCCGGGAAGAAACGTCAGGCGGACACAAGGCGCTCGCGACAGAACTGATTGATGCCCTGCAGGCGCATATCAGTTACATCTCCTGTCTCGTCTTTGGAACACGCGCGGAGCGCAAGACACTGATGGAGATGTTGCATCATGGAGAACCGCCGCTGCTCGGCGGTGGGCGCTCAAACCGCTTTGCGCAGCAGCCTGCGCTGCAGTTGTGGATGGCGGCGACGCTGTACGCGACGGCGACGGATTTCTATCAGCGAGTCTACGGCCGAGTGGACTATGCTAGTGCCCAGCAGGCTTATCAGGAGTTTACCCTACTGATGAATTGTCTGGGGGTCCCCCTGGCACCTGGCCCGAGACTCGTGAGGCGTTTTGGTCGTATTGGGATCGGCAGGTGTCCGAGTTGACCGTCTCGTCCGATGCGGCGCAATTTGCCAAAGACCTGCGGGAGAGTACGGAGATGCCCCGCTGGGTGCAGTCGATGAAGCCTTTCTTGCGCGTGTCGACGATTGAGATGCTGCCGCCGAAGCTGCGCGATGCCTACGGGTTGCGGTCGACCGTGGCTACTCGGGCCATTTATCGCACTTGGATGGGATTCTCGGTGGCTGTTTACCCGGCCATGCCTAACAAGTGGAGGGCTTATCCTTTGAAATTTTACCAGGATCGCTTGCGGGAGAAGTTGAATGTGGTGTGATTCGTGCTTTGTATATACCCGATCGTTTCTGATGGCTTGGTGTTTTTGCTATTATTCTATTATTTGATCATGACTCTCTTTTATTTCAATCTTTTATTTGAATGGTGAATGGAGAATGCAGAATGCAGAATGCAGAATTTAAATTCAAGTGAATAGTTCCATTGACGCAGAAATCAAACCTCGTAATTCATTATGCCACTACAGAGACCCTAATACACCACCCAACAGCTTGGACACATCCTCCACCAACTAGCGCGTGTTAGCCTGCGATCGTCATCTGCACTGTCTCTGCACCTACCGGGGTCGCATCCCCAATCAGGGTCGTGGTGTTATCCACAAAGCTCTTGGTGAGCAGACTGTGCGCATTGGTCAAGATATCCTGCAGGACGTCGATATTGTCCGAGGCCAGCAATTTGGCCGCTCCATCGAGAATTGTGTCCAATTTTTTGAGATTGTCGGTGGTCAAGAGACCCTGCACCCCGCTGAGAATATCAGGCAGCTCCTCGAGCAGGCCGGAGGGTTCTGGTGCTGGCGCAGCGACGGGGTTAGGTCGGGGCTCTGGGGCTGCCAGAGCCAGGGGAGCGAGAGCCAGAGCGAGCAAACGGAAGAAACGCATTGTCAGAGGTGAAGGAAGAGTTGAAGGTGAGATTGTCTATACACATCTCTATATAAACGAGATTGGTCGATCTAGACCGGAAACTCGAACATCTAGTGCCACATCGATCCAAAGCCCCGAGGCCGTTGAAGCCCGGATTGACACGATCTACGCCGAGGTCGAAATCCAAAGTCCCGCCATGTGAATTGGCTGGAGTTTGCGGTGGTGCTGTGGTGCTGTGATGCTGTGGTGAGGAGTGCAGGTCCCCCCCCCCCCCGCATGGTTTCACCCCGGACCTCAACTTTTGTCCGATCAACCGTTGATCTCCCTTTTTTGGGACGAAGCTGAGTGTGGTTTGGAGTTCTGCGACGTCTGATTCGTGAATTTCCCGGAGGAGGTCATGTCTTGGGTAGCGATCGGCAACCACCTGCATAGATTACTCTAACCCAAGTGCTGGACAGGAACAGGGACAGGAGCATGTGGACCTGCATTTGCTTAGAGAACTACTCGATATTGGCTTCTCATTTGTCATATTCTCATATTCTCATTTCTCATCACAATCTATCACAGAGCTAACGCCAGCCCCAGGACGCCCATGGCCCCCATTACCGAGATGGTGAGTCCCGTGGCCTGTGCAGCGCCACCAGTGGATGTCGCTGCCATTCCACTGGCACTGGCACTGGCACTGGCACTGGAACTTCCAGCAGTCGATCCTGACTCGGTCGCAGTGGCGGTCCCCGTTTCATGCGCTACCCCCGTAGTGGCTGTCAATGCGCCAGAGATCTGCGATTTCACCACGGACATGTAACTCTTCACGTCAGTCGGGAGATTGCGGTACCAGACCGGAGTGCTTCCGGCCTTGAATTGACTGGCCAAGGAACTGCGCTGGGCCGGATTGACCAATTCCCAGATCACCGAAACGGGTACTACCGAGAGGATCTCGGGGATCAGCGATTTGGGCGGCGAGGAAATTGTGGCAAAGTTGGCACTGGCGGTTTGGTTTGCAGTGAGATGTTCTCTAGAGGGTGTCAGCTCCATGGAGGTGAAGGTGGAGGGGGAGGTGGATGGGGGATGGAGATGTACAGGGCACTGGAAATCGAGGCTAGATTGATGCCGTAGTCGGTTCCATCGCGGCGATGATGATGCTCAGCGCTGCAGGCGACGAGGAAGAGGACGAAGGGGGTGAATTTCATGTTGGATGGGTCCGGTGTAGTAGATAATCCCCCGGGTATGGGGAAGTCGAACTATATCAAATGTTGAGCTCTCTATCTTTCGCAAGCCCTGTCCAACGGGACTGACTCGAGACTTCTAGACCTCCCAAGGCCGTTGGAGTCTCGCTGATCAACCTCGGGCAGACGATGATCAGATGTCAATTTCCCACCCACATTCACCTCGGATATTTCCAGGATTCCTGGCACGGATCGATTCCAGATCGACTGTAGATCGGAGCATCCTCCAGTCGGAGGTTGTTTAGATTCCGGGGTTGGGGCCAGTGGACGGAGACATGTCCTCTCTTGGCGATTGCTTGATATTGGGAATCTATTGAGGCCATACTACTTGTAAATGACTCGAAAAATGGGCAGTATCAGGACTATCGACCTTTTGACGCCGGCGAGTTTGATGTATAAAATTCAGAAATGGAAAGTCTAGAACGGCAAGATACTTTACTTGTCACTGTAGGTAAACAATTTAAAAAGATATTTGGAAGAATCAAATAGAAAATGGCAATCAATTGGATATCATAGCTAAGCCATTGTAAAAGTCATAATAAAAACAGCCAGAGGCAAGAACCAGAATCATAAAACACAATCACGAGTGATTCGGCACAGATGAAAGTCACTTAAGCCTTCTTGGCCATATCAGCCTCTGCACCGCGCTGGCGAACCTTGCCCTCGTCATGCTGGTCACGGTATTTCTCCTCCTCGGCACGGTCACCAGTGACAGCGGCACCAACGGTGCCAAGGGCACCCTGGGCGCGGTTCTGGATGCCTTCACCCCAGTCCTTGAGCTGGCCCTTGGCTTCCTGCTCCTTGCCGGCGGCATTCTGTTGCTCACCTGCCTTGCGGAGGTTCTCGTTGCCGATAATGTTGCCGACGGATTCTTTGGCTGAGCCGAGGGTTTGGTCCCAGGATCCGTCGCTGCGCTTCTCGTTTTCCTTGGCCACGGCACCAGTGTTGGGGTCTGCGGCGAAGGGGCCTATCTTGGCGGTGGTGTGGGAGGCTTCTTCCCTGGCTTTGCCGACTTCTTGCTTTGCTTCACCCTTGTTCTGGAGGACGGTTAGTGTTTGTGGTGTGATGGGGGTGCTGGGGGGGGGTGGCTATTTACCTCGGTGGAAGAGTTGCCAGTGACGGCACCAGCGGCACGCTGGGCCAGACCGGTGGCCTGGTCAAGGTAGGACTGGCCAGTGGAAGAGTTGCTGTCAGACATGATGGTAGATGTGGATGGTAGAAGGTAGATTTGAGAGTGTTCAAAGATGAGAGCTGTGTTGATGATAATGCAAGTCAGGAGAAGAAAGAATCAATGTTTATATAGACACCACCTCTCAGTACGCCACATGGTTCCAGGGCATTCTTGAAGTTGTACACAAAAGCCATGATCGATGACGTAGATGACATCACATCACGTGGGATGACGCATGAAGTGGTTTGCCAAGTTTTTGTTGATTGACTTGGTCAACGAAACAAGCATTTGGCCATGCGCTATTCTTACCTGACAGCTGAGGCACATGTAAATGTGATGTACATGTACATGTACAGTGCAGGATGAAAGTGGAGTAACATGCAATAGCCATTCAATCAAATCTTTCAAAAGGTATACTGTAAATCATACACAATGCAATCCCAATGCCCTATCGCCATGTACGCAGATCCCAGATGCAATGCGTCGCTCAATAACTAGAAAATCAGGACTCCGTATTTACCAGTGACATATGCCACCTTCACTTTCCTCGGCAGTCCATGTCCCGCATAGACCAACAACCTCGAGATGCCCATCTGGCTGCTCGCCAACTTTGCTGAGTGAAGCAAACGTCTTATCAACGGGGCCGTCACTAAGCAACCGCCGAGCCCATGCATCAATGGCAGGCTCACCGGTTTCATCACGTGCTTGCTTCAAGAATGGGATGAGCGCAGTACCCCCGGTTCCGCGCAGCTTCTTCTTATCGGCCGGTGTGGCAGTGGCAAGGTTGGTTGCAGCCGGTCGACTGCTGGGTTGAGAAGGTTGACGTGCACTGCGGGATTGGATGATGATATAGCGGGATACCATGGTGATGTGCTTGTCGCGTAGCACACGCAGCATGGCTAGACAGGCATCGTAGGCGATGCAGAGGGCGGAGTCTCCACGGCGAGCCTCAACATAGGCACGGATGTTGGCTACCGAGTCAACTTGTTCGAGGAAGCGTCGGTGTGGACCGGGCATGTAAGTACGCATCTCGTGGATGAAGCTGTTCCGGGTCTTGCCGGTGTCTTCGCTGTCTCGGTTTGTACCCGTTGGTCGGTGCTCTATGCCGAGGATGATGTCGTAGAATTGAATAAGCGAGCTTTGAGCATTGCTGCCACCCCCGTATTGTCGATATTCTGGGCTGTGGCCGTCGTCGTACAACAGACCATTGGGCAAGCCGGCGTCACTCATGTTTTTGCTGCCGGCTAGATACGGGCGAATGCGGTTGTAGAAGACGTATGGGTCACAATTATCGTACATCCGTTGTAATAATTCAGTAGTTTCATCAATTGTTTCCGCGAGCTGCTGGAGACATTCGGTGACAATTTGGCTCTTTCCTGCGCGCGCAGCGGTTATAGCCTTGAGCATCAATGGAATCGAAGGACCCCCTCGGGCCTCGATGGCAACCGAGACGAGGTAGAACCATTGTTCATCCAACGACCCAGTGAACGTTTGATGACAAGCTAAATTGTCCAACTCGGTGGCCGGCTCGTCGGGAAAGATCGGCTTGTAGTTCCAGAGGCACACGCCCGCATAAGTGGCCACTGGAGGCACTTCCAGCCGTTCACAGACTTTGAACAATGGCACTGTAAGCTGAGGTGGAATCCTCTATTGACCGTCAGTGTTGCTCCTCGCGTGACCAGTTGACCAGGACTAGGATTACCTCAGCGGGACGATCACCTCCCCAGACAAAGCCATGCAGCATAAAGACCAGCACCACATATGCTCGTCGCCATTCAGCCTCGGTCTGGAGGTGCTCTGTCGACAGCAAGGGGAGACGCTCCACCAGGGACCGGACCCGTTTACTCAGGATGAGGGCCTGCAAGTTCCCCACGATGGCCTCCCACTTGGCATAGTACGGATCCGGCAAGACCTCCAGCGGAGGTTCCTGGGGCAGGAACCCAAGGTCGGGCGTGATCCCATAATCAGCAGGGGATGGTACGGGGGGTAACATGGTGAATGAATCTGAGGGAAGAAGTGGCAGATGTGCCAGGCGAGTACACCAAGGCAGGGAAGGAAGGGGGTGGGAAGAGGACCTCCGGATCTCTATCCCGATGGGGCGATCTTGCTATCTTAGAAATGCAATGATGTCAATGTGAGTGAAGAATAGAAAGAAGAATAAGGATATGTTATAAATCCAACACGGAGGTGGCAAAGAATTCCCCCCAGGAAGCGTACGGATGATGACGGAGCAAGAGGGGGAGAGAAAAGACTATCTGATCAAGGTACGGACACGAGCCATGAGCCATAATGGACCTGAACGGATCTCAACGGGGCCTTTACGGACCTGCACATCAGCTAACCATCCCCGTCAGAGTTTTCCGGTGAAATGCCTCTCAGCACGTAATTCCAGAGAATTCACCGGGCGACTTCAAGGAGAAAGAGGGCATTTTCCGGATGGGAGTAGATGATCCGATATAGGACCAGACCTTTAGAGGACCTCAGGACCGTTTTAGAGGACGGAGACTAACGGATCACCGCGCAACCACGACCGAACCAGGTTCATTTTATATGGGCCCCATCTCACCAGCGCCCCCAGACTAAAGATGCCAAGGAACAAATGGGTGCCCGCGCAAGGGCTCCCCAGTGGGTCTGTTCTTAGCGAGAAGTAGACTGGGTGCTAGACAATGAACCGGAAGCCCTGGAAACACGGCTGAGACGGGGGATTCTGGCCTTTGCGCCGAATTCGGGACATTCTCGCTTAATCCCTAGCACATTCGCCATCACTCACGCTGCTCCATACTCAACCGTCTGGGGTCAAGGTGCAGCAACGTCAGTCTTGAGCTTACTTTGATGTCGGATCCCATCTTGGATCTTGGATGGGCTCTGAACTGCTGTTTTCCCTCTTCCCTCTTCCCTCTGCATACCCTCGTTCCGAGGGCTATCCACTGTGGACCTCTCTTCCCCTCCGGATGAAGAAATTGACGCTGACACCTGATCTCCCAGGCAGCCCCGTAGTGTACAAAATATTGGGGTCCCCTGTTGGATTATGTCATCCCGCCAGGTCTCTAAATCACACCCAAACTAAGAACTATAGAACGATCTGTTGGCCATCGGGGATGCGCCCTTCTGTCCTCTTCCCAAATTGGCAATATCTATCCCATGAATGTGATGATGTATATACTCCCTGATTTGTATGGTTATGCAAAGCAAGATTAATCAAAGTAGGTTCTATCAATGATCAGCGGGGACTAGCACCGTGCAATGAAGAGACCGACCATCGAAGTGGAACTGTGGCCACCCATACTGGGAGAGTCCATGGAGGGGATCTTTGGTGAATGCCACCCAAGCTCCTAATGCCCGTTAGATAGCGACGAATGCATCATACGATTCAATACCTTGGAGGTATCTGCTGGCTTCCGCCTCTTCCGCAGATGGGGCTCGTGGGTAGGACAAATGATAAGTTCCAAACACAATGGGTATTTCGGCTATCAGGAGTAAACGGGTGAATGTCTGACTCAGACCGCGAACGAACCACGTGTTATCTTACCGGTGTGATACGCTCCAAGCCATGGCGTGGGACTGAGACTGGAGAAATTGCCTCGGTATAGATATCTCCAAGTGGGCACGTTCTGGTCAAGTCGCATCCTGCAAGGGGTGAGATTGGGGAAAAAAAGGGCATAGTTAGTTTCTTACTTGATAGTCTCTCGAAGGGGACAATTAAAAGACTTTTGGACATTTTCGTAGATCTCGGTCTCATTCACGGATTCTTGGCTTAACGGAACTATGGCCGAGAATTCGTGTTCGGTGATTCCGGCCAATGTTGGCTGTGGGAGCGGTTGAGCATGGCAACGCAGAGTCAACGATGGGTTACATACCAGACGGGCGAGTCGCCCCTTGGCAGTCCGAGCAGCATAATCCGCAAAAACATTTCGGTTGTCGATGATCGGATAAAAGGTGTAGTTCCCGTGAGTTCTGACCTCGACAATCTTGGCTGCCGGAACTCGTCTCATACAGCGAAGTGACTCAACGTCTGAGCCACATCCAAGAGCAGTAGACAACTGATTCCAATTCTCATGGTCTGGCTCTGTTGTCAATAACCGAGCAGTGCCAGAATGCAAGGCGAAGGCGCTGACAAGTGGATTATCCGGATACTATCGAATTGATACCGGTCAGGTTCCATACACAAAGACCCAATGGCTGGGATCTCACGGCATATGAATAGATGTCAACCGATGACGCCCCAGCAGATTGCCCGAAGAGTAGTATCCTCTTCGGATCCCCTCCAAAGTTGGCTATGTTCTCATGAACCCACTTCACCGCCAGCCGCTAGTTATGTGAGATTTGGTCCTCGCTGGTTGAGGCTTCTGATTTACCTGATCCATTAAACCCAGGTTCTGCTCCAAAGGATTCAGACCCGGTGCATTGGGAAATCCAAAGACATTGAGTCGATAACTATCAACAGTCAGGTGTCATCACGCACATCCATGATTTAACTGACTTGAATGTGACAACGATGACATCGTCATTCTCCTGCACCAGAGTGGTCCCATCATAAAAGGCCACTGATCCAGAACCAGACCCGTACCCTCCTCCATGCATGAACATCATCACTGCTGCTTTCCGCGCGCTTCTACCCTGATGTTTGAAAGAAGGAGTCCAGATGTTAATATGAAGACAGTCCTCGGACATGCTGGCTGCGTTCCATATCTTGTATGGAAGAATTCTCCAGATTGATTCATTAGAGTAGGTGTAAACCTGGGGGCAAGAATTACGGAAGGAGGATGCATCGATTGGGTATTGAGTGGGCAATTTTGGCTGTGGTGGTGCAAAGCGAAGCCGTCCAACTGGGGACTCAGCATACGGGATTCCTAAAAATGCCCGGACGGTTTGAGCTGTGTTGTTGTATATCCCGTACACGACGCCACGGGAGATTACCACTCGTAGCTCTGGTGGGCGGTTTACGAGAGTGGCGATACTGCAAGTAGCTTGGAAGAGGATCCATAGGGGTTGATACATCTTGGAATGCTGTTCTCTGGTAGTGAATGGGAGGGAGCTTTATAGGTAAATGTATGCTGCAGGTTTGGTCAAGATAATCGGCGCATCGGCAGGTAAACGGCGTATGTTACGATCGAGTGGTCCACGTTGACTCGTCTGAAAAGTATCGAAGAGACAATCTTAGGGCTGGCATGGAGGGACAAACTGGTTTCGGCATATAAGTTAAAACATGGTCTAACCTTGAGCATCAGAGGCGAATGGGATGCCGTAAAACGTTCGGCGGACCAACTACATCACAAAACCCTAACAGGAATCATCTACACCCTAATAACGTTAAATGGAATCTTTACACATAGTAGAGTAGAGGTAGTAAATTCAGAGGTTGATTATGCTCAATCTGTACAAATCCAATGTTGTTACACTTCCAACGCCGTCCCTGATTGGGCTTTTTTCTTCTTCTCAAAACAAAAAGTGATTAATATAATCAAAGAAAAGAAATCAGTGCTGGCTCCACTCGATGGTGTTGAGGTCGATTCCTTCCTGCACCAATTCCCAAAGTGGGCTGAGCTCACGCAAGAATGACACACGAGCCTGGACAGCCTTGAGAACGTAATCAATCTCCTCGTCGGAAGTGAAACGACCAATTCCGAAACGGATACTACTGTGGGCACTCTCGTCGCTGCTACCCAGAGCACGGAGAACGTAGCTTGGCTCCAGGGAGGCGGAAGTACAGGCGCTACCGGAAGACAGAGCAATGTCCTTCAGAGCCATCAAAAGGGACTCACCCTCGACGTAAGCAAACGAGACGTTCACACAGCCGGGGTAGTGGTGGTCGGGGTCACCATTCAGCAGAGTGTGTTCCATGGACAGGAGACCCTCAGTCAGGCGCTTAGATAGACGCTCAACGTGCTTGGTGTCGTACTGTTCGATAATTCCCATGTTAGCATGTTACCATACAAAGATAAACTTGAACAGAAACGTGAATCTTACCTCCATATCTTGAGCGGCAAGGCGACAAGCCTCACCGAAGCCAACAAGCAGATGAGGGGCCAGGGTACCACTGCGCAAACCACGCTCCTGTCCACCACCGGAGATGATCGGTTCAAGACGGACACGAGGGCGACGGCGCACATAGCAAGCACCGATACCCTTGGGGCCATAGATCTTGTGACTGGAAATGGACATCAAATCGATGTGCATCTTGTTGACATCCATGGGGATCTTGCCAACGGCTTGTGCGGCATCAGTGTGGAAGAAGATCTTCTTAGATCGGCAAAGACGGCCAATTTCCTCGAGCGGCTGGATCACACCAATCTCGTTGTTGACAGCCATAATACTAACAATGGCAGTCTCGGGGCGCATAGCTACCTCGAGGTCCTCCATCCGGATCAAACCATTGTTCTGCACGGGCAGATAAGTGACTTCGAATCCTTCATCCTGCAAGTGTCTGCAGCTGTCGAGAACACACTTGTGCTCAGTCTGGGTGGTGATAATGTGCTTCTTCTTACCGGAGCGGCCAAAGAATCGCGCAACACCCTTCAAGGACATGTTGTTACTCTCTGTCGCACCACTGGTGAAGATAATTTCCTTGGGGTCAGCGCCAATCAGCTTGGCGATATGTCCACGAGCCTCTTCGACACCCTTCTCCGACTCCCAACCGTAGGCGTGTGTGCGCGAGTGTGGGTTTCCGTAGATTCCGGTGAGGTAGGGAAGCATGGCATCGAGCACTCGGGGATCAAGAGGTGTGGTGGCTTGCATATCAAGGTAGATAGGTCGTGTACCTTGGTCCAAAACAGTGGCTTGCTTGAGTATACCGGCGGAAGGGCTCATGGCGGCATCGGCGGAGGTTTTGGTGCCAGGGAGGTTCACAGCCTGGGCAGGAAGACCAGCCTGTTTCATGAAAGACTTCTGCTCTTCCTTGATGGCAGTTTCGACATTGACCTGAGCTTGGCCGACCTTGGTCCCGGAGACATAAGAACGGGCCTGGGTGGCGAGGCGAGGAGCGCGATAGCCATAAGTTGTAAGACGCCTAGAAAAGGCCGAAGCCTGTCTCCAAGCAGTAGGAGCAGCACTTGTCATTTTGAAGATAAAATGCGATACCAAGCGGGGATGAAGAAAGAAGAGCAACCCCGACTTTTTGTTATCTAATGCCGGGAAACTCCTCCTGACTAAACCGGGCCTCGGTGAATTCCACATCGGGATGGTTTCGCCGAGAGTGTCCGAGGTGCCTCAGGCAGACATGTCTCTTTTTGTCTTTTGGTTTCCTTCAAGAGCACGCCGGTGTTTGACCTTATCCTGATGTTAGATGAGGATGGTCATTTGCACTCTTCGTGCAGTCCACATGCACCTGGCAACCCAGTAAGAGGCCTCTGTGTATCCTCACCCAACTCATCCAACCCAACTCCCCGCATATTAACGAAAGGGCCAATCATCATCGAGCCAGGGCGATGGGTTCATGCCCGGGTAAGGCTGCAACAAAAACAGCAGATCGTGAGAACTCAGCCCCGGAACAGCCACCGGGGCGATCTCTAAGAAAAAAACAGTCAGAGTAATACTGGTGCCTGATGTAACCTAGTAAACTAGTCTAGTCATAGATGCGCCACACCCAAGTCGAACTTATACTCCCGGTCACAGCCACATCGCGAATGTCTTATGTCATAGAAGCGAAAGTTGGCCCAAAAGCCCGTCACCCCGCCTTGGCAACTTCCTCATTCTCTCACTCCGACCCTTCAGTATGAGTTTCAAAGGCTTCCAGAAGAGCCTGGTGCGCGCGCCGCAGCAGTTCAAGGTCAAATTCAACATTGGCGAGCACACCAAAGATGCCGTCTATTCCGATGCCGAGCGCCGATTTGATGAGCTCGAAAAGGAGACCAAGAAGCTCCACGATGAGTCCAAGAAGTACTTTGCGGCCATCAACGGTAATATCTGGATTCTGTAGGAGACCTGAACCCTGCTCTAACGTATTTTAGGCATGTTGAGCCACCAGATCGATTTCTCCAAAGCAGTTGCTGAGATCTACAAGCCTATCTCCGGTCGCGCCTCCGATCCCACCTCCTACCAATTCGAAGGAAACGCCGAAGGCATCCAGGCCTGTGAAGAATATGAAGTGATCGTCAAAGAGCTGCAGGAAGCCCTGGCCCCCGAGCTGGACATGATCGACAGCCGCATCATCAGCCCGGCCGACCAGCTCCTCGAGGTGATCAAGGTGATCCGAAAGGTTGCTGTCAAGCGTGATCACAAGAAGCTAGACTTTGACCGCCGCAACGCTACCCTCAAAAAGCTGGAAGAGAAGAAGGACAAATCGATCAAGGATGAGAAGGCTTTGTACAAGGCTGAAAATGATGTCGAGGTCTCCACCCAGGAGTTCAACTACTACAACGATCTGCTCAAGGACGAATTGCCCAAGCTGTTTGCGCTTGAGGCCGAGTTCATCCGCCCACTCTTCCAGTCTTTCTATTACATGCAACTCAACGTCTTCTACACTCTCCATGACCGCATGCAAGGCATGAATATCAATTACTTCAACCTTCAACTTGACGTCGAAGAAGCCTTTGAGCAGAAGCGAGGTGATGTGCAGGAGCGCGCCGAAGCGCTCAGTATCGTGCACTACAAGACTCAGGGTGTCCGCCGTTCCGGATCCAAGCTGAGCGCCCTCAAGGGCGAAACGGATGGCAAGGGCTCTATTGGCCGGGGTCGTTCTAGCTCTACTGCTGATGAAAACCCCCCACCACCCTATTCGTCTGCCGGTGCCAGTCCAACAGGCAGTTTCTCTTCCGCCGCCAAGGGCAAGGCTGCGCCGCCACCTCCGCGGGCGAAGCCATCTCACCTCAGCGCAAAGCCGGTTGAGACTGTCACCGCTCTTTATGACTATGAGGCCCAGGCTCACGGTGATCTGGGATTCTCTGCTGGCGATATTATTGAGATCGTTCAGCGTACCGACAACACGAATGAATGGTGGTCTGGACGTGTCGGTGGTCGGGAAGGCCAATTTCCGGGTAAGTGTTCAATCCATGACGGAAATAAGTTCACTGCTAACATGATATCAGCCAATTACGTGCAATTGAATTAGCCCTGCTTTTCAACATCCTCACTCTCTTTTTTCTGTTCTGGCGCACGTGTGGTCTATACATAGAGCGTTCTGTCTGTACATAATTTCGTTCTTCCTGGTCTTTTCTTTTTTTTTTTTTTTTTTTGAATCCTAAGTTCCCAATCAAATCGGTGGCAATGGCTTTTACATCGTTACTCTTGATAAACAAACCTATCTTTTGGCCAACTTGGTGCCCATTTGCTCGAGTTTCCATTCCTTATGTCGTATTTTCTAGTCTATGCAATCGTGTTTAGAATCGGTCTCTGCTCTGAAAGACTAGACACAGATCAGACGACCAACTGCTTTGTGTCGGGTGGTAAGGTATCCAAATCAATAGACCTTGCATTGGATGTATAATTATGCTATCTTTAATCAGAAATATTAAAAGTGATGAGAACTTGGTATTAAAGATGCGCCTGCCACGCTTGTACAGAACACAATAAAGAATATAACACTGGCAAAAGAAACTATGATTGACACGTGAACGTGCAAAAGGGTGCATGCATAGGTTTGACTGAGAATTTTGTACAGAGAAATCGAAATAGATCTCTGGGTATCATTGGTAATGAAAGTGACAGGAGGGGCCATGCTAGACGAGTGAGTGTTTCTTCTGGATTCGGTCGACAGAAACATCATGCTCAACGGCAATTCCGTAGAAAGCGTCCGTGTCTCGCGAGCTCCCTGAGCCAGTCTTGCCCATTGTGTGATCTGAGTAGCACAGAGTCTGGGCAGCCCCTATGTCTGTCAGATGTGTTGGGTTGTCTTTAGTGGTTGGATTCAATGTGCTGTTAGCTCCACCGGCGAGCACTCGCCATAGGTTGCGTCGACGTGCGTCTTGACTGCGAGGGGGCCTGGATTGTTCGAGGGCAGCCCCTGCCCAGATTGATGAAAGTGGGAGCGAGATGGCGACCAAGGTGAGCACGTTAGATGCTAGTTCGGGGACGGTGATGTAGTACTGGGTGATGGAGAAGATGGCTGGAACAACCATGGTCTGGCAGCCCATGATGAATATGATCCTCATGGGGCCGAACTCGCGCACACCGAGTTGCCGGCGTTGCTTGATGGCGAACCCGAGCTTGGTGACAAAGATCACACAGAAGAAGCAGATAGAGACAGTGAGGGTCACATTGGTTGCACTTTCGATCCACCAGATGGATTCCATGTACATCACTTTGATGACGGCAATTGAGTTCTCAACCATCCAGGCCCAGCGGAAGCTAATCACCAAGAGCGCTACTAAGATCGATAGTCCCAGCAGAGGTTGTCGGTATCGGCGGCGAACAGTCGAGCAAATCACGTTGGTTTGAAGCACCAGCGATGCTTGAATGCACATTACTACCAAGGTTTGGAAGACAATGGCCACGATTGAAATGGCGTATGCACTTGCTGGCACTGCGGAATAGTCGTAAGAGAAGTAGGGGTATACTTCTTCAAATTTGGTGGAGAAGTGGACGACTTGGAATAGTAGGCGCAAGGAGTTGCAGAACAGAGCCAGTCCGTTCAAGATAAACACCAAGGACTTGCGTTTGTCGGAATGTGTCAAAAGAAGAAGGATGATCAGTAACACAATTGAGGCTCCAAGCTGGCAGCCGTAGTTGATACACACTCGGACGTTGTACATGACGAAAACATCCAGAGCTTGCATTGGGACAAAGAATTCTGTGCCATTTGCATAGTGCATGATGACATCCTGTTGGTAGGGGTCTGTGGAGTTGCGAATACCGTAATCCATTATGAAGTAGTTGAGATCACACTGAAAGTGCCGCAGAGTGAAGAATATGCATGACAGGGATCACAGATATAAAAGGGTCAGGATTGAAAGATATAGTGATGAAGAAAAGGGTGAGTGTTCCCAATTTAAAACAGACAATATACATGAAAGAAAAGGTGGCCATAGTGATGCTGAGAGTCTGATGAGGTATTGTCGGATCATAGAAGAACAATAGCAAGCCAGTGAAGAGAACAATATGAAGCTGTGAGACAAAGGCGCATTCCGTAAATGAGGCCCAGACAACGGACAGATGCATAATGGCTGCAGCAGATCGGCCACCAGGTCAATTGAAGGCCCTTGACTCGTGCGATTGCGAGGTTCGAGGCACTTGAGTTTGTGAGTTCTTTGTATGTCTCTTGGCAACATGAATCCCATGGATCCTTGGATTGAATGTGTCTCTCATAGGTACTTCAAAGTCCCATTTAAAGCTGACCGAGAGTTGAACTCCAATCTGAGAAATCCCAATTCATCCGAAGTTGGAGAGTTCTAGACTGGGAAGCTCTAGACTTGAAGTCCGGGGCTGTCGTGGGATCAATCCAGAGCTTCCAATCTGGAGTCAGGGTTCTAGATCAATAGTAGTTGGATTCCATTGGCTCTTCTTAGCAGTCATATAGTTTGTCCTGTAGCGATCATTCGGTGGATTGTTGTGCCCACATGTTGCAGTCTCCTGTCGGCCATGCATGATGCGTGGGGGCAAGTCGGTAGACATCACTGAGGGCATCTCCAAACCAACATAGACTGAAGATATCAAATCCCACCGAATCAACGTATCAACATAGAACAGCCGAAGAGACAACGGTGTCGCAGGCAACTTGCCAGTGTTGCAAGTGCAAGTGCAAGTATATAAGCCAAGACTGGGATTTGCTCCGCTTTCCCCGCGACTCACCTCCCATCACTCACCAACTGTGATGGCGGTGCCTCAGCGGACCCTCAACTGGCTCTACAGTGTATTGACCAAGGTAGGTGTATGGCAATAGTCAATGACCAAGCTGACCTGGCAGGATCACTATGACCCGCAGCAGACCTACCAAGACCCCAATCGGACCTACCACGATGTCGCCAACGCGCTCGCCCAGTACCCCTCGCTCTCCCCTCGAACAGACGTATACAGTGAGTGATGCAATTAGCTGGCAAAACTCTGGTTCTGATGTCCCTGCAGCATATGAAACAGGCTTCTCGGCCCTCCTCCTGCACCTCGTGGGCACCTTGCCAGTGAGCTTCCGAGGGACAACATACCGATTCCCCATTGCGCTATGGATTTCAAATACATACCCACGCGAACCACCCATTGTCTATGTGACTCCGACACAGGACATGGCTGTGCGTGTTGGACAGCATGTGACGCTGGAGGGGCAGGTGTTTCATCACTATCTGGCGCACTGGGCCGAAGCTTGGGATGTGAGTGTTCATGGAATGTCTCTCAACAAGCAAGCTAACCCACCCATAGAGATCGAGCATCGCCGATCTGTTATCTATCCTTCAGGATATTTTTGCCAAGGAGCCACCTGTTCGATACAGGCAACCACCACAGACCCAGCCAGTTCAGGCACAGACACAAACACCGCCGCCACTACCTCCTCTCCCACCCGGTGTCGGAAGCTCTGCTACACCTGTCCAGTCGCACCGGTCGCAGTCTACAAGCCAGGTACCTCCACCTCCTCCGCCAAAGCCAAACGCGGCAGGGGAGATTCGACAGTCGCAACCATCCCAATTCGATGATCGATATCGATCTCCCCCGCCGCCACCGAAAGAGCAAGACCCTCGTGTAGCAGCTCTTTCACAGACACCTGGTCTGGGAGCTCACCCGCATCGGTACTATCCGCCTGGCCAAAGTGGTCCTATATCAACCCCGCCGGGTCAGAGTGCGGCGCCACATTATAGAAACAGTGAAGTACCGTCGCATGTCTCTGCTAATGGGTCAGGCCAATACCACCCTCAGGCATATCAACCGCGACCTCCAGTTCCCCAATTACAAGGCCCTCAAGCACAAACACCAGCACAATCCCATACCCCAAACTACCAAGGACAAGGGTATCCTCCCCAACCACCGCAACAAGCTGGACCGCCATACCTTCAACACTCCCCTTACCCGTCAAATTATCCTCATCCTGCACCTGCACCTGCGCCTGCAGCTCCAGCTCCAGCCCCCAAAGGTCCAACTCAAGACCTTCTCACTTCACCGTTTGAAGTGGAGCTTCCATCAATTGCACCCACGGGACCTGCACCCCCAATTCCCCCAAATCCAGAGAAGGATGCATTACTGCATGCTGTATCGCAGACCCTTGCAGACACTCTTCGCAACAATGCCACGCAATCCGATACAGCCGCTCAGTCTCTCGTCTCACAGTCCCACTCTCTACATGCTGCTATGGCTACCCTGCAAGGCGAGGTTTCCAGCGTGAATGCTCTGCACGCAACATTACAGTCCAACACTACTGTTCTACAGCAGTCCATCCATCGTGCTGATGCTACCATTGCCGATGCCCAGGCTCGCTCTACATCTGTTCAGAATTTTGCGTCTTCATCTTCAACTGCTCCCAGTGATACCCCCGCTGGTCTTCCTCCCATTGATGATATCCTGGTTGCGCCTACGGTCGTCGGGAAGCAATTGTATGATCTGGTGGCCGAAGAGCAGGGTATTCAGCAGGCCCTCTATGCCCTGCAGGCTGCGCTGGTCCGGGGTGTCATTGGGGTGGATTCTTGGTCACGGCATACGCGGAGTCTTGCTCGCGAGGCTTTGCTGAAACGGGCTTTGATTCGTAAGATTGGCCGGGGGATGGGGTTGGAGGAGAGTGTTATTTGATTTCACCAGCATTGGTCAGTAATTTGCTGTACAGATACCCTATATGAATATAGTAGATCGTCGTTGAAGATCAATGAACCTGTCTGTCACCAGATAATCCATGTGTATATTTCAAATCATGGCAATGTTTCAGATGTCAACTCCAATAAGGTACTACGCTAGACTATACAAAAATTATGTGATACCTCTTGAGGGGGTGATAAATGAGAGGATGAATTCAAGACCATCCATCTGGGTGCCACACTCGCTGTACAGGGCATATAAGGGAATGGTCGATCGAAAAGAGGAATGAACCAAGCCGTAGCAGGTTCCATACATACAAAGAATCAAGATAAAAAAAAAAGAAGAGAAAGCAAAACCGTTGCGCCCAGCTGATCTTCAAGAGACCCCTTATTTGACCTCATTCGCATCGGAGAATGGACTCTCCACCCGAGCAGGTGGTGTTCGAGGAGAACTGCGTCCATCACTTAAACCAGAGGTCCGACGTGCTGACTGGCGATGTGCAGAGTCTGTGTCCAGGTTTGCTGGCCTGGGTGTGTCTTCCTCCTCATCTGAGGAGGCATCAAATGTGGAAATAGTGTGGTTGAACTGCTGACTGTCGGTGGTAGATGGCGCCCGGCTAGTATTCTTGCTGGTACTTGGCTCGGACACTTCTTCGATACGGTTGACGGGAGGGGCGGTGTTGTTTTCCTTCTTCTTCAATGAAGGACCACGCACCATGACGGGTTTGGCTGTCACACTGCGAGCCACGCATGAGCTGTTGCCCTTGACGGCCTCCGCCCGAGCAAGTTGCGCTGGGGTGATGGCCGGTACGGCCGGCGCATCTGCTGGGGTGACTGTGATGGCGACAGGGGAATCATCGCCAGGCGCGTTCCCTCCACTTCCTCCATTGTGAATGCTGACCACGGCGGCACGAGAGCGTTGAATCTGTTGCGCAGGAATGGCGCTGACAATGGCGTCGTTGCGATAAATGGTCGTTGCCACACTGCTACGCAATGTGGGGGAGATGCTTTGGTGGCCGGTAGTGGTCGTCCAGGACGAGTCCCGGAGGTCGCCAGGCATGAAAAAGTGTTGATCGGGGTGGGCACCTGGCAGAGGGGGAACGGGAGGAACGAGAGAGGCTGGTGTTTCTGGCGGGGAACGATTAGTGACCCCGGGAATATAGGCGATTTGGATCACGTTGGAGGCCCGGGTGAGGACGGTCGAAGCGATGGATTGTCGTTCACTACGAGCGGCCGAGAATTCATTGTTCTTCTCTGCCTCCATGCGCTCCTGGCGCTTCTTCCGAATGACGAACCACCACACCAAGAACACAATGAGGGCGATCGCTGCCACACCACCAATGACACCACCCGCAATGGCCCCGGTATCGCTTCCGCCAGGTGGAGGCTGGGAGCCACCGGTCCCTGTTGAGATACACTTTGTGGTAGCGCACTGGTCACAGGACTGGGTGGTCATTGTACAGGTTGTGCCATCGGGACATGATGGACAGGTGGGGGAGGAGTCTCCACAGTCTTTGCAGCGCTTGAAGAGAGAGCGAGCCGGGGAAAAGGCATCGATGGGGTCGAGCATGATGAGCGAACAGAACAAGAGAGAGGTATCAGAGGTATCGGAGGTATCAGAAGTATCAATGTATCAACAAGACCGGTCAACGGTGTAAGGAATGTGCAGCGGAAGTAAAGTAAAGGAGTGCGGCTCAATCGGCGTCAAGTCGTGAGCGTAAACAAGATCATGAAAGCCAAGTCGAGGCAAGCGGGAAACGAGTGTATAAAGAGAGACCAGTGTTAGGCGATACTCATGGTCTGGAACGAGCCCAGATCAAAGACAACTGGAGTCACAACTGTGGTAAAAGTCGAAGAGACAAAGAGGAGAAGAGACGGGAGAAGAGGCCCAAGTCACGGGAGTGGGCCTGAGGTTCCACGGGTCAAGTTTACTGGGGTAGTCAGGTACGCAATTCAATCGTTCTCGAATAAGTCAACTCGAGATTCAGATGGAAGAGTGAAAGTGAGAGAGATGGAGCTAAGAAGGTGGACAATTACATACAATCTACAATTCAAGGTTGTTTCATTTCGCTCTTCACCTTACTTTAGGGAGGGAGAGAACCCAGGCTGGGGGGGCTGTGAGTCCAGACTCCCGGACTATTGATCTTCCAAGATTACATGGCGCCCTCTGGTCGTCTTGGACTGTTTGGTGGAGCTCTTGTTTCATCAATCTGGAACCATTGGCTGCGTCATTTGAGTAAGATTGCTAGTACTGTCCGGTCCTGTCCTTTTCCAATGTGCAATCTGGGTGTCCAAGGTTGATTCTTCAGGTGTACCGTATGCAAGGTTCCCCCATACAGGATGTCCACAGTCTCGTATCCAATCCGATTTCATCAGTAAGCTACAGTATAAGCTCTACGCTAGATTCCATCCGGTCTTTGTCAGACCATGATTACTACCAGGGTGAAAGTGTCATTGCGTTCTTTTGTCTATAAATACCGCCGTATAGTTGAGCTCGTTGACCAATCAACGGGCGAGGGGGGGGTCTTAGGTAATCATCTTAGCAACCCTCAGTCCCTCCAGGGCTCGAGAGAGGATCAGGTACAGTAGAGCTCGACCTCGATGTTATAGGCGATAGGCTATATTCTCAGTGATCTTGCTTGGGTTCATCACTCTAATTCTCAAGCTTGACACGGCTGTGAAGATTGGTGGGTCACTTACAGCAACCCCCTTGTTATATATATCTGGACGCTGCATCGCTGAGGCATCTGCATTGTCATAGAAAAGCTACAACCTGACCAGCAAGATTTCATTAAGGCCATGTACAATCGTCCTATCAACCAGGAGTGGCGTGGCTGTTCGCAACAATAATGGGATTATGTATTACTTCAGTGTATGAGGTCGACCGCCTTATCAATCTTTTCAATGGCTTCACCTGGACCGCTTGCAAGCAGTGTGGCCCTAAGCATTAACAATAGGATTTGGGTATCAAGATAAGTAGTGATAGATCATTTTAGCCCCATTCAACTTTGAGACCGTTGAAGTCGATCACGTTGAAGGAATCCGAACTTTCACTTTAATCAAATTGAACCGAGAAATTGGATCCTTGCAACTGATCAGGTTGTTCTATTCCGAGCAAGCCTTGGCATATTAGGGCAATCAAATAGGACCAGAGTGTGGTACTGACTCGGACAGACAAGGTGACTATCCGTCGACAGTCTCAGGAAGTAGAATCATCCTCTTTTGAAGAAATTCATTCGGAGTGGCAACAAACCCCTCGACACAGGAGAAAGCACCCCAGGACTGTTCACCAGTTGGAGACTCCACTCGTAGGGAGCGACCATTCACTGGGCCTGAGAGTGGCGTGGATGGCGGGTGGGATCCCATGGCCGGTCGACCAAGCATGATGCCGACTGCCCTGCGTTTGATGTGAGCTAGTTGAAGCACGGAAGATCTCGCCACCATCCCCCGCCTCGAGACAGTCCACATCTACTGTAGGGTACATATCAGAAATGTGACATCTCATAACAAATATTTCATTCAGTGCAAGAGTATATAAGCATAGAATGCTCCCGCGTGTCTCCACGATCTAGATGCTTTGTTGACCACTCCGGTACCTTGACCTCCCCTGAACTTTCCATGTTTGAGACCGAGGAATCTTCTTCAAGGGTACATGTGTTTGGGATCTTGTGTTTGGTCAATGGTCAATGCGACCGTGGATGAGCCAGCATAGAATCCACCCGTTGGCTCGGGAGTGTGACGAGAGACCCGGCGCCCTGTAGTTACAGTACTGTACACCGGAGGAGTCTTATATGCTATCCTGAATGCTTTCACCTTGGCCTCTGCCGGTGTGGTGAGATATTGGTCTAGGAGGAAGGAGCGACGTAGAAGCGAAGAGATATATACTAACGTTATTCCACCACCACGACAAGATATTCGTATCAGCTCTCCATCTCGGTGGAACAACCCATCGAGATCTCATCACTGCAGACTCGGAGGCAAAGCGGGGGAATTTGAACGCCCATTTTCCAATGATTGACATGATAGGGCTATGGAAAAAATGCCGCCGAAGGCACGATCCCACGTATAAAAGCCAACCAAGTGGCCAGGACTCAGCTTGGACCGCTCCAACAGGGTTTCTGGGCCCTTTATCTGTAACAGGATCGGGGACACCCGCAACCATGGAGTACCGTAACTAAGACGATCACGCTGGACTCGAGCATTGTATACTGGAGTCCTGTCTACTGTACAGGATGACCGGACCGGGCTCAACTTCAGGCAAATGAGAAACTCAGTGCAGTCTACTGTCCGATGGGGCTCTTGGCAGATCCTAAAATAAATTTAGGATGGCGCTAAGTCTCTGCGGTTTGTTGCAGACCTGTCCACTTTGCACCAAATTAGGGGTCAACTAGTGGTGTCGGGGATCACATACCATCCCCTGGGGGTGTTTTTTTTTTTTTTTTCCCCTTCTTTTTGTTTTGGTTGTTTTTTAGGGTTATGAGGGGGAAGAATGTGAGAATGAGGTGTCCCTTTTTTCACCGAATGTTTCACCAGTGGATCCTATTTATTGGGTTCGGAGGTTCTAGTGTTGTTCATCGGCCCTAGAAGAGTAATGTAGCAGATGATCCGAAGTAGAAAAGGAAAACCCCCAAAGGGGGTTTACTGTCGAAGATGAGAGTATAGTAACGAAGAACCAGTAACCACCAACTCAGTAGACCAGGGAATCTGGTTCAGGGCGGGAACCAGTGAGGATCTCCCAACTCCAGACTCCCAAGGGATGGAGTATGTAGGAAAATTCAAGACGAATCACAGTCCAACAGCCAACCAGTCAACAGCCAGCCAACCAAATCCCCAAATACAAAATACAAAACAGTAAAAAATAAAAAACCCAAGGTCGACAAGACAAAGAAGCTAACCGGACGGGGCTAGAGATGTCTATTTTTGCTTAGTCTCACTCTATTCTCCTTTTCCCCCTTCCCTTTTTTCTTTCCCCTCGATTCAAACTACACTGACTCCTTGGCCCTGGTGGCTTCTTGACACCCTCTCGTTGCTCCCTTTCGATCTCTGATACCCCCTTTCGCGTCTCTAGTCTAATACATCATGGCCTACCAAGGGTCTGGCTCGCACTCGCCGAGCTACGACGAGAATCATCGTCTGCAGGATGTCCCTGCCTCACAGGTGCGCTGATCGTGAAAAGTCCTGCGGGAGATGCGAAACTGACCTGGATGTGTGAAGTACCGCGAAGACGAAGATGCAGCCCGGGGCCTGCTGTCCCAGCAGCAGGGTCCTTTCGCGACCCCATTTGACGACCCTAGCTCCCGTGGGCCGTCCCCACAGCGTCGGGCCTCTGGGTACAGTTTGACCGAGACCTACGCCGCCGCAGACTCGGCACCGTCCTACAACGACCCCTACAGCGCGGGCTCGGTTTACTCGGGCCACGAAGAAAGCCCCGCGGCGGCCTTTGGGGTCCCGGGCCGGGTCGCGTCCCCCTATGCGCGCAGCGAGACATCATCCACAGAGGCATGGCGCCAGCGCCAGGCTCCGGGAGGCACACAAGGTGGTGGTGGTGGTCTACGCCGATATGCCACTAGGAAGGTCAAACTAGTCCAGGGCTCAGTCCTGAGTGTCGATTACCCCGTGCCCAGTGCCATTCAAAACGCCATCCAGGCCAAGTATCGAAACGATGTCGAAGGCGGCACAGAGGAGTTCACCCACATGCGATGTACGTGATGGAAGACATGAAAGCTCGAGTTCCCTACCAGACACTAACAAATGTTCGCGAATTCAGACACCGCTGCTACTTGTGACCCGAATGAATTTACCCTCCACAACGGTTACAATTTGCGTCCTGCCATGTACAACCGTCACACGGAGTTGCTTATCGCCATTACCTACTACAACGAAGACAAGAACCTGACAGCACGAACCCTGCACGGTGTGATGCAGAATATTCGCGACATTGTGAACCTGAAGAAATCCGAATTCTGGAATAAGGGTGGTCCCGCATGGCAGAAGATTGTGGTTGCACTCGTGTTTGACGGTATCGATCCCTGCGACAAGGACGTGTTGGACGTCCTGGCCACCGTCGGTGTTTACCAGGACGGTGTCATGAAGCGTGACGTTGACGGAAAGGAGACCATTGCTCATATTGTAAGTCGATCATGGCGCAATGTGCTCAGAAAAAAAGACGCTAACAAATGATGTAGTTCGAATACACCACTCAACTTTCCGTCACCCCTAGCCAGCAGCTTATTCGCCCTACCGACGATGGCCCTAGCACACTTCCTCCTGTGCAGATGATGTTCTGTTTGAAGCAGAAGAACAGCAAGAAGATCAACTCGCATCGTTGGCTATTCAACGCCTTTGGCCGAATTTTGAACCCGGAAGTCTGTATCCTTCTAGATGCCGGTACGAAACCTGGTCCTAAGTCTCTGCTCTATCTCTGGGAGGCTTTCTATAACGACAAGGATCTCGGTGGTGCCTGTGGTGAAATTCACGCCATGTTAGGTAAGGGTTGGCGTAACCTGATCAACCCTCTCGTGGCCGCCCAGAACTTCGAGTACAAGATCAGTAATATCTTGGATAAGCCCCTTGAGAGTTCGTTCGGTTATGTGAGTGTCCTGCCCGGTGCGTTTTCGGCCTACCGATTCCGTGCTATCATGGGCCGTCCGCTGGAACAATATTTCCACGGTGATCACACCCTATCCAAACAGCTCGGTAAGAAGGGTATCGAGGGTATGAACATTTTCAAGAAGAACATGTTCTTGGCCGAGGATCGAATTCTGTGTTTCGAGTTGGTGGCCAAAGCAGGCTCTAAGTGGCATCTGACGTACGTCAAGGCCTCCAAGGGTGAAACTGATGTGCCCGAAGGTGCTCCCGAGTTCATCTCCCAGCGTCGTCGTTGGCTGAACGGTTCCTTCGCTGCTGGTATTTACTCGCTGATGCATTTCGGTCGTATGTACAAGAGTGGCCACAACATCATCCGCATGTTCTTCCTGCACATTCAGTTGTTGTACAACATCTTCAACACCTTCCTCACCTGGTTCTCGCTGGCTTCATACTGGCTGACTACCACCGTCATTATTGACTTGGTTGGTACTCCCAGCTCGAATAACAACAACACTGCTTTCCCCTTCGGCAAAACCGCAACTCCTATCATCAACACCATCATCAAATATGGATACCTGGCTTTCCTGCTGCTTCAATTCATCCTTGCACTTGGTAACCGGCCTAAAGGTTCCAAGTTCTCTTACCTCGCCTCGTTCATCGTCTTTGGTATCATTCAGGTTTACATTGTGATTGACTCGATCTATCTGGTCGTCCGCGCTTTCACCGGTGGTGCACCCATGGATTTCGACACGAGTCACGGCGTTGGTGCCTTCCTCAGCTCTTTCTTCGGATCGACTGGTGCTGGTATCATTATCATTGCCCTGGCTGCCACTTTCGGTCTTTATTTCGTTGCCTCGTTCATGTACGCCGATCCGTGGCACATGTTCACCTCGTTCCCTGCATACATGGTGGTCCAGTCCTCCTACATCAACATTCTCAATGTCTACGCCTTCAGTAACTGGCACGATGTTTCTTGGGGTACCAAGGGTTCTGACAAGGCCGATGCCCTGCCCTCAGCCACGGTGACCAAGGATGAAGGCAGTAAAGATGCCGTGATAGAGGAAATTGATAAGCCTCAGGCCGATATCGATAGTCAGTTCGAGGCTACCGTCAAGCGTGCCCTCACACCCTTTGTCGCTCCGGTGGAGCACGACGAGAAGAGTTTGGAGGACTCGTACAAGAGTTTCCGTACTCGTCTTGTCACTCTCTGGATTTTCAGCAATGCTTTCCTCGCCGTTTGCATTACCAGCGAGGCCGTCGACAAGTTTGGATTCAGCGTAAGTTTCCTTTGCCCATTCCCGATGACGATCTGAAATTAACATGAACTAGAATACTGCTACCGAGCGTACCGCTCGTTTCTTCCAGGCTCTCCTGTGGTCCAACGCTGTTGTTGCGCTATTCCGTTTCATCGGATGTTGTTGGTTCCTGGGTCGCACTGGTATCAAGTGCTGCTTCGCCCGCCGATAAACAGCAAAATGTGCTTGTTCTTCCTCATGACAGCCTGGCACTCGCCAGTCCTTCTCTTCATTCTGTGATCTGTATTCTACCTAAAGATGCCCACTTCTCTGATTTTCAATGCCAGCCAATCTGTTCTGTTGCGTCTCTTGTGTCGTCAACGCAACCTGGGGATCTATTTTATTTTTGTTGGACTAGCCAATGGATGCATTAGGGGTGTTATGATTATCCAACCTTTCATATTGAGAACAACTTGTTATAAATGCGTATGGTCGAGGTGTAGATTCTCCCCTTGTATAGATGTCACGGTGGATCGGTCCAAGGCGGAGAGGCGATAAAGCCGATTGCTGATCTGAAGCCCCCCGCAGGCCCAACTCCTGCATCATTTCAACAGTTCAGGGCCGCATTGCTTTCTTTGCTTTTCTCTTACTTTCCTCTCTCCCACAGGGCTCGCTCTGAGCACACCGCGCCACCGCAAGCTTATTCTGACCCTTATACACCTCCCGCAAATCGTCCGTTCCACCAGGTGGGGTGGTGCTTCAGCCAGGATGTTGAAAATCTGGTCTATGGTAGGGTCACTCTGACCTGTACTACCTGGGAATATGTCGCTGATAGTTCCGACAGAAGCAGCAGCAGCAGCAAGCTGAGAATGCCGAGGGTGCTGCTGGAAAGAAGAAGAAGAAGGTCACCGCCGCGCAGTTGCGGGTCCAAAAAGGTCAGTCCCTCGCAGCAGGCATACTTCGGTTGCATCTTGCATACCATGAATACGATCGACTATCATGAGAATCTTGTTCTAACTCTCGACCTTCCACAGACCTTACGGAAATAACCCTTGGAAGCACCATGAAAATGGACTTCCCCAATCCCGACGACATCCTCAACTTTACCTTGAGCATCGAACCCGACGAGGGCATGTACAAGGGTGGAATCTTCAACTTTATCTTTAACGTCAACCAGAACTTCCCCCATGATCCGCCGAAGGTCAAGTGCACACAGAAGATCTACCATCCCAACATTGATTTGGAAGGTAACGTTTGCTTGAATATTCTACGGGAGGATTGGAAGCCCGTTTTGAATCTGAACGCCGTCATTGTGGGCATGCAGGTTGGTTGATTTTACTCCGCTTCATATTGGGATGACTCACCACTAAATCTATAGTTCCTCTTCCTTGAGCCAAATGCCTCCGATCCTCTCAACAAAGAAGCCGCCGAAGATCTCCGCACCACCCGTGAACACTTTAAGAAGAATGTGCGCAATTCCATGGCCGGCGGGTCCGTCCGAGGCGTATCGTTTGAGAGGGTGCTTCGGTGAACGAGGACTCGAAACTTGCGGACTGACCCCAAGTTGCTCGATAGAGTGACATTGGGTGCGTTGCGACATACAGACATACAGATATGGTATTATGATCTACGGCTTACACATGGGCAATATGGCTGGGCGATCCCATGGCGGCGCGCTGGGTTTCACGTACATATTTCCGGCGCATTTAGCATTTGACTACAATAGATCCATTTTGCTCATGGTAAATCAAGTACGCATGAGGTGATTAGTTGGATCTGAGGGGTCTCCGCCGACCTGCATCCATAGATGCTCTCAGTACTTTGATCATTCAAAGAACCGAGATCGGAATTAGCACCAAGTCACAAGGATAATTCAAAGCAAAAAAACAATTGGTTTCCACAGGCGTATATGTACAATCGATCTCCAATCTAGCCACCCTTCGTACACGACCCGTTCAACCAAGCCCGACGGGACACATCGCAACGTTTGCTCTCGTCCGAGGGCAATTTTCTAGAAACGCTTTGACAAAGAAAAGGACTGACGCCGAAAGGGCGGGAAGGAGATGACCGGATGCGATTAGCGACCGATTTAACCGCGCTGGGCGGCACGCTCAGCCTCGAGGCGGGCGTAGTAGGTGTCGCGCTCACGGACACGGGGAAGGTGGAAGCCTGCAGAAGATATTGTCAGACGATGAGCCTGGGATCGCGTGGCTCGAGCATAGCCGGAGTACGATCTACTTACCGTACCACCAGAGGTAGCCGAAGGTGGTACCGAAACCTGGTGTGAGAAAACCCTGGTTAGCATTGTTTGTCCTTCTGAAACTGCCCCCCGGTGTTGGAATGGGCATTTGAGGTCTGTTCGATCTGTCTCGGAAGACAGGGATCTCCAATTGTTGTTCGATCATGCCACTCGGATTTGGGTCATGACTCACCGAAAGCGGTGCTCAGGTCCAGGACGAGACCACGGCGGAGCATCTATAATGGAAAAGAGCATGTCAGGGAACCATTGCGATCGTTCAGACCAAGCCGACCCATCTGATCGGGTCAACCCGGCCTTTCAGGGAAGGGGCACTTACGCCAGTGATGGGGGGGATAGCGGCGGGCATTGTGTCTAAATGATAATGTCAGTTGGTGCTGGAGATCTCTTTCAGTGAGATACTGACTGCTTGGAACCCTGAAACGTTGGTGGTGGGGAGAGGAGAGGGGGGTGGAAGAAGCGGAGGGTTGTGAGGTGAAGTTGAAGCTTCGGAGCGGACTAAGCGAGTGACCGGATTGGTCGATCAACTGTATAAGATGGGCTGATCAAGGTGACGGGCCAAGTCGAGAAGATACGAATCGATCTGAGATTCTTCAGTCGTTAAATCTAAGACTTGGTAGCTAAGATCCCTTTTTTCTATTTCCAAATCCAATCTTGTCTTCCACCTCATCGCCGTCCAGCTAATATTTATGGCCTCAGGCACCAACACGTGACTCCCCAAATCATGGCTTCTTCTTCACGGCGGAGGTTGCATCACTCCAACCTCCGCTCGATCCAACTCCGCAAACCTGTGGCTATGGCAGCTTCAGGTACGCCTATTAAGCGGTCCTCATCCACCGACCAATACAGCGTCAAGCGACTAAAGCACTACCACCACCATCATCGTTTGCAGGAGCCTGTTACCCTGCCGTCGCCCGAGCCAGCTGTACAAGATGAGGCCCACGTCGATCAATTGATGAACCGTGCTATTGGCATATCTCTCAAGGATGCCGGATACTATCTAGCTGAACCAACTGCTCTGTCGAGCTTCCGCAGTGCGACAGAAGAGTGTACGTGATTGGCATTTGATGTTGTTCGAAGCTTCAACTGACGTAATTCGCGCGAATTTTGCAGATATGCTACGCCTTTCCACCTTTGCTCGACAATCAATGCTATCATGTCGTCGAACGCAACCTATTCCGCAAGACTTTGAACACGCCCTTACCCGCCTCCGCCTTACACCTGATGACCTTCTCCCTACTCTCAAATGCTCTCAATATTCTACACCCGCACCCCCGTTACTGCACTCCTCGGAGACGGAAGGGGCAGAAGATGTGCTACCACCAAGTCTTCCTTTGCTCACAGCACTCAGCAGCGAGGACGACCGTGCGAACCGCTCTTACATTCCAAAACATTTTCCCAGCTTCCCCAGCAAGCACACCTACTCTGCCACCGCAGTATTCGTCGAACGAGATGGCGACCAACGCAAGATCAGAGAACGCGCCGCAGAGGATGGACGACACGGAGAAGAGGCACTGCGCAAGTTGGCAAGTGCCGCATTCCGCGACAACCAGACGGGCTCCACGGGCCACCAAAAGAAACTTTGGGGCCGCAGGGCGGATAGCATGGAAACCATGTTCGAGAAGACCACCAAGGCTCTCACTAAGAAGCTTAATCAAGACCCTCGTACTTCTTCTGCGGCAGCAGCTTTGATCGACTCGGCCATGGACATTGACTCCGGAAACCCGGATGCCGACAAGGCCCGGACCAAGCTTTTGTGGAACATGGAGATGGGCCCGATCGTTAATTGTGAGCGGGATCTCTGGCGTCGGACGGCGTCGACTACGCGCCGAGGGGAAGAGAATGACCAAAAGCCCTCGGCGAGCGCGGAGCCACTCGAGGTCATGACTGGCATGTAGATTGCGGGGACACAGTTCCCATTGGCGTTCTTTTCGTTACGGCTGGCGCTTGTTTGATACCCCACGGTGAAGCATTTAATCAATGATATCTTATTCGCAAAACCTCTTAGTACTTTACTTGTAATCCATGTAGTCCAACTCCGCCCAATGCTTATTGATGCAACGCTAAAATCCCATCACTGTGTACTCGCTTGTTTCTGCTTCTGTTCCTCTGCTTGCCTGAGAGGTTCCCAGGATGTGGTTTCGACTGTCAAGCCACCAGCGCAGCTACTGCTTATTAGCAGTTACTTCTTCCGAGTCGACTGGCGTACTCACCGTCTGAATAACCGCACCACGGGTTTGCACACGACAACTCCTTTCTCAGGAATGCCATCTTGTGGCGGGTTGCACGAGTACTGGGTCATTTCGAGCAACGGGCACTCCTTCAGGTTGACGGGGCCGCCTTTGCGACGCTTTTCTTGAAAGTTGCGCTGGACGGTATTGACATGATCGGGGAGAGTCTCCGCGTGAAAAACTCGAGTCAGAGGTGCCATTGGGGCGAGATTTGCGAAAATGAAGACCGGCGAGGTTTATGTTGGAGTGAAGTTGGCAAGTTGAAGTTCAAGTTCGGGAGAGCTCCACGCTATCCTTCCCGAGATCTTTCCACCTCGACTCACTCGGACTTCATGAATTTGGTTCTTTCAGGGATGCCAGATTGAGAAGGCCATCGCTATGGCTGCTTATCTTGGGGAGAAATCGTTAGCAGATGTACACCATGACGGACTGGATGAGGTACGGATTCAATTGGCTCTTGTTCAGACCGTGAATTGACTTCGACAAGATCTTGTCTGAATTGAATCAATTCTTCCCTGGTATTGCAGGCCGGGAATCGCATTTTCTAGGAATACCAGCCTTGGACACATTGCTGGAAGTCTTTGCGCCAAAAACATCGGGGGTACCGAATGCGCCAACTGATCAACTCCCATCTCGAAGGGGGCCTGGACCTGACCACGGCCAGTCTGGAGACTTTATGACGGAAGATGAAGAAATGATCTTGCTCAATCAAGTTCAGACCGACTATGTTGAAATGCCGGGTGAAGTACACCTGCCAGACGAGACAGACCCATCGGCCAGCTGGTTTCCAGACCCTGAGAGTATCAAAAAGCGGGCACTCCCTGTCGTGGAGATCTCAAGCAGCTTGTCAGCCTCGGGAAAGTCACAGCTATTGTACTATATGACTGCACTTGCAATCTTACCGCGAAATCATGGCGATTTGCTGCTAGGCGGCTGGGAATCGGCTGTGATTTTTATAGACAACGACAATCGCTTTGACGCCGAAAGACTACGGATTGTGGCTCGAGGCATCATACTGCAGCAGCAACTTCGCTCTGACCCGGATGCAAAGGATCAACCGACAGGAGCAACGCTGGGTCATGAGCTGGAGTCGCTACTTGTCTCTTCACTGCGGCATGTCCATGTCTTTCGCCCACAGTCATCCTCGGCCCTTCTAGCTACACTACAGAGTCTAGAAACCTATCTATTTGACCTCTCGAATCATCGTTCTGCCTCACGTCCCCTGAAAATGATTGCCGTTGACAGCGCCACTGCTTTCATCTGGCAAGATCGGCTCCGTGACGAAGTTGCTCGAATTGAGGAAATTGGGCGTCCCAGGGCAGAGCTTGATCGTGAGCGCGAGCGAAACCAGAGCTTCCATCTGTCTGACCTCTATGGTGAGCTGGTGATGGTTTTAAAGCGACTTCAGAGTTTGTTTCAATGCGCAATTGTGTTCACAACGACCTCGGGTACTCGTGCGACCCCATCTAGTGATGGTCAATCGGGTCCTGGTCTATACGACTGGTACCAGTTACAAAATCCAGCATTACGGCCTGCTCTCCCGGCGCCATGGGGCACATTTCCAACATTGCGTCTCATTGTCCAACGGTCTTCTGTTCGTCCATTTCCACCTAGCATGGCCCCCAAGGCTGCGATTCATGATGCCCATTTACGACAGAGCGTGGTTCAGCAAGGCAAGATATCGGCTTGCGTCAATGCCTGGGGACGAGATGATTGGCCTCAGCGGGTGGTTGAAGCCATTGAGGAGAACAACAAGGGCAGCTTTTCGTTTTACGTGCGTGAGTCTGATATTGAGATACCCCAGCCCGATGAATGATCAAATAAATTTCTATGTACGGTATCTGTTCTTGAGAACGCGCGTTTTATGTACCTCGTAGCTTAACCAAAGAGCTTCGTAATAGCCTCAACAGTCGTGTTTCCACCACTGAACACAACTCCAACATCCCATCCTTCCTTTCCACCCTCCCGCTCAACCTTCCGACGGAAATCCTCATCAAAGAGACAGACGGCCAATCCAACCACTGCACTCGGCTCAACAACAGTCTTCATGCGCTCTATTACTAAGCGCATTGTTGCTTTGATCTGTGCCTCAGTGACAGCAAACACTCCCTCAACTCGGCTCTTGTTGGAGATGACCTCCCAGTTGATCAGTCCAACAGGGGTACGTAATCCATCCGCAATGGTCAAGGTACCCACGGCCTCAACACGCTCTCCAGCCTCCAATCCTCGACGGCAATCATCTGCGCCTTCAAAGGTAGGCTCTGCGCCGAACACGCGGGTTGACTTGTCCGAAAACCAGGTTGCAACACCGGAGTTCAGCCCGCCGCCACCAATTGGTGTGATCACTGCATCCAAAGCTCGAGACCCGACCTGCTCGGTGTGTTGGACCTCTAGTTCCAAAGCTGTTGTGCCTTGCCCGCAAATGATATTCACATGGTCGTATGGTGGCACCAGAATGGCATTTGTCTTTGCCTGGATGTCGGCCACCACGGCCTCTCGCTCTACACTAGTCGAACCGCTGAAGATCACTTCTGCGCCATGGGATTGGGTGCCAGCGATCTTGCTCGGTGTACTGATCCGGGGCATCACAATGTAAGCTGGGACGCCTAGGGTTGAGGCTGCGAGAGCGAGGGCTTGCGCATGATTTCCTAGAAGGAACGAGAGAAAGAATTAGTCTGGGTTGGTCGGGTTGCCGAAGGCTCGAAGGTACCGGAGCTGTGCGTAATCACCCCGCGTTGTTTCACCTCGTCCCCGCGCTCCTCCAACAATCGCAGGAGTGCATGGAAGGCGCCTCGTGCTTTGAATGCTCCAATTCGCTGGAAATTCTCACACTTGAAGAAGAATCGGAACCGTGGTTGAGCTGGGGTCTGGCCTTCAAATGGTGTTCCGACGAGCGCCTCCGGGGTTTGCGGCGTGGAGGCGATCGTGTCGAGGGTATTGCAGGTCAGCAGTGGCGTCCGGTGCACATAGGGTTGAATGAGCTCATAGGCCGCTTGAACTGCAGCAGGAGTGAGTGATTGTGCGGCATGGGCGGGGGAGGTCATGCTGGTGTTAAGTTTCCAAGTTGTATGGGAGAAGTGCAGTTCCAACTTCCCTATGACTCTTACCCCGGATCATCTCCGCCCGCACAGCTCGCTACACACTACGAGTTTTAAAAGCCAAGTTTAGTTGGAACCTGATCCGAAAGCCAATTACACAAGGTGGAAAAGAGGAAAAAAGCTGGAACATCTAGAAAATTGAAATGGGGGCTTATATAGCCTCAAAATGATATTTTTCAAATACCTGAAACCCAAACAGAACAGTTCATAGTACATCATAATTTTGAAACCCCCACGGGTATCACAGTATTAACTTATTTCTGGTTCTCGGGGCGGAGAGAGCGGACGGCCTTACCGGCGCGCCAGATCTCAAGGTCCCGGATCTCCTGCATCTCCTTCTCGTACTTCTCACGGTAGTCCTTCTGGGAGTTGTAGTCGAGGGAGCGCTGGGTCTCAGTGCCGTTGTAGACGCTGTCGTAGAGGTCGTTGAAGACGGGCTTCAGGGTGTCCTTGAAGCGGCCAGACCAGTCAATGGCACCGCGGCGGGCGGTGGTGGAGCAGGCAGCGTACATCCAGTCCATACCCTTACCACCGATCAAGGGGTACAGGGACTGGGTGGCCTCCTCAACGGTCTCGTTGAAAGCCTCGGAGGGGCTGTGGCCACGCTCACGGAGAACCTCGTACTGAGCGAGGAACATACCGTGGATACCACCCATGAGGCAACCACGCTCACCGTAGAGGTCAGAGTAGACCTCCTTTTCAAAGGTGGTCTCGTAGAGGTAGCCGGAGCCGACAGCGACACCCATAGCGACGGCGCGCTCCTTGGCCTGGCCAGTGACGTCCTGGTAGACGGCAATGGAGGAGTTGATACCACGGCCCTCACGGAAGAGAGAGCGGACGGTACGGCCGGAACCCTTGGGGGCAACGAGGATGACATCAATGTCCTTGGGGACATCGACCTTGGTGAGGTCCTTGAAGACGGGGGAGAAACCGTGGGAGAAGTAGAGGGTCTTGCCCTTGGTGAGGAGGGGCTTGATAGTGGGCCAGGTCTCGGACTGGGCGGCATCGGAGAGCAGGTTCATGACAATGGTACCCTTCTCGATGGCGGTGGTGACATCGAAGAGGTTCTTGCCGGGGACCCAGCCGTCCTCGATGGCCTCCTTCCAGGAAGCACCATCCTTACGGACACCAACGATGACGTTGAGGCCCTGGTCACGGAGGTTGAGACCCTGACCGTGACCCTGGGAACCGTAACCGATGAGGGCAAGGGTGTCGTTCTTAAAGAACTCCTGGAGCTTCTCACGGGGCCAATCGGCACGCTCGTAGACATCCTCCTTGACACCGGCAAAGTCAATGGTCTTGATACCACGGACGGGGGTGACGACCGAGGAGACACGGGGGAGGGCAGCAGCGGCCGCCACAGCAGGCCGGGGAAGGGCGGCGGTGACGACGGTGCGAGGGGCGGCCACGCGGGCGAGGCGGAGGGCACGGGGAAGACCACGGGAAGCCATTGTGAAGATATGGAAGAGAGGAGAGTGGAGAGTGAAGGAGGAAAAGAAGAAACCAGACCGGGGAAGCTCTGGGATTTATAAATGGGAGACATGGCCGCAACCGCTGCGAGTCACCCCACGTGATCCCGGAGAAGTGCAAGAGCTCCCCGGCCGGTGTCGGCGGTGGCGTTGATTGGCCAACGCCATGAGTCAGACATTATGTCATGCTTCCAGCAGCAACCGTGGATGAGCTGGCCCGATTAGGCTTGGGGCGGAGATTCCCCGGAGTGAAGCCACAGCTCCGAAGAGGTGTGTGGGCGTGGAAAGTGTATGGGGGAGAGACCAGTCAGGGGTTGAGGCTGATCACTGCATCTATGGTGATTGGCTAGCTTCGATTCCTGCTGTTCTATATCGGTGGACTTCAACCCCTGGAATCATGCGAAATCCCATCTCGGGTGTGGTGTCTGCCTCAGGTGTCAGTTTCCCCACCTCCCCTCACCACTGCTCTTCACACTTGTCCGCCAGCTTTCCTTGGACCATGGCAGGATGAACTTCTCATTCGGCGATCTCCCCACCATCCAGACCCGCAAGGCGTTACTGTTGCTGGATTTCCAAAATGACTTTGTTCGGCCCTCCGGGGCGCTTCATGTCCCCAACACGCCTGATATCCTCGAGACCCTGCCTCACCTCGCCGCAGCGTTTCGTCGCGTGGGTGATGTAGTATGGGTGCGCTCTCATTTCGATACCCTACAAGCCATTACCGACTGGAATTTTGGGGATCGCATTGTTTTGGCGCGAGAACCCCCGCGCCGGAAGACATTGCCTTCATCTGATGTTATTGAAGTCGGATCGGACCGTGATTCGCCTGAGCCTATCGATCCGGAAGCTTTCTTGTCTGCCGATCCATCGCGATGTGTTACGCACCAGACCCCTGGATATCAGTTTCCTGCACCGATCCTCGCCGCCATCGATGCCCAGAAAGATACTGTCATCGACAAAACAGGATATTCTGCCCTGGAGTCGCCTGGTCTGATCCTGTCGTTTCGAACTCGCTTCGTCACTGAACTATATCTATGTGGGTCACTATCTAATGTGTCTGTATTCGCCACTGCTCTGGATGCTGTGCGCAATGGTTTTTCGGTGACTCTGGTAGAAAATTGTTTGGGTTTCCGTGATTTCCAACGTCACCAAGAAGCCATGCGTCGCATGGCAGATATTCTCGGTGCGACAGGTACAACCTCGCAGGAGCTTTCGCAGGAGTTGGATTGGGACGAGACCGATGCGATTGCGCGCCAAGGTGTGTCACGACTGAAGAGACCAGCTAACACAGCTGGCATTGAGAGTATCATGGATGGACTAGAGGTTTGGACCGCCAATGATACCGCAGCAAAAGAAGAGGATTCACAAGAAGAGGACGACTTCAGTATTGCCAAGCTTGCTTCTCGTTCCCGCACACAGCGCGGTGCCGCACAGGCACGGGGTCCAACAGAAGAGAAGAAGAAAGTGCGCGCGCGAATCCGTCGTCCAAAACGACGAGAGCCAACGTCAGAATCCGGAGTTGGAGCTCGCGTAGATCTTTCCCAGAAAGATGCGCCTGCCAGGCCGGCAGAAACACCGAATACATCCAAAAGTGACATCGGAGAAGGCGACTCGCGTATCGTGCATAACATCGATCTGCCGGAAGATGCCTTTGAACGCCTCCAGGCGGAGGTGAAATGGCAGAAGATGTACCACCTCTCGGGTCTAGTTCCTAGATTGGTTGCAGTTCAAGGCCAAGCTCAAGCAGATGGAGCGATACCTATTTACCGCCATCCTGCGGACGAATCTCCAGCCTTCAGGCCTTTTACACCTGCAGTGGATGCAGTGCGGGCCACTGTTGAACGCATCTTGGGCCACCCATTAAATCATGTGCTCATCCAGCTTTACCGTGATGGACAGGATCGCATCTCAGAGCATTCAGACAAGACGCTGGATATTGTGCGGGGGTCTTTCATTTGCAATGTCAGCCTAGGCGCTGAGCGCGTTTTGGTACTTCGGACCAAAGCTTCAGCATCCAAGCCCGCAGAAGGGGCGGAACCAGGTCGGACCACCCAGCGCGTGCCCCTGCCTCACAATTCACTCTTCGTTATGGGGCAAAACACAAACATGCGTTGGCTTCATGGAATCCGGGCAGACAAACGTCCCGATTCAGCCAAGTCCACTGCCGAGCAGACATACGGTGGACAGCGTATCTCCCTTACTTTCCGACATATTGGAACATACATCGAACCCGCGACCAACAAAATCTGGGGCCAAGGGGCTGTCGGTAAGACATCAGATCAGGCGCGTCCTGTAATCCATGCAGATACCGCTGGAACAGAGCAACTTATTGCTGCTTTTGGTCAAGAGAACCGTGATACCGAGTTTAATTGGGACGCTGTGTATGGCGAAGGCTTTGATGTGGTCAACTTTGTGACTCCGTCTACGGCACAATTGATACTCAGCGGAGACCCTGTCATTGACTTGTGTGTACGACTTTCTCTGGGAGAAAACGGTATTCGATATGAGGTCATCACTGGCCATCCAGAGAAGGATATTCATAATGATCAAGCACCGGCCTTGCCAGTGTACATTGCTTCCGATGGGTCTACTGCCGCAGGTGGCTCTTCTATCCTGAAGCATTTAGCCCAACGAGTCGAATCCACACGCCCAGGTGCAGTGTCATTGGGTGGGGGTGATTACTTGCCAATCGTCGACCGATTTTTGATGCACTGGCGGGAACATCGTGCCAATAATTCAGATCATGCATTTGACTTCGGCTTTGAAGATTGGGAACATGTTCTGGAGGGACAACACTACCTAGGAGGTACAGTGCTCGCTATCGATGACTGCTCTCTGTGGCCAGTTTTCCGCGAGATCATACAAACACAAGGCATGTTTGATTCCCGATTCCCAAATTTGAACCAATACTATGAAAGAGTTGCCAAACGAGGTATCGTCCGGTCAATTCTGGAGGAATGAATTTGGTGGAGCAGCTTTGATTTTTAGCAATCAGCCGATGATGCATTTCCGTGTACTTGTTTAGCCATGGACATATGACGACCGTACGAATTTACTGAACGAGCCGCATTGGCTTGAAATTGTCTCTATCCTAACGCTTTCTCTTGATGTGCTTGTTGCAACTTGCTGGAAAACTTCAATCTCCTACCCTACTCCGCTGATGGGTACAAGAGTCTACTTTCTATGGGATTGTGCAAGTGGCTTATGTTCTGGGTATTGCTGCTAACGCTTATCGGGATTGATCTTCTAGAGACAGCTACCAGGGAATGAGGTGGTAGTCAAAGAACTCTTCAGGGCAACATTGCCGCAGACCACAGCCTTGAAGAAGGCTTGGGCCACGGCCGATGCACCATCAGGACTGGTGTGTGTGTGATCCAAGGGGAAGTATGAATCAACAGTGGTGAGACCCAGGGTCTCAAATCGGTCCGCCACATACGCGCCATGGTCAACATAGGAGGCTCCGGCCGCCTCGGCTGCAAGCTGAGCATACCCTACGAACCGTGATGGGGAGTACGTGAATGTACCAGTTTCCCAGGGGTTGTTGGGTGTTTGGCTGGAGATGAGAACATTTGCGCCCTTGGCCTTGAATGTTTTAGCAGCATTCTCCAGGTAGGCCGGGAAGGTGAGAACTGTCTCAGCGACGCCGTCGTATGTTGTGCTGCATGTCTCGCTTCCTGTGCCGCTGCAGTCGGTACGCCCGTTGTCAGTTGACAGCGATCCACCGTCATTGTGTCCAAATTCAATGACCACCCAGTCACCGGCCTGGACCACGGCTGCAATGGCATCGAAGCGACCCTCTCGTGTGTATGATCGGGCGCTACGGCCAGCGACGGCTTGGTTGGAAACGGTGAGGGAGGTATAAGACGTGACATATTCCCCCCAACCTAGACATCTTAGTATCATTCTCTCGAGGGTTGAGGCAATACATACCCGCAGTGCCCGATCCAGTCCCACCCTTTGCCATAGTCGAGTCACCGGCAAGATAGATGGTTGTGCCCAGCGCACTGGGAACAAGGGCAGAGAGGAGCGCCGCGGTCTTCATGGCGACTAGCAGAATAAAATGATATCAAGAGTCTTGCGTGATATTACTGGAATCATGTCTGGTCCTTCAATTTATATAGGCCAAATCCTCTGCCAAGCCACAGACTAGATACGTGGAAAAAGTGGCATTCCCACCGGGGTATACATGTCCGAACTGTGAAGCTCTCCGTGTTTCATGGCGTTCGGAGCAGCGGAGATGTCATGACCGGATCAGAAATGACGAAACAAGGCCAAGACCTTACTTCTGATTCATGGAAATGGCTTTGATGAGGGGGAAAATAATCCTCCTGCAGCTATCACTAACTTATGCAGTAGTTCCGTTATGACATGCGGGGATATTATTCACCGGAGCCCTATCCATGGGCAAAGGGACGAAAAACGGGGATAGCTATGGCTTCAAGTCTTTTTCTTTCAGTGGAAGAATTGCGAGCCAAAGGGCCGACGAAAGGCCGAATGTACATGTTGATACCTTTCAGCGTGCATATAATGCTATACGGAGGTTTCCAGGTATGCACCACTGACTTCAAGCACAACCATCACGATTTATTTGAACGGTTGCAAATTTCACTCCGACACATTCCCGTGGAATGGTATCCTAATAATTATGAATGGGATCTTTGATATCTTCTTGGGAAAGCTATCGTGGAGCTCGCATTCTGCAAGACCTAAGCTTGTTCTACTCCCCAATCTCGGGATTTCTCGCATAGGTGGAGTTGACCCCTGCATTTCCAGGCTCCCTGGCCAAGACACGGGAAAATCATGCGACTGTGGGCTTGAAGTGCCTAGAACATTGGGACTATATACAGTAAATAGGGCCGAGAATCAAAGCTTCTCGAATGTGGGAATTCGCTTCTGCAGCCCCGATAATAGGGCTGCCGATACATCCTGTGTCTGCAAAGCAGCACTATTCCAAACGCTGGTATAGCGCAGTCCGTCTTGAACGGAGTGGTCGCGCGAGTAGTTCAAGATCTCCTTGGTGCCTTGTACCGCGACGGGACTTTTCTTGGCCATCAGAGAGGCCATTTTGAAAGCGGCCGCGAGGGTGGCCTGCCGGTTTTCGTACACGGCATTCACAAACCCAACACGCAGGGCCTCCTCGGCGCCGAACTCGCGCGCAGTCAGAGCGACTTCCTTGACCCATCCGTAGTTGCCAACGACCTTGGGAAGTCGGCTGAGCGTACCTATGTCCGCTGCAAGCCCAATGTCTACCTCCTTGACCGCAAATCGAGTGTCCTTGGCACAGACTCGCACATCTGTGGCGGTGGCCAGGTCGATAGCGAGGCCCAAAGAGAAGCCATGGAGGGCAACTATTACTGGCTTTTCGCACCGCTCAACCGCAGTAATGCAGTCCTGGAACTCCGCAATGTGGCGTCGAAGGAGTGCGGCCTTACGGGCAGCGTCATTCTGCGTCTCCGAGGACAATAGGCCCTCAGAAGCTGCCTTCACGTCCAGCCCGGCGGTAAATGCCTTCTCTCCCGCACCGCTGAGAACGATTACCCGGACCGAGGGATCAGAGGAGAGTTTGTTGAAGATTTGGGCCAAATTCAACCACATCCTATCACGATCGGTTAGTCAAGTCGTAAAGGACGGGGGTCAATACCCACGCTTCGACAAAGGCGTTCAGCCGATCTGGCCGGTTAATCTCCACATGGGCCACATATTGAAGGTCTGTGGGAAACTTCACAGTAAAATAGTCGAAAGTATACTCAGCCATGGTGGAAGTTGGGTTGAAATCAAAGAGTGGGAGAGAGAGGAGTATATCAAGGCGGGTAGCTCCAACGGACCTCGGCAAGTCTGGGAACCATCGAATGCCACCGAGAATACACTCACAGTCGATTCGAGGGACAATTTATGTTCAAAGGCCCATATAAGTCCTGAATTTGATTTATATAGAATCCAATTATGTCCATCTATCTGTTAATCTACAACTAGAACTCTACGATGTGCAGGCTTCACGTGCCGAGGTTCAACACCCTTGGCATAAGAGATGAGAATATCAGCAAAAGGACAAAAAATGGATTAAGTATATGATTTTAGCTAGAATAATACATGAAAAGGAAGACCAAAGAGAATTAGGCATGGTAGAAACCATTTGAAACAAGATCAAGCGGCGAAACCCATAAAAAAGAAACAGCAGATAACAGATAACATTCATGGCTCGTGTTCAGACGTCAAGTGTGAGATGCGCCAAAAGGGTGCTGCGCGGTCGTTGGGACGGTCGTTTACTCAATGGTGATCTTCTTCGTGGCGGCAACAGTAGCCTTGGGCACTTGGACTGACAGAATGCCATGCTTCAAGCTGGCCTTGACATTGTCCTGGTCAACGCGACTCGGGAAGGAGAAGGTGCGTTGGAACTCGCCAACCGAGCGCTCACTGGCCCAGAAGTGGTGGGTGGACTCAGTGTTGGTCTGCTCATGTTCCTCGCTCTCATCCTCCACTTGGGCTTGGTGGTTGGAAGTGTCGTAGTCGCGCTCACTGCGGCCCTTTACGACCAGAGTTTGGGAATCGGAGAACTCAATGTCAATGTCTTTTTGAGCGACACCGGGAAGCTCGCCATCCAGGTGATAGGCATCCTCGGTTTCACGAACGTCAAAGCGAGGGGAGAACGAGGGAACAGAGGGCTGACTGCGAGTAGAGCGATGGGTGTCGTAGTCGTCCAAAAGACGGAAGAGAGGAGTGAAATCCCCAGAGCTTGGGAAGCTAGCACGGAAGAGAGACATGTTTGGAGGTTTGGTTGAAAAAGATGGATTGAATGCTTTGGAAGCAGTAGAATATCTTTGAAGATGAGCTTGGATGATGATGATGATGATGAGCCGGACAAACATCAGCCTTTTATGTCATATCTTCCCCCCAGACCACTGCATTGTTCAGCAACATCTGGAACATGCGACTTTATCGTCGAAGCCGCCATCAAGTGCCAGTTGTTGCTCGCCGCTTCTCCAACCCGCTGGATTCTTCTCCACGCTTCGATCACGTGATATGGAAATCCGGGGTTACCAATCGTCAGGTTGACAAAGAAAGAATGGAGAGAGTGGCAAGCATGGAACATTCCATGGGTTTAAATTATAAATTCATTCCTGTAGACTCTAGCCCATGCTAGAATACACCAGCTTGCATTGTGCAGTGAAACGACATTGCCGGCATTGTTGTACCCCAAACCAGCCAGTTTTCTCACAGCTTCCGATTGATTGAACCCTTGTTGCATATCCCATTGCTTGATCTAGGCATGTGTGGTGTTAATGAGTGGAAATGTCCCCGGTCGGGCGGGAAAAGGACGCCAGGAAAGCAGGTACAATCATCGCACTGAACGATGGGGGTGTAGGAGCCCCAGATGCCGTCCGACGGTTGTCTAGAGAACGACCACGCAAGTTGTGAGAGAATGAACAGGTGGACTCAGCAACGGGTGTGTGGAGGTCGTCTTGTGTCCAAGATCGTGTCTCGCTAGGCGCAAGTCAGTAGACCAACGTGAGTCGTTTTGCGTAGCACCGCGAGATATCGTTCGAAGCAAATCTTGTCAAAGTATAATACGAGATGCACAATTATTCGGATTCAGATTCATCGAGCTGCATGATTTTTTCATCAAGGTCCTGTTCATTGTGTAAGTAAACAGTCGTTCAACGGCGGCGAAATTCAAAGATACCTGATCCAAGCGAACCTTGAGATTCTCTAGCTGACTCTCCTTGATAACCAAGTGGTTCTCATCATCCAAGTCCTCCACTATGTAGTCGTGTCGCTCTTCATCGTACTTCAGAATCATGGCCTTGATCGAGGGATCACACTCGATCAACAAACCTGCCAAGTAGCATAATGTTAGTCCTCCGTCTGGTCACCAGAAGAGCAGACCCAAGCAAAGGCTTACCTCGGACTGCGCGGGGCATGATGGGTAACAATGGTGATTCAACGTGAGGAAGGTTGAGCTGCGAATGGTCCGGCAGTTCATAGCCCAAAGCTTCACCGCCTCCATCTATGAATCTCTGCGGTAAGTATGAGTCCATTTGAATGTTTTTATATTACTTTTATCTAGAAGTCTCACTCTTAAAAAGGGATAGAGCATTCCACTTGAACTAGGAAAAAGTGAGCCGAGAAATGGGAGGTGAAAGTAGGGCTGAAATATTCAAACCGATCCAAATACTCCCCAAGCTTTTGCCTACTGTATACCACATCCTGTAAGAAAAGATCAAATATGTTATTAACAGCATGGGCAGGTCTACATGACTGGCAAGGCAATCAAAATAAAAAGGATTTAATGAGTATGCCCTGAATCAAAGTAGGCCTGAAATACCAAGAGGAGCGACTTCATGGGCCCCAACTATGTGGACCTAGGGATTATTTCTTCGCGGAATTTATTTGACGTGGAAGATCGAAAACGATAGTATTATATGTGTTCAATCATGGACTTCGGAGTCCACATTTCCCTTCTCCCTCTCCGGCGTCCATCCGACCCCGGCTTGCACAATAGCCGAACCTAACGCCAACACACTTCCCGCCAGAAATAGCATCTGCACAGCATGCTCATAGCTCTCAATAGCGATGAGACGTTCGGTACCAGTGAGACGCATGACTGTAGCTGGGCTGCCGAGTAATTCTCGCACCAGCTCAGGCCGCGGGGACAAGCCACGAGAGGCAAAACCAGCCTCCAGAGAGGGTTTGAGAATCCGAGAGAAGTAACCTCCCCCTACTGCAGATCCGAAACTCCCTGCAAATCCACGAGACATGGCCAACAAAGCAGTGACAATATAATGCACAGCTGGACTCGTGAGATGCAGCATATGGGACAGCGTGTAATTCATTAATGCTCCGGCAAAGAGCCCGTTCAGGAACGTCACGCTGAAGTATAAGGCCACCGGAGAATTTGGTGTTGACAGAAAAGAAAGCACCAAAGAAGCGAGAGCGAAGCCAACAAAGATGATGAGAGATGAGCTATACCTAGGGCATTAGATCGGATCAGTCTACGGGGACCAATCATAACTCACAAGTAATAGCTCCCAGCTTGACGGATATGCAGCCAACCGACCAGTAGACCCCCGAGGCCAAAGCCTGCATTTGTGGGAATGAGAATAAGTCCAGCAGAAGCCGGGGACCATCCTCGGACGGCCATGGCATAAACGGGCGTGAAGAACAGGATAGACCACCGGGCCATCATGAGACCAAGGCCTGCAAGACATGTCAACATCACTCCGCGAGCTCTCAATATTTTGACTGGAATGATGGGCTCTGCAGTCCATCGGGACTCGATCACCACAAATATCACAAAGAACGGAAGAGAAACGAAGATAGGCCAGAGGATAATTTGGGGCGATGCAAGACTGGTCAGGAGCAGGACGACCGAGATTGTCTTGAAAAATGTCAGTTTTTGAGATAATGAGGATGAAAAAGGGTTCCATACCAGCGTCATGGCGCCCAAGTAGTCTACTCGCGCCAGATTAGGACGCAGTTGGTCCATCTTAAACGGATTTGCATCGTCGCCCGAAGGCTTGGGGATTGCAAAGAACAGCAGGGGTCCTACAACCAACGCAATTGGAGCCTGAACCCAGAATATGACTCTCTAAAGTTGTCTGTTAGACATGTTGACCCAGCAAGACGTTAGGTGTTTGAATATTTGAACCTACCCATCCCAATGTCGGAGCCAGAAGCCCAGCAAAGACAGCGCCTGACGCGACGCCGGTGGTATATCCGCAATTGATCAAGCCAATGCATAGCCCACGTCGCTTCTTGTTGGCCATATCTAGAACCAGGATAATGGAAGTGCTCATCAAACCGCCACTCCCACTGCCTGCCACAACTCTTCCGAGAAGAAACACTGCCAGACTTGGCGCTGCAGCACTGATGAAAAGCCCAATCGCGAGCAGCGTCGTTGAGAAGACCACATAGAGACGCGGAGTAAATATCTGGGACAGTCGTCCAGCGAGGGGCGTAATGCTAGACATAGCAATCTGGAAACTAGAGCATTAGAAATATTGCATTTGTTGGTTGCCTTGCCATACCATATATGCCGAAGTAAACCATGAGGCTTCCGCAAAAGCATCTAAATCAGCCGCAATTTCAGATTGAGCTGTAGTCATCATCGACATATTGGTTGCTATTGAGCATCAGTTCATTGTTCCCTTGTGCCTGAGAGCATCATCAAAGAAGCGAACCCTGAATGAAGATAAGCACGCCCATCAAGACCAGGATTACCAGTCCTCGCTGGAAGCTCACGGTTCGGGCTTCATGTTGAGTTGAGATCAATGGTGTCTGCTCTGATGATCGCATTATTCCAGAGGATTAATTCCGAGGATTTTACCAGGACAAAGAAGAGAAGAGACGGTAATGATAAACAAGTATCGGAGCAGGCGGATGTCTCATTGGTAAGCCGGCGATAAGGTGACATATGCGGGGATAGTGATGTATAAGGCGTTGGGGAGTCAATGGCTCTCTCAATTGGTTGGATGTTCATTGGATATCATATCTATCACTATGTACTCTCTCAACCATTGTTCCTATGTTCTGGAGGCGAGGTTTGACGCCTATCCACGATGGACTCGCCCCAAAAATAGTGAAGTGCTCAGAAGCCACCCCCAATTGCTCGAAAGCCCTAGGCCGATTGTTCAGTCTAACCAATAAACTAGCGGCATTACAGGCATTTTGGGTATTGGAATTTACCTCAAATTTTACCTCAAATATAGCATCAATTAACACTTCAATGGATCGGATGAATCATGAGTCCTCGCTTAGTAACCCACCAAAAATCCGAATAAGTTAGTGTAGGTAAGGTAGAGTCCATGTACTCAGGGTACAAATCGACCAACTTCGTAGCCGGGGTGGCTTTGGAGCAATTCACCAAAAAATAGATGACCAGCGCCGCGAAATTTGGTGCAACACTTTTTCCAGATTAATCGCGTCCCCAGTAGGCTCGGGGGCTGACCAACTCTCGGTTTGCCACTGCATCTCAAAAAGCCGTAGATTGGATTTCAACTCAGTCTCGTTATAGGACGTTGTTGGGGTGGATTTCAGGTATTCGACAAACAAGCGCCACCGTGGAAGATAGTAGGAAGAGACGAGGCCACTCCATTGCTTGGACGCATAGTCAGAGATCTCCCCATTAGGCCCCCAAAGAGTGATTTGGTTGCGAGCGTTGTATTCAAACATGGCGGCTTGGGATGTATTGCCATGTGCCCAGGCCCGCGCCGCATCTATCCAGGTCGAAAGACGGAAGTTCTTATTGGTAAGAAGAACCGAGTCAAGATCGGTCAGAAGTTGAATGATTCTGTTCCCCTTTTGTGCAAACTCTGGCTGCATGGAGTGGGAAGCATTGTACAGATCTATCAGATCCGAGTACATGGAAATAAAAGCATTGTCCATGACTTGACGCGTCACATCAACCATGTCATGCAAATACGCCGGATTGGACCATAACTTCGGCTCTTGCTTTGTTGCATGGAACATGAGTTGCCAGGCATGCACAAGAACGGATGGGGGATAATTGACTGTTGTACCATGTGTACCGGCGACATTGGCCAAATTCCAGAGACTGGGCTGGATATCAATGATGGACTTGGCAACAGCAAGTGTAGTAAGGTTCGTATTGTTGTAGACTGTTTGTCGCATCAAGTCCCACGCGGCGTAGAGATCCCCCGGAACGGACCTCTGGCCAGCATATCGGCTTGTCACCCATTTGTGAAAGTACTCTTGCGTATCCAACGGGGTTGAAGACCATGCCTGATCAAGCAAAAGATCATAGACAATTTCATTGCCTTCTTGACCCTCGGGACTGAGGCCATAACCGACCATAGACGGGGACTCTGTTCGGGCTTCTGAGGCATTCTGGGTGATATTTTGGATTTGCCCATACAGACCCATGTTGCCTCCAAAGTTGTGCAACTGGCACCAGATCCAAGGTTTTCCGTAGTATGAATTTGTTCGACGCCATTGAGGGATCGACTCCGAGAACAAATCCAGGATCAACATATCCTCATTGGCCTCCACACCCGACAAATATGCTTCCACTCGTTCGTTGGTCCAAAAATCGGAATTGGCATAGAAGAGCCAACCTTGCATCATCCATATGGCATCAGAATCGGCCTGTTTCAAACTTTGCCATGTGTTACGAGTGACATTACGCAGATAGTCCACGTCACCGGAGTAAGGATCGTTCTCGTTGTACTGATCAAGAGTGTAGATGTGACTGACATCTCCATAGGCTTCTCGCTGCTTGCTGATGAAACTGCTTTGAAGTTCAGCGAAATGAGCGTCAAAAGGCTCAAGGAAGGTGTCATTTGTATATTGGATCGGAAACCCTCCCCAACGTGAGCCACGAACCACGTTTGCGTCTGGGAGAACACGGGTGATATTGGCAGGGACAAAACCAGTAAAACACGGTAATACAGGTGTCATACCCAGCTCCACCATGCGGTGAATGATGTTTTTCTGCAAGTCGAACTGCTCATCGATCCATGTCTGGGGAAGATCCCCATGCCACGAGCCTTGAATGTTACCAAATCGATTCCAGGCTTGGAACGCTGGACCACTCAGATAAGTAGCAATTTCTGCATTGCTGAGACCAATTTCCCGGAATACCTCCACCAGAATCTTCTCTTGACCAACCCAGGCAAGCGGAAGATTGACTCCCCGAAGGGCCATCCAGTCCAACTGTAGTTCCCAGTCTTCCCAAGACCAGAAGGCTGTGGTATAGGAGAAAGTGACTGAGCTTGATCAGTACCGCATATTCGATCAAAGAAATACAATATTCAGCGTACCTGTGTTGAAATGATACCTCCACGGAACTGTACTGGAGCCACTAATAGGGCTGGTCGGGCGAGGCAACCTGGACGGGGCGATATCCAGTCGGCTACCAATAAACCAGTAGATATCGACATGAGCAACATCGGTCAGATATTGATGCAGACTGTTGGAAAAGTCAGCCTTGTCAACATGGCTCTTTTGAGGACTCCTACCCCGACGACAATGCACTTAGGGAATTTCCTTTGACTAAAATGGTACCTCCGGAGTCACTGCTGACAATATAAGAGTCATATTTGCTATCTACCTCATAGCTGGTGTCCAGAGTGAAATGGAAGTTGTGGAGATGATTTGGAAGACGACGTTTGACAAGATCTGTGATGCCCTGGGTGGACTGGACAGAACGGGCGCTGACCGTGGCAGCACCAAGCCAGAAGAGCGACTTGATCCAGAGCATAATTTCGGTGGAAATAGAAGCAAGATTCGAACAATGCAAGTGATAAGTTAACTGATGACTTGTTTATGTACGATGGGACGCCTAACCCCGAGGTTGCGTCCCTTGCTTCCCCCGCACTACGACTGTCGCATACAACGTTGATCTCATACTTCGACTGATAACCTCCTCATGTTATATCTCGCAAGTGGAAGAGACGAGTAAAGAAGAGAGGGCGCTAGATAGTACATAGAACATCAATCCGATATTCAGGTCTGAGAAATCTGAACGGCGAGCTTGCCTATACTCGAAACTCTTTCTGACCCTGGAGTGCTTTCGCTAATAATTCAGGATACCATCGCTCTCCAACATCTTGATGACTGGTGATTCGCGCTATGAGTGTGCCTTCACCAATGCTCCCACGGAACATCTCGTTGAAAGTTGCCTCTGCGTCTGATTTGACCTTGGCATCCTTGACGAGCGCGCGAATATGCTCGGGGATTTCAAGGGAGATCTTATCAGAAAGATCAAGGCTCACACCCTGGAAGACTGGAAAAGAGAATCTCGGTCCCAGAGCATCACCGTTGCCATCTTGGAAGTTTTCTTGCCGTAAACTGACGCGATGAGTAGTTGCGGTGCAAATTCCCCCGGTCAATGCCTCCAAGGAGCGTCCAATATTGATCACCACTGTTCCTGGCACCGGAGGAGCAGGAATCCACGTTCCAGTCTTGTTTTGAACTTCAAGGCCATGATGAGCGGTCCCCTGCAACAGGAAGGTGAGAAATCCCGAATCTTTGTGAGGCCCTACTCCTTGAAAGCCGCAATCCTCTGTCCTGGAGGCAGGTGGCGGGGGGTACTTGATCAGTTTGAGCTTGTGTTGCTGCGGATTGTCAAAGACCTGGTTCATTGCAGTCGGGGGGAGATCTAATGCTTCAGCGATAAGCGCCGGAAAGGACTCCGCCAGACTGCTCACTTCAGATAAGTAGGTTTCAAGTGCATGCCGGAATCCAGGAAGTGCAGTCTCATCAGGCCACTAGGACCAACCCTGAATGTCAGCTTGTGAAAGGAAAAGAATGTTGCGATGAAATTGGTAATCACCTGGTTGGGGCCAACAATGTTTTTATACAATGGTTCATCTGGACCAGGTGCAGGGAGCTCAGTTGCAAACTAATACTCAAGTCAGGAGAGAAAGCAAATGTACAAGGTGAGAGCTCTCACTGACATCGAATTGTTCACGGTAGTCAGGCTTTAACGCGGTGATTTCTGCTCCTAGCCTGGAGTAGCCCAAGAAGTGTGGACTATGAACCATTTCGATCTCCAGTTTTTTCTCAAGCGGCAGTTCAAACAGATGAAGGGCCTTATCGATGAAGTCCTCTTGTATTTGAAGTGGAATGGGCACATTTTGAAGGTAGAAAAAGCCAACATTCACCAAAGCCTCCCGAAGGCTGCCTAAAAAAGCTGGCTTGGTGGCTGGAGACAATGTTTGTGCAAAATCCAGTATCGGAATGGAAGTGAAAGACATGTCAGACTGTTCTGGTGAGCACTTCTCATAAGAGAGGAATGACATGATCAACCATACCATTATCATGCAGAATATAGAACTCGACAGCGTTTCAAACTTTCGCCTATGAGTGCACCAGTCCTCAACGGCGTTTGAGCTACAGACAGGAATATATGCAGTAGCCCAGTGAGTCACCGAGATTTGAAGAGAGGTAAAGCAATCCAGGACATGAATCTTTGATTGGGTTGTGATGGCGAGCGCGGTTCCGCTAACCCCGCCCGAGTGAAGTACGTGCCCATACTAAGTTGGTCAGGATAGGAATAGATGTAGTTATAGATGTAGTTGTAGATAAAGTTATAAATATAGTGATAGATATGAGTATAGATATGAGTATAGATATAGTTCTTCTATACTGTGTGCACCTCATAAGATATACCGGAATCCACCAGCACGCATTTCTAGATCGGTCGTATTCGAGGAAGAAACATCTCGCGATACACCTGTCTCCTCCAATCGCTTGTTCATGTGTATATGGATGAAGCGAATGACAAGGGCCACCAAGACAACAAAGAACGCTATCGCAGCGGTGGCACTGCCCCCCGGAATGTATCTAGGCCCCGAAGATGAAGGCCACATATAGCTGCCATAAATCGAAGCTGTATTTCCAATCATATTTGCAACAGCGATGGCAGCTGAGCGTTTAACCAGCGGCCGAGGGAAGGAATTAGCCACCCAAGCAATGATGATTTGATATGCCGAGACGGCCCCCATGGGCATACTAGACGGGTCAGACTTGCCAAGGGGATGAGAAGATGGATCACGTACAGGAACATGGCGAAGAACTTAGCTCCAACATTATCACTCGCAGTGATGATGATACCACCCACTCCACTCACGATCATCAAGGCGACAATGTGCAGACTGCGGTCGTTTGTTTTCCCGGATGTCCATGTCACGAGCAGTGAAACTAGGAATGTGGCAATCCATACGGGCGCAGTGATCAGAAGAGTCTCGATGTTGCCGTATCCAAGTGTCTGCACAATGGTCGGGAAGAAGTATTGGAAATTCTGCGACAGAAGCGAGGTATGTTGCAGTAGAATAAAGAGGTAGATGCGCTTGTCGGCAAAGACCAAAGCCAAAGTCTCTTTGATGCTGGTAGTGCCAACTTCGTCAGCCTCACCGGCGTCATGCATTAGACGCCATTGGGCATAGGCCTGTTCTTCGTCGTCCAACCAGGATGTAGAAGCGGGATAGTTTGGGAGAAAGATACTATAGGGAGTCAGTTCAGCGAGCAAGGAGATCAACTCAAACAATACCCACGCCGCCAAAAGAGATATTCCAATCGTGATAGAACCCTCGATGATGAAAAGCCATCTCCATCCGGCAATTCCATGCGCACCATCAAGATGACCCAGGACGCCCGCTCCGATGAGACCGCCGAATGCATTTGCCAATGAGCTTCCTGAGTAGAACCACGCAATACGGTGGCTCAGCTAGAATTGGTCAGTCGATATATTCTCAAAAGTTATGGAGTGGTTGTCTGACATACCTCCTGGCGGGTATACCAACTCGACCTAGTATTCAGGTCAGTCACGATCAGCCAAGATGCATATGATGACTCACATCAGCATGACAGCACCGGGAAAGAAAGGCGCCTCGACAAATCCAAGGAAGAATCGCGTGACAATCAGGCCTGAAAATGACTGAATGGCTGCCTGACAAGCTGAGATCACACCCCTGCAAGGTCAGTAAGTATTGGTGATATCGGCAACGCGAGGATCTCATACCAAATGGCCATTGCAATTCCCAAAAACAAAGAGGGTCGAACTCGAGTCAGCAGCAAGTTGGAAGGCAACTGCATCAAAAGATACCCAACAAACAAGATGCTTGTTGCGAGGTTGTAATCGGTACCGTGCATACCTAGGTCTGCTTCCAATGAGCCTAGACGAGCTTGCGATAAGTTGCTAAGGCGGCTATTAGTTTTGTTTGGCCACTTGTTGCGATCATGATTGCACCTACTTTCGGTCCAAGAAGTTCAAAAGATACATCAAGATAAGAAAGGGCAAGAGATGGAAGTCAACTTTGCGAAGCAGACGCCGGGTCATAGTCTGATGCCATTCCGGACTCTTGGACGCATATATCTGATACAAAGCATTTTGTTCCAGCTCATGACATTTACTGTCAGGTTTCACCTGGAACTCATGTTGCTCCTCTGTTGGCTTTGTTGTTGACATATTGCGTTGATACTCGGGACTTGTGTGATGGGAGAGATCCATGATATATACAGCAGCAGGCCCATCGGCCCAACTCCGAGAGGAAACCCCATGGGGAAGCAAGCGGAGTAAAGCGAGGCTATCATTTTCCGGTTGGGTAAACAAAGAGACAGGGTGAAAGCGCGGGGGGAAGCAACCAGGCTCGGGGTAGTTCAAGCCGAGACGAAAACACGGTGAGTCGAGATTGTATTTAATCTTCCGAGCTTTCTCTTCGAGGAGGAAGTCGGGAGAAACCCGACCACCGGTTTGTTATTTGGAGTGTCGGGTTTGGCTGCCAGGAAAGCTGGTTGCCTGGTTGCCTGAAAACTCTGCCTTAGAATCCTGCCTGAATGTGATGTCTGAAATTGCTGCCTTGATGCCTTGTGGCCTGAAACCAGAGGCAGCAAGATCCATGACATCACTGTATGATCTCACCAAGAGATTGGACATGAAGATCCCCCATGACCTCAGACCTCCTCAACGACCCAAGTTGAGAATTGTTTCAGCCTATCTCGGCCCAGCATAGAATATAGATGACATCCTCTGCGGGGCAGACCCAAATGATCTAAGCACAATGACGCATTCTACATGAATGTGTGGATATGGCCCAGATCTTGTTTATGCGCGTCAAGTCGGATCTTCGATCGGAGAGTTCCAAAAGTCCTACAGTATATAAAGGGCATCTCTCACCATACACCAGAATTATAATCAACACATTTGACTCTCTCTACACTCTACCTATCATTCATTATGGATAAGCTTTCAGGACTCGCTTCCAAGCTCAGCGGCAAGGGCCACTCCAGCTCCGGCTCCGGCTCCGGCTCCGGCTCCGCTGGCCAAGAGGACTACGTTGACAAGGGTGAGTCTCAACTGTGAAGAATATATATGAGTTTTCAGCTAACATCCACAGCCCTCGACGGTGCTGAGAAGAAGTTCGGTGGTGGCAAGGTTGACCCCGCGAAGATGCGCTCAACCAACGAGAAGATCACCGACACTGGCCGCGAGCAGTTCGAAAAGGCAACTGGGTAAGTTGTCAACCCATTTATAAAATGATCTGATGGCAGTTCTGATATTCTGTATAGCAAACACGTTCCTGAGAAGATCTCAAACTGAGCGGGCTAGATCGATCGGCGTTTCGACTTGCGAAGCACCACCATGAACGTACATGAGTGAACTTCAGACAACATAATGATACCCTTCGCCGGAATATGGATTATACACAATATGATTGAACGTGATTGAAGATAAACACAAAGCTCAAATTACAAATATGGCCCATGTAATATTGTCAGAATTTGCTGAAGGTAGTACTGGAGCGTAGTTTGCGATGCACTGAATACGATCGTGTTAATATTTCTGTAAAGCCTGCAGAAACCCTCCTATCCCTGACCCATGGCTTCGACGGGTGAGCATGGTATTCGCACGACAAAGCTGAAGCTGACTATTGATACGCTCGAGGGCTTTCGGATTGCCTCGGTATGCTATAACGAGACGCTCGAAATATTTTTGGGCAGGCTCGTATTCCCTGGCATTGAAATGCAGGGACGCCAATAGTTCCAAGGATGCTTGTGCCTCGGGGTTTTCCTTTCCTCTGCGGTGTTCAACCCAATTAAGATATCGTAGCAGCCAGGGAAAGGCTTCTTCCACACGGTTGTTGCCGAGAACGGCTTGAAAGCCACCTTGCACCGCGTACATGACTCCAATATTTCCCACGACATCCATAGTTATGGGGTGATCGGGCCCTAATGTCTCCTCTGCGCTGGAAAGGGCTCGACGAAGGGTTTCCGATGCCTCCATGCCCTGCTGTACGAAGCTCTGCCCGCGGCCATAGAGACAGAGAGCACGAATGGAATACGGATGCCCAGGGCCTAGCCCTTGGCGAAGCTCCTCATAAATTTGGCTTATCATTTCCACGGCCTGCTGCACTTCGGGCTGGAATCGCATAGTGATCAGCGTATTTCTGTCACCGGATTGATTGCTGATGATGTATTCCAAAGTGTCTAGCGCCGAGGCAAATACTCGAATGTGCGTTTCTCCAAGAAGACGCGTCAGGGTTTCTGTGAGCTTTTCGGCGGCCATGATGGCGTTTTCCCGACGACCGAGGGCATGGTATGTTCCGGCCAGACGGCGTCGAGTGTCGCAAGTGTCCAAGTGTTCTTCGCCAATATTGATTTGCTGACGAGCAAGCACGTTTGCACAAACTGACTCTGCCTCTTGATGCTTGCCTTGCTGACATAGAACTTCCGCGGTCAGACTTTCTGTCTTCATCGCGAGGGCATGCTTGCTCCCAAAAACGCGTTGGACATTATCAGACACCCATTGACACCACTCGTGGGACTTTGCCAAGTAGTGAGACTCCAGCTCAACGAGAGCTAAGTTGTATGCCGCTGATAAGGTGCTGAAATGGTCTGGTCCGAGAGTGCGCAAATGCTCTTGAAAGATTTCATACTCAACGGTTCGAGCCTCATCCCATCGAGCAAGATTCTTAAGTTCCGCCGCACGAATCGATCGCGGATCATTGTCCGAGGGAGTGAAAACGACGCCGGTCACTTTTTGAGGTGGCGGAGGTAGTCTTCCTTGCGTGTGATACGGCGTGCTGCTATTGGAGTGTATGCGAGGTGGTATCGGCGGTGGACTGGGACCAGGACCTTGTGGTACAGGCTGTGGAATGAAGCCGTGTTCTGACAAAAGGGCTTGATCGATCAATTGTTTGATATTGCCCCTGATCAAGTGGTACATGGGCCCTCGAGTGCCGACTTTGCACATCTGAGAGTGATCTGCGTCAAGCTTCAACTGGGTTTCGCGGAGTCCAGACAGCCCGAGTACAGCCGACTCCTCATCTACAACGAGCTGTCAGTCTAGACATTAGTATCTATTTGGGGCAGGGGGATCTTGGGTCAACACTTACATGGCTGATGGATGCCGGACCTGCTCCACCCAACTGCACTTCTTTTCCTTCGATAAAACTGACAACGCGATAATCTTCTAATTGATGCCGGAATCGGTCGGTCATCTGTCTTGTGAAGAGTGAATTATGCTCCAGACAGTCGAGGAGATCATTGCTGGCGTGGCCTTTCGAGACAAATCGGGCCACCCGAGCAGCAATCTTCCCTAGTTCCACGGCCTTTGCACCACGATGAGGTGTTCCGAAGAACACAAGCCCAGAAGTTGCCGAGCGAATGGCCGTATATTTTGGGTCTTCTTTGGCATTCAGAAGGGCCTGAAACAATGAGGACGTGTCAAAAGGATGATCCTCACACAGGGATGGCGACGCATGGACAGACCTGCTTGATGACCAAACCACCCAAACTATGCCCAATAAATATCACCTTTGGCGGAACTGTTCCCTGGAATGTGCATGAGATACCGGCGATCATACCACTTGGGTAGAGGTGGGATTTACCATATGGGGACTCCGTTCCATATCAAGAAGATTCAACAAGGTATTCGCGTGGTCCTTGATGCTCGCCGTGGACATTGTCTGCGGATGCGTGATGCTTGAATTATAGCCATAGACAAAGACCCGCGCATATGGAATATCTTGCGCGAGAAAGTCTGTCGGCCAGAACTTTCCATTGGCATGAGTCCATGTTTCAAAAGGATGATCACTGCGGCCCCGGGGATTCAAGCCATGAACGAAGACCAAACTACCGAATCCGGTTTAGAATACCTTCATTCTATTGCATCTGCGGGGGATGTCCATACTCGACCTTGTGTGCCTCTATCGGAGAGAAAACCTCCTGCAAAAAAGGGAATTCATGCTCTCCCGGATCCTATATCACTGTTAGTCTTGGTCTCCGTCTGACCCCATATACCATGCTCACCATTTCAAAACCTTTACAGACGATGTTGAGGGGTATCTCCAGAAACCAGTCATCCAAAGAAAAGAAAAAAGAAAAAGAAAAAGGACTGCGCGATATCAAGAAGAAAAGAAAGAAGGGAATACGACAACACGCGGAACAGGTGATCTGCTTACGTCTTGGCGCAGAGGTGTTGCCCTGCACAGCCTATCGAGTCAAGTCCGCCAGATCGGCTAAAATCTCTGGCACATAACAGCCTATCGCTGACCCTGCAGGGTCATTTGGTGCAATGCATGAAATTCCTGACATTGGTTGCTCATGATTCCTATGCACGTCCATCACCCGCCTCCCCTTCGTTCGTGAGAGCCAAGTTTTGTAAACACGGAGCATGAAAAAGAGTCCCACCCCATGCGCCCTGTGCTGTCCTGGATGCCACTACTGCCCAGAGTACTAAAACAGCGCCACTTAAGATCTGCCTATCTCGTCAGTGTGGCCGGGTGGACGGAACGAAAGGCAAGAAACTCTCACAGTCCCGAACACTTTGAAAAACATCAAATCCAGCTCAATACCCAGTTCCATGGTGTTCGCCGCATACACACCCAGAGGAAAGGTGAATCCCCACCAGCCCATGTTGAAGGGAAATGGAGAGCTGTACAGAACAGTGGCGAGGGCAAATACGAGCCAGACCAAGCCAAAACTCCACATCAGCAGGGATGTGAAAACGCCCAAGACATATGCCACTCGGCCCGCGATGGGGTCTAAGATTAGAGGGTCTTGCAACAGCCCCCGCGCCACTTTTCCCATATACAGAATACTTCAGGGGTGGATTAGCAGGGTTCCCAGGGGGTCCGGAGTTCTCACGCTTACCCAAACCCACCGAAGCCAAGAGGCCCTAAGGGCAAAAAGCAGCTCACGATCATTTCCCTCGGGGGAAGCTTGTGGACGGCGAGCCGCTGATAATAGATCACTAAGACGGCAATTGCCAAGGGAGTGCCCATACCCCAGAGAATAAAGGACACCAGAAGGGTCCCCAGAGCTTGCTGTTTGTTGGGTAAAATGCCAGCAATTTCGGCACCAGCGCCAGCTGCCACAATGGTGGCTGCAATCGGCAAAAGTTGGAGCGCAGTAATCCGCTCGAGCGAGTTGATATAGCGTTGGGATATCCTGTGAGGAGGTGAGCATCAGTGAAGCTACAGTCGAGAGACTTGGCACCGACAAAATAAAGGATAGCGACAGAGTCACAGAGGCTGCCGCCGCCACGTCCACGATCCAGAAAGCCCAAGCAACAGTTATACTCCACCTGCCCCATTGTGGTACACAAACAACAACCCACATCTCGATGAGGGTGGCGAATCCCATGGGGATCGTTGCTAGAAACAGGGAGTTGACTGGATCCTGGATCATCACTGGCCATATCTCAGGATACATGGTGTATCGCACAATAGAGGCAATGGCTGCTAACACAAACAAAATTACATTCAGCACGAAAAAAACAATCGACGCATAATAGAGGACTGAGGTATGGAAAGGCACCAAGGCCATCAAAACTGAGACTACACCTGTGCCCATAGTCACAGCAAACCATCTGTAAAGCAGAAAGGGTATCAGCTAGGAGCAAAATCATTATTGAGAACATACGATGGACTGAAATTCCGTGCAATGCGTCTCCACCCGATGTTGTATTTCGCAGGGCCTTTGGTCCGAGAGAGCTTTACTTGTGATGCCATGGTTTTTCAAGAATTGCAATCGGTCTGTTAACAGTCAAGCAGCTAGAAATATGACAAAGAGAAGCAGAAGAGGCGACCAACGCCTCACCATTCGGCCGAGTCGGATGTCGCCGAGATGCGTCGCGCGAAGCATAAAACGATGAATCGAGGCTTACATGCACAGAAAACTTGGTGCTGATAAAGGTCTAGAGGCTCGATTTATTCTACCAGTCGAGGAGTGGTAACTTAGCGAGCCAGACATGGGTTGACAAGATTGGAGGTGTTTATAGTGAGCGCCCAGTGACCAAACGGGATTACAATCAACCCTAATGTATTCACCACGCGCCAACAATCCCCGCGATTGGAATGTCAATCCCACTAGTGTATGAACTCGCATCGCTCAGGAGATAAACATAGGCCCCGCCAAGTTCTCGCGGGTCAGCCAAGCGTGGCATGCCGCCATAGTATTGCATCTTGAGATCCCAGTCTGAAGCCGTTTCCACATAATAGGTCATGGCGGTTCGTACGAATCCCGGGGAGATGCTGTTGACGCGAATGCCATGCTTGCTCCACTCCATTGCAAGGGTATGACACATATTTCGAACTAAAGGCAGGCAAATGTATCAGCAGAGGTGAATTCTGGGATGATCCCAAGAAGCACTTACCAGCAGCCTTGGTCGCTCCATATGGCGCAGAGGGCGCAGCCTGGAGATATATTCATCAGCAACCACGAGTCAAATGCGATATCGCTCACCACGAATATGTCTCATACGTACACGGTTAGGTCGATACGAAGTCATACTGGATGTCATTACAATCGAACCCTTAATCCCGAGTTCAATGAACTTGCGAGCGACGATTTGGGCACAAAAGTAGGCACCAAATACCTAGCCTTGGATCAGACGATTGAACAGCCAACCAAGCAGGGAGACTCACGTTGAGATTAAACAGTTGCTCCAAGTCAGAGCGGTCAAATTTGAGGGCAGGTTGATGCTTGGTCATGCCTGCGTTGGCTACCAGCCCGTCAATGCGACCCGTAGCCTCGACAATGTGGTTGATAGCTTTCTCCACACTGTGCTCCGACGTAACGTCGGTTTGGAGAAATTGAAAGTTTGGGTATCGTTTTTGTAGTGCGACAAACTCATCTCCCGGCTCCATCAGATCCAAGGAGTAAACCCTTGTTGCCGAATTTGCCAAACAGACTTCGGCGATACCAAGGCCAATTCCCCGATTTGCACCTGTGATAGCAACGACCTTGTGTGCCAAAGTAATTTGCCAGCCGAAATCATTGGCGGGCATGGTGCTCAGGTGCGGCGTGGCCGTCTTAGAGCCAGCGGTGTCTGACGCGACATTTTCTGTTGCAACTGGGGGCATGGTCAGAATGGAAGGTAGAGTCCGGGATTGAGACGAGGAAAGAATGACACAGCAAGGGATTCAACATCTTTAATATCCAAGAAGAGAACGTGCAACTGCACCTGTATTAACCCCTCATGCAGGAAGACGCGGGGGCTGCGGTAGGTCTTCGGCTCGAGGCATGCTCTCATGCATCTTTCGGTTGAATGTAAACCGGGTAGAGGATTTCCCGTTACGAGTCAATTCTTGCTATCACGGATGTAATTCAATCCGTGGTAAACTGGGAACAGTTCACCCTAAGTCATTGGCTGCCCTAACCCCCGGATTTTCGTCCTCGTTACGAGCTCGGCACGAGGCGCTACAGTTTGTGGGGGTTTGTTTTGTTTGGAAGCTCTCGACTTGGTATATTGCTTACCATGGGGAACCTGTTCTACAGGGATCAGAGGTTCAACATAAATATCATGCACTGCTGTTGCCGAGACCTATGCGCTCCTCCAACTTTTCTCAGTAATATTGATCGCACTTTGAAATCAAGTTGAATGGATTCGTCAGACATGAAAGAATTGGGAAAAGCCGAGTCTGAACAGATCGAGCATGCCGGCGTGCACGAAGCAGCATCTTTCTCTGCCGAGGAAGAGAGAGCACTGGTCAGGAAGATAGATCTCACTCTCCTTCCGACAATATGGATCATGTATCTTCTTTCCTACATGGATCGTACGAAGTAACTTATTTGCTCTTTCTTCACTGGCGCCCTTGGCAACTAACACCGGTACTTTAGCATTGGCAATGCGAAGGTTTCCGGAATGGAAATAGACCTCAATCTCACCTCAAATCAGTATTCCACGGCGTTGGTAGTATTCTTTGTTGGCTACGTGATATTTGAAGTCCCGAGCAAGTAAGTGCGCTTTCACTGGGTCAACCTGGCTTCCTACTCACCATGAATATGAAAAAAAAGTCTAGTGTTAAGTCGCTCCCGTCCATCGATATTTCTTCCAGCAATAATGGTGACTTGGGGAGCCTTGACCTGTATGATGGCTGCGATCAAGGAGTTCAAACATCTTGTTGCCCTTCGGGTGATTATTGGATGTGTTGAAGCAGGCTTTGCTCCCGGTGTTTTGTTGGTTCTTTCTTCATGGTATAAGCGCACAGAGCAGTCCAAAAGGTTTGGAGTATATATTTCTGCAGCCATATTATCCGGTGCATTTGGGGGAGTATTGGCTGCGGTCATTGTCGACAATCTCGAGGGCGTCCATGGAATACGTGGATGGCGATGGCTATTTATTGTGGAGGGCGCTGCGACCATAGGTGTTGCGTTAATATCTTTGTTCATCCTCCCTGACTTCCCAGCTACTTCCAGGCGGCTTTCGATCCGTGAGAGGGAGATTGCAGTGGCTCGTCTAGCCACCGAGAACGTTACGGCCATCACAGAGGACAGCGAGCGGTTGACAAACTGGCAGGCAATCGTGATTTCGGTGAAGGATTGGAGTACTTGGGCTTTTACAATCGGTTATATGGTGAGCTTCGCTCTAGTTCTATTTGTTCACTCATGGTTGGTGACGTTCATCATCAACAGGTGATTGTGGGCTCCAGCACCCTTTCATACTTTTATCCCACGTTAGTCAAGGGACTCTTTGGACATGCTTCAACGGAACAAGTTAATTTTCTCACCGTCCCAATCTACGATGTGGCCTTCGTGTGCACCGGCATCACCGCTTATTTTAGTGATAACATTCCACAGTGGCGTGGATTAGTGATCGCGATGTGGTTGATCTGTTCACTGGCCTGTTCAATTGCAGTTTGCGCTGTGTATAACTTCACGGTGCGATATGTGCTTTTGGTACTCATGGCTGCAGGGCTTTGGGCCACGAATGGAGGTACTTTGGCCTATGCGTCCTCTGCCTTTGCTGGGATGAACCCCAAGGTCCGAGGTGTTAGTCTGGCGTTGGTCAACGCTTTAGGAAACCTGGCACAGGTTTATGGCTCGGTATAAGTGAAGCCCCTTTCATTGAAACGAACAGCGAGAACTGACTATACAGCAGTACCTTTTCCCTGACAGTGATGGCCCAAAATACCTTATGGGATTTGCTGTAATCTCTGCCATGCTCGCATTAGGCGTTGCTGTTTTCATTTTGCTGCATATTTGGTTTCGTCGCCAGGCTTGCTCGGCGATAGAAGACTGATTGAAATAAGATCAAGGGGTAGTTGAATTTATTTCTAATTTCAGTCTCGGTTGCGTGTCGCGCATTTCTATGTTGAGGTTAGTCACACCCTGGAGTGGAATGTTTCATAGCATAGATAACTTACTGACATTTCCCATGAATAAGCTGGTGAGACCGACCACCCTTCCTCGGTGGGTTGATTTTGCTTTGGATATTTGTGTTGCGGAGGAGAACAGTGTTGATTTAATAGATCTTCTTGGGTAGACAACCAGTGCCAACAAGAGACGTGTTCAGCTCTTTCTACAAGAGCAAACTTTCGAGAAATAATCGATTGTGCCGGTCAAAAGAAATGTGCGTGCCGTTGTCTGCTGTAATTTCGTCGACGCTGAATGAAGACAAGGCATAAGCATGTACAGATATATGGCGATGCTCAGCGACAAGTGAAAATAAGCTTGCACAGATCTCATGTATTTTGGAAGTTTGGTTTGCATGATTGTTGCATGTAGTCAGAACATGACTGTATCCTGCTCAATAGTCTTCTGCTGAAATTGGATTGCGCGACTTTCATCTGGCAAAATCAGAATATGCATCCTTGGCATATTCTAGTTCAAGTTCCTTCCGCAACGATGCTAGAGGCCAATGCAAGCGCCTTTGATGAGAGTCGAGGAGATCTAGAAGTGCTAGCCGTTCATGTGGAGTATAAACACACATACCCGCTGGGCAATGTCAGTAACCAGATCTGAACACACGCTGTTAGCTGTAAAGAAATTGACTTACCTCCAAAGACGCACTGCAGCGAGGTAAGAATAGCGGCGCTGTCTTCGTAATCCACCGTTTGTGCAATCCCGCATATAATATTGACAGATAATGTCAACAGCTTTTGGGCTGCCCGATAGTCTTCAAGACCCCCAGAGGAAGGGCGGTGAAGAATAACCAAGATTCGGGCAAGACTATGTACCTGCAATGAAGCTGCATATGGCGATGGATGCACCCAAATTGGAGGGAATGTCCGTGTCTCAGAAAGACGTGGAAGCGGACTATACTCTGGAGGTAGATAGTCGTGCCATTGCTGGAGAAGGTAGAGTAACTCACTGCCGCGTTCAAGACGACGAGAAAGTTCCATTGAGTCTTGCTCCTCTTTGGATGCGTAATTTACACATTGTCCGAGAAGCCATGTCACTCGAGTGGCTAGTTCAGGAGCCGATAGCAGCGGCAAGGGCTTTTTCGGTTGCCAAAAGCTGAACACCCGACGACGTTCCCTCATGGCGACCCAGACATCCTGCCTTAGCCAAGCCCACCAAACAGCCTGGCGTAAGCCGCCACACTCCCCATCATTGTCTTGGAATCGCTGAATCCAAAAGACACCTTTGAGATGCCGCTCCCAATCCTGATTAGATCCGTCGATCATCTCATAGGCGCTGATTAGAAGGGCAGTTGCAACGATCTCGTGGCTGCTAGCGTAAGACGGGTGTCGCATGGCTTTGTTCAAACAACGCAAAGTCTCATAGTAGTACTGCACCGCTACATTGCGGTCGACCGTGATTAGCTTGCCAGAATTCTGAGATAATGAAGGCCGTTTTTCGTTTGATCCGACAGAATCATTTAAAGTTTCCGGCGTTGAGGATTCAAGTGATATGTGTCGTGCCGTGAAAGCTAGCAAAGCTCGCATCAAGCCAGGGCTTCGCAAAGCAAAGTGTGGCACGGTAGTTGAGAAATGGCGGAGAGGGTCATAGAAATCGAGCCATTGACTTGAGAAGCGTACAAAATGGGTAAAGATGTGACGCTCAAGCTCCGAGAGGGGGACTGGAAAATCGGTCGTCCATGAGGAAGAGTCATTAGGTAAAGATGATTCCTCTTCCGCTGTTTGTGGAGAAATGTGTTGCTCTATTCCAGGAAGCCTCGAGAAAGCTGCTGCTTGAAAGCTTTCTCGCTCTCTCAAGCTGCGGGGCTGCAAGTTTGCACTGTTGCGTGGGTCGGTGTTTTCCTCCACTGACCGCACATCTGGAGAGCGTTGTAAAGGCGATAGTAGAAACCCGGTGTCTGCATTTGCGGCATCCCTGGCTAACAACTCGAACCAGCTCAGAGGCGCCGGCCGGGTGGAAGTAACCGAGATGTCAGTTCCGGGCGATGCGGCAAGACTACGTGGAGAATGGGAGTTTGGATAGATGCCGGCGGACTTAGTATCCGCTCTGCCCGGGAGAGGAGAAGCATGGGAAAGTTGAAAACCATCTCGCACTTTCTCTTGTTGCGAAGTCTTTTCTTGATCACAGGCATCAACAAGTATTTGCAGTGGAGCATGAATGTGGGGTTGAACAGAAACCTGATGCGGAGGGGCCTCGCTCGCCAGGGATTGAGTCAAATTATGCCTTGCACTACTGGGATGCGTCTCTTTGGCGGCGTATACACAAAGCCGATCACCCTTTAAGCAAGGGCCACATTGTGGTTGTGTCTGGGATTGGTGAGATGTGAGGGATTAACTCCGGTGGGGGTTGGGGGAATACCTCGTCACATTTCACATGACGTCGCTTGCAGACAAGACTAGAGCATAACATGTGAGCAATGTTCACAGAACCTGAAGATATGCATACCAGCCGGTAGTGGCTCGAAGACCACGTCCGCGGGACTTGCGCTTTCCCGTCATCAAAAGAAGAGAAAGTGGAGGAAACCACCGTGTCGAGGCCGTTGCAATATCGAAAAGATGACCGAGTGGATCATGTTAGTGCAGCGATTGATTCGAGAAGCGTACCAAATGGGTAAACCTCTGCGGCGCTCAAGATCGGAGGAAGAAGAGAAGGCGAACGCGCGCCAAGACCGGCTCGACTCGAGGCAGAGTCACGTGGCAGGGTGACTTTTTCCATCTTCGGTTAAGCCCTAAGTTGACTCCGGGTTTGATAACGAATTTGGAACGCAATTTGAGTTGGAGATTGGAAATAGTCGCTGCAGATAGGATGTCCAGCGGATGTGGGACTCATGACATCATGCATATTGCATTGCCCGACCTAGAAACCGAGGACCCTAGAAACCTCGAGACCAATAGACCAGGAAACTCGTCGTCACTTCCAAGTCTTTAGGGATGGAAACCAGATCCCTGCTTTCATAATCTTTCAATTTTTCAACTATGCTTGTCGCTATCGCCGGTGGAACTAGTCCGACTTTGGGATCTTCGATTGTATCAGCCTTGCTCGCCACCGAAGGCCGGTATACCCCGGTTATCTTGTCGCGCAAGAGCAAAGCGGAAGTTGAAGGACCCATTACAGAAAGCTCTAGAGTTGAAATCCGATGCGTGGACTATTACTCCCACACTTCTCTGGTACTTGCGTTGAGTGATGTGGCTGCTGTCATTTGTGTATTGCTTGTCCCAGGACCCGACTGGGTAACAATCCAGCTGAACCTCCTTCATGCTGCGGAGGCTGCTGGTTGCCAGCGCTTTGCACCATCTGAGTTTGCACTCACATCATGGGCTCACACCATGGTTGATCTATTGAAAGCCAAGAATACCGTCTGGAACGCTGTTCGTTCATCGGTGGATCAGGGCAAAATTGATTCTGCGCGTTTCCCATGTGGAATGTTTATGAACTATCTTGGGATAGGTTGTCCTGAGTCAAAGCGTGCAGATGCCTTGGCTGGATTTCAAGAGGGACCCTTTTTAGTTCATCTAGACAGCAGCCCGTCATGGGTTGAGGTTCCTCTCCAATCTGATGGTACAACGCCTCAAATAGCAATGACCGATATCAAAGACGTCGGCAAATTTATTGTCGCTGCGCTGGATATCAAGGAGCCATGGGGTGGCCGTGAGCTGGGAATGGTGGGCGATACCTTGAGTTTCGAGAAACTCACACAACTTTGCGAACAAAATGTTGGGCATCCCATCGAGGTTCGAAGAGTGAGAGAAGGTGAGCTTATATCGAGGTTGTCAAATATACCCCCAGAGCAGGTCATCCCTCGCATGGAATGCCAACTTGAAATTGTTTGTTGTCGTGGTGGATTTGTGGTGCCATCTACGCTCTGCCTCTCACGCTCACAGCCCACAACTGTTGAGCAATACATGAAGTTCTACTGGGAATAACAGATCCAGGCACGATATATCCGAAGAAAAATCAGAAACAAAAAGAATCTGGCCATTTGAATTGTTTAGTTTGATTCTTGAACTGCAAAAGCCTTGCCCATACTTTCTGCATCCCTCTATGGCGGATCCGGTAGGCTCATTGGGTGAAGCCACAGCCGAAAGGCAGCTTGGATTAGACCACAGGCCACCCGCTGGAGAAATCAATCGCGTTCCATCCAAACAACTTTTGGCTGTCAGCATAGCCAATAGTGGTATCAACATAGTGGTAGTAGAGCACTGGGCCGTAAGTAGGATCGGTAAAAACTCCCCTTCGAAAGGTTAGTTTGAGCTTCATGCAGCCATGAAGGATAAATCAGCTAATGACTTACTGTCCACCAGGGCCATAAACTGTGCCGTGGCTTTCCAAAACAACTGTACCGCCACCACTTGTACAAGCAGTACCAGACTTGTCAACCTAATAGAAAGATCAATGACATGGAAGGATAATCAATCAAGGGGTAGAATACGTACGAATGCTCCAGTAGCTGAAGTTGATCTGCAGACCTTGATCTTGTACTCTGCTCCACTGGCTGGAAGAGATGTATCATAGCCACAGCAAATTCCAGCTGAGTAGAACAAATAATAGTAGCTGCCGTACTTGTACATGTACGATCCCTCCACAGCATGTGTACCGGAAGAGTCATATGCCACATTGTAAGATGATGATGCAACTTTCGTAGCGGCAGAATTCATTGGTGCTTGATAGATATCATGCCAGAAAGAGCCAAAGTTCATGTAGTATGTGCCACCATCATAGAAGAGATTGCCATCGATAGCATTGTAGGCCTTGGACGAAGACGAGGCGATGCCAGTACTTCCATGGTCAGTCCAGGAACCCGACTCCATGGTTGCAGAAGTAGCCAATCCAATAGCTGAGTTTTGCGATCCAAAGGTCGAAACAGAATAGTAAACATAGTACGCGCCATTCACAATTTGAGCATCGGGGGCCTAAGTAACAGAAGGTTAGAATATATTTGGCAAGACGCTGATTCAGACGCCTTACCCATAAGTCATCATTACCGTCAAGATCAATTGACGACCCAGAGGGAAGCATGGACCCAATAGTCGTCCATGGCCCCGAGATAGAGGATGATTTTGCGTATGAGATCTGATTGCCAGTAGAAAATCGGAAATATGTCTTGTCTGAGGATCTTTGGATCAACGACGGATCATGCACGTTGCAGGCCCCTGAGCAAGCTCCAGGGTTTGCATATCCATGCGCCAAGCCTGCAAACAGGATTGCTGACCGGACAGTGTTTTTGAGATGCATTTGAAAAGAATCTTCGCAGCGCGGTCCGAGAGTAATTTCTCCGAAAGGACACTGCGAGGTAGTTATAGAAACACAAGAAAGCGTGTGATAGACACAATTCGTGGAATTTCGAGCCTTTCCAGATCAAGACACGGAGAGATCCCGCAGAATGAATCATGCTGATTGAATAGGAAATATTATGAGAACAAATTCAGACCGATTGGAGCATTTCAATAATTGCAGTAAAGCCGAAACCCCTGGGACCGACTGGTGGAATCCCCAAACACTAGCTACAGGCGCCACCATGCAGCCGAAGCAGGCCAAGTGCCGGGGGAATTCTGCAAGATATTATTTGGAGTGTTCTTCAGTTATGCACACGAAGTAAAAATACGCGAAAGTTGAAGCCCACTCGCAATATTGCCAAATATGCTCAAGTCGCGTTTCAGGTTATGTTTGGCTTAGATTGTAGTGCTTACATCCCCTATCCCCTTCTCCATCTCACAGTAGACCTGCCATTACTCGAGTCAAGGCCTCATCTTCGGCATGAAAAGCATCGGTCGCATTAGGCAAGCGTGGATCACTCGAATGAGTCAAGCCCATATCCACGAGAGCGTCTGGATCAGTGTGTGGGTCAAAGTAAAATCCACCTGCGATCTCAAAGAAGCTGCTAAGGTCTTCGCAGCCATTTGTTTCGGCTTCAGTTACAATACCGGGTGAGGTTGTCCAGAGGGTGGTCGATGACGGCTGAGGAGTAGGGATTCCGGAGGTTTGTTTGAGGCTAGGAGTATACTGTACAGGCGAATGTGCTGTGCCAGACCGAGGGGTGGTATTCCAGATAGCATGAGATAGAGGCAAGCTTGTTTGGGAGGTGGATTGGGAATAAACATCCGAAGCATCGTCCTTTGAGTCTCGCCTCTCGACGCGACGAACAGATTGGCGACCAACATCGTCCAGCCGAAGATTCAACTGAATACGCTTCAGACTGTGTATGATCTTTTGCAATCTTCGTGAGGTTCGAGCCCGTGTTGCTGAGCGTCGGACCATATCTACAGCCGTATAGAATTCGGGTCGGCAGGTGTGGCTGAAACGCGACGGGGCATGTAAGACGGCCAGGAAGAGGGCCGCAAGGGCGGATAAGAGAAAGTAGTTGAATGGCTCCGGACGTTGGAAATAGATACTTGAAACCCGACTGAAATAATCCAGCATGTGCACAGTGCTTTTAGCTGTTTCCACGGCGCTTGATGCGCCCACCAAATTGTCCGCAATCCGTTCACCGCTGAGGAGATTTTGACGGTACACAAAAATTCGAAGCTGATTGGCCTGTAAAGCAAGAAGAACTTGAAGCATCATGGCGCGGTCTGTATGCTCTGAGCCTTCCGGAGAGCGCCAGTTTGGATCAAATCGCAGTTCGCGTGGAATCGAACGAACCCACTGTTGCACTTGAGCATCCAAATAGGCGGCACTGTCTAGAGTAGCGGCCTGTGAGCGATTAGACCAGCCCACAACCAGTCCCCAGATCTTTGTGCTCAGACGAGCGTAGGAGATCATGCATGTCAAATATGGAGTGGAGTGGCCCGGCTCAGGCAGGTTGACATCAAGATCTGCATCTTGAATCGCAAAGGGGAGACCTGTGCCAAAGGACCACTTACGATCCAATACATAGATGCACCAGAACAGTCGACTCGCCCATGTCAACTCCAATTCCCCGGGGAAAACACCGCCTGTCTTTTGCCAGGTGTCTTGACGGTGCAGGCCTAGTTCTGTACTACCTCGAACTGCCATCCCGATTAACCGCCACGCAATGACTTCATCGTCTCGATAAGAATGAAAGATGGAAAGCAGGGTCAGAATAAGAATTTCCTTCATGTCCACTTCAGCGACTTTGAGCCTGCTTGCGAAACGGTCCTCGACACTGTCGGCTAGTTGGGCAGCACGCTCACTGCGACCGTGTGATTCTGCTAGTAACGCAGTGGCTAGCAATATCTTTAGAACTTGTGCATCTCTTGCAGAGAACCAATCATCCTGGGCGACGTGGATCATCGACTCGGACGGCCCAATGGTTGAATTAAAACGATAGTATTCCAACACATAAGCCCGCACGCTCTCCAAGTCGACACAGGGATACATGACACCGACCGTGTCTTCGTATACCTGCACCAACCGCAGAGTTTCATCAGGCCCTAGACTTGTCAGAGGATCCCCAATGGTGACATTCTCGCCCCCATTGGAGGGTGCAGGACTTGGAGCAACCGTTGACAGGTCCAATCCGTCATGGCATTCATGGTCTTCATGGCCCTCATCTGCATTTGAAGACGATCGAGGACGATTCAGACCAAATTCTGCACTTGTGGGACCGACATAGGTTGGCGACTTGGGTGCATTCAAAATGCGATGAAGACCACCTCTGGCCGGGGCTCTCGACGGCTTCAAGGAAGCAGGACTGTGAGATTCTAGTTCATGAATGCGGGCAGACAGTGTGCGCATCTCCTCGCGCAACGTCTCTAATTGTCGGTCCACAACTTGGAATCTCGAACTGTCTCTGCTAACAATCAGTGAATGCCCCTGGTCGTGAGGGGAGGCTCGGGATCGTACTGGTCATCTTTGAGCTCATTTTGAACCGATCCATTCGAGCGAACTGTTGCATAGACACACGGAATCTGATCGCGAGAACATCGTGCGCAGACAGAGCCGCCGCTACATTTCAACTTGCGTCGTTTGCATTCGTTGCTGGAATCATCAGTTCACGAACAGCACGGGGGACGTTTCCGAAGGCAAACAAACCAGGCAATCTGAGTATACTTCGCTCTCTTTCGTCGCGACAAATCTTCAGAATCGAGCATTGTGAGCTGTGAGAGGGTCAAGAGGAGGAAACTCGGAACTGACAGCGGAACGGAAATGTGCAGAGCCGAGATTCCGAGCGATTTCGGAGTGAAGTCCACGAGTCCAGTATCAAGTGCCCACTACAGATGTCTGATAGTTCAGCCAAGGAGATGCCATTGGGTTCAAGTTTGGGTTTAATGCCTGCAAGATATTTATGATGTTCTTAAATTCCACAATACAGATGCCGTATACACTAAGTTCGGTATCAGCTTCATAGCCGTCGTGCAAGTGTCTCTTTTGATCTGACAAGACCGAAGTAAATTGGGAAAACGCGCTAAATTACAATTGTATATCGCTCTTTAAATGTGCGATTTGCGACAGCATTCCGCATCAGCTAAGCGAGACGATCCATTCTTATTAGACGGCACATCCAGCGACGGGTTGGCCACGAAGAAGTCTGCTGGTCGGATCATGAGTTGGAAAATCTCCACAGGCCTGCAGCTGTTAGCTTATACCAAAAAAGGCCCCCGGAATAGAAGAAATGCTTACATCACTGGCCAGTCCTCCACACGTGGATTGTGGGTTATGCCAAAGGAGTTCCAAACTACCACATCGGTGTCGACAACGGAATCACCACGGCGAACGGCATCTGCGACACCCTCAATCTCAGTTTGACTCTGCAACGTGTACCGGCCGCCAGCATACAGTTCTCCATCGCGATGCTTGGTGACCCAAACATGATGTTGAGCAAATTGCGCCCGGCGTGCCTGTACTGATTCTGGATCGGCCAACAACATCTGGGTTGCCAGAGGAATGAATTTGTACCCTACAGGATTTCCACTGATAGGGTTTTTCTTGTGAGGATTGACCATCTTGATAGTACGATTGAGCTGCGGAGCAGCATCAATCCAAGAAGAACGTTCCACTGTCTGCTTGGTGACTTGGTAGAAATTGCCGTTCGGGTTAGTTACTGCGTTCATGGGAACAGGGTGAGATTCCTCGACGACCACGGAGTTGTTCGGACCGTCAATGGCTGGGTCGATTCGAACATTGAAGATATGCTGGTGGTTCTGGGCGAGAACGCCACCACTGACTACATTGCCATAGTCGCTGACCTTACCAGCGTCGATATTGACAACATTCAAAATACCTGTGGCACGAGCCTCAACGGTAATACCAGCAGACTGATCAAACTTATAGGCAAAGATGTATTCATAATTGGCCAGCGTGATGATGAATTGGATAACCAACTCCCGATGTCGAGTGACAACTGCCCGTCCAGTGCGCCAGTTGGAGTGCTTCCAGCCAATTCCGTTATCCTGTTCGTGAAGGCAGATTGCGTTGGGAAGGACTTGTGCAGTACCGTCTGGTTGAGTGATCATAGCATCAAAGTATTTGATCACTCCAAGACAGTCGCAGCCGAGAGATAAGTTATTAGCCATGTTACCACCGCCTCCATCTCCGAAGTCAAAGGCTTGCTTCCGATGAAAGGGAGGCCTTGGATCAGCATAGGGGACTGTCTGAAAAGAAATTATTAGCTTTGATCTCACTTTTAGAGGCAAGTATTCTTACCATTTCGCTCACTGCCAATCGGTGCATCACGCTGCGGCCATCATAAGACACGTCGTGAATAGTGGCTCCCTCTCGAGGATTGAAAGCGACACGGAATCGCCACTTCTGCCATTCAACCAGAGACTCGTTTGTAACCCGGAAAGAGGGGCCCTCAGGTTGGACCACATTCAGGGGCTTAAGGTCCTTGCGGGTGCCCTCGGGCATCAGCTCTGGGACGTATTCCGAAGGCTTGCAGTGGCCAATAATGTCACGCTTGAAGGTTTGCTCCAAAAGGCCCTCCCCTTTACCACCGGTGGCAGGTCGATCTACACGAATGATCTGTTGTGTCAAGGCATCCATCACTGGAATGATTGGCAAAGGGAACGAGTAGAAGTTGGAGTCCTCGTTTCCACATCGCTTGTCTTGGGCGAAACACAATCCCTGGAAGAAGCGGCGATTCTCATCCGTATGATCTAATCCGCCATACGGCCACGGCTCAATCACGACCTCAAAGCCCTCAGGCAAGGTGAAATCCGATAGAGCTTTCTGGAACAAGGGAGACTTCATGCATTGCTCCACTAAAACATCGAATTCGTTACTTGAGGATAGTTAGTGATAGTTCTCTCCGTGTGTTGAGGGAGCTTCTTACAGGGTCAAGCTTGCGTGATGTTGTTTCCCCACTATCGTGTGCTTGACGCGCGATTGTAAAACTACATCTACCACTGATTCGTGGAATTGGGGGATGCGGTCTTGCCCAATAACATCATACTGACACAGGGCAAGTCGCGGAGGTCGTGGAGTCGTTGGGCTGAGACGACCAGCATGTTCGACTGCCAGGAACTCCAAGAGTAGTGCTTTGGGTGGTTCCTGCAGGAAGATCTCTCGGAAGTCGATCACAACATTTGGGTGCGCGGCCTTTACCACATCACGGGCCAAGTTTGTCTCAGCTGCAGATAGAATAGAGAGAGGGTGAGACATGATTGGGTTTGAATATCAAGATTCCGTGTCTGGGAAGAAGACTCTTTGATCTTTATAGAAGAACGAGATCGGAATCTCGGAAACTATTCCGATGGTCGGAACGAAAGAGGAAAGCCGGAAATATTCCGTGATCCTCTCGAGGACAGTTCATTGAGTGCCGAGATAGTTAGATCTACTGAATTGATGGGGGGAGGTTCGGAGAGTCATTGTCAATTGTATGAACTTGCCAGTGTTGGCTTTTTGATTGCCTTGTAGCTAAGAGATACTGCGATCTCATCCAGTCGTGTTTACCTGGTTTTATAATGAGATATTGTTACAAATCGGTAATATTCATGTAGCTATAGCGCCGTGAGATAGTCTTCCGGTCCTTTGTGAGAAAACAAAGCGATTGTTTTTCCAAAACAGAGCGAGCAAACCCAATTTTCCTGTCGTTCATGTTGAAACAGAACAGATCATGAGAGATCTTCCAAGTGGCCCTTGGGTATTCTGAGCTTACTGGGATCAATTTCCGGAGGATTAAAATCTGGCCACTGCGCCTTGACTGTTGACCCTGCCGCCAACCGTAAGGCGTTGAGAGCAGAGCTCCAGACAATGTGTCCAGATCCAGCCTCATGCCATTCCGTTGAATCGAAGACCTCTATATCCGAGTCTGCCTGTGGAGGGCCTGCTCGCCGATAGCTTCCAATCAAGGCTGGCTCTGGCGCCAGACATCTCAGTCCGCCATCACACGCAGCATGAAATCCAACATCGGCAGCTGCCACATCCAGTTCGAGCATGGACATCCGGGCAAGAGCATTACGTGCTGCGTCCAATGTCCATGCTATCCCGTAGCTGCACAGCAAGTCCTCGGCGGAATAAATGTAGCGTGAAAATGCCGCGTCGGGCTCCTCAATCATACTCGGATGCTTGAATCCAGTCCTATATTGTAATGGTGCCACTGTAGGATCGTTGGGTATCTTCCAATAAGGCCCCTTCTTGGCACGCGAAGAACAATGTCCTAGCCAAAGAAGATCCCACGAATCGCCATACGGTGAGTGTGGGTTATCCTGCTTGGCTGAAATAGCACGGGCTCCGCGGGCAAATTCAACCATTTGATCTTTGAATGTTACGTCCCAATCAGAATCATCCTCGAGAATCAGAGCACTACTATAGCCTCGAGCGATCATCCTGGATTGAACATGAAACAAGTCAGCGTTCACTCAAGCGTGGCTTCGTGGAACTCGCATACGTTTGCAATGCGTTCATATGAGCACGCCACGAGCCAAGAGTATTTGGTCTGTCGAGGAGATGGTGTCCGGGTTTCTGCGCGTTGAATAAGCTAAATTGAAATTTCAGCAAGGCTGGAGACATACCGATGGGTAGGCTTTGGGGTTCATGTCATCTTGGTTGACACCCTCAATCCATTCAATATCCACCCCTAGAAAAGAGGAAATCAGGGTGATGGCATCGCGCTTATCCGTCCGATCCCTGAGCCCGATGACAAAAATATGCTCGAACTATCCCTTGTGATCAATTTTAATTATTTTTATCGAAAGAATTCCAGCACTCACCCCTAGGGTTCTGTTTTTGACCGCTTGATCAGGGGCTACCGGGTGAGCATCGGAGGTGATCCCTGCGTGGCGATCGAAGTCTCGTGTCTCGTGAACCGGGGGCTTGTTTATCCAGAATAACAGAATGAAGCCATAAAAGACTAGTAGTACGGTTATCAGAGATTTATAACTGACTCCAGACAACATATTTAGGGTAGAAAAACCGACAGAACGCGAAGAGGTTTTTGGCGGGCGGTGGTCTCCTTCTCTCCGCCCCCGACCCGCATCCCTTCTTGACTCTGTGGCCTGAAGGGATTGTGTTTCTCTACAAATACAGACAGCTATTTGTTCAGGTTGTGATACTGCCCACTGTCACAATATATAAGTCGCTCACTGTTGGGATCTCTGTTCAAATGATCATAGTGTATGGAGTTAGACGTCAAGGAACACCGACTCCACCAACAGCTTGATGAGTGTGTAAGTTATTTGCAAGGAAGTTGATTACATACATAGTCAATTCGCCAGCATCACAGCAGCTGGCGACAGATGAGGGACGCTGCGGCATTATTGTATTGGTGTGCTTTTCCCGGCAGAACTCAGCATGAAGAGCACATCCCCTATTACTTCAATGTTGACAATATATATTCTTTGTAATCTGTAAAATGTATGTGTGATGTTGCGAGGGTTATCACATCTGGACAACTTTTGCATAAATAATGTAGGTAAACATGAAAGACCGTTTCAAATGGCCCTACTATCCTTGGAAATATCAGTGATCGTGAATTGAGCAATCAAAATCAGGTCACCTCAGCAGTAAACTTCACAGCTTCGCACAAGAGGACCTCTGGCAAGGAAGCTCAAGTGGGTCAGGTGCATGGCCGTCGGTACTATGGTAGTTTGACACAAGAATATCGAAGATCATTGTAGGTCGAATACCAAGATTCTCTGACGATTACGCTGGTGTTCAAGCTTTCCAAATCATCGGGTTCTTTTCCTCACCCCGGTCGAATAGCGCTTTTTTGTACGCTCGTCGTGAGCACGTCGTATCGCCCTGAACCCTAAACGGTGGGTGAGCCCTACGGCGCACTCAACAAAATAGACTATCGATGATCGTGGAGATGCGAGGCAAAAATGTCCGAAATCGGCAAATGGTTGGGCGCCAGATACCGGTGCTGCCAGGTCACGTGGGAAGGCACGTGGAAGGCACGTGGAAGCATAGCCGCTGTGGTTAAGGAGTAAATAAACATCGAACAATAAGAATGGACAACTCCGTAGTGCACGAGGATATGAACACAAGTACGCCGTCCGTTTATGCTTGTTTGTAATTAAACTCTCCTCTCCCCACAGTTTTATGACTGTTCGCCCCCCTGAGAGTGGTATGCATGTAGCACACGCACGTTTGGGTTGTAACTTATTGCAGGAGAGGAAGCGTGAACTGACCAGCGGCACAAGATTTCTTCTGTAGTGGAGGCGCACTGTTAGCTTCGAAACTCGGCCTGATTCCTTGTGTGCTAAAATAAACAGCCGATCCTGTCTCACTTGGCTTTCCACGGTAAACCGGTGGAACGGACCTAGGCCCCTGGGAAGATTCTACCATGATACTAATTGAGCCTCGGTAGTTGTGGAAAGCCCCTTATTCCCAGGAAACGAGCAAGGTTCCAACCAATAGAGACGCCAGTCCCCCTTGTAGTGGGGGTTTAGCCTGTGTCAAACTAGACTAGCCCAAACGGTTGGCGCTAGCTTAATGCTCCTTAAAAATTTGCAGGTTCGGCACGGGACGAGAGACAATCCTTGCCTTGTTCTGCGATCAGTGTTAGGATCGCTGGTGGATACTGTTGGTTCCGACAGAAGGAAATCTCCACTCACCGGCAACTGGAGAACATGATTGTGGGAAACTGGTGCAGATGTCATTTTGGCTCTGCCGATCTCTTGGTGTCATATTTTAGTGGCGCCCGGAGGTTCTTGTACTCCGTGTTATCCGGATATTTCAACTTTTCCTGAGATTTTCATTCAGGAGAAATTCCAACCCTGGTCACATATGAAAATCACAGAATGAGCAGCGATGAGGACCAAAGGAACATGGCGATCAAGGTTGTCGCAGCCCTGTTCATGTCCATAGCATGCGTGGCTGTGATGCTGCGATGCTATGTCCGAGGCTGGGTGGTGAAAGCATTTGGATGGGATGACGGTGCCATGGTGATGGCAATGGTAATGCCCCCTGGACAGGCTTTCACCCACATCCGACTAACCACCAGATAGTTTTGGTATATATTCTTCTCGGGGGCTATGATTGGGGCCGGGTTACATGGGAATGGGCGGCACTGGTATAGCCTGAGCCCAGAGGAGCGAGTGGCTGCCATGGAGGTAATTTCAACCTTGGCAATTCGATTCTTCGAGGACTAACTGATCCGTGTGTGAATAGTATTGGTGGTTCTGCGAGATTGCCTTCTGCTTCGCATCTATTTTCTGCAAGATCTCCATCTGCATTTTCCTGATGCGAATCTGCATTCGACGACTGCACCTATGGCTTCTCTATTCTGTGATGGCCATGACAGTTCTTGCAGGGCTGGTTTTCATGTTCCTGATGTTCTTACAGTGCAGGCCACTTAGCTTCTTCTGGACTCGAATGAAGCACCACCCGGTCGTCAATATTGAAGGCGAGGGGTCTTGCATTAACATGGAGATCATTGTCGCCATGACATATGTTTACAGTGCATTTGCCGCCATGTGCGACTTTACGGTTGGTATCCTGCCTGTCTTTGTGGTACACAAACTTCATATGAAGCGTCAGACGAAAGTGGCAGTTGTCGGAATTTTGAGTATGGCCTGCATGTATGTCACCACTCTCTTGTAATGCGGAGAATTGGACAGAAACTAACCTGGCATGCAGTGCATCCTCCGCCGTGATTGTTCGCATACCCTTTGTGAGCACGTTCAATGACTTGGACGACTTTTTGTGTACGCCCCCATTTGTCCCCTGCTGCTTGAGATTCATCTTTTAACGTTATTCTTTGGCATATAATAGATTCGACTGTTCAAATTGCATATTGGTCGAACTTGGAGGTCGGCTTGGGTATTACTGCTGGCAGTCTCGCAACTCTCCGACCACTTCTTCGCCACTGGCTTGGTTCACATGCAGATCCATCGTATTCCGCCGGTTTCCCCAAAGAATCTTACGGGCGACCAACTGGCGCCAGTAGACAGCGACCTGTGGCTTTGGGGTCTATGGGGGAAATGACCGCAGCGACTTGAGACCCGATAAACTAGCAGTCATGGTGACAAATATCGAGACCCAAAGGGACCTGGAGAACTCTTGGCCACACTCATCTAGCCCAAGCAATAGCGTGGACGGATTGACTTTGCAACAACATCCGGTGCCTGGAAGGATGGAAGTCGGTATTCGTCAGACATTTGAAGTTACACAAACCACTTCGGATGGATTTTACACCGAAGGTTCTCACCGGACCGAAAGAGAGCATGTATGATAGACAGTTCAAAATCAATATTGTATCTCAGTAGGGACTTGATCTGGGCCACAGATGTAGCTTGATGGAGGCCTAGAGAGCAAACACACCGAAGGAGAATAGTGGTTACTTTGGATAAGGAGCCAAGAGACTCTGAGTGAGGGAATATTACCAGCAGTAGGGAAGTGTATGGCTCAGTAGATGAGTCGGAATGCCTCCTAACATGAAAGCTCACACATGCTTCTTTCTTGTTTCGTAGTGCGACTACCCATCGAGTTAACGAAGAAGAAAACAATTGCCAATAGTACGTCCCACTGTAGAGGGTGTCACTTTATTAAGGCGCGGATTTTCATTATACCGTATCTAGATAGCATCTAGGAAATTGAAGTGGATGATCAGTGCCGGTGAAAAGTTTGTACGAAGCCTATCGCCGTGAAGGCATTAAACCAGCTACCTCACAATGGGTCAATATGGATGACTTGTCTGTTTCGATAAATGGCAGAACCGCACCTATTCTGAAAGTCTATTTCAATCGGGGGACTTTCAATGATTTACAGGCCTTCTCAGTCTTGCCCCACAGTAATTTATTTAGTTCAGATGCATCCCCCGGCAAGTGGGGATAATTTGTTTAGCGCGAAGAATGCATATAAGACGACACTAAGCGCGGTTTAGGGGTTCGGCTAGGCTCTACCTATGCACGGGTTGTGACGGGGTCTAATCGTGGCCCAACCGGGTACTCGAGCAGAAAGGGAATATAAAACTATTACGGGGGCTGAAATTCGAGGCTTTCGTCGGGCCTTACATATTGACGAGCTATAGCTGCGTAGATGCAAAAATGATGTAAACTTGATCAATTCTGGGGTCACATTATCAAGCGCAAAGTTAATGCAACGACCTAATTCTGGAGAATGAAGCACGACTTGGTCAACTTCTCTCACCTGACGTGATACCTCTTTGAAGAGAGACACCATTTCAGATGAGTCTCAGCAAATTCTAGAATAATGATTCCAAGCAAACTTTGAGTGTAGTTCTTTCCAGTACATGCTTCAAGCCGCTCCCAGGCCTCGACTGCCGCCAAAACATAACGGTTGTGATCGTCACAAACCTTTCTTGTGACATCGTGTAGTACGATGGATTCTTGGTCCGCGATTTGGCTGATTTGCTCTCTGGCTAACACCAGGACAGAGTTCATAATCTCCCCGTCTCGTATATCTTTATCGAGCCCTGCAATATCATTCTGAAGCCCTACCGCTTGGCAAACCATGTCACCAAGATCTTTGAGTGTAGCAACACACTCTGTCTCCGTGTTGATCGTCAGAACGCTCATTATCGTGAAAGAAGGGAGGACACCCATCGTTCTTTTGCGGATACCCATATAGACGTCCATGTCGTGGTGCAGTCTACCCTGACGAAAAAAGACTTCATCGCGCTGACCTTCACACATTTCGCAAATGTCGTCAACTAGCTTGCGGAGGATCTGAGTAGAGTTCAGGTGTGTTTTAGCATGATTATAGAACGCCGTGAAGATGAATGGCACTCCGATCTGACGAGATTCTGTATCATGAAAATCAATATACCCTAAATTTTTCAATTGGGTTGGTGAGATCATACTGGGAAATCCCGATTCTCGCAATGTCCAAATGGATTCCTCCAGTGTTTTCAAAGCGCTCTCCGGGGACATTCGTTCCAGAATGTCGTCTGTGATACACACGGTTGCCATCCATCCGGCCAAACATGTTTGTACAGCTTCGGAGTGTATGTACGGAAATAAATTATTCACGGCAACGATATCGGCGATACATCTGTCGCGAAACTTTGTCAAGACTTCGAGGTTCTGTGGCTGAATGATCGACATAAACTCCATGTGGGAGGCTAATGCATCGTGGAAATAGCTGCAATTGGTTGAGACTGGTTGGAAGTGGGGCACTTCCATCTTAAATTTTGAAGATGTTAGTTAACTAGCTGCCGTTGTCTGGAGTGCAGCAAAGACATCCACCTTTAAAGATTTGTTGAGATTTTCCAGAAATATCTCAGACGACCGGATCGTTGGTCTTCCTTTATGCTTCGAGTAAGAAATGTCTGGAGTTTCCGCCATGCTCAGGAGGCCTCGTGCGTAAATGGTCCGCACACTTTCTGTGGTAAAATGTAATAGCAAGACACCAAAAAGACAGGTAGAGGACAGGGAATACTTATAGATAGTTGCTCTGAATTCAGGTTTTATGGAAATGGCACCAGGAAATGGCACTAGCACTAATCAGCTAATTACAGTGTGACAGTTTTCCGGTGTTAACAGGCTCTGATTGCTTCAAGTTCGGTCATCGCATATTGCAGCGGCTACTGCGGACCAGAACTTGGTTATAGTATTTGAAATTGGTTCTCATGACTTGTTTGGATCATTATTCTCTATCTCGGGTCCACAGGAAGTGTCCTACCTCGGCGGCGTTTCGGACTCTTCTACTGTGGCGTTGGCTCGACTACGCTGCAACGACAGCTATTACTGGCAAGACTTCACCGGTGTGGTGCCACAAAATCGTCATATTTAATGATAAGATTGCTTTGGTACTTACCTGCATTGATTTAAGAAGGCCTATACGAAAGATCTCTGAGCTCGAATCCGGATTTTCGATCTAGCTGAAGCACCACATTTCTAGGGGATTTAAAATATGAGTATGAGAGTGAAGATGATTTCGAGTTATATCACAGTTTCATATAATTAGTCTGGTCCTTATTCGGTATCTTCAATCACTCAGCAATAGCCCCCTTAGTTATTTTGGATATTCTTGGTAAATCGGGATTAATACGGCCCTACGATCCCATGCATTGAAATTCATGAAAGCAAGGACAATCCAAATGACGCAATTTTTACGTTCAGACCAATGAAAGATAGACATGAGGGCCGATATTCCAGCAAGCACAGGTACGTTCGTACAGTATTGCCCTTCGAGGCCTTGCACATATCTACAAAAATTTGATCTCCTAAACCTGAAGAAAAAGCCCCCGAAGCTTCTAAACTTTGATGTCTGCGGCCGCAAATATATTTCTGTTGTTCAATTTATTTCTTGTATAACAGATGTGGTATGAATATCTGATGTCCCAGTCTTGATTCTAGGAGATACTTATAAAGTCAAAGTCTTCATAATAGTTTTTGATAACACTTGCGATGGCATCTGTTGCCGGCGTGTATGTTCTAAAGGCGATGAGACCCAAGATTGGAAAGCATTACTGCCGTATATCCGGTGCATTTGATCTACCAGAATAAGCCAACCAGCAGAACAATTATGGAGACACAACTATGCGGCATGGGTACCAAAGGGGTATGAAGTGGCAGGTCTCTTGATCTTCCCTATCGTCTATCAAAAGTGGTCGTCTCCGAGTGGCTACGCTGATGTCATATTTGCAACGCTTGCTCTCGAACATTCTAGATAAATATGATCCGTGAGACCACTCTCAGGCAAGTCTTACAATAGACCAAAGACCAATAAACCCCGCCTTTTCTAGAATATCCGCCTGAATTAGAGTTATCAGTAGCTGTCCAGCAGTCAGAACTGTATAGTGGGTACGCACCTGAAATAGGGCATCACTCTGGAGCATGCTTGATTAGTAATAGCTGTCGTTTTGCCAAAACAGTATAAATTATTGAAGCTGCCTTCCCTCAACGTGATATTCAGTCATGCTCTCCAGTGTCTGTACCAATGCCGTTCCCAATGTATATGCCGACCAAAAAGGTAAGATGAAAATTTCCCTAGTGTGTGAATGGAAACTGCATTGCAGGTTAGGAATCCCGAAGATGGAACAGTGCATAAACAGATTATGGAAGAATTTCAAGTAAGCCAAACCTAAGCTTCGTTAGGTCTGGGATTGTAAAACTTTGGTTGTAAGGCTTGAACTTAAGATCAAGCTTGCAAGGATGATCGCTTGGCTTTTCTTTATTCATACAGGTGGTCTTGGGCCACTCATTCTTTCGCCCTGGATTGAGCTACTCGCATAAAGTGATGCCGGGGTCTTCTCGGATGGTTCACGGGATTCATCTTCAGGCTTCTTTGCATTATCATAGCCTTGGAGCCCTTGAGTACATCAAGGGATTGTCTTACGGTGGATATGGCGCTCTCGGAACCAGCTATGATTGGCTGATATGACGCAGATTTACAACTCTGCAGGGTTACACGTACTCGCTCGGCGGGTGGTCATTGGGCACTCGACTATCTTCCGACCTGTTCGTTCCATCGCAGGACGCTCACGTTGTGTGAAAGCGGATTTATTTTACAAACAAATCAGAGCCACAGCATGATTTGGCGGTGTGTTACACCTGGCTTCAAAATCCGACAGGCTTCAATTGTTTTCCTTTCGGCTGTGTCTCCATGGACGATCAAGGGATTTTGACGCTGGAGTCATAATTAGTGGAGCAAGATCGCCATCGGTAATTCTGATAACAAAGAATTTCGAAAGGATAGCGATCAACCAAAGACCTTCACGTTCCTTGTGATCCAAGGAGCACAGGGGAATCTTCGATGTATGATCCATTAAGCGCCAAATCTCTCTGTTCGAGACTCTTCCAGTATATCTGAATTGAAGCGGTTATAATCTGTATCAAAACCATGGAGCCCGCTGATCTTCTTTCAACAGCATTCTTAGTATGTCCACCGACGATCGTCGTCGGTACCGGCTAATTGAAGCCAAACGGAGGTACTAATTAAGCTCTGGTTCATCACAGCATCTCGGGCATTCAATGCGCATATAGTGAACTTCAGCTGTTTCAGAATGGCCTTGGAACAGTAGTAAACCTCAAGAAGCACATAAATACGTACTGACATGTGATATAGATACTTCATAGCTTCATTTAATCTCCAATAAGGCTTTTCTACTTTTGTGAGAGCAACTCAACGACACAGATACCTGTTTCGACGGTATGTGTCGATCACTGCACAATCAGATCAAATGAGCAGCAGATCCAAACCAAGTAAGAAAAACCAATCAGCACACATGAGCAAGACTTGGTCCTGTCGGCGTGAGGAGAGAGTCCAGCAAGATTTTGGCCACCTCACCCATATATTCTGAATTTTCATGTATGTGCCACAAACGTAGAATTGTCGACTATCGAGATTGTGAACCATATTTAATACTTTGACCGCAAGGACTCATGCATGTATTTTCTCCTTGCATAACAAAAATGGTCACGGGTGTGACTGATTTACAACGAACTTCTGATAATCTACCTGAATCGATGCTGAAGTTGTAAGCTATCATCCTGAGAAAGAATTTCTTCGCTTGAGTGTGCGGATCCACGGATATGAGTGGAGAAACACCTTATACACGGGCCCTTCCGTGATATTATAATCAATGTTGAGGATATTTGGTACTTTCTTCTGGCCAACAGACAGCCTTTGATTACCAATCGTGCTTTGCGGGACCCGTTGGTGTCGGTCTCGAAGACCCATTTGCAGCCACACATATGAAACTAGGGCACCTTCACCTAGGAGTTCCCACGTTCCATGGTCAAGGATAGGAGTGTTTGCTCTGAATAATGGCCTATTATCACAGCATTTTCGGGCTTAGGGGCATCCCAAAGAGTCGAGAGATGAACATGAAGCCGGGTATGCTGGCCTGATTTACGAGGCTATTTCCTAAAGCTATAAGTTAGTTAGTTCTCACTATACCAGAAATGTCTGAAAAACTGGTCATTAGGCCTACTTTACCTTTTATATCTTTGGTCCGGCTATGTTGAGATTTATGGTAGCCGGCCATGGTTTATGCCATGAATGAGCCATGACGGCAACCGTAGTGATTCATCACCTGGGAAATCTAATTAAGACTAGCTTAAGGCAGAGTTTTCTGGTATATAAGGAGGTTCTCATACAAATGAGAATACCCAGACTTAAACACCTCGGTAATATATTGTTAGATTATCAATATTGTACGGTCTTACCCGCAATCATTCCTACTTGCATCGTAGCCTTTTAACAGGCTATAAGTAAGGTTTTCTAGCTGGGAAATAAGAGAGTATATATATTCTTAATGACTAAGACGTGTTTAATAGCGAAACTAATGCTCTCAATATGGATTTAATAGTTGACAAAAAATCAATGGTTCATATTATATAGATGGCCTTGTGTATGAGATATCGTAGTAACTCTACCCCGCGTCAGTCTCCGACGCTAGCTACTATTAACGTGTCACCGGTGATATCGATGGCGGTGCCGGTGGAGTTCGTTAGAGCGAACGTTAGAGCTTAGTCAAATAGATAATCTTCTCGTTCCGTTCGTTGAAGCGTACGTAGGTCATATAACGATAACTCGAAAATCTTGCCTTACGCTCCCTTCGGCAATAACTTCTATCGGAGTCTCTTATGGCTAGATAAACGTGCCTAGAGGCCTCGAAGTTGTATGCATTATTTTAATTCTTGAAAACTCAACAAGAAAAAGTTGAAGAAAAGTGGTTCTACTTAAATCTAAGAAAATTAATAGGATTGTGTCATATAATTACTAGTATTTGCGCCACGAAGCTATGCACTGCACTCCGCACGATCAGAAAACAGATCTTAAGATGCTCCGCGTAGCCAATAAAAGTTCAGAAACATATCGCTGGACTCAGCGACTCCGTAGTCTTGATCGCATTTAAAAGTTCGTGAAGACAGCGCTATCAGATTTTGACTAGCTGGCAGTCTAGCTAAAGCAAAGTGCCCTCCTACGAGTTTCTTTATATGAAGCTCGGCCCCAATATTTAGAACGGCAGATGATCTTACACCCGGAATTCACTAAGAGAGTGCCTCAGAGCATTGGACAAGGCTTTATCTCTCTAGTGGAGGAATAGTCCTTACGTGGGGAGCTAGAAAGCTTTCAAGGGTACCAACCAACCAACCAAAGTTCAATGAACCTGATGCAGCCTAACTAGTATCGTAATGGCTATGCAGGCGCTTCTATCCAGTTGAAGCAAGAACTTCGTACGCCTAGCAAAAACGCAGCAAAAGAGCTGGTCCTCAAAAAAGAGACTAGGTACCAGCTCGACATAAATACAAATCCCATAGCCCAAAACATAAGAAAAACCCGGTGCCGCAGGCAATAGGTACAAAGAACGACCGCAGATACACCATCTACCTTTCCAGCATCTCTCTTATTTCTATATCTCCCTATCTCTCCCCTCTCAATTTCTACATCGCTATAAACAGGCCCCGTTTATCTTCACTTCAGCCTCAATTGCTATTTAGATTGGCCATGACCGAAGAGTTTTAGTCTAATTCGGCACCGTATATTCGAATAGCGAATCGAGGGACGTAGTCTCTCCACCCTCAACCGTAGACGTAAGCATTAGTGAGTACCTAGCGTCTTCGGGACTCTACTCCCTAACCTCGGTATCGAGGCCTTCTTAGTCATTATCGGCGTTAAACCTAGCGTGTTGGAACTAAGCAAGGAGACCGGTTTAATATATAAACTTGGCCACGTAGCGGGTGGCCTACGGGTTATTAACTAGCTAGTCGTAATCGGTGGCTTTTACCCCGGCTCTATAGAGCTAAGAAAAGAATCACTTCTCGAGCCGAATTTTCCTTGTTATCGCCTTTTCTAGGAGCCTCGCTCACGGTTCGAGCCAAAGCTATATTGATGCCGCTGAGATCCGTAGCGTACACCGTTGATTACGCCTCCGTACCGAGATAGGCACGGTCGGAGAGTAAGGTGTCCCCGTCATATAGGTTGATGGCGGCGGCTCCGATGTGGCCTTCGAAACCACTGCCATCGGTGTAGGTAAGTGTTGTCGTCGGTCTTATTGTCGCGTCGGTATTGACAAGACTGTAAATGTCTTATTTCCGTTTTTGCTAGATAATTGATTCATGGGTGGCCAATGCCGCCTCGGCGGGCTGAATGACGTAGGAGGCCCGTTTTACTCAGGGGTATCACGAAAGCCGCCTTTTCCTCCCATATCTCAGATTTCTCTAATTCGATTGGTCCCTTATTCCAAGCAAGCGCTTCCAGGGGTGACCACCCCCCGACGGTTCTCTCTCTCGGTTTCCTAGCTATTAATGCCGAGAGAGGACAGCCCAGCGGGGGCCAGTCAGGATCAAGGGTAGTCGGTTAATTTTCCAACGCTAAGCGCATGATGAACTAAATTACACAGCCTCTCCGCGTGAAAAGTGTATAGCACGAAGTTTTATATAGTCTTATAGCTTAAAATGTTGTAAAAAAGAGCTTGAGTCACAGATTTAACTTCGTCTAGATCATAGGTTTCGTCCGCTTTGATTCTTTTCTATTCTATCTTGCGAGAGTCGGTTACAAATCATTTATGGCGCTAGATTCCTAATTTGATGTTCCTAGGTGACACGAACAATGCTCGCGCCTTAGCAATGATAACTGGTTCCCCATTCTCAACCAGTGTCTCCATATGCCCTTCAACCCATGCCTTTCGCCCAACGACGCTCTTAGTCTGCGCTTTCAATACAGCAATGCTCTCCGTAGGCATTGGAGCAAGATACTCGATACTCAGCGTGGCGGTAGCACCAACTCCACCAGGCAAAGATGGAAAACAGCACCAACCTAGCGCTTCATCAATCATTGTAGCAAGAAGTCCGCCATGCACAATGCCATAGTATCCGGATACATGCTTCCCGAGATATAATATCTCAATTAAGCTCTCTCCGCCCCGCTGTGCGAATACGTATGGTGGTATGGGTATCATTTGTGGGCCAGTGAGAGGGCCAGCGGTAAGATTTTGCTCGCGTAGATCCCGAGGATAATCTTGGTATGCTCTATATTCCACATAGTCTCCGGTTGCCCGCAGACCTTGAATCATGGGGTGATTATCAAGAAGGGTTTGTATGGCAATTGGCGACGTCAGAGCCATTGTTCTAGGATATTGAAGTTAGCTGGGTATTCCTTTTGGCCGGGAACTAACAAGGCCCACAACTTAATTGCTCAGAAGGTCAAGTGAGAGTCACCGGGGGGTAGGGGGGGGCGGGCTCAGTCCTTGAGAAAAAGTATCTATTGAAGGTAAGGCAACGGAATATAAGATGTCTGGGTAGGAGGTGTCACGGTGGCTCTATCTATTATTTCATATGTATAATATTGAGGTACACGTCACACATGCATGCTATTGGTCCATCGTACCAGACGAGGAGCCAAGGCATCTTGACGCCAAGAGAGCCTGAGCACCGATGGAGTGCATGAGGAGGAACGTAGTTTCTTCACATGAAAATAACCCCTCCTTTCTTCACTCCTCCGCAAGGCCTTTTCAGGCGCATCATGCAGGGTGCTGTTCTCAGCCAGCGAACCTTGGAAATGAACCCCCAGGATTCGTCATTATGAAAATCATGCTTACACTACACACCAAAAATTCGCATATGCTCTGGCAAGCGCTGTGCAAAACATCCATTCGGTAGGACTTGATAGACTTCCACTCGAAAAACTAGTTTGCTCCCCAAGAGCTTTTCATGTAGCGGCCCAATTCTGCAAAATGTAGTAATTAATCAATTTGACCGAATGTTTAGAATAAGAAACTATGAGTTTGCATTGGAATTCCAGGCCACATCGTCTGCTAAAAACACCTGATAGCGATCCAGATATGCCTGGTCTAATTTGACGAAGTCACATCTTGCGGCCCAGTGAACTCTCTTCTCGGAGTGATCTTTGAACACGTAATCAACCGTTCCATACACCATGGCGACGTTTGAATTTGGTCCATAAGGGAAAACTTGCTTGGGACGATGCGTCCGTTGCTTGACTCTGTCCCACATTGAATTTCTTAAGGTCAAGATGCCTATAAAATGATTAATCTCTGTTACGTAGGATTTCTCTTACTGATTACCTTCTCTGCCCCGCACTGATCTCGTACCGATAAATACTGAAGCATCAGGCGTAAAGCAATGAACATACTTCTCGTTCTCACTTGGTGCATCGGTGAGAAAATAGAACATGCTGAGGAACTGCTTGAAAGTAGAGTCGAACGGCATCATGGGGTAGCTCGGGGTCACGAGTGGAATATCTAAGACGAAGTCAGGTTTTGATTTATTTCGACATTTCGTGAATAATTTTCTTGCCATCGTTTGGCGTAAGAGCCAGTGCCTCTTGTCTGGCTCTTTCATCTGAAAGCACAGTCTCTGCCGTGCTTGAATCAATGAAAGCTCTCACTCGAACAATCTTGTTAAAAGAGTTGAATTTGCAGTGCCAGCAATAATGCTGACTGTAAAGCTGGTCGCCCAATTTTGTTCGAGTATTTCGGGTCTTTAGCTCAACTGCAACCCACCCATTCTCGTTGGTCATAATGCTTTCAGCAGAGACCAGCTGAAGGATAGGACCCGGTTCTGCAATCAGCTTGATAACTGGCAGCCACACACTATCCATGAATTCTGATTTTGATCCCCACACCCCTGAAAGAGAATTCTTTCCAGTGATCTCCCATTTCACGTCATCGACTACGTGTTCAAAAAACGACACATAACCGGAAGGAATATTACCCAAGCATTCAAATATAGATAAAATCTCGGCGTTGGTGGGGCACATCATTGTTGTTGAATGCGATCTCTACAAATCGGGCGGAAATGTCACTGCTTAAATCTTCCAAGGATACTACTGTACTTGAGGCTTCTTTTTGGCGAGGCGCAGTAGCCCTGAAATAACTATCGCCACTAAGATCTTCCAAGGATACTGCTATACCCTTTCTTTTGGCGAGGCGCGGTAGCCCTTAAATAAATATCGCCACTTAGATCTTCCAAGGATACTGCTATGCCCTTCTTTTTGGCGAGGCGCTGTAGCCCTGAATTAAATATTCCGTGAAGAACCCCGTGGCCAATGGGTCTTGGTGCTTTGACTATCCTAAGAGGGGCAACAATAATCCTGAATATTCATTTTACAAGATCTGCCACGCCTAGTGCCCATTTGAAGATATATGCATCAATCACAACGTGGCTTCGACACTGCGGGAAAGGCAGGGATTTAGTCAAGCTCAAATTTCAAACACTAAGTATTCTAACGTCACAGTATATGAACACCTACCTAAGCATCTGGAATAAATTTCGGATTGCAGGATATCAACATGCGCAATTACTGAAGGAACCAACTATTAGGTGACTAATTGATTTCATTAATAGAACCGCTGTTGAGGGGGTCTGCTGTGTGTCTATACCAGTCTTGGCGTACTACACCAAGTATCCCGCTAATCCCATTTCATTCAGCCTGGCTTGATGATAGAAGATTACATCTCACGTGGAAAATAACTCCAATCCTATCTCCATTCGAATATTCCGGAGTTTTCATCGGACTTGTCGGCGTCTGAAACATACTGACATTGTCGGAACGTTCTCCAAAGTGAGAGAAGGAAGAAATCCTCTTTTCGTTCAATATATGCCGGCCCTAGCAGGGGCTTGATTGCGGTAGTTGCCTCTTCTGATCTGTAAAATGGAATCTTAGGAAATAGATGGTGGATGACATGATGATCAATTATGTCATGGAAGAAATGACGGCCAATGAACCCGAAATTGCGATCCACTGTACCGAGAGCTCCCTTTTTGAATGACCAAGTGGCTGCAGAGTAGTGGGGAACTGCTGGATGCGTGTGATGAAGATATGTGATGGCGACTAGAAAAGCTGTGAGCACAGATTATGTGGACATTAAAGAATGTCGTTGCAGAAATGAGAGAACTAACCTAGCCAGTGATGAACCCATAGGTAGGGCACAAAATATAGTGCAAAGATGTTATAGAATCCAAAACATCTTCCCACCTTGAACAATATAGTGCCCATGATGGAGATTCCTATATCAGAGAAAAGAACGGCGGTCCGCTGTTTCTGTGTAAAAATAGGACTGTAGGGATCGAAATGCGAAAGTATCCCTTGCTTCGCAATATCTCCGTTAGGAATACTATATCTTCCACCAGTCTTATAGAGGCAAAGATATAGTTGCCAACCAGCCAATTGATGGCCAATCAAATGAGCGAGCGTCATAAGCGGAGTGTCCTGCATAAAATTTTCCAAATCCCTCGTGGGCATCCGATGTTTCCTGGCAAAATTCGCTTCTGTCAGAGGGACAAATGCAGTATCCTTCTCCATATGTCCAGTGTATCGATGGTGGCGCGCATGCGTTATCTTCCAGGAGAAGTAAGGCACTAAAAGTGACGAATGAAGAACCCAACCAACGGCATCATTAAGAACGGTGCTCGATGAAAAGGCACTATGGCCACACTCATGGGCAAGAATCCAAATCCCAGTACCTACAAGTCCTTGAAGAAATCCGTAGAGAGTCCATGCTACAATCCGAAGACCGTCGTTCTGGATGGAAGGAATTTGCAATGCCCCGATGACTAGAGCGGCGGCATATGAGATATCACCGATGAGATATCCGAGGGATATTATGCTCGATCGCTGAAAACAATGTTTTGGAATGACACGCCTGAGCTCATCCACAGAGAACCTCTCGGTACATTCGATGCGCTTCTTGAGGTTGTTAACATTCGCATTATTTACAGATATAAAAATTGGGAAAGGCTATAATAGCTCACCTCTTCCATGGTCTCAGTCTCCAACTAGACAAGTAACAAAAAAACTGGTCTTGTTGTCTTGTGATGATGAATGAGATTATCTTGCGACGCATTTAAATCGACAAACATACTCTGGCAGCTCTCGGTTATTCTATTAACCTTTTATCTGGGCGTAATGAGTTTCATTTGCGCCCAGGCCTTTGAAGAGTCACACCAACAGCAAAAAGGATTCTTTTTCCGGCTACTCACAGCCCATTTCCTCCACATCATCCTCGCGATCAGATTGCATTCTGCTTGTATTAAATGCACCTTGGGTAGTATATGACGTTTCGGGTGGGGGAACGCCATGGCAATTGATAGACCACAAATGACGGCTTCTAGTTATTACCGCAGTTGATCACAGATCAATGAGGCAATCAGAATCTTGAAGATTGTCTTTGGGCTCGTTAAGATAGCAACCAAGAGTCAGGCTTATGATCATCGGGCAGCCTACAGCGTTTCGTCAACCACATTGACGGGTAGGTAGTAATGCCCACCCCGATCAGTTTCGAGAAAGAAAAATGTGTCCCTACCTTACAGGAGAAAGATATATAAGCCTCTCCGTCACCTCTCCGTCACCTCCAAGCTCAAGACCTTTCTTTTTACCATCAACTTTTCTGATCAATATGAAGACTCTCTTCGAGGACCTCCCCGTATCTCTATATGTGACTTTTCTTTTTATCGTCCCTGTTCTCTTCTTTTACTACATCCTAGGTGTTGTCAGAGCTGTGAGATCACCTCTCTCACATATTCCAGGGCCATGGTATGCGCCTTTGACTACATTACATCTCAATTATGCATTTGCAAAGGGGACAATATGGAAAAATGTGGAAAGGTCACATGTCAAGTACGGCCCTATCTTTCGCCTTGGACCACGACAAGTGTGGACATCAGATAAAGAAGCATTGAAGGTCATTTTGATGACGACCGACCTTCCAAAGGTCACAATGTATGCTGAGATTTCTAGAGATCGGACCAGTCCTGGCCTCTTTGGGGAGATGTAAGTGCCGTCCTAGCCGGCCAGTACGATCAAGGGCGCTAATGAAAGCTTTTACCCCCTATAGTCGACCTGATCCTCACAAGAAGCTAAAGAAGTTCTTATCACCGGCATTCACCGTTGCATATGTTGACGGCCTTGAATTCCTTTTTTCAAAATGCGTCCAAGATCTTATCAACCGATACGTGGATATATTGCCATCTTCTCCATCTTGTGGGGAGAGTGACCTAGTGGTCACGGATATCATGGACGACCTCCATAACTTGGCACTCGACATGTAAGCGTCTTGAATTTTGACTTCTCGAAGTCAAGAAGAATGATCCTGCTAACACTACCTGCCGTTAGCATGGGCGAATGTTCATTTGGCAATGGTTTCGGGCAGACCGACAGAAACAAAGAAATGGATCTTGAATTTGATGAAAGAATTTGGAAAAGAATACCATCAGCCATCTTCAAAGGCATGACCCGCAGATACCAGGTATCTTGTTCCCATTCACATTTACAATTGAAATCAAAAGCTTACACATGCTCAGTTCGTTTACATAAAACGTCTTTTGAGAAACTTTGGCGTGAATTTGGAATTTGACTGGCCACGAGAGATGATTGCCGTAAGTCGAGGCGTGAAATTATGAGCGATCAACTAATGACATAGAAAAGGCCATCTCTGCTGTCGCAGGTCACAGAAAGTCTTATCCAGAACTTACTCGCCCCGATCTTCTCCAACATCTTCTAGAGAATGGACAAAAGGCAGACAGCGGAGTAAAAATGGGAACAAGAGAGGTCGTTGATCAGATGGCCGAGATACTTTTGGCCGGATCGGAAACTACTTCTGGGACTATCGCTTGCTTCTTTTTAGAGATATTGAGAAACCCAGAAGTGAAGAACAACCTGATGAAAACTCTGCCAGTACATCGACCAACCGACCCAATCATTTCAAGCAAAACAGTCCGAACCAGTACTCAGTATCGGTACCTGGAGGCATGCATCAAAGAGGTCCTCCGTTTACATCCCATAGCTTCGGAAATGGGACGTCGGACGGGAAACAGCCCAATTGAGATAATGGGCTACTATGTACCTGCTCATACAGTTGTGTCTGCTTCTTATAGGCAGCTTCATCGAAACTCGGAATACTGGCCCGAGCCTATGCGATTTTGGCCAGAAAGATGGTTAGAAAACCGGCCGAGCGGTGTACCAGCACCCGAGTATGTACAATTTCGCGAAACGCTCTATATTAACCTAAGCAATCTGATGCTAACTATGATTAGTATGCAAGCTTACTATCCGTTTTCTGCGGGCAAGCACTCCTGTATTGGCAAAAAGTAAGTCCTGTCTTTCAACACCAATATTTTCAACGTGCATAGCCTGACATGTTCAAACCCCGGCCGACAGTTTCGCTATGGCGGAAATCAGAATGTTGACTGCCAATATACTTTCGCGGTTTGATTTCAATGAGGTACCTGGTCAGCAAATTGATTACAGGCAGTATATCACGATGCAGTTCGAACATGGATCTTGGAAAGCGTTTTTAACGCCGAGATATACTGTCTGATAACCTGTATGACCTGTTTCGGGATATGCACCTTGCCGGCGTCATTTAATAGGGAAGGATTCAAGATGTCACCGTTGTGCCCTCCGAGTAAGTCAATGAGATGGCAACATATGACGGCGCGAAAGCCCTATAACTATTCTACGTTGAACTACAGTGTAATTCTGAACCCCTCCATAGTTAAGAGAGCGGGAGCTAGGCTGAAAACCGACTAGCGTACACTGTTATTCAGGAAAACGGACACTGTTATTCAGAACTCTCCTCCTATCACTCACATACTATTTTTACTTTCTGAAGGCTGCATGGAAATCACAACAATCTTAATTCTAACTCTGCAAGTTTTGCAATCGCCGTATTCAAATTTGAGTGGTTTTATTCAAGACTGCTATTTCCGACTGTAGAATGTCTAGCCTTCCGACTATACTTACAACCACCCAACTCAAATATATTTCTGACCACAATCCAAGTAGAATACTAAGGAATTATATTAGTACCAAGTTAATACAGATTCAGGTCCTATCCTTTCTGAGTATATGATACCCTGTATTAAGCAGTTGTATACTATCACTACAGTGCCTTAATGTCTTACAATATCGGATTGCTCACATTTCTAACCAGTGTTATCACATTAATCCATAAACAGACTAGCGTACGGTGACATTCAGGGGAACCCATAATCATACTGATATCCACCATTCTACTTCTAATTAAATTTTATATATCCATACCATCTACTATTTTTACTAGATTCTACAATGTCACAATCTAATCACGATCATATAAATTCTGCCACGGAGCCTGAAATTAAGACTGATAACCCCTTGCCGTCGTATCTGCAAGTGCTACCGGAACTTAGGGTAGTCCTATGCATAACCCATGGTTCCTGCTACATTCGAACCAGTCTCTCTCGCCATCTTCGTGACAAACATCATGTTAAGAGTCAACAGCGGCAAACCATCGAGTCCGCACGAGAATTAGCTTGCGTGGCACAATACAGCACTGGAGTCATCCAGCCTCAAGATGGGATTTGTGAGATTCGCGGGTTGCCGACCGTGCTCGGGTTCATCTGCCACTTCCCCGATTGCGACGTTCGCTCTACCAGCAAGGACCGGATCCGCCAACATTATAATAAGCATCATCAGTGGCAGGTCGCGCAGCAGGGGGCGATTCCATGGCATGAGGCCTTTATGCAGACGCTCTTTCTCCAGAAACAAAGCCAACAGTACTTTGCTGTGGTTCTTGCCGACCAGATTCCGACCTCCAACCCTCAATATATATATCGGCATGCCAACGCTCCTACTTATGTACCACCATCTGGTTCCGAGACACCCCCTTCGTCAGCTCTCACCGGCGATACATGGAAACAGATCATGGGCCGATACCAGAAGAGTCTCTCTCAATCATCGCGGAAGTCCATCGCCGCAGCGCGCCATGTATCCGAGGTCACTCCCTTTATGAAGCGGGCCGGTATCCATATCCACCTTGAAGGGCTCGAGGTCAAAGATCTTGGTCCTAGCTATCGAACACCACGACAGGACCAGGAGGCTTTACTTTTTGTCATTTGCGAAAGCGTCCAACGTGTTCTCGAGGGAGCAATGGCGGTCTTGGTACATGACCAAGATACAGAGGTACGCCAGCTTAGTCGCCGTAACGCACGGCTTCTCAACACTTTTGCCCGGGGAGAAACATCCCAGGACCCCCTCTCCGATCTCCAGAATGAACGTACGCGACAGAGATACATCACTACCTGGCAGCAGCTGGTATGCTACTGGGAGCGCGTCGTAGAGCAGCAGCAACTCCGGGACAATCTCTTTCAAGCCAGTACGCGGCAGCTTGAGGTATGGGTCGAAGTAACCGAGATCGCAAGTCAGATTGTGGATCTTAGTGGGTCTGAGGTCGATAGTCCGCATGGGGAGGATCTGCGCGCCCGGCTAGATCATGCCGTACTTCAATTCAGCCTTGCTATCATCCAGCACCCGGTTTCTCGTCGAAAGTTTGATTCAGTCCTTGTTTCCTATGCCGTGGTTCGCTTCTGGAGCCCTACGCAAGGAGCATGGCTCGCGATTGGGAACTATACATCTATACTATCGCAGTTGATCTACGACTGTCAGATGGTCATCCTTGCGTCTGTGTTGGCAGAGACGGCAGAGGGTAAGGATGCGGAGATAAGTACTATGATCATTGCGATCCGGGACGAATGGTTGTTGAACGATACCGACGGTCCTCTGTCGGAGCTGCTCGAGAACCGACTGCTCGGGTTCCGCATCAGTCAGACCGAGGTCCCCCCGGCCCAGATCCGCTGGCATGCCGATGGTCAGACTCTGGTCTGGTCAGATGTGGTCTTTCACCTCTCCGATATCCGCGAGATCATCTTTCAGCGGATTGCAGAGGCCCGGCGGATTCTCGAGGTTGAGCTTTGTCTCAGTGGGCGCTCTAGCCCAGCATCGGAGATCCCGACCATCGCGTATGATGAGCTGGTCGATAATTGGGACGCCACTGCGCCAGGCCAGTCATTCATCACCGATTCGCGCAATACGTGCCATCTGGACCCGGTCAAGGACTGGCTGATCACTCGGGTTGGTAGGACGCCTGCCCTGTTCCACACATTCTGGTCGCAGAATGCCGAGGGTCATTGGGTTGTGTCCGCCGATGCGACTCAGCAGTACGAGAACGCTGTCCAGCAGTTTCTCCGGGTGGTTATGGTCCCGTTCTTTCTCGGTTCAGGGCAGCAAGGACGTCGTACTGAGTTCATTGGCCTTCGGTGGCGGAACACCACGTTGACCACGCGCGATCTCTTCCTCCACGATGGACAGATGCTTTTCATCCTTAGCTACTATAAGTCACGGAATCAGACCAACGCCTCCCGCTGGCCTGTCCGATTCCTACTGCCCGAGGTTGGGCAGCTTATCACGCAATATCTTGCCATCGTGAATCCCTTCCGAGAGTTCCTCCAGCAGGAGACCGGGGGACCCAAGCCGTCCGACTATCTCTGGTCTCAGGGCACTGACCCGTGGCCTGCTGATACCATGACCCGGGTCATTGTCGAGGCCGGTAAGCTAGTCCTGGGGAAGCATATCCATATCAAAGCTTGGCGGCAGATCACAGTCGGTATTGCACGGCGGAAATTCGCGGATATAGATGCAAATCTGCTGATCGAAGAAGCGGCCGGAGAGGATGGTGATGAGACGGATGCGGTCCAGGGGAGCATGTCCGATGCGCTTCACTGGCAGGCCAGCCATACGCCGCGTACGGGAAATCGGGCCTATGGAGGAACAGTGAACTTCCGTGGTGGGCTTACCGATGCTGGGCTGCAAGAGTTTCGGCACATTAGTCAAGTCTGGCATCGGTTCGTTCGTAACCCTATCAATTTCCAGCCGGCTTCCGCCACCCCGCAACGCTTCCAGGCCACGACCGCGTGGGAATGGGAGGTAGCTGAAGGGCCACGAAGCGAGCGCTGTCAGCCCAGCAATACCCCTAGTGGGAGTCGTCGGACTGCTGGCAGTGGATTTAGCACACCGTCTAAGAGACCCCGGGAGGTGGATACCGAGTCCCCGATCATCCAGCGTGTTGCACGGCGGAAGGCTCCCACCCGGAATCGACGAGTGTGGCGAATGGACGAGGCCCAAGAGATTCTTCAGCGGATGTACGGTGCGGATGCTGAGTACCGCTCCCCTAAACAACGACAGGCGATGGAACACATCTTGGCAGGTTCTGGCCAGGTACTAACGGTTCTGCGAACCAGCGAGGGAAAGAGCTTACTCTACCTGCTTCCTTGCCAGTTACCCACGGCCGGTACCACGATCCTTATTTTACCGCTTGTGGTGTTGAAGACGGAGATCCAACGGCGGTGCGCGGAGGCCGGGATCGAGGCTCATATCTGGGGTCCGGGATCTGTCCCTGGTCGATTACACTCCTGTCCCTTGATCGTGGCCTCGGTTGAACAGGCGGTTCGACCACGATTTCGAGAGTTTCTCCACCGATTGCATATTGCGAATGAACTGGACCGCGTCGTTTTCGATGAGTGCCATATGATCCTGACTGCCGTGGAATACCGACCTGCGATGGCCTTGCTCCCCAGGATCCGGGAGCTTGCGTGCCAGATGGTATTTCTTACCGGAACGATGCCACCTAGTAGGGTACCGGAGTTTGAAGAAGCCATGTTACTTCGCGGAGCACGTATGGTCCGGGGCCCGACGACGCGGCAAGACATATACTACCAAGTCAGCATGTGTCCCCCAAAGCAGGACTTGGTGCGAGAGTTTGCGGTGCCGGGGATTCAGCAGGGTATTGGGCTTCTCGGAAGTGGCGAGCGTATGATCATCTACTGCTGCGCTAAGGATATGGCCGAAGAGGTTGCCCAGCTCATCCGGGCGCGCGTCTATCATTCTGCTTCTGGTAGCACCGAGGACAAGGCGGCAGTCCTCCAGCAGTGGCGGGATGGCAAGCCGCCGTATATCGTGGCTACCTCTGCATTTGGGATGGGAATCGATTACCCCCGAGTGCGGTGGGTGGTTCACGTTGGGGTCCCATGGACGCTGATCGACTTTACGCAAGAGGTCGGCCGGGCTGGGCGCGATGGTCAAGGGGGGCGATCCGTCGTGCTCGTCCCGACTGGATGGAAACCTCGAAAGGACATACGGCCTATGAAGGCTGGGGATGGAGATCGCGCGCTCGACGGGTATATCGGCACTACGAGATGCCGGGCTTACGAACTGTCGCAGTATCTGGACGACGGGGGAATGGTATGTCGGCCTGGGGCAGCCATGTGCGATAATTGCAACCGGGCCGGGGAGCAACCCACCTCCCAAGTAATAGACGGGCGACACGATTGGGGTCGAGAGGAAGATGATCTCCAGGATCTCGAGTGTGGACGAGATTTACTCCGGGGCCAGATCCGGCAGCAGGCATGGGGGCTTGCTGACTACCAAAAGGGAATTGAGTTATGGCGGGGGGTATGTATGATTTGTTACCATCTCCCGCGGGTGGCATCCGGACAGGAGGGC